GTTTCCCAAATCATAACCCGCCCACATATCTGCTGATTAAGATCCAACCCAACCCGGAGGGGGTTGGGTTTCGCGGGCGGGTTGGGCGAGGTCTAGGCCCAACAGTCAAGGCAGCCTTACTGCACGTGGGTTGATATGCTAAGCTTCATTGGTGCCGTGAGAATCTCGGGTTCGAACAATTTCCCATCCTTTCATCTCCGATAGAATAACCGACATCGCTGGTGGAGATAGTATTGTCTGAGCACCTCTCAGAACGGATAGTCTGTCCCAAAACTGCCCGGTCACATTGCCACATCTTGAGCTCTCATTAGCTACAACACCAGCGAAGCTTTTTAGAAGCGAACCAATGCTTTTGCTCGTGGCATCCACTGTTAACGACAGGAATCAGGAATCAGGAACCAGGAACGCGACACACTTCGCGGTATCATGGTTGGATTCTGGAAGCTTGTCCGGAGGGACTTTCAGGCTCTCTTGATGCCTGATCCCAAATTCCCCATATAAAGGGCGAGCAGCCAAGGGATCAGCAGAAAATTGAGCACACAGCTGTCTGTCTTTCCTCATATTCAAGATGCCGTTCTTGTCTCGTGTTGCCCTGACCTTGGGTCTGAGCCTGGGTGCTGCTGCCGCCCCAAACTCCATCATTGCGCCTAAGGGTGCTGAGACCCTCACCGTGGGTATCCTTGGTGGTAAGTACTTGCAGTTTTAGATATTGGGACATCAAGTCCTCGAACAAGAATACTAACGAATCGAAGATTACGGCTGGACTGGTTGGCAGCCTCTGCCTTTGGATTTCTGCAACAATGCCTTGTTGAAGCTCGAGGCCGACGGCGTGCAGGTTTCCCGCCAGCTTCAGAATGACTGCGACCCCGGTGACCGCCAGGCCATCTCCAACGCCACTATCGAGGAGAGTAAGTCATCTATCTAATAGGTCACTTCACGAACCGGAAAAAGGAGAAAACATGGAAAGGGAAAAGTGCATATACGCTAACGTTCATTGCAGCCCGCACGGCTCACTACATCGAGAAGGTCTGCCTCAAGAAGAACTGCTCAGCCTTTATCTCCGTCGGCGATAACTTCTACGATAGCGGTGTCGACTTCACATCGGAAGGTATCCAGCGCTTCTACGAGGGCTGGGCTGACATGTACGTCGGCGAGGCCTTCGACAACAAGACCTGGTACCAGGCTCTCGGTAACCACGACATTGTCGCTGGCCAGGCCGGTGTTGATTTTCAAACCCGTCTTGCTCCCTTGATCGATGATCGTTGGTATTTTGGACACGAGCATCTGCCATATTACACCTACGACCTGACCGGCTCTAACTGGACCGCAACCTTCGTGGTCGTGGACTCCGATTGCTTTATCGACAATTATCAGAAAGAAACCTCCGTCTACAACACCGATTATGTGATCGCCTGTCACAAGGACACCCAGAAGCAGGTGGACTTCTTGCGCGAGTCTTTTGCTAAGTCTGATGCTACCTGGAAGATCTTGCAGATCCACCACGGTTACATCTCCTCCTCGTCCAACTACACTGAGCTGGATCCCCTGATGGAAATTGTTCGCGAGAACAACGGTGTCGTCGTCAACGGCCATGACCACTGCATGGCTCACTACCAGTACGAAAACACTGACTTTGTTCTCACCGGCGGCGCAGGCTATGCCGAGGCCGGCGACTGCAACTATGGTGTTCCTCTCGGCCCATTCGCCAAGTGGCTCGGTGCCGACGCCAACCAGGCCGCTAACGGCTTTGTGACTCTTGACATCAACTACAACACCTTGACCTTTGAGTACTACGCCCGTGACATGCGCCTTAAGGGTGCCGACTACTACCCTGTCAAGGACGACATGAAGCCCTCGTACAGCTTCGCCGTTACCAAACATGCGACCAAGGCTTAGGAACTGCATTTACATTGGGGCGCCAATGAGCGTGTGTTTTTGAATAGTGGGCTACTTTGTGTAAACTAAGTACTTACTAGACGATAGGTATCTCGATTATTTTATACTAGAAAGAGTTTAGGATACTATCTTCTCCTAGCGCTTTCCCTGCCTTTGCCGTCTTCACTGCTTCTTATATTTCTAGTATCGTAATTAGTGGGAATTCGATTGGTTGTGGGTACTAAAAGTAAATAGTGTCGAAGAGATCTACTAGCGATAGTTATAGGAAAAAGGCTATCTAAAAGGCTTCTACTTTCTAATCGACCGTTTCTACGAGCTTTCCTAGTATTTAAAGACCTTAGATCTTTAAAGATAGGGTAAGACCTTTATTATATACTTCGTTGCGATTCCTCGCCTATTTAGCGAGACGCTATATACCCTAAGGGCTATCTTCGATGATCTACTGAACCTAGCGCTAGTGCGCTTAGGATAGTGCTTTCTTAACTAGACGCGTTTTCTGATTGCGTACTTTAGAGTAATATATCTAGTTATAGGGATCCTTCGTTCTTATATATCTACATCGTAGACGACGGACTTCCTTAATAGCCGCTTTATACTCCTAATTAAAATTAGGGTTCGACTATATTAACGGTTTTGCCTATAGGGTTAAGGCTTTAATTACTAATTAGACGATATCTAGTAGTTTCTGATATTAGGCCTCGACCTATAGTGGGCCTACTTAGGATAGGTCCCTTGCTTATAAACCTTCCTCAATCTTCTAAATAAGCTTCTTTTCGTTCGTGGTATTCTAGTTTCTCCGCTTCTATTATATAAGTGCTAGGGTTTCAATATCTAGTATTATTCTAATTAGGAAATAGTTAGATAAGTATTTAATCTTATCCACTCGCTTATAGCGAATAAGCCTACTAGTGAGACTTAAACTAATAAAGGTGAGGTCGATTAACGATGACTAGTCATTTCGAGACTAGGTGGCCCTTCCTTCCTTAGTAATTAACTTAAGGTTCTACTTATTTATAATCTTTAGTAGTTCCCTAGCTTCTTTGTCGGTCTTAGTCCCTAGACCTCCCTATACTAGGTGGTATATATTTATATCCCTTAATACGACGTATTCTATAAAAGGGCGCCTTACTAGTTCGCTTCTTAGCTAGGCTAGGGTGTTACTACTAGGTCTATTATATATATTATATACGAATAGGTCCGTCTAGTCCTTGCCTTGATAGGCCTTTCTAAGCTTTAGTAGCTAATAGTCCTACGAGATAAGCTAGTAAAACTAGGTACTAGAGTCAATCTTTCTCGATATAAAGAAGCATACCCCTAGTTAGTAACGATCTAGACCCTAGTCTTAGTCCCCACTTTAGTCTATTCTACGCGAGGTTTCCTTTACTAGATATACTAGTTAAAATTTTGTAGTCGCTAGTTAGTGGGTTATATATTATTATTCGTTTCTCTATAGCTTCTACACCGCGACGATATCTACTACTAAGACGTTCCTATCCCTAAGAAACGTAGCTATCACTAACTATAACTTATATATATTATACTAAAGTATTTTAAACGACTTTATTAATATATAGATTTGTTATCACTACGCTCGCTAGCCTTATACTATATATCGTCAGTTAGGTCTTTAATTATAGGTATATCGGTAGTGATCGCGGGAGAGGATCTAACTAGCATCGCTTAAATTTAGTTATATTAGAGGGTAATAAGTTTTCGATATTTAGGGCTATCTAGGTCTAGATCCTCGAGGCTAGGTTTTAGTGTAGTGTTAGTGTCGTTAATCGTTGTGACGTCGTTAGTGAACTAAGTAAGCTCTTCTTCTAGGCTATCCTACTAGGGGATATCCTAAGGAGGATCGGCCTAAGAGAGTTAGATATCGAACTAGTTACTATTATCTAGCTATTCGTCTATAATGTCTCTTAGCTCGCCTATATAGCGCTTCTTTAAAATAGTGTATTCTTACGCGGTCGTCTACGACGTCGCCTAGGACCTCGTCGATCGCTAGTTTATCGATATTATAGTGTTAGAGGCGGTTACACTTAGTCTTTGGGCCTAGTCCTTAATCCCTTTAGGCGACTAGGGCCTCTTCTAGGTTTCGTAGGTTTAATAAGCTCCTTAAGTAACGTTCCTATTCTAGTTAGGTTTATTTCTAGGTTAATTATGACATACTAAGGGCGCTAAGAGATAGCTACCTCCTACTATCCTTTTGGAGTATATATAGATAGATCTAAGTCTACTATTTCTACTAAGTCTAGTCTTATTAAAGGGTGTCGGCGTATTAATATTTACTATACTTTTAAAATATAGTGGGTTATAGTAATACGTAGGGCAGTTAGCTAGCGCCTGCTTTACCTTATTTATCGCCGCGATCTTCACTAGGCAATCCTAGCTAATTAGGCGGTACCCACTACTATAATTAGCGTATTTTACTAATATCGCCTACCTCTATATTAACGAGCACTCCTAGGTTAGGTGCTCGTTAGCATAGTGGCTATATTTAAAGACGTTAGAATAGTGTGACTAGATATACCCTAGTTTTTGGCATTTTCTATAGAGCTTTATCCGTCCTTCGCGGCAGAAGCGTAAAGTATTATAAATTTGCTTCCCCTATACGACACTAATAATAATAGCACGGTTAGCTATAACTAGGCTAGTAAACTCGATTAAGACTAAGCCCTTAGCCTATATACCCAGTCGCTCAGCTAGCCAAGATACTAGATCTTAGCGCCTTCGCCCTAGTCGTTCTATCTAAGTAGTTTAGCTAAGACGTTAGCCATCCTCTCTAGGTGTTAGGACTGGAGTTAGACCAGGTAAGGGACCAGACGGAACTATAAGTATGTGGATGAGAAGTTCAATCCTGCGATTGTGACTGAACTAATCCTTAAGAAAGAGAGCTCATTAATTACAAGAGAATGCCTTTTATTCCTTTGTGCGGTCACGTGGCGTTCGCTTTCATGCAGGTTCGCGGGAAACCCTCTCATGTGGCTTCTGATATACCAGATTGGGCATCTGAATTGCCTCATGTTGTTCAAGGGCCGTAACACTAGGGTAACTTTCATCGACTTTACGGGGATATAGTACGCCACGACTCCCCACGAGGGCTCTTAGATCACCGAGCCAGGCCCGAATGCACTCAACCACTTAGGATACTTACGAAGGAGCTCAGCCCCGGCGGCACTGTTGGCCACCATCACCACATCGCCTGATGGCAGTTTTCGAGCTACGACGAAGGCAGCCCCTCCCGCTAGGGCTATAGAATTCTTCTGTCGAGCACTAGTCGTCTTTTGACGTTCTGCCCGTTCGACCAGCTCCCGCGGCGTGAGTCCGCGAATCTGTTCACGATTCGGGCCGACCTTCACGATTACCACTCGGTCTTCGCGAAGCTCGATTTCCGGTACCCCTGGAGATGACGTGCCGTTGCTGCGGGTATTCGGTGCCGCAGCCTTGGCCAAGCCGCGCTGCCAGTCTCTGGCTCGGAAGTCGCGCCACGCTGCTGCGGAACTCGCCGCGGAGGTGGATACATTGGTTGATAGGATACTCGTTTTTTTTCAATGGTATCAATTCGCTGGTTCAGACGTTCGGTGTCGGCGTTGATCTTGGTCAGCGCTTCAAGTACTGGTCATCCCCTGGCCGTCTCCCCGTTGGGCGTTGAGTGCGAACTGGCGGACCGCATGGATATATCCCGTGATGTATGTATCCTCTGAGCCATTGTTCTCGATGTAATTAGGCACGCGGCGGGCTCCCTCTGCGATGTCTTCCATCGACCGAGGTGGATCACCTGATGCTGTGGGTTTTGGTGTTCCTCTCCTGTCAGGGGGCAATCTCTGCGCGTTCGCACCAGTCGCAACTATCGCTGCCATCTCCCCTATGAAAAGGGTATCAGACGGTCGCGTTTGAAGTTACGACTACGATGAACTAATTCCCGAGGCCGTGGGACCTCTGATTGGCTAGATATTCCAAGAAAACGTTTTTGCCAAGAAAGAGTTGCTTTTTTCCGTCAGTCAATTGGCAAGTGATGAGATAAATCCGGTACTTACGCGTTCACTTCGTCTGTGGCATCTTTACCTATCATGTGCTTTATAGCTAGGGCGCCGCCGGGGTGGAATTTGATCCAGCAATCCAGTTTAATCACTTTACCGTCGAGGGTGATGATAGATTTGTCTTCGGCAATCATACCTTCAATCTCACGTCTCGAAAGGAGGATTTCCCTGGTCATAGCCTGGGTAGTCATCTTGCTCATCTGCGATGGTTGACAAAATCCGTGGAGGTACCAAGACTGGTATTGCAGAATTCGGATGGATTTTGGTCAGAAATTTGGGGAACAAGAGCTTTGAGATAAAGAGAAGGTAGGTACGAGGCACCTCTACGAAAGAATCCATTTACTCTGCTACCTAGAATTAGTGCCATAGCGCAAGACATCCCCTTGAACTAGATCTAATGGCCCAAGGGGGCAGTGTAGTGGGTCGTTTCGACAGAAAAGCGGAAACGGCGAGAGTCCCATGGAGAGGTGGAGGAGAATATGGTACTGGAGGAATGGTGGAGAGGCGTGTACTAGGTAAATGGTGTCGGGCTGGGACAGTTAGGGGTAGTTTCCACTCGAGGGTAGAAGTACCGGCATCCACGTGCGCCGGACGAGGCCTGCGATTGCAACAGGCCACGAACAAGCAATTTCCAAAGTCCGAAAAAAAAAACTGACAGCCAATAGCTCAGCCCCGATTGCTACATGGTGAAAACCGTGAATATTCGGGGACACCGTACATTGCTATTTAAGGATAAAAAGGGATTAGGCAGCACCATACAAGTGCCGGAACCTCGTGGGTGGTAAGTTTAGCTCTCGGCTAGATTTTCCGTGTCTCGCTACCTCAACTTCTTGCCTCGCCTCGATACGAATCTAGCATGCGTATATCGGGCGTCCGAGTGCACGGATACTTCAGAAGGCACAGATCCCGATACCCCTCTCCGCCAAAAATACAACAGTGACTCCCAAAGTCCTCCTACACATGGTTGGGAGGAGTCTGTCTATGTGAAGGCGCTCGCTCGGCCAGTTCAAGTCTGGCTCGCGATCAATTCTATGAAAAACAAATTGTTCATTCCATTATATCCTAGGACGAATTATGATTCCAAAGCTCTGCCTATCTACATCAAAACCACCTGGAGAAAGTCCCGCTTTCTTAAGCGGTCTCAGCATGAGTAGGAGTCTACTTTTCCAGAACGCGCTCCTCGGACGGCGTTCTGCGCCGGCAAAGCAACCCCGTGGGAGTGACTTCTCCACCTCGATATGTCAGGTCAAAGATAGACTTCGAGCGAATAACAATCTCGTCAATTTCTCGGGAATGCGGCCCTTTCGGCTGACCATTGTAAAAGAAAAAGCTTTGGCGGCGACAATGATCTTCAGTCGTGAATTTTTACTACCTCGACGGATTCTACGACCACAGCCATTAAGTCTTTTGAATAACCGGTACCTATTTGCTTCGATTACGCGGCCGCGACAAGTTTCCCAGGGTAAAGTCGAGGGCGTCGAGCCATGACTGCAAACCCCATCTCATTGGTTGGCGGTCCGGGATCGCCTCTTGCGGCAGGTGGGGGTCGAGTCCGATACGTGCAAGGCAAATAATTCCGGTGAATGACAAGTGCATCCCTCCCGTTCCTCTGGAAAATGAAAATTTACCCGAAAAAAGGCGCTGGTGACGAATTCAGCCTATGGGCATTGTAACGAGCCAATTCTTCGTCATCTGGAGATTTGCTGGGGGCATCTGCATACGAGCCGTGTGTACGTAGGGCCTCTGATTGGCTACATATGTCAAGAAAACGTTTTTGCCAAGAAAGAGTTGTCTCCAAGAAAGGTTGTTTCCCCTTTCTTGTCAAATTTCAGGCGACCTCTTTCCTAGTTAAAACACTGCTCCACGGATCGGCGTCCAGGTTGCTTCGCCGAACGTTTGAAAACGTGCAGCCTAGTGCAGTTTCTCAAAGCCGACATGATTCTATACAGTTTCATATATCAAAATATCAAAGCTTAAATGAGGCAGTCCACGAAGAAGCTCAGACCATTCCGGGGCGGGAGCGAGAACGAGCAAGAACGAGGATCCCCAAACTCAGATAGGTGTACCGAGTTACCCGGATGTTGTCATCGTTCACGAGCTTTTGCTGCAAAGCAATTTCCCTAGCGGCGGGCTTACCGGGCGGAGGCCGTATTTAAGAAATTTTGGCATCGTATGTTCATTGGACAGCCGGATACCCGTTTTTCAGGTTTCCTGTCAGTTCTCAGGCTCTCTGTCCATGGATATTTCAAGGTTTACGCGTACTGCATGCTGAGCACAAATGAAATTGGCCAAGGGTATTAAAGCCTCTCAATCACTCTCCGTTGCCGTGCAATTATATGGATAGAGTTTGGCTCGTCGTTATTACGTTTTAAATCCGAGAATTCATTGTTCATGTAAATGAGTCGTGTCACACAGCGACTTTCCGTCATTATTTAGAACAACCTTTTCAAAGGTAATATCATTTTCAAGGAACACGATAGTCGAGAGGTATCTCGCGCTTGCTTTTATTTCAGGCTTCAATTTTCATAATATTCATTTCTCACTAGTGGTCAACCGTACGAAAAGAGAAGTTTGTCTCTGCTGTCCGCCGAAGATGTGAATCAAATTGTTGTCCCACTTGGAGCACGCGGCGTGATCTCATTTTGTGGAAGTGCAACACACAGGTTGGAATTGAAGGCAAGCTCGACTTGTATTATGATGACGACGGCGACAGTCGAATAGCCTCGTTCTACTGGAAAGGGCCCTGGCCTCGGTTTGCAAATCGGTTCGAAATAACAAACCACGACACTAAAAAATACCTAATAATTATGTCACCTATTCACCGAAATTGCGTTTTGGGAGAGGTACCAATCACCGTGAATCAGGTTGGTCTTTGACTATTGGGTTTTTAGCACATCGTGTGCTTATTTCGTTACCTACTTGTTATGTATGATCCTGTGAATTCCAACAACTCTTTCTTGGCGAAAAGGTCCAATAAGAGGCCCCACGGCCTCATGAATTAGTTCATCGTAGTAGTAACATCAAACGTTACCGTCTGATACCCTTTTCATGGGGAAGATGGCAACGATACTTGCGACTGGTGCGAACGCACAGAGACTGCCCTAGACGACTTAAACTTCGCAACTGCCTGCCGGGTGGTATTTGCTGGGTTCCTCCGCCTCAGAGAGTTCACTTATAAAACAGAAGACCTCGGCACGTGTTCTATTATCCTAGCCACAAAGCTAACGCGCTCCGACGTCAGATTCTCGTCCTCGTTAGACCATGCGCAACTCACATTCAAGCGGAGTAAGACGGACCGCCGCCACGAAGGAGTACAGATTATTCTTGCAAAAACAAGAGATGGAGCATGTCCGGTAGACGCGCTGCAGAAGTTGCTACTTCTCGACCCCAGAGGGCCCAGTGCCCTGTTGTTCTCCTTCCATAGAAGACCATTCTGTCACAACAATTTTCTCTCTACCTTATCTACTAAGCTGAGAGCACTTTTGTTGCAGGCCGACAGCTACTCAGGCCACAGTTTTCGGAAGGGTGCGGCTCAACATGCGCACGAATGTGGGGATCCTCGTCGACCAGATTCAGGTGCTCGGGAGATGGACCTTGGAGGCATTCAGGATATATTTTACGATGAACGCATCCGTCTTGTACAAGCTCAATTATCAGTTTCAGACGGGCTCGCCAGCTCCGCTGTCTCTAATGGTTCCTTCACCGGCTCCTCCACCGTCCTAGTTTGGCCCGGGTCATTTGGGTCCTCTACGTTATGATCTAATGCGTTTACGTATATGAATTTAGCGACAGGTGACCCTTTATGACCAAACTATACATAATGTATCCCTCTTGACTGTGCGAGGTCACCATTTAAAGAAGCATAATGAAATTTTCGACTTAGAATGCTCCTTATCTTGCTTCCACGACCGAAGAAAGCCTTGCCAGAATCAATCAAGGCCCTTGAATTCTTTTTCCTGCGATTCATCGTGCTTCTGAGGGTTCCCATTCAACATACAAATTTGTTCTTCATCCACTACTGGCTTTGCCCCGGTTTGAGTCTTCCTCTCGCCCTCCTGATTCATGTGTTCAGATTTGTATCCATAATGGAGTCTGGGATGAAGTATTCTTTGCAGAAACTTCCTTACCCTGTGCTTTTCCCTCATTGGAGATCCTGTGTATTACGAACGTCAGAAACAAACAGTAAGCGATATGATTTTCAACTTAACCTTTTGACAGTCAACTTGAATGGACTTAATGAAATCTTGCATCAAAGCTCAAATTTCGAAGATATGATTACCTGAAAGAAAGCGAGTATTAAAAGAATCATTTCAATGATGGCATGAAAACTTCAACTCCGATGCGCATATGCCATATGCGTCAAAGGTCAATCATATCCATGGTTCCGCTGGAGTGGTTAACCGGAGAATATTAAACTTAAACCCATCTTCTCACTCATCAATTATCTCCCTCCTAAAAAGGGGGCTTTTATTTGAAATTTATTCATTAGGTTTTTGTCAACTCTTCAGATGTCGCTTCCAGAAACCATAAAGTCCAGAAAAGAGACAGCGCCGGTCGTGTCTTACTTAGTATGCAAATAATATCAGCCCCCAGACTTCCAAAAACACGCGTCCTACCACAGAGGCCGTAAAGATTATACAAAGAGCATCTGATCAGGTTATTTGGGTTTCGCCGATTATTGACTAACCTCGACTCAGGGTCAGCGAGCTCACTTCCAGAATAAGATTTAATTAAATGACGACAGCAACGCGCTAGTCGGACCCATGTCTTCCGCTTTGATTCCGTGAAAGGCGGCCAATAGAGAAACGCTTACTTCTGGCTTATTCAGCTCGGAGGCGTTTATGTCGGAAGCATTCAGTGATGATATAATTGATTATGCAGGATCAGAAGTAAAACCACCTGAGGAACAAGTATCGGAGACTGTTTAATTAGCTCTAAAAGTTCATTGACGTTATTTTAGAGCCTGAAACTCCTTTTTAAGAATTTCATAGGAATTATTATCACCAACACGAGACAGCTAGTTGGTTATCTCGATTCCAACAAATGCCAGAAGTTTAAGGCAAGAACTCCGGACCGAACGGAAGCGTATAATGTATTCTTTAGAATATGGAAATTAGTGCGCAATGATCATGTGCTTGATCAGTGACGTCAATGACCCGGCATTGAAAATTACTTATTAGCAATAAAGGTGCCGTCTAGCTAAACTAATAAAAGAGCAATGACGAGTAATCAAATGATACTCGTAGCCAATGCTAATGAGGATGACCAAGACAGCTATACTGCCGGCAGGATGGCAGGTTCCGCACAGGAGGAAGCCAGAGTGCTAGGTGCGTGGACACCATCCACACTGCATTCATCATCATATGAGAAGCTCGCGCAAAAGAAACCTAAACTTACGGATCATCTCTCAATCACCATAGGGCCCATTATGATCATAATATTTGACATTGTGGTCCCCTGCATAATATACTACATTTGGTTCGATATCCATCGATCCCACTGGAAGAGCGCCTGTCGATCCTACGAGGCATGCCGTTTCACGAAGCCTGAATTCGACAAGCAGGTCTTAGGCTACGCTATTATCTCCTTTGGCTTAGGCGAGCTCTACATTCTGATTGCCCGGGTCTGTCGCCTTCTTTGGCACCCAGATGAGTGTGCTCCTTTGCTATCACGCTCGCGATGGGAACTCGATGCTACATCCTGGGTATATGGTGTGGCCATGATTTGCGCCTTAATTCCATTCGTTATCGGTAGCAGCAAGGAACTCCCCGAGCTCTATCTCTACTCCCCGGGGGTCCTCATGGCATTTCTCGGAATCCTGATGCTCATCACTCTCATCCCGCTGAAGATTCCCATTGGTATCAACTCACAGGCAAAGGGGACGCCATTGCGGCCGTTGGTATACTACGCGGCTGAAGACTTCATAGCTGTTGATGGCTTGCAGGATCGCGAGTTCCGCATACGGTACAATGCACGTTATGATTCGTCAAAGGCTTTCAGGCGCATGCTTCTCGGTCTCACTATCTGGTGGATCTTTGGAGTCTGTGTCTATTTAGGGAGCTTATCGGCCATAATATGGATCATGGAATTCCACTATGCGTTTGGATTATCCCTAGGGATTCTCTTCGCGTATATTCTTATTTGGGCAGCAGTGTCATATATCTGGCTGCAGATCGGAATAAATCGAGAGCGCAAGGTACAGGAGATATCCGTATGATAGACCAGACAGCAGTTACACGGATAACTTGGATTGAACGGTTGTATTGTATCTATTAGATTAATGGAGATTTTGAAGAAGGCAATGCATTAATGATCGGTCAACCTAAAAAAACAACTCGTTCTTGGCAAAAACGTTTTCTTGAAATATCCAGCCAATCAGAGGTCCTACGGCCTCGGGAATTAGTTCATCGTAGTTGTAACTTCAAGCGCTACCGTCTGATACCCTTTCTGTAGGGGGATGGCAGCGATAGTTGCGACTGGTGCGAACGCACAGAGAATGCCCCCGGACAGGAGAGGAACACCAAAAGCCACAGCATCAGGTGACCGACCCACCTCGGTCGATGGAAGACGTCGCAGAGGGAGCCCGCCGCGTGCTCAACTATATTGAGAAAAATGGCTCAGAGGACAGATATATCACAGGATATATCCCTCGGCCAGGAGCCTCCGCGCGTCAGCGCCTTTGGTTAGGTACACGACCATTGACCCATATGGCTTCGCGGCTTCCTTGCTGCTAAGCCACGTCATTTTGGCGACAGTAGTCTCGTTCTCCTCACCGAGGGCTGCCGCCGCTCCTGACAGGATGTCATGGTTGTCATCCAGTACTGCAGCCCTCTTGACGCTGTCGACCTTGATCGGGTAGAGCTCGTCCCGAAGCACCCGGGCTCCCGCACCGATCTTTGTTTCCGCCACTTTCTTGACCGGCTGGTGCTCGGCTTCATCGCGACACGCGATTCTGATCCGGTCGGTATTTCTTGGACCCACAGTGACAGCGCGACAGCGCTAGTGAGTGTGATCGTCCATCGTCCGGATCTCTGTCTCGATTGTGGCCCTGATTGAGCCCGCGGATATCTTCTCACTTTCGCTTTCGGTCATCTTTGAGGTGTCTATCGTGCAGTATAGCGTATCGGTGAAGGTGGTCGGTGTCGTGTTCGACGTTGAAAGAGTCCGTATGTTGCTCGGGTGACTGAGTCGAGGAATACGGGCGACATCTGCGTAGGACGGGGAGCCTGTGAGGGCGGGAGTGCTAATTGCGTCACGTAGGGTTTGAATTTCGCGTAGGATGTCATCGAGGCCAGTCTGAGAGCATGCCTCGGATTGCGATACCAATGGTCTATCTGTCAGGATCTGTAGCTCGTGTCGCACTTCTGCGAGGGCGGCGCTGAATTCTTCCTTAGCCTTCCGCAGCTCTTCTTTGCGCAATTCATCTCGCAGTTTGATGTCTTTCCTGAGGTTGACGAGCTCTCGTATAAGTTCAGAGGCGTTCGGGTCCTCACTCTCCGTCGAGGAGTCCGACGTTACCGTTTCCCGTTGGGTTACTGGCTTGCCCAGTGTCTTCTTCTTCTGCTGCTGCTGCGAACGCGCATTTATCTGCTGGATGTCGATTTCTTGCTCTTGGCCATAGTTGTTAGGCGGTCTGGTGGTGCGTCTCGGTCTCAATACTCGTGGCGGTGACTTTTCGTGTTCGTCGCGGTCAGGCGGTTCAGAGGTTCGCGTCTCGGCCCGCCATTCTGGTTTTCTCGCGTTTCTCCGACAAAAGGTACAGGGAGCTAGATAAAGTACAGTAGTTCCCGACAAGTGTCGAAGATATATACCTTGCGTCGTGGTCCGGCACTGCCTACAGTCTTCTAGGTACAGTACAGTCGATCTCAGGATGAATACTGTAGTCGTTGGTCCACTCGATTGGCGATACAGTCTGTCAGGGTACACACACACAAACACATAATTCATTACGCCCGGAGGCATCAAGCCTAGAGGGCACCTATAATTAGTCTACATTGAACTATAGCGTGATTCTCCGACTTTACTAACAAAAGCTTCCTAGCGCTAAACCATAAATAGACTAGACTGCGCCATAACCCGCAATGCGGGTCAAGACCTTCAACCCGCACCCGAACCCGCAGCGGGTTCGGGTTCTAAGTTGTAACCCGGACCCAACCCAGCGGGTTATAAATCTAGATTTAGAAACCCGCAAATAACCCATCTCAACCCGAATTTACATAAAATTTAGGTCTTGGCATTCATAAAAATACTTAGTAATTATGTACGGTATTCTTTAATACACTTTATATCTAGTTATCTATTACCTTATATATATAAATAGATATTATATCGGCTATATATAAGCTATATATATTTTTATAATAGATATAAGGCTAGAATAGGTAAGTGGGGTAGGTAATTAGGTCTAAATTATATATATATATATTTCTCGGAGGGTAGGTGCACCACTTTTTCTAAGAGCTCTGTAATTTATTTGAAACCTCGAAATCTAGCTTTTATATATATATAAGCCTTTATATAAAATATATAGCCTATTATCTATATAAATATCTCTATATATACTAATATTACCTAGGATAATATAGTTAATACAACACTAGAACATACGTATTTTTGCATAATCTATATATAGCTCTTGCGGGTTGGGTTCGGGTTATGCGGGTTCGGGTTGGGTTATCTACCTCGACCCAAAACCCGCGTGCGGGTCCAAGAAGTCGACCCGAACCCAACCCATTCTAGCTACTAGATAGCTTAGGGGTAAATAGCTATAGGTTCTCCGATGCAAGGTACGGAATACTCTCTATATTATTAAAGGTAGATAACGGAAATACGTTAGAGTATTAGCTTTAAGATATATCGCGAAGTAAGAGGGTACTTAGGGTAAATAAAGAAATAAAGAAGATATACTAAGAGATTATTATAGGGAACAAGCTCCACGCTAATAGACTTATCGATTATTCACTAGATTAGACTAATAACTCTTATATTTCTTATATAATTAGTTTAGCGTAGGCATTTTTAGTAGGCCTAACCCACGAAAACCTATTTTAACCCGCGAGAATCTATCGAGAACCCACGAGAACCTATTATAACCCACGAGAACCTATTATAACCCGCGAGAACCTATTAAGAACCTATAGAAACCTATTAAAACCCACAAAAAACCTATTAAAACCTATAAATAACCTATGCCTAACCTATATCGACTATCTCTAAACTAAAAAAGTTTCACAAAGACTAGAGCTTTTTAACTTCATTTCTACTTCACGACTAACAAATATAGCTTAAGGATTAAATAAAATATATTTAAAATAAAATAGGCTATAAAGAATTACTTATTAGAGAAAAAAGTACATTTTATAGGCGTAACGTAAATAAAGCAGAGAAGATTTATTATCTTTAAAAGAGCGCACTACCTTCGCTCTATAATAGATATATATTTCTACAGCAATATAAGCTTCTTAGAATATATCAGGTTTCCATCATAACTCTAGGGCTATATTATATTAAAACTACGTAAATAACTAATTACCAATATTAATGAATATATATTTAAGTGAATTTCTTAAAGTTACCAATATATTTTAGAGGAAGTCGATAAATTATTATTATAGTTACAAAAACAAGTGTAAAAAACAGTATTAAATTAAGATGAATCAGCCAAATTATATACGCCAAGACTAGGATTTTATATAAGAATAGGTCGAAATAGGTTATTTACGGGTTTTTAACTTTAGATTTAAAACCCATTAGGTTAGGTTAGGTTCTAGGTGCAGAACCCAAAACCCGCGTTGGGTTGGGTTGGGTTTTGATTCCAGAACCCATTCGCGGGTTATGGCGCAGTCTACCTATACGTAGTCTCTATTACGCTTAATAGTATAGAATACGTACTTAATACGCTTCTTGCTATCCTTAGGGATATCGATGCCTAAGATAGGCGACTAGCTCTTTAGATAGCGTGCTAAGGATATACCGTGGGCTAGACATTGACACTCCCATGGGTATTCCCATTTGGGACAGTCCCGTCCCGCCCATGGGTGGGATATGGGACCGACCCTTAGTCCCATGGGTGGGACGGCCTTTTCCCTACCCACCTATGGGACTCCCATACTCCCATAAGTACCCATAATACAAGGAGGTATAATTAATGTATATTATGTAGGAATCTTTGGTATTTAGGTGGTAAAATTACAGTCGAAAGGTAATAAAATAAGAAAAACAAAGTGAGGTTTGAATGAGAGAATAGCACCTATATTATTCTATAGAATTTCAAAGCCCTCAGGCCCCCGAGGACGTCTTTTCACCCGACTAGAGGCCCGAATCTGGCTTTCTGGAATTATAGGCAAAGAGACCAAATCATCATCACTCTTATTAGATAAAACACTCTTTCTTCTCTTACTAGCCCGAACAGAAGATAGCCTAGAAACATCTATCCTATCTAGCTCATCTAGCTCATCTAGCTCATCCACCCTATCCGCCTCAGTATCACTAATTAGCTCAAAACCTTCTATTTGCTGAGAAGGTTCATCTGTTTCACCGTCCTCGTGGATAGATAGAGATCGGATAAAAGCTAGCTACTGATCTTCTATCTCGAACCTAGTCGTACACATAAATATCATTAGGTCTTAGATAGTTGAAGAATTCAGACGACCCCTCCGATAATAACAGATATCCTGGGCTAAATTAAATAACCTTTCTACACTAGCACTAGTAGCAGGGATAGAGAAAATATCCTGTGCTATATATGCTAGTGTAGGGAACTAATGCGTATGATCTTTCTAGAATAGACGAGGGCTAATTGGGACCAAACCTAAGTAAAACTAAAGAAATTAGACGAGAGGTAAAATGAGAGGTAAGACTAGAAGTGAGAGAAAAGTGAGAGGAAAGTGAGAGGAAAGTGAGAGGAAAAAGTAAGCTTACCTCCTTGGAGATATTAGGTTAATTCATCCTGATCCTTAGTGGATTTAGGCTTAGAAGCAAGCAATTGATTAAGCTTAGAAGCTTGGATAGAAGCCTAAGGTTTTGGGATTGAATCACTCTCTATTTGATATACTTTTATTCGCTCTTGAAAGCTCGCTCGATATAAAGAAGTATAGTCTTTATCTATCTAGTCGGGGCTAGAAAAGAACTGCAACTTATGCTAAGGGGCGAGGATTGTGCTATGCGCATAGATATCACTAAGTTCTAGATTATCTGTTTTTGCATAGTACTCTCGAAGCTTATTTTTAGCTAATTCAAGAGCTTTAAGCATCTGCCGTTTCCACCTAGCCTAGAAGTAAAGGAAAAGTAAGTAAGTGAGACTTAAATAAATCCCTTTTCCGCTAATTGTGACTCTGATTTTTCGCACTTTAACCCTTATTATATAGGTTGAAGTGCGAAAAATCAGAGTTATAATTAGCGGAAAAGGGAGAGAATATAGGAGACTAACCTTTTTTCGCCTCAACTGCCGAATCGAAGCTTCAAGGTGGTCAAAAAGCTTATTATAGATACTAAAAACACTGTGGATAGTAATATCCTTGGTCTTAGATAGGGCAGTGGTAAATTAGAAGAAAGGCTTAGTTAAACAAAGAAGATAATCAATCTAACGCCATTCCTCTAAATTAATCATTAACTATTTAACCTAGTAGGTGATACAGTACTAATTTAAATTAGATTGAAGCCTTTTAGCCTAGTAAAGCATTAGATATATCGAATTCTAACGCGTACGGACGTCCTAGATTAGGACTAATATAGGCTGATTAGTCTAAAGCTTTAGGAAGTTATCCCGTCTCTATAGGCTTGTATTAATATAGATAGCAAGACTGTGAGCCTTACGAAGGGTATTCGCAATATCTAGCTTTCTAGACCTCTGCTAAGCCCAAGTAGCAGCCCGACTATGCTCTTCTGTCCAAACCATTTCCACTATATTATTCTAGGGGTTTACCTTCATCTAACCAAGAAGCTATTTCAGACTAAGCTAAATCACATACGCAAGGCAAGGAATGCGGATTAAAGGTAGACTAGGATAACTAGCTTAGATACTTATAATTATCGTCTAGTTATTTAACGTATTATCCGTAGTAATAGCCATAATCTAGTCTAGAATCTGATACTTTTGAAGGGTATCAGTTAGGACTAACCCAAGATTCGTCCTAGTATATATTCCTTCTAGGGGTTCAAATCCTAGAAGCACCTCTTAGTAATCCTAATTCTAGTCTAGGAAATAACTAGTAATAGCTATAAATGCTTACTAAAAGGGTGATGTCTAGTAATCTAGACTAATTAAGAGCTTTGAATGGGGTGGAAGCATCTAAAGGGTGTCTTTCTGTCGGTCTTCGACTATATTTTATAGTCGGCGCTATATCGTGCGACCGGTAGGAAAGGTTAGGATTGAAGGGGCTAACTAGGTTAGGCGTAGAAGCTTCTGGAAGTGCTCGCTCTCGATGATTTAGAAGGGTAGGCGTAGGCTAGTGATAGTGGTTAAAAGCTATTGCTGCTAGAGCTCTTTAGACCAAGGTTAGGATAGATTGGAGTTGACTGCCTAGTGAGAGAATAATAGGTTAGTTTTCTCTTATTTTGCTCTCACTTTTCTCTCACTTTTTAGTAAACATACCACTTTCTATATTAAGTGCTTAATACTTGTTTGCTTACTTTTTATCTAATAGGCACCATTTTTTAGATATCGTCGCATCCTAGATGTCCTATCTTTTACTAGATGCTTTATTATTATACCACACCTTTTGCAAGCAACCATTGGTTTTCCTATATTAATATATACAACTTGGTCAAAATGCGTCTATACATTAGATTGATGGCCCTTTCTATCCTAATAGATATATTTTGCTTTGGGTTTTGTCCCATATAGAGTAGTAAGCCACTATTTAATAAATTCAGTCTTAGTCATTTCCGTCTAAAGTGCCCACTGTTTCGTCCGGTCTCCAACACGTTGAATAGAGGGTGGTAGTAGTGGTGGTGGTGTAAGCTTAGTTGTTTGGCTTTTAGTTGGTTCGTTTAGTTCAAAAGAGAAAGAATCAGATAGAAGGATAGGATCAATACTATCGCTATATATAGATTGGCTTATAGGGTCCGAGAGGTGTGCTATACTAGCGAAAGTGAAGAGAAACTAAGACCAAGGTAAAGAGAAAAAGCTTAGATAGAAGGTAAGGCATATTAAGGGCTTTAAGCACATAGCCTAATATTATTGGTTCTTTATAAGCCAATCACTACTAGGTAGGTCTACCTAGCCTATCCTATTGGCCTAACTCTCTATATTTATGTGGGTAGTCCTATGGGAGTCCCATAGTCCCATAGAATTCAGTAAGAGCCATGCCCCCTAGAAATTTCTTAACTTTTGCTCTCAACTCTAACCTTTTTCTCAACCACACACCCTACACTAGCAATTAGGTGTTTGCAAGATAAATATATATAAAAGAAGCTATAGTAATTAAATTAACTAGTAAAATAAGCCATAATAACCTAGTATTATAATATAATAAAATCAAAGGAAATAATAGCAGAGTGGTTGGTTGTATACAATAAATATATATCTTAGAGGACAAACTATAATTTCTACCACCGCTTTTTTACCTTTACTTCGATAGGCCTAAAACATTAATGCGACCGATGAAACGGACCCTTTTATATATATAAACAACTTTATTTCTTATAATTACCTAGTAGGTAGGTTAAAAAGTAGTGATATTACTTGTTCCAACCGAAACAGACGTAAATAACAAAGATTAGTCAGTGATCTTATGCACAAAATTCAGGCGAATTCAGGCGAATTCAGGCATAATCAGGTGTCTATGGGTACCCATGGGTCCCATGGGTATTCCCATGGGTGGGACTTGGGACGGACCTTAGTCCCATGGGAGTCCCATGTCAATGTCTACCGTGGGCACTAGAGGCCCTTAGAGGATCGTTATTCTTAGAGCCATCTCTTTCTCTAATATCGCTATCGTTGCCGTTGTCTTTATCGTCCTTAGAGGATGGGTTATCACTTCCGTCGTCAGAGGGTCTATTAGGCTACTATTAAGCGCTATCTAGTGCATTTAGCTACTTATAAGCCGTCTCGCGCGATATCTACGCGCTTAGTCTATCGTCTTCGGGTTCTATAAGCGTTCTCAACGACGTCTATAGAACTAGGTGTTGCGGAAATGCTCTAGCGGCAGCGGTTATAGCTATAGTATTAGCCGTCTTAGCACGGGTCGATAATAGCATAATACTATACTATCTATACGACTTGAGGTCTCTTAGGGGTGAGGTAAACTAGGCGGGTATCTAGTGTCTATAGTTTAAATAACCGGGCTTATAACCTATTAAGAAATAAAGGGATAGATAATCAGACGAAAAGAGGATGGACGGATAATTGATTGTAAATTCTAATAATCTTTTCTGCTCGTTCTCAGGGGGATATTTATATCCTTCTCCTGAGAATAGTTTTCTAAGGGAAATGCATACAAAAATGTTCTCCTACACCGCTGCCCAGTGTCAATGAGAGAACCCCCTAAAAAGAAGCAAAGAAGGTGATATAGATGAGAAAAACCCATATATACGGGCGCCCAATTTCAATAACCTCATGGGCCTAGCTAGCCAATCAGCAGCCATCGGGGCAGAGAGATGCCGACCGATATTGGCGCCTTAGGATGAGGGCTCCAATTTCCAACATGTGTGTGCTATTGAACGGAAAAGGCGTTTGCTTAAAATGATTTAACCATTAATATTGATTATTAATCGTTATCATCATTCTAGTTTCATATTTAGGAGAGCAAGAGTGGTAAGAAGAACACGAGCTACTAGAATTTTTGACGCATAGAGCAGCGGTCCCGTTATGTCTTTTACTTCTATCCGCCCTTCTTCCAGTTTTCTCACACGACCTAAGAAGCCGCCCCCGTCCATGTCCGACCACACCCTATAACCCCGCACTTTCCATTGCCCCTACCCCAGCGTTGACGCAAAGTACCACCTCGATGGCCTTACTCTCGCTTATCCTGTACCTTACGAGGTGGAAGAAGTCGACTAATATCGCCAAGCGGAATCTGAAAAGGAAATTCCACAGCGGCCAACATGAGGAATAGAAAAACATACCAGCCGAATAGGTCAGCTGCAAAGAAAAAGGCCCCGGCAGTCTAATTAAATGCATTTATGGATTAGCAGCTTTCGTTTTTAAAATAAAATGAACACATTTCAAACATACAACTTCGAGACGATGGGCTACCACCGTGTTGAGTTGGGCAAGTTCCCAATATGAGCCAGCCAATAGGCTAAATCCGCCTGTGAGACAGGCAAAGAGAAGAACATAAACTATATTAGTCCGCATAGAGCAGATAAAGAATATGAATGTTGGTAGGCCCATATAGACGAGGGCAAAAGCTTCCCATTTCAAAGATTGATGGTCAGTATTGTCGGAAATTTTCTTGCTCAGCGTTCAGATGACATACCAAACGAGTTATGAAACCCAGGGTTTGCGGGGTTGGAGGGATCATATGACGCCTGGGCATTATATAAAGGGGTTAAAGTAATTGCCTGGGCAATCCACCAGCCACCTGATCCATAGGATTAGTGAATGATATAGGGTTTTTGATTGGGGAATTTACCGTAGGTACCAAAGGCCACAAATGTGAAGGTATTCCCGATAATAAATTCGAGAATAGAGGCTATCAGCATGAGCACACCGCCCATTGCATACCATACACCACTGTAGGGTCAAAATTGTCAGCTTTGAATTGATTGGGGAAGAAAAGTGAAAAGTCAAACGTACACCTGAGATGCACTAGTACCAGCAACCCCTCTCCATCCCATCAACTGACAGGAAACTGGACCTAAAGACACACAGAAGCCTAGCAAGCCACTTTTTGAACTGATGCGTTAGCACATGCACCTTTATCGTAATCCCAAATAGAGCGGCTCCTGCACTCACAGTGGGGAAGGATTGCCGACAGTGGCCCGCAGGTTTCCTTTAACACGAGTTTTCGGAGCGAGGTATAACTTTTCAAACAGCTCTGGAGAGATTGAAAGGCTTCCAGCGGTTCTTATCTTTTGAAGTGTGTCATCGCGACTGTCTGAGGGTTGGAAGTCAAGATTTGCCGGCCCCTCGACCCCTTCGTTATGGCTAGCTTTTTTTTCAATATCCCACATGTTTTTGGCTCTGGATGGGTAAATAAGAGCACCAGTAGTTCACAATAGAGACGAATGGCAAGGCCTCGAAAACAGGTCCGGAAATAATTCAAAACTAAAAGTCTTTGGGAGCATATTTTTCAACGCAGAAAATAAGTACATTTTTGAGCATGAATATAACACACTATATAGTTTGTTAACCCCGCTCGAAATAATAATGGTAACCAATCAGAATAGCCATTGCGTTTACGTCAATGCTAATTAACTTGATTTGTGAGGGGCGTTCTCGTCATCATTCTCAGACAATGTTGTCATTTCCCCGCATTGATCTTCCACTGACGTTGTTGTGGAAGGGCATTCCGCAGAAGGGTCTGGAAAATGCCGAGAAGCACGGGATTAATGGGCTGTATCTTAATAAGACGTAGACCTTATCGAAATCATTGGCGGATAGTTCTCCATCCACCTAAACAGATTATTGTGAAGCTTCAAGGCACGTCCTGAATAAATGTGCGCTTCTCCGTGGACCTGGCACTCACCCGCCCTTCGAGTCTAAGATCAAGAACTTCCACCCAGACCTCCAAGGGTAAGAGTCTAATATACCCGCATAAGCCACGCTTTACCTTTGTAGGATAGATGACTAAGTAGATTGTATTAACTACGGGCCTCAGCAATATGAAGCTACTCGGATTCCCAGCCGGGTATGATGGGAACTCCATAAGAGTCTCCAGAGAACCTACATAAAAGCTAACGCAGCTTGATCATACCAAGGCATAAAAGGCACTCTCATAAAATTAACCATGTTTTTTCCTCAAGGATTGGTTCAGTCACAATCATAGTACTGAGTTCTCCATTCGCAAACTTACAGTTCCATCTAGTCCCTTACCTGTTCCAACCCTAGCCCTAACAAAGCTCATTAATTTTGTACCTCCGAAGTGGGAAAGGCGCAGGGAAATTATATATTTAATGGGACTTAGAGAGGCCTATATAAATCTCTAGGTGTAAGAGTAGTATGGTTTTATACGACTAGCCAAAGCGCACCCTATCAAAAAAATAAACTAAATTTTACATCCTTATAACTACCTTTCTAATGCTTGAACGATCTTTAAATTGAAACCGGGTATATTCTGATCGCTGACTTAAGAACTCCTAATCTTCTTAGAGTTGTCCGGCCGATAAATTTAAATAGGATGCACTCGCGGAATCCAAGTGGCATGCACTCACTAGGGCCGTCCTCCCCCACAATAGTAAAACAAAAACCGTAACTGGTACGTAGTGTATCCCACCAACCCCCAGAGGATCCGTCGCGTGGCCGATCTCTACATGTTTCAAAGACATCATACTCTAATATTGGGCCTTGGCACTGTTTCCTTTTTATACTTCGACAGGATATTTAAAGCTTCTGATGCCGTGATGATACGAATCATATATATATTCCAAGAAAAGGAGAATAAAGGCATACTTACAATCCAGCCACTTCTCACGACGCGAGCGCTCCATTACGCCTGCACATTTGGCTCCCTTCTCCACTGTTTCACCCACATATCCGCTGGGTTGGCATTGAATCGCTCGATCGTACTCAGCTCAAAGTCATCGCTCTTAAAGCACCAATCGTAACGATGGACCAGTGTCGCGATCAGGATTTGCTGCTCCAGGTATGCCAAGTTGCGTCCAATGCAGGCCCTCGGTCCGGTGCTGAATGGCAGCACATATGTCCGGCATTTGGGACCTTCCACTTCATCTAACCACCGCTCAGGTCTGTACGTCTCCGGGTCGGAGAAGAGCTCTGGATTACGGTGCAGTGTGTATGTCGGCACCGAGATCGTGATGTTACCGGCAATGTGATACCCTGCGATGGTCGCACCTTCTGGTGGCGTGATCCGTGGTAGCCCTAGTGATGTCGGTGGTCGCAGTCGCATGGCCTCATCCAGACACGCACGCAGATATTTCAAATCCTTGACTTGTTCGTATCGGGCAGCTGTGGCCTGACCGCCAAGGACCGCATCCAGCTCCTCGCGCAATTTCTTCAAAACGGGAGGATTGCGGATAAGGTAGTAGAGACAGTGGGTCATCGCTGTGGCTGTGGTATCCGAACCCGCATTGATCATGACGCCGGCCTCTTTCTCCAGCTCGAACATGGACAGTCCGACATCCTCCCCGTTCCGGTCTTGCAAGAGATAATGGAAGAAGTCGGTGTATCCTGCCGGCTTTCCGCTTTCTTTCCTTTCCCGAACCCTGAGAATTGTGAGAGCGGAGAAGTCTGCTCCGCCTCTGTTGCCAGGGTGCCATTGTGTCAAACCTTTCGTAAGCCAGAGAAGCTTCGGCCAATGGGCCAGAATCACATCGTATTGACTGTTCATATGAAAGGAGCGCATGGCGTGCATGTGATATTTCCTGCCGTCCCAGGTCTCCGCAGGCGCTAGGTCGTCACCCTGCTCGAGGAAGCCCATCGACTTGCCAAACGCAGCAGCGCCGATCACGTCGAAGATGAACAGATTGAGCCACCTCCGAACGTTGTAAATCGTCCCATCACCCGGACCACCTTTATTATCTGAGGGTGATGGGCTGCAGAAAGAGTCCATCTTGGCCAGAAATATCGCCACTTGCTGTTGAATGATTGGCTCCATGTCTACGATATTCTTCTGCGCAAACCTATGAGATCTCATTTAGCATATCATCCGGGTCTCTGAAAGTGGGATTGGCACCCTACGCGTTCGAGACATATTTTCGCTTCCGAGCATGTTCTTCTCTAGACCGTGTGCCGACGATCGAAGTATAATCACTGCTTGTGAATGTGTCGTAGAAGGGATCCTTTTGGATCTTCGTTGCAAACCCATAGATGTCTGTGACTGCCGCAGGAAGGTTGAACGAGATATGCTCCGGCTGGATCCGCATTATAGGGCCGAGCCTTTGATGCGCTTTGTGTACCTCAAGAGACCGCCGACCTTTTCGAAAATTATTTGCAGACCACAGGTTTGTGAATCCGGCTATGGATGGCGCGGGAAAGCGACGTAAGCTTTTCTCGTCTTTGAAGTATACGAAAATCGGATGAAAAATGAGATAGCACAGCACGAAGCTGGCAAGAATGAGTAGGACAATCATGTTGGACCTTCCTTCTTAGATTCCTTGGATTGGTTGCAAGGAGATTCAGGTCTTCCCGAACACTCTATATAATTTATCCCGCGATAATGGCTTTGCCCGACACATCGCGGATAAAATACTCCACGAATATCGTCATGCCATATAGAAAGACATGGAAGCATTTTCGGAGAAATCAGAAGCGATAGGATAGCTCTCCTCGTGATGTCTAAGGTGATAGGACTTGCATCGAAGACGACCCGACAGTTCATTTTCAGGACAGATGAAAATTGTCCGACCAATCATATCGACCATAAGACAATGCGGCAGTCCCCACTGTTCATGGATCGCTTAAACTTGACGAATGCGTCGTTTCAAGGATCGACAGTGCGTGCTTCGAATTACCCAATTTCCCATGTTTGAAGCTACTTCGGCTTCATCCCAACACGCGATGCCGATCATCCTGTTCCCACTCCCACTCCTCCACAGCAGCCAGTGCTATCGCTCGAGTCGGCCAGGAATTCTCACGCTCTCGGCGTCGCAAGATGCGGATAGTTTCCTCCTGATACGTTCGATTTGTGATCCAGGGTGCACAGATGCTGACAACGTGGCAAGCACCGAGCCTGGCCTGGACGTCGTCCCCGCAGGCGCTGATGCCGAACAACATAGCAAAATGAGCTGAGATCTCTGCCTCCAGGATCTGCCTGGATTCTCGGTATCCTACTCCGAGTCTGAGACGACTCGTGTCAGTTGCCAATAACAGTATCATCGCTGTGTGATAGTACTGCAGTCCGATCGCTGCTGACCATCAGCTCGCCATCTTACTCAAAATAGAAATGTTATCTTACCATGCCACGGTCGAACAAAGTGAACCTCTGGGAAAACAGCCCCTTGCGCAACGTGCAATGGTCTGAAGGAGTCTGGCTTGTGCCGCCACCAGTCTTCAGTCTTCGTCTTGAACTCCTCTAGCCGTGATTGAGACTTGTCTCTAGCAAATGCGAATGCGACGATTTCTGCCGTGATCCAGACTATCCGGTTAGCCCACGCCCAGTCATACCCGAGCACGTTCGCGTTCATTTGCGGAGCGAATGCGTCCAGATTTAATTTAAGTGGACGTTGATGATTCAAGGCTACGTCGATATCTTGTGTCAGAAAGATCCAAAACGAAGCTTGACGAATCCCTCCTGCGGTAGCACAAGTGCTTTCCGAGTTCATGAAAGCACTAGTTCCACTAAGATGCCTGGCGCAATCAGACCCTGTGATGGCAGATGACATCTGCTCGTAGAGCCGTAGGAGTACGGTTGCGGCAACGACTTCGTCCGGAATAAAGGATAGTTCATCCAGCAGAGGGATCAGCAGTTCCACACACAGTTCATGGTACATATCCGCGACCAGTGGATCATAATTGGTCACCCGTGACAGATGATGGGCGGACGCCGCCAGGGCAGCATTGAGGAGAACAGGCAACCGGGTTGCTAGGTCGGGCACTACGCTGCTAAAATGCCGGTGTGAATCGCAGACATCCAGCGCAACACCAAGCGTCGAGATATAGTGACGTAGCAGAAATGCTTCCTGTGGATCAACCAATTTCGGACTCTCGATGGGCAAAGTGGAGAAATAGCTGTAGAGGATGCTCGAGGGAGAGTGTAATTCAGAAGGGGTTCCATGGACCCCGCCGGCGCGGTCATGCGTGAGTGGGGAGCTGGTAAGAATGGTATCCTCAAACGATGGATACAGGACCGGAATCGTTTCCGCTTCCTTCCCGGATGGAGAAACTTGAGACGACTGAGCCAGTTCATCCTCATCCGCGTACCATGCGCGTGTTTCGCTGGTCTCATCCACAAAGGATACTGTTCCCGTAAGTCGGTACCTGCAGATCGTTGGTCTCCCGCGGCAAATAACATACGCGACTGTCCCCGAATCGGCAAGCACACGTCTGCCATGCCTCGAACAAAAACTCGGCGTTCTCATCCTTTCCCGTTGTACCGTCACGCCCATTCCTACTCATGCCGACGCCATGGATGAATCGAATGTTCCATCCCTTGACGCATTCCCTTCCCGATTTTACGCATCGTAGACAGTTGGGTTGACCTTCGTCGCCTGACCGGAGGTTAGTATAACTTGCTTCTTGGAAACAAATTAAGCTCTCAATTCTACATGTCAGGGTGAGACGTTTCTTCTCGCCATTTGCAATCATCTCGCGTGAGAGCAAACAAAGGGTGGATTATAAATTTCGGCTCGAACACCGGACACAACACAGCGACACATGCACCGTTTGCTTTCATAGACCTCCTTGGCACGGAGCAAAAGAGCTGAAAAGGAAGACTGCGCCTCGTCTGGATACTTCATTTTCTATTCGGAAATGATATTCTGATACGCGTAACAAAGATGGTACGTACATTTCACTCGACGATGGCGACACGTCAAACTAGATTCCACGACAGGGGAGATGAATTAGGTAAGCTTCAATGAACCTGAAATAGGACGAGTCTGAGGCAGGGATGATCGCCTGGCGTTCGTGTTGGCGATGATGGGGAAAGGGAAGGGAAGCGAAGAGAGAAGAGTGAGCAGGTGCTTACCATCCACTGCGTGTCCGGCAATGCTTCATCGTCGTTATCCTTATCTTATCCCATGCATCATCAATCGATCTGTCGGAATGGTACTCTCATAGAACAGAATAATTGTGAATTCGATATCATATCGACATGGCTGCCACTTCCGAAGGCCGAAGAAGGGGTTTTTGTAACCGAGGAAGACAAAGTTCCCTCCCGATCAATTCAAGAAACTGCAAGCGAGCATTACTCTGGTCGGCTTAGAGCTGTGGGACTCCCCCGCAAAAGTTAATTTAACAACATCCTAGGGATCCTAAATAAGCGTTTTGCCTAGTCGTGACCCAGTCAGCTGCTTTCCCCTGGTGCCGCATAAGAGTCAAACCCCTAGGATAATGGGCTCCGGTTGTAACTTACTGGATTCGTAATCAATCGACGTCAATGATATCATTTTGGACCAGGACCAGGTGACGTTGGAACCGGTTCAATTGCGGGGTAGCTCCAAGCGATCCACTTGCGCACGGGATTTCCTAGTGGAGGCAGTCGGGTACCAACACCACGCGAACGATAACCCCACGAGGTAAATCTTGGGGAAGCAAACAATGCTGGGACATATCACACATAGAAACCATATAAGGTGTTGGATCGAGCCCTGTTTTCGAAAATATCTGAAGCATGAGGTGGACACCTAGTACTCCGGGTCTTGTTGATCTCTTTCCGTTCTGGTAATTTTAATTCTTGACATAGCATTCACCATAATCGGGGAATATCGAAAACTAGACAAGATCCGATATCTCCCCGTACGAAACCATAATGGGATTTCGAACACTTCGAGGAGACTCCCTCGGGGTCGCTATCAGCGGTGCCTCCAGCGCTGCCTTCCTGCTGTTTGGATACGACAATGGCGTCTTCGCAGGCATCATCAACGCGGATTCCTTCCGTTCGCAATTTGGATATCCCTCTTCCTCCATGACCGGCACCATCGTCGCTGTGTACAACCTGGGTTGTTTCCTCGGGTGTATGATTGCGTCTCAATCTGGACGGAAAATGGGTAGACGCCAAACGATTATCGTGTCGCAGTGGATTTGTGTGTTGGGGACCATCCTGCAGTGTACTGCGTTTACAATTCCGCATATCATCGTGGGGTGAGTGGTGACAGGTGTGGCGACGGGGATGGTGACCTCGTGAGCATTCTCGTCTCGTTCCAGCTAAAATTCAAATTCAATTCGCCAATCTCATTATTATTTGACAGGACCATACCTAAATGGGTCTCGGAGACGTGTAAAGCAAATCGACGCGGTGCCCTCGTCGCATTTCAACTGGCGATCGTCAGTGGCGGGATTCTCATCGCCTACTGGCTCGACTACGGCATGCTCTATGCGACCGGACAGGTTGTCTGGCGCTTTCCCGTCGCGTTTCAGGCAATCTTCTCGATTGCCACCATCGGAATGGTCCACTTCCTACCCGAATCTCCACGATTGCTGTACGACAAGGGCCTGATCACTGAAGGCGATGAAGTACTGTGCCGCCTGAAGGATCTACCGTTGGAACATCCGGTTCTGCAGAAGGAGAGAGCGGAGATCTTCGCAGCCATTGAACTGGAGCACAACCAACCCAAGATGACATTGAAAAAACTGCTGTTCGAGGAATCGGAGCTCAAGCTACTTCGCCGCGTCATCATCGGGGTTTCCTGCCAGTGTATTCAGCAGCTAACCGGTATTGCGGTTGTGATCGGCTATCTGCCTTATGTCGCGCATAACGAGATCGGATTGAGTGAAAATCTGGCTCAGATCATGGGAGGAATTGGAGCTATCATTTATTTACTGGCTTCCTTTCCTCCGATGTATTTCGGTAAGACTTAGCTTTCTGCTTGTCAAGTATGATGAAACAAGGCTGACTAACTTTACGTAGTCGAACGGTTTGGCCGTCGGAAGTGTCTGATGGGTGGATCAGCAGCCATGACACTCTGTTGGTTCCTGTTGATTATTTTCCTCGCACATGGCGAGAAGAAGAATAACAAGGGACTATTGTACGCGGGGATCGTCATGATGTACATCTATCAGGTATACAAACTGCCTCCATCCGAAAAGCGCCACTATACTAATTGATACTGATATACAGATCGCCTTCGCCTTCAGCTGGCTGTCAGTGCCATGGATCTACCCCCCAGAACTCACCCCATTGTAAGTCTTCCCGCGTGCCCCCAGTCCCTGTCATCCAGCTCTGACGTATACGTATTATACAGAAACGTCCGCCACATCGGTGCTGCAACGGCCACATCCGCGGAATGGCTCACAGCTTTCCTCGTGCAAGAAGTCACCCCTATCGCCGTGACGAGCATCGGATGTAAATACTACATCGTATTCACCTGCGTCTGTCTGGTATCGATTCCCATCGTCTATCTATATTTCCCGGAAACCAGTGGTAAATCGTTGGAGGAGATTGATATGATCTTCTCGTCGGGGAGCTTGCATCACCCGGGAAGCTTGGGGTCGATGGACGAGATATTTATCAGTAATAAGAGAGATAAGGAGGAGGAGGAGGAGAAGCCGACTGTGGAGAAGATGGAGGTACTGTAAATATTTCTAGACTCTCCACCCATTGGGGGGGATATGGGTGAGGGAATGTGTTTTTCGAAGAATCGTAGAAAAGCAACGGAATGAACCCATTGACCGATCGATCGATTAATTTGGAAGGAAGTGAACTAGAAAAGTTGAAACTACCGAGGTAGCAGGAAATTTACATATATCTTCCCTTAAGTTTCCTTTGTATGATACTACCTAGGCACTATTTTTACCAGGAGATAGAAATTTGACGTACTCTCAACACCACTTTCCTCATCCGTCTTATTCAAGCTCACAGGGTGATTGTTCATTTGTCCATGGCGATGCGATTTCCATTTTCGTTACATATTTCAAAGTCAAGTGGAACCGACTATAACTTCTTCTCCAAAACGGTTAGCGCGGTTGGCCTCTAGGTAGATGCCGCGCCAAAACTAGCCAAGTTTAGAAGGCCATTACACGGAAACTAGTTTGTAAATAATTCTTAGTGTACATTTTTAATATACTGGGATACTAGGGGCCATGAGGCTTCGATACACCTCAGTATATTTCAAAAAGTATGTGCGTTGCGGTTATGTATTGTCGTTGCATTTCACCTAATATGATAAATCTCCACAGTAGATCATAGTGAACCCCTTATGGCGATAGGAAACCCGGGAAGAATACCAATGCTTAGCCTATCTGGACACTCATCGCGATTCGAAGACGAGATTTTGATAGGGGTGGTCAAAGGTGGGGCGGTAGTTAATTCATGGGGGTGCTGATAAGCCGGTCTGCGGGGAAAGTTGCGGCCTGGATTGCTTGTATTGCAGGCAATAGCAGTAATCGTTAAGTATTGAATACTTATTGGCTATATCTTTGAGCACGTACTGCAACTAGTAACTTCCACTGTTGTATACTCTCTAGATTTGGAGTAGATTATTATGGGCTATATAAACATGTATATGGGTAGAATAAATGTTAACTGCATTACCCTTGCCATACCCTAGACTGTCTTTGAACCAAATTCGTATTATGTTTCAGTACCTCTGAGCAGAGCAAAGCAATAGTTTGGAGCAAATCCGACGCGGAAAAAATATAGGAAACAATATAATCTATGGAGATTCCGTGGCTGAGAAGCAGTATCGTAGGAAAGTGGGACTTTTACGAGCTACTGTTGCTATTGTTGGTGAGAGCACCCCACCCGAACAGAAAGACACTCGACTGGTGTATACATATGAACTTCCTTGACTGCATGGATTGGGTAGGCAATCCATCTGCTCGCCTGTGCGATCAATACAACTCAACTAGAGCAACTTAGCTAATGCCAAAAATTGACGGCCTGGATGAAAAGATGAAAACTTGAATTTCCAAGGAAATGACTACTCTTTTCTTTGCTTTTTTACTGTGCATCCTATTTGACCTCTTCAATTTACCATAGAATCTACTCATCAAGAGATACTCGGGCCAGCTTATGTTTTCGTTGAGTGAACTGAGCAAATATGTTGGTAATGTTCTGACAGTCTACTCCATAGTGCCTTTTGTCTGAGAGCATTATTGCCATCGGTTAATGCACAGCCAAGGGCTTCGGGTCCCTCCTCGCCATCCAGATCATCCTCGGCGTTTTCGAAACCGGCTCCTTCATCGGTGGGACTGTCCATATAACAACGTTCTATAGACGCGACGGGATGGGATTATGTCTCGCTCTCGCCATTAGGCACTCATTCGCTGTCTTCGCATTGCCTTTCAGCTGGATGATCTCCTATGGCGTTCTTCAAATCAAGGACACCGCCATTAAGGGGTGGCAGTGATTGTTTATCATTGAAGGCGGCATAATCATCACTGGAATCATCGGCTTCTTTATACCTTCAAACTCTCCGGGTAGAGCGTGATTTTCCGTGACTGTTAAAAGGACGCAGCAGTGGCTCTCATGCTTTGAGATGTGTCGCCTGAGGTGGATGCGGTCTATAATTTGAAAGTATGTTTCCATTCGTCTAATTAGTTACAGATTCCTCTCTGGTGCATTATCACCTTTACATATCCAGTTACATAGATGACTTGAATGTATTAATCCCCCTAGTGAGTCCCCGGCATCGCCTTTCAGCTACTCCGTCTATCTGATACAGATCATTCAACGACTGGGATTCTCCACTGTCAAGACCCATTTGTGGACAATTACTCAAACCTAACCGGTGCAGTGGTATTGCCACACATCACCAAATCATCCGACTATATCTGCGAACGAGTATTCCATATTGTATTCGTGTTAACGGTCTCGACGGCGGCTATAATCATATCGAGGGCGATCGACATACTAGGCAATAAGGTAGTCGCATACTTAGCCTGTTTCCTGGTGGCAGCAGGCGCTTATATCCACTCCTAGCTCATCCACGCTTGGCATAATACTAACAACGTGCGCGCATCAGAATTTGCGGGTGGCTGATACTGGCTTCTTGTGGGCCTAGGCAATCTGGGCGGGGTCTTGAGCGCTGCCACCTTTCGAAATTAACCCAAGTGAGTTTTTGACCAGCCTACCAATACTTACAAAGCTATATAGATATATTCCCACGGTACTGGTAACTTAATGCTCCAATGCCGTTTGCATAGTATTTGTATTAGGACCGGGATTCTGGGTACGATTCGAAAATCAATGGAGGGATTGAGAACAAGCACTGAGAGCCAGAGAACGCGCGATAGATTCCAGCCAGATTGAAGAGGGCACAGACAGCCTGAATTAGCGTTTTCCTTCCCCTTTGAGCCACAGTGATTCCGGTGCTATAAAGTACCCCTTGGAGAACACTGTCGGATTTATGATAATTTTCATCCTTTTTATCTTTATCTCCGATAGACCCACTATAAAGTATAGTACCATTGGCTGGCTATCATGCACAGTGGGATGGACGGCATATCACTTTCGTTAAAGCCGCGCCAATCACCTGCTTCGCCTCCGCATCCTTATCAGCGGCAGGTGTCCCTGCCCCTACATATTATGGCACCCTGGCATCTGTGATTGCGTGCGTCTCTTTTTATACCATGTATTTGTATCGCAATGATAAGTCACACCTGTCAATATCCTACTTGTGGGAAACGATTTACTAGAGCTGAACATCTGCGTCGCCATGCCTTGAACCATGAGCAACCTCGGAATGACTTTACTTGTGAGCGCTGTTCTGTTCATTTTCAGCGTCCTGACCTTTTAGGCGAGATCATATTATTCGACCCGTGATCAATTTGATCTTTATTCTAATCTGTTGTTTAGTGAGACATATGATGCGGCATACGAAACGGGACGAAGAAGCGGGAGGGCCAGGAATGGGGGTGTTGAAAACACGGAAGAGAACACGGAGAGCGAGGGATGGATCTATTATTGTGCGCCCTTCACAACGAGAGATGCGCTCTGCGGCGAGATGTACGACGTCATCTGCTTGTTCCGACCGGAGGATGGAAGAGTATGAGGAGGGGATGGAGGGTGAGGAAGAAGAGACGCCGTTCATAGATGAGGAACCCCTCTCACCACCCATTTCTGGCACGGATCATAATTCTCTGTCCATCGATGGGAATGATTCGGTATTGGCCTTTATGATGCCTGGCGGGCCTTTTGAGCCCTTTGTTGAGCCTGTTCCTGGACAGTTTGACGCTGCCGATGGATCGTTCAACATGGGTCTGGATGGCATGAGTGATTTCTTTGGCATGGATACTGGTATGTATCTTCCTACTTCAGATATTCATTTATGTATAACAGATACAGCGACCGATTTCAATCTACCCTTTGCGGCTACGTGTAACTACAACTGGTTGTTCAATGTCAACTCGCTCGATGAGGCCTTTCACCAATTCGACTTTCCCCTCGGCTTCGACACCAATCCTCTCCCAGATAAAATCAACAAAGACGGTCAGTCTCCGGAAAAGTATGATGGTCCATCGATGCTGTTGGAGGGGGTTTCGATGATGAACAAAGTCCCAAGTTCACACACATTATCTCCGAACCCGTCCGACCTTATTGGCATGGACTGGATGTCTGGTTCGTCATATTTGGGTCCCAACTCTCCACAAAATCTGCCACAATTGTCCGATGATGCCCAAAGAGTCATCCTAGCACTCGTGGCTCAAACACAGCCTGCGGACAAAGACGGCCAACCGATGGCCCTCGATTCACCTTTGCTCACTCTACCCGCATTGCAAGGTTACTGCGATCTATTCTTTACTCATTTCAATGTTACCTATCCGCTCATCCATCAACCAACATTCAACCCAAACGTTGTCGACCCGGTCTACCTGGCTGCTATTCTATTTATGGAGGCTACATATGGCACCAGAGAAGCCCATCAGCTGGCTGTGGGCGTCCACGATAAACTACGAAATCAGCTACTATGCCATGTCGACTTCTCACCGCAACCTGAGCTCTGGGTACTGCAGACCATGCTTTTGATTGATTGTTTTGGCAAGATGAGGGCAGGTCCCAAGCAGCGAGAAAACGCTCAATTGTTCCATTGTGTCTTAATAAAACTGATTCGCCGGCGCAATTGTTGCAATATTCAAGATTCATTCGACCTAGCTAGTTTAGGGGACCTCGATCAGGCATGGAGACAAGCCATGAATGCGGAACAGCGGAAGCGTTTAGCCATGCATTGTTTCATGTGGGATACTCAGCATGCAGTTCTCTTCTCACAGTCTCTGTGCATGTCAGCGTTCGAGATCAGATCTTCCTTACCATGCAGCTCAATTACCTGGGAGGCATTGTCTGCCAGGGAGTGGGCACACTCCGCGGTTCGTGAACCAAAGCGCCAATTCCTCACCGTCCTAAGAGGGTACATCACCCCGAGCACAGTCACTCGACCCCGGGACTTGAATGTCTTCGCCCGCACAGTTATCTTGCACGGATTGATGTCCGTTTCTGCGGACCTGAAGCGTCGCGATCAGACTACACTTCGCTCAGAGACTCCGGAGAAAATCGGAGCATGGACTTCACGAATGGGTCGTTCATACGATTTATGGAAAGTCGACTTCGACGCAGATTTTCTCGCGATGAAACTGGCGCAGACTGCGGACCCCCGTTACTTCACGGGATTGAAAATGGCTGCGCACGCCCTTTACCATGCTGCAAGTCTGGCCCTGAATGTCGAAATTCTGGACTTGCAGGTTGTCGCAGGAGCCGTACAGATCCTGGGTCGCGTTGTTGCGCCTGCGGATCAATCTCGGTCTCAGAGCACTATTCTTCGTTGGCTTCATGAAGGGCCTGAAGCCTCTTCTGTTGCTGCGAGATATGCTTCACATCTTCTTCAAGATGCTGTATTGAGTCTGCATGATTGGGACCAGACGAGTGCTCTCCATTTCCCTTGGTGCTTGTATCTGGCTACGTTGGCGTGCTGGGTGTTCCATCGTGGAATAGATTCGTCTGCGGAAAGTCGGATCACTACGGATGTGTCATCTTTGATTGTGATGATGACCAATTGTCCTAGTACAATTGAGTTGGCGGCACTTTCAGGGAAGTATGATCCGAAACCGCTGGCGGCGGCGATGGCTCAACAATTAGCGACTGTCCGGTGGGCTGTTATACACGATGCTATGAAGGTCTTGGTGGGTTTGTCTTTATAACCCATAGGTATAATTGTTAGTCTGTTTATCCGTCTAGATTTGAATAGCTGTTTGATTTATTTGGAAGGCTATATCTAAATCTACTTATCCATAGATGGGGTAGTCTGTATATCCCTTCTGCGGAGGATCAGCCCCATAAAACGTCGTCCGATCGTAAGGAGTCAACAAGAAACCCTCCCTCAACCGCCAAGGCAGATCCGGGTTGGAGATGAAGTAACGTCCGAAAACAACTGCATCCGCTCCATCGCCAATCAGTTTGGGACCGGCATTCTTCGCGTTGAAGTTGCCCGCGGCTAGGAACAAAATGCCACTCTTCTTTAACGTGGATCGGAACACGTCCAGAGAGGGCTTCTCCACTGCGAGCGAATCGATCTTCGCGCTCTCATCCAGGACTTCGTCGAAGCGAGGCTCAAACATGTGTACGTAGGCAGGGCGTGACTCGGTAGCAAGGTTGGCAATCTTCGAGCACAGCAATTTCCAGTTAGCGTGGGGCCTGGAATCGCGGGTGTCTTGGAAGTAGTTGTATGGTGAGAGACGAATGCCCACACGGTCAGCGCCGATGGCGGCAGCACACGCTTTGAGGACCTCAAGTATAATGCGAGGGCGCTTCTCAATCGAGCCACCGTACTCATCGGTTCGGATGTTAACGTTATCGTGCAGGAACTGGTCGAGGAGATACCCGTTGGCACCTGCATTCCTTAGCATGTCTTGTCAAATGGCAATTAGAGCAGAGATGCCTACCATGAATTTCAACACCATCAAATCCTGCCTCGATCGCCCGCTTTGAAGCAGTCGCGTACTCCTCCACGACATTCTGAATCTCCTCCACAGTCATCGCGCGAGGAGGCGAAGCCCCATACTCACTACCATCCAGAGCATTACCACTGATAGGGATATTGCTAGCACCAACAGCCTGTTTGCCCTCAATGAAAGAGGGGACAGTAGCGCGACCAACGTGCCACAGCTGGCAGAGGATGAAACCACCCTTCGCGTACACTGCGTCGGTGACCTTCTTCCAGCCGGCGATTTGAGAGAGGGTAAAGATCCCCGGGACTCCTGGATAGCCAGCAGCCTAAGCGATCAGTCTCGTAATTTCCGCTATTTTTGTTGAGTATAGGAAAATACCAATCTGCTAATAGGAGTGGCCTCTGTAAGCAACAACCCGCCCTCCGATGCACGCTGTGAATAATACTCAACATTGAGAGCATTCGGAACAAAAACACCATCTGACTCCTTGCTTGAGCGCATGCGCGTGCAGGGAGCCTGAACAATACGATGGCTCAACGACAGAGCGCCCAGGCGCAGAGGCTCGAAAAGAGGATCGATAACATCGATTGAACCCATTTTGTAGAGAGTGGATAATGAAAGAAAATGCAGCGACTGTGTTTTATATTCAAATTTAATCCCATTCTCGGCACAAAAGTAAGATACTGTGGACGCTTACCGGAGGGGTGCAATCTGGTGTTCAAAATCATGTTTTTTTGACCCCCATTCTATGAGTGTGTGGAGCGGACGGTGATTCCCCCCACTTTCGTGTATGTGGACGGTTGGTGTGAGTTCCGCAGGTGCAGGTGAGCTACCGGTCGGCTCAAATTTATGAAACTAACTAAACTTAAATTGGGAAGTCATGGAGTTTCCTGGAGTTCGTAGTCGACGGTATGTGCAAAGGAATTTTGGCGAGGTTGGAAGGTTTAGACGGAAACAGTAATCTCAATGTTTATGCACGTAACTTATCCCTATTTACCAATGTGCAATGTTGCCCTACTGTAGCATAAACGAGAAGTAACCCTCTATACTCTTCCTAGCCTCTTCGGCTGCAGACATATCCCACTTATCGATGCCTCCAATATATCCATCCGGGCGCACAATCGCAATCCCCACTTGTTCCTTTCTAAGAAATCCGAACCACTTCACAGTACATCCAATTGTCTCAACATCATCGAGATACAAAGTCCATCGACTCGCCTGAAGCATGGGTGGCAAGTCTGCAAGTTCGAATTCTGACCTAGATGATTGGGTCACCATGGCAAACGTAAATACATTGGACACTGTCGTGTATCTTTGGAACTGAAAAAACTCATCCGCCGGGGCGATACCACGGGGCTGCTTTTCATATGTTGGATCTGTCCGAGATGATAGTGTTCCAAGAGAGGAGTCGCTGGATAGTCTTGTGCAGAGAGTACTGAGGAATCCAAGCGATGCTTTGATATCTGGCACAAAGAAGTAAACGCGGAACTGGCCGAGCAATGGAATATCCAGTTGAATATCCACTGGGTTGGAATCATAGTATCGAGTGGCTTTGGCTGGAATTTGCAAAGCACCCGGTTGGAGCGGAGTTGGCATAGTTTGGGCATGACTCAATAAGCCAGTGGCATATTCAGCACCAATTCCAGAGATGAAACGAATGTTATCATCAAAGTTCTTGGTAAGTGCCTCCACGCCCTTCTCAAAGGCTGCGCAGTGCTCTGCATCAAATCTGATCAGATCAGTTGCAATCTTGCGGCGTTCCTCTTCGTAAGTTGATAGCAGCGATGGGTTCGCAAGTCCCCGATGAACAAGGTTCAACTTCCATGCGAGATTGAAACTGTCGTGCATGCTTGTATTGGCTCCCTGTGCTGCAAGAGCAGAGTGACAATGCGCAGCCTAGATTTCATCAGGATCAGGGGCTCAATACTTCAAATGGGTCTGCATACATCACCGGCAATGAAGATCCTCGCGTCCGGATCCATGAAGTGCGTCGCCACCCTTTGGCCAACAACATAATTGCCAAACCACTCCACGGTCTTCAACTTAAGAGTATACGGGGCCATTGATTCTCTGGCTCTCGCCATAACATATTCCTGGGTAGTTTTGGTCCTGCCCGCCTTTTCGCCATCAGCCGAGCTGAGCTCAACATACAACCGTGTCATGCCCCGCTCTCGAGGGATCCAAATAATCGAGCCAGCTGTGTGACTACGCACGACTACTTTGCTCCAAAGGTCGGGGAAAGACGTTTCAATGATGCCTGTCGCTTAGCAAGGTTCCTATTAAATAGCGAAGGAAACTCACCATCAAGGACTCCCCAGGACGCATTCGTAATCTCTCCCTTCAGTTCCCCATCAGGGATGAAAGTCCTGACTTTTGATCTGGTACCATCGCATCCGACGAGATATTCGGTCTGAATTTTTCTCATCGTATTGGTCGACAAATCTTCAAAAATGACATCCAGCTGGCCGGTTCCCGCTACGGGTGAACAAGACACAAACTTGCTGTTCTGGACCACGAACTCACCTCGCGATTCCATATCGTCAATCAAAATCTCTTCGAGCATTCCTTGGTGGGCAAGCAGGATGTAAGGATCGGATGCGCCCACGAGGTGCTCGGGATAATGCGTCTGGCGACCGGTTCGCTGGAGGGGCTTGCCTGCCGTAGATTGCTGGACCTGTTAGTAAGAATTGAGATTGGCTCTAGCGAGAATGAACATACCCATAATGATATGTCATAGACACGCGATGCGTTTTTCAGCAATGAGTCTGCCAGACGCATTTGCTTGAGTGTCTCAATCGTTTTGGGCTGTATGCCATCCGCCTTCCCCGTCAAAGTCTTGTCCGGTCGATCATCAAGGAGAACGACGCCAATTCCAAAGCGAGCGAGGTTGCATCTGGACAAGACTTAATAAACCGTAGCTTACTTCCGGTGTTCGACTTACGTGAGCATCAACCCCGACGGCCCTGCGCCGACCACGACTACCGTGGTGAAGGCTTCAACAGGGCCATTGAAACTATATCTTTCGTTATTTGCGCCGAGTGACATTTTTGAAACAAGGTTAAATTAATACTCGTTAGATTTAGGAAGCTCTTTTCTTATAAACCGACACCCCAGAAGGTGGAGTAAACCCCCACCTTTGTACTTCCCGCTATCTACCATCGGGTGACTCCCCCATCTACTACGATATCCTGCCCCGTCATGTACGCACTCGCGTCACTAGCCAGGAACACACATGCCCCCATGATATCTTCCGGCTCCGCAATGCGCCCATTCATCGCCTCGCTCTCCCATTCTTGGAGAAGATGGGGGAACTATCCATTAGTTGGGATTTAATTGGAATACAATGGAAACTTACAGCTGCCGTCATTTCCGTGCGCACGTACCCCGGGGAGATTGAATTGACCCGGATGTTCTGATTCAGTGTTAGACGGCTTTACGTCGGATGGAGCTGCATTGAGAGAAGCTCACGTATTCTGCCATCTTCGCAATGGCCGGAGTCATTGATCGCACGGGACCCTTCGTACCGCAGTATGCGCTGCACAGCTGCGTGGGCACGGCGATGTAGCTAGCCATGCTTGCCACCAGTACAATACTTCCGTGTTTGGTTCCGTTGGCGATCATCTGCTTCGCTGCTAGTTGAGCAGTAAAGTATAGTCCTAGCACATTGACCGAGAGTAGGTCGTGGTGGTCTTCAAAGGTGAATTCCAGAAATTTCAGATGACGATTAATTCCAGCGCAGGGAACGCAAATGTCGAGTGCATTGTCGAAGTCCTTCTGGAACTCGACGAATCCGTTCGCAAGAGATTCCTGGGATGAAACATCCACCCTTCTGCAATTAGCCATTGAAAAGGGAATATCGTAGCTCACTTACTCATAATAAGCGGTTCGAATACCATAGTTCTTATTAATAGCCAGGAAACCTGGCTCTGCTGGGACAACGTCGAAAACAGCAATATTGGCACCTGCTTCGGCCAGACCGCGCGCAAAGGCGAATCCACAGCCTCGCGCGCCTCCGGTCACTAACGCTGTTCAGCCTTGGAGAGAAAACTATAGGAGTTAATTAAACCTTGAAAGATCTCAGGACTCTCACCTTAGATATAGCGTGATTGTATGTGAGTAGAATGGTCGTGTTATGTTTCGATCGACAATGGATTTTTGCCCCTCAAATATAGTCCCTGCCTTCAACCATAGCGGACATTGACAATGCGGCAGCAGCTAACCCCCACCTTTGAAGCTCCCGATCTTGCATACAGATCAGCGATAATAGATATCCCCAATATAGATTACACTAAATTTATCTAGTCCCAGGGTAACCTTTGCTTTACATCAAGCACACTGGCAAGGATTTATTTGGTATGCAGATACCCGTGGTCGCCATAACCGGTCTATCCGGTCGAACCACAAATTCTCCTGTCATAGGAGACGAAATATAGAACGCTGGCATGAGATGTCTTCCTCTCGTCCATGCCGCAGACGTGGCATGTGAGATATTTTAGCTCTGTTCTATGTCTTTTGCAAAAGGATCCATGATCTGGCTAGCTTGTTCTTGGAGCGCCGGGCCTATGTGTCGGCTGCGAAAGCATTGGACCGAGTCACTCCTCATTATCCCGTGAGGACAAGAGATTTCGTGATGGTTCGAAATTATTCTCCGTCATGATCCCACTGCTACCCAACATGGCCTAGAGATTGATGTGCAAGGAAACACTTCTCTACAAAGTCTTCGCTTTCTTTATGAATCAGATTTGTGCAACTGTGCATCCATTGTAAAACTAGGTACTAAATGTAAATCCAGTTTTATATCTCATTTTGAAAGTCATCAATGTATCGCTGCCCGGTAAGGGGTTAAAGGCTCCAGACATGCACTTTGAATACATACACAATCTCCTGTCAAGGCTCTGGTGGTCTTGTTTTTAAGGCGTTTGCACGGCACAGGATGCCTCTCTTGTATTAACTTAGCTTAACGTGAAAGCAACCAACCTCGAATTGTAATAGCTAAATCTAGGGATCTGGAATGTGTCATGCGGTTAGAGCCATACGAAGAAGTGAACGAGATAATCAACATTATGATCAATATCCAGCGCAAAATCATGGACGCGGACTGACAGGGAAAGAGCGAACTAAAGCCAGGGTGGAATTAGGATACATCCGAGGTAGGAGGACGGTAATTGTATGTATTGCAAAAATACTGATTTTCGAAGTATTTCGAGGGTTATTGGGATGGAAATACTTCCGCTTCAACCTCGTTTTGATGTATGACTTGAGGTTGTCACAGTGGAGTGCATCAATTCCATGGTCTCTTTGCATACATGACCAAAATTCGACCAAGGCCGGAAAATGAGTAGCAAGCCCTAAGTCCTCTAAAAAGCACATGACGCACAGCTTTACGCGTAGGAGATGCCCCCCTGAACCCTCTAAACACACTAGAGCTTTTCCTGGGCGGTAAATTCCCTCCAGTCCTTAGCGTACTGGGTGCTTCTGATACCCTCAGGGTATTTGCTTAGAAGCTCCTTGGCATTATCCCACGCCTTGAGGACACGCCGAGTCCGTTCAGGATCTCTCTCCATCAGTCTGTACGCAAATGGTATCGGTCGACACACAATCCCTTGGGTGACTGCTTCAGTAGATACCGGGATCATGCTGCCGTTCTCATCTAGATTATGTTCAAATGTAAACGCCCACAGAATATACGTGATACCTAAGAAGAGCGAACGCTCAGCTATATTTAGGCCTGGACATACGCGCCGACCGGCGCCAAAAGTGAAATGATCGCGCTTGTAAGGATCGTTCTGGCTGGCACTCTCCTGGGCCCGCATGAAGTCGTTCTTATATCTGTCTGGGTCAAAATTGCGGGGATTCGGGTATCTTTCTGGGTCATTATTCAGGGCCCACCCATTGATCATCATGCCAGTCTTTGCTGGGAACGTGTACCCATTGTATGTGTCTTCATTGGTCGTTGCGTGAGGAACGATGCCGAGGATGCTTGAAGGCAGGAATCGGAGTGACTCTTTAACAACGCCACGAATGTATTGCAAATTGGGCTATAATAAACGCTCAGCATAGCTCCACCATCATCGTTTTTAAGATTCCTTACCTCGTCAGCCATAGTTGGCAGTTTGTTGGGCCCAATCACACGATCAATCTCTTCTTGGGCTAGGAATTTTGATTAGCGATGATAGTTAACCTTTATGAGGAAAATCCACTTACCTTTCTTATGGACCTCTGGAAAATTGATCATAGCCACTGCGAACGAGAGGAAGATAGAGGCCGTCGTGTCAGATCCCGCTTCAAGAAGAGTACCGCTCACATAGCTTGCCCAGTCATCCGAGAAACCCATTTTCTCCTGTGACTTGAACATGTCTTCACAGAAGTTTTTGCTTGCAATCCCTTTTGTGATTCTATCTTTGACTTTGAGCATATAGCTCTTGTACAACGCTATCTCTTCTTTGTGAAGCTGCTTGCCCTTCTTCTTGCTAGGGTTGATGAAGTCGGGAAGATTTCGCAAAATCGGGAAATAATCTAGTATCGAGGCAGACACTTGCGATGCCACAGCAAACTCTTCGAACCCCTAAAGTCATGTAATATTAGTATGAGTAGGAGTGAGGTTGAAATTGAGTGTACCTCGTAAATTTGCTTAACGTCCGTGTCGTTGAAAGCTAAACTTCTCCATCCAAATGTCATGCTGGTGACTAGCGACGTGCTGTAGCGTCTGACATGATCGTGATATTTGTTGGGCTCTTTTATCATGTCTGCCAGCATCTGCCGAAGTTCGAGTTCTTGATATGGAATATAGTCGACCGCAGTTTTGATGTTGAGAAGGTTGTGGGTCATTTTGCGGGCTAGACGCCATCCTTCATCGTATTGCATGAGGACCAGGCGGTAACCACCCGATATCAGTGTCTGGCCGACATATATCTCAGGTCGTGAGGAATAGTTGTTGGAACGCTGATCGATCAAGTCTTTGACAACTCGCGGTGAATTCAGGACAACCATGCGTTGGTTACCAAGCATGACGGAATAAATTTCCCCATATTCGTCAGCCCACTCCTTGAACTTGACATGCACGTTCATTGACGGCAATTGGTGGAGATTGCCGACTATAGGTAAAGTTGGTGGTCCTGGGGGCATATTTTTCGGCCTTCTTCCGACTTGGAAGATTTGATAAATCAAGAAGGTTAGGCCGGCGATGCCGACAAAGGCCAGCCAAGGTGGTATCGCAATTGGCACCATCGTCGGGCAGAAAAGTTGGCAATTTTAGAAACTTTTTGTCACCTCAAAGCTTCAAAAGCTATTTTGGCCTTAAGTAATGAGAAGTTCAGGTCCGTCAGAGAACCCCGGAGGGAGAGGCGATGTGTTGTGTAGAGTAGTGGGTAATGGTAGGCTGTCGGCATGGTTCCCGGCCACTGTGCCATCATGAAAGTCGATTCGAGAGTGGGGGAGCTAATCACACCTATGTAGATAAACGAGTACTGACTATCCTTATCTTGACGAGGGTTTAGAAGATGGCAAATGAGTGGAAGAAGCGGCTCCCACAATCGGGGCCAACGTTTACCAGGCTGAATGGGTGAGTGATGCCATTCATCCGTGCCTGGATTACTCCCTATCATCTATCATTTCCTATTAAAACGACAAAATGCGGAACCACGTCCATACCGTCATGGATGATATTAGTCAAGGACAAGGATAGCATCCCCTTTATTTTTCAAACCGGGGACCAGTGGAGCTCCGAAACTCAAAGCTACGGCCAACACAATCTGTGCCAATGAAAAGTCAGATGGGCCACGTGTACGAAGATATAATTGGGTCGATGCTCTGGCCACCGTCCTGGATTTCAAGAATACAACAGTGATGGCTAAGAGACACCCCGTTAAGAGGGAAAAACCCAGGCGCCTCCAGAATGGCTGATAGTATGCTTCCCACGCTGCAAAATTGGGAGATCGAAAAATTTCAGCAAAGATGAATTGGAACTTAGGCCGACAACACAGTGGCGGGAATTAGCCATTTTAGCATTTAGCAAGATCAGGGATGACTCGGGCGCCATAAGAAGCATAGTTGCTGGCTGGCGCCGACCCACCTTGATACAAGCTTCCGTTTCTTATCTCGCGACTTAACGGAAGTTGACGAGCGCTGATCTGTCAATACTACTACTACCTTGTCCCTCAGTGAATCGCAACAATCTTCCAACAGAACAGATCACGTCATCACTGCTTTTCGTTCTGTGGCAGAACTGGCGTTCAGAGGTGGAGCACACTTTATCAAAAATAACACATCAGGTCATTATATTCTACTTTCGTCGAGTTCTTTATCTTGTAAAGCGTTCATTATACCCCACTCCTGTAAACTTTGTTGCCTGATTATACACCACTCCCACCCTAGCATACAGTAGAAAGTGGTCGTGGAGCAATCACTAGCGCAAGTATGTTTACAACATCCGAAGTTTGTCCACTTACTGCAGAAAGGTTGGTGGATCTGAGCTATATGAAGTTATCAGATGAGCTATTAATTATTGTAGCAGGAGTGGGGTTAGATCCACTCGCCCTTACCCCGCGTTTCAAAAATGGATTTTCTCCAGTGTTCCAGGAAGTTGTGACTATCGGTCATGGTGATATTGCTTCTAAGCTCGAGAGTGGGGGATAATATACACAGAATGGATTATGACGAGGATTGACTTTTTGGTGGTTATCATTGAGGGGGTCCCAGCCACAGGGATCCATATCAGATAGCCCCTGTGATCGACCATGCAGATAGCTCCCAAGCCACGCAACATCTAGGCTCTTCACATTATAAGTGTTAATTACAATTAATTTTGTTCCGCTCGGTGATATATTCTCTTCCCACCTTCCCGGCTTTACTATCCTCAATGGCCGACAACCGCATGTCTGAGACAAAGGAGGAGCCCCATGACGATGCAATTCTCACCAAGCCATTACCTCAACAAACTGCTGCACTTCGTGATCTGATGAATGCTGAAGAAGCTGGTATTGTCGCTGTGTACATTCGACCCGGAAACAGGGTGCAAAAATTGGTCGATAAACTCGAGAGCCTTGCTGGTATTGAAGCCAGAGGCATTGAACGTGTTCCCGACAGTATCAAAGCAGAAAAGACCACGACGGAAGACTACGTGCAGATGTGTTTAATCTGGCTTTCAGCTAATCTTACCGCCAATAACATGATGATTGGCATGCTGGGTCCCTTGACCTTTGGACTTGGGCTCCGAGATAGTATGCTTCTAGCCACCTTCGGGTCCCTTACTGGGGGCGCCGGGAGCTCCTATATTGCATCATTTGGGCCTGCCAGTGGAAACCGTACTTTGGTATGCTCTGTGTATGGTCTATGAGAAAAAATTGCTTTCTGACCCAACTCACCAGGTAATTGCTCGCTATACGATGGGATGGTTCCCTTCCCGCCTCTGCGTTGCCCTCAACATCGTCATCATGGTTGGTTATGGAATAATCGATATTCTTGCTGCGGGTCAGATAATGTCAGCTGTGAATGGTAAAGGGATGTCTGTGATTGTTGGCGCTATTGTAGCGGCAGCAATCTCGCTAGTTATCTGTGTTGTTGGTATCCGGCTCTTCCACATCTACGAACGGTGGGCATGGCTGCCTCAAGCTGTAGTGGTCTTGATTCTAATCGGCGTTTCTGGGCCTTATTGGAACCCAAAGTCTGTTTCAAGTAACACCGGAGCAGCCAAGTCCGCAGATCAGGCAAGTTTCTTCTTCCTTTGCCTGGCATCACCTCTTTCGTGGTCCCCTGCCGCAGCAGACTTTTTTGTCTATTTTCCAACCGACTGCAAGCGGTGGAGAGTTGCTGTTGCTACCACACTTGGCCTTGGAGGCTCATGCATGATTTCCTACTATATCGGTGTCGGTCTAGCATCAGGGGTTGCAGGCAGAGCGTCTTGGGCTACGGCAGCGGATGAAGGTCTTGGTATTCTCCTTGTGGAAGCATATCGTCCTTTGGGAGCCTTTGGTAACTTCTGCTCTGTTATACTCGCTTTGGGTGTTATCTCCAACAATATTCCTGGCACTTACTCAGCTGCATTGAGCTTTCAATTGCTGGGCTCCTGGATGCAAAAACTGCCTCGCTTTTTGTGGACTATTGTTGTGGTTATAATCTATACTGTTTGTGCATTTATCGGCAGAAATGAGCTTTATGGCATTATTCAGAACTTCGTGGTGATTATGGGTTATTGGACGGCGGCGTGGATCACCATTTCTGTTGAAGAGGAGCATATATTTCGCCGCCGAAATGGAGGTTACGACTGGACTGCATGGAACGATAAGAAGAAGCTTCCAGTCGGACTTGCGGCATGTACCGCATTCTTGGGTGGCTGGGCTGGTGCAGTGTTGGGGATGTGGCAGACGTGGTTTACTGGGCCCATTGCAAAACTGGTTGCCTCCGGTATTGACATTGGTATCCCTCTTCCTATGAGCTGGGCAGCACTTGTTTATCCTCCGTTGCGATACGCTGTACTCAGATACTTTGGTCGTTAAGTTTTGGTTATTTAGACAATTCTAATATTGTTTCCATGGTTGTTCAGTTCTAGAACTATACTACAATTCCGCGCAAAGATAACACCCATGTGTTGCTGTTAAACGTCATCGTACCAGAAATTCCAACTTCCAGCCGCAGTGTGCGACAAGTACGACAGCCATATATTTTGTATCTTCCTATTTCAGTAATATCTTCCCGGATATTCAGGCATATTTTCTTATACTTACCTGATTATTGGAAACTATTATATGGATTGTGAGTAGTTTGTGTGCTAAGGAAGCCTATACTAAGCTTGAAACTATTTTGGCTTTCTATTAAACGAGAAAATAGTATACTAGCCGTCGGTGGGCTTGGGACCGGGGGGAGTGGTCTTGACGCCAGGGGCATACGCAGACAAACCCAGCCCGCCGTTCCCCCTGCTGATGGTGGATCTCCAAGCCCTACAATGAGACGATGGCGTTCTTCTACAAGGGCCTCAATAATCTACTGAACACTGAAGGCATGTGGGAATCCTCCTGGAGAATGAGTCGGGTTATCAGCTCCACGTCGGACAAGGGTACTGCCTTCAATGGTGACAATAAGCTAGACAACTTGAACGGGTTCCACAGGCGGACATCTTGGCCGTTCTAGTCCTTGATAAATACCACTAAAATTACTTCAAAAATTAATAGTTGTGATTTACCATAGTAACCGTAAGTTGACTAATATAAGCAGAGGTAGAAACTCCTTAATTACGGTTTCAAAGGACCTTACGTTTGGCGCATCAATTTCTTCCGTGAGAAGATAGTGGATCCGAGAAAATTAAGTGGGCACATTGCGAGTTACTGCCTAATGACCTATCCGGAAGTGCCCTACTCAACTATTTGCGCATTCCAGCTACATAAGTTTAGGGAACCGGTAATCCGACCCCCCCCCTAGTAATCCGACCCTCCCTGCCTGGTGTCTTAGGTGTTCACTTTTATTTCTGGCAGAATTCTAAGATCTTTCATTTTTATTAGTTATTTTCTTAAAAAATGAAATTAATTTTTTAGAATACTATAACTTATATAGTGCTTGCTATATTTTATTAATTACTAGTAGATAAAAATATTATATAAGCTAATTAATTAGTAAAAAGGGACTAGAAGTATAGAAAAGTTTAATAAGATTTGTACCTATATTTTTTATAGGAAACCTATATTTTAAGAACATATTATAAATTGAATAAGTATTTGATTTGTATATATAGTAATATAAGTAGTGATTTTAGCTTGAAATAAAAGTTATTACAAAAATTGTAGTTTTGTAGGTAATTACAAGGATAGAGAAAAGGCGGTGTAGAGAGCGGTGATAAGACACCTAAAACTTTAGGCAAACTTAGGCAAAATCAGGCAAAATCAGGCAGAGGGGGGGTGGGATGAGGAACCAGGTGATCGCAAGTGGGCACTTATAGGGAGGTGACTACAGGTCACTGCACCCCGGTTTGAGGTCACTGCACCCCGGCACGTGACCTCCACAAACATATACAAACATTTTCTTTTCTTTTGTTACAGGGGTGTAGTGATCTTATTACCTTTACAGTACCTGACCACCAACTTTCTCTTCCGTTTACCTTACCTTACACCACTCACACCACTATGGCTCCTCTGGAGAAATCGGAGAGCCCTATCCTGATGAATCAGAGCAATTGAGAACTAATCCTGAACCAGTCGCACTACGAATTCTTTTAACCTACGAAACAACGGTAACGGACTGTAGATATCAAGAGTGACTGTAACAACTGTAGATAGAGAGATAATAATAAAAACGACTGACTGTAACGACAAGAACTAGCTAGGAACTAATTAAGAAAAGATAAGTGATCATTAAATATTATACTAGTGAACATAGCAAACAATAAATAGGTGAATGGAACTAGTTCTTAGCTTGTTAGGGACTAGTTCTCCCCTGTCTAATAATTGCAAGCTCTTCTTCGAGCTTCTGATTTTCCAAATCTATCTTTCTTCTCTTTAAACGTCGTTCCTCTCTCTCATCCTCTATCTCCTGACGTCGTCGCTGAAGCTCAAGACTCCTAAGCTCATTACTGTGGTCTTCATATAGCGCGTTTGCTGTAGCAGTACGACAGAGGCCGATACTGTTAGGCTCAGGGCTTGCCGGTGTTCTATAAATTAGTTAGTGACTAGTTACCAACTAGTAAAAAACTCGTTGGAGACAAACCGTGAACGACTAAGAGAGCGAGATAACCTCGGGCTGAACGGCTTTGGTGTTTTTGCCCTAGGCTTTACAAATCCTGAAGATGAGGCATCGAAGAGGATCTGGTAGTCAACATCTTCTTGGTCTTTTTGGTCTTGGAGCACTCTTTCTCGTTCTTTTTGCTCCGTTTCAGCTTTTAAGCGCTTTCTTTCTTCGCGTTGTATGTTATTCTTCCACTGAGTCTCCATATTATTAGCGTGATAGCCATGATGGATGCCGAATCTCTCTCGGATAGCGAATTGGTCAATATCTCGCTGATCAATAAACCGCGACCTAAAACTAGTAAGTAACTAATTAAGTACTAGTTGTGCCGTACTTACTTGATCACCGCGCCTAGTAAAGTGTCGTAAACTCCCAGAAAATATGATTTCCAGTGGCTTTGCTCAACAGCATTCGTGTGGGGTCTAAACATCTTGAAAAATTTAGGTTTGATACACGAGTAAGCCTGGCATAAACCCGCAGCGATTACTGGGTGTCTCTTATGCCGTACCTAGTGCTTCAGATTAGGGTCGTGACCTAAAGAATCAGTTAATAACTAGTTAAGTACTAGTAAAATATCAATTACCCTCGATAAGTTCAAGTAACTTATAGTAGTCGGCTGATGTTTTGCATGAAAGAAGGCTAACTAAGCGTTCGCGGGCCTCCGTGTGAGTGCCATCATACCTATCAGGGTAAATCTTAGACACAGTACGCATAAAGTGAATCGAGCAGAAGATCATAATATGTGTGAGCTGCTAGGTTCGATCACGTTTGTAGGGGTCTTGGTCACGAAGGAAATCCCCTAGGCCTAAGTACGCGATAACTATTTAGTGACTGGTTCATAATTAGTACGAATAAAATGATTTACTCACCGCACATTTGATTCGGATATATATCACCAACGATAGCCTTTATACCTTCACTATGAATAGACTCGAACCTAATTGGCTTTTGAATTGCCTGCGACACGAGCTCGAACACTCTTTGGAAGATAAACTTATATGCCGTTGGGTTTTCTTTGTCAGTGAAGACACGGCAGAGCGTAAAAACTAAATATTTAGTTAGTAATTAGTTAGTGACTAGTTAACTCAGGAGGTTACCACATACTCTTTCTATGTTCTGGTAGCATAGTGGCAAAAATCACCTCGTTCATCACCCCCTTCACACGTTTATAAGACATATCAACCTCGATAGCATCAAGAGACGTAAGGTACACAAGCTGCGTATGGAACGCACAGAAAATAAATGTCCCATCTAGTCGGTGGTGCGTTTCGCGGACGTATTGCTAAGTAGAACTAGTTAGGAACTATTTCAGGGCTAGTAGAGAACTAAGCAGTAAATACGATACCTTCAATGCAGGATCAATTAAGAGCTGATGACGAACACCCATTAGATTTTTGCCCATCGGGTAGTGTAATGCTCGTTGTTTCTAAATCATAGCTGCGATTTTGTCGCTCTTCGCGAAGCTAGAGTGAATCTGAGATAGCGTGAGACATTGCTTTGCCTTACAGTATTCGCGGAGTGCAGGACTGCGGAGAAATACGCCTTTAAACAGTTAGGAACCAGTTCTCAACTAGTAGAAGCTATTTAAAACTCACTCAGTGTCAGGTCAGGGTTCATATTCCTATAAATAATATCAAGGACTTCGCCCGCAATATCCTATGGAGCTTTCGCAGGTGGCGGAGGTGGATAGTTATGGAAACCACGCGAGTAGAAGATTGCGTATGGGTGAGTCTTGATGTTGTGGGGAATAAAAGGGTAGAACACAACACCGCAGGTGCTATATGTTTGAATCGAACCTTGGCCCTGGGGATGGATCATTCCTAGAAGTAGTTAATAACCAGTCGTAATCTAGTTAACTAGTTCTTACCGCATCTTGTCCTTCGAGAACCTTGCTGCTCGATCACACCATATGTTTTTGGGGCCGCATGGTGGCTAGATAGGAAAAGTTTCTTTAGAAGCGGAATATCTAGCGAGTTCTCGCGTGCGACTAGAGCCTTATGGAAGTGCTTTTGATGATTCTCCCGGGCTGCGTTGACACAGCTAATGTAATAGCTAGTCACGTCAGCGATATTCTAGGAACTAGTTAGTAACTAGTTCAGGACTAGTAAAAGGAAGGTCAAAGATCTTACTTTTCTGGGGTACGTGCTAAATGTAGGCCGACAGCTCGGGAGTTGCGGGCCTGGCCTGCAACTATTGTCTGCATCGAAATTTCCCTTAATTGAGTAGTACAACCTGCAAAAGATTGAATAATTTAGATCGGTATGCAGGGAACTAGATCATAACTAGTTCCAAACTAGTTAATTCATATGACGTACGCAGTGCTATTCCGCTGAGGAAGCCCGTACTCCTCGGTCTACTCTATCCGCCGCTGGGCCTAAGCAATTGTAGTGAAAAGGGCCTCGTCCGCGTGAAGGTGACCCATCCTAGTGAGCTCGGGGTCAAGGAACTCGCAGCACTTAACACTAGAGCAGGTGTAGCGTTTTTTCTCTGTTGTACAGCCAAGATACGCGTTGTAAACGTTTTTTGCTGCACCTTTACCGTGGAACGAGTACTGGACCTGGAGAATAAGTTAGAAAGTAGATCTTAAGTAGTAAAAACTATCCAAAACTTACCGATTTAAGCGAGTCTTTCACTTGATGGGGCTTGATATTTTCGAGGTTCACTACGTATGCGAATCCGGCGTCATGCGTTCGTGGATACTTAGGTAGTATGGCCACATGCTCAATAAATGCAGCTGATACAGGGTCTGATGTTCGTCCTGTTAAAGGAGTCGGAAGGGGATCTAGGTGCTAGAGAATTAATTGGTAGTTTGTGTCTAGTTATAGTGAATTAAGATGTATCGTAGTCAAGATATATTTACCTCGTTTGGGTGCGGGATAGCTATATAGCGATCTTCAAATGTACTATCCTCCTCGAATTCAGGGTCGCTATCGTAAGATTTTGGTTTAGGATCAAACTGTATAACATCCCCAAGTAAACGATTTGCATGGGTCTTCCAGATGGGATCATTAAGATGCGCCATGGTGGTGGTAATGGTGGTGAAGACTAAAAAACATACCAAAACAAATACAATATGTAGGTAAAATACCTGGTTACTATGGCATACCACAGCTGGTATGTGTCGATTCTGCTGGGTGCAGTGAGTTTTTCAAGAAAAGTGGGGCGGGGTGCAGTGACCTCAAACCGGGGTGCACTGACCTGTAATCTGACTAGGGAGGGGGGGTCGGATTACCGGTTCCCTAAATTTATCGTGTATCCCGCCATATCTAATCTATTCTATTTAGATAGTAGCTACTTGTACTCTGGGAGCCCGTTAATTAGCGGCTCTGGCCCCGTCATCGTCCGGTACGCATAGGCGCATGCTATTGAAATTTACAAATCTAATCTTCCTTGCTTGCAATAGGTCACATTCACCAATGCGGTCCTGTTGAATTTCCTACAACCTGTAAAAGACTTGAACTATGGCTCTGAATCTGCCGTGGTAGGCGGCAGATCGCCTAATCTAGGCGGACTGGGCCGCTTCGGGCGCCATATCCCTAATTTGCTAATTACCCGGGTTACATTTTACCATATTACCCGCCTAAATAGCTATAAGTCATTTCTTGGAACTCACTTCGACCGTAAAAATTCTAAAGATTTCGTCACGTACGTTCACTGAAGGCAACATGGATCAAAATAGACACTGGGTCCATACTTGGACCGCGATGCCCATGCCCACCGAACCAGACAATCTTCCCCCGAAAAAATTTGTAAGTGCTTACCTAAGACACTGAGAGTTACCTAAAAAGGTAATATTGATCAAAGTCTCCAAGACTCGAAACACGACAATTTTTCCCAATACAACAATCCGACAAACCGTTAAAATCACGCTCGGCACCGAAAATTTCTTTCGTCTGCGCTTATCCAACGCGTTTGGCACCGATTATCTGACTCTTTCCCAAATTACCATGGCCCTGGCACATGATAACATATCTGGAAGTAGCAGAATCAAAGCTAATACGCTGCGAAACGTTACCTTTGACGATGGGCTGGAAACGACGAATATTGTGTGCGGGGCGCAAGCGGTCTCTGATCCTATTAGTTTCGGGTTCCCCTTATCGCCGAATACAGTGCTCTGCATTAGTATCTTTTTAAAGGATGGGCAAGACAGCCAAACGGGAATTACTTCGCACCCAGGCAGCCGGACGTCATCATTTTGCAGTCTGGGCAATTGCGCTTCTGAAACTGATTTGATCGATCCTTCTGTTCAGGAGATTGAGCATTGGTCAGTCGATATGGTATTCTAGAAGGATGAATTCTTATTCATTGGCTTAGGTTTTACATCTCTGGGATTGAAGTTTTGGTTCCGCGCGAATGGGGCGCATTCGCTATTATTGGCGATAGCATCACGGATGGGAGATGCAGTACAACCAATGGGAACGACCGGTAAATAGAACCTTTTCATTTGAGATCGTCATACTTCCACTGCATATTTAGACTAACTCATCTGTATTTCAGTTGGCCTGATCTTCTATTTTCCCGTCTACAGTCCAATCCAGTCACTGCATTCATCTCTATACTCAACCAAGCAGCGGGTGGCAACCGTATCCTAGCAGACGGACTAGGTCCCAACCTTCTCAGCCGTCTCGATCGTGACGTCCTTTCTCTCTCTGGTGTGAAATATGTTTTAATATTCGAAGGCGTGAATGATATTGGAACCGCCGAAGCCAATGAAGAAAGCCAGAAAGTCATTGGTGATCGGATGATTGCCGGATATAAACAGGTCGTGACGAGAGTACATGCACATGGAATTTCTATATTTGCTGCGACTATCACGCCCTTTGAACGGAGGAAAGGGGAAGTCGTGGCTGATGCGGAAGCTGAGGGACTTTCGAGGTATTCGCATCCGATTCGGGCCCGGACGAGACAACGGGTCAACAAATGGATTCATGAGAGTGGTGTGTTCGACGCTGTCATTGATTTCAATGAAGTCCTTGAGGATAACGATGAGAACGGGCTGTTGAAGAGAGAGTTTGATTCGGGGGATCGTTTGCATCCTAATACGCAAGCCTTTAAGGAGATGGCGGATTTTTTCCCATTAGATGTTTTTGAGAGGGTTTTATTCTTTTAAATATACCGAATTGAACAAAGTGTTTGATTTCGCTGTTATGTGACGGTCCTAGCAATAGGTTTTATAGAAGTAAGGAATTGATACAGCGAACCACCCCTCCCCATTTCTCCTACCAACCTTCCATGCCTAATTTCTTAGGCCTCAATAACCTAATAGGATTAGCTTAATAAAATCCTCACCGCGTTTCTCACCGATTTTGACCATTTCTTTACATCTCAATCTCCCTTTTGTTATCTCTTTAAGGACAGGGAGGTCATGGAGAGCAGGGTCCTAGAGGGCGTGGACGCGCGGTCGAAGATCGGAGGGTACTACGCAGCAGTCAAGGTGGTCAAGGGATGCTGAATAATCATCATATAGGCATAACGTAACCGGTAAGCGAGCCGCCCATGTAAGCGAGCCGCCCACCCAACCATTTTTTCGCGTCCACACGCGTCCTTCTATTTTCTACCAACCACCATGCCTCCAAAACGCGGTCAATTAAGCCAAGATTTTATCGAGCAAGAGGGCCGCCTCGAATTAGCCGTTCAGGCTATAAAAAACAAAGAAATCAGCTCTATTCGCGAGACTGCGCGCCGTTTTAATGTGCCTCGCACTACCCTCCGCGACCGCGTTAATGGCCGCCTATTTCGCCCTCAAACACGCGCTAATAGCCATAAATTGACCCAAACTGAAGAGGAATCGCTAAAGCGATGGATATTATCAATGGACTCGCGTGGAGCAGCCCCTAGGCCCTCTATGGTGCGAGAAATGGCGAATCTTTTGCTTGCAAAGCGCGGTTTAACCCCAATCCAAACGGTCGGCGAAAAATAGGTCTATAATTATACCCAACGTCATTCAGAGCTAAAATCCCGCTTTTCACGTCGATACGATTACCAACGAGCAAAATAAGAGGACCCAAAGGTTATTCAAGAGTGGTTTAATCGCGTACAAGCTACGGTTCAGCAATACGGTATCCTACCGGAGGATATCTATAATTTTGGCGAGACGGGCTTCGCGATGGGCCTTACGGCGACCGTAAAGGTCATTACCCGATCGGAATACTACGGTCGGAGAGCGGTTTTACAGCCAGGAAATCGGGAGTGGGTAACTACAATTGAATTAATTAGCGCTTCTGGGTGGGCGCTTCCGCCGACGATTATCTTCAAAGGCAAACTATACAATCAGGCTTGGTTCGATGACCTCCTAGGGAATTAGCGCTTCGAAGTTAGTCAAAACGGGTAGACGACAGACGAGATAGGCCTTCGATGGCTTCAAAAACTATTTATACCGTCGACGAATAGCCGCACGCAAGGCCGATATCGTTTATTAGTCCTTGATGGGCACGGTAGCTATTTAACCGCCCAATTCGACTAAATTTGCTTAGAAAACGAGATAATTCCTATTTGTATACTAGCGTATAGCTCGCATCTTTTACAACCGCTTGATATTGGTTGTTTTGCAGTTTTAAAGCGCTCTTACGGAGGCTTAGTTAATCAAAAAACGAGGCTTGGCATCAACCATATTGATAAGCTTGATTTCCTTATAGCCTACCCAACTGCCCGCGATAGCGCTTTTCAAGCGCTTACAATAAAAAATAGCTTCGCAGCAAGGGGTTTAGTGCTATTTGACCTAGAACGAGTGCTTTCAAAGCTCAATATCTAGCTTCGGACGCCTACACCCTCAGGAAGCCGCCCAAACAGCCGATCTAGCGTTTTTACCCCAAAAACACCTACGACCGTCGCCAAATTACTTAAATAAGGAGCGTCAATCCAGGCCTTCCTAAAACGACGCTTATATAGCCCCCCATCGCCCTCACAGACCGCGTTAAACTAGCTTATCAAGGGCTGCTAGCTCGCTATGCAGAACGGTATATTACTTGAGCAAGAAATCAAGGAATTACGGGCTGCCAACGCGGTGCAGAGGCGAAAACGCGCACGAATTAGTAGGCGTATAGCCTTCGAAGCTGGTATGTCAGTTCAGGAAGCTCAGGAGCATTTACAAGCCCGTGAGGCTATTATACAGCCTACGGCACCGTCTCCAGCAGCACCCAGTCAGCCTATTCAGCAGGCGATAGCACCAGCGCGACGACGTCAGTTTACGTGTTCTTTATGTAATTAGGTTGGGCATAGGGCAAATCAATGTAATCAGAGATAATTTAGTGAATATAAAGGCGTTTTGGTTGAAAAAATAGGTGTAAAGTAAAAAAGTAGATGGTTGGGTGGCCCACTCGCTTACATGGCCCACTCGCTTACATGGCCCACTCGCTTACATGGCCCACTCGCTTACCGATTACGTTAAGAGCGATGCATGTAAAAAGCCAAAAGCGAGCGATTTAATGGGATAAAAACCAACTGTTTTACTATGTAAACCAACATTAAAAATCTCTACAGCTAAGAAAACTTCACCTTAAAAATTAGGCATGATTTATTCGGCAGAAATTACCTGTCTAAGAAATCAGGCAGGCGGGGGTGGGGGGTTCGCTGTATCAATTCCCTAGAAGTATTAGGGTATGTATTTACTAGACCAGATCAAGAGCTATACACAGCCAGCTGACGAATGGGAGTATGTGTCAAAAGTGTTGCACATCAATCAATCATGAAAACAAATAAGTAACCATAGACCGGGGAGGAACCTTAACCTGGAACGAGCCACCACTTGCCGACACGATGGGGGCTAGGAGCTCCAAGTCATAATCGTTGTTCGTGATATAAGGTTCAACGGACAAACCCGATTTGAGGCCAGTGACTTGTACGTTAACCTCAACGTCCAAATCGCCTTGGTTCAGCAACTGAGTAGCGATGCGTCCGTTATGGTTTTTGAAAGAGCTGACGGTGAGATTGGCATGTGAACTAACAGCCTCAATGCGACGAGCACCAGGACGCACAAACTTGCTGAACTGTGTGAATGCCCAAAATCTCTTGGAAGGAATTACCTCATTATTGATGAGGTTGATCAGGGCACTGTTCGTAGTCGAGTTCTCGGCACCAATCCAGTAGAGAAATCCACTAGTACCGGCATCTCTCAGGGCAACCTGAATATGATTGGCCCATGTCAGTCCCTCTCCAGGGCCTCCATTCTTGTAGAAAGTGTAGGGAGTAAAGTCGCCAGTGAGATCAGCCCACTCTGTCAACCAAGTCTTCTTATTGGTGCTGAGAGGATAGATGGGAGGGGAGTCGTATCCGTGACCTGTCACTACGTCGAGGTAGTTGATAGCTGGATCAGGGCCCGCTTTTAGACCAGCCATCATAGCTTCTTGGTCATCCCAGCCGATGCTATCGCAGCAGTTTATCTTGAGGTTAAGACCAGACTTCCTGACAGTCTTGGCAAGCACGCGAATAAAATCAGCAGCCTGTGTGCCATTTGAGAGCATACTGGCATAGGTGGCAGCAAACTGCGGCTCATTCAAGAAGCCCAGGTGAGTGATTTCCACCCCGGACTCTTTATAAAAGCGCGCATACTGGACGAGATAGTTGGCATAAGCCTGCATCCAGTTTCCAGTGGTACATGATTCATTGGTCACACCACAGAGGTATCCACCATTATCATTGTCATCGTCGGTCTTCATATAGCCCGGAGCAGACCAGGCATCGGCGTACAGAGTCTGGAGACCACGCGAATAGGCTTGTTGGGCTAGCGGGAATTGACCGCTGTCGTAGTGATCCCAAACATACTCAGGCTTTGCATTGGGACCCCCTGGGTTTATAGGCTCAATAGAGTTCATAAAGTTGCTGTCAGATGTGTTGCTAGACCCGATTCCGTTGCGTAGAATAGTGAAGCCCGCGCCGAAGTTTTCGTCATAGAGGAGGTTAAGAACGAGGGTCTGATTCACGACTGGCAAGCCATATTTGCCAAAGATATCTTCAGCACGTTGAAATGCTTGAGAGGCTCCGAACCCGTCTATTTCCTGGAATTGAACTTTGGGGTTGACGGAGACGGAGATGCGAGATGACACTGTGGGTGTTGCCCCGACTCTCGCGACCAGTGCATTGAGAAACAAGAGTTTTTCAATGACAGAGAACTTCATTTTGACACACAGAAGCAAAACAATTGAACTTGAATAACACAACACAATGCAAACCCTTCTTTGTCCAGGATATTGATCCGGTTTAAAACATAGCTAGTGCACCAGGATCTCGTGAAAATAAATTTGTATCAGTGCGGACAGCACCAAGTATCAAAGAATTTAGCATAATCTGCACACTGACCCTCATCTCCGGATAAAAGCGAACCCCGGATTTGGGTCTCAGGTTTTCCTAGTGCAAGCCGTCTTTCACTCCTGCATAGGCTAGCCTGAATCCTGTACGAGGGCATCCTGGTCGGTATGTTTTAGCCTAAAGCCAACTGCCAGATTATTACAGAAGAATGGAATATGCCTCCAATTTTGTTTACTATTCCTTGCGTGAAACCAACTTTACCATAGTTTGGTTAATCTGGAAACAGCGGGGAAGTGGGGGCAGCAAAGAACCTACTCCGTTCTTAGCTTGGCCTATATTTCTTTCAGTTGGTGGAGTAATATACCCTATAACTATTCGTGCTCCGAGATTCTTCCGGCGAAACCGTCATTTATTAGGCAGGTCATAGGCGATCCTTCTATTAGCTACGTGAGGAGTAATATATTGACAAATTTTTCCATGATGATCTATCTCCAAGACCCGAGGAAGTCTTCAGACCTCTCCAGGCAACGACACGTGTGGCGTAACCCCCACGGGTCAGCGAATCTGAAAACCACCAATCACCATCATTTGTACCCCCACCCTCTCGCTTGCAAGGCTATGCTAATGGCGCCTGTTGGGTTCAAGCTCTCGCTAGGTAGTCACAAGGCTAGACTAAGTTACGTAGATGGGAGTTATGAGGTCCGGTAAAATTGGCTATTCTAATCAGCCCATTCAAAAGCCACCCAGTATTGTTTTGCTGTAACCGTAGAATACCACGGGCGTAGTTAATAATAAGGGCTGCCCTATCCACTACCTTTTTACAGAGCGTTCTTGACCTATTCCTTCTCCTAATTTTCGCAATCTTAGCTCGACAAATTATAATGTCTACCGCACAAGCAACCAAAGAGGATAAGGGCCAGCATGTTACCCACGATTAAGTCGTTGCGCCAGATCATGAACTTCCGTGCTGGGTTGGATTGGCCGAAGATGGTCGCAACGCAACCGCTGAGGAACACAGATTAGGCTTCTGGGATGCTGTCAAGCTATACCCCAAAGCGTGTATGTGGACGATGGTGGTTTCCTTAGTTGTCATCCTCGACGGTTACGATACTGCTTTTATCGGCTCTCTGTTTGGTTTCCCTGCTTTCTAGCAACAGTTCGGCCACGAGACCAGCAAAAAGGTCTCTTACCAACTTGACGCCAAATGGCAGACCGCGCTCGGTCTTGCCAGTCCATTGGGCAACATCTTCGGAATTTATATCAACGCCTTCTTGACCGAGAGATGGGGCCACAAAAAGACCTGTTTAGGTACATTGGGCTTCCTGACCGGGGTTCTTTTCATCCCTTTTTCGCGAAGAATATTCAAGTTCTCTTCGTTGGAGGACTTCTCTGTGGTCTCGCATGGGGCGTATTTACTACCTTGGCTCCTGCATACGCCTCTGAAGTGGCACCTGTTGTGCTCCGTTCCTATCTTGAAACATACGTCGTGCTCTGCTGGGGCATTGGTCAATTCGTCGCTACCGGTATTCTTGGACAGTCTCGACCATCGGACGGACGAATGGGCATAGCGTATCGCTCTTGCAGTGCAGTGGGTTTGGCCCGTGATCATTGTTCCTGCCCTCATCGTTGCGCCTGGGTCCCCATGGTGGTTGGTCTGCAAGGGTCGCATCATCGAGGCTGAGAAGTCCATCAAGCGTCTCTCCTCTCAGGGTCCGGATCACGCTAAAATGTCCATTTCCCTAATTATTGAGACTACCAAGCTGGAGATGGCAATGACTGAGGGTGCTCCATTCATCGATTGCGTTCGGGGCACCAACGCCTGGTGCACAGAGATTGGCTGCATTGTGTGGACTTCCCAGGTACTCAGCAGCTTTGCTATTACCTCTTATGCTACCTATTTCTATGAACAGGCTGGATTGGCTACTTCTGATGCGTACAAAATGAGTGTCGGCCAGAGTGGTCTGCACTTCCTCTGTACGCTGCTGTCAGTCTTGATTACGGGCAACTTTGGTAGTCGGCCGGTCCTCTTTTGTGGATATATTGGCATGGGCACATCCACGTTGATTTTGGGTATTATGGCCTGCGTTCACCAGACTTCAGTCCTAGGTTACGGAGAATCTGCGATGTACCTCCTTTGGTATGTCTTCTACGAGCTCACCCTCGGCCCGCTCGCATTCATCATTGTCGGAGAGATTTCCTCTACCCGGCTGCGCTCGAAGAGTATCTCTCTCGCGCGTAACGCTTACAACGTTGCCAACGTGTTCAGCTCCTCTGTCGTCCCTTATACCCTCAATCCAACTGAAGGTAAATGGAAAGGCAAGACAACGTTTTTGGCCGCTGGTTTCACTGTCATCCTTACTATTTGGGCCTACTTCCGCCTTCCCGAGTCTCAAGGACGGACCTATGAGGAACTGGACATCCTATTCTCCAAGAACTTGAAGGCTTGGGAGTTCATGAATGCGCAAATTGACGATGATGCTGCAGAGCATATTACAAAGAAGGATTAAGAGAATTAGGAGGAAGGGGATGTATTCCGTGCTCCTATAGCTATCATCTCTTACATTTGAGCTTTTTAATACGATGAAGTTACTGTATGGTTAAGTTCACGGATCTATGTTAGGCGACGCGCAAGTTGGATGGATATTTCTGAAAATGCCTTACTTTAATTGAAAAGAAAACCCACTTTATCAGTAGAAGATACTATAAGTTTAGATTAACGTATGCCAAAGCCTGTTGTTTCGGCGGGTCTACAGAGTAGAGCAAAAGCATGAACAGGTAGATGTAAATTGTCCGGGTGACCCATGCACGAACCTGTGCAGACCCCCAAGTAGCGAAGGATAATACAGCTTGAAAAGCTCACTATGCGTCCAATGGGAGGAGTTAACCAAATGCGTGGTATAACGTAACCGGTAAACGAGCCGCCCAGGTAAGCCAGCCGCCCACCATAGTAAAGTTGATATTTTACAAAGTAATAACTCAACAACCATAGCTTATTAGTAGTCCATACTATGAATCTTAGCTTAGAGATATTTAATAGGCTGGTTTACAAAGACTTAAGAAAATTCGGAAAACAAAGTCGAGATATAGCTATTAATGGTATATTACAGCCATATTCTGGTAAGCTAGTCGAGGTGATATTAGATCATTCCGAAATTAATATACTTTACTTCATTAACTGAGGATAACCTATATATCTCATATCAGCCCAATAGATGGCATGATTGTTGAGTTATTGCGTTGTAAAATATCAGCTTTACTATGGTGTTTTGGGGTGGGCCGCTGGCTTACATGGGCGGCTCGCTTACCAAATACGTTAGCTTTAGCCTGAGACGGGTAAATCGATCATTAACCAGGATCTAATAAAAGAGTGCATGTCTACCCCGCCTAAGGCTCGCCTAGGGGTAGAACGTGAAATATATGACTCCCAACTGACATTCTGAATCAATTCATTCTCAAGATGGTGATAGACAATGGTCTTGAGGGATGGCTGCGGTACTCTGCACTTCCCGCAGTATTTAGCAACACTCAACGGCGTTATTCAAGCATCATTGTCCTGAACAAGGATGAGACGAGCCCTGTTTACACGGCCGGAAAAGAGCTACAAGATGGTCTGAAACGCATCTTGGGTCAACATGTTGACATTGATTTTGTATTGACCGGTTCACCTACCTCCATCGTCGTCGGCACTCTTGGCGCATTCTCATCAGCCGGTGGCGACACCCAAGATATCCCCGCACTTAAAGAGGATGGTTTTTGGCTCCAAACAGATGCAGCCAACGACTGCGTCCACATCATCGGTCAGAATGAGCGCGGTGCTATTTATGGTGCTTTTGAGTATCTGATGCGTCTGGCACAAGGAAACTTCACACCTGTCGCATCTGCAAACAATCCGAGTGCTTCTATTCGATGGGTGAATCAATGGGACAACCTAGATGGAAGTATTGAGCGCGGATATGCGGGTCCGTCTATCTTCTTCAAAGATGGTGAGGTTGTTAAGGACATGACCAGAATTTCTCAGTTCGCTCGTCTCCTCTCATCGATCCGGATCAATGCTGTCGTCATCAACAACGTCAATGCCAACCCCAAGCTTTTCAGCGAGACAAATCTCAATGGTCTCCGTCGCATTGCAGATGCTATGCGGCCTTGGGGCGTACGTATTGGTATATCACTATACTTCGACTCTCCCAAGGAGTTTGGTGGTCTTCCTACCTCTGACCCCTTGGACCCCGCTGTCAACGACTGGTGGAAGAAGATCACAGCCAAGGTGTACGAGAACGTCCACGATCTCGTCGGATACACAATCAAGGCCAACTCTGAGGGTCAGCCAGGGCCCCTAACGTATAAACGCACCCTGGCCGATGGGGCCAACATGTTTGCCCGAGCTTTGAAACCTCACGGTGATGGTGTTGTCATGTACCGTGCCTTCGTGTACAACCACCACCTCGACGAGTCTGTGTGGAAACACGATCGGGCCAATGCAGCTGTCGACTTCTTCAAAGATCTAGACGGCTTCTTCGAAGACAATGTCATCGTCCAGATCAAATGGGGCCCCATTGATTTCCAAGTCCGCGAGCCGCCCTCTCCCTTATTGGCCAACCTCAGGAAAACCAAAGCTGCTATTGAGTTCCAGGTCGCGCAGGAGTATCTCGGTCAACAGTCACATTTTGTTTACATGGCGCCGCTCTGGAGAGAGATACTTGACTATGACATGAGGATCGACGGCAAAGACTCCCACATCCGGGACATTGTCTCTGGCGAACGCCTTGGTTGGAGCCGCAGCGGCTACACCGCGGTCCTCAACATCGGAAGTGATACAACCTGGATTGGTAACCATCTCTCTATGTCCAACATGTACGCATACGGCCGTATTGCCTGGGACCCCCTCTCGGATCCAGTGTCTATGATCCAAGACTGGGCACGTCTCACCTTTGGCCTACACAAGATCATTGTTGATACAATTACCAAGATATCCATGGAATCCTGGCCCACGTATGAGAATTATAGCGGAAATCTGGGTATCCAGACACTCTGCGACATCATCTACACTCACTACGGTCCCAGTCCCGGATCGCAGGATGGCAATGGGTGGGGTCAATGGACCCGCGCCAACGCGCATTCAATCGGTATGGATCGAACCGTTGCTACCGGATCTGGGAATTCAGGCCAATACCCCCCTGAAATTGCCGCTATGTACGAGAATATCGAAACAACTCCTGATAATCTTCTCCTCTGGTTCCACCATGTGCCTTACACCCATCGCCTGAAGTCCGGCAAGACAGTTATCCAACATTTCTACGACGCACACTACGAGGGTGCCACGAATGCACAATCTTTCCTAGTGGAATGGGCGAAATTAAAGGGCCTCATCGACGACCACCGCTTTGACCATGTCGCATTCAAGTTGGAATATCAGGCCGGTCATGCACTTGTCTGGCGAGACTCTGTTAACTACTTCTATTTCGCAAAATGTGGGATTCCAGATGAGAAGAATCGCGTCGGAAATCACCAGTGGCGCATACAAGCCCAGGACATGCAGTTGTCCGGCTACAAGGTTGTCTCAGTGACACCCGTCGAGGCGGCGTCTCAGGGGAAGGCCATTATCACCAAGACGAACGATGCACCTGGTATTGCCCAGAAGGAACTTTCATGCCTATCTGGCACCTATGATATTGCAGTCAACTACTACGACCATCTTGGTGGACGGTCCAAGTATGAAATTTTTCTCGGAGAGAAATTGATTGGAGCCTGGACGGGTGATCTGGAAGATAAGCTGGGGCATGATTTCTCGGAGTTTTTGGATGGTCACTCTGCAACAAGAATTACTTTCCGCGGAATCAAGGTGGAAAATGGTGACTTGCTTAAGATTATTGGTCAACCTGATGGCAGTGAACTTGCTCCATTGGACTATGTTTCTGTCTTGCCGAAGGGTGCCATTGATTAAATGATGATTTGGGCTATCTATTTTTATTTCTCGAAATGGATCCATTCGACTTTACATAAATTGGTGATAGAAAATGGAGGAGGTGGAAGCCTGCGCCCTTGACACAAATTCTGAGCAGTTGTTCCAAAATAAAAAGGGAATTGTTCCACCCACCCCCTTTACTGCTCACAGAGGGCACAGGTGATCGCCTATATGCACCTGCTCACAAGCCCCCATGGCTCCATGCCTGATTTCTTAGGCTTCCTACGTTTCTGCCAAATAAATCATGCAATTCTGGTTTATAGAGTAACTATCCATTTTTAGCTTATAAAATCGCTCCATTACTATACAATCAAATTACTATATGTCAGAATTCTAGGTGTACGCATTTGTATACAGGGCTTTATATATTTGTTATGTTTGTTGACCCTCAAAATGTTTCGAGGGCCACCTTCAGAGGGCAGCATCCTAGAGGCAGGAAGAGCACGCCTTCCGAACGCAAAACTACGGGTCCGTGGGCGGCCCTCAGAGGGCGGTTCACGGACGGTTATGAGGTCTAGTGTAACATGCCACCACAGAAAGAAACCATATACAGTCACAAAAAATACCAAGTTGAAGAGAGAAGAAAGAGATAGAGATGGAGAGCCAGATAACACCTTATTGCGGGAAGCGCCATTCCTAATCTAGTTAATCCTCCTCTAATACACCGCCTTCCTCACCGCCTACGCGTCTAAGCCTTTTGTCCTCAGGACATGTATCACTGTCGGAGTACGCAATATAAGGGCCAATCGGCGGTGAAAAAGACTCTGTATTGCTACAACCCCTAAATCTGAAAATTTGTAGGAATCATTGCTCTCGGTGGCCTATCACTAGGTTGCGATCCTTCAAGTAGTTGGCAGCTGCAAGAGTAGAGCCAACAGTCTTATAAATAGTGCTATAAGTGTAACTACTGCATAAGAGGGGAGAATATCATCCCAGTAAAGCTCCATGGGTAGCCTGACTTTTTTAATTAACGTACAATTCAGTTGTAGACGAAGCTAGAGTTGTAAACAGAAGTTGTAAACCAGCCTTGGCCGAATGCGGCGGTCAGAGAGCAAAGCGGTGAAAGCTTCGTCATACTGGCCTACACCTTCCCTTGACGACGATTACGATTCTTATGTAACCGAAATGGCTTGGGAATGCCGCGGCCTCGTTATTTAATATCATTATCCTTTGATGGCTGGCTGTGAACACAGCTGGATGCCTTCATATTCTAAAGCCCGTCGGTTATGGAGGAAAGCGATGCAATCATTATCAGCACCGCGGTGTTTCTAAGCATCTCGCTTATCGCAGTCTATCTTCGGTGTTTCGTTCGTTTGAAGATTGTGAAAGCCTTTGGGCTAGACGATGCTTTGATGGTGGTGGCGACAGTAAGCCGTCACAGAATTTGTCCTTTAGGTCCTCTCTCGCGTACTAATCTTTCTTCAGATTTTCAACATCGGGTTTGCCACATGCGGAATAGTGGGCGCCGTATATGGGATGGGAAAGTCGCAAGTTTATTTAGCTCACCGACCAGAATATTTTCGACGTGGACTATTGGTAGGTCTTCCCGTATCATGACTTATGCCGTATCACTGACTGTCATGGCCACAGTGTTTTTGGTTAGGCCAAATCTTATATATATTTACGTGCACGATGGCTAGGCTGTCTATTGCCATGACTTTGCTTCGTCTTACAGTTCAGCGTATTCATTCGTGGATTCTGTACGGAGTCATGTGCTTTTCAACCACTATGGGGATGATCTTTCTCTTCTTCACCATCTTCCAATGCCACCCAGTCGCGTTCTATTGGAACCATTCGTTAGAAGGTGGCCATTGTCTCGACATAAATACGCTCCTCGGTATTGTTTATCTATACAGCGCGGTGGCCGTGGGATGTGATTTTACTATTGCTTCACTCCCCGTGTGTATGATCTGGGGGCTCCAGATGGATCGACGAACTAAAATTGCCGTGTCAGGAATTCTGGGAATTGCTAGCATGTTCGTCCACTCTACTTGTTCCACTCACCTATGTTCTATTCTCACAGAAAGCTTCTTCAGCGCGAGTGCCGCCGTAATCGTTCGCATTCCGTTCATACATTATGCCAAAGATCCAGACTTCCTTCGTGAGCCTAATCTGCCGTTACGTCTTGTCTCTCTTGATTCTAATATGGTAATAGAGGCCACAACGCAGATTTCAATATGGTCGAACATAGAAGCTAGTCTTGGTATTACGGCTGGTAGCCTCGCAACTATACGACCAATTATCCGAGTTTTATCAATTGGGGATTGATCCATCTAAAGCCAGCAACCTGGCAGACTCTTTTCCCAAAATCCAAGGAATTATGAGTTATTGGATCGTTACGGTCGCGTCCTGAATACCTCAAGGACCGTTCAATTTGTGAGCAAATTTTCCAGTAAGGATAATTCTCGCCATGCGCAACATTCACCTGGGAGAAACGGTACAACAACAACAACAACCCCCGCCCGCCCCAATGTTTATATTTCGCAATTCCGCCAAAGCAGCGCCATTGCCACATCACCCTTCAGAGCAGCTTGCAACGCTCGGAACATTTTCACAGCTGCTGTATGTCTTGCCTCCCGTGACATCAACCTTGCGCCAAGTCCAGTCAGAGCAACCAGAGCTGCCACAAACAATAACAATGTTGTACCCACTCGAGGAAACTGCATCACTTCCAGATACATTATCAATAGTCAATTCTGTGATCGGAATTCCACTCGAGGGTGTACCCCCATCAAGATCTCCACCGTCATAGTTCTGTTCAATAAGAATTCCATAACTACATCTTGCAGTCAGCATGAGTCTTTAGCGGAAGCTTTCAGGCTTTCGTAGCATACCCGGTAATGTTGTCGAGCGTGATCTCAGAGTAGGTGACACCCTTGATCTCACCGGTATCGCCTTCTGTAGCCTTGATGCGTATACCTAATTGGCCAAGGCGGATTAAACTTGATGAATAAGCATACCAATGTGTGAATGTTCCTTACCATTGACAGAATCTTTGACTTCACAGTTTTCGAAAGTGACTGTATCAACTGTATTATCGCTGCGGCCGCCCACGCTTCCTATAGAGAGTCCATGTCCTCCGGAGCAAACACCACCGCTGAAAGTAATATCCTAAAAAAGATATTAGATCCTCGGTTTAATAACATGCCGTGACTTCGACAAGACCATACTGTTCCAGAATTGACTGCAACGCAATCATCTTGATTATATACGTTGGCGCCAGTGATAACGACGTTTGTGCTGTCGCCGATGTCAAACCCATCGGTGTTATGACCACCCTCTGTATCACCGGCTTCATTGTTGATGGTCATACTCGTAATAACCAAGCCGTCACAGCCACTTATGCTCACTGCTTGGACCGGAGTATTCTCAATGTATAGGTCGGTGATTGTAGAAGATGCGAGATTATGGGCATAGAAGAATTTCGGTTTTGTTTTCCCGCCGTCAGATCCTTCGCCGTCCCACCAGCGCACTCCATCAGGGTTGAGATACGCACCGCTGGCCCCTTTGACAGTAATGCCGGTACCTGAGATTTGGAGCAAAGGACCAGACCATTCCTCGTATCCCCAGGTGGTCTCGCCTTCAAAAATAACCTTTCTCAGTGTTGTTTAGCATCATTCTTGAGAAATGATTACCAGACGCTGAAGAATTTCAGCTTACCGTAGTGTCGTCTGCAAGATCACTTAGATCTAGCGTCGTACCGGAAGGAACAGCCACAGCCGAAAGAATGATGGTTGAGCAGGATTTTTGGGACACACTGACTTGCGATGCACCAGTAGATCCAGAAAATGTACAGGTGGTCGCTCTCTTTCCAAGACTAGGCGCCTGGGTGATGGCAGGCTCAGCCATGGGCGAGCAGGCCACGCACCATGCGAGAGCCGCAAAACCGAGAGGGATGAAGAGCCTTGTCATCGTTGTTGGAATACAGCTACCCTTTGAAGAGGTGGCTTGAAACTCTGTTGATCGAAGAACAGTGCCAATTTATGTGGTTTCACTGGGCTGTCAGCTTGCGATCATCTACGCCGATTAATAATATCATTCCGGGGTCTTTTATTAGTGAACACATCAGTTGAGAATAACTTTTATCCTCCAATAATTTCACCTAGTTCTCTTCAGTTCCATATCTTATTGGTGGCCGCATCTATGTGCATGGCGGGGGAAAGCCGGTGGCGGTAGTGAGAGGCATGTGCAAAGCCGAGAATCCAAGCTAGTCCGTTGGTAGTCCATTTATAAGAGCGGATAACTTTGCGAGCCTAACACACGGGCGAGGAGCTTGTAATTCCCTTTTGGCCTTTAGTGAACGCGGTTTGTGGACTTTTCAAAAAGCCCTCATTTTCTGCAGGTTTCAGGTATGCCCTGACGCTTGTTACGGTGCTATTTTTTATCCTTAATATGCCACGGATCTACTGGAAATTAAATATGTCCTCGCAGCTTGTGACATGTGGGGGTTTATTAAGCCACCAATCATACGCCTCTTTTCGATTTTTCAAAAGACGAGCTGCCTCCATGCAGATCGGAGACAGCCTAACTGTCATAGAAACAGCAAAAAGTGGAAGAAAAGTATCTTTAATACCATTTCAACGATTTCCTATCTTTCTAGCATGTACATACTATTTGGGTCGAACAGTATAGTACGCGCTAAGAAGAGAAACAAAACCCGGTGGAAGGGAGCTAAGACTGTTCAGTTGATAAAGGGAGTCTCCGCAGAAAGTTAAAAAGGATTAGAGAGCAACTCATCGTCAGCTTTGTTCGTAATGGCATGTTAAGTGTGAGCTGACAAAAGTCCTCTCTTCAAATGAGGTTTCAAAATGATTGCCAGTGCCACGATTTGTATCAAATTTAACCGGCCCTGATTGGAGAACGCTGCGATTTTGTGCGTCATGGGATGAACATACCCAACTTGGGTTTTCTATGGTGGAAATAAAGAATCCCGACCGGAGAACTTAACTGCTTACTGGGCTTCACAAACTCTATTTTCCGTTCTGTCGTTTTCTTACCCGCGCGAAACCGACCCACAAATCACGCCGATCGGGATAGACAGATAGCTATCACGACCAAGAATTTCCGGACCCGAAATATACCGTCTACTCATTTGGTAGTCCTGATAATCTGAAGCATAGGTGAGCGAATGATGCTTTTCAATATTGTCCGCCAAAGAAGCAGGTCCCGCTATTCAGTAGTGCGGCATTGGCTCTGCAGCCACGCCATCCGGTTCAAGCAACTAGGTGTTCGGCCACGTATGCCGGGTATCATCTCTCCACGTTTTAGTCTGGTTTACAAGAAATTAGATACAACGGTAGAGCTCCAATCCCTGGTGGTGGTAACCGTCCCGAGACACTTACACCACTATAGATAGATGTAGTGCAGCGAGAACATGTTTGCGGGCCGCTCGCAAGGAACTCTTGTCTAGCCCCGAAGGTACATGGTGAAATTCTGCGTTAGCTAATTGTCTGGGTACCTGGTCGAGTCCCAAGCCTAGAGAGCTAGTTGGCCCTGCCGAGCTGTTATCTTCAAGCCTGTAATATTAAATTGAATTGGAAGCTTGGAAAGTTTGGAGTAAGATTTATGACGCATGAAAGTTTTCGCTCTGTCATACCCATATATGCCTTTGATATGCCTATGAGGCAAAATTCTCTCTGTGAACAGTTTTTCCTATTTACTTATGATAGGCAAGAATAATCCTGGGGCCTGATGAGCTTTAATACATGAACTATCGGCCGTCTCCCGATTACGGCGTTGCACATTGTTCTGTTAGACCTCATTATTCGAAACCCCGGAACTTAGGTAGCTGTACGTCGATAGTTTATACGAGTACCCTGGTATACCAAAGTAAAGTCTCTCTAAAAATTGGGAGCTAACACGACCATTCAATTCTGATAGAAGATTCCCGGCTGCCTGTACAATCACCTAGACATTGACACTCCCATAGGTATTCCCATTTGGGACAGTCCCGTCCCGCCCATAGGTGGGATATAGGACTGACCCTTAGTCCTATAGGTAGGTAGGGAAAAGGCCGTCCTACCTATAGGACTCCTATAGTCCTATAACTACCTATAATACAAGGAGGTATAATTAATATATATTATATAGGAATTTTTGGTATTTAGGTGGTAAAATTATAGTCGAAAGGTAATAAAATAAGAAAAGAAAGTGAGGTTTAAATAAGAGAATAACACCTATATTAATCTATAGAATTTTAAAGCCCTTAAGCCCCTAAGGACGTCTTTTTACCTAACTAGAGGCCCGAATCTAGCTTTTTAGTATTATAGGTAGAGAGACTAAATTATTATTACTCTTATTAGATAAAACACTCTTTCGTCTCTTACTAGCCTAAACGAAAGATAGCCTAGAAATATCTATCTTATCTATTATATCTATATTATCTACCTTATCCTTAGTATCACTAATTAGCTTAAACCCTTCTATTTACTTAAAAGATTTATCTATTTTACTATCCTCGTAGATAGATAGAGATTAGATAAAAGCTAGCTACTAATCTTCTATCTTGAACCTTATTATATATATAAATATTATTAGGTCTTAGATAGTTAAAGAATTTAGACAACCCCTCTAATAATAATAGATATCCTAGGCTAAATTAAATAACCTTTCTATATTAGCACTTATAGTAGAGATAGAGAAAATATCCTATAATATATATACTAGTATAGGGAACTAATATATATAATCTTTCTAGAATAGATAAGGGCTAATTAGGACTAAATCTAAATAAACTAAAGAAATTAGACTAAAATAAGACTAGAAGTAAGAGAAAAATAAGAGAAAAGTAAGAGAAAAATAAGAGAAAAATTAAGAGAAGAAATAAGCTTACCTCCTTAGAGAAATTAAGATAATTTATCTTAATCCTAGGTAGATTTAGGCTTAGAAGTAAGTAATTAATTAAGCTTAGAAGCTTAGATAGAAGCCTAAGATTTTAAGATTAAATTACTCTCTATTTAATATATCTTTATTCGCTCTTAAAAGCTTACTTAATATAAAGAAGTATAGTTTTTATCTATTTAGTTAGGGCTAGAAAAGAACTATAACTTATACTAAGGGGCTAGGACTATACTATATATATAGATATCACTAAGTTCTAGATTATCTATTTTTATATAGTACTCTTAAAGCTTATTTTTAGCTAATTTAAGAGCTTTAAATATCTATTGTTTCTATCTAGCCTAAAAGAAAAAGTAAGTAAGTGAGACTTAAATAAATCCCTTTTCCGCTAATCTTAACTTCGATTTTTAGCTCTTTAACCCTTATTATATACGTTAAAGTGCTAAAAGCAAGAGTTAAGATTATTAGAAAAGGGAGAGAATAGAGGAGACTAACCTTTTTTCGCCTTAACTACTAAATCGAAGCTTTAAGGTAGTTAAAAAGCTTATTATAGATACTAAAGATATTATAGATAGTAATATCCTTAGTCTTAGATAGGGTAGTAGTAAATTAGAAGAAAGGCTTAGTTAAATAAAGAAGATAATTAATCTAATACTATTCCTCTAGATTAATTATTAACTATTTAACCTAGTAAGTAATATAGTACTAATTTAGATTAGATTAAAGCCTTTTAGCCTAGTAAAATATTAGATAAGTAGAATTCTAATATATATAGACGTCCTAGATTAGGACTAATATAGGCTACTTAGTCTAAAGCTTTAGGAAGTTATCCTATCTTTATAGGCTTATATTAATATAGATAGTAAGACTATAAGCCTTATAAAGGGTATTTATAATATCTAGCTTTCTAGACCTTTACTAAGCCTAAGTAGTCTAATTAAGCTCTTTCGTCTAAACTATTTCTACTATATTATTCTAGGGGTTTACTTTTATCTAACTAAGAAGCTATTTTAAACTAAGCTAAATAACGTAGGTAAGGTAAGAAATATATATAAAAGGTAGACTAGGATAACTAGCTTAGATACTTATAATTATTGTCTAGTTATTTAATATATTATCTATAGTAATAGCTATAACCTAGTCTATAATCTAATACTTTTAAAGGGTCTTAGATAGGAATAAACTAAGGTTTAGTCTAGTATATATACCTTTTAGGGGTTCGAATCTTAGTAGTATCTCTTAGTAATTCTAATTCTAGTCTAGGAAATAGCTAGTTATAGCTATAAATACTTACTAAAAAGGGGATATCTAGTAATCTAGACTAATTAAGAGCTTTAAATAGGGTAGAAGCATTTAAAGGGTATCTTTCTATTAGTCTTCGACTATATTTTATAGTTAGCGCTATATTATATAATTAGTAGGAAAGGTTAGGACTAAAGGGGCTAACTATATTAGGCGTAGTAGCTTTTAGAAGTGCTCACTCTTAATAATTTAGAAAGGTAGGCGTAGGCTAGTAATAGTGGTTAAAAGTTACTACTACTAAAGCTCTTTAGACTAAGGTTACGATAGATTAGAGTTAACTACCTAGTAAGAGAATACTAAGTTAGTTTTCTCTTATTTTACTCTTACTTTTCTCTTACTTTTCTCTATCTTTTCTCTCTCTTTTTAGTAAATATACCACTTTCTATATTAAGTGCTTAATACTTATTTACTAATATTTTATTTAGTAAGCACTATTTTTTAGATATCGTTATATCCTAGACGTCCTATCTTTTATAGGATACTTTATTATTATACTATACTTTTTGTAAGTAACTATTAGTTTCCCTATATTAATATATATAACCTAGTCAAAATACGTCTATATATTAGATTAATAGCCCTTTTTATCCTAATAGATATATTTTACTTTAGGTTTCGTCCTATACTAAGTAGTAAGCTACTATTTAATAAATTTAGTCTTAGTTATTTCTATCTAAAGTGCCTACTCTTTCGTCTAGTCTCTAATATATTAAATAGAGAGTGGTAGTAATAGTAGTAGTATAAGCTTAGTTATTTAGCTTTTAGTTAGTTCGTTTAGTTTAAAAGAGAAAGAATTAGATAGAATAGGATTAATACTATCACTATAGATAGATTAGCTTATAGGGTCCGAAAGATATACTATACTAGCCAAAAGTAAAGAGAAACTAAGACTAAAGTAAAGAGAAAAAGTTTAGATAGAAGGTAAGGCAAGGTAAGATATATTAAGGGGCTTAGGCACGTAGCCTAATATTATTAGTTCTTTATAAGCTAATCACTACTAGGTGAGTCTAACTAGCCTATCCTATTAGCCTAAATCTCTATATTTTATATAGATAGTCCTATAGAAGTCCTATAGTCCTATAGAATTCACTAAGAGCTATACCCCCTAGAAATTTCTTAACTTTTTCTCTTAACTCTAACCTTTTTCTCTTAACTCTAACCTTTTTCTCTTAACTCTAACCTTTTTCTCTTAACTCTAACCTTTTTCTCTTAACTACACACCCTACACTAGTAATTAGGTATTTATAAGATAAATATATATAAAAGAAGCTATAATAATTAAATTAACTAATAAAATAAGCCATAATAACTGGTATTATACTATAATAAAATTAAAGGAAATAATATAGTAGGGTGGTTATATATAACAAATATATATCTTAGAGCACTAAGTATAATTTCTACTACCACTTTTATACCTTTACTTCTATAAGCCTAAAATTAATGCGACCGATAGAACCGACCCTTAAATATATATAAATAAATTTATTTACCATAATTACCTAGTAGGTAGGTTAAAAGGTGGTGATATTACTTATTCCGACCAAAATAGGCGTAAATAACGAAGATTAGTCAGTGATTTTATGTATAAAATCTAGGCCAATTCAGGCCAATTCAGGCCAATTCAGGCCAATTCAGGCCAATTTAGGCAGAATCAGGTGTCTATGGGTACCCATGGGACCTATGGGTATTCCTATGGGTGGGTATGCTAAGGGCATACCCAATTGGGTATTCCTATAGGTGGGACATGGGACGGACCTTAGTCCCATGGGAGTCCCATGTCAATGTCTACAATCACCTATCGATCTGTGGCTGGCATCTCTTCCTCTTCCTCCATTCCCATGTTTAATATTCTGGTTCTGCTACCACCAATAATACACCATATGTTTGGCCCTCATCTCAGGTAACGAAGCTTGTGACGTCTATCTTATCTACTAACTACACTTGATGAAGGTAAAATCAAGAGTCTCTCATTAATCATCGCTTTGCATCGTACATAACTATCTATGTGCGAACCTCACATTTCACTTCATCTTTTCATCGCGCATGAATTAGCTAGAGCCCATAATCCACATTAAAAACTTTTGTGATTGCCCCTGAGTCAAGAATCTCCCCTCAAACAATTGTCATTATCAGAACTCGATAGATGTCTATTCAAGATGGAGAATTCTCCCCGGAATGTCCATTAAACCGATGCGACAAAATGACGTGAGAGACTTGCTATAAAATACTTAGTCTATGACCTGCTATTATTTGAACTAGTCTGGGTTTTCCTCATCCCACAATGCGTACGATCCCTGTGGCCACCATTTAGTTTGGGAGTTTTTCGGTCTACGATTTGCCAACTTATCTTCAGCAGATCTGCAGCAACCCCGATATATGGAACTTCAAATTTTGTTCTCTTATTTATTTTCCTTCCCGTATATACAGAAGTTTGGCAAGTGTAGAACTTAATTAGCCGGCGGCTTCACTATTGTCATTGACGGTGCTAGTACTTTGGATACTGTAGTGACATTGACGGACCAATATCCCCACATCTCTGGTAACGGCGGTCAATATGACAACATGGATGTCGACTATAATGGGTTGAATGACAGAGATGGCACCAGGGGCTCAGATGAGATTGGTTAAGGTGAAACAGCGTTCAAGGTTCAGCCAGTAAATATAGAATGGATGATTGGGAAGCCGACCTGCAACTATATGAGGTAGTTTGGAAATATAAATTTGACCCTCGGCGACGTGGCGTCAATTCATTGAATGTAATCGCTGTCATTTGTAACAAGGCAGTGATAGGTGCTTCTTCCCTTTCAATCGTTCAGTTTTTAAATGTGGTAAATTTATAGTGTCTGGGTTGACACTAATGATGGAGATTTAATAGTTGATGTGAAAAGTTCTATCTTTCGGCCCCAATTAAGTCTCTCTAAAGAAAACATCATCGGAAAGGTGGGCCACGGCCCGATCCATGTCCTAAAGCATTGGCTTTATGGTTTAACGGCTGGCTGTTCCTGGCAGGAGTTCAGGCTGGTGGGCTGGAGACTGCAATACATTCGAGGAAAGCATTAAAGAACTTGGCAACAAGGCAGTTGATAGCCTCACTGCTTAAAGTGAGTGTATCACAAAACCATATGCAACTCTGCAATCGCATTTAAGCTAAAATATTTAGTAATTGTACCTTAATAGATCAAGCGCCACATCGAGGAAACTATTTCCACGTATTAATTCATTTTTATAGCCATAAAGGAAGACCAGTTCATAAATTTGGATTGGGGGCAAACTTATACACGATCACGATATGAACGATTGTATATATAGCTACTATGCTCCATAAACAGTAAACCAATGAATCGATAGCTCCACGGGGAGTAACACCAGATATACCCGAGCCATGAACTCCAAGAAACGGCCCCTAGGAGGAAATAGGCAGTGGTATGAAGACTAGCCTCCCAGTACAGTCCAGCCCATCAGTCCCACCCATCCGGCGACAAAGACAACAGTCAGGATGCCGGCACCAGCTCTCTCTCCCGCGGTAATAGGAACGTACGTCTCTGTATCCGAGCTGGTGTCATTCTCGCCCGCGGTGGGATCGCTTGTACTGTTACCACCCGTAGTCGAAGTCACAGGTGCCGAGCCGCCAAAGTTGATCATGTTTGCAACAAAGAGATCAGTGGCACTGATCTCTTCTTCCATTCCTATCCAGCCATCGTATTCGGATTTATACCAGCGAACTCCACATGTATTGTTGTTGTGCCCCGTGCAGGACAACGCAGCGGCTTTGGCGGATGTTTGTAACTTGGGCAAAATGGTATCGAAGGTTGATGGAACCAAGAGAGCTGTGAATGACAGCCAGGAAGATACAAGCCCCTTGAAAAGGATCTCATTGTCATTGCAAATCTCCGTCGGCTCACATGTGACCTCCTCGAAAATGCCACCGTTGCTTTCCGGGAAAAATTGCTCGAACGTTTTGTTCATCAAGCCGTTCACTGCACTGAGCCACTCAGAGCTACCATTTGTCTATATTCAGGACGCTTATAATTAGTGTACCGTCAGGAAAATGCGACACTGCCAGAAGCTTGAAGGTTTACTGGCAGGTGCCTATACATACATGTCGGCAAACTCACATAGTTGTACATATAGGCGGCACCCATCATGTAAGTTCCATAATTATATGACCATTGAGTATTTCCCTGAGTCGAACAATCGCTTTCGGCACTTGTGGAATCGGCAACATTCCAGGTCGAGTTGCTCAACAAAGGTGAGGACAGAGACCAGTCCCAGATCTTCTTTGCCCATTTAAAATAAGTATCCGACCCGGTGTAGCGGGCAAGACGTGCGGATAATTGAAATAGACCCCCGTTTGAGATCGAATTTTTCAAAGTGTAGCCAGATTCGTAGGGCCATATTTGCCACCTCATCCCTCCGTCGCAAGAGGAGGTGTCCCATCGGTTGATCTGAGTGTTGAAGACTCCCTGGGCAAGTGAGAGCCAGGAAAATCCATCAGAAACATCTGCAAATTGAAGTTCGGCCGCCGTCATTGCTGCAAGCCCCCAGAACATTTGGTCGTCATTGCCCTTGAAGGTCGATTAGCACGTGCCATATATTTTCTGCCACGCGACTTCTTACTAGATAGCTGCTGTAGTTAGCCGGCATGTAGTCGCCATCATCACCGGATTGCCACTCCAGTCCAACGCGCAGCTCGTCATTGTACGTCGTGTCGCCCGTGAAATGCCAGTACTGAAGCAATGCCATGAAGAGGGCTGATCCTTCCCACCATTTACTCGGAAATGCTCCTGGGATATGTCCGGTCTCATTTCCTTTGTAATAGGTCATCATCGCATAGACAGTTGTGCTGGCGGCGTTTTTCATAGATTCTGTCGTGTGAAATCCATTAGCGCAATGCTCACACCCGTGGGTACCGTGTCAAGATGGTACGGCATACGCTCATCGCTGATATCCAGATCAATCGCATCTGCCGGGTTAGAGATAAGGATTGAAAATAAAAGCCCCTCCAACAACAACCAGAGGCCAGGAGAATGCATCATGATTGAACCAGTCAGCCCTGAATGGTGTAGAGTGGGCCGGCCTATCACAAGCGGAGGCAGATCATCGATCGGCTGGATGGAAGAACGTTGATACACACGTTATTGTATCACTTAGAGAAGGCCGTAAGTCACTGGCATTTCGAAAGAAGGAAAATTTTACAACTCAAAAGAATTTAAGCGGGCGACCCCATTTGGCGCGCTGCGGATTTAAATATAGCGTCAGAGGCATGCGTAATCCTCGGCGCTAGCGTCGTCAACTTTCGCTGTGAAGACACGCCTCCCGGCACTCCGGCAATGGGCGCAAAAGTGGAGCCCGCCAAGCTCATTCAAGCTTTCCTGTTGCGATGATCAGGAACGGTACAAATGTATTAGGGCACCATTTCTATTGATTTCGACCAGGATTGGATCGGGGCCGGCGTCGCTCACCTGCTAGGACAAAATATATGGAGAAAAAAAGGTGTTTCAGGTTTGCTGACCGTCTGGGGGGTCGGGTGCCGCAATAATTCAATTGTCCGCATCCTGAACAACTCTTTTCTCTATTATCCGTGCGTACCCAAGATTTTTCATATACTACATCGGACTGTTTAAGTCGCTTTTTTTTCCTTTTCTGAAGCCACCTAGAGTGTTTTTTTCTAGCAATAAGCTGCGCGCTTTCTTACATTGGATCAGAAACGAGATGAAATGATTGATCAAAGGGAACACGGAAGCTCCCGGGATGAGCGTACTATCTTCAAATGACACCAGAAATCTTGCTTCAGCGTTTCATGGTACCCTGCACTGCCAATATAACTTCACTGGACTACAATTTCCTCGAAATTCTTATTGAATTCAGAAAGAGATTATTCGATTACTCGATTTGTCAAGACCCTTTTGCGAGTGGAGGCACTTGGACTTCCAGTTCATCCCGAACAGAAATAGTGCCGAATGAATTTCCACGCTGCCTCGAGGCTAGTTTTTAGTGCGGAGTGTGGCCCATTTCTATCGCTACTCGGCTTTTACCGTTGTCAAGCGGTTGACTCTCAAGTCGAAGTCGCCTGGCTCCCGAGCCCGGACAGTGAAGTTTGCCTGTAGCGATCGTCTCATATACAGACAGTTTTTTCCTTAATGCTACTTCCAAAGAGAGATGTCACGTCAACAGTAAGCCCCAATACTTAGTCTGTAATATGGAAATCACAACCTGACGAGACGAGATATTCGCGACGAGGAAAGTTTATTTAGGAGCCCACGCCAGGCAGCAGTCTGGCGGCAAGTCTGTGCACTGTACAGGCCCGGGTTAGGGGGTAAGCAGAGTGCCCGATTCGGTGCCTCTACTTCGAGGAGCCAACATCAATTGAGCTACAAAAAATGGATACCTGTGGGGTGTTATAAAAAGATGAATACGACTTCTGATGTTTATTCGAAATAAGGAAACGAACCAGGGTTTCATCTCCTTGTAATATTAATGTATTTATATATGTAATACTTGTTTCAAATATGACACCAGACCTACAGACCCCTATTCATGGAAGTTATTAGCAGGCCATAAGGCATGCTGAATGCCACTTGTATCTAATGCGTATTGTCCATTAGGCCACTCAATGCTGGTTTGTTTTTTTTTTCTTTTCAGACCTTTTTTGTGCCTTTTCAAACCCCATTCGCGCCACATATGACCTCTAAGAAGGACCATCCACAGGAGTGAGCTAAAGACGACCCAGAGGCCGGTAATCAATGCTGCCGTCCGCCCAAGGCCAATTGCATCGAGAAGGGGTGCCACAAATGCTGCGGTAGCAGTGCCCATTAAATCATTCGCAAAGCTTATTTGTTGCAACAGCTGGCGCAGCACTACGGTAGTCTACGTCAAGGGTGTTGAGCGTGTTGGATAAACCCGCGGGGCCGCAGTCGAATGACCCGTTGAAAAAAAAAAACATCACAAGAAATTTGCTTATGCAGTTCGAAACTGCATAAGCCAACCGTATGTGGGAATGAAGACAACTCCAAAATAAATATGGACAGGGTAATCATCAGTCGACCTCGTTCAATAATGGAATTTCCTATCTGCTCGGCCGGTCTCAGGAAGGACCACGAACAATACGAACAGGGCCCCGAAAGAAACATCGGAAACCAAGAAATCTCTCACGGACCAAAAAATAAAAAGAGAAAAAGAAAAGATCCAAAAGCCCGCCAACGACGGGGCCGAGGACAGGATCTAGTGCATTCCAATGCCACCATATTGGATGTATATTTCAGGCGTTCAGCTTGTTGCAAGATCCGCAACAACGGCACTGCCGGCAACAATCACAAACGCCTTTTCGCCAGAGCGGCAGAACACCATACCGTGTGATGGGCACTGGATCCCCTGCTTCTTTCGCATTGCCATTTTCAATTGTCTCGATGGTTATTTTGCTATTGGTTTCTCTGGATCCTGGTTGCCGCGACCCGATCAAATCTGTGAACATTTCTCGCTGAGGCTCCCTAATGGCTATTTACGCCCGTAACAAATAACCGCGCGAGTGCTTTGAGAGCCCGGTAAAGATTCGGCTAAGGAAGCACCACATCGACTGTCGATGCAATATATTTATTTAGAGCCACCATGGGCAACTCAAGAGCTCAGATGCTTTTTTTGTTTTGACACTGGCCACGGCCCAATACCGGGATGGGACCACATCTTTCATTAAACAGTGCTTACGCGGTCCCAGCGCTCGGCCTCTTTTAACATACCCATCACGTGAATCACCCCTTGTCTGCCACCGTCTAAGCGTATTCGGACGAAGGGACCAAGGGAATGGGGGTCTGAACATGCTTATCGACTGGCGCGATTAGTTGTCACTCACCTTCGGGCCATCGCAATATCTAAAGGCAACACAAGTCTACAGTTCCCCTATCTGACTTTTGGTAAACGGGTGAATTGGGGACCCGCACCCTCCCCCTCCCCCCCCGGGACTAGGGGCCTTTCACGGCCATCGATCTAGATCTCGGAGAGAAATCTACCAGAATGACGAAATTGACTTCGGGATAGTAACTGAGTCTGGAAATTCACCATTTCGATGCAATCTACACCAGGTGTTTCTCAAAGAAATCGGCCAGCTGCGCGTATCTAGTGGAAATTCGTTTAGTCCTACACAGCTTCCACTCGAGTCAAAGCTTCCAGGAATACTCACCCGCGAATATACTCAGCTCGGCCTGCTTCCGCAGCAAGATCGGCTCGCGCACCCATCCATCCATGCCACATAGTTGAGTAGGTTTCGACATGGCCGCCCTTCCCGTTCTTGGCAATAATGTCGGCGTACGCGGCGACCGCATCGACTGGCTCGTCTTTCGAGGCAAGGACGATGTGGGGGATGGTCAGGGCACCTGCATCAGCTGGGTCTATGAGACTAGGAGGAGTCAGCATGGCATGAATTGGCAAAAATTAAATGATCTCTTACCCAGGATGAACTTGGCCTGATGCAGTAAAAGGGGTCTCGTCACCTGATGCCAGAGCCGTCACCTACGGTAGGAACATGTCAGCAATACTTCCAGGGGGACCGGCTTGTATAATTCACCTTTCCCCCCCAGCACAGACCGATAGCACCCCACTTTCCAACCGAGGGGAACCGAGTCCGGTATTGCGAGACAGCGTCGACCAAGACGCCTTGGTTACGAGATATATTGGCCTTATTGGCCAAAAAGTCCCCGATTGTTTTCTTCGGGCGGTATGCAGTCATGGGACAGGGCGTCCCCTTCGAAGAAGTCAGGCACCAAAACAACGACGTTCAGTCGGGCTGCCAGAAGATCGGCACCCTGGACTGTTTGGTCGGACATTCCAAAGATATCATAAACGTCCACAAGCCCGATACCCACGTTCACATTGCCGGTGACATCTTATTTTGAGAATTATCAAATTTTGCGAATCCAAAGAATCGGAAGCAGACTCACAGGTATTAAGGCCAGCAATGGTCTCATACTGGCCTTTGGGAGTGTATCCCTCCATGATCACGGGGGTGATAGTACGGCACGCTTCGCACGTCATATTGGTGAAAGTTAACGGGACAGATGTGAGATCTGTCGGGGTCAGATGCAATTATAAAATCAACGTCCCGCTTCTCTCTTGCGGCTAGTCCCCGGGACCAGCCTGGTAAGACCCACCTCTCGGACTTTAGGCACAATACTCCGAGGGATCCTGTTCGGGGCGGACCCCTACATGTTTTCGATATTGAGGGCAGTAAATGGGGGGAAATAATGAGAAAAGATGTCATTCAAGAACGAAAACTACTTTCGATTAAATCCCGAAGTTTATGAAACCGTGGACCACGGGATAACGACCACGTGGACATTGTATTCACGAAGAATAGATTCTAATCACCAATAGTGAGGCCCCAAGTCGTCCCAAGATGTTATTCGAGCGATACTAAGTTACCTTCAAGGTCTCCGCCAAAAACCTGGGTTTCACCAATCCAAGTCTTGAGTTTGTTTCTGCGACAGACCTGACAGTGAGTTGATGCAGATGCGACTACGCCTCCAGTTGTCCCACGCCATATTTAACTCAGATTCCAGCCAACGACCAGAGTTGCGGTTTCCATTGCGCGGAGGTATTGGCGTTGCAAAGAGCACCGAAGGGAAATGTGCTACTCGGGATAACGAAGGTAGCTTCATAGCAACCCATGTTGTTCTTGATAGTCAAGGACATGATATGATCCGTAAGCATCAGCGGCGGCTGATGATGAAGCAAATTAATCGGTGATCAAACAGCCAGCTTAGGTACGGGAACAAAGCAGTGACGAAAGCACTGACGGCGTTTAGTGGGACTGTGTGAGGTTGCAAGAACACAACGCTGGAATTCGGATAAATCGTTTTAACGATAGTGGCGCTAGAAAATCCGAGACCCTGAACAGTAATGTTACTGAGCAAAAAGACAAACGCAGTGGTGAGTGTCACGTGAATGAAGATGCCACGCGGTGTCTTAGGAAGATCTAGCTTGTTAAGAACTTCGGTAGTGCCAATTCGTTCGGATTTTACTCGAGTAGTAGCCAGATCCTTTTCTTCTAATTAGAACCAGCGTGCTGTCTCGAGGCAATCTGTCTATGTTAAGAATACAATCAGGGCGTGTCCGACAGTGATGATTCCTTCAATCGCGGAAAGCATTCGCCAGGTGCCAAGACCTCCGAAATCATCGATCTTCAATCGAAGCCGAGATTCGACGGCGAGGTCAAACTCCACTAGGGCATGTCCGTGCTGATCTGTCGCCAGATTACCACGCTCGGCAGCATCATGAGCAACATCCGTCGTCAAAGCTCCCTTGTGCTGCGTGTCACCTTTCTCATCCGTGATGGACTCGGTGCCCACTGAGAGGGCAGGCATGAGGGATCTACCGATAAAGGAGAAGTGGCGACAGAAAAGCTTGTGAGAAGAAGAACAATTCGGGACATTCCAAGGCTGCGTTAGTCGAAAGAGGTCAGCCGTCTGTATAGTCAAGGGTTATCACTCAACAGTCAGGATTTGCTCGGAACCCCCTGTGCAGTCGCGGAGAAAGCCACAATGCACATGGAGCCGAGATTCGTCTCCAGGTGCATTTGTTCCAAGGGTCAACTTGCCGTCGCCAATAAAGGCGGGAGTCTCGTCTCTTCGGAAGTGAAATGGGGAATCGCTTAGCTCGGCTGTCACCGGAGACAGAGACACATTCCTGGTATCGGTGATCAGAAACCGACATTATGTGAGATTACCGAGACATTTCCATTTATGCCCGCGCCAATAGGCAAGGGTCTCTATTGTACGTCGCCTTTGAACCTGTTATGACAAAGCAATCTATCAGGTTTGCTGTAAAGTCCATACCCGAAACGGAAGGAGACCTGCTAGCAACGAAGTGATGCACGCATTCGTATTCCTCCGGAAGCCGCGGCAATAGCTCTTTCTTTTACTCCAGGGTCTGGGCGATGTGCAAACCCTCAGGTATACATCGCTAAAGGGATACCGATGGATCCGCGATCACGAAGCTTGCAGACAACAAGTGCCGACAGCTCCAGCCGACCCGGTGTAGGCAAAGACTTGCCAGTTCCAACCACCCAATCCACATGTTTTCATTGAGTCACTTTCATCAAAGCATGGCCGCCAACCCCGCGCCTTGGGGTTGTTCGGGGGATCTGAGGCTCGTTGAGAGACTATCGGAAACCGTCGGAATCGAGGGGTCAGATTCTATTGCTAGGCAAACGAGACACGGGTACACAGGTCAGCGTATTGCCCCACGCATGGTGGGCAAGGAGATTCTCTGGAGACAGATCATTACCGAGAAACACTGACGTGTATTCTGGCCACCAGAGGGGGGCAGAAATCAATAACAGTCAGAGTCTCGAAGACCCTGGTCCTTGAATTCGTAAATCCGCAAGAAATAATATGAAAGCAGAGATCTCGTCCGAGTCCGCGCCGTTGGGCAACGTCTGTGGATAAACACGAACATAGAACCACGTGACCTTCGGATATACCCTGCCGGATATAGACGGACATGCCGGATCAAAGATCGCAGTACAGAAAGAAACCAGGAGCACGATCAGTGCCGAGCGTACCCTACACAGTGGAAGTGTTCGGATATGGATGGATCATCAAGTTCTCCCAAAGCGAGTTGGCGTATCCCCAAGGCGTGCCAAGAGTGCCGAAAGCGCAAGATCCGCTGCAATGGCCTAAACCCGTGAGATCACTCAATCCGATGCCCGGGGAGCGTCACTAATGATCCTCGAAGTTGCCAAACCTGTGATAAACGGAGTACACAATGCGTGTATAGAGATGTTACTCGACATCGCAGGAAGAAACGTGAGTATCAAGAGTCTCGTCATGAGAGCCAACTCCATCAGGTTGCTCCCGGCTTGACACAGCCTTCTGATCGGCAGAGCTCATCTGTCTTGCGTAACTTCCCCAATAGTGTGACAGCAACACATATGGCATCGCCCTCATGTCAAATACAGCTTTACTATGGACCCACATCGCATTTCTCTCTTATGCAACACGTTTACCGGGATCTCGTCTCCCATCCTACCGCTCAGACTGAACCCTCGGGCGGAGTTGATGAAGCTGGAGCTGGCTTGGATCTCTTCAGTTTTCGCCGCATCTTTTTTGGAACCCCGGACACCCAAGAAGGCGTTAAGACATCCTCATGGGGAGATGCCTCGGTGATGTTCTTGCCATATGAACTGGCCAAACTATTCCTTTCGCGATTCTTAATGGCTCTCTATCATATGCTGCCACATCGACCCAAGTTATGGTGGGAGCAACGCCTAGAGGAGCTCTATAGCCCGTCACCCGCAATCCATCCAGATACATTAACTCAGGCTCTCTTACTGCTTGCCTTGGCAACGGGTTCGCTCGGCACCGAGTACTTTGCTTGGGGTGATGTGCTGCTAGACCGCGTCAAGGCCTCACTCACATCCTTCGATGATGTTGTCAACCTTCAAACCGTCCAAATATCGCTCCTCATGATAAGTCGGCCCTCTAGGCTTACCCCGCCTCCAGCCGTCGTACTGACCAACCAACACACAATTTTCCAGAACGAACAAGGTCGGCCAAATCCGGCTTTCTTGCATCTTGGATCGGCTTGTCGAAAGGCTATATCAGCAGGCTTACACAAAGACGTTCCCCGCGACGATGCACAAACGCCTGAAAATATTGAAGAGCGTAGAATGACGTTCTGGAGTCTTTATATCTGTGAAACGTAAGTACCGACCTCTTCGTTCTCAAGAGCCTCCCACTCATCTGGTTTTCGAGATGGTTTTGTTTTCACTCTGGCCATCCTAGCTCATTGTGCTTGAAAGATGTCGCCATTGAACACCCAAATGACTCTTTCCTCCGACTCCTGGTTCAGCTCTGCAAAGCCATATCTCGGTCTACCAATGAGATCTACGGTGAGCACCATGAGTCTTTGCTTCATATGTGGCGGGTTGCACGCTCCATCTCGGATGAACTTCGTGGGTTTCAATCCCAGATGCAGCATGCCTTGGGCTTCGGCCTTGATGCTGACGTCCAAAACGAAAGTATTGGTGTAAAACAAATCATTTTCACCACTTGTAAGTGAAACTATCAATTTCATTTTGAACCCACGATACTAAAAGTATGAAGTGTATTATCACACGCTCCTGTTGACCTTTCGTCCTTTTTTAATTTTTCGTGGTCATTGGAATCGCGATATGAAGGCATCATTTCACCAGCCTGGTAGTGGCACATCTAATCGCCCGACTGAAATGCCATCTTGGCTCAATGAAGCCTGCAAGCATGCGCTTACGGCAGCCCGACAGACAATACACCATATTTGTGGCGCATCCCGTACCAATGATTATGCCAAGGTAATGACATCTCATCCAATTGACAAACATTTGGTCACGGTTTAACTTGTATTAGCAACTGCGGTATCATGGTTACTTTATCGCTAGTTCAGCCTTCACCTTGATATATGATTTCCTTCACGAACCCAGTGCCGCAGCAAGTCATCTTCCTTGGGTATATGCCTCGCTGCAGAATTTTTCGTCTATGCGAACTGGAGATCCAATAGCGAGCACCATCTCCGCTATCCAAACGGTCCTACGGAACATCAGCCCGACTTACGAATGGATACCAGATCCCAAACCTGATAACAAATATTCCACTGAAACGGATGGGGGAACGGCAGTATCTCATGCATCTGGCGTTGCGGGTCGCCAACCAGGAATCCTCAAAGAGAATCGCTTTTCTTCAAACACCTTATTCGGTTCAACCTCTAATTTGCCGCCATCCCAATGGACTCTGCCGCAATTTGAAGGTCCAGAGACCGGTAGATCCGGTGGGTCGAGTGAGGATCTTCTTGATTTCACTCAATCCGACATGGGATGGAACTTTGACTTTTCTACGATGGATCTAGAGGCCTTTTTCTCCGTGTATCAGTCGGCCGATGCCTCGTTCTCCTGAATCATTGCGCCCAGCTGTTTGAGTTAGTCTGCTTCACGTATTCTTCGTCTGGTAATGGTTCTATGTGGATCAGTAAATGCTTTTCTGTGACCGCTTTGTCTGTATAAAGCTTTAAGGGAATAGAGACATCATTTCTCACTTCCTCTACCGAATCCAATGTGAATTTCGTGGAACCTACTTATCACATGACTAAAGCCTTCCTTTCAAAAAGCAATTTTGTCTCGGCGATCGAAAAAGTGAACAAAACCCAGAGAACTAGAAGATAAAAGCTTGAGCAGGGATGTTTACTAATTTACATGATGGAAAGGAGACACAATTATCTTTTGTCTGGCTGGTGACCTATGCATGTATAGGGAACAGACATGGCAACCTACGATGGAATTCGAGAAACACGAAGGGAATTCAGGAGAGAGAAGACCCATATTCTGTTTTGAAAACAAATCTCACATGCCAAGACTGTGACGTAGGTAGACTTCTGGAAGCATCTGCTGGCTACAGCAAAACGCTTAGCAAAAATAGGACGTATCGCTTTGAAAATTGACCCCGCGTGGAACTACCCTTTGTTCTATATCCGGCCATTTTGCAAAAATTCTACCGCCGTCCTGGCAGCCGGGACAGTGGGTCTGGTTTACGATTGGTCAACGATAACGAGAGATGAGACGAGAAAGATAGTGCCGTATTATGTTTCATTTACCCGAACACTCTCTGTGATACCATTCGCTCGGGCGTATTATGAAATGGAGCCAAGAAAGCGTTTTACTACTTTCGCCCGATACGGTAACACAACAGGAACATCGAGATCGCGATGGAAAGTCCATCATCCGGCACTGCTACTCCGGTCGATGTGGAAAATGGCTTTGGAAATATTCGAAAGCGTCTGACAGTGACATTTCGAGATCTCAACGTTCGAGTTACGGCACCCGATGCCGCACTTGGAAGCACATTGTGGTCGGAAATCGACCCTCGTCAGCTCGGCAGCCTCTTGAACCGAACAAAGAAGCCAAAGAGGGTATGAAATGAACAAATTATAACCAACAATATTATGCAAATGCTAATTTTTCTTTTAATCTTAGACCATTCTGAAAGACGTCTCTGGTCAAGTGAAACCGGGAGAAATGGTAAGCAGCGTTGGCCATTTTTCTGATCTCTTAACGGCTAATTCATGAAGCTTCTGGTCCTCGGTCGTCCTGGCTCGGGCTGCACCTCGCTTCTTCGTGTTCTTTCAAATGATCGAGACACCTTTGATGAAATCAGCGGTGATACTCGATATGGAAGCATGGGTCACAACGCTGCAAAAAGGTTCCGTCAACAAATCATGTTTAACAACGAAGGTGAGCTTTGCAGGGCTAAAGATTAGGTCTTCCTCATTGACTCGTGCCAGATGACCTCCATTTTCCTACTCTTACCGTCAACCGAACCATGAAGTTTGCGCTCCGAAACAAAATTCCCAATGAGCGACCAGAGGAGCTGACGGACCGAAGCAACTTCGTGCTGGAGAAGCGAAATGAAATCCTTCATTCGTTGGGAATCGGACACACGAAGAAGACTCTAGTTGGTAATGAATTCATTCGCGGAGTATCTGGAGGTGAACGGAAGCGCGTCTCATTGGCAGAGGTCCTGGCTGGACAAGTAAGGCCTCAATTCCGTCTCTCCTCGATCGGCGAACCTGGCGCTGATAACATGTCAAATATAGAGCCCTGTTCAGATGTGGGATAACCCGACCCGGGGGTTGGATTCGAAAGCTGCCGTGGAGTTTGCTCGCATGCTTCGACGCGAGGCGGACCAAAACGACAAGACCATTATCACAACTACCTACCAAGCAGGCAATGGCATCTATGACGTATTTGACAAGGTTCTTGTTCTTGCAGAGGGCAAGGTCACATTCTACGGCCCGCGCAGCATGGCTAAAGAATATTTTGAATCGTTGGGTTTCATCTGTCCAAAAGGTGCCAACATTGCGGACTTTCTCACCTCAGTCACCGTACTCACCGAGAGAGTCGTTCGCCCAGGATGGGAAGAAAAGGTACCCCACATCCCTGAAGAATTCGAAGCGCTCTATCATAGTAGCTCCATATACACCAACCAGATGGCCGCTATGGAGACCCCGGAGAAGTTATCCCACGAAACGGAAGATCTTGAGGTCGCCGTTTCAACCGAAAAGCGAAAGCAACATCTTCCTCGGACGCAAAGTGTTTACACGGCTGGAATCTGGCGCCAAGTTGCTTCCTGCACTGTTCGGCAGTTCCAAATCATGTGGGGTGATAAGTTCTCCCTGATTGTCAAGGTATTTTCAGCTATTATCCAGGCTCTAGTCTGTGGATCTCTCTTCTACAACCTCCCTGACGACAGCTCTTCCATCTTTATGCGCCCGGGAGTGCTATTCTTCCCTGTTCTCTACTTTCTTCTCGAGTCAATGTCCGAAACCACCGCGTCATTCATGGGACGTCCAATTTTGTCTCGTCAAAAGCGATTTGGGTTTTATCGACCAACGGCATTCTGCATTGCCAATGCCATGACAGACATTCCAGTGGTTGTTATTCAAGTTACTTGCTTTTCGTTAGTACTGTACTTCATGGCCGCTTTGCAGATGGATGCTGGTCGCTTTTTCACATTTTGGATCATCATCATTGCCCAGACACTTTGCTTCATTCAGCTTTTCCGCGCTGTCGGCGCCGTCTGCAAGCAGTTTGGAAATGCTTCCAAGATTTCCGGCCTGCTTTCTACCGTGTTTTTCGTCTACGGAGGTTAGATTATTGAGCCATTTTTCTACCTACCCACGAGACCTACTCACCACATGTTTGACAGGTTATCTGATACCCTTCCATAAGATGCATGTCTGGTTCCGCTGGATTTTCTACCTGAATCCCGGAGCTTACGCATTTGAGGCCCTTATGGCGAACGAATTTGTTGGACGAGAATTCCGATGCATCGAGCCTGATTATATTCCCTACGGTCAAGGGTACCCAAGCTCTGCATCTCCATACCGAGGATGCTCTGTTCTTGGGAGCAACCAAGAAGGCATAATTGATGGAGCGGCTTATATCCGAGAACAGTACAATTACTCTTTCGATCATATCTGGCGCAGTTTCGGAATCATCGTTGGCTTCTGGGTGTTCTTTATCTTCCTGGCCTCGCTGGGTTTCGAATTACGCAACAGCCAGGTCGGTTCTTCTGTTCTTCTTTATAAGCGTGGCAGTAAACCAAACCGACAAACCGACGAGGACAAGGTCATCAGCCGAAGCCCTGCGGATCTGGGTTCGGTTTCGGGCTCGGTGAAGCACTCAACGTTTACTTGGAACGAGCTCGACTACTACGTACCATTTAACGGAGAAAAAAAGCAGCTTCTGGACAAAGTGTTTGGCTTTGTCAAGCCAGGGCGTCTGGGTGCCCTGATGGGAGCTTCTGGAGCTGGCAAGACAACGTGGGGAGCATTCGGGTTTCTAAATTCTTCGATCAGTGCTAACAAGGACCTCGACAGGTTACTGGATGTTTTTGCTCAACGAAAGGACTCCGGTGAGATTACTGGATCAATCCTCATCGATGGACGTCCACAGGGCGTAAGCTTTCAGCGTGCGACCGGGTATTGTGAGCAGCTGGATGTACACGAGAAAACCGCAACCGTCAGGGAAGCACTCATTTTTTCTGCGCTTCTCCGACAACCCTCACATGTTTCACATGACGAAAAGGTTAATTATGTCGATCACGTCATCAATCTTCTGGAGCTTGGCGACATCAGCGACGCCCTCATTGGAGGTGAGTCTCTCAAACTAAAATTGGAGACCCTTGCTGACCATTCCAAGTACCTGGTGCGGGCCTCAGTATCGAGCAGCGGAAGCGTGTGACCCTGGGCGTTGAGCTTGTGGCAAAGCCTGCTCTGCTTTTCTTGGACGAGCCCACTTCAGGCCTTGATGGACAAAGCGCATTCAATATCGTGAGGTTTTTGAGGAAGCTTGTGGATGGCGGACAGGCCGTTTTGGTGAGCAAGAACAAGAACGATTGTCGGAGCAACGCACAATATTGACGAAGCAAAGTGCACCATTCATCAACCTTCTGCAGTTCTGTTCGATGCTTTTGATGGACTTCTTTTGCTGGCAAAGGGTGGCAAAATGACGTACTTTGGAGAAAGTGAGTTATACTGCAGCCGTTTTTTCGTTCGCTTGGCTGCTAACAGAGGAGACCACAGCCGGTAAAGATTCTAGCAAAATTTTGGAATACTTCGAACGAAATGGCGCCCCATGCCCGCCCGATGCTAATCCAGCGGAACATATCATTGAGGTTGTTCAAGGGGCCACAACTCAAAAGATCGACTGGGTTGACGTTTGGAAGAACTCGGATGAGCGCAAAGTTGCTCTTCAGGAACTGGAAGCTCTCAATGAATCCGGAAGAGCTGATCCCAACTATGTGGAGGATACCGCGGATTACGCAACTTCTCACTGGTATCAATTCAAGATGGTCGCTAAACGCCTCACTGTCCAAATCTGGAGATCACCGGTAAGATGGAAGAAGAAATCCCCCTCGAAATGACCACACTGAACTAACTTCTTCAAAGGATTACATGTGGAACAAAATAATTCTTCACATTTTTGCAGCATTGTTCAGTGGATTTACATTCTGGAAGATTGGACACGGAACTTTCTCTCTGCAATTGCGACTCTTTGCCATCTTCAATTTCATCTTTGTTGCCCCGGGTTGTATCAACCAGATGCAGCCTTTTTTCTTGCAGAACCGAGATATTTTTGAGACTCGTGAAAAAAAGGGTTCGTTTACATCCCAAGATTTTGGTCTACCATTCGTGTGACTAAAGTTTCCGGTTTCCAAGTCCAAAACCTACCATTGGATTGCTTTCATTGGAGCTCAGACCGTCACCGAAATTCCATATTTGATCATCTGCGCCACGCTCTACTTCTTGTGTTTCTACTTCACAGCAGGCTTTCAAACTCTCCCCGGCATTTCCGGTCATTTCTATTTGCAGATGATCTGTAAGCCTTCTAATGATGTTTTGTGTCATGATAGCTAAATACTGATTTGTGATGCAGTTTACGAGTTCTTGTACACTTCCATCGGTCAGGCCATTGCAGCATATGCTCCGAACGAATACTTTGCTGCTGTGATGAATCCTGTTTTGATCGGAGCTGGCCTGATCAGTTTTTGTGGTGTGGTTGTTCCATACAGTCAAATGCAACCATTCTGGCGGTACTGGATCTATTACCTCGATCCATTCACATACCTTGTCGGCGGTCTTCTTGGAGAAGTACTTTGGGACGTCAAAGTTCAATGCGAGCCGTCTGAATATGTTCAATTCGTTGCCCCTGCTGGACAGACCTGCGGAGGATACATGGCAGATTTCCTTGAATCCCAGACGGGCTACCTGCTAGACGCAAATGCCACAGGAACTTGCTCATTCTGCCAGTACTCCCAGGGTGCCGACTACGCCAAGTCCTTCAACTTGCGCGAAAAATATTATTCGTGGAGAGACGTCAGTTTTGTCCATTGTTGGAAAGGTTCGATTTAAATTACTAATACTTGCATCTAGACTGCCATCACCGCACTGTTTTGTATCTCGTCATATGCTTTGGTCTTTCTGATGATGAAACTCCGCAGCAAGAAGACCAAAAGCGCTCGGTCTGAGTAAAAGAGGCTCATTCCAAGGTTGGCCGCCCCGTGCGGCTCTAGAACGTGAACCAACCCAAGAGTCCTAAGGGTATGGGCGCGCCGGCAGTTTCAAATACTGGGTCATTTTCGCGTGGTGATATCTATAGGCATTCTTCACAACCCTCTCTTGCGTCAACTTCCTTCCGCCCCGCAATCGTTGTAGTGCGATTTTTCCCTTCTTTTTACTGATTCTTCCTTATCATACAGAATGTCGTTCACTTATAAGTTCCCAAGGCATAATAGATTTTCTTGAATTCGTTTGTATCAAAAAATGAAGTAGCGTAGCGACATCAGTTCTCCAATAGTATGTAACATTCTCATCAGACAATCGGATGCATTGACAATGTGAAGTGGTTTTGAACTCGTGCTAGGGGCAAGTCAATGTAAATGAATTGCTGAGTTTCTAAGTACACGATTTTGGAACAAAGTGGACTCGAATACCCTCACTAGAATATGGCATCCGCCAGGCCATCAATAAATGGCACAATGGCACAATGGCACATTCGAATCAGTGGAGTCAAACGTATCCTGTGCTGATAGGAGCGATACAGGCAATCAGAGACAGCGTACCGCAACATTGGTTGTCAAGCCACCTTGTAGTCCACTGGCCAGGCACTATAATACCTAATCAGCGAGGCAGTGCCATCCAGGGTGTATGCATCAGTGCTGCAATCCCATCTGCCGTGAGCAGGTGTGCATACACCAACGATATTGTCCGCGGTGGTGCTCGTCGGTTCCGAAAGCCAAACGAGCACACCTTCCTAGCCATGACAGCGACCTAGTCCTGTGGATGGCTCACTTTTTGGATGTCAAGAACTGAAAAGGTGAATGTCCGAGTCTCGGTAGCCGTGATAAGCTCTTGCTTGGTTTTACCATATTCGTCCATGGTTGGAAGGGGAACACAGCGATTCAAAATGTATAGATCAGGCCAAATCGCAATCCCCAGTGGTTCCGAAAGGTGCAATTTGGTCAAGATCGACAGCCATATCTGAGGCGGTAGTTCCCCGAGGTGATATCTTGGGTCGAGCGATTGTCGTGGGCAGGGTCGAGAGGGCCAAGAGCCCAGCGAAGAGATGAAAAAAGGATATTTTATTATAAATCAATAACCGTGCAAATCAACGGCATAGGTGCCAGTGCGCCTAGCGATCCTTGTTATATGTCCCCACCCCCCGATAACTTAATTGTATTTACCCGCTCAGGCAGGTTCGCGTCTATAGAGAAATAGCCCACCTCCGGCTCGGACGCTACCCGCATCTTCAGACCAAAAGCAGAATGGCGGCGACAGGCGCTCCACTTGAATGGGGGCCACCTCTGCAACTATGATCCGCGTGGGTTCTGGATCAATCTTGAACCGGTTTTGCCATGGGTTTTCTTGTTGTAACTCATTAAGTGAGTGGACTTGGATACAATTTACGTGTGAACCAGTAGAAAGAATAAATTTGTACATACATCTCCCAGCGACCAGAGTCCGCGGAGGAGATTGTATGTTGGGTCCATTTGATTAGCTTGCAGGATCATCTGGCGAGAGGTGAACCATGCACATGGAACAAATATCCATCAATCAAGGCAGACAGGTGAGCAGGTTAGTCAACTTTTTGAGAACGACTGCCTGTACTGTGGCATTGGCATCATCCTTGGTTCCTGCCATTCCCACCGACACGCTAGCGTAGCAACCTGACTTCAACGAAACCTCGATCTCATTCGGGAGACGCGAGCTACCGCAAGTTGTCACATCATCAGGGGTGATGAAAGGCACCGCAACATGGATACGTGAAAGAACGAATGAAAAGTCCTCTGCCTTGGCGCAATCAGAGGAAACAGAGTTGAAGTTGACATTGAGCCAGACCTAGCAAGTGAAATGTATTAGCAAATACGAAGGATTCGAGACAACCACTACCTACATCGTCGGGCAGATACGGCTTCCCGGAAGCAACCAGAGAATCGGTCAGGTTAAGCGAAAGGTCAGCATATACTTGAGTGTACTGCGGGAAAGTTGACGATGCACTCCAGGCAGTTTGTGACCCCGTTGCTCCTGAAAAGGCGATCGCGGGGATCCCTGCAGTGTGAGCAGCATAAGTGGCCGCCCCAGCAGTCCCGGACAGTAGAACGGCCAAGCCAATGTTATTGCCGACCTTCAGTAATCAGCAAGTTTCTTCGGACTCCATTTGCTTCAGACTCACATTTGGTCCAGCTACAGCAAGTTCAGGAGCGCCATCAAAGAATTGGGGGCCTATCGAGTTAATGCCATATTTCATCGAGGTGGCTGGGTACGAATTGACATAGTTAAGCCGGGGTTCCGACGCATTATGTCCTACGGCAGGACTGCCAGGTGGACAGCTATTGAATTCGCAAGCTTCGGTGAGGGCAGTCGGAGTCTTTTGGGAGGAGCCTGCAGTAGTTGCACAACCGATCAGTGGGGTGCTGGATAGCAAAGGAGCGGCGAAACCGACCAGTTCCGCTCTCGTTTTGAGCAGGAGCCGAGACGACGACCGAGTGGCCTCCGGCTATCAGTGACTGGAAGAGGGCACGGATGTTGACCTCGGCCCAGCCATCGTCGTTGGATGAAACAATGTTGATCGCGCTGGCAGGCCCGAAAGCAAGGGATGCCACAAGGGCAGCTGTGTTGACGCGCATGACGAATGATCTTAGAGGTGTGTATTTTCAAAAGACGCGACTCATTTTCATTCACTCCGCACAGGCCGGATCATAGTTATCTTATACGACTTCGACGGGTCTCACGGCTTTCCAAAGTTGTTAGATGTCTGGTCGGGTATGAAGATCACCGCGGGCGCCTTCTAAGCGAACCTGCAGGAGGAATGGCTCGGATGGACACGGCTCCGTTCGTGCACGCGATCCTGCACCGGGGCATTTGTGCATCCAACAGGAATCTCAGGGCTAGCCATGTGGTCGATCATTACGATTCTTGGACTCCATCCCGTCTTCTAGCCGACACTCTTTTAGATTGCGTGGTTTCTATACGTTCAGTACGCCTTGATGTGCATCATTAAGGGATAATCACGAAGAAAAGGTTAAACCTCGGTTAATCAGGATCGTTAAGAAAAAGTCGTGATACATGAGCGGTCGCCGCAAATCGCAACCCCAGTGCTTGGAGGTGGGATTCTGATCCCTAGGGTTTAGGACTCGAATATATTTTACGGTGGACGGTCCTTGTCGTCCTGAAAATCAGGAATACGGAACTCTGCTACACGCCGAAGTGGCAGCCCATCGTTATCTCTCTTGCGAATTCTATCCATATCAACAGTATCATCCTCGGAAACATCCGTCATAAATCTCTGGCACTTAACTCGCTGCCGACCGAATGTGTGCCGCGGCGACTTCTTGAATACCGAATTCGCTCGTCCCGGATTCGCGAAATGAAGACTTGGCCATGATCATTCCTTTAGAGCCATCGAAGCAGGATTCGCTCAGTCTTGTGATGCCCTTCCGGATGATTCCCATGAAAGGTTGGAATATAGGCTTTATGAGTAACAGACAGCCACAAATGATTGCCATGTCTAATTCCAAGATGGTCCAAATCAAATTTAACGAGCTGCTCACTGCTCATGACATCAGCACTAAGTATTTGCATCCGCATAAATGGCACTTTACCATTCAAATTGTCGGTCTGGTAGTATTTGAGCCCCACTAGTCCTAGGATGCTGAAAATGCAGACTCTGTGTGATGAATACGGATTAGTCCTGGTACCAACAAGGGAGGGATAGTTTGAACCATCTTACAAGCATCCCATTGAAAACAGTAGCGTGATCTCTATCTTTTCTCTTGTGGGATTGTGCAGACGCCACACTATTGGTAAGGGGAGGCAGAGAATGACCACATCCTCCACCACTGACAGCGACCCGATGACTAGGAAGAAAGTGTTTTGTCCGCTCATGCAGTGTCCCTCGATACGCTTAATCCAGAAATATTGGACTGGCCAGCATTGTAAAGTATTTCCAATTATGGCAGTCAGCCCCCAGGCAACGACGAAAATGATGACTGTCGTGGCGGCATGTCGAAAGCGCTTGTTGAGGCCAAACAGTCGGCGAAGAAATAACACAACCGAGACTTTCACGAAGACTTGGGCAGAGGGCCAGAACTTAAGAAGTATCCAATTGGCCTATAATGCCAAGATTAGCAATTGCTTCGAGCTGTGAACGATCGACCAGCGTACCAGTGTAATCCGCAATCTTTGCTCACGGGGCAAGGCCCATATTGACTGACCAATTCCAATGCCTTGTATCGCCGCTAGGTAGCGAAAACGTTAGGGTACCGCCGTCGTGAATAGACCCAAATACATACAGTATACCTGGCAGATGGCAACGCGGTACGTGCACAACAGTTCCATGCCCATCAGAAGGTCCTCGACGCGGAACTTTTGAGCCACGACATAGCGACAGCAAAGACGAAGGATGAAAAAGATTGTTGCAATAGCCGTTCCGATAATGGGAACGATGATCAGAACATTTCTCCAGTAGTGCGGTCCTGGCAGCGTCATCTCCTTAAGATATCGCGACCGTGGGAAACCACAGGCCTTGAGACAAGATTGTTCAGGAATGCGAGGATTCAAATCTTCTCGGCTGCGGGTATCATTACGACACGCACCAAAACCGAGTTACTCTTTGATAAAGCGTAGACATCGATTTTCTCCGACCATGTCGACCCGTGGCCGAAAGCCTTGTTCTCAAAACCCGAGATCATGCACATGGATGAATGTGTCGGCAGGGTAAGAACCGGTGGCAAACAGAATGAAACCTCCATATTTGCTGAGATACCTCAAAAAGGCTTGTTTTTCCGTGCGTATGCGTCACCTCCGTTTTCCCCACGATTCAATCGCGTGTTGTGGCGATGCTCGCTCGAACCCGCGGTTTAGTCCGAAGTGGGCAAAACGGCCCCCACATGAAGCAGATCAGTCCAAAACAAAAAACCGCTGGACAGTTCGCCTTTCACCTTTTCACCAACATGACATCACCAAAGCGGAAAGAGAAATACCCGCCTGATTTGAATGAGGAGCAAATGTTCTATCTAGTCACCCAAATTAAGGTTCCTACCTTGTTGCGGTAGATCTCGCGATTCGAGGCTAACCAGCGAGCAGGATTGGCAGATCAATCATGGATCATTGCTGAAGCTCGTTGAATCGGACATAGAACACAGTGTTCTGAGTCAACCCGTCGGAGTCGCCGTCAGTATCGCCGATTCATGAGATGTTTCAGAGGTTACTGACGTCGCGTCGAGGTGCATTAGTGCTTCCCTACGCTTTTCCCTCGAGCACGATTCCAGCAAGCGCTGGGGATCCAAGAGATTTATAATCGGCTTTACTGCTCCGTCGCTGAAGATGAGACATGGATTTTGGACGCTATTCGAGATCTCATACCCGTTGAGCCCCTTGCGGGTGCCCTCTGGGGGATCCATCAAGCCGCGAAGAAAGCGGGATCTATCCAGGATGTGCATCTGGGTATATTCCGGTCGGACTACATGCTTCATCTGAGTGGAGACTCGGCAACCTCCCCGAAAGCTTTGCCTGAAACAACTCTGAAACAGATCGAGTTCAACAGTTTCTCCTGTGCGGGCGCATCGCATGCAAACAAAGTAGCAAACATGCATCGCTATCTGACACGGAAGGGCGTTTACACTTTGGACGATGCTTCGTTTGACGTCGCGTCCCTTCCCGAGAATAAGACCATTAGGTCGCTCGCCTCCGCGCTTGCTTTGGCTCATAAAACCTACGGTCGGCCCAGAAGCAAATCAGCAAAGCGGACGGCGGTGCTGTTTATTGTGCAGCCGTATAATGTAGGTCTCGCCGCCAGGTCAGAGTCAAGGGCACACGTTTGACCATCTTTCTAGTTTAACATCGCAGATGAGCGACCGATTGAATATGCTCTGTGGAACCGAGAAGAGCCAGTGCCGGCTTATCGGCTCGATTGGGGCCCGGAAGTGCTTCAGTATACACGATTGACCGAGAATAACGAATTGCTTTTCCAACCGCCGTGGTTGCTCTCGACAGACCCGTTGGAGATTTCGGTCGTTTACTTGCGGGCAGGCTATGAAGCAGAGGAGTACAATCTAACCGGTTACGAGGCACGTCTTCAACTGGAGAAATCCGCCGCCATCAAGTGTCCCTCCATCCTGGGCCACTTGACCACTTTCAAAAAGGTACAGCAGGCGCTCACCCTGCCCGGCGCCCTCGAGCGTTTTCTCTCCACTTCAGACGCCGCCGCTATCCGTGAGACGTTCGTCCACCTGTATCCATTAGACGAGACCGAGGCTGGTCTGTATGCTCGGAGCCTGGTCCGCGATCAAGAGCGCTGTGTCAACTACATTCTGAAGCCGTCCCTGGAAGGAGGTGGCAATAATGTTTATGGGGAAGACATTCCTGGCTTCTTGGCCTCCGTTCCGGAATCGCAATGGTCGAGGTACATTTTGATGGAGCGGATCGATCCTCCGATATCGTCCAATCTTCTGATGAGCTCCGCAGGGATCAGTAGTGGAGACGTGGTGTCGGAGCTAGGCATCCTGGGATGCTGTCTTTGGAAAGCCAACCCGAGCGAGGGTCACTGTGACATGCTCCATAACTCAGTCGGTGGCTGGACTTTCAAAACCAAGTACGCGGAGGTCAACGAGATGAGTGTGGTGAAGGGGTACGGATGCTTTGATACGCCACGCCTGGTTGATACATGAGACGCTCGTACCCACTCCCAGGAGTCTCTCCAACTACTCTCACGGTTCGTTCGAAATTATCGCCGGGTAGCGGCAATCGGAGTTGTGCCATGTAGTTGGGGATTTCACGACTACAATGCATGGAGGATTAGTACGGCGCATTCGACGATTAGAAATGTACAGTGCCAAGATGGGGGCCAACAGCGACTCCGAGGCAACTGGAATCACCTCCGGCCATCGCACCACACTCAACTGCCGATCTACGGAAATGAGACCGGCACACAGAGCAAAATCCCCGGAATCGGCAGCAAACAGTGATCGACTAGCGACTGACGCCACACGCAGTAGGCCCCGACAAGATATGCCTCAGTGGCACCAGTGCCACGGTCGACGTCCGCTACTCAATTGGGCCCCGCTCAGACCAGATCTCGGAGCGATAGACCTTGGTCAATGCTCCCCGCCCCTCCCACGCCAAGCGCGCGGCGCATCTTAGCAATGCAGGCCAAGAACTTGGTGACGGGCCAATGACCGTCTCAGCATCTGTCATGGTCGAATTTCCCCAGTTTGACCCCCGCGGAAGCCGCGTCTTGGCAAAGCGGCTCGCATCAGCCTGCCGACGGACGTTTCCCGAGCCCTAGGTGGCTGAACTCTCCTGATCCGCTCGGGATTGCATGGCTTGAATGCAACAGGAACTCGGTTTGACCTCGGTCACTTCCTGAAAGTCAAAGCCAGAAACAGCGCTAACTACAGGGGTCATGTACGGCCCAGACATCAACCATGTGGCCTCGCATGGCGATGCAACATCCCCGTCAAACGCTAAAATATCCGACGAAGCCTGACGGCGAGGCCGTCGAATGGCGAGCCGACACTGAACTGGCTCGGGATCCAAGCTCCCTTGGCACTGCTCCCCAGGCCTTGGCCGACTCCGTTTCTTGTCCCACCGATAGCCGGCCCGCCGCGTGCTGCATCGCAAGAGGCCGGACGCTGGGTACTCTGGGGTGCATTGCCGGTAGAAAATGAACACCAGGCACTGAGGGCTCCGAATGTGCCCTGGTTCGTATTCTCGTGCAACTTTCCTGTCTTTGTCCGGGGCCCCTCAACTTTCCCCACAGCACGCGGAGAATTTCCCCGGACTCGTGCAGCTATTAAAAGGTCAGAAGGTCGTCGTATTTTTCTGCTCACTGTCTCACTCTCCCTGTCCCAACACCTACTCTTCTCATTGGGAGCTACTCCCGTTGATACAGATTCTAAGAGTTTGCCCATCATGGCAGGTGGAGCCAAGAAACCAGTCAACGTCTTCCGTCTGAGGAACTTGGGTGAGCCCAAGGAAGTCTTCAACTGGAAGTTGTGGTTCGCCGTCGTTTCCTTCGGTTTAATGGGAGCTGCGCGAGGTATCGATGAAGGTCTCATCTCCGGCGCTTTCAATTCCAAGGACTTCCAACGGTACATCAACTATAGTTCATACAGCCAGGTCGAGCAGACCAACATCAAAGGAAATGTCTCGGCGATGGTGCAGATTGGATCCGTAGGAGGTGCTCTCTTGTGAGTTGATCGTTCTTGCATCCCTACGGGTCTCTTTCGCCCATGCTGATTCGATTTCTATCGCAAATAGTGCCTTCGTTGTTTGTGACCGAATCGGCCGCATCTGGGCAACCCGTCAACTATGTGTGCTATGGATTCTGGGAATAGCAATCTTCTTGGGCAACAATGGCAGCCTCGGGGCCGTGTATGCTGGTCGCTTTATCGCTGGTCTCGGCGTCGGACAGACCGTCGTCGTCGCTCCCGTTTATCTTGCGGAGATTGTAAGTTGTTGAGGGCACGGCTTCGACTCGACCAAATCCACTTCTTATGCTGATCTTCTTAGGCTCCTGCTTCTATTCGAGGTCTCTGCACCTGTGTCTTTACGGGTTTCGTCTATCTCGGTACGTGCTCTACATAATGGGGCAATGTTTCTTTCCAGCCGGGTCACTCTCGGGAGGCTCCATTCGCTAATGCATCCTTTCTCAGGAATCGTCTTGGCCTACTTTGCGAACTACGGCTGCCAAGTCAACATGGGCGACAACACACACAAGAGATGGGTAAGTAAATATATCCGCTACCCAAAGCCCGGTACTGACGACGTGTGCAGGAGGTCCCCACCAGTCTTCACGTTATCTTTGCAGGCCTGATCTTCATCCTGTCGTTCCTGCAATACGAGTCTCCACGATACCTCATCAAGCGTGGCCAACCGGAGAAGGCGCTTGCCAACTTGGCTCGTCTCCGTGGCCTTCCCGCCGACCATGAGTATGTGGTGCGTGAGATCAACTCCATTCAAACGGCGCACCAGATCGAGATGGAGGCTACAATGGGATCCGGACCGCTGGGTGTCATCAAGGAGACCTTCCTAATTCCGTCCAACCTCTATCGGATCTACGTCGCCCTGACGGCGCAGGTTCTGTCGCAGTGGTCCGGTGCCGGTTCAATCACCGTCTACGCCACGGATCTTTTCAAACTGTTGGGCATCACGGGTAGCAACGAGAACCTGCTGGTGACGGCCATCTTTGGTATCATCAAGCTGACTGCCGCTATTCTCTGCGCTCTCTTCCTCGTTGATGTCATCGGTCGTAAGCGTGCGCTGCTTCTGGGAATTACGCTGCAGGCCATTTCGATGATCTACATTGCCGGTTTCCTGACCGCGGTGCCTGAAATAGGCACGGTCGACGGCTACAAGATCCCCGCCAACAAGAAGGGTGCCAGCGAGGGCGCGATTGCCATGATCTACATCTCCGGATTCGGATGGGCCCTGGGCTGGAACTCGATGCAGTACCTTTTGACCGCCGAACTGTTCCCTCTCCGCATCCGTGCACTCGCCACCTCCCTGGCCATGACTCTGCACTTTGCCAACCAGTACGGCAACTCTCGCGCCGTGCCCAACATGCTTCTCCCCGTAGCAGACGGCGGCATCAGCCCCAAGGGAACCTTCTGGTTCTTCGGTGTGGTGACCCTCATCGGCGGCCTCTGGGTCTGGTTCAGTGTACCCGAGACCGCAGGCCGGAGCCTCGAGAGTATGGATCAGCTGTTTGCTTTGCCGTGGTACAAGATTGGTCTGCATGGTAATAAGGATGCCGATGAGCGTGATCTGGTGATCAACGAGAAGATGGAGGCAATGGAGGCTGAGGGAACTGCCCATCATGTGGAGAGGCAGGATGCAGCCGCCCGGGTTTAGGGGCAATTTTCCTTTTTCCAGTGTTGCTGCTATGCGATCGTAATAAATGATGAATGCCAAAGGGACCTTTGTCCATTGAGCCCGCTACGGAAGTAAAAGTAAAGCCACACGTAACCCGTCGAACGCCGTGTACTCAGCCAGCGTTGATGATGATTAACAAAGCTATAAAACCAGGACACCGTCTTATAGTTGAGGAAAAAACAAATTCATCGGTAAGGTTATCTCCCGTTCTCCGCCATCGAAGTCCTCTCAGATGTTCACAGGAGATCCTTCCAAAGGAATAATCACAATTCGTGCTTTGAGAGCTGCTTTCTCACGGGCTCTTTCATCGGAATCTTTTGAAGAGCCATTCCTATGAAGATCCATTTTCCTCATGTCGTCGAGATATTCCTTTGGCAGATCGACCCGAATCAACACCCCTCTAGGTCGAAAGAAGGTCTCATTCCAATGCGAGATGTGACGGATTAGGTTTCCCCCACGCTCGCCAGCCATACTGGCGATGACATTTCGTTGTTCCTGGTGTTTCCGGGCCGTGCGAGCGATAAGAAAAGCCGGGATAGCGCCAAAGAAGCCGATCACGAGGCCGCCGATGGCAAGCGCACCGAGACCTTTGCCGATCACGGTGGTCCACTGTTGCGGAGAGAGCTTGGCTTCGTCTTGAATTGCTTGTGTGAATTGGCGCCAGTGTTCCAGAGTTATACCGTATCGAGTCAATTCATCGGGGTAATCGAACCCGGAACTGCAGGCGGCAGTGCTTGAAGGCACCTGAAGGCCTCTGGATAGAGTAGATGAAACCGCGAATCCGGGCTCAGCTGCCTGATGTGGAAGAAGGAATTCGGTATCTGATTTTTCACTGGCGGTGTCTTCAAAGGAAGAAGAATATGGCGGCGGCGCGTCCGAATGGTCGTCGCTCGCCATGGTGGATAAGGGATGGATGATCGTGTTGTTGCGGCCAGCGTAGCAGTAAATAAAGGAGACAATCGGCGAGTAGCGGCTGATGCCTTGAATGGGCTATCGTACCAAGATGTTCCCAGTTGACAAATGAAAAACGGCCTTGCCTAAGGAATAGATATAGAAAGTCCAGGCATCCATCATAGCGTCATAATCCAAGGTTTTCCTCTGGGAAGTATATGACTCCTCGCCAGGTGGTGGCAGTGCTGCCTGAGTCATGGCGTATCATTCTGAGTCCTCCGGTCATCTCGTATCTCACGTCCGGGCCGCACGATTCTGAGGTTTGAGGCGTTTAGAGGCCAATCCTGCCAAAACGCTCGCCTCACCGACACATCGCGACACATCGCGACACCCAATTTCCCTCTGAGGACGGATCGGGGAGCTGCCTAGAATACGGTCAGTCCCAAAGTCAGTCAATCGAAACGCGTGAAGCCCGGAAAAAAAGAAGTGGTCGGCCCAAAGGTCAAGGTGAGGCGACGTGACTCACGGGGACGTGCGGGAGGATTCGGAGACTCGGAGACTCGGAGATCGTGTTGTCAACAACCACCTTGGGTTGATGTGCTGAACACCATGACCACTCGTTATCGCGTTGAATGTAAGCTTTTCCATCTTGGGACCCCGATCTCTGGCCCTGCTGACCTGTCCAGATGCTCTCAAGGTACGCGCTCTCCCCAATGATCAATGATCGATGATCGCCCCTCGCTAACCCCGCGCAGACCCATCGGCGGGATCAACTGGTAAGCACGCTCCAACTCATGTACAAGTCGCCGTCTGACCTTCTAGATTGAATGGATCAAGGTAGGCTTGAATATCGCCTCGGGTGAGCCCGTTTGCCCGTGAGCGGCGGCTAAGAAGTGCCAGGGTCTGTTGGCCGTTCCCTTTGTGCTGCATTCCCAGCCGACGGTGATCTACCAGGAACATAGCGAGGGGCTCAAGCGTGTCGCCGCAGACACCCACCAGCGCTATGCCGAGATCATGCGTGATGTCGAGAATCTGATCAACGATCACAGTAAGTCGCAGGTCGCAGGCAACCCGATTTCTTCCGCTCATCACCCGCCAGTTCAACATCACCAACGAGATGCCCCCGGCAAATCCAAACTCAAACTGCTGGTGCCTACCGTTGGCTACTTTTTTACTCGGCTGCACTTGGAGGATGCCTTCAATTACCAGGACGAACACCGATTTATCAGCCGGCGAAGATTCGTCGCCCCTTCCTTCAACGATATCCGACTCATCTTGAACTCCGCCCAGCTACTGGGCCTGGTTCGCTCCAGTGAGGTCGAACTCGTCACTTTTGATGGAGATGTGACGCTTTACGATGACGGTGCTTGCTTGAATCCAGACAATCCCGTCATCCCGCGAATCTTGCGTCTGCTAGAGCGGGGGTGCAAGGTCGGCATCGTCACCGCCGCCGGATATGAAGAAGCACCCAAGTACTATGGCCGTCTGCAGGGCCTCCTCGATGCCGTACACGACTCCAAGACATTGACTCCGTCCCAGAAGGAGGGAATCATCGTGATGGGCGGTGAAAGCAATTTCTTGTTCCGTTTCGATCAGGACTCGGAGTCCCGATTGACCTACGTGTCCCGCAAGGAATGGCTGCTGGATGAGATGCGCGCATGGCGCGACGATGACATCAAACAGTTGCTGGATATTGCCGAGGACTCTCTACGAGCATGTGCGTCTAACCTTGGGCTGCCGGCTGCCGTGCTCCGCAAGGACCGAGCAGTCGGTGTATATCCCGTAAACGGTGTTCGCATCGATCGCGAGCTGTTGGAAGAGACCGTGCTGGTTGTTCAGAACACGGTTGAACGGTCAACTGTTGGTTCACGTCTTCCTTTCTGTGCATTCAATGGTATTGCCTCCCTAAATTCTGGCTACAGTCGCAGTCATGTCTAACTTCGCCGTAGGTGGAAACGACGTTTTTGTCGATATTGGGGACAAGTCGTGGGGGGTTCGGGCGTGTCAACAATACTTTGGCGGCATTGACCCGTCGAAAACCCTGCATATTGGTGATCAATTCTTGTCCGCCGGGGCGAACGACTTCAAGGTAAAGAAGAAGACTCCATTTGAGAATTTGCAAACTGATGCAAACGTTTCACAGGCTCGCCTGGCTTCCACGACTGCTTGGATTGCCAGCCCCGCAGAGACTGTCGAGCTCTTGGATGAGCTGGAAGCAGCGGTCAGCAAGTGACAGCTATATCTGGCACGTGAGTACGGGTCATAGTGGCATCGCAACGTGCTTTTCGGGCAAACGAGTAAGCTCATCGTCGTCGCCACTGTGATAGCATCCTTTCTATAATTAATTCATAACAACAATCTTTGAATTCGGCGACGCGTGCATCGATACCGTTACTGGCATCTACCGAACTAGAAAGCTACCGGGTGTAAGGCGTAGATTATACAAGTCATTGGCTAAGAGTAATGTGATCTAGGTCTACCTGACACGATCCAGGCGTCCATAGGCAAGATCCAGATAAACGCACGAGGATATGGAATATAAAATGAAGCCCAAACGCCCATGCCTAGAGATCGCCGAGATCTAGCACTGATCTAGGCGCTGCGTTGTGTAGCATCGTACAAACGTGAGGAGGCGTCCAGCGGTCACTCATGGAGCACGATGGTGGCCTTCAGGGGCGACAGTCTGGGTGGACAGTGTCAGTCTTCGTGAAAGACATCAATGTGGCGGCAAATAACTCGCGGTACCAATGCTAGTGTTGAAAAGAAAATGCTGCATGAAGCCATCAGGGAGTCGATCCTTCAAGGCGAGTTGGGGACCGACGGGATGGACTGGATCGAAGAGGGATCTGAAATGGGAGAAAAAGAAATTCGTTAATATCCGGAAACGCGGGAAATTAGGAACAGCATCAGGATCGCACGCAGCAGCAAGTCGATAAGTCGAAGGGGGCCAATACGCGGAGTAAACGAGATGCAAAATCCAGGGGTTGTCGCAATTACGTACTCTCGTAGCAAAACCAGCCCTCTTGGGTGCGGGAGGCCGAACGGCCGGAAAGAGTGTTGACGACGTCCTGCAGCTCCAGCCAGAATTCGGACTTGGGCCGACGGCGAGTCCAATCAGTCTCGGTCTCTTCCAAGCCCGAGTCGCCGCCCATCGGCGAGAATAGAACCTGGGAGCCCTTAACACCGATCACGGCACTCGACAAAGGATCGTTCGCAATGGCGTCGCGACTTTGGCCGGTGTAGGATTCGATGTGGCGCATGCATTTGATGGCCATGCGAAGAGCGCGGACACGATCCATAGGGGACGGCTTGCCACCCTGCTGGAAGTGACCGGGGACCGCAGCACGCGACTCGAAGCGGCCCTTGGCCTCCTCCTTGATCATGTCAGCGACCACCTGGGTCGTGTAAGTGCCGGAAGCACATTCGTTGCGCAGAATGATCTTGCCGGCACGGTTAGCACCCTTATCACGGACAAAGTTGTCGCGCAGGAAATCAATATCGCGAGACAGCATCTTGATGTCAATACCCTCCTCGGGAATGTACACCGCCACAGCACCAACGGCCAAGCCGGCCGTGGTCGCAATGTAACCAGACTTGCCACCCTGGGTCTCGATGACGAAGACACGGCGACGAGACGAAGAGGCGGACTGGCGGATGGCATCACAGAAATCGATCAAGGTGTTCAAGCAAGTGTCACTACCAAGGGAGTACTCGGTGCCGGGAACGTTGTTGGAAATGGTGGCCGGGAGGACGATGAGGGGGATCTTGAAGGCGTCGTACTTCTCGCGAGCTTGGCGCAGTTGGCTGACAGCAGTGAAAGCCTCGAATCCACCGACCACGAAGAGGGCATCGAACTTGTAGAGGTCGAAGCACTTGGCCACACCGTCCATGTCATCGGAAGGCAAGCTACGGTTGGTTCCGATATCCGAACCACCCTCGTTGACCCAGCTATCGGACTCGAGCCAGCGGACCTCCCGGACCGAGCTGACCGGCTTGTCATTGTGGTGTCGGACGAGGCCGGGGAAACCGTTGTGAATTGCAATTGGGGTGTGGCCGCGGGTCAAGCAGTAGGCCACAGCAGCCCGTGTGGCTGGGTTCATACCACCGGCGGGCGCACCGACGTGAATGATGGCAATCCGCATTCTCTAAAAAGTCACAAATTAGCATCGCCGGCACCTCTCGCACATATGGCTCCATTCGTACCTTGCCCTCCGGGAGATGCAACCTGGGGTGATCCGGGGTTGCAGTGTTGAGATAGGCGTCGTAGTATTCCTTAAACTCGGCGTCCCGCATGTCCATTGCGGCGTCGAACTGCTTGCTCTGGATTTTCTCAGTGACATCCTTGGTAAGTTGCACTGCTTCCATCAGAGGGGTGCGCATGATCTTGTTCTCGCGGATGGTGATGACAGGGACTGGGGACTGAGGTGTCTGCTCCAAAATGGCCTTAACGGCCTCGACGCCCTGTAGAGTCGACAGCCAACGATCATAGGCGCATGCGGCACCACCTCGCTGGGTGTGACCGAGAACGGTGGTCCGAGTGTCGAGTCCCAGCCGGTCTGTCAGGATATCCTTGATCTTTGAGCTCGAAATCTTGTTGAGATGGCGGTCCTGCGCTCCCTCGGCGACAATCACGATCGTACGGCGCTTGCCTCGGTCTTTGCGGTTCTGCAATCGCAGCCGATTAGCTCTGGGACAGACTGCCACTGGGGCTACCATCAACGTACCTTGGTGATCATGGAGCACATTTCATCCTCCCAGCCGTCCTGCGGAGGCATTTCGGGAATAAACAGCCAGTCGGCGCCGGTGCTGATGGCGGACATCAAGGCCAGCCAGCCACAGTGACGACCCATGACTTCTATAACGAAGCCTCGTTGGTGTGAAAATGCAGTGTCGAAAACGTCGTCAACTGCGTCGCAAATGCGGGTCAAGGATGAGTAGCAGCCGATAGTGGCGTCGGTGCCGGACATGTCGTTGTCGATGGAACCGACCAGTCCCACGATGTTCAACACCTTGTAGGGCTCGACCTGCTCCCGGGTCAATTCGCCGGCCGCAACGAGGTCCGACAGCAACGAGGGCCACTCGGCGCGGAAGACATCGGCACCGGTCAAACTTCCGTCACCACCGCAGACAACCAGTGCATCGATGCCGCGCAGAACCATGTTCTTCGCAGCCTTCATGCGGCCAGCACGCTCTCGGAAGGTCATGCAGCGAGCAGAGCCGATCAAGGTACCTCCGCGCGACAGCCAGCCGCGAACGTCCTCCCAGTGCAGCTGGCGGATCATATTGCCGCCGTTTACCAGCCCCTCGTATCCTTCGAAGACGGCGTAGGCCTCGCAGTCGCTGTGAATGGCCATGCGGACCACGGCGCGAACGGCGCCGTTCATGCCCGGAGCATCACCACCGGAGGTGAGCACGCCGATGCGGCGCTTCTTGGGCGGTTCGACGGGAATCTTGGCGGGCTCCATGTTGGAATCGTGAGTGTCGACCGTGTCAGAGGTCGCAGAGCCAACAGGAAAAATGAAGATAGAACGGTCGAATTGAATTGAGAAAATTACTATGCAGCGCGGGGAGCAATTAAGAAACCAATGGAGGGGTTGAACCCAATTCCGGTGAGATAAAACAGAAGTGGGGTGGTGAGGTCACAGACACGAACACCGTGAAGTCTTGAGTGGAGGACGTCCGGTAATGGGGTGTTGGGAAACCGGATGGCAGTTGAGAAGCTGAAGAGGATGTGACGAAAGGTCAATGCAAGACGAGGGTGGTTTCAGCCGAACTGCCAGCACCCGTGAATGCGAAACCAGTTGCTTGACCTTTGTTGAGCAGCGCGAGCGTGATGTCACCGTCGAGCTTCCAGGTTGGGACTAGTGCGGGCCATTTCACGTGGGCTTCCATCCCAATCGGGACTTAGGGCTCAGGGCTTGGGTGGGTCCGTTGTCGATACCTCATTTTCCAGGCATAAACATTCTGTCGGTTCACGTCAAGACACCATGAACAAGGACGGTGGTGCCTGGGATATGACCAAATTCGGAGGCCATCGAATAAGGGATGGGGAGGCGAGAATGGCATGCTCTTTGTCTGCCCAGTTGGATTTCTATCCTCGAGGCGGGCACTAAGGTGTAGGTCAGCGCTAGTATACAGAGTGGAACTTGATAACTGGAAGCGATCTAGCTCGACAGGATACAGTGATGGATATTCCTATGCCTACTGGGCCGACGGCATCGTAGATGCGACCTATACCGATGGTGTTGGTGGTGAATACAGTGTCACCTGGTCTGGGAATGTTGGAAACTCTGTTAGGGGCACATCCAAACCCCCCGTTACCAACGCGTCAACAAAGCATTGATTAAGGGAACTGCTACCTTCAGCCAGTACCGGTCGGCTCGCCATGCCAAGCGCGTCGGTGGTACTATTACTACCAGCAACCACTTCAGAGCCTGGGAAAAGCTTGGCTTAGAGGTTGGGTCCTTCTCATCATTGTTGCGATCGAGAGCTACAAGCCAGCTTCTCCTCGGCTATCACGGTGGGGTAATAAATAGTTTTTTCCCTTTCCAAGTAGCAGAATATAGACTAGTCCCGAGATCGCACTCTCACAAGCAGAAGGACCCGGGGGACTAAGGCTGCGAGGGAAAACTAGTCATTCCCAGGCGTGTGCCCGAACGTTCAAAAGCGCCATCAAAATTCAATGCAGAGGAATTGAAGGCAATCCATCTAATCAACACAGCGAGTCAATAGAGTATATACTGCCTTACTACTGCCCTACAGCTAATCGAATCCTATTTATTCGCGAGTTGCGGGGTGCTATGTGCTATGTGCTCTATGACGTAAGCCATTGACCCGCGGTTTGCTGATCTGGCGCCGCGGTTGGGATCCCGAACATCCCCGGAGACAACCCATTGGTAGCTCCCAATCTCCGATGCTTGCGCTCAGATTGCGTCGAGATCCGCTCGGGGGATCACCTGCCCCCCCCCGGGGGCCACCCACAGCTCAAATCTCGATTCTGAGACGTCACCTCAATTCCACCACCAGCTCCGTCAACCAACCACAATGTTTTCTCATGTATAAAGTGATGCAACCTGGACTAATTTCAGCTGCTACCCAGAACCCTTCATCGTAAATGGTGGGGCTACTGCGGTATATAATCAATCGCAATCTCCAAGTAGGCTTTCACTCTACTACCCTCGACACTAACCTTTCCTCAACCATCCGCACTACGAATTTCCCGGCACAATGGCATTGAACGGCAAGGTTGCACTGATTGCGGGAGGAGTGAAGAACCTTGGAGCCGAATCGGCTCGCGAGCTTGCTGGGGCAGGTGCTGATCTTGCTCTTCACTACAACTCCGCCAGCAGCAAGAATAATGCCGCAGAGCTAGAGACAGAGCTGAAGCAAAAGTACCCGAATGTGAAGGTCGCATTTTATCAAGGTGACCTGACCACCGCCAGCGCCGTGGACAAATTGTTTCAATCGGTGCTGAAGGACTTCGGCAAGATCGACATCGTGATTAACACGGTGGGCAAGGTGCTGAAGAAGCCAATTACCGAGATCTCGGAAGAGGAGTATGATTCGATGTTCGCGTAAGTGGTGATCTTTATAGTATACTGAGACCCGAATGACCGGATTGACGTATTAAAACAGGATCAACTCCAAGGCTGCTTTCTTCATTCTCAAGGCGGCCGCCACTCACATCGCCGATGGTGGCAAGATCATATCTATTGTCACGGCCCTGTTGGGAGCTTTCACCGGATTCTATACCTCGTATGCTGGATCGAAAGCGCCAGTGGAGCACTTCACCCGAGGTGTCTGCAAGGAACTGCAGGCGCGACGTGTGAGCGTGAACAATGTGGCCCCCGGGCCGATGGATACGCGTAGGTTTTCCATAGCATTTACACTCATGTCTACATGTTAACAGTGTGCAGCCTTCTTCTACCCACAAGAGTCGCCTGAGGCGGTCGAGTTCCACAAGAGCAACGCCATGGGCAACCGGTTGACGATGGTGCAGGACATCGCCCCGTTGATCCGCTTCCTCTGCACCGATGGAAAGTGGATCACCGGTCAGACCATTTTCGCCAACGGAGGATACACCACCCGTTAAAATGAGGGACTCGAGATCTTCCACAGCACCTGCTCCCGCTCCGTGGAATATTGCGATCGGAATATATCGATTATAGGTCAAATGAATTCATACAGAATGGTGTTCACCAAGTCTTAAGTATTGGATTCAACGTTAGGTAATTCTATCAAGTAAATGTGTGCCAGAGATTATACGATAATCTTGTAAATTTCTAAGCCTATAATCTTTCTAATGGAAAATAGCGCAATTAGATTTGGAGCAAATTAACCAAGTAATTTGGATGATGGAGAGGAAAAAGTTTATTTAACTAATTCACGGATAGTTTGTTAGTGAAAGAATATCAAGTATCCAGACATCATCAGGATTAGCTTACCCGTCACACTTGTGACTTCCCTCCTGCTCGGGGTCCTTGCACCCGCTCTGGCAGAGCTTTGGGTGGCCAACGATGCCGGGGTTCTTGCAATGGAACAAGATGTTCTTTAGAGGCTCATTCTCAAGATCAGTTCCCTTCAAGACGTCCTTGAGGTCCGCTTCCGTAAAGCCTACTTTATTAGTCGAAAGTCTTGTATCCATGAAAACGAGACCTTACCCTTGGACTTGATCAGCAAATCGGAGCAGTAATCAAAGCTCGGAGTGCAAGACTTGTCTGCTAGGCCAGTGGAGACCAAGGCGAAAAGGGCGAGAATGACTGAGGAGAACTTCATCATGGACCTGTCTCAGTAGATTTTTTGGGGAAACCCGTGGAGGATAGCTTCAAAACGAAAACTGAATGCAGAAGGAGGAGAGGGATTTTATCTTATGACCTCAGACATTGCGGGAAAAAATGATTCTTACATTCCAATCTACCCAAGAAGTTTGCTCCCGCATGTTCCGCTCCCGCATGTTCCTGGCGAAATGTTGATTGGAATGCAGTTACGCCATGCCTCATTCCGTGAGCCCGAACATCTGCATCTCCCCAAGTCAGCCCCCTTTGCCCAATAAAACAGCCACACGCAAGGGGAATTCTTAAGAGATCTTGAAGCCATTGGCGGTTGTTTGAAGAAACACAAGGAATCTGGATGGCTGGACGGATCTCCTTTGTTGTCCGCGGGGAAAACTTGCCGACCATGTGAAGCCTTATGCAAGGACCGGTCGATCCCCCAGAGAGGAACCACGCCCCATTCTCATGCCATCTAGTCAATCTCATTTATCTCCTTACAAAAACAACACATTTGGGATCTTTGCCATTTAAATTGGAGTTACTACCTTATCCTGGATAGCCCAGTCTTGGAACCTCTGGGAAGCCGACAATCAGCTGACTGAAAATTTAGTCGGGGCACTGCAACAAAACCGAAATCGGAACAGCATGTTAAGCTTATCACGAGGCTTTGAATAGTATCACTAAACAAAAGCCGAAGGCAGGACGCTACTGTGTCGAGGGCGTTGCAATCAGTGGCCCGTTCCCGTTGAGGCAGTTATAGCCGGACATCGTCATGATAAGATAGACCCCGCACATGAGCAGCCAGGTTGTACTGTGTATATTGACGAGGTAGCTGGATTTTCTATGCTTTGTAGATACTGTCTTCCCACTCAAACTCTTATTTTCTGTCCTCGAAACCGTACATTCGTTACACTTGGAGCTTCATGATGGCATCAGAGAAGGAGCTCGGTAAGTATTTCCAGATATCCATTCCGAGGCCATGGACACAGCACACTTGCATGGATTTCCCATCGATCTACATGGTCAATTGGCTTAAAGCTAAGCTATCCTCTATAGTCGCCAAGTTGGTTATGGCTGACCCTGGCCTTCCACGGCCTAATCCAACCCAAGCGTACTGGCAACACGTCCCCCATGCCCTCGCAAATGCACAATCGGCCAGCTTGCCCACGGACAGAGACTTTGCCGTTATCGGATCGGGGATCACGGGTCTTTCGGTGGCCAAAACTCTACTGGAACGTCATCCTGCGGCGACTGTCACTGTTTTGGAAGCTCGCACGCTGTGCTCTGGTGCAACGGGTCGCAATGGTGGCCAGATGGCAGCTAATGTGGGAGAAGAGTACATGGATTTGGCCGAAGTTCATGGGCCAGAGATGGCGGGCAACGTCGCCAAGTTCACCTTTCGAAATTTGGAAATGATGCGGGAGTTGATTGAAGAGTACGATGCAGTGGAGACAAGTGAGATGCAAAATCTCAGGAAACTGCGGGTCTTCTTGACCGAAGACAAGTTCAATGATTTCAAGAAAAGTATTGCACGTCTAGAAGCAGACCATCCCTCGTTGGGCGGACTATACACGATTTTGGACCGAGAAAGTGTGTTCAAGGTGAGTTGTACCTGCGGCCTTCGGAATGAAGATATATTCTAATAGAACTAGGACCACGGAATCCATGGTGCAGCTGGGGGTGCTTTGCTTCCAGCTGGCACGGTGTGGCCATATCGACTGGTTACGAAAATATTTGCAGCCCTCATGAAGAAATACCCAGATCGATTGGCCATTGAGACAAACACACGAGTCGAGTCCGTCGAGCACAGTGACAGTTTTGCCACTCCGATCACTTCCGTTTTCCCTTACACCGTTCGCACTTCTCGCGGACCGATGCGAGCAGGGAATGTGGTTTACTGTACCAATGGATATAGTGGGCATCTCCTCCCTCAACTACGAGGACGCATTCATCCCTTCAAAGGCACCATGACAGTTCAAGATCCTCAGAAGGCCATGCCTAATCAAGGAACTTCTGTGTCTTGGGGCTTCCACTACCCGCCAAGGTACGACCCGGAGACCAGAATATGTGGCCAGGGGTTGTATTACCTTGGCCAGAGTGCCAAAACGGGATACTTTTACTTTGGAGGTGAAGAGGCCCGGATGGATGAGACTATATCTGCCGATGATAGCGTTGTAGGAGAGCACTCGGTTGCTCATTTGCGCTCCGTGTTACCGCAGTTCTTTGGCCGGAATGGTGCAGCCCCGTGGAAACTGGTCAGTTCCTGGAGTGGGATAATGGGCCTCTCGTCTGATGGCTTGCCATTAGTCGGGCGCCTCCCATCGACACTTACCGGTCGGACAGGGACAGGGGAGTGGATCGCCGCTGCCTTCAACGGCTACGGCATGGCCAATTGCCTGATGAGTGGCGAGGCGCTCGCCTTGATGATCTTAGGGGAGGACGTGAGCGACTGGCTTCCAGATGCATATGGACTTGGTGAGAAGAGATTGCAAGGGACTCTGACGCCTCCAGAGGCAATCAAGGCGCTGAGTGCAAATCTGTAAGTCCCACGTTGTTGACTACATATTCCCGCTGTTTGGGGGTTAGATAGAAGTGAACATCAACAATCAATATCAGTGTTTTCAAATAGACTGCATATATGCAGTCTTGGTAACACGCAAGGGTATCTAACAGCTTCATAGCGCCATGTCAATGCATCGAAGATTTTATGAAAAAAAAAAAATTGGAAGGGCCCCACTCGGGATGCTCTCCACGCCTGTCAGATGTGTTTTCGACCACGATGAGAGTAGAGCACATCTGATTCTCGAAAGAACAGCAAAAAATGGACTCGCGGGGAATCGAACCCCGGACCACCCCCATGCTAAGGGGGTATTATACCACTAAACCACAAGCCCATTGGATGTGGGTCGGTATCCGGAAAGTAACTCAGGACGCCTGAGGGGGGGGGGGGGGTGGAAAGTTCGGCCCGATCATGCTCGGCTTCACTCATCGCGGAACGCCTGGGCAATGACGAAGTCCATCATGGAGGAGTTGTCATCAAGGGTACTGGTCGAAGTTGGGGGCGATTTCCATGAATGAGGCTGGGAATGGAGAGATGGGCGTTCCTGGGCACCTCGTCCGACACCGTCGATGTTGCGCACAAAGTAGCTCGAGAGAGCCAGCTCGGAGCGAGATAGGGAAACCTTGAGTTTCCTGTGTTTTTCGGAGTTTTCTGAGCTCATCAACAATTCCCCCAGATGGGGGTACACTGCATCCCATTTCCGCATCTTGGAGACTGTTATGTCAGGACTGTCCACATTCTTTGTCGAAATGTCTCTGGATGCAATGTTGGAAACCACGTCAAGAAGAAGTAGATGAGTGATTGCAGCCTCGACTTCATCTTTCAACCCAAGACGGCCAGGGGACTTGAGGTCGGAGACTGTTGACAGATCGAACGAGACGTCAAAAAGGGTACCGAGTGGTGGGCCGGATAAATTGGTCCGAATTGTAACGGCGAAAGAGCTGTTGGGTGTGAGGAGCTTCCCGCGAAATACGGACTCAATTGGTCCGAGGAACTTCTCAACGAGCGCCTCAACCGTAGGTACTGAAGGGGACAGGCGGATCTGTTTCCAGGTCGAGAATGTGTTGGCAGTATGCTCCGGAGGTTCCAATCCAGATGATCGCAGGACACCGAAGATGTCACTGAAGTATGATTCCAGCCATCGTACATTCGACAAGTGCTGCAGATAAGCTAGGGCGGGGCGAAGGAGATGGTATTCTGGAGTGTGTCGCCTCTTGGTAGTAAGCGGCGGTGGGGTTTGTGTCCGACGTTGCATATTCTGGCGATGAGCAAATGCAAGAAGGAGGCGGATTGAGTGTGCCAGACCGTCCGCGAGAACACAGTCCTGTTGCGAGGCGTTTTGATCGGCTTGGAGGCTCTCGTCATTGCTATCCACCAGGTCTAAGTGGATTTCCAATTCATCAGAAGCGGGGATTCGAATTAGATTCTCACGCGTTGTGACACCAGAGCTTGCCATGGATCGGGCCTCTCGAACCAGTTCGTGGAACAGCTCTTCCTCAAAAACAGAGTCACGCGCCTGCAGAATACGTTGCTCAATCGTCTCGGTATCAGTCGAGTTTGACCCGGTCGGATTGGAGCTGGTAGAAACACGAGACCCTTGTTGCACGCGAACTCGGACAAAACGAGAACCAGAAGGAACCAAGCCCTTGTCCAGGATCAAGCTTCCATCCTCGGCTCGCCGAAGAGAAGCAAGTCCACGGTCGCGGAAAACGGGTGTAGCTTCCAGAAATCCGTATTGCACACCCAACGCTTGTCTTTCACGAGGCAGTCTGCAGACCTTCCATCCTTTCTCCTTGATAGCCAGGACCTCATTCCAGTATCGAGTCTCCGATGTGATTTCGCCTTCAAGTCTTGAAGACGCATTCAACAGCTTGTTGGCTGCGGAATTGAAGTTCTGTGTCCTCCATCCTCTCGACACGATTGAAAGGTCCTTTGTCGCCGATTCAGGTTTTGGAGGAGGGTTGACGACTTCGGAATTGAGGGAACCGACGGGTGCGACTTGCTTCAGAAACGCGGACATGGAGGTTTCGGCCTGGCGGGGAGCATGTTTGGATAGCAACAAGGAGATGAAGTCAAGAGCGAACATGGTCTCCATATGAGATTGCCTACTCATATTCAGTCAGCTGCCACATACGACAAAAAATGCAATGGTGATAAGATGACGGACATGGCAAATTGAGTGATATCGGCACGCCGCTTGTACAGCTGCTCGAGGCGCTCGGTCGTGTCGACATCGGATGTTTCCTGGTCATCATCCTCGGAAGGCGCACCATCTCGAGCTTCCTCCTCGGCAATCTTCGAGCGAAGGACATCCTCATTGACATCGCGAAAGGAACCCCACTGCTTGTTGATCTGGGCGATCTCGACGGGGAGAGTATCGGGGCGGTCCTGCTGCTCCACAAGCGGGCGCAGGGGGATGGTGAAGGAATCTGCCATGATAGGTGCAGTGACAGTCCTCCAGCTGCGATCGAGTGTGACAGTCGAAGAAGAAGATGTGAGAGCTGAACGAGAACAAGGACGGATTGGCCCGCGGTGCTTCACTGGGTGCACGTGACTCGGCGATAATATCGACGCTCGGCGTTTGCGTCACTCGGGCAGTCGCACTTATTTTTACATCTACTCTTCAGTTACAAACTTACACAATACGGCAGCCCTGGTTTGTTTCAAGTTCTCTTTCTTTGTGCAATAGTCTCGTTATCCGAACACGCGATCTACCTCCTCCTCAGTTGGAGCGCTGGCGGGTCTTGACAAAGTCCACAAGATCGAAGAAACTCTTCTTGTAAAATCTTTGCTGAGTTGTTCGGTTCACCTGAGAATAAAATTAGCTAGAATCGCGTTGATAGATTTGGCGACCTAAGGAAGGGGCGTTGTTGCTATTGCGAAGACAAGGAAATCGAGAAATAACCAACGCACCTTCTGAACCCCAAACTGGGCTGAGTAGTCACCAAACTCCCAATTGTCCATGAAGCTCCAGGCCAGCGCTCCCATAACGTGTACTCCATCTTCATAGATGGATTTTAGGATCTCCTGCATGAAAGAGGAATAGTAAACGCTTCGGGGTGAGTCGAAGAGCTGATCTGATAACTCCTTGGTTGCTTCTCCGTAAACCGGAAATCCAAACTCAGTCACAAAGACGGGAGTCTTGAAAGTATTCCACAGATAGAAAAGGTACTCCCGGAAATAGGTTGGCGTAATATAGACATAGCTGGCCGATCTGTAGCCGATATTCCAGCCGAAGATGTTTTTTGTCTCCTGGTTGACACAGAAGGGGAACAAAGAGTTGGAGGACGAGAGATTTTTGGCGCAGGCTTCAATACCCTCATCGACGGGTGACACGACAGTTGCAGTATATGGATCAATGCCAAAGAAATCCGAGGTACCATTTATGTACTCCAGTTGCGTGCGGTTCAACGGCCTGGCGCCTGGCATGGTCTTCAAAACAGACTCCGGATATTGCTTTCCAAGGAAAATAGGGTTTGCAAAGATCCCTAGCTGCATTTCCTGGAATCTGTTGGCCGCTTGAACGTGAGAGGCGTTGTGAGGATCTTTCGGCACGCCGAAGTTGTCATTGAACTTGATACCGATGCTACCGGTTCCTTTCAAGACATCATGATAGAAGTGGTACATCTGGGCATGGGCGTGAACCACATTATCAACGCCTTGGAAGTTAAAAGAGTAGAGCAGAGGCTCATTGAAGGTTACCCAGATCGGCACCTTTTCGGCATAATGCGCGAGAAGAACTTTGCCATAATTCACAAAGGCATCCACGAAAGTAGAGTTCTGATAGCCGGCGTTGTTGTAGCCGATTTCCGGGTGCCTTGCTGTAAATTTATTAGAATATTCGATAATTCCGAGGAAACCCAAAATAGAGACATACTCATGTTGTCACCGGCGATGAACATCAGAGGACTGTCAAAGTGAAGCATGGTGACAATCGGTTGCATACCAGCCTTCAGAACGGTGTCAATTAAATCGGCGTAATGGTCGATCCCCTGCTTGTTGACGGGTGTCCCGGGCAAGACGAATGGCAGAATGCGGGACCAAGGAATTGTGAAACTGTAGTACTCGACTCCCATGGCTGCCATACGCTCAATATCCTGCTTGTATAGGAAGTAGTTCTCGTTGGTGACATAGTCCTTAGGCTCATTGTCAGGAACCAGCTTTTCTAGCAAGGACGGAGAGCGACCTTCAAGGCCGACTCCTCCCTCGATTTGAGCAGCACTACCAGCAACGCCAAACACAAAGCCGTCGGGGAAATCATAGCAGTCCATTGGAGGTAAATAATCGCTCGGTGGCAGGACCAACTCGCTGCTTGGAATCGGAGTAGGGCTGACAGTGGTGGAATATAAACCGGTAGTTGTCTTGAAGTCATGAGCATGCGGTCTCGCAGGGCTAAGATGGATCACAAACGTAGTTGTGCAGATCAGCCTGCAGCCACATTGATGACCATGCCGTCTGTCCGTACGGATCATCAGTATCGGTGGCGCTGATTCTAGTGATACCGGGAAGCCAACTGCCCCACGTGGATGTTGAGAGCGATGTCAAATGCTTGGCCGCATCTGTATAGGCGGGTGCATATGTTCTGGTCGTTGTCGGGGACGGCATGGACGTTGCATATCTTAACCGTAAGCGAGGAAACTCGAGTGAAGCAGTGTACTTACCGGACTGTCTCATTGAGTGTATACGAAAAAGGCTGGAAATAATAGCTCGGAGTCGCAGCTGCCTGGGTGCATTGAGGGCGAGCCGAGTTGCCTGTCGTGGTGAGGAATATCTCCTGTGCCCCGGCGGCCACCACGAGGCCGGCAAGATAGACCGTTGTGCCTAGCATCGTTTTTGTTTACGCATTATATGGTCTGCCCCTTCGGTGCCTGGGCTCCCTTTAATAATTTTCCTCGATCCTTGGCTCGTTCCCGGTCCATGACGCCCCACCCCCGCAAACATGATGTAGTAACTTTCGAGTACACGTCGATCTATCAGTGATGTCTAAATCGACTTGCGAATGGTATAGATCGGCAGCTCCCAAGAAGCCCGGTTACATAGCGCATCGGGAAAATAGGTGCTCCACCCCACAGCGGGGAATCATGCAGGGTTCCATCGGCGAAACTGGTTTCCCCGCATTTGTGAATGGTGCGGACTAGTGCGGATATTCCAAGAGGATAATCGGCATACACGGGCTCAATAAGGGAAACCCGTGCACTCTACGACTTGTCCGACATCCACGAGTTCGGAAATTCCGAAAGTGGATTTTCCCGTTCATTTGACTAGAGTCCAGCTATGGACTTGGCCCGAAAATAATGCATTGGCATCGAGTACAGAGAAAAGAACATCCTCGCAGAGCTTGTTCCTCAAGCTCCCTTTCTATACCCCTACGGCCTCTGCGTCGAAGACGTGGGACTGACTATGGTAGAGGAGAAAAAAGAAGAGGAAGTGTGTCGACGTGTCGAGGGGAGGAGGACGGTGTTCTATAGATGGATGGCAGCTGATACGGCGATAAAAGCGCCAGGGTTCTGTACTCAGGAGATGGCTTTGAGCAGGTTATTAGGAGCCCCGGAGCCGACTAGGATTCTCAGAGATGGATTAAGCCGCCCATGAGTCGACGTTAAAAAATTTGTGATGTCTACAGAGCTGAATGTTCATTAAAGGTCCGTCTTCTGTTACCTATTCGCAGATCCAGCAGGTAAACTCGAGAACACCTAGAGATTATTAGACGAGATCAAAAAGGCTGCTCCGATAATGCCAGTCTTCAAGATCGAATTCCGGGCAAGTCTCATCGAAAGCCAAACCTTATCCTCGTACCAGCCCTAATAGGGCAGGCCCGCACGTCATTGTTGTGCCTTCATTTTTATCGCCGTTTCTTCCTCATAATCACCTCTGTAGGGTGTAAGGCACGAACCTGCCCCTTAATTGCGAGCATGAAACCTTAGACTTGACCCAGATATGATTGACTTCGGGTTGGAGAATACAGAAGCTACCGATCTGGTTTTCTGGCAGGTATTTCGATTTTTGAATCATAAGCGAGCGAGTCAATTTGAATTGGGCGGGCGGTGCTCGTGGTTGTTCTTTATTATTTACCAAGGAACCTCGCCTCCAGGATACTGGTTATTTCCTTCCGCCTCCTCCCATCCCGGAACATGGATGTTGACGAACTTTCCATTCTGCTCGGGGGTTGTCTTTTGCATGATATCAATTACTTTCTCCGCTCCAGTCTCTACGGGGAGATCTGCGTAAGAGCTGCCGAGATCGGTCCGTAGCCACTATTTTAGTTAGCAACAAAGGGGTGGTGCTGCAGAGTTTCGCTTTACTCACGCCTGGGCTAACGGCGAGGAAGGTGAAGCCTTCCCCTGCATACTCTTGGGCGTATTGTACAGTCATCATGTTCAACGCTGCCTTGGAGATCTTATAGGCGGGAGAACGGCCCTGTGCGTAAACTTTGGCCCGGGCAATGGAGCCCAAAGTAGTTGATCTGGAAATTCATGAGCTACCATCATATTAATTGAATGGCAATAGATTCTCACATATTAATCACAGTTTTCTTCTCTCCCTTACGAAGAAGAGGTAGGAAGGCCCGCGACACCAGGTGGACTGCAGTGACATTCGTGTTGAAAATCTCATTCAGATTATCCCTGATTCCACCATATTAGAGTATGATTTTGACAGGAATCATGAATTGACTTACATGCTCTCCAACCCATCCTTCGACCAATCCATCACACCCGCATTGTTAATCAGGTAGTCGAGCCCCTTGCCTTTCAGTTTATGCTCAACCGACTTGACAGCCTCCTCAACACTGGTTTTGTCGGTGACATCTAATTTGACAAACTCAATTCGTCCCGATGATGCGTTCACAATCTCCTTGAGCTGATGTGGGTTGTCTTGGCGCGCGGTCGCAATGATACTTGCGACTTCGGCCTTGGGCAATGACGCCAGTCGGGAAACAAGTGCCAGACCGAGGCCGCGCGATGAGCCGGTAACCAGGTATGAAGCCATAGCGCTTGACTTGAAGTAACTCCGTTTGCGTGTTGGAGGTTCAAGGTACAAATTGCGGGAACCGGTTATTCTTAAGATGTGGGTTCGTCTGCCGTAGATCGACGTAATCTCCGGATTAAATCCGCTCTCCTCAACCCGAACAATCAACGAGTCTGGCCATTTTCGGCCTCGCTAGATGCCATTTGTAATCTAACTACGCGCCCCCGAAGCCACCGAAGCTCGAGGATCAACCAAGTTTGTGGTAATGTCGACACGGTATACGTGAGAACGGCATCGATGTCTAACCAAACAAAGCCACCCTTCTATTTGCTATACGGAGTCAAAAACTGAAAGAAGCAGATATATGGATATGAAATAAGCCATCATATTAAAACGACCTTCGATGATGGATCTGGTTATTTGTTCGATAATTTATATGTGCTGAGACTTTCGTGGAAGCTCAAGTGAGCTCCATATTATAATCTGTCGTCAGTAGGGTGTTGCTCCGGTTTGGTCCCGCATTGGAACATTTTCAACATCTGTTTCGGCGTGGAAGTCGTTGCGGACCTTGTCAATTTTCCGCGTATACGTCCAGCTATCCACACCGAGAGAACTAGGGAATCCAACACCACGAATGAAGGCCCTTCGCGGGCCGCGAGGTCCCCAAGCCCAGCCTGCGCCGCGCTGCATCGGAAGGTGGTACATGCGGAAGCCAATGTAGGCAAAGAAGATACCAACAGCAGAACCGAAGAGGATATCGAATCCGTGGTGTCTGTAGTTCATCCAGCGAGAAGCGGCAATAAAGCATGCCGTGGCCGTGGGCACAAATGCGAGGATCATCATGAGAATCGGAGGCGCCGCGCCGCGCGTACGGACCGAAGACCGGTCATCGCTAAAGTCTTGACCCTCGACTGGGTATTGCGGCAGATAAGGGAAAGCGATGGAAAACTTCGAGGCCAGCCAGAGTGTCAGGTATCCCAAGCCGGCGAAAGAGACTGCGAAAAAATGTAGGTTAATAAGTGCTCTTCTAACCATTCACGGGTCAGGATATACAGGAAGAGTGGCCGCTGGGGAAACTCGAGAACCCATCCACGCGCACCAGATCAGACTGATCTTGGCAGATCGTCCAGTCGACAAGAACTGCGGCGCCCTGCAGACGATCACCGAGTCCACCGACCACATGAGCAGCGATGTTGCTCACATCCGGGTTGCAACGCGCCAGAAGATCAGGACGGGGCTTTCCAGTAAGGTCCTTCAATCCCTGAGTGGACGTCCAAGCAGCTGCCAGCGCCAGAGCCAGGCCCAGCCAGCCTGCATTCCACTCCCATATTTTGCGACGGATCATTTGCGTCTTCAAGGCTTTCGCACCATCGGCCGTGGCGGTCCCAGGAACGAGCGCGAACGCACCGAGAAGGACGATAACAGCCGGAGCAAACAGTCCGACCAAGACCAGGGTTTCGGTCGTCACGGTCTCGTTCTCAGTATAAGGGAAGGAGATGCTCGGGTCGGCGAGGGAAAACGGGTGGTGGTTGGGTTCGACCTTGTAGAAGCCATAGCCGATCAATGCGAGGCCTCTGGTTTTCGAAGTTAATTGACATCCAAGGAATGAATCGCGCAGTTAAGACGTACACAATGAACACCCAGTCGACAACGTATGAGAGCACCAACAGCTTCGAGATACGCGCGATCGCGTCCACGGGCGACATCTCGGTGGACATGCGGTGTGTTGTTCTCTATCATATTCAAGGGGCGGAACCCTTGTAATATAGGAAGATCAACTTCATAATTCCCTAGGAATTGACTCCTGGTGACCAAGGAAAGAGGCAAACACTCGGCGCGTGCTCGGTCGGCGCTAGGCAACGATCGCCCTTTGAACTCGGTGGGCCTTGCGCCTGCCCCTTGTTCTGACACAGACGCAAGAATGATAGGGACTGAATTCAACGAAAGAATTGATGGACAGAGCAAACAGAAAGAGCGAAGGAAATGGTTTTTAAATCACAGCAATAGTGACGCTTTATTGTTAATACCCAAGTGATATATATCTTCGGCTACTTATATATTTCTCACTTCTTGCTTGCGTATTGAACTGCAGGTGAGACTAACAAACACCCAAGCTTCTAGTTTGTTTTTTTTGAATATTTGGACATTTTAGGGATTGTATTGCATAAGATATATCTGTTCCAAGGCCCCAAGTGACCATGAAATGGTTCATTCGTTGATGAAATGGATTTAGACCAGGTGCTGCAAGTCGGAGAGACACGGCATTACACAGAAATACCAGGTATTTTGAGTCCGCTCTTAGTGCGTCGATATAAAATACATACTATCCATTGGGCTTGTGGTTTAGTGGTATAATACCCCCTTAGCATGGGGGTGGTCCGGGGTTCGATTCCCCGCGAGTCCATTTTTTGGACCTTGGGTCACCAGAACACTTTTTGGAGATGAGTTTTTGGCATTCGCTATATATAATCCGAAAGAACGGAACGAATAATTGAATGTTTTGTGCGTCAATTTGCCTGTTTGAACAAAAAACTACTCCTCCCAGTTGAAATTGACCACAATGCGACCGGCAACTTGTCCTCGGCGCAATTTTTCCACGGCCTCGGGCAATCGGTTTATCGGGTAGACTTCGCTGATCTGCCGAAGCATGCCTTGGTAGCCGTTAGTGAACAGTAGCTAGGCCTGTCAAGATCTTATGGCACGTACCTCTTCTGGCAAAATCCAGAGCCGCGGCCGTGTCTCGTCGGCTGCCCACCAAGGTCCCCTTGATGCTAAGATTCTTGAAAATGTACTCACAAGGGTCGGTCCCGAGAATCATCGACCCCCTTTGCGGCAATCCAATACACATCACCATGGATCCGATTCGATCTCCGACGTAAGAGACTGCAGTTTTATATGCGGCTGGAGCCGTGACGAAAACCCCGTGTACCCCGACACCATCTGCGATATCAATTACGGATTTCGAAGGGTCCTCCGACTCCTTGAAATCAACAAAGGCTTCTGCTCCCATCTCCATTGCCAATGTGCGTTTTTCGGCCCCGGTGTCAACGACGATGGGGCGCATTCCGAAGGCTTTGGCCAGCTGCACGCCCTGTATTCCAACGCCACCTCCGCCGCCCGGGAAACATACCCAAGAGCCGGCTTTCAGATTGGATTCAATGATTGATCGGTAGATAGTGCTCGCGCTGCACATTACGGGGGCGGCAATCTCGTCCGGCACGCCATCGGGAATTGGAGACGCGTACCGGGCAGGGGACACGAGATATTGCTGGTACGTTCCTAACAGAAAGTGAGCCTCTTCCCAAAGATTCTTGTACATTATAAGCTTACCGGCCGTCATCAATCCAGTGTGAATGGCTTTCTTGCAATAACATTCCTTGTCATCCCAACAAAGATGACAGGCATGGCACGTGTCCATGAGAGGTTTGATACCAGCTCTGTCACCCAACTTGAAGGTCTTCACATTCGCGCCAACCTTGACGACGACACCCGCACCCTCATGACCCGGAGATCGGACACCGAAGGCTGACATAGGTGGCAGGCCTAGATCCCCCTGCATCATATGGATATCGGATGAGCAAAGACCGGTGAAGTTCAACCGCAACAAGACGTCATCCGGCCCTGTGAGAATAGTTCAGTGATTGCATTTCAACGACTGATAAATGTTCTGCAAATATACCTGGCTCAGGGACCGGCACCACTTGAACCTCGAGATGGAAATTTGGACCTTCATTGATGACCACGCCAGCCTTGCAGTGGGTGGGAATCTCAAAATGCGGAGTTTCAGTTGCAGAGCCCATCGTGCCTTTTGATCTTGCTAGATTTGACCAGTGAGCCCATCAACCGGTAAGTTCTGATTTCACGATGGCGACTCCCCGAGAAGAGAGGGGGTATATGAATCTCGGGGCAGAGCCGATCCAGCACCGAGGCTGACCGCGGAATCTAGCCGCTATAGCTGCCACCCCTCTTTCCGACCTGAGATCCTGTCATAATTACCTTGGGACTTTTTCAGAACCCCTCTTTTACGGTGCAGTGAAGATGGGGCTTTCTCTGTTGGAAAGCGGGGAAGTCGCTCTCCCCGTATATCCAAAGTGGAGAGCTCAAGGAATCATCTATACTCGGTAAAATAAGAAACAAATCCCCCGGATGATTGACATCTCCGGTATCCGCTTGGCATCGACCGCTGAAAGAGCGTCTATGTTTCCGACATGGACGGCAATAGCGGTCGCCACTGTACTTGGTCTGATAACTCGTCAGGTTTCAAGATTCGCGATATGTCAGAAGAAAGATAAAATTCTATTTCCAATCGCTATTCACAGAAACTGCATGTCACGCCAATCACACGAGCACATCGACAGAAAAAGCAAAAGAAAATAAATCAATCCCAGATCAACCATCCGCAGGATCCCCCAATCATGACCATCGTCATGGCTGTTAAGATACCGGCGCCTGCTTTATCGGCGGTGGTGATGGAAAATGACAGAGCCTTTGGCATTGGCTCCTTGGGTTTACCACCGGCATCGGGATTTCCTTTGCTGGTACCGCCATCGTGACTGGTAACGGGGGGAGCCACATGCGTGATGAGGTTCGCCTGAATTACGTCCAGAGAGGCCATCTGTTGACCGAAATCCTTGGTGTTATCCCATTTCTGTTCTGTCCATTTCAGGCCACAGGTTGTCCCTTCACTTCCACCAGTACAACTCTTGGCCGCTGCCTCGGCGGTGGCCCTCAGTTTGGGCATGATCTGGTCGTAGGTAAATGGCGCCATCTGAGTGGTGGCAGCCATCCATCGTGCGAGATAACCCTTGAACGAGCGCTGATCCACCATGCATGTGTTGACTGTTTCACAGGCACGCTCGTACATGACGTTTACTGGGTTCGTCGCAAAGAAGACGTCGGAGGCATTGAGGACCTGTTGAACCCGGTACTTCCACTTGGGGTCTTCAGTCTGTTGGAGAGTCAGCCCGTAATCTCAAAGGATCCATAATCTGATGTTCAGTACTTACTGCATTGTACATGCTGGCTGCGCCGAGCAAGTAGACGCCAGTGTTGTATGTCCACTCGATCTTGTTCATATCTTTGCAGCCCGTCAGATCGCTTGCGCCATCCCAGAAATGATAGGTGTCGGTCATGAAGCCGACTTGTTTGGTCCAGTCCCAGGCTTTCTCTGCCCAATCCGCATACGTTTGGTTGCCGGTATACTTGTACAGGCGCGAAGCGATATTAAAAAAGCCGCCCGTAGAGATGGTGTTCTTGTAACTATAGCCGTTGTTCCAGGTGAAGATCTGCCAACGAAGTCCACCACCGCATGTACCAGGGTCCCATCGTGACGCCTGCGTGTTGAAAACAGCCTGGGCCATCTCGAGCCATTGAGGCTTGTCGGCGGGAGGGTTGGGGAAGTTGCGCTCGGCAGCAGACATTGCAGCGAACCCCCAAAATGCTTGATCGTCGTTTCCTTCCGTCTTACTCTGGTTACTGGGCATGAAGGCTCCGTTGTCACCGGCCTGCCACAGCATACCCTGAATGGTGATGTTGTTCCATTGTGTGTCACCGGTGAAGAACCAGTAGTCGACTAGCGCGCCGAACATGGCACCAGCCTCCCACCAATAATATGGATCGGGCAAGTTACCTGGGTTATCACCAGGGTTCATACCGGTGTAGTAACTCATCATGTTGGTGGCGACCTGCTTTGAGGCCTTCTTGATAGAGACTGTAATACTAGTTAGCCGTCGACCACAGATTGTCTGACAACTGTTTGCACCTACGGTCGTCATCGAGATTTAACTCAACAGCCCCAACAGCCTGCAACCCCATAAACGAGGCTGTTAAGAGGCCCACCCATGAGGGGCGGGGAGCCCGTCCGGTCAGGCGCATGGCGGGCGATTTCGGCGTGAATCAGAAATGAAAGGTCGTTCCCGGATGTCTTGATGTCCTATCAGTCTCAATTCATCAAGGAATTGTTTTTGCGCAAAGGTCGAATGCTGATGACTTTCTTGATGCCGTTAGATACGACGATCAAGTATCTCCAGACAGAAGATTAGACATAGGAAAGGGAGATCTGGGGTGCAACTCCATTACCGTGATGAACGAAGAGAGGGGTTGTGTGGATCAAGCGCACACATTCCACAACACCAGGAGTGCTGGCATGGTAACAAGGCGTATATCCCTCGAATCACCTCGCGTCCTACACAGGAGTGTATGGGGCGGTAGGGGCGATATTCGACCGCATAAAGCCTTTCGATTGCCGTATCCTGTCAGTTCTGCCGGAAGGAGCCCGAGGTAGGTGAAAGTGCAACGTTGGACCTGAAATTCATCGTTCGTTCCATGGTTCTGAAGACTTTCGGTCCACGATAGGGATCGGCGAGGAATGCGGGCGGGGAGCTGTCAAACAGGGGCTGCATGATCTGTTCAGGGCCGCAAGAAGAGGAGACCGAGTGTGTGAGCCAATGTATTGGCCTTTCTCGGGATGAGATGGAGTCACTATGGAAGCGGCTCGTTGCCGAAAGCGAACGGGATGCAACTATCGACGCATGCCGATGTTGTAACCTTTACCCCTTCCGGCAGGGAGTGGTCGAAATTCCTGTGTCTCGTCCCTTTCCGCCCTGGTTTGACGAGTCAAATAACATGGACTCAGAGTACAATGTAATTGTCGCCTGTTTAATCTGTAATTAGGTTGATGTTAAAAACGTGTCGAAGGCAGACATGGAACCCTGCGCTGAAGGGTGGAGTGTTGACCTTGGAACAACGTTGAAACTCCCTGCCAAGAGAAAAGGGCTGGAGTGAGATAGATTAAACATATTACCTTCCATTCAAACTGTTCAAAGCACATGCGTCGGCATCTCTTCATCAATAATTAGCAACGATGTCGTATTAACGTCACTGAAGATGGACAAGGTGGGGCGTTTCGAAGAGATGTCGGCGTCTGTGAGTTTGGCTCATCATGTGCGATAAATAGAGAGAACCCAGGCGAACTCGAGATTGATCTGGTATCTCGGACCACTGGTCCGGCGAAAGACAAGCCATTCCTTTCCCATCGTAAGGGGATCTCCTCCTTCTGGCAAGATTCGTATCTAGTCTGGTGTGAGGTTGTAGTTGTACTTATTGTTAGGTGATGATAGAGCATAACTTTCATAGGTACTGCCAGTAGAGCGAACACTTTTATAGAGCTCGGAAACTCTATTGGCAGGCGCTAGCATCCCGTTAATGTTGATCCACCCTACGATGTCCCCTGCAGGCCCCGGGGGAGATGACTTAGCAGTGTAGACCGTCGATGACTTTATAGGAAGAGTGGGAGTATACGAGGATAGTTCGTTGATAATCTAAATATTGTTGTTATCATCGACCTCTACGTCTAACTTTTCCTGGTTGAGGTATTCTTCCTTAAGAGTCTATAACAGTGCCTCGATCGTACCACGCTTTTCTTCGTAGATTAACGCGTTGCGTAAGTTCTGAGCTTTTCTGCGGGCGAGAAATAACAATATTACTAGTCTATAAAGGATAATGTTCTCTAGCTAGTTCTTGCTTTCGAAATCGTAGTGCCGAATAACAGCGAAGGCTTTAGTGGCACTAAATATTATAGGGCGTTGTTCTAAGATAAATCTCCTCATAGCCTTCTCCGCTAGGAGTTTAACTTCCTAGCGGAGTTCAACGGAGATATTACTAGTGAGAACTATAATTACGGTTGGGACAGGGGATATAGAATACAAGAGAGGTGAATCAGAGAAAAGGATATAAAATAAAGATAGATTAGAGAAGGCAAAAGTTGGAAACTTAGGGATGGGTGGAGGAGCCCAAAGGTGCGCAGGACTCTTAAATACGTGCCTCCAACTTGCCTTCTCTCTATTCCAAGTCACTCTCATTTTCATTTCGCTGACCTTCGTACCGTGATATCTACGTGTCATGGCATGTAGAGTTTGTATGATGGGCGTGGTCCTACTTATTCTTTCTTCCCTCACTTTTCCTCTCACTTTCCCTCTCAATTTTCCTCCCACTTTTCCCTCACTATATCTCTCTAATCCCTGTGCATTAGCGAAATTTGACCCAAACACATATGGACCTTACTTGTTAAAAATGACAAGTTCCTGCTCTCGGGACGCTGGCTTTTGTGGGTGTTTCCACAATACGCAATGGTTTACGATCGCGCACTGAGATATCAACCCAAACCCAAAGATCTAAGATTGCGTAGTAGATGGAAAAAGCAGCCAGAGCAACAAGCTATCCTTGATGATAAAGGAGAAGGTGCAGATGATGGTTGGGTTTGAGGGAAATCTGCACGATTCTGCCATTGGGGTTACTGGGCGAATTTGAAGAAGCAGACGCTGACGCACTTCATCCAAGTTGTGTGAAGGTAAGCGCGGGATAGACCGTGACGATGTAAATTGCTAAAAGATATTGCCATGATCTTGTTCTACAACCCGTGAAGTAGTTTTCAATGTTCAAAGTAATAGCCTATGGTTGATATTGACAGCCAAATGACAAATTCAAGTTGTTTAAGAAGCACATGCGGATATGGTCATAGGTTCAAAAGAAATGCAAGTGCACAATATAGAAGGCAAGTATCACAATACAACCAAATCGTAGGGGCTATTCACATATACACAGCTGCAGTCTGTAGCAAACTTAGAACCTGTGGCACCTTCGATCCCGAATACTCTACCCCAAGAACCGAGGGACTCTTGATCGGGTTTTCAGCATATAACATGTGAAGTCGTTGACCCGGCGACTCGCAAATAATGGGCGCCTTGTGCAGATCCGGAAACGAGAGCACTTCCTTGGTCGGTGCACTGGTCCACAGATAATAGAGGGAGATACTCGTTAGCGCTGTAAAGTCTCGACTGAGCTCCTTGAGAATAGAGGTCCAGTTGTCATCCTGTGCTAATGAAACGTGGTAGAAGGTCACCGTTGCGAGATTCTTGCGCAGGCGTTTGAGCAGTTTGATGAGATCTGGAGCTCTCACCAGGGTTCGGAATAATGCTAATTCTTGAAGCTGGGAGAATGTGGCTGTCTCCGCTAGCTCATGCATGAACTCGCAGGCCAGATCATGAGAGCCGAGATTCAGGAGCAGGGTTTTCAGGTTGGGTGCGCTCAAGATTAATTCCAGCAGAAAGCCGAAATTGTCGAGAGTCAGATATTGTTCCAGAGATAGTTTCTGTAGATTTGACCAGACCATTTTAAACTCGGGCTGTCGGTATAACAGTTTAGGCAAGCGACGCATGTCCATGATTAAAGTCCGAGAGAATTTGTTTGCGTAGATGAGATGGAATGATGAGACTGGTAGTTGTGCATCGACGATGAGCGCAAAGAACACAGCGACCGCGTCGGTTATAGTGACGCGACTCATATCGGGATGCCCTTCGGGGTATCGACAGAAGATGAAGAACGAGCGACAGTTGGTTAGTTTATTGATGAGATTATCGCGCAGACGACGGATTGCTTCAACCTCCATCGGAGCCGACAATGAACCCCAGGGGTGACGGTCCCAGACCAGGCCGCGACCGACCCCATTCTGAAGCATAAAAGCTAGACCTTGTACATAAGGACGGAGGGCCGGGTGTTGTGAGAGAGCGTCGACTCGCTGGAGACTGTCATCGGAGAGGTCGGTTTTAATGGAGGTGAAGAATCGTCGCGCAAAACAATGGAATGTCTTTTTCTGCAGCTCGCGACACGTCAGGCGGAGGTCAAGTAAGCCATCGCCTTCGAGGTCATTTGCGATGAGCTCGACGAGTTCGACGGCTAGCGTAGGGAAAAGAGCCGTGTTCGATTTCATCTTCTGTGGGCTGTATGGGACTGTATGGGAAGTGGAGGGATGATCAAAATCACATTGCGACCGGGACAGATACAATCATCACTACCAAGTGGAGCAGCAAAGCTTCCCCGGATTCCAAGAAATAAGCGGATTATCAATGGCTACCCCTCACTTTGTCTGGGCTGGCGAACGGGATCAGCCGGAATGGGAAACCGTGGCGGAAGATGGGCACGGAGAGGGAAAAGGTGAGCCAAAAACACGGAAGGGTGGACTAGGGAGGAAGTTTCATTTCAAGATTGACGGAGCGCTGTTGAATTACTAGAACCCGCTACCAAGATGTCCCAAAAGATGCGCCCAAGGGATCGCCGATGACGTGCAAACGCCGCAAGTACAACTCCGTACAAATGAATCATTAATGCTCCATGGCCGCAGCTAAACCCATCCACATCGCACATCGCTCTGCCTGCTCCGGGGGAACTTCTTCCATCTTCGTCGAGTTTGTTTGTAGCTTCAACCGCTGGCCTTGGTTGTTCCCCCAAGCAAGCCATACGGGCGCATTCTCATTCCGATACTCGTTGGGATCGAGCGCCTTGATGAAACTGATGTAGTAGTCCATGGTGATGGGGATAATCGCAGAGTTAGTGGTGGCATAGGAGTACGTGGGCTCATTGGTTTCTCCGACTCCGAAGATGGCTGGCAGGTCAAAGACGTGGGGAACTCCCATTCCGTTTGCGATCTCGGTCGGGTCTTGCACGTTGAAGCGGTAGTTCCAGACCTTGCCGGGCGAAAAATATCGAGACATGCTGGCAGCCATATGATTTCCGGGGCAGGTGAAAGTTGACTCTCCGTAGGCTGCGGCCGCAGACGGAAAGTATGCTGCATGTTTGGGAAGAGGATCCATGACTGGATACGCCTTGTTGATGGTATCTAGCTGGAGGTCACTAAGACCTGGGTAGTTGTTTTTTATGAACTGTGCCACTTCATCTGGACTCGTCGCGTTGTATGCAAAATCGGTACCCTCGTTATTATCGTCGGTGACAACGAGAGGAACATGGATGAGCTTGTCTTGATCAAACGACGTGTACAAGCGATCCTGGACCAGCTCGCCATCCACAACTGGAAGGAAATACCACAGAGGAGCGGGATTGCTACTCCCACCGGGAAAAGGCTGGTCGACGTCGTATTCCTGGATCGTGTCGATATGAGCGGAGCGTAGACAGGAAAGAGAATCATCGTGTCCATCGCAGCCGACATCCTTGACGAAGCGCTCGTACTGGAATTGCATCTCCGCGACCGTCCGCTGCGTTGGCCAAAATGTGGACTCGGCCACTGCTCCCACGAAAAGATTGTCATTGCGACCGCCGTATGCAGTGAGATGATGCGCGACGGAGCCAGACCCTGACGAGTCTCCGTGGATCACGACGTGGTTCGGGTTGCCACCGAAGTGTCGAATGTACTTTTTCACCCAGAGGAGCGCCTTCCGCTGATCGAGCAGTCCTGCGTTGAGGCTGCCATTCTGGCGTATGGTTTCGCTCGCAAGAAAGCCCAAAGCACCAACGCGATAGTTGAAGTTCACAAAGACAATATCATGCCCGGATTGCTCCACAACATCGCTCCCGTTGTAGTTGGCGTTGGCGTTATTTGCGTATCCGCCGCCCTGAATGAACAGCCACACGGGGAGATTCAAGCCACTGGAAGCATTTGTCGGCTTCCAGATATTGATGAACAAGCAGTCCTCCGCTAGGGAATCACTGGGAGCCTGTCCGACACCGACACAGATAGGTCCGAACTGAACCTGTCAGCCAGTTCTGAAAGGATACACGCAGGGTTTTTACCGATGATGCATCCAGAAGCTTGCTATTATGCTCGGGATCCTCCGGTGCTCGAAATCGCAATTCATGCACCGGAGCTTTCGCATACCTCATTCCCAGATACTGGTCCACATCGTTGTACAGCGACACCCCTTGATAGCGGGTATACCCCAGGTCGAGAATCGCCGCCTTTGGTAGGGACGTGGGGGGCGCGGCTGAAAGAAGACCTCCAAAAAGGCCCACAATCAGCACAAGTGACATATAGATGGTCATTTGATTCTGTATACTTCGTGTAATACGAAGCTGTACGACGGACTACAGTAGTTGCCGTGTCTTGGCTGACGCCATGTGTGGACCTGGATGCCACGTGATTAACAAGGGTCATTGGAGTCCAACCATTTACGTATGGTTGACGACTGTTGACGATTGTTGATACGTTGACTGAACTGTGCTTCAAGAAATCTCTTAAGTGTATATGCTACAGACGTTGGTGAAGGTACTCAAAAGGCAATGCGTAATGTTACAATTATGACAGCATATGATACAGGGCCAATTTCCGAATCTCGTAAGTCATTAACTCATAACGGGCCTCTCTAGTACACTCGATGAGAATGGCTCCCACGACCATCAGTGCCATGCATACGGCGAGTTCCAGCGGCCTACATGAGTGGTTAGTACCATCCCCAAAACGAGAGAACACTAATGACATACCTTGACACCGGGACGATGAGTCAAACTTCCCTTCAACTTCAACATGGCCCCAGAGAACTTATCACCCATGGTAACCTTGCGGTGGTGGTGCTGAGGTCTAGCGGTTCCCCAGTGTCGCTTGGTGGTGCGGTGTGTAGAGGGAGCGTGGCGGGTAGTGGTGGTCTTGGTATTAACCGTTTGCTTCCGAGCACCGGGGCCACGGAGACGAGTCATCAGAGAGGGCTTCGACTCGCTGGTAGTGGTGGTAGTTGGGTGACGACGGTGAAACATTTTGATTTTGGTGTGATTGTTTGATTGATTGATAGAGAAGTAGGTATTTGATAAGAGAGCAGTCTTGAAGAATAATGGATTTGTGGAGGAGGCGACCGTGTTAAATAAACCGTTTGTTTCGATAGAGGCGGCAAACCTGATACCCCCATGACAGAAGCTAACGTGTGTCAAGTGTGCCATATCGTGGTGTAGATTGGAGTTGACAGGGATAGTATGGTGTGGCGTCGAGCCGGGACGTCATTCGTGGAAGATCAGCGCTGCCGATGACCAGTCTCCTCGACAGGGTGGAGAGCTACTGGTCAGCTCCACAGGATGATGTGGCTTGTTTGTACCCCGTGGCGAGAATCGTCATCAGAGGCAGGGGCTTTCCAATATCGAATTTGGCTCATGCTGTTTAATGAAAACTGTTGCCCGTGCGGGTGTGACATCATTGTAGCGGGACGTCACCGTAGGGCTCAGCTATTTTTATTTCTTATCTGCAAGAAAGCCATGTTGCAGAGCAGTACAGTAGATCACAGGGTAAGCCACAGTGGACGGATGGAGGGTGTACAGGAATGTTGTCGCCTTAGTGGACCGGGCCATAACAGCACTCGAATTAGAGTCATGACGTGTGGCCGTGCAGTCTAGTGTTTTTCGTCTTGGTTTTTGCGATCATCTATACTGTACATTACATTTCTGCGCCAGAACAAAATACCCCAGTTCCTGCGTGGCGGCAGGATCTTCCTCCGTCATCCCCAGCTCCTCCAGCAGCCGCTCAATGTTACCCAGCACCCTCGCATCCTGCCTCACGACGTATTTCATTCCCTTGAACTGGTAGCTGCTTCGGGCCCCGTGTTCCAACAAGCATTTCACCAGCCTTGTATTTCCCAACCGAGTGGCCGTACGTAATGGTGGCCCCCTTCTCCCCACTGCGTTTGGGTTGGCTCCCCCCTTCAGCAGCAGCATCGCGGCTTCCACCTCCCCGTCTCCGATGGCTCGCTGGATGGGGGTCTGTGAGGCTCCAGGATCCCCATTAGGATCGACCCCATTGTCAAGTAAGAGTTGGATCATTGCCAATCTTTTCTCGGAAGGACAGTCGTGTAGCGCGATGGATAGGGGGGTCTTATGCCTAGGAGAGGTCCGCGTTGCGACCGAAGATCCTTCACGACGTAGAAGCCATTGCACAACTTCCAACATCCCGTTCCTGACAGCGTCATTAAAGCAAAAAACCCAGAGAAGGTCCATATCCGACTGTGACCAATTCATATATTTCTCCAAGATAGGAACCATCTCGGTTTTGCCGATCCGTAGCACTCCCAGCACAGCCGCACGCAATTCCGAGAAGAGATTCTTCCCAAGCTGGTTCGCGCGCTCGCTCAAAAGGGTAATCCACGTCTCCAGCACCTCTTGATTTCCATGCCGCGCAGCTACAGCCAGCCCACACGTGCTATCATGACACCACGACGAACAAGTTTCGTAGCGGTTCGGACAACCGTTCTTCACTAGCGTCCGGATGACCTCTCGCGTGCCCACCTTGTAGGCCATATCGATCGGCACCATACCAAGAGTGTAATTCCAATTAAAAATCTTGGACCTAGCACCCTGATCAAACATTGCTTGCAGCTCCTCATGGTCCCCTCGGCGGATCGCACTGACGGCGAGTCCCGCCGCGAGTGCATCTTTTGCGGACTCCAGACGCTCATTAGAGGTGTAGGTGCGTCTTAACTTGCGAGCGTAGTCTCGATCGCTACGGAGTCCAAATAAAACCTCAGGATCATCGCGACTCCCCATCACAGCACCTACCATCTTATCGATGATGATATGTTGCTCTTCGTCGCTCATAAGCGCAATATGAGGCAGATCCAGAATGCGCTCAATCAAACTTGAAAAGAAAGATGGTCTCTTCTTGTGCTCTTCAATCAAATACCAAATGTATTTCTGCTTATAAGGGAAAGTACGCCATGACGTGAAAAGAGTCCTTTTATTGTCGAGATGGGCGTTTTTCGGCCAAAGTGCCTCATTAAAAGTGCCTAAAAGAAGTTTAGTATGTGCCCTACCGCGGTACATGACTTGAATGAAAACTCACGGTTGACGAGCCTGAATCGCAGAATGTCTCGGTAGGACAGGGTCTCGACCGCTTCCCGGAGTATGATCTCGAGAATCTCGAGCGGGACTCGCATTGTGTTGATCGGGCGTAGTACGGAGAAAAGATGCCCGGGAGTTTTACCCCCCTTTTATTCACCCGGCGTAAAGGTCCGATTGCTACTGAGTCATTTCGCTCCCACACGTGAGAATCCGTTTTGACTAGTACTAGAATCCTTGACTAGCTATGTAGAAACGGGTGAATTGTGGGGCGATGCGATGGTAATTTACAGCTTGTTTAATTGGTAAACATTCAGAGTGGAGATGGTACTGTAAAACGGGTCCAATTGTATTGACAATCTGCAAGAACAGCGGTTCTTTCGAGATCGCCCAAATCCAAAGGAAAAAAAGATTATAGCGTGCTTGATGTACCAAGATTGCGAAGAAGTGTCTCTAAGAGCTCTTCCTCAACCACAGCGTCTGCGAGTTGCAATAGCCCAAAAGACCGGTCAAGCCCCATTCCATGCCTATACCACTCTGCTTGTGACCACCAAATGGTGCTTTGGGGGAGATGTCAAAGTGAGAGTTAACCCAGACACTGCCAGCCTGGAGCTGATTAGCCATACGAGTGGCCCGATCGAGATCCTTAGTCCAGACCGACGCGCCCAGGCCAGTCTCCAGCGCATTCGCTTTCTCAAGGACATCGTCCTCGTCGGACCATTTCATGATGGGAAGAATAGGTGCAAACGGCTCCTCCTGCACGACCCGGGATGACTCGGGCGGGTTGTCAATAATGGTCGGGTGGATGAAGTAGCCGTGAGAGTCATCGGTCGAGCCACCCAGCACTGCCTTGAGCTTCTCGGCAGTAATGGAACCCAAGAGCTCCTTGGCCTTTTCAAATTGCATCTTGTTTTGAACAGGACCGAAGAAAACATCAGGTTCCGTACCGTCTCCAATCTTTAGCGTTTTCACGAACGCGATCAGCTTCCCCAGGAATTCGTCGTAGATCTTCTCGTGGACGTAGAGACGCTTGATCATCATGCAGATCTGGGCACTGCACAAATAGGCAGAGATGCCAACTTTGGGAATGACCGCATCAATGTCGATATCGTCACAGATAATGGCTGGGTCATTGCCACCGAGCTCCAGAGTTACTCGCTTGAGAGTCTTGGCGCAACTAGCCATCACCCGCTTGCCAGTCGCAATGGACCCAGTGAATGAGATCTTGTCGATACCAGGATGTTCTGTGAGCATCGGGCCAAGGCTGTCATCACCACTCAGGCACTGCACCACACCAGGTGGGAAGAACCGAATCGCCAGCTCGGCCAGCTTCAAGTCACAGTAAGGGGTGAAGGGTGAAGGCTTCACAATAACAGTATTACCGGTGTACACAGCACCGACAACCTTGCCCGTGGCAAGCAACACGGGGAAATTCCAAGGCACAATGGCACCAGCAACGCCCATAGGCACGTGGCGCTGAACAATCTTAAGATCATCCTTCTCCTCGATCACATTCTCTTTGATCTCGATATCAATCATGACCCGAATCCATGTAACGGCCATTCCCACCTCGGTTGCGGCCTGGTTCAGCGGCTTTCCCTGCTCCATCGTCAGGGTTTTGGCGAATCTATCAGCATTGGCCTCGATCGCGTCGGCATAAGCTGACAGAGCTGCCCGGCGCTCCGCGAAGGATGTCTTGGACCACTTCTTAAAGGCATCGCGGGCACACTTGACGGCCTGATCGACGTCCTCCTGGGTTGTAACAGGGACTTCGGGGTTGGGCTTGGAGTTTGCGGGGTTGATGCTGTGGCGAGTGGTGGCAGTTGACCTCAGTTCGTTATTGATGACATTGTGATAGGTCTGTTTAGTGAATTGTCAGCGACCAGTTCGCTTTCCACGTTCTAGCATAGAAATACTCACGGCGAAGTCCAGGGGACCGCTCTTGGTAGTGTCGACAGTCATCTCCAATAATTAAGGATAGCTAGAATAGCTCAATAATTGCAGAGAGTAATTCAGTCCAACGACTTTCAAGTATTTATAGAGGACGTCGGTGTAATTGCACTGGCGGCGAAGTGCTAATCAGCATAGGCTTTATTTATAGTCGAAGCCGAGCATCGTCACGACTCCTTTCAGTAACGTGAAACCCGTGAAATCATTCCGACTCGCCAAGTCCGTAAGCTTCTTTACTCCGCTTCATCACATGGATAGATGAACCAAAATCTAACTTTAAAAAAAGACCAAGAACCTAAGAGAGAGAAGAAGATGACGATCCCCCAGTTTTCCCCAATTTGGGGCCGAATCCCGGATCCGTTCGGGCATCGCGGGGAGCAGATCCGATGTACGGGGAGTTTGCAGAGAGTTTGCGGGGAGTTTGCGGGGAGTTCGCGGGGTCCATGGTCACGGGTCTGTGTTTCCACAAACCCTAAACTTCATAATTAGAGAGTTCCTTCGGGTGTGTTTTTCGGAAACTTTCGGGCCTTGAACTCGGCAGGCAGTGTGCACCGGGTTCGAACTACGGCATTTGGCCGGTGTAATGTGATCATTGTCTGGGGCCTGAACCGTGCACGGCGTCTAACTAGGCTGAAGATGGGTAGTTTAGGTTTAGAGAACGAACAAATTGATGGTCGGGATTTGAATTGCGTTTTGTAGGTGGCCGAGAGACGAGGTCCGCATATTCATCTCAACCCAGCTGTGGTAGTGGCAGATGTAGTCGGATCTGACCATGACAAGTTCCAAAGACTGGCCAAAATTGAAGGCTCGGGGCCCCGTGGAAGGATAGCAGTAATTTCAACATTGCAAAGGATATGTTCAAATTTCACCTAGTTCGACTTGGACTAGACAACCTAGGTAAAGTTTATCTATTCCACAGGCCACCGGCCCTGCATCTTGCTGGACAAGCCAGATCTCTCAACAACTTCCCGACTTCGCTTCTTTGCATCCTCGACAATCTCCTGCTCATTCATCGTCAGTAGCTCTCCACCTTGAACAAGGACCTTTCCATCCACCACTACGAGTTCAACATCTCGTCCCGTGGCAGTATACACGACAGCACTGGCCGCATTGAACCAGGGCTGACTGTGAATCCCACGGACATCAATAGCCACAAAGTCAGCTTTCTTGCCAATCTCGAGACTACCAATACGGTCATCCAGTCCAAGAGCTCTGGCGCCATTGATGGTAGCCATCTCCAGAACCGACTCAGCCGGCACAGCAGTCGGTTCATACGAGATACTCTTGTGGATGATCGCAGCAAGCTTCATCTCCTGCAGGAGGTCGCAGGTATTGTTACAAGGCGCGCCGTCGGTCCCGAGGCCGATGTTGACGCCGGCCTGCTGCATGTCAGGTACCCTGCAAATGCCCGATGCCAGCTTAGCATTAGACGTCGGACAATGTGCCACATGGGTCCCCGAAGCCGAGAGCCGCTCGATATCCGAGTCATCCAGATGGACCATGTGTACTAGTACAGTGGATGGGCTCAACAGTCCTACCGAATCACAATACGACATAGGCGTATGCGACACAGACGCAAAAAAGTCGCGATCAGCTTTGACTTCCGCACAGTGCATAGTGACGGGGATTCCCTTCTCCCGGGAGATCGCAGTCATCTCCTTATAGAGAGCATCGGATACCCTAGAAAATGTTAATGGTTTTAGGATCTATTAAAAGTAGGTGCCTACCCTCCAGGAGTACGAGCTCCGAACCACACGCGGATACGGTCATTGGCAGCACCGTTCCACTTCTCCCACATCTTGAGCGTTCCCAGCAGGGAAGTCTCGCGGTTCTCAACGAGGCCCGGGTGCATAGCCCAGGCGTCGTCTTTGGCGTACTTGGCGATGTCCATAACGATTTTGCCGAGACAACCTCGAATACCGGACTCTTCGACTGCACGGGCGAGTCCGTCGAAGCCGTAGCGATCGGCAAACTGAATTCCAATTAGCATGAAGCCGAAAGTATTCAAGACGACGAACAACTACATACCATGCTCTCGAGGAAGCAGGTCGTGCCCGACTTGAGCATCTCGCCGATACTCAGCCGAGCCGCAGCATACCCGTCAGCCTCGGTGAAGTTACCCTGCAGCACCCAGATTCGTTCACAGAGCCAAGAAACAAGCTCCAGATCATCCGCAGTGCCTCGCAGCAGCGTCTGAGCAGTATGCATGTGAGTGGAGATCAGCCCAGGGATGATGATGCGACCGGACAGATTGACCTCCTCATCATCGGGGTATCGCTCTTTCAGCAGAGACGTTTTACCAATGTCGGCGATCGTTTCACCAGTGACGCGAATGGCACCGTCGTCGATGATGCGACGGGTGCTATCGACGGTGATGATGGTGGCGTGAGTGTACAACATGATGGTGTTTTGGAATTGCTAAGTTGGTGCAGAAGCCAGTGCTAGGTCACAGTATGGCCGGGTTGAACAGGTAAAAAGAGGTTTGTCTTCTACTTATGCGAGGCGGGTAATTTGGCGATGCCCCTCACTGTGCGGGATCGACTCGGAGACCGCCGACGCACGAGGGGCAGCGATAAGAGATAACATGGACTCGGCTTCACGCATTGCAAATGGCAATTGCAAGCGTGGAGATCTCCGATATTTATCTACGTAGTTTCGTGATTCATTATGTCATTGATCTATTTCATAAATTAGCTCCTATAATTCGAGAAATTCATAAACGTAATATCTAAATATAGGTCCGCAAGTATTCCCCGAGCGCCATGATGGCCATCGCCTGCCCATAGGGCATGGAAGTCAAGGCAATGTCCTTGTAGAACTGCGAACAATCACCCATTCCCGTTCCGAAGCTGGTGTTCCGAAGCTCACCCTTGCCATCTACATCCTTCAACACAGAGGCGATGGCTTTTTCAGCGACAGGCCTGTATTGTGCGCCAATGTATCTCTTCCGAACAGCCTTCAGAATACCATAGGCGAATCCAGCAGTTGCAGATGCCTCGAGGTACGAATCAGGGTGATCAAGCAGTGTGTGCCAGCCACCAGACTCCGACTGAACCCGCTGGAGAGCCTCGCACTGCGCCTCCAGTGTCTCAATGAGATGTAACCGGATAGGATCGGTAGGCGCCAGGCCGAGCACCTCGATGACCTCCGGAATGACAATAGTAACCCAACTGTTACCGCGAGCCCAGCGCGCATCGGCAAAGTTGTGACCACCGTCCTCAAAAGTCCAGCCGTGGAAGAACAAGCCGGTCTTAGTATCGAACAGATACTTGATGTGGGTAAGGAACTGTCTCTTCGCCTCGGCAATATACTCAGGTCGGTTCAGGAGCTTCCCGATCTTAGCCAGCGGCATAACAGTCATCATGAGTGTATCATCCCAGAGCTGCTGATAATTCTCATCGATATAAGTGATGTGCTGCATGCCGCCGTAGCGTGTGCGTGGCAATTCGTACATCGCCCATTCAGCCCAGGCATCCAGCCAGGGGCGGTAGCTGACGTTGCCGGTCTTTTCATAGACGTAAGCGAGGGTCAGGAAGACGGCCATCGTATTGATGTTCTTGGTGGTGCCCCCCTCCGCAAACCGCGCGGCAAACCAGTCCTCGATGATCTTCACCAGCTTCTCGTCGCCGGTCATCTCGTAGTACTTCCACACACCATATAGGCCGATGCCGTGAGTCCATTCCCAGCCAGCCCAGGACTTTGTATCAATAACGCGACCGTCGGGGAGGGAGAGGAGGAATTTGCCATTTTCATCCTTGATGTTGACGAGATTGTCGATGAGGAGGTTGATCGCGCTGTGCATTTCGGGGGCGGGCAGTCGCGTCGCAGCCATGGTGGTGAGATCTTGGCGATGCTTGAGCACGGTGATTGATGAGAAGAGCTTAAGCCCAAGACTGTTCTCTTCGATGGCCAGAATCTTCAAGTCTAGTATTAAGTAGTTGCGGATGATTGCTGAAGAACTCGACGGATCCCCGCGCGGGCCTGGACCAGCTCGGGGTATCGCAGGCCGAATGCGAGTGGGCGCAGGTGCCGACACTGGGCAAATACAGGTACATCGAGGCGCTAACGAGGACTAAGGGCGCATCCGAGGGCAGGTGGATTCGCTCGGGACTTTGCTTCCCATATTTCCCCCATGAAGTGCGTGGGGGGACGTACTCGCTTTGCGAGACTCCGGCTGCCAATAAGCTAGGGAGAAACAGGCGGCGGGAGGCATTGCTACATTTCATATGCTGCTAAAAAACAAACTTCTTAAGAGAAGAATGGAGAGTTGATATGGTCATGGTACATGAGAGGAGAAATGCAAGAGGGGAGAGATCGTAAGTCATAAGTCACCGGTCAAATCACCATCGAGAATCCACGGGTTCAAACAAATTGCTCTGGTTCTCGTGTTCGGCAGGCATATCCACGATATTGATCCCGCGCTTTCGTGCAATGTCGCAAAGATGGTCACAGGCCTCGCGTGCCTGGCGCAGTACCTCATCCGGCGCTCTCTCAGCCTTGTTTCCCCACGATTCGGAAGACTTGGCTTTGTGGTGAAGGTCCAGAACAAATGCCAACTGTCGGAGATGCGGGAGGAAGGTCTCGGACTCGAACGACTTCAGCCAGTCTGCCCAGTGCTCTGACCGACAAAGAGATGCAGGGCCACGGAAGTACAAGGTTGACAGATTGGGCGGCAACACCTTGTAGAACGTGGGCAGGTAGGAAGGGTCCTCGAAGACTTCACCTACGGTCAGATTGAAGGTTTTCAAATTGTCAAGGGTGGGCAAAAAGTCTTGAAAGTGCTCCTCTGTCAGATAGTGAAAGTCTAATCCGCTTGTTGAGCGGATTTTCAGGGTCTGCAGGTTTGACACAATATGTGGGAGAGCTAAAGTCATGCGGCAAAACGTGTCGATGGCATCATTCTCAAAGATTTCCAGTGTCTCCATGTTGGTTGGACCTGTAGGTGGTTCATTTTTTGAGTCTTTCTTGGCGTCAGGATCGCAGTAGTGTTCATTCATGTACTCCGCAACCAAAGTAGGGAGGTAGCGAATCTCAATCTTGCGCTCCTCGGGCGTCCCCTCGTGAACTTTGATATGCTCTGCTTCCTTATCTCCACGTTTGATATCCTCCTGATGCTGTTTCACTAGCTCATCACTCGTCGGGCCCACAAATCGAAGACCGCATGTCAGAAGTAGGGTGAGATGTAAGACGCGGCCTTCCAGGATAAATGGGGTTTGGATCACCTCAGACACTGCCGAGCTCAGCTGAAGCCGTTGAAGGGGCCAGTGTAAAGGGATCTCGTCATTCAGATCCTCATTGAATCCACTATCGAGCTCCAGGTTCTCAACCGCGGTAAAGTGTGAACCAAGGAGGTCCCACTCATCACCGGAGGGGGCGTCATCGTCGATGCGTAGGTAAGGGGTATCTCGTGGAAGACCTTGAAGTTGGGTTTGGACATCAGGGGTATCATTGGGATGACCCTCAACACCCTCCCAAGGGATCCTGACGATGGCTGGGGAATCAGGCATGATGACTGGGGTCCGTTGGTAGGTCGAGGTGTACACAGATGCGTGAACAGAGCATTTGACCTCGACAGAGGTAAATTTCGAATCCAGAGGTTTGGTCGACTGAGAACGTGAGATTGGTGTCCAAAAGAAAGGTGAAGAGACGTGTGAGAAGAGAGGGCCTCGTGCTTTTAACGTTCGGCCAAGGGGCAGGCGCATTGCGTGACAGTTACGAGATTTCTCGGTTCACTGCCCTGGTCTTCAAAGAATGATATCACTCAGTGTTGTCAACGTTTCTTCTGAGCTCTTTTGGATTGAGATCTTGACTCATCTTTCCAGCGGAAGGTGTTCTCCTTTGGTCAGATTCCAATGAACTGTTTACGCCGGAAAAACAACCGCCCGGAATTGCAGGGATCTCGATAAATGCGACTTTTACTTGAAAAGCTTTATTTATTTTTCCGTTCTTAACGTTTGCTTTAAAACTTCATGAGTACAAATGGCTATGTTAAAAGAGTGCGTATTCTGCAACTTGATCCTTAGCACTAAGGTTCTCAAGCTCCAAGCTCAAAAGATTGAAACTTTCTTTCAAACCATTAAGGGCAGTTTAGTGTTAGAATCCTCACCCATTATCGGTTCATTGATTTGTTGTCATTCATGATCCGTACTAGTCAAAAGACAGCGCGCAGGGTGGTGATTTGAGAATGAGGAGGTAGCTTGTCGATCTTGGACTGGAACTGATCTACACCTCCAGCACTTTGGTCAGCGATCAACAACCAGACAGGCACTGACTGAAGGGCATGATATACGGCAACACAAGCCGAGAGCGTGAACCCACGAGGCCAATGAGGGGCTTAGCCACGACCGCCACAACTGTTCTCAACCCACTTGTTCACAGCTGTTATCGGCACTGCGAAAGTAAATACAGAAATCATGTTCGAATTTCGGAACAATTTTACAACTAAGACAACGTTTAAACCTTATTGGCTATCTCCCCTTCCTTTGAGCCGTCTATCCCATTCCAAATCAATTTCCCTCTCAGCGTCATACCTGGAGTAAATATTAGCAGTCACCCCGGGTAATATGAAAAAGAATAGAAAGATATACCCATAGCACCACATCTGCGTCGCAGGGTCACTCCATTGATTCGGGCTATGGGAGAAGGGTCGGCCCTCGACCTCCGGCCGCATAGCGGCGTCGCGAGCCTGTTGAGCAGGGCCGTCCGCGAAATGCCACAGCTTCCCCTGGAGAAGACTTGCTTCTTGCATTTGGTTAGCTCTCTGCATGCGAACTTTCTCAAAGGCCGACAGGGCATGTGGAATATGAGCTTTGGATGTGATTTTGCTCAGTGCTTGAGCGAGGGCGACCCCGTCTTCCACTGCGATTGCGGCGCCTGCAAAGACCATCAAAGAGGTTAAGTCAGGCTGTTATACAAACGGCGATCATTGTGTTCATACCTTGAGACATATATGGGAGCATTGCGTGCGCAGCGTCGCCGAGAACGACGAGCTTGCCTGATATCCAGCGATTCATGATCGACCCACTGAACAAGGGCCACTTGAGTGTCTTGTCGATCATGTTTATGATCTTGGACAGACTGAAGAGAGTCAGCAACATCATGCATAGAGATATTGCTAAACATACACTGGATCCCAACCCTCAAACTCTTTCCGCATGTCGGCGATCGTTTCTTCTTCAGTCGTATCCCAGCCGGAGCCATCATCAGGATGGGACAAAACCATGTTAAAGGTCTTTCCGGCTCCGATTGCATATGTCATAACATGCCGCTTGTCGCCAAGCCTGGTAAAGTCATTAGAAACAACCTGGAAGAAGCACAAGCTGATGCATACCACAGGTTAAAGGAAGGCTTTTCCAGTAGCCACGCAATGTCAGGGTCACCCTGCAAACGATCGATATCCACCACGGCCCGATAGGCGGCAAAACCAGTCCTTTGGGGTGGATGGTCGGTGCCTCCTTGAACAGTTCTCCGTGCAGTGGAATTGACACCTGTACACAGATTAGCCATGGGCCTTACATACGCATTTCCCGAGACGTTACCATCTGCAGCTACAATTAGGTCAGCGGAAACCGACGAGCCGTTTTCCAGTGAGAGGCTTGGACCCTCGACGTCGTACAAAACAACCTTTGAAGCCAAGTTGACGGCAACGCCTAAGTCCACGGCCAGCGCATGCATCGCCTCGTGGAAGTGAGCCCGATGAATTACCCAATATGGCGCATCAAATTCCTGTTCAAATTCAGGATCCAGACGCGTTCTGCCGATGACTTGACCGTTTTGCCATCGACGCATAAGAACGCTCTCTGGTTGTGTCACATGTCTTGCTAGATACGGCCCCAGACCAAGTTTGAGCAGCAAACGTGACGAGTTAGGGGGATCTGTATCCCTGCGCCAACCTACAAAGTACCGTTAGTTTGATGATTATGATGGCTCGCTGCATTTTCGTACTTCAGCCAGTCGATTTGCCTGCTCATAGATGGTTACATTATGACTCTTCCGAGCCAGGGCAATGGCTGTAGCAAGACCACCAAGACCGGCTCCAACAATAACGACATTTAGTTTTTCGCCGTTGCTCGCGGCGTCTGTGTGACTACGCTCAAGCGACCTCAAAAAGTAAAGGCAGTTACTGGGATAACCCGGCAACTGGACAGTGCATCAGCAACTCGTGGCCAGGGGCAGAGTAGAGAAAGAAAGCTACCACACTCGACAGAATACGGGTACTAACCTTTAGCCTGTCTTGACTACTTCCAGAACCTGTTTCCATTGCACCGATGCGAACGGAGGTTCCTGGGACTAGGTTTCACGCCAGAATATCGGTCTCAATTGAGTTGTCACACGTGGTGAACACGGAACCAGCAAAAAAAAAAAGGAACCAAACATTCCCGCGCAGTGCATGGCGTTTGGTTCCAGGGACTGAGGAATGGGGGGGGAGGAGGAAGTTAAACGCCACGGCATCAACCCGGGACTGCGCTAGAGCGTAGTGCCGGTTCACTGTTATTTGCCAGATCGAAGTGAGATGGCTGACAGGACTAGCTGTAACAATTGTGACAAATGAAACCTGGCAGTCGCTTTTCAGCGGGGCCTTCAGCGGGCCCCGGTAAGGCCACGGCGTGGAGACGACAGTCGAGTTCCCCACGGGGCGGATCGCATTCCGGTACGTGGCCCGACCATGCCTGAAGAGACTTGGTAAGCTTTGTCCAGGATGATTGTAACCCTACTGTAGGTATACGCCCAATCATGGCGGTGAATGGGGATGCAGCGCTGTGGTAATTCGCTGCGAGGCGGAGATCATTGCCTTCGGGGCCAGCAAGGCGACGATGCGTTGCAGGCGCACAGTCCTCGGCGGTAGTTTCGGCGAATGGAGACTTCCCGTGCAGAACCGGATAAATTGGGGATCACTGGAAACACGAGAAACGTGGAACTGTAAATGGAACTTGTGAGAGATCAGAGGGTGGTGGCGGTCCAGATTTGAGTTAATTTACAAGTCGAATAAGTTAATTGATGGATCCTGCGCAATAATACACTCCCGCGGTCTCGCATCGATCCCATGAGATGTAATCCACAATAAGGATAGACCCATATCCCCGCATGACTGCATCCGTGCCTCTTTCTCCCCTCCTTCATTCCTGTATGATTTTATAAGGCTGCGTGGCTGTGAGAAATGGCTCACGCAGCACCAGCCGGCTATGGCACCACTCTGCTGGTGGTGACTTGGGTCGAGGCCGCCATCGCCTTCCTGCTGCTGCTGGCTCGCGTGTACACGACCTGGCGGATTACTCGACATGTTCGCAGTGATCTGTTCTTGGCTCTGCTGACATTTGTACGGAAGATACCTCCTGGACAGCAAACACCGAAGCTAACAAATATTTTGATGTATAGGCTGTCGCCATGGCAAGCACGATATTCCTCACGGTCAGCATCGGCTACGGACTCGGCGAACACGTAGCTGCGGATGCCCTGCTACCCGAACAGATCAGCGCAGCCATAAAATGGAGTTGGATCAACCAGGCCCTGGGAATTTTTGCGATCGCGCTGGGTAAGCTAGCCATTGTCGCCTTTCTTCAACAGATCCACGGACCTGAACACCGAGGGCGAGTCTTGATGCTATGGGGCGTAGCCATCAGCAACCTATTGATCAACTCAATCACCATCGGCATGATCTACACTCAGTGCTCCCCTCGAGAGAAACTATGGAACGATGCAATTTCGGGATCGTGCGATGGGCGACGGCGAAACCAAACCACCGCGTACTTCCAAGGAAGCTGGTCGGCCTTTTGTGATCTCATTCTCGCTCTGTACCCCGTGGCTTTCTTCTGGAAAGTGCGACTCAGCATGCGCATCAAAGTCGGTCTATGTCTCCTGATGGGACTGGGCATCATTGCCTGTGCTTGCTCGATTGTAAAGACCACATATCTGCGAGTACTCTCTCAGACTCAAGATGTTACGTACTACATCGCGCAGCTGGTGACATGGAACGAGTACGTCTCTCTCCCAACGAAAGCACAGCACAAACTAATAAGACGATAGAACGGAGAAATGGGTTGTTTTAATAGTCGGGTGTATTCCGCCTATTCGTCCTCTGTTGATGGTCCTCTTCCACAAAGTTGTCTCCTCTGTACGCTCCTCTCCCGGACATAATAAGCACTACAAGGAGACCGAGCTGCACTCCTACTCTCAAGTATCCAGTCCAGCCGTTGGCTCACGATCCGACACTGCACGACTTCCAAGCGTGCTATTCGCAAAACGCAGCGAAGACAACGCTCTGGAAGAGGGAGCCATAATGAGAACCACTGATATCATTTTGAGCTACGAGGTTGCACATCAGCTCCTCGCACACCGCGCGCACCAAGCGACAACCGACTAGTGACTCCCCACGAAATATATAAAAAAAATAAGCTTAAGGAGCTTGACGCGGGTGTATCGACGGGACCAGGTGCGCCCCCACCGAGAGACTTCGCAGCGGCATATTTAAACTAATATAGTTCATTGTACATTTGGTTTCGCTCCCTTAAAGTTTTTCACCGATCCAAGGTTGAGAGCAGGCCAAATATATTTCTGAACACCAGTCATTTCAACCGCCCACGTGGCTTTTTATCTTGATCGAGTCTCAGCGGCCATGTGGGCAGACTAGGCAGAATCCCGAGGCCATAAGGTCTCAGCAGCTTACATTGTTCACATCGTTCACTGATGAGCTGCAAGACTCCCCTCTGATTGGCGAAGGGAAGTGCGGGAGGTTGACCCCACTCGCAACCAACCTTCAACTTCGTTTTGTTTCGCGGTTTCCCTCCGCATCCGATGCGCTGTTCTCTCGACTTCGGGCTTAATGCCCTTTCGTACTGACCGAATGGAGATGGACGAGATGGAAGACCGGCTTGTCACCACCCCGGAGCTGGTGGGCAGCAATGGCTCGTCTTACCGACCCCGCGGCTATCAGTTGGAGATGCTTGAAGCGAGTCGACAGCAAAATATCATCGTCGCAGTGAGTCGATTCATCCCTCTGATGACAGACCTCTCTAAAATTAGATCTTAGATGGACACGGGAAGCGGAAAGACTCACATGTATGTTGATCTTTTACTTGGAAGGTACGGTTTCGACAGATACTGATGCGGGCGCTAGAGCGGTTCTGCGGATCATCTTAGAATTGGAACGATGTGACCAAGAAAAGGTAAGAGCGGGCTCTCACAGTAAGCATTAATGGTTGGATTTGACGAAATTCAATACAGATTGTGTGGTTTCTGGCTCCGACCGTGGCGCTATGTCTCCAACAACACGAGATCATCGCCTCACAGATCACATCAGTGAAGACTCGAGTTCTCACTGGTCTCGACAACGTAGACCGCTGGACCGAGCAGGCAGTTTGGAATACTGTGCTTAAAGGTATCCGCGTTATTGTGTCTACCCACGCTGTCCTCGCGGATGCCCTCGGCCACGGCTTTGTGCGCATGCCACAGTTAGCTCTCCTTATTTTCGACGAGGCCCATCACTGCATGCGTCGGCATGCGGCCAACAAAATTATGCAGAAGCACTACCATCCGAGGCGGCTGAAAGTTGGCCCACATGCCGTTCCTCGAATCCTTGGATTGACGGCGAGTCCGATTGTCCGGTCTAGCAGTCAAGAGCTACAGTGTGTTCTCACAGGAGGCTTCTTCCCGTTCATGTCTGACGTTCATCTAGCTTACTCGAAGCGAATCTCGACGCGATATGCAAAACACCCCGTACCCATCGGGCCGAGCTTCTTGAGCATGTTCATAGACCGCATTTGGAGCGAATAAACTATGTGCCTTGCGAATTGGAACGCAGAGGAATTGGCAGTCGACTACTTCTCCCTTTGGTACATTGCATTCAGTCCTTTGACCTTAATGATGACCCGTACATAGAGATGCTTCGCGAAAAGCCGGAGACCCAAGAGAAGGCAGAAAGGGCGTTGAATACCGGCAAGACATATTGCAGCGAGCAACTCGCCAAGTTTCTCGAGCGCAGCAACTCCATCTATGAAGAGCTTGGTGGCTGGGCAGCCGACTACTTTATCGAAGCCTCGATTGATCAGCTGCGGAGATCCATTGAAAACGACACCTCATTGACAAGACTTGACCGCGCCGAGCGAGACTTTCTCCTAGAGCTTCTCCTTGGAATGGCCATACCCGTGGACACAACCGAAAGCACACACTTGTCCCCGAAACTCGAGACCTTGCTCGCCTTTTTGGAAAAGATGGATGGCCCTGGATTTTCTGGCTTGATCTTTGTTAAACGGAGAGCCACCGTTAGCGTGCTGACCCGTATTTTGTCGTTACATCCTGCAACCAAAAACCGTTTCCGATGTGCATCCTATGTCGGATGGTCAAGCATCAGTAATCGCAAAGACTCACTGGGCGACCTTCTCAGTCGGGATATGCAAAGGGACACACTCTCCGAGTTCAGAGCTGGCCGGAAGAATCTGATTGTGGCGACTGATGTATTAGAAGAAGGCTTGGATGTCAGCTCGTGCAGGTTAGTGATCTGCTACGATAAGCCATCCAATCTCAAGTCATTCGTCCAGCGCCGTGGACGTGCTCGGCACCAGGAATCGACATATGCTATCATGATATCCACCGAGGATGAGTCGGTAGATCTGCGCAAATGGCAAGAATTGGAACATGTTATGGTTGAAGCATATCAGGATGATCAGAGACGATCTCGGGAAGCATGGGAACTCGAGAGAGTTGAAGAGGTGGTTGCAGATTATCTGTTTGTGCCGTCAACCAATGCACGCCTGTCTGCCGAGGACGCAATGCAGCACTTACACCATTTCTGTGCCGTGCTACCCATTGATCAATATGTTAATAACCGTCCAATGTTTTCATTTGAAGAGGATGCCAGTGGACTCGTCCGAGGCACTGTCACACTTCCCAACTCTGTTCATCCAGCCGTACGCCGTACCCAAGGCAAGGCATGGTGGCAAACAGAACGGGCAGCAAGGAAGGAGACGGCCTTCCAGGCATACAAAGCGCTCTACGAGTATGGTCTTCTAAATGACAATCTGTTGCCATTGACTCGGAAGCCAGAGCTTCGATTTGCCGAGGAATCGGACTTACCGGCCATTGTGGACGGGTCAGAGCAATACGACCCTTACGTGGACTTGGCTCACGCTTGGTCAACGCCTCAGCTTCAGCTTTACAGGACCACTATAACAGTGTCGAACCAAGATACCGGAAGGATGGACGAAGACCTGTCGATGTCAATTGTTCTGCCAAGATCGACTGCCATGCCGGATCCTATAAATCTCTATTGGGAGAGTGATGTAACATTGATAGCAACATTCACACGACCGGAGCCACTTGACGGAGCCACGATTGACACGATTCAGACCATGAGAGAGATCACTGCCATCTATCTTCAAGCTCCCAGTTCCCGCATGCAACCGGCTACTCGAGACTATGTGGCCCTTTTTGCTCCTAAAATCCCCAGCGAGCAATTGAAAGCCTGGCTGTGTCAGTACGAAGGGGCAGAACAAGCTTTGGATGTGCACACTCGCGATGCCTCGACAGCCCCCACGGGAATCATTCGCGACAGGGCTAAATACAGTGAGCCTCGCCTGTTCAAAAAGTGGATAATTCCAGACGGCGACCCCAAACGTGCCTTGGAAGTCGAATGCCGGTCTATCCCACGACGACGCAACTTCTTGCAAAGTGGAAGTATTCCGGTACCTGGCGAAGATGGGGAGCCTGTATCCAAGATCTATCAGATGCCAGCGGTGGGATGCACGATTGACCGACTCCCCGCTTCCAAGGCCATGTTTGGGCTTCTCATCTCAGCTATTTTGGATAGATTTGAAGCTACTTCAGTCGCGCACAGGCTAAATGAGACCATTCTCAGGGGTGTTGGGATCCAAAACCTCAGTCATGTTCTCACCGCCATCACGACTCCCATCGCACAGGCCAACACGCACTACCAGCTGTACGAATTCTTCGGCGACTCTGTTCTGAAGTTCACTGTCAGCTGCCAGTTGTTCTTCGCACAGCCAACCTGGCATGAAGGATATCTGTCCGAGAGTCGGGACAAGCTGATCAAGAATAAGCGACTTGCGCGCGCCGCTCTGGACACTGGTCTGGATAGTTTCATTCTCACTGATCGCTTCACTCCTCGGAAGTGGGATGCTCCTCGGATTGGCCACAAATCAACGTACACACCGAAGAAACGCAAGATCTCAATGAAGGTGTTGGCCGACGTGGTTGAAGCCTTAATTGGGGCTGCATACATGGACGGCGGGATGCACAAGGCGCAAGCTTGTCTGCACCGATTTCTTCCAGAAATCAACCACTTCACCAGCAACATTTCATCCATGATTGGACCCGCTGACCGAGGGACCAGCAATCTCCTAGAGCCGCGTCGTCTGGCAAACCTGCTTGGATACACTATAACGACGCATCTCTCCTGACAGAAGCTATGACCCACCCGTCCTGCGAATTTGACACGACGACGCAATCCTACCAACGCATTGAGTACCTCGGCGACGCCGTTCTAGACATGGTAGTCGTGTCCGTGCTCGCTGCGCACCCCGACCAACTCTCACAGGGAACAATGACCCTCATCAAGCACGCAGTAGTGAACGCAAACCTACTCGCATTCCTATGCATGGACCACGCAGTACCAGACGAAAGCACCGACGTGACCCAGACCCCAACCGGAAATGTCGCCTTTGTCCCACGCCACGGCGAAATTCACCTCTGGCGCTTCCTCCGCTTCCATGGACCTGTGATCAAGACCGCACGCGATTCATGCGTCGAGAGGTATCATTCCCTACGTGATAGCATCAGATTCGCACTTGAACACGGCAATCATTACCCATGGGAACTGTTCGCGTCTCTCCGAGCCGACAAATTCATCTCCGACATCGTGGAGAGCACGCTAGGTGCAATGTTCGTCGACTCGCGCGGGGACATGGACCAGTGCTACGCATTCGCTGAGAGGATTGGACTCCTGGCATACGTGCGGAGGGTGATATCCGACGGAGTCAATGTGCAGCATCCTCGGAACGCAGCGCAAAACATAGTTAAGACGTCTGGGAATCTGGTATTTAAGACGAAGCGTGTTGAGAAGAAGGGTGTTGCGGCGACGTATCGCAGTTCGGCTGTGATCAACAAGGAGGAGATTGGGTTGGTGGAGGGTTGTGCCTCGGCTGAAGAGGCTGAAGTGAAGGTTTCACTTCTTGTTATTGAGAGGCTTAGCGCAAAGGAGGATGCTATGGAGTGATTGCGTAGCTTTTTGTTTTGTACATGGAGGCTGTGACCTCGGGATGACATTGAATGATCATGATAATGAATACCATGCGACGATGCTAGGATTGTCTTGCGAGTATTTTCTTTTTTCAGTAACGAGCCACAGACAAACACCGAGTGTCTGAGGTTTGGAGTAGTCTCAGTAATGATAATTGTAGTAATTGCACGATAGAACGCTAATTTACTGCTTCTGGGCTCCCTTGCGCTTCGACCGCCGCACAGGCTCGGATTTGGACTCTTCCTCCGGAGTATCCTGCGCCTCCTCGAACTCCTCGGAGTTTTGCGAGGGGGTGGTTTGTTCCTCGTGAGGAACCATTACCTCCTCGTCATCCTCCACGGATTCCCTCTCGGATAGAGCCTCGGTGCTTGCCAGTTCCAGATTCCTCTCCGGGGCCACAGTCTCCCTCAAGGTTGTCAAAATCCTATTCGTCTCGCTCTCAACACCATTCCAGGATCCACAGCTACCACAGCGCCAGCGGCCCAATTCCTCTGGGGTTTTGATTCCCGGCGGGGCCTGGCCATTAACGAGCCGGCACGAGGCGCAGATCATGGCCATGCGGTTCCGGGGTTGCATCTCGTCTTCGCCGAGCAGTACATCCAGGAGACGGTCATACCAGTGCGGCTGTTCTATGTATTGACCCTGCTGGCCTGGGAAGGCGTTAGGCGCGAAGCCGGGCTGGTCATTTGGCTGCTGTGGCTGTTGGAGATGAGGGGACGGAGGAGCATTGGGATAAGGCTGTTGATGGCCCGGGGTCTGGCCCGGGGTCTGGAAAGGGAGAGGCGAAGGAGGTTGTCCCGGTCCAGGCTGGGGTTGCTGCGGAGAAGGACGGCGAATGTTGGCCGTCGGTGGTGGAGGAAGCCCCGTGCGAGCTACATGAGGTTGCGAGGGAGTAGCAGGCTCACGCTTCTCCTCGGTCTTGGGAGGAAGGGACTGTTTGGGTGATTCGCCGCCATACTTCTCGAGGAGCTGCTGGGTGGAGTTGTATTTGGTGGCGGCCTTGAGCTTGTCGATGGTCTCCTCACGCTGCTTCTGCAGGCCGTTGAGACCGCGTTGGGTTCTGGAGATGCGATATTCAAACAGACGAGAGGCAATAGTTCGCACGGCGTAGATCCTGCCAGAGAAAAATACGTCAGTTACTGTGGCAGAGCCAACAGGGCACAGGTCGTACAGAACGGGCCCGCCGGCAATGGCGGCGTATTCCTTGACACCCCATGTCTCCCATCCTAGCACGAGCGCAAGCACGATGGAGTAGAACAGGTATGCAAAGGTCGAGTATAGGGTCCACAGAGCCTTGACGCGACGTGAAGTCTGGCGCTGCTGGTCTAGTTGTGCGGTGGCCTGGGTGATCTTAGAGGACAACGTGGACAGGGTCTTTTCGAAGGAGGCGGGAGAATTGTCCTGGCCCTGAAAGTGAAAGAGTTAGCTTGCGACAAGATAGCAAGAGGAATAGCATACCTTCCAAGGCCAAAAGGACACCATGACCGCGAATGAGTGCCTCCTTTGCGCGCGGCGGAGACTTGGAGGTGGAAAGCACGGGCCATCGTTTACTGTCACTTCCGACCGGATCTACTGTACATTGTGTACATTGTGTACATTGAACTCCACAACTACGCTCTTCTTACCGGACATCATGTTGACCCTGAATTCACATCTTCAATTCCAATTCCAAGGCATTTCGCTGGGATCTGTCAATTACGCGAGCTCAGGCTATTGCTTATGGACAGCCCGACCCAGCACCCGTCTGCAATCCCTGTTCACCAGGGTCAATCTCATTGCCACTGGTTGACGATATCAGCTCTTAAATATTATTGATCGATTTCTGTGAACGGGATAGTCTGGTTCGGGTCTGGACCTGCATTGAGTACGCCACCGACGAGTACAAATGGACAGGTGCGTCAAATGTTACGGGGATTTCTTTGTGATGCAACGCCAAGCGCCGTGGAACCCTGTCTGCGCCTCGATAGCTCGTTGTTCCACTTCCCCGGACTCACTGCCCACGAGTTGTGCCCAATGAGTCGACCCATGTGCTGGGAATTGCCAAAGATTGTCCTAGTCATGGTATTTTTCACCTAGCGGAAGGGTCATTCTTACGACCGTCCCCGAGCAAACGTCCCGTGGGAAAACGTGGGCATCCCGCCTCCTGGCTATCGGCCTGTGCTAGCGCCATCGATCACATCAGGGTCAAGGCAGATCAGTCCCATATCCGAACGTGATCACGTCGGTTCACCCGTTAGCTTCAAAAAGGGGACTGGGCCTGACTCGAAGCGATGTGCGCACGAGCAAGAGCCATTCAGCCCATAATCATCAAGAGGTCGTTCAACTTTATCCTCCCTGGGCCAAAGAAACTCCCCAAACCTACCGGAGTCCCATGGCTTCCTCCGCCTGCTCCCGCCGGCCGTGGTCTGATTGGGTATCCTCAGTCCTCCAGCAAGCCCATTCTCTTTTAACGCTGGCTTTTCCCTTTGAAAGCCCTTTCTTCCGAAGGACCCTTCCTTACACTACAACCCTTCTTATGTCACCATGGATACAGCAATGACCAGCCTCCCCCCGGGGGTGGGCAAATTTCTCATGCAAAACATCGCAGTAATTGAGATCATATCCATGTTCGCAATTGGCTCATACAATGCACTCGAAGTGGGAATTACCACCTTCGATTGCTTCAAACACTACCGCGGACTATATTTCTGGAGCATGCAGGTTGCCTCGTGGGGAATCCTATTACATGCGATCCCCGCCCAGGTCCGTTACCTTTCAGTAGCACCCAACTTGCCCTTGGTTATTCCATTCATCATCGGCTGGTATGCCATGGTGACGGGGCAGGCAGTCGTGCTATATTCCCGATTACATCTTGTCGTTAACGATGTGAGCAATTTACGCTGGGTGCTATGGATGATTATCTGCAATTTCTTCGTGCTACAGGTCCCAATGACAGTCCTCTTTTTCGAAATGAACTTCGGAAATACATCCCTCGCCCGAGCTGCGGCAGTCTACGACCGCATCCAGTTGGTGGGATTCTGTCTGCAAGACTTCATCATCAGCGGAATCTACATCCGCGAAGCCTTGCGAGCCCTTCAACCGGTCTTTGAGATACGCGGCCGCGAAGGGCGCAAAGTGATCCTCAACCTGATCGTGATTAACGTGATAGTAGTGATAATGAACGTCCTACTACTCGTGACCGAGTTCAGGGCGCACTTTATCCAGGTCAGCTTCAAAACAGTGGTCTACAGCATCAAGCTGAAGCTCGAATTCAGCGTTCTCACTCGTCTTCGGAGCCTCACTCGAACATACCCTTGCGTCTGCCAAAACCAACCCGGCAGTCCGCGTCGATCGAATGACGTGAATATATTCGATATGGTATCAGCACAGTCGCGTGCAATGCCAGATATTGAAGCACCATCTATTTCCCCGCCGATCGGGCCCACGCGGCCGTCTTCCATACACAATGCCACCCTCGACTTCCACGGAGCGCTGCAACAGACAGCGTCGAATGAGAACAATCATTTCAATCTCCATTCTCCCACTGGATCCGTTCTCTCTCCTATTTCTCTTTCTCTTTCCTCGGGCGGTTCCCCAACACATTACTGCGTCGGTTCTGGGTCGACAAGCTCGACGGTGGAGATGTGTCTACTCGAGACACTAAAATAAGCGTTAATATTTCGAAAATTCGGTGGATTTCTGTTTTCATTCCTCGGCGGGTTATTGTTTTCTTCGTGCTCTATACCCTGGGCGGGTTTCTTATTTGTGGCTCTATACCTCTCGCAACACCTACATTAAGGCAATTTACCTCTAATCTTGAAAATATCCCTCATGCAAAATGAACGAAACCAATGATACCTAGGTGTTGTATAGACAACCTCGACGAAATGCTTGCCAGCCCAATATGATACAAGTTATGGATAGATGATAGGATATCACAAAAAGGGTGCAAAACATGGACTCAACTCTAGCCCCGAGATGAAAACGTAAGAAAGACCAAAAATGGGTATATGTATTTTTGCCCACGCAGAATGAAGAAACACCGAAAGAAACACCCAGGACATATGCGTATACAGGCCCGGTTATGCAGAGCAGGCAATGACAAGAAAAGGAAATCGTGATATCCGTGAAGACCATTCAAGATGGAATTCAAGTTGAAGAAACAGCTCTCGTTTATTGGTGATCGAACCAGCCGCCATTCTCCCACTCTCCAGGCCTATATGTAGCCGCCTTCCTTGCCTCCGGGTCAACAAGACCACTCAAAAGCACATTCAGCCGAGCGAAATTGATAGGCTTCATGACCCAGCCGTCGAAACCAATTCGGATGTAATTTTCCTTCTCGGACTCGAGGAGTGAGGCAGAAACAGCAAAGATAGGAACTCGGGTGTTTTTCTTGGCCTTTTCCGAGAGCACATCAGCTGACGTCTTGGTTTCATACCTTCGGATCATTTGAGTGGAAGTCATGCCATCGACGATAGGCATCTAACTCGGTGTTAGTGGGCTGGTAGATACATGGCGCCGACAATACTTACTTGGATATCCATCAAGACAATATCAAAAGCCTTGCTCGCAATGGCGAATGCGGACGCACAGGCTTCGCCATTGCCAGTCAATTTAACTGTATGTCCGAGCTTGGTCAGACGCTTTTCCACGATCTTGCTGTTAATCGGATCATCCTCTGCCACAAGTACCTGCAGCAAGTGAGGATTTGCCGGATGTACCGAAGTAGGGGTGGTGGACGCTGCATCCGCCGTTGATGGAGGGTCTGAAGGTTGACTTTTGGACGCAGATATTGGTGGAAAGTAGGACTGTTCCATCAATTGCTCGCTCTGCTTCGAGGGTTGCTTGAAAGCATGCTTGGGAATGTGGAGAGCGCCCATCGGAACTCCTGAGTCCGTGATGTTCGTTGTACCTGGTGCGGATGGCGTTTTTAATGATTGCAGCTGGATCGACGGTGTGCTGGTGACCGTGGAGAGACTGGCCAGATGGTCTTGTGTGGTCGATGATCGCTTCATTCCAGTTGCTGTGGGCGATGCCACCGACTGAGAAAAAGAAGAATTGTCTGTGTTCGGCGAGCCGGCAAGGAGCTTCGGGCTTCTCAGATCGAGGCTCTCGCCCCGGGCCTTGCCAGAAAGTGGAGGTTCTTGCATGGCACTGATCAACCGATCGGCTTGGCTCTTTCCGCTGCGAGAACTACCTCCACTGCGAAGACTTTCGGAACTCCTGCGTCGTGCATCCCGGGTCTCTGTATTCCCACGGACCAGCCTGAATTCCTGATCAGAAATCATAGGCGTGTGTGGCACAGTGACGGGACCAGGGGTGGTGTCCGAGGCTGGGGTCTGTATTGGAGCCCCTTCGGGCAAGGGAAACTGTAACAGGACCTTGAAACGACTGCCTTTGCCTTCCTCAGCCTTGACCCCAAGCTGGCCCTGCATGCTGTAGACAATTCTTGCCACCAGGGCAAGGCCTAGACCTAACACACGCTTGTTTTCCACCTTTTGCGAATTGGAAGGATCTTGCTGATCTTCCTCCTCCGGGTAATAGTTTTCGTCCGTTGAAACCTGTTCAAGCTCATGGAAGAGCGCCTCCAACTTTGACTTGGACATGCCGGCACCCGTGTCAACAAACATGGCCTCTATGGCAACATGACCATCTACACTCTGGACAGGGGAGCGCCACATTTCAGCGGTCACTGCACCCGATTTCGTCTGTTGGATGGCGTTGGCGATAATGTTGGAAAAGACTTGTCGCACACGGCGCTGGTCACCAAGGACCAAGGGAGGAATCCCAGGTTGAACCTTCACAGTGTATGAAATGTTCTTGCGCTTGGCTTCGCCGGCGAACATGTCAGTCGCTTCCTGGAATGTGGATTGAAGGTCGAATGACTCGTCCTTGATTAACTCTTGACCCTTCTCGGTGTTTGTGAGATCGAGAAGGTCATTGATGACATAGATCAAAGACTTCGAAGCAGAGTGCGACTTAGTCAAGCTTTCACGTGTATCAGTATCAAGCCTACCCTCTAGGGCTATCTCAAGGTAGTTGATGATTGCATTTAGCGGAGTGCGGACCTCGTGTGCCGAATTGGCGAGGAGTAGGCGAGTAAGCTGAGAGTTCTGCATGGCAGCCTCCTTCTGCCGCCAAACCTTGATGAATTTACCGTAGACAAGACACAATACGGCGGCTGTCTCAACATCGGATTCAGACCACTCGCGAGATTGACTTAGGACGGTTTCACGCCAGGTGGTAAAACTGCTTCGCGGTTCCAGGTAACCCGCGGTTTCTTTCCGCTTCCTAATCTCGTACGGATTGCCAGCCCATTTGATCTCCGAGAGCTGACCCTTGCGAAAAAATACGATGAAATCGCTGCCACCAGTTGAGAGAGGCACGTAAAGCAATCCCGAAATCGCCTTCAGTCCAGGCGGATAGTGCAAATCGGGGAAGTCTTTGATGATATCGTGTGAGGGAACAACTGAGTTGATCTGGCGCATGCGCAGGAACTCCAATAGAGCAAGCACTTCCTGCGAGTGGGCATTGCCGCCAATGACCTTGGTCTCGTCACGGATCGAGAGCGCACCGTAGTCCGCATCGAAAAGTTGTAAGAGGTCGTCAGAAGAGGCAATGATGTAGCCCGATGGGTTTGCCTCGGTGGGTACGGTGTTGATCAATTTCCGAGCTTGCAGACGCGACGCGTAAGAAAGTCGCTCGATATTCCGGGAAACAGTGTCGCCCAATAGGCGGCACATCTTGCGTATCGGAAATGAGACACGCATACCGTTGTCTCCATAGGAGTGGCATGAGATCAGACCCCACAAGTCGTTGAACGCATTGACGCTGATTGACATTGATGACCGAACCTTCATATGGGCAAGGTACTTGATGTGAATCGGCGACATCGCCCGTAGATAGGCATGTGTCATATCCAAAGGGGTTTCAAGATCCTCCAGCGTTCGACATACCAAACGAGAGGTCTCATGGTCTCGATCATAAAGAAGCCGTACCTTGTTGATCTTGTATAATTCGCGAGCCTGCGCCGGAATGTCGGATGCCGGGAAATGCAGCCCCTTATACAGGTCAATCGAAGCCTTTGGATCGGCCAGCTCTGCAACGACGAGGCCGTTCCAGCTGCTATCGAATTGATAAATCAACACTCGGTGGAAGCCGGTCAACTCTTTGACAAGACCGGTCGTGATATTAAGCAGACCGTCCAGAGTATTGGCCCTGCCTAACTGTTCTTGGATTTGTGTCAAGATGCTGAAGACTTCCATTGCAGCTGCCTCGCCCCTTCTCCGCCTCGCATTCCGAAGAACTCGGAGTGGCTGGCTGAGGTTAATTGTGCTGGCTGCAAACTGTTCCGCGCTCGGGAAGGTACCCAACGTATCGATCGGAGTGGCCGGCGTCGCTTGTCCCCCGGCATCCAGCGGGTTAACGTCGTCGTCTTCCAGTTCCAATTCGCAAACGATCAAGTCTTTTTGGGCCTGGCTGATATGCACCGCGCACCAAAAACGCCGTGCCTCCCCAGACGGTGACGGGATAGACATGACAAACACCTCCGGCCCATCCAAGGCGGGGTCATACGCATCATCACGGACAAAATCAATGTGATCCAGCAACGCGTCCGCTTGGTCATCCTTCAAGATATCACAGAAGTTTTCCAGCTCAAACAGTTGCTTTGGTGAATAGCCCGTGAACTGCTCGGAGTTTTCACTGACCACCCGGACGATAAGCTGGTTGGGAGATTCCTCCCGCATTGCAATCATCACACCAAAGCTCTGAATCGCCCCGGGGATGTGAATGGGCTCATCCTCACAGTATTGAAACCTGTTCCCCTCGCGCCCCGTGATGACTGCGTGGCCACCATCGGTCATCACATGTCTGAAACGCGAGGTGACCAGGTCATGGGGATCGCTGGTGGAAGGCTGGGGCTGCTCTGGTACTGGTTGGGTAGTCGAGTCTGTCGCGGAATGGCTATCGCTCTTGGGTTCGGCGTACAACTCTGGATGCTGTACGACCTCGTTTGCCTGGGAGTGTGTACCTAGCTCGGTCTCATCGTTGGTGGCGTGGGTCTCATGGCGATCAATATCGGTTGGAATGACAGGCTCGGGTTCGGGCGGAGGGTTCTGCTGCGACTGAGACTGGAGGTCGTTCCACGTCTTGGAGTCGATGATGTTATATGATCTCGGGCCGCCCTCGCCGGTCGGGGAGGTAGGGCCTCTCGCCAGTGAGGAGCCACTATTCTGAGGACCAACGCTGACCACAGACCGAATGGGAAACACTCTGTCGGTCGAGGTGTCAACCTCCGGGTGTGTGAAAGACTGTGATCGGTCCCTAGTCTCCGGTCCGCCTTCAGCGGCTACCTTTCTCGAAAGTGGTGGTGAGGGATGCGCCACACTCTCCGCCCGCTTTCGCGGGGTCGCGGGTCGACTGTTATGCGGGCTCGACGACTCCATTCAACTCGAAGCCGGTCGATGAGGGCCGGCGCTCGGCTAGAATTCAGGGGAGGAAAAGCGCGCCGTAGGGGACGGTCGAGATCGATCGGAGGTTTCAAGGCCGTAGGTAATTATGTGTCAAATTTGTACGTAGATGATTTGAACAACATGGATAATCGCGCCGCTGAATCGGACTTCGAATTTTTTTTAAACGAGCAGACACGAAGACAATCAACAATGATTATCGAATATCCAGGACGGCAGGAACTTGAACGTGGATCCCTAACGGTGATCTCATATCAAGGATCCAAAATGTGAATCCCACCGCTGATCGCAGTGTGCGAGAGGACAAGTCCCGGTGGTGTGGATGGGGACGATCTGATCCGGAGGTGAGGGAAAGCCGAAGTGGAGAGAAGCCCTACATGGAGGGGCAGGCGGAGAGGCGTGCGGTTCTCAACGGCAAAGGGAAATGATTTACAGGTCTCCCGTTACTGGTGTGTGGCTTCAACGGTGGAGCAGCCGCATCCACTGCGTCGTCAAGGTGTGACAGGGGTCCAAGTGATGGAACGCCGTGTATTGGCTGTGCAGTAGCTGGGCCGGGAAAGTACTCGGTACCGTGCAATCGGCGTGAAAACAGGGATATGCGCGCGTAACGGTCCTTTCGGTTGGAGTGGAGTTCTGTCAAGGAGCATTCCCATGTCTATGACATCACCCTGAATGAGGCTCCGACCGAGCATTCTGGGAGATGCGCAGCGGATAGATGAGTGATTTGCAGGTACAATGCAGCATGACATAGCTATCGCAAGGGCTGTACTGTACATAGAAGGAGAGCATAGAGATCTGCGGTCCAAAGCGACGAGCGAACGGTCGGCGGAACCTGCGGCCGTGTTCATTGGGGAACCGAGGCTAGGAGTTTGCCACCACATCGTCAAGCTCTAGGAAGCCCTACAGTGGGACCTGAGACTTGGAAGAGGGAAAACCAAGGAGTCAGAAATGTTGAAGTGTGCCCAGAGAGAAGCAGAAGGCCCAAGTTCCCATGTGCCCAGGTCCACGAGTGGCTGGTGCTAAGAAAGGTGTGGCTGCGTCTCTGCTTCAGAGCCCTGGCACATCTGTACATACACTATCTAGTTAAACGTCTGAGAATAATATCCCGAAGCGAATATCACAATGCTTGCATTTAATTTGATTCGGTAGTATCGGCAGCCAAGACATTAATATCAAGAGAACCTGTCCTTCATCGAGCGACAAGTTGGATACACAAAGACGTAGCTGGCAAAAAACACTCGAGGTTGAATGAGCAGCGGGAAATTCCAAACTCAAAGAATATAGCGAAAACTTTCAATCTGTCTATCGGTCTTGTTAGACAGCTCATCCTGAAGCTCGGCTCCCACAGTGATTGTCTCCGCCGATCCATACAGCCGATCGCGTCGACGGTTCTCATACGTATAGTACAGGTAAAGGGCGAAGAGAAAGCCAATACTCAGGATTAAACCTGACATGGCCGCTTTCATGCCCGTCTGAAATGTGTTAGCTCTGATACAAAATGGACCCAATGAAGAAGACTCACCGGGTACGAAGGCTCTTCCGAAGAAAGGAAGAACTGGGGCCCGACCATGTTTCCAACACAGTATGAAACAAACACCAGTGCACTCACGACACTCTTCTTGGAGAAGCCCGCGACATTCGACGTGACCACACTCAAGGAGATAGGCATGTTAATGGCGTATACAACGGCTAGAGTTAGGCCGACCGTTCGGCCAGCTTGGTTATTGGGATTCAATTTCCAAACGAGGATGAGACCGACAACGGAGACCATGGTATTCAGAATCATCGCGATGATACGGGATTTTGGGATAAATGTGGTGGCCAGACAGGTGAGACTCAGAAAGACAATTTCTGCGCCGCCTAGTGGCATCTGCAGCAGGAGGGACTTGAAGTCGCTGAAGCCAAATCCTGCTGTGATGATGGCCGCGAACTGGAGAAATTGTCAGAAAATGCCATTTTCATGGGAACACATTACCCACAGTGGTAATCCCGCCGTTGCACAAACTTGACGTGAATGAGTTCAAACCCAGGAACCATGTTTGGGGATCGGTTAGGGCATCACGGGCCTGTGACCACTTGAACTTATCATTATCCAAAACGCCAGTCTTGTTCTTCAGTGTTCGTTGAACGGCAATGGCACGCTCATTTTCCTTGAGGAAAACAGCCTTAACAGGTGAGTCGGGCAAGAAAAAGAACAAGACCAGACCGTAGGCCGATGTGGTAGCACCCAGAATTAAAAACAAGAATTTCCAATGCGCCATGGCCGAGGAGTTGATATGCCCAATGGCGTAGGCAATCAAACCACCTAATAGAACAGCGATGCAATTACCGAAGAACCAGGCCGATTGACTACCCAATTTAGTAAATACTTGAACAACTCCACGGAGGCACGTACCGAACTGGCTGCTCTTCTCGCTTGTAGAACATTCCGGTGATCAAAGTGAAGCCGGGAGCAATAGCAGCTTCACCGACTCCGAGGAAAAACCGAGCTACCATGAGTCCCGCAAAACTGGAGCAGGCAGCATGGCACATCAAAATACCACCCCAGATAAACCTATTCGCTCAGCAGGTATTCACACTGTGCCCGAGGGTGAACATACACCGAGACGGAAAGGTACTTCCCAATAGGAAGGCGAACGATCACGTAGGAACTCGGGAAACTCCATGCCAGGTAACCGAAGTAGAAGATCGCGGAGGTCCAAGAGTACTGATTGCCGTGCATGTTCTGTCTCAATCAGTCGCGGGGTCATAATCTCAGCTAGGGAAGTCTGCTACCAGGTCCTGGCGTAAATTGAAAAGAGTCGCTTGACTCAGAACTAGCTTGTCGAGGAACTGGAGGAAGTAGGCGAATCCCATCAGTGGAATCAACCTGGGGTATCATTAGAAAGACGCCAACAGAGTAGGAATACACAACTTACACAAAGTCGAGCTTTCGCAAGACTTTTCGCTCCTCCTCGGGCGTCGACTGCACCGCGAGCACCTGCCCGAGCTCAAAGTCATGACCGGTAGTCTCGACATCACGCTTAAGATCATTCTCGTCGCCCATGGTGAATTTTTTTATTTACTCAACTGAGACACAAGGGTGGAAAGCTCAATTGATGGAGCAAATGAGCTCTTTTTATCAGGTTCATGTACATTACGGAGGCAAGCGGCGAAGTGCGATCTGATCCCAAACCAAAACACAAGTCGGCACCGTTAGTTTCCTCCGATCGTTGTACGCCCGCGAGTGGAGTCGCTTGAACCTACCAATACAGCAGTCCCGCGATCGTTCCGCAGTGGGGCCCTTTTAGCAAACGAGGAAGCTTAAGTGACTGGGCCAATGAGATATTCGAAGATAGGGTTTTTTTCTGGTAATGGATACCGTTTCCCCGCGAATATATGTATATCCTATCTTTGTGGAGACGCTGCAAGGTTGATAGGTAATCTTGCAAGTCCGGGGATCTACTCCACTTCCCCCTCACGGCAGCCAGGTTCGGCAGATTTCCGTGATCTAAGATGACTGCCGTATGTTATCTCGCTATTGACCCCTACTGGCTGAATCGGCAAGCCAAACTCAATTGTAGCGACTGCCACCAATCCACATGGCTTGATGTCAAGATCCACTTTATGCGAGGCCTTATCTTGAACCACGAAAGTTATTGATTGACAATCCAGGTCCTATCTATGTATCATTCTTGAAATCTGACTTGACTCCAGCAGCGAAGCCAGTATCCGCCAGCACCTGACAAGCAACAACAGCCATACCGGCCGCACAATACAAAGACCGCCTGAAACCCTCCTCGGAGCCTGCACCGGCGGTAAACTGTGGAGTATGATTGACCCCGTCTGCGTGAATATAGAATCCGCCGTGGAACCCGGGGACTTCGTTAGAAACATTGCCCATGTCTGTAGACCCTCCACTAAGCCCGCCCTCTTGGCCGGCAGAGTCGAAGATAGTGCTATAGCCCATTGCGTTCATGACAGCGGTATAGCTGTCGCAGATGGGGCGGTTGATTTTCATGTCCTTGTACGAAGGTGCCCTATGTTTCAATTAGAGGCTGAGGCTGTATCGTGAGGAAGCTTGCTTACCATTCATACTCGACCGTACAGCCAGTCGCAGTAGCTGCAGCATCGAAACACTTCACGACTCGCTCAGTAAGTGGTTTCAATGTCTTAGCGGTGTCTGCTCGAACGTAGTATTCCACAGTTGTGGAGGCTGGGATAACGTTTGGTCTCTCACCACCTCTCAGCACAACACCGTGGATTTTCTGCGTGGGCAGGATCTGCTGTCGAAGCAGGGAGATGTTGACATAGGCAGCGACGACTGCATCCAGAGCATTAACACCCTCCCAAGGTGCAGCAGAAGCATGTGCCGGCTTGCCAGTGAAGGTGACTGAAACTTTATCGTTGGCCAGATACTGGCCGGAGCAGGAACTCGAGCTGAGAAGATCTGGTGCTCCAGAGAGAACGGGGAATGGGTGCACCATGAAGCACGCATCGACGTCCTTGTATGCCCCCGCATCGATGAGATTCAGTTTTCCACCACCACCTTCCTCGGCAGGAGTACCCAAGAGACGCGCAGTAAACCCAAAGTCGTCAGAATACAATGCAGTCATTGCCTCACAGGTGGCCATGAAGGCAGCAATTGAGCTTGTGGCAATCAAGTTGTGGCCACAAGCATGGCCCATACCAGGCAACGCGTCATATTCAGCATTAAATGCGACAACTCGACCGCCCTCGCCCCGTGTATAAATCACTTCAAGCGCGGTCCCAACGCCATATGCTTGACGCTTGACCTGATACCCATCTGCGGTGAGGGAGTCAAAGAGCTCGCAGATATTGTCGTGGGCACTATGTTCTTCGAATGCCAACTCGGGCTCCGACCAAATCTGTATTGTATAACTCTGTCAATGTGATTCCTAAATCATAAAATTATACTAAATTACCTTTTGATTGATCTCTGCGAATTTTGACTCATGCCTCGCTAAGGCCTCGCGAACCTTCTGAACAAACAACTGCTGATTGTAACCGAGCTGCATAATTGCGACGAAAATAAATTACACTTCCAAACACTAATAGCGCCACGGGCAACCTTGACTTAATAAGGCATTGGAGGTAGATAGAGGACCGTTGCCGATCGGCAAAACCCCCCGCAAACAAGGTTTAAGTCCAACACTAAGTTATCAATACAAGATGCATTCCGCAATTCCGCTGTGGAGATGCGATTATTTTACTGTAGATACCCAGTAGACAAGTCTATTCGGACTCAGCCTTTCTCGCAGATTCACCGTACACGGAATGCAGCGCCGCAGCGCGGGCCTGTACCGGGACTCGGGGGATAGTTTTGGATTTGGATAATATTGGAGATCAAATTTCATATTGGCATTATAATTTATACTTTTACATAAATTAGCACAGCCGAGGCTGGCAATGGGATATAGTAGAAGTATTCACAAGAAGGGTTAGACGTAAGACGAACTTATCTGAGTTATGTCTGGACGAGTTGTCGATGTAACCATGTGAAGCATGAAATCTACCTGATGCCGGAATGGAGCCACACGTGCGCTGCCCCGCGGGCGACGGGGTGTTTCGTCTCTGAATTTGCGGTCGGCATATGCATACCGCGTGTCACAGGACTCAAGGAACAACCAGAATAGGATCCTGGGCGTACTCTCCGGTTCACCGGGCAGGTCGTGCACAGCCAGGCATGGGCGAATAACCCCGTCAGGGATCTGCCAGTGGCTAAAAGTGCGGAATGATAAGTAGAGGGATATGCAAGTCGTGGACTCTCCCACTCAAGGTGGTTGTGCGCTGTCGGTGGAGTGCGTCGATAAACGCGCGCGCTCCGACATTGGTACGCTCTCCAAAGAGATGTTGCTCCAAGCGCTCATGCCACGAGGCACGCGCGACTCAATCGGCGGTGCGTGTGTGACATCCGACGTAAGCTGGGACGGGTCCACGAAACCCGGATATTCTTCATTCTCGTTGGACGTGGGTTGCGAGCGATTGGTGTGCACGAGGGAGACCAGCTTGCCAAGGACACCAAACTCGAGCTTCAGCTTGATACTGTATACCATGGGCTTCATCGTCGTCTGCAACGAGTAGTAACCAATGTACTCGACAACGAGTAGCGCGACGTCTAAAATGATGATGATAAAGTTGATAGCCAGCAGCTCGTACATGATCTTGGATCGCCGCATGTCTTTATCCGGCATCAATCTGAGCAGCTTGACCGTTTCCGAGATGTAGATTCCCGAGATTACAAACTCCTGGACGCAGAACCAGGCTAGCTGGGTGCGCTCCATGACATTGTAACCTCGGATGAAAGGGAGTGTTCGAACGTAGGCAGTGGAGAATGTGAGGACAGTGGTGGGTATCAGGAGAATAAAGGCGTCAACGATGATCAGCCAGAGAACGAATCGCAGGACCCGATGGTTTTGGCACACCAAATGAAGACGAGAATATAGAACCACCGACTGACCCGGCACCATGACGTAGAAGCCAATGGTGGACAGGGTAAGCGACACCCATAGTGGAGCCAGGGAGAAAAACTCGAAGATATAGCCGATTGTATGAGGTATAACACCGAGAACGACGGAGAGTAACAAGGCCCAAAAGTAGAGGCCGCGATAATGCTGAAAAGTCAAGAACAAGAGGATGAAAAGTTCGATAGCATTATACAATGCGATAGATGAGAAGACGATCATCAAAATCCGCACCGTATTATTATGACCGTGATAGCCACCGATGAGGCCATCGGGCGGCGAGTTGAGCTCGTCCGGCATGGTCTCGGCGTGGCCACGTTATGGAATGCGCGAGCTGCAAGGCGTTGGATATCGTCAAGCCCCGCTTGGAAAACCCCCCGGTTGAATGGCTAGTTTGTTCCAGTGGACCGATCTCACCGCCATTGTCATGCTAGAGGCCGGACATTCAGGCGTGTGTCGATTCCGACGGGGTCGAGGGGGTTTGGCGCTGGCTGGCGAGTTTTGCGCGAATAAGTGAAATTTTCTTTGGCGTTCACGTCGCACAATGTCCCTTCGCGCCGATTATGGGTGCGAATGTAACTCAGCGACTGCCGACAGCAGTAGTAAGGTCAAGATCTGAACAACGAACAACGAACAACGAACAACGAACGACGAAGACTTGGGAGGTCGCGTGGGGAAGACGAGAGCACCAGACCGGAAAGGCGGAGGAGAGGAGCCCGCAGTGGGTTCGTCAAGACCCAGTTCGTCTGTATTTCCGCACGCACCGTGAGTCGAAAGGGGAACCGGTGCGAAAGAGTGCAAGTAGCAAAGGAGAGGACGCGGAAGACAAATGAGCGAAATATGAGGGGAAAAGCAGAGTTTGCAGTGAAACTTTTTTTTTTCTGGGGAAGCCGAACCACCGAGAAATCGTCGCGAGGGCGGCAACTTTGGCTTTCGCTTTCGCTGCTGGTTCGCCACTGTCCCTTGCCGACCTCGGATCCCATTATTTGATGGGAGCTGCAGCTTGCGCCGTCGCCCTAAACTACATCGCCGACCTGGCGCCTCGGGCCATGGTAGATGGTGAGCTCTTTGCCTCTGTCCTACCGGCATTCCTGGTATGCGGACTTCCGTAATCCCTTCCGCCCCCTGAAGTGGCGGTTGGTCACCCGGCGCTTCGTGACGATCGTCGCGGTGGACCAACCGACACGACATAGCAACCGTGGATAGCTAATCCGTGGCTATGGTTTGTGGGAAAGGATGGGAAGCGGAGAAGACAGCGGTAGCAGCAGCAGAACGATGGCAGGCCCCATTGTGGTCATCCCCATCACGCGTCCCCCCGGACCCCGGCGCGTTTAAATAATTATTTCCTCCGATAGCGCTCGAGCGCACTCCTGGATATTGACAATAGATGTGTATCCCTCGTCTTCCCCGATCGCAACGTTGATTCCCCTTCAATGCACACTTGAGATTCGGTGACTGGGTATTTTGGCCGTGGAAATGGCCTAAGGACGAGGAGTATCGGCCAACAGCTTGTTTAATGGGAATGGCAGCAGGGTCAGCGAGGACAAGTCCCAGCTGCTCCGGAGACTAGCGTCAAGGGCAATAGGTTGTACGAGCGATTGGACTTTCAGACCGTCAACTTGATGGAGCTCCTGCCAGGCATGACAATCTAACAATCTAGGTCATGGTTTGGCAGGCTTCGGATACAAAGGAGGGATCGGACAAAGCGACCATCTCAGACATGTTTTGGTAGCATCTTTGAGCGGTTCCGTGTAAAACCATCGACTCGCCCAGTGGATACTTCGCACCTGCCCATGAGTCCTTGAGTAGATATCAAATTTATATCTACGGTCAATCCCCAGGTCACAGCGGGCCGCATTGCTCATCCATTGGATCAGCCAACAGAGCCGACCCTATTCGCACGGGCCAAGCGAGTGCCACCTGGGCCCCCACAATTACCCCGCTGGATCCACTCGGGATTCTGGACCATGTAGAGCAACTTCATGTTTCATCAAGTCCTCACTGCAAATGTGGTGTATTTTTTATTGGACCGAGAGATCTCGTTCATCGTAACAGAAATCTGTTGAATAGAGTAATGTAGACGCATCCCGCCGATCATGGCGCGCCTGATGGTCTGCCTTGCATGAGATCCCGGTCGAAGAAGGAAATCCTTAAGCGAATTAAACATGTTGACAGGGACATATAATATGCACGGCAGCCCCAACGGGAGAAGGGTTGGAACGTCGCCCAATTGCTGACTACTTGCCCCTCGCCTACAGTAGGTGTGCCCAATGGGGCCTTCTCAACCACTTGTATATCCATTTTCACCCAAGGCTGCATCTACTGGCGTCCAGCCGGTGGCATTGGAATCTAGTATCTACACACCGTCAATCAACCTTTCCCGTTGGCTCTACATAACGTACCGGCCCATCTGACCCACCAGACTTGCTCTCAAGACCTGGGGCTAGGCCCGTCTAACGCAATCAAGTCTATCATCAAACTAGGCTGGCGTTCGAGGTGACAAGGCTGCAGAAGAGGGGAATGTCGAGTCTGATATTTCTGTTAAGATAAGGTTATACGTACCAGATTTCCTTAGTATTCAAACCTGGTGTGAGCTTGCCGTCACCATACCTTGCAATTGGAAAGGTTCAACATGTCATCCGAGCAGACATACGATTTCATCGTCGTGGGAGGTCAGTACTTGCAACTTCTACGATCAAAAACTCTCTCACTTCATACCAGGTGGTCCGGCTGGGTGCACTCTGGCCTCGCGATTAGCACAATTGGCCGGAAAACCAAGTGTGCTCCTCCTGGAAGCCGGAGGTCGAAATGACGACAGGTCACTGCGCGTCGATGGTACCATTCATGTCGTTGAGTACAACAAGTATGCCTGTCCCGCGGCCGGTGATCACGGCACCAAGGGTGTTCTGGGTATTGGCTATGCAAAGGAGTGGGAGCAGGACTTGCCTTTGGTGCTGGACGCCCTTGAGCAGGCTGGCTTCCCAAGAAACAACGATCATAACTCGGGCAACCCAATTGGAATGGCCCTTTCCATCAACTCCGCGCGCGAGGGGCTACGAACCACTGTCACCGATCTGCTTGCTGCTGCCCCCGCAAATCTGGTCACCATTACCGAGAGCCCGGTGCAGCGCGTTATTATGGAGGGAAAGAAGGCTGTTGGTGTCGAATCCAACGGCAACCAATGTAAGTCGCACAACAGCGACTTCATGTATGTAGATTGAACATAGAAACCGATCACGAAACCAAGGAAATTATCGTCTCCGCTGGATCCCTCGACACGCCCAAGATCCTGATGCACTCCGGGATCGGTCCGACAGACCAGCTCACAGTGTTCAACATACCAGTAGTCCACGACCTCCCAGCCGTAGGCCAAGGCCTACGCGACCACCTCTTCGTCCCCGTGGCCGTAACACGCAACCCAGAGACCAACGACCGGAACTCCTTCTTCAAACACCAAGCCGCAATGGCCAGCGCCATGAAGCAATGGGAAACAGACAACACCGGCCAATGGGCACGGTACGGCTGCCAATCTGGAATCGGATGGTTCAAATCCGAGAAAATCACATCTTCCCTCGAGTTTAAAAAAATTACCAGCAACCGTGCAGAACTTTCTAAACCGGGAGACGATCCCGCATTACGAGATAATCACTTTCCCAATGCACTTTGTCTTCCCGGATCTATTCCAGGATTACAGCTACTTGAGTCTAGCCATGATGCTAATGAACGAACAATCTGTGGGAGAAGTGCGACTGCAATCATCGAACCCGGACGACCCTCTTCTCTTCGATCCCAAGTTCCTGGAACATTCCTTCGACAGACGCGCCTGTATCGAGATCTACAAACACCTAATGGAAGTGATGAACCATCCTTCATTCGCGAAGGATACCGTTTCCACAATCCAAGGCCCCTCTTCTGAGTCCGACGAGGATATTCTCGAGTTTTGGCGGAACAACCTGTCGTCTACGTGGCATATGACCGGGACTGCGAAGATGGGTAAGATAGGGAAAGTGATGCGGTTGTTGATAGTCACTTCCGGGTTATGGGTGTTGAGGGTTTGCGTGTCTCTGATACGAGTGTTGTGCCTGTTTTGACGAATAATCATACTCAAGCTACGGCCTATGTGACAAGTGCTACGGCTGCTGATGTTTTGATTCGTGATTATGGGTTGGATGAGAAAGCTCGGGTGTGAAGGTGGAAATAGCCTGGGAATGTGAATCATTCGATTTACGGCTCTTGTCTGTGAGAGATGTTATCTCGGTCTACTCTCTCAGTAGAGATTGGCAATGGTGCATGTTTGGTATGACATGTATATGCCTAGCCTAAAATTGTTGTGATACTCCGTAGATAGCAGTTCGGCGCAAAAAAGGAACCACAAAACACCGTTGAGCCACGCAAGCTAGAACTGAAAGTCACATATCGCGCCACACACCGTTACTAAATAACGAAAAGCAGCCAGACATTAGGAAGGGTAATGAGGAGGTGTAAGGGGTAGAGTGGGCAGTGGAATAGACTAGGATATCAACACAGGAAAATAAAAGAGAAAATATTCAAGCCATGGGGAGGCCGTGACCTTCCTGCTTGGCGACCACGTCGGAGCCATCATCCTGACCTTCATCACCGCGGACACGCTTGTTAGGCTGGAAGTTATTGCCCATGAAGTTGCCATCGTCGGGGTGTTTGCGCATGCCGAGACCAGCAACGGCGATGCGGTTCAGAGAGTTCATGTCGTCGTTTGCTGGACCAGGATGCTGAGGCTGCTGACCCGCACTGGCTGCAGAAGCTCCACCGCCGAGACCGGCTGCGAGAGCAAGTTCATGGCGAGGGGGTTGGCTTAGGTCGATGTTGCCAGGGATTTCGGGAACCTCCGCCTGTAAATCCATGAGGCGAGACTGCAGATTGATGACGTACTCGCGCAGCGAGTAGTTTTCGCTGATCAAGTGCTTGAGCTGTTCGCGGATGTTTTCTGTTTGCTTGTTCTCCTCTTCAAGCTTGCGGATATATGTCTCTTTCCGCTGGCGGAAAGCGCGCTTATGGACAGTGAGCGGGTCGTCCAGTTTGGAGAAGGGCGTGGGAGTGGAGGCATACCTGGGCAGCACGGTTCTGGGCGGCACGCTTGGACGTTGACAGCTCGCGCTTGCCATATGACTTGGGGGTGCCATCGTCAGGCGATCCTTGATGAGGCTGAGTGGGTGTTTGGGGAGCCGCACTCAGCATGGCAGCTCCAGAGATAGCGGGGTCAATGTTGGCCTGGTCGCGCGTACTGGCAGTATTGGGCTGCAGATGCTGTTGTTGGGGACCGCCTTGAGGGCGCCCCTGTTGCAACTGGTGCTGAGCAGCTAGGAGCCGATCATGGAGCACTGTATCAACAGCAAGTTAGCTCAGATTTACGCGTTTATCTAGTCCGTCAACGCGATCCGTTCGCCACATGAGGCGAAGGCTGGAGTCTGGCGCAAGTCCACGAAGCTACCTCGCCCTCGCTTGCTGGGTAATTGAACATTCAAAACAGTCGCACCGACAAAGTTACGTACCCTGATCGGCGTGGTCCTATAGTCGAACGTTAGTACACATCAATGCACGCAATGCACGAAACCGGAGGACGCGGGAAGGCACCCGGGGGCCGGCGACGCGTCTTCAACACGGTGGCATGTTGACGAACACCCAACATGAGCAGAACGAACTCCGCGACATCGTATCAAAGTACTCGGCGCGGGAAGACGATCTGATGACAAACGCGTCGAGGATAGGCTGCTTACCTGAGCAGAAGACTGCATACTGGGATGCGGCGCTGGAGCCAGCGCAGGCTGCATCGAATGAAGAGGAGATCGGGTAGACTGGTGGAGAATTGGGCACTGACTTAGCAGCGCACTTCCAATTCTCTGAAAAAGACTGGTGAAGAGGGCTTTTTTGATGTAGAGCTGAATGAGGTAAGCAGTTTGAGATGCTGTAAGCGGAGGTGGGAAAGAGAGATTACTAACTATTCTGACTCAGGGCGGGCGGAGAGGCCGTCTTTGAGGCACGGAGCGTTTTACGTAAGTGCGATGGCGTAAGCGAGTGCCGCATTAGGTGGGCGGTATAATCAGCGGTAGGATGTTTCCGGTATTCTGCCGATGATACTTCTAGAGCCTCGGCTCGGGGACTAGGGTTTAGGAGGTGCCTAAAGCAAGCTAGTGTTGAAAATTGGAGCGGCTGTAGCCTGTCTCATATCTAACGGTAGCCTCATGATCTATCTCCATACAATGCTAAATATCAAGTTCACGGTGTTGCTTATCGTACGCTGCATGAAACCCGGGCTTCATTGTCCCGAGGCTCATCATGACATCACAGGCCACGGTGCCTGAGGTTCTACGCCGGAGCAGATGCAACCTTCATAGGATACAATGCATTGGTGATAAGTATATCCAAATTCAATCACCGAGTATACACAAGCCAGGACGGTGTAACAATAGCAGGCCTCGTGGAACCCTTGTACTACAATGCCTCCCCTGGTAAACTTCAACCCCAAAGACCCAAGTCTGACTGTAACAGAACGCTACTGTTGCTTCTTCGCACTTCCACTGCTGGGCTGGGCGCGAATAATCCCAGCACCCACCTCAGCTGACTCCGTCCAGCCATGCTGACGCGTCCAGAATCGCTCAGCGGGGTCTGCGTCGTGCATAGATGAGTGCCGAGCATCATCCTCGAGAGCGACGCGTGAGATCTCCGGCGTTTCAGGCAGTGTGTCATCTTTAACCTGCTGCAAGTCTTTCTCCGGGTCGGCATTAATAGTCGAATCCAAGTATCGCTTGCGCACGAGGTAGCGCTCGGCACGTTCCTTGCGAGCGTGAGGTGGCTCGAGCTTGGCCATGGCCGTCTGTACCGCATACCGCACTATCAGGTAGAGATGCTCCGAAAAGAAGATTGCCAGCAGAAGTGACCAGCCCCTGATGTCGGTCGCATCACCATTAGGACCGTGCTGTGGGTTTCCACTAAACAGGTATACGAGAGCGGCACTCGTGATGCTGCCGACCCATGATAGGAAGCCGAGGGTATCGAGCCAGGGACCGATAGTGTCAGCCCGCAGTGGTGTGGGTCGCTGGAACTCCATGCAGATCTTGAAGAAGTCGGATCGCAATTCGATCCAGTTGTTGATGAAGAATGACACAGGGACCAGGGGCCACACGGGTGAGAAGAGCGCCAGATAGCCGAACTGGATGCACATCTCACGCAGATCATCTGTAACCTCGTATTCAGACAGCTCGACCTCGTTACGAACACGCTTCAAGAAATCCTTTTCCTCGATAGGGTCATCGTAGGTCATGATCGGTGACCGCTCGGGAGAATCCTTATCGCCATTCTGTGCGGGCTTGCCATGGCGCTTTCGGTTGTATTCCTTGTACTTACGGAATGCATGCTGCTTCAGGTACGGCACGATGGTCTCCATGGCAAACCCGACGATTTGAGCAGTGACGGTGAAATAGATGACTTGGTTACGCAGGCGTGCAGGGTCGATCTGGAAGTGCGACTTTTTCGAGTCGCAATGCTCTTTGGACACGAACGGGCGAACAGTCAACCGGAACACGTCCAGGTACGGAACGATCCGACTGGCAAAAGGGACGTAGACAAAGGCTGTGAGGAAGATCGGGAGATACGAGGTAATGAAATTGATGACGAACATCTTCTGAGTCAGCGCAACATCATATCCATCATTGGTCTCGTGGTTCTCGTAGTCGTTCAATTTAGTGGCAATTGACATGAGTACAGCGCTAATGGTCGGCACCAGTGCGGAGACCAGGATAGTCGGAATGAAGATCTGGATCGTTAGTTATAGTCAAAGTAAAGACAAATGAACTGCATACCAGATATGACTTGAAAGGGCCATTATACAGTTCCGAGATGAAGATCTCAATGGCAAAACAAGTGGCGATGATAACTCCCAACGCAATCGCAGCAAGAAATGCAAATGGGATCTGCAAAAGCTGCCGCTGCATTCGCTTGGTTGCGGGGAAGATCCCTCGCATCTCGCCGGTCCCTTCATCGCGGACTTCCTTCTCGGGCTTGAACTCGCGTCGAGTAGTCTGAACTGCCGAGACACCCTTAGTCTGCCACCTACAGCTCAGGTCCACCTCCTGGCGCTTCCAGTACTCAACAAAAATGATGCACCAAAGGCAGTTGACGGCAGTGTAAACAATGGAATAGCCGCCGAGGAAGAACCAGCAGGAGAAGCCAAAGACCGCGGGGAAGATCAGGAAGCGGAAGTAGCACTGTAAGAACGAGAAGTAAAAGCCAACCTGGAAAGAATGTCAGCGAGCTCCTAATAGCACGTCGAGGTGATGTGCGCATACACTCTCTCCGAACTTATCCCGGATCTGATCCAACTCTTCGTTTGAGAGGAACGTCTTTTTACTCCATTCCCGCATCCATTCCTTATTGGTCTCCTCATCGTGGAGGGGGAAGACATTCGTGACGTTCTTCCACTCGCCGTGTTTAGGGGTGATTCCGGCGCCGCCTTCCTCGGTGGGGAGAGTAATCATCTGGTTGACCACCCGTAGACGCTCTGCCTCCGTGGCGGGCTCGATAGAGCCGGCAGAATCGGGCTCGGAATTGAGGATACCATAGAGCCAGTCACGTACCCTGGGGGGGCAGTAGATTAGCGCTGTTGCTCAGTCGGCGCAGCACAGCGTGGGAGTTCAACTTACCGTGACCGATACACCGCCCTTTTCAGCCGCTTGCTGGTGGCACGCACGAAGACAAGAAGAGAGGTTTCGTCGCCCTGTCGCACTTCCGTCTGCAACCCAACGCTCGCGAGCGTCCGGAGTAGCTTCTCCAGTTCCTTGATTGCTTGCGATTGATCTGCACGGCCAGTTAGCACCGATCGGGCGGCAACCATAAATGCTTCACTCACCAACATCGCCAAAGCTGTAGCGGACGACGTAGTCTACGTCCAGGTTATACCCGAGGGCATTTGCCTCGGTCGCGGTCGCCATTGCGGAAGTTGTGGAAGGGAAGGGAAAAAAGGCGGAGTGAAGCTCAAGTCCGATCGGGCGGTTTAACGACGTCACCGGAAAAGCTTGGCCCTAGCCGGTCACAGTCTCGGTGTTGCCCTGCCCTGATCAATAGCGGCGGCCTTCTTGCTTTTCCGCCTCTATTGCTGGCGTGGCTCATATACTTTTCTTGGCAAGATGCGCTATTCCACGAAATCTAGGATGTGTGGCTTGAAATATATGCGATCGTCATCGGCGCAACAGGTTTATTCTTATCGCCCACCGCTTCAACAAGGTAGCCTTACCGCCATTCTACATCATTTCTATGTTTCTAGATACACAGCCTTTCACAAAATTACCACGGCCTTTGATATTGTGAACTATATCCAAGTCAGGGCTATGAGGGTGACTCCCTGCTGAATAACTGAATGGAAGAGCGTCTTCTCCCATGCGGGAGCTCATGTGGATACCAAATGTAGAACCCAACCATGAGTAGAAACATCAAGGATCCGTCAAACACATAAAGAGGCCACTCGGTGGTGAGAAGATAGCCATTTTGGTCCACGGACTGCATCGCAAATTCAACAACTCGGTAGATGTTGCGCACCAAAACAGAAATAGATGTCACGTACAACATATTGAGACAGGACTGCCAAGGCACGTGGATGACTGTGCATGATTCTGCGGTGAAAAGTCGTATTCTCTGGTGGAAAATGCCACAGCAGGCGAGGAAGAAAACAAAGATCATAATCTGCAGGATAAGACCAGCGATGATGATGTAGTCGGCAATCAAGGCGAGGTTCTCATTCCCCAATAATCCTGCCGCGTTGCCTTGGATCATGAAACAGGTATAGTCCCCGGTGACGAAAATGCAGGTAGCCCATCGCATGGGCACGGGTGATAGGTGTTCGCCGCGAACGGCGCGAACGATGCGGGAGTAGACCATGTAGAGCGTTGCCGCAAAGCCGAGAGGAGGGATAACCAGAAAGATGGATGATAGAAGGTACAGTATCAAGCTGCCGGTGTTGGAAGAAGCAGCCGCTCGGGTAATGTAGCCAAAGATCTCACCTGGTAAAAGAGGAAAGTCAACAAACGTTCGTCAATTGATTTGTGCAAGTTAATTGCGCGCGAGTAGCGCGGTGGAACTTACAGAAACCACCAATTATGAACGGAAGCGTAAACCAAGCCCTGGTTTTATATAGTCTCCAACAGTGACATGCAGTTGTAGTAGAAAACAGACCCAAAAATACCAGTGAGAGCGGTAGACTGGGAATGTATTTCCACAGGTACGCCCCTTCGTACGTTTGAAGTGTCGGCATATTTGGCCCAATGGATTGGAAGAAGTATGTGCGGCCCTGGAGCGTTGTAGAGCAAATAGTGGCGAGCAACCCGCCTTTGTTAAATACCACCAACCAAGGTGCTCGGGGTAGAACTGATTTCCCGTGTTAAACTGAGAAACTCAGCAAGCTGCAGCCTACGTGTGTATCCACTCAAGCTAGCCCAGCCAGGGGACTAACGATGGGATTGATCTGTGCGAGTTGCGTATATCTTGAATCCCAAGATCTACTTTCGACCTTTATAGCCGTAACAGGCCTGATCTCTTTATGCCATGTCCGGTCCTACATACAAAGGCGGAGCTGAATGGGGAGCAATTTTAAGACCCAGAGGTTCTACAATCCATTCGATTTGGATAAAGTCATCGGCAATACGCGTGTTAGCTAATCGATCCCGACCCACTTTAAAGTTGATGGGTTCTAAAAAAGCATACACTGAGTGACTAGGAATCTCCACCAAGGATAGATGAGGTGGGGGCCGAGTTATGTAACACGCGTATTCGGACGCAGCCCGATTGGGAAATGTGACGGCCTGTGGCCCCGTGGATTCGAATCGGCACGCGATAGAGTCTCTGAACAAGTCACTCTGTGTCGTTCTCAGTGGTGCCCTGTGTATCCAGGCCAGGAATACCCCCGGGCTTCGATATGCTGCGTCGCAGTCACAAGAAATCACGAGGCGGTTGCCTAACATGGTGAGTACCTGAGAACGCCCATCTGATGGCGTTGACCTTGATAAATTTCTGGCTTGCGGGGACTAGATGAACTAATTTGCTTGTAGCAAGCAACGCCATGTCAAGGTAATAATCCCCTGCCCGGGGATTGGCCATCTGGCCCATCCGTGATAAATATATCTCCCGTATCCGACTCGCTTCCCAAGACTAATCTAGATGCGCCGTTAGTGTGACGAGGGCCGCCCAGTATGTCTACTCTGCACCATGTCGAATCGAGAATGTACCTATGAGGCGCCAAATGGAGGCACCAGCCAATCGCCGCCTGCTCCTATTTCCTCGGAGTCTCAAGAACTTGAACCGTCCACCGCGTCAATCGAGAATAGATTGCGCGGACAACGTCATGTAACCAAGAATCATGAGTCCAACGGTGTCTTATTGGAATCACAACCATACATTGGATCGCATCAACAGCAATCCCAGCCCACCCAAGACAAACAAGACCACCCAAACTCTGAGCAGGGTTTACCAACTGATCTTAACATCCATCATATGGAACTACTCATTCACTTGACAATCGACAGCGATATCTTCTGTCTTAGTCTCGGCGACGACGCATTCACTAACCCTACCTTTCTTTCCCTTGCTCTGAAAACCGGTCTAAAATAACCCTACCTTCTCCATGCACTACTCGCAATCTCTGGGCTTCATTTGGCCTCCCTGAATCCAACACGGTCAGATTTCTACTGGCGTCAGGCCATTACTCTACAAAGTCAGGCCGTATCTCTTTTCAACTCTGAGTGCCAAGGTATCAACGCATCGAACTGTGTTGCCATTCTCTTGTTCTCTTCCATTCTCGGCCATCATCTCCTTGCCGAAACACTAGCCAAGCGGGACCCAGGTGGTCTTCAGGCCTTCATGGAAAACTATATCCACTGCATTGAGATCCACCGAGGTATTCACACAATTGCCATGTCTGCTTGGCCGCAGCTGATGGAGTCGGAGCTTGAGCCTATCCTTTCATCAAGCTCACTTTTTACCTCACGTCCGCCAAGAGGTAATGATTGCCGAGATATCAGTGAGCTGATTGATGCCACCGAAGCATTCAATGAGGAGGACAAAGAAGCCTGTCAGCTTATGATTCGGCATCTGCAAGTCGGGTTCGATGCCGCTGCAACAGAACAACAGCAGGGATACCGACACTATATGATCTACATGTGGCTGATGCTCGCTCCACCAAAATTCATAGATCTGCTTTTGAAGAGGAGACCGGAGGCTCTGATATTATTAGCATATTATGCAGTGTTGCTGCATTATGGCAAGGATCTGTGGCAAGTTGGGGATTCAGGAGTCTACGTCTTTTCCATAATTCGTGATTATGTTGATCTTGAATGGCATACTTGGCTTCAGTATCCACAGGATCTGATATTGAAAAGAAATCAAGGGATCACGGGATAATTTGGTATTTCATAAATTGTTCGAGCTCAATGTGCACATGAAAGTTTCATGCATTTGCCCGCATAAAACTCACGGATTCGTCACAATGTCAATCTCAGCGGTTTTCAAAGAGTCTAATTGCATATATTCACGAGCGCGTTGGCTCGTTCTATGAGGTAGAGTTCTGTTGGTTCTGTGGCGTCGGACTGAAATGCCCCAAATATAGTTGAACGATAGGAGTGAGTTCTTTAATAGCAAGAACGGCGATGTAGAAGGCGATTGCTTTTACGAGGGCCCCAATGGCCCCTTGATGCTCGTCGTTCATTATGAAGAAGGTCGGCCAAATTTGGACTCGAGCTGTGCTAACAGGAATCTGAGACCATAGTTAGACAGGGAGCTCAAGAGATGTGATCTGAGCTTGCTGAATGTCCTGTAAGATTGGCGTGATGTTGGATGCGGTGGGATGCGCAATAACCAATGTCCTTGAAACCAATTTCCTCTGATATCATGGTTACCACGGTGCGAGCTGCGGCCATCTTAATCAGCTAGGACGCTGATTAAGATCAATCTATAACTCAAGATAGTTAGAGCATCTTAGGATCATGTGATACTGGCCCTTTTACAGGGCAGACAGGTTCTAAATAACAGGGTGTCAGTCTATGGGAGTCGAGGAATGTTATCTCCGAAATTTCGTGGCATTGTGTTCCAAGGAAATGCACCAATTTATTTGCTATTGGTAAATACTTGGGCGGCTCGCAGAATCAAGAGCTATTCATTGCTAGTACCATCTATAGAGAATGTTTGCACGGTCGTCACGGGAAAATAATGCATGTCGGGTCATCCATCTGAATGACAGAACCAAATATCGAGAAAAGACAGGCAGAAGCCTCCAGGCAACAGTAAATCCATGGGGGAGCATAGGAGCAAACATGTAATAGCTTCGAGGTTTGATTACACGAATAAAGTTGAACCCAAGAGAAGAAAACAATTGCAGTGACAGGTCGAATTCACATCAACGAGCATCATCTTACATGACAACGCAGCAGGAGTTTTGTTTCTTGGCCTGGAGGGGGTCAGACAACGGATGCAGAAAGGGATGTAGCTGGGAGCATACCTGGGTATAGAACATCTTACTCTGGGCAGACAGCCCGTCACTCTTCTGAACAAGTGAGTCAATCTTCTCACCGCGCTCAAGCACGCTCTCAATCTAACTTTATATCAGCACTGTATCTCGACCACTTAGGGCTCGTCACATACGGTCTTGTGCAGCACAATCTTGGTCTCGTCCAGCTCCTGTTGGATCTTCATAATGCTATCGGCCTGGCTAGGGTCCTGATACTTGACAATGTACTCCTTCAGCGCTGGTAGGGGGCAGGCGTTTTCACGGAGTGAAGGATCAGAAAAGGCCGTGCGAGGGTGTTTGGCGAGGAACTCATCCACGATTTTGCCGAGCAGCTGGTGGGCAACCAGAGCGGGATACTCGCCGTCGGTGACGATCACACCGGCAACTCCCTCTGTCCGACCATAGGCGTGGAATGTGTATGACTTTTCTTCGATGTCCTGGCGCTGCCCAGGCTTCGTGCGCTCCGCGACCGTGCGGCAGAAAAGCATCAGGAACTCCTCGTAGCTGTTGGCACCGTGGGGTTAATACCGAGCATGGAAAGAAATTCGCTCGAGAACTGGAGGTAGACATACTTCTGACGGGTGAAGCGAGAGAAGCTAGATCTTGTTAGCTCGTCTCCTTCGAGGGTATCAACAGTTTGGCGGTAAAGACGCACCTAGTAAGGTCCTTCTCAGCGCATAGCTGCAAAGCGGGCTGAGAATCGTTCCGAAGAACCTGCGAGAGAAGGGAAGTTAGATAATGCGCTTGATCGGGTGCAAAACGAGCCGAAATCCCTAGCAGAACGTACGCCCATATAGAAGATCTTCATGGTGGCGGGGATGGTAAGTCGTTGGCCAAGGGGGGAGAGGGTGACAAGCGCAAAGTCGGGGGGAACGAGGGAGTTGGTGCAAAGGTGTAGCTTTCAAACTATCAGGCAAAAAGATTCTCAGGCAAGTCAGGTGTAAAGACAGGGAACGGAAGAAAGCAACGCCTCCTGATAACCCGCGATGATGGCACCGGGTCTCCGCAATTCGGCCTCAGGCAGAATCCACACCGCTCAGGCGACCCGTCGAGCCCTGCACTGCTGCCCTATTTCCTCTTCTGTCCACGAATGTACTTCAGTTTAAATTATTGTTACTGGCGAAACCATACACCGAAATAATGGACTCCTCCTCCGAGTCGCAGTGGCTGTCCCAGCTGGCAGCCATGCGCCAGGCTATCGCCGATTTGAAGCTTCCGAAAGACCTACCCCACGATACTGTCAACTACGGCAGTGACGTCGAACTCGACATCGACGATGACTACGCTTCTTCCGGCACGGCTGGCACGGTCGACGATGTATGGGACATTATCAGCTCCGACAACGAGACCATCGATGATCTCGACGACTTCGACCGTTTTCCCCTCTCCCAGACCTCCCTCTACGACCGACTCTGGCTGGATGGAAAATGTCAGGAATTGGCGGTCCGGAACTCGAGCATGGACGCAGCGGAGCTGGCTCAGCAGATTACTGCTACGCTGGCCGCTGATAGTGACGATGCCGAGCTCCAAATGTCCCTCGCTGAAATTGTGGGTTTTGACGATTTGGACTTGGTGATCGAGCTCATTGCGCATCGTGCGGAGATTCTGTCGGATAAACCACATCGGGCCGAAGACCAGACCGATGGTCTAGCGGCAGGCAAGCTTCTTACTCGAGTTGAGAGGGAGCAGGCCTTGCGTCAACGGGACTATGACCACAAACATGCGCCTTTGATGGCGGCACAATCTCGATCCGAGCCTGTTTACCCCCATGTGTTCAAAGCACACAGCACTGGAAACACCCTCTCCGCGAACGGCAAAAAGTACGGCCTACCGGTAGGCAGCAAGACCTTCGAAGAACCAAACTACACCGAATATGAGATCCCTGCATCAAAAGTTGGGACACTGGCAAGGGGCCAGAAGCTGGTGGAGATCGCTGGATTGGATGGTCTCTGCCGTGGTACATTCAAAGGCTATAAATCTCTCAATCGTATGCAGAGCTTGTTGTACGATGTTGCTTACAAGACCAGCGAGAACATGCTTATTTGCGCTCCCACGGGTGCGGGTAAAACGGACGCCGCGATGCTTACAGTCTTGAATGCCATTGGAAAGAACACGGTGCCTAATCCGTTGGAGGAACCCGATGCCACGGAGTTTACTGTGCAGGTCGATGACTTCAAGATTGTCTACGTTGCCCCGATGAAAGCTCTGGCGGCAGAAGTAACAGAGAAGCTCGGGAAGCGCCTTGCGTGGTTGGGGGTGCAAGTCCGTGAACTGACTGGTGACATGCAGTTGACCAAGCGGGAAATCGTGGATACTCAGGTCATTGTCACGACTCCCGAGAAATGGGATGTCGTGACGCGCAAGAGCACGGGTGACACGGAGCTTGTCCAGAAGGTCCGACTGCTCATCATTGATGAGGTCCACATGCTTCACGACGAGCGCGGTGCTGTGATTGAGTCCTTGGTCGCTCGAACACAGCGTCAGGTTGAAAGTACCCAGTCTTTGATCCGGATCGTTGGTCTGTCTGCAACACTCCCCAATTATATTGACGTCGCCGATTTCTTGAAAGTCAACAAAATGGCGGGAATGTTCTTCTTCGACCAGTCATTCCGACCAGTACCGCTGGAGCAGCATTTCATCGGTGTCAAAGGAAAGCCTGGATCCAAGCAATCCCGTGAAAACATTGATCAAGTTGCGTTTGAAAAAGTCCGTGCCATGCTGGAAAGAGGCCATCAGATTATGGTCTTTGTGCATTCTCGCAAAGATACTGTCATGACTGCTCGCATGCTCAAGCAGATGGCAGCCGAAGACGGTTGTGAGGACCTGTTCAGTTGCCACGAGCACGAAGATCACTCCAATGCCCTTCGAGACATGAAGCATGTCCGTGCCAAAGAGCTGAAAGATCTTTTCGCCGGTGGGCTCGGAACACATCACGCTGGTATGAGCCGGAGCGATCGAAATCTCATGGAACGCATGTTCGGCAAGGGCCTGATCAAGGTCCTTTGCTGTACGGCCACTCTTGCTTGGGGTGTCAACCTTCCGGCTGCTGCTGTAGTCATCAAGGGCACGCAGCTTTACAACCCCCAAGAAGGTAAATTCGTCGACCTGAGCATTCTTGACGTGATGCAGATTTTTGGTCGTGCGGGTCGTCCTCAGTTCCAGGATACAGGTATTGGCTTCATCTGTACGACTCACGACAAGCTCTCGCACTATGTGTCCGCAGTGACCGCACAGCAGCCAATCGAATCTCGCTTCTCGAGCAGGCTGGTTGACAACTTGAATGCTGAGATCTCCCTTGGCACGGTTACTTCCGTTCCCGAAGCAGTCCAGTGGCTGGGCTACTCGTACTTATTTGTGCGAATGAAGCGCGAGCCTCGGAACTATGGGATCGAGTATGCCGAGCTTCGGGATGATCCAATGCTGGTTCAAAGACGTCGTCAGTTGATCATTCAAGCCGCCCAAACTCTTCAGAAGAGCCAGATGATCATTTTCAACGAAAAAACCGAAGACCTTAAAGCCAAGGATGTTGGCCGAATTGCCAGTCAATACTATGTCCTCCAAACTAGTATTGAGATCTTCAACTCCATGATGCGCGAGCGAGCAGGAGAGGCAGATGTTCTCAAGATGATCAGTATGAGTGGCGAGTTTGACAACATCCAGGCTCGCGAGAGTGAGTCGAAGGAACTGCAACGCTTGAAGGATGAAGTCGTGCAGTGTGAGGTCGAAGGTGGAAACGACTCCCCTCATGCCAAGACTAACATCCTGCTGCAATCATACATATCCAAAGCAAGGCTTGAGGATTTTGCTCTTGTCTCGGACTCCGGATACGTCGCTCAGAACGCTGCCCGTATCTGTCGAGCTCTGTTCATGATTGCCCTGAATCGCAGATGGGGTTACCAATGCCAGGTCCTTTTGTCGCTGTGCAAATCGATTGAGAAACAGATTTGGCCCTTCGACCATCCGTTCCACCAATTCGATCTTCCACAGCCAGTCTTGCGGAATCTGGATGAAAAACTGCCATCTTCATCTATCGAATCTATGAGAGAGATGGAGCCCGCAGAGATCGGCTCTCTTGTTCATAACCAAAAGATGGGCAAGGTGCTGTCTAAGCTCCTGGATAATTTCCCTACTATCAGCGTCGAGACTGAGATCGCACCCCTCAACCGGGATGTCCTCCGCATCCGCCTTTCCATCTATCCTGAATTTTCTTGGAACGATCGACACCATGGAGCTTCCGAATCTTTTTGGATCTGGGTCGAAAACTCGGAAACATCTGAAATCTACCATCATGAGTACTTCATTCTAAGTCGCAGAAAGCTGTACGATGATCACGAGCTCAATTTCACAATCCCGCTGTCGGACCCGCTCCCTAGCCAGATCTACGTTCGAATCCTCTCCGATCGCTGGCTTGGGGCAGAGACCGTTAGCCCGGTCTCATTCCAACACTTGATTCGGCCGGACACAGAGAGTGTATACACAGATCTTCTCAACCTGCAGCCGCTTCCAATCAGTGCGCTCCAGAACCCCAATCTGGAAGAGCTGTACGGACAGCGCTTCCAGTTCTTCAACCCCATGCAAACGCAGATCTTCCATCTCCTCTACCACACCCCGGCAAATGTTCTTCTCGGATCTCCGACTGGTAGTGGTAAGACTGTGGCAGCCGAACTGGCAATGTGGTGGGCATTCCGCGAAAAGCCTGGATCGAAGGTGGTCTACATCGCTCCAATGAAGGCACTTGTTCGCGAGCGTGTCCAGGACTGGCGCAAACGTCTCATTGGACCGATGGGTCTCAAGCTCGTTGAGTTGACTGGTGACAACACTCCGGACACTCGAACCATCCGCGATGCCGACATTATCATTACCACCCCTGAAAAATGGGATGGTATCTCGCGTAGCTGGCAGACTCGTGACTACGTGCGAAAGGTCAGTCTAGTGATCATTGACGAAATCCATCTTCTGGGTGGCGACCGAGGACCCATTCTAGAGATTATTGTTTCTCGAATGAACTACATCGCCTCGCAGTCCAAGGGATCCGTTCGTTTAATGGGTATGTCGACCGCTTGTGCAAACGCGAGCGACCTCGCCAACTGGCTTGGTGTTAAAGAGGGGCTCTACAACTTCCGACACTCTGTTCGACCTGTTCCGCTAGAGATTTTTATCGACGGCTTCCCTGAACAACGTGGTTTCTGCCCGCTTATGCAGTCCATGAACCGACCTACTTTCTTAGCAATCAAAAACCACTCCCCAGAGAAACCTGTCATCGTTTTTGTTGCCTCCCGCCGACAGACCCGTCTTACTGCCAAGGACTTGATCAATTATTGTGGCATGGAAGACAATCCTCGCCGCTTTGTCCGCATGTCCGAGGATGACTTGGAAGCCAATATTGCCCGTGTCAAGGATGAAGCCCTGAGGGAGGCTCTTAGCTTCGGTATTGGCTTGCACCATGCCGGTCTGGTTGAGTCCGACCGACAACTGTCTGAAGAGCTCTTTGCAAACAATAAGATCCAGATCCTTGTCGCTACAAGCACTCTGGCCTGGGGTGTTAATTTACCTGCCCATCTGGTGGTTGTTAAAGGCACACAGTTCTTCGATGCCAAAATTGAGGGGTATCGGGATATGGATTTGACCGATGTTTTGCAGATGCTCGGACGTGCTGGACGTCCTCAGTTCGACAACTCTGGTATCGCTCGCATCTTTACCCAAGACTCCAAAAAGGCATTCTACAAACATTTCCTCCACACTGGTTTCCCCGTGGAGTCGACGCTACACAAGGTTCTGGATAACCACCTGGGAGCCGAAGTGTCCGCTGGCACTATCGGGACGAAGCAGGACGCTCTGGATTATCTGACCTGGACGTTCTTCTTCCGTCGTCTCCACAAAAACCCATCCTACTATGGTCTTGAGATTTCAGCAGAAGAACAGAACTCAATCGCTGCCCAAACCATCGCCCAAGACTTCATGATTGATTTGGTTGACAAATCCCTGGATGACCTGGCGGAGTCGTCTTGCGTGATTGTGGATTCTGCTACTGGCGAGGTGGACTCGACGCCCTTCGGCAAGATCATGAGTTACTACTACCTGTCACACAAGACAATCCGATACTTGATGTCCCACGCCAAGCGCGACCCGACCTTCCAAGACGTTCTGAGCTGGATGTGCTCTGCCACTGAATTTGACGAGCTACCTGTGCGGCATAATGAAGATCTTATCAACGCCGAGATGGCCCAGCATCTGCCGCTTGGTATAGACTGCATGGGTGACGTTCCAATGTGGGATCCCCATGTCAAGGCTTTCCTCCTGCTGCAAGCATACATGTCGCGCATCGACCTCCCAATTACTGATTACGTGGGTGACCAGACATCCGTTCTGGACCAGGGCATTCGTATCATCCAAGCATCTATCGACGTGATGGCAGAACTCGGATATATCCCCGCTTGTCAGATGTTGATGACTCTGCTGCAATCCATCAAATCCGCCCGCTGGCCCGAGGATCATCCGTTGTCCATTCTCCCCGGCGTGGAAGTGGAGAAGCCTATCGGTGGTCTTCCTTCGTCTTTGGTGGCACTCTGTTCACAGCCCGTGTCAGCAGTTGCTAGCCTGGTCAAGAGACTGAACCTCCCGCCGCACTTCACTAGGATAGCTTCGCAACTCCCACAGCTTTCAATCTCCGTTGGTACTGTGTCTTCCAAGGGCATGGAAATTTACCTCACCCGGCAGAACCCGGCCACAAACCCCGATTACAAAATCTATGCCCCTCGTTTCCCCAAGCCTCAGACCGAGGGTTACTTCCTCATTGTGTGCAGTGCACGACCCGATGGTGGCGACGACGAGCTGCTGGGTTTGAAGCGCGTCTCTTGGCCACCTCTCTCCAAGCAGAGAGGCGCAAACAGGGGTCGGGGAAGCGCTGGTCCCAGTCGTGGTGGATCATCCAACTCTGGAGGCAGGAACAACAATGCCCCGCTCAGCGTTCGCTCCTTGGTTAAGTTCCCTGGCGCTGCTCTTGCCGAGTCGTCCTCTGTCAGTACAGCTGGCATTGCCCGGGTGAATGTGAGAGCCATTAGTGACTCTTATCCTGGAATGGCATGGATGTTGTCGAACGTGGAGGTAGAAGTGGGAGTTGGCTCGGCTACCCAGTCTGTTGAGCCTTCATCAAGCGTTCATTTGAAGTGATGATTATAGAGTAGAGGTAGATTATCACTGCAGTTTTCGAAACCAGATATACCCTTAACTCTTGGAAATTAATTCCCGGGCAAAACAAGGAACGCGTTACAAGAAACCCACTAGTCCCAAGCTCATCCATGGCCGCTTTTCAGACGGCTTCTTAAAATAGGAGTTGTATCTTACAATACGGTTGTGATACCTCAAATCATGTATTGTACACGAAACTGCCACACTTCATTCACCATCGTGCCCGTAATTCAACCCAGCGGGTCATCTAAGGTTATACACGTCAGTCCACATGAGATGGCTCCAATGCTACTCGCCTCAGACCTCTATCTCACCCGTGTTTTATCGGCGTGGTGGTCTTTGCAATTTGCCTTGATGGAAATAATACAAATTTAAAAGTGCTGTGTTGAATCAGCATCTTGTTCCGCGTAACTAAATGGTCACATGAAGCTATGTAAGTCGGGGTTTAATACACCACCTGATGTTGCTGTAGAGGAAAGTGAGAACATATGAATTTGGTGTTACGGTTATTTCAGCTTGTTTTGATTTGGCGCCCATAATACGCCATTCACGTAACCTCCCCTGCGCCGCCCACCTCCCACGATGACCTTCATATGTCGAACTCGCCCTGCCTAATTCGCAGTTCTCCGTCTTTCCTGTCTCCGTTATCTTGCTAAGAAGAGACTTTCTGATACTTTTTAAACGGTATATATCTTCATACTTGGGCGCCATGGCACAGACTTTGTTGACCGGAATGTTGGCCTTGGAACTCCGCGGCTAATAATCTCTTGTGGCTTGTCAATTTCCCTATGCTTTTCAAGACTTCTAAACCACCTAGGCATGTAACACCTTCCTTTATAGCCCTATCTATTTATAATATTTGATGAGGCAAGTCATGCTAGGGTCTAGGGCTGTGGCGTTCAATTTGAATTGCTTCTCCATAAGAGAAGAGACCCCCGGGCTTGTCAGGCCAATGTGAAGCTTGCAAGATGGTTGACAAGGTAACATTCGTAACTGTCCGTAAAAACCCGAATTATTCACGCGATCAGTTACGCCATTACGAATGTGCTATGGGTCGAAGACTTTAAGTCTCGCCACTGTACGTACCTGTTTGTAAAGCAAGGTCCGACCCACATCCCTGGATTGGTATTCGGGAAACATGAAAGTATGAGAGATGTCGCACGTCCACCCAATGTAGAACAAGCTAGTTCATTGCTAGTTAGCCAACCAGGCTAAGGCTGTCGGCTGGAGGGAGAAGTGGAAAAAGGCGTCTGTCTCATCTGGACTATTTAAGTGTGGTTTTCCCTCTTCTTGAGATCTTTTCTAACCGAGAATTTCTCTATCCGGCAGTTTCCAATTTTTATTGCCTAGCTTTGCTTGCGCTGCAACCATGCTTTTCAAGTCCGTCGTCGTCGCGTTGGCCACGGCTGGTGCTGCTATTGCCCAGCGCCCAGCTAATGAATCTATCTGCGACTACTACACGACGGCATTGTTGAAGACCAACAATGCCACCAACCAGTACACCCTCCTGACCCTGCTTGTCAACACCGCTGTTATCGGTAACTACACTCAGCCAAATGTTGGTGTTAGTGTCCCGGGTATCTTGAGCTCGGATGGCATGTACAACGGCACCAAAGTCAACCTGATGCCGTATTTCGATGGTGGCCTCGCTTCCAGCAACAACGGAGGAAAGATGGGTGTCGCGAAGAACTTCCTGGATGGAGGTGCTGCTGCCCCTCTCATGAAGAACATGCCTGCCAATGACATGTCATCGAACCAATAGTTAGTCATTCTTTTCTATCTCGTCCCAAGCCCAGGAAAATGAACTAACATCAAAACCCCTTCATCAGTAAACTGATGACTCACCTCTACCAGTTCTTTGGAAGCTTGCTTGGCTGCTCCGGTGTTGGCATGACCGGGTTCTCTGCTTATTCTGGACAGGGGAGCATGTACGAGGTTCACAAGTGAGTTTTTGGTCTTCGCCTAGTGCTACTTGTGCTCACATCACTTGCGCAGGTTTATGGTTCTCGACCCCTACCAGGTGGGCTACTTCATTGAGCAGGTTGGCATGGCTGCTGCTTCTTTCGGTGTCGCAAAGTCGGACATCAACGCCGTCGCCACAGCCCTTGAAACCATGTTTGACTATCGCTGCGAACCCAAGATGACCGCCATCAAGGCACAAGGCGCGCAATACCAGAGCATTTGCACCGATGAGAAGTGTCCGAAGGCCATGAATTCTACTTGCGAAGCTCAGCCAGTCATGCTCCAGCCTCTCGTCGCAAACAAGACTCTGGCCGATGGTGAGGGTCGCACGTCGTCCACATCTACATCTACATCAACCTCTGGTTCTGGATCCGGATCTGGATCTGGATCTAGTTCTGGCTCTAGCTCTAGCTCTCCTAGTGCGACAGGCAATGCTGCCGCTCAGTATCAGCCTGGACTGTTCGCTGTACTCTCGGCAGTTCTGGCCTTCTTTGCCCTTTGATTTGTCCTTTCCAAATCTCCACTACAGAAGCATTGAAAGATTGGATTTTTCCTTTACATAATTCCTCCATAGTGCTACCCTTCTTCTGTTGGCCTAAGTGAAGGCATTGACAAGCAATTTTGTACCGCAATTTTGTTAACCCAATTCTTTGATCAATTTCAGCTCGAGCAAAGCATTATTTTCCATAATTCGATTTCCTTGATTTGTGAGATGACGTAAGAAAAGCGCCTCACCTCAACATGCAATCTATCCTCCAATAAATTACAAGATGTTGTCATCATATTCAGTCGAACTTCCTATTGGAGATGTCGCACATGACTCTAAAGCTAAATCGCGATCTCTAGAAATGGGTCTTCAAAAGCCGAGCGCCTCAATATTTGAGAAAGGCGGTCCAGGAACAAGCGGATCCCGCTGGCGAATCATCAAAGTCCAAAAAGGGCGGATTAGAAATCGATCGCTGTCTACAGGTGAGTCGGGCACCTGTTTACTTTGCGGGGTTCATTCAAGAAGACCAAAACCGGGACGTGCACTCGCTCGCAACCGTTCTCGCTCGTTCTTCCCTCCGATTTGGCCGGCGGAAATCGAAAGGTGGAGCACCATCCGAACCTTATTGTTTTGCCCCCAAAGGTCTGAGTAAGTTACCACTCGAACTGTATTTTACACAGTATTGTTATGTAACGTACCTCGAAACATCATCATCATTGATAGTTACGCTGGGAACCGGCACCCGTTCTCGCTCTCGCTCTCGGTCGGGTGAATAAGTCTGAAGTGGTCTAATTCATGGGTTGCTCACAGCAATTATTCCAATTTAGGTTTTCGTGCGAGATGAGATCCATGAGACCTACCACCGGGGAAATTAGTAATAGGCGATACTAGTCCCCTGACTGAGAGGATTTTATATGCCCCAGAATTGTGTGGGTTCTGTCAGGGAGAGATTTTCTGTTTTACGGGCTAGATAGAAAAGACCGCAAGGGATAGAAACATCTCACCATCCACTACTTCTCCCGTCTCAACGACAATGAACTCGATTCCTGTTTCCGCATCCCAGAGAAGGCGCATCCTTACAACGCTGACTATTTCTCTGCTGCTAGATTTGGTCAGTCCGAATTTGCTCCTGAACAAAATGATAAAATTTTCTTGTTCAAGTATTTTTACTCATTACAGTGTCTAGCTAGATCTCTTTCACCTTGATCCTCCCTCTCTTCCCATCCGTGCTCAGCTACTATCACGCAAAAGAGAGCTCACCTACGAGCATACTCAGCCGAGTGTTTTACTACCTGAATGTGTACAAGAACTGGTTCTCGAAGCCAATAGACTCGAGCTATGACATTGTCCTACTTGGCGGCGCCTTCGGCTCGCTGTTTTCTTTCTTGCAGGCTGTAGCCTCTCCCATTATCGGACGGTTTTCGGACCAGCATGGCCGGCGCAAAGCTCTGCTGTGTTCCATGGCTGGCAACATTTTGAGTGTCGGTCTCTGGGTCGGCGCGACAGACTTTCGGATATTCATTGCGAGCCGCGTCGTTGGTGGACTGAGCGAGGGCAACGTCCAAATAGCAAATGCAATCATCACAGATATCAGTGATGAGAAGCAACGGGGATCGGCTATGGCTCTCGTGGGCGCATGCTTTAGTCTCGCATTTATCTGCGGTCCGGTGCTGGGTGCAACGCTCGCAAATATACCCACGACTGCTTCGAACAGGTTTGCTATGGCTGCTGGTGTCTCCCTTTTTCTGGTCACCCTCGAGACAATCCATATTTACTTTTTTCTCCCGGAGACACACCCACGTCTCAGCCTGCTCCACGAGCCTGTTTCTTCTGCGGCCAAGACAGCCGATAATGACAAGACCTGGCCCAAGGAACCCACGATGGTCAATGGTGATGCATCAAAAGCCTCAGTGAACGGCGACAAGTCGTCTCCAGTTCCTCCTCAGAGCCAAACCATCAAGCCGAAAATCCGCAATGAGCTTGTCTTGAAGTTTGTTCATCTCTTCTTTCTGCTCCCATTTTCAGGCCTTGAGTTCTCGCTCCCATTTCTCACTGCGACGCTATATGCCAACCAAAAGTGTACCATGAGCCCCTCGGCCTTGAATGGACGTCTTCTTTCCCTTATGGGCCTCGTTGCTTCTTTGCTCCAGGGTACTATTGTTCGCCGTCTACCACCGATCGTGAGCATACGCCTCGGCGTGGTTGCTTGCACGATCTCATTTTTTCTGCTCGCTCACACCTCTTCAATGAGCGGTGTATATGTCGCGGGAACCTTCTTGGCTGTCACCTCAGCAACGGTGGTAACGAGCATTAATAGTCTGGGTAGCTTAGGAGCATCCGAGGGCGACCGTGGTGTTATTCTCGGCCGTCTACGCAGCTGGGGGCAGGTCGGCAGAGCCGTGGGTCCATTTCTTTTCTGCTCCCTCTTTTGGTGGGCTGGAAAGGAAGCTGCCTATATGACAGGAGGTGTAATGATGATGGGCGTTGTGGGAGCGGTTTTCACTGTGCTTAAGTAGCGCTAGCATATACAAGTTACGGATGAAAGGTGCCTGTTGTAGCCTTATTCAAAGCGGTCATTTTCGGTGATAATTTCACACGTCCTCGACGTTACGGCATTACAACGATGCCTCACTATAATTATCGGTCCTCGCATTGCCATGGTTCCCTTTCTCGCTTACTCTCATGCAGCACAAGTATTTGTACCGCAACACATCTCGGCGTCACTCCTTCACGCTGTCAAGTATATATTGCTGTTGGATATGAAGCAGAAGGGGGATTAATCGATCTTCAACCTCGACTTCCAGCCTGCATGGCGAAAATGGCCTTTGAAAATCTCTTCTTTTTCGCCAACCATCGATACACCGCTCCAGGAAAACATCAGAACCTTGGTAGGGATACCTTTTATAATGGCTCTAGTTTCGTTTAATGAAAAAATGGATTCAGGTTCTGACTATCTTCTATAACTTGGGTCATGCCAGAATTGCAGGCCCAGATCATTTATTTTTAGGGCAATCTTTTCTTCTCCGATACCAATGTTCTCTTTTAAGCGAAGTCAATCTTTCTGTGAAGCAGCTCTTGGGTGCGCATCCAGACCAGTACAGCTCATGTATACAAGTATCCTCTGCACCTAACGCATGCTCCCAGGCACAATTTATTGAGATGTTTTTGCCCAGTCAGTAGTGGCGCTCGACCTGCGTCCTCGAGTAGGGGCGCATTGGAGACTATGTGCACTGACACTTTCCCTGTTTTTAAATCAAGGGAGAAAAGGGAAGGATATAGCACGCAGCCGCATGTTATCAGACTGCCACTGGGGGATGAGTTGATAGTGTGAGCTCCTCATATTAATTGCGAGACACATAAGCAACGGAAATGGATTTTCAGCGCATCAAATCATTTGCGAGACTCTATATAAGTCGAGACAGTAAACCAGACAGCGTGTTGCGGGCTAGGATGGTCGAAGCTGTGCTATTCCTCATGAAGGCGTCACAGCCTTTATACGTTGTGCGCCAATAGGGCAGCTTAATAATGCGAACGGAGATCAAGCCAACTGTTCTTGACGAGGCTCTAAGGTCCTCTTCAGGAAGTGGTACGCTCTATATGTATGTGCATGGATATTTATAGCTATATATAGCTGTCGTAGCTTGCATATGGCTTTGGTGAGATGCCGGGATGAATGATTTACAAACACACACACAGACACAGACACAGTGGGCGCGCGTCCGCAGTAATCTCAAACTTCTAAGGATTTACTGCGTAAAAGTTCTATAACAACCATTGGATGAGTGGTTACAGGGCCTGAGCACTCACAGCAGTTTGTTGTGCCATCATAGTTATCAATAATAGTAGCTAGCAAGGTAGTGATTTGCATATGATGGCTTTTTTTCAACAAGTCAATGTGCTCTATCCCCGTTTTCGTAATCTATGTTCACCCAAAAGATATGGTTATTTACTAAGAAGGCAGTGTGTATATAGTAGAATTCGAAAACAGATTAACCTCCTAGACACTCACGCTTGATTTCTCGGTTCGAACCCGAAACCCCGCTAATCCGTATAAACAACGCCTACTTAGCCTAACGTGGTATAGAACGTTGCAAAGTATTAAATTACAAGAGGCCATGTCCATGACAACCATTATGTAGATAATTAAATGCCATCTCCCAGAGAGTGCATTTCATAGTCCTCCTCTACGGTCCATTCACGCCTCTGGTGAATTATCAGACGGTGTGAGTTCTGGCTATCCCGTGAATGCCGGGTAACAGTCAGATTGGCCTCGTCCTCCTCCCCTTGGTTAGTCGTGTAGGCTTGAGATCGAATAGCCGATGTGCTCTTCCCCGCAGGGGTAAAATAAGTATTTTCGCCATTCCTATTTTTTACACCCTGTCCCCATCCTGTGTTGAATGAAATAACAAAGGGTTTCAGACATGGCACGGTAGCCATCATGATACTGCAGTGGAGGAGGGCGGCGGTGGCAATGATTGAATCCGATAGACGCAACGGCGCATCATGATGGAAAAGTGAGCGATCGAGAAAGACTTGTCGGATTATAGTTATTATGATCAACCTAAATATCACAAACGAAATTAATATCCATTTCAAGTCTTGTTCTTTTGCAATATCAGGCACGCACAGAGTTCTAGTTCCAAATGCAAAAATCACTGCCCCTTTCTCCTTCCGCTGCATCTGAATACCCCAGACTAGTAAAATACTCATCCCAAAGGTGAAAATTTCTGTGATAATGTCGAACGCAGTAATTGCCTTCCAGGCGGTGCCCTGTTTTTATTTTGTCAGCCAATTCATATATGTTAGCGTGAGAGGACACATCACCCACCACATTACCACAGTGCTGAGGCATCATAAACTGATATTGCGGGAGACAACTGGTTGCAATCGCCAACATCGAAGTGACTGTCCACACCACCACCGCGCCCAGAAGAATCTTAGAACAGAGCAAGTAGTGCTTTTGTCTACCTAGCCGTTGGAGAAGCAAACACGTGGAGATTTTGGCGGCACCGTGACCGGCCAGAAAGAAAAGGTTTGCAGCATAAACCCCCTGAACCCAATCTCCGTCAGTTTTGTAGTCCATGCATTTTCCGGTCTCACTTTGTTTCCATGAATTCATAATGATGACTCGTGAGATGTGGTGTGGAGGCAGGGAATCTAACCTTCCCAGCCTGTTTCAAATCCGATAACATGCTCTCGTCTTGCGATCTACCCAGACCGTGGGAAATTGCACCCATAATTGTTCCTGTATGGGCGACAGCCATTACCTAAAAATTGAAAATCGATCGATATTAGCGAAATGCTATGAACTCAAGACAACAAAGGGGGCTTTCTCGAGAAGGATCATCAACAGATAGCAAGGAAGAGAGTCTTACACTTCCGATGAACACTATCAAATCATCAATCTGCAACGGCCCATTGATGGCGAGGCGCAAGTACAGTCGGATCAGAGTTACTAATATCATCCACGACATGAACAATGTCTCGACGATAACAATCGAACCAGTTTGATCTCTCACTGAGATAGCATAGGGGGCGGCGGACTCCATGATTAAGGAATCCGTGTAGAAAACAGAGATTTCACGATGTGCTGTGCCATGGTTTTTAACATTTGTACAATGCCTGCCTCTTACCACCATACGACCATAATTTTATTGGAATATTTAGGGTCCCGGGGGGTGAAACCCGACCCGCGTTTTGGCGCAGTTTCAAGCATCACGAACAGGGGGTTGGCTCATCAGGTCATCACGTCGCGCCGCCCTGACCTTGTGGCCTAAATACTCCTGTAGCTCTCCCGTCCCCGCTCTCCCGTCCCCGAGGTTCGGCCCAAAGATCCGGCCCCATGGGCGGGGGCCAAGCCTCCCGACATCCACCCAAAGGTTTGCAACTCAATATACAAATTCGTCCAATCATATTATCTGAATTAAAGAGGAAGGTGGGATTGAGACCCTGAACGTGGCAACAGCTAGACACCGACGATCCCATCCCGCCTTCGAATATTCCCTGCAAGCAATAAATTGCGGCATGACTCTAGATCAAATTGAAGCAATAATTGAGCTTCAATAGATCCACTTCGTGGGTCCAGAGGGTGGTTTTGGTTTCTTAGGGCCGGCGCAGCTACTCATGCTACCGTAACGCACTGCACTTTGGCCGTAGCAACCACTAAGCTTGCTCGCTCACAAGGCTCACAAGGCTTGCAAGGCTTGCAAGGTTTGTGAAACTCTAGTTATATTACTTCCCCGCCCTTCTAGCAAAGGAAATGTCGCGCCTAGCCTCGGTCCCACTGTCTGCAAAGATTATAATTTTTTAACTGAAAGCATAGTTATAATCTTGCTCTTTGGTCTATTACTAAGTCCATATCTTCAATTCCCCCATCTTCCCACCCGTTCTTCCTTTCACTATCTTTATTTCTTTCAGTTTTCGATAACTACCTTTTTTATTTTGCTTCGACGCATAAATTGAATCGACAAGTCTTCATCATGGGGCACGAGGACGGAATCAAGTTGAATGTCCTAGAGTCCACGCCAGGGGAAGTCCACTCCCGGAAGGCGGGAACTGCGCGGGACAGACAAGATATGGAGCGAGTTGGGCGAACTCAGGAACTCAATGTACGCGGTTACGAGGCGTTATTAGACCCAGCCGACCCCTCCCGTCCAAAGTATACAAATGAAAAGCAAAAGCTGACGTGCCAGCAGAGAAATTTTCGGTTTCTTTCAATTCTTGGATTTACAGCGGTGTTGATGGGCACCTGGGAAGCTGTTCTTTTGTAAGTCTAGCTTGATCAGGGTTTGTTACTGCGAAGGAGATTCTCATCGCATCATATCGGATCATGAGCTCACGTATCAAATTAGCGGTTCATCCTTCGGCTTGACAAACGGCGGCAAAGGAGGAATGATCTATACCTATATAGGCGGCCTGGCAGGGTTCAGCTTTGTGATCCTCTCCATGGCCGAAATGGCTTCAATGTATGTATATTGAAGATCCTTGTCAATTTCGTGCGGATTACGATTGCTGACCCCTCCGACTCGACTGTCTAGGGCGCCTACGTCTGGTGGTCAGTATCATTGGGTGTCCGAGTTTGCACCTCCTAGGTCACAGGCCCTGTTGAGTTATATCACTGGCTGGGTTTGCGTGTTGGGCTGGCATACCGGTATAGCATCAGCTTGTTATACGGTCGCTAACACGCTGGTTGGTGTGGTTGCCATCAACTACCCTCATACATATACCTATGAGCCGTGGCATGTTACGCTGCTCGTCATTGCCATGGCCATAGCAGCCTTGATTTTTAATACCTTCTTCGCGCAAAAGCTTCCCTTGATCGAAGGAATTATCCTTATTGTGCACTGCTTTGGTTTCTTCGGCATCCTGATCCCTCTATGGGTACTGTCTCCCACTGTACCCGCCTCCGAAGTTTTCGGCTCTATCGAGGATCGGGGTGGATGGGGAAACAATGGGCTCTCATGTCTGGTCGGAATAAGTGGCCCTATATTTGCATTGATGGGTATGTCGACGCGTTGATGGTCCTTACTTTTGAATGATCCTAACAATGTCTCCTGAAAAGGCCCTGACTCAGCAGTTCATATGGGTATGTATACCACTATTTCCCAATCTATGGCTGAAAAGAGAGAAGACTAATACCGTAACACAGCTGAAGAAATCCAGGACGCGTCTCGAGTCCTCCCCCTGGGCATGGTTTGGACGCTGATTCTTAACGGGTCCACGGGATTGGTCATGGTCATCACATACGCATTCTGCGTGGGCAATATTGACGAAGTCCTTCAGTCTAAGACAGGTCTCCCATTCGTTCAGGTCTTTCTTAATGCCACAGGATCAGTCGGTGCTACAACCGGTATGACGGTTTTGCTTATGATTTTGCAATTCTGCGGGGCAATCAGTAATGTTGCCACGACCTCTCGTCAGCTCTACTCCTTCGCCCGCGATAGGGGTCTTCCTTTTTCCAACTTCTTTGCGCAGGTGAGCTCCTTTCTATACTCCTCGCCACTCGAGTTGTTTCATGAATTTTGCTAACAACAATGAAACACAAACAGGTTCACCCAACCTTTGCCGTACCAATAAACGCCCTTTGTGCGAGTCTCGTTATCGTCTCCCTCCTTTCTTTGATCAATATCGGATCCTCTGTGGCTTTCAACGCCATTATGTCCCTCGGCCTTGCCGCCCTTCTCTCCTCCTACATTATTTCCATCACGTGTGTTCGCATTCGGCGGTGGCGTAATCAGCCACTGCCGCCGGCGCGTTGGAGTATGGGCAAGTTTGCTCCCATTTGTGACACCATTTCTATCCTGGTCTTGCTGGTGATATTTGTATTCACCTTCTTCCCCCTGACCAGTACTGTGGACCTGACTACCATGAACTGGAGTATAGCTATCTTCGGGGGAGTTGTTACAGTTTGCGTGAGTTACTATGTGACTACCGGTCGGAAGGTCTACAAGGGTCCTGTAACGCGGGTGAAAATGATGCAGCAGTGATAAAAGGACACATCATCTGGTTATTTCGCAGGGGAGGAGAAATTCAAGGATTATTTGTTCCATTTCAGAAAATGGAATGGAAAGTGTTCAACAAGAGAATTAGTTTTCATATGATTGAATGAACAATAGAGGAGATTGTAAAATTTCAGTGCTTCCATAGCGAAGTAGATCACTACTGAATCACTGTAAAAATAAACGAGAACATGAACCTGGTGGGAGCTGCAAAGCAAAAGACTATCATGAGGCATTTTTATTATTGGCACCGGGATGCAAGGATATAACCATTTCCAAGAGTAACCTTACCCCACTTTGGGGCGTGGATGATACTCACTAAAACGCCTAAAATCACCAGGTTTACTAGAAATACTAACATTTCCACTTCATTGGGTTCTCGGGGTTGAGGGCAAAAGTCTAAATTGGCTTTCGGGCCGACAACAGGCAACTTAGTATCAAAATCAAACCTAGGAGTTTAACGCGTAATGATAAAATTGTTAGTTTCGCCCCGGGCCGGCAGTGGAGACGTGTATGTGGATGCGATCGTGGAAAATCAGAGGAGATCCGTGGCCGATCGTGATAGGGTACTGAGCGTTCCCTTAGAGGCCGCGCGGGACGAAGTGCACACGGTTGATGATCATGACATGGGCCGAAGGATGGGTCAGGAACCCTGTAAGAAATTGTAATTATCGGACAGACACGACCACTCCAAGGTTGCATGAAAGGCCAATGTTTCATAGGCGCTAAGGGGTCGCTAGAGCTTAGGCGCATCTTAGCTGATTGCATGTCGTGTATGAGACTGGAAGATTTTCGGGAGCCCTGGCAGGGTCCCGCCACATGACGATCTTGCCCAATGTGTTGCGGCCCTCCGAGCAGTCATAGACAGGGAGTGTTGGTGTCCTATGGGGTTTGCAAGGGGGCGAGTCCCGGAGGAACGCGGCGCACGTAAAAAGTGGCCGGGAGATTCCTCTAGTAGGTGTAAGTTGAATAGCTCTGAACTAGACACGCAGGTCTTGTCTCGTAACTCAAAGCTCGAGCAACTCGTATGTCGACAAGGGTTACCCTCAGGGTCCCCACGTGACTGATTTTAGGAGAAAAAGTCATATTTTAGGTTTCAATCCACTTAGTCATCTATCTAAAATAGTAAGGCGTGTCCTAAATAGGTAAAGTGTTTCTTATGTGGGTTGGTTGGACCCTCAGTGGGTGACCATCAAGGGACCCTTGGAGGGTCAGGGTCAGGCTTGGTGGGGTTGGACCCTGACCTTCGGAGGTGCGGGTGGAGGTTCCGGACTTTGGACCCGCGGGGCGGGTGAGTGCCAGGTCTAGGGTGACCTTCAGCTCCGCTTTGGTCACGCTGCATTGAGTGTGCCGATCTCCGAGAAACAGCTTGAGACTTGGGATCTTGAGAAAATTATTATCAGGCCACTCGATGGGGGCAGAATCTGTGAGAGTCTTTCGCTCGCCCCCGTTACCGCAGAAAGTTGATTTGTCGTTTGAGAATAACATATGGTCCTGGCATGCTTGTGTTTGCGAGAATATTGCTGTCATATCTTGTTCCATCTGTGGACTGCCGCCCGTCATAAGCATACTTCCAGAGAAAGTAGGAAGTAGTATAGTACAGCACTATCTGTAGTTTGTTCAAGTGTGAAGGTCAGTTGCTCTAGTATGTAAAACCCACGGTGTATACAAGGGGTGCCGGCAAGAAATAATCACGGAGTCTCTCCGAGATAGACGAAGTCAACAAGATCCACTCTGTGGTAGCCATTTCTATACATCTTTCCTTGTCCAAGCAAGTGAAGTGCTGGAAATCGGCTTGACATGAAGTTATTTTCAAACAGATTGTTTCGTATCTTTTGACTATCAGCTCTAGGTATCACCCCCAAATAAATGCCGCTGTAGCACCTCAAAATCAGCCATATCAGCTCCAGTCAGAACGAAATCTTCATCATGGTACAAGGAGTATACATCATGAGGATCCGTCGGAAACTCAATTGGCAAAGAGCTCTGGTCCAATTCCTCCATCGAGGCTCCACTCATCCTGATACTCGGATTGTAGTTTTCAGGGGAGTGAGTTCTAGCGACAGTTCCTTCAACTTGCGATAGTGAATGAACCCTATCTGGATCATTTGCATCTTCCGGCAAATTTACCGCCTCCATCAAAGACGGTATGCGCCTGTAAAGTCCCAGCATCTGCTGCATGCGGACCATTGCAGCACGGTTATGGAGCCCAGACAGCCACTCAAGTAGCTGCATTGCCTCGTATATACCTGGACTCGGTTTAAGACAGGCCGGATTAGGGCCATTGCTGACACCGGCAGCGTCGATGATCGCCGCCAGTAGCATGATGAAACCCGCAGAGAATATCGAATCGAGATCAAAAAAGCCGAAAATTGCTTTTGGGGGTTAGCTTTAGTTCCTGGTGGGGTCATTTTTCAGAAATGACCTGCCTATCATGTTTTCCTTCTGCGCGACTATCATAAGCTCCAAGCACCTGCGTGCAGCTTCAATGCATGTGTGAGTCAGGTGCTGAAAGGCATGACTACTCTTGACAAATGTAATATCACGATCGAGTATTGATTTGGTCAAGTGAAGTACGATTGGACGCAGGGTCAAAATTATTGACTATCAATAAGGTTCAATATGCTGTTTCGCAAGCTGGAACTTTGACTGGGTAGCAATACCTGATATAATATTGTGTAAAGTGATATGCTGGTCCGTAGCTGTCTCCTGGATGGCTGCGTCGTACCAAATGAAGAATTTTGCTCGATTCTCGCCGCAATTTCGTGAAGTGAGGAGATGATGCCTTCCACATTCGCGAGAAAAACGTTGTTGGGGCAAGATTCATTGCTGTATATGACTTGTAATAATCAGAAACTGTGGAAAAAAGTGTTTGTATGATGCTTACCGGAATATATCCGACTTTGAATTTGTGCAATATCAATATTGATCTGCAAGGCGGATGGATTTGGGAAGCCAGGGGATTCAGCCAAAGAACAAGCGTCGACAGACCTGTCGTCTAGACTTAGTGAACAGCCGGTAGCTATCATCAATCGCTTGTTATGTGAGTGTATCGTCCACCAAAGACGGCTAACATGCGTTACCTCCGAGCGCCGAAGATGCTTCATGATGGCTTTCCGGTGTAGTTTATGTAGCATCGCTAAGCGAAGGGCGAGCCCAATCTGTGAAGGCGGGTTTGTCAGTTGGTTAGGCAAAGGAACGTGAATGAACGATGAGCTTACATAGGTAGCGGCGTCCTCCGTTTGATCAATATTCTGCAGGTATATTGCGATGATTGCCAAAACCTCTATGCCCGGCACGCCATGAGATCGAAGGTCTTCGGGGTTCGGTAGGTGATCTCGGACAAATATGAATATTCCTGTTCCTGGAGGTTGGCCCAGATGGTCTTCCTCGCCTCGAAGCAGCCTTCCAAGAGCTAGAATGACAAGTATTTGGAGAACTCGGATATTGGGATGATCAAGTTGTTCACTCTGATTTTCGTAGAATGACGTCAGTCGATCAGAGACATCCCGGGCGTCGAATAGGTGCTGAGGCTCTTCGAAATAGAACAAGACCGTATCGAGTAGTTGGAATGCCTCTTCCTCCGAGGGAAGTTCCAGATCATCGCGCCCGCTGTCTCCTCGACTCTCCCTAGGCCGAAGTGGTCTTGGATTTTCGGGAAAGAGAGATTGCCTTGCTGATTTGAATGATTGAATGCTGGATTCGGATATTCGGGTCGACCTTCGCTCAAAGAGGGTTTGCACTCGATCTCCAAACTCTTGGCTTGAGCCGATGTCGCGCTCGGTTGAGATCCCTATCACTGAGTGTCAGTGTTATAATCAACCCCCTTCCTTGGATAAAATATGGCTTACGCTGTGTTGCCAATTCTTCACCTTGGCGAGGGGATGGAGTCACGGCAGTCGCATTAGGGATAAAATTTCTGGGCTCGTACAATGCGAGGCGAGATTCAAGTTCTTGGATTCGCCTGGATGAAAGTTAGATGAAATTTCTCACCGACAATGGACCCCTAGCTCATAAACTTACGCCAGTGAGTGTACCCGTGTATCTCCCGAAGCTGGAAAGGTGCAATGTAGCTCTCGGCGGGTGCAATATACGCATGGGTACTCTCCGGAGCATTTGACCTTCTTTGCCTTGCAATTCGCGCAGCTTCATGGATCGTTAACGACGTGATATGGATCAGAGATGGGACTGCTAGGTATAAACTCACGCCGATGCCACTTTTGTAGTAGCGCCTCGGCGACTGGGCGTGCTCCGTGGCTCCGCTCTGGCCGGTGGCATTTCAAATCCGACGTGTTGTTCGGAGGTGATTCGGAGACATCCGAACCCTCAAGTGAATGTCATTTGTGCTCGGGCCGACCTTTCTCCGCGCCACCTTTATCAACTACACATTCTATACAGCTCACCTTTTAGATTGGTTTTAAGCAACGTATTCCTTACGCTACATGGGAAGCGCTATGAAGATGGAAGTATTTTAGTTCGGCGCTCGCAGGAGGAGCTTTTCGCAATGAACTTGAATTGAAAGTTTTGCCAACAAAATAGTCAACATTTTGGAATGTTCTGGGATGTTGCAAGAGCCGTTACTCCTCCTTGGTGTACATTCCAAGAAGGTCCTTCATATTTTGAGTGCAATCCTTGTATTCCATCGTCAACTCCACGATGCGAAGCCCACGTCCATCTTTGAACGTCGTTTGATTCGTAATGGAATCCAATTCACGCCATGTCTTTGCACTTGCTGTAAAAATGGGATACTCGGTATCGCAGTTTGCGCCAAAATAAGAAGGAGAGTCGAGATACTTCCAGGCAGCGACATCATTATAATGTTGCTCTGGGCCGTGGATGAGACGCTCAATGGTGTATCCGTTATTGTTGACGATGAAAATGATCACATCAAGCTTCTTGCGAATGATCGTACTAATCTCTTGCACAGTCATCTGGAAACTGCCATCCCCCTCAAACAAGATAGTTCTACCGGAGGGAGAAGACGTGGATGTGGCGAGATGTCGTTGAGCGAGGACAGCGCCTTGTGCCGCTGCAAGTGTGTATCCGATTGACAGCCAAACACTCGAGTTTATTAGAGTCGTGCCTTTTGGTAACACCATGTCTCGTCCTCCAACGCTAGATGTCCCAGTTTCAGTCAAGATGATATCGCCAGAACGGAAGAAAGTTGAGATTCGTGACCAGAAGACATCTTGCGTGAGCTCGGAGTCCCGATCAATGTCAAAAATCTTCGGATTAAGAGCTATCCGTGGCAGATCCGGATAAGGGGCAAATGGGGTGATACCATCACGAGCCAAGTTATCCAGTACTTGTTGAAGTAGCGATTTCGGCTTCAGATTCTGTGCGCAAGATCCAATCATAACGTGATTTTGCTCAAAGACGATAGAAATATCCTCCTTTGGAACAGTCGTAAAATAGTAGGTGTTCACATTGCTATGCATGGGCCCGATATTGATGATGAGATCGCAGGCCTCCACATAGGAGACATAGTTCGTTTTCCCGATGGGTGCATAAATTCCATGGAAATTGGGCAGACCCTCATCGATAATTCCCTTTCCGAAAGGTGTTGTTGCGGTGGGAAACCCAGTGACTTTTGCCAGCTCATGTACCTGCTCAGACATTCCGAACCGCGAGGTGCCGGCGTCTACCAGGATCAATGGTTGCTTGGCTTTTCTGATGCGGTGGACGATCTGGTCCGCGATTTCTTCTTCGAACAAAGGCTCATTTGGATGCGGGGATAGAGTGGCCGCTCCATAGCAGAGAGTATCAGGTACCATCATAGATCGATTGAAGCGAGTTCTAGGTACCATCTCATTGACCATATCCATTGGTACTCGGATATAGACAGGTCGGGACTGAACAACGCATTCACGAATAGCTCGGTCAATCTGCATAGGAGCCGTGGAGAGATTAATCAAATTCTCCTGCGCGACTGTGACTTTTTCATACATTTCGGCGAAGAGCTCAAAGTCACGCGGCGTGCCTCTGCACAATGAGTGGTGAAGACGGGTGCCTGAAGACTGTAGCTTTCGGTCCGGAGTTCCAACAATGTGCACCACGGGTGCCATTTCAGCATAAGCACCAGCGATCGCATTGATGGCAGACAGCTCTCCCACACCAAATGTTGTGATCAAAGCGCCGATTCCTTTGATTCGAGCGTATCCATCGGCTGCGTACCCGGCGTTCAGCTCGTTGCAGTTTCCGACCCATTCCAGACCACATGGGACGACATGATCGAGTAGAGTGAGGTTATAATCTCCAGGTACCCCATGTACTGCCAGAACACCAGCATCCCGGAGGCGATAGAAGAGATACTCGGCAAGAGTGATTTGCGTCGACATCTCTGAGCGTACCAGACAGAAGGATGAGCAGTAAATTGACCGAGTATGGCAAGTGATTGGGAAAGGGAACAGGTTCAATCTCCAATGAAGAGAAGAGGATCAATTTACTGAAGAATCCCTTTCGAGATTAAAGAGGAGACAGAGAATATTTAAGTGGTCGCCAAACTTACTGAGTGTCCTGGACCTCTCGGTACAAACATCAAGCCTGAGCTTGGTGACCAATCAGTTTTCAAGACCCCACAGACATCCCGGAGCCGCCGAGGACGTCCTTGACATAATGAAAGAAAAAATAGTTGCCGCTTCATGCACCTGCATGAAGTGATTGGTCTTGCTACCTCGGTGGGTTCCGAAATCTTCTCCACTTTTCGGAGGCGCCTCCGAGCCCTACAAAAAACGACGCTCCGGGTTCGTAATTGCCAAAATATGCATATCTCCATGAATAAGAATCATCCAAAGAATTTGAAATTTGGCATTGCTGAAGCAAGCACTGTTTGTTTCTGCGCAATTTCTTTCGATCGCTTCCCTCCTGGGATTGGAGTCGTGAAATGCCAGAGTTTCTCGTAGAACGAACCTCAGAATTGTAAATACGAGTCGGCAACGAATCTCATGTAACATCCAAGAGCGGGATGTTAAGTTTAGAAGGTTGCACGAAGGTGACATGTATTGAAAATGTAAGTCTGAAGAAAAGAAATTATGTGCTTAGGTATAGAGAAAGGAGGAAAACACCCTATCCACATGCAGAAGCCCAAACGCTCAGACAAAGCAAAAGAAAGGTGAAAGAGTGTAAAGAATAGGAAAAAAGGCTGGACAGGGATCACAAAGACTCGATCTGCAATTCCTGTGAGACAGCATGCTTATGTCCATATTGCACATCGGTAATGCGCGGCAGTAAAGCCTTTCGGTCGACGAGCCTCTCGTTCGCGTTGAAATGGTCTACCCGAGACCCGACGGGAACGAGCACCTGTCGCTTGCCACTCTTCAATGAGATAGATCGTGCTGTGGAGACTTCAATTGTTGGGATCGCCACGTTGGTCTCCTTTGTGTCGAGTTGCTCGGGCTCAGCCACGGGCGGAATTCGGATGGGTTCTGCCCGCGGTGGGTTTGGTAGGTCCGGTTTGGGGTCTGAGGACACCTCTTTTGGGGACGCTGTGATGTTGACTAGCTCCGCTGTAAATTTGGACGGGGGAGCAGTGCTGTTCAGCGATGATTTGGACGGGGATTTATCCTTTGCGTCTTTCGGGGGCGGCAACGGTGGCTTTCGTCCAGTCTTGACGGTCAGGTTCCGTCGCTCCCGATCAGACCTTTCCTTTAAAGTTGAATTTTTGTTTGTCTGCAATGCTTTTTGTTGCTGCTGAAAAGAACTTTGCACTGCTCGAATGTCTTGCGGAGACATTTTTCGCGATCTAGGGTGGGGGTTGATAGGTGGGAGGGGCTTGTCCTCCCAGCGAATGTACGAATTAGATGATTGAGGAGTATTGGAAGACTCATTGAAAATTTGTTTCGTGATGGGCGACTCGAGAGACGAAACGCCATTATTATTAGGGATTGCTCGGAGCGTTGGCTCCAGAGGCGACCTAGATGGGCTTTCCACAGGGACAGTGTTTGATCGGAGAAGAGGACTAGGCCCTCGAGAGAAGTTCTGTGTTCCCGGAATCTGCGCAGCTTTTGAAGGCTGAGAAGTTGGGAACAATGTGAAACTTGATCGTGCTGGGGAGGTGGCTCGTCGGATGAGAACCGGCGGCGGCTTGGCAGTGGCAGCAAAGAATAGCTATGATATGTTAGACATTTTCGTTCCAAGTATATACTGGCATCAACGAGACATGCTAACGAACTTGGTTGCTGGGTACACTGAGGCTATCCAGAGTCTTTGCTCGCCTGGCCAGCAGATTGGGCCTCTGGTTCTTGTTCATCACATTGCTGAACATCACGCTGTATCGCTCCATTTGGATATCCGGAATATCAAGTTCCAGCCGTAGACTTTGATTCTCCAAATTTTCTTTGGTGGGTATTCTCTTTGACAGCGAAAAATTGCGGCTTCGCTGCGAACTCGAGTTGTTGCTGTCGGCTTTCGTTTTCGGGTCGCCTCCAATCCGTGGCCGTTCCTCATTGGAGCCCTTCCGCTTTTTCATTTGCTGCTGTTTTGCCGATGGGATTTCCTTTTGTCCCAGCTGTTTTGATGGGCCCGGATGAGCACTTTGAGTCGGTGATGCAAGTGCATTCTTAGCCCTAAAAAACCCTCCAATCTTTTTCCACTTGCTTGATTTCTGCGGCGGTGTTGGCTGTCCGGTCTGTGTCTGCGCAAATATTGAAGTATTGAATCTCGGAGGGGGCAAAGCTTTGGAATCAAACATGTCCGGGCTTCCTAGTGCGATGCCTATCGTTTGTGAACCGAGTGGACTCCCGCCCGAGGGAGCGCCGGAGGGAACTGCTTCGTCCGGCGGGGCAGTCAACCTAAAGTCGAAAGTGGCCCCAACACCCGGCGGTGCCTTTCTGTTCGTTCTAGTGTCTGCTGTTTGGGGTCGAGGGAAATCCCACTGTGCAACAACGCCCTGCTTGGGTAGCCGTTGGGAAGTAGTCTTGTCAATATCGCGAAGGTCATCACGCGGCGCTGCATCGGAATAGGTCAAGACAGGAAATGAGATGGTGTCCATGGCCGGGTTTGTGCGAGACTGGACGACCGTCGTAGTTTTTCCCATGTTATGATGTCACGAAACCCAGTCCGTAGCAACAAATAGTAATGAAAAGAATTGTAGAATAGGGAGATCAATGAACGGACAGCCTTCCAGAAGGCCTGGTGCCAAACAGAAAGAAAGTAAAACAGAGTCGCACGACCACCAGGGGTGGCCCTTCTCTTAATCAACCAGGATCAGGAGGAGTGGCGGCGGGGGACGTCTCATGAGTGGAGATACAATTACGCCAAGCTGTGTACATGAGACACTCGTAGCCGGCAGGGTCAATATAACGCAATTTAACCCCCGATCGCAAAACACATCTCGGCTGGGGTCAGACTCAACCAACGAGATAGCAGAATTGACAGGGGCGGGGCGGGGCTGAAACTAACAGGAGCGATCGCATAGCACCGATTCGTTTTCACAGGATCGCAGAGGCCGGTTAGCGCCGCAACGGTGGCACTTCGCGGGCCAGTCTCATCGCCGGACTGGAAACAGGAGGACAACCACACGGGCCAAACCAGGACCCCTCAGGGCCACTCAGGGCTCGGGCTCGGTGATCAGCAGACGATGCTTAATTCGGGTGGCGTGAATAAGATTGGCAGTGAGATTATCAAATAGATTAGTTCGCTACCACGTTCTAACCGGACCGGGCGCATTGACCCTATATGCAGGAGGCGTGTTTCACCTCAAACCAAGACAAATCACTGGTCGCACCGGGAGCCTCGGCTCTTTCCACGCATTGCAATTCGGTTCCCGCGCACTGACGTCGCATCATGTTTTTCCGTTTGACTGTGATGCTAAGAACGTAGCTATTGCCAATGAGTTGGATGTTTGGTGTTTCATACCCCTGAGAACGGAGTTTGTGATTTTCATCTCTTTGAGTGATAGCATTGAAAGGATCGGGAAACGATCAGCAGAAAGGAACAAAGAGGAGCAAAAGCGGTGAAAAGGGGAGGTTATACGAGATCGGCTGAGACAAAGGCTAGACACCTCAGGAATCAGGAAATATAACAATCCTGATCTGACTCCGTATGCATCATTTTTAGATTGCTTTACATCATGTCCAGCAGTTCAGAGATATGCCTCACACTCTACCGAGCAACGTGCGATCAAATACAATGTTCTCTTCATTAAATTGCCCATAGTGTTAGAAATAAGAAAGCCACCAAACCACTCACCCCGCCACTCCTCGCTTCTCGTAATGATCTGGAAGACTTTGTCCTTGATATCCTGATTTCTCGGGTCTCCTTTTAGATAAAAATTTGGACTCTGGTCGCTCTTGCGGATAAATGCACCAATGCAACAATAGCAATACAAGTCTCCACCTCGAGGGAAACCACCATTTCACCCTGGTGAGGCTGTTTTTGGGCAAATCTTGCATCCAGTATTAGCGGCCACGTTCACTGTTCCTGGAAAGAACGGCATGCTTGTAGTTGGCTTTGGAAAAGATGCAACCAGAGATATGAACAAGTGTTTCACTTAGACACCGTAGCGACTTGCTTTGATGGTTGAAGAGCTTTGAAATAAAATAGCCTCAAATGCATCTCTCCTCATTACGGCACCGAAACTAGCGCCCCGCAACAATTCCACATCAGTAAAAAAATATAAAAAAAAAGCAAATACCTCATCACGGAATACACATACCCATGACATTTGATAAGCTTCAAAAGTGACGCACTCAGTTCTCTGAGTTTAACTCCATCGAGATTATTTACCCACGACTGTTGGAGAATATAGCACCAGGCTTGAGTCGGGCTGAGTTCGTCATCAAGAACAAGCTCTTCAGACAGGGCAAGCAGTTTGTCAAAAATAAATGCGGGATTATAAGTCGATGGGGCATACTTTGATAACATGGACGAGGCGTATTGATGGTCATGCGAGTGGACGAGGGTGGCAGACGTGAGCAGAGAATGGCCGTTAGGCTTATCTGGGTGGCGCTCTAAATGCGGGAGGCAGGGATGTTCGAGCCTGTAATTCCGTTAGGAACAGACAAAGATGCATGCTAAGGAAATATAACTCACGCCAAGACAAATTCCATCCCCATGTCAGTCATCTTTTGGTTAGAAGACTTTTCAGCGCATCTTGACTGTGGTTCCATTGGCTGAAATGGAGAAGTGAAAGCTGGGGCACGGAAAGGTAGATCCGGCTGTTGACCGTTTGCTGACCCGATGAGCTGGCCATGTGAATTCGGGTAAATGTTCTCACCGGACAGACCCAGAGGGGAATTGGTCTCTTCAGACTCCGTCCCCACTCTGGATCCCCAGGAACTAATCCCATTTTGGATATTGCCATGGTATTGAACCGGGGAGGTTGCTACAGTCAGGCCTACTCCAGCATTCTCCGCTGCCTTCAAGTCAATGAAGGGCGCTGCTGGGAGTACGGATAACTCTTGTTTATCCACAATACCGTGGAGTACGTCGATCTGACTGCGAAGATTCTGAACTTGAAGGACCAACTTCATTTCGTTTGCACGTAGACGCAATACTTCACTCTCTAGATTCTTGAAATATTGGTCCTTGCGTAGGCGGTGCGTGCTGTTGAATGATCAGCCTAGCCGGAGATTGTAAAAAACAATGCAGACAACTCCATACCGCTGGGCTTTTCGCAGCTGTTCTCGACGCTTAAAGAGAGTTGAACTAGTGCCGCCTGTGATCAGAGATGAGCAGGTTTTTTAAGCATGAAGGAAGCTACTCCGCTACGAGTAAAACCGGTGCGAACTGACCTGATTCGGACTCTTGTCGATCGGACCGATGACCGGGTAGGAAGGTAAAAGCTTTCTTCATGTTGAATTGAAGGGCGCGTGTTGAGAGAGTAATGGTACTTTGCAGAGGTATGAAGAGTATGGTTGGATCTTAGAAAATAAGCTGACAATCAAGGAGGCGGTCATTAAGAAAGCCATGGCCCGGTATCCACTTCGACTTCATATCATAGGCTCTTGCATCTAACTAACTTAGACTAGCGGCAATTTAACTCCGATGCTAGACCCAGTTTGTGGAGGGGACTAGCGTAACATAGCCCATCTGTGCCCAAGGAGTGGATTGTTGACTTAATCATTATTTCCTATTAGGGCTAGTGCAAATATTGAGTTTGAAGACAGGTCCATTCGGAAGGGGGTTAGGGATTGCTGACTTGATCATTTTTTCCCTTTCAGAACAACAAAAAGTTGTCTTCAAGTCACGATCGGTTATCCATGAATGTTGACTTAATCATTATTTCCTCAATGTATCTAGGTACTTCATCCAATGTGGCAGGAGCTCCCGGCTGTGCTTGCCAGAGAGCGCTATATAATGAAGAACCCGTCAGAACGGATGGCAACTATCATCCACAAAACAATATTCGTCTGGTCTAGGGTGCAGCAAGCTTTTCCTTGTCGAATACACTGATTTGTTCCGAATTCTCAGCATAATGCGTTGTCATTTTTCTTCCGTCTGCCTGGGGATGGCTTCCGTGGCGGGTTGTGTACACGCCAATGGCACGAATGCATGCCCCTCGGGTTCTGGAGAAGCATCACAAGTCGGCAAAGCACTCTACTTCCAGTCGAACGAGCAACAAAACTCTATTGTTTCAGTTCCTATCGGGCGTGATGGCAAGCTTCATGGCGGTATGGTCACCGCCACGGGCGGCATGGGAGGGGCCATCATCGACGGGGCCACCAACAAACCAGCTGGTCCAGACGCGCTCTCGTCCCAGGGCTCGGTGGTAGTAATTGACAAGGTAAGTTTCAAGGCACCATATGGCAGCTTCATTCCCGTGTCATTTTCATTAATCAGCTCTCACTAGTATCTTTTTGCCGTGAACGCCGGATCAAATACTCTTAGCATGTTCAAAATTGACGAGGCCGATGCCACCAGCTTGTCCATGATCGGGGAGATGGCCGTTGTTCCTGGCGATTTCCCCGTGACTGTTGCAGCCTCAATGAAGCGGAACGTGGTATGTGTCGGATACACGGGGGCAAAGGCTGGCACTTCCTGTGCTTCGTTCACGCCAGAGGGACTCGGTCCGATGAAGCAAGTCCTTGACATTGAGCTAAGCCAGACCACACCTCCTCAAGGACCCACGAACACCCTCGCGCAAGTATTCTTCACCGCGGATGATACTTGCCTGATCACTACTGTCAAGGGGGATCCAAATACCAATAAGACGGGCTTCGTCTCCGTTCTGCCGTTCAAGGATTCATGGTCATCTACTTTTGAGAGTCATGATGTCCGAAGCTCCCCATCCGGAACCGCAGTACTCTTTGGTGGTGTCAGTATCCCCAATACTTCGGATCTTTTCATAACGGACGCATCCTTTGGTGCCGCACTTCTCAGCCTCAACCCGACTACAGACAATGTGTCTCTTCAGCGCAAAATTGTCATCGAAGGCCAAAAAGCAACATGTTGGGCTGCTTATTGCCAGGCAAGGGAAAGTGTCTTTGTTACGGATGCGGCAGAGGACCGACTGATTGAGATCAGTGAAGATGGATCCAAAATCCTGTCAATCCTCGACTTGAATAACGGTGATCCTGGACTCATCGATCTCCAAATCTCTGGTCGCTTTGTTTATGCACTTTCTCCGGGCAATGATACGACACCTGCCGCAATCACGGTGGTGGATTCGTTCCAGGGTCGGCAGATTCAGCATTTTATGCTGGAGAAGCTTGGCGCGGGAAAGCGCTGTCAGGGTATGGCTATCCTTCAATGAGTGTATTTCATGGAAAAGAATATGGCGGCGAATGTCGTCGTTTGCCCAGAGACGAACCATAGTTGAAGATAATTCCGTCAGTGTTCTTATTTCTGCCTAGGTATAGAGGAAATCGTGATAGGGTTCACCGCTTCCTACTCTTTGATTATTTACGATTCGCGCTCTGGACCGCGCTAGCTCCTCTGTGTTTTGGCTCATTTTGAATTTCGAAGAATAATGCAGATGAGGATATATGATAGATGGCGCTGTAGATTACCTTAAAACCCGAGGTTTAAGACGTACGGAAAGAAGAACCCTGGGATTTTGGAAGGATAAGTTAATAAATAATTCAGCAATTCAAACAGTCAAATCAAACAACAGTGATGTTTCTATCTCATTGGTCCGGAACTCCATTTAGAGGGCAATAGTCAGCAAATGCAGTCGAAGGATTTCGAATTCCCAAAACAGTATCATTGTCATCCAATTGCCCCACGCAGGTTGGCGGCAACAAGGGCAGCTAGGGGTCGTCAAGGGCCAAGGATGGACACATTCCTGGTGAAACCAATGTTTGCAGGGCAAATACCATAATTGGGCGTCGAGTTCCACATCTTCCAGATAAAACCCACACGTTAGATCTTCAGTGTCAGCCAGCATCATGTCATCAACGGTGCGCTCATTAACGCTGCAAGTGACAGGAGGGCGCGGGCAAATTGTTTCAAATATCTCGGTGAGAGTCTCTTCAACCGTCGCCAGTGGTTGCCCATTGTCACTGGAATATTGCCCAATAGACCGCCGAAGATAGCAAAGGACAGCAAGATATGCCCAAAGCTCACGATGGCCCGGATCTGGCAGGGTGTAAAATAGATCCGAATAAATTGGCAAAAGGACAGCAATCAACGCACTTTCGAACCGTTGTTTGCCTGTATCAAGGTGTCCTTGAATGACAGCCATTGTCCTTCTAGTAAGCTCGGAGCTTTCAAGCGAAAAGAGCCGCGCAAGATCTGATTCAGCTTGCCAGGGATCTTCGAGAAGACCTCTAAGAGAAAGGTAATTAAAGCCTTGCGGCTCCATGAGCCACGTACCTTGAATTCCTGTATATATTGGATTTGAATGGGCAGCTGTTGAGGATATGTCTAAGACGATCCACGGCACCTACATGTAGGCTTTTTGTCGTAGGGGGATTTCCAACAAAATTCACGTCCTAATCATAAAACAGTCTCGTGAAACGAGTTTCGAGAGTTCCAAGCTTCTTTGTTTTCTAAGTAAGACACGACAATACGGCTAACTTGGAACAAGAAAGTATCGGGAATGGGGCTGTCAGATGATATCCTTTCTTCTGTGGAACAGCCGAAGAATTCATTGACTTTTGAATCTATCGCTAATCTACAGCATTGTATTTGTTTCCGTAACACTCCTGATCCACATTTCTTCTGGATTGCGTGACTCCTCTCTTTGTGCCTGAATCTGCTTCGGCCACATGGCTGCGTATCGACCGTTCGAGGGGAGTAGTAAGTCTAAACGCGACATTTTCTCAACGATTTCTCATGTTAAGTCTGTTCCGGTGATTGCAGACACTTGTGGCGTTCAAATGCACGCATCCTGCCCGGGTAGGCAGTTCTCGCCATATGAGGATGTTGAGGATTTGATGTCCAAGTCCAATCCCGACATGATAAAATAGTGGCTGCGTGGTGCACACCCTCGAAGCTACCCTGTGGGGCTTGTAGAAATTGAATTTTTAATGGATATGGAATGTCCGGTCTAAGTTATCATATTATATAAGTAATCGAGGTCAAATCTGCAGTCGCACTTTTTAAGAGCTACGTCTCCGAAATGAATCAAACAGACACGTAAGGCGAGCCCTATTACAGAGAGGCTTATTCTCGGCGAATTTTTCCACACTAGCTAGAACAAAGAAAACATAATTTCAGGCCTAAATCATATTGCGAATATGGCGCGGAGCTAGTTGTTTACACCGCTCCACTAGTGGCCCCCATCAGGGACATCTACATGTCATGAAAATTGAGTCCAAGAAACCGACGACCACTATTAGGGATGAGTGCACGAGAACAACCAAGCTTAAACAAGCGCTGGAATTCGACCACGTGCACAGTTATGACATGCGTAGCGCAGATCGCTATGCAGAATGCGCGAGGCCCTGACATGTTGACGGCCGGTCACACCAGGGGCATCCATGGGGGCTTTCCAAGCTTTAGCGAATAGAATTCAAGTAGAACAAGCCCAATCCCGCTGGATCGAGCAAATTCCGAACGAGAAGACGGAATCCCGGACGCGACGGAGCGGGAGTCCTCTCACCTCCCGTTCTCGGCGGGATCGACGGGAAGCGCAGGTTTGGCGGGGGCTAAATTGCCGCCAACACAGAACCCCACTTCGACCTCCTTCACCTCCCACAAGCTTCTTATATTCTCCCACCATCTTTTCTGCCTCTCTCCTCACTCCTTACACTTTACCCCCCTTTCACACACTTACAACCGCCACCATGGGCCAGCACTCCGCAATTTGGCAGGGTACGTCCCCGTCTGACCGCATCCGTCTACAGCTGTCTCCCTACTAACGATGACTCCTCTATCCAGGCTATGTCGACTCCAGGTACATCTGATTCCCCTCCGATCGGCAATACTTGCGTCTCTGCTTTCCCCGGCATGAAGCTCCGATCATGACCATACCGCCTGCTGACATGCACTCTCCAGCCTGATGGGCTCGGGTCAATTCGACAAGGCCGGTATCCTGGCCGCCGACTTCTCCGGTCTCGAGGCCCAGTCCCCTGGATTCACCGTACGATACTGGCCCTACAAATCTTCTCCCGGGCATTCAAATGCGGGGTACCCGAGCCGTGACACCCGCTAACGCGTACTGTATTGCAGATGACCCAGGACGACATCAACACCCTGGCCGCGGCCTTCACTGACCCCGATTCCGCCTTCGCCAACGGCTTCTCCGTCGGTGGCGAGAAGTTCGTCTGCATCAAGGCCGATGCGCGCAGTCTGTACGGCAAGAAGGTACGCCACCTGAATACCAGAAAGCTCGGAGAAAGGAGAGAGAACAGCAACTGATCAAGGAACCTGTACAGGGGAAGGAGGGCGCCATCATTTCTCGCGCTTCCGCATGCACCATCATCGCCCACCACGGCGAGAGCGTCCAGACCACCAACGCGGCGACCGTTGTGGAGAACCTGGTCGACTACATCAACAACCCCCAATAAGCAGGTAGCTTCGAATTTACAGATGCGGATGAATGCTATGAACAGGAGCCTGTGAAGAATAGGAAATAAAGGAGCATTGAAATTGTTCGCGTTTTTGCAGTTGCTTAACAATTCCCAAATATATTACGAAGGCATAATGTGCCGCGGGTTAGTTCTGGTTCCACTTGAGTAGCTTACTGTGTAGAGATATCGTGTACCAACTGTCTGAGTGGGTAGCTACTGAGGTAGGATTTTCGTGGCCGTGTGTAAAGGATATGCTTCTATGCTCTATTATATACGTCAAGTACTGACGTTCCAGCAAACACAACACCGTGTCACTTCGCTGGAGAAGGAAAGGTCATTAATAATTACATCAGGGTCCTAAGGCCGTAGAGAGTATCGTGTCATCCCGTCACACCACGCGACGCGCATAAACCAGTCGAACGTACAGATATGTACAGACATGGACCACCTCTCAACCAAGTAGACCGGGAATAGATCGGAATCACATCAAGGACGTGGCTTGAAAAATCGACGTTGCGCATTCCTCATACAGGCAACTCAGCATTGCTGCGACCACCGGCCAAGACCTCAAGGCCACGCCTGATATACGGTCCAACGACAGGGATGTTACCCGCGAATTGACCAATGGTGACCAGAAAATCGCCGAAGAGGATAAACAGGCCGTACAGCTCGATCAGGAAGCCCGTCAGTGGCCAGCGGAGAAGAATAAGGATGATCCCGGCGGTGAAGGCGACGGTTCCCTTGAGTTTCTGGGGACGAGTGAAGAAAACAATGGTCTTTTGGACGCCGATTATGAGGGTGAGGCCGATCAGGAAGAGGATCTGGGACTATTAGTTAAGGGGCCGAGGAAAGGAGTGGGTGCGCGGCGTACGTTGCCCATAGCGAGTCTATAACATAGTGTTAGGATTCATTCATCGCAAGATCATCACCTCGAGGGAAAGGGACATACAATGATCGGTCAAAAAACATGATGACACCTCCAATCAGGAATAGGCCACCTAGACGCCAAACAGGCGAGATTAGTACACTGCCGTGGAATACAATCGCGTAGACCAGAACTGCATACCTGCAGAGCAGAAGACCACACCGATCTCTATACACAAACGTCAGTCAAGGCCCAACATAATCTCTCGAGCATTACGCCACAAGGACATGCGACACAAGTCGCCAGTCGCCAGAAGCACTCGAAGGGAACTCACTCTGATTCTCGGATAACCACATGCTAGGCATTTCAAAATCGCGCAACGGGGCAAGAGGAAAGAGTATGACGAGAGAAAAGAAAAGTTGGCCAAGAACAGAAGCGTCGTGCCCAGTCGCCGTAAACAGAAAATCGGATTCTGCCTGCCACACGCAGGCGGTGAGGGTGTTGCTTTAAGCCGCCCGAGCGGTCGACGGGTTTTCTTGTTCTGTGCACATTCGGTGCGAACCATCAATTTCTTGATTACGGGGATCCGGAATGGGATTTGGTCAATGTGGTGATTCTCATTATTTTGGGGAGTTTCAGCATGATGAAGCTGGACTATCTATGGCAATTATCGTCCAGTGACCACCGTCACTGACACGGATTTGTGTCTACACCCATTGCACCATTTCCTCCCTCCTCCCAGAGTCAATTATTATCACAATACGCCGCGACGACAGCACCTTCGGGGTGCTGTAACTGATGCTCTGTCCTGTGGAGCTTCGGTAATAGTCGAGTGCCTAGCACGAGGCGAAGAAAAGACACCAACGGTCACGAATAAGCCGGAGCGCTTTCTTGAACCTGTCTCGAGAGGGGCACGGTGGGATGGAAAGGGCTTGACTGTGTTGGCCGGACATATGCCTCGTAATGGATGTGTCTAGATAGTTAATAGCTTGTTAGCGAAATGGAATTCTATCCTGTGTGCTGGTCGTACCTTGAAGTGGGTATCTTTGCATTGATGAAGTAATAAGTAGATTTTGCCATGGGCGGCTCCTTTATTTCAAAATTGTATGCGCACCGCGTGCCTCGAGGTAGGTTTCTGGCACGCCCTGGGCCAGGGTGCGGATGACGCCGAAGATCTCCTTGTTGTGGTACCGTAGGCGGGTCTTCGGATCGGTGTAGGGGCCCGAGAGACCGGTGAGATCGCAGTAGTTACGGTGGTAAGATGGATTGAGAGAAGGCGCGGACTCGATGTTCGTGTAGGTGACAGTCGGACCAGACGGGAACGTGGCGCGGGCGTTCTTCTCAAGGACCAGCGTGGAGAGGTTCTGGGCAGCCTGCGCCAGGTTGGGAGCTTTACCAACTCCCTCGGCAGGTGTCTGTGCTCCATCGGTTGTCACGGCGCCAGATGTAGCGGGATAGGGCGTGGTTGCGCCGGAGTTGGCCTGGGTAGCCATCACGGAGGCTTCCTTTCGTGAGGTCTCGGAGACGATCTGCTTGACGTTCTTATTGCGGCGTTGGGAGGGTCTCCAGTTTGGGTTGCGGAAAGGCTTGGCAACATTTGCAATGTCCATCTGATTGAGGAGCAGCTGGTGCGACTCGTCGTTGGCGGGTGTTGCGGGAGGCATTGCGTGTGGTGTGTATGAAGGGCGGCGATTAAGCAGGATGATAACTGCACGCGGAGGGGAGGGGCGTATACAGCTGCGTATATATCGTAATTAAAGAAGTCTGACGGCTCCCGGGGGTGGTATAGTCAATCGTATGGGGATGGTTACTGGACGTGAGAGACGAAATACGACGACCGTGGTTTGGTCTGTATACAATCACGTGATTGCGGAGAAGGCCCAAACAAAGCGTCGGCGTCCAACTCGACGCGATCATCACCGATATCTTTGCCTTTCACCATGGTAGCTATATCCTGCAAGACCACGAAGTTGAGGACAGAACAACTAACATTCTTCTAGGAGAGCCCTCATGAACACCAGCAGTCGGTGCTGCTGTCCCGCATCATCACCAATGTTGTATGTCCTATCGACGTTAGATACTAGGCTGGGACGAATGATTTGACTAATAATCGGTACAGGAAAAGCTGAATGAAGCTGTGATGGTCATGAACAAAAGCCTCCAGGTAATCAAAGAAGTCTAAGTTGCCTATGGTGCCGTCCATCGTTAACATCCAGATAGGAGGTCAACATTCAAAACATGAATGTCGAGCTGGTCGCGCAGATGTTCAAGAACTACCAGTCAAACGTTCTCTTCCACCTTGAAGGTACGCATCCATTTATCCATGTGCTACACTCATGCTTTACGCTCGGTGCTAAGATATCCCAGCCACGGAAAACCTGAAGGAGCCTGCGCAGAGCGAACAGTCCTAATGAGTTTTTTATGATGAATGAGAAAATGCATGTATTAGATACCACTTGAATATTAGTACCTTTTTTTCGCAACCAAGTTCTGTTCCGTAAGATGTGACCTCTTTATGTCTGGGCGCGTTGAAGATAAAGCGCGGCGTATCGGCGCAACTGCGGCTTGGCACAACCAAACCTCCAACCTTCCACATTTACGGTAGCTTGGTACCGCCTCTCCGTCACGCCCGTCTTCTATCTCTAGTGGACGGTCTATATATCCAATTCTCATCTCTTTTATATCCCCCACCGTCGCCCTGCATGCAGTAAACCGCCAACGCGCCCTTGACCAGATCTCCGATCCTCAAAGCTCCTGGTTTCCGCACCGGCGCAGCCCACCATGACCATTTCCTCCGTGCAGACCCTCCTGCCGGGGCGGTATGCGATCAATGCAAACGAGAAGCGCGCCGAGAAACCTCCACCCAAGACCTACAGTGTTCAAGAGTTCCCTTTCAAGGGCTACCAACCTCCGCTGTCGGACGGCTTTGAGAAGAGCCGCGCCCGTCCCGACACCAGTGCCATCGTCATTGACAATGGTAAGCCCTACTATAGCGGTTCTCAATGAGTTGGTACTGATCTTCATTCTCTATGCAGGCTCCCATCACGTCAAGGCCGGCTGGTCTTTCGACCAGAACCCACGATTCGTCCAGCCTCCCATCATGAGCCGTTACCGCGATCGCAAGCTGGGCCGCCAGTGCCAGTTTATCGGATATGATGCCTACGCCGATGCGACGACCCGCGGCCAAATCCGCTATGGATTCGATCCGGGATCCAGCGTTGTCGGCAACTGGGATGTGATGGAAGGTGTTCTGGACTATGTGTTCCTCAAGCTGGGAGTGGACGGTGCCAATGGCAGCGTTGACAGGCCAATTGTCATGACTGAGCCGGTTGCGAATCTCGGATACCCGAGAAAGAGTATGTTTGTCTAGATGTCCGGATGGAGGAATTGCTGACACGTCCCAGTGATGAACGAGATTCTTTTCGAGTGTTACGGTGCACCCTCCGTCGCCTACGGTATTGACTCGCTTTTCGCCTACCGCTATAACAAGGGGACGGATGGATTGATTGTGTCTTCCTCGCACACCTCTACACATGTCATCCCCGTGCTCAACTCGAAGCCGCTTCTCTCGAACTGCTCGAGACTGAACTGGGGCGGCCTCAACAATGCCGAGTACCTGATGAAGCTGCTGAAGTTGAAATACCCTACATTTCCAGCGCGCCTGACCGACTATCAGATGGAGCAATTGGTGCACCAGCACTGCTATGTCTCGCAAGACTACGACCGCGAGCTGGCCGGATACCTGGATTGGACCGGACTCGAAGACCGAGATCATGTCATCCAGTACCCCTTCACCGAGCACATCGTGCAGGAAAAGACGGAGGAGGAGCTGGCTCGGATTGCCGAGCGCAAGAAGGAGAGCGGCCGTCGTCTGCAAGAGCAAGCGGCCAAGATGCGGCTTGAGAAGCTGGTGAAGAAGGAGCAAGAACTGGAATACTGGAAGGATCTGCAAAATCGCCTGGCATCGGAAACGAAGAAGGAAATCCGCCGGGTGTTGGAGTCGGAAGATCTCAAGGACGAGGTTCATCTGGAACGCATGATCCGCGACTTGGAGAAGTCCATCAAGCGTTCGCGCAACAAAGACCTCGGTATCGAGGAGAATGAGGAACAGCAGGAGGAGATGACGTTCCCCATGCTTGATATCCCGGATGAGGAACTTGATGAGGCTGGACTGAAAGAGAAGCGGCACCAACGTCTCATGAAATCCAACGTCGAGGCCCGAGCTCGTGCCAAGGCTGAGAAGGAGCGTGAGAAAGCCCGACGAGAGGAAGAAGAACGTGCCGACCGCGAGAAGCGCGAGAACCATTTCGAAGACTGGATTGAGGAACGACGTACAAACCGTCAGGTAAGTTCCACCGCGTGCGAGTAAGCCTCTCTTTCTAACGATAGTCTAGACTATTCTCCAAAGAATCAAGGACCGGGACCGCTTCAAGGCCGACCTCGGTAACCGCAAGTCTCTTGCCAGCCAGATGCGTATGAAGACCTTGGCCAACCTCGCCTCCGATGGCCCGAAGAAGCGTCGCCGCGGCGGAGACGATGATGACTTTGGCGCCAACGACGAGGACTGGGGTGTTTATCGAACCGTCGCCAAAGATGAACAAAGTGACGAGGAAGAGGAGGAGGATCTGGGCGGCATGCTCAACGAGGTCGAGCAAGAGTTGCTCGAGCACGACCCCGAGTTTACTGAGAATCACACATTGGCGGCACAGTCCGACTGGACCAAGAGCTTGGTGCATGCTTTCCTGCGTGGCCCGTGGCCATTTGACCCGGAGAGCCAGCGCGAGGCACATCAGATCCACCTGAACGTGGAGCGGATTCGTGTGCCAGAGGTCGTTTTCAAGCCATCCATCGCAGGCGTGGACCAAGCCGGTCTGATCGAGATCGCGGCCGATATCGTCAACCAACGGTTCTCCAGCACGCAGGACCGCAACCGCCTGCTGAAGGACGTCTTCCTGACAGGCGGCAACACCCTCTTCCAAGGCTTCGAAGACCGGTTCCGCACCGAGCTCCGCGGAGTTTTGCCCATGGATGCAGACTTGTTCGTGCGCCGGGCCGCGGATCCCGTGATGGATGCGTGGAAGGGTGCGGCGCAGTGGGCTTCGGGAGGCGACTTGGGCCGGGCATCCGTGTCGCGGCAAGAGTACATGGAGAAGGGCAGCGAGTATATGAAGGTGAGTACTGAGTTTATATGATTTCCCGGGGCTTCTGCTAATATACATTGTTCTACAGGAGCACGATCTGGGCAACGTTACATGGTGAACGTGAAGCTGAACGTGGAGTCCAAAAACACCAGGCGCAATGGAGTCGAGTCGCACGGTCTATCGGTTTCCGGGGGCGTGTTTTCGATTTAGCTTAGTCAATTGAAATCTTGCCTAGTGCAGCGGTATACCCGAGTAATCATCAATGGGGATTCCCTATCAATCAGGATACAGTAGCATTCCTCCACCTTCAAGTGGCGTGGTCTCGGCGCTCGTCAATGGTACCTGATAGCAAGGAGTCAACATCTATTGTAATATCCCGACACGCTCCCTTGCGTCGCCGTTCAATATTTAATTCCCTTTCGGCTCCAGGAAATACAACGCGACTGACAACCGAGACATTTCTCGATAAGCCCCAACGTTATTTTTCCATCTTTCGTTTCCCGTGTTTGCCAAGGATGATCGCCCTCCCGCAGCACACCACCACCACCACCACCCATGCAGTAGTGCATTGGCAAATGGACGATCACATTTGCTGAAGAAACCGGTATACATCCCGGGCTTTACCGGAAATTCTTGCGTCATTCATGGCACGAATAAGAGTTGACGTTGTATCATGCTTTGCCGGCGATCATCCCACTTTGATCGACTCGCAGGTGGGAGTCTATACAAAGTTGGTCTGTGACGTGGACAGGAAATGAGGTCGGCGGGGGTGGGTAACGACAGCCGCTGCTATCCATGGATAGAGAATATTGTGTCTCACCTTGGCACTCGCGCGGAGCTTATCTCGAGCCGATATTCAAAGCAGGCTTCAAGGGTGTTGTATCCTGATGCATCCCTGGCATCATCAAAACAAGCGCACACTGCCGCAAAGGAAAATATCGTAGATCCCAGCCCAATCACGGAGGGTCCGGCGATAGTATCGGATGTCCGTCGACGAGTCCAGGTATTTGTTGTTCTCTCGATTGATCGACTCCTCACGTGGGGTGGTGATTGGCCTCGACCATCATCCAGGGATCATCATGCCATCTCCACTGCGCTAGATCTACATCCGCTGCGTGCCGAATGGCATTCTTACTCCTACCATACACAGCAGTTCCTTTCTTGTCCATTTATTGTCTTGTCCATTTTACCGTACACCTAGGTCATGAGATAGTGAGGAGGGCCGGTACAGGGATGATTTGACTTGTCGGGTAAAATGAACCCTCCTTGCGCACGAGGATCACCACAGATCCCATCCTCGGCGCAAAGCAAATCCTATAACTTCGGGCGTCGCTCTTCAGGGTTGGAAAACAGGCAAGGACCGTTCTTTCATTGAACGAATAATATCGCAAGGCTGAACCAGTGGTGTACGCTGATTCGCCGGAACCATTGACTTCATGCATTGTCCATCATGACGCATCTGGGGAAAATGGCAAAGCGGCAGCGCATTTTTGTTTTCCTTTCCGGGTCTGGCCCTTGTTTGTGTCTCATGACTCTGACGTTCCGATGTGCCGGCGAGATATAAAGACGGTTCCTTCGCGCAGCGGTTGAGGTTCCTTGCATTCTTCGAACATATCAAGCTTCAGTTTACATACTTGCGCCTGTCACTTGACTCGGTTGTGGCGAGCTATATACCCCTGTCTGTATAGTTGCTACATACACACCATCGCCATGGCCTTTTCAACAGCCATCTCTCGTCCACTGCAGCTCGCCACTCGTGCATTGCAGTGGTGCAGTGCCGTGATTGTTTTGGGCTTGACTGCATACTTCATTAACACGGGTCCTCGCGGGGAGCACATCATCTACCAGGAAGTCATTGTACGTAACGGCGTCTCCGGCTCTTCCACCCGACTCGAAGAACTTCGGGTGTATGGGGAAAAAAACTAACGGTTGAATCCAGGCCGTTCTCTCCGTGGTCTTCTTCCTTCCAGCTTTCATCTCGCCCTTCCTGCCAACAACACTGAGCAAATTCGTCCTGATAATCGACGTCATATTCTCCTACCTGTACGCCTCCCCATTCCACCCAGACCAGTCCAAACCAGAACCAACCCGAAACTAACACCTTAACAGCTGGCTAACCTCGTTCATCTTCGCGGCCCAAGACTACAACTGGCACTTGTGCTACTTCCACGCCCCACCCGGTGTATCCTGCAGCATCAAGTATGCCAATGAGGCTTTCATTTTCCTAGCTTTGTAAGTACACCCGAGGTCCCAGCCTAACCCCCAACAATATTCAAAACATTGGAACATACTAACGTATTCCACCCGGACAGCATCTTCACCTTCTTCGGTGTCTTCCTCGAGATCGCTGCCCTCTGGGCTTATCGCAAGGGAAATACCGCCGGCCCCATTCACGAGAAACACGGTGCTGGAGCCGGTGGTCGTGCGCCGCTCGATGCGCCTGCTGAGCCTGTTGCTCCGGCCGGAACTGTCTAGGTATCCAGTGCATCTGAACAGGCAGATAGACCCGGATTCCACCAAGGCCTTATTGATTTGGTTTGGTTGAATCGGTCTTGTCTAAGGGGATGAATGACCGATATCTCGTTACGATTGAGATGGGGTGAGATGTACAGTAATGTGGACGGATAGTAGAGACTGGATTTCCAAGGACTTCCAAGGGGGAGGCGCCGCATTCTTTTGTGCTTTTTTTCTTGGTCACTATCTTTTCTTTTATTTACTTAATGTTAACGTCACCTGGACATGATGTGTTTATACCGTGGAGTCTGCAGGACGATGTACTGAGGTCGTAGAGAATGTACTGACAACGTTCGATTTATAGCCGGTGAGTAGCGGATGTTAAAGCCAAGTGCATAATCTTGGACGGTGGGGGAATGATGGTGGCTTGAAGAGGAATCCGGCACCCCTCTTGATCTAGATACCGTCATACCACAGGTCAATGTTGAGTGGCATGATCTCTATCTATTCTACAACACACCACACTCCATCACAATGCAGATCCATCAAGTTCTCGTCAACAATAGTATATTTCTAATGTCTATTTACATAGCAAGATGCAAGCAAACAGAATGACTGTTGACGTGCAAAAGGGTGTATCTCATGCAAAGAAAGAAACAGACAACACCTGATAAGCAAAAAAAGGGCCTCCCTCGTGTACAGCGAGGGTAAATCATGATTTATATACTGGCTCGTCGGGGAGCCATCGTCCGCTGCAACTTGCGCTTCTCCTCGGTCTCCTCGGGGATCGGGAGAGACCCTTCATTCTTCAGCTTGTCGAGGAACTCTTTACCATAGGCATAGCCGACTTGGTAGATCTCGTCAAACTTGCCGAAATCCAGTGTTCCATAGGGATCGATGGGAGGACGCATGTACAGACAGCCGGGGGTGTTCTTGGCACGCTCAAGGTTGTCAATAGAGGAGACGTATGCGAGACGGGCTTGGATCTCGGACAGCATAGGAGGGTTCGGGATCGAAGAGAAGGGGTTCCAGCGGTTGAAGGCGGTCCAGAATCCAGAAAGCGAGTCACCGTAGCCTTGGGGAGTGTTGTCGTCGATTGAGCCGACATCCACAGCGAAGATCACGTCTGCGCCGAGACTCTTCATGTGTGCCACGGTCAGGTTGTCGATGTACCCGCCGTCCAGAAGCATGCTCCCCTCGTCGCAAATGGGAGGAATGAGACCGGCCAGCGACATAGATGCGCGCACATACCGCCAGACATAGCCGGAGGAATGGTATTCGGCCCGGGAGCGGCTGATGTTGGTCGTGTTGCAGTAGAACTCGAGCCAGAAGTCTTCGATCTGACTATCGCCAAATGTCTTGAAAATGCCGCGGTTGAACTCGTGGCCCGTTGTGTAGGAGACACTTGGGTAGGTCAAGTCCAGTGCGAAGCGCCACATGCTACCCATGCGACCGGAGAACTTCTTCGCACGGCCGTACATGGGGACGACGTCGGCGTCGCGCGCGTATAGAGCACCGATGAAAGATCCAATAGATGTGCCGCCGATAATGTCAATCGGAATTCCAGCCTCTTCGAGAGCTTTGATCACGCCGACTTGGGAGATACCCCGGGCTCCACCGCCGCCTAGCACGAGCCCAACGGACTTGCCGCACAAGCGACGAGCTAGGCGGTGGAAATCACCCTTGAACGGAGTTTGTGGCGAGTATAAAGGCGTTTGTTGGATGCGACGAGAGGTATACTTCTGGATCTCAGCTTGCAGGATTTGAACGCGCTGCTTCAATACTGTGCCGAACTTCTTTGTCTGGGGATTAGAGGGCTCAGCGGTCAGACGGAGAGCCATTTGGATATGGTGATGGCCACCATTGATCCACACTCGGTTCTTCAGCCAGCGCCGGGTCAGACCGGGGGAGCAGTACCGCTCAGAATGCAACAAAACCAGTTCCTTGCGTGCTGTAGTCTTCATACCAAGTAGGAAACGCTCATATTCACCGATCCGAGGAGACCCTTCAGCGAGGCCAACCAGCAGGATGGAGTCAGCCTGTGCAATACAAGTCTGCGTCCACGGCGAGTTGACATTGGTGTCGGCGATGTACAATACTAGACCGTACTTCTCCTCAAGATCAGCCAGGTACTGAGACAGTTTGAGTTTTCCCATCTTGCTAAACGCATGTCGGCCTAAATGGTTCAAAATCGCGGCTTGGTTGAGGGAAGTAACGCCTCGAGTCACGCCAATCTGGTGCAGTGCATGGAGCAAGCGATGCCCAAATTCAACCACAGGAACACCCGCAGTGACCGGGAGAATTGCGACGGTGCGGAGGTTGACGGTAGAGGTCGCAGTCTGGACGCCACCAACATGACCTTGTTCAAGGCCCTTGTCAGACATGGGGTGCTCCACCAAATCGCGCATCCGCTGGGCAATCAATTTGGAAACTTGGATAGTGATGCCCGGGTGTTCCTGCGCGAGACTATTGAACAGCGAGCGAGGGAATTTGGCCAGCTCAGTGTCACGAATAGCATGAAGTGTAGCAGGGCGAGTAGACTCTGTCATAACCTCGAGCTCGCCAACACTCTCACCCTGACCGTATTCGCTAATGACAGACATCTTGCCATTTGAATCCTCCAGAACGGACCTCAGACGGCCGTTGAGAACCAGATAGATTGCGTCACTTTCGTCTCCTTGGTGGTAGATCACCTGGCCTGCGTTGACCTGCACCCACTCGAGAGCAAAATCAATATGAAGCAGCAGGCGTGGCAGCAGACTAGTCAATCGCTTGCCCAGTGTCAACAAGGCAATAGGGTAGCGATCAGCAATACGCTCGAGAGATGAACGTGGAAGGAATCCCACATAGACATCAGTCTTAGCAACGACGTCTGTATAGGAGCGATAAGAGGCAAGACCACCAACGTATCCGTGGATTCCGCCTGGTTTGATCAAATAGAGAGACTTGCGCGACTGGGGTTTGCGGCGGGAGTCACTCGTGCCGTTGCCCGAAGTCCGAGAAGATCCGGTGGTGGTGCGCCGGAGCTTGGGGAATAGCTCTTCCTGGGCCGAGCCCGACGGACGAGAAGTTCCAACTAAATCATCACCACGCTCGTTGATCGGAATACCTACATCCAAGAAACCATCAATCACGTAGTACAGACCCGGGTGACGCTCGCCCTGCTCGACAAGAACCGAGCCCTGAGGGAAGTAAACCACCTCGATGTCATAGCGTAGGTCTTCACGGAGATTGACGACCGGGGACGTTCCACCGGCACTTGTCACAGACATGGACATCATAGACTCGGTCTCACCATCGGCGGATCCTTCGTAAGGGTCGATGAACCCGAATGCATTGGAGAAAACGGCCTTCTGTCGGCGCGAGTCGTAGGAAAGTAACCTCGGGGAAGCGTCGCCAGACACATTGTTACTCTTTCGCAAAGAATCGCTGGTGCCCTCGGTCAAGCCAATGCCTTTCATAATACAATCCAGGATGGAATCGCGGAAGAGAGTGTCCTCGTCTATCGAATCTTTGCGCTGGAAAGTCAACGGCCGGCCATCCATCATGTTAGAGGGGCGGAACAGAGGGCGTTCACGCTCAGTCAAGGGACTTGAAATTTGCGGTCCTAGGTGGTCATATCGTGGTCCGAACCGGGAGAGCTGAATGGTAGAAAGCAAATCACCAGGACTAACTCCGCCAGTGTCGCGATCATTGAAGCCACTTGATTGCTGTAGTGGTTGCCTTTGAGTTGTGGGTGTAAGGGCAACAGGCCGGCGTTCGCTGGCCAGACGGGCTTGCAAAACGGCATCCTTTTTGAGAGAACTGCTCGAGCGCCGCCGGCCGGCTGACGGGTTGTGAAGGGCAATACCCTTGCAAACTTCCTCCGGACCAAGGCGGTCTCGCTCTCGCATAAATTTATCCTTGAGACGATCAAGGGCGCTTCCTCGAAGGTCGTTGGGCAGATCCCAGCTGGTGAACTTGGTCATCTGCTTCTCGATACCCAGAACGTCTGTGGTCAAGCCCAAGTAGGAGTGGGCCGTTGCGAATGTTACGCGTTGAAGGCGCGTCAAGATAACCTGTACAATATGGGCCGTCGCTCGTGGGTAAACCCGGGTTAGACGGCGGAAAGCACTGGCAGGGATGATGGCAATAGTCGTATCCACTGTAGCACGGGCGACGATGTCTGGGTGGACCGACTTTTTGCGTCTCTTATTTTGTCTGATCTCCGGCTGTGGATGGCGATGGGGCATGCTGTGGCTTTCTCCGAGGTGCAGTGGAGGGACGAACGGTAGAGAGACTGGATGGCCATTGGTAGGCGTCGGTGAGCCAAGATCTCTCGCAGTGGTCGGGGGGCTGTCAATAACCCCAACGCTAGGGCTGACAGGTATAGATTCAGGAGCTCGAGCGTTCATGGGCTCCACACTAGAGGTGCTGGAACTGGAGCTCCGCGATGTGCGGAGTTGAATATCCTCGGTGAACAGCGACAGGATGGAGAACAAAGACGACATGGACGCGCCATTCTTTACCTCTGTCAGTAGCTGGTAGCCCTGCCGGCCGTGCAAGGGATCTCCCTCTTCGTCAGACGTGACGTCGTCCAAGTGTAGGTCCTCCTCCGCAGTCGTCTTTCCCTCCCGGGTCGACTTGACGAAGATCTGAACCAGTCCGTCCACCACTAAGCAAAAGCCTTTTTCTTCTTCCAGCATGAGAGTTTCTCCGGCAATTAGCTTTCTCGTCTGCATAGTCCGCGTCAACTCGTGGAAGACCGGCCGCTCGAGATAGCCGAACACCTTGATGGCGCTGAGGAATTCATCGAGGTAGTTGGCCAGACCGGGCTTGGAGTCGCCTTCTTGGATATCGGGGAAGAGATCTATCTGAGCTTCTTTGCGTTGGGGCTCCGGAGGTAAACGGCTGTACATGTTCAAGAACCGGTATCGAATAAACCAGCTGACGGTCGAGACCAGGACCAGGACGATCAACATGCTAGGAAGAAACTATTGATTAGCTACCAGCGACGGCAAAATCAACCAGAAAGACCTACAGGGTGGTGAAATTCATGGTGAAAGTCAAACTCATGGAGAAAAGCGTGAAGAGCCATGTAGGAACCGTGATAGTCGAGAAGGTAATGAGCCAGTACAGGCCGCGGGGGACAACCTGAAAGGCAAAGGTCAAAACCCAACCGATCCACCCCGCCATAGTTGAAGGAGTCGGGGGGAGGAGGGGCGGGGAGGAAGAAGCAACGGCGGATAAAGCGGTTGACGAGAGGCGCGTAGAGGGTGAGGTCGCCGTGGTTGCAGCCGTTAGGCTGAGGGCGAGGGACGGAGCCAATCCGTTCGCCATGGTTGGAGGGGTGGGGCTCCGCTTTTGCCTGAACTTGTTTTTGGCCAGGGCCCGTCAAAGCGAACTTAATCCCGAGCCTTTGGGCCAAGTTAGGCGCAGCATCGGAAACGTGCGGGCCCTGTCATCGGTGGATGGAGGAGAAGGGAGTGAGGGGAGAAGTTGGCCCGAGCAGGGGATGCATACGGCCTTCCCGAGGCAGGCGGTGCAGATCCCAGTACTTTCATTCTGGGTAGCGAAAGCAAGATACTGTCCCATGGAATGGCCTGAGGGAAGTTTGGGGCGAAACGTGCTCCACTAAAGGTGTCTCGTAGGTTAGCCTGTTGCTGGGACCGTTTGGAAGAGTTGGGCCTCGTTTCTACGGTGTACTGGGCCGGTCTCAATCGCGCGCCGCTACTGCAACACCATGCCAATTCATTTATTCAATGTGCTTATTATTCAGCGGTCCCCTAGTGTCCACTTTATAGATCTAGATCCTGATATCCCTGCCTTGGTGGGCAATCGTATGCATAATTTGAGCTGCAACCAGCCCTGACTACGGCTAATCGCCGCGATATATATATACATAGTCCATTTGCATGCGTTGGCTTCGAACACTGATCGGTGGGATCACCCTGGAACTGGAACCCTGAGTTGTACGAAAGGATGACAATATAATTAAAAAGACCCGAAAGACATAACGAACATAACGTGCAACCGCTACCCACTATATCGAAACGAACATGTAGTTGCCATGCACCTGGCACCGGCCCGAGCTCCGGGCGGCGTTGTCGCGCGGCTGAGGCCAACTTCAATTGTTTCTCCGCGCTTTCATGGTCCCCCTCACTCCGTTCCCTCACCACCTTCTGCTCTTCTTCATCCATCTTGCTCTCCTCCCTCTTGCTTTCATTGAATTGGTGGTCCTGGTCTATAGACCTGTCGCGGTCATGTTTCAGGTTTGCTTCCTCCGCCCCCCAGCCTCGGTCTTGATTGCTGATCTGTTCAGCGCTTCCGCGACGCCATCGACTCTCGGATAGCAGAGGAACAGGCCCGCCAGAAAACCGCCCAGGACAATATCTCTCGGTCCAAGTCCGCTCGTCGTCCGGCCGCCAGTACCAACTCCCCCGGCCAACGGCCTCTCCCCAGACGAAACAGTGGCACCCCCGTTCGCGGACCCGACCCCAACGAATTCGAGGCTGAGTTTACCATCGGTGACGATGAGGAATCCAGTCGCTCGGGCACCCCTCGCCCGGAGACCTCCGACTCCGTTTCAGAAATGAACCCCCCGGCGGAAGGCAACAGCGCGGAGAAGGTGGAAGGCTCGACTACCACAGACTCAACGGAAAAGAAGACCGGCTCGGGAGCGGACAGGGAATCCAGCGATCAGAAACCTTCCGAACTACCGGCAGATGTCAAAGCCCGATTACGGAGGCTCGATAAACTCGAATCGCGATACCATGGTATGCCGTCACGCGACAGAATGCGACAAAAGGAAGACGGATAAGACTAACCGCATCGTGTTTAGAACTCCTCAAAGCGTACCGTGTTGCGCATTCACGCGTCCTTTCCATTGAACCGTTCGAAGCTGCCCTCCGCGAAAACACTCCGCTCACCTCGATCGGCGAACCGAAGGCGCTGACCGAGTATCTGAACCAGATGTCACTCAAGAGCGATATGGTGGTGGAGGAGCTCAAGCGCGTCACGACCGACCGAGACGGCTGTAAAAAGAAGATGGAAGAGGCACAAAAGTCCGCCAAGGATGCATGGGACGAGGTTGCTGGGCTCAAAAAGCAGGCGTCTACGAAGCAAGAAAAGAAGTCACCCGACGAGACTAAGGAGACCAGCGAAGAGTTCTTCTCCTTCGACAGTGAGATTCCTCGACTGGAAGGAGAACTGAAGGAAAAGCAAGAGGAGGTGGACACTCTCAAAACCGAAGTCGAAAAGCTCAAGAAGGACATGTCCGTCACGCGCGAGTCCACGGAGGGAATGGTTCAGAACCTGGAGACTTCGACTCGGGAGCTTGTTGAGTTGCGCGAAACCAAGGACAAGCTGGACGCGGAGATTGAAACCCTGAAGGCTTCGAAAGGCGAGGTCGATGAGCTAAAGACCAAGCTTGCCGCAGCGGAATCGTCGCTTGAAAAGACCGCTGCGGAGGCTGAGAAGCTCAAGAGCGAGCTCAAGGAGAAGAGCGACGAAATCGAGAAGCTACAGGCCCAGGCTGCTGATGCCGAGAAGACCAACAAGGCTGAGCCAAGTCCCGAGTTGGTGTCCCAACTCGAAGAGGCCAAGAAGGACATGGATGCCAGCGAAAAGAAGCTGGGTGTTGTGCAGGGTCTGGTGGACAGCCTTCGTTCTCAGCTTAAGGACACCGAATCGAGCGTGTCGGACCTGAAGGCAGAGATCAGCGAAAAATCGGAGAGCTCTACCAAGCTTCAAAGCATTGTCGATTTCGTGGACGAGAACTTGAAGGATATCACTGCCTGGAAATCCGCCAAGGAGAATGTCTCTGCTGGAAAGAAGGCCGATTTCGACGAGATCCGCAAGAGCCTTGCCCCTGCTGAAAAGTCCACTGAACCGAGTACAACTGCTGCCGAGGAAGAGCCCCAACCTGCCGCAGCAACTGGAGCTGCCGGTGGCGGCGGCGGCGGCGGCGGAAAGAAGAAGAACAAGAAAAAGAAGAAGGGTGGTAACGCAGCAGCAGAATCCACGAAGCCCGCGGAGCCTACCTCCAAAGAGCAGCCATCTCCGGCAGAGCCTTCCCCGGCTGCCGCAGATCTTGAAGAACTCAAGGAAAAGATTGAATCCCTCACCAAACAACTATCCGAAAAAGAAACGGCCATCGATCGCCTTAGCGCTAAGCTTAAGGGTGAAGATGACCTCAAGGAGGAGATTGAGTCCCTACGTGATGATCTGATCAACGTTGGACAAGAGCACGTTACAGCCAAAGACAAGATCAAGGAGCTCACAGCTGAGAAGTCCGCTTTGGAAGAGACCATCGGCAAGCTGGAGAAAGAGCTCGTCGAAATCCGTACCAGCCACTCCTCAAACACCGCCGACTCGGAGAAGGTGCACAACGATCTCAAGGATGAATTTGAGCGTGTCAAGGTCCGCGCCGCCACCCTAGAGACGGACCTGTCCGCCGCGCAGCAGCTCGCAGCCACTCGGTTCAAGGATCTCACCGACCTGCGTGAAACCCTCCAGAAGATCCAGCCCGAGTTGCGTAACCTGCGAAGCGAATCGTCCGAACTGAAGACCATAAAGGAGACTCTTAGCGGAAAGAACACCGAGTTGCGGGCGCTTGAAGCCAAGCATGAGGATCTGCGACAGGAGTTGAAGACCACCAAGAATCGGATCACAGAGCGAGACTCTGAAGTCAACACCTTGAATAAGAAGGTTCGTCAAGAGACGGACAGCCGTCTCAAGGCGGAGGAGAATCTCACCGTTGCGCAGTCCAACCTGCGCACCGCCGAGACTAAGAAGCAGGAGGCAATCAATGCCAAGGATAAGACTGCGGCAGACCTCACGAAAGCACAAGACGGGCTCAAGAGCACCCGCTCCAAGATGCGTGAGATGGAGGAGCAGATGTCCCAACTGACCAAGGAACTGGAAAGCCTCCGCGAAGAGACCCAGTTGAAGACTGCTCAGGCCGCCAGCGCACAGAGTCTGATGAACAACATGCGTGATCAGACGTCCGAGGTCGCCATGCAGATGAAGGAGGCACGCGAGAAATGCGAGAGTCTAGAGGAGGAGCTCTCCGATGCTCACCGTCTGCTGAGCGAGCGTACGCGCGAAGCCCAGACCATGCGCGGTCTTCTCAACGACATCGAGAGCCGCGCCGAGGCCAAGGTGCGTGACTTCAAGGAGCGCATGGAGGCAGCCATTGAAGAGCGAGACCGCGCCGAAGATGAGGCCAGCACCCAGGGCCGTCGCCGGGCACGAGAGCTTGAAGAACTCAAGGCCAAGATCCGCGAAGCCGAACGGGCACTCCGCACCGTCGAGCACGACAAGGAAGAGCTTGAAGACTCTCAGAAAGATTGGCGTCGTCGTCGTGACGAACTAGAGGAGATTTCCGAAAAGTCTACCCAGGAAGTCAACGAGATCCGGGAAGCCATGGCCGGCCTGCGCGAGCAACTCGACGAGAGCGAGAAGCAAGTGCGCGACCTCGAGAAAGAGAAGGCCGAGTTGCGCCGCTCAGTCGAAGAGACCAACAACCGACTAGAAAAGTTGCGACGATCGCACAAGACGCTCGGCGAAGACGTCCGTTTGCGCGGACTGGATTCTGGCCGGCAATCGTCACGGTCATCCATCGATTCCGGATCTCGACGTGGTCTTGCGTCTCCGGTCGCTCAGGATCGCAGCACCTCCAGCCGCCGGAGCGAGACCCCCTCCGGTGGAGCCAGCGGCGGGTCCATTGACTACATGTACCTGAAGAACGTCCTGCTACAGTTCATGGAGCAGCGGGACAAGAACTACCAGAAGCAGCTGATCCCCGTATTGGGAATGCTGCTTCATTTCGACCGGTAAGCCTGAACTACCTACCGCTGGGTGATTACATACTGACTGGCGCAGAACGGACGAGCAAAAGTGGATGTCGGCCATCATGTCCAAGTGATCGCCCTCGATGAAGACCCTGCACATTTGATTCTCGCTCTGTACAATACCACCCGTTGCCATAGTATTTATAGCACTCTCCACCGAGATAATACCCCGTTATTTCTCTTCCCACGATCCCGTAGACAGCTACAGCAGCTATCCCGAGTCATTTCAATTGGTCAATGTGGGTCATGTCATATCTCCGGACCGAACATGTCAAAATCCTTGCTTTCTTACGCCCTGTGACTTGCGTCCTACACAATTCCTCCATCCCTGCCAATTCCACCATGGCCGACGCACCCACGATCCGCCTCGCTACGGCAGAGGGTAAAATATCCCCTTACCGCTTGGCGTACCGCGCATCTATATCACCGGCCCCACTAACAACGTGGTAGACGTCCCACTCATCCTCCAATTCATCCGCGAACTCGCCGACTACGAAAAGGCCCTACACGAAGTCGAAGCCACCGTCGAATCCCTAACCGCAACCCTCTCCTTCCCCAACGACCCACCCAAGCGCGGCTCCGTCTACACCGCCCTCATCACACCCCCGGCCGATGCCAACAATCCCACCCCGAGCCCCGTGGGAATGGCCCTGTACTTCTACAACTACTCGACATGGCGCTCTGCACCGGGAATTTACCTTGAAGACTTGTACGTGCAGCCTGCCGCCCGCGGCCGGGGGTACGGGTTTAAGTTGTTGAAGTATCTGGCGAAGCAGGTGCTTGAGGTACTGGGACGGAGATTGGAGTGGAGTGTGTTGAAGTGGAATACGCCTTCGATTCAGTTCTATGAACAGGTTGGGGCTAAGGGGATGGAGGAGTGGATGAAGATGATGGTTGAGGGGGATGCGTTGGGGAAGTTGGCGGAAGGTGTTTAGATGTTGATTGAATGTTGACTATTGACTATTGGCTTGATTAGATATGATCAAAGTTCACCTCCACTTCAACGCTCCATTCAATATGATCAATACATCAGTGGCGCAAACGGGACAAGGCGTGCAAAAGCTTGCGCACAATTATGGCTAATCGGCAGGTGGGGTCAAAAATAGACCCATGCGAAAATCGAGTTCGTCCGGTGATCTAACTTGGGCCTCGCAACCCTTGGACCGCTTCAGCCTCAAGCACCACTACTACAACCACAGACTCCTCGGTTACAGTAGCCGACCGCGAAAACGTAAGACGGATATTTACAACCGCTGCGCGACGGGGTCTCCGTTCCTGGCCGGGCACCAACGAGGCTTTGACAATGGGGCCAAAACAGGCTTGGCGGGGACCCTGACTCGCCCCGAATTGGAGCCTCTATACGCGCCAGACCATATATAGGAAGGCGTGCGGACATAATCCCTTTTTCTATCGGCCAGTCCAAGCCTGGAATCGGACTAAGCGGAGATGTAATTTCCTTTATAGGGGATTGACACTCCCGCTGGACTTTTGCGTCTGCGGCCATCCTTCGTTTTTTCCCCACCGCAGACAATATGCGCGGATCCCGGTATATTCAGCTGGCCGTCGCCAGTCTATGGACGACGCGGGCTCAAGCCGCAAACGACACAAGTTATGATCCTTCGTTAAACTTCCGACCAAACAACGTAACCGAGAATGGACTCTACCATTGGATCGGATCGTGAGTTCGCGGCTTGCTCATCATGAGATCCATGCTAATCGAAACAGGTACTATAACGGAACCACTCGAATCGAATTCACACCGTTCGGAGGCCTCTCATCGGATGATGCCGACGATGAATTCTGGGAATCTTGTCCCAAGCTGCGCGGCAAGACGATCACAACCAACTACAACACGCTCCTTGCAGTCACCGAGTCCGGCGAATACAACCTCGGCAATAACCCGATCAATGCCTACCTGACCACCTGGGCTCCCGATTTCAATTTCAACTCTTTACTGGAAACGGAAACGATGGCAGTCATGCCGATCAACTATGCCTTATTCTCGGCCAAGTCAGTCCCTTTCTCTCAATGAACATGCGCCTGAATACTAATGCCATCTAGTCCTATGTATACTTTCGACGACATTCTTTACGTGAAAAACAATTTCAACTTCACACTCGCCGCGACCAAGGCGGCCCCGTATAATCTCTCGAGTACACTATCCGAATATTATGGAGACGGAGCTCTCGATTTCAACATGACCAGCTGCGACGGCAAAGACACCGTCGAATGGGGTGGTTACCTGATCAACGAACTCTGGTGGAAGAGACCCAGCTACAACCATTCTTATCCCGACCCTGTTCTCAGCCTGCAATTCGACGGCCAGACTGCCAACCTGACGGTGGATGGTTACTACCTGGCAGAACCGAAACCGGCCGGACATAACACCTTTGACACTGTCAACGTCGAGGTTCCAGGCACGATGAAGATCTCGTTTTTGGGAAGAATTGACAGTTATCATTCCGACGTTCTTGTGAATGATAGCTCAACCCCAACTTGGAAGAGGTCCGTCGGCTTCAATAACAATACCTTGAATGTTGGGGACACGAGCTCGAGTGGAGCTCCTAGTCAACAATTTGGGACTTGGGGGATTGCTCTTGGAGCCTTGATCTCTCTCGCTACGTTGTATATCTAATGTACTAATACTTAATGTAACTGTCACCGACGTTGATGAATCTGACGATTTTCACTGGACTGTGATTTTTACACTCTCAAAGCACATAAACTAATTTCTTCCCAAGTGCACGACCATTCCGAACAAGGTCAACACCTTCCAGAATACCCTCAAGACCCCCATTTCTCACCTCCACAGGCATCAGCCGAATCTTCCCCAACGGGATCATCTGCTCCACACACCGATAAAAATACGCCATAAACTCCCTATCCACAGCCGATGGCTCCCAAGTCCGATTCAGACCGTACTCCTCATTAACGATTGTAAACCGTCTCCCAAAGCAAGTATAAACCATACTCCACTCCGCACGAACGACAGCTGTCTCGGGGATCATTCTCGGAGGCGGCGGGAGATTCTTCACCGGCATCAGAGAGGCATAGTAGAAAGTCCAGGGAGCGTTTTCTTGCCCGGCGCGTAGCGGGGGCGCGAAGCACTGGTAGCAGAAGGCGGCGGCTCTGTCTGTGGAGATACAGTCTAGAATTACCGATAAACCGCAATCTTCAATGTGGCGGCGGACTTGCCGGATTGCGTCGACGTGGTTGTAGTCGATTACTTGGTCTGCGCCTAGGGAGCGGAGCCAGGGGATGTTCTTTTCGGAGCAGGTTGTTATCACTTTGAACCCGGATCTGTTCAGTTGGTTAATGTGTTACTTGAGGATTGGCGTCGGCTGCTTACAGCTTGGCCAGCTGGATCGCCAGACTTCCAGTTGCGGTGCTCCCGCCGTATATCAGAATAGTTTGGTCTGTGTGAACCGATGTGTTACAGGGGACGGGCAGTGGCAGATTCTGATAGAGTTGCTGTGCCGCCGTGCTAATACCCATACCAATTGTCGAGGCTTCGACGAACTCCAAGTCGGACGGCATATGAATCAAAAGGACCGCATCCGCAGTCAAATATTCGCGGAAAGCCCCAATTGAGTAGTTGGCGGCGTGGCCTTTTGACTTGTCAGTGGTCAAATTTTTTAAATGGCTCAGATGCCTTACATGCATGAACAAATCCAGCCACACGATCCCCCACGGATCTCCAGTTCTGAGCGCTTTCACCTATTTCTACTACCGTGCCGGCAAAGTCGAAGCCCATCCCAGCTCCAGGTCTTCCAAGGCCGTCCGGTGCCATCCAGTCAGATGGGTTTAGAGACACTGCTTGTACTCGGATTAATACCTCGCCAATTCCTGGCGATGGAATGGACAGGTCATTCACGACGTGTGCTTCGCCCGGGCCTTTCATGATTATGCCGGACTGGAGCTTGATTTCTGACATTTTGAATTATGCAATGAACAAGCTGTTTAATAGTGGATTATGATCCTAGTGGTAAATGCTCATGAAGTCTCTAAGCTTCACGGACCCTTGCAATCGATAAAAAAGAGTAGCGTATTGAAAATAAGTGAAGTTTGAACAGTGGCATCGCCTAGGCTATTGGAAGTGGCAAATTCGAGCAATTGAGCATGATTCCGCTTTACGGGCCTCGTGGTAGGCAGCATATACATCAACGAAACTACGTCAATGGAAGTCACGCCGATTGCCCCCCTCGAGAATCCAGGCGTGGCGACGGGTATCACTGGATAGGCTATCAATAGCCTATCGGACCTTATCGCGGGGACCGCACCATCGGGACCGCCGACAGGCCCTCTCCAAGGAAATTAAGCTCAGCGAATTTCACGAACCTATAGCCTATTCGGAAAGACGTATTCCCAGTGGTCTTATGGATTTTCAACGAGGCGCCAAGATGAGGAAAGCCCGTAGACCTATTGCTATAAAAGCAGGACACCCCTGTGCTTTGGATTAGATCACTTACCACCAAGCCCTCCAGTCATCATACTTCACGCGAAGAATACCGCATATATCTCCATAGCCTGAAGTGTCTGATCACAATGGAAGAACCAACCTACGACCCCAGGTTAGCTACCCTCCTCCCCCCGTACACGACTCATCGCTTCTAACGAAACCCAGCCGCCCAATGCCGGCAATCAATATCGCCTACCAATACAAACTAGACAACTGCCCTGGAAAAACCATCGTAGGACTCCGCATCGAGTTCAAACCCAACGGATCAACCCCTCCACACCGACACGGAGGCTGTTCAGTCTCCGCCTACTTGATCAGCGGCACACTGCTGAACAAGATGAATGACTCTCTCATGAAAGTGATCGAGACGGGCGGGACCTGGTACGAGGCGCCGGGTTGTCATCATCGGATCAGCGATAATGCGAGCAAGACTGAGCCTGCAACCTTGTTTGCTAATATGGTGGTGGATACTGATGTCTTCGAGAGGGATGGAATGGATGCACTGCTTCAGATTGACGAGGAGTATCGTTGAGAGTGTGTATTGTCAAATGGGAACTTTGAGTGTTTACAGAATGGAAGAAATACGGTTGTTTCCTTTCCCGACTGTTCGCATTTCTCCGGGTCCTTGAAAGCGTACAGCGTGGAAGGTGATACTCAGCAGCCGAGGAGTCGAAAGGGCTAGCCTGTAGTCACCTCTCCTTGGCAAACTGCAATTTCCTTCCACTCTCTCATCTTCGCTTCTGGGGACTCATCCATCAAAACGGTCCCTGCTGGTGATTTTATCGTTGACTCCACTACACCCAAATGCCCTACCTGAGATCTCATTCTATATTTGTACTTTATATCGAGTGTTCTTTCAGAGTATGTGATGAAGTCATTTTCAAAATCAAAAGTTCCAGAGGTGGTCAGTGGTCTCTGGCTGAGGTTCATCTTGAGAGAGAATCAAGTGAAAATAAGATTGAATTGACTAAAACACTAAAACCTAGGTGGCCTTCATATACCGGCTGTCTGAGTCAGTGGATCAATATCTTTCTCTATAACCACATCGCTCCTCCATTTCTTGAAAGCGCGAGTCTTGAGCCTCAATGCAAACATTCGATCGATCTCCATAGGCGACCGACCCTTCATCTCAGGCACCCAAATCCATGTCGCCGCGACGCCGACTGCTGCAAACCCAGCCATGACGAACCCAGTCTTAGCCTTAAGGTCACCTGCGCCCAAGTTGTACACATACGGTAGACTGATGGCGAAGACACCCTGAGCAATACTACTCACAAACCAGCCGATACCCTGGGTTTTGGCACGGAGTTGAAGAGATGAGGTTTCAGCCGCGACAACATGAGAGGCCGGCCATATACCCAAACCGCAGACCATGGTGACAACCATCATCGTCACTGAAGTGTACCAGATCGTGACAACTCCCTGGAAACATCCGGCAATGCCCATTGCCAACCAAAGAACGACTGTTGTCCCCAGACTGAGTAGTATCAGGAACCGTCTACCAAACCCGTTCAATGCCCACAAACTGCCGACGTTCGCAAGAAGACCGAGGCCAATTCCAAGGATAAGGAAAATGAGGCTGTTGGAGGAACTCATACCGACGATTTGTGCAAAGTAAGAGGCATTAGCCAACAGCTGTAGGCCGAAGAGCTGTGGCAGAATATTTGCCAACGCGACAATCAAGGTTCTGCGCAAGTTCATTCCCCGAAAGCAATCCATATAAGTGCTTGTACCCCGCTCCTCTTCCTCCGCCAGGATAGAAATCCGCAAGTCTTCGATAATGGCCTCGGAGTTCACACAGGGTCTTTCTAGTCGTTTCTGTGCTTTCAGAGCCTTGTCCACCCTCCCTCTTCTCATTAACCAAGTCGGGCTTTCCGGCAAGATAACGGCGAGGAGAAATGTAACTCCCGAGAATGGCCATTGCGAGGCAAAAGGGATTCGATAACTATCCTCGAAAGGTAATTTCAAAGAAGTATAGACCACAACCGAGCCAATAAGCTGACCCAGAAGAGTGAAGATTGGCATGAAGGCGATAATCGGTCCTCGGAGCAGGACGGGAAGGACTTCGGACATATAGGTCTGCACGGCGCACAGAAGGATACCGAGGCAAGTTCCTTGGAAAAACTTTCCGACAAAAAATACACCTCTTCGCGCGGTGATATCGTCAGGGCGATCAGCGACGTAGCAGATAGCAACAGCGATTGCTGATAGGAAGGCACCGACTGCGAGGGAAATCCGTCGTCCACCGCGATCTTGGAACTGGCCACAGAGTATAGATCCGATCATCATGCCGATTGGACTCGCGACGTTCCAAAGTGAGAGCCACATTGTCGGAATGATGTACCTCTTTCCGTATTGCTCGCCGAATTTGTGTCTGTAACCCCAAACGTTGTTAGTGGATGCCGGAGAACTAGAAAGTTCAAACGTACTGGAATGCAGGCATGGCCGAGACGGTTCCCACGATAACCAGATCATATCCATATAAAAGGATAGCAGAGCTCAATGCCAGACAATATAATATAACTCTGGGCCATTTCTTCACCGACTGCAAGAGTGGTACGTGCTTTGTCTGGGGATCGTTGTTCGGAGGCGCACGCGGCACATCTTCGACATATTCTTGAGTAGATTTTTCGTCTGAAACAGCCATGGTAGCTTCAATACACCCAATGCCAAATCTACGAATGCTACGAGCAATCCATCATGCTAAATACAAAGTCGCAGCACAGACGTTGAGGGGTAAGGTAGATCGCCAAGGTTTGCCGCTCAAAGGTAGTTTGAGTTTGGACATCAGGTGTATTATGTCTAAGCGAGCACTAAGATGGAGATAGAATAGGCTCCGTCGAATAAGAGCTTTTAGGGAGACGGCAAATTTCAAAGTTGATTCGGAATGACCAGCAGGGGTTCCCGAATCTAGTGCCAATCAGGAATGCGCAAGCCGATCACCCCGCACGCTTGCCAAGTAAAAATCCGGGGTTTTAGGTTGATTCACGAAACGCTCGGCACCAGCGTTGCAGCCAGCTGAGACCCATCGCGTCGAGACGATACGTTATCATGTGTAGGACCTCGATTGGGAGATCGCGGATAGTGGTGGTTTGCGACGTCGTAGGATTATTTGTTGTATGTAGGCTCCATTGAGTGTTGAAAGGGGCAGATATGACATAATACTTTTTGAATCCAAAGTCGCTGCACGTAAATAAACAGTATGAGTTTTGAGTGAGGATTGAGTTTGCAATGGTGTTCAGATGTTTGTGAGTGCTGGGAGTGCTGGGCGAGGGAACCTGAGTTGGGGTCACATCGAGCGGGGGCGATTTACCGCCCGTCTTCAGCCCCTCATTGGTTCTGAACCATTCGGGTTATCGAGAATACTTTCTCAAGTTATTCAAAAGTGTAAAAATATCGGCGTGCTAGTCCATTTCTCGTTCGCTTACTCGCTTAGGATCTGGAGGAAATCGGAAATGCATACCCGTTCCCTTTGCCAGTCGCTCACGCGCCGTGGACTAACTCACGGCATATCGTTCCCCGCAATGTCATCTCCCGATGGAAGTGCACCGCTTTGGTCTTCATTGGATGAATGAGCTATTGGGTCGTTGTAAGGATAACAAGTGCTCGTCAATGAAAATGACGGATCTCGATAAGATAATGCTTGATCTCTTCGAGAAGCCTTCTCTCTAAGCAGGCTTTGGGTAGGGAGGGGACCTCGAGTACCGTCAAACTCAAGATCTTCTCTTTGACTGGTGGTGCAGAACTGATCTGGAGAAAAATGAGCAACTATATCTCCATCTTTGGTTTCTTTCCAGAATGCCCAGGGTTCCTTACCATATTGGCTTGTCACTTCTCTAATCGGAGCACCATCTTTTACAGACCACCTGATAAAATGCCATGAACCCCGCCAGCTCTACTGGTGGGTTGTCATAGTCGATGTAGCCACGTCTATCCCGAATGAGCTGCATCACGGCTCGCATATTGTACGAGCATGAAAGTGGCAGCGAATCAATATGGTCAGGTACAAAGCGCTCCAGATGGTCGTGCGCAACGTCAACCATCATCCTGGCTAATGTGTCCAATGCAGAATGTGAATAGTCTTGGATTATTGACTGAGAGGGAGCGGTATCCACTTTCTGACTTAAGATGGATTGATGTAATCGAATCAGGGATCTTTATTATATGAGCTGCATGCTGACCACATTGAAGGATTGCTAGACTTACCGAATGATAATTCCATTGGCGCCGCACCGATGCGATTCCACAGGATGATTCATCAAAATCGATAAAAATTCTCGGAGCCTCTCATCCAACTCTCTGATCTCGGCAAATTGGACTTGATCAGTTCTGGTGATGATGGTTTCAACCTGGGCCAGCAAATATACCGCCTGGGCCTGGCGCCCAAAGCCGCTCACATCACTTAAATGCATATCGCCGACCGTAGGGACCTTTATCTGATCGTCTGATCCAAAAGAATGGTCACAAATCAGATCAGATGGCAATTCCGTCTCTCGACTGGGCAATTGCGACAGTGGGCGCAGGTTTCCCGACGGACATTCGTGTGAGATCAGACTTCGAAAATATTAGTCTTCACTCTTTATCCCACGGTTCCAGGAAAAGCAGAGTCAACATACCGTTCTAAGATAATTATGCCCCACCAAATGTTTCTTTCTTCAAGTGCCTTCAGCCCCGGGGCAGGATGTCTGTTGGATCTCTCTTTTGAGCTCTGATCATAGTTGATTCCAAGTATAGACGCCATTTGCGTACAGGCTCCAGTTGACAGGTATGCTGCATATGGCCGGCCACGTGTATATTCAAATGAAGCCAAGAGGAGACCTGTTTGTATGAGACCCTTGGATGGGTAGGCCGTAGCCTGTGCTCGAGCCAAGAGCATCTTTAACTCCAGATATAAGGTCTGTGGGGATATTACTTGGGTCACTGTATCTGGATCAGGTTTTAGTGTTACCAAATACATGGCCAGCACTAAGAGGGAAAAGTCCATGGGAGGATAGCTGTCCTGATGCATTGCATCCATCTCATCAAGTAGCACACGGGAGACGACTGGAAGCCATCGATGGTAGCTTTCAAAATACTGGTCACAGACACCTGAGAATGACTGGCCAGTGATGTGGAAAATGTGCAAGACCTGGAGATGAAGTGCGCAGTCGAATGGAAGTGGTGGATCAGACGGTGAAGAATGTAAGAACGGGTTCGACAGTTGGGAGAAATTTATAGCCGCGCCGATACCCTGCGGGAAAGTTTTATTTGACGGAACATGTCGGGCTTCGGGAGAGAGTTTGTCTTCACGAGGGTAAAGACACAAAAGCCCCCGTTGGGTACAATAACCTTGGCCTCGTCAGTATCGGCAGCAATCCACAGGAGTACAGAGAACATTTCTCCCATGCAACTATTCGGTGGGACAGCAACTAACCACATCGGGGAAGAGCTTTATCACATCCTTTTTTGCGGGCCTTGCATGTTGTGCAAACGCGTGATGCCCGTTCCATTTCCAGATTCCGATATAATTACTTCTCCAATCGGAGTTCTCGGCACGCAGCTGGACTAGTTTGTGGAACGGCGGCCGCCAGGACAAAATTATCAAGGTAGAATCGGCTGGGAAAGGGTACCTTGGAAGAAAATAAAATCCATGTCGGCCGCTGCTAATGAGGCATTGGAAGAAGTAAGAAGTGAAGAGTCGAACGGTGAGAATTGCCGTGGGGCCGGCGGCCGCCACTAAGCCTAATGCGGGTTGAACACTAATGATGTATGCGGAGTCACTCTGGTCTCTTCCGTGCTAACATCGGTATAAAGAGAACTTCCCTTTGTGGTAATTGTTGTTTTTGAAGCATTGACAAAGCATTCCAGTGACTCAGAATGGTTCCTCTGAGCCCGGGCCTCGAGTCCAACAAGGAATCTCAGTTACCGACTAGCAAAGAACCGACAGATGCTCTTGATTCGTTCAAGGTTCAATTTGAAGTTGACGATCCGGAGAACCCAAAAAATTTCAGCTCAACCTACAAGATATGGCTTGTGTTCCAGATGAGCATGCTTGCATTCCTTGGTGCACTTGGGTCGTCCATTATTGCACCTGCCGAAACGGCGATTGGAAAATACACAAACGTGAGCAGCGAGGTCACAGCTCTAACTGTGGCTTTGTTTGTCCTAGGTAGGTTTCAATACTAAAACCATGGAGATACCGGAATAACATATTTTAAGGCTGGGCATTCGGCCCAATGATATGGGGTCCGATTAGCGAGGTCTACGGTCGGCGCATGGGGATGCTGCCTGCGGTTTTCATACTTGGGCTCTTTAGTATCGGTACAGCGACGAGCAAGAATGCAGAGAGCATTTTCATAACGCGATTTTTCGGTGGAGTTTTTGCCTCGGCACCAATTAGCAATGTACCCGCCGCCTTGGGCGACATGTTCGATCCAGCGACCCGAGGAAATGCCATGACGTTTGTGTCATTGTGCATCTCCGGGGGGCCAACAGTCGGACCAATTATTGGCGCTGCATTGTCACTCAATTCAAGCCTAGGGTGGCGTTGTAAGCTTATCCCGAGAGCCATCATACCTCAGAGCTGACAATGTTTCACAGGGACAGAATACCTCGAGGCTATTATCGCATTCTTCCTTTTTGCGCTTTGTGCTTTGTGTTTGCCTGAAACATATGCCCCCGTTATACTCAAGGAAAAGGCACGAAGACTCCGGAAGCTCACAGGCGAGCAAAGATATTGGCATCCCCATGAGCAGGAGAGGATTGATATCCACAACGCCCTGACCAAACATCTTGCTCGTCCCGTGCGGTAAGATTTATCACTGAGTTTTATCACGGGAGATACTAATTTTCCATAGAATGTTGGTTACGGAGCCGATGGTCACATACGTTGCCCTCTATGCTTCTTTTACTTATAGTCTGATCTACCTGACTTTGGAAGTTTTCCCAATTGTTTTCAAAGAAGACAGAGGATGGAGCTTGATCATTTCAACTCTCCCATTCTTGGCGATTTTGATTGGTATACAGTTTGCTGTCGTGATCAATTTTGCCAACTCCTCCTTCTACAAACGCGCTTTGCAGGCCAACGGAGGTAAAGCGGTTCCCGAGGCACGTCTTCCCCCAGTTGTACTTGGGGGAATTCTACTTTCAGCGGGTCTTTTCTGGTTTGGCTGGACAGCCGCTCCTAAATATCACTGGGCGTTGCCTGTCGTCGCAGCTGGTGATTACTACATGATCCTTTGCATAGTTACTTTTGCTGATACTAGAGAACAGGCTTTATCGGTGCGGGCTTTAACGTTGTTTTTCAACAATGCCTCAACTTCCTGGTCGACACATATGGAGTCTATGCCGCTAGCGCTGTTTCTGCAAATACCATTTTGCGCTCCCTTCTTGCGTGCGCAATGCCCCTAGCTGCTCGGCCCATGTTTGAGAGTCTGGGTGTAGGGCCAGCGTCCAGTCTACTTGGTGGCATTTCATGCTTGGCATTGCCGGTACCCTTTCTGTTCATGAAATATGGCGCCACGTTAAGAAAGAAGTCAAGGTTCGTGCCTGGAGAGGCTTAGTTTCCTCTAGTCTGAATTTATTCCAGATCGACCCGGCCCGAGAGCCTAAAGGAACAATGTCTGCTTAGCTATAGATATTACCAAATGTGTACTCGACTTTTGAATTATTCCAATTGTGATGTTGAGATGATGTTCTATATAGCTATTTCGAGCTCGAGTGGCCGCTATAAGAAGATAAAGACTTTTGACCAGACCACCACGAAATGAATGGCTTTCTACACCTTTGTGCCCGATATAAATGATCTTTTGCATTGGGTTATCCCCCAAAAAAGGGCGCGCAAAATATCGTCAACGAACTACTCATCACAGAAATGACTTGTGGGCTTGTCTATATAGCTGCATATTATTTCTGATTGCTATACATGAAAATATTACGGGAAAGGGTTTTATATGAAGGATGTAATTGCATGAGCTCACTCCTCGGCTTCTACTGAAGCGGTCAACGCGGTAGTCTCTGATTGTGACCGAGCATCCCTTCTCTGCTGCAACTTTTCAAGCTGAGTCTTGGTCTTCTCTATCTCGGTATCCAGCTCGGACGTAGTCGCCAGTTTGTACTTCAGCGATAGAATGCCCGCTGATATAAGCAGTAGAGCGATTGAAACCAGATATGACCATTGCCCCACCTGCTGTGGATGCTCCTGTGAAGGGCCATCATTGTATATCCACCACTCGATCCACACGACAAAGGCGATAATTGTCAGTGGGCTGATAATCATGCTGAACACGAGCCCAAAAAGAATCCACCCATCTGTAACTACGCGCAGAAAGGCCTTCAAGAAGCGAAGGGTAAACACAGGCCGGATGCGACTCCATCGTGAGGTTTTGTGTCCAGACGAGGTTTCAATCTCCTTCTGCGCCGCTTGTTCCTCCCTGGACATGGATAGTGCATCCTTGAGCTCTTGCTTGAAGCAGCGCAAAATTGATTTCCTCTCTTTCCAGATCACAACTATCCGGGCAGATGGTATGCGAGATTTGTACGGCAGCCATTTGAATGTCAGATGCACAATGTTCAGAAAAAGGCAGATGATGATGAGGCTGTAGATGTAACGATTCGAGTAGATGACCCTATTCCAGAATCGGTTTGGATGTGCCAGTTCAGAGTCGCTGGAGGTAAACCATGACTGCAGCGAGGTAGATTGTCTGAGAATCTGGCTGGAATTGAAGCACGGGTTGTAACAGATGTCGCCGATTTGACCCCAATTCGATATGTTGGAGAAGGTACTCCAGATGCTGGTGTTCCACGACCCGGTTCTCCATCCATCCTGCCATCCATCACTGGATGTTTGCTGGAGGGGTGGAATGTCGGGGTAACAAAACATGTACTGGGTGGGGGTGTTGTCCTTTTGGCCAGCATAGACCAAGGAGCAGATGGAACCCGCCAGCATGAGCATATTCCACAAATAGAACAAAACATTCCGGGCTCTTTCATGCGTCAAAACCCGTGACCAACATTGGAGAGGTAAGAAAACAAGGTAGCCAGTGACGACGATTGCGAGAACAGCATCCCCGTCCAGTTCCAGTGCCGCCGGCTGAACCGTGATCTCTCGTGTCTCCGTGATAAGCTGCGGGAAACTATTCCACAAGGTCGTATCGTTGGAGACAAATGGGATAGTCACGAGTGAAGGAGCCTGCTTCTTGGCAGGATTTGCAACCAAGATGAATGATTCAATCGCAGCGGTACCTGCATACGTCGCAGCGGCGCCCAAGAAGACATCGGCAAGCCAACCCGTCCAGCGAGTCAAACAACTGGCGAGTAACAAGGCGTAAAAGAGATACCGTGGGCATGAGTCGTAGATTGTGCTGATTGGATATAAGCACAGAGCCTCCTGAGCAACGAAGAGAGGGCCGCTGTTGTCCATGGTGGACCGTGATTGGTGTTTCCCAGATTCCTCATGCAGACCCTGAATCCAAGCCGGCGCAATCTTTCCTCATTTAACCAGTCCCGAGGTCGATGTTGTGACGCGCATCAGAAAGGATTTGCACCTTTTGAGTGTGAATTTTACTGTGGTGTTCCTGCTGCTGCCTTGAGTAGAGTCCGACTCGTGTAAAATATGCTGACGTCATCAACTTTTGGGATTGCCTCGAAAGTGCCATCAAACATGTAAACGCTGTGGAAATGAAGAATAAACACCAAACCACAATATATTAGCTTTGTATGAGGTCGATATTTTCCTCTCTAATAAGAAAATGGTAGTTCACGGCGCGTGGGTCCTACGAGGTGTGTTCTTGGCAGAGAGGCGGGATATATTGTGACTTCGATTTAGATAAAGCTAAACACACCACTTAGAGACGAGCAACATACTATCATTTTGAAGGGACAAGATGAGCCTTGGGCTTAAACACACGAGTAAAACAATAGCTGGGCTATTCCCGGAAGCACTATGACACAGGCCCAGAAAGGACTGGACTCACAGGAGGAGCCTCAGAATATTACTTTAGAATAAGCGTTTTAACCAGTACACCTAGGTAGCTTACAATGGATTTGAATATTCCAACCCCGCCCTGCATTACCGAGCAGTTGAATACTCGAAACCGCATCTCGTTTTATTCGAATCCATACTCTTTTTGGAAAAGAAAGGGGGCACACCTCTAGGATGAGAGGCTGGGATAGGGAAGTAGAGCCTCTTTATCTCACTTTTGTGATAGTCCATGGTTTATTTTCTTCTATTGTTGAAAAATTGCAAAAAATAACACATTTGTATACCGGGATTGGTCTTCTGAATCCCTGCGCCGGAGGTATGTCTGATTATTGCAGCTGTGAAAATAGCTGCCGAGAATGTACAGAAAAAGTTGACAATAACCTGCGGTGAGCATAATGACTGGAAAGCCACCCAACAGCTGTGTTGTCCATTTCGCGAATGTCAATGTGCTTAGTTCTCTACGAAGACTGCGGGATTATCGCCGGCCTTTATTTCCTTATATCCGCCACAATATCGAGTACTGGCTGTATACTTCGAGAGCCGGGTCTATCGGTATTTGGAGAAAAGGCGATCATGAGAGTATTGAGCAGCTGTAAAAAATATATAAGAGGCTGTTTCAAGGTGTTGTAGTCTCTCCATGATACACGAGCTTCGTCACGAAGAGCATCGAGAAATCACCTCACAACACGTCTCACCGCAATGACCTCACCCAATATCGTTCTTGTCACTGGTGGAAACGGTGGGCTTGGCTACGAGGTTGTGAAAGCTTTCTATGAGTCTGACAAGGCATACCGCATTTTCATGGGAAGTCGATCCCTAGACAAGGCAAAGGAGGCAATCAAGAAACTAGAAGAACAATGCCCTGGAGCTACCAACACCGTCGAGATCGTCCAGCTGAACCTTACCAGTGATGAGTCTATTGAAAGGGCCTTTGCCCAGGTTCAGACCGACGTGGGGTACATTGATACTCTGGTCAACAATGCCGGTGAGTAACACCAACAAAATGCAGAACCAGAAGATCTCATCAAACATCAGGAGCGACCTTCGATCTCGAATACCTCGGCGGTCGTGTCTCACTCCGGGAGTGCTTCAACAAAGCCTACGACGTGAATGTAGCCGGTACGCACGTCATGACCGCAAAATTCATCCCCCTTCTACTGAAATCCACCGATCCGCGTCTGATCTTCGTGACCGGGCTATCGAACATCAACCAAGCCGGCGAAAAGTACTTTCCCACTCCACCACAACCCGCAGGCTGGCCTAAGAAGATTGAGTTTGAAACTATTGGATATCGATGCAGCAAGGCAGCGCTAAATATGCTCATGCTGGACTGGAACCATAAGCTGAAGGCGGATGGGGTGAAGGTTTGTTGCGTTGCACCCGGAATGCTGGCTACCAATTTGGGTAACGTGCCCGAGAAGGCCAAGGAGATGGGGGCTAAGCATCCTAGTATTGGTGGGCGGTTGATTAAGAGGGTTGTTGAAGGGGAGAGAGATGATAGTGTGGGTAAGATTGTGTGTGCGGCGGGGATTATGCCGTGGTGAAGGATTTGAATGCGCACACTTTTTGAATATGATCAAGCAGTTTCAACTAACTCGAATATCTACAATTCATCGTTAATATAGTGATTTATAATGTATAGTGATTTATAATGACTTGAGTTAGTTAATTGGTGTCTCGGTATCATTAGTAATTGTACACACCGACCCTTACAAATCAAGCGCGGGGAGCTTGTTGAGCAGCTTAAATCAGTTCCAATTTCACTACTCAAAACATCAAAACACCAAGCTCACAACAAAATGAAGGAAGCCATCGTTGACCCCGATCTTACCGTCTCTATCCGCGACACCGCCATCCCGGTCCCTGAACCAGGTCAACTCCTCATTCGGGTTGTGGTATCCGGCACCAACCCGAAGGACTGGAAAATGCCCCGCATTTTTACGAAACAGTCCAGCAACCCCGGAGATGATATTGCTGGGTACGTCGAGGCCGTTGGAGATGGCGTGGTCGGCTTCAGAAAGGGCGACAGAGTGGCAGCGTTCCATCAGATGATGACTCCAGGCGGGAGTTACGCCGAATATGCAATCGCCTGGGAGGATACGACTTTCCATATTTCGGAGAAAACAGGGTTTGAAGGTAAGTTTTGTGGAGCATTTGTGAAATAGCCAATAACCCTTCTTCAGAGGCTGCTACGCTTCCCTTGGCTGCAATGACAGCTGCTCTCGGAATGTACCAGATCCTCAATCTGCCACTACCCTGGAACCCAACCAGCGAGCCACTTCCTCTGGTCATTTATGGTGGCGCTACAGCCGTTGGAGCCTTTGCGCTGAAGTTTGCCAAGCTATCGAACATCCACCCTCTCATTGTAGTGGCCGGCAAGGGTAGCGCCTTCGTCGAGACGCTCATCGATCGCACCAAGGGCGACACGATTATTGACTACCGCGAAGGCAACGAAGCCGTTCAAACCAAGATCAAGGCGGCTGCGGGTGGAAAACCGATCCATCACGCGTACGATGCGGTCTCCGAGAAAGGCAGCTATATGAATCTGAGCGGATCATTGACCGCACCGGGCAAGATCACCGTGGTGCTCCCGCCCAAGGAAGAGGACCAGATCGCCGAGGGAATCACAGTCGAGCGGACCTACGTAGGATCGGTGCATAATCCACCCGCAGCGGGGAAGACCATTGGAGATCGCGAGTTTGGTGCCGCCTTCTTCTCGCTTATGGGGCGGGGTTTAGCTCAGGGGTGGTTCACGGGACATCCGTACGAAGTGCGCCCGGGTGGACTGGGTGGGCTCCAAGGGGCACTGCAGGACCTGGAAGCCGGTAAAGCGTCCGCTGTGAAGTATGTAGTTCGAATTGCGGATACCGCGGGCGTGCCGTAGCCAGACACGTCACAAGCTCCGACGGCGTTGCATTCAGATGACAGTCGGCAGCAGGTTGTTGGCATTAGCTCCGGAGTAGTAGCAGCTTTTGAATAAATACATGACCGAAAGTTCCTGGAAGGATCAGAACAATCACAAGCCAGACATTAGTCAAGGTTCGATGATCGGCAATTCACAGCCACGCGCGGGTCCACGTGCCAGGGGGTCCCGGCACTCATGTGGTCCGAAGCCCGGTAACGTGCGTCTAAGCGAAGCCCCGTGGCTGCATGGAATACGAATTGGGACATCGCTTTAGCTGCAGAATCGCATGTCTACTATGGCATGCGGCGTGGGTTGCCTGTTTGGAATGATTGGTCTGAGTGATCTGCACTGCACTTTCCGCTGTCATATAAAACCTCGCTTGACATCATGGAAAAAGGTATACAGCTTTCACGACTATCAAAGTCGAGTATTTACTGCCTATCATGGTCGGTTCTTCTTCTTTGATCAAGGCGCTGCCTTTGCTGGCTGCCTCCGCTTTGGCGAGCGTCAACTATCCTCCTATTCCGGAGGACTTGACTACCCCATTCCAGCAGCGACTGGCGGTCTACGGGCCGAATGGTAGGTCGAAGAGAAGAAAAAAAAATCATAGGGCAAATACTAAGATCGTATAGCCATGTCCGTTGGATGGAACACGTATGAGCAGCTGAGCAGCAGCTGTGTTCAGTACGGCACCTCTGCCGACAACCTGGGCTCTATTTCATGCTCGTCATCCACGCCATCAACATATCCCACCTCTCGGACTTGGTCTAACGCGGTTGTCCTGAGCGGTTTGACCCCGGCCACCACCTACTACTATAAAATCGTCTCGACCAATTCGAGCGTGGAGCACTTCCTGAGTCCTCGCACACCGGGTGACAGGACTCCCTTCAACATGGACGTGGTCATCGACCTGGGAGTGTACGGTGCAGATGGGTTCACCACCAAGAAGAGAGATGAGATCCCAACCATTCAGCCCGAGCTGAACCACACCACCATCGGCGCCCTCGCGCAGACCGTCGATGACTACGAGATCGTCATTCACCCGGGCGACTTTGGCTACGCCGATGACTGGTACGAGAAGCTCTCGAACCTTTTCCATGGAACGGAAGCATACCAGTCCATCCTTGAGCAGTTCTACGACCAGCTGGCACCCATTGCAGGCCGCAAGGCGTACATGGCCAGCCCGGGCAACCACGAAGCAGACTGCAGCGAGATCCCCTACCTTCTGGAGCTGTGCCCCGAGGGCCAGAAGAACTTTACCGACTTCATGCACCGCTTCGAGAACACCATGCCCAGCCCCTTCGCCTCGTCATCGTCCAGCACCACCGCTCAAGGCCTCGCCGCGCAGGCGAAAAGCTATTCCAACCCGCCATTCTGGTATTCCTTCGAATACGGCATGGTCCACGTCGTGATGATCGACACGGAAACCGACTTCCCCGACGCGCCGGACGGAACAAACGGCTCCGCTGACCTTGACAGCGGTCCCTTCGGCAGAGCAGGCCAGCAGCTCGCATTCCTCCAGGCAGACCTCGCCAGCGTCGACCGCAGCGTTACACCCTGGTTGATCGTCGCCGGCCACCGACCCTGGTACAGCACCGGCTCGGACAACAGCTGCGGGCCCTGCCAAGACGCATTCGAGGGCCTGTTCTACCAGTACGGTGTCGACCTCGCTGTGTTCGGACACGTTCACAACTCGCAGCGCTTCCTGCCCGTGGTCAACGGCACTGCTGATCCCAATGGTATGAACGATCCCAAGGCTCCCATGTACATTGTTGCTGGTGGTCCTGGCAACATTGAGGGTCTCAGCTCTGTTGGGAGCGAGCCCTCGTATACTGAGTTTGCGTATGCGGATGATTACAGCTACGCTACGCTGAAGTTTTTGGATGAGAACAACCTCCAGGTTGAATTCATTCAGTCTTCGACTGGGTCGATTTTGGATTCTAGTACTCTGTACAAGAGCCATTCCACCTCGTTTGTCGTGCAATAGATAGATATCATTAGAGATGGGGGGAGGTGGTAATTTGAACCGGCCGAGGTGAAACGTTGCTAAATGTAAATCTTACACTTCAATCTTGGCCTTTTAAAAAATTCATATACATCAATCAATCATCCCTTCTCAGTATACACCAGAGTCGAGTATCAAACCCGAAGTCCGGAGTGATTTGCCAAACTTCGATAACAAACAAGATAAATCGGAACTCAATCGGGAAACAGATCGGATCGTCAGGGCCCGCGCGGCATGACATCAGTCGCATTATTTTCGCGTCTACACATCTCACGACGCGTCCACCAAACCACCATCAACCATCAATGCCATGGCAAAGCGCACGCTAGACGCATTCTTCAAACCAGCCGCGGAGACATTATCCAAAAAGGCCAAAACCAACCCTAAAACCACTCCAGAACCCACAGGACCACCCGACAACCACCCCAGCTACCCAATCCCAATCCCACCACTCCTCTCCCACATCACCGTCAGCTTAGAACATGGAACGCCCGCGCGGGAGGGCCGCTCAATAACCAACCAACCCGACCTCGACCTACTCTACTTCCAACCATACATCACGCGAACAACGGCAAACGAGCTATTCAAATTCCTCCGCCGAGAACTCCCCTTCTACCGAGTCCAATACAACATCAAGCGAAACGGGACCGACACATCGATCAACACACCACGCTACACGACGGTATTCGGAGTTGACGAAACAGCCCTGTTCGCAGCACGCTCCGAAGTGAAAGACGACGACGACGACGACGAAGACTCTAGAACCCAAGTCGAGTCGAAATCAAGCACAGAGGACCTCGTGCTCGTGAACGCATCCAGCAAAACCCGAGTATCACCGTCCAGATACCAATACACGCCGCGACCCATCCCAAGTTGTCTGGACACGCTGCGCAAGCAAGTGGAAGTAGCAACGGGCGCCAAGTACAATTTCTGTCTTGTGAATTACTACGCAAGTGGCGAAGACAGTATCGCGTTCCATTCGGACGACGAGCGATTCCTAGGGAGTGAGCCGTGCATTGCATCGCTGAGCCTGGGCGGGGAACGGGACTTCCTGATGAAGCATAAACCTGAACCCGGTGGAGGGTCAGGTGTGACACGGTCCAACGGCGCACAGACGGGGCAGATGAAGATGCCGCTGGGGTCGGGTGACATGGTGATAATGCGGGGACCGACGCAGGCGAGTTGGCTGCACAGCATACCGAAGCGGAAAGGTCGCGATGCAGTGCGGGGACGGATTAATATCACGTTTCGACGGGCTACCATTCCCGCGGGGACGAACAACTATTATAACTATAATGTAGGGTGCGGACCGGATTATCGATGGGATGACAGGAGACAGGAGATGGTGAAGCAAGAGGATAAGGGAGATATAGTACGTACATGTCGTTTTTAAAGAAGAGTGGAGTGGAGGCTACGTTACACGAGCATTGATTGGAATGATATCATTTACAGCCATAACCAAGCACAAGCGATGCTCAGGCGAAAAACCCTGAAACAGAAAGGAAAACTCCATGTACATTGCACCCAAATGAATAGACATAGAAGGAAGTCGTCATGTGCATTGGCGCTGTTCATCGTTCCCTGGAAAGAAAAAAAAAATACAGGGTGGTTCTATCGAATACAAAGGTAGAAGAAGGGTAAAATAGGGAGGAAATCAATAGATGACTTCCTCACCGAAGACGTCGGCGTAGCATTGGAAGACATCAGGGCAACTGCAGTCTCAATCAGCATGTGATCGACGGAGTGGGCACAGTGGGCACCGCAGTGGGGAGTGGGACTTAGACTTACAAGATGGGGTCCTTGCCGAAAATAATATGCCACATGTACTCCATGATATTGGAGGTGACCTCGTCGGACAGATCATTGTTCAGCACCCAGTTATACATGCGCAGGTAATCCGCGCGCGGGCGCTGGAGAACCTGTTCGCGGGAAACGGCAAACTGCGAACAACACGGGGCAGCGATCTTCTCAGGGACCTTGGAATTGCCGAAGATTTCCTTCCAGGCCTGCGCGTAGTGCTTCTCACCCGTGTCGCCAGGTTTCGGGGGGTTGCGGAATGGCTGCATCTCGTCAGGGCAGCCGGGCGACAATTGACACCGGAGATTGACGAAGCCTTCCCGCTGGACGAAGTCGTGCTGCAAAGCGCGGATGGAGTCGACGTTGTTGAAATCCATGGTATCGACGTGCCAAGCCGTCTCGTATGTACCGCGGTGCGCGTGCAAGAACACGACGACGGCGGGGAGGTCATCGTAGTGGTCGACGAGGAATTGGAGGTAAGGGAGAGCCTCGCGGCCCTTATTCTTAGGGGTGTGATTCGGAACGGAGGTGTCGTCGACAGTATAAATGAAATTGCGCCATCTGAAAGGTATTCCATGTCAGCTTGGCAGCCCCTGACAGCGAAGGACCAAAAAACTCACTCTGCAAGCTCCTGAGACACCCAGGTGGTGTCCTCTTCGCGCAACTTGCCAATGACGATAATGCCCTCGTCGGGGACTTCAATGGGGGTCTTCTGGTAGGTCAACTGGACCTTGTGGCCGGTACCGGCGCCCCATTTCCGGTGCGAGCTATCCTTGTGAGGCCGCTGGGGATGGAACACGGAACGGAAGTCGGTAGTGTCGAAGTGCCAGAAGGAACTGGGCAAGGGGGCCTTGGGTAAAACGCGGCGATTAAAGACGATGAAACCGAGGATGATGAGCAAGGCCGCGGAGCCGATGCGGAGTGATAACCTCATGGCATGCCGTGGTGAGCGCGCGCGACACTCTCGAAGGGTAAAGGGGGGCGGAGAGGGGGGAAACAAGAAGCCTAAAGTGAGAGACGGGGGAATTCCAATCGTGTATGGCGGAACCCCATACGGAGATGAGTTCGCAAAGCACCGACAACCGAAGAACTTCAAAAACGAGGGACGGTGGAAGGAAGGAAGAGCGAAAAACGAGTCGAAAAGGACGCGACGGGGAAAGTGTGGGTTCGCATACATTCAATTGGCCGAGTGGTACGGGCGATCCACCTGTAAATCAACCCGAATCCACCGTGTCTGGGCCCATCTTTATCTTGCCGATCGACCCCTGGTACCTTCATCGGCGAAGTGGCCCTTCGGTACCACCCCTCTGTGACGTGGTGAATATATGAATATTCCTGGTGACGGATATCTGAATTGATTCCGGCACTTTCGCCACCTTCTAGATGACCGGGGAATTTCCATCGTAGCAAAGGGGGGTAGTGGCCTTGTGGGTCATGACCCACGCAGGGGGAATGCTACATTCTATTCAGGGACAATGTGATTGAGCGCTGCTGTCAGATCGACCGGTGCCCCACGCATAGTGCTGCGAGGGGCAGCCTCATAGAAGACGATCCATGAGCCGATCGGTGATGGATTACACAGTCCTCCCTTCTAAGGTTGGGTAAAGGTACACGCGGTAGTGATAAGCATGGATCCGATCGGATCGTCACATGGGTCAGGGGTGAAAACCTTGACCAAAAAAAAAAGAGAGCCGGTGAGATTCCCGAAAATCAAGGCCAACCGCCCGAGCGCCTCTATCTACCTATGTACGTTTACTCTGAGCGCAAACCCGAAATAATCAATCATTAGGTGCTGGATGCGCAGGCGGGATATTAATATCAAACTCCGCGTCTTCATCCGCAATCATCCCAACAACACACCTCGTCCTCTCCAACAAAGCCGCGGCATTCATACACCGATAGTTTACTGCCAAATGCTCCATAAACGCATCTAGGGAATCAAACTTCAGAGCAGGCTCGTTCTCCTGCGTACAACAAAAGATACACCCAGAGGAGCCTCGCACGTAATGAGCCATTTAAACATCAGCCCTCTGACACTCGATATGGCTCTTCGCGAGAAAAAACCAGCGATACCGAATACCCATGGTGCTGTCATTAAACCCTTATAGAGGTCAGTCATCTCATGGCTGCTATCATTTCTTCAACTCGAATATCATGCGATGTGTATCGGGCCACCCGCCGATGGGCCGGACCGAGTTGGGTTGCAGGGCACAAGCCCAGAGGATGCAAAGTACATTATCATTCAAAGTGTCATATCTCGATCAATCATTTCCCCGCTAGATAGACTAGATCTCTCGAGTAGATAACTGCCCGTCAGCAAGCCAGACGACTCGGGTGCAAATTCCTCACCGCCCACGTCAAACACCGCCTGCCTCGCGTGACGAAAGGGGACAAATCGGAAGTATGCTTTTGCAAAGGACCGAGTTTAAGGGCAAGAAACTGCATTCTGGAAAATAGAATGTAGCAAAATAACGTAACTTACACGTATTTGACCATTCGAGTGTCCCACGGTCTAAACCTGGCACTCGCCCTCAATTTGGACCCGCCAAGACGCCAAGAAGTGTCCAAATTTAGACCTTAGACCTTCTTAGGTAATAAATTAAGGCATAAATTGGCCTTGTTTAATAGTCCCTTGGCGGGCGCAGGGTCCGGACCTTGAACTCTCCGGCCGAGTCTAGTCCGACTCCCACCCAAGCCATCTCGAAACCTTTTTGGCAATCAGATATCCCAACTCAGAGATGCAGAGCATCCGCCCACGGGAACCCCGCCGAAGATAGCCACTGCTCGCATGGAATCTTGGAAATCATTTGCTCGAGGCCTTCTGCCAACGGCCACGCATTGGGATCGAAAATTTCGCATTCTTCACCCGCGTTCATAGCCATGAACTGCACACTGGCATCCTTGGAACCCGTGCTTGCTGGTGTAGCCGAGGCCTCCCCGGGCGACGTATCCGATTGGCAAATATTGCCGGTAACCAATGGAGAGAGTATAGAATATGCTCGATTGCAAATTTCGCTGAATGGCGTCGCTTCTTGAATTTTGCCCAAACAGCTTTGCACGGCTTGGACGATGACTTGCTTCGAAGCAGCGGTTCGTTTGGTCTGGCCCAGCATGACCAACAAAGTCGACATTGCGAAGAAGGCATGAAAGGCTCCGATGCCGTGGGTGTACCAGCTGTAGGATCTGAACTCCTGCCGCGCGTGAAGATTTTCGTAATTGGACAGGACGGCATAGGCCGCCTGCTCACATCGCTCGTAGCCCGTGCTTATGATCTCAGGATCGACGGAGTCATTGGTGGTAAGAAATGACCGATGCAAGAGTAGCATGAGGTGGTTGGTGTAGTTATCCAGAATGAATGAGTGTGCCCGTTGATATATTGGAAGATCGGGATGCCTATGGAAGCGCCGAATTTGTGCTCTCTTCTCGGCGCCAATTCGGTCGTTCAAATTGCGGATTTGATCAAGCTGGGGCATGGTCTGCGACGAAGTCAAGCAGCAGATATCGGATGCAAGTCGATAGAGCCGAAATTTGAAAAGAACATATGACATTTTGGTTGGCGGTCTATCGTCTGAATATGGGTCCACGATCGTCAAGTCGTCCAGAGGTAAGGAACGGGACATGATTTCGTCATCTTCCATGTCCATCGGAAGTTGGACGTTATTGGTGATTTCAAATGGAGCTATGCTGCCTAGGCAGGTGTTTTGAATTGTATATAGCATCATCAAACCAGCCCAAGCTCGGCGTCTCTCTTCAGCTTCAACAAAGGTGACGTTTAGCAGAGCCGGGTCAACATGGCATCCGATTGCCACTGCAATACTGAGCGTCGTTCCAAGAAGCGACCACGCTGGGCCCTGTGCGTGGTTGATCGCATAGATAAGTAGGACAAGACATTGCAGCGTCTGCAGGTTGTGCTGCCACAAGAAGTCATCCGCTGCTAAGCATTTCATCGCGGCTGATCGATATTTTGCAGCAAGTGATTTGGCATTTGCTGCCGGGGAGGCCTCGCCGCCTAGATCTGATAGGAGGGGATTGTCCGGATGGAGGGCGGTAATGGCAAGCGCCAATGCTACAAAAACCAAGCCAGTAAAGGCTTTTGGCGCAGCCTGACGGTTTTGCTTGAATTCGGCATATGCTAGCTGGAATGTTGGATCGTGGATAATGTGAAAAAGAGGTGAAAAAACGTCCAGAAAGACGGCAAGAAGTTCATCACATTGGCGAGACGGTGGAAGTATATCCAGAATGACTTGACTGGACCCAGATATATCGGAGCCAAGAAGAAAACCCGATGTGTTTTCTATGTGACGTGGGTTTTGGAACCGATCCAGCAGGTTCGCATCGCGCTTTGTATTGAAAGGAATGTAACGAACGTGACCTGTAGGAGAGGTAACGATGGTACCCGATGAATCAAGTTGAGGCCTCAGAATACCATGCGGTAGGCCAACACTGGCGTTTGAGATCGATGTGGGAGTCTGGTTGGATATATCTTGAGGCACAGACAACCCACTCTGGGATACAGGGGATAGCTGACAGTGATTCTGTTGCAAAGAAATGGTGTTGGACGTCAATTCGATATTTCGCTCTAATAAAGCTTCCAAAGTCGAGATTCGCTGGAGTAGAGCATCCTGAGAGTTTTCTCGACTAGGTTCTGGGTCGCGCTTGAAATGGCACGTAAGCGCCACTCCACGTCTTCGGCAAGTGTCACAAGGAACGCCTGAGCCTAGACAGCGAATTTTCCTTTGGCGACAATTTTCACAGCTGAGAGGAATTCTTCTAGCCATAGCTTGCAACCAGAAATATTTGTTGGGTTTTCAGGAGTAAATGATAGATATATTACAGGTTGATAGGGGAAGTGGGAAGGAATGTGAGAAAAGGATCGGAGTTCCAAGCTTTCTAGGTAACGGCCAGGTAATAAATGTCTGGCACGCGGAGATGGTCTTTGTCTCCGACCCCACTTTTACATTCGGATGCGGGGAAAAGCTAAAGTGCACTAAATATTATCAAAGCAAATATGAAAAAAAAAAATTCATTTTGCTGGAAGAATTTCAGAAGTACATGAATATCAAATTAAATGGACAGTGCCAAATTTCCAAGTGCTAAATAGGGCAGTACCGGTCCCTATCAACGGTTTCGGAAGACATCTTCTCGCCTCCTCAGACTCTTCCTAGAATTCTTAATGGGCCACCTCCATTTTCGGCTGAACCATTTCGTTCGTCATCGAGTGGACACCAGTCACATTTTGCGAAGGGATGGTATATTCTTTGGCTCCCGCCTTATGAACTCGGCCATTGATGATGATGATATTCAATCGATCATGATCTTGCAGGAGGTGAATATTCTCCAGCGGATCTCCATCGACGACCAGGCAGTCAGCATAGTTGCCCTCCTTGATCTGTCCCATTTCGTGAGACCGCATGAATAGTTTTGCCATGCCGTAAGTCGCAGCAATGATAGATTCGTGGGGAGTAAATCCAAACCGCTCGACAAAATGGGCAAGATCACGAGCGTAGGTACCGTGAGGTGTCCATGCAAATCCGTAATCACTATAGATCAAAGGTCAATTCTCAGTCCTGGCTCTAGAAAGAAGTGAATAAGGACTCACCCTCCAGGAAGTACCACAATACCTCTACGGTGCATCTCCCGCATAGCACGGTCGGCAATTTCAAGTTCCTTCCGGTAGCCCACTTCTTCTGCTTTCTCCTTGGAATATCCAAACATCCCGGCATCGTACAGCGTCGCGACCAGCCAATTAATGGCAGGGGCGACAACGTGCTTGGACTTGTTCTTTTCCAAAGCGTCCATTCCTGAGCATGGTGTAAGTCATATGATCGCTCCCCGATCTGCAGATAGTAGCTCACCTTTTTCGTCGACGAAAGAAGCGTGGTAGATTACGTCCACGCCGTAATCGATACTTTGCTGAACGGATTCTTTTGATCGAGCGTGGGAACAAACTCTCTTTTTGTGTTTGTGAGCTTCATCAACGCAGGCCGCCGTCTCCGCTGGTTCAAAGTAACAGTCCTCTGCATCTCGAATTTCCGTGATCTGATACAACTTAGTCTCAGTCAAATGAGGGAAGACAGGTAGGTGCCTTACATTTTCTCCAGACATCGAGAGCTTTATCTGATCAACACCCAACCCGATATGTTCGCGGATCCTAAGAAAGGATTAGTGGTCTCGAGTTTTGGATCTTCTGGCTGAAAACTGACACTTGGCGCATTTCTTCAGGCCCATCTGCAAATGCAGTGATACCTTCAACCAGTTCACCTCCTCGTCGAGCCATTTCCTGGCCATTAGCGAGGAAACGCGGACCAGGGATATCCCCTGCGTTGATGGCATCACGGATCACAACGTCAAGACGCTTTTTCGCCGATGCTGCTCCGAAACACATGGTGTACCCTGAATCCAGAAAGCACTCTGCGCTTCTAGCAGTAAGGAGCGTATGCTCCTCGACTCCGAGGTCCGCAAGTTGGCCAAGGTCCCCTCCGTTCCAAGTGAAATGCGTGTGAGCATCTCCCAGACCGGGCATCAGTGTGCGGCCTCTTCCATGGAACACACGGACGCTGGAATCGCGCAGAAGATCATCCTTGTTAGGAACCTTCCCGACGTGAGTGAATCGCTGACCTTTGTTCAAATTAATCAGAATCTGAACTGTCGGCTATGGTATGAGCAAGAGACACTCACTGGCGATGAGGACATCTCCTTTGTATGACTCCCGACCTGTGGCCTCCAGGATATTCACGTCCAATATGAGTATTCTGGAAGACGTGTCGGTGCCAGCGATCTCGCTGTGCTTCGGTTGAAGATCCGGGTCGAAAGACAACTGATCAATATAGGCAATGTTGCGCGGGGGCCCGTCGTATTTCTCAACCGGATAATCCGGGGACATCCAAGATATGTTGGTCATGGTATAGTAAGTATTCACTCAACACAATAACTCGAGACTAGGTCACCAAAACGTAGTGGAAGATGTGGCATGATCCGCTTCAAATATTCTGTTGCGCATAGCTTATACAAGTGTTGATCCCGTGTCCAAGTGAAAGGAGACAGTCAAGTTCCCCGCATTGAGATTCGCATGTAGATCCGAGTGAACATACCTGGGGGCCAATCGGAGTTACTACGCCGTCGAGGTAACTTTACTTCCCCCCGATATCCGCGCTTCTCCGTCCTCCTTTGTCACCTCGGTCATAAAATTGAAGCTCAAGTTTCTTGCCTTTCTGCGAAAGTACAATTTCAATTATGGGCTGGCTAAGTCTTCGGCGCCGCGAACCCGCACTCTGCCCGTCTAGTGACCAATACAAACCGGTCACCGATTGGAAGGCTTCCACCGAACATGTCGAGATTATCGAATCCGATTACCCCAAGTCTGATCAAATGACACGGGGGGTCATAACCGACGATCAATATCCTTTACAAGATGTGACGACCTCCGACGACTCTCTCCCATTCATCCCACCAGCGATTGTTCGGTCACAGCGGTCTCAAATAAGCAAACAACACCGTCGCATCTGGATAGTCATTGATAATGTCGTCTACGACTGTACAAATTTCATCCACGACCACCCGGGCGGCGACACCGTGATTCGAAGTTTTATAGGAGAGGACTCCTCTTGGCAGTTTTGGCGATTTCACTCTCGATCTCTCATGGATACTTTTGGACGACCCTTACGGATTGGCCGAACTATGGGGGTAGAGAACCGGTTCAAGGAGCCACCGAGATATGTTGGAGGGTCCAAGTCACGATGGTAACTTTGATGAATAAACGAATATTACCAATCATGTTTGGCCATATACGATGCATATGATCTACAAATACTCCATTCGTATGAACCTTGATGACCGTAGCTTCCCCATGTGTTGTCATAGAAGGTCGTGCCACTGGGAGTTCGGAGCGCTGTGCCGGTTTCGGGTAAAAGGGAGAATGCCGACCATTTGAATGGGGAAGTCATTCGCTGTCATCGAGAGAATAACGAATGAGACCATACTACGAATGGTAGATGCGGGGAAATAGCCTAATGCAGGACTGAGCGGAGACACACGGGGGCGAGGATCTACGCGGATGCGCGGAGATACGCGGGGGTTGGGTAACTACGAAGGATGATGCTATAATCCCCGCATCTTGTGAATTGGCGAAAATCTGCGGTAAGCAAAACCGCACTTCGATGACGCCAGTCGACAAACGTCTGATGTAGACGCATTTGTCCTTTTTATAAGTACCCAGGTAGTATCGAAAGTTGTTGAAGCCATTGGCTTTGGTAACCTTGTCTTTGCTTCCAGTTTCGAAAATGACCATCAACAACACCACGAACGGCGCCCTCGGCAAGCTTACCAACTATGTCGCATATTTGGACCCTGCTGTATCGCGCCCTCGCATCGGTCATCTCGACTTCGATGCATCCACCATTACACCTCTAGCCTTCAAGTCAGGCACTCCGCTCACCGACCTTTACCAAGTGATCGCTGCCGGCGAAATCGGGGTCTCGGTCGGTGGTGAGCAAATTCCACTCGCTGGTGTCAAACTACTGCCTCCTGTTTCCGGTCGGGATGTCCTGGCCGTCGGGAAGAATTACGTCGAGCATGCTCGCGAGTTCAACTCTTCCGGATACGATGCTAGCGATAAAATGGACCAGCCGACTCATCCTGTGATCTTCACCAAGCGCGCAACATCGATCATCGGAACCAAGGAACCAATTCTGCTTCACCATAAATTCACCAGCAGCGTCGATTACGAAGGTGAAATCGGTGTCATTGTTGGCAAGCCCGGATTCCAAATTTCCGAGCAAACCGCCATGGATCACGTCTGGGGTTTCACCATTGTGAATGATATGACTGCGCGTGAGCGACAGCGTGACCACAAGCAATTCTTCCTCGGCAAATCTCCAGATACTTTCTGCCCTATGGGACCTATTGCGGTGCCCAAGGAAAGCCTGCCAGAGAACCTGACCGTGCAGACCTTTATCAACGGGGAAAAACGACAAGAGGGCAGCCTCGGTGATCTGATATTCAGCATCCCCACGCTGCTTGCGACCATCAGCGCTGGCCAGACGTTGCAAGCCGGCGACGTTATTGCCACCGGTACCCCTGCCGGTGTTGGTTTCGGCTTCCGACCAATGAAGTTCTTGAACTCTGGAGATGAGATTAGCGTGTCCGTGACAGGGCTGGGGACTTTGACAAACAAGATTGCTGCTGTCGACGCTGTCAATACCACCATCCAGCACGCGGAGTCTCACATTCCCATTGCTAACCAAAAAGCGATCGGTAACGTGGGGTTGACAAATATAAACGGCAAACCCCTTTTCTACCAACGGTTAGGCGTTGGAAGTGGTCCTCCGGTCTTCTTCATACACGGCCTAGGCGGGTCTACAAACTACTTCTGCCCCCTTATTGCGAAGCTGCAGTCGACACACTCTTTGCATCTACTAGACCTTGAGGGTCATGGACTTTCACCCACCTCGGCACTCAGTACCGTTTCTATTGCGTCGTTTGCAGAAGACTTTTACCAAATGTCACGAGTTGCTGCAGTCCACGAGCCCGTGACTGTGATCGCTCATTCCATGGGCTGTCTTGTGGCCCTCAAACTCGCCCTGGAATATCCTGACCTTGTGTCCAAACTTATTTTGATGGGTCCTCCGCCGAGCCCACTTCCCAAGCCAGGAAGCGAAGGTTCCCACGCTCGAGCTGCATTGGTTCGCAGTAAGGGAATGTTGGCGGTCGTGGATGCAATCACCCAAGCCGGAACTTCAGCCTATGTCCAACAGAACAACCTTTTGGCTATCGCTGCGGTCCGCATTTCATTGCTAAGTCAAGATGCCGAGGGATATGCAAAGGCCTGCACGGCGCTTGCTCGATCCGCTCATGATATCCTGGATGTGAAGAGCCTCAAGATGCCCGTGTGCTTTGTTACTGGCGAAGAGGACAAAGTTAGCCCACCAACCCTTTGCCAAAAGTATTCTGAAGCCACAGGAGGAGGACATATCGAGGTCCTCAAAGATGTGGGGCATTGGCATCTCTTTGAGGATACAGACCGAACTGTGAAGGCGGTTTTGGCGCAGATTTAGTAATCACGGGCTTTTCTGTCTTTTGTCGGCATGTAATTTGCTGTTTCCTATGTCGTTAGATCTGGCCAGTCCCTTAAATTGAGCTGAGAAATTAGATGTGAACTGAGTATGTTTCAAGCCTGTTTTTATCTTGTCATACGAAGAAAATAAACCTTTGTGGTCTTTCCCAAGTAGATTTAGATTTTACATAAATACAGGACTACAAGCAGTTTCACCGCGCTACGCGCGGCTAGTTGGCTTTGCCAAAGTTTCCCTTTCTTAGTTAGCGTCCTAAGCCTATTATTACTAGTTAGCTTCCTACGCGAGCCTAAGTCACTTTAACTCTTAAGCTAATTAGACCTACTCAACTTCCAGATCCCACTGTAGGTCTTACTAGAGCTTGGGGATATGTTCTCCAGTGTTGTGATAATCGGTCACCGGCGCGTAAAAAGTATTCGAAAACCTCAAAATTAGAGAAAACTTAGCTCTCTAGAAAAATTGGAAATTAAGTTCCGAACTGGAAATAAAGAGAGAAATCAATGGAGGCCTCTTCGTCATGTCATCTTTCTTCTAATTCAAACGCCATGGTATAGGCTCTCTTTTCTTTTGGACTGTTTTCCTTTGCGGACCTTGCTCCCTTTCCCTTCACTGTCCCTGATCCTCGTCATTCTCACCGACCATGCTCGGAAGTTCGTTCTCGGTAATCTCTTGTCCCTGTCCATCTAATTTGGGTTCAAAAAGGCCCTAGGCGCATTTCATCGCTGTGATGTCCTGGGATAAGTTTAGCTTTGTGAGGTGACTGGAGGGAGCGAATGCCGAATTATGAGACTTGCCTTGTTGACAGGACTAGGACTGGTTAGAGGAAAGTTGACGCACCATCCCAGTCAATGTCTGAATGTCCTTCCTCAATTCACCGACTTCCAGCTTTGTTGTCTGGGCGACAACATTCAGTTTGTGGAGTTTATGTCCGATGATCTCGATCTCCGACTCCAGCTCTCGCCTGTCGCTCTTCTGTTTCTTGTAATTCTTGACTAAATCATCAAGGACAGCTTGTTTCTCTTGTTGCTTTTTCCGTCTGCTACGCAATGTTGGCTTTTCTGGTTCGGGTTGTTTTCTCTGTGCGCGATCGTAAACCATTCCGTACTCTGGGAACACTCGCAAAAGCCGGTGTCTCGAGAGAGGGAACTTGTCGTTTTTAACAACAAGTAAGGTCCACGCGTACTCGGGTCGAATTTCGCCTGCGCACCATCCACCACTGTAGAACACATTGTCGTGGGCGATCATCTCGTTCCGGCTGCCCTTCTCGGCCATAATGCAAATTTGCAATGGCGACAGGCTAGTCCTCAGTTCCCATTTGAAACATTTGGAAGGCAGTGCCGATTTAGTTGTTTGGTCGACAGACCCTGTAGCTTCGAAAAGATGCACTCTCTCCTTAATTGGAGTTCGCGCCATGATTGGATATTGCTGAGATCGAACGAGGATATCCAAGACTGGGACAGTTATATATCCATCCTAAGAGCATGACATCTAAGCTTCTAAGCTTAATTAATTACTTACTTCTAAGCCTAAATCCACCTAGGATCAGGATAAATTAACTTAATATCTCTAAGGAGGTAAGCTTACTTTTTCCTCTTACTTTCCTCTCACTTTCCTCTTACTTTCCTCTTACTTTCCTCTCACTTTCCTCTCACTTTCCTCTTACTTTCCTCTTACTTTCCTCTCACTTTCCTCTCACTTTTTTCTCACTTCTCTCTTACTTTTCTCTTGCTTCTAGTCTTACCTCTCATTTTACCTCTCGTCTAATTTCTTTAGTTTCACTTAGGGTTAGTCCTAATTAGCCCTCGTCTATTCTAGAAAGATTATACGCATTAGTTCCCTACACTAGCATATATAGTATAGGATATTTTCTCTATCCCTGCTACTAGTGCTAGTATAGAAAGGTTACTTAATTTAGCCTAGGATATCTATTATTATCGAAGGGGTCGTCTAAATTCTGTAACTATCCAAGACCTAATGATATTTATATATATGACTAGGTTCGAGATAGAAGATTAGTAGCTAGCTTTTATCCAATCTCTATCTATCTACGAGGACGGTGAAATAGATAAACCTTCTTAGTAAATAGAAGGTTTTGAGCTAATTAGTGATACTAAGGTGGATAGGGTAGATAAGCTAGATGAGCTAGATAAGCTAGATAGGATAGATATTTCTAGGCTATCTTCTATTTAGGCTAGTAAGAGAAGAAAGAGTGTTTTATCTAATAAGAGTGATAATGATTTAGTCTCTTTACCTATAATTCCAGAAAGTCAGATTCGGGCCTCTAGTTAGGTGAAAAGACGTCCTTGGGGGCTTGAGGGCTTTGAGCTTGTTATCGTTCACAAAGTCTCTGAAATTGCGAATATCGCCAGACGCGTGGAGGGCAGCGATTGTGTGAGTGACGCCATTCGTTTTGGCTCTTTTTAGCACACGCTTGAAGAGTCTGGGTTCCGAGCAGGCTCCAATTAGGAGTAGAAGAAGTCGCTCTGAGTCTGAATCCTTCTCTCCGGTGACCAGGAGGTTATGTAGGAAGTGGTCGCAAACGGCTGCAATGTCACAACTGTTAAAGTGGATCGGAAAGGATAACTCGAGAAAGCGAGACACGGCCTTGGAGGCTTTCACATGAATTTCGTTGAGGTTCTGGTCTTCCTCCATTATGAGAGACTGTGAAGGAGGTGGAATCGGCAAACAGAATGTAAGGGATAGAGAGGTCGGAGTTAGGCAGAACACTGGACTGAGATCAGTAGAGACTCACACGGACAGAAGATATGAGTCAACTCACGTGTGTGCACTAGCTTGAGTGGGACGAAGGAGTTGTAGAGGAAGACGAAGTTGAAGAGGTGGTTTGGCAGAACGCTGGACTGAGAGATCAGTGAGGATTCACCCAGGCAGAAGACGTGATGATTAAAATGGGAGGCCTCTCGTAATGTATGTGAAGCTCCACCTTGTACTGATAGGGAGCCAACCTATGGGTCGACAACTATGTAGAGACGGGGAGAAAGAAAGGCTGGATGCAGGTGGTCATGGCTTAGCCAGCAGAATACCGATGTGGTGAGGTGGCGCGACACACTTCCAGTATTTTATTCGGGCTAACGTGGTGTCATATTGTACTCGTCGTCTGATCTCATCTGAATTACCCTCGACTCTTTTCACTACCCCAAGCTCTGCTCTCCATCTTTCCTCTCCTGATCACTCCTCCGCTCGACTTGACCACTAACTGTCTCCCCATTAACACCCCGCGACTGTTCGCCCACCTTCATCTTTCTTCAACGCTCTGACGCTCTGATAGCTGCCTCCTGTTAACTCTCTGCTCCATCACTTCTCCTGGACGCCAGCTTCGAATGAGCGCCAGCTTTGAATGAAAGCTCAGTGGAACTTCAGAGGCATTCACAAATACCGGACAACAAATTGCGGCTAGAACCGTTCTTCCTACGTGGCTGTACTGCCTCTAGTCCGCGTCCGGGGACTTTCCTGCGAAAATAGTCTCACCCAAAACCAAGGGCTCCTCTGTCCTGTTACTGCCAAAGCCTCTCCTCTTCGTCCTGGTCTCTCTGTTTCATCTCTCCTTTCTCATAACCTCATCCATCCCCATTTCACAAGTCTCGCAGGCTGGAAGTAGGAGATTCTACACCAAAATAACGCTATGGAGATACCACAAGCCCCACTCAAGACGAGAGTCCGGGTGATCATGGAGCGAGCCTCTCGTGGGGAGTTTCCTACATCGTTCACCTGTAGAGAAGCCCTCGACCTCGTCCTTCACTTTCGCAAGTCTATCTACGAAAGTGACGATCCGGTCACTGGCGAAGGATGTCCCGAGCATGCCCTTCTTGGTCTTCTGATAGCCTCTATGTCAGGATCGGCCGCTGTGCAGGAGCTCTACAAAGACATCGAACACAACGGCACTCGGCTCACCGAACTCTGCCAGCCTCCTCATCTCAATCAGTTCGAGGAGAAACTCGCTGATTCATTTGGCAATGATTACAGGTTAACCTTGGTTGGCCAGCATGATGAAGTAGAAGTCCAGGAGGATGGCTCTTCCTTTGACCTGCTGCCCCCCGACCATGTGCAAACGCCTGGGATCCCGATCGAGTTCGATAATATGGCTGAGGCTTCCCCGAACTCCCAAGATAATCAGGAATTAGTGACTGAAAGGGATTCATCAGCCAGTGAACTTCCTCGAGACCATTCTGATCTACCAATGGATGATACGGGATACACCCACGTTACCTACCCGCCGAAGGGGTTAATCCGCCCCAAATGGCCTCGGCCCGCAAGCAAGAAGCGCGCGAGAGAGTGTGTCAGTGGCGTTGGACGTTGCGGTCGAGGAAATAGGCCCGAACCACGGGGCCCAAATAATGGAATGACTGGGCTAACAGTGGACGAGATTCGTGACATCGCCGAGAGAGGACACATAGATGAACTCCGTGATCATCCTGAAGTCTTTATCAACAAAAGGGGCAAGTTTCGATTTGAAATACACCCCGCATACGCATGGACAATCCTTGAGGTGGTAGACGGCCAATGGCCTCTCTCTAAGGACCAAATGGAAAAGATGTTTCCCGAATTCTTTATTGTGTGGCTCCGGAATGATCAATACGAACCTAACTTCGATAGCGAGTTCTCTTCCGAAGCCGACATTGAGGTTAAGGAAATCAACGAGAAGTTGGATATTGTCATGGAATGGCTCAAGTCATCTCCGGTCGATCAGCTAATGACTGAACTTCAAAAACGAGAAGATCAGCGATGGGCTGAACTTCATGATATGATGGACAACGAGCGAGAACGCCAGCGTGAGCCAGCGTCGTCTCCCGAGGTGACTCTCGCCGCTAAGCACCAAGAAGGTGAATCCATTATGGCCCAGAGCATCGAATACATTCGGCCCGCACAAACCCGAATGTCATCTCCAGAGATGACTCTCCCCGCTGAGTGGCAAGAAGGTGAATCCGTTGTGGTCTAGAGCATCGAGGACATTCGGCCCGCACAAACCCGACTGTCATCTCCAGAAATGACTCTCCCAGCTGACTTTTAAGGGATGTGATGGACCTGGAGAAGAGACTAACATGTCCTTGAAATAGTCAATAGTTGCTCTGCCAGTCAAAAGTGGCCGAGAGAACAAACTAGAAAATTACCTCTATCCAACTCAATCCCCCTGGACTGGACATTTATCCTGAGATCCTTGAGTTCCTTTTTACTGCATCTTATTCCAATAGCATATGTTGGTTGATTTTTAACAACGTCAAATCCGTAACTGCTGCTACTAGTCATTGATGGTTATTATTAAATAGGTTTGTCAATAGGTACATACATGTTCTTGGCTGTCTCATTTGGCTGGGCTATTCTGATGCATGTAATTTGCCCTTTCTTATGTCGTTAGATCCCGCCAGTCCCATGAATTGAGCTGAGAAAATTAGAAATGAACTGAGTATGTTTCAAACCTATTTCTGTCCTGTGTATACGAAGAAAATAAATCTTCGTCTCTTTTTCCTAAGTAGATTTAGATTTTATATAAATACAGGACTAATCAAAAACTATCATATGTTTACAGAACCTGCCATCGAAATGGCGATAATGTGCGGCGCGCCTATGTTCATGGCGACCACCTTTTCAAAGACAATGAGGCTAGCTTGAACTCTGAGCTCTACCGCAAAGACATCTACAATTTGGAAAGAGGGGAATGACGAACAATCACTATCATAGCCAAATGATCAACACCACATGACATTACGTGCGGAGATACGCGGAGAAAGACGGATCTCTGCCACCAGTTAGAGTTGGCCTGGAACCTGCTTCTCCGCGCAAATCCGCCATGCCGTCGCTCCAGGCCTTTGGAGGAGGTCTATTGTAGAGCCCCTGATTTTGTGAATGCGGGGGGCAGGAAGCTAGCCATGTTACACCACCGCACCAAGGATTGATTTAGCTTTATGCGGGGCCTCCCAAATGCTCGTATCGTGGGGACTCGGTATTGCATCGCAGTGACACGCTCAAGTGCTCAATCCCCATGTTTTTAACTTTGAAGTTGCTATGAACTTGGCAGTAGCTGCTCGGTAGCGAAGCAAGGTTTAGATATAAAATCGTGCATATCCAGATCCCTGTGAGAACTTCATGAAGATCTCCAAATCCCTGTTCCTCCATGGTTCCTCATCAAGAATTGACTCGAAAAGAACCGTCTTCAACCACCATGAACTCCAACGACTTTGCAAAGACAAACTCAAAAGAAGGGCATGAGCTGGCTTCTTCACCTTCAGCAAGCCACCTTGAACGTCTACACACTGCAGGCGGACATGTCGAAGATCGAAGTCAACCTGCTCTTCCAGTGTATCATCGCACATTTGCGAGTCCCTCCCCATTGGGACTGATATCATTTGCTACGGGTATGCCATTCGTATTCCTTGCTTGATCCTTGCTTGAGAAAGGTGGAATTAATTGTTAGATATGTTCCTGATCTCTGTATTCGGCTTGCACGCCAGAGGAATCACCGCTCCAAATGTGATGATTGGTTGTTTGATCTTCTACGGCGGTGTCGGTCAATTTATTGCTGGAATTATGGAATTCATTACAGGGAACACGGTAAGCTCTCCTTATTGATCAACTGGCCTGGGCAACAGCTGACAAGAGCCTTGGGTTTACAGTTCGGTGCCACCGTCTTTTCATCCTATGGAGCCTTCAATTTGTCCTACGCAATGATTTATCTTCCCGGAACAGGCATAATGGCAGCATACACGGACTCAACTACCGGTGCGGTAGATGATAGCTTCGATCAGGCTCTGGCGATCTACGTGTGGGCATGGTTTATTGTCACGGTATTGTTCACTATTGGCGCAATGAGGTCGTCTTGGATTCTCTTCCTTGCCCTGGCCTTTTTGGACATATGTCTCATTTTACTGGCGTGTGGCTTTATGGTCCAAATGAATAGCCTTCTTACCGCCGGATACTCAGTGGGACTACTGGTGTCCGCTCTTGCTTGTGAGTTATCCCTTTCTTTGATTGATCATCACTGTTGATCAAAGCTGACTATTGACTATTAGACTGGGCTGGATGTGCTGGATTATGGGCTGGTGGAGTTACGCCAATCAATTTGCCTACATTCAGCATGTATTCGGCAGTTTAAACTGCATTCCTCCCTTGAGACAAGAGCCCTTGACCGGGAATTCTGTGTTGAATAAAATGCTGCTGTTATACCTATAAGTCAACAAACATATATAAATCTTAGTTTCGCAAAACATCACATCCTCTGAAGACGCGGATGTCTATTTACACAATCTGGAAGTTGTTCCAACCCGGTATGCGTCGTCCGCTCGCCGCGAGGAATTACGGGTGACTTTCGGCGTCAATTTCACAGATCCTCCGGTCCTATTTGTAAATTTCGAACAGGTTTGCGATATATGCAGTCAAATGGTGGTGGACAAAGCAGGGTCCGAGCATGTCTGTAAAAAACCGGAAAATATCAAACTATAAATCAAAGTGCCAACCCTGGAAGCAACGCCAACCCGTAATGCAAACATGAAAGTCAAGGAATCAACAACACTTCCCCTTCTTCTGAGCAGACTGTATAACCTGCACCTCCTCTGCCTCGCCAACAGTAGGAGTCGCCAAACCAAGCCAACTCCTCCTCTTATCACCCATTCCCAGCCTAAAACTTCCCCCATCCATTGTCGCCGGCGTAAACGGACTCAGACCATCGGGTAAGGGCGTCCCAGCAACCGAAAGCATCGACTCAGCATCCCTTCGATTCCTCTGCTCAACCAACTTCCTCGTAATCACCCTAAAAACCTCGTCAATGCCCTCCCCATCCTTGGCACTGATCTCATGACAACAATCCCACCCGATTTCCTGTCCCCAGAACGCCGAGCTGCGCTTGGAATCCGGACTTTGCAACGCACTTGCCCCAGAAGACCCCGCACTCCCAAACATACCAGTCCCGAATCCAAGGCCCATAGCCGTAGGCGGCGGCGTCGATGCCCGGGACGGATAAAGCTGGTCTGCGACATAGGCAATAGTCCTTTCGAACGGAACGCGTCTCGCGCTGGGATCCAACGCAACAATATCGGATTTCGTGCCCACAACGTGGATCACGAGCGGCTCGTCGCCCTCGCTGACATTCTGCCTCAACTCGCGCAGCCAGCCCGCCATCTCAGTGAAAGTGTTCTCGTCGGTGATATCATAGCAGAGGAGACAGGCGTGCGCGCCACGGTAATAAAGACGAGATATTGAGCGAAAGCGTTCCTGGCCAGCTGTATCCCAGATTTGAAGACGGACGGTGGTGTCGGAGGTGGAATCGAGAACGCGTTTCGTGATGAACGACGCGCCGACGGTAGATGTTGTCGTAGCGGGCGTGAAAGCGTTGCGAACGTATCGATGGACGAGGGAGGTTTTGCCGACTCCTGGTAGTTTGTTTGTTAGTCCAGGTTCAGACGTACGTGGGGGCGGGGGGGGAGGAGAGGGTTCACCCTGCGCGCCGAGAACGACGATCTTGGCCTCGAGGGAGGAGCTCATGGCGCGGGGTTGAGCTGGGCGGGGGATGTGGGGAGCTTGGGCATGATCGAGGGTGTGAGAGCAGGAATAAAGGTTATTATATTAAGGGGAGCTGGTGATTTTCAAAGGGAAAAACAAAAACAAGGAACCAAGCGGGATCAGCCGATCGGTGATTGTCGTCAGCTGGTCCCTTGCGATCCAGGGTTCCCGCAAGGCTGCGAGTCGGTCTATTTAAGCCTCACGTTCAAGGTACAACCCCTGCATATTATAGTTTAGACCTGGACTTAGACTTATGAAATAACGAGATTTACGTTTGTAAAAAATATATGAAAATCCGAGTTCTATATCGGTACAAAGCCCATAATATGAATCATGACAATCCACATGCCAGACCGCAACATTAGAACATGAAATCATGAAGCACCGCACTTTTGAAGCAATGGGTATAATGTGGAGAGAGTAAGAAAAATAAGAAAGGCATCAACAGGGAGCACAATCTGCCGCCCTGAAACCAAAAACCGAAGCGAGCAACGACTGGGGCGTCAAGGCAGCGCGCAGCGCTGTCTCGTCCGGCATGAGACATTGACAGGCATTAACATAAGGAAAGAAGGAAATCAAACTCCAACAGTTCTATTCCTGGTTGGAGCTGGAGAAGGTCTGCGTGTTGTAGTTCTCGTCGCGCTGCTCGTCAGACGAGGAAGGGGAAGGGGTGCCCTTCTCGATGTCGCCGGGACCGGCTGCCTGGAAGCCGTATTGGATGGCATACTGCTCAATCTCATCGTCGGTGAGGCTGGGCAGCTCGCGGGAGGCCTTTACGTAGCTCATGTTTTCGACATAGCCCTTGGCGAAGATAAGATCGATCTCCTCGAGCGAGCGACCGGCGGTCTCGGGGTAGAAGAAGTACATCGGGGGAATGAAAATGGCGTTCATCACGGCGAAGAAGAGATAGGTTCCCCAACCGATGTGGGCGACCATGACGGGTGTGATCATAACAACGGTGAAGTTGAACAACCAGTTGGAGCAGGTCGAGACAGCGTTGGCCTTGGCACGAGTACGGATAGGCGACATCTCGGCGGGGTACAACCAGGGCAGAGGCAAGATGGAAGCACCGAAGAAGGCCATGTACAGGAACAGACCGAACACGGCACCTTTGGCGGGCTCGGGAGAGTTGGGGATCAGGCAGCCGAAGACGATGATCATAGACACCATCTGGCCGGTCATACCGCCCAGGAACAGCTTGCGGCGACCAATCTTCTCGATGAAGAACCAGGAGAATGTGGCGAAGATAGCGTAGACGATCATGTTGACACCGCCGATAATCATTGCCATAAACCGGGTTTGACCCAGGGACTGCTCGAGCAGGACGGGCAGGTAGTAGATGACAGCGTTGCAACCAGACAGCTGCTGGGCAATCTGGGACGAAGAGCCGATAAGCATACGGCGCAAGTGCTGAGTCTTGCCGCCAGTGAGCAGATCTGAGTAGCCAGCACCCTCAGCAACGCCAGCACTGGTGAGAAGTTAGCAAAAGAACACACACTGAAGTTTAGGAAGAAAAACGTACGCCTCAATGGACTCGATAACGAGCTGCTTCTGCATCTGGGTCTCGTGGGTGTCGATCTCCGTACCAGCAAGGGCTGCCAGAACGTACTCACCCTCGTGGATCTTGCCCTTGGAGATCAGGTAACGGGGAGAGTCGGGCAAGAACCACATGCCGACAATGATCATGAGACCGAACACGATCTGGAAAGCGATAGGGAAACGCCACACGAGGGCATCAGGGCCGTACGAGGCACCAAAGTCGATCCAGTAGGCGATCGCAGTACCGATTGCAATGATACCACCCTCGATACAGATGAGGAGACCACGGTTGCTGGTGCGGGCGCACTCGGCCTGATAGGTAGGAATAGTAGAAGTATTCATGCCGTTGCCGACACCAGTAACAACACGACCGACGATGAACTGGGCGAGGGGGACGTGACCGATGAAAGCAGTCACCTGGATAAGGACACCGACGATCATGATACTGGCGCCGGTAATAATCATCCACCGACGGCCCATACGGTCACCCATGAACAGAGCCCAGATAGCACCGAACAAACATCCCAATTCGTAGACGGCCGTTACCGTAGCCTGCATTGTGTCGTCGTTCTTGGTGGCCGTGAAGATGTCGTTGAAGGCGGAGGCAGAGATAATACCCGACATGACACCCTGATCGTAACCGAACAACAGGAAGCCCATCGTGGCGATGGTCGACACTGTCAGCGACAGCGGCCTGCCGCTCATCCCGGCATAAGTGGGCGCCATGGTGTGTAGTTGTATATGACTTGTCCTTATAAACCCTTGAATATAATTCCAGTGAGAACAAGAATCTACCCCAGGTGGCACGTGGGAATAGAAAAGAAAGGGGTATGAAATAAAGTAAGTGGAGGAAGACAAGGACACGCGGAGAAGTAAAAGAAAGGGAGTGAACCCCGGGGGGAAGGGGACGGAGAGATATTTGAATGCTTCACACCGACGAACGTGGCAAGGAGATGCGTCGTGGGTCTCTCCAACACCCCATACCCGTGTCTCGCACTCAGAACTAAAGGGCACGGCAGGGCGATTGGGCGTCAAGCCGAAGAGGAAAGCCGATTCCTGGCTCCGATCCACCATGATCCGCCGGCTGTGGAGCCAAGCCACCGGATGCATCAATTATCTTCGATTAAGCATTTTTCACGGGCCCACTCACCCCGGCAGTAGAGTGCGTCCCTGATGACATCAGGGAATCTCATCATAACTTGGAAAAGTTTTAAAGAGTCGGATGATCTCTGTGAGGCGTGATTGGGAAAAGATGAGCCCTGGTTGACCTACTCCATGAGGAAGGCTCGCGGGTTGCGTATGCTCCCCATCTCGCTCTGGCCAAGCATATTGTGTTTTATATTTATCCGGCAGCGAAGATTAATCCGGCTATGTAGAAAATCCATTCAAGGGCTGGAGCCGAGATGGAAAAATGTAAAAAAAATAATGGACTTGAGAAAGGGCCGGTATTTACTCGGGCGGCAAGGAGCCGCATTATGCGGAACAGGCCCTACCCCAATTAGTCCTTGCCGAACCCAGAGAGGAAGGCGAACCGCCAAAACAAAGAAGTCTCCAACGGTTCGGTAATCGCCACAATGCCTTGGGGTATCGATTCGCGAGGTACCGCCACCGTCATCTTCAAAGCGCCGCACTTTTCACCAACACGCCAAGGCGGAGAGATGCAACGGCCCCATCGGTCGGATAGAGAAAGGCCGAAACACCACTCGGCCGGACTGCACTCGGGAAGCCGTCACCGTATCCCGAATGGGGCAGACGGCCGTGAAAAGTGGGCGATGATGCAAGAATGCGCCGTGCGCAACCTAGCGGCATCCAAGGCGGATCAGTGGATCTCGCGACCCACATCGGTGGAGCGACTCGATCACCATCCCCTGCTGCGTATAGAATGTGCGAAGCACAGAACTATCGAGGCTCGAGGAGGCATCCTTGCTCAGACCACGAACAGCCGACCCCGTGCTGGATTGGCTCCGCGTTACCTTCTTTTTCTCCACGTTTGAAGGGGCTTGGGGAAGCGGAGAATAAGGCCAATCCCGTACTTGTCATCTCCTGTGATGGATTCTGCACGGGTCCGAATGCATTAACATGCCCGAAGCCGAGCCGCTACTTCAATTTGTTTTGTCATGCCATACTTTTTTATCCTTTTTTTTCACTTTATTTTGTTTTATTATTTGCTTTGTTTTATTATTTTATTTTTATTTTCCCCAAAAGTCTCTTTGCTTTTGACTTTCCATCTCTTTTTCTTTTTCCATTGGTCTTCAGCTGACGAATAACTGTCAGGCACCAAGTTTACCGACCCACCGGGTCCCCTGGTCTCACGCAGCAAAATCTCTTCGTCGGAAAAAGCGACACCAGGCTCCGCAATGATGCTTTGGATGTTTTCTCGAAGCGAGAATGACGGGGTGGCAGATTGATGGCGCGAAATTAAACTTGGTTCGCTTCGATTGATGTAGAAGAAATAAGGAATTGTAGGGACGGGGATAGGAACATCTGTTACCGCAAGAACCAGATGCGAGAAGTGTCGGGGGCAGTCCGTTGTGCGACTCCCATTACAATTGATCCAGGGGCGGACAGTGCGGGAGACATTCAGGCTAAGGTAGCTGCATGATGTATGATGCTTGATGCGTGCGTGCTGATCTCTCTCGACTTATCTTCCCCTCAGATAACGGCTGATCTGGACATCTACAGAGATCTCGGTGACATGGCCAAGAAGTGCCATTCCTGTATGTATGACATCGAGATGCATGGTCCCCCACGCCATGCTATCCCCGCCAAACGTCATGGCCCGACGTCGTAGAAAACGCGGTCGAGGCATAATTCTCCAAACCTCGCCATTTGCAGGGTGGTGCATTCATAGGGTACCGGCCATCGGCTTACCAGCACCAATTACCATAAATGTTATACGCCATCCCTAAGGGTTGGAGACGAACTCCGAAACTCAAAGCCAAAAAGCCAAAAAGCTAAACAATGTGGCAAGAAACAAGGTCGCGCCGGGGATTGACGGGGGAACGCCACAGCCGTCGTGGGCGCATTCCTTCCAGAGCCATTGAGGAAACTCGCACGAGCCCCTTCGCGTGGCCGCGGCCGTTGGAGGCCACGGACCAGGGAGGGAGACGATGATCTAAGCGTGGCGGGAGGACAATCGGAAAATTGGAAAATTCGATCCTATGTCAGTGTTGCACTGGAACTGAATGGCGATGTCTGCTGCGATGCCGAGAAGTAACAGTAAGCTTCGGAAGGGTTTTACGGTAGCCTTTTAGTTTGCGAAAACCTGGCCGAGGACGATCCCAGTCGATTCCAGGAAGCTTAACTATGTGATCGACAGCGCCGAGACGCTTGATCATGCTTTTGCTCGTGAACCACAGTTCAATATCTCCCCGGTTTCGAGACATATGTCCATGGTACAAATGAAAGTTCCATGTGTGCCTTCGCAAATGCGATTTGATCCAGACAGCACTACTGCCCTTGTATTTGGGGTTACACGTTTGCGGCCTCGACGATGTAATGGTTGCACGTGATCTTTCATCATCGACACCTGAAATCCAGGGCATGAAGGCATAACTCGCCACGCCTTCCCGAAACTCGCGCTGCCTGCCTCGTTGAGGTCTCGGGCATTCCAGATATGCAGGCAGCATAACTCCAGCATTACGCAGAATGGGTCTGCGCTACCATTAATACATGCAATCTGCAGAGGGCAACCGCATTCGAAAATTCCAGATGTTCCAGATGTGTTCGGAGCTGCACCGGTACGTGTAATCGCAGGATTGCGAGTGGTCAGCGACCAGCCGAGGCGGAACGTTGACCGACGAGTGTACAGTAGCGCGAGCACCATGAACTGCCACTATGCCTGGCAGATTATACACAAACACCGTTCACTAGCAATACAATCAATAATGACTACGGTTAAAATGATACCCCTCGGAATAAACACTGACACTAATCGCTGTACAATGACTGGCCGCCCGCCCGAGTCGGCCGAGAAGCTCCCCGCAACCTTCTCCCCGGACCCCATTAACCCGAGGTCTTTTTTCTTGCTTAACTTCTTGACTGGCCTCCCTTCTCTTTCCTTCTAATTCTCTCATGCAATAACGCATCTCTACAATATCTCTTCACAATGACATCCGGCAAGCTAACCGGCGCCGCCGTCGCCGAGCACAACTCCAAGGACTCGTGCTGGGTGATCGTGCACGGCAAGGCCTACGACGTGACCGAGTTCCTCCCTGGTAGGTCTCCTGCACCATCATATCCTGCACTGTCTCTAACTCTCCCTAGAACACCCCGGTGGCTCAAAAATCATCCTCAAGTATGCCGGCAAAGATGCGACCGAGGAATTCGACCCCATCCACCCTCCCGACACCCTTGACAAGTACCTCGATCGGTCCAAGCACCTCGGCGAGGTCGACATGGCCACCGTCGAGCAGGAAGAAAAGGCTGTCGATCCCGAGGAGACCAACCGCCTGGAGCGCATCAAGCGTATGCCCCCGCTGGCCGCCTGCTACAACCTGATGGACTTTGAGGCGGTCGCTCGGCAGGTCATGAAGAAGACAGCCTGGGCCTACTACTCCAGCGGAGCCGACGACGAGCTCGTGAGTTCTTTCCTCCACTGGATGGACTACATAATACTGACAAGCCCAGACAATGCGCGAAAACCACGCCGCCTTCCACAAGATCTGGTTCCGACCCCGCGTCCTCGTCGACGTCGAGCACGTCGACCTCACCACCACAATGCTGGGCACGAAATGTTCAATTCCCTTCTACGTGACCGCCACAGCCCTCGGCAAACTAGGTCACCCCGAAGGCGAAGTCGTGCTCACCAAAGCCGCCAAGGAACACAACGTAATCCAAATGATCCCCACCCTAGCCTCCTGCTCCTTCGACGAAATCGTCGACGCCAAACAGGGCGACCAGGTCCAATGGCTGCAGCTCTACGTGAACAAAGACCGCGAAATCACGCGAAAGATCATTGAGCACGCCGAAAAGCGCGGCTGCAAGGGTCTCTTCATCACCGTCGACGCACCCCAACTCGGCCGCCGCGAAAAAGATATGCGCTCCAAGTTCTCCGACGCCGGATCTGACGTCCAGTCCGGCGACGGTAGCGTCGATCGGTCCCAGGGCGCTGCCCGCGCAATTTCTTCATTCATCGACCCGGGACTCTCGTGGAAAGATATCCCCTGGTTCCTCTCCATCACCAAAATGCCAATCATCCTAAAGGGCGTCCAATGCGTCGAAGACGTCCTCCGCGCCGTGGAAGCCGGCGTCCACGGCGTAGTCCTCTCCAACCACGGCGGCCGGCAACTCGAAACCGCGCGCTCCGGAATCGAAGTCCTCGCTGAAGTGATGCCCGCGCTGCGTGAGCGGGGCTGGGACAAGCGCATCGAAGTCTTCGTTGACGGCGGTGTGCGTCGCGCAACTGATATTATCAAGGCGCTTTGCTTGGGTGCCAAGGGTGTTGGTATTGGGCGGCCGTTCCTGTTCGCTATGAGCTCTTATGGGCTTGATGGTGTGAATCGGGCGATGCAGTTGCTCAAGGACGAGATGGAGATGAACATGCGATTGATTGGGGCTCAGAGGGTTGAAGATTTGAATCCTAGTTTGCTGGATATTAAGGCGCTGCTTGGTGGGCATTCGGGTGTGATTCCGTCGGATACGCTGGGTCTTGGGGCTTATGATCCTCTTGAGGCACCGAGGTTCAATGAGAAGCCGAAGTTGTAAATTTTGCATATTGTCAGATACGTTGGACGCATATATATACCCGTCGTCTATACTGGACATTGGTGTCATGAATAAATGGGACATCGTCGAGGATGGAGGAATGGAGAAATTCTCTCCTACTCGTTTGTCTATTTCATCTTTTTCTGTCGTTTTTCTTTTTTTTGAAGATAGTTACAAACCTTGCAAATGAGCTCGGTAGGAAAAAGCGCAATGGACATGTTCACGTGCTTCAAAGGAAAATTAAAATAGAATTTGGAAGAGCAGCCTCCCAGTATTATGCAGGAAGACGGAAATCCGCGCGGTGTTTGAGTTCTTGTCAGAGGAGCGGAGGCAATGTTCCAACGTTTGAAGATGGATGGGGGCTCCAAAATGGAATCCATCCGCATTGGTCTCGTATTGCCAGTTTGGGTAAGTCTGCGCGGGGCCTACGGAGTTAGCCCACCAAAGTCCGCCTGCACATCTGATCTTTTAAGAAACCATGACGGTTTCAGAAGGGCGATACGAACCTTGATCAGAACTGCAACTCCACATCCGCCATGTTCTCCATCCTATCCCCGCCCTCTCCGGCTCCTCTCCCGACTCCGAGGACTCCATCATTGGGTGACTTGACCAACACGTTTATTCTGTCATCAGGACCGAGCTCGAAGTTCAAGCTTTGTCGAGTACCGAATAGCCTGAGCGATGACCCCTCACGGCTGCGCAGGGCGCACCAAAAGTCCCCCAGGGGCTGCCAGAGCTGCAAGAGGCGAAGAGTCAAGGTATATATCCATTACGCACGCGGCTGGCTTGTTCGCGAACTGACACCGGGAGCTAACGAAAGGCGCGCTTTGTAGTGTGACGAGAAAGTCCCATGTGGCAACTGCTGGCGGCGGAGGGAGCATTGCCATGTCGGACAGCAGCAATGCAAGCGCAAGGCGCCACTGACGCCTATGCCAACTCCAGCCCTACTACCCAGCCGCAAGCCAGCTGATGCGTCCGTCAATCTGGATCACCTGAGGCTCTTCCATCACTTCAAGACAAGCACACAACAGACGCTCCTGTTCGAGCCGGGCATCTGGGACGCCGCCCTTCGGCTCAGCCTCCACTTCGACTTCCTCATGAACGCCATCCTCTGCGTCGCGGCACGGCACCTCGACTGTCTGCGGTCGACGCAGGCGACGTTGCCGTCGTATTCCACGACGGCGGCCCGACACCTCGGTTCCGCGTTGACGGGGTTCCGGCGACAAGTCGCGGGCAGCTTCACGTCGACGCACATCGACGTCTTCGTTGCTACTTCGCTGCTCCTCCAGTATGATGTGTGGAGCAATGTGGATTTCCTCCCTGCCGCCCAACGAGGGGACCGTGACACGGGGTTTGGTCACTCAGCTGATTGCTTCTTCAGCTTCAGCTCGAGCCTGAAACATGTGTTCCTCAAGAGCGTGCCGCTCATCGCGGGCCAGCCATCATCATTCATGCCGGAGGTCCAGTGCAACTTCCCTGAGCGCGTCATTGCGGCTTCGAAACTTCACGCAGACGATATGGAGACATATCAAGAGTTCTTCTCTTACGATCGACCGATTGACGCGGAAATGCTCGCATCACCTCCGCAGCCTAGTCGGGGCGGGGGTGTCATCGAGGAAGAGCCATGGCAACATCACAATTTCGAAGTCGATGATGCGAATCCCATCAATTCGGGGTACGTGCCGGCCGTGGCTCGACTCTGTCTGATAGCATCTTTCATCGGAAACACAACGAGGCTTCGGCCCCAGGAAGCCAAGTGCCTGGCCCGGTACGTCCTCTCGTTTCCCATAATGTGCCGCGGCGCCTTCGCCGCGATGGTGCACCAGGATGACCCGCACGCCCTGTTGGTACTCTACCATTTCTACCGCGCCGTGAAAATGCTACTTCCGGAGAAAGAGTATTGGTGGGCACATAAGAGGGCGACGATGCGGGAGAGCGAACTGAGAGAATGGTTGGACGGGGTGGTTGCCGAACAGACATGAGCGCTAAATATAGATTCCAAAGAATTTGTGTATTGTGTCTGAATAACACATTTTCAATCAAATGCATACATAAAAGGTTTCAGGATTAATAAATATGCATTGATGTGGTCCTCGCGTGTTGATAATGCCCTGCGGCGATAGATGGAGACTTTGTGTACGCTCATAGTATATACCGCAAACATACCCGTGAAATTGACAAATGTTCATCCGTCCGTAATGTAGCTCGAAACCTAAAACCCGACTTGTAACATCGAGAACCAAGATCCATTTGCCGAGACGGCTCGAAGTGATCCTGGGCTTCAGGTGTTCCATTCTTGGTCTCGTATCGCCCAACTCGGGCTAGCGTCGATGAAGTACACCGGACCTAGTTCACGGCGTAACTCCGTGCGACTTTCCTGGCAAGGAGGCAGGCTTTCCGATGAGACGGCTGTTTCCGTCTATGATCTGCCAAAAGGAAACGTATAAAATGGCATTGCCTTTTCTTTGAATTCTTCTCATCTGGTATCGGATGCACAGCAGCTTGCCAACCACCTACCACCACCATGATTCCCCTTCCGGAAGTCACCGCATCCAACAAGCGCATCGCTGTCAGCCTTCCATCCGGCCTTGTCGCTGTCTTCGTCGGCGGCACCAGCGGCATCGGGGAGTACACCTTCCTCAAACTCGCCACTTACGCCGTCAAGCCCCGCGCCTACATCGTCGGCCGTTCGCGTGAGGATGCGGACCGCATCATTGGCGAAGGCAAGCGAATGAATTCGGGCGGTCGCTTTGAGTTCATCCAGGCGGACGTGAGCATCTTGAAGAATGTTGACGACGTGTGTCGCGTGTTGAAGGAGAAGGAGGAAGCGATTAACATTTTGTTCATGAGCACGGGGAGCATGGCCTTCAAAAAGAGTACGGCCGTCCGCTTAGAAATTTCCACTCCATGTCTGTGCTGATTGCTTTCCTGTAGAGACGGCCGATGGTTTGAACCTCCCATTCTGCTTGTACCAGCACAGCCGCACGCGCTTCGTCCTCGGCCTCCTGCCCCTCCTCCAGCGGGCAACATCTCTTCGCAGGGTCGTCAGCGTCGGTGCCGCCACGCTGGAGGGCGTCATAGATCTTGCCAACATCACCGGCGAGGGCTTTCCCTTGAATCAGTGGCGCGACCAGGGCGCTGCCATCCACACTCTACTTTTAGAGCATGTCGCGCGGGAGGCCCCCGATGTGGGCTTTGTGCACGACGTGCCTGGCGTCGTCAAGAGCAAGATCACGCGCGACGCTGAGGGCTTCGGGATGAGGCTGCTGATTGCGGTGACGGGCGTTCTGGGCCCGCTCATCCGGACCCCCGTCGAAGAGACCGGAGAGCGGCACCTGTTCCTGGCTACCAGCGCGCTGTTCCCGCCCGCAAAAGATGCTGCTCATGCCGGGCTTTCGTTTGATGGGCGGCTGGATGCCGCGAGGGGAACGGATGGTAAGCTCGGAAGCGGGGTATACTCGGTGGACAACAAAGGTGAGAGCGCATCGACGAGAGTCGAGGAAATTCTCGCAACACATAGGAAGGATGGCACCGCGGACAAAGTCTGGGAGATTGTGTCTGGCGACTTTAAGAAGATCTTGGGGAGTGTTTGAGTGAGACGGACCCGATCCTTGGGATAAGAGGTTGGACCAAAACAAGGCCTGCGCTCGTAATGGCCCGGGCCGGAAGAATCCAAATGATGGTTGATCTAGTAGTGATAGTATTCAAAAACGTTTTGTCTTAACAGCATCAGGTGCCTGAGCTCGATGACGCCGCTGGAGTCGCATGGCCCGCTCCATATTGGAACAAGCCGTAGTTCGTCGTCTTATCCCCAATGACGCTAAAGTATGGCGCGTACAGCGTCTCGCGCAACATGTCGGCCGGTTTTCCGCCCATGGTGATCACCATGCCCTTTTGGCAGACATGGTGATTGTCGAGTGTAAAGGAGTGCGAATGGCCGACCAGGTTTCCACGGTAAACGACCGCCTGCCCAAAATCTTCACATCGGTCCTTGAGAGACAGCTAAAATGCGCGGACGCTGCGGGAGGTGAAGTTTGCGAAACCGATCCATACAATTCTTTGTGTCACAGCCTAGGCCTTATTCGGAAATTAGGCCACACTGTGTTAAAGAATGTAACGACCTTGGTAAGAGATATAATCTCATCAGAAGAAAGATAAGATTTAGGCAGCTTTGCTTCGATGTAGACTCTGCGATGCAACATGGTGATTCGAGGTTCCATTGACGATGTCTCTGTGGTGGGGTTCGGAGAAGCTCGATAACCGAGCAGATCTCCGCGCAATCTCCGACAGCTCCGAGGTTACCTCAGTATCTCCGCGCCCATTCCCATCTCCGCGTTCTTGATTCAATTTTATCTGATCTTTGCTTGAGACTAGCTGCCTAATGCCTTCTCCGGTGAGACAAGGATATCCATCCTCGCCACAAATACCGTCAAAGCGCAAGAGGAAACAATTCTCTTGCTACGAATGTCGGCGCCGCAAGTTGAGATGCGATCGAATTCAACCTTGCTGCAGTCGGTGTAGGAGCCAGGCAGTCACTTGCACATACAACGATCCGCCGGACCCGTCGCCATCCCAAGTCGAAAGTACTGGCCACCCCGACCCGGAATGGAGCCTTGCCCGAACGTCGGCTGCATCCCACCCGAACGCCACGGCGCCTTCTAGCAGACATGTCAAGTCCGCGCCAATCAGAGATCCTACTCTACAGGCTAGTCAGAACCAAGGCTCCTGGGGACTCCTTAGTGACCAGGCAGCGACACAGATGTTCTCTCACGAGAGGCCAGCCATCAGGTCCGATACACTAGCGCTTTTGGAGCCTGAACAGCCTCAGAAAAAAGAAAATGTGATCTTCCGAGGTAAAAATTTCAAGACCCAATACTATGGAGGGAGCAATCCCGCAACCTTGATCGGTGATGTAAGTGCCACGATATCCACCGCTTCAATCGACTTTTCTTTTAACTGTTTCCAGTTCCCCGAGCTCCGTTCATTCATGCGAGATGGTATCAAGCAATATCCATCTCTCCCACGGGTTCAACGCGAACTCAAATCACTGCAAATGAAGTGGAAAGTGGAAAAAGCCTCTGCATTTGTATCCGTCAATATGGAATTCCTCCACGTCTTCCCAAAGCAAGAGATCGCAGACCAATTGATCCATATCTACTTCGATATAGTGGAGACCACATACCGGATTGTGCATATCCCCAGCTTCTGGGAGGAATACAAAAGCTTTCGGGAGGACAATTACTCAGCAAGACCGGCGTTCTTAGTTCTCATGTTGTTGATGATGTCCACTGCAAGTTGTCTCTCAGAAGAGAACGTCACATACGTTGGCGACAGTGCCGTGGCGCGCGAACGTGCGGCAATATGGATTGAAATCTCCGAACGGTGGCTTAGGATTCAAAGCCAAAAGAGAATCTATCTTACCATATGGCAAATTCAATGTCTGTTGGTTCTTTCGAAACAGGTCAACGTGATAAAGAAGAAACGCATATGGACGGAGGCCGGCATACTCCACAGACAGGCCATGGCTGCGGGATTCCACCGAGATCCAGCGTTGTTCGGAGAGAAAGAATTGGCTTTCGATCAGGAAATGAGACGCCGGCTGTGGGCGACCATTACTGAGTTGGAACTCCAGGCTTCCATTGACCGGGGAATGCCCTCTGCTTCTGCCAGCATATTCTCCGACTGTGCATCCGTTCTCAACATCGACGACGCGGATCTTACAGATGAAGGCGATAATGAGTCTGGAGCAAAGGACTGGAATGAGTTCTCAACAAGTTCATTCCTTCATGTTTCGAGATCCAGTTTTGCCCTCAGAGTCACCTTGAACTCTGTTGTGAACGATCTCGCCTCCCCTTTACAATGGGAACAGATCGTAAGTCATGAGGAAATGGTGTCGAACGAACTTCAGAAGCTTCCTACGTGGATACAATCAGGAACACATAATTACGCGGAAGTCTTGCCTGCAGCGCTTGCTCAGATCCAGCTGCAGCAATTTTTGATCCTATTACATACGCCATTCGCGAAGAAGAGAAACTCCGACTCTCGATGTTCCGTATCGCGCATGATTTGCTTCCAAGCGGCGACCAAAATCTTGGAGCAAGTCCAACAACTATCTCGGCACAATTACTTGTTCGTTATTCTCTTTCGACATGAGTATTTCCGAGCAGCCCTGGTGGTGTGTCATAATGCATTTGTCTCTTATAATGTACCAGGTATGTCCGGGTCTCCAATCTACCTCGTCTATTCTAACGAAATTCAAGGCGATCTCTTCGGCGCAAACATCACATCGTTCATCCGCTACCTTGAGGATGCTCTGACCCTTTTTGAGGACAGAATCACTCGACTCGGCACAGATTTCACGCGGCACTGGTACATTTCCGCAGCCCGTTCCTTGCTACGCTCAGTAGTCGACCCATCCGATGCAACGACACAGGAGCAGCAGGCGATTGAGCATGTCGCAAGGCAGTACTATCGGGTTCGCGCATCACAAGAAGACATGCACTCTGCAAAGGAAAAGGTATGTTTAATTTCTTCTCTGTGATCTAGGTTTTATCAAAGTCGACAGCTAACAGTAAGGGAAGCTCAATTTGACAGAATCCCCGGCTCAGAATTCAAGTAATATGGCAACCATTCCTGATCTCCCATTTCATAATGGAACAATGGCGCCGGTAAGTTTGTACTACATTTTCTGTAACCAAATGGATTTAGAAATGCTGATATAGAGTAGATTGACTTCCCTTTGGAGGCTTTGGAAGAAGAGTTCTTCTTTGGGGATCCGGCGGCATGGACATTTGATAATTTTGAAGTGATGTAAATGAACACTATGGACATACTATAACTAAAAGTGGACGTGCAAGTTGCACGTGAATAGTTTCTAGCTGGAGGCCCTAAACACGCTGTTGTTGGTAATTCGGCGATAATGGTCCTGTCGTACGATGCGGAAGAGCCGACTCGGAGAAGTGCGTGCCGAGGTGGCAGCCTTAAAATTACCCGTCCAGTAAAATCAGATAAACTGAGAATCAGATAAGATCATCGCCGAGATGTGACCAAGTTGCAGGGTAGTGGGGTTGGCAGCGTAATCTGATCCGCGCATGATTGTATGTCCCAATCGGAGCTCATCTGGAGATCCGAGCCGTAAAGCCGAGCTGGTGCCTGGAGCTCCGTCGTGCGGAGAAGCTGTTCCAACGTCTGCACTATAAAAGGTCCGCTCGCAACCTGGAAAATGAATTAAGCTTCACAACTCTCAACCATCAATCTCGCTATTTCAAAGAAACTTGCCTTCCACAGTCAATCCACGCCAGTCAACCCTCAAAATGCCTCTCGAGCACATCGACCAATGTAAAGCCGTTGACGCTTACGTCAAACAGCACCTCATCCCAGCCGACAAAGGCCTCGAGAACGCCCATACCAATAGTACCAAAAATGGCCTTCCTATGATCGCCGTCTCCCCGATCCAAGGCAAATTCGTCTCGATGCTCACAACCATCGGGTCAGCCCGCAACGTCCTGGAGATCGGCACGCTGGGAGGCTACTCCAGCATCTGGTTCGCGCAAGCGATGAAAGGGCGCGGAAAGGTGACCAGTATCGAAGTCGACCCGCACCACCGCGATGTCGCTATCGACAATCTGCGGACTGCTGGCGTGCAAGTCCCTGAAGAAGTCGACGTCCTCCTTGGAGCCGGTCTGGACGTTCTGCCCAAGCTGGCGGCGGAGATCGAGAAAGGGGAGCGAGAGCCGTTTGACTTCGTATTTATCGATGCGGACTGGGAGAACCATTGGAACTACTTTGATTTTGGAGTCAAGTTGTCGAAAGGAAAGGGTGCCTTGGTTTATGTTGATAATACGGTGCAGAACATGTTGGAGAGTGGTATTGTTGGGACTAATGAGCGAGAGAAGGATGCTGTTGACCTTGTGGCTAAAGTTGGACGAGATGATCGTGTGGATGCTGTTGTTATGCAGACAGTGGGCGCAAAGAGTCATGATGGTTTCCTGCTGGCGGTTGTGAAATAGAAAGTTTTGTACTTGGCCAGTTCGAATGGCAGATGTACAAACCAAGTCTTTCAGAATCAGCTTGCAATTCTGTCTTAGTCAACCGTCTGAACTGGATAATGTCTGGCAGTGAAGGCCAGGTACGTATACTGATGATCCGGTGGGTGTCTCATATAATCAGACAACTACAAATTGCGAGAATAAGGGATATAGCAATGCAGAGGTCTTTTCACTGCCTATTGGTCGATATATTAGGTACCCCGGCAGTATGCTTTGGACTTTTTATAGAAGGTTTTCCCTTTCCCTCTTACCGCAATAATCCCGCCTCTTTCATACGCAATACTGTACTCTTCCTATTCATTTCTCGACCCCACCACGTATATATATGTATTATGTTATGTCTGTCCTAAATAGGATGACTCCTCTTCAAGACCGACCACCCTCTCGACAAAAGGACCTTATTTTGATGATCCCTCGAGTAAGGCCAATAGTGAATAGGAGCAGATCACACAAGACCCAATCGAGCGACGAGCATTTAAAATAGTGCATTGAGGATAACCTCATTGAGCAAAAATAGGCGATCCGATGTCTAGATGCAGCTCAAATGTGACACGGCAACAGTGTGAACCCATGGCGTTCTCATCGACTGAATCCAGATCGGATCAGCTTGTCTATGTGGGGCTTGTCCATGCAGCTAATGTCAATAGTTTGAGACCATTGGTGGATTGAGGGCTTGCGACATGGGAGTCCGATAACGCTGGAGACACTGGACAGAGATTTCGAAGTGCTGATCCCCGAGCATGGCCGATAGGGTGAATAATCAAGTTCGAAGGCCAATTACACTTGTATTCTGCGTAGACTGGAAAGGGTATTGCGGGTACTACTCTCAGTTGGGTGTAGCATAGCTCCTCGGTAAACTCTAGTGGGAAGCTAAAACTTGGCTTCTGAACTCTAATCTACCCGAGATTCGACCGATTAAAGGATGAGCATACTCGATCATTATGCTTTGGACAATTCGATTGTAAGCGAATTCTACGTACTGATACGGACATAACCAAGCAGGCTTGATTCGCGTCTGCCGAAAGATGGTTTTTAGAGCACGTGTTAAGAATTGTATTACCAAGGGTCTCACCTATATCGCCATGGCATGCTAATACGTGCTACTGCTATGTAAGTCTTAATTAAACTTTACGTGAATATCAGACGTGTGGCCAACACAACCTTGTTCACCGCCATTTGACTTTCTGATGGAGAATGAATGAGAGGGCGCAGCTGAAAATTACGTATTAGCTGAACTTCCATTCACCCCACTAGAGCGCCTTAAAATCGACCGATTACCGCTTGAAAGTAGCTATCATTCTCACTTCACAGAAAAAGTACTCCAAGCTTAACCCCTAGCTACGCTATCATCATGACCTCCGAAACCCCCTATTTGTTCAACATCCGGACTTGCGATTCAGCAGGGAAATCGAGGCTCACGAATCGCATTACGGCCAAAGCAAAGATTCCCGATGATGCTACTCTAGCGACCATTCGCAAAATTCTAGCCGATAAGAAAAAGCTCGACTCGGGAAAGTAAGAATCCCATCTCTCGAATAACGATATAGCTATCCACGATATAGCTATCCCTTACCAAACCACATCATAGAGCAAGACTTGCCTTCTGTACCCAAGATGGGGCCCGCATGGGAGACGACACGGAGTAGAACATTTACAAAGAGCTAACTGCCGAGAGCCCCTCCAAGGCACGCTTATACTATACTCAAGGAGTTGCGGACAATCGTTAACATGTTCCCTAGGAGCCTGAAACAAAGGCCACAAGCAGTATCACTATACATGATATTTATCTTGAGGTGCCTGAGGAGCAAGGCCTCAGTAAGCAGGCAGAGGAACTACTCAACAGCACTCTGGACATGGACCTTGTGGTTCGTAAACAAGCTCTTCCTTGTCTCGTCTTGGAACCATTGAATTGACAACAAATAGAAAAATAAGCCTGAACTGATTAAGTCGACTCTCAAAGAGCTTGCCAGCACCTACAACCATCAGAACTTCAAAGCTTCTTCTAAGGGCGAAGTTGTGTGAGTGAAATATTCTAAGCCTTTGGGCATAATATTAATTATAACTTTACCAGCACTGCGGGGTCTATGTCAGAGAAAGAATGGGATGATGTGCTCCGAAACACGCATTTTCTAAATGGCCACAGACTCGTATTCGCGGAAAAGATCCACGGAACCAAGGCCTTCCAAAGAATTGATCGAGCTCCATATACCGGTATTTGAAATGCTGAAAAGGATGTGTTTATTATAACTGACACTCGTTTCAAGCATTTGCTATCAACCCCAGAACAATCGATGAGGTTGCAGACAAATCAATCACTCTGAAGGTACGAATTGAACCCTCCGATGGCTTAATGTGCCCCTAAAACTTACACAAAATAGGAGACATACAAAATCCCTCAGTATATCACCGCTGATGATTCATATGTCAGTGTTTTTGAGACAGCTAGCGCATTGTCCAGCAGCGTTGCATCAAGCTCCTTTTCTCAGACCGACATCGAGGCGTCAGCGTAAAGTTACCATTAAGGATTGCTATGTATAGCTCCATCTGCTGACCTTGAAAAGCTCCGGAGGGTTCTTTGGAGCTAGCTTTGCGGCCCGTGTTGGCTTTAGCAAAAGTGAAAGCGAGGCTGTCGATCAGTCATCTTCGAAGTCGGAGAGGACTATGACCATCTCATATAACGTAAGTGTTAACATGCTCCTTAAGGATATATTCTATCAGAATCTGACAGTATGATATAGTTTCCACGGGTGGTTTTGCACCTAGATCAGGGTAACTTACAGCTGACTAGCCGCTGTAAGAGAGCTCTGGATGAGGTCAAAGACGAAGAAAGTTTGATCCGTTTCCACCACAATTTTGGTTTGTAGCTTTCCATATAAGTTCCTGCGGCCTTCTCTAAACTGGAGGTTGTTCCATAACATATATCTAATTCGCGCAATAGGCCACTTTTTCGCAACCAACGTTGAGCTTGGTGGGAAGTTGTATGCCTCCGAGCGTTTCACGTCCTCGGAAGAGGGGGAATCCTCTGAAAAGGCAAACGCAATGAAGGCCAGTGCAGGTGCCTCGTTTTCAGGATGGGGTGTCAATGTCTCCGCAAGTTACAGCAAAGAAAAACAAGAGAGAAGCTCTGAGCAAACTCAAAAAAGTTCGATGCAGAAATCGCTATCCTGGGAAGCCCAGGGTGGCGATACGGTTCTTTGCAATGAGTAAGTGGCCATCAAGCAAGAGAAATTGCAGTTATTGATAATTACTGCTATTACCTAGTCCTCCAAACTGGTGCCCTACGGTCAAGCCCTTCAAAAATTGGAGAGTTGTGAGCGTGAGTCTGAACCCTCTTTAAAATGACATCTATGATCTAACCTGCTAAAAACATCTATAGCAAAAGGATGTGATTCCAATGGGAGACTTTATTGGGACTTTCCCGGATTATAAAGACATCCCAGAGCGATTCAAGAAAATCAAGCTTCAGTCGTTGACACCTGTTGCTTGTAAGTTCCGTCTGAAGGCCATGAAAGACGGTCCACATGTCCGTGACGATGAATATTACGGCGTTCGTAAGGCCGAAAACAGGAAAAGACTCGGTAAGTTGAGCCTTAAATTGACGCGAGTTTACAACCATATCTGATAATCAACCAGAACCATTAGTTGAGCAATACAAGAAAGAACTGCAAAAGAAGTACCAGCCTGCATCTGGCCAAACCGAGTCTGATGCAATGAAGCACTGGGAGGCGCTCGAGAGGCGCGTCAAGTCCGGGGGCTATACCAAAAACTATACGGAGTATGTTGGAATCGACAACCTGAGCGACGGATGCAACTTCGAGGTCGAGGTTTTGGCTCCTGCAAATAGAATCCCAAAGGTGATATACTGTATCCATTCAGACAGTACGGGTGATGCTAATTTTATCCTGAAGCTGCAATTCAACGTGCCATATATCATCTATAATCCCGACTTCGATACCTATCTATCCGCGGATACTAGTGGCACATACAACAACAGATTTTTTGGCTATATGTTCTATGCCAAAAAGAGCCGCGCAAGACAATTCATGTTCAGGAAGAAGGAAGCAAGAGGAACGGATGGCGATATTCCAAATGACGTCGAGGTTGAACTTACACTTTGTGATGATAGTGGAGAACCTATTGCTGTAGTCCACCGCTATAGCGGTGACGGCTCCACATTGATGGTCAGTAAGTATGGGGTTGAGCACATAGATGACTTCAGTGTTCCCAATAACTGTATGGTTCAATATCAGCCTTAGGGGGATTTGGACACGTTTTTGCGATTCTTTCTGTTAATGTTTTGTGTGTGTGTGTGTGTGTGTATTTCATTTACCCTGACTTCTCACGGGAAGTTGAAACTATGAATTAAGGCACAAGGGCGATAGCTCTCCGAACTATCAGAGGGCAGGTGCCGCTATTTGTAGACCTGCTGTAGCTGTAGAGGCAGCTACCTCTACACGTGACCTGGGTTCCAACTACCGAAGCGATATGTAGTCTACCTCATAGATACTGTTGACGTGCGCTGTCGCACGCTTGTATGCCCTGGAACGGTATAATATGGAAAAGCGGAGGAGTGATAAGCACATACCCCAGTTTACACATACTACGCTTTACCCGATTTCTGGGTCCCGCTCAACACACTCTTTCACTCCGTTCTTTCGTTTCAAGGCACACAACGTTGCGACTGCTTTAAGGGGAAAAACACTCGTATATGGTCAATTCGGTGCAAATCATACATTTCGGCCTTTTTCTCTGCGGAGTTCTCACCGGGAATGGCTTGAAATGGCTTGAAATGGCTGGAAATGGCTGGAAATGTGGGGATGCACGGGGTAACCCCACATCTCCTCATCCAGTGTAACCGCGTCGGTGTGTTGATCAACCGACAGGATGAGAAACAAGATTCCATAGCGCTGCAGGCAAAGCTCACTACTCTCAATTTCGGACTGAAGTAGCCCGAGAATGTGTTTCTGAATCTCTGGACGTGCATAATGATGACATCCCCATCCCCATAAACATCAGGGGTTCCTGACCAACTTCCACAATCGCCTGGTCCTACGATCAAAGTCAGAGTATTTGGCAATCCTTCTAATTCACGAAATAGCATTTTGTCCTCCTCCATGCATTTGATCCCCTTTTTGCTACCACCGGTAGTGGCCGCGTCTAGCGTGCCATACCAGGAGTACATACTCGCCCCAACTTCACGAGACTTGGTACCTTCCTTTGTTCATTCGGTCAACGGTTCCATCACGAATGCAGCAGCTTTGACACAAGCCTCAAGCAGCGGTACCACATTTAATGGCGTTTCCTCGGTGACTTACGATTTCGGAAAGGACGTCGCGGGCCTCGTTTCTCTCGATGTTGGCTCGTCTTCCTCCCCCTCTGCCTTTTTTGGTGTCACTTTCACTGAGTCTAGTATTTGGATCAGCAACGAGGCTTGTGATGCTACCGGTAATTCTGGCCTTGACACGCCTCTGTGGTTCAGTGTCGGCGAAGGGGACGGGACATATACTCCCGACAGCAAATACATGCGAGGTGCTTTTCGCTATCTCACAGTCGTGAGTAACACTACTGCAACGGTGCTTCTCACTGGTCTTCACGTGAATTTTACTGCGGCACCAATTCAGGATCTTCAGGCCTACACGGGTTGGTTCCACTCAGATGATGAGCTCATCAACCAGATCTGGTATTCTGGAGCATACACCAATCAGCTATGCACTATTCCACCCAGTCACGGAGATGCCATTACCTCCCAAGCGGACAACATTGTATGGCCGGAGACGAATGACTGGTACAACAACTACACCATCACCAACGGAAGCAGTACCATCACTGATGGTGGTAAGCGCGATCGGCTTGTGTGGCCAGGAGACATGTCAATCTCTCTGGAGAGCATTGCTGTCAGCACCGGTGATCTGTACAGTATTCAGATAGGCTTAGAGTCACTGTACTCCCTGCAGCTACCGGACGGCCAGCTCCCTTACGCAGGAATTCCCTTCAACGGTACTGTGAGCTATACCTATCACCTGCACAATCTGATTGGCTTGTCCTTCTTGTACCGCTTTTCGGGCGACAGAAATTGGCTGTCCAGTTATTGGAATCAGTACGTTCTTGGCATCCAGTGGGCCCTGGACGCTGTTGACAGTACCGGTTTGGCCAATGTCACTTGGAGTGCTGACTGGTTGCGATATGGAATGGGCGGTCATGTAAGTATTTCCGAGCGTCATTATATTTGTTCTTCTATACAGTCAGCTAACGCGTATCAGAATATCGAGGCCAACGCAATCCTCTACTTCGTGCTTCAGGATGCACTGAAGCTGGCACAAGATCTCAATCAAGCATCGTATATTGCCAATTGGTCCAGCACTGCTGACAAAGTTAAATCTGCCGCCAACAGCCTGCTATGGGACGCCCAAGCAGGATTGTTCCGGGACAACGAAACAACCTCCCTGCATCCCCAGGACGGAAACACCTGGGCGATCAAGTCCAACCTGACGACTTCTGCTAGCCAGAGAGCCACTATTTCGGGCGCCCTCAAGGCCCGCTGGGGTCCCTACGGTGCCCCCGCCCCAGAGGCGGGTGCGACTATCTCTCCGTTCATTGGCGGATTCGAGCTCCAGGCACACTTCATTGCTGGTCTACCCCAGAATGCCATTGACTTACTGCGCCTCCAGTGGGCCTATATGCTTCAAAACCCCAACATGACTCAATCGACCTTTATCGAGGGGTACTCGACTGATGGATCGATCCACTACGCGCCGTACAGCGATGATGCGCGCATATCTCATGCTCATGGTTGGTCGACTGGCCCGACGTACGCGCTGACAGCCCATGCCGCGGGCATCCAGCTCACTGGACCCGCTGGTAAAACCTGGCTGATTGCTCCTCAGCCAGGAGATCTGACCGAGGTGGATGCGGGCTTGACTACGCCTCTCGGAAAGTTCTCGACTACCTTCAATCTCACCACTAGCGGTAGCTATGACCGGTTCTCGTTCAGCACCCCCTGTGGGACCACTGGACAAGTAAAGCTGCCGGTAAATGGAACACTTGTATCCTCGAAAGCACAGCGGATTGCGATTAGGAATGGTGTTGCAGCAAGGGTGCCCGGAGGCAACTGGAAGCTTCAGCTCCAGTAAATCTCCTTTGGGTAACAATTAGTGTACCTTTGGGCTCTTGAATGCCCCGCAAGAAGGTCAATTAAAGCCTGCGGGTTAAGTTGTGTATATTTATCTCTAGCAGATTCATCCTTCTTTATATACTTTAAATTCATGCAGCATCATATTTTCAAGCTTGTGGCCTATGGTACTGTCTTCTTGGGGCCCACAATAGGTATAAGATTACCTTAATCATCGCGCACGTTTCCAATAGGCAATTAAAGCCTCACCTGGTAAAGAAACACGCACCGCGGATTGGAGCACGGAAGTTCTCTCTTAGGATACGCTGGTTACGGCCCAATGTCAATTAGCGGTTGGTGGAGCATTGCGGAGGGAACGTGGAGGCCCCAGGTTATCTCTTCCTCTACATTCTGCTCGCCGCCGGATCTTTTCATTTCTAGGCAGTCCGCAGTTGTGAGATCACGGCCCAAAGACTGACGCGCCGCCAGCCAAGGGTGCAACAGCGGGTCGTGCTCGACGACCCTAGTCCGAAGCCCACTTTTGCAGCTCTAGGACTACAGTCCGCTATACTTGATCTAGAATGGCATGGGTTTGCCTTGATGCGCACACACAATATTGACCCCTCAGCAATGCTGCGAGGATTTATTGCGGGGATTAAACTGCATCTGCTAGACGTAATGGGAGATTGCCAAATTGAAGCTGTCCAGAATCCGACTCTCCATTCATTCTATTACGTGTACCACAACTCCCCGCAACTTGCCTGGACCGTGTTGGGCATGACCGAAAGAGCTACATATGCCCTCGATCTACAGATCACTTCAAGACGAGCCTGGTTCAGAGACAGACTCCCCACTACCCCTTCACTAGGTATATAAAATGTTATCAATTAGTCTATAAATAGTCACTTCCGTAAACATTAATAATATTGTACATCAAGAGAAGGGATTATGTCTCCAATATTGCTCATTTGAGCACTCTATCATCGAGCCCAATAATCTCGTCACAGAGCCGGAACAACTACCTCATTATTATCACCACCGGCCTTCTTCACACTCTTCCACTCCAAGAAGAGACTGGCCACGAACGCGGCAACCATGAGCGCCAGACTAACACGGTAGGTATCCTGCAGGCCACTCATGTACGCCCTGGTGACGCCGTCAAGTTGATCGAGCTGTCCAAGCTGGCCAAGAACGTGTCGCATCTCAGTTGCACCAGCACCAACAATGGCATCGGGGTTCACGCTTGGGGCATAGGTTCTAATACCATCGATCAATCCATTCTGGAAGACAGACTGGCCAACTGCGATGAACAAAGCACCGCCAAGGGTTTGGAAGAACATCACCATAGCTGTTCCCACCGGGATGTCAGATGGGTCAAGAACAGTCTGGACAGCGGTCATGGGAACCTGGAATCCGGCGCCGACTCCGGCACCAACGACAATTTGGTACCCGATCCACTTTCCGGTGGAGATGTCGACGTCGAACATGGTGATGAGACCCGTGCCGATGGCAGCGATGGCAACACTTCCGATTAAGAAGGGTGTGTAGTATCCTGCGATGGTGATCAAACCACCACAGACGACAGAGGAGACGACAGTAGCCAACATGAGGGGGAGAAGCTGGATACCAGATTTCATAGCTGAAGAGCCCTTGACACTCTGGAAGAAAATCGGCACGTAGTAGACGAGGACGAAGAAGGCACCGCCAAAGAAAAGGGCGAACAAACACGCGGACAGAACAGTGCGCTTCTTGAGGATGTGAGGTGGGAGGGTTGCCTTTTCGCCGAGATAGACCTGCGACACGATAAAGAGGATGACCATAAGACCGAATCCAACGAACAGTCCAATGATACGTGAGTCGTTCCACGGGTACTTATTTCCTCCCCACTGAAGAGCAAGCAGCAGACAGATAATAGCAGGGATGAGCAGACTGGCACCGATGAGATCCAACTGCTTGATCCGCGACAGAATGGAACCAGACTTATCGTTCTTCTTCGGGAGACGAAGGAAGAGCAAGATGACCACGATAGAAAGACCACCAATCGGCAGGTTAATATAGAAGCACCATCTCCACGAGACGCCGTCTGTGAAAGCACCGCCAAGTAGCGGGCCTGCGATGGATGCGATTCCCCAGACCATACCGAACATTCCAAAGACAAGAGGGCGCTTGGGAAGGGGGACTGTAGACGCGATAATGACCATGGCACCTGAGAAGATACCTGCGACGCCGATTCCAGCAATGGCGCGTCCGACGATGAGGACTGTGCTGGAGGGAGCGACGGCGCAGAGGAGCGAGCCGATCTCGAAGATGAGAACTGCTACCAGGAAGCCCCATTTTACCTGAAGGGATATCAATGTGGGTTCATTTGATGAGGAGGGTTGAACTCACGCTGAAGATCTTGTATATCCTACCATAGGACGGTTGTAAAGCAGTGGAAGTCAGGAAGTAGGCACTTCCATACCAGGCGATGTCGGAGATACTCTTGAACTGATCCGTGATCTTGGGAATGGCGACACCGATGATGGTTTGGTCGAGCGCGACTAGGAAGACGGCGAGGTAGAGAGCCAAGATAATGATGATAACCTTGGACAGAGGTGGGTACTCCGGTTCTTTCGTGACAGTCTGGACATCGTTCTCGACATCTTTCTCCAGAGTTTCCACATTAGTGGACTCCGACATTGTCCTTGACTCTGTGCTCGTGTTGGGCTCCTTCATGGTGCTGGCCTCCGTCATTGCGTGAGGATAAAAAGTATCACAAAAAATCCCGAGATTTAAAGTGATAGGCGGGGCGGAAAGAAAATCGGACCCTGACCCTGAAACCAAAAACTATAAAGCCTGAATTCATGGTAGGCGCACCAACACGATTATCTACTCTGGCTCGGGGATCGGAGATCGGGGCACAGTTAGGCCGAAGGGCGAAAAAAAGGTCCAAAAAAAACTCTTCGGGGATAAACGTGGATAGGAGGTGCAAAATACGAGGCGGGCTTACCGGATTTTGGCGGACGGTCCAATCAAGGACGCGGGTAGTCCCGAGTCTTTCGCTGCAATTACGCGGACCCTGAAAACGGGGACTAGTTTGGGCTAGCTTTGCGGATATGACTGATCGTACTGAGTCACGATGTTGACCGAGTTTTTCCGTTGATAGACGCGCTCGACCTGTTTTTTGGTCTAAAGCAGGGAATTGATGAAAGGGCAATGTTAAGATGACACACCGCTTGGCCAGAATGACACCCCACGGCATTTTTTTAGTGTCTACCCGTCCAATTATACAGGTCACTGCATCTACCCTCAGAACTCGCTGCACCTAGGCCCACCTAGTGATATTGTGGAGCAAAAGACGGTGCACTAGTAAATTTAGCTACAGAAGGGATGAAACAGGTGCCGAAAGGCGGTAAAAAGGGGCCAAAAAAAAGGTAACGTGGCCGTGAACTTGTAATAAGCACACGGTATCAGGATAGCAATGCCCCATTAGCCGTAAAAAGGACTTAATAACTTGTACAAGAGCTTCGCGGACTCATCGAATATATATAGAAGAAAGTGCATCTACTTTACCCTTCCTAGCCTACTAACCTGTTCAGTTAAGTGAGAACATAATTCACATTACAAGATATGCCCATCCATCTCCTCAAAACATATTTCATAAAAGTGGTGGAAGGCCAATTCACACATACCTTTCTGTGTCCTTGCTCCGTTGCACTAAGCGGTATATTTGTTCGTCCTGTGGCTCAACGGTCTCTCCTTTCGATAGGAATGAAGCGAGAACCAACCAGCTCACGGCGTTTCCAACAGTAGTTACCTCATCCCAAATCTTGTTTGGCATTGGAATTCCTTTCTGCTGAGTTGTATGTCTGCTGCCCGGATGGTGTAAACGTTCTCGTTGTTTTGCACAAGCGACTAATACAGTCCCAGTGGCCTTGTCCGTAGAATGGGTTTGTCTTTTTGAACCGCCTGCAAAAATCTCTTCAAAGTCCTCACCCTCAGGGAGCAGAAGTATAGCTTCTGCCTTGGACACAAGAGTATTCTACATTTGGTCTGGAGGTCCGATTTGTTTGACACAAACTTGATTTGTGAGATCGGTCATGTGCAAGGCCACGTGTGAAGCAACAGAGTCGTGGAACTCTTCATGGCTATGGGCTCCAAAGTCAGCAATACATAACTTTGGGATATGTAATGCTGGGGTAGCGACTTTAAGGATTCTGTAGTACTCCCGGTAGGCTTCCAAGGCAGCACGAGAATGCTGAAACCTTGAGGTGTTCGACATCTGAACAAAGATGCATTGGTCTGTATAATCCACTCAGCTGATAAACGCAAGTTGATTGTACCCAAGATGAGAGGCTTACCGTCTGGATAATTAATGGTTGCTGTTTCTGATGCCCTACCTGGCGCATTGAACTGACGGCCATAAGAAGAATAATCCCAATTAGTCATATCTGTGTTGAGTCCATCAAATCTGAGATGATAATGTTAGTTAAACATTTCTCACTTAACATATGTTGCTTTACCTGTTGACACTGGCCAATAGGTACCCAACTTTCATTCCGGGTATCAAATTCGACTCTAGACTTTTAGGCTTCTGGCATGCCAAAACGTTGACGTGCTTCAACGTTGACCAGATGAAGTTGAATTCTTGGCTTTGCTGGCTGTCAGTGGATGCAGGTGAGTTGAAACGTACATCAGTATGAGTGTGAATGACGACTGGTCGTCTCTTAGGATCGTGTTGCTCTAATATTAGAGCCAGCGCCAATAGAGATGCGTCCTCGATAATAAAGACACGCACACCCCCATCTTGAGGTTGACGGTGAGGGCGTTTGTTACATGACAAGTGGTGTTCTGCATTTTCATGCACCGAATTGAGTACTTGCAGCTTTTCATCTGTTGTGAGCTTTACTTCGGATGAAAAGCTCCCTTGCAGCATCTTTTGCACTTTCCAAACAATAGGAGATACTCGAGGGGACGGGTCAGGGGTATACCTCAGCTAATGAAGTATCCAATCGATCAACCATTCTGCACAAGAAGACATGCACGGGAAGTGACTTACCACCTGATATCAACACCCAGACAGCGTAGTAATCCGAGTAAGGAAATTCTGGTGCTCAAAACCACCCTGCTTCGCAATATGTGTGAACAGACCCATACTCAGTTATCAGAGGTAATGGACAGCATAGATACATGGAAACATAATCACTAAATGGTTATTTATTCGTTATATTTGTTACTGCTGACGGTAAGTCCCAAAGACATGCGTGTTGCCCGTTTTCCCGAGTGGCCTGACTCTCCAGCTAGATAAGTGCAACCAGATGGACTCCGGAGACACAATGGGCGTCTCCGTCAGGATTAAGCTATCGCCATCAGCCACCAAAATTCTTCATAAGAGTTTTTGGTTAGCGCTTCCCCATCCTTGCAGCGATAAGATTACGCAATTGTGGCTTCGATGAGCATCAAATCAGAGAAGAAAACGTACTCACAGTGCATGAAAAATGCGAAAAGGGATTTCGATTCCCTTTTTCTCTCTGATCTTGCTGTTTCCTGCTTTCTTGCCCCCCAGATATTCCTGTTACCAGCAAGATGAACTCCTCTTCAGAAGAACCGGTCGAATCAAACGCACCAGTCGCGGACGATGTCTATCGCAAGTCTCAAGATAAGGGTGATGATCGGCGCCCAATGCCTGCGGCGGGGGAATTGAACTTCGACGAGTCCACCCGTGGAGGACTTGGACGACACCTGGGAATATTCTCAACCATTTTCCTAATGTAAGTCGCCGTCCTCCTGCAAGGAGTCTCTGTTTATTGAACTCCGTGTGATAGTGTGGGTCGCATTATTGGCACAGGGATTTTCTCAACCCCTTCGTCGGTCACGAGCAGTGCCGGGAGTGTTGGTGCGGCCTTGCTTCTATGGGTAGTGGGTTTTCTTCTTGCCGGAGCTGGCCTTTGTGTATGGCTGGAGTTCGGCTGTATGATGCCACGCAGTGGAGGAGAAAAGGTTTATCTCGAAGCGGTCTATCGCAAGCCAAAGCTCTTGATTACATTGGTCTTTGCAGTTAAGGCGATCGCACTCGGGTTTACAGGTGTGTTTTCCGTGCATTTTCGTACTTATTATACCGATCTCACCTGTTTCACTAGCGTCGGGCTGTATTGTTTTCGCGTCGAACATTGTCGTGGCAGCAGGCAAAACAACATCAGAATGGGAGGAACGAGGGATTGCAATTGGTGTGATCATATTTATCACTCTTCTGCACACACTTCTCCCGAATTGGGGAGTTCGAGGCATGAATGTCATCGGGGTAATTAAGGTGATCCTGTTGTTGTTTATTGTAATCACAGGCTGGGTGGTTCTCAGTGGGCGCGTGTCGAGTGTGAAGAACCCCTATGCCAGTTTCCATAACTCATTTGCAGGATCATCAACATCAAGCAATATGTATGCGACAGCATTATTCAAGGTTTTGAACTCATATGCCGGGTATGAACATCTCGAGTCGTTCCCCGACAAAGAGTTATTTACTGACCGTGGACGCTAGATGGTCAAATGCTGAGTATGTTCTGAACGAGATTCGAAATCCTGTGCGCACCTTGAAGATCGCCGCTCCTATCGGATTGTTCATCTGTGGTACATTGTACATTCTGGCGAATGTGGCATATTATGCGGCGGCTACACCAGAGAAGATTGCAGCGAGTGGCGTCACTGTTGCTTCTTTCTTCATGGGAAAGGTCTTTGGCATCGCAGCTGAGCGCGCCCTTAGGTGAGTTGGAAGTCCTTCAATTTATCTCCGTCATCCTAATCATGCCCAACAGTGTCTTGGTCGCGATTTCCGCGTTTGGGACTGTCATGACCGTCACTTTTGCCCAAGCAAGAGTGAATCAAGAATTAGCGAAAGAAGGAGTCATTCCTTTTCCACGGTTCTGGGCATCAAGCTGGCCTTTTGGATCCCCTTCATCCGGTCTTCTGCTGCATTTTATTCCTTCGTTTATCGTCATCGTAGCGATCCCATTTGGCGATGCCTACGACTTCATCCTTGACCTTGAGGGGTATCCGTCAAGCATCATCAACTTCCTAGTTGTTATGGGTTTGTTCTACCTTCGTTGGACCGCAGCAGACGTACCTCGACCGTTCAAGGTCTGGTGGCCCGTCGCGGCGTTTTTCATGGTAGGCCAAGCGTTTCAGCTGGTTGCACCCTTCATTAGACCACCAGGAGGAAAGGGTGATACTTCGCTCCCGTACTGGCTAGCATCTGTGGTTGGGATCGTTATCATGTTTGCGGGTGTTGTTTACTGGGCATTCTGGAAAGTAATTCTGCCGAGATTTGGGAAGTATAGATTGGTACCAACGCACGTGGAGCTGTCTGACGGAACCACTGTTGTGGTTTATGAGAAGGATAAGGAGCTCTAAATCACACATCTTTCGGCATTTTCCGGACTTTCGACTTCGCAACTTTCAATTGTTCGAACTGTGCAGACACCAAGGCGATTGAGTCTTGGAACTTTTTATGGGATGTCGATTTGGAATTCTCCGAATCCGACTCGTCCTCATCAGTAGCCGCTTCGATTTCATCAGAATCCGAGTACTTGGCGGTTGATATTAAGGAGTTGAGGCGAGAAATCGATGGTCCAAGCTGTGAAGACTGCCTTTGCCCTTTCGTAGGAGTCGAGTTTGTATCCCCGCGGGGGTCGCGGCTCACATCAGGAAGGGGTAACACGACCTCTTTGTACAGCTTCCCTTTTGGGCTATATGGATGGGCTTTGACAAACTTAATCCACTTGTGTACAGACACCAAGAGTGTTTCTCGGTTAATCTTAAGCCATTCCCCGTGAGAGGAAACGCATTTTTGACAATTCTCTGCCAGTTTGTAGCGCACGTTTCGGAACTCTGCCAGGACTAGCTGCTCCACGCGATAGGCGTGGGGTATGCACTTCGCCATAATCTGATCGACTACAGGGTAACAACCTTTGTGGGCTCGAAGACGTTGTAGCTCGGGAGGATACTTCGAGTATCCAATTTTAAGCATTTCCGGCGTATTGGTCGAGAAGATGTAGATGTACCCAGCCAAAATGCTCCGGACCCCAAGCGGACGCTTTAGAAGCTTCGTGACTTTGTTGGCCACCACGGACTCGGGTACCTCAGCCTTGTGGCGTATGAAAAGTATCGACGATGATTGAGTGGAAAGGACGGAATGGTCCTCCTCAGAATGATCGTCCTCAGAATGATCCTCCTCAGAATGGTCCTCCCCAGAATCCTCCTCGGAATCCTCCTCAGTATACGTCTCTGTTCCAACATCACACACCTCCTTCAATGTGGATGAAATATGAAGTGCCACCTCCTTGTCACCAAGCTCCCTGAGCCATTGATCTCTGGCTTGACCAGAGTAGCGTGAATGGTTACCACAAATAACAACCTTTGCAAGCCCGTCAAGAACATCGGACAGTAGATTTGTGTCGCCGGGGACGTCAGAAACCTCAGCGAGGATGTCGAGCAGATTGGCAAAGAGCAAACTTGCCGCAGCACAATTCTTTCGAGTGATTTTCTTACTGCAAGGGGTTTTGGTGTGCCGTACGAGGTACGCGCAGGGAACAACGGGAGGCTCGCAATGAGTCCACGCCAACAGTTTCGACAAGACGCAAAAGCTTGCTACTGAGGAAGCCATATCCCGGAAGTACCTCAAATAGAGGAAATTGATCAAAGTAATTGACAAAAGTAGATTGAAAAAAAGATAGTTTTTCTTCCACAGAAGAGACCTGATAATGATGCAAGTAATCGCGACTCTTCGATGATCGAGTTTCAACATGAGCTCAAAACCGGAGATTTGGCCGATTTTAAAGCAGAAACCCTGAGTCTAGGCCACCGGAGCACTCGGATGTATAAGGCAATAACCCCTCGCGAGTTTGGGGTCCATTTCATGCATGATATAAGGCATTGAATTCCAAATGTCCTCGTGAACGACTGCGCCGGTCTTAGGACAGGATGTATGGGGCCGGGGTATAGATAGTCCTTACCCAATGTGGAAGGAGGGCCAGAAATGTGGGGATCGCACGATCTTTAGTTCGCGCGTCAAAAGTTCATTAAGGGGGTAGTGAGCTACGATAGAGGCGGCCCATGCATTGGTTTGGCGGCTAGACAGGGATTATCAGCCGCTCTCGTAAAAGATGTTTCAGGTGCTTGGGGGCCAAGGCCCACTTCCCAGAGCTGAGATCTAAGCTACTGTAGCTATATAGGTCTTCGGGCTTTAGACTGGAAATTGAAGAAAGGTCGCCGTTCTCGGTGATCAATCATTTCCACTTGCCATTGGGATGTAGTTGAGCAAGCAGTGCAGACACTAGGAAGATCAACCTTAAGGATCTCATGCGATTATTTATCAGATCCTGATTTGCAGTTCTCTGATTTTGACGTGCGAAGACCAACGTCGTCCGCTCTTCCCACTGCCGCCCTCCACATTTTTGAATGCGCCGCATAATCTCCTCCACACCCTTCCAAATCAGCCGCCAATTGCGCAGCCTCCTGAGCCAGCCCCAATTACGCTTGATCCGTGTATAAACCCGGTGCTAATTCGTATTTGCCCTATACAGCCTGATTCGATCTGAGACCGCCCCTTGGTAGAGGAAGCAGGTAATCAACGATCTTGTCCGTTGGCATATATTGATCATTCAATAGCCTGGAATAGTGCTCCTGTCTCTGATTAAGTAACGCGATTTCGTTCGCGGTCACAGTGTCCAGGGAGAAGGGATGTGTGTAGATTCTGCCTCATCCCATGCTTCCCATAACCAAGGCATTTCTTCGCGTACAAATCGATACCACACGCTGTTGGGAGGTTTCGTAAATGACTTGGAAGCGATGCATAATTTAGTAGTATCCACCGGCCCCAGAAGCCGACACTATAGAGGCGGATGTCTAGGGAAAAGGAAGCCAGAAAGTCGTTCTGGATGGTTTGCGATACAGCCGGCATATTGCTGATAAGTTGGGGCGATTCAAAATCTCTGCAATACAAGAAGAGGCCAATCCCATCTTTGACCGTTTCCTCGTTGGCCCCGGTCAGAATAGTCCGTGGGCCTGACCCATAAAGAGGATTGGCAGCCAGATACTCAGCCCCAGAGTTGTGACGCCAAAACTGGTCCTGTGCCACAAAGACGTCCCCTGCCCGGGGAAATTGCGGAACTCGTCCAAGTTAGACTCAGAATTGCGCCACTTCATAAGCCCCGAGACGTTGATGTTCTTGAATCGGGCCCTGGATTATCGACAAAGGATATCAAAGCACCAGCTAGTCTGTGCATGCAAGATGGGCCCGCAAAGGCCAATCATCTCAGGGTCGTAAGCACCGAAAGATCCGAAGAATGGCGAGTCCTGCCTGGATTGCTGGATACGGATGGTGCATTACCTTCTATGATATTTTTGTCGACCGTTTGCCTTGGCTTAGCAGTGGCCATGGGGCTGCTGACGACACACTGAATAATGATAAGTGAGAAGTACGCATATCCCTGCATGATATTGGCGCACATAGTACAAGCACTGCCAATGACGTGCATTACATTTGAATAAAAAAGGACAGGGACAAGCCCTTCAGAGCTATGAGAGCTTTCGTATTTACAGTGAACGGCCCTCGATGCTCGCAAACAAATAAGCAAACGCCATGCACGCTTAGATACAAATCACAAATTAATAACCCGGGGCGGATTCCCGAGCTTTCCACTGGCACGGTACATGCATGCAGCATTAACCATCCAGCCACCATCTCTGGTCTCGCCGCCCCAGACCTGCGCCCAGATCACCCCTAGAACACCATACACCAGGACCTTGGCTGCATCCACCCATCCCGATGGATCGAATAGATCACGCCAGAGTCCAGCCAGTGCCATGAAGCGACTATACCGGGCGCGGGGGCGGCGCGATGCGCAGAGTCGCTCCCAGGCGAGCTGGGCATTGTCCCAGAAGACGGGTTCGCAACCAGCGGACTCGTGGATGTGTCCGAATACGTGGAGAGCTGGGCGCACGCGCCATGCTTCGGCAAGTAGGTTCGGACAGCCGGTTGAGTAGACTGGGGACATGTCGAGGTGGGCTTGTGGGGGTGTATGGGTGACGAGGATGTCTGTTTCGGGGGGTACGGTGCGCGACCAGGCATCGTGATACGGTGGGTAGGTGAAGGCATGTTCGGGGCCGAATGAGACGAGCGCTGGGATCTGAGGGGCACCGTAGACAGTGATCGACCGGGAGTTAGAGCTCGTGAGGGGAGTTGTGGAGGATATCGGGGAGGTCGAAGGGAAGGAGAGCTCCACGGAGGAGTGTTGGAGGTAGTGGATGTCGCCCCAATCGATGCGCGATGCAGCATTCAAATCGTCCAGCGACCGGATTGAAGCCGTTGAGGAGGACACGTCCGCAAAGGAGCCATTCTCCTCACGGTCCTCATCGCAACGCGATCGCGCATCAAAGTAGCTATCGTGGTTTCCGCAGATCACGACCTTGTGCCGGTGAGGTAGAGAGCGCAACCAGTCGACCGCGGCTTGGATTTCGCGCACGGAGCCATCGTTGGCAAGGTCTCCGGCATGAATTAGCAGGTCGCCGTCCGGTACATCGGGCCATTCGAGCGTGTGGGTGTCGGAGATGCAAACAACCCGGATAGGCTGGACACCCGGAGGAGGGAGACGGGGAGCGCCTCGAAGACGGAGAAGCAGCTGGTGGAAAGGATAGAGAAGCGCAACCAGGGGCGATGAGAGGAAGTAATCAGGCAGAGGACGCCTGTGGTAAGGGCTGTACATGGTGCCAGCGCACAGTTGTTACGGTATAGATCTGGGAGAAGTCAACGAGCGGGGAGATCAAAGCGGTGACATCAGGATTTGGTCTCGATCTCAGCGATCCCCGTGAACTGTTGGACTGGGAGAGACGGTATGAATAGCAGTAAACACTATCGAGTATGGTGCACTTTTGACTACCTAGGCATTCACATGTAAATCGAATCTAACTAAAAAGCAAAGCATCAGGTCGGACGGTAAACAGGCGTTGGTCATCACCAGCCACCTATATACACAACACACCGATGCGTCTTCGCCACATCCGTCGTCTTGGCTGCTTGCGGAATCTCTCCATCCCGATCTCAGATCGCAACCTCATCTATCCTCGGGAATTATCTAGGTATTTCGATTTCGATTTCGACTTGGAATTCGAACTTCTGCAAAGTTGCCCCTCTGCCGCCCTGGTTTTTCTCTTCGCGACCAACCAACTCGCATCCCGGTGCCCCGCCTCTCAGCTGTGGTCCCCAACACCTTCCAACTCCACACCATGGAGGGCGTTGATCTTACTAAAGCCATGCTGAACAAGGGCAAACAGATGGCCAGTGTTGCTGCGTCCGCTGCCAATGGCAACGGTGGAAAGAAGAGGAGAAAAGGCACCGACTTGAAGCCCATCGTCACCAATGAATCTGCTGCTGGCGAGCCGACAGAATCGTACGTGATTTTTTTTTCCCACCTCACTCTCTCACAATTCAACTCTTTTCTAATCACTTTTGCAGAACTGGCGCCGCGCCGACCAACGCGAAAGCTACCGGAGCGACGGCATCGCGATCGCCCTCTGCTTCATCGAGCGATGAAGTGGAAACCACCGCGGAGGAAGAGGACTCCGAGGACTACTGCAAGGGTGGCTACCACCCAGTGGCCGTGGGGGAGACTTACAACAATGGTCGATACGTGGTAGTGCGCAAGCTGGGATGGGGGCATTTTTCGACGGTGTGGCTGTCGAGGGATACCACTACTGGTAAACACGTCGCGCTAAAGGTAGTCCGATCCGCAGCCCACTACACCGAGACCGCCATCGATGAGATCAAACTGCTCAACCGGATCGTGCAAGCGAAACCCTCCCACCCGGGCCGGAAGCATGTGGTTAGTCTGCTGGACTCGTTTGAACACAAGGGACCGAACGGAGTCCACGTATGCATGGTATTCGAGGTCCTGGGTGAGAACCTGCTGGGTCTGATCAAGCGCTGGAACCACCGCGGTATCCCCATGCCGCTGGTCAAGCAGATCACCAAACAGGTGCTGCTGGGCTTGGATTACCTGCACCGGGAGTGCGGCATCATTCACACCGACCTGAAGCCCGAAAATGTGTTGATCGAGATCGGCGACGTGGAACAAATTGTGCAGGCCCATGTCCAGCAAGAAGAGGCGAAAAAGAACAAGGAAGACAACCGGAATGGGCGACGACGGAGACGAACCCTGATTACTGGGAGTCAGCCGTTGCCCAGTCCGTTGAACACCAGCTTTAGCAGCTTCGACTTTAAACACAGCTCTTCCAACTCACACAGCAGTCTCAACCAGATGGTGAACGAGTCTGGTGAGTGAGCCAACGCGCATGTGCTTCTGAATGTGACTAACTTCTTGAATAGCACCGGCAGAGCCGCCGTCGATGAAGGAGACCCTTGGCATCAAGGAGGAGGAAGAGAAACACAAGGAGCGAGAGAAGACAACGTATGTACTTTCCATGTGCGGAATTACTCGACTAACACGTTATAGCGATCTCCTGGAGAGAGAAGTGTCCGGCATCTCTCTTGACAAGACCTCCTCCAGGGACAGTGAAGACGAGATCGATGCCAACATAATTTCCGTCAAAATTGCCGACCTGGGTAACGCATGCTGGGTCGGCCATCATTTCACCAACGACATTCAGACCCGGCAGTATAGGTCGCCCGAAGTGATATTGGGAGCGAAGTGGGGTGCCAGCACCGACGTTTGGAGTATGGCTTGCATGGTAAATCACCCCTCCCCGGGTATCTCACTCTATACTAACCGCCACAGACCTTCGAGCTGATCACCGGAGACTACCTCTTCGACCCACAATCGGGCACCAAATACGGCAAAGACGACGACCACATCGCCCAAATTATCGAACTCCTCGGCCCATTCCCCAAATCTCTATGCCTATCCGGCAAATGGTCTCAAGAGATCTTCAACCGAAAGGGCGAACTCCGCAACATCCACCGCCTCCGCCACTGGGCTCTCCCAGACGTCCTCCGCGAGAAGTACCACTACACAGTGGAAGAAAGCATGCGAACCAGCGAGTTCCTACTTCCCATGCTGGACCTTTCGCCCGAGAAACGCGCCAACGCGGGCGGGATGGCCGCACACGACTGGCTGAAAGACACACCCGGGATGAGCGAGATCGACCTGGGTATCGCGCCTGGGACGCGCGGGGAAGGAATTGAGGGATGGGCGTCGGAGTTTAAGCGGCGATGATGGGGGTGCTCGTCTTAAGTGATAGCGTTTTCTTTTCATCTTCTCGACATTGCACGAGTCTTGGGCTGCCCTAGACGGGATGAGTCGTGGATTTGTCGTGTTATGCTGGACCCGATGCCCTAGCAATGTGAGTTTAACGATCTTTTTCTTCCAATGACGGGATTTTGATTATGGTTGGTCTTCTGTTTTTCGTTGCCGGTTACGGTAGTTGGTCGGATTGGGGGGCATTCTTCTACTCGTACTGTCCCTTGCCCTTATCTCCATAGAGCTCCTTTATTTTGTTTTTTGTCTCGTCTATATTCTAGGGATCTCGATGGTGAGATCGGTAGATCGATCCATCTGGATCCTGGGAAATGAGAAACGAATGGATGTGGCTATTTGGCGTTCTAGTAGGACCGTTCTGGATCTATGTTCACGCGGTGGGAAAGAATTCTTATCTATTTTCTGAAACATAGTTGATGTGTTGACTACATGGTAAGATGGTAGGGCGAGGCAAGTTTCCAAGTTGGTCCTTGGTGCTGCCTTTGCCTATTGACATCGAGCTTTGACCGCGGAGAGTTGAGCAGATAGTTGGATTGGGGCATCATATTATTTTCAAACTGATACATGCGCTTGAAATTCATATCATTCGGAGTCATCGCTATCTTCACTCTCGCCATCTCCCTCCTCGCTGGGTAAATGCTTGGGAAACCATCCATAGCGCGAGAAATCGACGTGAAATTCTCCCATCGAGTCCGAGCGCACCTCAACGCCCTCAAGTCTGAGGGCTTGTGCCTGACGCTCTGCACTTCCAGGACCGCTAGACCACATTAGCCATGATCACACAGTCTGAATATCAATAGCAAATACCGGTGCGAGATCATTCCCTTGGTGTTGACCACCCGCTGCCATGGCACAGTGGCCGAGTTGTAATGAAGGCCCGACTCTGCATTTGGAAGGGACTTTAAGCACACACCGACCTGACGAGGTCTCTGGGCTATTCATTCAAAGACCGTTAGTTGAATTCCACCCGAGGTGGGGTTCCGTACGTTCACCCAGAAGCAGGGCGATATGGCCGTACGACGTGACTTTGCCGTAAGGAACCTCTTGAATGGCAGCGTAAACGGCATTCGACCACGCCTCGGCCTCTTCAGAGCGCGGCATGTTAATGTTCGTGTGACTTTCTGCTGTTGCCTTCTCTCGTATGCAGAGGTGAAGGCTCAAGTAAATCAACACGAGCAACGCGTAGCTACACTTCGGGCAAACATTCCTCCGGCTATCGATAAGTCGCAATCCAAGTTCATTTCTACCTAGTTCACCAGGAAAGCTTCCACAGCCTCCAAATCAGTAACTATGCCAGGCTCACTAGCCGACTACCTCGCGAAAAACTACCTCAACGCCGACCCGGCGACCGAGCGGCCCAAGAAAAAGCGCAAGAAGACCAAGACCACCGACACAGCCAGCTCCGGCCTGATCATCGCAGACGACGACCCTCCAGATCTCCGCAACACCGATGACCAAGTTCAAGATGACGAGGACAGTCCATTCATCGACACGTCCTCAAAGAGCGCCGAGTTCCGCCGCGCCAAGAAATCCAGCTGGAAGACTCTCGGTGGCCCTGCACCAGACAACAACCAAGCGGCCGCAGATGCAATCCTAGCTTCAGCTGCCGCCGAACGGGCAGCACACGCCGACGAAGATGCCGACGCGCCGACCGTGGAAGGTATGGAGGAAGAAGGGCAACGAATGGAGTCCGGCGCTCTAGCTGGTCTCCAGACAGCAGAGCAGACAGCAGCGATGGTAAAAGCGCAAGAACGACGCAAGAAAGCCGAAGAAGCACTATGGCGTGACCCTCAGTCCACAGCTGCCCAAACCCAAGAAACAATCTACCGAGACGCCTCAGGTCGAATCATCAACGTGGCAATGAAACGCGCCGAAGCCCGACGCGCCGAGGAAGAAAAGAAAGAAAAAGAAGAACAAGCACGCCAAGCTCTAATGGGCGATGTCCAACGCCAACAACGCGAAACCCGAAAACAGGAACTACAGGAAGCGAAGGCGATGCCGTTAGCTCGAGGTATTGAAGACGAGACCATGAATGACGAGCTACGGGCGCGTGACCGGTGGAATGATCCTGCGGCAGGATTCTTGACACAGAAGGCTGCGCCGGGAGCTAGCGTGACTGGGAAGCCATTGTATCGGGGCGCGTTCCAGCCGAATAGGTATGGGATCCGGCCGGGGCATCGGTGGGATGGGGTCGATCGGGCGAACGGGTTTGAGAAGGATTGGTTCGCGGCGAGGAATAAGAAGGGGAGGATGGAGGCGTTGGATTATCAGTGGCAGATGGATGAATAGGGATGTGGTGGTAATACTTAGTCGAAGAGTGAGAATATACTCTGCATGATTCGGGTGCTGGCGCCCTGGGATGTGATCATTTCGTTACTTTACACGGTAACCTCCTATACAGCAAGTTCTTGTACTTCTCTGGAAAGAGACTTGCGCGACAGCAGAAGACATCAGTCGAAGACGGTTGACACTGTTGTCCCATGGGGAGGGTCCTAGAGACACCTGCATTCTACGGCAACAGGACCACTGGTGTGAACTTTGTGCATTGTTGACAATTGTCGAGGAAGCAGAGAGTATGAGATGAAAGCTGTAGTCTACGGAAACCATCCGCAGCAGATCTCCATCTTTGTTCTACATACGTAGTCCACCGTGCGGCACTTGTATAAAGGCGGAAGGCCGTTGCCGCGGAGTCTGTTTACCAAACAAAAAACTTCCCGCTCCTCCTTCTCCCTCATCACCATCCACCATGGAGAGCCCCATGGAATACCAATGGACCACGGGTCCTAAGATGGACCCTGCGTCACCATTCAGCCATCTTCAGCAGGAGAGCAAGAAGCGTACGTCCAGTCAAAGTGCCCCGACCAAGAAGTCCTGGGATTACCTCCGCCGAAAGCACTCTAACGCAACCGTCAAACCAGGAACACATAGCGCCTTCGGTTCACCAGAGAAGAAAACAGTCCCTCACCTCCGCGCCCCGAATTCGCAGCCCTTCTATTTCTCCCAGCAACAACAGCCCGCATCCCCCGCTCCCACCTCCGTCTTCGGCCAGCCCGCTTTCACAACACCGCGCAAATTCGATGTCGATTTCTCATCAGGGGCGGAAAATATGTCATCTCCAGAAAACGCGGACAATGAGGATACACCGGAGCAGGCCAAGTCGGGGAAGCGCAACTCATTATTCCAGATGTACGGACGCTTCGCTCCCGGGCGAGGAGAGATCCCGCGTGCGAAGCACTACTCGAATGCTCTCGCTCGGAGGGTTGAAAAGCGGCGCCGAAGGGATAAACAGCTTGGCAGGCAGATCCAAGCCGACAGCGACGACGAGAGTGACCGGCCGAGCAGCAGCGAGGGACGGATAGAGAAATCCAAGAAACGAGGGAAGGGATCCGACTCAGAACAGCCTCAATCTCGAATGTCGAAGTTCTCCGAGTTCTTCGCCCTGTTGGAGAGACACCCCAACGTCCCTAGCATCCTCTCGTGGTGGGCCCAGCTCTTGGTTAACCTGTCGCTCTTCTCGCTCACCGTGTACGTCGTCTTCTCAATTGTGTCAACGATACGTGCGGAGTTCGACCAAGCTGCGCAAGTGGCCAAGGACGAAATCCTAGAAACAATGTCTAGATGCGCCGACAATTACGTATCGAACAAGTGTGCCAGTGGTGACCGACTCCCCGCGCTGAAGGACCTGTGCATGAACTGGGACCAGTGCATGTCCCAAGATCCAGACAAGGTGGGACGCGCCAAGGTGTCGGCGCAGACCATGGCCATGATCATCAACAGCTTCATTGATCCGATCAGCTGGAAAGCATTCGTACGTGAGATCCGTCCCGTGTTGCAAGACCGCTACTAACAATCCCAGATGTTCTTCCTCGCAAGTATCGCAACCGTGACAGTTGTCAGCAACTGGTCCTTCCGCTCCTTCAGAAACCGCCTCAACCAGCAACACTGGTCTCCATCTCCCAATTACAACCATCCTCCCCACGGCCAACAACCCCAAATGCACATGCCCCCACCACTCCACCAAAACCCGAGCTTCGGCTACTACAACCCCCAGCAAGAATCACAACCCGCTAACGGCTACGCCGAGAAAGAACCGCAATTAATGCTCGAAAGCGCGCGGTCAATGGACTTTGTCACAGAACGAACGCGCGAGCGCGAGAGCCAGCTCCGAACGCCGAGTCCAGCCAAGCGCGGCCGTCGCTTTGCGTAGTGTTTGGCAAGATTTGGCGTTTTGATCTGGTGGCATATTGGGCTGGGCTGGCGGTATTGGTGTTTGCATTATCATTATTGTATACCATTGTCATGGTTTTCTTTCGGTTCTTGTACTTCCTAGGTCTCTTTGAGAATGACATAAGCCAGCGAGTCATAACTAACGTAATTCACAAGCGAGTGGCTCACACAAGCGAGTGGCCCACCCCATCCAAAATCGCTCACTCAAACCACCTACCTCAATTCAACTAGCTACAATGCCACCAATTCGCACTGAATCTTCGCAGAAATCGACCAATCAGGAGGGCAGAATCTTATTAGCCCTTTCCGATGTTAAAAGCGGCCGCGTTGAATCGTTGCGCGCAGCAGCGAAGCTATACGATATCCCCGCTAGAACGCTATCGCGGCGGGCAAAAGGCACAATGTCACGCGTCGATACACGCCCAAATTCGCATAAATTGACTCAATTGGAAGAGGATTCGCTTGTCCAATGGATATTCTCTATGGATACGCGTGGTGCAGCGCCTAGACGTGCTACTGTACGAGAAATGGCCGATATTCTTCTTGCAGCGCGTGGAATCACCCCTCCGCCGACCGTTGGCATTAATTGGGTATCTAATTTTGTTAAACGACGTGATGAGCTTCGAACACGCTTCTCTAGGCGATATGACTACCAGCGCGCCCTTAACGAGGATCCAAAGGCTATAAAAGAGTGGTTTTTGATGGTACAACGCGCGATTGATGAGAACGGTATCCAACCGGAGGATATCTACAATTTTGATGAGACTGGATTCGCAATGGGCCTTATATCAGCGCAGAAAGTGGTTACACGAGCAGAATACTACAGTCGGCGATCACTTCTACAGCCAGGAAATCGCCAATGGGTCACTGCGATCGAAACGATATGCGCTGACGGCTATTCGCTGCCGCCCTGTATTATATTCAAAGGCCAGGTTTATATCGCTGGTTGGTTTGAATCAAATCTCCCTAGGGATTGGCGAATCGAAGTATCGAATAATGGCTGGACTACCGATGAAATCGGCCTTCGCTGGCTCCAAAAGATCTTCATTCCGTACACTAATTCGCGTGTACGAGGACGATTTCGCCTATTGATCCTTGACGGGCACGGTAGCCATCTTACACCTCAATTCGATCGAATCTGTGCCGAAAATGATATTATACCACTGTGTATGCCTTCACATTCGTCTCACTTACTTCAACCGCTTGATGTTGGGTGCTTTGCAGTGCTTAAGCGTGCGTACGGTCGCTTCGTGAGCGATTTAGTCCGAACAGGCTATAATCATATCGACAAGCTTGATTTTCTAGCAGATTATCCTCGCGCACGGCTAGAAGCTTTCCAGCCGCATATTATTCAAAGCAGCTTTGCAGCTACTGGTATCGTACCAGTTAGTGCCGAAAGAGTGCTTTCTAAGCTTAATATATCGCTTCGAACGCCTTCACCACCATCAAGCCGACCAAGCAGCAGATCTAGCTAATTCACACCGAAAACGCCTAGAACAGTGTTTCAGCTAGAAAAGCAAGCTTCTATGCTTGAAGAGCTACATAAGCAACTATCGAAAAGCCCTCCTACCCCATCGAAAACTATGATAAATCAAATTATCAAAGGATGCGCAATAACGATGCATAGCGCTGCGCTCCTTGCGAAGGAGAACGCCGATCTACGCGCAGCGAATGAAAAGAAACGTCAAAAGCGCACTCGATCGACTAGGCAGATTGCACACGAAGAGGGCCTATCAATCGAAGAGGGCCTACAGCTAGCTCAGCAGCTAATTCAGCCAGTAGAAGCTAATGAGGTAGTATCGCATGAGCAGGGCGATTTACCTAGTCAGCAGGATCAGCCACGCAGGAGGGCTCCACCAAGGTGTAGTGGATGCGGAACGATTGGGCATAAGATCAATCAATGTAATAAGCGATAGATTAGGATTAATTAATGCGATCCGGTTGATATATTCGCCTTTGAAAAATGGTGATGAGATTGGTGGGCCACTCGCTTGTGTGAGCCACTCGCTTGTGAATTACGTTATTACAATCTTTGTCAAGTTTGGCGATGTATTATCCTCGTGGTCATAGCTCGAAGTATCCATCTTGGACTCCACAGTGGATACTCGCGACATCAATATTCTCCGGCCACTATCCTCCGGTCATGGCGTGCCGAGTTGACTTGCATTTCTTGTCCTGATTGTTGTCATGTTTTCGGCATAGATCTCGGTGAACCCAACTCCGGCCTCCACCAAGTTCGCCGAGCGGCCGTCGATGGCCGAGGCTTGGCATAATCGCCGCCGGATCCAGGCCAACGAGTCCACTATTATAGTCGGGTTATAAAATTTTTCATCTGAATCGCATGGATCTGTTTGCTTTTGGTCGGGACCCATCTCTCGGCATGCCAGAGACCCATTACAATCTCGCCTATCCGCGGCGTAGTCGGCTTCTGTGTGCAGTTATCCTCGGCCACCGACCGACGGAACCACCCGATGGCCGAAGTATAGGAAAATTTTATCAGATGCGTTCGGTGTAGATTACGTATGGTGAAAGAGACATTTGCCTATATAGAATAGACACAGCCTTGGAATCTGTGTGACTACTTCACTCTTGAAAATACTCAAACAATCTTCGCAATTTCATATCCCAGCAGAATCCTGACAACAACTCCATCAGATCTTCAAATGCACCACGAACCCAAAACCGATGCCACCATCTACCCGGAAGGCGGCTTCCGCGCCAACCTAGTCGTCCTAGGCAGCTTCAGCTCCATAATGGGCGGCCTAGGCCTGATGAACAGCATAGGAATCTACCAAGCCTGGATCTCCACGCACCAACTCGCACACCTGTCCTCGGGGCAAATAGGATGGATATTTGGACTATACAACTTCCTTGTCTTCTTCTGCGGAATCCAAATTGGACCCATCTTCGACGCGAAAGGACCTCGTTTCTTGATGTGGTTTGGTTCGATTCTCGTCGTTTTGACGTTCGTGTTGATGGGCTTTTGTACACAGTACTGGCATTTCATCGTTGTTATCGGTATCCTCGGTGGAATGGGAACGTCTTTTATTTTCATCGTTCCTGTTGCTAGCATTGGGCATTTCTTTTGTCGGAGACGGGGTGCGGCGACGGGACTTGCGTTGTCGGGGGGAAGTATTGGGGGTGTTATCTTCCCGCTGGTTTTGGAGAACTTGGCACCTAAGATTGGATTTGCTTGGTCGACTAGGGTTATTGGGTTGATTACGCTAGTACTTCTCATTCCTGGGTGTGTGCTCGTTCGTGCGAATTTCCCGCCGAAGGATCCTTCGCCGCCGTCAATCAAGGTCTTCTTGCCTGATTTGTCGATTCTCAGGGACCCGGTTCTTGCCTTGACGACTCTGGGTGTTTTCTTTATTGAGTGGGGTTTTTTTATTCCGCTTGAGTATATCGCCTCGTACTCGCTCGCCAGTGGGATTCCTCGCCAGTTGTCTTATCTGATGGTGGTGTTCTTGAACGCGGGCTCCTTTCCAGGACGTTGGCTACCGGGTATTCTGGCGGACAAGATCGGGCGATTCAATACGTTGATCCTCACGAATGTGCTGTGCCTGATTTCGGTTCTTGCCATCTGGATCCCAGCAGGCGGCAACATCGTGGCAGTCATTATCTTCTCCGTCGTCTTCGGTTTCGCAAGCGGGAGCAACATCAGCTTGGTTCCCGTGTGTGTTGGCGAGCTTTGTCCCGTACAGAATTATGGAAGATACTATACAACTGTATATACTATTGTCAGCTTCGGGTAAGTGCTGTCTGAATACTTTGGTGAATGTGTGGCTAATACTACCTTTAGTGCTTTGACGGGCGTTCCTATTGCGGGTGAGATCCTCCACCGCTGTAACGGTGCATACTGGGGTCTTATTTCGTTCGCTGGATGCGCGTATGCAGCTGGACTAGGTTGCTTTGCTGTTGTTATGTGGTTGCAAAGGCGGAGGGCTAATATGCGGTCTGCCGACCTCGGAGGTGTTTAGGTTGACATATGAATGACGAAATATATAGAAGGCAGCACGAACATAAAAGTAAGATATACAATTTAATTGAGAAAAGCTTCTGAAAGTAAGCATGAATTATACTTCTTGAGTACATAGGCCCCCCAATTACTGTTTTAAGTTCCAGACATTAATCATAGAGTCTGCGGGGACCTACCATGGGAGTGCTGTGGCTTAGGGTGTTGACACCATAGGTGCGTTTGGGCGGGTATCGTTCTCTAGGGCCCTAAAGGCTGAACATGAAAATTTCGCTGCGGTGAAAGCTCCAGGTTTCATAATAGAAATATGTTCTCTGTACGCGACCGACTGAATTTCAGACCGAAACATGCTCAAAGTCGCGCCGCCGCAGATATTCATTCTGACGTAGAACCCTGGAATTTGCCATACAAGCGGCAAGAGGCAACGGCAACAAACGCCAGAACTAGCACCTGTGCCACGCGTAGTCAAATATAACATCCTGTTGAGTACTTGCTGAAACACCTGCACCCATTTTGGATCGTCTGCAATCTTGGAATTCTATACCGCGGTAAACATCCGTCTCCATTATGGGTTACTCGACCGACGCGAAACGCAATCTCATCATCGTTTCCAATCGGCTTCCCTTATCCGTCAAACGCGTTGATGGCGCGTTTGAGTCTTCGCTCTCGAGTGGTGGCCTTGTCACAGCATTGTCGGGGCTGACCAAGTCTACCCAATTTCGATGGTTCGGCTGGCCCGGTATAGAGGTGAAGGAGCTTCAAGATCAAAAAGAAGTGTTAAAAAGCTTGGAACAACACAACGCAAGCCCAATTTTTCTCGACAGTGATCTGGCTCATGAGCATTACAATGGATTCTCAAGTAAGTCAACCTATTTTGTCTCGTACCCGACACCCATTCCTTACTCATTGACTGGTATAGATCGCATCCTCTGGCCGATCCTCCACTACCAATCCGGCGTGCTATACGATGATACTCCGTGGCAAGCATATAAACGTGTTAACGAGCTTTTCGCCGACGCAATTGCCGATGCAGCAGAAAGCGGCACGTTGATCTGGGTACACGACTATCATCTCATGCTTCTCCCCGAATTGCTCCGCAAAAGACTCCAAGATCGGGGAAAGGCCTGCGCAATCGGATTCTCTTTGCATACCCCATTCCCCGCCGGTGACTTTTGGAGGAATCTTCCAGTTCGAAAGCACTTGATTGAGGGTCTGTTGTCGAGCGACTTGATTGGTTTCCATACCGATGAGTATAAACAAAACTTTATTGACACGTGCGCAAGTCTACTGTGAGTGCAAGTCAGCTTCCGTGATTCAATTCAGAGTTAACCGTGTCGCAGAGGGGCGGGGACCCAAATCCCGAATCAAATCCAGTACAAGAATCGCCTCGTCTGCACAGATAAGTTCATTGTCGGTATCGATCCGCAGAAGTTCGCCGATACGCTGAAGACCCCCGAAGTTCAGGACCGAATCAAGACACTTAAGGAGCGGTACAAGGGGATGAAGGTCATTGTCGGGGTGGATCGATTGGACTATATTAAGGGCCTGACGCAAAAGCTGAAGGGCTTCGACTCGTTCTTGGAGGATCACCCGGAGCTTCGGACGAAAGTGGTGCTTATCCAAGTTGCTGTGCCTAGTAGAGAAGATGTGAAGGAATACCAGGAGCTCGAAACGGAGCTTTGCACCATCGCGGGCAAGATTAACGGCAAGCATGGTAACTTTATCCACCTTCCAACCGCAGACACACTCACTGACTTGTACAGCAACCCCGGAGGGAACACCGCTGCTATATATGCACAGATCGGTCCCATTCACCGAGTTGACAGCGTTGTACTCAGTTGCAGACGCTTGCCTGTTGACATCGACACGAGACGGGATGAACCTAGTCTCTTTCGAGTATGTCGCATGTCAGGAACAAAACCACGGTGTGCTTGTGTTATCCGAGTTCGCTGGCGCAGCGACATTCATGAGAGACGGGAGTATTCCGTTCCACCCTGCGAATACCACGGAAATGTCAGAAGCTCTCTTCGCGGCGTTGAATCTCGACGACAAGGAACGGCAGCGAAAGTTTGAGTTCCTGTGGGATTTTGTCACGAAGAACACCAGGTTTGTCCTCTGTGTATCGGGGTTTCTTGCGGTCAGCTGATAATTTTTCCAGTGCCAAATGGGGTTCTACCTTCATCGAGAAGCTTTCACGTCGGTGTAGTCACTCTAGTGCTCCATGCTAAGCCCGGCGGATCGGCTTCATGCTTCCCTACCCTTTCGGATTCTTGCAGATAGTCAATCAACGACCAGGGTAACCAAAATTTTCTCAAACTGATACAGCCTGAATATTTGCTTGTCAACAGTGCAGTTGCTTCCTTTTTTTAATGAAGGCAGAACTCATTGTCCGTCATGTGTCTGGAGCCTATTGGAGACTACGGATAGAAATTGCCATCACATTCCCCAAACCCATTCCATTGTACTCTGCCCCCAGGAGATATTCCGGATGTATCTACTTGTCTTTATCACTCTGGTTGTGTGGACATGGTAGCCTGATTCATTGTAGGCGTACTCATCCAAGGCATCTAAGGTGGCCTGGTATTACTGTATTCCCTTGACGCCGTTTTGAGAATTGATATGGGACATTTGTAGCATTGGCATAGAACCTTTAGTAGGTAACTGATTTTTGAGTATTCATTCAACGAGACCATGCGTTTCATGACTCGGAATAGATTGAAGTTATCCATCTTCTGACCCACAGATGCCCGCAAGTATTCATCAACGAGGAGCAGAATCTAGAGAGAAATTTTGTCAGAATACAGTCAATCAAAGAGAATCATTGGGCTGTATTTTTCTTGGCTCAGACCCTCAATTGTGATGCCAAAAGGCAAAGTGTGACATTGTCATCATTGCCAGACAATATAAAATAATGCAGATGGAAAGGAAGATTATTCGTACCACTCGTTGATCAATGTTCCATGCAAGTCGGACAAAACCCAAGAGGAAACACCAATTGGCAAACAGGGCAAACTGTATGGGCCGGGCGTTGAAAATGTTGCATGTTCAATGCCTTCATACTGTCTCTGAAACAAATGAGGGTGGATTGGAGGGCCATATGATGAGCGTGAAAGGCCTGCAAACATATTTTGTCAGCGGAATCCAGACATGATACATTGAAGTATCCCCATGGAATCATCAAAGTCGGCATGGCATCACGCTGCTTGTCTCAGAACATCCGTGCTGTAATGCCAATGGGCAACTGGCGTAGTTTTCATCATATCAAGCGCGCACATGCATCATGAATAGGAATGGAAGAAAGTAAGACAGGGCATGGAAAACTCACCACGCTGGAAGTTGTAACGGGCCCAATCTACCAAGGACCATAGAAAAACGAGGCCAAAGAAGGAGAGGAGAGTCAGGTTTAGTATAGATGATGAAGTATGAAAAGCCTTGAGACAAGTTTCAATCAGCAGAATGTTCCTTGGAAGTTGTTACCGTTTTCAATATCAGGCAGATTTGGTGTCTTGACAAGGCGACTGTGCACGCTAGTACCCGGCGGCGTTGGAAGGCGTGGAAGCAATGGAGTCATCGATTGCAAGGTAGACTTCAGAAATTGGACTCATTTCATGCGAACAGAGTACCCTCAAATGCAAGATGTGATTTCTTTCATCATGAGCCAAGCTGGTGCAATGCATGAAATGAAAACTCCGCAGGGCTGGTGATCTGTATAGCATGGTGAGTAGAACGGAGTACACAATTGGGAAGAAGGGTTGAAGCTGTAAGGGAAAGAAGAAATTCATTCACTGTTCATCATACAAACGTCGCCTCTTCTGGGGCATTGGGGGAAGGGGGGAAAGCACGAAATCAGACAGATGATTGTTGCCCGAGACCGAGGTTTCTGGAACAGATCAAGTCATCATTTATCATGAGAAAGGAGTCAATGGACACCACAAGAGTGTAAGGCAATGTCCACCGTAGTCCTGCGATCCAAAAGAGGAAGACAGGATGGAGTATCACTACTCAAGGCCAAAAATTGCGAAGGGTCTCTAAGACCACCTCGACTTGGGGAGGCCAAGCAATCTTGAACGCTTGGATACCTGCCGAAGGTCAGCAAAAGACCAGGGAGAGGAAGACGAACCTGGGGATGTGGGTGTGAAGAAGGTCTTGGTGGGAGGGAACTGGAATATTTATAGAGAGGGCCTGGGTGGTCCCGGATCACGGGCTGATATGAGCCGTCTGATTGGCTTCGAGCTTTGAGATTAGCGAGGTGAGGGTGCAAGCCTTACCGGATTAGGGAATTGTATAGGGAGAACGGAGTTCTAATAGTTTCAAACCACTACGGTACGCCGGTGCGAATTCCCTTGCTGTGATCCTCGACGCCCATGACTAATTGAAGAAAAAAGCCTTCGTACACGTACAAACATGGCTCTTATAAACAAGAGTCCGAGCGGGTAAAAAAATATCTCCAAGAGTTCGTGGGTTCACGGGTTGTGCGTTGGGGTGGACATGTATAGACGTTGCTGAGAGCTTTGACTTGGCGATGGTGGGTACTTACAGCTTGAGCAACCAACACAGATTCCCGAACCTCCGCAAAATAGTTTAACAGAAACCTCCCTATAAATAACTCTTTACATTCTGTTCTTTAATGCTATGAAGACTAACTTGCGGGTCAATGCTAGCAAGCATGAAGCCACTCCGTCGTGCGAATTGTCCACCAGGGGTGCGAGTTGGATGAGACAGATGTAGGTCTTATCACGTATCCCAGTATTACAGTTATTTGAAGGCCGAATTTGCCATCGCCTTTCGCTTCAATACTTTCCGTGGTGGCAGGGTGCATGTAGTTTGCGATAAGCTTAAATTAGAGCCCCACATCCCGATGGTCGGGATCTCGCAGGCCAGAGAGAGACAAGCAGTCCGATTCAAAAGATGTGGCATGATGGGTTAAAGGGACTTCTGGATGATGATCCGATTGGTGATTCTTAGGTACTGACACAGTTTGCCCAGGAACCCTGCAGTTCTATAATGTGTCGGGGCAAAGATCAAGCAAGTTAAACACTTTTTCGACAAACTGCTTACGCTACAAGATGTACGATCGTACCTGAATCAATTCGTGCCTTTGTGCCCTATGTATACAGTAGCAAGGGCCCAAACATGGTCAACTTAGAGTGTGGCTTGATGGCGTGCCCGGGAGAAACTTCACCCTCAGGAACGGCTCCACTTTTTGCAGATCCTTTCGCGCTCTCACAATGAGTGCGAGCAGCATCGGAGAATTATTTGTCGCTTCTGACACGTTTTGGAGATGACAGCTCCCTGCTCTCTGTTTCTCCGCTTTCTATTCTCGAATTAGCAGGTCATTAACCCGATCGGCATTGGCTATCGTCAGAACGTCCCGACGGTCCTTGCGTTGCAAACCGCCCTTATCGCGACATCATCAGCAAATAAGAATGGCCCGATATAGCTCACCGAACCTGTTTCATGTGCTTTCACCCGCCACGGTCGCATGTGGATTTTTTGATTGCACATTCTTGGCACATTCCAACGCGACTGAGATTTCATCTTGAAATTCAGTCGTGAATTACGCTCTGGTCATCGATGGCAGAAACAAAAGATCTTGATGCCGGCGTATACCCGGCACCAACCAATGATGAGGATAAGAAGAGCTTCGAATCGAGCGATGGGTCGAAGCCGAGCGATGAGTTTGCATCGGATCCGTTTGAGGTGCCGTTGAAGCGCCAGCTCAAGTCGCGGCACCTGCAGATGATTGCGGTCGGAGGTGAGTTTGCTCAAGAGGTTTCGGAAGGCCTAAGCTGATGTTGGAAAGGGATTATCGGTCCTGGGTTACTCGTCAGCTCCGGAAATGCTTTCCACGAGGGAGGGCCCGCAGGCTCTTTGATCAGCTTTTCCCTTGTCGGAATCATCGTCTTCTTCGTTATGTGAGTGCTCGATACGCCAATGTTTTTTTGGACGTTCCCTAACCGATGCAGGCAATCATTGGGTGAAATGGCAACGTTAATACCCATCTCCGGGTCATTCATTGAGTATGCCGAGCGCTTCGTCGACGATGCCCTAGCGTTCGGCCTCGGATGGGCATATTGGTGGCTATGGGTGACCGTAAGCACCCCAAACCAGGATCGTTTGCAGTCGCTAATGAAGAACGCAGGTCCTCGCCAACGAGTATAACTCGGTATCTCTCGTCATTGGGTACTGGACGGAAGCCGTACCACAATGGGGGTGGATTCTCATTTTCTGGTTCCTATTCCTTGGGCTATCCAATCTCGGCATTTTAGCATACGGAGAGATGGAGTTTTGGCTTTCCTTGTGAGTGACCTGTAATGTCGAGGAGAATCAAGCGCTAATAATCATCTAGAATCAAAGTACTAGCTTTGATCGTATTTTTCATTCTGGCCATTTGCATCAGCGCTGGTGGCATTGGACCCCAGAAGATTGGCTTTAAATATTGGCATGACCCGGGCGCATTTGCAGACGGGATCAACGGTGTTGCCAAGACGTTTGTCGTGGCCGGGACATTATACGCGGGTACTGAGATGTGAGTTATGAGACTTGCCCAGCAATATTTCATACTGACTTTGAGTTAGGGTGGGTATTACCGCTGGAGAGTCGGCAAACCCTCGGACAGCTGTGCCTCGAGCCATTCAGCAGGTGTTCTGGCGCATTCTGATTTTCTACATCGGTAAACACATATCGATCACACTGCTTTCCAACTAATCTAACGAGTCTCCAGGCACCATCTTTTTCATAGGAATTCTTATGCCTTACAACGATAAGTCATTGCTGGGTGCAACTTCCAAAACCGCCAGCTCGCCTTTAACGATTGCGCTCACCGAGGCGGGTATTCTCCCCGCTGCGCATCTTATCAACGCCTTGATCGTGATCAGTGTCATCTCAGCTGGCAATAGCTCGCTATATGTCGCATCTCGTGTCCTCCTTTTCATGTCGCGCAATGGCAAAGCTCCCAAGTTTATTGGACATGCCAACAAGGCAGGAGTCCCGTGGGTTGGACTCATCTTTACAAATATCTTCGCCTGCATCGTTTTCCTCGGGCAATCTTCCAGCGCAGGAGCGGTATACTCTGCTTTGATCACATTATCTGGAGGTAAGTCAATCGCAAAGAATCGTCAAGTACCAGGCTAATCGCCCTACAGTGGCAACATTCCTCGTCTGGAGCGTCATAAGCATCTGCCACATTCGCTTCCGACACGCCCTCGTGGCACAGGGTCAAGACCCATCACATCTGCCGTACAAGGCAGCGTTCTATCCGTGGGGTACATACCTATCACTCGCAGCCAACATCTTCCTCGTGTTTTTCCAAGGATACACGTGTTTCCTCAACCCATTCAACGCGCAAGACTTTGTGATCAACTATATCCTCCTACCTGTGTTCGCATTGTTCGTCATTGTTTATAAATTCTGGAACAAGACGAGCTGGGTCAAGCTGGAGGACATGGACATTTGGACTGGGAGGAGGGAATTCGTAGAAGAGGAGTCGATCAAGCCGAAAACGTGGTGGTCACGCATTAGCGATATTATTGTGGGATAAGCAGGTGATTGTACATAGCATCCTCCATTTTGAGTTTATTCACAAAGAGATCTGCACACGGAACCCGTCGGAGACCCGAGGTTCGGAGACCACCGACTCTAAGTAAACTCATGATAGGCCAGTAACGCATCGAATATACGACATGAATAGAGTAGAATCACTCAGGAGAATCCACACTAGGAACAAATCACAAGCCCAATACAGTCCGGTGCATTCCCTCAACTACACCATTCCACCAACTCCACATCTCACCCACCGATCTAACCGTTAGATGAACATCGTGGCCCTGACTACGCACCCCGATTGGCCCGATAACAACAACACTACCCGAGTGCAAGGGTCCATCTCACTGCATCGTAAAACCCGGCGCCAAACCCGGTCGATCCTTCTCTCTGGAAAAGTGCAACCACTCAATTCCTCACGATGTAAAATCTCCGGCTCAGCCCGCGCTCGTACCTAAATACGAGCATACGAGCGCCCCTGATGGTCGGCAGACATACCGTTTGGAGTATAGTCATCTTCAAATGCTGATAGTTTCAGCCATGCAGATGGCTTCTACCAATGAACTCATGTCTCTGGGCTGAAGAGCCGGATGTAACATTGTCCAAGTCGGTATTCCTGGACTGGGAAGAATAGAACGAGGGCGGGAGAGAAACGAGGAGCATTGGACCTCCAGCACATCTATTTAAACGGCCAACAGCCCTGTTGATCATTGCTGAAGAACATCGCAGATCCACCTATCTCAGTGATCCCGTCGTTGGTTCCAAACTCAATCTCGTCCAAGATGCAGTTCTCCCAGGTACACCACCCACCCCAAACACAAGCTTGAAACGCCAACCCTAACAAAAACAGCTCTTCGCCCTGACGACCCTCCTCGTCACTGGAGTCGTCGCCATGCCCACCGAGAAACGGGACTGCGCCTATACCTGCGGTACCGTCTGCTACACCAGCAGCGCCGTTACCGCCGCCCTGAATGCAGGCTACAACCTGGAGTCCTGGGGCGAGGAAGACGATTCATACCCGCACGTGTACCACAACTACGAGGGCTTCGACTTCCCGGTCTCTGGAACTTACTACGAGTTCCCCATCCTCAGGGACGGATATGTGTATGACGGCGGCTCGCCCGGTGCCGACCGTGTTATTTTCAACGATAATGATCAGCTTGCGGGTGTGATTACGCACACCGGGGCTAGAGGCGATGACTTTGTTTCTTGCTAGATGCTCTACAGAGACAGTAAAATGAAAGACATCTCAATTGAACCAACTACCTCGAACGCATATTCTATGAAATGTAGGAAAACCATCTTTCACGTAAACACAAACGGATCATCGTGTCAACATGCTGTGTAGGTTCCATTGCTTTCGGTACTTAGAGGCAAACAACAATCGACACCCGCACAAAAGCGAAAATGTGGGAACTTGTCGTCGTCGGGGTTTGATACCCTCGCCTGGTACAGCGGACTTTACTACCTAGTATACTTCCGAGGTGTTGTTCGAAGAGACGCCGGATCGATCAGCCAGGTTTTGCATTTTCGTATTGTCGTGATGCCTTTGTTGTCTCCAAATATGATAACCTGTACGGGACCGAATCGAATCGACGACGACGACGTGAGGTGGAGCGCATTAACTCGAGTAAATCGTGCGAAGCGAGGATCGAGGCAGGTGTGGGCTAAATATTGTTTTTCGAAGGCTGTGGTGCTTCGTGATTCATAGAGCCGATTGAATCCATTGGTAGGAAATGAGTGTCACCATCTTAGAAGAGTAGAAAGGGGGGAAATGAGGGTGTGTGCGCTGGGCTTTATGTGTCAAAGAGTCGCGGAAAATCTCCCGACCCGCCCCCGGATTGCGGGGTTGCCAATCAACTGACACATTGTATGGACTGATCTTCTTGGTCTTCTGACTATGGTCTGAAGAAAGGGACGAGGCGACCATCCAGAAAGATGGTGTTCAGAGAGCTAGAGAAGAAAGAAATCATCTACGAATGTCAAGGAACGAAGACGTAGCCGGAAGATGTCATAGTGTTTTGCACAATGAATGTCCTAAGCATCCCGAGGTCTCAATATTTGAAATGGATTATTGATTAGCTGTAGCTTTGGGGGTGGCAATATGCTCTAACTGTCATTAGTCCAAGTGACCTTTTATCCCAGTTCAGTATCAAAGTTTGGGAGGCAGAATCACTGCCTAGGTGCGTCGGACCTTGAGCAGATTCATAAGGGGTCTCGTTGTTCATGGATTACGCCGCTCGAGTCTAAGCTGTACCGGTCGCATCCGAAACTCAGCAGGTTTCCTGAATTTATCAGGACATATGAGTGCCCCCCACGGGCTTGATCGTTTACTCTCGATAACTGGGGCAGAAGCTATGACGTGGCTTAGCCGAAATCTATTCCATACAATTGGAGTCCATTGCATTTGTGGGGCACCTCAGCTTGCAAAGAAGAGCGAGTTGTCAAGAATAATGCTGTCAACAGAATATCAAATTCATAAATGCTGGATTACGCGGACGACGGTTGTCAACATTGCAATCCGCGGTCCAACCCGCTCCAGCCCCGCGATCGTCAGCTCCGAACTCCGTCCGAGCTTGACCGCATTCCACATCCAACTATAAAACAACCCGCATCTCCATTTGAACCCCCATCTCAATCCACCAAACAAGACATCCCACTCAAACAACCAAAATGGCAGTTTACACAACCGATCACTCAGCCTCCGTCCTCCAAACTCACGGCTGGCGCACCGTCTCCAACTCAGCGTCTTATCTCCTGCCACACATCAAACCAGACATGAATATCCTCGACATCGGCTGCGGTCCAGGGAGCATAACGATCGACATGGCAAAACACGTCCCAACAGGGCACGTAACGGGCGTAGAATACGTCGCCGACCCACTCCCAGCTGCGCGCGATCTTGCAACGTCGCAGGGCATATCGAATATCACGTTCCAGGAGGGTGATATCCACGCACTGCCCTTCGGAGATGAGGAGTTCGATATCGTGCATGTACATCAAGTACTTCAACACATCGCGGACCCAGTGGCCGCACTCTCGGAAATGAAACGCGTCTGCAAGAGGGGCGGGATAGTCGCTGCGCGAGAGTCGGCGGGGATGAGCTGGTACCCCGAAAACGAGGGGATATCTAAATGGAAAGAAGTTACAGAAGTCATGGGCCGTGGAAAGGGAGGGAATCCGAATCCCGGGTCTAGGATCCACGTTTGGGCGATGCGCGCGGGATTTGATTCTTCTATGATTGAGAGGAGTGCGGGGTGTTGGTGTTTTTCCAGTCCCGAGGAGAGAGCGTATTGGGGTGGTAGTATGGAGGAGCGGGCGCGGTCGAGTGGGTTTGCGAAGGGAGCAGTTGACGAGGGTTATGCGAGTGAGGCTGATTTGGAGCTGATTGCGGCCGGGTGGAGGAGATATGTTGAGGATGAGGAGGGGTGGTTTGGGATGTTGCATGGGGAGATTCTGTGCCGGAAGTAAATTCATAGGAAGTGGTTAAGGGTGGAAAGAATATGCATTGTAAGCCTGAAAGAACCCTAGAAATATCCGATATCTGATGTCGGGATGCGATATGCAATAGAATTAGGAAAAATCACCAGCCCTCGTCGTACTCCTGTTGGTCCTCGCGGCCGTCGTCGTAGCCGTCTTCTCTAGCGTCGCGAATGTCGTCTTCCTCGTGGTCCTCATCTGATCTGTGTTAGGATACCTTTCAAACAAACAACCAAGTGGTTGGAAACTCACCACGTTCATGCTCAATAAACGCTCCAGCAAGTCCACCCATGGCAAGACCAGCCGCACCAGCAGCGAGATACTTGCCAGCATTACTCTTCTTCTCCTGGGGCGGCTGATATCCACCCTGGTCGTAACCACGGTTGTCATAACCGCCTGGGGGCCCAGGCGGAGGCGCATAGTAACCGCCCTGAGGCTCAGGCGGGGGCACCGAGCGTGAACCATCATAGTATCCCTGATCGGGTGGTGGGCCGTAGGGCGGCTCCCACTGCGCGCGGCCAGTGGCATCCTCAACCCAGAAAGCGCGGCGCATGTTGGGCTCCCATTCTTGGTGCCAGCCAGCAGGCAATGGGGGCGGGGGGCCTGGCGGGGGTCGGGCCATGGGAGGTGGTGCGCTGTATGGGCCGCGCTCATAGGGCGGGCGGTCGTAGGCCGGTTGGTCGTAGCCGGCTGGGGGGCCGGGGGAAGGGCGACCGTAGGGGTCTTCGTAGTAGGACATTTTGTGGGAGAGGTGTGGTGGGGGGAGGAGGAAGAGAGTGAGAGAGGATGACAGAGGGGGAGGGTGGGTTTTATGTAGAGGGGGGGGGAACAATCAATCAATTAAGACAGCTTTCCGTCCAGAACCGAACTCCATCTCCACTCACACTGAACACAGTGAATGCTGTGGAGTCAACTGGTACATAGCGTGGAACAAGCCTTGTGCGGCGACTACTCCTGGCCCGGTCCGACTAGGCAGCGACTATCATTTACCCCTGACGGTCCCTAAGGTGTATGCTTGGATTTGATTCGAAAGCCCTGCGACAAAACACCCCGCTAGCAGGCGCCAAGTGTCGTCGTGTCACGGCCAAGTCTGTCCGGCTCAAGCCATGCAAGAACACATGCTCCCAGGAACATACAAGGCGAAAAGTGCAGAGAACAGTACCACGGAACTCCTGATCGGCCCGCTCCACACAAGCTTGACGAGCTCATCACTCCCTATACGGAAACAATCCTCACACCCCACAGCCCCGGGGACAAATGACTCAAGTGGATCCAGGAAGTCTCTGAATAAATCTCGCACGTTCTCTCAGAATAACTCCGAGCGGAGGCAGAACTAGTTGCGTCGTGCGGCACTAACGGCTGCGCAGAGCCACGATGTGGCTCAGGTGTGGGACACAGCCACTCGGTGTGTCACACGTGGCTGGATTTCGCACTGACCCGGTGTGGATTGTACTGTATCTACCTGGGAGTGTGGGCCTGATGAGGAGAAGATGACGAAGGCCGAGAGTCTCGGCGTTACGGAAATTATGGGTGTGGAGAGGTATCAGATTAGGGGATTGGGGGAGCCCCTTTATCCCTGATTTGTTCAATTCAATTCAATCGATATGGATGACAGATAGTAAAAATGTCCAATCTGAAAATGATTACAGGAAAAGAAAAGCTATATTATGTGTGAAATTAACCCTAGGAGCCGGCGAGATTGCTCGACTGGTTGCTGTTCGGGTAGAAGAACGCCGCCAGAGCGATGATCACGTAGGCGGCGATGAGCAATGCACCCTCGAGGTAATTACTCCGCCCGTCCAGGACGAGGAAGTTCACCACGAAGGCAGTCACGAACAGACAGATGGTCTCGAACAGGGTGAAGTAGAGAGACATGTCCTTGTCCATGGCCCAGCCGAGAATGACGACGAGAGGGGTGACGAAAATGGCGATCTGAATACTGCTACCGACGGAAACACCGATAGCCAGATCCATCTTGTTCTTGGTAGCCACACTGACGGCAGTAACGTGCTCGGCGGCGTTACCGACAATGGGAAGAATAATTAAACCGATGAATGCCTCGCTGACGGACGAGCTCTTGATCATGTCGGGAATGGCATCGACCAGGAACTCGGCGCAGACGGCAACCAGGGCGGTGGACAGCAGGAGCAAGACCACGGCCGCGGTGCGAGACATGTTAGGCTCGGGTTGCCGGTCTGCAGGCTCGACAGCGGCAGCGTCACCGGCCGTAGGACCGCGGGCAGCACCGCGAGCAAATTGCACGGCATTGCCGGCTGGCGGAGCGCGGCTGATGTGTGCGGGCAGTGAATTGCTGCGGGAGATGCCGGGGTGAGAAGCAGCAGCGCCAAGACGAGGCGAGTTGTTGGGAGACTGAGAGCTGAAGACCGTGCTAGAAAGCAGAGACGGGAAAGGACCGAAAGGCGACCTTCTTCTGGAACCATCGACTTCCCCAGCGCCTGCCATACCGGCGAAGGTAGGTGCGGACGCGAAACCCTTCATGCCGGGACCGTTATGCTCATACTGGGCAGGTTCTACCTCTGTGGGCTTAGGGGCCTTCTCGCGAGCCTTCTCGCGCTTGAAGCGACGCTTTTTGCGCTCCTTCTCGCGCTTCCGTGACTTGTCGCTTTGCGCGCTCGCAATACGACTGGCCGGGATACCGAAATCACGCGAAAGGAAACCCGAAGGATGCTGCGCATCGTCGTCGGCTTCATATCGGGTTTCGTCACCAAAGTCGATGGCGCACGAGCTGGAGTCGTTGGCGTTGCTTGTAATCGAGTTACCGACCGAGCTCTTGTTCTCGTTGTCCATAACCTTCTTCCGAACGGAATTATCCTTGGAGCTGGTGCTGGACTTGCGGTGCCGACGGTGTTTCATGGCTCTCTTGATCCGCTTGGCGGTACTCCATGAGTTAGTTGTGTCGACAGACTCGTCGCTGGAGCTGGAGGAGGATTCGGAGGAGCTGTTCATGAGCTCGGCCAGGATACCGGGGTGGGACTCCTCATCGATGATGCGTTGAGGGATACTGGCGTAGAGGTAGGAGTGGGACTTGAGCTGGAAGAGGATGTACAGTATGTACACAAGTAGCAAGACCTAATCCGTTAGCTTTGTTTCGGTGTACTCCTGGGTGTTGACTTACCACACTGGTTCCACGGCTAACCTTGAGAGTCTCGCGATCGGCATTGGCGCTGTTCGACCACGAGGCATGGAAAGCAGTGGGCAGCAAAAGACTCGTCACGCTCAGACTGAGCAGACAGGCGCTCATCTGGGTAACGGTACTATTGTAGATCTGCTCCTGGAAACGCAGGCCACCAAGAAGGAAGGCCATACCCAAAATAAGGAGCAAGTTCGCCAGGATGGAACCCAGCAGAGAAGCCTGAACGATGCGAATCTCATTTTTGACAAGAGCAATAATGAAAATGATCAGCTCGACGGCGTTACCAAAAGTGACGTTGATCAGAGCTCCGATCGTGTCACCCAGGCGAGAGGCCACGCTCTCGGTAGCGTGACTGAGTAGTCCGGCCAAGGGGATAATGGCCACGGCGTTCATCGCGAAGACGATGGCCGGGTTCAGGCCGATTGCCTTGACGGCAATACCGACAGGCACGAAGACCAGCAGGACGTTGACCCAGCTGTGGAAGATGGCGTCCTTGGTGTGGTTGTAGAACCGGCCGCTGCCATTGCGCATACGAATGAGCAGGCCTGGTTTGGTGTTGTCTTTCTCGGAGGGACCTGGCGCAGAGCCGGAGCCCTCGACTGTATCGTTCATCTGTACATCTTGAGAGGAGGAAGAGGTTTCGGCGATAGTGTCGGCCTTCAGGTTGGGGTTGGTTTGGCTTTGGCCGCGAGAGGATGCGTGAGCTTTCGCCCACGAATTTATCCGGTCTGGGGGTGGGTCAGTCTAGACCCGGGAACGAGGAAAGTCAGCAGGAGAGAACGCACGCATGTATTTCAAGAACCAGCAGCTGATTCAAGGCACAAAGGAGGCCTGGGGGGAAAGTTGAAGAGGAGAGAGTCTGGACAGACGCCCGTGGTAAAACAGGGAAGTGAAAGATAAGGGGGGGGGGGGGGGGGGGGACGGTCTTATTTATGAGCTTGGCGATCCTTGGCACAGCGATGGGAAAAGCATGGGAAACTCAGAGTCGCGATCCGCCGATCTGCAAATAGTTGACGAAGGCTACTTTGACAGCCGCATCCTCCGCATTCCTAGTATTGAGGCCTCGTAAGCGGATCAGCGGTATCCCTTGTGATGTCACACCCCTTTTACTATCTACACAAATAACTGCTCCGAAAAAGACACTCCCAAACATGGCAAGTGACGCGTTCTCCCGACTCTCCCGATTGGGAAATACCAAGTTGCATCCTCGCATAGAATCCGGATCCACCGTGGACAATGTCCGACAAGGCGGGTCTCGTTATTGGCGACACCCGCTGATGATCGACGACTCCGCCCGTCTGGTCTACGAGGGTCCTGAATAGCCTCACTGAGGCGAGCACGCCCTTCCCAATTTGGGAGTGCAGCAGTCCGAGACCGAGACCGAGACCTATCCCCGAGTCATCGTGTTCGACCTTCGAAAAGTCCGAGGACATCGCAACGATGCCCGAGTCGGGCTCGTATATGCTTATCTGATACGAGTCCAGCTAGCCTGACGAGTCACAGCCCAGACTCCACGCTGGGCAAGCCCACCAATCATTGTGATGTCATCTGCCGGGGCTATTTATCGTGTCAAGTTGGACAGGTGCACGAGTAGTCAGGCCTTTGTTGGGCTGCAAGCAGTAACTCTGCACAGGGATAATCCGTGGTGACACTTCTCAACTGTCTGTGTGTGTGAGAGAGAGAGTGTGTGTGTGTGTATGGACGGGACTTGTCTCCGCTCTGTGGGTGTGGCTGTGCCCATTGCCACACTTGCGTTTGAGTAGCGTCTGACTCATTTCTACGTGGGGATGCTGCATAATGGTACAGAATACAGAATACTGACTACTAAGTAGTGGGAGAAGTAATGCTCGAATATCCGATTCGTGGTTAAGCGAGGATGGAATGGCCTAGATGTGTGGCGAGTGTCCTGCTACCTACGGGGAGCAACCCTGCTGTAAATCGTAAGCCCGGCAAGTGCTCATACCGACTTTTGAGTGGATTAATAGCTTCCTAGTGGATAGTTTCTGACATTTTAGTTCCTAGCCTTGAAATCAGGCGCTTCTGCGAAATTGGATGTCCAAGTGCCACGCATATATATTTTACCTACGATTCGTGTTGCCTTGGGGTTGCATATGGCCAGGTCATAAATTCTCGGGGACAATTGGGGATCATTGTCATCGATAAATCTCAAACATACAAACTAGGCACCCTCGATAAACTAAATCGGCGGGTTCTGGATAAAACAAAGTTGCTCATCGGTGAGTTGCTGGCGGCTCGGTACGGCTCGCTCGCACGGCACCCCGATCCGTATCCAGGTACTGTACTTGGATATTCCATCAGTCTGAGTTTTGCTCTATTTACTCCCAAGCGATCTCCTTACTGCCATTTTCGACATATTATACTATCGCCATGAGATTGCAAGATTTTTGAGTGATTACTTGCCTACATGATCCAGTCATGGCGATAGCTGACAAGGGAACCCGGCCATCTCGGGCCGGGCGCGTGAGGTACATATTATCCGAGACCGACATAACAACCTTGAAACAACCAACAATGCCACAGTATACTTCAGAATGGCGAAAATGGATAGACTTAGACTCCGCACTATGCTCTTGATACTCAGAGGCGCACTGGCCCCATTTGTCCAGGTACACATTCCGATGATCGCCGTTGATCATCCTCCAGATACCAGAGCACATATATATCCCGAGGGCATCATGACCACAATTGGCGCTTGTTCGATGTATTTTCCATTTTTTCTTCCGTCACCATCATCCGCGCGGACATGTTCCCGAGTCACTTGCCTGGAATTTGTAGCCCGTCTCTTAAAAGGGTTCATGATCGGCTTCATGATCGGCTTCGTGATCGCCACGGAGGTGTCCCTGTCGGCCTACCGATTACCAGGAGAGAGAATGTATTCCATGACATCAAAGGGTACCTCCTATCCGCCGAATATGTGCTGCAGGCACAAATCCCTTTGCAGAGTGAAACACATTAACCGGACTATTCATTGGAATAGCCCTGCTGCTCCGGGCACGGACTGCGATGGACACTTGATTAGCAGGAAGGCGAAACAGATCTGCAATCTAAGCAAATAGATCCAAACTTGCATGACCAAGCTCGATGGGCTACACCAGCAAATTTCACGCCAATCTCTTCCACTTCAAGGATGAGATAATGGACCAAACCGTTAACCGACGACCTAAGCGCCGTTGGATACCTCCGCAGTCTTCTTCTGCCGCTTTCTGGAATGTCGATGCGGCCGGAGACCCTGGAGACAATAATAAAGAATGAAGGACCGCATGAGGCTGACGACGCGCCGGAAGGGGAGATGAAACATTCGGAGATTCGAAAGATAGTGGAGACGCACCACGCAGGGCTGGTTGACGCGGCCGAGCTTGTTAAGCTAGGACCATCTCATTTTCTCCTAGAGCTGGAGCCTAACAAGCCTAAGCATTTGGACAAGCAACAACGGACGCGCGGTGAGGCGCAAACCAGGGACGCCGAAGCAAGGGGTGGAGCGCTAGTCCGCACCGGAACGACTTTGCGTCACGCTTCGAGCGGGAATGGCGCCGCTATTACTCCGGTAAGAAACAGGGTCCCAGGTACCCGCGTCGTTTGAGGCATATTTGGCATCTGAAAAATCCGGTGATGAGTATCGCTTTACGACAGATCCTGACGTACGTCAGAATTCTTCGGGTTTCTCTATGTGAGCCATTCGCTAGTGATCTGCTCAATGCGACTGCAATTGGTGTATTTTGTGGATGGGAAGCTTATTGGTGGTACGATGAAGCGTGGGAGATTGGTTTTTCCAAAGAAAAAGTTTATTCGAGTGGTTCTCGCTCAGTAAGAAAGAGCAAGGCAAATAGGACAGTAGACCCTCGTCGCATGTGGATCCGACCACGATTCACACAGTCCATAGTGGACGGTACAAACAGAACTCTATGGACAGTAGCCGAAGTGAATAGTCTCCATCGCACCATTTATTGTGGTGCATGATGCGTTGATCGTATTTGCGCTGCTGTCGGTGTGCGAGATCCTATCTCATCCATCCAGGGGAATTCTATTTACGTCCACAGAACGGGGGCGACAATCGCAAAAACACGCCTTTTGGAGTATAATCAATGATATCAATTGGTGAAGCAAAGGCTTTGGAAGTAAAAAATCATTGCAATAGTCAGAAATCGATAGACTACGATCAATAAAGTCTAGGTACGGTGTCGTCTCTAACATTCCGGCCGTAAACAGAAGATAGGGCGTAACCAAGAATACTCAAGTGGCGTGAATTTAGAGTAGAAATTCAGGGGGTAGATCAGGGCCTGTTGGATAATTGAAAATACTCAGTTTCGTTCTTTTCCTTGCAAAAGAATGATACTCACCCCAGACGTGCAGGTTGTCAGGGGATGCCTGAGACCGGTTTATTGGATGCTCATCATCCACCAAATCGCCATCCACGTAGTGTTCAAGGATAAAACGCGAAGTATCGAACCTGCAACCGTCAGAAATTTTTCATAGAGCAATTTTTAGGACACAAAGTACCAGTAATCGAAGATCTGAGAACCCATGACGTGTCGTCCTACACCCCAGCAGTTCTCGTAGCCTTTGTGGCGGAGCCAGTCGTGTCCCAAGACTTGAGTGTCAAAATTGTGCGTTTCGAAGTATGAATGATGTACATGTGATTTGGAACCTTCGAAGAAGAAGAAGCAATGGTGATCTACTTTCTCTGAGTCACGGTCAAGATGAAGGAACGTGGTAATATCGCGCCCATTCCCGTCATAGACCAGCTGTGCTCACATAACTCTGTCAGCACACTTTTTCCATTGAAATCATCAGAAATGTTGGTACTAACATCGCTAGGCTTGAAGTTAAACCGGGTTGTATAGAACTCAAAAGCTTTCGCAAAGTTGGTCACACATGCCAAAGTGCCCTATTTTGTGCACAGGTGCTGGACCTACATTCCTTCGGAGATTAGTGGCAATTGTTGCCGACAGATATTTGCTTCCACTGACCTTTTTCAAATCTCTGGAACTTGTTTCTGGGTCGGTATTTTTCGGTTGGCTTCATAAATAAGTAGGATAAATTAATAATGAACCAGCAGCACGAGAAGGTGACGTTATAGAAAACTTACGAAATTGAACTTCAACGGGGGAAAAGTCTTGACGTCGTCATGGCATTTCTGTCCATAGACAAGGTGAAAAGGGAAATTATCAGCAGGATCCCTGAAAGTCACGTAGAGCCCACTTCCGGGCGCATCAGTGAATTCTGTAATCTTACTGGCGCCAGGCAGTGTCCGAGAAGCATATTCCAGGTCTTCCTCGGACTCCACAGTGAAGGCGGCCCCCCCAAATTCATCCTCATCACCCTCCCGCGCACAATAAACGAACGGCTCAAAGCCTGTGCCACGATAGTAAGTATCTTTTCCGACGCGTTTCACTTCTTGGAATCCGAAGTCCTCAAGGAACTGTCGTGCTTTGTTAATGTCCCTGTGGGTGTAGTAGACATGTGAAATGCGGACTAGGTTGATACATCGTAGTCCAGAATTGTTACTATTATACGGGATGGAGTTGGTCATCTTTCAAATGAGATTGGGTATTTAGGGCGGTTCAATTGTTGATGTAGAGCAGACACAGCGAAATGCAAGCTCCATCTTCGCATATATAACCAAACGGTAGCTTGACTTGCTCTACGAGATGAACAGGCTACCACTTGATTCAAGGCAAGGTCTTGGCCGCTGTAATTTGCCGGGGAGTTCGGAATATCCGGGGAGGTCCCGGGCCATCCTCGGTCAGTCTCCCTACCGCTCCGCACCCAATACCAGTCCGAAAATAGTCCCCTTTTCTGATCTCAAACGATGCTACTTTCCACATTTAACAAATCGACACAACCTATTAGGCATGATGTAGGTGCAGACTCCACGCATAGCTCGGTTGTTGGGTGGGAAATAATCCTACCGAGATCTCACCGAAGGCTACAGCCATTTGGAATCGTAATCTTCGCAAAAGAATTCTTCCATATGATTGAATATACGGAGAGTCCACTCGAGAACTCCCTGTGCTTAATACGCACTTGAACTGTTATTGAAGTTCTCTGAGAGAATTTACTTCCGGCTTCATTCTATTCGGTTTTCAGCGAAGAACAAGACCAGAGCGAGAAGATGGCACAATATTGGACGCATCTCGTTCGTTTCATCGCTGAGGAAGATGGTCAAGTGCATCTGGGACAGGTAGACTCTACACAATTTCCCGATGTCGGTCTCGCCATGTTGAACGGCGAAAAGGTGACGGTGAAGGAGATCAAGGGGTCTGTATTCGACGGTGTAGTTCAGAATAGAGTTCAGAATGTCTCTCAGGTACGTCAGCCTACCAAAACTCAGCATGGACTAAAATAGGCACATCCTGGACCTCAATACTGATTAAGAAGCATTATGCAATAGATCCTCTAGCCTATCAGTATGGAAGATTTCCCTCTCATTCGCTGCATGGGGCTCAACTACCGCGATCACGCATTAGAAGCCAATATGCCGATTCCCGACGTGCCTGTACTTTTCATTAAGCCCCGTACAGCTCTGAATGGGCCACAGCCAGCGAGAATCAATGTACCGAAGATCGCGCAGGATGGCACGAGCGACTATGTAGCGGACTTGTCAATCATTATGTCGAAGACAGAGAAAGACATCCCCGAAAAAGATGCTATGGATTATGTGCTTGGATATACCTCCAGCAACGACGTAAGCGCGAGAACACAGCAGTGGAAAAATAGCCAGTGGTCAATCGCTAAAGGTATGTGGTATTACCTTGCTCTCGGAAACCCTTTTAAACAAAGACACCAATACTGAGGAAAATACTGAGGAACAGGATTTGATTTCTCCTGTCCGATCGGCCCCATTCTTCTCGCTCCATCTGCCATCAAGGACCCGCATCAACTTGCAATTAAAGCAATCCATAATGGTAACATAGTCCAAGGTTCAAATACCCAGTAAGTAATCAATCTTCAAACTTCTAATTGTTATTTCATCTTGGGCTAAGCATTGAATGTAACAGGGAAATGATATTTACTATACCTCAAATAATTTCGTTCCTCTCTCAGGGAACAACTCTTGAAAAGGGTACGATCATCATGACGGGAACTGGACCTGGTATTGGGGCTATGCGGGACCCCAGAGTTGTTCTGAACCACGGTGATGAGATTCGGGTGGAGATTGAAAGATTGGTACTTTGGTTAACACAGTCTACTATGAATAAAGAACCCATTTGTCGTGTCTTATCATTATCATCTATATTATAATGTATAAAATGAAGTATAAGATCACTTGTTCCCGAAGTACAACTTGTCATCTTTAATTAATCCTTAGTTCCAAGTCCTAGCCAATTTACTTAAAGATTTTTGTATACAGTAAGATCAAAATAATTTACAGAGTTTTGCATATAAAGAACGATACGGGAAAACATTGATCTACGACCCGTCTCAGTAAGTAAAAAATAACTAAAGTAAGTCCCAGTCGAGCCGTCTACTCCGAAACACTATATTAAATGAGATTACACCTTCATATTTCAACAACCACGTATATTTAACATAAAGTATTGAAGTACTGTGATCTAAATAGTATCAGTTACTTATTGAATAATTAGACTCTACATTTCTTGGTGAGTTTACCTTTAACCTCGGGCCGGAGGGTTCTCGGTGAAATGTGTAATTAACCCGCAAAGTTGCATTGATATTCAGCTTGTTTTACTGTAGAGTTAGACTATAATTGTCTCATTATTTCCTCCTCTGGTGATTGTCTAACGGACGCAGTGATGTATAACCCGAAATTCCAGCGAGAGGGGCCGGGTGATATGCATTATTACGCCGAACGTAAATTATTATCTCTATCTGTGTGGGGACCCCAACTATCTCAGTCAGGGGATCCAATTGAGGAGACTTCTGCCTCGCCATTTTATAACTCGAACTATCTCTCTTCCAAGTCAATATAAATTAGATTCAGCTAAATGAATAACGTATTCGGTGATTTCGCAGCCTAAGGCCTGGAAAGCAAAACCACTCGTCGACTAAAGATTGACGGTGGTAATCTAACCGGACGTGCGAAAGGACCCCAAAAAACTTTCAGCAAAGGAGTTTGATATGGAGCACATACGCCAAACGCAAATTTTTGCGGACCAGCCGCCGAACCAATCTGACCTCGCGCATGCATTCGACCAGAAGGTGAGCAGCAATTTGACTTGACCTAGTACCAAACAACATAATTTCTGAAATTCTTTAGCAGTTTGCGACCGATTTTGGCGCTGTCTCCTTGGCTTGTTTGATCTTTGCGGCTGTTTCGACGTTTGCTTTCTGGAATCGAAAGCCCTGGAAGCAGAGCGCAGGAAAGGCATCCAAAGAGGATAAAACAGTTACGAAAACGGGAAGATGCGTCATTCAGAAGATGGAGGAAGAGGACACGAACTGTGTCATTTTTTTCGGTTCCGGCGTCCTGAGATCATGATTTTTCCCATCATCGTATTTCGGTAATCGGTCTATTTTTACGTGTCACCGTGATTGAGCGTCAACATGGTATCTATACTATCTTCAAATATTGTTTTGACGGTAGCTGGCCTACTCTTTGTCTATGGCATTTACCGTCTATTCCAGGTTGGCAAACGGGACCCACGACTACCCCCTGGTCCTCCAACGGTGCCAATTCTCGGGAATATGCTGGATATCCCTAGCACTGGTCTGGGCAAAAAGTAAATCCGCATTTCTTTTATTTAGCAGACATCCGATTTAACATGCTGGCAGGTTCATGGAATGGTCGCATAAATATGGGAATATATATTCCCTCAAGGTCGGATCGGGGACCATGATCGTTATTTGTGATCGCAAAGCTGTCCATGAATTGATCGACAAAAAAGGCAGTATCTACTCTGATAGGCCACCTAACATTGTTCCGCTCTTTATCACTCGTGGGAACCATATGACCATGGAATGTCAAACTCCCTCGTGGCGGGAAAAGCGAACGGTTGTAACAAGAAACCTCAACCCCAAGTCGCTTGATGAGAAGCATTTCCGCGTTCAAGAAGCCGAGTGGGTTTTCATTTACCAATTACTTCCCATATTAGGGTACGGGTGCTAATCCGTCTTGAAATATAGAGCCGTCCTTTTTTTGAATCGATTAGTCGAAGAACCGACGAAATTCTTCCCCTATGCTAGACTGTATGCGTCATCGGTTGCGGCGGTATTGGCTTGGGGTTTCCGTGCAAAGAGCCTCGACTCCTTCTGGTTCAAAGATGTGTCCGAGATGATTGAAGAGGTAAGTCGCCAGCTCTCCGTGATATTAGTCATTAACCAATTCATATAGTGGCTTGAAGCAATTGAGCCTGGAGCAAACCCACCTGTGGATCTAACCCCTTGGTTGTGGTATATGCCAGGTAGTTGGAAGAAGCGCGCTTACCGTATGCGTAAAAGAATGGACACTATATGGGGTAAAGCGCGTCAGCTGGTGGAAGAACGTCGCACCCGTGATGACAAACGTGAGTGTATGATTGACATGAAACTGGATGATTACAACAAGGATGGTTGGCCGATGAGCCAGCATGGTTTCAACAACCTCTTTGGCGAGCTTATGGAGGCCGGCGCCGACACCACTGCGAATCAGATTCTGACCTTGATTCTGGCCTTGGCTAAGAATCCCAAGATCCAAGAAAAGGCCCGCAAGGAGATTGATGCCGTTTGCGGGACTAAGCGAGCTCCGCTATTCTCCGATTTTGAAAAGTTGCCTTATATTAACGCTATTGTGAAAGAGGGTCTCCGCTGGCGCCCTACGTGGGTTTCTCTCCCCTAGAAAAACATACACGCACTCACTCCCACTCACTCATAAACACATACGCTCACCTAATACCAAGATGACGTGAATACAGTCTTTTTGCTGACCCATTCATGAGTATGCAGATCCGACCTGGGACTTCCTCATACAGTCACAAAAGGTGAGTTTTTAATCATATGCCATGTAAATTAACCACGGCTAACTCAAAACACAAGATGATTGGTACGATGGCATGCTTATCCCCAAGGGAAGCACGATCTTTGTCGGCGTATGGGCTATGCACCATGATGAGAACTATTACCCCGACCACGACACCTTCAACCCGGACCGATTCGTGAATCACCCGAAACTGGCAAGCGACTATGCAGTCGGCTCTAACTATGAGAACAGAGATAAGTGATGTCTTTCAGATCAACCGTGCATGTTGACTAACATCTATTCCACATCATTATGGCTACGGTGGTGGACGAAGAATCTGCCCTGGCATTCACCTGGCTGAACGTAGCATGTGGCATCTTGCTGCTAAGCTACTCTGGGCCTTTGAATTTGAGGAACCCATTGACCCGAAAACTGGCAAAGTTAAGCTCTTGGACCCCAACGCATATACATCCGCCAACCTGGTATGCCCTCTCCCGTTCGACGTGCGGATAAAGCTTCGTAGCCCGGAGCATGGCGAGGTGATCAAACGGGAATTGGCAAACGCAGAAGAATTTTTGTCTCAGTACAACTAATCCTGCATACTGTCAAGACCTTTGCCCGTAACTTGTTGAGGGATATTTACCTGTATATTCTTGGCATCGGCGAACCACGGTTGGGAAGACAATGAATGATAGCTGAGTATTTTGAATTTTACAGAGCGGTATAAGCGACCTAAGGTTAATAGCACATTCATTGGCGGTTCTTCCTCCATGCCATATAATATGCCGGTTTCACAGCTGGAATAACCAGGGACGGTTCTTCTGTCGGATAAACTTACAAGAGTACAATCTACACGCAATGGGACGTCCTAGGCTTAGAAGTCCTATCATATGAAGAGGACGAGTAGTTGGAGACTTGTGTTGAATTTTATCGCTATCTGGAGACGATATACTGGGTTAGACCTTTATGCATAATACTGGGTCGTATTTCGACCACAAAGCATCCCTCCACACCTCACAGAAGCCTAAACTTAGCCGCAATAGCCAAACAGACAACCATAAACACAACAAAACTGCCAACGATCCCAAAGAACCACGACAACCCCGTTGTTTCCTCCCCGGGAACCTGAACGTTCATCCCAAACAACCCCGTGACAAAATGACACGGCACAAAGATGGTTGCCAGCACCGTAACCTTACTCATAACCGAGGTAATCTTATGACTAACCCTTAGATTCGTCGCACTAAGCTGCGCCAGCGAATTCGCCTGACTCCGACCGATAATCTCATCGATATGCGACAGCGTCGATAAAGTCGTGACCAAATGGTCCTGCACGTCGCCGAGGTAGAGTAGCAGTTCGCCGTCTGGGAAGACGGGTAGTTTGTCGGGGCCTTGGCATCGTTTCACGAAACCGTTCAGCACGTCCACTTTGCCGTGTAGGCAGCGAATGATGTGGGTGATCTTTTTGCGGAGGACGTCGACTTGCGGGATTAATTCTTTTACGTCGTCGATTCGGGCAATGTAGACCTGGTCTTCTATGGCTTCAGATTCGATTTCTGCGGCGCGGGTGAAGGGTTCGAAGCTGTCGACTATGTCGTCGCTGGCTTTTGTTAGTTGAGTGGCAATCGTGGGGATGAGGGGGGGCGTACATGAGTGCGTAGCAGATCCAGTCACTGGAGAGAATGGTCGGATCATGCATCTTGCGAGCTCGTTCGCGGACTCGGTGGACGTGCTCGCACCCGCTTGGAGAGAAGGTGACGACGCCGTACTGAAAGACGAGGATGTAGATCTCCGCAGTGGCTGGGATGTCGGGTCTCTCGCTTTCGCTCAGGTCTCGATCGACAAGAGTCAGGAACGAAATGAGGTAGTAGTTCTTGAAAACCTCGACTTTCTCGCGAGGCTCGCGGATGGTAATGTCCTCCGCCGTCAGAGGATGGATGGAGAGCGCCTGCGAGACCACACTAACGTCCGCTTCAGTCGCATCGCGGATGTCGAACCACCAGGTCGGTCGTGATGGGTCTGGCCGACTCTTTTGGGTCTCCTGGAAGATATGGTCCAGGTTACCGTTAGGGAGGAGGTCGTCCCATGTTGGCGACGTGGTTGCTTTGAGAGTCTGCGAACAGAAGAAGCTGAATCGGTCGGGGGCTGTCTCGACGGTCCTGACTTCGGTTTGCTTCTCCATCTTTACAGGATAGATGCAAAGTGAGTAGTTGGGTCAGAATATCCACCTGATGCCATGAGTGGGCTCACGGCAAGAGATGCTCTCTAGGGGCGAAGGCTGTTCATGGGACGGCACGGAGTGAGTCTCTCAACCCATTCCAATGGCACGGAGATTGAAGGCTTCCCGAGAGCAGAAAAGAACATGAGTTGAGACTGGCGAGGGATCAAGTGCCAACGGACTGTGTTCATGGGGTGAGAGGTATCAAACGTGGTAGAGGCGATAGAGCGAAAAATCCCTGCAACCCGACTTAGTCACAAAGGTACGAACCCCTCTTCTCTGCCCAGCCCTACCCGTTGACCCACGTGGTGCGAGCCAAGATGTGGGTATGCGAAGGTTTTGAGCCAATCGCGTGCTAAACTACGGCGTGTTCCAGAGTTTTTGAAGTCCGGCGCAAACACTGGCACCGGATGGGCCCGGCCTCGCATATAGTGGCTAGGCATCCTCATTTCTAACTTGTTGAATTCTACCATAGCTATCTCCATTCGCTTTTGGAAAGTACAAGCTGAATAGGCGTTGATTGAGGTGAGGGTCTCGGAGGTTCATTATATCGGGATAAGGACGCGTATCCAATTTTTACCTGAAACGAAACCGACAGGACTACTGTAGGATGAAATCATCGCCAAGTCTGAACGAAAACTCCCTGAAACATTTGCGCAAGCTGTCCCAACCTTGAGCTCGGATCACTATGCATTTCCCATAGACTCCGTAGTAATGCTGGCTGCTATAGCGGCCTGGAACGAATCAGCCTCAACGCTCACACACATCGACGAGTCGCACGCACCAAATCAAGACGCATCGATTTTCTGAATGAAACCCGACTTACGCAGTCGCGGATAAGCCAACAAGAAGAATGCGACCACGGCGAGCAGCACGAGAAAGGTCGGCAAGAACATGAACGTGAACAGAAAAACGCTCAGCCCCAGGGTCAAATTCTGACCGTGAAAGCGGCGGACCATGAGGTCGATAATCTCTCCGAACATGAGCCAAGAGCCAAGAGTAGATGATATTCCAAGGTCTATGCCGGAAGCCGTAGGGACGGGCACAAGGAAGGCCTTGCCAACTCGAGTCACGGTCGCAGATCTCCAAGTGCCAATGCCCATATATACCTTCACCGTCAATGGAATCATCGGAATCCCGGAAGGTGCACAGCCATCCCGTAGCCCATTCGCTATATCCGAGTCGAATCAAAGGCCGAATGTTGATGCCTACGATTGGTTGGCGAGGGCATGTCTCGGTGCCGTCATCGACCCAACGGGCATGATCATCTCCACTCTTGGCAACGGAGTAATGGACCATTGCAATGGACCGTGTGTAATTGCATTTCGAATTACCGGTCCCTTGTGGTGTATTTCCGACACCAAGACGGCCCAGAGGCAAGGCGGAAAGTGGAATGCCCCATTCTTACGCTGAGAGGGCGTGGCGCAATAGCTTCAGGCAGCAGTTTTCCCACCCGCCCTGGGAGAGTTCGAGGCTAAGGAAAGGATACCTGCACCTGCAGATACACAGAAACACTTTTCAATGCCGTGACCAAATCACTGGTCCTTGTGTTTTCATCGCTGCAAATGCTATGCACGATGCTGCTCCCGTGCCGTGTGGGTGATTCGTGAGCCGTTCAAGAGAGTCTCCGCTGAGGGGCGCGACTCAAGTTGCAATTACTGCCGAGGTGCAGATTTGTACAGGGTGGGCGGTGGCGGCACTCATTTGCTACAGTCCATAACAAATGAGCAGGCTAGGCTGAGGTAACAGCGAAATCTCGTGAAGGGGGGAAATTACCGCCGATCGGTAACAAAGACGTGTAATTCGACTGTCCCGTAGGGCTGAAGCTTGGCCCGTGGATCCCGGTGCGTTTCGCAGCAAGGCACAGGGTGGTATTTAATCCAGGCCTCAGCTATCTCGGTAACGATCGAGTTCATTTAGTTTCGGGGTGTCTGATGCCAAGCCAATTATGGACGGATGAACTGTGTGATCTGGTCCAGCCGCTCCGATCGACGGTGCAAGTTGTCAAACCGGATCGTCCAGTGGACCCGTGCAGTAATGATGACTCGGAGTAATTATAGTATAGCGCCCTAAATAGCCTGGCTGGGTTCCCCCACATTTCCCCTTCTTTTCCCACACCGTGTTTTCTCTTCTCTCCAACCATGTCTTGGCTCGCAGGCCAAGGTTCCGGCGAGGAGAACGATAACCTCGGCGTTGATTGGGTACTGCAGTACGACTTCGGTGACCTTGGTACAGTCCCTGCATGACTTCCACTTCTGGACAGGTCGCTGACGATCGCAGATCAAGCGCAAGCGATTCTTGAGTTTCGCACGCTCGTTGCGGACTTGCACGAAGCCGGTCTTCGTGTGCAGGTGCGTCATGGCCACGGTTCGTCGCTATTGGTGTGTATTCGGGTGCCTAGGGACCACCTTGGCCAGATGATTCAAAAGTCGAGGTTTGTCATTTCCATGGGAGGGTGTTGGAAACTTGTTAACGAGGGCAGGATTAAGGATTGGTTGTTTGGAATCACGCATAGTCTGCCGACGGGCGACGAAAACACAACCGCCGATCCCGAGACGCCTGCGGAGCAGATCCGCTCGGTTTATCACGCTGTCACTTGGCAGAAGAAACTGGGCGGCGCGGGCATCACGCCGAACCATGGAAAGTGGAAGAACGTGACTGCCTCTTTCCCGCTACACGATCAGGACGCGTGCTCTGAGTTGCTACGACAGTGGAATCGCAAGACGGTGTTGACGACTCAGGATCTCGACACCATCCGCGCGCTCTTTGGTGAAAAGGTTGACCTCGGCATCGACATTGACATTCGATAATTATCATCGTTAACCTTTGAGTTTCCTGCAGGTCGCTTTCTACTATGCTTTTATCAACTGTTACTCGCTCTTTCTGGTGGTGCCGGCCGTTCTGGGCATTTTCGGCTGGCTCTATCTGGGCCCCTACTCAATCATCTACGGCGGTGCTCTATGCATCTGGTGCGTGGTATTCGTCGAGTTCTGGAAGATCCGCGAGTCCGATCTGGGCCTGCGATGGGGGGTCAAGGGCGTCGACAGGCTGAAGATGGATCGGGCGCAGTATGAGTGGGAGAAGGAAGTCACGGACCCCATTTCAGGGCAGGTGGTACACGTCTTCCCCGGGTGGAAGCAGTTCCTGCGACAGCTGCTCCTGATTCCCTTTGCTTCAATCGCTAGCGTCGCTCTTGGAGGCTTGATCTGCGCCACGTTCGCATCAGAAGTCTTCATCTCGGAGGTGTATAAAGGTCCTTTCAAAGGATACCTGGAATTTCTGCCGACCGTTCTCTTCTCGCTCTCGCTCCCCGCCATTAACTCTTTTCTCACCGGCATCGCAACCCGCCTGACCGACTACGAAAACTACCGAACGCAGGATCTGTATGACCTCGCACAAACCCAAAAGACCTTCGTGATGAACTTCATCACTTCCTTCCTGCCGACCATCTTGACCGCATACGTCTACGTTCCATTCGGCAAATCCATCATCCCTCTCCTCGATATACTCCGATGGACCGGTCTCAATTCAGATACCGCCAAGATCTACCGTGAGTTTGAGGTGGACACATCTCGTTTCCAGCAGGAGGTTATCTACCTATCGATGACCGCACAGGTGCTCAGCTTCGGCGAGGAGATCGTCCTGCCATACGTGAAGCATTTCCTGTGGCAGAAATGGAGAAACTACCGGGACCGCAAGGCTGGATTAAGTCGCAAACGCAGCTTGTCCAAAGCCTCAGACTTGCTATTGATCGACCCTCTGGAAGAAGCATCGTTCCTGAAACGCGTGCGCAGCGAGGCCGACGCCGATGAATATAAAGTGGAAGACGACATATTGGAAATGTGTGTGCAATTTGGCTATCTCGCCCTATTCGGCGTTGCATGGCCACTTGTCCCACTGGGCTTCCTACTGAACAACTGGCTGGAATTACGAGGCGATTTCTTCAAACTTACCCTGGAATGCCAGCGCCCACCCCCCATTCGAACAGACTCCATCGGACCGTGTCTCTTGGGCCTGGATTTGATAGCCTGGATGGGCACACTGTCCACAGCAGCGATTGTCCACCTATATCGAGGCCCCATGTCCGAAGTCCGGCTATCCTACCTTCTCTTGACTATTTTCGTGGCGGAACAAGCATACCTCGCCCTCCGGTTCATAACCTCCACAGCGTTGCAAAAGATCTTCTCCGACGCACTCCGTCGCGAAGAAGCCCGGCGATACGCAGTGCGAAAAGGCTTCCTCGAAGCCAGCACGTCGCCCGCCGAGAAATCAACTTCACCTGGTGGGCGGGTCCGCCAGCGTGTGCGTTTCCACGAGCGGGTCAACGTCTATCCCTCCAGCGATAGCAATCATTCGCCCGACGGCAGTCCATCACCGACGATTGAGGAGCCGCATGATGATGTTTTACGTGGATCCGACCGTGAGGCGGAGTTTTGGGCTGGGCCGTCGAGTGACACTGCGGAGGCAGGCGTTAAGCTGATCCGTGCGCTGACTTCGAAAGCAGGGGATGATGCCAAGTGGACTAAAGAGGCATAGAGCATAGCATTTATAGCGCGGCGTTTTGTACAGACTCGAATAAACTCAAAATTTCGCATTTTACAGAGTTACGCGTAGTGTGGAGTTCCGCAAAAAGTAGAGTGGCAAAGATCAAGACCAGGGCAATTCTCACTCGCGTCCCTATTCTATGAATAGAATGACAGCGGCCCAGTCTCTCGATCCTCGACAGAAAAGGGGGTCTATAATTTCAATGGTAATCAAACATGCTAGGACGCTAGGCTGCAGGATAAAGGAGCGACTAGTGAAAACCGAAAACTGGGGAATGTTCAGCCCTACAGGGCCACGCCTTGGCGCAGATCCACCGGTTCCAAGTTTCCACTTGTTCTCCGTTTTCGCTCTTCTTCTCGCCTTCCACCTCCTTTTCTTCTCCCTGAGGTGCAGGGTGCACCGTACACCTTACACCACACGCCCTCTCTTGGGCCACACCTGACTTCTTGTCCTTGTCACTTCGTCAGCCGTGCAGACCGAGCGACATGTGTATAGTTTTCTCGTGACCACCTCTCACAATGGCTCTCCACGGGGACTCCTCCGACACGCTAATCACCACTCCCTCTCCGGCACAACTTAAGCTCTCGCAAATGGACTCTGAGCTAGAACTCTCCGTCATAGAGTCCGCTCCGCCCATTCCAAGAATCCTCCGTGAAGCCAGCGATATAACATGGCAAGAATCCCTCGAAACGCAAGACACGGTGACTCTGCGTCGCCGTGGCCGCGATCGATTCAAACTTCTGCACCAGCAACAATTCCGGAACAGTCTTCTCGCTGGTGTTGGCTACCTCGAACTCGCGAATGCAGGTGACTTTGCTGCGAATGTCTGGAATGACATACCCGTGCCTACCTTTGCCGCCGTGCTGATGGGTATCGGTGGTACGCTGGCGCTGGGCATGGCGTTCGTCGCCTTTCAGGATTTCAGACTGAGTTGGAGGAATGTCCGATTGCTACAAGACGAGAAAGAACACCTCCTGCGCCTGCGGCAGTACCATGCCAAGAACCCCGAGTTGGCACGTTTGCTTGACAGTCGCCTGGGCGTTGGGGTGCGTGAGATCGGTACCGAAGTCGTTGACCGCATCTTCATGGATATTCTCCTAGGCGGTGGCTCGGTTCTTGTTGGTGTCGGTACGCTAATGGCGATCGGGGGTGCAGATCCGCATGTCTTTAAAGCGAGCAATCTGCTCTCCGGGTACATTGGCAATGGGCTGGCTGCGGCGTTCGGTCTTTTTAATGCGGTCTGGTCGTGGTTTCTTATCCAACGGTTCAGAAAGCATGACACTGCGGTGCGGAGGAGCGAGCCGAGTGATGATATTCATCGGCGACTGCATACGCGTTTCCGTCGGTTCCAGTGGCATGCGTTGATCAATGGGGTTATCGGGTTAGTTGCTGGCGCAGCGTCGATGGTTACAGCCACGCGCTGGTGGGGATACGTGGTGTTGATCCCCTGCATAATCTCACTGATCTTTTGCAACTACTTCTGGCGCAAGAAGCTCGGCTATGACCGTCCTGTCCTGGGCCATGTTTCTCTTGCAAGAATGCAGTTGATGCCTCTTGTCGAAGATCTCGAGTATGCGATTATCGTGCAGCGCGGTCTGTCTGGGCAGGAAATATCTCTCCCGCAGACAATTCTGCAACCCGAGTCATTTGAGTCCATGCTGCAGTTTATTGTACGCAATCGCATGCTCGAAATCTATGCCGTCTCCCTGGCCCAGGATAAGAAAACTCGATCGATTCTTCTTGAGATTCCCGCTTCCACCGAGCCAGATCAAATAAAAATCACCCACGACATCCTCCTGCGCCTTTCTTCTCGCCATAAACATACACAGATCCTACTGGATCACGCAAAACGCTTCCTCCGCACCGAAGGCGTCCTCATTTTTACGCATCGCGAACGACATCTCTTAGAGTTACTGGGTTACGCCGTCTGGCATGATCAGACGGTCACGGCCCCGACGCAGGAAATTTCCATAGAGATGAAGTAATACTTAGATTTTTGGGGCGAAGCTAGCGACTGGTCGCCTGCTGACGTTGCATGGCATTAATTAGTAACATAGATATGCTGGCCATGTTAGACCTTCTGTTCTGTCTGAGACATCGAATTCATTGGATATGCGAATCGATTTGGAATGCAATTCTTTTTATCACCTTATTCTTCGCTTTCTAAAGATCTGCATATATACATTCGTACCGAGCACCTATGATAATCAACATTGGAATTGAATCGGTTCAGACCACCACAACCTAGGAATCCAGCCCAGGGCAGTTCTCACTAGTCTCCGAAGTGATGGTGTTATAAGGAGAGGGATCGGTCCAGATAATGTTGAAGCTGTAATGAATTAGCATTTTCCATTCCCATCAACCCCCATTTCCCACCCAAGAGACCGAGTACATACCTATCATCAGGATATTCAGGGGCATTATCATCACCCAGCTTCTTCACAATATCAGTAAGAGCATGATGCTCCCAGCAAATAAGAATATTGCCACTGCCAGTATACCCATCAACAACATCCTTAACACAACCAGAATGATCCCGGCCGCAGGAAGTGTCAACTGTCAGACCAAGGTCCTTAGCCAGGGGCTCGACGGTGTCGTAAGGACGCTGGCGCTTGCCATCTGCAACATGTCAACTTCCTTCTTCTCAGGACCCCGCATTAACAAGAGATAGAAAACCCACCACTCTTAGGCTTCTCAGCCATGATATGTCCGATGTTATAAGACGAGCTAGCGCCGAAGACATTGCGCAGACACTGCGCGCGCTCCAGGCCCTGCGCATTCAAGCCGTTTCCAGAAGCAGGCTTCTCGCCGTGGCGGATGAGGTAGACGATGGGGTCAGCGACGGCGAGAGTCGCCAGGAGAGCGAGGGGGAGGATCTTGAACATCGTCGTATTGTCTTTGTTTTTGTTCTGTTCAAACACGTAACAGCTTCCTACCGTAGTGTATTTATACTTTACATCACCAGATACCCACCTAATCCCTTTCAGCCTTGAAGGACTGCGTATTACGAGCTGGAAGGTGAATACTACCTTCCCCTGTGATCCATCCGGCCAACCCCGATGCGGCCGAGCCATACGTCCTTGTGATCAGCGAGTCATGGGTGGATTCCGGGCTTTTATTCGTGTGCCGATCATGGGGCTAAACCGCTCTGGGGAAGTGCAGCCTGCGCCCCGTGCCGCTCCGCTTACGCTGTTGTCATGCTTGTAGGGACTTGTTTTGAATGAAATGTTTTTTTTTGCTGCTGAATCGAAGAAATGCAGTATCTTCAAGAGTGGTACTTTATTTGATTGTGGAGTTGTGGCTTTTTGTGTTTTGCGATCGTAGCTCAGTAGATTCATACCGCGGCTAGGTAGATATTTCCGTGGTAAGATGACATCACGCACAATTAGTTTAGGCACGAGTATTCTCTATGAGGCTAGGCAATCTTGAATATAGATCCCTGTTGTCCAGGTGTGGAGATGTATACCCCTGCAGCCACATCTGCAGCACACGTGGGCTTAGTCTCCGAGATCGGTCGGCTTCTCGCGTGTCCACTGTAAGCTGTTGCGAGCTAAAATGCAAGATACTATCTTCTTTGTCCCTACCAGTTCGGTGCGGAGGCCGCTGACTGGGTCGTACATCCGATGATGAATTTGACCTGTCAGAAAGGACGTGGTGATATATGGACACTTATATAAGATTCAGCTGATCTTTCGCTAAGACAGGAGCAATGAGCAGCTTCATGAGAATTCTTGGCAGTCTCGGGACTTGCCAAAGTCCGGCAATGCCCAATTCTCGATCCACCTACATTTAAGTATCTCCTGTACAGTTGGCCGCTTTTCTGGCCCAAAAGACAATATCGAGCTTAGCATATCCATAACGGCAGCTTTCTCTTCTACATCAAAACCTCGTATTCCAGCGTCCTGCCGTGGGAGTTGAATATGCTTTTCAAAGCGGTCTTCCCAAGACCTCACCTGTCGGCCACGATTTGGTTTCCCATTTTCCTCGAAATATTCGTGTCGCGCCTCCCATTTCTCCCACCACTGAGGAGGCAAGTTCCCTCGAGTATCAACTTGCTCAGATGTTATGTCGTCCGGCGTAGCAAGGATATCCTCGAACAAGGAACGCTGACCTAGTATTATCCATATAGAACACCCGAGTGTCCAAATGTCAGTTGAGAAAGAGAGGCTCCGTTCTGGCTCAAATCGGGCTTTAGGTGGCACAAAGGATAGCGGGGCATGCGAACCACACCGATGCTCTGACAAGGGTCTATATGCTTCTCCAAAATCACTCAGAAAGATTCTAGATTCTGATGGGGAGAATTCCTCCGAAGCCTTCCCCAGCCAGATCGGAGGGACGGCACTAGATGGAACGCCAGGTTGAAGGGGTTGACCGTCAAATCGAATAATTGGCTCTGACGCAGGCGAGCTATATTTCTCGTATAACTGGTCAATTGAGAGCTGATCAAATTTAGCTGGTAGATGCAGAAGAATGTTGCCAAGGTGGATGTCTGATGTTAGTACTAATTTAGTATATGGTTGAAAAAAATAGGAGGAAGAGTGTAGGCCGACCTCTATAAACAACTCCTTTAGAGTGAAGGAACTCCACAGCTAGTACGAGCTGCGCAATAAGTGAGCGAGCTGTTCTAGCCTGAAATATGCGTCTGTATGATGCATTCTTCGCACCGGAGACATTGCACATCGCTAGATCTGTCACATAGCAAGGGTGGGTGCCATTAACCCCATAGAGGATGAATCTGTCTTTAACGGAGGGTATAATTTCCCTGCCTGGGCGATCAAAGGGAGAAGCGTGGTTGAGATACTCTAGAACATCGGCCTCTCGAGCACTTGACTCCGCTGTTCCAACTTTGACTGCCACGTATGTATTAGACCGGTAGTCTCGGCAGAGCCAAGTGGTGGAATAGGTTCCGTAGCCTAGCTTGTGGACTACTCGGTACCGGGATTGGAAAACATCTCCTATCATGATAGGGTGGTATCCACCGGGCTGGTACTTTTCAAGTCTCTCGACTTCTTCTATCGGTACGTATTTGAGGGGAAGTGGATCAGAGTCGGCGCTGGATGAGAAAGCCATGGCCGACCTGCGTGCGAGTGCACCTAGCGAAGTTTGCCAAAGATAACGGTAGCAGAACGAAGACGATCGTGTCTGATGAAAGCAGATCTGGTATACAGAGCTTTGATGACGCGCCCAGAGTAAATTTTGTGACCTGACTGCGAAGGCCATTACCGGAAGACGTCAGTTTGGTAATCGATTGGCGGTGCAAGGTTCGATGAATTTCCTCCGGCCATAAGGCCCCTGAAAAGGGCAGCTTGCCTGCAATTACTTTGTTCGTGATAGATTGCGCGCTTGATGCGTGACGAACCGGCATCTAGAGGATTCGTCAATGGGGAAGGGGCCCGTGTTGTCTTGGCCCGTCGCGGTCGGACCGTGCGGCCGAGGGTTGGGGGCGTACATAAGCCACCCCTTAGATCGGCATGTCACTCTCTGCTTCAAAGATGACGTCCAGCTTGCTACGAAAACACGCCCCGCTTCTCATGGCTATTTCAGGGGCCAAGATGAGACTCTCTATGGCCGAACGCGATCGAAAAACGCGGAACGTTTGAACATGAGTCCCAGACCGGAGAAGTTGAGAGCAGACATCCTGCTAGAAGCATCGGCACTATAATTAGAGATGGAACAAGCACCAACCATAAATCATTGTAAAAAAGCATGGTATATCCTAATAAGCTAATAACAATATGTACAGTCTCATCATTCGGCATAACTATCAGTCCCCAATTCATCCCATTCCCCCTCATCCATCGTCATGTCCGCATGTATTAAACAAAACTGCGCTCAACCTGCACCTTAACACAGCTGGGGTTCTGAGGCTTAGCAGTAGCATCACCCATAACCCAGTTAAGGGTGGTATAGGTGTAACCAGTGTAGTAAGTCTCACAGACATACCAGTTCCGCAGAATCTTAGGCGTGCCACCAGTAGGCGGGGTAACGGTATCATCAAGGTAACTGTAGATACCCATGCGGTTCTGCTCGTCGAACATGACCTGCTGCATGTTATAAGAAGGCTCGAAAATGGGCATGGCCACGTTGGTGGACGGGTCGTTGTAGAAGCTCATAGGCTCGGACTCGTAGGCAGTTTCTGTGTATTGTTAGAAGGGGATTCCCAAGAAAGAAAGGAATACAAAGGGTTGACGTACCACCGTTCTCGGAGTAAGGCAGCTTCCAGACCAGAGTACCTGCGGGGGCCTGGCCCTTGATCGGGGACTCCTCGCCGGTGGTGGTGTTCAGGTTGAACTGGGAGCTGGATCCGGCCAGGCAGAGTGATTCAATGGCGGCGCCGGAGTGGCAGGCAGCGAGCTTCTCGCCGTTCAGGGTCTTATTGGCAGATTGGATCACCAGGTAGAAAGGTTTAGATTGAATCTCCTGTGCGGTCGCAGCTCCGAGGAGCAGGAGGGAAGAGATAGCGGCGATGGCCTTCATGATTTGTGATTGTGAGAATATTGAGCTTGAAAGGTGATGTGATGTCTGAGAAATGAAGAGAAAGTAGAGGTAGCACGGTTGGCTTTATACTTAAACCCGGTGATAAAGTCCGAGCGTAGATCCTGAGACATGCGTGTCTAGCGCCATCGCGAACATCCAAAATCGTGGCAGATCGTCAGGTTAGTTGCAACTTTCCCGGACCTTCCGTTCCACGTAAGCTTTTCAAATTCGTCAGCGACCGGGAATTTGACAGTAGGATTTTTGGGGTTTTCTATTATAACTGCATTTCCTGCATCTACACTTTAGCGCAGAGCCCAAAACGGGAGTAAACAATGCTGCATGGGGGAAAAGTGCAAGGTTGGGCAGCGGAGCGGGGTCCTCGGAAGGGCCTTGCCACCGCTTTCCGCGCTCGTACACGAAAACGAGCGTCATCTGGGTTGTCTCACATACGATTTTCCAAACTGGGAAGTTCGTAAACAGGCTTTTTTGCAAAACAGCATGGACTCTGGGTACTACCCTGACCCGGGCTATTTTTTTACTTAAGTTTCGGGGAGGCTGGGTGTTGGACGGATATTTCCGCCGCGCTTGTCCTCGCTTATCCCGTGCATAAGCTACCTAGGCTTTTTTCTCAGCCGTTCTTCATACGTTTAGATGGATAAAATGTAGGCTGCTAGAATTGCAGTTATAGAATTGGTTGCGACAGAACATATTGATCAACGGATTACTAGGAATCCGAAGTTAATAACTATGAGAACATGGCCCTGTTCTTGAACGGCCCAAGCTTTGATCCCGTCGGGTGGCTGGCCCACGCTAGGTCTCAGTCCCCACTTGTCAATCAGCGAACCCTGCTCACGAGCCACTGCTGGTCCTTACACGGATCGATTCTTTGCATAGTGCCGAGTGTCCGAAAACCACTTTCAATTGTTGCGGCCGACCATTAGGCGAATGGCCCAAGCTCGGTTGGAAGCCTCAATCCCAGGTATATCAGTACATCGTAATTGAACGTTGCAGCCAGATCCAAAGAGATCATTTAGAAGCTGAAGAGCCCACTTCGACGCTTCCCGTAAGGATAGACCACCAACGCCGCAATAAAAAGCCCAATCGTAATACCGATCGCCACCTGAATCATGCCGAATCCCAGACTAAACACCGAAGTGCTGGATAGCCCAGCTCCCGGCGAAGAGCTAGGGGGGCCGTGCGAGGATACGTTCTGGCGGATCTGGTCTGCGGATTGGACACCCGAGATCAGAGAGCCTGTAGCAGCGAGTCCGGACGGCACTAGGATGAAAATTCCGGGTAGAATAGCGGTTGCGGCGTGGCCGTGCCAGAGGCGACTGTACATGTTGCCCAAGATGCCAATAGTGAATGCGCCGACGGTATTGGCTACCTGGGAGTTGGAGCCAAGGCGCTTCGTGCTGAAATAGTTGGAGATGTATCCGCTCATAGCGATGAATGTCATGGGAGGTAGCTGCTTCCATTTTCCTTGGTTGATGATTAAGAGCCACACGGTCATGATGGCCACGAAGGGGAATCGTTGGAGGTAGGGGTTCTTGAAGGCCCCCTGCGCAGGGCACTGGAGGTCTGACACGGCTCCATTGTCCATCAAACCGTAGATTGTGGTGCCGACAGTGATACCGTAGCCGAGAAAGAGGGAGAAGATGATAGCGTAGACCATTCGAATTGAGCCGGCGATGATTTGGTGAGACTGAAGTTCCAAGCTGCTGCACAGTACAAGGAATCCAGGCAATATCAGCGCAATTGAGGACTGGGCGATGGCTGAAAAACAGAATAGATACTGTCTTTTGCCGTTGATGACAGTCCGTGGGATGCTGCCAAAGGCACGAGCCAGAAAGGAGGTCATCACGGTCGATGTCACCTCAAAAACATTTGAATATAATACCGAGCGGGGCGCTGCCAGATGTTGCATGGCCCCAACGCAAAGACCGTTGATAAAGATTATGGGCATGTCAATCGGACGGGCATTGAAGGCGAAAGGACCGACTGTTGCAGTCGCCAAGCCATAAACTAACACAACCATCCATTTGGGGAAGCGTGGCTTCTTCTTCATCACTTCATCCAACTCCTGCACTGCTTCTTCAATGCCGATGACGTCGTGGATCACATTCTTGTAGATGAGATGCGTGTCGGAGAGTCGAGCGAGATCAACACCTTGTGCCGCCCGGACAAGCTTGACATCCGTAGTTCTCGTCGAAGGATCATCGAAGGCCATGATCATACAGCCTGGAAGGTACAGGAACTGACTGTCAATTTCGAGCACCTTCGCCGTCATCTGCATATACTCTTCCAACCGGTGGGTGGGAGCTCCAAATGTCATCAGTGCCTTGCAAAGCTGCATGATGTACCGCTGTCGACAGATGATCTCGGCAATGTGGACCGTCACTCGAATTTCATCTTCGAGTTTTACATTGCGATTCGACTGCTTTCCTTGTCTTTTCTCTGCTGCAGATATCACTTCACTGGAGACCGGTGTGCTTGCTCCGCTCATGTTCCCTGAAACACCAATCAGAGTTGACGTTGAAGTATTGGGAGGTCTCTTGTACCATTTGACAGGCTTTCCCTTCTTCCCTGTCGGATCAGAACCCGAGTTGGATGCATCCGAAGCCGGACTCGCCTGTGAATCAAACGATGACTGACTTGGTGTCCGCGATTGACTCCCATCCTGTTGGGTTTGACCTCCACCATTCAATTTCATCAACTGCGACAGAATACCACCACCACCAGAGCGATACCGGAGTCCGGAATCCAAAGCCGACTCATTTTCTTCGCCCACAAATTCCTTCCCACTTTGACCGTACGGCCGTCCTCGAACCTTACGCCGCTGCGACGACTGGTCCTGCGTCAGATCACGCACTAGCCGATGCGCCTCGGAGCTACTATTGGCCTTGTTCGCCTGCTTCTCTTCGTCTGTTTTGTGCTTGTCGTCTGTCATGTCCGACTCCGGTACCGCATCGCCGGTCGCCCAGTCTCCATGGTAGACACCAGAGGTGAGGTCATCACCTCCATACTCCGGCCGGCCCAAGCGAGTGGCTAGTAGTGATGCTTTGCGCTGTAAATTGAAAGATGCAGAGAGTAATCGTTCTCCTACAGATTGGGTGGACCTTGGGTCCGGCAGGGCTCTTTGTTCCTGGTCATCTCCTTCTGTCCGGCCCGCAGGGCCCTCAGGGCCCTTTTCATCTTGGGCCATCAAGCGGGTGTCTTGTGATTGGAATCGTACTTGACGAGGTTGATCGGCGATGTCCGCAGACTCGTGGGTGTAAGGCATCGTTGGCCGCTGCGGCCGGTCTTCTCGTTGCGCTGTCTCCGACTCTGCGCGGGGTTCTTCTGGCGGCGATTCTCGAGGGGGGCCACGCAGGGACATGGCATTAGTTCTGAAATGAACACGAGGCGCCGGTGAGCCCCCTTCATACCTAATATCTTCGGGTGCATCATGGACATTATGCGTCTCGTAGACGTCCTCTGACCTCTCGGAAGGGTCGAGGGGTCTAGGGGTATTGTGGCGGTCAGTTTCAGTTGAGACTGAGCTGACACTTTCTCGATCAGACATTAGGACAGTAACGTTGGCCTGGAAGTAAGTTTCCAATTACTTCGAAGACATTGGGTTGGGTGATGCTGTTTCTGAAAGAGGAAAGGACGGTCAGTGCCAGTCAAGAGAGACCGCCACTCCAGCACGTACCGGCTATTAATGCAGTCCCCCTGCTGAAAGCCAGTATACCGAAAAGCTGAAGGGCAGAGTATATGTACCACCTGAAAGTTGAAACAGTAACCTCAGAGCTCCGGGGCTTATCCGCCCGTCGCAAGTGGCCATTCCTGTCCACAAAATGAGATCATAGAGGCGGGCTTCGGATATACTTCAGAAACATGGGTCCAGTGTTAACAATTGGGTCAATGAGGTCAACGGGAAAAGGGTAAGTGACATCTCACAACTACGGTTGACCCTCTCGCCCTATCGGATTGTTTGTCCGAACTTCAGACTTCCCGCGCCATGAACTTTGCCGTCACTTAGGTTCATGGAGTTATTTATCTAAGGGATATGGTATCCACGTGCCTCTGGCTTGAAGGATACTGATCTGCAGAAACGTGTGCGGCGCTTGAGACCCTTGAAGTTGTGAATGTTATGACCGCCGGGAGTAAGTTTTTGAAGTGCGCCATAGTGGAAGACTGCCTGTTGCTACTCTACCAGGGCATCACCAGTTGGGAAACGACCCTTGACGTACGCATTTGCAGAACCCTTTTGGGTTTCCATATGCGAGCATCCCCGTCTTTCGTTTTTTCGTAATAACGGTTCATGGAGGGAAGTTGTACACTATCTCTCTTTCCGTAATCCATTCCCACCCAATTAGAGGGTCGGCCATTGTCAACTGAAATCTTTTCTTCATCGGACCGTGAATTCTTAGTCCTTGAGTATGCCATCAACATCAGAGGCTTGGACGGAGTTAATATAAGGCCAGTAAAGTCCGTGTGGTAGAACCCTGCAGGGCCAACTTGTCGCGGCCAGGTAATTCAGGGTTGCCAAAAAATCGGATCAAGGATATGAGGCTATTTATCTGAAGCTGTTTCATCCGAAGCCACTATACACCCAGTTCATTGGCTCTGATATACCAAAGTCAAACTGGCTCTCTGGCATCTAATAGAGATATTGTCAGCGATTTGTTCCACCCAGTAGTTCCCAGTGAGGACAGGGATTCGGCTTACCATCAACGCCCAATCACCTATCAGATCCGGCATAGCATCGACAGCCAGGTCATCAATCTCGTCCAGTTTCGACCTAATATCCTGACTCTGGCCCGCTTTCTCTTCCAGGATAGCCAGACACGTGGACTCCGCATCTTCCGCAGCCTGTAGAAGCATGTACGGGAATTGATCTTTAGGGACGCCCGTCATCAATGCATTGATCTGTGCAAAGACCAAGCAAATAAACAAATATCCCTTCGTGTTGGTCTCTCCAGCTTCAATGCACTTCAGGTTCCAATATTTAGCATCCTCAAGCACCGAGAGAAGATCATGTCGCAGTGGAACAGGTCCAAGGCTATCCTCTTCCTGTAGCTGTGTCTTCAACTCCGTTGCGATGAGAAAACATGCCTGCATGGAAGCAGTTCGAAACGGTCCAGACCCGCAACAGGTCAGCCTTGTCAGTTCTTCTTGCGCTGAGGTTTGGCCTTCGTTTGGCGCAGTCGACACGCGTGATGAGGAGGGAAAGACGGCACTCCAGAGGTTGAGTAAATTTTCAACGACGACTCGCCGGGAAAAGGCGTAAGCTGTCTCGTTCACAGCCCCGGCAAAAAAGGGCATGTGTAGCGCGACTAGGTTGCGACGTATAAGCCAGTCGAGTGCTCGTATTCCAAAATGTGGAATCCCACTCCCAGGCCGGTATACTTTGAAGGCCTGACAGATAGCCTTGTACGAGCTGCGCAGCTCTGAATCCATATGGATGGTCTCTTCGTATGTCATGTAGGCACCGAGCCCGTTGAGCGATCTGGCCATGGCTAGACGCAGTGGAAACAATTTCCGGAGAGCCAGCGCTATAGACACCTGGGTGAATGCCTCTTCGGGCTTTGGTACCGGATCATTATTCATGATCTGCTCGTCGTCGAAGTTGCCCGGCGGATGGGTGTCGAAGTCGTCTAATGAGAGAAGGGGAGGTCCACCAGAGACCATGCTTGTGGAAACAACGATCTCCAAAATTGTGTTCCAAAGCCTTCGCCGAGTCTCAGTTGCAAATGTTGTTGTCTTTGGCAGGTGGATGGGGTCTCGGTGCAGTCCCATATACACTGCCGTTCTCAGCAGCTCTCCCGTTGATATCCAGATCAACCCTCCGTCGACACCAACATATTCTCGTGCAAGAAGCAGTAGGATGGTAGTCTGCAGGAATTGAGTGTTCAATCTGGATTTGAACTCCGGCTCCGATATCCATGTCTGCGCTTCGTGCACCCATCGAACGGCTGAGGGACGTAGGGAGAAGTTGTCATCATACATCGTTGCGCCGATCGCGAAAACCAGTTTCAGCTGCACCAGGAAAGCCATATTTGATGTTGTATTTGACACCCATAACATATCGTAGTCTCTTCTAAATGTTGGAATATGCACTACTCGGTAGACGGTTTCGTATGTCCGCAGGTAGATATCAACAAGGGCGTCTGCCACATCTTTTGGTGGCAGCTCGGCGGTCGGCGGCGACGGCCACGGAGGTTTCCTTTGGGCCTTTATGACCTTTCCCAGGTACTTGCACTTCTGCAAGTCAATAAAGACTTTCGACGTCTCGTTCTGAACGAGTGGTTCAAGTGTCTCAAGGATGTCCCCGAACTGATCGCAGTCAGTCCTTCATCCTTCACCCCTTTAAAGCGAATCCACGTTCTGGGTCTTACCTGAGCGACTCCGTTCATCCAGTGACTCTGACCAAACACTCTCGTCTTGTGCATAACCGAGCGTGATATTGTCGGCGTACGGCCATCAGCAGGGACTTCACCCTGCACGTGGAATGTCCCGGCGATGTGGGACGTTGTCGTACTGATGTTGTAACTCGGGCTGGAGGCACTCAACCCGACCGATTTTCGATTCGCACGCGACAGTTGCTCTTGAAGCTGCTTGATCTTGAAGCGCAGTGTCTCCACTTCTCGAGACGGCGATTGACTGGCCGGTGTCAACGGACCTGCAGAACCGGTTACTCCCAGCGTGGAATTTGACTGGTGACTTGAAGCTGTGGCATCATAGTTGGTATGGGAAGATTGGTCTGTCGGCACTGGGAACTGGTAAAGTTCAGGCTCTGGCCGGTCGAGATCCAGTTTTCGACCATGACGAGGGCGTCGCGATGGAGGGGGCGACAGATTCTCGTACACGCAATTGCCGCTCTTCGATCGAACGCAGTTATTGCAAGGAGATGCGCGATTGCATTTGATTTTCCGCTTCCTGCAAAGAAAACATGACCTGATTGCCTTGTCAGCTCCACTCACTCACTATCTCCGATCTACATACACTGGGGGCCGCCGTCGTCGGCGCTCGGGCATGACGGTCGGCGAGCAATGCAACACGTTCCCCACTGAGTCTTCCATGTCTCACATGTTACGCCTGTATATTTTCGCGTTCCTGTGCATTTCAATTCTCCGAAATTGGAGAAAAGAAAAGAAAACGGAAGAAGCACGGGCTGTCAGATCTGATTACGGGAAGTGCGCGGTTGGTCCTTTGCGCCCGCCATTTCCCGACTCCGAATCCGACTCCGAGTCCCGCGCAGCCTCCGCGGCGCCCCATCAATCGTATACACTCAACGCTCGTGAATTCACTCGTATAAAAGTAGTCAATTCCCACTTGGAAAGCCATCATGTCGATCAAGATCATCTCTTCTCGCACGGTCCATATCACGTTCATTTCTCAAAGTTTCCATTGCCCAATTGGGTGATTATATATTGTCAACATGTCTCCCTCTGATATCGAACAAGGACTCAATCCCGAAATCACCGACGTCTCAAACGAGAAAGACAAAGCTACCGCTCATGAATACCCCGATGGTGGCATCCAAGCATGGCTCGTGGCAGCTGGAGGAGCATGCGTTTTTTTCTCAACTCTTGGCTTCGCCAATTCGTTCGGTGTATTCGAGGAGTATTATCTCACACACCAACTGAATGACAAGTCCGCCGACGATGTCGCCTGGATCGGATCTCTTGCAGCATTTCTCCAATTTTCAGCCGGCGCCATCGGAGGCCCATTATTCGACAGATACGGCGCATGGGCACGTCTTACCTCGGGCGCAAAAAGATGAAAAATCACTAACAAAATTCCAGGTAATCCGCCTAGCAGCGGTGCTTTCCGTATTTGCGATCATGATGACGAGTCTCTGTGACAAATACTGGCAATTTATGCTTGCGCAAGGACTGCTGATGGGCATAGCGATGGGCCTGATGCAGTCTCCATCGATGGCCGCAGTGATGCAGTACTTTATGAAGAAGAGAGCAGCGGCGTTGGGACTGGTTGTCTCGGGATCATCGATTGGAGGAGTGGTCCTTCCGATAGCGCTTTCCAAGATGCTTAACAGCACGTCTCTGGGATTCGGATGGTCCGTACGGATCATTGGGTTCGTACTAATTCCGCTCCTGACGTTCTGGTGCATCACTGTCAAGTCTCGACTGCCGCCACGAAAGACCAGTTTCTTTGTTGGGTCTGCGTTCAAGGATTCCCGGTATATCCTCATTATTGCGGCGATGTTCTTCATGATTGTCGGCATGTTTGAGCCGCTGTTCTACATTCCTACGTACGCCGTCAAGAGGGGGATGAATGCCACGCTCGCTTCATACCTACTCGCTATTCTCAACGCAGCCTCCAATCTTGGTCGCATTATCCCTGGGATACTAGCGGACAAGTTCGGGCGTCTGAACGTGCTTATAATCGGTGGAATCACCACTGGTATCGTGGTTTTCTGCTTGAATGAGGCTAGGTCTACGCCCGCTTTGATTGTGTACTCGCTCGCTGTTGGGTTCACATCGGGGACTATCGTCTCCGGAGGGGGTGCTGCTTTGTCACTCTGTATCAAGAACCCGCAAGAGGCTGGTGCATATATGGGCATGGGCATGGGAATTGCTTCGCTGGCGGCGCTGGTTGGGCCTCCTATTAGTGGTGCGCTTGTGAGTCATTACGACAGTTTCTCTCAAATGTCCATCTTTGCCGGTGTTATGTGTGTTGTTGGCGGGTTCATTGCGCTTGGAGCCAAGGCTGTCAGTCCGCAGGGTGTTTTCGGAAGGACGTGATTAGAATGGTCTGGTTAGAACTGCCCAATTGAAAGCGAATGGTTAAAAAAAACCGGTTGTAGAATATAGACAGCCAGATGAAGAATGTATTGGTTCAAGATTAATTTAATCAAAATGAAGATAATCGCAACTCTGGAAGTGTGTGACAGAGTAAACAAACAGGCCACCCCAGTCTGTTGTGCATACCGTAAGGTAGTTGCAGCGGTCGCGGTCGCGGTCGCGTTGATGCTTGGTATACGGTTGCGGAGTCGAGGTGAAATAGCCGGCATGCTGTAATGTTGTAGGGGATGACCGACGTCCTAGAAGCCGAGAGTGACCCGTGTGCCATGTGGCAATCATCTGAAAATTCCCCGCAGTGGTCAAATGAGGGATGGCTCTGTAGATCAGGGATGGCGATCTTCCAAGGTCGCAGTCGGGGTTTACCGGAGGACGGAGTGGGTGTATTTCCCGTTTTATGTAAGTGAGCAAGGACTCGGTGTCTCTTGCATATGACAGGAACCAGCGACACAATAAATCCGTGGGTTTCAACGTAGAAAATATGGCCTCCACGATGGACGACTACTGTTCTCGAAGGGATTCAATCAATGCGATCGCTCTGTTCTTGGTAATTTACAGGTAGATCGAAAACTCCGATGACGAAAAAAGGCACGCTTTAGGGTGGAGGCGGAGGCATCGTCATGTCGTAACAGGCTAGATCTGAATAGAAAAAGAGAATCAGTAACAGCTTCCATGGAACATGAAGACGACTCACCCAGCTAGCGAGAAATAGAGTAAGAGCGAATCTGTACCCCATTCCCAGGAGCAAAGCACTTCCTAGGTGGTAAATCCTCAAATGCCTCCCCTGCGCAATAATCCTCCGTATAGGCAGTAAGATGCACCGTGTCGTCAAACTCCCCTGCAATTGCCATGTCGAATCCCTCCTCTATTGGATAACAATGTGACTCCTTAGGGTAGTCTCCAACCTTAAAGCGCGCTTCACCCGCGCACCAGTCGCCCGAATAGTCGTTGTAACTCCAAATGACCCAATCAGACGCGATCACGGGGACGGCGAGAGCGAGAAGGAAAGGTAAGTTGAATCGCATGGTGGGGGGAGAGATATTGACGTTCCAGCCGGGAGTTGCAGTCAATCAACGGAGAGTTGGGGCGATGAGGGGACTTCCCCTTTTAACATGCTGTTGCCTGGGATCAGCGATTCAGGGTCCGCCCGGTTTGGGGGTTGTTGGTTTGAAATCGGTGAGCTTATTCGCTGCGTATCACGTAGGAGGCTGTGCCCACCCCACGCTGGTTGGGGTTCTCGGCGAATAGAATTCGCTAGGCGAGTAAGGGTCCATAAATAGGAGATGAGGGAAAAGCTTGGTATTCGGATGGGAGATCGAGGCTGTCAAGCCCCTATTATGGTAACCATGCATATGTGGAGTCTAACTAGAAAATTTGATCTCATGTTCGTTGAATAGAGATGATTCTAGGCCCCGGGATTGATTTTCGGTGGAAAGGGGTCGACTCCAAGCGTTCGCCCCCGGAACGGCTCGGCTCTGATAGCCAGGCCTAGAGGAGGGGGCCGGATGGGAGATCCCCGTTAGGCGCTTCAAAAGTACGTTCAGCTGAAGGCCAAATTAAAGGCATAGTAAGCCATAGCTTAGTCTAAACATTTATAAAGCGATGCTTTTGTAACAGCCAGGCCTCCTCTGCGTATCGCGTTCACTTGCCAGCCCAGAAACCCAGAAAATGTTTCATCTTGTTCTTCGAGGGCGGCAACTTTTTCTTGTCCTCAGCCGGCGGCAATCCATCTTACCAATGTTAGAGACGGCATTCTGCAACTTGCCTAGACGGTAGCGATAAGAGAAGTGAGAGCCAGGAGCAGAGCAGATGCCGGCCAGTGAAATAGCGCCCTACGGTAAGCCAGGACATCACCAATACGTATGAGGTCATCGAACGGATAAACCTTGCGACCGGAGGCATGATATCCCAAAAATACTCTCAATATTGGTACTGGTCCCTTGCGACCGCGGGTGTTCGCGCAATTTATGAGGTGTTTGATTTGACCAGATAATGGCAATAATGATGGTGGGTCTAGCGGTGGAGGCCGACAATGGGGCGGATACGGACGGGGCTAGATTGAGGGTGCTACCGTAGTAGCGTCAATCTTAATAGCTCCATCGTTTGGCGATGTAGACGTAGCAGCCCCAGTGGAGACCTCGGATGCTGCTCGCGATAGATGCGGAGTCAGTAAAAAATAATCGAGTTTATCGGGAAGGAACTCACGCATATAGACGCTGTCAATGACGATGGGCATCACAAAACAGCCACCACCTCTCATGGCACTGATGATATTCATAGTGATGGAGAGCGTTGATAGAACGGAATAGTAATGCCTTGTAGATGATTCGAGTATACACTCATGAGCAGACCAGAACTGAACCTGCGACTAGCCAAAGGGACTGGCGATTAGATTTGGCTTCCCGGCAGACAGCTTCAAATTATGTCACGCCTAATGATTGGAGGGCGTCTCGAATCGTTGATTTGGGGCCCTCGTTGTCGCTTGTAGAGTTGTCCAGCAGGAGCAGCGACCCTGGAGCTAACTTTGCCGTCTGCAGACATGGCGGGACGCGATCTATTGCTGGGATTTCCAAGAGATATTACCACTTCCATAGAGTTACGACGGGGTCCATAGGAGTTCACAAGTAAACGTACGCCTATAGCGCGCCACAGAAAATCAACTCGTGAACCAATGATCTAGTCTAACCAGATTAATTCCCACCAACAAGTTTTCCTCACTCCATCAACGGGTTCTTTCCGGCCGCTCGCACTTAATTTCCTTCTCTATGATAGTATTAGCCTATAGGATAGTGCTAGGCTGAGCTTCGAATACCAGTGAAATTTCTATTTGTCTCGCCGATAGTCAAGTGAAATTTCATTCTTTGGCGGCGAGACATTCTTGGCACCGTAGGCAATTTTTCCTAACATTTCTAGTGTGCACTTACTCACTCAGTGTGTCTGACTTGTGGAGAACTTGGGGTGCATTGGTCCATGCTGAAGTAAGTTGAATAGTGGCCGAAGTGTCGGCCTAGAAACCGGGCTTTACACAAGCCAAGGGCTTTCTTCAACGGGCTTCGAGGACTAAACATAAGGTAGAATAAATAGGACACCATTTGCATTTATCTATGTACATGATCTGGATAATTCAATTGAATTAATTGTTAATGACATTAATATTGATCGGCCAGGCCTGTCGAAGGTCTATGGCTGCACGGCTATATGAAGTGCGTATCGGAGATTTCATACCTCTGGCCCGCTTCCTTGTCATATTTGATGGGCCATTTCACCCTCTGATGATTCATTATTCCCAATAGCCCTCTTTTGCAACTGGCTTGGCCGAGAAATAAATAAATTGGAGAAATCATGTTTACATATCCCAATTGCCCAATCCAGTAAGACCAAAAATAAACATCAACCGAACGAACACTCCATCTTTATACAACAGCACACACTATAACTAGAGAAATAGCATGCACAAGAAATATTGAAAGATATCGCTATCTAGCGAAAATCAAACTTCATTGCCCTCGCGAGGGTCTGGGCACGTTCCGAAATCCTGGATTTCGCAAGGGATGTCGATCAACAACAGCCAGGCCGCGGCCAAACAGCCGCGCACCGACCGCATTCCAAATATACAATGTTTGGCACGCGCCCATACCAGTCGCTTCGGCCATCGCGACGTGCGCGTTCCATGAGTGGCCATTCGGGTCAAGATTCCTTTACACATCCTTTCCCTTTCTCACCTCCTCTGCACCTCCTGGTTGGCGTTGAGACTCGAGGACCGGGATGAGGGGTTCATTGTCTTTGGCTGCGTTGGCGGCTGTGATTGCTACGGCATCGGGTTCTATTATTCCCCTTGATGAAATCGGTCTTCCTGTGCATCCCCCCTTTTTACCGGAGACAGGGGTTGGGAGTGTTCCGGACTGGTTTGCGTCGTTGAGGGCTGTGTTGCAATCGCCGGACCCGAGTAAACCGAATTCGATATCATCAGATCAGAGTTCGAGAGCATCGACCGCGACATCTAATACGAGCTCGTCGAGTTCAAGCTCACCGATTCCGACCCCCTCGACGCTAACTACCTCGGCCATCGTGACCACTCCAACTTCGTCTACTTCAAGCTCATCCAGTTTGAGTCCCTTGGCACAAGCCATCTCAGCAGTGGTTGGGAATCCGGCACCAGTAACGCCATCTCTTAGCACACCCAGCAGTCAAACCACGACTTCAAGTTTGAGCGAACTTACCGGCGAGCCAGTGACGACCGAAATAACACTTACACCGGTCGATACTCCGACATCGTGAGTGATATCATGTCGTCTAAAAGTGACCCTGCTAATATCTGCTCCAGGTCGAGCTCTAAATATGCTGCTCCTGCCACGAAGACATGTGCCGCTCCTCTACGAACAGCATCCGATGGATACTGGCTCAATGAAATTGACCACAACCAACAGGGTGCCGGCCTTGCGCCCTATGCCAATAACACCAACCGATACGCTGTGTACCGCAATGTCATGGACTACGTAGTTATCAACGATGGGTCGGGCGACCAGAAACCGAAGCTTCAACATGCCATCGACGATGATAACAATGGCGGCACCCGCAAGGGCAAGGGCGTCACACTCTACCCAGCCGAAGTGTATCTGCCCGGCGGCATCTACCAGCTGAAAAGCACTCTGAAGCTGACCGTTGGAACAATTATCGTCGGCAATCCATCCAACCCGCCAATCATCAGAGCAGCTCCCGATTTCCAAGGTCAATACCTCATCTTGGGATACGATGAGTCGGCCGGCCATCCTGAGACCAGTTTCATGACGCTGGTCAAGAACGTTATTCTAGACACGACAGCTGTCTCGCCTCAGCAGTCTATCACGGCGCTTCAATGGGGGGTGGCTCAAGGCTCTGGACTGACCAATGTGCAAATCCGCATGCCTGTCGGGGCTGCGCAACACACTGGTATCGACATCGTGGGAGGTTCTACCATTGCCGTGACCGACGTGGTAAGTCAATTCAATATGTGTTTCTATCGAGCACTTGACTAACCTACCCTACACTAGTCTATTTATGGCGGCGCGACAGGTATTATCAACTCTAACCAGCAAGTCAACTTCAAGAATATCTACTTCGAGTCTTGCGACACTGCCTTCAACGCAAAGGGCGGATGGACCGTTCTTCTCCAAAGCGCGACCTTTGTCAACTGTAAGCTAGCCATTGATATGGGTAGAAATGCCCTGGGAAGCATGGTCCTTCTCGATTCAAAGTCAATAGCTGCTCGCGGCCCTGTGGTTAAATTCTACGACTCGTCCCACGACAGCGGAAACCAAAACAGCCAGCTTCTCATCCAGAACCTGGTCCATGATTCTGCAACGCCTATTGCAGTTGACGTAAATGGAAACACGCAGCTGCCCGCTACTGCACATGTTGATACTTGGGCTTGGGGTACTTTGGTTCCTGGTGGTTATGTCACCGGTGCAAGCTGGACCACCCCGCAGCCCGCCAACTTGCTCGTCGGTGGCAAATACTTTATCAAGGCTCAGCCCACGTACGCTGGTTACGACAGCTCGGATATCGTGAATGTGAAGACTGTTTCCGAGCACGTGGTTATGGGTGATGGCCGAACCGATGATACCCAAGGAATTAATGCCATCCTGGCTCAGAACGCTGAGAACTGCAAGATCACCTATTTCCCCTTTGGAGTGTACCGAGTCTCGGATACCATCTTAATCCCTGTGGGCACTCGCATTGTCGGCGAAGCATGGGCCGTCATCTCGGGCTACGGTGACGGGTTCAAGAATCAATCTGCTCCAAAAGCCGTCGTCCGAGTCGGTAACCCCGGCGATGTCGGTATTGTCGAGATCCAAGACATGCGTTTCTCGGCCGGTGAAATCCTTCCCGGAGCCATAATTCTCGAAATCAACGCAGCTGGTGAACAGCCCGGCGACGTTGGGCTATGGAACACCATGGTGACAGTGGGCGGCACAGCTGAAACAACCATATCAAACATTTGTACCTCGCAAGACGCGAAGGACTGCATGGCTACCTACATGATTATGCACCTCACAGAAACCTCGTCCGCATACATCGAGAACTTCTGGGGCTGGACAGCCGACCACAACCTCGACAGTTCATCCATCCTAACCATAGTCTCGACCGGCCGCGGTATCCTCGTTGAATCAACCCACGGAACATGGCTCACGGGTACAGGCTCTGAACACAACTGGCTCTACAACTACAACTTCCACCACGCTGCCAACGTCTACGCAGGCCTCCTGCAGACCGAAACACCCTACATGCAAGGTTCAGGCGAGTTCGAAAAAGCCCCGGCACCCTGGACAGTAAATTCCAAGTTAGGGGACCCGGATTTCTCATGGTGTGGCGTCGATGACGATAAATGTCGTTCTGCACTCGCGACGAACATCGATGGTGGGCAACACATTGCCCTGTATAACTCCGCTGCATGGGCCTTCTTTGACGGCTACTGGAACGGGCTGTACAATGAGCCTTGCAACGGAACATGTCAGAGCAATATGATGCGTGTGACAGGTGATCCGGTGAATTTGGTTTGGTATTCTATCAGCACGCGCGAGACGGACGTAATGGTATTGGATGGGAAGACGAATCCCAATGAGGCGAACCATGCTGGTGGATGGGGGGCTATAATTCAGGCCTATCTGCAGTTTGCGACTTAATTGTGCGCTGTCTGGCATAGCCTTTGGACATATGCATCATCTAGACTAAACACGATTTATAATGCCTGTTTTCAAGGTTTCAAGCCCGCTATTTAAGATGTGTAATGAGATTCTTATTGCTCGCAAAGACCAAAACTGTTAATGCTTAATGATTTTTGGACTTTGCTCAGTCGTTTAGAATTTACTGCTGGGAGCATGAGCGGTGCACAAAGACTCAACTTTCTTTCCACACTTAGCCCAAACGCAAACTATTTTGGAAGCTGCGTTTCCACGATAACAATGCCCTTTTCGTTGCTCAAACCATCTCCTATCTGTTTGGGGCACTGCTCTTCATCATTCGCCCGAGCCAAATGGAAATCACTTTTGTCATGTTCAACGGGCTGGTGGTCTCTGAGGACTAGCCAGGTAGGTAGGATTGCAAGGCCTAGATTTTGAATTCCAATTAGCCCTATGTTAAAATATCATCATTTTAAGAAACATTTGAAGCACTTACCAAGAAGAATGGTATTGACGGCAAGGGGAACTCTTCCTCCATACCAATCTTTGGCGTTGATGCCGTATGAAACTGCTTGAGAGAAACTCTCTTGTCCACGCAAGATACCCGACAGTCGAGCTAAACGCCATTAGTATGCAAATATCATGCAGAAAATCCCATGGAAACCTACAAAGCTCCGAGATATTGTCTGTCATCGTAGAAAGGAAATAATAGAGCCAGTTCTGCAACGCCTGTCGGGAAAATTCTGCAGTACAGCCAGTCAGCGACCAAACCAAAATATGACCAGTGTACACAGAGCCTTACCCCAGAGAATGACAACAAACAATCCTTTAGTGAACCCTTTATCAGACCAATCATATGTTGGCGAGGTTACAGTAAACTGCTCCTGAACCACCCAGGCGTAGACCCAAGCCACGACATGTAACAGAACGACGTAGTAGAAGCTGATAAATGTATCAGCAAAGACATAAGAATGGTAAATGAGGTAGATTCCCTACGTATATGTGAGTCGGCTCTTGACCGACAGCTTCCGATAATCAAGAATCCAACTGATACTCCAAGAAGAGAGGAGTGTTCCGAGAAAGCCTAGCAAATTGATGACCAGTCAGACAGTCTATTTTAAGCTTCTTAGAGTGAAATAACTCACTGACGAATCCAATCAGTGCACGGGCTCGAACGCCAAAGTAGTAAGTCTCGAAGTCTAGGTTCCCATGTCAGTGATCCTATACATAAACACGTAATTTTGGCCTTGAGTATGAACATACTCCCTTCGTATTGATTGAAGTATGAAGCCCAGAAGACAGGAAGGAGGAGTAAAATCTAAACGGACTATGTCAGCGACCACGATTTGTTGATGTAGAAGCAGCAGAACTGACGTCTTTCCGGCGGGAAAGTTTCCAAAGCTCCAGCATTTCAGCCTTCCACGAATCTTGACGAACGATCTTGACTTTGCTTCCGTCGCTTCGCTGGACCTTCTCGGGGCGGGTGAGGAATATCGCTAGCGGGACAGCAAGACACTGCAATGCCACGAAGATGAGATATGTCTCTGGTTCAGCCAAGGATTAGCGTGCATCAAATTAAAGAAGTGAGATCGACGTACCCGACCCGAGTTTCCCTCTGTTCTTCGAGCTGCCAGAACTGTTTCGATGTAAGCAACTATCCCCCGTGCTGGCTGCTTCGCAGATTCTTACTGATTCAGCCCAAGCACAATAGCGCTTCCTAAAAGGGGTCCTCCTGTCCGGAACCAAAGCCAAATGCTATAGACAGTCAACACTGGTATCACATTGTTGTGACCGATTTGTGCACTCACTTCATATACTGGCCTCTTTTAAATGGCTCGGGATAGCCAAGTGCCACTGCACCTTCGGATGCCCAGAAAAGACCAGCCCTAGGATTTTTAGCCATTTTGACAGTTTAAAGAAGAGGTTGGCCCGGGGGATAGGCAGCATTAAACTCACGATAAACCACACGCAACAGCACCAACTAGTACAAACCACACATTGCCCTAAAATAAATGGTCAGTAATGGTCTCGTGGCGCGACCGCTCTGGTTCATATTCACATAGCGATTGTTCGTGTACAGCGCCGCTCTAAAATACGAATTAGTGAATTTCTCTGTTTTGAACAGCATATTGACACCCACGAGTAGACCGGATAGCCAATTGCACCTAGCAGAAGGGTCCAATTCAAGCCAATCCGATTCGCAATCGGGCCACCAAATAGACATAGGATGCCCACTATCCAACGATAGTCATTAGTCCTTGTTGGGTGGGTTACGATAGGAAAAATTAAAATGACATACTCAGAGCAAAGACCAGAGCGTTGGCAGCATTTATCAGAAAGGGTGATTCCGCACCACCAGCGCCCAGTGAGTTCATGGCATTCCACAACCCAGGAGCCATGAACCCAACGCCGCCAATAATGAATACATTGAAAAGCGTGGTACGATACCAGATGCGCTTTGTTCCTTGGATAGATCCGTGGTCGGAAGATCCAGATGTCGGATTTGAGTCGGCCATAGTGTTTGCGAGAACTTTGAAAAAGCCTCGAGTGATGGAGTTGCGGTTATCTTATTAAATCTACAACATCTGGCCTTTCATCTGTTTCTATATGCTATTATCCTGTAGCATCAAAAGATCCTCACTAATGAGCGAAATTGCGTGCTAGAAATATGGTGTGCTGGTTCATGTCACCGTCGCAGACAGACCGGCTCCACTACGGACCCGTAACTTCGAGGTTCACCAATCATTCCCAAATTAAAAGCTCACGCCGCTGCCAAGCTGTTGTTGAGTTTTCTTGTTGTGATTTAGTGCTCGGTTATTGCCGCTTTCTTTAGCTGCGACAGATCTAGCCTTCATATTCTGGGAGGGGAACTGTTGGAAGCAGGTCCTGATCGACCCGGAGTGGGTCAAGCCCGCGGCGGAAATTCGGAGATTGTCACAGCCGCTACAAGACGCCGGTGAAAAAGCAGCCGGTTGTGGGCCGAGAAGTGGTCATTTTCAGCGCCAATTTCACATGTCTTCATATTGTATGTGTAAAAAGAAATCCTAGTATTCCCAAGCAAAATGTTCTCTTCGAAGCCGCGAATCTCTACCGTAAAGCTCATCAAACGTTTCGTCTTCCCCAACACAGATCCGGTAGGTAATCTTGGCATACTTCTTTGCTTGATCTTCCAGGCCAGGGGCCACCTTGCGGTAGCAATTTGCTAGACTCATCCAGCATGGCACGAGACTATCCACCGCCAAACCCCACTTCTTCACAACCAGGGGCGCTTCCTGGATAAGCGGAGGACGGCCACCCTCAATAATGTAACCGAGCGACTCCAGAGCTTTCAACGCAAAATCGATGGCCTTCTGCGGTTGATTTCGCGTCGAGTAAATCAGCGATAGAGTCAGACATGTATCCCACAGACAGAATCGAGGGACCTGAGATGCTGGATGGTTGTATGTCTCTGCAATGGTTGACAGAATAGTCTCGACCCGAGCCACATTCGGTTTTTGTGGGGACTTAAAACTTTTCTCCAGACTTTCTTGAAGTCTTTCTCTCTTCGTGACAACGCTTTGTGGGGTGTTAAGAGCATCTTGGCAGATGATACAGCTGCACTTGAAGCCCCAGTGACGCAAATCCATTCTCTTGTTCTTTGAATTGCTGCCTGCGGGTGATTGGTACCAGAAATTGAGCTCTGTGTTTGGTTCGAGGTCTTGTGTGGCTCGAACAATCATCATGTCTCCGATAAATGAGCGTCGAGCATTGCTGTAGCAAGAGTGGTTGATAGAGGATGCCAAAGGCCAAAGGCCACAGGAATGGAATTTGGTAGCGTTTTTATCTAGCTGAGGTCTCTGGATTGTGACCTGCTTATGGGACTCGCGAGAGGAAAGAAGACATCCAAAACTATTCAACGACATGATGCGTTCAACGAGGAAGCTTGAATATGTCAGCATCACTGGAGTCTGAAGTCAAGTAGGATAGACAGTGGGTTCCTTACGTATCCACAATCGGTGCGCCGTCTACTTCCGAGGCACCAACAGGTTTGTATGAGCCATGGTACAGATCCGTGATAGTTGACATGAGAGACGGCGACTTGTACAACTTTTGAATAATCAATGAAAGAAGATCTGCTTGGGTGCCCACTATCATGGTGTTTCTTTCCGTGTTCATCAGTAGGGAAAGACCTTGGATGGGGTTAATCGCATCATGGAAGGCATATGCGAAGGCCTTTTCACAGAAGAGAAGGTCGCCTGCCTTAACTGCTTGTGTCGTGAATAATCCTCGTCCATGAGAATCCGTAGACCCTACAGATACATGGCCAACATAGGTGGCGTGGTCAAGATGTGGTGGCCGGTTTTCTGCTGCTTCACGCTGCAGTAATTTAAACTGATAGTCGCCACGTTGTTCCTCTTTAAGGCGTGAAATAGCCCGGTTGAACTCACTCTTGGCAGACTTGAGACCTGGATATTGTTTAGAAAATTCCGTGTAAACGTCACAACATTCCCGAAACCTCTGAAGGTGGTAGAGAGCCTGAGCCTTACGGAAAAGAACCTTCTCAGAAAGGTGAAAAGTCGAAGATAATTCCTTCAGGTCGTGGAGAGCCGCATCAAACTGATCACGTTTGAGGAAAGCGAGGGCTCGATTGAGTTTAATCGTAAGGGCTTCTTCGGCTGTCGGAGCGGACTTTAGAGCCTTGGAGTAACTGTTATCGCGATTAGCTTCGGTACAGACACGATCATTTACGGAAACATTACCACTCGATGGCCCGGGAATGGTCACCCTTGTTGAAAAAGCTGTTCCCTGTTATCTTCCAATCGTTGGCAGGGATGTCTTCTTCGGTAACCCGTTCTCTCCAAGAAAGTGGAACTAGCATCATATGCCGGAATAAACCTGACATCGGACAAGTGATCAACTCGGATTCCACAGTCTCCATCTGCCATGATCTTCAAGTAGGGCTCCTTTACAATCAGGATAGTTCCCTGAGTCAGACAATCCGTAGCGATCTCCTTTTCCTGATTGTACAGCTGTAACATGAGAGCCCGATTGTCTTCGTCCTCCACGATGGCCATGATCGCAGTCATGATATCTGGCTGGGAAGCAGTTCTCAACAGAATATAAGACCCACGATGATGGGTTTCAAGAGTAAGGTCTTTGATCATGATTTTTTTGAGGTCGGTCAAAGGAAGAACACTGGGAGGGTAGGCCGAAGGGATGAAGGCTGAACGGATGGAATGGGGGCCAACTGGTCCTTGATTTATCATCTGCCGAAGCATAAACTGCGCGAGGATCTCCTCTCGGGACTTCATCGCCTTGGGACGCTGGCCCTTTTTGGACTGGGCATTTCGAAGGGTTCTCTTCTGCCCTTGTAGAATTCTCAGATACTCTGGCACGTCAGAAACGTCGTAGGTATCCATATTGCACGTCTGAAGAGGGAGATGGGAGATAATAAAAGGTTTCGATAGGAATAGATTTTGAAGGCACTATGAGATAAACCAAAATTCAGGTAAAGGTCGGAGGTGACAAGAAGAGTAGAGAAAGCATGCGTTGTTCAAAGAGGGGCACACGCAGGGGTACAAAGATACTTGCATGTTCTACAGTAACAAACAAATGGTACAAACGGAAAGTGCCTACCGTAGAGCGAACTGATCTCCCATCAAAGGGATGGCTTTGCTAGGCTCGAATCTATATACTTGCTTAGTATTCTGGCCCGGGTCTCGGAAAATCAAGGTTGGGTTTCGCGCCGTTCGGGCCGTGAGCGAGCACGAGGAGAACAGCAATATCGAAGTCGAGTGCCAACATCGGTTTTGAAAGACGATTGGAGAGTAGAGATTGTTGGTACTACGTAGAGAGTTATGGGTAGAAAGGCGACAGCTTCTGGCCTCAAACGCGGGTCAGTTCCAGCGTTGATTTTACCGGTCCTGGGTTTCTGTAAATCTTGTAAGGTGTCTGGCCTGGGTGATATGCAGGATGTGTTAGATGTAGATTGGCTGTACCATGATAAGCTGCATCGGGTCTGCGGCAGGCGATCTAGCCCTGCAGATCTTCAATGTTTCCATTACTGTACAGGCATCATGAGACAGCTATTGGTTTAGAGAGCCCGGATGAGACTTCAGGCGTCCGAGTTCTTTTTTTTAGAAACACGTGACCTCGGCCGTGGCTGTGAAGTTCTGCCTAAGGCCGCGGTGTAAGCCGAGAACTTCGCCTCAGTGGCGTCAAATATCCAGTCCACTCTCTACTCCGTATTGTACTCCGTATCAGTCTAAGTCGACGTCATTCTCAAATTTTGGCCTTTTAGAAACAAGGCCCAGTCGAATCCCAAGCGCGCAACCAAACCTGGACGGGGCTGCGCTAGCCAAGAGCCCAAACAGTCACTACGGAGTAACACGGTCATAGACCCCACACAATAGGAGATGCCGCGGTCCACACATACAGCCTGAAGTGGTTGATCGGTGGAGATGTTCCCCGTGGCTCATCCAGTGATCTCAGGGGCTTTTCGGTGTGGCGGGTGGCCTTGCCGTGGAATTCCGGCTGGGTTGGGGTTGAAGGCAGCAGGATAACCAGCTGTGGAGTTTCTATATTCAGCATGCATTGCCTAGCCATAGCTATGGCCATGTGAACGTAAGCTGTTGCTTATGCAGATCCTGGCGCAGCACGAGATCTCCTGCACAGTAATCTTCCAGAAACCCGGGACAGTGGAAATTAGACTCAGGGGAAGGCCCCCGGTCGTACAAGTGGACCCTTGAAATGACGATTGCTCGAAAGAGTCTCCACATCGGGCGCAGGTTACAGTATGGCTGATCGTCATGGGTGTAACTCCGTGTGGATTCCAAGGGTAGCCTTGCCACTGCCGCAGGGAAACTAAACTTAGCATCTGCTTTTGGGGCCGCAATTAAATCGCGTGGATCGTCACATATAAAAGAGTCGTGCTCTCCCCGGGTTTTATATAGAACTATCACTCTACCAAACAATCAACTCAAGTCTTCAACCCTCATCACCTCACACCTCAATACCACACTTCAACTCCACCAGCACCTCAACAGCCATCAAAATGAAGTTCTCACTCCTCACCACCGCTTTGTTCCTCTCCGGCGCTGCCTACGCTACCCCGGATGGCATTGACGTGGGCTCGATCATCTCCGCCGCCGAAGGCGCGGCCGCAACCGCCTCCGCCGGCGGCGAGTCAATCGGCTCTGAAGCCCGCGCGGGAGCAACCTCCATCGCCCACGCTGTGGAAACAGGCGGCTCAGCCGCAATTGCGAGTTTGACTGGCGACGCCGCCTCGATCGGATCCGCCGCCGCCAGCGCCGCCAGCACGATTGCCTCGGACGCTTCCTCCGCGGGTTCGGATATTGCTAGCAAGGCTTCGACTTGGGCTACGCACTTCACTACAACTGATGCGCAGGGCCACAAGACTACCGAGACTAGTGTTATTACAAGCAAGGCTAGTGCTGCGGCGAATGCTGCCACCAACACTGGCTCTAGCTCTGCTTCGGCCGCCTCCTCTACTGGTACCAACGCTGCTGGTGCCGGGCCTCACGCCATGGGTGCTGCTGTTGCAGGCCTTGGTATGCTTGGTGTCATGGTTGCCCTGTAGACCCTGTAAAGAGTACAGGTGTCGACTCTCCGCCGTCGCCAAAATAGTCAAGCATGTGGGGGACTCATGCTTGTCTTCATGACTTTCCTTGACTTTTTGATAAAAATCCAGATGGAATGGGTTTAATACCGGAGTTTTGTATATATACTATTGTGAATACTATCATTCAAACATTCAATCTCCTCACCTGATATTTCAATTGTAGATTCCCCGTGCTCTGTACTGGGTATCATTTAGAAAGTATTCATCCCTCCACATGTTCAACCTTGAAACCAGCCCCGTCCCCTCGAGTCCAACTATCGACTCTCCCAAAACTGCGCATCCATAGCAACCAACCGATTAAACAGCTGATTCCTCGACCTCATTCCCGTCAAATGATACGCCTGCCCTTCCTCACCACCTGTAACGACTAACCCATCAGCAGCCTCCTTACTGCCAGCCGTCAACTCAACAATCAACTTGCCCTTCCACCCAAGGCCCTCCGTCTTCTTCAACTCCTTAATCTCGGTTACCGGAATTTGAAAGAGCACGGACCCTTTCTTCCGACTCTCAATCCTGAGATCATCAAGACCCGCAGACTGATAAGTAGTAAAGTACAGAATAGGCGGCTCCTTCGACGAATCAATAACCGCGGCACCACGCTTCCGCTCGAACTTCGCGTCGAATTTCAGCGGGCCGAAGGGTTTAGAGATGAAGCCTCGTTTTTGGAGCATGCTGAGCAGGTTCTTGGTATGTGCGGAGCCGGCGATGGCCATCGCACGGTCCATGGCGATGTGGCCACGGATGGCGGTTGCGATGGTACGGCGGACGAATTTGAGGAGTTTGAAAACCCAGCGGCGTTTGGGTTTGGGTGGTGGAAGGGGGTCGGTGAGTGAGCCTGCTTGGGATGCTGTGTCGAGGGATACGTTGTCGCTGGATAGGGGGGTGACAGCAGGTTTGGACTTTTTGCGGATTGGCCAGGCTCGTTCGTTGTCTTCGGCGCTTGGTGGGGGTGGGAGGGGTGAGGAGTTGATTTCGCCAATGCGGAGGAGGGTTAATGTTAGCTGGGCGTTTGTTGGGACGCCCTTTAGCAATGTTCTGGTCGTTGTTAGTTAGGGTCGTGAATGGTGGAGTTAGGGACGTACTTCTGCATGTCGAGCTGGTCTTTCCAGTTTGGAATCTTGCGGTTCAACATGTCCAACGTGTAGGCGAATATTGGGTCACCGAAGAATCCAAGACCAATGGCGAAGCCGATGCCCTTTATAATCCAGTAGCTGGGTGCAAACGGTATCACGACGGAAATCACAGTCAAAATGCTAGAGATACGGAGTCGAGAGGAGACCAGATAGAATGGAGGAGTAGGAGAGAAAAGACTATTCTCGTGTTAGCGATTCCCAACTATGCAGAAGGGAGAAACCCACTTTGCGAATTGTTCGTAAACGTCTGTGATATCGCTGACAACACGCATCGCCTTGTCGGTACCCTTTGCAGCCTTTGACCTCATGGGTTTTTTCGTCTTGTCCTCGGGAGAGTCCTCGGGCTGGCCAGCCGGTGCGCCCTCAATGGCCAAAAGAGGCTCTGGTGTAGCGGGCACCTCAAAAGAATCCTCGGCGACTGTTTGGCCATATCTGGCAGCGGCGCTTTCCACGGCCATGGCGGCAACACTGTCTACTAGATGCTTCGCCTCCTGCTCGGCTGCTTCACCCTTGTGATTCTCTGGGGCTCCAGTGAGGCTATCATGAGACTCGGGCTGTTCACCCGAGCTGTTCACACTTGAAGCATCTGAAACTGTTTTTGCCGGGGCCATTGGGAAGAGCAATGTCCGGACGGGCGGGAACATTATCAGAGCCACCAAAAGACTCAAAATGGCCGGGATGAGAAGGTCCAAAAGCCATGAAGAGAAATAGACCTAAACAAATCAGTCTATCTGTCAAAAGTTGGAATTGGAAGAAGACATACACTACAGAATATCGAAGTCCGAAGAGGCTCCTTCCAAGACCTCAACCTCCCAACATGCCGAAAGAATTCTGTCAACCCTACAACGACAGACGTGTAAAACCTCTCAACGGTCATGCGCAGCTTCTCAGGTGGAAACTGTTCATCATCCGCACGATTGAGATCAATATCCCTCCCCTGCGGATCTGGCACCGCTTTCACATGGTAGATTTGCTAGTCACATGTCAGTTCTGACATCCAGCAACCGCTGCGAACGTACCTTATTAAACCGCCGAATCAGCATCCACAGATCCTCATTGGAGAGCCCCTGCGCCAGGGTCTCATCCACCGTGCGTGATGAGGGCTTCCATTGGAGGGCTGGCTGCCTGTCGGTCACTGGTTCCGGCCCGCTTCCGGGTACCTGGGGCAGCTCGTAGCTGTCTGTGTCTTCCAACTCGCGGGGTATTTCATGGTCAAGACTCATCTTTTGATGAGTTGGAAGGGGATGGTCTTGGCAAGGTGATTCCAAGACTAAGAGAGGGTCGTGATGTTGAGTGAATGTCATTAAATTCGAGGGGAACCCCGTGCTTCGCGTTGATTGATCGGAAATTGTGGGGAAAGCGACGTCATTCTCGGGGTATTTTTAGCGAGCGCCGCGACCCTGCAGATGAAAGGATTTAAAGTCTTTACTTGAGGATGTTGTTGTTTATTTGTTCTTTAGGACGGTGAGTTTCCAGCACTCCCAGAATGGATTCAAATTGAGGATTTTCCCTGACATAATGCACAATGCGACCGTCATGAGGCGGATAAATAGCATTTTCCACAAACACAGTCACAGGACGATTACTCTTCCTTACCACTGGCAGTAGTGATCCCTGCAGAAGACTCAGTTTTGTAAGCAATGGTGTCTGAATCAGCAACTCTAGCCTCATCAACCGTCATGCGCGGACCCGTATACCATCGCCGCGCGAAGAGGAAGTAGTAGCTCATACATCCGACCCACACAAACCCATTAATCACGATAGTATAGTTTATGTCCGAGGCTACCGTCATCAGTCATCTAATTCTGAATAGTTGAAGGACACAAACTCACCAGAAGGGTTCGGCCCTGTAGTTGGGAACATGGACAACACAACGCCGAAAGCCAAGTAGACAACAGCAACGCATCCGATAGCCTTGCTAAACCGGCCGGTATAGAACTCCCCAGGAATGAATCTCTCCTGGCCCCAGACCAGACGACAGAAGATCGGCATACCCCAGGATAAGTAGTTGCTCGCGACAAATAGCGAGAATAGGGCAGTCGCGGCGGCACTGTTGATTAGACATAGAAGGCCAAGTACGATGGAAATTACCACCAAACCACATATCATGCGCACGGGCTGGAATTGTATTCTGTTGCTGACGTGACGGAAGAAGGTGGAGAATGGGAGGGCCCCGTCGCGAGAGAACGCCCATGATTGACGAGAGGCGGCGACGATCTAGCTTGTTAGAAGTGAAGTTGTAGATTGACCGGAGAGAAATACCAGGCTGAGGCCAATAAGAAATTGGATAATGCAAAGGACAGTCATGAAGCCGAGGGCGCCGTTCTTGCCTAACGCATCGTAATAGATCTGGAAGAAGTTAGTTAGGATCAGCAATGAGAGCTGGATAAGGGATTATTACCTGAGCCATTGGCTGCCCAAATGTACTCCCAATAGTCGCCGACACATTGGGATTCATCGTGGCAGCAATAACAGCCAGCACCAAGAACCCAAGCACACACGCCGACCCGGCAGAGAACATAATCCCCAGCGGTACTGCTTTTGCAGCATGCATGGCCTCCTCACTCATGTGCACGCAAGAGTCAAACGACCCAATAGACCAAATTGGGGAAAGCCACGCAAGCATAAATACCCAGCCGGATGGCCATTCCGTTTCATTATCCAGGTGGCTGAAAACATAGCTCCCCGAGTTCAGCGACTCGCCTCGCGTTGCCTTCCCAACCGGCAACGCGACTACAGTGGCGATTACCATGGCGATGTTGATGTAGATACAAGCAGTTTGGATCTTCGGCATAAGGCGACCCGTTAACGCGCCGGAAAGTCCGTGAAGGAGAATCACCCCGACGTATACGGCGTAAATGACTCCCCGCGAAGCGGACCAGTCTGAGTCACGGGAGATGGAGACGCATGATAGGATCATTAGGGAGAGTGTATCTGCGAAAGTCAATAATAGATCTGATTGAATCATCCATAGACTCACAGTCCACAGAACAGATACCACCGATCAGCCCGAGCGTGTTGCTGTATCCGATGAGGAAACTGAGAGGCTTCTTGTATCTCTCGTCGGCGAAATAATGCGTCCACCAGTATAAACCACCAGCCGTAGGCATCGCTGAGGCAAGATCAGACTGTAAAGTCATTACCAGGCCACGGGGAAACCGGAAATTGATCATACCATCGCCAACCCGACAATAAAAATGAAGATACTAGCCGCGAACCACCCCTGCACAGGTCAGCGTATCTACACAACACTACTTTAAAGGATGGAAACACCCATCCAAACCATCCCAACCGGGCCAGCAGGCAGGGAAAATGCAAGAGTTGATGCGATACTCGGGACGAGCCCCATAATACTAAACGCGATCGCAAACACCTGCACGGTGGAATACTGTCGTTTGAGTTCCTGCTTATACCCCATTTTGGCTTTCCCAACCTAGGCCATCAGCGACCGTTTCAATCAAAGAGCGCTCGACATACCCAGTAACTGCGAATCCTCAGGATCCGCGAGCCCGACCCCGGGCGGGGACGCCTGGTCTTCTCGGTTCATGGTGAGTGAGGTTGAAGGTCACGACATGGCGGGGATGAGGGATCAGAGTTGGAGTTGCACTGGGTGTTGGTCCTGCAGGGGTGGAACTGATGAGCTGGAGGGGAATTGACCCGGTGATAGGGCGATAGGGCGATCGCGTTGATCCCAGATGCGGTCTTAAACTGTCTTTCAGGTTCCCAGCTCGCAGGTCATGCTGGAATTCGCGATCCTTGCTTCATGAAGGGGATCGTGATTCGCCAATACTTCCACCCCTGAGAACCGTGATTGACTGGAATCTTGAGTGAGGAGCCAATGATCTTCCCATTCTTGCTCTGCAGCTTATGGACCTGGCCTGCATCTGCAGACTAGGGTGGGAGATCTGCCGCCTTCTTGGATGCGCGATCCGGTGTCGATCTGGCCTGGCCCGGGGCCTGCACGGGTTGTTTGCCCTTTTCAGAAATTTCCTCGGCTTTTTCTTGAATATTTGGTTCACAGCTTGAGGAATGTCCATGTCATGGTGGAGGGCGAGACAGACGTGGCGTTCGAACGTGCCAAGGTCCAACCAAATTCGCGTAGCCGACACTCGGGTATGCCGAAGCCTGCATATTCGCTGCCTACACTTGCAGCTCCAGTCGGTGCATTAAGATGGAGGCGCTATTTTCCGTCAATTAATGTGCGTCTTTTATCATCTTGCCTTGTATTTCCACCATACTACCTGCAACTCCACTCGAGAATACCAACTCTACAATAGGGTCTATTGGAGTTAATAAAGTTTTAAACCATCAACCGCAAAAATATAAACAGAAAGAAGAGAAGATCACTGTAACCGCGACCAGATCGCGGAACAACGCTTGTGAATGACATCGAAACAAGGTATCATATGCACCGATGATCCAACCATGCCACCACTAACTGATACAGCCCACCACACTCTCTCATACACACCAACAAGATTGCATCTCAAGATCATATTAAACCTGCTGCTCAGGAGAAACTGGATCCTTCTGAGGCACCTGGCTGTCCTGGTCCATAGTAGTAGCATTCGGAGCATCCTGATAAGTACCAGCACTGCTGGGAGGCTGATAAGTCTGACCCCTGCTGGAAGGAGTCCGACTATAAGTGCCATGAACATGATCAGTCATAGTGTTATCAGACATCGCAGAGTCCGCGCGCGCCTTAATCTCCCACTCATTATAGTCCTGGCCGGGGTTGATGTTCTCCCAGCGGACAAAGCACAGCAGGTGGTAGAAGCCAGAAGCCAGTAGCGATCCGAGTAGAGGGCCGACCCAGTAGATCCAGTGGTACCCAGGGAACTGGCGGTTGATCACATCCGGACCCAGGGAGCGGGCGGGGTTGAGGGAGCCGCCGGTGAAGTAGTCACCTAGAAGAGAGTGTATTAGAGATGAAGACAGCAGGTTGTGCAGGGATTGGAAGGGTATACGTACCGACAAGTTCGCAGAGGAAGAAGGCGAGTCCGATTCCAACGGGTGCCAGGTAGGTCGACTTGTGCTTCACGACAGCCAGCATGATAATCACGAAGACCAGCTGCGCCGTGAGGAACATCTCGATGAACAGACCCTGCGCGATGGAGGTGCCACCACCCAGACGAGTCTTGAAGTTAGGTTCTCCTGGGAACATGGCACTCACCACGCCCGCAGCGGCAATGCCGGCAACGAGCTGAGCTGGGAACACCATTAAACTGCGCAGCGCAGGCATACCACCAGTCAAGCATAGCGCGAGCGTCACCTAACATAATCAGCCACCATCCCCATCGCATTCTCATTGTACACTTACCGCAGGGTTGAAAAGACCACCGGTGACACGGAAGAAAGCCCAAACATTGACAGTCAACGAGAAGCCGAAGCACAGAGAAGTGTACAGCAAGTTGGACGTATTCGGAGGCGATCCATCAGGGGCCATAGGCGTATTGGAGACCTGGGTACCGGCAAAAGAGAACAGCAAATACATGAAGGTGCCGACGAACTCGCCAAACACGCACAGCAGGTTATATCGAAACTTGTCGGGCATCTGCAGCATGGGCAGCTGGCTCCGTTGGCCGGGGCTAGATGGAGGACCCAGTGTAGTTTCCGACATCTGTGAAACACCACGGTTATGTTTGCTGAAAATCATCGTGTCAATTGGCCTTGTACAAGCTTCTTGGGGATCAGTTGGAAAGAGAAACGAAAAACCTTCCACAAGTCAAAACTACCTCGAGTCCAACCCAGATACGGGACTAGGTCCCCTATTAAATACGAGGGTCCATGGCAAACGTCACCACCAAAAAACCATACTCTCCCAAAAGCCCGATCCAAGTATCATCGACCAACTCTTGGCACGGACAGATCGCGACCAGTTCACTGAATACCGCAGAATAGACTTTTTTCGAAGCCCACAATCTACCACATATGGAAAGCAGTGCATGTTCATAATCGGGCCCGAATTGGCTCGATCCAGATAGTGATGAGGTCAAGATCTAGATTGTCCCATGTTTGTGGAGGCGGCAGTGGAGCAACAATGGCAGTTCGTTGTTGGACGGGAACACCCGGCCTTCCGCAAACGGATAGTCCGGATTGTCTAGACCTGTCATGGCCACCTGTCACTGGCTATCCGGGAAATAATCGTCTCTACTCGCGTGTGTATGGACAAATCATTGATCTTCGGATTTTTTTGCGGGGCACTGTCCCACGTTTGGGACGGAGATGGACCGCTCATAGAATCTGACCTGGTGTTGACCTCGGTTAGATTGGAGGTTTTGGCTGTGGAACGAACAAGCGAATGCCGAGTTGGCGTTTTAGAAGTTTTTTAAACTTCGTGACTCGATCGGTATTCGAGGGTTGCCAGGACAGGGCTGGGACCCTGGTTCCCCCAAGGGGCGAGAGCTGAAGTTGTCAACGAAGGGGCGAAATTTTCAACTTTTCGCGATGGTAGCCATTGGTTCCCATTCATTTCCAGAATCTATTGTTAGCTTGTTCAATTGGAGCCATAAAGGTTATTCTGTACGCTGATCGTGGAGATAACGATGAGTGGCTGCGAACGCTCATCTTAGCGTCGACAACCATCATCGCAGGGCTATCATCCTCAACCTGGATCTGCGTGCGGGTGGGTATGTGTGTGTGTGTGTGTGTGTGTGTGTGCGTGTGTGTGTGTGTGTGTATTTCCATTATACTCTGTTTTATCCCCGTGTGGCGATATGTCAGAGTTTCATCGATTTTATAGATACAGGCGGTGCGTCCTTGTGCGTGATGGGTTACACGAAACCACAATTCTGTGCTGTTCCACCACTAAATTGTGGCGTTCATCCACCGTGGAAACCGGTGCTCCTAAGGGAACCTGGATACCGAAGCCATGTATAGTAGGCTGTAAAATTCATCGGATGACACCAAGTTTTCGCTGCGCCACCGGTGGCTTTTCGGCACGGGGCCGATTTCCCTAAACGTTCTCGTTGGTGGGCTGACCGGTCGGGAGTGGGCGGAATGTGACCGAAAGCTCTCTCGACCAAAGTCTTCATGAGACATCGATGTGGCTATGCACGGGTCGGTCAAGAGGACTCTGTTTTGGGAACCAAAATGCCATTGACTAGCATATTTGCTATCAGCGGCTATCTACCGAGCCTGTCTCGAACATGATCGGCGCTTTGACAGCTGTAGACCAACCTTATCACGGCCACCTTCTGCCCCATCTATAAATTACATCAGACTAAAACTCGACACCGGGATCTAAAACAAATGACAATCTCTTTCTTGAAGCCGAGCCGTATAGCAAACCCCGAACGGGGCGCCGAGAAAAGCCCAGAAAGCCGAACATCGAACCACGTGCTGTTCCTGGAATTTTCTGTTTCTGCTTGTATATCTCCGCGGAAATGCTTCGCTTTTTCGGAGCAACTCGCCGCTGCAGTATCCGCAATGTCTATTTACAATTACCGTCATTTCCAGATGTAGGCTAGACGCCGCGGTCTCGCTTACGTCGCAGGCCGATTACTTTCAGTGAAGATAAATAGCCAACAGCCAGCCTTCAATTACCGATTCTTCTGCATCGATGGCTTGACTGCACTTAAAGCGCACACTTTCCAGATAATTATATTCAAGCATTGGTCGCATCCGCATACCGTCATCATGGGTTCCAACGCTGGCTTGACAGCGGATCAAATCAATCTGATCAAGGCCACTGTGCCCACTCTTGCCGAGCACGGCAACTCCATCACATCCGTGTTCTATAAAAACCTTCTCGATGAAAATCCATCCTTGAACAGCATCTTTAACATCCCAAATCAAGTCAACGGCCATCAACCGCGAGCCTTGGCCGATGCACTATACGCATACGCCGCGCACATCGACGACCTGACAGCATTGAGCTCCGCTGTGGAGCTGATCTGCAACAAACATGCATCCCTCTACGTCCAACCCGAGCATTACTCGGTCGTCGCCAAATATCTCCTCGAAGCAATGGGCCAAGTACTCGGCGACGCACTGACCCCGGAAATCAAGGACGCCTGGGCGACCGCCTACTGGCAACTCGCAGATCTGATGATCGCGCGCGAGAAGCAGATGTACCGGCAGGGTGAAGGCTGGTCCGACTGGCGCGAGTTCAAAATCGCAGATAAAGTGAAAGAGTCCGATGAGATTACTTCCTTTTACCTCGCGCCAGTCGATGGCAAACCGTTGCCTGCCTTCCGTCCCGGCCAATATATCTCGGTCCAGGTATATGTCCCCGAACTCAAGTACATCCAGCCGCGGCAGTACTCCCTCAGCGATAAACCATCGCCAGATTACTACCGCATCAGCGTGAAGAAAGAGACGGGAATCGACACTACAGACCCGGGTGCAGCCGCTTACCCAGGCTATGTATCGAACTTGTTACACGACACATTCAGGAAGGGTGACACGATCAAAGTGTCCCACCCACGCGGCGACTTCTTCCTCCCAGAGACCGAGGACAACTCTCCAAACCCAATCGTGCTCATCTCCGCTGGAGTCGGTTTGACTCCGCTGACCTCGATTCTCAACACATTGACCTCGACCTCAACAACCCGCAAAATGCATTTCATCCACGGCGCCCGTACATCATCCGCGCGAGCATTCAAAGACTACATCTCCACACTATCGTCCCAATATCCCAACCTTCAAAAAACGTTCTTCACAAGCCAACCATCCTCGTCCGAGAAGGAAGGTGAAGACTACACTTTTGACGGACGCGTCGACCTGAATAAGCTGGACTCGAAGGACCTATTCCTCGACAACCCAGGGACCGAGTACTACATTTGCGGACCGGAGAAGTTCATGACAGACATGGAATCAAGTCTACAGGCGCAGGGCGTTCCCGCTGGCCGGATCAAGATGGAGCTGTTCGGGACTGGTGGTGTTGTTGCAAAGTAGATTAAGATCTTTTTTTTCAGCATGGCGTTAGATTGATACGTCTCAACTCATCAATACAGAGCTCATTGCAGATCTCCCTTTATGTTCACTGGATAAAGTACATAAGATACCCTGAGTTAACGAGCGCCAAACAGATTCGTCCCCGAAGTACGATCTTCAGGCATTGGGCGTCGCGGCGCTACTTTAGGGTCACTCGTGGCTTGGCTTCTACCGTTCGCATAGAGATGGGCACGATCCTAGAACCAGAGATCTGTATTTAGAAGAATGGAACACGGGCAGGAGCTTTCCGGTTGTTTCGTGGCAGAGTGAGGATTTGAGCTTGGATCCTGTGCAGCAGGAGCATGGTGGGCTATATATATTGTCACATAGAGCCTAGGAGGTGCCTGTAGCTGTCTCACAGTGATGTAATACAGTCAACTTCCAGTATTGACATAGCCCTCCATCCAAGAGAAACCATATGTTATAAGTGATTTATGTAAAGCATGGTTGATGACATAATACAAATTCAGATAACGTAATTCACGGCCAACCCGTTAACACGGCCAACCCGTTAGCCCCACCAGAAATCGCGCGTCCAGTCCTACCTACCATCTTCAACTACCCACCATGCCACCAAATCGCTCTGAATCCTGGCATAAATCTGCTGAGCAGGAGGGCAGGATCCTATTAGCCCTTCAGGCGGTGCAAAAGGGCCAAATTAAATCTCTCTACGCCGCAGCGAAGCTATACGATATGCCCTACACTACCCTCCACGACCGCGCTACCGGAACGTCTCCACGCGTCGATAAACGCTGGCATAGCCATAAAATGACACAATTAGAAGAGGATTCGCTTACTGAGTGGATCATCTCTATGGATTCGCGTGGTGCAGCACCTAGGCCCTCTACTGTGAGAGAGATGGCTAATATCCTACTGGCCACTCGTGGGATTCACCCTCCGCCTACTGTAGGCGTGAATTGGACATCATCCTTCGTTAAACGCCGCGAAGAGATCCGCTCGCGCTTCTCGAGACGCTACGATTACCAGCGCGCCCTGAATGAAGATCCGAAGTCGATACGAGAGTGGTTTAATACCGTAAAGCGCGTGGTCGATGAGAATGGGATACAACTAGAGGATATTTATAACTTTGATGAGACGGGCTTTGCGATGGGCCTTATATCGTCACAGAAGGTGGTTACGCGAGCTGAATACTACGGTCGGCGCTCTATCTTACAGCCAGGAAACCGCGAATGGGTTACTGCTATCGAGGCTATATGCGCCGATGGCTACGCACTACCGCCATGTGTGATATTTCAAGGCAAGGTTTATATTGCTGGCTGGTTCGAATCAAATCTGCCTAGCGATTGGCGGATTGAGGTCTCGAATAACGGCTGGACTACCGATGAGATAGGCCTTCGCTGGCTACAGAAGCACTTCATTCCATATACGAATTCGCGCGTACGAGGTCGATATCGGCTATTAATTCTTGATGGCCACGGTAGCCACCTTACACCTCAATTCGACCGAATCTGCGCTGAGAATAATATTATACCGCTCTGTATGCCTTCGCATTCTTCGCATTTACTCCAACCGCTTAATGTTGCGTGTTTTGCTCCGTTGAAGCGCGCATACGGTCGCTTCGTGAGCGACCTCGCCCGATATGGCTATAACCACATCGATAAGCTCGACTTTCTCGTAGATTACCCTCGGGCGCGTATCGAGGCGTTTCAACCGCAGACTATCTAGACTAGCTTCGCTGCTACTGGTCTTACACCGTTTGACCCAGAGCGTGTGCTTTCTAAGCTCAATATCTCGCTCCGAACGCCAACACCGCTAGGAAGCCGACTAAGCAGTAGATCTAGCCAATTCACACCAAAAACGCCTAAAACAGTGATTCAGCTACAAAAGCAGGCTACCTTACTCAAGAATCTATTGAGACAGCGGTCAAATAGCCCTCCGTCACCCTCAAAAACTGCTGTGGATCAGATTATCAAAGGTGCTTATTTATCGATGTATAACGCTGCGATACTAGCGCAGGAGAACGCTAGTCTACGTAGAGCAAACGAGAAGAAACGCCAGAAACGTACACGGTCGAATCGACAAATAGCACATGAAGGAGGCCTATCTATCGCAGAGGGCCAACTGCTAGCTCAGCAGCCAGACCAGCCAGTTGAAGATAGCCCGGTGGTATCGCGTGAGGCAGGCGAATCAGCTAGTCAGGCAGATTTGCCACGCAAGAGGGCTCCGCCAAGGTGTAGCGGGTGTGGGGAGTTAGGGCATAAGATTAATCGTTGTAAGAAGCGCTAGTTTGAGATGAATTTATACTTTCTTGGTGGAGTTATCTTGAATAGAAAATTGGTAATGGAGGTGGACTAACGGGTTGGCCGTGTTAACGGGTTGGCCGTGAATTACGTTAACGTATTTCACTACCGAGTGGGCCACACCACCGAGTGGGCCACCCAACCACTTTTTCGCGTCCACACGCGTCCTTCTATTTTCTACCAACCACTATGCCACTAAATCGCTCGCAAACAGGCCGAAAGTCTATCGAACAGGAGGGCCGCCTTTTATTAGCTATACAAGCTATTAAAAATAAAGAAATCGGCTCTATACGCGACGCAGCAAACCGATTCTAAGTCCCTCGTTCTACCCTCTAGCGCTAACTACGCGGTACTACAAATCGCGTTGAATCTCGCGCTAATAGCTATAAATTGACCCAAATCGAAGAGGATTCGCTTAAGCAATGGATATTATCTATAGATACGCGTGGAGCAACTCTAAGGCCCTCTATAGTGCGCGAAATAGCGAATCTCCTACTTCTTAAGCGAGGCTCGACCTCTATCTAAACCGTCGGCGAAAACTAGGTTACAAAATTTGTAAACCGATATCCTGACCTTAAATCACGCTTTTCACGACGATACGACTATTAGCGAGCAAAATAAGAGGATCCAAAGGTTATTTAGGGGTGGTTTGACACTGTTCAGCGGATAATTTCTAAGCACGGTATCCTACTAGTGGATATTTACAATTTTGACGAGATAGGCTTCGCGATGGGCCTTACTACGACCGCGAAAGTCATTACTCGCGCGGAATACTACGGTCGGAGATTGGTTTTATAGCTAGGGAATCGAGAGTGGGTAACTATAATCGAGTCAATTAGCGCTGCTAGGTGGGCGCTCCCGCCAACGATTATCTTTAAGGGCAAACTACATAATCTAGCTTAGGCTAATGACCTTCCGAGAGATTGGCGCTTTGAAGTTAGTTAAAATGGATAAACGATAGACGAGATTAGCCTTCGATGGCTTCAAAAGCTATTTATTCCGTCAACGAATAGCCGTACGCAAGGAAGATATCGACTTCTAGTACTCGATGGCCACGGTAGTCATTTAACACCGCAGTTCGACCAAATTTGCGCAGAAACTAATATAATCCCAATCTGTATGCCGCTATATTCCTCGCATCTCTTACAGCCGCTTGATATTGGGTGTTTTGCGGTTTTAAAGCGATCCTACGGTCGGCTTATTGAGAACCAAATGCGGCTCGGTATCAACTATATCGATAAATTTGATTTCCTTACAGTATACCCACAAGCGCGCGTGGATACGTTTAAAACCGATACGATTAAAAATAGCTTCGTAGCAGCTAGTTTAATGCCATTCAACCCAGAACGAGTGCTTTCAAAGCTCAATATTTAGCTTCGGACGCCTACGCTGCCCGGAAGCCGCCTAAGCAGTCGATCAAGCATATTTAGTCCTAAAACACCCAAAACCGTCGCTGAAACACTTCGACAAGCTTCGTCAATTAAAAGACTACTACGTTAGCGCTTATATAGCCCTGGAAGCCCTACTGAACAGGCGCTCGACCAACTTACAAAAGCGTGTCAATATGCTATGAATAGCGCTATTATCTTAGCACAAGAAAATAGTGATTTACGCGTAGCGAACGAGAAAAAAAGACAAAAGCGCTCTCGTCCTAATAGGTATATACCTACGCTAGCAGGCCTATCAGTCCAGGAAGCCCAGGACCTTACGCAAGCCCCTGAGCCTCCGATACAGCCTTCGGCATCGTCTCCAGCAGCACCCAGCCAGCCTATTTAGCAGGCTGTAGCCCCAGCGCGACGGCGTCAATACACCTGTTCTATATGCGGTGAGAAAGGGCATAAGTCCCCTATATGCCCAGTTAGGTAGAATAATTAATATAAAGGCGTTTTGGTTGAAAAAACTAGATGTAAACTAAAAGTAGGTGGTTGGGTGGCCCACTCGGTGGTGTGGCCCACTCGGTAGTGAAATACGTTATGTTATAAGCGGATTATGTAAGGCATGGGCATGTCAATACTGGCAGTTGACTGTAGTACATTTTGGGTAGACTTCAATATGAAATCGACAGTATTTGGAACCTCTGGGGTAATTCCGGGCTTAATACCGGGTTAATCATCGACTGCTTGGCCCAGGGTGGAGCGACCGAAGCAATTTATAAGCAGATGCCGATCAATTCATATTGCCCACCGCGGAGACACAACGTCATTCAAGACTTCTCGAGGGGACAGAGGTCACAATTGGAATATTCCGATTAAAAACAACCGCATTTTCAGTCCGGCGTGACAACCCCAAAACCATCATCACAACACCAACGCATTTTAAGATGTCCAAGATTGGAGTCTTCCCCGCCTCCGGAGGCCTAGGTGGGAGCATCGTCAAGCACCTCTCAAAGCTAGTCCCAGCATCCCAACTGATCCTAATCGCGCGCAAACCCGAAAAGCTCGCCGAATTGGAAAAATCCGGTGCCACAATCCGCCAAGCAGACTACGACTCGCCCGCGACTCTGAAAGATGCATTCGAGGGCGTGGACGTCCTCATGCTGATTTCATACGCATCTATTGAAATCGAGCACCGGATCAAGGTAAGTATCACTCACACCAAATGACAATAAACCAACTAACTCCGACCAGGTCCACCGTCTCGCAATCGATGCCGCCATCGCAAGCGGCGTCAGGCACATATTCTACTCGTCGCTGGCATTCGCCGGCTTGACGGACCACAGCGTCGCGCACGTTATGGGGGCACACCTCCAAACAGAGGCATATCTGGCCTCTCTCTCAAACGAGATCTCTTACACAGTCGTTCGTGAGGGAATATACTCAGAATCCTATCCCATCTACACAAACTGGTTCAACCCCTCAAAGCCCGTCAACGAAATCACCATCCCGCACGACGGCTCCGGACCTGGCGTCACTTGGGTGAAGAAGGATGACTTGGGCGAAGCGACAGCACGCCTGATTATCTCCTACACGGAGAGTCCAACGGATTTCAAGTATACGAATGAAAAGGTTCTTCTCTCGGGGCAGAAGGAGTATTCGCTTTCTGAAACGATGGAGATTATCGGTCGTGTGATTGGAAGGGATTTGAAGATTAGACAGATCTCGGTTGGTGAGTATGGAGCGCTGTCGCATGGGGGTTTGCATACTTACCACGGGGTTGATCTTTCGAAGGGGTGGGCGACGGCTTGGGAGGGAATCAGGCGTGGTGAGACTGCTGTTGTGTCTCCGGATATAAGGGAAATTCTTGGAAGGGAGCCTGAGAGTTATGAGACCACTATCCAGAAGTTGATTGGGGGTTCCAGAGGTTGAACCTGAATATAATGGGCGTAGTCTCTATGTCTCTATTCTTGCTTAACCTCAATTGAGAACAGGATCGGACGTCATTGCATTTACGCACAAGTAGCTACCGGCCCTGTTGGACCCAGACTATTGATAGCTAGTGATCGTCTGAAGAAGTGAAACATATCTTGAGACCCCGCAAAAGTCGCATTGTGAAGAGTACACCGTCTTTTATACGAGACGCTAATATGGACATCCTCAAAGGTCAAGAATTGTACTTTTTACTCAACAAGAGTCTCCTGGACAGTTCAATTATTTCGATGGCTATCACGCACACAAAACCTACAAGCTACATTCATTCACACGAAAACCTCAGACCCTGTGACTGACACCCAGGAGACGGCTTTAATCGACTTTCAGAGCCAAAATGTTGAGGATCAGCCACCGCTGATCCTTCATTGGCGAATGGAGCCGATTCGGGGCATTTCCGTCGTGATATTCTTAGTAGTTGCACCCGGAAAACCAGGTTACCAGGCGTTGATCGCAGACGGCGTAATTCTGGGTTGACTATTTGTCCGACGTCCTGTGGTGTTGTTGCTATTTGATCGCATTTTAGGTGTTCGGGCCGAAGATCGCTGGGCTGTGCTAGGTTCGGATCTATTACTGGTGATGATTCTCGCCGCGGGAAGGTTTCAACGTCTTTTCGGTGAAGAGGCTTTCCTAAAATGCTTGTTTAGGTGATGAACAGGACTCTCGGGAGGAAAGTTATTTGATGACATCAAATCGCTACCGGACTTCTAAACTGGCCTTATTAAACCTGCAGTCGAGTTCGGCAAGCCGCGTATGCGGGAACCACGTGGGGACATTTGACTCGGACGGTAATTCACTAGTCTGCAGACTATTTACCCTATTGGCGCCTAAGCTGTCCTAAAAAGTCCACGAATGAGCGCTTCCTGAGGACTCCGGCGATGATCAGCCGTCGTTTCGTCACGGGCTTCGATTTTGAGATCCAGATCCATAAAGGCGGGGCTGACGAGGAAGGCTTAGCGATCTCATCTCGAGTATAGAGATTTCGGGCACTCTGTTGTCAATCAACACCTTGCATTTACTGAACCTACATTCCTGTTGCACGGAAGGTCGGGAACGCGGAATTGTTCTACTTATCCAGATGACAGACGCACAGCTCAACCAAGAAACCAACAATGCTAATTTGACTCATAATCTCTCGCGTGTCAAGAGGAAAGACGGCTCGGCCATAGAACCAACGCTGGTTAGGTTGATCCGCTTGACGTATATTTTCTGGACCGGGTAAAGAATTGTCGGAGTGGTTGATTCAGGCCTGATCTCGGGCTATCGTTAGCTGTACTGTGGTCGCAGTTAGCTGTACTGTTAATGCTTATTCAGTGGATGGCTCTACGTATCGGATTTCCTGTCAAGTGCCCTCGGGTGGGGCTTTCCTATTTGAACTGCGCCCGCTTTTATAAAAATCAGGCTCGCTCCTCACGGCTAGGTAAATCCAGTCCGGGACCAACCTCGCGTGCACGGAGCCACTCACGGTCATCACATGTATGAATAAAATGCACGTTTGGGGACCATCTCCGATTCTACCGTCCGGCTTCGAGCCCTTTTTTCCCTTGACCACGGGTTCCGGAGACCACGCGTTCGCGCTAGTCCTTTCGGAACAATCGACGCCGATCTCATTTCCACCAATCACAGTAGCAAAAGGCGACAAACCCGTTTGATTGTTTTACTCTTGACATGTCTATTGGACATCTCAGGAACCTTATTCGGAGACCTAAACCGCAACGGCCCAGTCATATGACTTATCGTCGTGGTGTTAATATCGCCACCCCTTAAGAACCAATCAACCGAAACTCCGGACGCGGCTAGGTCTAGCGTCCAGATTCCACCAACCAACGACCGAGCTATGCAAGGTCGGACCTTGTTTGAGTCAAAATTCCGCGGCCTCGGCTTATTTCACCTGCTGTATTCTTGGCAAGGGGTAATGAAGTCGGCCCCTTAAAGAAGCTATTAATCGGTCTCAAAACGCCAACTTCGTGGCGATACGTACATCGGAATACACTATAATTTAACTAACTACCCATGCGGGCGAATCCAGTCAAGGTGGAAACTCAAATGTCGCCCGCGGAGGACATGGCAAATAAGCACTAATAAGCACCTGTTGTCGCGGGGCCCCGCATCCCCAATCGACATTTAGCCTTGACATGGAGAAACCCGAGTGGAGGGTAGCGCACAGCTCATCAGCCTCGTGGCCAGTATAAGCGCTAGGGCCCCTGCAATTCAACTATCTCACCCGCCTGCCCGAGCGCCACAGCCCCTCTGCTCGGACCAGTGGTCGCGCCTTGTCTGGTCGTAGCTGAAACCCCAGTCCAATAGGGTAGTTCGAATAACGCCATTTTTAAGTATGTTGGTTCGGCGTCGTGGAAACGGGAAAAAGCCCGGCGGCACAAGGTTACACCCCGGCTTCCCTTTCGGAACGTTGCTACTACTCTGTTGAATATTTACCCTGCGTTATGTTTGGACTCTGATTACATACGACTCGTGCACACATCACGCGCATGCCGTTGGGAGTGAATGACCATCTACCGTAGAGGCGCAGATGCAATAGGTGTCGCGTGTGCCGGAATAAGAACAGCGTGGAGTAGATTCATAGAAGCTGTAATGAGAATATGAAATATGGGAAAGGATAAAGCCCGATATCAACGAACAAGTTGTAAAGTGAAAGATAGAGGCGAGTCAGTGCCTGAAGATTCTGGCCCCCCTGGAAGCATCCCTGTTAAAGGATATAAGACCCCAGATCGCCCGCATTTTTCCTCAATTGGTTTCCCACTCTCTTCCCTTCCCCCCTCCCCGCATCTGCTATTCTCTTCGTTTTGACAGGGTGACATAGCGAACAACCCAAGATGTCGGACTTCACCCCCAAGGATGAAAAGGATGAGTTAAACTCGCGCGGTAACGTCGAGGTCCATCATGACGAGGTCTTGGCCAACCCGGATCTCATGAACGATGCCTTCGATGGAGAGAACCTTGAGCATGAGATGGGCGTGTGGACGGCCGTCAAGGCCCACCCCTGGGCCTGTCTGTGGGCCTTCACCATGTGTTTCACTATCGTGAGTCTATTTCCCCGCACTCTCCGCAGTTCGCATCGGATCGCGGAAGATCATTCCCGTATAGAGAGCTAATGTCTATCAGGTCATGGAATCATTCGACATGTTCCTGAACGGAAACTTTGTCGCGCAGTCCGCGTTTCAAAGGCGCTACGGTGTCAGTGTTGGCAATAATGAATGGGCCATCCCGACCAAATGGCAGAGTGCCCTCTTCCAATCCGGTCAATGTGGTGCTTTTGTCGGTGTCTTTTTGTCCGGACCTGTCACCAACCGTCTTGGCTACCGCTGGACAACCATTTTGGCCCTAATTTTCATGAATGCGACGATCTTCATTTCCTTCTTTGTGAGTAGCCCAGTTTCGTTGTTGAGCTTATCGCCTGACCAGATCATTGTTCATTTAGGCCGACTCACTTACCGTCCTTACGGTTGGACAAGCGTTGGAAGGTGTCCCTTGGGGATTCTTTATTGCGAATGCCCCCGCATATGCCAGTGAGGTCGTTCCTCTCGCCCTCCGAGGTGCTTGCACGGCTACTCTGCAAATGTCTTGGTCTATCGGTTCAATTATTGTCGCCGCCGCCGTCCTTGGCTACAACAAGCGCAATGATGAGTGGGCTTGGAGAATTCCTCTTGCGTTGCAGTGGATCTTCCCTACCCCTCTCTTAATCCTCATCTTCTTCTCCCCCGAATCCCCTTGGTGGCTCATTCGTCGTGGACGCAAAATGGAGGCCCTTCGCTCGATCAAACGCCTTGGTAGCAAAACCGAGGAGCAAGCTCACAAGTCACTTGCTATGATGGAGCGAACCGTTGAGATCGAAGCTCAATTAGGCGGAGCCCCTAATCTGCTCGATCTGTTGAAGGGTACTGACTTGCGACGAACCATCATCACCTGCTTGATGTACGCTTCGCAGAACTTTGCTGGTAATCTGATTGCGAACCAGGCAACCTTCTTCTTTGAGCGTAAGTAGGTTCTCTCTAAGCTCCAAGGATAGATGGCTAACCTCCCACTAGAAGCCGGAATCTCTCCAGACAAGGCTTTCCAGCTCAACCTCATCAACTCATGTCTCCAGTTCATAGCCAACGCACTGTCTTGGATCCTGAGCTCCTGGTTCGGTCGTCGAACCATCTACCTCTGGGGCACAGCTACCAATATCACCCTGCTCTTCATCCTCGGCATCTGCGCTTCTATCCCACAGAGTGTCACGACCAACTACGCTCAGGCCGTTTTGGGAATCATAATCTCTTTCGTGTTTGCTGGTACCCTTGGACCGATCTCGTACACCATCATTTCCGAGACGTCGTCAGTGCGTCTTCGTGCGCTGAGCACCGCTGTTGGACGTGCCGCCTACTACGTTGCCGAGATCCCCATGATCTACCTCGCCTCCAAGATGCTCAACACCACTGGATGGAACCTTCGAGGAAAGTGTGGTTACGTCTGGGGAGGTACTGCGTGCGTTTGCTGGCTGATGGCCTACTTCTTCCTGCCCGAACTTAAGCACCGCTCTTACCGTGAGAGTGACATTTTGTTCAACCGCAAGGTTGCGGCCCGGAAGTTCAAGTCTACTATTATTGATGTTCGCGAGAACGAGTAAGGTATGGGCATGGTGATCGACAAGGAACAGAGTACATCGGGGGGTTGCCAGGTTCTGATTACACCGTTTCTGGACTTGGTGTGCTCCTGGTGGGTCATTTTGCGCAGTTGCAAATTCCCTGTCCTACAAAATCTCCGTCACGGCGTTTAGTAATATCCATGTTTACGAAACTATTATGCGAATCCAAGTATGCAGTTCCAATTTCCAACATCAAATAACCGTATTCAGAGACCGCATCAACGCAGTTACTCCTTGTAAAGATAAAACTAATAAACACCGGCTTCCGAAGTCTTAGCATCCATAGCCTCAGCCAGCAAAGTATCATTCACGTAGCGGAAGTAATCAATAATGGAGAAATCATCACAAACCATGGCCGTCGAAACAACACCGCGCCATTCAATCTGTCTCAGCTTTACTCAATTCACATTAGCCTCTTCATCTCGACAGTTGAAATTAAAAGAGTAAACTCATGCGCGCATGACCCCAAGACTCATTCCAAACCCTCTCTCCATCCTCCTTATATATCATGATCGGATCAACATCCGAACCGTGTCATCAATGCACGCCCTCTCCGATGGCCAACCCTGCCACGATCGCATATAGCGAGGCTGCTTCTCGCATGTGCCATGTGTGCGTCACTGCGCATGTTCATCGTCGATTCCTTCAGCCTCTCTCATACGGCATAGGTGCGGATTGGAGGAGCTGGTCGGAATTTCTTTTGCTGAGCAAAACGCGAAAATGGTTGATTGCCCGTGCGGGACTTGGTAGCGTGCACGCTCGGAAATTTACGACGGGATATCTACCTAGAAGCAAAGGGCATGAACTCTGCATGACAGCACGTTCATATAGCCAATTTTCGTTCTTGCATGACGAGCCATTCTAAGTAAAATTTAGACTGTTGTGCTTAGGATAAATAATTGCTCCTCGCAATCACAACACGACAGCGCTCTCTGGACCGTGTTTGTCGGTTTATTGTTTTTCCACGCAGCCTCACGTGAGCGCCAGGGGCCTGCTTTATTATAAGCCCTCGAGGTGGCTTCGTCCTCTGCCCACCATCCACCATTCTTGCCATGTTATGCTATCCTTGCCATGGATGACCCTCATCACGGAGGCCAAATACGTGACAGTAATCTTGTTGCAAGTCTATGTCAAATCCTGAATTCTGCAGCTGTACCAAACCTTCTGTGGGGCAACTATTTGTTGACTGCCTATGGGGTCCCAACTATCGTTGACGTCGGTATTTTCCATTTTCTGTTGAAATGTTAGCTAACTTCGTCATAGGATGTGGCTTTTGTCGTGCCCGATGATTACATTGGGACAGCCTCGTCTGCCCTTCAAGCAGCCAGATATGCTTTATGTCCAAAAGGCGTGAGCTGCCCTTTTGTTCACGGGATTCAAACGCCACCTCCGTCAGAGCACTTGCACATCGATCAAGATATTGCCATATCTTTGTACCGAAAATCTGAAATGCTTTGGAAGTTTGAGGACTTTGAAATCTCTTGTCTCAAAGATTCCGTAGATGTCATGAGCGCTTCAGACCTTCGACTTCCGCCATCATACCCAGGCCGAGGCCGAGGACGATTTTCGCCAGAAATTTCATTTGTCAAAATTCCAAGTGCTGTGAAGTACTGTGAAGCTTTGATTCTCTTGCTCTGTCGAGACCATGACACTGTTCATGAAACCTACTGGTTGGCGATTCTTAGCTATATTTTAGAATATGTCGACGGAACGGATTTCTTTGATGGAAAGGACTTGGGTGACGAATACCGAAGGTTTTATTACGCTATTAGAGATGGCGACTCGGCGATGTATTCTCTTCTGGATGAACTTCGCCATGATTTCATGTCTAAGGGTTGGCTTCAAGCGTTGATTTAAAAGAAAGAGACCACAAAAGTAGACATCCATATCAGAATAGCCTATATTACAACTACCTTGGCACAGTCAGACCCTGCAGCCTGAGAAGAGTAGTAACCTCTTTGCAGATGAGATGAAGACGCGGCTGCGACGAGAGGTTTCCGATGGGTTTACTTGCGTGTTTCCTTTCTTGCCTCAAGGATTGGAAGAAGTGACGGACAGATTGGTTCCGAAACTACAGAAACGTGGTCTGTTCCGTGAAGATTACACAGGCTCAACGCTGCGTGGGCACTTTGGTCTGTCGAGACCAGAGAACCGGTTCTTTAGCGAGAAAGTAACTCCGAAGGTATGAATCCGGCAGAGTGAAGAACTGCAACATTTAAGAAGTGTTCCCATTCCCATGATTGATTTCATCTGCGAACCAATATCCATGTAGAGCTTATTCACACTGCAGAGTTTGAACAGGCATATCCCTGCTCCCCATCAACCAAGCGGTTCAAAATGTGTCCCCCTACACCCATTCATGATCTACGCCGGGTCACCTCGGCCAAGAACTCAAGCTGCCGACGTAGATCCCGCTCCGGACCCAGAAATCCGGGGAAGGCTGAAATCGGCAGTCAGACCCGGGTGCAATCCGAGATGACATGCAGGTGTCAAACTATTAGTCTCAGTAGGCAGACCGGGCCGACAGTTAGCCGCGTGGACTGACCCTGAGGGTAAGATCCGGGCTACGACGGAATAGTGGAAAGGCGGAAAACGATCCGCTCGAAGCTACTCTAGATTAGCGTGTCCGATCTACCTCCGTATGTGGACCGGCTCTCAGCTGACTGAATAGGTTGATGTTCTATTTATAGTCTGGTCGGTTCAAACTAACTTTGGAAGGTTGTGCCATTGCGGAAGAGGCGCCAAGGCAGAAAGCCACGTTCCGTACATTCGTAGGTGGTAGATAGTCACTGCACACCTGGTTTTGATGCAAATATCTCGAGGTCTTTATTGCAGTGGATCGTGTCAGATCACGGAAGCTGGATCTTGATGCAAATCGATCTCGCCAGCTAGGAATATCATGATCATGCAAAGCAACTACAGAAAAGCTCACCGAAAAAAATACTCAGCATTGCATCCCGTTTACATTTCGTGCTCCAAAATATGCGACGTCACGAGGGCAGATACGAGGGCAGAATTGTCTCATAAAATCGGCAGCTACCGGGTCCAATAAAATGACAAGGGTCAGGAAACTAAAGATCCGGATCACTCCACGACCCAAAGTGGCAAGGTGGGCAGCGGATTCGGGAGGGAGTGGTGTCAGCGGGAAATGCGTGGCTCGTGAGTGGACGGGACGGGACCACAACGGTCGCTTTAGTTTGCGCCTAATCTTTCTCTATTCCTTTGGTTCGCGATTTGCGGATGCAAGACCTCGGAACCGTCCAGTAAAGCGCTAAATTGGAATGTTGAGCGGCACGTGGAACTGACACGTCGAGGGATTTGCATGCATCCTTGTGTACCTGGACGTTGTGGCTCGGTTTGCGTAGCATCGTCTAGCTTGCCTAAATCGATCAAGGGCCCTACTTTAGACGAGGGTGACTTGCAGGAATCGACCAAATTCAGGTGGAGCGCAGGAGGTGACTTCGGGGTGCTTCTAGGTCAACACCTGGGCGCGTAGAATATGCACAACAATGAAACATAGCTTGCATCATTATCAGCAGGTATGCTGTGCATTCCATGGGTTCAGGTCTGCGACCCAATGGTTGTCGAAGGAATTGCTGTGCGTAACCTCCTGCCGCAGCGGATCGACGTCATGCATATGTGTCAGCTAGGCTAGGCGGGACGATTGCGGGCTTTCGGTTTCTAGACTGCGATGACTACGCAGGAAAATGAACTTTTCCGCCAGCTCGCAGCAAAGACCAAACTGTCATTGGCGACAAAAGTACTCGGCGCCGTGGTAACCGGCTCCGAGACTCGGCCGGCGGTAGCTTGGCAGCCACGGCCCACTCGCTCCCGCAGCTCCACAGTTGACATCTGCCCCGTTGCTCGTCTTTTCTTCAACGGTTTCACAAAGCTCGTGAGAAGTTCGGAACACCTGAACGTTTCGGAGCCGGCCGTGGCCTAAGGTGATCTCGGCTCGATTTCACCGAGCGCAAAAGATCAGTCTGCCCCCTGACTACTCCGTTTGGGGGGAGGAGCGGGGAGCCCAAAAGGGTCTTTTCGTCAATGGAGCTAAGCGTTGACATCACAAGTCAATCCCGGCCTCCGCCTTCGGTCCCATGAACTGCGACAGCCATTTCGTAATGAGACCCAGCGGCCGGCCCCTGTCGGGCTTTTGCGCTTGACGAAATGCTCTTGACGAAAATCCTTAGGAGCTATATAAGCCGGCCCGGTCAACGTAAACTCGCCTTGTTCCATGGTAACACGCCTTGCCATCGATTTTGTATGGTTATAACCATTCATTCCTTCCGCCACATTCCTACCAGCGCATAAATATTTTATCGCACCCAGGGCTCTTTGATTAGCACATCACGAACATTTCACGATGGCATTCAATCGACCGAATACCCTTTCGACTCTCACATTAGAGGACGAAAGATATCTCAACCAAGATCTCAGCCCCCAGTCCCGTCCAATGGATATGTTCAAAGGATCCGAACTCCTGCCAGGCAACTGGACCTATGGCTGTGCAATCGACCTTTTCTCTCTGAACGCAACCGATATGGATCCCGTCTCATTCGACTTTGCCAGCAGCTTGACAACCGCGGACACCAAAGACCTGTTCATGAATCCATTCGGAACAACAACTGCCATCGATGGATTCACGATGCCCATTGCCGAGGACGCAGTCTCTCTGTCATCGGTATGACAGCTTTCTCCAAAGTCAAGTTGAGCATGAACGTGCTGACAATATAACAGGACCTAGACAGCGACGATCAGTCCTGGTCAATAGGGATGCGCCAATCCATCGACATGGCCATCCACGAAGAACCCATCAACAAACCGTCCAAACCCAACACCCGCAGCTCCTCCCAACGCACCTCCTCCTCATCGGCCTGGTCCTCCAGCCCCGAAATCAAACCCCAAGAATATCTCACCCCAACACCAAAGACAACCGGTCGGAAGACCCGCAGCCTCTCCCACGACTCCAACCGCTCCTCAAGTCAAGACCCACAAATACGCAATGCAGCCAAACGAGCCGCTCACAACGTGATCGAGAAGCGTTATCGCACAAACATGAACGCCAAATTCCTCGCCCTGGAAAAAGCCGTTTCCCCAGCCGGAGCCGCCAAACAATCCAGAGGCGCGGGCTCGCTTAAGAAATCCGAAATCCTAAGCAACGCCCTCTCATACATCGAAAGCATTCAGCAAGAAAGCGCAGCCTTGAACAAGGAACTCGCTCTCTTGAAACAAAACCTCCTGCCCAGTGCAATGTGGCGACAGAATCAGCACCGTGCATCAGCGTGACTCGTCTCGCTTGCCTGCACTGATGACACCATGTACATTTAGAGCCGCTTTCGGCTGGAGTTTGCTGGAGTTTACTTGGGTAATGGAGCAGGGTCGGCGTTTCGATATTTTCACATCTCCCATCCCAAATGGTATCCGGGTCCTGGTGACGACAAAAGTGTTTTGTGATTCCCCATGGCTGTATCCGATAGTGAAGCATTAATGCAATTGCCAAGACTCGGGTGATCCTTTTCTGATATGAATCTCAATTGTGCTCAATCGTGAGGTGTTCTCGAGGTATTGCCCCGATGGGGAATGGGATGCGCGAGATCCTGGGCGGCGTGGTGGGAATAGTCGCGACTCGCTTTGCCTAAAGTGGAAGGTAAACGGAAGGGTTTTCAAGGGTCAGACCATGTGAGGCTTCATAAATAGGTGTCGGTTGCTTGCTCTTTCCAGCTGGCTGCAGCTGCAAGTTCAAAGATCGAAAGATGAAATCGAGTCTGTGTTGACTTTTCGATTTGAGGCGAAGGCTCGTCGAGAACCTCCGTCCAGGGTGTGGCTTTGCCTTCATCCACTCGACGGGACATATTGTTCAAGTCTTTCATCATTGGGATGCATGAGACAAGATGAATCCTCGAGATTCTGGAGTATGCCTTCCTCAATTTCTACAGTCAAGGCCGGGTCGAACAATGCTTTTGTGGGAACACAGCCCTTGTCGGATCACAAAACTCCGGGGTCAACGTCCATCCCAGAAAACATCGCGCAGGACGTGCATTACCCCGGAATCGGAGAACATTCGATGCGGGGAAACAATATAACGCGTTAGTGACTCGTCAACCTGCCAAGTGAATGAGCATTCGATTGATAATATGTTTCAATCTTGGGCATTTCGAAGCGACAGGGTGATCATCGGGCATCACCGCCGCGCCCCGGGCCCAGGCAAGCCGTGTCAGATGGAAAATCCGGGATTGAAACCGCCTCCGTTATTCGTGCCATTAGGAAATGAAAACAAATCCCTCGGCGAAGCACGGTCAAGAAGACGCCGGCCCTAGTGCCGATGCCGCTTCGGGCTGAGCCTAGCCCGGACGATCTGGCTCTAAATGCCTAAACGGGTTTGGTCCTCTGCGCGGTTCCTGACTATCAACAACAGCAAGCCTTATGAATCATGAAGTTTACGGCCGGGGATATCACAGAGATGTGAACAGCCACAGACGAAAGCTCATGTCATAACATCACTCCGCATTTGCGATCTCTCGACCCGACTTTATCACAACTCTATCGAACTGCGTCTGGGGCCCACAATCCCCACCGGGAAAGGAAGGAGCAGGAGATATCAACACCGAGCGGCGACCCAGGCCAATAACTACATAACGTGGATGTGAGTTCTCGGGCAAGTCAAACCGGATCAACCAACACCACTTCGCGCGCGAGAAAACCTAGTCACAAGCCAAGCTCTTACTGACTATTCGCCACGTTCCACCTCCATCCTCCTGCGGAGGGTGGACCCTTTTCCCCAGCATTTCACCAATCCAATAAAACAGCCTAAATCCCTCAGTCGTCTCGTCTTTCCCAATTGCTCATGCAGAACCCGTACAGGATTCGGGAATTTCACAAGACTAGCTCATCCAGGTCCATTACTCTGGGGTTCCCCTCGGAGGATCTCGCAATCGAGTTCAGTCCACCCGCGTGACGATAATCCGGCATCGGCAAAAGGATCTCCACCGTGGAACCCGTCAGATATGGTTCAGATATGGAATTCCAGCGGTGGAATTACAGTATATTCAAGCAGGCTGAGATGTTGTCACGGACTCATACATCCAGCGAACTACAGTCCACTGATAGCGGCTCCTTATCAAACCGCAAGGACTTGCTATTTTGGGTAATGGATTGCCACCGATGACCCATCGAGCTTCCACGGCTTCCATGGCTTACATGGAATGAATAACTTTTCTGGCTGCAGGAGGCTTTGACAGGGATGTGTCGCACATAGGTTGAAGGGAGGCTTAAAGCCATTTTCAACGTACAATTGAAGGTTTGCAAAGAATATAGTATCGCCACCCGAATCCTACTTTCCATACACGGTCGGCAATCATCAGCAGGCTCCAGAACTCCATGGCTGTACTTACTTATATGCAATAATAGTCAGAATGATAATTACACTATTCCTACTCAACTGCATAGCAGTACACAGTAGAACTACCTCAGTTACCAGGTACCTCTGGCGCTTATCAGCCGTGGACCCATTTCACTGGGGGCGGCCCACAGCAGCAGGTCCACCCGAGATGGCGACAATCCCCGCAAAAATTAATACTGAAAAAAAAAAATCGCCCCGATGATTGTTTCTATTACCAACGTCTGCGACATTCGTGACCAATCCACCGAGTATCCACCCGTCAAGAGCCCACAATCCAGGCCGGTCATTGGCCATATCTCTTTTCCCCAGCTTTATCTGCCGCCCCGTATTTACCTTTGCCGGAGATACGCCCATGAGGGGTTCGAGGACCTCGTCCAAGAGATATAGAACAGTCGCTGTGCCCACTTTCTTCGACTCATGCTTCAGCAGAAAATGGGCACATCTCCCACTCAGCTGAACAAAGAATTCATCTTTATTGCCACGGGCTGAGATACAGATTGAACTACGAGACATGGACGTCGAAACGAACTCGCTTGCCCTCAAGCCGCCACTTGAGAATGAGCAGGATCTCCAGGATGCGACAGACTTGGCGGCGATGGGTCACGCCCAGGCGTTGACCCGCAAATTTAATATTTGGAGCATGCTCGCTCTTGCATTCTGTGTTCTGGGTATGTTTGCCACCCTACACCTGGGAAGAGACTCGCGACAGGACACTGACCGTAGCAGGAACCTACTCTACCTTCGCGCAGGATCTGAGCTCGGGTCTCACCAATGGCGCCTCCATTACCATCCTCTGGGGCCTGGTGCTCGTCACGGGCTGTAACCTGTGCGTGGCCGTCTCGCTAGGCGAGTTGACCTCCAGCATGCCGACGGCGCTGGGTCAAGCATACTGGGTATACAGACTGTGGCCGACGCCGTTGGGCCGCTTCGTCTCGTACATGTGTGCGTGGATCAACACGTTCGGATGGTGGACCTTGACTGCCTCGCAGGTTGCCTTCATGACCGAGTTCCTGCTTGGCATGAAGACGATGTTCGATCCGGACTGGACGGGTGCGAACCAGGGGTGGTTGAATTTTGTGGTGTATATTGGTGTTGTGTTTGCGTTGACCCTTATCAATGTGGTCAGCTGTCGCAAGGAGCAGGTTCTGCCTTGGATTAACAACTTTGTTGGGATTTGGTTTGGGGGGCTGTTTATTGTGCTCTCGATGGCTATGTTGATTTGTGTTGGTGTTAAGAGTGATTTGTCGTTCCAGTCTGGGGCATTTGTTTTTGGGAACTGGATGAACCAAACGGGGTGGAGTGATGGTGTTGTGTGGTTTACTGGCTTAGTGCAAGCTGCTTATGGTTTGACCGCTTTCGACTCGGTGATTCATATGGTGGAAGAGATCCCTGATCCGAGGAGGAATGCTCCTCGTGTGATCTGGATGGCCGTTTTGTTCGGTGCAGTTACGGGTTTCATCTTCATGGTGGTTTGCCTGTTCTGCATCCAGAACCTCGACAAGGTCACCAACGCTGACCAGCCTTTCATCGAGCTCATCCTGGAGACCGTCGGCCTAAAGGGCGGCGCCACTCTCATCGCCCTATTCATCTTCAACGGGCTGGGCCAGGGAATCAGTGTTCTGACCACGGCCTCCCGCCTGAGCTGGGGCTTTGCTCGTGATGGCGGTCTTCCCTGGAGCAGGTACTTCAGCCACGTCGACCCCGTCTGGCAAGTCCCCGCGCGAGCACTCTGGGGCCAAGGCGTGCTAATCGGCATCGTCGGCATCCTATACCTCTTCGCCAACACCGTGCTCGAGGCCATTCTGAGCGTCAGCACCATCGCCCTAACAATCTCCTACGCGATGCCCATCCTCGCACTCCTCGTCACCGGCCGCGACAAGCTAGTTCCAGGCCCCTTCAAACTCGGTCGCTGGGGCCCATGGATGAACTGGATCAGTATCGTATACTGTGTCATCACCACCATCTTTTTCCTGTTCCCCGGAGCGCCAAACCCGGCTCCGGCCGATATGAACTACGCCATTGCAGTCTTCGGCGTCATGCTTGTTATTGCGGTTGCCTTCTGGTTTATCCGGGGCAGTCGGACTTACCTGCAGACTGAGGATGCTATTGCGCAGATGTTCTATGCGCAGCACTTGGAGAATGCGGAGAACTCCGACGTGGCTATTCCGCCGCCGATGGATTACAAATGATGAGTGAAGCCGAGTACTGTATATAAATAAGCTTTGTTTTTGGCTTTTGAGCCTGTTGAATACATTAATAGATATCCAATGCCTCGCCAGTGTAATTTGCGTTGTAGAGATGTGGCACGTGCAACCCATTCAAGTCGCGTTCTCGTTCACGGAAAGCAGGATTTCGTGAACAGCACAGATCTACTACATCGTGTTACACCAGCACTCGTGGGACCGTTGATGATTCGGGTGGGTCACTCATGCGTCACTGCACAGCTGCAGCTAAGCTGTCCGTGGTCATCTCCGCAGCCGGCGACTTGGCGCAATATTGAGTCGGCCGCGCGGGGTACGGGGCGTTTGTGAAACTTGCATGTCGAAAGTCTGGCTTCACCGTGAAAACAGGAAGTTTAAAACCCGGATCTTGAAATTGGGTTTCATCCTCGATCGGTCCTTGACAATGCAATTAACAATGCGCTCGTCAAGGAGTTTGAGGAGGCAAATTACAGGTTCGATCGGCGGATCGGGTCTTGGCAGGGACTACGGGAAACAAAACACCAAACAATCGGAGAAAAGCACTCACTTCTGTCACCCGATCTGCCTTCTCGAAATCGAATGCAGCACGACAATGCGAACCCAGCCCCGTCGGAATCCTGATGTTCGCTGTCATGGTCACGCCTTACCGTCACCCCCAGCTTAACGCCAACCTCCAATAATTGCACCATAGTGGGTCCTCCCCTGCCGATCCTGAAGAAAGCCACCGCGCAGTACTCCGTATATGTCTCAACGAGAGAGGGGTGACCTCCATGCCGATCACATCACTGGCTACCCGAGCCCGTCACTCGGAGACCGAGGTACACAGTCAAGACATGGCTGCAGGACGGACTCCCGCAGGAGATTAGGGTCTCGATCCTACCCCCATTGGACCTGATCGAATGGAACCTCAGTCGATCCCGACGGACACCCGCCACGCTCCACCAGTGGAACCCAGGGCCAAGAAATGCCCAGGTGGTGACTTGTCCCGAGGTGCACCCCGGAGTCTTTCTTGCAACGCATTCCTGTGTCCATTCCCCGCCCCGATGCAACCATAAATAAATACACGGGCCGCCCCATTCCGCCCCAAGCCTATATATTACTTTGATCTCCGCCCGGGCTTTTTCATGCTCCGGCTGGGAGTCTTCTTTCGCTCTTTTTCACCATGATTCCTTCGTTTATGAACCGGGGCGCGCTGTCCCTCGTGGCTGTGTCGCTTCTTGCGTCTTCTGCTGCGGCGGAAGTATTCGAACGCTTGTCTGCTGTTCCTCAGGGTATGTTATTTCTCTTGTTTTCTGGGTAGACAGTAGCTGATCGGTTGATTGTAGGATGGCACTATTCCCGTACTCCCCGAGCAGACCAACCCATTAAGCTGCAGGTTGCCCTGGCGCAGGGTGACACAGCCGGTTTTGAAAACGCTCTTTTGGACATGTCCACCCCTGGACACGAAAACTACGGCAAACACTTCCGCACACACGATGAGATGAAACGAATGCTTCTGCCTGAAGCTGCATCCGTGGAGGCTGTCCGCGAGTGGCTGGAGGATGCTGGCATCACCGATATCCAGGAAGATGCCGACTGGATGACCTTCCACACGACAGTCGAGACGGCGAATGACCTGCTGGATGCCAACTTCCAGTACTATATCAATAGCGTGAAGCATGTGGAGAGACTGCGGACGCTGGAATACTCGATCCCGAACTCTCTTCTGTCCCACGTTAACCTGGTAACTCCGACTACTCGCTTCGGCCAGCTGCATGCCAACCGTCACCACGCGCATAGCAAGGCTGTTGCCGCAGATGAGGCCTTCACGAAAGCCGTCATGAAAGCCGAGCATGACTGCAACAGTGCCGTCACTCCCCAATGCCTAAAGGATATCTATTCCGTCGGTGATTACACGGCCGACCCCAACAACGGCAACAAGGTCGCCTTTGCCAGCTACCTGGAGCAGTATGCACGGTACGCGGACCTTGCCGAGTTCGAACAGAACATCGCCCCCTGGGCAGTGGGCGAGAACTTCTCCGTGATCGAATACAATGGAGGTCTCAACGACCAAAACTCGCCCAAGGACAGCAGCGAAGCCAACCTAGATGCCCAATACATCGTCGGCGTAAGCGCCCCGGTCCCCGTCACGGAATTCAGCACCGGCGGCCGCGCCCCTCTAGTCCCGGACCTGGACCAGCCTGATCCGAACAACAACAACAACGAACCATACCTCGCCTTCCTGCAAAACGTCGTCAAGATGTCTGACAATGACCTGCCCCAGGTAATCTCAACCTCTTACGGCGAAGACGAACAATCCGTGCCTGAGAAATACGCCCGCAGTGTCTGCAACCTGTATGCACAACTCGGCAGCCGCGGTGTCTCTATCCTGTTCTCTTCAGGCGACTCGGGTGTCGGCGCAGCCTGCGAAACGAACGACGGCACGAACAAAACTCATTTCCCTCCCCAGTTCCCCGCCGCTTGTCCGTGGGTTACTTCCGTCGGTGCTACAACCGGTAACGCTCCCGAGAGAGCAGTCTACTTCTCTTCCGGCGGGTTCTCGGATATTTGGGACCGCCCAGCGTACCAGAATGCTGCTGTTAGCTCTTACCTCCAGAAGCTGGGAAACAAACAAGCAGGCCTTTTCAACCCCAACGGCCGTGCATTCCCCGATGTCGCTGCGCAGGGTGAGAACTACGCTATCTATGAGAAGGGGGCTCTCACCAAGGTCGACGGTACATCTTGTGCATCGCCCACTTTTGCGGCTATCATCGCCTTGCTCAACGATGCCCGCATCCAAGCCAACCAGGCTCCTATGGGCTTCTTGAACCCCTGGTTGTATGGCGATGGATTGGCTGGTTTGAATGATATTATTCATGGTGGAAGCACGGGCTGTGATGGAAACTCCAGGTTCGGTGGTGCTGCGAATGGGGGTCCGGTTGTGCCGTATGCTAGTTGGAATGCTACGCAGGGCTGGGATCCGGTCACCGGGTTGGGCACGCCTAACTTTGCGACTATGAAGAAGATTGCTGTTGGTAATTAGGATCTGTTGGCCTTGTGATATGGTCGATTGGTCTCCATATATATTTGAGTGCTTTCTAATATATAACCATATTTTTGTGCATGGTTCGTTCTGGTTTTTGTGCAGCCGTAGATTGATTTGTTGGGTGATTTATTGTAGACATGATTGAGAATTTAAATGGAAAGAACTGTATTTATCGAACCAATCATGGAAAATTTCACCCCCAACCCCACAGGATCAACATCCATCCTTATTTAGCGTGGGCGCTTTGGTCCTTGATCATGGACTACAGGCAGCTCTTCTAGTGCCTCTCGCTTCTGGTATGGTCAAATGCAACGCTGAGCTTCTTATATTCTGTTACAGCCCCTGGCTCTAGGAGTGTGGTAAGGAGGCTCAGAATCTCCATATGAATACTACGATCAGGTTACCTAAGCCACCAATTCGGTTTTGAAGATCACCAGGGAGGGTAGCCTTGTTCAGAAGGACTCGAGGAACCTTTGTATCCACAAGAACGCTAATGGTGGGGCCTCGTGTTTACCGATTGGAGAATATCATCGGCTTGGCACTGCCACACGGGGCGGAGCTGAATGAACAGGGTCTTTTTTTGTCCTTGCTATAGGCTCCGCGTAACGCACGGACGTGCGAGGCTGATTTGGCAATCTCGGATTCGCAATTACCTCCGATGTTTTGTTTTGAGATGGTCCAAAATTGGCTGGAAAGCTGGGAAGCTGGTTAGGTCACTCCGGGTTTTTCTTCATGGCTTGATCTCCAGCTTGGAAGCTGACCTCCGAAGTGCGAATTATGAAGTCCTCCAGTTTTCCGCACAGTTTTCCGCAAGCGAAAAAACGGGAAGAATCCGGAGATCTCTACTTAATCAAGTTAAAAGCCGCTAAGGCCCCGTCGTACTCGCGTTCAAGCAATCATATAGGAGTACGGGACCAAGTCGCTGGCCCAAGTAGGATCCACTAATGGATTCGCTCGTTTCGAGCCTCTTTATCTTAGCTGGTTTCAATCAACCTCTTCGCACACTCCTCCTCCCACTGCCTACATCGGAAAGCAGCCATCACCATCACAATGTCACGGCGACCAACACTTGTCTCGACTCTTAGACAAAACGTGCTGCTTGTCTTGGTGCTTTGTTTACCTGCCAATGCCCTCTACGTCTTCAGATCCCCACCCGCTTACCTTGAGGGTCCTGAAAACCAAATCGACGACCCGACTTACCATACTGGATCTGTCTTGGACGTTGTGTGGAGTCAGTCGCAGGCAAACCCGGTCTCAATATATTTGTGGTCAACAGGCTCGGACCCTACATCACAAATTGTCTGTCGTAAGTTTATAAGCTCATTATGGAGTGTTCCTGTATTCGCGCTTTCTCGCTCATCTGGATCCCATAGAGCATCCCATAGAGCACACTACTGGCTCTGAATCGTGCAAATGGACCGTCGAAACTTCGCAAGACCTAACAATCTCCAACAAGTTCTTCCTTATGATGTACGTTAACGGCAAGGGACGCTATGTTGCCAGAACGCATCAGTTCGTAATCGAAAGAAATTCATCAAGCGCAACTGCGACAGCACAAAAGTCTTTACCGAGCGCTACAGATATATCACTCAGTACCAATACCGCTCTTTCCGTTTCCAGTCCCAGTCCCAGTTCCAGTCCTAGTTCCAGTCCCAGTTCCCCGGCTGCCACTTCAAGCTCGTCTGTTTCAAGCTCTGAACTCTCTACTGGCGCCAAAGCAGGCGTGGGGGTTGGAGTGGTGGTCGGAGTGGCGGTTATTGCTGGAGTTGCCTTCATCTTCATCCGCAGGCGACGTCGCCAACCCAAATTTTCCGAGGAAGCAACCCAACCTACCGATAGACCAGTTGAATCCGGACGTCATGGGATATATGAGGCACCGGGCTCAATACCAGAAATGACGGCCGAGCTTGACAATGAGGGTGGAGCGAAGTTCGCGGGAATCGAACCCAATGTTGTGAAAGACAAGAATGAGGGAGGGCCACAGGAGCTTTATGCACCCGTCGAAAGAGAAGCCCACGTGGAACTACCGGCAGACCAAGAGAGACGAACCTGATGCGTGATTGAGCCGCGAAAGGGATAGGTAATCTCTTTCGACTGGCTATCTTGCATAATACCCATGTACATAGCGCGAAATAATACCCCATTTGCATTTTAACCGGCATAGTTCAGACGAAATACTTGGGAAGACTTAGTGAATATATTTAACTAAGAGGTAACCAAGATATTTGTACTATCTAGAATGTCAGAATCTTTGTCTTTAATAGGTATTACTAAGTTTTGGCTTTCCGATAAGGTGTTGCGACCTCGACTTGACAGTAACTTACTGTCAGTAAATTACCGGATTGGTGACTAAAGAAAAAAGCTTGAACCATGGATGTTTGCTTCCATTCCATTGAGAGCAGCTATTATCGTAACCTAATCAATGACAGATCGGAGGTACGAAGTCTCCATCATCGCCAATAAGTGAGCTCGTCCTACAGTATGCTATGTGTTGCACTGAGAAGGGAGAAGAATCATCTCTGTTGTGCATTTCACATCCTCCTCAGGGAAATCTCCCCAAAACTGTCGTCGATATCAGTGTCAGGGTATCCTGTTGGGAGGGGGAGGTAATGTTCAACTCACCTGAGCAACATGCTGTCGGATGCGATGCATGTTCTTGCCTGGCTGGATTTGGCCCACCAGCCCTGGACGGTCCGACTCGGTCCTCCTGGGCACAATCATAGGTCGTCCAACGAAGCACTCGAGTGTCAGTAGTGCAAAGCCGAGTGCTTCTTTTGCGCCGACGGGGATCCCAATCTCGGAGATGGGGACGATGCGAGTATTGGGCAAGCGCTGTTTCAGGTAGTTGATGATGTTGGGGTTATACGATCCACCGCCGCCCATGTAGATCTCGTCTACGCCCCCCGGTGGACCCCAGCGCTCGTAGGCATCGGCCAGGGACTTGGCTGTGATGCGAGTTATAGTAGCAACGCAGTCCTCTGGCGTTGCTCCGCCTGCAACGCCACATTTTGTCAGCCGTAAACCCTATCTCGATTAGAGTAGTTAGACTTACGGGCCAGCATCTCATCGCAGATATCTTCCGCCATTCGATCACCAAACGTCTCTCGGCCAGTAGTCTTGGGTATATCATGCACGAAATACGGCCCTTGGAGCACTTTGTCTACAACAGACTGGTCAACCCTGCCCTTCTGGCCCATGGCACCATCCTTGTCATATTCCTGTTGACCGCCGGTGAAGTACCGCACGGCCGCGTCGATAAATACGTTGCCCGGTCCTGTATCGAAGTCGTAACATTCTTCAACAGCGCCTCGGGGTAAGATCGAAAAGTTTGCGATGCCGCCAATGTTCTGCACGGCGCGGTTGAGAGTCGGGTGGCTTAGTAGGAGGGAATCGAGAGCCGCGAATAGCGGGCAGCCTTGCCGGCCGAGAGCCATGTCTGACACCCGAAAGTTACCAAGCGAGGTGACGCCAGTGCTAGCGGCTATGATGGCAATCTCAGCCATGTCGAGATGTGCCCGGCTTTGGTTGCCCTCAAAGAGCTCCGGCAGCGGTAGGTGCCAGATAGTCTGGCCCTGGCCACCGATCAGGTCGACGTCCGTTGCCACGCTAAAATCGTTCTTCTCCGCAAACCAATGGACGGCGTCGGTAATGACCTCACCCAGCTGGATGTTGACGATGGCCAATTCCTCGGGCGTCGTGGTGTTCTCCTTAATAAGCCTCATGACTCTTGCCTTGAGTTTTTTAGGCATCGGATACTCTCCATAGTGCAGGAGCTGCATCTTTAATGGCGCCGTCGGGCTATCCTGGGTGAAGTGGACGTGAACGAGGTCGACCCCGTCCATGGACGTTCCTGCATTGTGGCCGACGACCTTAAGAGAACTGTTCGAAGTTCAGCCACATGAAAACCAGTCTTAAGGACAAAGCGTCTTTGAGAGGCTTGTGATGCAGGTATTAACACTTACAGTGGGCCGCCGCAGGAGTGGTTCAAAGCGGAAGGCATCGTGTAGTCCAGAGTTGAGGGAATTCGCAACTTGAGACACGAAACTTGGAGCAAAAGATTTTTCTGCGGACGAGCAACAGGCAAATCCATGTGCTTTACATGATTTATATATCTTATCGGGATTTCTCCCGACAAAACTCTGCTCCACTTCGCCCTCAACAGCGGCACATCGGACTCGGTTCCCTTCCGGAGACAGAGTCATTCCTACTGCCATTTTCGCACTTACTGTTTCAATCTTATTGGATCTTTTGGTTATTGGAATCTTCGGAACTTCCCAGAGCCAACGTGGATGTGCGGAGACATACCCGAACCGCGGGGGGTCAGGTGTGGATCACCAACTACGAGGATCGTCTCCGGAAGGCAGTTGGCTCCGATGCATAGGGTACGTGCCTTGCATCGGGATTTGCTTCCCCACACCAATGACGGTGATCTACTCTCGGCGATGACTGCCTTCCGCAAAATCCAACCCTCTTGAGCAATTTCTCTGCAAATCCTTTCCACCCCCACATTCTTGGCCTTGTGAAAGGCTATCGGAGCTGGATACCTTCCTGATAAATGTAGTCTTAAATCCCCGACCTTGGCTTGCGGTTTACGATGCCTCATCAAATCCTATTCTGCAAAACTTATAAATTCACGTTCGAATCAGGACGCTCAGGCTGCTGCTATGGGAGATGCATTAAGTCCGAGTCCATCTAATTTACATCTAACCAAAATAATATCCAGACCACTTTCGCTTTCAATTTCGCAACGATGGCCATCTTCCCATTAACGAAATACACAACCCACATGGGCGCATCGGGTCTGAAGCTCAACATCCTCGTTGCCGGCGTTGCGACATGTGCATTTTGGCTTTTCGGCTACGACATGAGCATCATGGTATGCTGCCTCTTGTTTAGCTTTCTCACATAATATGCGCAGTCTAAAAACAAATACAGGGCGGCCTCATTACCGAGAAGTCTTTCATAGCTGTCTTCCCCGAGATGAACAACGCAAATGTCCAGGGCATCGTGATCGCCTCTTTTGAACTCGGTGCTCTTTTCGGTGCCCTCGCCTGCTTGGACCTCGGCGACCGCCTCGGTCGTCGTCTGACTGTCTGGTTTGGCATGCTTTTTATGCTGGTTGGCGGCACGCTACAGACCAGTGCCTGGGCTATATCTCAGCTGGTATTGGGTCGCGTTATCAGCGGCATCGGCCTCGGCTTACAGGTCGCCACGGTACCATCATGGCAGTCCGAGTGTGCGAAGGCGCATAGTCGCGGGCGTTGGGGTGAGCAGTAATCCTCCACACTTTTTCATATTCGAGAACTAGATGACTGACTTGATCTAGTCATGATTGAGGGTGGTTTACAGACATTCGGCGTTGCTTGTGGTCAGCTTGTTGGTTACGGCTTCTTCTTTGTAAAGGGCCAAGCGCAATGGCGTACACCAGTGGGCATCCAGCTCATCCCGGCCTTTATCGTCTTCATATTTATCAATTTTCTTCCTGAGTCTCCCCGTTGGCTGATTAAACACGGCATGATTCAAGAGGTGTGTTTCGTTTTTTGATTGTCGTACCCTCGCCTTTCTGGTCGGTGAAATCGCCTTGCTGACAGTACGTGTTTGTAGGGCACATACAACCTGTCGAAGCTTCGCGGCCTGCCTGATACCCACCCAGATCTAGTGTTTGAGCGCGAGGCAATCATCGCCTCATTCGAAGCACAGATTGAACTCGCTCCGTTCTCATACAGGGAAATGCTGGACATGGGAAAGACCAAGACGTTCCATCGTGTTGCCATTGGAGTCTTCATGCAAGCGGCACAGCAATTATCTGGAATTAACTTGGTCTCGACGTACGCCAACAAAATTCTTCAAGAGTCGTTCGGTCTCGACGCCAGCACATCACACCTCATCGCTGCCATGGGCGGTTTGGAGTATGCCCTATGCTCGCTTCTATCGGTATTGCTCATTGAAGGCCTCGGGCGTCGTCGGGCTTTCCTGTCGACTACGATTGGCATGTCCTGCTGTTTTGCCGTCATCGCTGGGCTTCGAAGCACCGATTCGCGCACCTGCCGACTAACCGCTGCTGGATTCCTGTTTCTCTTCAATACCTTCTTCGGTCTCGCCTGGGTTGGAGGACCGTTTTTGTACAGCGCCGAGATTGCACCCCTGCGATGCCGCGCGCAGGCTAATGCTATGGCAAGCGCTGCCAACTGGTTGTTCTGTTTTGTGGTGGTCATGATCATCCCACCCGCTTTCCAGAATATCGGCTGGAAGACGGCAAGTCCGATTCTTTGTGCATTGTGATCCGTGGTCAAACTAACGTGTGTCTAGTACATCATTTTTGCCATCCTGAATGCCTGCTTCGTACCCATCATCTACTTTTTCCTGGTTGAAACCAGAAAGAGAAGTCTCGAGGAGATTGTGAGTACAATTGAAGGCCAAGGGGCGAAAATTGTCCTTGGCATTCCATGAAGAAACCCAGTAGGCTAATATTTTGACTTCCAGGATGTCATCTTCGCTGCGGGTGGTGACCCGGTCAAAAAAGAAAAGACGATGCCATACAATATACCAATTGACGAGGCTCGGAGGATCCTTGGGCTTTCTGAGGATACCAGTATCACTGAAGTACTAGAGGACGATGCAAAGATGGCAGATTAAGAGCAATTTTCCCATGTTGAAGGCAATGAGGAGTGGCTACCTCTTAACACGGGTTTTCAGTTTGCAAGATGGTTTCAGGAAAAGCAGTCATAAGAAAAGAAAAAGAAATACAAGGACCAAATAAACGGAGACCATTTATACCGAAATCACTCCAATGGACAGAAGCAGCTGTATACAGTCAAGGATTGAGATGGTCGAAAGGAACGGCCGCAGCTCCAGGCAGTAGTGATCATTTTCCGTGGATCGGTTACATCTCAAAAACACGACTAAAACGAACAAAAGAGAATAGACAGAGCAAATTCTGTCAAGCAAAAAAAGAGAGAAAAGAGAGTGGATTCATAAACAAAGTTGATAATGACGATGCTAAATGCAAGGTGTTTAAATATTTATCCGAATGGTAGAAAGGCATGCTCACCTAGGCATCACGCAAATAGCCTAGTATACACATACACATTCCAGTCGAATCAAGAGATTCCCACTACTCTACGTACAGAAGAGGAGCATTTATTTATATTTCGTGTTGAATGCAAAATTGGCAAGGTGCGGTGATTTGTAAGCTCTGTCGCTGTTCTCGATCCATTTGAATCTAAATCCAAGTTAGGTATAGCCGGCGGGGAGGCGGCGGGGTTGGGAGCCGGCGGGAACTCTAGACTTCTCATGCCTTCGGACTAACGCAACCTTTTTTCTTTCTCACGGACCAGGTTACCAAAACTGGTCCGCGCATGCTGTTCGATACTATCTTCCAAGAAAACATGCAGTATTTTGAGGCAACGACTGGTTTGATTAATTCTCATAATAATATATGACACACTCAAATACGCAGAAATACGCCATCAGCTCTCGGCAATGCCACCCTTTCGGGAAGTATTATCAAAACACGTGCGAGGGCCTGGCTCGAGATCAAAGCTAGGTAGGCATTGAAGCATGAGATACCATTATCTTTCATAACCGGGACGCTGACGTTTGATGTCAAGCCTGCGAGCAATGTCGCAAAAGCCACGTCAAGTGTGATCAATCGCGGCCTTGTGCTTTATGCAAGCGACGACGCATTGAGTGTTCTCTTCTTCAAGGGGTTATGTTTACCGCGCTGGAGTTCAAAGCACCCGGCCTGTTAGAGGACTTTGTCTCCTCAAAGACAGTAAAAGGTCCAGGTTAGCAATACTCACCCGACGGTGGCTCTCAACGCGAGAAACAACTATCGGTCTAACGCCTTTTGAGTACCAGCGACCTTTGTGGATGAAACACAAGAGGTCTCCGGTCTATACCAGGTCGTAAGAGCGAGCGACGAGAGCGACGAGGCCTCGAGCGTCTCATTAGACCAGCATCCATCACCACGGGTTGCACTATCCGGCCATGCTGCTCCCATCACGGATCCCACTGACGCCTTTTTCCTCTGGCGATACGTCGACTTCATCGGCCCGCGCTTCGACATGTTCGACGATGCACCGCGATATTTCTCGACAGTCGTGCCGCAGCTCGCTCTAAACGACAAGCTTGTCCTGTTAGCCTGTGTCGCGGTTGCAGCCCGCCAGTACTCCCTCGTCAATGACCAACAGCAACTTAGTCATGAGCAGGCTTTAAAATACTACAACGCGGCTATCCATCTGCTATCCAAGCGGCTCCAAGATAGCGGGCCAGACCCTGCGGTATTTGCAAGTTGTTTACTTGTAGCTCACTGCGAGATGGTCGAGAGCAAGGCCACGGATTGGGGCCTGCACCTCAAGGGGACGGGAGATCTTCTCAAGATGCATGGTTGGCATGGGGCGAGTGGCGGGTTGGCACAGGCTGTACGTCCCGTTCATCATGCTGTGATTATGTTCGCTAATTTGAATCTTCATCTACAGTCATTCTGGATCTACTGCAGGATGATTATCCTTGCCTCTCTCTCTGCCGGCAAGCCAGTAGCATTAGAACCTAAAGAATGGATCCCTGGGGGTGTATTCCCTGATCCTGCCACATGGACACTCGAATCATGGCAAAAAATGGTCGTTTTTCTTCTCGGGATGGTTCACGATCTCTGGAGTCGCACTCCTGATGGCATCGACGAACTCTCTGTGCGACTTCACGCTGCCAGATGGAAGGAGCTTGAAGCTGAGCTAGTGCGCCATCAGAGCCAAGCGCCAGCCGTGTGCTCACCACTCAGTATTCTACCTCCGAATGGAGAGGATAATCCCTTCCAGGCCGTGCGTTACTTGAATGGTCCCGTGTCCGCCGCGTGGCAGATGCTGCATACTGCATTTCTCATTCTCACCATTTGCACGCCTTGCTCGCAAACGAGTCGCCTCTCAGTGCTCTCCAGCCCTGACCTGACTTGCCAAGCACAGATGTACGCACGCCAGATTGTCGGCAACTCGCTGGCAAACCAATGCTCCATCGCATGGGCGAATGCCGTCCAACTCCTTACACTTGCAGGTCAGTGTCTCGTGGTAGAGCCGGAGCGGAATGCGTGCGTCCGTATTCTGCGAGAGATTCAGCAACAAACGGGCTGGGACACGCGGGTAAGCGTCGATAGACTTGGCGCAGCGTGGGAGAATAGTTGGAAATATAAGTCCGGGGGGAGGCACTCGGCGGTCAGGCAAGTAGATGCTGGGAAGCTGTTGTATCATGTTTGGCTTGGTGATGAGAGAAGTCCGAATTAAATGATTTGGGCTCAGATGTGGTGCTTGACTTGAAATATATATTTGTCCAGTGATCAAAAATCTCGAACTTACCGCGCACTACTTTCCTCCGAGCCCTCCCAGTTCCACTGTTCGGAATTTAGTCTCATCATTTGTCAACCATCATAGAATACAGCGAGTAAGAAATTCAATTGCGGTGATATTCGATTCATGACTATCAACAACTAATATTTCCTAGCAGAAAATCTACAGGGGTGGTTTAAGATCTGACATATTCCGGCAACCCGTTTCCACGGTCTTCACGATCGAGCAGCTTGACTAGCATCTAATCGAAGACACGAACTCCAACAATATCAGGAGCATAAGTCTGGCTCACATCTGTGGAGTCATAATTGCCAAGGACGACGACGTTGTTACCATTCTTCCACCCACCTACAAGCAATCCCAGAGTTGCAGTATCCCACCAGCCGAGTCCAGGTCCGAAGAGCTCACTATGACGACCTGAAAGAGGAACCTCCAGGCGAACAGGTTCTCTGTCGTTGAGGGATATGGTCAGATTTCTGGAGTTGGAGCCCCATCCCCATGAAGTCGAGAATGCAATGTCGTTGTTGATATAGTCAATTTCCAGGTATTTGGACTTCGCGTTTGAGGCATCAAGACATGGTACGCTGGCTGGGATAGCAATCGTTGGAGGTTGCTTGCGTTCAAGTAGCCGATCTTCGAGCCAACGGGCTTGCAGAACCCGTCGCCACACTTCGTCAGGGACGCTGATCCCGAGAGGGAGAATTCGGGGGCGGCGTAATATGTCCCCATGGGAGAGTGGATTTGGATTGATTTGATTTGATTGGAATGGAGGAGGTGAACAGGATTTCGTTTGCGGATCCTGCGATCAAAGATACGCTTGATTGTACGGTTTGGCGTGAAGCGGGTACTTGAATCGTCCGAGCTGTTTGGCTGGTGGAAGGTTGAAGCGTAATTTCGGTAGCCGATGCTGAAGTGTGGGAGAAGACAATAGAAACAGTGTAGTTGGCACTCGTCGTATTGGCGTAGATTTGCTTGAATGACAGCTTGTTCCTGTGGCAGACGATTGAGCGAGGGAATGAGAAGAGACTCCACAAGGTAGGTAAGAGAGACAAGTGGGGGAAAGTACGTGACGAAAAAAACATACCCGTTCTTCGTTGCGAAGAGATCAGCCGAGTACACTCCAGCTTGGATCGTACTGCTTAGCTCCAGAAGCATGACTCCATGAGCAGAAACAGTCGACGTATAACCCGTCCGAACATTCTCAGCAACCTTACCAGCCCACACATCCTTAACCATACCCGCAAACTGAACCCCAACAACGGGCAAGTCCAACGTCAATTTCCTGTCCTCGTCATCCCAATTAATCAAAGCCGCAACCATCCTCCCGTTCTCCAGCGGTCCACTCCAAACCTCATACCCCTCTTCCGACCACCTGCGCCTCAAGTTCGCACTAACACCAAGCGCATCCTGATTGAACCCAATAACATCCTTATTCCTCAAAACCCCAAGTGAAGCCTCACTAATACTGGTGAACTCATCCTTCAACGCACCTCCAATAGTGAGTGGACTCTTCAAAATAGCCCACATACTAAAATGCGTCTGCTCCTCCACGGTGGTCAAAGCATTCGTACCAATCTCCAACATGTCAAGATCAGGCCATTGGCTCGGTCCTGCAAAGGCAGTATTCGGTACAGCCTGGTTCAGTGTCCTGAAGATCGCTCGCCAGGCGGGGATGATATCATTCCCGATACGCCATGTCTGTCCGAGAGATGGGGCCCAGCGGGCGGGGAAATCGACGCCCCATTCGCAGATTTGGAAGAGGACTGCTCTGTGTTGACCCAATGCATTGGTCATATTGGCGTAGCGGAAGCGGGGGGATGTACTCGGGGTATAATCGGCGTCCGGATACCCGGCCGCTGCATTGGAGAAGCAGTTATCGTCTAAAAATGTCAATTAATTAATACCGATCTGAAAATGCAAGAATGCGGACGGTACATTTGAGAGCATCAATATTCCACTCGGCAAAAGTGGTCGCATCGTGCTCCTCGTGGTCTGTTTCGATTAGCACGCGTCGCCAAGCACAGATCTGTGTAACATACAGAGACTTCCCGCCTGTTCGATATTAACTTGGCATGTACGAATGCCCGCGTCTTCGTAGACTCCGAACAGCAGACCCAGGTCATGGATGTACTCGCCCAGAGCGGGGAACCCGGACGGGAAGAGTGTTTCGTTCCACGTTAGCGAGCCATCGGGCAGTCTATCGGCGACTGTCCAGCCGCAGTCGGTTGTGACATAGCGGTATCCCAGATCCGCGAGGCCCAGGTCGACGAGGGCTTTCGCGTTGGAGTGGACAATTGATTCGTTGGGGCTGCACGAGTAATAGTTGTATGTATTCCAGCTGCAAGGATTTCCAAGGTTAGTACATTTCTGTTTCAGGGAAATGAGATCAAATACCCCATCGGCGGCGTCTTTGTAACTCCATTGTCGAGTCTGGATCGCAGACTACCGGCATGAGCCAACGGCAGAGCCTGAAGAAGAAACCAAGCAAAAAACATCTCTGATCGTGCAACCTATCCGTATGGAAGGCTACACTGAGATTTATATCCCGCCCGCCTCACCAGGCCCGACCCGGCGGGGTTGAACATGCAAGCAAAAACGTACAACGGAAAATTACCTGTTCGGGGATCGCGTCGTCACTAAAGAAATTGTCCGAAGAATGCAGGGAGGACTTAATTCGCCAGTGGTGGTGTCTATGATTCACAGGGAGAAAGCACGGTCGAGACGAAAATGTAGGTTGAAAATTAAGATGTATATTGCTAGTGATACCTGTACATGAAAAAGAAAAGAAACAGCTCGAAGCAAAGGCCATGAACTGATTAAAGGATCTGCCAGACAGCAAAGGTAAAAATAAAGTAGATCAATATGCCCCGCATTGGCATTCCACCAATCATAGAGTTTGTTAAGGTTTCAAGGCTGCCGTTTAAGCAAAGACACCCATCAGCGCAGAGCAGAACAGCATCGCAATCACACCCACCCCACCCATCGAAAGAGGCGCATTCGGGACAGCCGCATTATGAGTCGAAGTTGAAGTCTTCCCGCTGGAGGTCGAAGTGCTCGTGCCAGTGGACTTGGTAGTTGTAACGGCAGCAGTAGCAGTAGCATTCTGCTTGCCCTCACAGAAAACATCCCGATAGTTATTGGACTTGCTCATGAGGCAGTCGGAAAGCTCCTGGACGGTCTACTCTTGGGCGAGGCAGTAGATGCCGCAGTCGTTATCGTATTTAACGGGGCTGTCGCCTTTGCAGCAGGTGTCGAAGACGGAGGACATGTTGCCGCTCACTTTTGCGCCACAGGCTGCGTCGATTACCGGGATTTGGTAAACGGTTGAGCCACACACGGTAGCGGTAGCGGTCGCCGCGGCAGTGGCAGTGTCCGTGGCGGTGGTGGTGGTGGAGGATATGTCCATTTTGAGGGGTGAGGTTTGAAGTGGGTGATAGATGTGAGATGAGGAAGTTGGGGAGAGTGAAGGAAGAAAGTGAGTCGGGAAGTGAACTAATTTATGTGATGGTTCAGAGTAAGACAGGACGACGACGGAGCGTTGTGACTGGTCTCAGTCCGAGACCCGAAACCAGTTATGGGGGCGCTTGTGGGGATCGGGCCCACTGCGCCTTGTGTGACTATTTCTGGAATGATCCATCATATTGTGTGACGGATCGCATACACACCGACTGATGCTGCAGAATACCACCAAGAAGAGTTACGAGCCACATGGGGAGGAATGAAGATCATTGAATTTTGGGTGTCGATCCCCCGCGTACAAGTGGTATTAACAAGAATCAGGTATAGGGTATTGTATCTCCTTGCTCACTGCAGCTTGGTCTCCACATGCTCTTCACTCTGCACTCCGTCAAACTTCTTCTCACTGGGCGTTTCCACACCGACCAGCTCGAGGAGGCCGAGCTCACTCTCGATGCGGTGCTTGCGTTCGGCGTCGGCTGCGGCCACGCCGGCTGTTCCAAACAACTCATCCATTTCTTCCAGGGTACGGCCCTTGGTCTCCGGGACCATGAAAATGACGTACAAGATGCCGATGACGGTGATACAGCCGAAGAAGATGAATGTTCCGTAGGCGGACTTTGAGATGAATGGGGATGTAGCCGTAGCGACGGCGAAGTTGTTCAACTAGACAAGGATTAGGAATGACGGGACGATCGAGGATCGATGAACTCACCCAGTTACTGCTACCACCGATACTAACACCCTTGGCACGCATGCTGAGAGGGAAGACCTCGGAGGTTACAATCCACGCGACGGGGCCCCAGGAGTAGGCAAAGTTGATCACAAAGATCCATACAAACACGATACCAGTCCAACCGGCCGCACGGTGATCCTTGAACTGGCCTTCGTAAGAACCAATGATACCGGCGACGATGAAGTGGCAAGTCGCCATGCCGGCAGCACCCGCGATCAGGATCTTCTTACGACCGATCTGGTCAACCCAGAGTACGGCCGGGATAGTGAAGAGGAACTCCACAATGCCGACCACTCCGGTTGCGAGCAGGGTGGTGGTGTTTCCGGGCAAATCCATATTCTTGAAGATGAAGGGACTTTGCAATGTTAGTGTTACTCTGAGATAGGCTTGGGTCGGACTCACGCGTAGTAGTTGATGGCGTTGATACCGTTCCACTGCTGGAAGACCATGATCATGCACTAGAACAGTTAGCAACTATCCCAATCTTATAGAGTGAGGGGGGTCCATACAGCAACACTGGTGCGCTTGAAAAGCGACTTGTTCGTGATCAGCGACAGATAATCGAGGCATCCAATCTTAAAGTTACTCTTGAAAGATCCATCCTGGAGATGAGGATACTTCTCGGCCGCAGTCTCGACTTCAAACATGTGCAGACTCTTGATCTCCAGGAACTCAATGCGAACCAGGAGATCCTCGACAGAAGCACCGCGAAGACGAGCTAGTGTATGTAGACATTCCTCTTCGCGACCGGTGTTCATAAGGTGACGAGGTGACTGCGGCATGAAGAGCATCATTCCAGCGGCCAAAACAAGAGCGGGTAGCAGTTGGATGCAGACAGGGACGAGCCAGGCAGCGTCGGACTGAGTAGCTCCAGTGCCACCGATGTAGTTCGTTCCATAGCCAATCTTGATCCGTTAGAACAGCACATGCGCCGGAAAGGAAAGAACTCACCCAGAAGCTAACCATGATACCGAAAGTAATGGCCAACTGCTGCACAGCAACCAGCGAACCACGAATCTCCGGCGGTGCCAATTCTGCATTGTAAAGCGGCACGATCATGGACAAATTACCAACACCGAGACCGGTGACGAATCGACCAGCGAAGATATAATCCTGGTTTATTGTGCAAGCCTGCACAATTACACCCACGCAGAACACCACAACGGCGACCAGGACAGTCAGGCGACGACCGAGTCTATCGGCGAGATATCCGTTAATAAGGGTTCCGACCCAGGCACCGAGCTCCAGAACGGATGTCAGCATTCCCTGCTTAATACCCGTAGTCGCGGCATAACCGTTTGTCTAGTTATATTAGTGACAGCACGGAAGAGGATCCCGGTGGACGTACGGCATCTTGGAAAGAGTGCATGGTCAAGACCTGCGCGAACATTCCCTGGTTATCTTGTCCTGTCAGTTCATGTCGCAACCTCATCTTCGAGTTAACTCACATCCATAAACTAAACCACCTAGCGACGCGAAAAGCGCAATGAGAAAAGTCTTCTTGTTACTGATCAAGCCACGGGTACCGCCTTTGCCGGCCAGCTCGGCACGCTTGGCCGACACGATCGTCTCACCAGCTACATGAGGAGCCATGATGAAAGAAAAATTTAGGATTCGTTACGACTGAAAGTGCAGCGGATCGTCGCTCCTTTTTATCAGCTCGGATCAGCCCAACGTTCGGGGTATTTTCCCCGGCCCTTTGGCCTTTATCCCCATGGGGGCCGGCCAGGCGTAGTCTCGGCCACTCACGTCGAATGTCTCCACGGTCATCGTGTTAGCCGGATCGGCTCCGCCATGGACCTAGAAGGCCCCTGTATGGTGGCATTTACCCGACGCCGTGAGTAATGCCGGGTAAATCGGCATGGGCGCTGCCGGCGGCGTAGGCTTAAGCTTGGTTGACGCCGTGGCTTGGCGGCAAACTATAAGCCATAAAGTACACTTTTATGAATCTTGAATCTAATGATCATGGCAGAAGTTGATTCACCCGGTCAGACCATGTCAGCATGAAGAATCCAAGGGTGACTGCAATGGGACTACCCGCCACCCACATCTCCACAATCCCGGGGTCAGACCCCGCGCTTTCCCACACTTACGCCTCTACCTTCCAACCTTCCAACCCAGCTCGACCACCAAACCACGGTTGACCACCAGACCTAACTCTGGACCCAACTCTAGGCCCAAATCTGATTAGCCCCTCAAATCAACTCAACGCTCACAGGACAAAAACCGTAGCCAACCCGCAAATCACAGACAAGACCCAAAACACGTCTGATCTCAAACCCGTCCCCACATAACCCCGGATAAGTACTACCAATTTAGCCTGATAAACACGCATTCGCCCCAGCCCGCCACCCACGCCTCTTCCGGATGGCTTGACTCTCAGACAATTCGGCTTCGGGCGGAGCTCAAGGACATGCCGGGGCCCGGGAGAACGGGTTTGTCTTCCAAGTGGGTTACATATCGGCTTTTGCGGATGGGGTAAAATGGACTCCCGTTCTCTGGGGTATTACCCGGTTCTCATCACACAGGCTAAGGGAGCTCGGAAGGCATAGCAATGGATTTTCCCTCGGGTTCCTCTCGGAGATGGGTCGGGGTTGGCCAATGCTGTCGGGAGGCCGAGGCCGGTGAAGGGAGGTTTTGCGAGTCTCGGCGCGTGACGCTCTGGTGCAAACCGCTACTAATTGCCGGTTTGTTGCACTGTACGAAGTAACTAGCGGATAGAGGGATGTAATGTTGATGTTACCGGAGCTACGTGAGAAGTAATGTCTATGCTGCTGGAGATGGACTAATTCTTGACTTGACCCGTCGGGCTTCTTATTCTTAAGACAGGCATTGCCTTGAGGAGATCTAAGCCTAACCAGAAATATCACGGGCTAAGAAAATGTCTAACCAAAATAGGTCCAATACCCGATAAATGCCATAGCCTCTTTGAAACTAATGTCAAAGCTCACATGAATGACTCTTCCTGACTCCGTGCTAGGCCACGTGGGCAACTCACCTGCCGCCCCTCTTGTTTAATATATTCGACCTAAGTGCCGACAGGGGTCCCTCGCAAAGCATCCTATTCCGGTGTGCCAAATTGAACGTTTACTGTACCACCAAAGGCATACCATACGCCAGATAGCAAGAAGTCTGTCTCGTAAAGGCCGTGACAATTTGTGAGATCGGCAGATTCTGATCCTGTTGGATCACGTGGAGAAAAATAGCACCTGATCCGGAAGTCGCTTTGGAGATGTCGTTCCTGACTGACCTGCGATTTTCTCGATGTTTCCTTGGAGTAAGTTGGTAGGCAACGTTCTCCGTACGAAATATCTAGTGTTTACACGAAACGAAAATGCTCTTGTAAGCTCCTGTGATGCATTAGTGCCTTTGAATGCGGCAAATGCACGTCATAATGCAAATTAACTCATAGTGATTCCCAAAATCAGGACCTCCGGATGGGGATGGCTGAGTGAGGTTCCGAATTAAGAAGGGTTGCCCATTCCATCCAAACCCATCAGTGCTACATTCATGAGGAGCCAAGAGACCACTGGGAAGATGGATAAAGCCCAGTAGTTCCGCATGTGGATTTGCTGCACTTCAATCTCCCCGTTGCCTTTGATGGTCTTGTTCAGCAATCACCGTTGCGTATTTGCTAAAGCACGTAAACTAGATGATCGGGGGGAGACCAAAGAGAGTATATCATAGGAACTGCATGGATGGCAGCCAGGATCTCGTCGAGCCCTTCCTTGCTAACTGCTACAGCGATTGTAATTCGCAGCCATTATAATACTAGAATCATGCTTATGGTAGGCCTTCGGAGACATGGTTCGAACCCCCATTTCGGCTTATCCTCACTGGCCATTTGGTCAGCTACATATAGTGAACACAGTAAGCGCTCACGACAACAAGGATGGCGCTGATAACCTGATGACCAAGAGAGCATATGTGAAGAGCGAAGGGCCAACTCTACGATAGAATACTTGATGCAGCTACGAATCGTAAAGGGCGGCATGTGAGTTCACCGCCAACGCTTCATAGGTACCATGGACTCGACATAGCCCCATGTGACATCGAAGCTTTTCAGAAGAGACTGGACCGAGGAAAAGGACCGAGGGAAAGGGTATGCGGCACAGCGGTCGCACCTAGCCTATAGGTTATTTTTAGTGCCTGTTGATGATTTTCACAATGCGTTCATGTCAGGCTATAGGTTTCCGGATCGATATATGTGACTGCGATCAGAAAGCAGGCCAGACGAGACGCCCGGGTTTGGCCAATTTGTGAGCGCAGCTGGTAGTTAGCAACGGCGAGAGTGATTTCAAAGGACAATGAGGTAACTCGAAGGCCCTCGAGGGCGGACTGCACCCCGAGGTCGCAGCGATCACTTCACCGTCTGGCGTATTCTCTTTTCCAAGATCGGAGTATTCCAAACTGTGCGATCTTGCGTCCATGGATATTGCATCCTCCCTCGTGCCTGTCCGATCACTGGCAGTGCCTCTGCGGTGGTGTTTGGAGTTTGTGATGCCGTTGAAGTCATTGCGAGTGCTGGTGTCCGGGCTGAAGGGCGATGGCTCTGGTTCCACCCCGGGTAAGCGAGGGTCTCGTCGCTCCCGAAGGGCGATTTACTTTGTGAGCTCTTTCGGTGCATAATTTATCTCTACTCGCAGCAATGCACGCAATAACTCAGTCGATGTAAACGGATGGGAGTTCGGTATCGGAGCCTGCAAGTGTGAGCGGAGAGCCTTGTATTGATTAATGCGCGTTCTTCCTGGGCTCTTACGCACAAGAAGACTTATCATGTCTGCGCACACGAAACATCTTCATGTGTTAACTGAGCTTTCAACAGCTACGCGTGACCATTGAAAGCCTTGGGTGCGACGGGCTCATCACTGAAGAGTGAAAAGTCAAGATATGGATGACAAAGAACAGTTGTTGATTTCGAGGGCTTTCAGGGACTATCCCATCACTGTATTCTACCTGTCTCTGTCCATGCCGCCCTCATTCTTCCTATGATCTCTGATGCTAGCCTTGCATGACACCCCCTTCGGACAGTTTCATGGCAGAATTGTTCTCTACGTCGTTGTGTATTATCATTATACAACAGTAAAATATAGACCATGAGAGACTATTCTCAGTAAGAGGCCAGGGGCCTTCTCCCGAGCATATGACCGCAAATTAAATTGATTGCATATTTTTATCGATCTATCCCTGCGTGAGGTGCTCTCTCAGGACTATCCGAGAACCGGCTATGCATCCAGTTGACACGGTATCGACATTCCCCCGAAACCGTTAGACAGGGCACCATCTCCATTGTTTATTGATTGGCCGTTACGAAAAATGCGGATGCTCGATAGGAATTCGAATCGAACCCGGACACCCCGTTCGTATTCGCGTTTGGTCTCGCTCCCGCTCGTCTATAGATATGCCCGATTGGTTCCGCCGCATAGTTGGTATGCGGGGAGCGCCCCTGCCCGCTCGGGACCCCCGTGCCAATGACACCTTGCGGGGACTGTGGGCCTCTGCCTACGTGCACTGTTTTTAGACGCCAGAATTTATCAGAAATCATCTGGCAGAGATCTAACGGTGATGTTTTAAAGCGATGAGGACCAAAAAGCACTTGAATTGTTGCTGTGTTATATGATAATGGCTGAAAATTTGCCGTTAATTAAAGCATTCAGCTAGCTCTTGACAGAAAAATTAGAAGATAGGTCCCAATCTGCTCTGCTATGCCGTGATGTAGAAATCCGCGAGTGCCTACGCAAGGTTTGGTGGAGACCAGTTAGAAGCGGCCGTAATATTTTACAGCAATGTCGTTGAGCCGGCTCGACTCTGCTGCATCCATCTCGGAAGTTTCACGCTTTCATTACAAACCCTCTGACCTTCCGGACATTAGCATGCGACAGTAGGATCTGAGCACCTACTTCGACGTCCAAATCTCACTTGAGATTCGGATTTGGCATTCTTTCATCTGGTACGCACGCTTTCGCAAGTCTAGATCATAATACATTTTTGGATGGCAAATGTCGATCCCAAACGTAGGTTCTATTAAAGTCCCTTGTTATGTTTCCGGCCTAAAAAGGCATACAGAATATCTTCAAATACAGAACCGGAACCGGCTTATTCTAGCCTAATATTAGGCCTCAGCGCGCGCATATCGAGTTGACTGCAAACTCGCGTGACTATATCAGTGTCCTCTTCTTGGTTCATGCCAAAGATATTACCCACGCTTCCGGGGCAATGAGGCGTCGTTATGCCTTGCCAGATAGCAAACCTGATGCTGCTCCCAGCTAAGCAGGCGAAAGTCAAACCTTACCCCTAGCTCAAAATCAGGTCTCTCAGCCCGGGCTCGGTAAATTTTGTCTTCCAACGGAAGGCAATAAATCTAAGGCGACGATCATGGAATGATAGTCATTGATTGGGCATATTGCTACGGATGCAATGTCGGAGAGGCCCTTCCCTATATTGCGAAAGGGAAGGTTCATCTCAGACTAGGGAGTGAACCACTTGTATATCTCAAGCTCTTCAAGATCTAAATAAAGTGAAATCAATGAATGTTGTTTTTTTTATGTAAATGTAAATTTTGACACAAGATTACCCAGTAAGGTTTGTAGTAATCGTAAATCTCCGGGGTTTTATTAATATTAATTTGGCTAGCCATCCGATTGACGCAAAATTTCTTGCAATTCTATTGTTGACTTTTTGCCCATCGTTTCTTTTGCTATTTTATCCATTAAAACCGCCACCGCCTCTCGTCTATTGTACCTACATAGGGCTTCCTGAAGGACCTCAATGTTACCATGGCTCCCGCATCTCACTCTTGTGTTCGCTCTCGTAAATTTTGACTTAGCAGGAGACCAACCAGTTGAGCCGTTGAATATGGAAAACCCCTAAAAGCGGAATGTTGAAAGAAAGATCCTATTTCGTAAAATAATCCTCTTTTGTAATAAAATTTTATAGGGCAGTGTCTATGGAATGCTTCACCAATTTCCAATTTCGGCAATGAAACTTCGAAGGTTGGCTTGAGACCCACATTGCGCGGATCCGCTCGATTTTATTAGAAGACATACCCGAGCTCCATATATACCGGAGGCTTGTTCTTGGTACTTAGGATATTTATGAAATTGGTCACTTTTTAGATAATTTACGCTATCAGCTACGTAGACAGGTCAGTTAACGCATACGGTTATTATGAAGAAAGCAATACCTTGTGCCCGACAGCACGATCGCGAATCATCGTTGATAAACCAAATACCACAAACACAACTTGCGATGAGACACCAGCAATAAGTCGATTGTATATGTTGCCAAAGTGGAAAGACCCACCGGTTCTGGAAGAGGAAAGGGCAAACAAAGAGCAAACCAAGAGCAAATGGAGAGTCATGCGGGAGAGAGGAATCTAGACGGGAACGACCTGTCAGATATCTTACTTGGGAATACGGTAACGTTAACGGCACATGTCCTGCTGACTAAGCATACCGGGGGCCAATCAGCGCCCGTTGACATAGGTTTTGCTAACCGGCTGAAAACTGTTTCCGGCATTTCTTTTACATAGATGCTATATGCATTTTACGCATCATTTTTGGTATACACTCTTTGCGGAGAAAAAAGTGGAGAAGTTAGATGCAGACATAATGCCCAGAATGCAAGAACGAATATGTTTTCAGTCCGTCTGGGAATGGATCCCGGCATGCAAGCAGTCGTGGGGTATTGAGCTTAGCCATGAAATGCATGATATCGCTTTTCCATTGTCGTCGGTGTTAGGATATATAAAACCTTTCAAGTTCCATCTTCTGTCCCAGCCTCATCCTTTGTTTCGATTATCCCCGTATTATTCATTACTTTTTCCAATCCTCCTTCATTGAGGTCATCAACTCTCAACATGAAATCTTTTTATCTTGCCCTTGCAGTCGCTACTAGCATTGCCCAGGCTAACCCTGTGGTCAAGCGTGCTGTCACCGATGCCGAGATCCTGAACTATGCTTTGACCCTCGAACACCTCGAGGCAACTTTCTATGCAGAGGGTCTCAAGAACTTTACCCGGGATGACTTCGTTAACGCCGGATATGCTGATCCCTTCTACGACAACCTTAGGACGGTTGCTTCTGATGAGAAAACGCACGTTAGCTTTTTGACTAGCGCTCTTGAAGGTATTTTTTGTTTGTTAGATGGCTTGAAGGTAGCTAAAGCTGACATCTGAACAGCTGCGGGTGCTTCTGCCGTCGCTGCTTGCACCTATGACTTCCCAGTCACCGGTGTAAACAGCTTTATCACGGTGGCCAACATTCTCGAGGGAGTCGGTGTTAGCGCCTACCTCGGAGCCGCTGCATCCATTATGAACAAGGAGTACCTCACTGATGCTGGTTCTATCCTCACCGTCGAAGCCCGGCACAGCTCTTATCTCCGTGCTGTTGCAGGAGAAGTTCCTTTTGCCCAGCCATTTGACAACCCTCTTGACTTCGATGAAGTCTACACCATTGCGTCTCCTTTCATTGCGTCTTGCCCTAGCACCAACCCGACGCTGCCCGTCAAGGCTTTCCCCTCTCTGACAGCTACCTCTGAAGGTACAATCCTGGCTGGTTCAGAGGTTTCCCTTGCCACTGGTCCCGGATTTACCGCTAGCGGGCCCGTCTATGCTGCTTTCATTACCGTCACTGGTCCAGTTTGGGTCCCTGTCACTCCTAAGGATGGTGGCTATTCAGTTAAAATCCCTACCGGAATTGCCGGACAGAGCTACCTCGTCCTTACTTCAAGCAAAGACAAGGTCTCCGACGATACCGTCCTCGCTGGTCCTGCAGTTATCGAGGTAAGTTGACAAAAAACCAAGCCCACTTCACGCTTTCATCGCCCGGTCTATACCTTTCCTTTTTTACTCCTTCGCTGTTCAACGTTCCATTTACACCTTGCTAACCTGCAATTCTTATTCTCACAGATTGGGGCTAAGAACGGCCGACTGTCCACTGAATGCACTACTGGCAGCAACAGTACTTCTTCTGGTGAGGCTGGTGAGGCTGGATCTTCCGGTAAGGCTGGCTCTTCCGGTCAAGCTGGTTCCTCTGGTCAGGCTGGCTCTTCTGGTGAGGCTGGATCTTCCGGTGAGGCTAGCTCTTCCGGTGAGACTAGCTCTTCCGGTGAGGCTGGCTCTTCCGGTCAAGCTGGTTCCTCTGGTCAGGCTGGCTCTTCTGGCTCTGGCGTCCTCTTCACCGGTGCCGCCTCAAACGTCCAGCCCACCTTTGCTCTACTTACGGCTATTGGTGTTATGGTTTTCCTGTAAAGAATTGAGGATATGGAAACGAAGGTTCAATCATCTATTGATCTGATTGCTGATGTTTTCTATCTCTCATGGGGGATTCTAATGGGATTGGACCAATAAATAGTACGGATGGCTTCAAACACATCACCTGTGGACTTGCCAGGGCTCGCTGTTTAATGTTTTTGTGGGATCTCATATTTTTTGTTGTTTTGTCGGCACTGTGTTTTTATTTTTTTTATTTTTAACTGTATGAAGCAGACACTATAGTAATAATCTTGACACACGAGAAGACTATTACAGCTAAACCGCCATTTGTACTCATGAAAAGAGAAGTAATATCTCGCCCGGTATTGCTATACTGGTGGGTGCGTCCCTCACTCAAATAGTACCTTGGTACTGAGCGGTTCTAGTCATCGCTGTATGCACTGCCATCCAGTGACTATTGGTAAGTTGTCTATATTGTCTCTAGACAACTTTCTGCACTACATTTTTCTCATATTTAATTATAGAGTTGTTCACTACTTAACGGCAAAACACCCTCGTTATCCTCTTGTTGAGAACATCCGATCCGGAAACCCCAATCTTCGATGGTGAAGCTGGTTTTGCACGCGGTTATATGCTAAATCATCGAGCAAATTTCCCGGTGGTTGGCAATTTGTGGGGCACTGAATGGGTGGACATCGTAATTGCGACCATTGGCAATTGAAAAGCACGCGTCCCTAGACTGTATTGCCAAGAGCGGGAAAAGCAAACCGATGATGGAGAAAAGATTTTGAAGGAATTTAGCAGGGACCAGGTAGCCTTATCCACTACGGAGTAGAGGTAAGCTAATTAATCCAGACAGATCAACCAGAGAGGCCCGTTGACAATCTCTACAATAGATTGTTTTGGTGTATTAGTTAGCTCGTTAAACCATTTAATTATGTAGATCAATAATGCACTTTCCGGTGACATTGTGGGCATGGGCTTCTCATTGGCGGAATCTTAGGCCGAAGTGAAGGAGTTGCAAACCAGCAGGTTTGGAATGGTGCGATTAGGCCTGGCGATCAACCGGCTTTTCAGAAAACTATTACTGCTCTTGTCGGTCGCTCTGGCAACTGTTGAAAAGTAAACAGTTGAAAAGTAAACGCGCGACCGTGCGATTACCGAATCCATCCGGCCGTCCCTGCATACAGCTTCCAGAAAAGCTAGACAGACCAACCCCTCAACCCAGTTAGCAGGTCACCTTACAGGTTTTTCATAAATCAAAGATCATTGATCAAGAAAGTCATTGAATTTACCCTGTCAATTGATTCTAGGTATGTGACGTCGGAGATCTGCGGATCGAAGTTCGCCTCCTTCCTTGATCAAGTGTATGAGGCAAAATGATGTAACAAGCAAGCTTACCTCTCCCAATTCATTTATTTGGCCGCTGTCTTAATTTCAATTTCCAAAATTGTCTATCAACATTTAGATACCGATACCATGAACTGCATTCGATCTACGACAACGCGAGCAGCCACAATGAAGCATTCCTTGGCTGGAGCTACGAGAGGAAAGCCGTTGCCGCGAATGCCTTATCGGATGAACTATGCCACTGGCGCTGGCGGACAGGGAAGCAGTGCTTCCTCCAACAATTGGTCAGGCAATCTTCCCTTCATTCTCGCCCATCGATAAAACTAACATGAGTGTTGTGTAATAGGCTAAAGCTATCGATCGTTGTTATCCCAATATCATATTTTCTTTGGCAGAGATCCCAAGCACCGACATCCAAAGAAGGTGCAGAGGGCAATCAACCCGCACGTGATTACGACCAGGTAAGTCTCAATCATGATTCTTTGGGGCTAGCTGCCAATTTAAGCCACTAATGCATATATAGCCTCGTTCAAGGGGAGGGCAAGGTGGACCTGGAAGTATTTCATTCAAACAGGAAGGCCTTTCTAACACAGACACCTCAAACCCGTATGTCAACGAGCCAGGAAAGTCTCAGAAAGGAGAGGGAGAAACGGAGACCGCGAAGGTGAAGGGCACAGTCCAACATGACCGTTCTCAAGTTTGATGTGTTCAGACATTGTAAATAACAAAAATCAAATTGGCTGATAGCCGATTAAATCTTTCGTGGCAGTATATTCACCTGCATATTCTTCAGGAAATCTAATCTAGGGAGTAGATTGCAGACCAAAATCGTGAAAAATCCCAAGCCAGTATTTACAATTGCAGAGTCCCGCTCTGAGTGGACTAGTGACAACCTAGAAACTTCATCTGCTTTCTATTCCTAAGCGTAGGTCTGATGGTCACACAACTTCTGTCGCAGGTTCAAAAACGATGCACGGCCACCATGAGGCTCTCCTAAGCCATGAACTATTTAATTTTTGCATAAGCTGCGTTTCAAGACGAACCATAGAGGTTGCCGGTTCTGTCTGATCTTCTCCGCAACGGCGGCCAAGATTCGGGTGTTCCCGTTAAGATCAAAATGATGTCACTATGACGACATGACCCTTGATCGAGCTTGTCCAACTTACCCTTTTAGGCGTAGTGAAGAACCACTGAGTGCCTTGTTTCGACCATCCAGCTTTTGAAGAGACTAGCTACGGTATTTAGAGGAACCTGGTCGCCCCTGTAGATGCCACGAACGACTCACTTCATTTTCCTACTTTAGCTCGATCTTCGAGTTTTATTTCCTTTTCTCGGGTTCCATCGCAACAGTATTCATTATGCTCGGACAAACTTCTAGGTCGGCCGTACGCGCCATAGGACCGCGCTTTCCCCGCCAGTACAATACTCGTTTTCTCAACTCTCGCTTTCAATCCACCGCATCCGGATCCGCCTCGTCTGGTAGCAGCCCCGCTCTAGTTGGTGGTGTCGCTGGTGGCACCGTTGCTTTCATTTCGGGCTACTTAGTGTACTATTTCTCTGGCACTAAAGCGCTCGTTGACACCAACAAGCAAGCCAAGGTGTATGTCGAGCAACTTAAGCAAAAGCTCTCTGAGGCGGCACCCGAACCCAACCAGGCGTATTCGTGGTTGAAAAATACAGCCAATGGCTATGCTGTCTTTATCCCTGGCGCTCGCGGCTACGTCGACACTGCTTTCAAAGACCTGGACCGCATCAGGGACAATCACGCAAATGAATTTGACGAAGTGGTCAAAGATGCATACAACGAGTTGAAGGATGTCTCAAAAAAAGGCGACTTTGATACCGAGACGGCTTTCGAGGCATTCCACGTTTTGCAAAAACATCTTAACCGACTCTTCGATCTAGCCGGCGATGTTGGTGAGGATATCTTGAACAATCATCCCCAATTGAAGGAGAAGGTTGGCGGCAGCTTTGACCAGCTCAAGAAGATGGGTGATGCCTACGGGCCACGCGCCAAGGAGGAAGCGAACAAGACCTGGGAGCAAGTCACCGACATTGTGAAGCGCGGGGCTAGCATTGACTCGGTTGCGGAGATCAAAAAACTGATCGATGAAAAGAAAGACAAATTCCAAAAGCTTGGTGACGAAGCATGGCAGAAGGGTTTCGAAGAGTCACAGCAATTTCTGGATAAGAACCCGAAGGTGAAGTCCTTGGTAGAAGACAATGCCGATGCTTTGAAGAAGGGAAATTTCCAGGAGCTGTGGAATCTCGTCAAAGAGAGCGCTTCTTCGGGAAAGACGGACGATGTCGAGAAGTATGTTAAGGAGAAGGTCGACCAAGCGAAGAGCAGCGGGTTCGGTAATCTGGACAAGTGGCTGCAGGCAATTCCCGGCGGTTCCAATATTCTTCCGCAGTTGCAATCACTACAGAGCGTTGCGGAGAAGAAGGGTAGTGAGGCGGAGCGCATCGCCAAGGAGACTTTTGAAGAGATTCAGGAAGTGTTGAAGAAGAGAAAGAAGGAGGTTGAACAGCTTGCCGAGGAGGGAAAAAACGAGAACAAGTAAGCTTTCAGTAGCGTCATCACATTCTTGTATAATAGAATCATCAGTATATCTCTAATGGGGAAATTTTTCAACTGGCTACAGCAATCAGTAGACCTGAAAATTAGCTGAGATGGGATAAGTCGTCGTATAATAATACGAGCCGTTGCCGATTTCATTGAATGGGCCGTCCTTTTAAAATTGTGGATGAAAACCAATTTTTAGATGTAGAGAACACTAAAGCCTCAAGAACAGCTTGTCATTTCTGAGTTGAGGGCCTTAGCGATGATCGACAATCGACGAGTTTTATTTTCGTTTTGCAGTGGCGATCTACGGGTATGATCTACATGTCAAGACGCGGGTGGGAGGGGTCTCAGAAACTCATTCGTCAATGGTGTCTAATATATCCGCCATCGACGCAAGGTGAACTCAAAGTGCCCCTTTATAGGGCGCCCAAGGAGTTTCCCCGTCCATGCGCAGTGTGGTGTTTGCGCCACCACTTGGCGTGATGAATGGCGCCCCCCTTGCGTCAGACGTCATGATGAGTTAAAGGGGCAGTCAGATATAGTGAACAACCCACCAATAAGCAAAATGAAGAGTTTACCTACCGTATAAATGGCGTTGGCCTTATTTATTGCACCTTAACCCCACGCTATGTTCCTCGCGATACATATGAAACACTTTACGATATTCATGCTTTCATACTGCTACTGATCATCAACATCCATACCTGCAAAATGGACCATCGACCTCGAGTCATTCAAGAAGCAGCATCTACCAACGAAGTCCCAACAATGAGCTCAGCTGCTTCACTTGCACGCTCTGCGTCGTATCCTGCGCCTACTCAGGAGGCTTCTCAGAAGGCTACCACAACAAAAGGCGCGAACGTACAAGATGAGAACTACCGACAACGACTCAAGGCGGCTTCGACTGAGCTCCTCAACGACAATAGAGTGGGATCAGGTTCAAAGGCTGGGAGATCCCTCCAGAATGTACTTATGGAAACTGAGCATCGTCTGAGAGAGCAGCGAAGGCAGTCTCTTCACAAAAAGGCTTCCAAGTGAGCAGGTCTGTTTTCTCTGCTTTCATTATGTGACGATCCTCGACCACGCCTTTTGGGAGATTTTCAAAACAGGACTGTTGAGAAGAACTCGGATTGCTACTGTACCTTTAGGAACGTGGTTTACTGCACCTTCCCCTGAGTGGTAGGGGAAGCCCCTGTCGGTGGGGGTGGAATGATCGAGGCACAAGGACTGATTTCGGTGCGGGATTGTTCTTTGGGTACAGTTTGTGATGATATATGGGAGCATTGGCAATGCATTCTATTGTTTCCCTGCTTCATTCATACGATCAAGGGAAAGACGCGTCAGAATTTGACTGATGCGACCGCCGAGAAATGTATAATTCTTCTCCGAAGGCAAACTCATCTTTCTTATTGACCACGCGGCTCACGGTACGACAACGCCTTCACACCGGCATCCCCTCCTAGACCTGGCACGCACCCGCGGGTGACCCTCCGGACCCTCCACCCGCTAAGAGGAGGTGCGGGTGGAGGGTCCCCATGCGACTGATTTTAGGCAGAAAAGTCATATTTTAGGTGTCAATCCACTTAGTTATATGTCCTAAAACAGTAAGGCGTGTCCTAAATAGGTAAAGTGTGTCTTACGCGGGTCGATGATGTTGGACCCGATCCTCGGAGGTGCGGGTGAGTGCTAGGTCTATCCTCTCCTAGCTTACTGGCCGCTATGTCTACCTCAGCGTAATTGTTCGAATCATCTATCCATCATTGTCGCTTTTCTTCGGCCTCCTAGAATGTAGGGTAATAGTACATGGGGAAATAACTCGAATTTCCGGACTCGAGATCTTCTAAACGGACCGACTGGGGTTGGCGCTAAACCAATTCGCTCGATAGGCTGACGTTTCCCCGCCCCAATGGACCCCGGTGCTAATATCAGAAGAAATTAGAGCCGGACGATAGGGCGCAGCAAAGCAATTAAAGCGCAATCACAGTCTGCCAGCCGTGAACAATGTTTTACCTCAAATAATTTTGCAGGCCTTTGCGAAGCGATCAAAGCCTGCCAAGCTCTCTTTTACTCTGATTAATATCAGTTTCACATTTGTCAACAATATGGCTGAACTAATTGGGGTGCCGTCTGGCGCCATCACATTCGCGGCCCTTGCACTCCAGGTCGGGAAATCCATTCAGACACTTAAAGACTTCAGGGATTCAATGCGCGACGCCCCCGATGATCTCAACTGTCTAGTGTGAGAAGTTGAAGTGTTCGGCTCCATAATGGCTGATATTGACGCGGACCTATTGTAACATGGCAATCTAATTGTAAGGCAGGTATTATGACTTTATCTCACACATGACTGCATTTATAACCTCTGAGACTCAGGACAATGAGATGAATGGTTATTAGTTGCATACTCTTCTAGAATGCTGTAGCTTACGGGTAAATATCGGTGTCAGAGATGTACCAGGCGATGGAATTTAAGTTCATTGCAACTCCTAGTACTCGAGTTCGAGATGTCTCGCCTCAAACGCAATTCAAAATACAAGTTATATCTCGGTCAAAGATAACCTTGTAAAATCCACCGCACCACATTCCGATATCTAGACCATGAAACCGTAGGGAAAGTCCACGCCTCACAAAATAGCCTTTGGCTTGTCATCACCATGCGCAGGATGTTCCAGCCGATCAATTGATTGACGAATCCGACGCAGACCGCATGATGCACAGAGACGCGATTCACGATCAAACCAGACACCCGGAGGACTCACATCCGCCATGTTGATCCGGTCATTCGTAGTCACGGTACAGCCGCATGATTCACAAGAGAAGTGGCGTAGGCGATCGGGTGCTTTGTTGAAGCTTCGTCGAAAGATTTCTTCTCTAGGTTGTTCAGCCCGTGGTTGGGGGGTTGGAGCAGATGGTTCCCCCCAGCCGTTTGCCTGGTCGTGGGTGCTCCGGTTGGGGGTGTAATTGGATGCTGGACTGGTAATTGTCGGATTCCAGGGGGCCCAGTGCACTCCCCTTTCCCATTCATCGCTCCGGGTTGTCGTCTCCGTGGGTACTAGACTCTCGGCTCCCTGGCCAGAAACGGATCCCCAAGAACTGGCTCGGTTGCCCGATGAATTGTCTCTGATATCACAAGACATGGATCGGTTACCCCAAGCGTTGTCGTGGTGATCATAAGAAGTATGACGGTCAGTCTGACTGAAAGGGTCGACACAACGCTTAATCTGGTGTCCCCAACTCTCGAGCGAGTCTGTCTTTGGATCACTTTTGCGCTCTTCCCACATGTCGCGCATGTACTGGTCGTTGATGGTCTGTTGGTCACTCACCTCTTTGCTCGGCGTTTCACCGTATGAAGATGAAGTTCCCCAGCCTAGTTTAGATTGCCCGGATTCCGCGTCAGGGTGTGCAGAGTCTCTGTCAGAGTCGTCGAAGTCATACTCGGTATTCGGATCAGCCCAGCGCAAACGCGAAGGCCGCACGGTGGTGATCCTCTCGAGTGAATCATCGAGGATCTCGCTAACCGTACTCCTAGCCTTAAGGCGCCCACGGGTAGCATTAAATCCCTTCTGCTGGCTTGATTTCCAGTACTGATTCGGGCCAGAGTCAGTCTCCTTGGTGTCAACAGCCTTGGCATCAGCAACCTGAAAGACCATCTTCTGCTCCTCATGCTGTTCCTGATGCCAGGGAGTCGAGTAATGCTTCATCTCCCAGTAAAGCGTATCCTGAGCACGCGCGTCCTGCTTATCCATCCTCTTATTCAAGAAGGTTGGAAGCACACGCAGCGAGTGGGCATGATCATGCGCGAACACCATATACTCAAGATCAGAATCCAGAGCCCAGCGAATGACAAATCTCAGAAGCGCAAGGCCAATTCCCTGACCGCGATAGCGCTGTTTAACAGTCCACGCACGAATGCAGATCTTCTTCCGAAGATACGTACTCCCGAACTCCGATGACCGAGCCGATTCATCCTTATCCGGATCACGATCCCAAGTATCCACAATGCGAATCACGATAGCAGCAATCACTTCCTCGCCGAGCTTCGTAATGAAGACGTGATCCGCTTTAGTGCTGAGCGCATTCCAGCCTATACCTTGCTCAGCCTGACGAGTCTTGCGAAACCGGTTCTGAATCCATCGATCCCCATAAAGCCAACTCCAGCGCCCGACACGCTCTGCGGCCTCGATGTATCCGTTCACGATGATCTTGATAACTGTCATGATGAAGGTCGTGATGCAGGCCATTGTGATTACAACCACGAGCCACTCCGAGGAGTCGTGGGCTCTTTCGACGAGGAGGTATGGAATGCAGAGGAGCATCGGTGCCCAGACAATTGGGTGCAAGATGAGGGACCGCGCGGCGAGCTGGCGCTGTTGGGCAACAGAGTCAGAGATTAGCCGGAGGGCTGGGATCAGGTCTGAGTCAGTGCGGGCGATGTAGGTGCTTGTTTCATCGGTTTCGGGGGAGGGCGGCCGACTGGTCCCTTCTGTGGCTTTGATGGTGGAAGTCTGACTTTCATGGGAGGTGCACGGGGTGGGATTAACTTGCTGCTTTGGTTTGTTCTGGATGATCGTAGTATTGTCGTATTCTGGAGGAGGAGGCTGGCTCAGTGCGTCTTTGTAGGATCGCTTGGATGGATTAGGCTCGGGCCGAGTGTTGTCTCGAACGGCTGACACGACGGCCCGACCCTGCTGTGCAGCGGGGATCACCGCCGGACGCGCCATCCTATTTTTGTAAAGTCCAGAGATAGCACAAGGTGGTATGAAGGTGATGGAAATGGAAAGGGGATGTGTGGGTTGGAAGAGGTTGATGAGAGTGAGAGACGACGGATGAAGTGAGCTCACAAACTCAGTCAGTGAGAGCCTTCGAGGTCTACTCTGAATACCTGGGCTTTTCCTGGGACAAAGATACCAGAACTGAGAGCATGGTCCTTTAACGAGTCTGGAGAATTCGAGATGAAATCAAGACCAGTAGGATGGTGACTATTCTCTGGCCCCGGGATGAACATCCAATGTAGCTGTCATAAGCCACGTTTTCCCCAAAACCAGCCAAGCTCTCTACCAGGCACCCAGAACCTCTCATGTGGTACAACCATTATTCCAGTCTCACAAGAATCGAACCATACAGTACTCCTCGAAACTGGTGTCACCATCTACACTCGTCGAGTTTCGCGAACCCTAATGCGAAGACATACGATACTATATTGGAAGTTTTTCCGGAGTATTCATGTCAGTGGGACCTATATTTGGTTCTAGATTACCTGATTGTGAGGGTCTGCGTCCATATATCAGCTCTCACTGGTCACGGGTCTGATGTTATTCTACATCAGACTCTAACAGGACGCCCTGCGAAAATTTAGGGCCAATGATACGCTAGACTAAAAGGGTAATGATATTAAGAGATAGGGAAGATGCAGGGCGGTGTCAGTGATCTAGTCTTCTTTCAAATTTGACACTCAGGTCTCTGGCGTGCAACGTCCCTACCAATGCCCAGCAAACAAAGCTCCATCGGCGATGTTGCAGTGATTCCGGCGGTATGGAATCACAATTTGCGTGTACGTAACTTTCAATCCTCACTAGCCAACATAATTGCCTGTCCATGTGACATTATTCAACCAACCAGAAAGATCGAAGTCGTCCAGTGCATTGCTGTTGAGCAAGTCGAAGTTTGGAAAACCAGTCGTGTCAAGACTTGGCTGCAGGAATTGGGAAGGTGAGAAAGGCGTGTCGAGATCATCGCAAGGCATTGACGCTGGTACGGTCATACCAGGTGTCGTGCTAGACATGGAGGGCGGCTCGTCGAGCATATTGTCCAGGGTGCGAGAGATTGCTTGTGTGGCTTGCATACACGTAGAATGAATTGCCTCGCCCACATCTCCGATACTCTCAAGGTACGAAGTGAATACCATTAGACTTCGGATGAGCGCTGAACGACTGAGGTTTTGTGGCAATTGCCGAGTTCGATTCCTAGTGCTGGTTTGTAGCGCCGCAACCAACGTAGCGGCGCTAGGAAGACCGTAGTTGACTACCTGTATATTGTCAGGACTAAATTGAACCGAACTCGCATGAGAGCCACTCACGACGTAAGGAAAGTCGAGTCGCGGAAGCACCGCTTTATCTCGCGATTTACCTAGCTGTATAATAACTGCGACGATCTCTGCCGAAACGCTTAGTAATGCTGGAGCAGAACTTGGCTCATTCCTCTCAAGAAGTCGCTATATCTAAAACTCATTTTGTAGATATGACAGATACACAATCGTGAGCATAAGGCATACTGTAGCCTCGAGGCCTGAGGTCCAGCATTGATGTGTATACTTAAGGTGCTCGGGTAGTGACTTCCATGATTGCTGGCATCTTTCTAAAAGATTCCTGTTATATCCGTTAGCTTCATTGACCGAAGAGAACCTGAGATTTCGCTTAGATACTTGCATCAGCTTGACTTTATTTTCGGCCGTACGTGGGCGAAATGGGACCTCTAAGATTTCTTCTCGGAAAACGCTGAGGACGTAGCGAAGCCGCGCCCAAGTTGAGCTAGCGTAGCGAGGTGTAGCACTCCATCCCTCGGGGTCTAGTATAAGTCCTACTCGATCTACTTCGTTCGTATCTGCTAGGATTTCGTCGTCAGCAAGATCAAGTGGCATCTTGCAATCAGAGTAGCGCCTCAAAATTCTGGGAGGTCTATCGAAAAACGTGCAGATTAGTTTGTCGACCTGATAGGCCGCGGCAAATGTTCTCCGCCGACACTCAGAAATAAAAAAAGGCATCTTGCCTGCGTGGGTGGACTCGCGATGAATACCAAGAGCATACACATCGGTTGTTAGGTCACCTAATCGACGCCATACATTAGGACCTATAGAGTAGAGCGAGCAGTATTAGTATGTAATCGCTAACTGGCTTACGAGCCCCAAATTTGTCATCGTGTAACTCACTTGCATCTCCTTGTATGGACATTGTCAGCAAGAGATTTTCGTACGACAACCACACCATTAGGTCGTTAATCTGCTGAGCAATTTCACGAGCAATCTGCATGCAACATGTGCTGCATCGAAACATGGTATGAACGAATTCATCCCGCCGATCGTCTCTACTAGGACCAAGCAGACACGAGCGGCCTGCGAGAGCAAAGATCAAGCCGACGACTTCGAGACGAAGATTTTGACCAGTGTAAGATGCGCAAAGCCTTGACGGTGTGGACGTCAATTCGATGTCGATATTCGTTGATGTCGACTGAACAACGCTTTCCGCGATCTGCAGGGTTGTGTCATCAGATCCAACCCGGCCAGGTGCCGAGCGAGATGAGATGTCGATTACGTGCGTCCGAAGTGCCGAGAAAGCTGGCAACAGGAGTGGTCCTGGTACCAGAGCCGCAGGACTGTGATTGTAGAACTCGTTGAGCAGCCTTTCTATCATGTCAAGGTGTTTGAGTCGAATCAGCATCTCTACCACAACGGCGACATGCTCGGCATGAATTGCTCCGAGGCTTGCATCTAGCACAGGCAACCGAAACCCCGGGTGATGGGCATCAGTGGCAATCGATGGCCACGGAAAGGTGGACCGGCCTGGTGCGACCTGATGGGTGAATGGAGGACCGTAATTATTCGTGTTCTCGGTAACCAAGGGTTCAAGATCCACTAATGCGGTCTGCACTTCACCAACAGCCCATGCGTGGCGCCGTGTCATCGGAGCCGGATGGTAGAAGCAGCTCGAGGCCAGCCTGCCGTTTCTCCGGCTTGTGCTCGTCATGTCGCTGTACCTCTTTGGTCGGGCCGGTCCATTATACAGGCGGATATAACCCAGGTGCAGCAATATATTTGGTCCAACACAACCCAAGGATTACCAAGAATTGGGCTGCGCGAGATGTTTGCTTGTCACCGCCTACACCCCTGTTCACAAGGTACCAAGGCTTCCCCACAACGTCGTCATATTCTCGCTACGGGGACGGAAACCACAAATTGCGTGCTACGCCAAGGCTGGATGGCCGAATCGTGAGGCCTTGGCCTAGCGTTGCATGTCGTCAATTGCATATGCAGCTTTCTCGGCACGTGACCGCTACTGTAAAGTGAGCGGTACGATGTAAGTTACAATTCGACCATTCTCGGCAAACACCCCAGACGCGACAAGATAAGCGTCATGAGAGCACACCTTAGATTATGCACGCACTTTCAGATTAACCATCAGTGTATTCCTGGCGTATACGTCGACTTCTGTACACGTAAGTCTGGTACGGCGCTCGCCTATGGCTGGCTTGAGTGTACCGGCCTTTTTGAAGCTGATGCGCGCTGACCCTGTTTATTGGCTGGCGGCACAAAGATCCTATGATGACGGTATATGACGTATTCGCAATTTCCACCACTTACACAACATAATAGGGATAAAGATGGTCAACTTGAGCCCCGTATCAGCCTGGTTGTATTATCGGAGGATTTAGGGGCTTGATTCACGTGGCCAGGATATTCGGCCAGTTTCGTCGTCCTAGTAGCTATCCCACCCACTACGTGAGAAGCACTACCTACTTAGGCTTTCTTTTCCCATCATCATCTATTCGCCATATAGAAGGGTCATCACGGTCGCCTTGGGCTACCCAATCACACCCGCTCCAGCATGCCACGGCCCGACAGACATGATCAACTCCCTCGACTTACGCGCTTGATCAATTGGGAATATCTCGGCTCGATGACAGACGGGACTGATGTGGATTTGGCATCAACAGCCAGAGACTACGGCTTACCGATCCTCGGCACGGATTCCTTGCCATTGCCGCGCGGCATTCCTGATGCCGCCAGAGGGAGCGGCCTTTTTCAAGACGCTTCTCAAGCACAAAACTTCGTGGAAGCGCCCTCGGACTACATGGGTGCGGCTTTAGAATATAGACCAATACAGAGCATGGAAAGCGTATCGGATACGAGGCTTTCTCGAGGCCCATTCCATGACGAGAGTATGAGCGGCCGTCTGCAGCAGTGCTTACATACGTTACATTCGGTGGGTTTCTCATCGGTCGACGAATTTGCCCTTGAATACTACACAGCACGCCTGGGTTCCTCGCCAGAAGCATCCATGATAAAGCAGCCAAAAGGCCTGAGTACCCTTGGTCATTTGGTCATGGTGCTGGAGAATGCTTCAACACGAATGGGCACTGTCGAAGCGGCGGGCTTACACCATGGTATCGCAAAGGCTGCCCGCGATCTGTATATCTCTGAACTTCGCGCCATGGATTATACATTATACAATCCCGAGGAAGCAGAGCATCAAGTGGGTCGCCCAATACGCAGGTTTCATCTGTATAGCTGACAAGACACTCTTGCAGTTGCCGCAAATATACCTTTTGTTGCACGATCTAGTGACTCAGGTCGGGTGTCGGCCTGACTTAGTTGACGCAACTGTTCGAACCTCAATTCAAGGACTGTTGAACAGCAAGTCGTTTTAACTGTACGGCGTATATCCATGCCGGATAGTCTGCCTCAGGCAAAAACTGTACAGTCTGGCAATCCTAACTATCTCTACTCATTACTGCTCCTACTTGCGTGCTCATATTTGCTTCTGATACTTTCTATCAGCCGAAGAGTGGTTGCATCCCCTCCCACTACCGTGGTTTGACGAGCGCCATCATCTTTTAGCGCTCCTGCGTGAGCATGATAAAGAGATTGGATCAGGGTACTGGAATATCGAGGATAAGATATACTACTCTGAAAAAGCAGTCTTGAACAGTTAATAAATAAAAACTGTGCTGCCTCTTCAAGTAAAATCGTCTTCATTGTCAGCATAGGTATCTTCAACCTGTAACTCAACACAACATTGCGTCATGAACGCCATGCATGAAACGCCTAACCCAAGGCCAATATAGCAGACTACGATGAGAATAATAAGCATTGATGGTATTTCTGGGAATGTACAAACGTTGCTCAAGGAAACAGCAGCTTTCTTCTCATTAAATTTGCCAGCATATTACTGGTTTGAGCATAGAGATATTCGCATACAAAATGGGTCCAAGTCTATCCTGGCCACTATGATTATGGCGCTTGGAGATCACCTGCTCATAAAATTCCGTTGCTAATAGCAATTGGCACACATCCACCTCGATCATCATGTCACCCAATACTCGAATTTGTGTCTACCTCGGATGTGTCTAACCCGCCTCTGTTGCTGTTAAAATCCCGCTTGTTCAGCTCAGCATCTTCCGCATTATACTTGAAGAGTAGCCAGAATATCACCGTTGCCAGCGGATGCGAGAGCGGTGTACAGCAAGAACGAGAACATGTACGATAGGTTGCTAGCCTTGCTCTGGCCCAATCCGAGCGCTCCTGGTCGTAAAGGATCATCTCGCTGATTCTGAAGATAATTTTCTACTCTCAATGTCAATGGCGTGGAAATATAATCACACACCACCATGCACTCATGGAATGGCTCGCGAATTCCAAAGAAAGCGAAGCGCTCGAGCGTGCTGATCAATATGACAAGCCAGACCGAGACGGGAATTCTATCTGCCACGTGAGGCAGGTCTTCGTCTTGACTGCTTGTTTCATTCGATCCAGTCGTTTCCGGGGCCTTTTCATTTGTACAAGGTGATTGCTGCGTAGGTCGAGTATCCGTCGGCAGGCGATCCCCGATACCGACAACTTCAGACATGGACCCTATATCCAGATCTTATGTCCAGATCCTTAATCTTCGTGCTGGTGTAAAGTGCAAGCCGACTCTGACGTGTTCAAGCTGTGGTATATATCGGATTGGCTACGGATTAGGTGAGCTCGTGCGTGAAAACAACGATTCTTGAGGCGGGGTTTTCGACTGCTATTGAGCTTGGTTAAGCCCAATCTGCGTTTAATGGCCTTCCGATGTGCCATCCGCGATCTTTTATATCTTTCGCACCATGAATATTCTCATTGACAAAAGATCCGGACTAACGGCGGAGTAAACCACTGTTATAGGACTAGTGATTCCACTAGGCGGCTCCCACGATCCTTGAATCCGGCAAATCTTGTCCGCTATTCATGCCATTGGTTACTCTACGATTCATAGAGGATTGATACTGCCAACACCCCCCATCCTCCTACTAACGTGATCCACGGCCGCGCGGGCGACACGGTCGCGCGAGCGACCCCGCCAAAATTGAGAAAACCTACAATTTTTAGCCGCTACTGAATCCACAATAATAACATAAGTTTGGCTATTGAACACGGGTAGGGCATTTGGAATATGTGTGACCTTTTATCCCACAGCTAGAATATGTCACCTGCCGCCGAACCAAGGGCATAGATGGTAAAGCTGGCTCAGCAACCGGTTTCGTAGGCGCTTTTGGTAAAAATATATCTCTGCTTCTATCTTCGTCTTCAACGACCACATCATCTTCACCACCTTCTAGACCCCCAAAGATGCCTTTCTGGGTAGTAAACCTATGTTTGGTCTCTCGTTTTCTGGTCTGTTTCTTGTTGGTAGCTTCTAATTAGGTACAGCGATGCTGGAGAAAAATGTGGCGGTGGACTACTTTTATAGTCATTTGGTAGGTCTTCTCAATCTCCCTTTTTGTTGGTGAAGAAAGCAATGAAGAAGAAGATTTTAGACCTTTTTTGATCCGAGATTGCGATTTTGTGAATTTTGAGAGGGTCCAGAGAGTATTTAGGTCACTGTCGCTACCAAAAGAGAGTGGTCGCTAGGTGAGGGTCTCTAGAGGAGGAAGAGATTCTAGGTATATATTTAGCTTTTCCAAGACTTTATTAGTATCAAATAGTGCTAGTTCAGTAGCTAAAAAGCTATTCTATATAGTGGAAGTCTTAAATACGCCTATTCTCGTATCTACGATTAGTTCTAGGAAATCTTCCTTATTAATAGTATTAACTCTATTCCGCATCAAAGTTAAAACCGCTCCTCCATAAAGTCTCTTTAAAACTAAGAAACAACCTACATCTAAAGGCTATAAAAGATAAGAAGCATACGGAGGTATATAGATTACGATAATTTAGTTTTCTTCACAAACTTAGTTAAATTCTAGGGTCAAATAACTCCTATAACTATCTAGGACTAATAAGCAATATTTTCCCACTCTTATCCTAATATTAGGGATAAAATAATATTTTAACCACTATAAACTAATTATATTAGTAGTCTAACCATTAGGGCTTATAGTTAGACGAGCTCCTTTTTGATTTAAGAGAAGATAGGGCCATAAATGCTCTAGGAACTGTTTTCCTTTAAAAACGAAAAGCGAAGGAAGAACACTTCTAGAAGCTCTAATACACTTAATCGAAGTCACCCACTCCCAATTTCCGGCTTACAATAGTGCTCTTTTTCTATAGAATTCCGCTAAAGTGATGATCTTTTATGTTGCGCCAACACCTATAGCAAAACTAGACTTATCAAAGTTAAAGATATCGTCTAAAGCGACACCCCACTTTTTAATCGTACTTTGGAGCAAATTGAACCACGGTTCAATAATTCGAGGATCTTCTGAAAGGGCTCTCCGATAGTCGTATTTACGTGAAAGCCAAGTAGAGAGATTTAGGTGTCGTTTGACAAACTGAGAAGGCCAATTAATACTAATAGCAGAGGGTGTTTTTTTCCGCGCACGAAGTAGAAGATTGGCCATATCTCGCAATATAGGCAAAGTCAGAGCTGCACCTCTTGCATCCATATCAAGTAGCCAATTCTCTATCGATTGCTCTTCGATCTAAGTGAAAATATAACCAGATGGCCTCTTTTTAGTAGTAGATTTACGCCCATTGATCCAGGCCTTCAGAGTTAAGACAGGTACCTTAAAAGATCGTGCAGCAGCTGCAGCAGAGGGATATTTACCATCTTTTATGGCTTTTATAGCTAATAAAAGGCGGCCCTCCTACTCTGTCAACTTTTTCTTTTTATCAGAGCGTTGGGGGGCTATTGTTGTTGTGGTTAACAAATATGGATTATTGTTGAAGTGGATTTTTGATGGGGCCGCTCGGGCGACCGTGGATCACGTTAGCCTCCCCTACCTGATTTCTTAGTCACTAACGGCCTAGTTAGGAATAGCTTAATATGATTCCCACCGCCTTTTTCACCGCTTCTGACTATCTCTATATTTCAATCTCCCATTTATTATTTCTCTTGCTATATCTAGCCACTATAACCTCTCTACCTCTCTACATCTCGGTCTTCTCTTTTCTGACTCGGCCGTTGATGAGGCTAGATTAGCTTGGTTTTCTAGCTAGAAGTATAGCCTATACTAACTAAATATATATCTTAAGTAAGGGGTACCAGTCGTAAACTCCGGACCTCGTGCCTGCTGGAGACACATGAACCTCAGAAGAGCGCAGGGAAAGTTCGAGTTCCGGTTAGCATGGACCCGGAATGGGGTGTGATTTCTGAACCAAGTCGAAATGATTTCTTAAAAGAAACCTAGGGGTGTGAAACTATTAGGAGATGCACGGACCTGCGTTTTGGGCGGAGAAAGGCTCATGGTTCAGCCAATGATCATGGATTATTACGATCTAGTACTTGCAGCCTGGGAGATACGCATCAGCTGAAAAACGCATTGCTTATCGTAGTTAGCTTGAATGATTACAAGGCTGTAATAACGTAATTCACAAGCGACCCACCCACCAATGTAGCCTGCGCCAAAATCCGCAAAACCCAGAACCCGACCCGACCCGCCCCAACCCGTATGCGGGTTCGGTTTGGGTTTTGCGGGTTTTGGCGCAGTCTCCACACAAGCGACACGCCCACCCCAAAACACTATTAAATGCTGCTTTTCACAATCGTATATCTCAGCTACTCCTTTTATAGATAGCAAACTCTAATATAGTATTCTATGTAGTAAAAATCGTATCTGAATGGAGTCTAGGGAATTTTAGAAGAGGGGTATTTGTAGTGTATACAGTGACGCGGCAAAAGTTTCCGACGAATCCTACGTGATTTTGGTAGAAAATACGCAGATAGCATAGAGAGAACTAGAGCTACGGCATCTAACTCATCTATCTGAGACGATGCAGCACCGGGTGGAAGCTATTATTGAGAGCCAGGGCTGGTATACGCGCTACTAGGTAGATAGGTAGAACTTCATGGAGCTTCAGGCCGGCAGAATATTAGGTAATAATAAGAGTGTAGGGCAGGCGTATCGAAGCTTTTGCTGCGCCACTGTATATTTCTAACTTACTTAGCAAAATTACCATGTAATTTATAGTATTACCAAGAAATAACATTTCAACCGGCCTAAAAATTATATCTACTATAGAGAATGGTTATCAAAACCATTACACTGATCCTAGGGTAGATTAAAGCGATAATTGTTGAGATACACGATTGTGAAAAACAGCATTTAATATGGTGTCTTGGGGTAGTCAGGTCGCTTGTGTGGCTGGTCGCTTGTGAATTACGTTGGAAAGCAATGTCTTCATGTGCAAGTAGCCCCCAAATCTCACATCATTCTGAATTCCGAGCAGACGTGGCGTTAGCTGAGTAGAGTTAGCTATAAATACTGAACTTTCAATTTGTTATGTACAAAGTCAACCTTCTTTGTGCGAAAGCAAGATTCGCAGGGACCAAAGAAAACCACCAAGGAGAACAATTGAGGAAGCATGGCCTCACCAGTCTCCCGCAGTGTCTACTTCACACTGCAGCATACAGGGACAATTTTGTCAGCCACGTTTGAAAACGGAAAGATAGTCAGTCAGGATACACTTTCTGTCGGCATTTACCCTCAAAACTGGGTCGATGCCCTGTTAGAGATGGAAGTAACTCTCGGCTGTTCCAAAGATGTCGACTTTGAATTTAATATGTTCAACAACCAATCACCCGACCTAACAACTGCGAGCACAACACCTTGTTTCGTGACCCCAGACCGTGCAGCTACCCCTGTCGATGACTATTTCAGCGCCCTCGAAGAACCACTATATTCAAAATGGATCCATCCTAATATGCAGATGCATCAAGGAAACACTCAGTGGCTATCCACAAAGAAATCGTCTCCAATGCCTATGCCAACACCAAGCTCGGTCATTTGCCCCTCCGGAACCATAAATTCACATCAAATTCCTGGGGAAAAGGAGCACTGTTGTTCTCATGCCCCAATAGCACAGAAAGCTCCCGACTGGAGCTCCAAGCGGATGACGAAACTACAAAATCTATTGACTGCTATTTGCAATCACCCTGTCCCAACAATATCGGAGCACAATGGTCAAGTCGAAGGACTGTACAATGGCTCCTGTCTTCCTTCAACTCTACATGGAATGTCCAGCGTGCAATTTGCAGGAGCTCTCAGTCGGCTTGGCAATGTCTCAAACACGTTGGGGTTTATATACGGCATGCTTAGCTGGGAGATTTTCAAGAGAGAAGAGGAAAGAGTGATTAGAGAGGAAAATCTTTCTCCTGTCCTTGCTGCGAAGAAGGTATGGGTCCCCCTTTTCCGCTGGTCCCGTTTGTGGATCTCAATACCTAATATTTGCTCTCAGGTAAACCGACAGATGTCAGAGCTTCTGAAGCACTCGGGGAAAGCAAAGGATTGGGCTAGCGATGGTCGAAAAGCCGCTAAAATAGTGTTTGGGTCATTGGAAGGATGCAGCAAAGCAGTCAGGTCATTCGCTCTTTTCCTGCTCGGCAATGTTTGCAGCCTTGACAATATGCTCAAGATTGCCCACTTCCCTATCATCCGGGAAAACTTCCAAATGAGCTTTGCGCAAATTGTTGCTGAAAGGACACCACAATGGGAGGCCTTGGAGGCCAACAATTACAAGGTCTTTGACTATGCTGAATTTCTCAGACTTCGCGGACCCCCGGCTGGATCGTAAGTTTCTTCCATCTAATTCTTGGTTCCGTAAAAGTCGTATTGAGGCTAATGTTCGCAACTAGAATGCATCAATTTAATAATCTACTGAACCTGGGCCTTGAAAGCATGACACCCATTTCTGCATCTCGAGATGGCTCGGTGTATCAGGGATCGGATATCGATCCGTCATTCTTTGAAGCTGACCTACATGGGTCAATACCAACAATTCACAACGCGGAGTGGCAATATATGTAACCACTCAGGCATGGAATTTTACGAGTTTTCTTTGTTCCTTATTAGCAGGACAGTGTTTTATAAAGGAGCATGTTTGCGCATCTTTTTGCGTTGACTGGCAGTTAAATCAATAGATGAAAAAAGAAATTGCATTTTCTCCACCATCTCTTTGTCTTTTCCCTTTTTCCATTTCAAGTTAGATCAAACCTTCAGGGTTTCATTCAATCTTCGGGGGGCCCGAGGTCGTCATTTGATTGCTTACATCAGATTTGATATAATCTGGCGCCCACCGGCGAAGGTCCCGGGTGCCTACATTTTTTTCACTATTTCTGTCAACATGATTGGGTACTTGCTGTTCCGCAAGACGCGCACTAGTGTTGTACGACCTTGCAGTGAGGCTTAGCGGGCGGGATCGGAAAGTGGAGACCACTAATGTTTGAACCTCCGTACGGAGTCCCGCTTCTTCGGATCAGATCAGCCCCCACCCTGGTTTTTCAGGGAAGCGGGCCCTTCAAGTCTGTGATATCTGGCTAGGAATTTGTCTAAGGGGCTGTATTAACCTCTATAAGTACCGTGGGGCCAGAATAAAAATAAAAAATAGAAGTAAAACAGTGTAATTGTAACGCTATTGGAGCTCAATGTACTGCGAGATCAGATCGTTGATCATTTGTTCGAGGGTTTTAAATTTCCACCCGAAAGTGACCTCGGTAGAGGATGAATCAATAGGAAGCGGAAATGATGCCTGCTCCCCCAAGACAGTAACGCGACCGTCTTGACATTCCCCAGCGAAGTTTTTCCGGATAATTCCCGGAATATCCTCGTAAATACCGGGTGTACTGGCAATGAAACTCCGACAATTCCCGGGCTGCACAATGTCTGCCTTCTGCAATGACTGGATCTGCATACGAGCAACATCATGAACATCAACAACAGCACCCATCATGGTGGGATACTGTGACTTTTCGCCCTTGACAATCGCGTTGAGGACCAGTCGGTTGGTGGTGTTGAACAAGCTCTCCACATCATCGGCACACTCGGCCCGACCCATAACCCAAGATGGGTGGATATTGACGACACTGAACCTGGGGTTTGTTTCTTTCACCCAGGTCTCGGTCGCTTCGAGAGACGCCATCTTGGAGGCAACGTAGGCCACACCCGCGTGCGGGAAAGGCGGTGTCATCAATGGCGCCCGGCTGGTAGGAGTGAAGGGATGCTGTGGATCTTGGCGTACCAGTCCCATAAAGATTTTCGGCGACACAAATGCCGCGACCGAACTGGTGATGACGACGCGTTCGATGGAGGTGGTTATCGCAGCGGCTTCAAGCATTTCGAGAGTCGCCCGCCTGGCGGGGGCTAGGAAGTTGGCCTCCGCATCGAGGTGGCCGTTCGGTTGAGTCGATGGGAGAGGAGATGCGATGTGGATCACGTAGCTTATTCCCACTATGGCTTCATGAAAGGCCCTCGGAGCAGCCTGGTCTGGCACGACGACAATTTCCACGGGTGGTGCTTGGTTGTCGGCTTGTAATAGCGGTTGTAATGCTGGCTTTGATAGGAGAGTCTCCCCTTTTGCTTCACTGCGAACTGCGCATCGCACTCGGAATCCAGCTTTGAGGGCATCCAGGAGCGTTTGGAAGCCGATGAATCCTGTTGCACCTGTCAAAAGGACAAGCTTTTTATTGGATGTAGGCATGTTACTTTTCATTCGTGAATTATGTATCTCTTCTCACGCGACTATTCTATTCTAACAGTTATGTATATTTTGTCTGCCAAGCTACCTGTAGCTATGCCAATGATGCAGTCGCAAGTTGGGCATCATTGACTCCGTGTTCAGCACGTAGCTTTAACCTGTGGGGCCCGATGGGTTGGGGGCCGATCAATTAGAGCCAATAATCACACTGTCTTACTCCAAATTCAATACGAGTTCCACGCTAGCGTACGCGTTGCGCACAAAGCCTTCGAAGGTTGTCAAGCAAAGCCACAAAAAGCCTCCAAAGGCGTGACGGCCCAAAATCAGATGACCCGACCCTAAATGAGCACATTCTTCCCAACCTCCTTTCTTTTACTCTACTTCCACAACAATGTCTGGATCACGCCCATTTCCTCGAAAGACTGCCGCCGCCATTGCTGTGGTCGGTGTGATTGGTATTATTTCCGTCCGAAAAGCCTCGTTCCGCAATGAAGCCTTTGCGGAGCATCCAAAGCCATGTGGGGGACCGGGGGGGCCTTGGGGCCCAGGTCGTGGTGGTCCCGGTGGTGGTCCCGGTGGAAGAATGGGATTTTCGACCCTGCTCCTTGAAAGCTCCCAGCAAGTGAACCACAACACTAAACGCCTCCGCTTCCAACTATCAGACCCAACCTCCAATGCAGGACTAGGCTTAACCTGTAAGATGAGCCCTTTGCTTTCCAAGCACCGTTGTATTTCGTTATATTTTCGCAAAAGCGACCTCTAGCTCACACTTCTTTAGCATTCATTCTGACATTACATAAGCCAAAGGACGCTTGGTTTCCGGTGATTAGGCCTTACACGCCCATTAACAATTTCGGTAAGTCCTCGGACGCAATATCTAATAATTTTAGTGCTGACACTTCCTAAACAGATGAACCTGGCTACATTGAACTCCTGGTTAAAAAATACCCCAATGGCAGGGCAAGTTCATACCTGCACTCTCTTAAGCCTGGTGACACGCTGAATATCCGCACGCCCATGAGTAGCTTCAAATGGAAACCCAATGAGTTTGAAAATGTCAATCTCATCGCCGGCGGTGCCGGAATCACACCTATGTTCCAGCTTATGCAAGGCATCCTGAACAACCCCGAAGATCGAAGCAAAATCAAGCTGATCTTCGGAGTCAACACGGACAAAGATCTTGTGTTGAAACAAGAACTTGATTTCTATGAACAAAATTTCCCTGACCGTCTCAAGGTTGTCTATACGGTTTCGGATCCTGCTGAGGGATCACCCTTCACCAAGGGCAGGGTCACGAAGGAATTGTTGGAGAGGGAGTTGGTTGGCGCAAAAGATAGCAAGGCAACCAAGGTCTTCCTTTGTGGACCTCCCGCTATGGAAGCTTCGATTTTCGGAAGTAAGGGGTGGGTCTGGAATCAGAAGGGTTTCCTGGAGGAACTTGGTTACACCTCAGACCAGGTCCACAAGTTCTAGTGTGCTCTAGGTTGTTTACTTTGTTTCCCTTCTTTTCCTTATTCTTGGGATTGCAGGTATTTCCAATACAATTTCTTTCGTCAACAACTCTGGAAGAAAGTAGTAGCCCAGGTTATATGTATTTTGGGTAGCAACAATGTTCATCTGGAAACTTGAAAGCCAACCTGTGTTTTGTGTAGCCAACTAATTGGTCAATTTTGCCACATGTGCAGTATAAATCTGGATAGAGCGTTCTTATACCTAGGTATACTATCGTTGGTTGTATAAGTTATCTAATTCAGGAAAGAAGCCCAAACCTGGCCATGGAAACTCGGAATATGTAATTGTCAAAGATGAGGTGATATTCACGTGATGGGATCCCAAGGTTGTAGTTTACCTAGTAGCCCGCTTTCTCGCTTTCCTTTTTTCTCTGTCCTTCCAAGGTCGAAGTCAAAAAAACTGCAAAAAAGACAAGAATATACAACAGTGAGTATTCCCTGGTGATCTCCCACCCAGCGACTAGCTCACCGGCGTGTGGCTTAAGTACGACTGAGCGGACGGGAAGCCCTGCTTTCCACACCCTATGGTCGTATGTACATACTTAGTTTAAAATGAGAAGGGTCGGATATAGAGGTGCCCGACCCTCCGACTGTCACCCTCTGGGTCACCGTCAGGCTCTCGACGTGACTGATTTTACGAAAAAAGTCATGTTTTAGGTGTCAATCTACTTATCTATCCCAAAATAGTAAGGCGTGTCCTAAATAAGTAAAGTGTGTCTTATGCGGGTCGGGTTTTGCAAAATATCCGAATCGTTTTTTTTGGTCCATTTCAAGGTTTCAATCACATAATCAACACACCGTGTGATCTCATATCAAAAGAGTTATGTGGAAGATTCACATTTTTGCCGGAATTGTCCGATTGGACACAGATTGTACATTTTGTGAAAGCTTGGAAGAGATTTTGGTGGTACCTATTTATGGAAGAACTCGGAGAGACAATGCAAAAATATGAAGAAGTACGTAAAAAGGAGATAGTATATTTTTGAGGCTTGTAGGTGCCACGTTGAGTCAAATAAACCATTTTTCTAGTAAGAGAAGATGGAGACGGATTGCTTAGTATCAGCACCGGGGGCCTTGATCTGAGCCTTTGCAGCATCAATAAGACCCAACTCTCTGCGCTTCAAGTGAGGAATCATTCCATCGACAACATCGACACTGAAGTTATCAATGTGAATCAAGTCCTCGGTTCGGATGGCGTTCCTGGCTCTCATGGTTGTCAAGATCCGCTGCTCATCGGCGGAAAGTGTTTGTTCAGAAAGAGCGGGGTTTGAGGAACCACTAGCAGCGGCACTGCCAGTGGCCAGCTTATCGAAAATAGCTTCACGCTGCTCCTTGGGTGCTGGGTGGAACGCCTTCATGCAGAAGTCGATTGTTTGTGAGATCTCTTCTGGGGTGAGATTGCTCTTCACATCCGCACTACCTTGGATGACTGAAAGAGAAACGGTTAGATTCATTTGCAGAGAAATAGTGAAGGGAAGAACTTACTAGGCTTGAACATGGAGAAGGCTCGGTCAAAGCTCTTCTCATCCCAGTCGCCGATAACAGGTTCCTCTGGCTTTGTGATCTGCTTCAGAGCACTCATAACAACGACCAGGAAACGGGTATATCCAGTTCCGACCTTGTTGGAGTGCCAGTTGGCAGCGGCAGGTTCCGTGATTTGACCCTTCTTGGCAGCACAGATGGTGGTGGCAGCCGAAAGGCCGGAGGCCAACGCCAAGTGAACTCCAGAGGAGAAGTAGGGGTCAATAAAGCATCCTGCATCACCCGCAATGCGAATGTACGGGGTGGCATAGGTTGAGGCACTGTAAGACCAATCGGAGGCGGACTTGATATCAGATACAAGCTCAGCATCGGCAATGAGGTCGTAAGTCTCGGGAGTGGATTTCAGGGTGTCGAGGTAGAAGCCCTTTGTAGATGAATCCTCCATGGCCTTCTTCTTGGTAGTCGCGGTAGCCTGGTTCATAACAACTCCCACGGAAGTTTTGTTGTTATGCAAAGGAATGGTCCAGACCCAGCCACTAGCATCTGAAAATCCAAAGAAATCATGTTAGCAACTTTGAAAGACAATAGCCCACAGGCTAGATAAGACAAAGACAATTTGTACCTTGCAAGGCCTCAAAGAAAGGCTGGCCCTCTCTCTGGGTACCAGGAGCATGAATCTTGGCGTTTTCCCAGTAGCCCCAGCTTGCAATATTCTTCAATCCCTGGTTGTACTTGCGGTTCTTGTAGTATTTAGTGCTCACCAAGCCAGCACGACCACTGGCATCAATGATGTATTCAAACTTGGTAGTACCGGAGCTACCATCTTTACGGGACCAGCCAGCAGAAATAGGTCGTCCGGGGTTGGGGAGCTCGGGGTCAGTTTGGCCGTTTTGTTCATCCAAAGGTGTGAATTCAATCGAGGTGACCTTGACACCGTCGAAAACCTTGGCGCCACTCTTGCCAGCGTGCTGGAACATCAGGTTGTCGGCTTCAGCACGATCAACATTCCAGGCATAGGAATCAGGACCACCGGCAGCCACGAAATCCGTATCTAGTTCAAATTGTTAGTATTATCCGTGGGAATGACGAGCGAAGTACATACAAGCCTCGGGGAACGAGTTCAGTTTGAACGCAGCGCCTTTCTTTTTCGCGTTCCGCGCGGGTATTAGTCGTCAAACGTTTCTATACACGTGGTTTCATAAAAGTGGAACTCAACCTTTTGCACAAATCCATATTTATCAAAGGTCTCATCAAGGTCGATGAAGCGGAGGAAGTGACGCATTGACGGAAGCATACTCTCGCCGATGTGGTATCTACTCACTGTCAGTCCGACTACAATAGCGCTTACTCACACAGACACACCTGGGGAAGAGATCAGCCTCCAACAGCACAGTGTCGATGCCCTCACGCGCCAGAACGGCCGCGGCGTATGAACCCGCAGGGCCACCGCCCACCACCAGAACGCTTGTTTGTTCAGGAATTGACATTCTGATGCAATGGAAAAATAAAGATGTAGAAGATATCTGGAAAGTGTTTATGAGGACTACTGAAGTCGAAATTGCTTCATTGTTCAATCTTTTCAATTCGATCTGCCCGAGGAATCTTAGAAGTGTCATCCGATTTAGAAGTAGTTAACCTTGAACGACGTGCGAGAACGGCGTTCTCACAACGAAGCACTGAAAAGTTGAATATCGTAAGCACTAGTTGCAAATTGTTAGAGCCCCCGCTTTCAGCCCCCGTGTTACAAGCATCCTAGCATGTTTTCCCTTTTTTACCTTGCGGTGAATTAATTGGCTCCACCTCTACTCCTTAAAACCGCATATGCACCTAGTTGCTTAGCGGAGACGCTTGTCTCGTAATTACAGAATATCCCTGTATTTTCGATGTCAGCCACGGAATTTTCAAGCGCCGCGATGCCGCCCTTCCTGAAAAAATTGCAAGCACAGCCGAGGCGAAGAACTAGTATCTTGAAAGGTTTTCTTGTCGGAGATCTCCCGGTTTTCCCTGAAACATTTTTCCAGGCGAAGACCCATTTGGTTTTGGACATAGCAGCCTCCCCTCCCCTTCCACCTGTTGTTCCAAAGACGAAATCTACTGCTCGATAACGTTGGAGAACAAAAAGTCATACAGAACTTCCGCAGTTGAGAACTCTGCGAGTCAACGTCATGGCCAACGAAACTTCCAGAGACACTGGGTCGGTTGTCCCCGAGAATGCCATGGATGCGTCAAATCAAATGTCCAGCGCATCTTCATCGACCGTATCCGCTCAGGATCCCGACGAGAACTTCACTTTGAGCAAGCGAGGTACTTTGATCTTCGTCATTTTGGCTGTCTTGACCTTGATGGCTGCTCTTGATGGTACATCTATCTCTGTTGCTTTGCCGGTATGATCTTGAATATAGTGAACCTGCAAGACTGGCTCTCTAATGCAATACAGATTATATCTAAAGAGCTCAATGGAACCGCGATCGAAGCATTTTGGAGTGGAACCTCATTCCTCCTATCGTCAACAGGTAGGTAGATTTGCCTTTTTTCTGGTTGTTCTTCAATTGACTTCAAAATTAGTCTTTCAACCAAGCTTTGCATCATTCTCCAACATTTTTGGGCGTCGACCCGTTATTCTGGTTGCAATAGCCCTCTTTTTGGCGGGAGCTATCATTTCAGGGGTATCCAATGACTTCACACACCTTCTTGTGGGGCGTTCCATCCAAGGTGTCGGTGGTGGAGGTATTATTGCACTGACAGAAGTGGTTGTCACTGATATCGTTCCTCTGAGGCACCGCGGCCAGTACTTTGGTGTTTTCAGCGGCATGTGGGCTATCGGCTCAGTTTCTGGCCCGATTTTGGGCGGCGCATTCTCTCAAAATGTCACTTGGGTTGGTGAAATCTTATTCCACGAAGGTCTGAAATTCACTAACGGATTGATTACAGCGTTGGATCTTCTATATCAATTTCCCCTTCATCGGTGTCGGGGTTGTCATGGTATTGGTCTTCATGAGGCTTAATATGATCCCTTCTTCGCTAAAGGAAAAGCTCCGCAAGGTCGATTATATTGGCACTATCATTTTCGTTGCTAGTATGACTTCGTTCTTAATTCCGCTCACATGGGGTGGTGTATCCTATCCATGGAGCTCGTGGCATACCCTTGTTCCCCTTATCATTGGTTTTGTCGGACTTTGCTTCTTTGGTTACTATGAGCATCGCTACGCCGTTGATCCTGTCATCCCTCCCTCTATCTTCAAGAACAGAACCGCTACTGTGTCCTTTATTGGAAGCACCCTGCAGGGTCTCGTTCTCTGGTGTACCTTGTACTACCTGCCTCTTTACTACGAGGCTGTCAAGGGTTACAGTCCAATCCTATCCGGAGTTGCTCTTTTCCCTGAGACATTTACTGTCGCGCCTAGTGCTATGGCCGTCGGAATCATATCTTCAAAAACCGGAAGTTACCGATGGGCAATCTGGCTAGGCTGGGCCTTCTCAACGATTGGTTGTGGAATTATGTGCTTGATCAAGGTAAACACTAGCGTGCCTGGATGGGTCTTCCTCAACTTAGTGGCAGGCCTCGGGTTAGGATTCTTGTTCCCATCCCTGGGCTTCGCAATCCAGGCATCTTCTACAAACGAAAACTTAGCCACTGCAGTGGCAATGTTCAGCTTCTTCCGCGCTCTTGGTCAGGCCCTCGGCGTTGCTGTCGGTGGTGCAATCTTTCAAAATCGCATGTATCAGAACCTGCTGAAATACCCGGAGTTCACTTCTCTGGCTAGTGAATACAGCTCTGATTCGGCAGCCCTTGTGCAAATCATCAAAGCAATGCCTGATAATGTCCACAAATTACACCTGCGGGAGGCATATACCGATAGTTTGACAACTGTCTGGGCAGTTTGCTGTGGCGTTTCCGCTGTTGGACTCCTGCTCAGCTTCTTCACTAAAGCCTATGACCTGAATCAAGCTTTGGTTGCCACTCAAGGCCTGCAAAGGGAGAAAGATGCTCCAATGGAAGAAGAGCTCAGTCAGTGAAGGAGGGCCTTTTGATTGTGATCTGCAAGATATTGAACAAACTGCCAAGAGATATTATTCAAACATGCTCCCGGCGCCCCGAAGGCTTTAATGACTGACACGATTCTTCAAGATTTGACCCCAATCGCAGATGCGATCACCATACAGAGAGATAAGCAAGGCTGAAGCGTTAGAAAGTGATCTCCTTCAAAATCTTTGGTACGGCCTCTGGCGGCAAGCTTTTTACTCTCTGACATTTACAATAATTTGAACATTTTTTGGCCTTTTAAGCAACCAATTCTCTGATTTATATCACGGTTCACTTATTTACCAGTCTGAAAACACTTTAGAGAAAAGAAGAAAAGATACATAATCAGAATATAGGACCAAGGGCCTTGAATACAAGGGATACCCCGATAACCTCCACCTCCACATGGTTGAAATTCTCGCGCAGGGCGTTGATAAAGGTCTCCGCATCATCATCAACATTGTCGAATACCCCATCCGCCACACAATGAGCCCGAACACGTTTCCCGATGAAATTGTCCTGAATTCCCTTTCCCAGGACAGTGGCTCCCGTCAAAACACCGTCCGAGGTCATACAATTCTTGATATTCTCGAAAACAATGGGTTTGTTCTTCACAGGTCCAGGAACGCAATGAAGAACGTAAAACATTGAGACAGAATCGAACTTATCATATTTCCCCTCCGGTACGGGAAATGGCTGGGTCACATCCCAAAGTATCTCTTCGGCATCAGGACGCCCGGACCGAAGTTTGGCCACACGGATAGCATTTGGACTCAAGTCACAAAGAGTGAGTTGCACCGATGGGGCAATCTTGGAATTCTTCAGATAGTAACCAGTGCCGACGCCGATATCGAGGTGAGTGGTACGGATGTTGTTTTTGAACAGCGGTAAAAGGTGTTTATCGGTTGGACAACGCCAAGCAAACCTGTTGACGAAGCCCAAAACAAAGAAGTCGTAGATATACATGATCCAAGTCTCATAGCACGCGGCACCGCGTTGGGCTGCGGCTGAGGTCTGTACCTCTCCATACTTTTGGTCCATGATTGAGGCAGTCATTGTTTTTCGCTCGCGGAAAAAGTGGGAGTATTCTTGAAGTCGGGAAACGCTGCAATTCAAGCAGTCTAAGGAGTTGAAAAGGGAGAAGTAATGATTTGAGATTCAAGAGATTCAAAAAATGGGATTGAGAATGGATTTGGTCGGTTTTCAGGGCGATCTTGCGCTCACGTTATATAAAACACGAAAAAAATCATTTCCTGCCTCTTTGACTTAAAGCGCATCGTATAAAGTTCGCTGATTGCCGTGCTCAGCCATAATTTCATGGTGCGTATTTTCATCAGCGAGCTGAAGAAATTCCACTCCAACGCCTCCTGGCTGTTTTGCCATATGAGGAATAGTCATTATTGCTGAATTGCTCGAAAATGTGATTGGTGTATTTTAATTACTATTACAGCCCCAGTAAGCAGTAGAAATAGACACTCCGTGCTGAACACGAAGCAGGGCTACACTAAAATCAGAACACATCATTTAACTGGGAGGTCTTCTTCCGGTCTCTTCAACTCGAGTCCCAAGAACCCCCAACCATTTGACCACGATGTCATTGGCCAGTTTCAACGAAAGCATCTTTCATGACTATCTTGCAAGCCAGGAAGCGCGTTTACCCATCTTACCAGATGTCGGGGAAATAACGCCATTAGTCACTCGAGTACTAGGGGCCAACCCTGGAAAGGTGAGAGAACTGCCTCTTTGATTTGTGGCCCAGGCAGTCCAGCCATTAGAGCATGCTGACATCTATGGATCTGATTAAGTTTCAATTGCAAGGAACAAACACCTATCTCATCGGAAGTGGAAAAGAAAAAATCCTGATCGACACCGCTCAAGGCGAACCAGAGTGGATTGACTTCATTTCCTCGGTGCTAAAAATAGGCGGCTTCACAATCTCACACGTGCTTCTTACACATTGGCACTGGGACCACACCGGTGGTGTACCTGACCTTATCAGGCATTATCCGGAACTCTCATCCGCCATCTACAAGAAAAGTCCGGACGTTGGTCAATTGCCTATTGAGCATGGACAAGTTTTCAGAGTAGAGGGGGCCACAGTGAGGGCAGTATTCACGCCTGGGCATGCCAATGATCATATGTGCTTTGTGCTCGAAGAAGAAAGTGCTCTTTTCACGGGCGATAATGTCCTGGGGCATGGCTATACCGTTGTTGAGGATTTGGCACAATATACCACATCTCTTGATACCATGGCAGATCAACAGTGTCGAATTGGATATCCTGCCCATGGGGATGTTATCACAGGCCTTCCGGCGAAGATTTCGCAATACAAAGCACAACAAATCCGAAGAGAGAGACAAATAATTCTGGCGTTGAAAAAAAGCAGAGAAAGCCAAGAACGAGAGGGGAAGGGGGGCAGAGGCAGTGTTACTATCAGAGAAATTGTCACTGCAGTGTATGGTAGTGTGACAGAAGATGTGAGCAAGCTAGCTCTGGAGCCGTATATGAACGAGGTGTTGTTGAAGTTAGCTCAGGATCGGAAGGTCGGGTTTCAGTTTCAACGAGGCTGCAAGAGGTGGTTTATCAATCCTTTAGTTTAAGTAACATTAAAGCTTGGAATATGATGTTGTTCTCTTTTCATTTGATCACACTAAAACCAGAAGCTAACGAATCTTAATCCCTATTTTGTGTCATGAAAACGTGCATTGAGTCGATGTAGTCACGGGCCACTCAGAAAATCACTACCACCTGGAAATTTAATTATAAAAGGATCTCCCCCACCCACTTATTCTCTCTTGTATATTTATTGATCGAATTTCCTCTTTATTTTTGATCAGGTTCCTGTTATCGGCTGCCTTCTAGATTACAATGTCCCCAATGTCTCGCAAAATTATCTTGATCACGGGAATCAACGGATACCTGGCTTCAAATACTGGCACGGCTGTGTTGCAAGCAGGTCATATTCTACGTGGCACATGCCGCTCCCGTGAGAGAGTAACAGCTTTGCTGGAAGGGCCATGGAAAGAATATGAATCCCAAATCGAAATCGCTGTTGTGCCAGATATAAGTGAAGTGGATGCGTTCGACGAAGCTGTTAAAGGTAAGAAAATGCATGGCTTACTTCAAATCTTGACAAATAATGGAGACTGATCAAGTTCAGGGGTATCCGCGATCATTCATATGGCTGCACCAGTCATCAGTCCCGCAATCACCAAGGCTTCGACTCAGTTGATCGAACCTACAATTGCCGGAACACAAAACTTGCTCAATTCGGCTACAAAGTATGCTGGCAATCAACTGGAGATATTTGTCTTCACCTCATCCGCAGCAGCCTGCATTAAGCCCGGCGCCCAACCCCCGCACGTTTATAATGACGATAGTTGGAATGTCATCCACCCGGCGATCGTGGAGAAGGAGGGCGACAACGTTTCTATCTTCACTTCCTATCCGGTCGCGAAGATCAGGGCAGAGAAGTACGTTTGGTCTCTCTATGAAAGAAAGGTATTTCAAATCCGATTCCTAAATACTTTCTACCTCTGAAATAACTTTCTTCAGGTACCATTTGCCATTGCTTCTATCTGTGGATCCATCGCGACCGGTCCGCCAATTGTTCTCCCGGAATCTGAATCTGAGATTCCATCGACTTGCAAGTCCATCCTGAATGCTCTCCGAGGGCTGGAACTGCCTGGGCCCCAGGATCATATTGCCAAAATTGCCGGAGCCGCCCCATACTCGGATATCCGCGATATTGCCAAAATCTACCTATGGTGCACTGAGAACCCTAAACTGGCAGATGGGCAGCGATATTTGGTTGTCGCGGGGCATGGACCACAGAAGGCAATCTATGATATTCTCAAAGAAGCCTATCCAGAACGCGCGCATATCATCCCCGACGGCAACAAAGCTTTCCGCTATAACAAGGACTGGACCTTTGATGAGGGTGGGGTTCGATTTGACTCCAGCAAGGTACAGAAGCATGTCGGATTGACCTTCAAGACGTACAAAGAAACGATTCTGGATACTGCGGAGGCTTTGGCCCCCTACTGGAAGTAAGAGTTGGTATGGAGTAGTAGTTTTTTAAACATTGATTTGGTGATTTGAAACAAGACAACCGTGCCTCGTTACTGAGATCTACAGATTTTAGTTTGAAGGGTTATCTTATACTATCCCACCAGATCATCAAATCGGGGGTGAAGCCGAGTGCTGGGTAATTTATGCACAGCGCCGTGGACAAAGAGAATCATCAATATTATGTGGTAAATAGATTATCTACGTCCAGCTTAAATAAGGGAATATTGCCAGACTACTGAATATCTGCCTGTGGGGTCGAATTCAATGCATATGGTAGCCTTTTTTTACTGTAGTAAACATTTTGACCAATAAAACAGCTTTTCTTGGCTTCTGAGATAAGAGAGGGGAGCATCAGGTTTCATACTCTTTAGATCGCTCTAATACGCTAAATTTCTTATTTTCGTCAATGCCAGATTCATTAAATCATGTGGATCTAGAATACCAGAGACGGCAAAGGGCAAATGGTGAGTCTAATGAAAAGGGTACTTTGTCTTTTCCGTGTGAAGCACGACGTGCTTGATCTAGCGCCCATGGCGCTCTGTGAACAATTTACCATTTCAGCCTATCGTTCTTGATCCACTAAGTGCATCAGCATCGGGTTTTGCCTCGGGTTTTGGTTTCGCAGAAGCTTACATTGGCTAGTGCGTTCTAAACCAGCTGAAATTATATAATGTTCTTAAGAGTATAAAACAAAATCAGAGTCCTGTATTCGACATTTCTTCCTTTCATTCTTGGTCAACGCGATCAACATTGTCCCTTTCTTTGTCTTTTGGCGAGTGAAGATCGTTTCAACCAATCATTTTTCATTATGAATACTCCCTCAACAGCTTCGGAGTCATCGAGTGATTTTATCAACGATTTCAATACCAATGGCCTCACAACAAACTTGATTTTCTTCAGCAATGAGTTTCCCAATGATGACCTTAAAGATATATTTCGCCGTCTCCACAGGCATAGCAAGGACAGGAGGTTCACGTTGTTGGCCACGTTCCTGGAAAACTGCGCTCGGGTCCTAAGAGAAGAGACTAGCCGTTTACCGCAGCACCTGAGAGAACTCATTCCTCCGTTCGAGGACTTATTCACATTGGTAGACGGTGGACAGTTTCGTCTCGGTCCACTAGGAGCGTCTATGGAAAGCGCTTTCCTCTGTGCCCTTCAAGTGGCGATGCTTATTGGGTAAGTTCTGGAGCTAATTGAAAGCAAAAGGCAGAAGCTGAATATTAACTGTTACTGTCAGTCACTATGAAGGCCAGCACATTGAGTATGATCTCACCTCCGAGAATACTGTTTTGGCTGGATTGAGTATCGGATTACTCGCCGGTGCTGCTGTGTCGCTCTCGAGGACTCTCCATGACCTCACAAGCACAGGTGCGGAGAGTGTTCGAGTTGCTTTCCGTCTTGGGGTCTATATCGATGATATCTCCCGGAAAGTTGAAGCTCGAGATCCTGCTGCCCCTCCCCAGAGCTGGGCCTATGTTGTAACTGGGCTGTCTGAAAAGGATGTTCAACAGGAGATTGATAAGTACAACGCCGACACTGTACGTTTTTTGAATGATATCAGATCGATGCGTGAATCAAGCTGATCAAAATATCTAGTGCAACACCGAACTTACAAAGATCTTCATCAGCGCTGCGGATAAGATCTCCATCAGTGTCAGTGGACCACCTTCCAGGCTGAAGGATATTTTCTTGCGTTCGCAGAAGCTTCGGCATTCCAAGTATCTACCTCTTCCAGTGTATGAAGGCTTGTGTCATGCACCTCATTTGTACAACAAGGAGGCCATCTGTGATGTTGTCAGCAAGCCCGATCCGCAGATCCTCCGCAACAAGCGGGTTCGGATTCCGTTGATCTCCTCGGAAACAGGGAAGCCTTTCAATTCATTGCTATCCGGCCTGCTTTACGAAGAAATCTGCACTGAGCTTCTCACCGGCTCTATATACGTGGACAAAGTTACTGCTGGTATCGTTGATGGCATCTCCAAGTCTGATTCACTTAGCTGCCAGGTGAACTTCTTCCGCACGACCCTTGTCTTCAAGGGAATCATCTCCGCCATCGAAACAGAACTCTCCCAGGTCAGCATCAAGCGTCAGGATTTGTTGGACTGGGTTCCTCTATCCTTCGGATCTCGTCAGCCACGTCATTTCAAAGATTCCAAAGTGGCAATTGTTGGGATGGCTTGTCGGATGCCTGGAGGTGCAGATGACACCGAACTGTTCTGGAAGATAATGGAGGACAGACGGGACACACACACGAATGTGCCTGCTGATCGATTTGACCTCGATACCCACTATGACCCTAGCGGAGAGACCGAGAACGCAACACAAACGCCATTCGGTAATTTTATCGATAGCCCCGGTCTATTTGATGCTGGATTTTTCAATATGTCTCCCAAAGAGGCTGAGCAGACCGACCCGATGCAGCGCCTTGCATTGGTCACTGCCTACGAGGCTTTGGAAATGGCTGGATATGTGCCGAACCGTACCTCCTCCTCCAACAGCAAACGCGTTGGTGCGTACTACGGGCAGGCAAGTGACGATTGGCGTGAACTCAATGCCAGTCAGAATCTTGGAACATATGCCGTTCCAGGTGGTGTACGTGCTTTTGCCAACGGTCGCATCAACTACTTCTTCGGGTTCTCTGGTCCAAGCATCAATCTCGACACTGCTTGTTCAAGCGGATTGGCCGCTGTTCAAGCGGGATGCTCAGCACTTTGGGCTGGTGAAGCCGACACCATCGTTGCTGGTGGTCTGAACGTGATCACCGATCCTGACAATTATGCCGGACTCTGCAACGCCCATTTCCTATCCAAGACTGGCCAGTGCAAGGTTTGGGATGAGAATGCTGATGGCTACTGTCGGGCTGATGGTGTTGGCTCGGTCGTTCTCAAGCGACTTGAAGACGCCCAGGCCGATAATGACAACATTCTGGGTGTTATTCTCGCTGCAGCCACCAATCATTCAGCTGAAGCGATCTCAATCACCCACCCACATGCCGGTGCTCAGAAGGACAACTACAATCAAGTCATGCGGGCTGCCGCTGTCAATCCTCTCGATGTGAGCTTTATTGAGTTGCATGGAACTGGCACTCAAGCTGGCGATTCGGTGGAGTGCGAGTCGGTTTGCGAAGTATTTGCCCCTGTATCATCGCGCCGTCGTGATGATCAATCCCTTCTTCTCGGTGCTGTCAAATCGAACATTGGTCATGGCGAGGCTGCTGCAGGCATTGCATCTTTGATCAAGATGCTCCTTGTTTACCAGAAAAGCATGATTCCTCCCCACATTGGCATCAAGACCGAAATAAACCCCGTCCTTCGCAAGTGTCTCGAAAAGCGCAATGTCGGGCTTGCCATGGAAATGACTCCTTATCCAAGACGGAAAGGAAACAGCCGCTACGCCGTTGTCAACAGCTTTGGAGCCCACGGAGGCAACACCACTGTCCTTCTTGAGGATTCGCCTGAACGCGAGGTTATTGGCTTAGACCCTCGGTCAGCTCATGTTGTTACAGTCTCTGCAAAGAGTAAGGGATCTATTAAAGGCAACATCGAAGACCTGTTGTCATATATCGAGAAGAATCTGGACACCAGCCTCGGTGATCTCGCTTACACAACCTGTGCTCGACGCATTCAGCATAACTTCCGAGTTGCCACTGCTGTGTCTAGTCTTGACCAACTTCGCCAGTTCCTCGAAAAGTCCGTGGATACCGTCTCTACGCTACGTCCCATTCCACTCAATGCTACCTCGGTCGCATTCACCTTCACGGGACAGGGGGCCTTCTATGAAGGAATTAGTGCTCAATTATTTGAGCACTTCCCCTACTACCGTTCCCAGATCATTCAGTTGGATGACCTAGTGCAACGCTTTGGATATCCGTCGATCGTTCCTGTGATCATGAACAGCATTGAAAAGTCCGATGTCTCCCCTCTTGTTACCCAGCTCAGTATTCTCGTGGTCGAGATTGCTTTGGCGAGGTTCTGGGCCTTTTTGGGTATTCACCCTACTGCTGTGATTGGACACAGTCTGGGTGAATACAGTGCTTTAGTTGTCGCCGAAGTTATCTCCGCAGCAGACGCGATTCTGCTTGTTGGCCAGCGCGCAACCTACACGATGAGCAAGTGCGAGGCTGGAACACACCTCATGCTCTCTGTTATGGCTAGCTTGGAGGAAATCCAGCTGGCTATCGGAAAAGATGCCAATTACGAAGTCTCGTGTCATAATGGTCGTTCTGATACAGTCATCAGTGGTACTCGCAATGACATCGAAGAAATCCGCCAAATTCTAGATGCCCGTGGTTTGAAGTGCACTCCACTTGACCTACCCTTTGCATTCCACACCAAGCAGATGGATCCTATGTTGGACCTCTTCGAGCAGACTGCCAAGAACGTCTCATTCAAGGCTCCCAGTCTTCCCGTTATCTCTCCTCTCTTGGGCGCATGCGTGTTCGACGGGAAGACGATCAATGGAAATTACCTGCGTCGTGCCGCACGTGAGCCTGTGAACTTCGTCGGCGCCCTCGATGCAGCCGAAGCAATGGGTATCATCGATCCTAAGACCGTCTGGATTGATATTGGACCGCATCCCATTTGTGCCTCGTTTATCGCCAAGCATATTTCTGGTGCAACGGCTTTGCCGACGCTGAAGAAGAACGAGGACAACTTCGCGACTGTTACCAAGACTCTTGCATCCCTGCACACTCTTGGTGTGGAAATTTGCTGGAACGAGTACTACCGGCCTTACGAGCACGCGCATACTCTACTCAATCTCCCCCACTACCACTGGAATGCGAAGGACTATTGGATTCAGTACATCGGAACCTGGACACTTGACAAGGCTTTGTTGAAGTACGGAGAGACGAAATCTAAAGACGTATTCGACATGCGCAGCAGCTCGGCACTCCGAACTTCCGCTGTGCACCAGATTACTCTGGAAGAGATTGGGCAAACTGCCGGTCAGCTGAAGACTTTATCTGATGTGATGCATCCTGATTTCCTCTCTGCGGTGAAAGGACACACAATGAACAACTGTGGCGTGGCCACTTCGGTACGTAATCATTATTCTTTTGCTCGCTTCTGATTATAGCTGACTTATCTGATTCGCAGTCCATCTGGTGTGATATGGCATATACCGCTGGAGAGTATCTCTTCAAGCGTATGAACCCTACTTGCAGGAAGGTGGACATGAAGCTGGCAAACATGGAGGTTCTCCATGCCACCATTGCCAAGAAAGCCTCCAGTGGTCCTCAACTGATCGCTCTCGAGTGCAATCTGGACATGTCTTCCCGCGCAATGACTCTTGCATGGTATCATGTTGCCGACAACGGTACTCGCGACGAGGCTTCCTTCGCAACCGCCAATATCTTCTTCGAGGAAGCCGCAAACTGGCGCGCCGAATGGGACCGCATCGCCCACCTCGTCAGCGGACGTATAGAGGCTCTCGGTCAAATGGCAATCGCAGGAGACTGCAACAGAATCTCCAAGAACATGGCCTACACTCTGTTCAAGAATGTGGTTGATTATGCTGACAAGTATCGCGGCATGGACTCGGTCGTCCTGCACGAATATGAAGCTTATGCTGATATTTCCCTTGTTCCCGAGACCCACGGCAACTGGAACATTCCTCCCCATTGGATTGATTCTGTCTCTCACTTGGCCGGCCTCATTATGAATGCCAGCGATGTCTCCAACACCAAGGACTTCTTCTACCTCACTCCTGGATTTGATACTCTCCGCTTCATTGAGCCCCTTTCACCCCATACAAAGTATCGCAGTTACGTTCGCATGTTCCCTACGAGTGATGTCAACGTTCGTGCGGGTGATTTATACATCCTCCGCGATGGCATCGTTGTTGGCATGCTGGGCCAGATCAAGTTCAAGCGAGTCCCCCGTCTTTTGATGGATCAGTTTTTCTCATCCGGTGAAAGGGGTGCTTCTGTTCATGCCTCCTCGGTGCCCCCTCAGCCAACACGAATCACTCCTCCCGTTCCAGCTGCGCCTGCTAAGAAGAAAGTTATAGCACCAGCCCCACCCCAGGTGGTTGAGATCAAGATTACCGAGCCTGTGCAACAGGTAGTGGCCAAAGTTGAGACTGAAACCGGTGTCATTGGCGATTGTGTCAGCCTCATTGCACGTGAAACAGGTCTCGAGGTCTCTGAGATTACGGATGAGACTACCTTTGCGCAGATTGGAGTTGACTCTTTGATGTCGCTAGTTCTTGCTGAGAAGTTCAGGAACGAACTACAGCTCGATGTCCGGAGCTCTTTGTTCCTTGACTGTCCAACAATCGGTGATTTGAAAGGGTTTATGGAGCAATACTGCTGAGCAAGCTTTTGAGTTTGTTAATATAGAATGAAATTGTACAGATAACACAATGGAACTTGCTTTACATTATTTTCTTCTCGTATTGAACTCCTCAGTAAGAACAAGCGATATCAAAGAGTCAATCCAAATCTGCGCAAAGGTAGTCTCCCATTCAGGTGTATCAGATGGGAACCTACATGAATATCAGTCCAGATTAACCCTGATGGGGGCCTCGTGGTCAAACGTACGTAGTATCGTCGCGTGGTATGCATGCCATTGTACAACCCTAAAGGTAAATCTCCTCTTTTTCAAGTAAGTGCAAGTGCCCCGCCGGGACTCTACTAATCTCCTTATTCCACATTCGTACAAAACAGTATTCAAGAAAGGCGTTTTCATTATCAATTATCGAGAGCTACGTGTAAGCATAGCTGGGGACATTGTAAAACCCCGACAGGGGGTTCAATTAAGCGCATACGAAATAAATGACGCAATTATTGCCCCGTCATTTCTCTGGAAAACCATCTCCCTCTCTCCTATGCCCTGCAGTGTGCTCCGTTACACGTGGGTTCAGTTGCCGTTCCCGTTTCCCTGGACGGTGGTCATGGTGGGATTCTTGGGGCCACCAGACTCGCCGAGTTTGTCGGGGTCGGTATTGGTCATTTCGAAGGCGGAATTGTTGTAGTAATCCTCGCCGCTGAGCTCCTCCAGAGATTTTCGCTTGGTCTCTGGGATCAACAGGGTGGTGAAAATTCCGCAGAACATAAACAGAGCGAAGATCTGCATGACATGGTTCAACCAAGGAGAGTCGGAGCCATCCTTTTTTCCACCGCGGTGGACCAAAGGACCAAACACGCACTGTGCAATGATGGCGCCGATCTTTCCAGACGCTGCGCTGATACCGTGCGACGTAGAACGGTACCGAGTTGGGAAGCACTCGCCAGGGACGATGAAGGTAGTAGCGTTGGGTCCGAAATTGAAGAATTGCGCAAGAATGTACATTGCCAGCAGACCGTTGTCCGAATGTTTGAGGGGCTCGAAAGCAAAACCGATGATGATGAACAAGATTGTCAAGAGGATAAAGCCGGCCAGTTGGATTGGCTTGCGCCCGATGGTATCGACTGTGGCTACAGTGACCCAGTACCCAGGGATGGCACCCGCGCAGACCAGGATAAAGTTTCCAACGGCGTTGCGGTAGAAAGTTTCGTAGACGTTCTTTCCCCCAGTCCAGCCGATAGCACTGAGGATAATTGAGTTATTGAGACCCAGACCGTAGAAAGCTAGAACCACGATTAGCACGTGAGCATATTCACCAGGAAGCGGATGAGCTTACCAACATCAAGGAAGAACCAGGAACCAGCAGTCCCAAGGAGGACCTTGCCATTCTTCCAGTTGCCATAGTGGTTCCAGAAGTCGGCCATGCTGGCCTTGGGGGCCAGGTACTCGATGCTCTCGTTACGAAGGACCATGATGCACTGCATATCATCTGGGTGGCCTTCGGGGTGGCCCTTGATGTAGGCGCGGATGTCCTCGTCGGCCTTGACAATGTCTCGGTTCACATCAAAGGTGTAACGAGGGGTCTCTGGGATGGTCAATCGGTAGTAAAGAGCAGCACAAGCAGGCACTGCTCCGAAGCCGATCACCACACGCCACATCTTGTCCACTGCAAGCTGGCAGGCCCCGGTGCAGTGGCCGACATCCTTGAAAGACTCCAAAGACTTGCGGAAGCCTGCAGTCACGATGAGAGCTATTATGGCAGCGGTAAACTGGCCAATACCCTGCATGGCGAACACGGCACCCATCATGGCACCACGCCACTTTGTGGTTGCGAACCTGGTGTCACGGGTTAGTTCCGTACCACCACATGGAAGAGAAATACTTGGATCAATTGAACTTACTCGGAAGTAATGATCGAAGACAGTGGGTAGTCGCCGCCGATACCGATGCCCATGATGACCCGCCAGAAGATGAGGAGACCGGTGATGGAGATAGCGCGAGAGGCAGAGGAAAGCGCCTGGGCAAGAGTGGCCAGGATGATGATCATGAGCTCGATTCCGTACATACGCTTGCGTCCAATGCGGTCCGCAAGCCAACCAAAGAAGAGCTGGCCGATGACAGTGCCGCCGGAGGTTGCAACCTTGATGGCGGTGTCGGAAGACGAGGGGAGCTTGCCGGTGCCAGTTTTCGCATCTTGCCAGTAAACAACACCGAGCATGGAAACGGCCAGGTTAATTGCAAAGATATCGTAGGAGTCAGTGAAGAAACCAACGCCAGCAACGACGACGGCGCGGACGTGGTGCCAGCCGAAGGGAGCATCATCAATACGGGCGAGAGCCAGGCGACGGCGCTCGAAGGGGTCGGAAATGCTGGAAGTCTCATCAGGAGAGATTCCAGCCTCCTCGTGGTGATTCATTTTGCGGACTTGTTTTCGTTGACAGTTCACATAGAGCGCTTCGGCGAAGCGATGAAGGTCCAGCTTGAAGGCACCGAACAGAAGTGATGAAAGGGAAGCAAGTTGTAAGGTTTTAAGAAGGAAAGAAAGAAAGAAGAAGAAAAGAATAGAGACGGAGGATATCCACGCGAGGGATGACCGTTACACCATGAATCCCAGAGGGACAGAGCTGGCATCCAGGTACACTTTGATACTAGTAGATGCCCATAGTGTAACGGTGTACCTGGGGATCAATGCCGATCCAACTTGGGGAAGAAACTCTTATTTTGGAATGAGCCAATCACGGATTCAGACCGGAGCACATGTTCGAACGAGCGGACGGCGGTGCTTCGTCTCCATCGATGTTTCCCCGGACGTGGATCGTGGATCGTGGTTCCTGCCAAACGGAGCTTACCTCAGCCGCGACACTCACGTTGCCGAAGTACACGCCGTACACTAATGGGGATACGATGTATGTCATTGCGGTCTTGGGCTCGTGTTACCTGAGTCGGTCACGGGGACGTGAGGTCTCGGTGGTCCTGTCCACCTTCCTCTTCTGGAAGTACACCACATCCCATCACCACCTTTCCAGCATGGCACCTTTGATAAATATCGCAGATGCTTTGATGAGAGATACTCTAGAATGGATCATACTCCTCGTCATCAACGCCAACATTATCCACGGGCCACAACCAACCTCGGCATTGTAGATCACCTCCACGTCACAGTGGACACCGAACGGTCTAGTACCTCCGGATCACCCATTCAGAACGCCCAATTCCAGAACCCAAATCCTTCTTCATATTTCATCCCGTGGAAACGTGCAATACAAGATCGTGCTGTCATCAACGCATCACAGCGGCAAGGCCATCCTCAGCCACGGGTGGCGTATCTGCATCCTACTTATAGTCCGCGCCCACGAAACTTTACAGGAACCAGGGGATGGAAGTCAGGAGTGATTCAAACAAAACACCAAAAGTTTATACCGATCTCTTCATGGAGAAGCGGGCATCGGAATTTCAAACACAAACGCCCAAATTCAAGGTCCATCCTGAGGTCATCAACATGGTCCAGTCTATCGATTGGTACCTCCTCTTCTCCTGACCACGTAGCGCTAAGTAGAAAGTATATATTTTCTATAATCGTATTCTCGAGGTATATACAACATTAAAATTTGCAGCCGCTTCATCCATTCCAGGCACCCTACAGCCCCCTCTTCATCTTCCAACGCATGATAAGCGACGCAAACGGATAAAACGCCAAAGAAACAGCAATCCAAATAAAAAGCACCGCGAAATCTAACCCAATCCTCGAATGCGTACCGAACAAGATTGTCCGCAAAGCCCCGACAACTGCCGATAGTCAGTAAACTCCCATAATAACCCGGGAAAGGAAACTCACTCCGATGCAGCGGCCAGGCATAGCCCCACCGATAAAACCCAGGCGCGAGGTCAATGGCATAGAACCCAGTCGCCACGTTCGTAATAACCCAAAAGATGAGGAAGAAGGAAGACCACGGCATACCCAGAATCATGGCCATGTTCTCGCAGGGGAATCCCAACGCAGCCATGCCGACCCAGTTCAGCATCCAGAATACCACGAACGAGCCCTTGCCGTATGCATTGGCATTGCTCGCGGAGACGACATCCGGGGCTGGATCATTGCTAAAAGGGATCTCGAAGGCGAGGGACACGAGCGAGTAGAAGAACGAGAGGAAGAAATACGCCGCGATGTTCGATAATATGCGCCACAGTAGCCAGTGCGGTACCTTCAGCGGTGGATGGCCAGCGGGTTTCATGAACTGCGCGTGGATGGGCATGAGGAATGGGAAATTGAAGAACGCGATGATAATCAGGTAGATCAAGCCGATGGAAACAGCCGGCGCGGTGATGACGGGGGTGAAGGGGCGTAGGTCGATGTGGGTGAATCCGATGCCCGGGTTTATGGCCTGTGGGGGCACGGTTGAGAGATCGGTAGTGGCGGCGACTAGTTCCCGGGCCCACTGTGGGCCGAAGGACGCGACGATGCTGGATTGAAGGACTGTCAGGCCGGGGAGGATGTAGTTGTAGTATGTCGTTTCATCGCGGGCAGAGATGATGATTGTTTCGATGGCGCCGGTTGGATCGTAGGATTCATTGTGGTTGGTGACTGCGGCGCGGAGGAGGAGCGTTGCGTTTGCATTGACGATGACGGCGGCGTAGGCGTGTTCGTCGTATATTCCTTGGCGGATTGTCCAGGGGTCGTTGTTGAAATCTGATGGGGAGCGGACCTCGAACCCTATGTGGAGGCTGTCCGAGGATATAATTTGTTTTGTCGCGTGTGTGACAGCCGGGCCAACGATGGGATTATCGGTGCGGTACGGTTCGGTTTGTCCATCCAAGTCGACGACCCATACTGTGAGCGCAGTGAAATTCTTTTCGGTCGCGAGTTGGGAGCCCCAGAAGATTGATAGTACGCCGAAGACGAAGATGCAGAGGATTAGGACGGTGCGGACCCATTGGATATACACCGTTCGTCGCACGTTCTTGAGCGCAGGATCGAAAAATGAAACTGCCGTCGGAGGGGCGTCGCCGATCACATCTGATTTCTCTGCTAGTTCAGACATTTTTGAGCAGTTTTCAATGACTGCTGATGGCGAACGGAGTTCATTATCCACATATCTGTTTTATGAGGTCGCGAGGTCGTGGCGTACCATCCATCCGCTTCCGGCGTAGTCGGCATTCTTCCGTTTCGGGAAAGGCCCTGACTTAATTCCGGGCAGAATCAAAGCTGACCTCAACATTAGGTCAACTATAATGGCAATTTATTTACAAGTGGGATCATCTCGGTACCGAATGGCTATCGGTTTGGGAGTTGAAAGATTGAGTGGCTGATCTGGCCCATCAAGCCAAGATATATATATTCGCGCATTAGTGTCCCTGGCCTATCTTTCTCGTCACGTTGAGATAAGAAACGCAAAATGCATTGAATTTTGGATGATTTCGCCGAGGGATGGTATATATATCTCTGTGATGCACCTAATTATTGAACCGTGCATTAATGCTAGTCTTTGACGAAGTCCTTTCGAAGCTTGGTCGGCACCCGCGCACGTCCAGGTGGGTTGGGACTTGGCATGTCTCCTTAACAGGAACACTATTCGCCCAAGGGGTTTGACATGAACTGAGAATCAATGTCGATTGCAGCGGTTCAGACTGCACAGACAGTCCTAATCTGCCTTGTCCTGGGTACTGCGAAGCCAGCCGTGGAGGTCGCTACAAAGAAGCTTCGGAAAGCCATTTGGCAGACATAGACCGCGACTAAGCTTTGCCAAGGGTGACAGATACTGTACCTCTGTCAGAGAAACAGACAGGGGCATGTATGTCTTCCAATGGAGATTATCATTTGAGGTACCAGATACGTGCCGTTCGTAGGTCTCGTATAGATTAAAAACAATTCCCCCTTGCTCGGCAGCCCTGCATCGGTCCCGTAATAAACCCCAGATCAACTACCACCCCGATCGGAGACCCGATCTCAACGATTCTCCCATTGGCTCGTCAAATTAAACAATCAAATGGCGCAGTACGGAGTACGGGGCCGTGTTTCGGGTGTATCACACCCCCTTGCGACACGGCTCGCCTCCATCAAGGATCCCCGGATTTCAGGATGGTTGGGCGCGAATCCCAAGCAGGCAAGTGGTGTGAAGCACACGAAACACGAAACGCGAAACAGTTGCAGTGAATGGTGAGACCGTCATTGGCCGCGAGATTGCGGGCCACTTTAATCCCGGCACGGCGATCAAGCTCTCCACGAATCAGAACAGCGGACGCGCCCATGTTACAATAAAAGTCGTAGTGATATTCGTCAATCATTGAGTTCTGTTCATCTATGGGTATCGTAATCAGTCTATCTGGTCGCCGAACAGCAATCTCTGGCATTCGTGTCCACTTTGGACAGGCCAAAAAAAAAAAAAGAAAGAAAGAAAGAAAGAAAGAAGGCAGCAAAAAGCCAAAAAAAATCCAAACTCAAGTCCAGCCCGAGTTGATTCCCGGTCTATCTACGCGTCACAAGTAACCTGGTAAGAACCGTACCGGTGCCCCGAGCCAGGAAAGCGACAAGTGTCGGCGGTAGTCAAAGGGCCAGGGACGATGGACATCTCGGACTCGTCGCACATGGTGTTGTCAAAGAGCTGGATGCGACAGCCATCAGCGATGGAGTTCAGTCTGTACGCTGCGGCTTCGGTGGGTAGGTTTGCGCGACAGCCGGTGCTGCCTGAGCCGGTGTGTGCATTGCCGGTGCCGTTGCATCGCGCGGTCGGGAAGAGATCGAAGTTCCATTCCATGGCGTCGCGGACGTGCAAAGGGAAAGCAGAGGCGTTGACGAGGAGGGTGGTAGCCACGAGGAAGCGCACGAAGGATGACATGGTGGATAGAGGTAGAATGAACGGGTGTCTTTGGTCGGTTAGAGGTGAAGTGATTGCCAAGCAGTAACAGTGAAGCGTACCAAGCGCAGAATTCCTAGAGGAGAAATATTGATAAAGGGACCTCGTTCCTGATAAAAGTGGACAGTGGACAGACAAAGGATTTTAATATCGCTTGCCCCACGCCACTCGAGATGACCTTGTTTCAGTCCTGCGCAGATCTCCCCAGCCGAGAAGATGGCACTGTTCCTGCAGAGGTACGTATACTTGGTCTTGGCGATCACCTGTCGAAATCGGGCAACTGATCCTGTCAGTCGCTGCCGGCAACCGCTAAAAAGGTTACCTTTTGTACATCGAAAAGTGTGTGGCGGGGGTTGCCGACAGCGAACGCCGGCCATTGCAGATGACTTCATATCGAACTTCATGTTGATCTTTTACTGAAGTTGAAGCCACGGTGGAGCTGATGAGACGCGATCCACTCCCGTTACGTAGCGGCGTACGTAGACGCTACCCGCTTTGGAATGTATACGTCGATCGGGTGGCAGGGCGGGTCCTGTCGCTCGATTTCTCCGTTCTATTTCTGTATGTGGAGGCTCATTTATCCATTGATCCTTGGTTCGCATGATCTACAGTATGCTGCTGATTGTCTAGACCTTATGTGTTATATCCTATATCGAAGACAAGGGTAATTTTTTTCTTATGTGTGAGCGAAATGAGCCACCCGGCCATGTAAAACTACGTGAAGAATTTGAACGCGCTCGCTATTATCCTATGCTTATGCTGGATTCTCTCCAAGTTCCAACCAAAGAGGTCCAACCCGGTACTTTTCGGTAGCTATTCCCAACCTCCCATGGCAATCAACTACTGTATGGAGGGGCTGGACCAATGGGCTTGCAGTATGCACTCATGCGCTCGCCTCCGATTACGGCGATAACGACCTTGCTGCAGGATCTACGGTCACGTTACCCGGTGTTTTGCCCATTTTTACCGCCTTACTCTTTCCATAGCAATCTTTGCCAACACACTGGCCCGGAATCTCGCTACGCAGTTAATTTGAGATATCCAAGGAGGTTACAAGTGACGGATTAGAAACAAAATCGCGTTCCACTCAGATCAGGCCTGTGCATTCCTAACTCTCGGACCCCGCGCCTACAGCCTTGTTGGTTATCGTTTGGGTAAATTCAACCGAGTGTAAAAAAGGGATTAACTACTCACCACGGCAGGTTGTTTCCACGTGATCAGCTATTTGATAAAGCAGGATGAGACTCTTCTTGAACTACCCTACTTTCTCCAACGTTAGATACATCGGGGGGAGAATTCCCGCAGCAGGATTTTCCGAGGAAAAATGTGTTCTCGTATTAATTCTTCATACCCTCTCCTGCCATGTGTACAACGTGAGATTAATTACTGTACATTGACCATGGTCACGAAGCTTCTTTGGCTGCCATCATCTTCCTCATCCGTATTCGTCGCCATTCTAGCCGCCTCAACTTCTTCGTCAGTTGGCAGGTTTACAACCATGAGATAAAGAACATTCTTCAAAATCTTTCTGAACATCATTTCCGTTCCTTTTATCTGGGCCTGTAGCTGGTCTTGTTGCAGTTGGAATTGCTGCTCGTAGGCTGAGATATACTCGTGTTGCTGTTGTTCGGAGAAGCCCATGGCTTGGAACTGACTGCGGAGCAGCTCCAACTGGCTATTTTGTTGCTCAATAATAAGTTCTGCCTGCTGCTGATATAAATTTTTCGTGTCTTCCATTGTCTTTTTTGGGTCCCTTGTGAGGTGCCCGCCTGAAATCAAGCCCAGAAGACCCCCATTATTGGCCGGATGGTTAGGATCAAGGAATCGATTTTTGAATTTAGATTCGGGGGCTGAGGATAAAACGTCATTATTGCTTTCACTGGCCTTTTTCAATTTGTTACTGGAAGCCTTCCCGATGGAAATTTGAGAGACTTACATATCTTGCCCGGGCGCGTTTATCGAAGTAATCATTCAACTTGTCCCAAGGTTTCTCTTTCTTTTTCATTTGAACGTTCTTATCCTCATCATCCGAGAATATTAGGGGTGCAATCTCAGATGGTAAATTTTCCTCTCCTTCTGCTGCAGCAGAGAATGGATTGCGCAAGTTTTTCTTGACTTTCTCCGGCCATTTGTTTCGAGATGGGCCGGGAGCCCCGCTAGCAGATGCTCTGTTTATCGAAGTATTGATGTCTTCCTGCTGTTGCCGTGGGAGAGGGTTGTATGTCACAATCATACAATAAAGTCCTCGAGGACAGAATAGTTCTCGATTCGCCTTATCTATAAAGCTGTTCACTCTGGCCAGGGAGCGTTAGACAAAAGATATGTTGGAAGGGTTTCTGCGCCAGACCTACTTCCATCTAATTTGTGCCTTTGCTGCGACTGCTGATACTATCTGTACTGCCGCTGTCGCACCCATAGAGATTTGATTTGGCACGAACGAAGCCCCTAATGCCGCAATTTGCACCGCAACAATCCATTTAGAGGCCTGGATTGCTTTATTCAGAGTGTTGATGAAGTCATGGAAGTGTTCTTGGCTGATATCACATTGGGATAATATTGGAGCATACGCCTTCATAAAACCTCGCTCTTTGTTTCCGGGTCTTCGTTGAGGGACCACGACAGGGCAGGGAATTTGCCCATAAGAAGGAGCTACCGGGATTCTGGAATTGCTTTCAATGAACGAGGTGATTGCTGAGTCGGCTTCTTCTTCTGTTGCGGTATCAATCGGTGTGGTATCCTCTTCGTCAAAGTCTGTAGACTCGTGGAGTTGAAGGGAATCTTCGTGATTAACAAAATTGGGAGAGTCAGAAGCCATTTTCGATTCAAATACGGGTTATTTTAATGTAAACCAGCAGCGGGGCCTTCCTTTTATACCCTAGGACATTCGCGTAAGCTCGATGTACAACATGGTAGCTTCACGCAGCAATGCCTCCATTTGGAAGATAGACATAATAATTTGGGGGCCAGGAATGAGACCTAGCCAACTAGAGCTACCGCTTACTTCCCAATTTAGGACTAGTGCTGGTGCTCTGTGGTATGGCTGCGCCTCTGACGTAACCAAGTACATTAGCTTCATGATGTGTCCACAACAAGCTTTCACTAAGACTCCAAGTAAGCTGGTAGACGTGTTTGTGTGTTGATCTATGTATCTGTAGTGCAGGCTGAGATAGGGAAACCTAGTGTATAGCCCTAATGAACTTAATTCCCGGGTTATCCCCTCGGGTATTGCATTGTTACAAGGGCCGTACATGTAGGGATTCGACAAGATCTATGATATATTACAGTGTTTCACGGCAGCGAATGAATTGCAGTAGAGAAGGAGTCATGGAAAGCGCACATATGCATTGGCCTGCCAGGATTAATAATCTACAGCGGCAAGGGCACGGCCTTCGTAATGTAAGATAAGTTACGGCCCCTGCAATAAGAAACCACTTGAAAGGCTGTTCAATCAACGATATACTACGGAGAGCCCAGTTCCCAAGAAGTAAGTAAGCACTTAGGCGCACAGCCTCAAGTCACATGCAGCTCATCATACCTCGCCGTCCCCAGTGTCTACGACCTTGCTGAGGCGAAATGATTCACTCCCCGTTGATGCTCGGCAGCAAATCTATCGCTCAGCTCACTTTGGCGTGTCTTCTCCACTATGTGCCTCCCAGCTGATAAAGGGCTCTCGAGAGTTGACGTGCCGCGAAACCGATTTGGTCCCAGTTGTTGCCCTCGAGGGTATTTCAGTTGCGACCAATGTTATGCCTTTGCGAGTTTGTGAGTGTCAGCTACTAGTCCACATGGTGAGCACTAATTGATGGCTGTGGGCCCCCTCCACCTCTCCCTTCCCTCGACCGGCCGCAGGAGCCGGCGAGAGGCTGCATATCTCGCTCGGCGCAGCCCCCACTCACAGAACATTACACCGCGTCGCCCAGTCAGCCTCCTCATGATGCGTCGTGCGCACCAGGGGTACTACAGGGCGCTTCAGTATTCAACCAGCCAATTAATTATAATTCCGCGGCGTCATGGTAACTACAATTGAGACGCTGAGGGTGGAAGCCGACACCACCATGGTGGCGCTAAGCTTTCCGGCGTTATAATAGGCTTGACTTTGTTTTGCATGGGCCCAACCTTCAGAGAAAGAGGGGGAGGGCTTCCGTCCCCGTCATACTGAACATGTCAATTCGTCGCTTCGCGAGTGCTACTATGAACGCAGAAGATTTAGCAGCGCGCGGCTTTCCAGATACCAACTGGGCCGATTACAACCTTGACGAGCTTGATACCTGTTTGTCGGACCTTCGCTCTTCTCGCCAAGTCCACAATCTACACCTTGTTTACGTCAAGCCAACGAACTTGCAGCCTATCAACATCCTTATTATCTGGATTAGCGGCTCCAGCGACGAACGCTCCCAAGGTGAGTTCTCATACTTGCCAAGAAGATGTTACCTCATGTTAGAAGTAATTCATACTCACCATACTCCACTGGTTAGCTCTTGCATATTTCACACGACTCATCAACGACCGAACACTCGACGAAAACGAGGGTATCCACAGCCACGGTGACTCGTACATTGTCATTCCTGACTCTCCTCATTGGAGCGACAAGCTCCGGCACGTTCGCCGATTTGGAGAGTCTATGTGATATCATCGGCTTTTATACTCAGCTGGAAGGCGCGGCTCTCAAGCTTAGATCAAACGAGACCCGCGCATTTGATTACTCGCTGGTTTACGACGACTGCAAGTCTATTTTCAAGGGGAAGATATCCTCTTGCCAGATCAGGCGCCCCGACGGTGAGGGTGGTGATGACTGCTTTACAGAGGAGTGGATCAAGGTGAGCCAGGCGGGGAGTCTGAAGTATGGCTACAGCTATACTCAGTTTTATTAGTTTTATCAGAGGCTTTGCTTGCCACATACCTGCGGGAGTTAATTTGTGAGTGACACTCGTTTAAGATCAGCAATCAGCAACCCGTAGGAGAATGGATGTAGAATGCATTTTCAACATGGCTTCAACAACATTAATATTGCAAAGATACGCATAATGTGGTGCAGCCCGAAGACAGTGACTCCGTCTGCTTTTTTCTCCCTATGAATGTTGTCGTTTTTAACAAAATGGTCTCGCACAGACTGCGGCATAACTGAAACTTTTGGCCACCAAACCCCGTACTGGAAACACTTGAGAGCCTGTACCGAGCAGCTGCCCTACTCTTCCTCCATCGCAATTGATGGGACATGGCCTTCACAACTAGTTGCACCGTGCTCGCCAATAGCTTCGTGTGTGGAATGACGATGGGGTATTGGACATACGCTCTCACGGACCCGGTGCGCGTTTGGCTTCGCAGTACCAGCAGCTGCATTCACTGTATATGCCGCCGTTGGTAGCGCGATAATACATTTCACTGGTCCATTCAAAGCTTTCAGAGATATTGCACTCTCTAGGTGTGTAATCATGGTCAATGAGCTGGCGACAACCACGACATACCCCCTTGGTCGTGTATTTGTAGTACTTTCTCGGCTGAAGCTGGTGTGTGAGCCAGGCTAGGCCAACATCCATCGTCGGAACGGCTGTTTTCAGCGGGTTTTCAAGTTTGATATCAATGAAAATCTTGTATTTTTTGGTCAAGCGTCTGCTAGTTTCCATCACGGTCGGCGAGTGCAGCCAGTCGATGTTGACCATATTCTGGATGAAGGTTCCCTGGCCGATCACAGCGCCAACTAAGTCGAGCGCGAAGTAACTGGTATTGCCCCAATAGTGGGACATCATGCGTCGGAAGTGCTCCCTCTCGCCAGGAGAGAGGCTTTGGAATTTACCTTTTGCCGCCGTCAAGGCATTTCTGTCGCGAACCGTGACTTCCATCTGGGTGCGAAGATCATCGATATTCTTGCACCAGTTTCCGCAAGGGTCAGTAAATATAAGCATGTCGTTTCCTACAGCCTGTACCAACCGACTTGGGAAAGTCATATTGTTCCAGTACTGCGGATTGCGCACGTTCTGACGGCCTTGGGGAATACCGTCAATATTGCAGATCGATCCCGGCATAGGATGGTTTGCTGTCAAGAGATCGCTAACATCCTGACGGAACTTGGCCACCATAAGTCGGCTGTGGTTGATGGTGAACCTACAGTTGTTGCATCTCGTCTTAAATGAGGCGTCGGCTATGCCGGTGTTCTTTTTGAAAGCTTCCTTGAGAGAATGTCCAATCCCACCTTTCGTCCAGGGTACTTCGTTGGGCTTACTACAGCGAGGGCATGCGAGCTCTTTGCTAGGCGAATCATCAAGATTGTCCCACCTTAGCTTAATATGTCGCTCAAATGCCTGTTGACAAGCCTCGGATGGTTTGTATTCTAGCATTCGATTATCAATGCAGTTGTTCACGGCCTCGAAAGGGAATCCTGTGCTCCAGGCGCTCAATTTTCCGTAGCGGATACAGTCCTCAAGGAAGTCTCGAGGGTGGAGCATGTGAGAGTGCCATATCATCAAAATGTCTAAAAGTCGATCAGCTTCTATTCATCTTCAAATTAAGTCTTCAAGTCTTCAACTCACCAAGCGGTGGCACATTATCCGCTGTCCATAAGATGCGTGTGTCACAATCAATAATACTCCTCTCGTATTCGGGATTCTCCAAATCTCTCATAGTGACTTGCGGTCGCGATATGGGGAGGAGATCAAACCACCATTTTGTGTACCGTTCAACCGCGCGTGCCGTATAGACGGCCCAACGCTTCTCGCGAATACGAACAAGAGCTTCGTTGGTTGAAGCAGGAAACCTTTCAGCTTCGGAATCGTAGATTCCAAAGATACCATTTTTATTTGAGACACGCCATCGTAGATCCTCCAGAACGGCAAGAAACTTCAAATGAGCAACGCACTGGTCTGGAGAGACAGGCAGTGAATCGGAGTGTGTCTCGCCAAAATTCAAATTGGGCAGCCCAAGCGCGATCTCATTGACCTGTTTGTAGGAGGGCGGGCGCTCGTCGGTTTTCTCGTCTATCGCAATAACATAGGAGAGTGCCTCCTCGGGCTTGTCGCCCGCGGTCACATCCATGCTTGTGTTTGACAAAAGGTGCACACAGCAAAGTTTATCTCGAGTGGAATCGGTGAGAAGTATTTGAAGAAGGCAAACCAACTGAAATTGCTTGGGCAGATGAAGCTGTAATTTTTAAATGACAACGTTGATGACGCCTATGATGTAATACAAATCGTTCACCTCGAAGGGAGGCTCCGTTAGGCTCCGTTGAGCTACACAAGTGAGGCAAACAGTATCTCTGGGAAGATAAATGCAACACGAGAAGAATATATGAGATTCGAGATGGTCAAGTAGTGTTTTTGTGAAAAATGAAGTTATGTCTGGTGTTATTTCGCAGCTTCCAATAATTCGCAGCTTGAATCAATGAAACAACCCCAATACCAATGCTATACTTCATATAAAGTATTCATAAGAGAATCTGTTTTCGAAATATGTACAGCTGTTGATACGTGAACCATCCCGGGAACTGCCGACGATCACCGCCTCTCGACTACCCCGCGCCACTAGATAGTTGTGTTTTCAACCGTGGGCTACCGGTTCATCATATGAGGTGGGGGGATTGGAACGTTATTTTCGCAGCCTTTGAAGGGTCCTATTGGTAAGAACGTCCTTACTGAACGCATGGCATGTTATAGGGGCTGAGAGTTGGAAGATGGCTGACCATTGGTGAAGATGGGCTAGACTCTCATCGCCAAATAATCTCACCACTTCTAAATAATGGTGGGAAAGAGGAAGAAACACCATTGGAAGTCTACCTCTTCCCACCCGAGGAACATTATGAGGCTAGAGGAAAGGCCGGTTCACTCAAGAGTATACGGACTCTCACGTAGCTTGATCACTGTTAACTAAGGCGGAGACAGGACGCTTGCCTATCATCTCTATTTTTAAAGGCCTTAAAACTCTGCAGTCTGGTTCCAATAGCTCTAGCCATACGATCATTATTAAACTTAATTTCAAACACTGGCTCTTCTGAAATACAGCTCCCGGAGGCGGGCGGGTGGGGCCCGTGGCTGTCACTGGTATAACCATGGGCCTGGCATTTTATTTCTATTTCCGGGCCTACGCTTACTCTGTCGGATAAATCATGAGCAAAATGGTGCCATAAGCGAGTATAGGATGTGCTCATACACGTCATATGCCAAAGGTCAAAACAACATGATCTACCTCTAACCTAACACAATACCCTTTCTGTGAGAATTTCTAAGGAAAACGCATACAAAACTGTTCTCTCACACCGCTACTCGGTGATCCATGAAAGAACTGGACAGATAAACCGGAGAGAAGGTGATGTAGATGAGCAGACTGCATATACGGGCTGATTATGGAGCCCAGTTTTCGAATAACTATCCTCATAGGCCTAGCTGACCAATCAGCAGCCGTCTGGGTAGAGAGATGCCGACCAGTATTGGTGCCTTAGGATGAGGGCTTCAATCTTCAACAAAATAAGCGTAAATATGTGACTTGGGCTTCTCTGAAAATGTATGTTAAATAGGATAAGCCCTGGATGACTAACAACCTTGACCTAGGGCGCGAAGTTCTACGAGAGAGCGTTTTTTCGGAAGGATTAGAATGATACATTTTACTAAAGGCATCCATGATAGTATCTTTCTTATCGGACAAAGAAAGTTTATGATCTGACTACCCCGAATCCCCGCTATTACGTTATGGCAGAGCGGCATTCTGACCGCGGAGTGGATCTTGACTCATGAACCGTTATCGCGAGCTATCGCGAACAAACCCCGCTTCATCAACCAATCCAACGCATAATGTCCACAGAGCAGCATCCGGGGGCGTCAGAGTGCTTCGATATTCATGATGTACATGAAGTGAACGATAACTGTCCGTGCGCCCGTTGCGATTGACCGAGGATTATGCTGACCTCAACAGTTACATTCGCACTAGATGACATTGACATTGACATTGACATACAAGCAGTCACTGAGCAGTGTCTGGATTCAGATGTTAAGAATAATGTCTACGATATCTCTCCATCCTTGATGAGGCTAGCCTCTACACCTGATCCAACAAACGACTTCTCGGCTTCATTTCCTTCCACCGAGCCATTTGCTGACTACCTGAACACTCCATCTGTGCAAGGTTCGTGGAGCAGTCAAAATGAGTTCCAGAATGATGTTCTACCGGCCACTATATCGAGAGACTCTTCGTGGGCCTCAGCACCCAACTTAGACACTATCGGCCCATGTACAGCTTTCGACCCTGCTCAAACAACAGACACCGTACCCAGTTTCCCAGTGACTCTTTCCCAAGCTCTACATACTCCCCCTAGCAGAAGGACTTTGCCTCGTCGGAGGAGTCGATATCATATCTCCCGGTCAGAGCAGAAAGCGACTCCGACTTATACTCCCATGTCATCTTTCCTAGATCCGATGCAGCGATGGCAGGAATCTCCACCAGAGGATGAGCCAGCATCCCTGACCGCGATCATGAATGCAATGGGTGATATTCCATCAAGTTCAAGTGCCAGTCCACAAGACCATGGTAGATTGGCGAACACATTTCAGCATCACTGTCGGGCCCCGTCGACTACCAGCGCCGAATCAAGCCCGTCCTCCACTGACTCGGCTTGGTCATCAACAGGTGGCTCGACATCTCGATATGGTCGAAACCGACGATCTCGCGTAACCAAAAACAAGGCAAATGATGGCAAGCCCCGCATCTTCTGTTGCACGTTCTGCTGCGACCGCTTCAGAACACGATACGAATGGGTCCGCCACGAAATGACCCTCCACCTAAATCTAGAAACCTGGTACTGCGCGCCCCTCGGCCCGTCAGTCTTCTCCCCAGTCACAGGAAGACAACACTGCGCATACTGCAACGCACTGGACCCATCACAGGCTCATCTGACCGAGCACAAATACGACGCTTGCCAAACACTATCAAAAGAACTCCGCTCCTTCAATCGCAAAGACCATCTCGTCCAACACCTCCGCCACTTCCACCACGTCCAAACAATCCCGCTCATCGACGACTGGAAAATCGAAACGAAGAATATAACGTCGCGATGTGGATTCTGCTCCGAGACCATGAACAATTGGGGCGAGCGAACAGATCATCTCGCGAAGCATTTCAAGCGCGGATATACAATGAAAGATTGGAAAGGAGAACACGAATTCCCACCATCCATCACAGCGCATTTGAAAAATGCATACCCGCCATACCTCCTCGGATGGGAATCCGAGAGTATAGTTCCTTTCTCTGCAACCAGCACGGATGTCCGTCATCAATACGCGCAGGTTTCTTCAAGGGTGTTCGCTGCCGAGAGGAAAGAGGCTGGAACTAAGGGCATTGTATTTCCAGATCCAAATAAGTCGGAGTTTGATAACTTTTTGAATGTCTTTACCCGGCACCTGGGTCGGTATGCTCGAGGGCAGATGGAGCTTGGGGTTATTCCGACCGACGAGATGTTCCAGAAAGAGTCGAGAAGGGTGCTTTTCGATGGTGAGGATGCTTGGGATCAAACTATTGCTGATAACCCGGACTGGTTGTCTGCGTTTCGACGGCTACATTGTGGACCGGTTCATGACAGCGGATGAATCAATGAGTCCATGAAAAGTGTGAAGTTAACAAATTGATACCTTGACGCTACGCATTCGATGTGCGAATTTTGCCTCCAACAAAAGCCTTGTGTACGTGCTTCAGCCCCAACACACTTGGGGCTTAACCTGTGCAGATCTCAATGAGGTTCAAGTCCCTTGCAGTGCCTCATGGCTCTACTTCACAGCATAAAGTGAACACTCGGTCAAGTACAGCTTTTTCAACCTCCTTATCCTCCATGTTCCATATACACTGCAGACGATAATGGAAGATCTCAAGTCTTGGTTTATAGAGCCAGAGTATGATGCAATTGAACCGTACAGTAAGCGGCCTTCTGAGCTGAAGAATGAAGCGTGGAAAGAGGGCCAGGCGAATGTACCAAGATTAGAGCGAGCTTTTATATATATTTTTGTAAACCGTAGCAGAACAGGGCACCCGTGTGGACTCAAACCCTCGAACCAACAGGCAAAACCTATAAATCATCAGTACAACTCAACCACGTATCCAAACCAAGGTTGAAAAAGTACATACCATATCATACCACCCACCTCCCGCAAAGCGAACCTCACTCACCCCCAAATTCTCAAACCCTGCACTCTCATAAAACCCAACCAAATAATCATGCGCAATAAGCGCCACCCGCTCCCCATCCATATTATCCTTAACGTACTTCACATAATCCTTCACAAGCGCCCTCCCGATCCCACCGCGCTGAAACTCGGGCGTCATGACCACAGAATGCATAGCGATGGTCTTTCCGTTGGGATCGTTGCCGATGAGTTGGCCGCCAGAAGTCAAGGGCTTACCGGCCGGTAAGGAGCGCCAGTGTTCGGGCATAAGCATTGATCCATCAGTTATGACGGGAGAGGATGTTCTGTTCCCGATAACATGGCCGATTAAGCGGTCGTTGCTGGGTTCTCTGAGGAAGAGGCCTAGGCTTAGGGTGGGGGATTGGGTGAGGCGGTAAGTGAACTGAGAGTTGTTAGTTCACTGATACTTCTGATGCAGATAGGGGGATTGGATGAATGTACTTTTTCTTCGGAACATCGCTCTTGTTCCGGGAATGCGGATTCGACAATCACGCAGGACTTGACGTCTGCGATTGATAGAGGACGGAGGTAGAAGTCCAGGCCCGATAGGGCAGAGCATTGATCTAGGTGGGTAGTTGAGGGCATTTTGAATTATCAGACGTTAATCCCGGTCACATTGTTCTGGCAATCTATGGGATCTGTTCTGATTTTATAGAAATTGAATGAGGAGTCATGGTTTTACACCCTACGGAGCGCACCCTACGACCCACTCCCGGGATCCACTTTTTGCACCCTACAGACTGGGGTCCGAGGGTCCAGGTAGTGGGTAGCTAGGTAAAGAGAATGATCGGGCAAGCAAAGGCGATAAAAGGTAACAGGCTAATCGAGTTTCGAATCCGGTCTGTCTGATGCTAGCAGGTCTTCAAGGCGAGGTATATATCTAGAGAAGCTACGTCCGCGCAAGCTCGAAATAGAATTCATGGACGATATTTTATAATGCATTCGTCTTCTATAACATAAACACAAGTCATCACCCGGCCAAGCCGGTCATCAGGAATCTAATTTAAGCAAAGACCTTGACATCACCAGCCTTGAGCTTACCAGCCTCAACGAGACGCTTAGCCTCAGCAGTATAAGCAGCCTTGACAGCACCGCCGTCCTTGCCAGCAATAGTAAGCTTCTCGGCCAGAACAGCAAGCTCATCGACATCAATCTTGCCCATGATAAGCTCAACATCACCGAGCACAGAGTCAACCTGGGAAGCAGAGGCCTCGCCATCGGCAAAGTAGTTGACCTCCTTGACGGAGCCCTTGAGAACACGCTTGTTCTTCTTAGCGGCGTTCTTGGCAGCCTCCTTGGCCTTCTTGTTCTTCTCGCGCTCGGCCTTGGCGGTCTCCTCGGCGTCCTTCTTGCGCTGCTCCTCTTCAGCCTTGGCACGCTCCTTCTCCTCCTGCTGGCGCTTGAGCTCGTCCTCCTTGGCCTTGCGCTTTGCGTCCTTGCCGGCACGGGCCTGCTGGCGGAACTTCTTGATACGCTCATCCTGAGCGAGGACCTCGTCGACCATCTCGCGCAGGCGGGCAATGTCCTCACCCTTGCGCTTGCGACGGGCATTGGCGTTCTTCTTCTCGGTTTGACGCTTCTGGTCACGGCCCTCACCATCATCGGGAATATCCTCGTCGAGGTACTCGAACGAGCGCCACGAGTCGAAGTTGTACCAGAAGTTGTAGAAGGTCTCGACTTCCTCCTGGGTGCTGTCCTCGTTACCGAACTGGGGAACGGGCTGCTTGTTGGAGAAACGGCCCTCGGCGACAAAGACGGGGCTCCAGGCCTTGTAGAAGCCCTTCTTGGTGAGGTCCTTCTTGCTGGGGGTGTCGACGTCGGCGGCCTCGTCGACGGAGTCGAATTGGCGGCGGCGGGTGGGGTCCAGGAGCAGCTCGGTGGCCTTCTGGATACACTTGAAGAAACGGTCGTCCTCATCGGACTGGCCCATGGCGGCCTTCTTGTCGGGGTGGTGGCGGAGAACCTTCTTGCGGTGGGCACGCTTGATCATATCGGGGGTTGCGCGCCAGCGGTACTTGGACAAACCGAGAACGGCGTAGTGGTCCTGGCCCTGTTGATTGTTAGAGAGCTCCTATATCGTCGACTGATAAAGAAACTGACCTTCCAGTCCTTGGCCTCACGCTGAAGCATCATGGGGTCCTCATTCTCAGAGAAGTCATCGTCATCATCCTCCTCGGTCTTCTTGACGGTGTTCTGAGCCTGGATGCGCTCATCCTCGGAGAAAGTGCGGTGGTGACGCTTCTATAGGGGGGTCAGTAACGAAAGAAAAGGCTGCCCGCATCAGCAGGTAGATAACGGAGATCACATACGCGGCGGGCGTGGGCAAGGAAATGCGGGCCCACGGGCTCGATAGTGCGCTGAGTGGCAGGGGAGAGGCCACCGACGGGCTTGAAGTCCTTGTCGGCAGTCCAGCCCGAAGGCAGAGACGGGAGAGAAACGTTGACAACCTGAACAGAAGCCATTGCGTTGGATTGTGATGGACGGACAAAGCGTTGTGGGAGCGGCGCTGGATTTTTTTGCGTACCTTTTTTTTCTGCCTCGAATGCCCGCCCGCCAATCACAACTCGGATGATCGGGATTCGAGTTACTTCGCTACTTTTGACGTCGTCGGATCTTGGTTTTTGAGCTTTCGTGGGGATATTCTTGTTCTTTGACCCTTCTTTGATTCTCTCAGTACTTCGTTTGCTTTGAGCGACTCATCCGACCTTCCATTTACCACCTGGGCTCGCCCGATCACATTTGCCTCCGACCAATACAATCTCTAAGAGTCTCCCTGACCTCACAATCTCTACAATGGCTACCCCCAGTCTCCCTGCACTTAGCGCATACCGTCAGATCCTGCGTGCTACCCGCGTGGCCTTTGCAAGTATGTTACAGCCCATACTCTATGCGCTTTGCGCTGCGACACGCCAATGCAAGCACGATAACGAGAACGAAATACTAACAAACTGCCTAGACGACTCCCGTGTCCTCCTGGCCGCCCGTGCAGAGGCCCGCCGGAACTTTGATCAGAACCGCCGGGTCGGTGTCGACACCGGCATGCAGATCAACCAGGCCATCGAGGTTGCGAGCATTCTGCGCCACAACATCGTCCAAGGATCCCGTGAGGATGGAAACGAGGATGCCAAGTGGGGTATGTAGTGTTCCCTGTGTCAGAAAAACTGGCAACACGTCTATGGTTATCGGTGGACAATGCGTTGACTGGATGAATGCTAACGGCTGCCGACTACAGAGCTGAACATCCACGACCAAATCGAGCGTGGCGACAACGACACGATCAAGGTTGGCAACAAGGACGTCAAGATCCACAAGGCCTGCTCATCGTGATTCCAAACCCCCTTCGCATACATACTACTTCCACGACATGCTACAAGCACAGCTGTGAGAGACAAAAAAAGCCAGCGCTGCTGGATGTGTATTATACTATACCCAACTCTTTTGTTACATTTGGCGTCCCCGGGGTATTTTTAAGATAGATACTGCATAGAACAATCCTGAAGAGAAACATGAACCAAGCCAACGCCCGCTGTGTATAACCATGCAACTTCCCCTAACTTAACTCCAACACTTTTTAATCGCCGTTCATACTGGCGTACTGGACATCGCTGGATCCTGGTGGTGGCGCCACAGCGTAGCTCTGGGCCTTCTCCTGGGTGGTAGCGTCACCAGCAGCCGTAATGGCCTTCCTATCGGACTGGCCCTTGGCCGGGGCGCCGACGGCGGCTCTGCCCTCACGAGCATTTTGGATTCGCTCCTCGCGATCAAGGTTATCAAGAGGCTTAGGCTTACCCCAGCGCACGCGTAACGGGCATCCTTGGATAATGGCCTTGCCTTGACACTTCTCTGCAGCGGCCTCGGCTTCGGCGCGGTTGACGTAGTTGACGAAGGCGCAGTGGGAGCGGTGCGAGCAGACGAGCGAGCGAAGCTGGCCAAACTCTGAGAAGAACGATCGCAAGGCGTGTTCCGGCAGATCGTCCTCCACGCCGGTCACGAAGAGAGATGTAATATTGGGGTCGGAAGGAGGCCTGATGTCTGCGGCCGACGGCGGGAGTTGTGCAGTGCCGGGGAAAGCACGTCCGCCGCGAGCACCACCGCGTCCGCCACGTCCGGGTAACCGATTGCCCAACCGACCCTCACTCGTGCGCGTAGGTCCCGGCCCATTTCCATACCGACTATGTGTGCGCGGCTGGTCCTTCGAGCTAGACTCTTCCGCCTCATCTCCCTCCGACGGTCCCTCAATCCGTCGTGGCTTCCGGTAGTAGGGTTCGCTGTTGGCCAAACGCCGGAGCAGCTCGCGCGCCTTGTCGTCGGTCTTCTCGTATTCCTCGATCGCACCGAGTCCCTCTTCGATTTCCTTCTCGTGGTTCTGCGCATAGTATTCGCGGTTGATAGAGCTCTCGGGACCAGGCGCCACCATCTTCAAAGCGGCATCACGGACCACGATCGGCAAGCCGAAAGACAGATCCAGCATGCAGCATTGGCAGCAGTTCTTCAGGCGCGCGCAGGTCAGGCAAATGTTGGTGCGCTTCTGGCGCGAGGTACGGTCGGCTTTCCAGCGGAAGATGGTAAAGGGTCGCGTACACTGGTCTCGTTAGCTTCGCGTCGAGGTGGAGGGGCGGATGAGTAAAACTTACAATCTTGCATTCTGCGCCGTGGTCTTCCTTGATCATTTGCACGTAGGGGTTTTCGGGAAGACAGTTTTCACAGACGGATGGAAAGTCGGTCGACTCCCAGCCGGAGCGGTTGAGGTCGTGCTTGATCTGTGGTGCCGCCATGTTGTGTGGAGAGAGCAAGACGAGATCTTTCTCAGAGAAGTTGATAGTACGGTGGCGGTGTGTGGCTGGTGAGCCACGTGACTTTCCTGCGTCGGATCACGATGCGGATCACGGTCTGTATTCCAATGGGAAGGGCCCTAATAATGACCTGATGGCTATCGGATGTATGCCATTCGATCCGAGACGGCCCATCTGCGTCATGCCTGATGCCTGACCGACCCCAGATCACCGCGACCAACATCAGGTCACCGCAGGCAGAGACCGGAGGGGCCACAGGCCGAACCCGCCACAACACGGAACAGCGCGACTCCGCTGCTCCAGACTCGACTCGGTCTAGTTTAGGGGCTCCGTGATTGGCAGAAAAAGTTGCTTCTAATCTCCTTTCGCAACCTCCCTTTCTTCTAATTCACTTCAATTCTCTTATAATTCTCCTTCTACGCACCGTCGTTCCCTCAATTGCACTTTCGCATTCCTTTTCGTGGACCGGTGTCTTTTTTCTTTCGCCGCTTGTTGAATTCTCCTCCTTCCCCCTTTTAATCCCCACATTTTCTCCAAACCCTTCGCAATGGCTCCTACTGCTCTCGAACGCGAGGACGTCTCGCGCGATGCTGCCTTCAACCAGGCTCTGCACGGCAAGTCGGCCAAGGCCCGTGGTGGTCTGACTGCCATGCGTGGCAAGGACGCTGCTGCCCAGAAGGCCGCCGTCGACGAGTACTTCAAGCACTGGGACAACAAGGGCCACGCCGACGAGACCGACGCTGATCGTGAGGTATGATACTCTGTGCAGGTCCATCCAGTGGCACCGCTAACATTGTTATGCGCGCAGGCTCGCCGCAACGAATACGCTACCCTGACCCGACAGTACGTGATCCCCTTTGCGCAAACCACTGCACCAAGATACTAACTTCTCCCCAGCTACTACAACCTGGCCACCGACTTCTACGAGTACGGCTGGGGCTCCTCCTTCCACTTTTGCCGTTTCGCCTACGGCGAGCCCTTCTACCAGGCCATCGCCCGCCACGAGCACTACCTCGCCATGCAGACCGGCATCACCGAGAACATGAAGGTTCTGGACGTCGGCTGCGGTGTCGGTGGACCTGCCCGTGAGATCGTCAAGTTCACCGGTGCCCACGTCACCGGCCTCAACAACAACGACTACCAGATCGACCGCGCCACCCACTACGCTGAGAAGCAGGGTCTGTCCGACAAGATGGCCTTCGTCAAGGGCGACTTCATGCAGATGAAGTTCCCGGACAACAGCTTCGATGCCGTCTACGCCATTGAGGCCACCGTGCACGCTCCCGAGCTGGTCGGCGTCTACTCTGAGATCTTCCGCGTTCTCAAGCCCGGCGGCACCTTCGGTGTCTACGAGTGGCTGATGACCGACGAGTACAACAACGATGACCCCGAGCACCGCCGCATCCGTCTCGGTATCGAGCAGGGTGACGGTATCTCCAACATGGTCCGCATCTCCGAGGGCCTCAAGGCCATGAAGGACGCCGGCTTCGAGCTCCAGCACCACGAGGATCTGGCTGCCCGCCCCGACGCCACCCCCTGGTACTACCCGCTGGCCGGTTCTTTCAAGCACATGGGTTCCGTCTGGGACTTCTTCACCATCGCCCGCATGACCTGGTGGGGTCGTGGTCTTGCCCACCGCTTCGTCGGTGCCGGTGAGACCATTGGTCTCTTCCCCAAGGGCTCCCAGAAGACCGCTGACTCTCTTGCTCTGGCTGGTGACTGCCTGGTTGAGGGTGCTCAAAAGAACCTGTTCACGCCCATGTACCTGATGGTTGGCAAGAAGCCCGAGTAAATTAAAAAGGCGGTTTCATTTTGTCACGTCTCGCGGCTTTTTGCTCCAAATTCCCAAGATGGTTTCACTTCTGCTGTTCATTATTTTGCCCTATGCCGCTAGGAGACGTCCCTTTGGCGTTCTCACCGTGCCCGATGGCGTTGGTGCTGATTTCTCTTCTTTTTGTTTCTTTTGGATCGAGATAGATATGTAATAGTTATTGAGGCAAGAATCATGAAGCAAGAATAGCATTTTCTCACATGTTCTATTGGAATTGTATGAGGTAGCAACCTCGGTAGACTACATTCTCTACCTAGTCTTGATTTAAACTGCCCAGCCGAAACGCATGGGCCTCGGCACTGAAAAGAATTGCTTGAAATATCCAAAGTTCATAGCCCCCCGAGGTCGGCAGATCGTGTTATATATCTTGCCAATTGTACCATTTGACCCTATCACCACCGCCCTATCTTTCCACAGTGCACAATCACTCCTCATGGGCCACATCTACATAGGCTACGATAAGCTTGTGGCTTACAACGCATGAAGATCCTCACCTGTTAAGACCCTTCCCGTGGGGGCCAAATGATCCTAGTAGAAAACCACGTGGGAACGAGGCTGGGACTCAAACAATCCCCTGTTTCCTTGCCGAGGATACGACTTTGATCTGAAGTCAAGGCAAGCCTGTCTACTGTGTCAAACCTAGGTCCGTACGTTGACTAACTCCCGATTCTCAAATGCGGCTACAGACTCCCAACCCACCAAGATGTACAGCCCCAGCTCCGGCCCACACCCGCCTCAAAATAATACAGATACACTCAAAGAAATCGCACCGCAAGATCGTAGACACCGAGGTCACTGTGGTTTACAGGTCAGCTATAGGGACTGCACGCTGTATTTCGAGCTAGAGCCCTAATCTGACAAAGCGGTAGCGATGTATTGCGTCGCCAATTGCGCACCGTGGTCAATACGCTGTCATTTCAGATGGTTGTGTTCTTAAGATAAAGATGGAATTATTGACAAAATGACCAACATGATACGAAAAAGAGCTCGGGGGTGTTTCACAGACCTACTGGATCATGACATTGTTCCGAGGAATAGCATTCAAATTCGATATGGACCTATTGAGAACTTCACCACCACAGAGCTAAATCCATACTCAAGGGCTTTCCGTGTATTCCCCCCTCTCATGACCAGCGACAAAATCATATCCTAAGAAAACACCTCCATCACAAAGTTCAAGGTCTCGACCAAGAGCCCCTTAGTGGGCATACCCCCTTCCCTCATCACATTTTGGAAAATAGCATCACAGATATCATCGGACACAGCCCGGGGCCCGTTCTCAGCAAACATGGTGACATGCCCGGGTGTCGGGAAGGCGTCGATGGGATCTCCCCATAGTGGAATCCGCTGGGTTACAAAGATGAAGACGGTCATTCTTGCTATTGGGGAAACTGGATCGAGGTATCGGATGTTACGGATGAGCCACTGGATATCATCCATGAGAGCCAGGATGTATCCGCACATTTCACGGCGCTGCTCGCTGTTGGGTTCGTTCGAGCCTTGGCGTGATTGGTGCTTTGTGTTATTCTGCGAAGATTCCTGGTCCTGGGTTCCGCGACCAGACTTGAAAGTCTCGATAAGGGAATCGATATCGTCGTTCTTGCCTTCTTCATCTACTTGGAGGACCCTTGCCCACAAAACTTTGTGTATCGGGCTCGGGTGCAAGGCGAGGATATGCGCCCACATTCGAGTCGCCGTCGGTGCTCGGGAAGAATCAAATTCGGCCATAGTACCAGACCCTGGGGGAGAATCTGAATCTGATGGAGGATCGGAGTCACTTGGAGAACGCGACCGAAGGCCTCGTGGTGGCACTGTTTCCTCAAGGTACCGGTTCACCCGCCGGTACTGCTGACGGCCATTTGGTCCCTGAGAACTGCCAGATGCATGAGAGCTGTCTGATCCGTTAGATCCGCGAGAGCCGTGGGATATGTGAGATTTGACGAGTTCCAGGTAGCTGGTAAACTCCTGGATAACCCATGCATGAGCTTCCCATGAAGTTAGTCTCTCTGGCTCCGATGGGCTCCAGGGACAATACATATCACTGCTGCGGTGGGTGGGAAAGGGAACATGGTTGTCGTCGACGATGCGCCAACCAACTGCTTGCATCACTCGACAGTGAGGAATCCTCCCTTGTATCCATTCTTCTTGTTCATTGTCATCTTCGGATATCGTGGCCAACTGAGATGGTTGAAGACGTCTGAAAGCGTGGCTTGGCATGTTTCACCGGGATGAGGAGGACAGTTCGATGATAGTGGTAGTTTAGATAACTTGACGCGTCGAGACTGTATTCAGGATTTCACTCACGAGATGGAACGGTTGAGTCGAAAGGTAACAACAGGTGGGGGATGTAAAGGAAGCGGTTCAGCAAAAGAAGATGAAAGGAAGATAGACACAAATTAAGACGCGTGACAAAGTCTTTGATGAGGCTTGTCATGCGAGTTTGTTGTGAAGCAAGATGGTGGAGATGTAGGATGCTCAAATTTCGAGTAGAGCCATAGGCATGAGGGTTCACATCGATAACTTTGCGGCACTCGAAGTTACCCTTTTCCATGAGGTATGAATATAATTCCCAGTAAAGCACTACCCTTTGCTACAATATTTACTCTTATTCGAGTGCATAGTTTATTCACCACCTCAAAGTTCAGATACCCATCACCGACGACCAAGGATACTACTCATGGGAGGAATGCACTGAACTCACTGAACCCTTAGCTCTCGACAATGCAGATTCATATGCTCTGTGGGTAAGTTCCCAACGAGAGGTCTATAAAATGTCCAACGGTTTCTAACAGAGAACCAGATACTTTTTTTATCACGTGCAGAGCAGCAATTATCAAGAATGACGACACGTTAGACTGGGCTGAAGACGAGTTGTTAGCGAAAAAACGAACTTTATGGACTTGGATTCCCTGATTGTTTATCCTAGGAGTGCAACGTATTCGGCATGGTCTGGCATCTGTATACTGTACTACATACACGCCGTGGCACGAAGAATATTGTGTGGCTTACCTGCGATCCATTCCTGTCCCTTTTTGCCGAGCCTCTGAAGCTAGCCGTACTTGTACTGCTCTCCGTCGGCCGCAAGGGTAGAGGTGGAAGAGAAATCCGAAAATGGGAATGTGCTCCGGGGACTAGACATGGGATGGGTCAACGTTAGTGGCACTTGAGTGGGAACGTGAGTTATTCTTGCTGCGTTAGCGTAAGCTGGGTTAGTTGAGTGCCGGATGATGTGATATATGATAGAGAGTCAATGCCGCGAGCCATTGTTGATTAAATAACAATTCAAGACGCATGATTACGGAGAGTAACAAAGGGGACCGAGTTAGACCGTTTCATTTCGAGCACCAAATAAACAAAGAGATAACAAAGAATGGTCGAGTACCAGTTCAAAGAGTTGAACGAAGGTTGAATTCTATTCTATGGGGCTACAACTACATAATTATTTGTCGGATCTAGACCGACAATGACGCTAAATCTTGCCAAGTAGGACGTCAACCATGTTCCCCATTCGACATGTTCCATTCGCCACTCGATCTTCTATGCTTGTTCTGGAATGCGTTCTAGCCACGTATCGGCACTCAGTGTCCGACAGCTCGGGACCTGGCACGCGGGACTTAACCCTACGGGGTTAACCCCAGACAAAGAACCAACCACGGGACAAGTATTATACGATGGCAGGTCTTGGGGAAGCTTGATCGGCCTTTTTTCCCGCATTTCTATACTACTTCTGCCGAAGAAATTCCACTCAATCCGCCAGTCACGGCCGCTGTGGGGAAAACGTGCCAGGTACACGAGACCCACCGTGGATACCCACGAATCGCACCCGATCGTTTACTATTTAGCGTCAACAACTGCGGACGCCTCATCTTCAAACATCGACCACTCAGCCTAGCCTGGAAAGCAACGTGCAGAGCCATGCAGTGTGATATCGCCTCCTGCCTTGGTATACTTGTATCTACTCTCTAAGCGATGGGGCCGGGATCGCAATGTTGGATTCTTCGACGCGGCGGGTTGCGCCGCCCTGGGTATAAGATCGTGTGCATTCCTCCACTGATCGTCCTTTTTCTGCACCGCATCGTCTCTTCAAAGTCACAATGTTCACTAAGAAGTCTCTCGCTGTCTTCATTGGAGCTTTGGCTCTGGCTGCGGCCGAGACCACCACGGTCGAATACCCCACTGATGCGGAGGTCGAGGAGGCCGCTTCTACGGTGGTGCCCTTGTCTCCTACTTCCAACGTCCGGGGTCTGGCCTTTGACCGCTTCGTACAGGTCTGGATCGAGAACACAGTATGTCTTCTATGGGAAATTGAATTGGTGGAGCATCGCTAATATAAATTACAGAACTTCCAGACCACTGCCGACGATGCGAACTTTGCCAAGCTCGCAAAGGAGGGCATTCTGTTGACCAACTACTATGCCACCACTCACCCCTCGGAGCCTAACTACTGTGCTTCCGCCGCCGGTGATAACTTCGGCATGGATAACGACAACTGGCATCAGATCCCCGCCGATATCTCCACCATTGCCGATCTCTTCGACTCCCGCGGTGTCTCCTGGGGCGAGTACATGCAGGACATGCCCTACGCCGGCTACCAGGGCTTCGTCTGGCCCGATTCGGGAGCCAACGAATACGTGCGCAAGCACAACCCCCTCGTGCTCTTCGACTCCGTCACCAACTCCGACGAGCGCCCCCGCCAAATCAAGAACTTCACCGGCTTCTATGAAGACCTGAAGAAGGAGCGTCTGCCTCAGTACATGTTCATTACCCCCAACATGACCAATGATGCCCACAACAGCAACATCGAGGTTGCTGGCAACTTCCTTGCGGACTTCATCCCCCCCCCTCCTGGAGAACGAGTACTTCTCCAAGGACACCCTGATGCTCGTTACCTTTGACGAGACCGACACCTACGACATCCCCAACCGCGTATACAGCTTCCTCGTCGGCGGTGCCATCCCCGAGCACCTGAAGGGAACCACCGACGACACCTTCTACACCCACTACTCCACCATCGCTTCCCTCTCCGCGAACTGGGGTCTTCCCTCCCTCGGTCGCTGGGACTGCGGTGCTAACCTGCTTAAGCTCGTTGCTGAGAAGACTGGCTACGTTAACTGGGAAGTTGACGTCAGCAACCTTTTCATCAACCAGACCTACCCCGGCCCTCTGTCCGATGGCACTTACTCCACCTACAAGGCTGAGTGGCCCATTCCCGCTACTAGCGGCGCTTGCTCTGCTGGCCACGGCATACTGGATACCGTCAAGCGGACTTACTTCGGCAAGGAGCCTAGTCACGACTACTCCAGCCCCGTTCCCTTCGACCGTGCTAGCGGTATCAATGTCGGTGTTAAGTACAGCCGTACTGAGTACGGCTTTACCGAGACTCGCATCACCGAGTAAGCTTTGCTCGCGAGTTAGTTATTGTTATGATGTAAAACTGTTAGTTTAGATTGTATATACAAATTGAAGGGAATATAAATTTTATTTCCTGGGGACTGTCGAACTTCTAGCTTGTAGGAAGTAAGAACATGTGAAGTACTGACGATTACCTAGGTAGTTTAAAAGTATCAACCCACATCAATCTACATAAAACAAAACAGAGCAAAGAATGCAACGCACTTTTGGTATTCAACCACTGGGATATAAACATTACTCATTTACAAATAAAAATGCTATGCAATATGCGAATGCAACGCCAGAGAAACGTCAAAAAGCCGCAGCCAAAACCAAACCCATCTATCCAGCAGCATAAGTACTCTTCTTGCGCAAAAGCTGCCCATACTTCCACAAGAAAATAGGCGCCGGAATGCCGAAAACAAGCGCAATAATTGCCAACACGCTATTTCCCCATCCGTAATGCAGAGATTGATACATATACGGCGCGAAAAGCGGGAACCCGAAACCCGCCAGCGAGCGCAAGAACGAACCAGCCGCCAACGCACTAGCCGCGAAGCGAGTATACGTATCGACCATATACGTCTGCATGCACTGGAACGAGACGATCGTGCCAGTACCGAAGAGGAAAGCACCGATATTGGGCGCGATCCAGTGGCAATGCGCTTGGGCAGTCCAGCCGTAGATGAAGAGGCCAGCTGGAATGAGGACTGCGCCGACGCCCAGCAGGGGGACTCTGAATTCCGGACGGCCGGTGTGATTGTTCTGGGCTTTGAGGCGGCGGTAGATGCGGTCGTTGAGCGGGGCGCAGATCTGGGAACCGGCCCAGAAGCCAAGGCCGAGGGAGATGTAGTTTAGGCCGCCGATGCCGATGGATTCGTTGTAGTATTCTGGGCTGGTCCAGAGGATGGGGAATGTTGAGAGCACCAGGTACATGATTCCGTAGATGTAGGCCATGTAGCATGCTACGCATTGGACGATTGGTTGAGTGAGGAGGAGGCGGAATGGGCGGATTAGGGCCCCGCGCAGGACCTGGGCGAGGGTCTTCTTTTGGAGCTCGGCTTCCGTTTGGTACGAGTCGTCGCCTGTTTCTTTGCGGAGGCGCTTGGCGCGGTCTTTTAAGAGGCGAGGGCCGTAGGTTTCGCGCAGGAAGAAGAGACCCATGCATTGAATCAGGCCGTCTGCGATTGAGGTCGCGTAGAAGACCCAGCGCCAGGTTGTGTTCTCGGCGATGAAGCCGCCTGCGATTGGGCCTAGGGCGGGGCCGAGGAGGGGGGCTAGACTGTAGATTGCGATGCTCTTGCCTCGCTCTTCGGGGCGGAAGCAGTCTGCGAGAACGCCGCCGCCGACGGCGAGTGGTGCACTACCTCCTAGGCCGGCGAAGAAACGGCAGACTATCATCTGCGCTGGTGTTTGCGAGACTGCGCATCCGATGTTGAACACGAGGAAAAACAAGTTGGCGAGTTGGAGGACGATGACTCGTCCGTAGATTTCAGATAGTGGTCCCAGGATGAGGGGGCCCACGGCATATGCGAGGACGAAGATGGAGAGTGTGAGTTGGGACAGGACTTCATCCGTGATGTGCAAATCTGCTGCAATGGAGGATAGAGCAGGTGCAACCATAGACGAAGACACTGGAGAGATAAAGGTGAATAGGGAGACGGTGACAGTCGCTGCCCACTTCTTTTTGTTGGGCCAGTTCTTCGGGTTCTCGGGGTCATCAGGACCATCCCAGTCGACCACCTTCGAGTCTAGTCGAGAACGAGCAGACCGTGCAGACTTGGACTTTTTCAGTTCTTGTGATTGTTGGTTTTTCTCCAAGTCGATATCCCGCTCGTTCACGATGCCGCCTCGCACCTCCTGTACGGGTTCGGTCTCTTCCGGGTAGGACTCACTGGGCCCGTCGTCGTCATCGCTGTCCACGCTGTTGTCACTGTGGTAGACGGAATGGTCGTTCAGATGTGTGCCGGAGTAGACTCGATCCAGGTGAGGTGCAGCGGCGGTGGCGGAGGATGAGGATCTTTGACGTGACCTGATAGATCCTGCAATAGCTTGAACGTGATGCTCGGAGCTACTGTCTGAGCTTGAGCTTGAGGGTGAACGAGACCTGCTCGCACCGGAGCTTTGGTCTTGTTCATGCGACATGGTTGTTGATCATACACCAGTGTCGAGAGATGTTGAAAGACGAAAAAAGATCTATTAGATACACAGGACAAGAGCAGACTATGTGCACGCGACCCTGGAAACAAGAAAAGTTAGCGGGGGTGCTACTTATATACGGAGTTACATCACGGAGAAGAAATCACCGACGCGGAGCGCATAACATGCACCACGGCATTGCACACGGTGATAATCCATTAACACCGTGTGGGTCTCTCCGGCATCCAAGATTTTCAGCATTTTCACTGGCCGATTTCAATGCTTGAACGAGGACTGACCCAGGGCCAGAACAATGAGGCCCCACTCTAGCATAGAATTTGGCAAGAGAAGCGGCCTGAACCGGCATTGCCAGGGCGGGCCACCGCCTTGGCAGGCGTTGCAGAGTGCAAAACTGTGTGAAAACGGGTGAAAAGTGGAGCAGGAACGGACTCCGCGCGCCGGTTCAGGCGTCGTGACTCAGCACTTCGGGTCTTCGGCACGTGGGCACGTGACTGTGTCGCGGAGTTATGAACTTGGTCAAGGCTGACATGTTCATCTTTGATTATTTGCAGCTCTCTCTCTCTCTCTCTCTCTCTCTCGCGGCTCAACGGATGGCAGTGTATTCGAGGACTTTATCGCCGAGCTTCTTCAACACTGCGAAAGGTGGCCGGAACCTAGGTCCGTTATCGTCATGGACAATGCATCGTTCTACGGTTTGGAGAAGTTCATGAACAATGTGTACCGACGCGGTAGTGAAGGTATTTTATTGGTCACCCTATTCGCCTTATTCAAATCTTATTGAAGACTACTTTACCGAGTTCAAAGGCTTTATCAAACGTAATTGGAGCTAAGTGCTATGAACTAGAGCCTGACCAAGGATTTGATGCTTTCCTCGAGTGGTGGTGCATCAAAGTGGTTGGTGCAAAAAAAAAAAAAGCACCAGAGGCCATTATCGGCACGCAGGCTTGGCTATTGAAGAAATTTAATAGAGGGTTTACAGTTGCAGCTTTCACTGCCTTCGTGTTGCTAACAAGAAAACGTGCCATACGTGGGGGCTACAGTAGTAGTAGTAGTAGTAGTAGTAGTAGTAGTAGTAGTAGTAGTAGTAGTAGTAGTAGTAGTAGTAGTAGTAGAAGAAGAATTAAGTTACCTGTCCCCATGCCGATGTTGATTTTACCACTAAACCAAAATTCAAATCCGTACCAAGTATGGTATGTGGTGGACCTGGTGGTTTGTACATATCAACTTCGCGAGGGGTTGGGTAAATGAAATCATCCATCCATACTGTAATGGAGGCTCTAGTTTGTGCCGCTACAGCCAATGAAATGGTTGCCATGAGCGCCCCTGTGGGTGACCTGACCGGCTTGCTGGCAGTCTGTAGTGACTATGACATAGTCAGGACCTGGTCTGCCTGTACAGGATTAGCTTTCTTTGTCTATCCTTGTGTAGGGAAAATTTCTAGCTCTTACCTCCAGAATAAATTCTGTGAGACGAAAGCATCGGAAACAGGTAGAAAGGGCCTTCAAGGCCATGGAATTCGAAGCCCTCAAAGTTTCTGTACTCATGGGGGAAAGTGGAGTGTCCAGCCGTGCCACCGTTTTGGATGTAGTCGCAAGCCGCTGTTGATGCACGATTCACGTCAACAGCGCTGTATTCGACACTACCGCATGACGTTCCATGCTGAGAAGCGCTAACGAGAGCGAGAAGAGAAAGAAAGGCAATAGAAAAGTGCATTCTATGAGATAAGAAGATTTTGATTACTGATACTGTAAACTTTGTGTGTTGGTGAAGCGACCGGTTTCAGAGAAAGCGATTATTTACATCAATGAGGGTATTGCGGGACCAAGACAATATATAAGTACCAAGGTATCCGTGAAATGTGATTTCCTTTCCCTAAGGCCGCGCCTCAACAGCCCCTTGCTTCTTACACATCCCCCTCACAGAAGATCGCCCTTTTGGCACCCTAGCTCGATGCACGTTGCAAATATATCTAACTGATCTGCAATAATTTGCAGAACAACGAGGAGCTAAGAACAACTATGTGTCTTCGTGAACTACAGTACTATGAACTGTAATTTTCTGATTGGCTTACTTATTTTCTATTTCGAAAAACAACCAGTGACCGATTCCAGATGATTTGTAATCTGTTACCCGGTAGTTAACTTAGCATACTCTAAGGAAAGTGCTTTTTTCTAGAACAGGGGGTACCAGTTTCAGAGCGCCAATAAACCCCAATGAGAGTGGAACACTGGGAATGGTATCTCGTAACCTCCGTCAATGAGGCTTATGAAAATGGTATCTTCCAATCGGGAATCAATATAAGGATATCAAAGATTTATTGGACCGATAGTTTAACGATCACTTCGTAACGAACCATGTAGTTAGGGCCCGTGCATATACACCCGCTTTACCCCTTTCCGTCCACCGGGTGGAGAAGCGCGATCCTCTATGTAGTTGCAACGAATGCTCCATCCGAGTCTTTTGCATCGAAAGAAATGGCTGAACCACATTCAGAGCGCTTTTTCGATCATAGTCCAATCAATTTCACTCTCGTCGAAGCGCTTTGTGACATCACGTCGAGAGCGATCGTTGACCAACAATCTTCGCGGTGTTATCGGCCTTTACCCTTCGATTGTGGGAGCTTCTCGCGAAAAACAGAATTAGCTAGCTTCTCTGCGAATAACAACAACTGCCAGTATGCGCCTAAGGCCAATACCAGGTCTTCTTCATTGTCCCTCACCTCAGCCTTGTTGTTGAGGGTGACACGCCATTCTATGCAGTGGTGAATACAACTTGGCGGATCCTCATCGTATATCTTGTCCGCATCCTACTCAGATTCCCAGAGTAGAGGTATAGCAGTCGCTTGAGGTCGGCTTATAGGGCTAGGTGCATCTTCGAGCGAGACCGACGAACTAGAGTCGGACTGTGTAGGAGGTGAATATTGCGATTCCTGTTCCCATAATTCGAGCTCGTGGGGCTGAGGCTTATTACATAGTCATCGTGATAGATCCTCAGGAACAACGGCATCAGAAAGCCGAGTCTTTGACATATTCTTGTCTTGTTCTGGATTTGTTGCAGACTCTATATCTATCAACTGCTTCTAATTGCTTTATTCGACTCAGAAGACGGACTTTTGTTCTTTTTGCGCCTGTCCACTCGACCTCCGTCATCGTAGACTGGTAACTTTGCTTACGATGAAAGAGTTTGATTTCCATAGGATTGATTGTTCCCCTCCTTCAACCCCATTTGCTCGCTCAGTCTACCTGATTCTGAGCTTTCCGTAACCGACACCACCTCTAGCTGACATCTCGCGCGTTGTGTACTATCGCGATTCTTACTTCTTTCCCGGTCAAAAGCTCTCAATCTCAAGAAAAAGCCCAGGCAGGAGCTCAACTTGTCCACTTTTCGATCCTTTGGATACCAGCTTAATGGCGCCCTCTCCACTAGAGAGAGAAACTGCATGCTTCCCGGTCGTCGAGCCGGAAGGGACTTCGTAATTCCAGGCTCCACCAAAGATCGCATCATACACTGGTTTTAGCTTCGATGCCTCTCCAGGAACCTGCACGGACACCGAGGAAACACCTAGCACACCGCTGGGATGTTGAGTAAGATGCGGCTCCACCTGATAAGGAACGCGCCTTGCCCGAGGCGTTCTGTCAAGACACCAAAAAGGTATAGATCCCGGAGGAGCCGCGTCTCCTTGGGCATCGTTAGGTATACAGATCGCCCATTTCAAGATCGTGCCGTCTGGCTTCGTCCGACCTCCGGGAATAGGGTCTGTATAAGAGACCCCGGTATCGGCGGTCTTGAGGCGCTGCTGGACGGCAGCAAAGTCGCTTTCCGAGGGCAATGTGAAAGCCCAGTCAATTATTGTGCCTTCCTTCTCATTTCCCCAGCGGTGGTTGCGGCGTATATCGGGGTCGACATCATCGAAGAAGGCAATGAACTCAAGGTAAGAGCCATCCGCGAGGAGAATCAGCTTGTTTGTCGTGAATCCACCGGCGTGGTTCCCGCCAGGCGCCAGAATAAACTGGTCCCCAATGTGGTTCGACAGTCCAAGGAGATCTTTATGGGAAACGAGGATGACAAAGTGGTCGAGAATGGGGGGCTGTACAGCTTGACCAGACATGGTGAAATTGCTTAATACCTCGGTCTGGTAACAAAATTCAATATAAACAACGTGTAAGTTACCGGGGAAAAGATGTACACATGATGTGGGAGTTGACCCCGCACGAATGTTCCCCGCATAATCATTTATACTTGAGAAGCCACCAAATGGGGGGACATCTGGCTGACAATGCCATCGTAGTCCCATCGAACGCTGTACCGAGCAAATCTGTAGGTGTCTTTGGTCGGACAATCTTCCCTCTGGTTGGAACCAGCAAAAAAAATAAAGAAAAGAAAAGAAAAGAAAAAGAAGCATGCTGAAGTCGGCAGGGTGCCGGGTGATGGACTTGACAGCAATGAAAATAGTCTTAATGTTGGATGGCGTTTGAAGATTGTGCGGAAACAATAAAAGGGATAATTCTGTAGTTCAAATCTATCAAAAGAATTCCTCATGATCCTGAAATGGCCAGCCCCGCTCGATTTTCTCAAGCTCGTCTGCACTACCACCTTCAGAAAACTCCGCCTTAAGGGACTCGTTTCGTTCAACCGCATAGTCGTACTGCTCAGACCGGACCCACCCTTCTTCTGACAGCCCCCCTAGTTCATCACGCCAATGATTGACGAGCTTGTTCAAGTTATACCACATTGGCTCGTTCTCAGTTTGCTCTTTAATTTCCTGCTTCGAAAATGCGATAGAACATTCATGCTGTTCGTCCTTTCCCGGAACGTGCTGCCAGATGTCACGCATGCGCATCAAAGCTCCTCGCAATGTCATGAGGTTGCCTGACCATTGTCGTCCCGCAAAATCGACGAGATGCTGACGTGACAGAATCAGGGGATCTTGTAGAGCTTGGAGATGCACTTTGTTTAGTCCCTCATTGAAGACGCGGTAAAGATAAAAGAGGCTTTGTCGCCGGATGAGCTCGTCAACTTGCGCCTTGTCCTCAGAGCTCATTGTGTCGTAGTCTTCTGGATACTTCGGTGGGACTAAGCCTGTTGAAGGCTCAGGATCAGGGTTCTCGAACAGCCTCGGGTAGCCAGCAGCAAGGAGCAATGGGATAACAATTGTGTGTTGCCAGTCAATAATACATGTGACGTTGAATGTGTCTGGACACACGAAGACGTTGCTGGGAGTAAGGTCTTATAAATTAGCCTCTATAAGTCCAAAGTTCATTAGAGGGTTTGGGAAACCCACCAGGATGGCGAAGGGTAGGTCGGTTCAAAATGTCCCCAGGATCTTTTGGAAGAAGATATGGAGCAATTGCCAGATACTTCTTAAGGAGCTCCCGATAATCCTGGGGGGAATTGACTCCAGGAAAAACGGTGTTATGTGGAAAGTCGCATTCAAGCGGCTTCCCAAATTGCTCGGTTTTTCGCGCTTTCCGCCTTGAACTCGAAGGTTCGAAATTGGCAAAAAGAAACGCCTTAATTATACTAAGCCAGAAGTAGATGATTCGCCGAGACATTACTCTTCATGATGCTCATTTTTACTAATGAAAACATTCGGCCCCCAAGGTATGTTCCCTATTGGTCCTGTGCATGTGTTGTACATGCGCCTAGTACCTCTTCAACTGGTGGTTCGACAAGGGCATTTCCAGGATGTTCAGATTTGCAGGGAAATGACGAACTATAATGGGATTCCTGTGCAAACTGGAAATAATGCTTCCCCATGCCGACTTCCCTCAAAGTTTCAATTAAGTCTCCGCGAAGCTAGTTTCCATAAATCTTCCAATTAAATAAATAAAGTTGAAAGTTGAGCAAGCACCACTTTTGTTCGTTGATTCGGGGCCTGAGAATATGGCTGACGTTATCGATTTATTTGGCTGATTTGGCTAACTTTGGCTGATGAGAGCCACTGGCTTGGCGGACTGGACCCTTTGTTTGCATGATTAGAACCCTAAATAGTTATCATGGATCGCGTTATCCATCATGCTCTCAGCCAAAAAGCCAGGAGCGACAGCAAATGGGGCGGCCGTTGCTTTATCTAATGGGACCCCCGGGGCTTCTGGTTTGTCATTTTGACACTGATTTTTATAATATCTCCCAAGCAGAACACCAGAAAACATGAATGCTGACGACGAGGTCGGTAGCACCTGCAGTCCCAGTGTAGAGAAGAGGGAAGCAGAAGTTCATCAGCTAGCCAGACACCTTACAGGGCAGAGCATCTATTCCACCACGGAGCAAAATCCCTTTGCTGCAGAAGCAGGATCGGCCTTGGACCCCAATGGCGAAAAGTTCAATGCTCGGGCGTGGTGCAAGGCCATGCTGCAGATGCAAACGGACGACAAGCAGGCACATCCGCTGCGAACCCTGGGTGTCGCCTTCAACAACCTCAATGTGCATGCCTTCGGTTCCGACACGGACTACCAGAAAAGTGTCGGCAATGTCTGGTTAGGGGCCCTCGGTCTGGCAAGAAAAGTCCTCGCTCCAAAGCAACACAAGATTCAGATCTTACAAAATCTAGAAGGACTGGTGGAGGCTGGAGAGATGCTGGTGGTTCTTGGACCTCCTGGATCGGGATGCTCGACTTTCTTGAAGACTATCGCTGGAGAAACCTACGGCTTCCATGTCGATCAGTATTCAACACTCAATTTCCAAGGTATGCTTGATTGACTCGAACGTGCGAACATTTGTTGATTACCGTCAGGTGTGAGCGCAAAACAAATGGCCCATGGGTTTAGAGGAGAAGCCATCTACACCGCGGAGGTCGACGTCCACTTCCCCAAACTCACCGTCGAAGATACTCTCTATTTTGCCGCGCGCGCTCGAGCACCACGGCACATTCCTGGAGGGTTGAGCGTAACCCAGTATGCAAGCCACATGCGAGACATGATCATGGCCATGTTCGGTATCAGCCACACAAGGAAAACGATCGTCGGAAATGACTTCATTCGTGGTGTGTCTGGTGGAGAGCGCAAGCGGGTCACTATCGCCGAAGCTTGCCTGAGCAACGCGCCGCTGCAATGTTGGGACAATTCCACCCGTGGTCTTGACAGTGCGAATGCAATCGAGTTCTGCAAGACTTTGCGCATGCAGACAGACATTAATGGCACTACTGCCTGTGTCTCTCTGTACCAAGCTCCTCAGGCCGCCTACGACTATTTCGATAAAGTCCTAGTTCTCTACGAAGGTCGCGAAATATACTTCGGACACAAAGCAGCGGCGAAGCAGTACTTTCTCCATATGGGCTTTGTCTGCCCCGAACGGCAAACCGATGCCGATTTCCTCACTTCTATGACTAGCCACCTCGAGCGTGTCGTGAAAAAAGGGTACGAAGACCGCGTACCTCGTACACCCGAAGAGTTCGCTGCGCGATGGAAAGCCTCTAAAGAGCGAGCACAGCTCATGCAAGACATAGAGAGATATAATGCAAAGTTTGCAGTAGGTGGTAAATATCTGGACAAGTTCAGGGAGTCTCGGCGAGCTCAGCAAGCCAAGGCTCAGCGTGTATCATCACCCTACACTCTTTCCTACGTGCAACAGGTGAAACTATGCCTCTGGCGCGGATGGCAACGGTTGAAGGCTTATCCCAGCGTCACAATCTCTTCGTTATTTGGAAATACTATTATGGCCTTGGTTATCGGAAGTATTTTTTACAACCTCAGGGCCGACACAAGCACTTTCTTTCAGCGCGGTGCTCTTCTCTTCTTTGCCGTTCTCATAAATGCCCTTGGTTGTGGCCTCGAAATGCTGACACTGTACGCCCAACGGGCGATCATAGAGAAGCACTCCCGATATGCTCTCTACCATCCATCTGCCGAAGCATTTGCATCAATGATCACGGATTTGCCCTACAAGATTCTCAACTCCATTACATCGAATTTAGTTCTCTACTTTATGACCAACTTGAGAAGAGAACCCGGTGCTTTCTTTTTCTTTATCTTCACGTCGTTCGTCCTGACTCTCACCATGTCCATGTTCTTCCGGTCTATGGCATCGCTCTCAAGGTCCCTTGTTCAAGTTCTACCCTTCTCCGCCGTTCTGCTTCTCGGTCTCAGCATGTATACTGGATTCGCTATCCCAACAGGGTATATGCTTGGATGGGCTCGCTGGATTGCTTATCTCAACCCTATTAACTATGGGTTTGAGTCTCTTCTGATCAATGAATTCCACAACCGCGACTTCCCGTGCATGAACTTTGTCCCGTCAGGTCCTGGCTACGCGGATCTCGGGCCTACCAACCATGTCTGCTCCACCGTCGGGTCAGTACCCGGACAGCCTTCTGTTAAAGGCGACTCCTACATCGAGTCAGCGTATGGATATACCTTTTCGCATAAGTGGAGAAATATCGGAGTCATATTTGCCTATATGTTCCTGCTCGGCGCTGTCTATCTCGTTGCCACCGACTTTATCACCGAGAAAAAGCCGAAAGGCGAGATCCTTGTTTTTCCTCGCGGACACAAAGCTCTGAAGAAGGGCAGGTCAGGTGAAGATCTTGAAAGGGGCAGTGGTTGCAACGTCTCTGTCAAGAAGACCGATTCAGACGACCTTGTCATGATCGAGCGACAGACCGCAGTCTTCCAGTGGAAGGACGTCTGCTTCGATATCAATGTTGGAAAAGAGAACCATCGCAGAATTCTTGACCATGTTGACGGATGGGTAAAACCAGGGACTTTGTCGGCACTTATGGGGGTCTCTGGTGCTGGAAAAACCACTCTCTTAGATGTCCTGGCTACGCGGACCACTATGGGGGTCATCAGTGGAGAAATGCTCGTCGATGACAACCCGCGTGATGACTCCTTTCAGCGCAAGACCGGCTACGCCCAGCAACAAGATCTGCACTTGGGTACTGCTACAGTGCGAGAGGCGCTTGAATTCTCCGCTCTTCTACGTCAACCTGCTCATGTTCCTCGTCAAGAAAAGGTTGACTACGTGACGGAAGTAATTAAACTTCTTGACATGACTGAATATGCTGACGCTGTAATCGGCATTCCTGGCGAGGGTCTCAATGTCGAGCAACGAAAGCGTCTCACAATCGGGGTCGAGCTTGCGGCCAGACCGGCCCTGCTTCTTTTCTTGGATGAACCCACCTCAGGACTTGATTCTCAGACATCTTGGGCCATTCTTGATCTCCTCGACAAACTGAAGAAGAATGGCCAAGCTATTTGTAAGCTTCTGATCATGCATTCATCAGTGTCACTAACGTGTTCCAGTGTGTACCATCCATCAACCGTCCGCAATGCTGTTCCAGCGCTTCGATCGTCTCCTCTTTCTTCAAGCGGGTGGTCGCACCGTTTACTTTGGAGAAATTGGCCAAAACTCAGAAATCTTGATTGATTACTTCGTCCGCAACGGTGGCTCCCCATGTCCTCCAGCCGCCAATCCCGCCGAATGGATGCTCGACGTGATTGGTGCCGTTCCTGGAAGCCACACCGACATAGATTGGTTCGAGACGTGGACTAATTCCCCGGAGTACGCACGAGTCCGAAAGCACCTCGCCGAGATGAAACACGAACGTTCCCAGCAAGCCAACTTGTCCCTCACCACCTCCGACCAAAAGCACAAATATGAAGCCAGCTACCGTGAATTCGCTACTCCTTTCTGGACTCAGCTCCGCGAAGTCCAAATCCGAGTCTTTCAGCAAATCTGGCGCTCACCAACCTACATCTATTCCAAGACCGCCCTCTGCGTCTTGTCCGCTCTTTTCGTCGGATTCTCTCTCTTCCACACACCCAACACAATCCAAGGACTCCAGAACCAAATGTTCGGCATCTTCATGCTTCTCACTCTTTTCGGTCAACTCATCCAGCAAATCATGCCGCATTTCGTCGCTCAGCGCGCTCTGTATGAAGTCCGCGAACGCCCCTCAAAGACTTACTCCTGGAAAGCTTTCATGATCTCCAACATCGTTGTCGAACTCCCCTGGAACTCGCTCATGTCCGTCCTTATGTTCCTGTGTTGGTACTACCCGATCGGTCTGTATCATAACGCCGAACCGACAGGCGCGGTGACCCTGCGGGGAGCGCAAATGTGGCTGATGATCTGGACCTTCCTCCTGTTCTCATCCACCTTTGCGCATTTCGTAATCTCAGCATTCGATGCCGCCGAGAACGCTGGAAACATGGGCAATCTTCTCTTCTTGCTTTGTCTCCTTTTTTGTGGCGTTCTGGCGACACCAGATCAACTCCCAGGGTTTTGGATCTTCATGTACCGCGTTTCGCCGTTCACATACCTGGTCAGCGGGATGCTGTCTGTGGGTATATCGAACACGGATGTAACCTGCGCAGTCAACGAGTATCTGCACTTTGACCCAGTTAATGCGACTTGCGGAGAATACATGAAATCGTACATGTCGAACATGGGTGGGTATCTTCAAGACGAGATGGCAACTTCTGACTGCAGCTTCTGCCCGATCAAGGAGACGAATGTGTTCCTCAGTCGTGTTTCGTCAAGCTACTCGAATATCTGGAGGAACTTTGGGCTCATGTGGGTGTATATTGTTTTTAATATCTTTGCGGCGTGTTTGTTATACTGGTGGGTTCGTGTTCCGAGGGTCAAGAAGCCAGTCGCTGAGACCGCGCAAGGATAGGTCCCAAGGTGTTTTCCAGTTGTCTTTTTGACTCTATTTCATGCGCATCTAATTGGCTCCGATAGGTCTTCGGTATTTTTCTTCTCTTCATAATTCAATATACTGATTCCCCGTTCAATAGCTATTGGAAAACAGCTGGCGTCTGTCGAAGGGGAATCCAACACTGAGTGGCCGGGTGGCTTTTAAATTATGACGATTCTCCTGGATTCCGTATGTAGAAGCACAGGATACCTAAAAATAATGGATTCCTAGTATCTTGTCTATCCTATTTCGTATTTTTGTTTGGGTCTCAATTCGAAGGAGGCACAAATACTGTATAGTTGCAATATATATATCAATAGAAGGTCCGCGGTTTAGTCGTCTTGCAGACATCATCATTCTGTTCCACCGCAGTTAATGAGATTTCCAGGAGCTGCCTTGGAAATTAACTCGCCTCTGAGGAGATAAGAGTAGCTGCAGTCATGGTGTGATAATCTGACCACTGCCCAAAACAAGTACAGTCGGTCACTGTGGCCCGCCGTAGACAGCCGCCTTCACAGGTCAACTTTCTCCGCACTTGGCCGATGCCCCCCTAACTGCCCCGTTCATCGAACCATTTCCGCCAAAGATAGACACAATTTAACAACGATACACACGATACCACGGGACATCATGGAGAAAGCACGGAGCGAAAGGGTGGGAAAGGAGAAGCGAAAACCCGTCCGTCGCGATCCCGAAAAAAGGCGGCAACAGAACATCCAAGCGCAACGCAGATACCGTGAGTACAGGTTGATTTTACCTAGTAGTTCGAGGAAAGACATTGCGTGAAAGATATTGATGTTGTTATTTCTAGGCGAAAAGCTCCGTGGACGAATGGAGAACCTCGAAACACTCGCAGCATCGCTGACGCAGAAATCACCGACAACAGGCGCAGTCCAAACCGAGTCGATCCCAATTTATAATATTTCGGATACATTGATTTACAATTCATCAACGGCGACATCAGAGGACTACCAAAACCTTCCACTACCAGACCGTACCACATCAGCACTGAATACCTGGGACCCTGCAACAAGTCTGACAACCTCAGAAAATACGCCCTCGTCATTAAGCATCTGGGATTCTACGATTTGGGGTCACGCATCACATCTATCGCATTCAAATATTTCTCCATCAATATCAGCCAATTCAAACTCCACAAAACAAATCCCACACTCGGAAACTTCCTCCTCGGCACTGAATGTATGGGTTCCTTCAGCTCACGTTGATCCGTCCATTTTCATCCACGATAATGACCAAGATGGCCTTGATCAATACGGAATGACAACAGCCGTCAAATGCAATTGCTCTAGTCCACATATCCAGGTGGAAACACACTGTTCTGGCCCGTACAGCTGCCCCGAGGTCAGGATACTCAGGATTGGAACGGTCGCACCTGCACCGGATCTATACGCCAACCATCTTCGCCTGGAAACAATCTGCACGTTAGCTGCAATGGATGCACTGAGAATGCATGTCGGCCTTACGGAGGAAATGGTGTGTGCCACAGACTCTCCTTCGCCATTCTATCGGTCGATCAGATCAGCGGCGGATGGGACTGCCAAAGAGAATATGATATGCACAGTGCAGAGGATATTCCAGACACTGAAGCCAGACTTAAGGCCAAGCAGGGATCAAATTACTGTCAATCATCCTCCATACATTGATGTTTTGCCATTCCGGACGTTACGGAAGAATCTCATCCTTCACCAGCAAGACGTGAATGGGGGCGAATTCCTCCGCGATGCCGTCACCGGTTTAGTTTGCTGGGGAGGGGTAGGAGTTGGGAGGAAAGATCGAGATGCCTCCACTGGGTATGCTTCCACTGGTACTCCGTGGGACAACCGCAGCTGGGAGGCAAAAGTGTGGTTTCTGAGGAAATACTGGTCTTTGCTAGGTGGTGAGGAGGGGGAACTTGTACGACAAAGTGAGTGGTGGCGCAGTATCAGAGGGGAGGACCTGATAGACATAGAGGCGCTGGCACCAAATGAGTAACTTGCCCTTCTATCTACCAATCTATTTCTCTAGACCTTCAGCAACTCTAGCATCACTCTCAAACTCTACTTCTCCGACTTATTTCTTCAACACGCAGTGCAGTTCCCGGTCCAAGCTGCAATATGGATGCTGACAGAGAACGGTCACTTTATCCTCGTCCCCCTGTGGGGAGATCCGCCTGCGTTGGCATGGTCGATGCGCTGGCTTAGGTTTTCTCGCTGCTAAGCAAAATTGAATTGACGTTCTTCGCTTCCTTGTCGAGAAGAGATGATGAGTTCCTGGTAAACACCAATGGATCTCGCCCGTGCATTCTGCACATGAATTTGAGGGCCAAAGCTACGGGTCAGGGTTGGTGAGGTTGGGCTCTGAACCTTGGAGGTACGGGTGAAGGTTCTTAATTTTGGACCTGGACCGCGGTGAGTACTACTGTACGTCTAGTACAAACCCGTCAAACTTTACCCCTAATAAGGTTTTCCTAGCTGCCTAGGCCTCGGCGTAGAACCGCGTTAGAACCACATAGAACCGCAGCGCGGTTCGGCTCTAAAGTTTAAAAGCCCCAAAAATATAAGGTGCGATGCGCGGTTTTACGTGTTGGAACCGGAACCGCAACATGCCGAGGCCTATGGCTGCCAGTGGACTTGCAAGAATGGGAATAGTTACCGATGTCGACGTATCACTAGTGGTGCCTTGAGACACAGACTTACCCAGCCGGAGTCTGTTAGCCCGCCGGACTCCGGCTGGATAACACCGTGGACTAGTTCGACGGGATAATATAACTCTGCTCACGTCATCCGACCAATCTCGATAGCCACCAGCAGGCAACTATCTGCCGTCATCAACTCTATTTGTCTTGTCATCTGGAATCCGAGAAAAAGAATTTAATCGCAATGAATTGTCCTTCCCTCGCAGGTATCCAATCAATCCATCATGTCGACTCCGGACTACTTCACCAGCGACCCGGACTGGGAAGCATTCGCCACTAAAAATGACATTCCGCTTCCCTCGACCACTCCCCGACCACCGTCGGCCCCAATTGACTTCACCCAACTTGATTTCGCTTTGATTCGAGCGGACGAGGCGACATCTCACGCCGAATGGGCCGAAACACACTCTTTAGAGGAGGTCGGCTATAGTGCAAAGTCGACCACAGTCCGAGCCCGCGACGGTGCCGATATCGACGTGAAAGTGTCCTTTCCACTGTCCGACCGTCTCCACGCTAGAGGAAAAGATAAAATGTCTCTACCGGTCCTCTTGGTCACGCATGGTGGGGGCTGGATTCAAGGCAATCACACCTTGGAGGAATTGTGGTTCTTATACCCATTGTACAAGCGTTTCGACCTCGTGATTGTCAGTGTGGAATACCGTCTGGCTCCGGAGAACCGCTTCCCGATCTGGATCGACGATACCGAGAATGTACTAGATGCCCTACTCGATTCCCCGGAGAGCCTTCTTGGTTTGGATGCAAATCTCAAGGCCGATCTCAATCGACTCATCCTGGCCGGTTCCTCTGCTGGAGCAGGCATCAGTGCCGCTCTCTCTCAGATATGTCGTGACAAAGGTATCCCCATCAACGGTGTCATCCTCAACGTTCCCATGATTTGTGACCCTCGTCATTTCCCGGTCGCCGAGTACGGTCCCTCTGAAGAGCACCTTCGCTCGTACACCCAGTGCAAGGATATTTTCATGGGCTCAGATGGGATGATCGGCGTTTGGAACCTGATTCATCCGGATCCCTCCTCGGGCTTGAACAGTAAAGCATCTCCGTTGCTTGGGGATGTGGAAAGTCTTCCACGGCATTTGATCTTTGTCGCAGGACAGGATCCGTTACGAGACGAGGGAATCGCATATGCCAGAAAGCTGGCAGAGGGAAATGTACCGGTTTCGCTTCATGTCTATAAGGGTGTCCCGCATAACTTCGGACATTATTGGGAGTTACAAGCGACAATGAGGTTTTGGGAGGACTTGAGAGCTACTCTGGAAAAATGGTTACTTTAGCTGAGCGTTAGCGAGGCTATTATATGTTAAAAAATCATAGTGCTGAGTCAACCTAGTTAGTGGCCTTCAAGTAGACAGTGCACCTAGTATCTGGGCTTTTCCATTTGACAACCGTTGCCATCAAACCATAATTCGGCCTCAAATCCTCAAAGGTTGCGGATCGGGTTTGCCATCAGGACCGGCCCTGGTAATGATTTGATCGGGTCACTGCAGTAGACTGAGGTCGACGAGACACAGCATTGGAACGGCAATCTGGAAACCTAGAACCGATCAGTCGATTTTCCACGTGTTTCTCCCGCCAGTTGCACAAGTCAGATGGGTGCAACCACAATGACTCAAGCCCAGATGGAGCGGCGAAACGGTGGGAAAGATGAGATCACCGGCCTGCAGCCTGCCATTGCCATGACTCGTAATGTAGTGGATGACCCCAAACCCCGCGAGCACAAGCCTATCAGACCGGAAGACACGCTGATTCGAAGCCAGGAGCAAGAAAGCAATAGAGTTTTACCCCACATGGACCACGGGACCGGCTCTTATCATCTGCGCCCCGCCCCTTGCCGTTGCCGATAGCGCTTCTTTTCTTCCCTACTGCACAATGCCGGATCGACGTACAACGCGAATCGTCCGCGTCCGCACTGGATGCTGGACCTGCAGGCGGCGGAAGAAGAAGTGTGACGAGACCCGCCCGATCTGCGGCGGTTGCCTGCGCAACGATTTGGGCTGCTCTTGGCCTTCCAGCGTTCCAGGGAGGAGCAATTCGGCCACGGAGAATGTGGAGAGAGTGATGGAGGACCGGCGGTCGAGCCTCTTTGAAGTTGGCGATCTGGATGGAATGCAGCTGCCCGCCCGCCCGGCTTCAAGGCATTCGTCCGTGTCGTCGGTTGGAGGGCAATCGACAATCACTGGGATAGGGCTCGACGATGCGATGCAAGAGGAGGGAATGGAGCGTCGGGCTTCAGTTGCGAGCAATGATAGCTCCGTGGCGGCAATTCCCTTTGGCAATCTGGTGCCCAGGACCATGTCGATGCTACCTGGTTACGATGCTGATAGCTATCAACTGCTCAGTCACTACTTGAGCACGACTGCCGACTGCATGGCCAACGGTTCAACGCCCATCAACCCATTTCTCGTGCAGATTGTACCGTTGGCGTTTTCAAGCGATCTTTTATTACAACTGGTCATCACGCAAAGTGCGGCCCACCGTGCCTTTCGACGCCGCGATGAGTCTGACGCGATCGCCCACTCTCACTACACCAAAGCCATCCAACTGTTTCGACATGGAGTCACCGAGTTTATCGATGGAAAAGAGCCTAACCCGCTCATGCTGCTGGTTGGCGCTCTCCTGATGTGCTTCACGGAGGTATGGCCACTACACATCTTCGTGGAGAACAAACTAACTAACAACCACAGACCGCGAAAGGAGATACGACTGGAACAATATTCGACCACTTGTCCGCTGCTAATTCCCTCCTTGTCAAGCTGCTGGCACAGAGCGACACCGCCGTTCCGAAAGAACTAAAGAATTTCGTCATCGAATACTACACCTACACCGCGACTGTGAGCATGATCTCCGTCGACGCCCGCCTAAGTGGGCAACTGTTCTTGAATTTCGACCTCGAGCAAAGGGCACGCGAACTTCTGACTAACCAATACGTCGGCAACCTCTGCGGCTGCTGGCTGGAACTTCTGCTCCTCATCCCCTGCATATTCGATCTTGGCCGACAATGGATGATGGACGAAGCACAGAGCATCTCCCCAACCGCAGATGACATTGCAATGTTTGCCTCCATCCAGGCCCAAATCCTACGCTGGTCGCCCTATCCACATGTCATCCCCGAGGTCTACCTAGCGGGCTCGATCTTCCAGCAGGCCATGTTGATCTACCTTTACACGTCACTGGGCGGGTATCAATACGCGCCCGATGGAATATACAAAGGCCTGGTCGAGAATGCCATCACGGAAGCCATGGGCTATCTAAACGAGTTATCACCGCAAGCCCGTATCAACTCGGGCCTGTGCTGGCCGATTGCAGTCGTGGGCTCATGCCTTTCAACGCCAGTGCAAAAGGCGCGCCTACGAACCCGATTAAACGAGATGTCATCCCACTTCGGTCTTGGCAATATGCACCGGACTCTCCTGCTACTGGAAGCAATGTGGCAGCTATCCCCATCCGAGGCGGGACCTTGGAATATCTGTCGAACGATGCAGCAGAACCAGATTTGGATATCCTTTGCTTGAACAAAGAATTGAACACAAAGAAATAATTCATTCAAATCATACATAATGAACAAGATATATTCTATGAACCCAAGTTCTTTGGTGCCGCGGTCGCCGGTCCCTCGGGCGTCACATATGCCTTTGTTAATCCGCCGTCGACGACAAAGTCGGTCGCATTCACGAAGGATGATTCGTCGCTGGCCAGGAAGACCACTGCATGGGCCTGCTCGATAGCCTCGCCGAAGCGGCCAGTTGGGAAGTGAACCTCACGACGGAAGCGCTTTTCCTTGTCATCACCAAGCCAGTCCTGGAGGAGAGGAGTGCTAAAGAGCTGTTAGCAGGGAGTAACCAGCACAAAAGGGGAAATAACATACTTGAGAGGCGCAGGGCAGAGCGAGTTAAACCGGAATCCTGCAATCGTCAGCAAAAGCGCCCACAAAACAAACCATGACAAAAGACCTACCCTCCCTCGCATGAACAATAGCAAGCTCCCTCGTCATAGCAAGCACAGCCCCCTTGCTAGCAGTATACGCCAACTGAGGCGTCGCAGCCCCAACGAGCGCAACCATACTAGCAGTATTAATCACGCTCCCCTTGGTCTTCCCATGCCGTCGGAAACTCTGCACGGCATGCTTACTCCCGAACCAAACACCCTTGACATTGATATTCTGCGTCAAGTCCCAAATCTTCTCCGGCGTCTCGATCGCATCCGCGTCGTCCGCGTGCATGATTCCTGCATTGTTGAAAATCACGTCCACGCCGCCCCAGCTGTCGAGCGTTGAGACCATGGCAGCTACATCGGCCTCCTTGGATACGTCGCAGCGGATGGTTTCGACGCGCGGAGAGGATGGCACGACTTCCTTGACTTTGGCGAGGGCCTTTGCTAGTGCGGGCTCGGAGATGTCGGCCATGAGGACGGACGCGCCTTCACGGAGCATGAGGATCGTGGTTTCCAGACCGATGCCGCCGGCAGCGCCGGTGATGATGGCGTTTTTGCCTTGGAGACGGCCGACCATGTTGTATGTGGTGTAGTATAGGTTGTGTGGATGGGAGATGGAGGTGAAGAGGAAAAATATATGCTAGAAGCTCTTTGGATCCTAGGATTCCAATTTATAATCTATCTATCCTCCACACTCTCCACCTTCCATCGTCCCATGACCTCCCATCTCCAAGTAGCTCCGAAGTCTTACGCGATAACCCACAATACCGCTTGGAGGTTGCGGTTCGAAACATTTGCTCCCTCCGCGGTCTACCCATGGAGCGCAATTTGCATCGCCTATCGCGCTCCTAGTGTCCGACACCGATCCGACGGCGCGGTACTCTGGTGAGGGCGTGTCACGAGGGGCAGTTAATATGCGGTCTAAAGTCTAAGATAACGGCATTGCAAGGGTCCGCGTGTTAGGCGAATCGTACGTTTGCCGCGCTGCGGAGACCCGCAGCGCGGTCTGGGACCGCGGTGTGGGGCTGCGCCTCGAGTTGTGATTTGTTGGGCTTGCCAAGGGTATGCAAGAGGATTATTGGAGAGGATTTGATGGAAGCTGGGCTGTTTTAGTTGTAGTATAGCTATACTATTCACGGATGTATGAATGAAGAAATGCTTCAATTGGAAGGTCTATCTCTAGCTTAATCTAAGAAGAGTACTTGACGTGGTAACTCTTCAACTTGGTGAACCCGTCATAGCCACGCGGGCCCAATGTACATCCCAGACCGGAAGTCTTCCAACCAGTCCATGCGAGATCCTATATAAATCCCATTGTTAGCTAACATGCAATCGGAGATCCAGAGACGCGGAATAAACTTACCGGAGCAGGGTAATCGCAACGATTAATAAACACCGTCCCAGCCTCGATGGAATCAATCAACTCCTCTCCACGAGCAATATCCTTAGTCCAAACACTCGCAGTCAACCCATAGTCACTATCATTCATCAATGACACAGCTTCCTCGTCGCTGGATACCTTCATAATAGGCATGACAGGACCGAATGTCTCTTCTTTCATCGTGATCATGGAGTGGTTGACATGCGTCAGGACGACCGGAGCGATGAAGTTTCCTTTCAATGCCGTCTGTGCCAAGGAAAAGGTTGCATTCTCCGGGGTGACGTCGATTGCGCCCTTGCTCAGAGCGTCGTCAATGTGGTATTGGATCTTGACCTTGGCAGGTGCCGAGACCACGGGGCCGGTTGTTGTAGTGCTGTCTTGGGGGTCGCCGAGCTTGTATCTGTAAAACGATTAGATATGCGCGATGAAGGGGATAAGTGGACTTACGTCGCCAGTTCCTGCTGGACACAGCGCACGAACTCATCGTGGATCTTTTCGTGCACGTAGACACGCTCAATGGAGCAGCAGCTCTGGCCAGAGTTGAAGACTGCACCGTCGACCAGGTTCTCGGCAACGCTCTTCACGTCTGCGTCGGCGCGAACGTAGGCGGGGTCCTTTCCTCCAAGCTCGAGGTTCACGGGCTTGACCTGCTTAGCCGTTGCTTCGCGGAGGCGGATACCGCCTGCGGTGGAGCCGGTGAATGAGATCGACTGGATTTCGGGGAGCTGAGCGACTTGATCGAGGACGTCCAGGCTGCCGATGTGGACTATTTGGAGGACGTTGGGGGGGAGTCCTGCTGCGGTGAAGATCTCCAAGAGTCTGTTTCCGAATAGAGGGGTTTGGGGAGAAGGGCGGAGGAGGACACTGTTTCCTGCCAGGAGAGCTGGGATCAGGGCATTGACGGTGGTCAAGTAGGGGTACTGTGTGCTCGTTAGTATATCGTCCGATCATGTTTGGTACATTACTTACGTTCCAAGCTCCGGCGATAAGAATAGGTCCGAGAGGAACGCGCTTGACCATGCGCTTGAACCCAGCCTGGGGCTGACCGGGCAAATCAGCCAGGCTCTCTTGAGCAATCTGAAGCAAGTACTCCGCACGAAGCACGGCAGTCTTGATCTCTCCAACACAGTATCTGCGACTCGTCAGTCAACTTCACCCGACATATCCAGCGGGACCAATGTACCTAATGGGTCGGCCCATCTGCATGGTCAGCTCCTTAGCCAGCTCATCGTACTTGGTAGCAAGAATTGCAAGCGCGCGCTTGACGATATCCTTCCTCTCCCCCAAGCTCAACTTGCGATAAGACTCAAATGCCGCCTCGGACGCCTTCGCGATCTTGCTGGCATCTTCGAGCGAAGTGCCAGGCTGGTCGAAGATCACTTCATGTGTGGCGGGGTTGATGGTACGGATCTGGTTCGACATTGTGAATTGAACTGCCGGATTGCAATGCCTGGTGGTTCAGGGAGTTCCAAAAGTTGGAGGGGCAGATCGGGTTTTATAAGCGTGTGATGTCAATCTCCGCTTATCGCGTTCCGCCTACGCGTTTTCCCCCACTTTGGAACTATGACCTTTTTGGACGGGCTTGTGCACGATACGAAGAACTTTTTTGTCATTGAATAGTAATTTATGCTACTGAGCTTGTGATGAATTCCATAATTTTCTTTGCCACCAGGGCTCCGTCGTGGTGGTTTCCTGCTCTTGCAGCTCCGTCTTTGTAAAGCTCATCGTTGAACAAACCGCCATCGTGTCTTGCCTCCACGAGTTGAGACATGATATACTCATTGAATTCAGGGTGGGCTTGAACAGTCAACAGGCGCCCGGGAATGTATAGACCTTGAACTGCACAAGGGGCGCTATAGCCGAGATTGATGCATCCCGCCGGCACTTCGTAAACAATATCGCGGTGCATTTGGTGTAGATGCTTCCTGGTGTTAGTCCGGTCATTTCCCAGAGTGTCACTTTACTAACCAATTGATCTTGTCCAAAAAGCTTCTTCCCAGCATCAGTCAAACTGATCTCTGAAGGCGAAATTTCCCACCCATCGCCTCTGCCAACACGCGCGCCCAGCGCCCTAGCAAGAACTTGATGCCCAAAGCAAATCCCAACAACAGGCTTCTTGTGAGCTTTCAAAACATCCCGAATATACTCAGTCAACGTAAGGATCCAGCAATCATCACCAAACGCATCATGTTCTGGAAAGGTTAGCCGCGCCCTTACGTACAAAGAAAGAAACCATACTGCTGCCTGTGAGGAGGTACGCATCACACTCGTTGGGGTTGGGATAGATAGGGTTCTCCACAACGTGCCACTTGCTAACCTCGATGCTAGCAGTGGAGTTGCTCGCCTCCAGACCCTTCTTCAGAAGTCTCTCGAAGATGTCTCCATAAGTACCGAATTTTGCCTGCACGGGCGGGATCGGAGTGTCGCATTCGAGAACGGCGATGCGAAGTGGACGTGCCATGTTGCCGAATTCGGTTTCGTTGATTAGGCGTTGCTGCTGCGACGGTCACCTCGCTCGGGGGTTGCTTTATGGATCGGGAGCCGATGGTTGTCCCGCGGTGAGCGCGCGCTTGGCCCCACCGCGCGGTCCGAGGGAGTTGCCGACGCAGCGGCTTCCGACGGTGGACACGAGACCTACCACAGACCGCGAACACGGTTTAGCACCGCAAGGCTGTGTTGGAGACTAGGTTTATTTCTAGAGCGCGGTGTTGATTGACCGGTGCCTCAAGTTGCGACGCGACGGCTATCGTGACCCGCACTCCCAAATTTGTATATTAGAATCGGTGGACCTCCAATAGAACGATTTTCCCCAAATCATTCTTTCACTCATAGCAAGTTACAGAATGATAATTCCCAAAATGATCACAGTCGAGAACCTTCCTACCATCCTCGCCGACGACATCAAAGTCAAAGTCGGCGGTATTGACGCAGATGGCATTTTGCGTGGGAAGGTCATGGCCAAGGAGAAATTCCTTGGAATCGCAGAGAAGGGTTTTGGTTTTAGCTCTGCCGTTTTCGGCTGGGATATGCACGATATGCTGTGGACGACAGATGCGCGAATCGCGCCTCCCGAGACTGGGTATGCAGACTTTCTTGCCGTTCCGGACCTGAACACTTTTCGACGGTTACCGTGGGAGGAGGATATCCCCTTCTTCCTCGTTCGATTCATTAGCAATGGTAAAGCTGTTTCGGCAGATGGCCGGAGTATGCTGAAGGGCGTGTGCGATCGAATTGGTGCAGAGGGCTATCAAGCGCTGGCTGGAGGTAAACATCACAAATATCATACGAATGCGTTAAAGTTACTGACGACGCGCTTTAGTTGAACTTGAGTTCATGAACTTCCAAACGCCGTCAGAGGATGGATACAGCGGGGGATCAAGACACCCCAATATCGCCTCATACCTTGAACACAATGCACCAGGCAGTCTTCGGCAATTAACCGCAGGCAGCTTTTCTTACAGCTTGACACGCCCTGTTGCCAACAAGAAGTATTTCTATGACATCTTCAACACAAGCGCAAAGATCAACTGCCCCATTGAGGGATGGCACACCGAGGGTGGCCCCGGTGTTTACGAAGCCGCATTGAAAGTATGCGAAGTCAGTGAGATGGCAGATCGTGCCGCCATCTTCAAGTTCCTCACAAAGTCTCTCGGCTCCGAATACGGCGTCACTCCCTGTTTCATGGCCAAGCCGGTACACGGGATGCCAGGCCACTCAGGGCACATCCACGTCTCCCTCGCCGATAAAAACGGCCAAAACCTCTTTGCCAGAGAACATTTCGACCCCAACGCCAAATGGTCCGACATTGAATACCTCTCCGACATAGGACGACACTTCCTGGCAGGCCTCCTAGAAGCACTCCCAGATATCATGCCTCTCTTCGCACCAAACATCAACTCCTACAAACGTCTCGTCGAGAACTACTGGGCACCGGTGCATTTAAGCTGGGGACTTGAAGACCGAATTGCTTCTATCAGACTCATTACACCGCCCGTTTGCAAGCCCGGTGCTACGCGCTTCGAGGTGCGCATCCCCGGAGCGGATTTACATCCCCATTTTGCGCTGAGTGTTATTATTGCAGCGGGCTGGAGGGGTATTGAGAAGAAGCTTGAGATTCCGGTACCGCCTATGTCGGCGAGGAAGTCTGGGGAGCCGTTGGAGAAGTTACCGAATACGTTGGACACGGCACTGGCAAGATTCTCGGCCCCGGGTAGTATTGCGAGAGAGATTTTGGATCCGGAGTTTGTGGATTTCTTTACGGCGACGAGGCAGCATGAGCTGGGCCTTTGGAAGGAGGCTGTTACTGATTGGTGAGTTTTCTCCTGGGTACTGGAGACTGGAGTGAGGTTGCTAACGATTTGCAGGGAGGTGCGGAGATACATCGAGACTGTATGAGAGCTCGTCGGAATCGACCAATGTATATTTGAACGTTTTCAATCGACAACCAAATGGAATTGAATCAATGACCTCACCACACGCATACTACTGCTTCAAATCCCCAAATGTAAACTCCACTATTATTCTCTTCTTAAGCTAGAATCGTAGTTTATGAGCCCGTGGAATAAGCAATCAGAAGTCCTTGGTAAATAGCCTTCAAGCGATTCCAATCAGTGGATGTCTGCCCTCGTCGGATATCCAGCAAACACATTGGCAAAACCTAGTCTCTTTCTTGAAATTGCTCATGAAGCCGAACCTGGCGATCCTTTTCATGAAATTAGTCAGTTTGGCCGAGTGGTTAAGGCGATGCACTAGAATTATTCTACTAGACTGAGCACAGTCTGGATATGCATTGGGTTCGCCCGCACATGTTCGAATCATGTAGCTGACGATAAAATTCCTTTTTTGTTCCTTGTGTGGGTTGTGAGGGGCTACAAAAATTTTTATGTAGCCTTCCGACCAATCAGACAGGGCTAAGGCCAACAGTGGATTAATTGGTAGCGTCTTGGAATCGTGAAGACAATTGGAGAGTGTTTGAAGAGAAATAATCTTTTTTGGTCGGTTTGCACAATTTATTACGTTTTCGCTGGCCTGTGAATAGTGTGATTACCGGGACATCAAAAAGCACAGTGGGGCAGACGAATTGTATAATGGAGATAAGGCATTTTTCGGCCATCGGAATTCTATACATAACGTTGGGCAGTCTGCGAAGATCGCTCTTGTAAGAAAGTATATTGACTTATCGAAAGTCTCGAATGGATTTGTTCAAAATATCACCATGCTAACAAACATCCAATAGACAATATATAACTAGGGTATTATGGGTATAAAACGAGTGAAAAGTGAAACCCATAATCCTTGAGATCCCACAAGGCGTAAACATCATCCACGGTTTACCGTCATTCATCGCTTAGCAACACTTCAAGGCTACTTGGAGTATGTAGGGAAGCAGGCAATGGTCTTTGTTCAACGGCGGCCGGAGAGGAAGGACCCGATCAGGGCACCAATGCAAGCGATGAAGCCCAGGAACATAAATGCAGTATCGGCTTCAGCAGAGACACATCGGCTATGCAGCTCATCCTTCCCCCACCAGCAACCCTTGTCACCTTGGTTATCGGACCAGCATCCTCCATTGAGGAGGACATTGTTAAAGGTTGTCCATTCATCCCCACAGTGAACACCCTTGAGAGTAACGGCAAATACCTGTGGATAATGTTAGCTACAATGATTGCCAATTTCGTGTACAGGAGTATAGGTACATACAATGCCACCAGCGAGAAGTGCAAGAGACGCCACTCCATCGACAAGCCAGGTGATGACGCCGTCTGACTTGTCGACGAAGAGTGCGACACTGCCGAGGAGAGCGGCGATGATTCCAAAAGCACCGGTAAATGCAGCATAGCCAGTCTGTGCTGGGGCGCTACCAAAACCTTGACCTTTGGCGAGTGTGACGGACAGACCAAGGACGACGATGCTGAAAAGGAGCTGAAGACTAGTTAGCGCGAGTCAAGCCTCTCACCAGCAAACCTCTTACTTGAGCCGCACGGGCAATGGCAGTAATAATCTTCATACTGTTTGCCTTTAGTCACTTTGCTGGAGGCCTTACGAAAGTAGTTGAGAAAGGAAAGCCCTTGGGGACCAACAGCTAATTTATTCCCTAGCAACAGCTCATCGGGTGGGGTTGAAGACATGGTAGTCTGCACTTAGTGTGCTGTATGATACAGCCTTGTCTGCTCGAGCCACAAAATTCAGGATATGAAGACCGGCGGCAAGATTTGGGGGCCAAAGGAGCCGTGGGGGCCATTTAGGTGCATGAAACGAGCCCCTCAGCCCATCGGGAGGAAACCTGATTTGATGGCCTTTACAAGCGTGCCAGTGAAGTCGCCCAAAGAAATTGACGATCTCTATCGCTTGCTTTAAATAAGCACTGAGGCTGTCGATCCGGTGAGACACCTCTCGACTCCAGGGCGGCCTGTCACCGAAGAGCCGCTTTCAGGAGTAGGAAAGTATTCCAGGACTTGACCTTCACCTAGGCATTCGCACACAAATTAGTTAGCGACTTTTTCCTCCATGATAAAAACTTCTTCATTTATATGTATACGGAGAATCCGGGGGAATTTAACAATATTATAGTCTGAGTCACTTCTTCCCCCCGAACAGCCAAGCACAGCCCCCAACAGCCCCGAAGCAATCTGGCATCACGGAACAGCCCCAATCTGAATTTTGACTCTTCTCTGAAAGGGATGTATGAAGTACTGTGCATTCGGGCATGGCATCGGCCTATTAATAGTATCTGGGTCAGCCTTGCGACCGTGCCTCATGTTGAGTGCCAGAATAATCAGGCGTCCCGCAATGGCTCGTGTGATTGATTCCGGGGTGAAATTCGCCGTCACGACATGAATCTGACCCACTCGGTAAAAAGTTCAGTTGCAACCTGACGTAAGAATTGATGGCTTGGGCGTTACTCTTTGCGGATAGCCTGTCGTCGGTAGACAGAATGATAGGGGCTCTGGTCGGAGTCCGAGACGGGTTTAGGCTGCAATGGGTTAATAAAGGACAGCGAGCGCATCGGGCCCTGACTCACGGCCTCAAGAAACTATTTATTCCTCAATCCACCCCACCCCACACCACTGTTCGTCTATAATCATAAATATTCACCATGGCGGTCCCAAGAAAAGAATTCAAGATTGTCCCCGCCACCGAGGAAGATGCCGTTGCGCTCGCGGAAGTGGAATCCATTGCCAATGAAGAGGCGAACCTATCCCGAGGACAGAAAAATGTCTCTCATGTTATCTTCGGGCCCCCTAACGAAGTTAAGCATAACTTCCGAGCCAAGGGACTTGTTGAAAAGATGAAAAACGACCCCTTTGTACGAAACTGGAAAGCAGTCGTCGAAGAAGACGGCCAGGAGAAGATTGTTGGCTGGGCAAACTGGTTCTTTTATACTGAGCCGCAGCCTATTGAAACCAAGGAGATTGACTGGCCCGCCGGAATGAATGCAAAGGGCTGCAACGAGTTCATCGGCGCCTTGACGGCCATGCGAGCGAAGTACCAGACCGGCAGAAAATTTGGCTGTAAGTCAACCACAGTTTCAGCCCCCGCCCAATTTGATTATAGTTACATTTTTCTAATAAAGGAACAGACCTGCAAGTCCTCGCGACGCTGCCGGGGTACCGCGGAAATGGAATCGGCTCTGGTCTCCTGGAGATCGGTCTTGCCGAGGCGCGCCGTGCCGGCTTGAATGAGTTCTTCCTCGAGGCATCTGATGATGGACACGACCTTTATGCGAAGTTCGGGTTTAAGGATCTTGAGCGTACTTTGATAGATCTTGTGCCATATGGCGGAGAGGGCCAGGCTCAAACTCGGGCTATGAGAATACTCCCCAACTAAGAGAGCAGTGCTCTCAATTGTTAATACTTGGGTTCCGTTCATTTTTGTCACATTATTCTTAGATACTGGCTATTTGATATTAGTCCCCAAATAGCGAGAGGTGTTCCAGCTGATGAACCTTATCTTCAAATATTGGCCTTTTCTCAAAGATGGTGAGGTACAAAACAAGCGTTTTCCAGACTCGTCGCCCAAAGCATACCTCAAGTTTCTCACTGCCCCGAGTGAGAGGTTGCATCAACCTGCGTGCACGGAACTTACCGACACGCAAGGGACGGCCAGAACGCATCCCCGCAACCCCCACTCCCCCCACGTTCATTATCAATCGATAAAGGCGACCCACCGCGGTTTCGGCTCCACGGCTCCAGATAAAACCCCGACTCCCCGGGATCTTCGATTATGACTCTTCAATAACAAAATGGACTACTCACTCCAAAACCATAAGTCCTATATCGGGCGGCCGATCACGGAACTTCCAACCCCCTCACTCGTCTTGAGTAAGCCTGTTCTGGAGCGCAATACGAAGCTTCTGCTTGAGGATGTGAAGAAATTGGGGATTACGTTTCGGCCGCATGTGAAGACTTTGAAGGTATGTGAGTCAATTGGGTGATATGAGGTGCAGTCAACTGACTGAATTGTATCTGCAGTGTACGGAAGTTACTCGGATGATGCTGGGCGATGGCCTTCATCGAAAGATCGTGGTGTCTACGCTCTGCGAGATTCGGGGTGCGTTGGAGCTGGTGAATGAAGGAATCCTAGACGAGGTTAGTAGATGACGTGGCTTCGGTCTCTCAATTGCTTGTTAACGACGTGTACACAGTGTCTTTACGGGTTACCCATCTTCCCTGGAGCCCTTCCGCATCTCCACAATTTATCGCAGTCAGTCAAAGTTCAGCTCATGATTGACAATGAGCAACAAGTCGACATTCTCGAGAACTATTTCGAGAAGATGTCCCCGAAGGCCGCTCCCTGGTCCGTCTTTGTAAAGATAGATGTCGGGTCCCACCGTGCTGGCTTGATGACAGAGTCGCCCTCCCTACCAAAGCTTATTCAACGGATTGAGTCATCACCGGCTGCTACCATCCATGGATTCTACTGCCATGCTGGTCACTCATACGCTTCTCGCACCGAGGATGCCGCAGCAGCGGTCCTCGAGGCGGAAGTGGAGGGAGTGGGTAAGGCGGCGAAGTTCCTGATCAATGAGAAGCCAGATCGTCAAATTGTCATTTCAGTAGGATCTACTCCCACGGCCCATGTTGTGAGAAGGCTACAGGCTACCTTGCCTGAAGTGATGGAACTGGAGCTTCATGCCGGTATGTGAAACGCGCTCACCCGATCACAATACGTGATGGATGCTAATATCAAGACAGGTTGCTACCCATCTAATGATCTACAGCAAGTCGCAACATCACTTGTGACCCCCGAACAACAAGCAATCCGTATTCTAGCAGACGTCTGCAGCGTTTACCCCGGACGTAACGAAGCACTAATCAACGCTGGAACCGTCGCACTTTCTAAGGAATCCAGCGACTTTCCAGGCTACGGGACCGTGGTTGATCGACCCCAGTGGTGTGTTGTTCGCATGTCCCAGGAGCACGGTATTCTGGGCTGGGCGGAATCGGAACAGACCACCCGGCTAATGGAGCACACGGGGTCAAAGTCAAGTACTGGTGAGAAGGCGGAAAGTGCATTCAAGGTCGGCGATAAAGTTCTCCTGTACGTGCAACATGCCTGCATTACTTCGGCGCAGCACTTTGTGTACTACGTCGTTGATGAGCAAGACATTGTGCGGGAGACTTGGGTTCCGTGGAAGGGGTGGTGATGCTATGGACTTGGACCTTTTTCTAAGTGGACAAACCAAATATACCTAAGCACATAAGGCAGCCTGGCTGAACGAATGGTAGGGTTTGGCATAGATCAAGGGGCTTTTACAGTCGACAGTCGATCGTATCCGAGATTCAAGTTTATTTTATACCTAGGCTGTGACTAAGACTATCACAAATGAATGAGAGCCAGCGGCAAATCGAAATCCCCTCAGCGAGTGGTATATCCGCCGTTGGCAAAGATAGTCTGGCCAGTAATCCAAGCACCATCGGTACAAAGGAAGCGAATGATAGGAGCGATATCCTCAACCATGGTAAGGCGGTTGCCCATGCCGTTTGATTTGTGGTATTCAACGGCTTCCGGGGATTCTTGGGGGTAGAAGAACGCTATCGGCGGTATCTTTGATTAGATCTCTGGAAGGTGGAGAGTATATTGAGTATGCGTGAAAGACTTACGTGTGTCCATTGGTCCCGGTGCGACATTGTTAACACTGATCCTGCGAGACTGGAGTTCCTTGCAAACTCCGCTATGGTTGTGTCAGCTGAGAACGGTGAAGACAGACCTAACAACATACCGAGTGAAGTGTTCGACAGGAGCTTTGCTACCAGCGTAAGAAGTATAGTAGCCAGTAAACGCGCCGAGGAGCGCAGTGACAATGCTGATGATCTTTCCGCCATCGGTCACATGAGCAGCGGCTTCCTTGAGAACGAAGAACGCGGTCTTGGAGTTCACTCTATAAAACACCTATTTAGCCAATGGTAACCAGGGATCTTGCAAGGTAATTCCAAAACACATACGCGAACATTGTGTCATATTCCTCCTCGCTGATCTCCGTGATGGGTTTCTTCAGCACTTTGCCGATTGTGTTGACCACAATGTCAACGTGACCGAAGTCCCGAACAACATCTTGGAACAGCTTCGTCACGGCACCTGCAGAGGTGAGATCGCCCTGGTAGAAGGCGACCTTGATTGAAGGGTTCTTTTCCTTAAGCGTTGTCTCCAGCGTGGCTGCATCCTTTTTGCCGCCGGCAGAGTGATAGTGAAGGGCAAGATTGGCACCCACGCCAGCTAGCTCAATGGCGCATTGGGCTCCAAGGTTCTTCACACCACCGGTGATAAGAGCAACTTTCCCAGTAAGAGCCATTTTGGTAATAACGGTAGGTATTAGCGAAAGAGTAGTGATAATGATAATGGAGAAGGAAATCCTGCAAATTGAGTGAAAAAAATCGAATCTTTGGGCAAGGGAACTCTTTATTTATACCCGGGGGCACACAGCTCAGCCTGTCGTGGTGTAAGAGCAATAGATGACCTAGACTTCACATTAGTATGCGTTATCTACAATAGGAAATATGTGGGGCGTGAGAGTATGTACTTCATCTCATTGGTTCATAAATGTGGGTCGGGCTTTCGATGTGATATCCCGTTTCGGAAGTCTCCACCAAAAACTCCGATCTGGCTGCATGATTGGCTCAAGGATGGATAGCAAGAGAGAGGATGATCACGAGCTTCCGAGAAAGTGACCGGGGTTAGGATCTGGAAACCTTTCACCCGGCATAAAGCTATTCTCTGCGAAATACATCGCCGATCCTTGCAAAAAAGCGGAATTGTGGTCAATCCAAACCACGATCCGTTCGAGCAAGCCATTCAGACCCAATGACGCAAGGCCCCCTCGTAGGCTAATGACACGCGCGAGACCCTGCATATGGACATTGTAGTTCTCGAGGCTGCCGAACATGGCTTCATAACTTGCCATTTTTGCTATGGCCCCTATCAACGCATCATTTATAGCCTCGGACTGCTGGGTTTCAAAGCAGCGATTGATGGATGATACAGCTTCATACCGAAGACCGAGGAGGTCTACTTTCATACTGCCAGGGTGGTCCTGTAGAGAGGCATAATGCGATGCAGCGAGAAGCATAATGACGGAAAACAAAGCGGGCTCGGTCATCACCAAGGGAAACCAACTGGTCCTCAAGAGTCCATGATTTCCGGGCAGGTCAAGCTCGGGAACATCAACTGCCATGTGTATCAAGTCTTGGTATATTAGATTAAATTCATTTTTCCTGATTCAAAGTGAAAATGACTTACAGTGATCGACAAGTAGCGGAATCCAAGGTTGACCCGAAACAGGGTATGATCGGAAAGGGTCAACTCGGAGCCCGCCTATTTGAGGTGATATTGGGATTGGCTCCAGAGAAGAAGACTTTGTCACGGGGTCGTTGTGACTTTCAACACCATTCACATCTTGAGATGCTACCAATGCTTTCTTCTGGTTTCGCTTGTCTCGACGCGCAAACCGCTTCCATTGATAACGCGTCACATGAGACCGGACCTTGGTTTCTTTGGCAAGCTGAAGAGCGTCTTTTGGCTCTTTGACGTTAATGAAGACAAATTTCATCTCCATAATTCCATAAAATGGCTGTTTTCCGGCTTGCGTGGCATCTCCAACCGTCTCTCAAGTGCTGGCAGAGGTGAAGGTGAAGGCGCAGATGTGATGGTTTCGCCGTCGAAGGGTCGGCCTCGGATTTACCTATTCTCCGCCACACTCTAAATACTGCCTCATTCTTACGGCAACTTCAGCTAATTAGGGTCTTCCTGTTTGTGTCGGACTTAAATCAAATATAGTCTAAAAGAACTGGTACTGTGCTAATTACTGGCCAGGGGCGAAGTACGGCAAACATCTCCAGTTGACGAAGGCGCTTAACCTCCACGTGCTCCACTCCTTCCCCTTCCCCTTCTACTGCTCTGTGTGGATGTAAAAAAAGTTCATTATCATCCTCAATATTCAATTTCATCTCACTACTACTCATCCCCATTCTCATCCCCATCTTCAACAGTCACCGAGTGACGCCCATTCTCCGGGTTCGGCTTGGTAGTCTCAGTCTGAGTCGCATTTCCATCATCTTCCTCCTCTTCTGGCTTGCCCTGTTCCGATTTCTCCGTCACAGTCCTACTCAGCGCAGGTCTGTTCTCCAGAACAGTCTTTCCCTTCCCGTCCTTCTTCCCAGGCAGCGTAATCTCAGCTGCAGACTCATCCGCCTGAGAAGCCTTTGAGCTGTTATTCCTACGGGCCCGAGCATTCGCACGACGAATAAGCCGGTTGTGGTAATCTTCCTGCTCGACTTCCGGATCTTCATACAGGATTCGACGCGCAGTCTCCCGACCAACAACGGGCAACCGATCAACACCCTGCACCGAGCCAGGGACAAGCTTTGGATCGAGAAGACCGACTTGGACCAGGACGCTTGCTTGGTCCCAGTATGTGTGCTCGGAGTATAGTCGGCCGCCGCGCATACTCACAATGCTGACGAGCACGATCTCCACGCGTTTGCCCGTTGGCGGGACGCCGGGAAGCATCCAGGGAACTTCCTGGCTGTGTTCGAAGGACACGTACAGCTCATCCACGACTCGATCTGGTCCCGCTGTTCGTGAAATAAGGCGGATGCGCATCGACGGTGGGAGACGGCCTAGGAAGTGGTTCTGGTAGAAACGCCGGAGGGCCTGCGCGCCAATGCCACCGCTGACCGTTGGACCGTACGTGACGCTTGGTGTCTTGTCCTTGGTATACCCCTCCATGGTTTTGGATAGGTTCGTGCTGAAGTATTTGCCTAATACGAGTCAGCTCATGTTCTCCAGGAACAGTGAAATAACGATGACCTACCTTCTTGATGTTCCTCCCAGCGTCGCTCCAAGTCCACATCTCTGCGGAAGCCTTTACGCAGTGTCTGCACAGTCCTCGTCCAAGCGATATCCGCCGCCAAATGATCGTACTCCTCCATGTCATGCTCCGCGAACCCAGGCTCCGCATACTCATACGTGAACGCTGGATATGCCAAATTCATGCGTTCGCCAGTGCCATTGCCGGGGTTAATTGGCTTGGTCTTGCGACGTCTCTTGCCTTGCAGCCCAGCCACCTGGGGCTGAGTGGTGACATCCACAGACTTTCCTGCCAGATGCACCAGAACCTTCAGCGATTGTGGGAACCGCAAGCGAGTATCGGGGATGTTGCTTGGGTAGTACGCGACGAGGGCGCAAAGTCGACTAGAGTTCATAGGCTTCATATAGTAGTCCAAACAGTAGTTTGCCGCCTCGCCGTATGCTGGTCCGGGTTAGTTGTCTGCGGTGGTATTACTGGAGATCACATACCAATTACAGCGTAGTTCTCTCCTACGCCACATCCTTCTTTGACTCCCATGAGTCGACTCGCATAGTCCTTCCCACCGCCGTTGAATGGAAGGTAAACCACGTCAAATCCTTCATCCTGCCAGTCTTGGATCGTCTCCGTATCGAATTCGTTCGTCTCAGAGGTAATGCAGACTCGCGCGTTGTTGTCGCCATTGTTGTATAGAAGGCCAGAGCTGAGCCCCGGGGCGTTGATTGAAACTAGGGCCATATTGTGATCGTATGCGACCGAGGAGTTTCGTTATTGTTGTGTTTCACTTGTCGGTATGTCTTCTCTCCGTCTCTGGTGTCACGGGCTTGAAGATATGGTGTGCTAAATCGATAAACAAAATATTAAAAATCAATATTGAGATGATAAACTATCAACCTGTCACAATGGGATACAAAAAGAGGAGAAGTTGTGCCATGCCGTTGACGGCTAACGGGCGCTACGTCATCGGCGTTGCCATGTTCCCCAACACGTCATTGCAGTCGCAAGCCATGGAACATGGTCCGATGCATACATATATTAATTTGGCCACGTTAATTGAATTGTGGCGTGAAACAAGGGGGTCAAGCAGGTAAAGCTTCTTCCATGTGGGCTATTTTAGGCAAGGCGCGACCGTGGAATAGGATCTTGTAGATCGCAGTTTAGTCTTAGATGGGGGAAGGTGCTATAGCATCTTTATTCTCCGAATATCTGACCCTGTGGACATATGGACAACGATGCGCCTACATAAGTCCACGGGTAAGTATTGGCTAGTTTAAATCTCGGGTTTCTAAGAATATGTTGCTCCCTTCTTCCGCGTTTCAGAAATGGCACTCCCAACGATTGGTATTTGATGAAGGTCATATCGTTCAAAGTATGCGAGGCATACCCTTGAGTATCCCCTAGCCTGGTTTAAATAGCAGCCATTACCTGGAAGCAACCCGTTGCAAGCGTAGGATCGTCAACGAGACTCGCCGCAGCATTCCCGACCGTGAGACTTATCTGTCATACGACTTCGGGCTCCACTTCCCAGCCCTTGATTGGTGTCCAACTAGAGTTTGACAGTACCGGGTTAGCCCAGGAATAAAACTGTCATAGATCGATGCTTTAAGCACTCGAGGTAGGATTCTTCAGGGAGCCCTATAGCTTCCAGAATGTCTGCAGTGCAGTAACAAATAATTTTAAATTCCATAATAACACTTGCCCCATACCAGCGCTAGGACCACTTGAGACTAGAACGGTGAGCGATTATCGGTGAACGGTCAAGGGCCCTCCCATGTGAAGAAGCTTCGAGATAAGGTCTCCGCTTCCCCTCCTTCCGCATATCTTCAGCACACCTTCACCCTTCCACTCCGACTCTTCTGTTCAACACAGTAGGATGTCTCTGGTGCAGCATGTCTCTGCTCTTGAGGGAGTTGACCGTGAGCCGGATACTGATCTCGATGACGATTTTGTGCCAATCGCGCGCAAGATCAGTTACGATGTGCTGTATCCGGGTCATGATGCATCCGCCGCCGAGCAAGCTCCCCAGGCTACACCTGCATACAATCACTCCACGGTAAAACGAGCAGGTATGTGCCCTGTCTTGTAGATGGTTATGGGCATTTTGCTAATGTTGTACAGCCCAAGTCGCGTTCACGATTTTCGCGTGCTGGGTCGCGTCTGGCATTGTGTTTGGATTCGCCGCGCTCAAGCCTGTTCTTGTCGAGGAGGGTGTTTACCATGATAATTGTTCTAAAAGTGAATTGCGCGACGGAGTTGAGCTCTGCTTGAAGCAAGATCTCAGACTGAATTTTTTCTTCACCGTCGCGTCGATCACGGCAAATGTGTCCGCGCTCCCGGTCGGAACAATACTTGACCGATATGGATCGCGTCTCTGCGGTCTTATCGGCTGTTTTCTTCTTGCCCTTGGCAGTGTACTGATGGTGCTCTCGTTCCATCTGCCCGGCTTCGAGGGATTTATTGCTGGCAACTTCTTCCTCGCCCTCGCTGGTACATTCATTTTCGTACCATCTTTCCAAATCGCCAATGCGTTTCCCAGACATGCCGGAAAGATTGTGGCCCTCGTGACGGGTGCTTTCGACGCGTCGGCTGCGGTCTTCCTGTTCTATCGATACGCATACGAGGCATCCGGCAGAACATTCACACCGGACAAGTTCTTCACGGGATACCTGGCAGTTCCGGGCGCTATTATCCTCGCACTCTTAACTTTTATGCCAAAGCGCGACTACCAATCGACCCTGCAGCTCGAGAGCAGAATCGAAGAAGCAGAAGACGCCACCCGAGACGTGCACTCATCTGATGACGAAATTGAGAATGCACGCGAGCTAATTCGCGTCCGGAACAAGCGCGCCGACCTTCGAAAGAAGAAGATTAACCAGATTAACGAAGTCCTCGGAGGCGCAGATGTGAGACAACAACGTGCAGAGTGGGAAGAAGACCGCCACAATATCAGTCAAGTGTGGGGTATACTGCATGGCCTGCCAGCCCATAAACAGATGGCTACGCCGTGGTTCATTTTGATCACTCTCATGACCGTCTTGCAAATGGTACGCATGAACTATTTCATTGCCACTATCCGGTCGCAATATGAATACATGCTCGGCTCCGAGGAACTGGCTGAGAAGATCAATGACTTCTTTGATGTCGCTCTGCCTGTTGGTGGAGTTATGTTTACACCCTTCATTGGGTATCTCCTTGATCGATTGAGTGTGCCGGCTATGCTGGGTGTCATTGTCGCTTTCACTACAATCATTGGTATTCTCAACTCCATCCCTGCCTTGTGGGCTGGATATATGACGGTCATTCTATTCGTGCTGTTACGGCCGCTCTACTATTCTGCAATGAGGTATGACCCCTGCTTGAAACTCCGAGCCAACCCAATTCTAACTTCGAAACCAGTGACTATGCCACCAAGGTCTTTGGCTTTGCCACATTCGGGCGCGTTTACGGTTCCATTATTTGCTTATCGGGACTTATGAACTTTTCACAGTACGGGCTGGATGCTCTTACTCATGGGCCATTTAAGGAGAACCCAATCCCTATCAATGCGACTTTGGCAGTCGCTGGGTTTGTGGTTGGCGTCATCCTCGTTACTTTTGTGTCCATCGCAAGCAGACACCACATCGCCCAGGAAGAGAGTAATGAAGATGAAAGAGAGCCACTGCTTTTAGAGGAAGATGAACTTGAGTATGGGTCGACCGTTTGATGACAGTTTAAGGCAGCCGCCTTGTGTGGGAATGGTGTTTTCACTAGCTAAACTAGATTGTGTGCTTGAAGATTTCCCGGTACAGAGAACCAGAAAGAGAGAATGTAGCGAGAATGTGAACAGTTAGTTTTATCATTAATGCCATCCAGCCCTACCTCCCGTTATGTGAATTTACACGAGATCCCCACGTGGGGCCAACACCTCCTCATCCACCTACGCCTGCTCTCACCGTAGTCTCCCTACTCTAATCACCAATTCTTAGCTTATGATTCGCGAACCGACTCTATAGCAGCTATGTACCGCAGGCATATTGCAGAGGTGATATTATTTCGTAGCCTTTGTCAACAAAAATGGACAGCCAAGATGGGACTCACACATCATGCGATCATGGGCATGGTGAGGGGTTAGGAGATACCCATCCAGTCCGTGGAGTCGGATTTGATTCCAGACTCAGTCCGGGTGGCAGCTCTTTAAGAATTAAAGTTCCCGTCCTCGTATACGTCCATAAAGTTTGACTGGGTCCGGCAACTACTCTTTACTTAGACTGTTCCAACTTTATCATGGACCCTGGGAACCTCCGTTTAGGGCAGGTGACAATGGATGTCAGACTGATGATCAAATTATAACACAACCATTAGCAAATCCTTCCATAAAGATATATGCACCTACTCACATAGGATAATGTCCGCCGGGCGGGGCTTTCCTGTCTGGACTGCCGCCGCTTTAATGAGGGGCGACCAGGCTCACTGAGTAAATATTAGTGGAACTAACTAACTATTTCACTAGTTAGTTATTAGTTAGCTCAGTGCTGAATAAGTATCGTGGAATTTGGGGGCCAAGAATCGCAGCTGAACAGCGCTAGTCTGTCTCGTGGTCATTTTACCAATCCCATCACCCCCTTCACCAGTCACATCATCACCCCCTCTGGAAGATTTACACTAGCACTTTCCCACATATGTATGACCCCAATGATTATACTGTGGGTTGGATCTGTGCTCTACCTACCGAGTACGTCGCCGCCCAGGAGTTTCTTGACGACGAGCATGATAAGCCGGAGTTCTTGCCAGTTCACAGCAAAAACCACTACGCCCTAGGGCGAATGGGAAGGCATAATGTCGCTATTGCCACATTGCCACTAGGGGAGTATGGTATTACCTCTGCTGCGCGTGTAGCGGATGACATGCTCCATTGCTTTCCGAACATCCGCATCGGGCTGATGGTTGGTGTTGGTGGCGGTGTGCCAACTCGACATGATGTCCGTCTTGGAGATATTGTCGTCAGCACTCCTCGAAATGGTCTGGGTGGTGTTCTTCAATACGACTTCGGTAAGACCATCCAGGATAAAAGCTTTGAGTTTACAGGCTTTTTGGATCAGCCGCCCACCATTCTGCGCAATGCAGTCGCTGGACTCTTGACTCATTATGAGCGCAAAGGTCATAATATACAACAGGCAGTTGAAGATGTCATCGCAAACAACCGAAGATTACGATCGAAATACCAAAAACCGGATCCTGTTAGTGATCGGCTTTTCCAAAGCGATCACACTGGCGAAGATCTATCATTTCTGGTTCAAAGAGAGGAGCGCGATGAAGACCTTGACAACCCAATGATTCACTATGGCCTCATCGCATCAGCTAGTCAGCTTATGAAGGATGCTCTCATCCGTGACAAACTTGCAAAGGAGAAAGATGTCCTATGTTTCGAAATGGAAGCAGCTGGACTGATGAATCACTTCCCCTGTCTGGTTATTCGTGGCATTTGCGATTACTCCGATTCGCACAAAACCGAACAATGGCAAGGGTACGCGGCAATGGTTGCGGCAGCATATGCGAAGGACCTTTTGTCTGAAATCGCTCCGCAGCAGGTTGAGAGAGAGAGAAAACTCTCTGAAGTTTTGAAATCTGGCTAGTTGATAATATGAGTATGTAACTTCAGCTTAGAAATTGACTAGTACTTAGTGGAAAGGATTGAGAAAACAGTGAATGATACTTCCTCCGGTATGGCAGACTTGCTTACGGCCCAAGAAGAAGAAGATCGCCGATCAATTGCTAAATGGCTTACACCGGTCAACTATGCCGTTCAGCAAAGCGATTTCTTAGGTCGTCGACAAAAAGGAACTGGGACCTGGCTCTTAGAATCAAAGGAGTTCCAGTTGTGGCTCACTCAGCCACGTGAACATCCTACGCTTTTCTGTCCAGGTATTCCAGGAGCTGGTAAAACTATAATTACATCAATTTTAATTGCGTACCTCCAAGCCCATTTCCAGACTGATCCTAGAGTTGGTATTGCCTACATCTTCTACAATTTCCGGCAACAAGACCAACAAAATTTGACCGACCTCATCGCGAGTTTACTGAGGCAGCTTGCCCACGGCCAGGGCCTTGAGCCTGTGAGAAAGCTTTATAAAAAGCATAACGAGGATCCACGAAGCGAGACCTATGCTTCACTCGAAGAACTTCGCGATACATTGCATGCTGTCGTCACCTCCTACTCCCGAGTCATAATTTTGATCGATGCCTTGGATGAATGCCAAGTCCACGACAGCCGTGAAGTGTTCCTCCGGGAGCTCTTTAGTCTCCAAGAAAACGCCGGGACAACTTTAAATATTTTTGCGACATCAAGATATGACCAATCCATCGAAATGTTTTTTGAGAGGAGCTTGAAACGAAACATTCACGCCGATGAGGCAGATGTGCGAAATTATATCGACGACAGACTGCACAGATTTCCCTCTTGGGTGGCAAAAAACGATTCCCTGAAAGAAATGATTAAAGAAACAGTTACGAGGGCTGTGGATGGAATGTAAGTTCTCTACCAGATTCGAGGATGACTCGGTCAATTGACACTAGACAGGTTTCTTCTTGCGCAACTCTATCTTGATAGTTTGGCTTGGGAGACTACACCTAAGGGTATAGAACAAACCCTTGCAGGCGTTGTGGAAACTTCCGACAAATTGAACGACAGAAATGAGAGCAAATTGAGAGCACTGAACAAAGCATACAAAGTGGCCATGCGACGAATCAAAGGCCAAGCACCACAATACTTCAAGTTGGCCAGGAAAGTCATTTCTTGGATACTTTGTGCCAAGAGACAGCTGACCCCACTAGAGATTCAACACGCTGTTGCTGTGGAGCTTGGGATGCCGAAGTTTGACGGAAAAAATATTGCAGATATCGAACTTTCAATCTCAGTTTGTGCTGGGTTGGTCATCCTTGACCACGAAACCAATGTCGTCCGCTTTGTGCACTATACAACACAAGAATATTTTGAGCATACATGGAAAAAGTGGTTTCCTGGATCGCACATTCACATCGCAAAAGCATGTGTCACATACTTGTCTTTCGACACTCTCGATATTATGGGTCCGCCAAAACTTGGGAACTTCTACTTCGAACGAAGATCGGAGATATACCCTTTTTACCAATATGCTGCACAGTTTTGGGGCTATCACGTTGGAGAAGCACAAATGGAAGAGGAGCAAACCACTCTAAACATTCTTCAGAGTACGGGAATTCCCTCAATTTATATCCCAGACATCCACGGGTTTGCTTTCGGGGATTTCCTTACGACTGAAGTGACAGGCTTGCACGTTGCAGCTCCCTTTGGGCTTCTTAAGCTTATGGCAGACTTCCTGCAAGCCACCCCCATCAATTTGAAGGATCAGCATCATAGGCAGCCGCCGCTGCATTGGGCCCGTCATAGTGAAGCGGCGGTGAAGTTACTGATCGATAATGGGGCTGACATGGAGGTGACAAACGGGCGCGACGAGACGCTATTAACTGTAGCCATCGAAGAAAAAAGCGAGGCTATAGTGAAACTGCTTCTCGACAATGGGGCAGATGCTAATGCGAAAAATACCGTAGGGTTTCATCCGCTGAACACAGCGGTTTTATACGGAAACGAAAGGCTCATAGAGCTACTTCTTGACAACAGAGCCAATATTGACGGAGATAGCATCAAGAGATTCGAAAAACCTGTCAGGCCTGGAGGGTTCCATGACACGCCGCTAGCAGTCGCCGCTGGACGAGGATATGAAAATATAGTGAAGCTGCTACTCAAGAGAGGAGCCAACATCGAGGCAAAATCTTATTTTGGTGATAGCCCGCTGATATCCGCTGCTTCACACGGATTTCTTGATATCGTCAAGTTGCTACTTGAAAATGGAGCTGATATCGAGTCAATGAGTTATTTCCATTGAACTCCGCTGTCGTATGCAGCTGAACGCGGGCATTATGATGTCGTGGCATTCCTACTCGAGAATGAAGCTAGAGTTGAATCTAGGTGTCCTCTTGGTCGCAGTCCGTTATGGTATGCTGTCTTTGGGCGGCGTCTAGATATCGCGAAGCTACTTCTTGATAATGGAGCGGAAATTGATTCAAGAGAGGAACATGGCTATACACCGCTTATCATAGCGTCCAAAATGGGACACGTGCCAATGATGGCAGTGCTTCTCGAACGCCGGGCAGATATTGAGGCAAAGAGCTATAGTGGTGATACCGCATTGCTTGCAGCTATCGAGGGAAATCATGAAGGAGTAGTAAAGTTGCTTCTCAAGAACCATGCAAACGTCAAAAGAAAAGGCCTCGCCGGGGGCAAAATTTCTCCACTTTCATTGGCACTGAGGAAGGGAAATTCGACGGTACTGGAACTTATATAAAATGAGCTTTCTGGGCTCTCCGCAGGGTCGGATTCAGATTCGGATCCAGAGCTAGGAGATCCAGATTTTGTCTTTCCCTATACACAGACACTGACTTGCAACTTCCACTACCTTTGCCCAAGAAATTTGCAAATTTCTCGACTTTGCAGCGGCGCAGCCTGTCGTATCATCCGCAGACACGGGATAATATGTACTTTTTGGAGAAGATAATGATCGGGGAAGCGCCCCCGGGCATAGACATTCGACCAAACACAGGCTGGTCGCCACAGCTCAAAAGACGAAGGGAATCCCCATCCTCCTTTATATCAAGAATGCTGTCCTCGAAGCGAAGACGGAAGTGGCCACGCGTGTTTGATCCCATATCGAAGACGAACAAGCGACAGAACGAAGGGTTTCCAGGCTTGGGCCATTCAAGGAGTCCACGATTCCACAGGTGACTGATGCCGAAGAGTAAAAGTTCTCAGGAAGAAGCACTCAACGTTGGCACCACGCTCATTTCCTTAGATCATACAACACTTTCTATTTTCATTTAAATTACCGAAATATAGTAGGATGGCCAGTATTCCACGGCATATAGACAAAACAAGCTATACATGAGACAGAAACGACAGTCTTGTTATTTTTGACGGCCATTGTTCTTTCTTCCGTGTCGCAATCCATTGGATGCTTGACTAAACTAAAGAATCTCAAGCCAAACATGCGCAGATTACATTTGTGGACCAACGAGAATCCCTCCTCCAATAAGTTGACAGACTTTCCGGCTACCAGCCCAAATTTCGCAGATAACAGACACAATTCGAACCCGACGCTGCACTTATACTGCCGCTCGTAAGGACAAGTCTCTCTTAATCCTCGTGAGTTGTTTCGTATTGCAACAAATGTTCAGGGACATCAGAATCATCAATATCATCATCCCACAAAGTCCAAAGGTACCTCCGACTCTCTTCAGGAACTGTCTCGTTCACGTTGAACCACTTGCTCCCAATTTCAATCATATCAGGCTCGACGGTCTCTGTACATTCCGGAGCAGTCGCTGGGTCAAGTGTCCCTTCGGTACCACAAAGTCGACACCAGCTATGTCCTCGCAGGTTCGAACTGCCCGAAATGCATCGATTACCGTTGGTGCTGGCTTTTGAAGTACCACAGTAAAGATTGTTCTTTTTAGTCCATGTTATTTGGAAGTCGGTAGAGGTGCAACCAGCGCAATTGGCTGAGGCAAACACGCGAGAGTGGCTTTCACAGCATACGCGAGGAGCTATGTTTGAGCACGAGGCCTTTTTTCCGCCACAGCTGTGTTTGCTAAATTGGTTGAGGTTGACGGACTCTGTGAGAGCACAGAAGCCAAACAGGAAGATTATGACTTGATAAAAATGCATTTTTGGAAATGTGGATCAGGATGTCCAAGCACGAATGTTTTATTTTTGGATGTTATATTTTAACAGAAGAAAATATTGGCCTTTTATATTAGTATCCTCCCTTGACAGCCCCTCACCACACTTTTGCAACGTTACATACGTATGCCGCTTAAATGCACAATATATATGCTAGTAGGGATGTAAACCGGATTTGTCAAGCATCTGCAGCGATATTTGGCATACTAAAGAAATGTTGTTGGGCTTACATCGTTACATCCGCGACAAAGCGACAGTAGATGAGTTCTCTATGAACAGGATCGACATTCTTTCAGCCTATCATAGCTGGCTGTGTTTTAGCCATGCCAAAATAAGGCCATGCTTCACCATCAAATGCAGGATGTCATTGGATCCATCACCGTCCAGTCAAAAGTGGGTGGCCTTAATTTCGTTAGTAATCAATCATCCGCCTTCTGTCATCGCACACTTTTCCAACGGACTCGGCCACTTTACAGTACCCAGGGGTCTAAGAGGACGACAGTCTCTGTCAGACAAGACGAAAAATCTAGTGGGATCGGTTCAGGAGGTTTTTGTTCTTCTTCTGTCATTAATCAGGCCATTCGATTTCCTATGATTCACTTTTCATGTGCCTCCTGCACGGCACACCCAGTCTCACTTTTCACGAGCGGGGAATGGCGGGCGTCATTGGATATCGTACCCAGGTGCAAAGTTATACTCAGCCCTAGGGAAGACATTCTGAGTAATCGCTAGTCTTTCCAGCAAAGATATACGATACAGTACTTTGAGTAACATACACGACTGATTTCTGGCTATGAAATCTGATCCACACTTTTTTTACCTTATTCCAGGTGCCGAATTATACATTCTAAATGCACAAATGTAACATTTCAATGCCGCAGCCCTGCCAAAGCGTGCGCGATCTGGATGATAGGACGGACATATGTATGCTCCGGGATATGTTGCAAATGTGCGGGGGGGTATGTGGGTCTCGAAAGTCCGTTATTATGATTGGAACTCGGATGGAATTTGCCGTTCATGCAGGGTCATCACATCAAAACCGACCGTCAAAAGAACTGCTGGTCCCGACGAGGCGCAGATGTGATCAGCATTTTGGTCCCTTAAGCGGTATGACATGGCACTTGCAAATGCAGATGCGGTATCATCGCATTAAACAAATTACGTGATAGGTCTTTCATAGAGCCAGGTGTGGTAGCACTCTTGTCGTCAAAGGGGGTCTGGCGTAGCATTTTGCTAATAGAGTTATTCAAGCTGACGACATTAGTGCCGAGGGGTCAGGAATAGTAAGAAGGATTGAACAAACAGATCACTGCCGCTAGTCGTTGGTTATCCCATGATGGCTCACTGCTCTCAGCTGAGCGTATCTAGGAGTCACCTGTCACAAACATAACCCCTATTCGTCGAGCAATACCAGATTTTCCTTTAGTCGACAGAACCGCTACATCTTCACTGTCCAGCTTTTATGCAAATTCCATGGAAAGGCTATCTTAGGCATATAACAATAGGAAGTACCACAATAAGAGAATTAGATGTTGTTCATAAGATATGAGTTTGTCTTTTGCTCCGCCACCTTTTGCCGTCCAGTCACGTCCATCGTGCCAGTCCTTTCCGACTCCTCAAATCCGGTTTCGGTGACTGGTAATTCCGACCGTTGATAAATATCGCGTTCCCTTTATCTCAGTTTGTACATGCTTTTAACGCAAACCAGCTTCAGATCTAAATTCGATCAAGACGGGATGGCCAGCGACATACTCATCGCCGTGAATGACCAGGGATCTCTCTCCTACAGCCGCATCGATCCGGTCAACATGACCACTATCGAGATACCAGTCAACAGTATCCAAGATTCGCCGTCGACGTACACGTTCGTTTTCCAAGATCCCAAAGCGCTAGAAAAGATTTTCAAGTGTTCGACGCCTTCCAATAGGTATTTGGTCGATGAAATGCGAAAGCTGCGCCTTGACATCCTGCAAACTATCTCGGCGGCACAGTTGACTCCTCTAGAAGAGAATGGGGGTATCGACGGGCCGAATATGTCTCCGTTAGTGGAGAATTGGAGGAGCGCTTGTCGAAGTATTCCGAAAGGCCATCAGATCGAGGAAATTATCTTCAACATGTCATGCGGGCAACAAATCGAAATCAGACACATAGTCAGATTACTGCAGCAAATCAGCACCACGATTATGATTAAGGGCAGCAGCCCATTTCGCTGTCAAGTTCAGGGTTGTGATGCCGAAAAGAAAGCTTGGTTAGAAGCGAGTCTGGTCAGTGCCTGAACTTTCTAAACTGTACGACCAAAAACACGCTATTTGAACGGAGGACGCATAAAGGAAGCTGGGAGGATGACACTGGACAACGATTACCTATTCTGGACGAGACCCTCATCTTCAAACTCAACATGTGTTCCCAGGGCATTATTATATGCAAGTGTTACTGCCTGAATTTTTTTGCTTCCAAGGGAGGAGCGAAAAAGGCGCCTTTCTTCCGAGGCCCGACTTGCGTTATGACTCTTCACCCTGTCACCTGAACACATTCGACCTCGCACCCTGTTCGACTCACCTTGAGCTACTTTCTAGTTTTTGTTTTTGGTTTTGGTTTTGTTTGTTCGGCGGTCGTTTACCAATCAAAATCAATCAATGGTTCATTTGCCTGATTTAGCTTGATTTAGATACAGCCGCTATGCGAGTGCTGTCAGGCATGCTTGACACCACCGTCGTCTATTCTAAATCTATTAAACTTGTCACCAAAGCTTGTCCTTTGCGATCAACCTCGCAGCTAACTCATTTCTTACTGCCGAGCTGGGCAATCCGTCCACGGTTCTAGTCGCGTCGGGCAGTATTCTCCGGTGGGAAGGGATATTGTCCCCGTAGTCAAGCAAAACGCGCTTTGACTCAACAGCCGGGATAGTATGTTGTGGCAATAGCGTATGAATTTCGTTATATAGATAAACTCTCAATTAGTTACTATGCGTTCTTACGACTCCACGGGATTGTTTAGATCAGGCTTAGTGAGTAGATTGGTTTGATTACGGAATGATCAGTGACCAGCTCAGATTGATCAGGGACGTGTTCAATTGCACTCAGTGAGCAAAATCGGCGAGAGGATGAGCACTAAAACAGAAGGGAAGGGCCAAGTGTTGCCGGACACTGTCCGGTCTATATGAACAGTGCCTTGTCTTCACACCGCTGGACTAGACCCGGTTCTCAACTAAAACAATAATAACCGGGATAACTCCCGAGAATATCGCCAACAGTTCTTGGAATACCTACCAGCTGACGTTTCTCGCATAAATTCAACCAAACGGGTGAAACATCTGCATTCCGGAAATCGTGCACTGGATCCGCCAAGGAGCCAAGCTCCCATCCCCGCATCTTCTCTATCTCTTCCCCAGATCAGGGCTCGACAACCGCCACCTGCCGTGCAGAGAGACAGATCATTGACTCGTACAGCTCAGGTGTGGGGTTTTTGCCCCTCATCACTCGGGACTTCTGTTTCGTTGCGTGGTCTGTTGCCAATACTGCAATGCACCGAGGCATCTTCCTCATCGTCGGCTATTGTGCTCACGGTTGGAGTGAAAAGCTGGGCATTTCTCGGCAGATGAGGTTTGACGAGGCTAGATGAACTCAATCATGGAGAATGCGCGTGGGTAGGCTGTCGTCCGGGGTAATAGCTCTTTTGAGAATCTAACCTAGATAGTCTCCCCTGGGGCCCAGAAGACAATAAATGCGAGTCTGTATCCCTGTTTCTTTACATTCTACTCTGATACTCGTATCCTTCCTCTGCCATTTCATCCCAACATTTTTCCTGCCATTAGTTTCATTCCCGTTGAACCACCACCTTCTTGTAGGCACAATGCCTTACGATGACGAGAAACCACACGGCGTGGAAGGCATCGAGGATATCGCCGAGCGCACCAGTACCGAAGATGAAGAATTCACTCCCGAACAGCAGAAGAAGATCATCCGGCGTATCGACCTGCGCCTGGTGACTATGACCGGTCTCGCATACTGCATCTCGCTCATGGACCGGACCAACCTGAGCATGGCTGCCATCGCCGGGTATGAGCTCCATCGCAGGTTGCTATTTACAATCCGGCTGACCGGACTAGTCTGAAGAAAGAATTGGGATTGAGTGTTGGCAATCGCTACGTAAGTTCCATACCGCGACTCCAAGAGCATTACTGACATGGGATGGAACAGTCAATCGTCGTCATGATGTTCTTCGTTCCATATGTCATATTCCAGCCGCCCATGACAATCATCATTCGAAAAGTCGGACCGACTTTATTCTTGGGAACGATTGTCATTACATGGGCTGTGATCATGATTGTACGAACCGCCATTACCCATTGGACTCCAATTGCTAAGACTAGCGTAGGGTACAGGATTCGTCAAGAATTGGGGACAACTAGTCGGCCTACGCGTTCTCCTCGGTATCCTGGAAGCAGGTTATTTCCCAGGCTGCGTCTACCTGCTCTCCTGCTGGTACACTCGCTGTAAGACTCCCGTCAGCCCTACCCAATCCGAGACTAAGGTCTAGCAGATGATGTCCAAAAACGCTTCTCAGTCTTCTACCTAATCGGCTGCGTTGCCTCCGCACTCTCCGGCATCCTCGCCTTCGGCCTAATGCAGCTCAACGGAACCCACGGCCTAGGAGGCTGGCGCTGGATCTTCATCCTCGAGGGAGTAATCACGGGCTTCATCGGCATCCTCTGCTTCCTCTTCCTAGTCGACTTCCCGGACCGCGCACACAAATCATGGCATTTCCTGTCCGAGCGTGAATGCGCCTTTGTAGTCCGCCGCATCAACAACGACCGCAAAGATGGGAACCTCGAGGCTTTCTCCCTCAAGAAGTTCTTGCGCCCGGCTTTAGACCTTAAGATCTGGGCTTTCGCTATGATTTTCTTCTGCCTTACCACGGTGACCTACGCTATCGCCTACTTCCTCCCCATCATCCTCATGGAGGGTATGGGCTTCGGCGTCGGTGCAGCGCAATGTCTCGTTGCACCGCCGTACGCATTCGCTGGTATCGTGATGTTCTGCGGTGCGTGGATCGGCGATAAGTATCGCGTGCGCGGCGTGATCCTCGTTGGCAATGCCCTGCTTTGCATTATCGGGTTGCCCATGATGGGCTTCGCCAAGGGAGATGCGACGCGCTACGCGGGCGTCTTTTTGACTGTTGCGGGCGCTAATGCGAATATTCCTTCTTGCATGGCTTATCAGGCGAATAATGTGCGCGGGCAGTGGACGCGCGCGTTTAGTTCGGCGACACTCGTTGGGTTTGGGGGCATTGGGGGCATTGTCAGTTCGTTGGTGTTCCGGGAGCAGGACGCGCCTGGGTATCGACCGGGGATGTACGCCGCGCTCGCGTAAGTGTATTCCCGATGTTGTCACGTGGGGTGATTATTTTGGTTTTTGACCGATGCTAACTGCTGTTGTTAGGTGCAACATTTTGATCGTTCTCATCGTGTGTGTTCTCAGTGTCTGGTTCTGGTACTGTAATCGGCAGGCTGAGAAGGGGGAGCGCGTGATTGAGGATGAGCCGAGCTTCCGATATACTATCTAGTGTTATCGTGCTCTTGCGGGGCTGACGGGGCGCTCAATGGGCATGTTAGGAGGTAACAATGCAATTTTGACTTGTATGGTTCAATTGGTTCCAGACATTGCCAATGAATAGAAAGAATTAGAGCCATGTATGGCACGGAATCCCCGGTAGGTGTCGAGGTCGACACTCCGAGGTGAAAGAACCCCTCGGTCTGAGCTCCAGTGCGCGATCACGGAGTAAGAGGGGCTCCGCAGTGGAACTCTTTAACGGTGAGTTTCCCGACGGAAAACCCGGGGAGTCTCGCCCGATCGCGCTTGGTCGGTGGCGGTGGGCCGTGCTATGTACCTTTATTGGCCCGATAAAGCATCTGCTATCTGAAACCAGCGAGTTTCCCGCCCGCCGTCGGACTCAGACGAGGAAAACCATTGCGATCGGTGTCATTAAATATTTAATTTCTCCGGCCTTTTTCTTCTTCATACTATTTTCACATCACACGAAGTCACGGAGTTCTGTGTGTTGAGGTGCTCAATTCCCTCCTCTACATCCCTCGGTAGCTTCATCAATGGCGGCCTCTTGGTTTGCCCTCCGCGGCGGCCGCCAGCTTGCTCTGCGCTCGCGCGTGCGTGCTGGCCCCTCTGTCGCGCGGACAGCTTCCCTCCCCTTGAACGCCTCTAGGCGGTTCTTGAACACTTCCACCGCCCCCTCTACTCGTCGCGGTGTTTACACCAGCTCCGTCGACGCGCATGGAGACCCTCATCCCCATGATGTCTTCCAGCCTCTCGATACCTTTCCCCGCCGCCACATCGGGCCTTCTCCCGATGCCGCTACGGAAATGCTGGCCGTGCTGGATCCCCCGGCGGCCTCCCTGGATGAATTCGTCAAGCAGGTCCTGCCCGAGGACATTCTCTCCAAGAAGGACATGAAGGTCACCGAGCCCCATGCCGATATCAGCCTGTACCGCTCCAGCGTGCAAGGCGGTCTGGGTGAGACCGACATGCTCAAGCTCCTGGACACCTACCGGAAGCAGATCGATGTCTCGGGCAAGACCTACATCGGTACCGGTTACTACCCGACCATTGTGCCCCCCGTTATCCTGCGCAATGTCCTGGAGAACCCCGCCTGGTACACCAGCTATACCCCTTACCAGCCCGAGATCTCCCAGGGTCGTCTGGAGTCTCTGTTGAACTTCCAGACCCTGACTGCTGATCTGACCGGTTTGCCTTTCGCCAATGCCTCCGTTCTGGACGAGGCCACCGCCGCCGCCGAGGCCATGACCATGTCCTTCGCTACCATGCCCGCCTCCAAGCAGAAGAAGGCCGACAAGTCCTTTGTCGTGTCTCACCTCTGCCACCCCCAGACCATTGCCGTGATGCGCTCGCGCGCTGAGGGATTCGGAATCAACCTGGTTGTTGGTGACATCCTAGCGGATGACTTCAAGGTGGTCAAGGACCAGGGTGACCACCTGATCGGTGTCCTCGCCCAGTACCCCGACACCGAGGGTGGTGTTTTCGACTTCCAGTCGCTCAGTGACTCCATCCACGGCCAGGGTGGTACTTTCAGCGTTGCCACCGATCTGCTTGCCCTGACTCTCCTCAAGGCTCCCGGTGAGTTCGGCGCCGATATTGCCTTTGGTAGTGCCCAGCGATTGGGTGTCCCCATGGGCTTCGGTGGTCCCCACGCTGCCTTCTTCGCTTGCGCCGACAAGTACAAGCGTAAGGTGCCCGGTCGTGTTGTCGGTGTCTCCAAGGACCGCCTTGGTAATCGTGCTCTGCGTCTGGCTCTGCAGACCCGTGAGCAGCACATTCGTCGTGAGAAGGCCACTTCCAACATTTGCACTGCTCAGGCCCTGCTCGCCAACATGACTGCTATGTACGCTATCTACCACGGCCCCGTCGGTCTGAAGTCCATTGCTCAGCGTATCATGTCCATGACTTCTCTTCTCCGTGAGAAGCTGGCTTCCATCGGCTACAACGTTCCTGTGCGTTCCAACACTGAAGGCGGTGCCGTCTTCGACACTTTGGCTATTGAGCTCGACAGTGCTTCCGAGGCCGATGAGGTTGTTGCCAAGGCCCGTGATGCCTCTATCTACCTCCGCCGTCTCACTGGCAACAAGGTCGGTCTTTCCCTCGATGAGACTGTTGGCCGTGACGAGGTTAAGGGTATCTTGGATGTCTTTGCTGCGCACAAGAATGTCGCCCCCGTCGAGGTTGACGGCACTCTCGGTGTCACTCCCGTCCCTGCCAGCCTGGAGCGTACCTCGTCCTTCATGACCCACCCCGTTTTCAACACCCACCACTCTGAGACCGAGATGCTGCGGTACATCCACCACCTCGAGTCCAAGGATCTGTCTCTGGCCCACTCCATGATTCCTCTCGGATCTTGCACCATGAAGCTCAACGCTACCACGGAAATGATCCCCGTCTCCTGGCCCGAGTTCTCCCAGATCCACCCCTTCATGCCTGCGAAGGAGGCCAAGGGCTACATCCAGATGATCGATGACCTGGAGCAGCAGCTGGCCGACATCACCGGCATGGCCGAGGTCACCGTGCAGCCCAACTCTGGTGCCCAGGGTGAGTTCGCCGGTCTGCGTGTTATCAAGAAGTACCAGGAGGCCCAGGGCGACTCCAAGCGTAACGTCTGCCTGATTCCCGTCTCTGCCCACGGTACCAACCCTGCCAGTGCCGCTATGGCTGGCATGTCTGTCGTCACTGTCAAGTGCGACATGAAGACCGGTAACCTGGACCTAGCTGATCTCAAGGCCAAGTGCGAGAAGCACAAGGACGACCTTGCCGCATTCATGATCACCTACCCCAGCACCTTTGGTGTCTTCGAGCCCGGTGCCAAGGAAGCCATCCGTCTCGTCCACGAGCACGGCGGCCAAGTCTACATGGATGGAGCCAACATGAACGCCCAGATCGGCCTCTGCTCCCCCGGCGAGATCGGCGCCGACGTCTGCCACTTGAACCTGCACAAGACCTTCTGCATTCCCCACGGCGGTGGTGGACCCGGTGTCGGCCCCATCGGTGTCGCCGAGCACCTGCGCCCATTCCTGCCCTCCCACCCAACAAGCGAGCACCTCCAAGCCAAGCGCGGCGACAACTCCTCGCCGCCCATCTCTGCCGCACCCTGGGGCAGCGCCTCCATCCTCCCCATCACGTTCAACTACATCAACATGATGGGCGACCGCGGCCTGACCCATGCAACCAAGATCACCCTGCTGAATGCAAACTACATCCTCTCCCGGCTGAAGCCCCATTACCCGATCCTCTACACAAATGAGAACGGTCGCTGCGCTCACGAGTTCATCCTCGACGTGCGCGGCTTCAAGGATACCTGTGGTATCGAGGCCATCGACATCGCCAAGCGTCTCCAGGACTACGGCTTCCACGCGCCTACCATGTCCTGGCCCGTCGCCAACACCCTCATGATCGAGCCCACCGAGTCCGAGAACAAGGCTGAGCTGGACCGTTTCTGTGACGCCCTGATCTCCATCCGTAAGGAGATCGCGGACGTCGAGTCTGGCAAGCAGCCTCGCGACGGAAACGTCCTCAAGAACTCTCCCCACACTCAGCGTGATCTCCTCTCCTCGGAGTGGAACCGTCCTTACACCCGTGAGGAGGCCGCTTACCCCGTGCCCTGGCTGTTGGAGAAGAAGTTCTGGCCAAGCGTGACTCGTGTTGATGACGGTAAGCATCTCCTCTTTCCCCTGCAAACCTTCTACGCATATTTATGAATACGTGCTAATTATGTGACAGCCTTCGGTGACCAGAACCTGTTCTGCACGTGCGGCCCCGTCGAGGACTCCGAATAGATATGATACCCCTTGCATTTTCAGCCGGACTCTTTTAACATTCTGGTCTGGTTTTTATTTCTGTGTATACATTCAACATTTTTCTTTGTACTCCTGTACTGTGATGATCACGATTTTACTTGGTTAAAGTAATTGATTCAACATATTAATTTACATTCCCATCGTTGAGAGAATTGTGTACTTGGGAGAATCCCTCCTGAGGTGTATGGGCAAGCTGTGTTCAATTGCAAGGCTACGCTAAATCATAGTTAACCAAAGTAATTTTTTTAACCCCAAATCTCACGCTGTACACTCGCCCAAATCAATCTGGAGGCCGAAAAGCGATTCACCCTTTTCACGAATGATGAGGAGTCATCGGAAACCCCATAGCGCTGTAGTTGCGGTGTTCTCAAGACACATGGTTGCTTTTATAAGAAATGACGGAAGTTATGGGATACCCCATGATTGGGGAGCACCATTGGATAAGCCTTTATACCTCTATCGCAGCATAGGGTGAATTGACCATCTCGATGTTCCTACATCTCAATCCGACGTCTTATCTCCATTTTATAGAAAAACCTTATCATTGCCCCTCTTACAATACCTGACAGTACACCCGTACTCACCCGCATACCAGAGTCAACACTCCCCCGCCAAGCCCCACGTAATTTTCGAAAATACAAGTAATCCTGCGGAGACAGCCGATCGCCGTCCTTTGCGAAGTGAATGTCAAGCCCTGTTGATCCCAACACCTGTCACCTCGGGACTTCACTGATCACCGTGTGATACTACGCAGACTAAACAAGCAGGAACAACCTTGATATTCCGTCAGTGCTGCGCCTGCCGTTTCTGTTGTTGCTATCTGACCCCTTTCGAGCGGCTCATATATCAATCTGCACCCCGGCTTCCACATGGAGTGATTTTCCGTTGTGGACCCAGATCTGCGCATATTTTGTCGTGCTCCTAGATCTATCTTAGACTTTACCTACTTGAATTTGCGTTCGCTTGACGCATCATGGCCGAGTCTTACGAGTTCACTGTCTATCGAGGCACTTTCATTCAGCTTCCCCGGGTGGACGTCAGCCGAACCAAGCCGGAACTCGTTCGCAATCGCGGTGCCCTATGGGTCTCGTCTTCTGATGGTCGTATCAAGGGCTTTGACTGGCAGGTTCGGGACGATGCAAGTTTTCAAGCGCTGATGAGCCGCAATGGCTGGGTCGACGTTGATGCGGCTGTCAATGGCAACGGCAACGGCGTCACTGGATCAACTGTCAAAGTCAAGATTGTCACTGCCACCGAAGACAGGAATGAGTTTTTCTTCCCCGGATTCATTGGTATGTACCCCTTCCTCTTCACTCAATATCACGCGCTGACCACGACCAGATACCCATATCCACGCGCCTCAATTCCCGAATGTCGGGCTATTTGGTTCTTCCACTCTTCTAGACTGGCTGGAAACATACACCTTCCCCGTGGAGTCAGGATTTGGCTCTAAATCAGACCCCAAAAACCAAGCCAAGAATCCCAAAGATGCACCACCTTCTGCTCTGCGCATCTACGATCAGGTTGTGGCTCGCACTCTTTCCCACGGCACAACCTGCGCCTCCTACTTCGCCACAGTCCACGTTCCGGCAACCAATGCTCTCGCCGCGCTCTGCCACTCACGCGGCCAGCGCGCCTTCATCGGCCGAACCTGCATGGACAATCCAGACTTCTGCCCAGAATACTACCGCGACCAATCGGCCGACGACTCGATCAGCGCAACAAGATCAACAATAGAGTACATCCACACTCTCGATCCAAAGGGAACTCTAGTCAAACCAATCGTCACACCTCGCTTCGTGCCAACCTGCACCCGTCCGGCCCTGGAAGGCCTGGGCAAACTAGTCGCAGAGTACAACCCACCCCTCCACATTCAAACGCACATCTCCGAAAACACAAACGAGATCGCTCTCGTCAAGGAACTTTTCCCCGAATGTCCCAGCTACGCCTCCGTCTACGACACGTACAACCTCCTCACCCCGCGTACAATCCTCGCCCACGCAGTCCACCTAACAGCCGACGAGCGTGCGCTGGTTCGCAAGCGCGATGCTAAAGTCTCCCACTGCCCCGCTTCAAACGCAGCTCTCGGCTCCGGAATCGCTCCCATCCGCGTCATGCTCGACGAGGGTATCACCGTCGGTCTCGGAACTGACGTGAGCGGCGGATACAGTCCCAGTATCCTGGAAGCCGCGCGCCAGGCTTGCCTCTCATCCCGGCTTCTGGGCCATACAACCGGCCACGTGGAATGCAAGCCGGTGAATGGATTCGAGAAAACCGAGGGAAGAGAAAAGCTCTCCGTCGCTGAGACACTGTACCTTGCAACCCGCGGCGGCGCCGCAGTCGTTGACATGGCGGATGAGATTGGCGGGTTTGAGGAGGGCATGATCTGGGATGCGCAGCTGATTGAGCTTGGGGGTATGAAGGATCTGGGTCATTGTCCGCTTGATGCGGTTTCTAATGGCAGTGGAAGTCTCGTCAAGCCTGGCCCTGTGGGGAATGTTGATCTCTTTGGGGCTGAGACTTGGGAGGAGAAGATGCAGAAGTGGGTTTGGAGCGGAGATGATCGCCATACTAAGGCTGTCTGGGTTGGTGGACGGTTGGTTCATCAGAGGGCTTAGATAAAACCCAGGTAGGGTTTTGGTTATGAGTCCATGACTTTTTTTCTTCCTCGGTTTTTGTTTCACGTGTACATATGGGGTTGTTAGAGCGGGATGTTGAGCCGTCAGGCACTTGTCATAGTATGATAGATATTTCAATTTACTACTTGATAACTCATAAAGAAAGTTGTTCTGCTCTACTACAGACGGCAATATATATCCGGTCCAGGTACAGTTTTGATCATGTCGGTCGATCGCTCAGAGATGGGGATGTCATTAATATGTGTCACGGTAGGTTTGAGAACCAATCATGAACCTACAAGGAAAGATCTGTTTTCGACATTTACTGCAATTTCTAAAAATCAACCGGGCAATCAAGTCTTGCTTGCCTGCGCTTGGCGATCCCGAGCATTCCTGATCGTTGACTCTTCCGGACGACTCCGCCGCTCGCCGCATCCAGCCAACATTCCGTAAAACAAACAAGGGATGACAATCAGAACACCCATTCTGCCTAAATAGTGAATCAATCAATGAAGTTCGCAAGGCAGGAGAACAGGAAAGTAATGTTTAATTGCCTGTGTACCTGATCCAAGTAAACAACAATACTAACGTAACCCATGGTCCACGCTAAATATTGTCGGCGCACTGTGAATGGCTCGTACATTCAACCCGCTGCAAGATCTCGGCAAACTTCCGGTTTCGGGATGCAAGTTACCGTCACGAGTCGGTCGCGTGGTATCCTTTCGAGCTACCCTTGTTTAGGAGAGTAAGGTAGTCCCGATTCGGAAATCACCGATAAGCATCACCGCCACACACGCTATGTTTTGGGCATCATGTCTAAGCTTGGTATTCCTCTTGGACTTTGCGACCAAATTTCCCCGCCGTGAAACACCGACGGTGTCCGAATAGGAGACTCTACTGTGTTGCATGCACCACGCCTGCAGCAATATATAATCCAAGACCAATATGGAAGGTGGCCAACTGCCTGCCCCGCGGTGTAGGCTGGGCAGTGGGTCGAGATGATCCGAGCCGTTTTGATCGAGCCCTGAAACATGACGCCAAGGCCGTGGAATCCCAGGGTTGCACCAAACCGCACGCGATGAGATCGATCTCGGGTGTCCCTGACGGAGTCCCGCCGGGCCAGTTAAATCTCGAATCCACCTGGTTAGCTGCGTCTGCTACGTGGATGCAAACAATACTTGTTTTCATATTGTTCACCTTGGGGCCCACTATTGGTCTGATTGCATATATACCCGGCAGAGATCTTCATTATGTTGACTGCCTACTTCTCTCATCTTGTTCCGGAGGATCTGTTTGATTTTATATCGTGATACCGGCAAGATGCATTTCTTGGCGATTGCTGCGGCGCTGGCCGCCTTGTCGGGCACGTCAAGCGCTATGGGGTTGACATCGTTTAGACAGGATATTACGCTGGCTTCTAAGATGGGGATTGACTCTGGGGAGTTGTTGCAACGGCATCAGTCGGTTCATGAAATTGCTATGGAGAGATCGGATACCACTCTCACTACTCAATATGTTTCGGTATGGTATTTGCTGATGTTCCGGCGGCTCTTCTAACGTGACCAGATTCCAATCGACCATAACGATACATTCGTTGGCATGTACAACAACCGCTACTGGGTCAATGATGATTTTTATCAGAGAGGAGGACCAGTCTTCATCTATGATGTTGGCGAGTCCGACGCCGAGGCATCTGCCAATGCTGTTTTGGGCAATTCGACCTCTTTCTTGATGGAGATACTAGCAGAGTTTGGCGGAATGGGAATTGTGTGGGAGCACAGGTCTGTCGAGACCAATCAGCTTCCCATACTGGACTAACAATTGGTAGATACTACGGAGATTCCCTTCCATATCCCGTCAACACCGACACACCCCCCGAGCACATGATTTACCTCTCGAACGAGCAAGCGCTGGCGGATATCCCATACTTTGCGCAGAACTTCACGCTTGAGGGTTATGCCGATGTGGACCTGGCACCTTCCAAGACGCCCTGGGTCATGGCTGGAGGTTCATACTCCGGCATGCGAGCGGCTTTTACTCGAGAAAAATACCCCAATACCATCTTTGCGTCATGGGCATCTTCAGCACCCGTCCAGGCCAAGGTCGACATGAGCATCTATTTCGAGCAGGTCTATGCTGGAATGGTTTCCAATGGTTACTACAACTGCACCAGAGACATCAAAGCAGCACTGGAGTACATCGATATGGAACTCTCCAAGAATGGTTCTAGCGCGGCAGCAATCAAGAAACTTGTCTTCGGCGAAGGCGCGGAGAAGAACAACAACGGGGACTTTACCGCGGCCCTGGCTGGGCTCTACGGCTTTTTCCAGGCAGAGGGTCTCGGCGGCGGAAAGGGCAGTCTTGCGAATTTCTGTCGTTATCTGGAGACGGATCCAGTCACTCAGATGACGGCCGGACCGCGTGGATTTGCACCCTACCGCGGCAGAGAATACGTGGGCAGACGGCTCGCATCGTGGCCCGCCTGGGCAGAGCTGGCGAACCTTAACTACAAGACCAACTGCGAAGGACTCGACGATTCCCAGCCACTGTCTTGCGAGTTAAACCCGAAGTTCACGGACGTCACGAACATCAGCTGGCTCTGGCAGGTCTGCACCGAGTGGGGATTCTACCAGAGCAACAACTTCGGTCCTCACTCGCTTCTCTCCAGGTACCAGACTCTGGAATACAATCAGCAGCTGTGCACGCGACAGTTTCCCGAGGCTGTGAAAAGAGGCATCATCCCCAAGTCCCCCGAGGTTGCCAGAATGAACCGAGAGACCGGCGGCTGGACAATACGCCCCTCCAACGTCTACTGGAGCGGCGGCCAATTCGATCCCTGGCGAACCCTCTCCGTCCTCGCCACCGAAAGCTTCGCTCCAAAGGGCGTAGCCTTCTCCACGGAAATCCCCGAATGCAATGTCGGGACTGGCGAGGACTATGTCTTCGGATACATCATGCCAAATGCCGAGCACTGCTTCGACATGAGACTCGGTTTCGCTCCGGGAGAGATCTCACGTGGATACTTTAAGCAGGCGTTGAAACAGTGGTTGCCCTGTTTCCAGGCCCAATAAAACCAGTCAGACTCGCAGTCTGGGGAAAGGGAGGGGGATCGGCACGGGTGCGTTCCGTGATGTGTAATGAACTAAACCCGATTCATAGAAGCTTGCGATCTCCACGGGTTTCCGACTCGCACATGCGGGTCAACCGAGGATAAGTCCGGGCACGTTATTATCGTCCTATCATCAAATCGCATCCACTGTATTTCAACTTACTTCATTCATCATTCATCATTCATCATTCACTATTTATTCAATGCTCGCACTGCAGTCTGAATTAGAATCTCCCTAAGTTACACTAGATCTCAGATCGGACTCCGACATGCTAAGCCCGACCGTGCTTAAGGTTGGTGCGCTTCTAGCCGCCCTCGTGGTCGTGCGTTATTTAGCCCAGTCGTACCACCACTACAAGCAGGCCAAATCCTTGCGCTGTGTATCTCCACCACATGGCGCATCCGGCTTCTTCGGTATTCCGGCTTTCTACCGCCTCACGCAAGCTGTGCGTGAGAAGCGCTGGATCGACTATCTTTGCGATCAGTTCGCCATTAATGGAAATACCTTCCAGCAGCAGTTCCTGAATCGGAAACTATTGGCTACCATTGAACCGGAGAACGTCAAGGCCATCCTGGCGACCCAATTCCAGGATTTCTGTCTCGGCACTCGACATGAGCAGTTCGACCCCCTGCTGGGAGATGGTATCTTTACTCTGGATGGTGCGGGCTGGTCCCATGCGCGAGGACTGTTGCGACCGCAGTTTACCAGAGATCAGGTCGCGGATCTGAGTATGCTGGACGACCACATCAAGCACCTGATCGCTTTGATCCCCAAAGATCGAACCAGCTTCGATATTCAGCGCCTCTTCTTCATGCTGACTCTGGACTCGGCCACTCATTTCCTCTTTGGTGAATCTGTCGGCTGCATGCTTCCCCCGTCTGAGACTACCGGTGTCCTGGAGAAGTCCGCCGTACGCAGCGCCCAGGGTTTCGCCGATGCGTTCACCACCGCGCAAGACTATTTGGCCGCCCGCTCGCGTGCTCAGGGCCTGTACTGGCTCGTCAACCCTAAGGAGTTCCGCGAGGCCAACAGCCAGGTGCATGAAGTTGTCGACCACTATGTTAACATCGCGCTCGAGGCAAAGAGAAACCCGGACAAGAAACAGGATGACCGATACATCTTCCTCCACGCCTTGGCGGCCGATACCGATGACCGCAAGATGCTGCGCGACAATATGCTCAACATTCTCCTCGCCGGACGTGATACAACAGCCAGTCTACTAAGCTCGACTTTCTTCTACCTCGCCCGACACCCGGCCGTATTCGCCCGTCTCCGCCATGAAATTGTCGACACCTTCGGCGACAGCAAGACCTCCATTGAGATCACCCAGACAAAGCTAAAGGATATCCCCTACCTCCGCTACGTCCTAAACGAAGGTACGTTCCACCACCACGAACTTTCGCGCTTGAACTAACAAATCCAGTCCTCCGCCTCCAACCGCCCGTCCCCGTAAACTTCCGCGTCGCCACAAAAGACACTTCCCTACCCGTCGGAGGAGGCCCAGACAAACGCTCCCCAGTCTACGTCGAAAAAGGCCAAATGGTCGCCTACAACGTCTATGCCATGCACCGCCGCACAGACCTCTGGGGCTCTGACGCTCGTGCTTTCCGGCCCGAGCGCTGGGAGGAGAACGCTAAGCACGGATGGGAATATTTGCCCTTTAACGGTGGCCCGAGGATCTGTCTTGGTCGTGAGTTTCCTCGTTACCCCACCCTAATCTCCATGTGTATTGTTAGCAGGTGACTAATGTTTTGTGTTTCAGAACAATACGCCCTCACGGAGGCTAGTTACACCGTTGTCCGACTGATGCAGCATTTCGATACCCTTGAGAATGCGGATCCTCACCCACGCCAGGAACCTATCAAGCTGTCTAATTTGACGATGATGCATGATACGGGTGTGCCGATTAAGTTGTATTCGTCAGAGGCGAATTAATGATGGATATGTATATGATGTTTTGGTTTTGTATATGAATTAGATATTATGCGCAGGTTTTGCAAGTACTCACGTTTTCAACTCTTAAAATTCCATGGTTAAAGGGCAAGCCAATTTCAAGTTGCCCTCGGAATACCACCGGAAAGGATCAAATTATTGGTGGGGCCGGCCTGCTTAGTATTTTCCGTGGGATGTTGATAAGATAACGGAGGATTTTGATAATTTGTCGGGGATGATGCGGTCTATTGGTCATCAGAGTGATAGGAAGGTGGAATACTCGATGAAGTCCTCTACGATTGCCATCTACGTATGCGCGAGGGTTTCACGATGGACGGTCCGTTTGAGACATATTCCGGCCATCTGCCGAGGCTCCCAAATAACACATTCAATATCTATTACCTTTCTAAACATGCTTCACTTTTCGTAGATACCCAGAAACCTTCTCAATGAGGGTTCCTAAACAATTGCAAGGAGACGTCGATCCTGGATCAACCGAGCAGCTATAAGCAAGACGCCACCAAGGAGCAACGACACCCCCGAAAACAGGGACAGAGAAAGATATCCGTATTTCTCTGCCAGTGCACCACTAATGGGAACGTTTGCCATAGCACTAGGAGCAGATTAGCAATGGTTATGCACATAAGCGAGAGAAATCATACGAGAGTGACACGGAAGCCGACACGGTCCCGATAGCAAGGCCCATAGTAGAAGGTGTAGCAACCTGAGCTGCACACGCTTGCTGAAGAGAAATGATTCCCTAGACTCGTCAGTAAATCAAATATTCAACTTGACGAGTCAACTTACACCCGAGGCAAAGCCATATGCAGCCGACCAGACACCCAAGCCAGCCACCGAGTCCACCTTTGTCCAGCACAATGCAATAAGACCAGACAGCAAAGTGGCGACAATGCAGCAGTTGAACTTGCCGTACTTATCAGCCACAATCCCGGGAACCACACGACCGAAGAAAGAAGCTCCATTGACAATGGATACAGTGTAAAAGGCGAAACTCGAGGAGAATCCCTTTGCGACGGCGTATGAAGTCGTGTAGAAGAAGGGCGAAAACATGCCAAAGTATGTAATAAACATAGCCAGAGAGAGTAGTTGCAACGCCGGCTTTTTAAAGAGAGTGACAGCTTCCGCCTTGCGATCCACTTCCTTCACCGGAGGAGCAAGATCCACGTTGTCTTTATCCTGCTGCTCACCATCAACAGTAGCGACAGTCGGCGGCAACTTCGCAACGAGACATGCAAAACCAAAACACGGGATCATAATAAACCCCACTATCCGCATAGTCCACGGAAACCCAATCCCCTTCTCTCTCAACAACTTGTTAATAGCAATAGGCCAGACCACACCACCAAGCGAAGACCCCGCGAGAACAATACCGAGCGCGGCACCCCGATTCTCCGCGTTAATCCACTTCCCCACAAGCGCCAACATGGGCCACGTAACCAGCGCCATTGAGATACCCAGTAGTATTCCCTGCGCGAGAAGGAACTGGTAAAACTCTTTACAGAGCGAGGTCATCATGATCGAGAACACGGTGCCGATTGCACCAGCCCAACACAAGAGGTTGGGCCCGAATTTGTCGACGATGGCGCCGGAGACAACTGAGATTGAGAACAGGAAGAAGATTGCGACGGCACCCAGCCAGGCGATTGTTGATTGAGGGCTCTGGGAGAGTTGATCGGAGGCATAGTATTCTTCGAATATGCCGAATGAGTTTAGGAAGCCCACCGTGCAGAAGAGGCAGGTGCTTGCACCAGTTATGACGAGCCAGGCGCGGGATTTTGGTCTGCGGGAGGTTAAGGATGTATGAATGTGTAATTTGGAGAATTGCTTACATATTGTTTTGCGGGGCATTTGTAGTAGACATCTTGGAGATGTTGAGAGAGCGTGCTGGCGGTGGTTGTGTGAATGGGATTAATGTTCCAAGGGCTTATGGATGGTAGGAAGCCTGGACATACGCTCTGTATGAGGGATGTGAGCCGGATGATTAACGAATTTTTGATTTATATAGGAATTGGGCCCCTTGGGGATCAAAATATCTGCCATCGTGGAGTCTCCGAGTTGTAGAGTGCATGGAATCTGATAAGCCAATCGAAGCGCGCCAAGCCCGGACACTCCGCGGACACTCCGGACGCACCTTGAGATGTCCTTGGAAGCCCCGACGCTCGTCTTTGTACACAACTATGGGCATGCATGATCACCCGTGACAACTGCTTTTCCTCGTTCAAACACTCGCGGTCATGAAACGCAGGTCGACAACCAATCCAGGACCAAGTCCCTCGAAAAAGCAACCCCGACAAGACCCCGTATCCTGCGAGTCATGTCGAAAGAAGAAACTAAAATGCGACCGCAATATCCCATGCAGCAGCTGTACCACGCGCAAATTACCCTGCAACTACCGAATTCATGGCACGGAGTCGGCCAGCCCTGCCGTGAAACAGGGGAGCCGAACAGAAGAGCAGCCCTCGTTAGACAACAGAACTGTACCACAAACCCAACTCACGACTCCCAACATCGAGCCTCGGAACAGCAATCGAGATGACCCTCTCACGACGGCAGACTGGCTCGAGAATATTGTCATGGGTCATCGCGTTCCAAGTGCTGTTCCCGCCCCTCTGAGAGACGAACTGTCACAACACTCACGAGTAGCCGTGTCTCAGCAGATCCCCATTTCCGGAAGCTTGCTGTCTCTCATTCGTGGTGGCCGGTTTGCGTCTCATGAGAATGCGGCGACGATTCATCTCACGTCTTTCCTACCGGCAAAGGCCGAGGCAATGAGTCTTTTACAATATTACTGTAATCATCTCGACTACCAGTACCATATCATAATCCCGAGTCGCACAAAACGGGACATCAACGCCCTATACGACAGACGTGCATCCGATGATATAAACTTGCAGCACCTTGCTCTTTTGTTCGCGATTGTCGCCACCGCGTTGTTCTATAAGCTCTCATCGACTGAGTCGGCCGAGTTTGCAGATATCTGCAGTCGAGAGACGGCTTTCTTAGCAGGTGCCGCCTTGGTCCAGAGCAATTATGTTGCTGATCCTAGTATCGAGGGGCTACAGGCGACTATGATCATTGGCCACCATTTGTCGATCGCGACTCTCAATCCGGCTGTCAGCTCACTGTTTCTTCACAGCTCTCTTATCAGCCAGGCTAGGGGCCTTGGGCTTCATGCTGTGGATTCTTCGAGGCCGGATCGGAATTTGAACGGGTGTGATAGGACAGCGGTTGAGCTTAGGCGGAGACTGTGGTGGGATCTAGCTTCTTACGACTGGTATGTCAGTTCGGTACATATTTCAGATTCTCTTCGCTTACGTCTGCTCAGGTTACTTGGCTTTCTCAGCGGACCACAGGAGTGGACATACACGATTAGCCCCCATCAAATGATCGTGCGAAGACCATGGAACGTCGAGGACGAAGATATCGAGAGCAGTGATACAGAAATGCCGCTTTCAAAACCGACCTGCATGTCCTACACACTCCACCGACTGCGATTAGCCGAAGTATGCCGCGAAATCGTCGACAGCACCGCGGCCGAACACCTTCAAGGCCTCGAAATACCATATGAAAAGATCTTGTCACTAGACCGCAAACTTCACGACGCATACTCCGAAATCCCAGCATTTTTCCGCTTCGACCAATCATCTCAACGTGAATTCGCAGCTCTCTATCGCGAGCGACCGACAATCGCCTGGCAACGCGCTTTCATTCAACAAGGATACCACTCGCGTCTTTGCCGCTTACATCGACAGTATTTCATCCTTGGGGCTAAAGACCCTCGATACTCGTATTCGCACGTCATCTCTCTCCAATCCGCGCGAAAAGTGCTAGAAGTGAAGCGGATCATGGATGAGAAAGAGCCGCTCTTTGAGCCGCATAGCTCCTTGTTCTGGGCGGTTATGCACCATGTGTTCATGGCCGCCGTTATCTTGCTTATCGACGTGTGTTTCAACTGGGATGACATTCTTGCTGAGAAGCGGAAGGAGGAAGTTCTTGAAGCCTGTCGTATGCTTAGTCGTGCTCAGCAGTCGACTTATATTGCGAGGGAGGGGATTAATGCTATGATGGGGATCCTGCGCAAGCATTGGAAGCAGGAGAGGAGACCGCATGAGTCGCAGGCTGATCCACTGGCTTCCGAAGATCATACACGCCCTGCAGTACAAAATAACAACCTTCAGAAAGACATGCAGTTGAAAAACCAAGCCCACAACTTCCCTTCAACATACCCTGCGGTACCCGAGGTCGGCCAAACCCCTCTGGAAGATTTATGGTCTGAGATGCTGGACAGCAGCGGCCATATTGAACTGGATACTCCCGACTGGATGGACCTGCTCACCGAATTGACCAATGCCACTGCGCCGTGCGAATGAGCCCGCCTGCTCACACATTGGAAGGCAGCTCAGAGACACAATTCTCAGTGACAGGACTCTCAGCCGCCTTTGACTTTCTGCGTAGGTGCCAATACACCACCAGATCATGCGACTCACCCGCAGATGGTGTCGGAGATCTGACCGCTGGACTAAAATACCTACTAGTCACACAATCTCAATTTTGACAGATGGGGCAGATCATCGCATGATGTGACAGAAAAGTGTAGCAGACCCACTCCATGCCAGACTTACCCTTACCATCATCATTCATTCAACTGTTACGGTCCATCAGCACATCCTTTTTGATGCCGTCTCAACAGTCCTGGTTTAGCCAGGGTTCTATTCGCAAGGCTCTCAAACCTGGCAAAAGTATCGCCCTCACTAAACCTGAACCAACTGAATGGAAGATCCTCGAAGCTATTGATGAACACAACTTTCAATTCTCCGAAGAAATTGTTCAAAGAGACTCATGTGTCTCGTACGCCTCCATCAAGCTCTCTTGTATTGAAGCCAGCAATCCCTCCAAGCGGGCCATCATGCGCGTATATATGCAAGTTCCGTATGACAATACGGAACTAGAAGACCTTCCAACTCGCGCCCAGCAGGCCACAACATTCAGGCCGAAGGAACTTACCGCGCTCCTAACACTTCGCACTTCTGCGTACGCACCTTCCCTCCTCGGTTACGACGAATGCCGTCAGGGTACAACAGGGTTAGTTCCTGGCGGGTTTCTTACCTTTCTTGTGTGGGAGATTGTTCCGGGACTATGTCTGGGTGACCAGTATCGAGAAGGTACTATCTTCTGGCATAGACTGAATCGAGAGGAACGAGATATGGTTCGTGAGGCTTTTCAGAAAACCCTTGTGTAAGTCATCTCGCCATCCTATTTCTCGTGTCATGACCACTCACAAAATTACCGCGATTAGTGAAATCACCAAGATGGGTATGTGGCCTGCTTTCGTTGGACTGCACAATCTGGTCTGGCACCTAGATACCAAGACCCTGTGAGTTAATCTCTGTATCATACGCACATTATCCTAGCTAACTATAGATTACAGTTTCTTGTGGGGTTCCGAGACTGGGGCAAAGTCCCACCACAAGCCTTCAAAACGACCTGGCTGCCCCTTGTCGGTCTGGTCAAAACGCCTGCAAGTTCTAGATGGTCGGACCACGACTGGAATGGTGATACTTCACGCTGGGAGCTTTAACACGGTATCTAGCTATGTTGCTTTTGAAATGAGCTTCCTGGGGTCTAAGGCTGTCTCTTTAATTGCTTTTTATTCGGAGTTTTGTTTTGGCTCTACGGAGTTTGAAGATGGCCCGGGTCTAGATGAGTGCATTGAAAAAATTGCGAGTACGATGAAGGATAAGATGGAAATTTCGAGTGGGCATAAACGGATGCTGAAGAATCATCTCAGCAGCAAGTTTGCAGATGTAATGGCTAGGCCGCCGGCTCGGCTTTGACCCCTGGCACGAATCTACGATTGAATGAATATTCCATGACACGTTTAGTATGAACCATAGCTTCCTTGCCACGTGCTTCGGATCAGGTTCGTCATGCGGCCAAGACGGAAGCCTGGCTCGGCTCGGTTTGGAATACGTGGATGTGATGCCATCATGATGCGACACGCAAGTTGACGCTCTCAGCTCATAGTCTCAAGTTTAGATTTCACCCGGTCGTATCTCCTCACGTACTCCAATTTTTATATTTCATTCAAGGCCTGCACAAATGACACCCATCTCACACAATGCCAACACACAAGGAGAACAACCTCCCTCACATCCACCGCTACATAACAACCCACAACACCGACGGCGAAGCAGTATTCGTGTCCCATGCACAAGTACCCGATTACATGCCATCGAAGCCAGCCGGCGAAGATGGCGAGATAGCGCTCCTCTACGCGACGACGAGCACCCCCACCATCGTTGACGACGAAGCCGACATCGCCATGTACGACGAGTTCCTGCACCAGCCACCCGGCCTAACCACCGAAGGCGGGACTACTTTTCGTATGGTGGATATTCGGCCTGGGAAGGTTACCCCGATGCATCGGACTGTGAGTCTGGATTATGGGATTGTGGTGGATGGCGAGGTAGATTTGATTCTTGATTCGGGGGCGAGTCGGCTTATGCATCGGGGGGATGTCTGTGTACAGAGGGGGACGGCACATTCGTTTAAAAATAAGAGTGCTACGGAGTGGTGTCGCATGCTTTTCATCTTCTTGCCGATGCAAATGCTTACTATTAAAGGGAAGGCGATGGATATGGAGGTTTATGATGACCCTTACGAGAAGGCGGATGGCGAAGAAAATAAATAAATAGACCGTGTCTGGCCCGCCTTATAAATTCAAAAGGCCATTCTCTCACAAAATCATGAAGGCAGCTGGTGTTTTTGATTCAAAATTGGGATTATTTCCCATTCGATCAACATCCTCCGGGTGTCTTACTCGACCGTGACCTGAACCTTGGTCTTGTCTAGTTGGTAGAAATCAGTCGCCGTCCAACTCGATGGAAATGGAAATGACTGGAACTCACAAAATGCTACATGATCCTTGATATTCAACGCCTTCTCATAAGGCTCGGGGTAATACCAGGCCGCGTCTTGTACGTCCTTATCTAGCAGAGTCATCAGTATCTTCGCTATCACGTCGATAGGGTCACTCACCACCGAGTTTGATCGTGTAATATTGCGCGTGGCCCTTCCACGGACAGAATGTCGTCGTATCAGTGCCCACAAATGATGATTTGTCTTTGATAGCCGATGGCGGGAACTTGAGTCGTAGCTTGTCAGCTGGAATCCTCTGGTCCGGAAGAGATGTCACCGTACATATACGTTCCCTTCAACGGTCTCCCAGACGTCGGTCTCGGCAAGGACAACGTCGCCTATCTTTGCTCTAGCGGTCGACATGGCTTTAACTTGCAGAACTTTCTCCACAGGTAGGTTGATGGTTGTCGCTCGTCCGTTCCCAATATGGTGTCGTCACGGTGCTGATGCGGGGAAACAACCAAGTTACCCGGCTCACTCTGTGGTGGATCTCCGCCGGCGGGGCTTTCCTGTCTAAGCTGCCACCACTTTTCTGAGGCTCATGTACTGCTAGCGCTTTGGTCTGCCTATGAATTGTAAGAAGTAAATACTGTGTGGATTAATTCAGCAGCTACAATGATAAACTAGAGTGCAAAAGTACATTCTCACACAAGATTGTAATTGTCGAGAACTCAGATAACCAACATCCCGCAATGTATCCTATCCACCTTACACGTCCCACTACCGGCAGAAATGACATTTGTAATGAGTTTATGCGAACAGCCTTGGCAAATTTGCAATTGTATTCTGTTTGAATCCATCACATGTCGTTCCTCGTAGCCTGACTCTCATTCCCTCTTACTAGTCATTTCTATGTGATTCTGCGCGCTACGAATTGTCGCGAACCAAATCTACTGTCGCGCAGTGGAACGAGCCTCCGATGCTATTGACGTGCTTGAATGGGCACATGATACACTCCATGCCGAGGGACTCGTACCACTGCGCCGACTGGAGGTCGCTGGCTTCGACCACCATGCGCTTCCCGTCGAGGACCAGCGCGTTGAGACAGAGCCAGGGGCTAGTCATATATAGCGGAGGCTCCGTGGGGGCCTGCGGGATGAAGGGATACGGTTGGAGATCCCACGAGGCCAGCACCGCATGTTGGCGCAGCGCTGCCTCGGTGATCTTCATGGGATTATACACCAGCAAACCGTCGCGCAGCGGGAGAATTGTTGCATCAATGTGCATCGCGCTCGGGTCATTGACCTCGATCATTTCGACCTGGTACCCCTTGGGCAAGTGCTGTTGGATGTAGTCCACACCGGCCTGGTTCGTGACATGGCTGTACTGACCGAGGATGGTGTGGCCGAGCCGCATAAAGTCGGCAGTATCGAAGGCCGGCCTGCTATTGTTGATGGCCCACTGTCTGGTGCAGCTGTCTTCTTCATCAAGGAGAGTGTTGGCGAAAGAACTAGCCGGGCGCCTGACGATCTGTACTCGGGTGTCCTTGGACACGGCGTCCAGGATGGAGGTATAGGCGATCTCGATCTCACGCGAACGGCAGGGCCAGGCAAAGCACGCCTCGATCAGCGTGTTTCCAACACTCATTAGCCCGTCTCGGGGCATGGCGCCCGTATACCCTTCCTCGGCCAACCAGTCAATCCCCGCCGGAGGCCTGTAGACTTCAATGCCTTCGGCTTTTAGAATAGCAGCGAAGTAGTCCAACTCTGCCTCGGCCTTCGCAATGAGTTTTTCGGGGAATGGAGCCTTTGGCTGGAATCGGTGGGCATGAGCAGAGGGCATGGTTGCCTCGATCATTTTGGCTGGAGCGCTGGGGAAACAAGCACGGCCGGCACGGCCGACGATGACAGCTCGGAGAGGAGACCATTCGTCGTCAGCCTGCACGCCGAGGACAGGCTTGATAGTCATGATGGAGGTTGATGAATGAGAACCAAATCCTCATGGGCCTTCTGTGTTTTCGTGCTGAAATCAACGGCAGAAAATCGCGCTGGAGATGATGCAGATCAATTGACTAAAGCTGCTCATCATCTGTACGCTTTAGTGATGTATGTGGTCCAGATGGTCATCGGTCATGTTGCACGACATTTGGTCGTATGCAGGCCCCTAGCTAGTGCTCACCGTGCCGTGCAATGCGTACACGCCATTGGTAGACACCGCCAACCCCCGCTGGTAGATGCAGAAGCCTCTTGTGCTGATATTTCTGGACTGCTGCGATCGAGGCCCGCAGGTAATAATAAAGGTTCCGCTGCCGCGGTTGGGTCGACCCAATTACTCTGAGTATAGTAGTAACTCGTTGAATATGTCCCTCGTACTCACGGGGTGAAAGGTATCTGCGTAGAGGTGCCTCCATCGGTCAACCGCGCTGTCCCTTTAGACCGAGATCTGGGCACTGGTGCAGAAGGTTTATGCGCAGGTGTCTCCCCTGTCGTGCAACGTGAAGTGGATTGCGGGGTCACTGGCTGGCTGAGACAGCACCCCTGAGGCATGTACGCGGGGTGTCACCCACCGGAGAGAAGAGCTGCTTGGTTCATTTCCATGGGAGACAATGGCGTGCTATCTGTATACGTGAGCCAAGTCTGACCAAGGCTTAGAATGTGCGCCATCTACATCACGTTCTGGTGGACAAACGCAGCAAGAACAGGTTTTAAGCTGGTTAGGTGCCAGCCATTGAGGCCTAGCGATGATTTGCTAATACGTCTAGCCTGTTAGAGATTGACAGTACCTGGAGTACAGTACTTTGGCAAGATAAAAATGCTCAGATTCCAGGTCTAAAAGACTATGCCCGACTAAGAGTAAGAGAAAAAAATCATCTTTCCAGGCACACTCCCAAGCCACAAAAGCGGCACGATGACGCCCGTTCGTATTCTCCTCTCCAGCTCATTACCTAAAAGCTCACATTAAGTAGCCTTAGAGTTCACGGCGGGAGGCTGCATGTCATATCCAATGAACGCTCGGGATAGCTTTTGGCGCACATACTGTAAGTGTCACAGGTCAGCTACTGGATTTTCGAATAATCATACCATCACCCATCTTCTCTCTACACTCACATCGCCTGCTTTAAACGGTACCTCACAAGCCGGCCGATCATCCGAGGTGCAGCTTTCCAAGACCGAAATCGTGACATCGTAGTCCACGCCAAAGAAAAATGGGACGGTGTATCTCTCTTCCCCAGTCAAATTGACTACACGATGTATGGTTGATTTAAATCGGTGGTTGGTCCTGGGTGAAAGTTAATGTTCCGTGCCCATCAACCCAACAACAACTCCAAATGCTTCATTACCAGGTGGCCAAACAGTCCCCTATATTCACCACAAGTGTCCCAGGAATAGGCGTCGCAAGCACCCATTCACCGCGATTATTGCGGACTTGCAATGCCGGCACATGACCTTGAGATAGGATCGTCAAGCACTCATAATCCTAACGACGAAGCACGGTTGCATGAGCCCAGTGACCTGACAAAATGGCCATTAAACAGGACTTCTTACCGTGTGAGCTGCCAGCCCAGCGGTCAACTCTCCGTTCGCTGGTTGGGGCGGATAATGCATCAACCTCGACATAGCTCCAGGGTACTTCATCTTGTCATCGAAGAAATGTTCTTCCAAATCTAGCGCGAGCGCAAAAATCCTCATAAGCTCTCGGGAGAGATCTAGTGCTTGGGCGTAGTATCGGAGAAAGGTTCCTCGAAAACCCGGCAGGATGTCTTCGCGAGGCCACTGGTTGCCTCCGTAGAGCTCGTAAGGGTCCAGAGGAGCGGGATCATCGGCCGCTTTCTGCGAATCGCCAAGGGTTTCGTAGCCGATATCGAATGCTTCGGAGAAACTTGCCTGAGAAGGTCGGTCGGCGGGGTCATCCAAATCAGCGCCCGTAGACAGCTCGGCGAAGAGAGGGCTAAACCCGTGAAATTTCTGCCCATTTTGCCAATTTAGATAATTCTTTCATATATCGCATCCCTTACTTCATCCCCGGTGAAATACCTTGGATTTCCCTAGATAGCACTCCATCTTATGTTCCTCGGGGAGGGAGAAGAATTGTCGAGCGGCTTCATGAACGGAATCGAGGAGCTCTTCGGCGATGCCATGATTCTAATAGCATGTGAGCTTACAGAATCGTGGAGCTATATCTAGCGGCAAAATGAGGATGTCACCTTGATATAGAAGAATCCGACGTGAGTGCACGCTTCATAGACCTGGTGGGCAAGCTTCTTGCGCTCGATTAGATTGGAACCCTTCAGTGTAGAGAGGTCAATGAGGGGAATGTTGTCGAAATCCCCCTTTTGGAGGGAGTTTGCTGGGATGGGATTCTTCAAGATCGATTGCCATAGTTACGACCACTATGGGGTTGCTTGGGGTTGACCTTCACCAATTTTGCGGGTTGCTATCAGTGAGATTCGAAGCCCAACTGGAGAGGGATCACTTAAGAGACTAGCTAGATCGAATTGCTCACAATCTGTGACAGATCACATCTACTCGCATGTGGGCATGGTCCAAGGCTGCCGGATGCAGTAGGTCGGGTCATCTGTCGGCCCGAACCGACCTGAATCCCACCGCGCCGACCTGCCCAGGTTCTTCGCTTGACAGTGCGACAAAGCTACGGTGCCTCGACTTGCACCCTCTCAGCTTGAGACAAACCACGATATTATCAGTGGCAAATCGCTGGCTACTTATCAGATTGCCGAAGCGGCTGGCTGCAATTAACGTCCAAACTTTACCACCAGTGATGTGAGCGTGGGGTAAACAGACATATCCCGTCACCTTCAAGATTTCTCCCTTTTTTAAATCATATTAATTACCATTGCCCACAATGTCCACCTCAACATCTTCGCTTGAGGCGAACCTCGCCTACAAGCCTCAAATTCTCAAATTCGGCACCAGTGGTCGACGTGGCTTGATTGTCGATTTGACCCAACTGGAAATTTACATCAACGTTCTTGGTGAAATTCGCTATCTTCAAGCCATTTCGCCCTCCGAAGGTGGCATCGAGCGTGGTGATGACTTTTACTACGCCTACGATTTGCGCCCCAGCTCAATTAACTATGTTGAGCCGAACCGCGGCGGTCTTTGCCAGGCCGTCGAGAAGGCCCTGAGAGATGCGGGTATGCGGCCTATCAGCCTAGGCGCGATCCCCACACCCGCTCTTACTCTTTTCGCTTTGCAAAGAGGAAAGGGAAGTATCATGGTTACTGGTAGCCATATTCCTTTCGATCGCAATGGCTACAAGCTCAACACCTCCAAAGGAGAGCTGCTGAAAAAGGACGAGCAGCCCATCAATGAGTCCGTTGAGGTTGCCCGGAAAGAGCTTCTTGCACAGCCACTTGAGCAGTCTCTTTTCAACGAGCAGGGAATGCTTCGTGCTGCCACTGTGACCCTTGAGACTCCCATCCCCGAGGGCAAGAGTGAGTATATTCAACGGTACCTTGATTTCTTCAAGGGCGATACTCTGCAAGGCATGAAGCTACTGGTGTACCAGCACTCTGCTGTCGGGCGCGATCTCATTGTCGAGCTGCTCGAACTTCTTGGTGCCGAGGTAATCCCCGCAGGCCGCAGCGAGACTTTCGTCCCTATCGACACTGAGGCTATTGACCAAGCTCAACTTGACACTGTCCAAGCTCTCTCCGACAGCACGGGACAAACCTTCGATGCGGTGATCTCCACGGATGGCGATAGCGATCGTCCCCTTCTCCTGTCGCCTGAGGATGGCAAACTCCGCTTCTTCAGCGGAGATCTGCTAGGCATGGTTGTTGCCGAATTTCTCGGTGCTGACGCAGTCGTTGTCCCCATCAGCACCAACGATGCCATTGACCGTGGCCCTCTTGCCAAGGCCCTGTCGCCCAAGACTAGAATCGGCAGCCCCTACGTGATTGCCGGCATGCAGAACGCCGCCCTTAAAGGACGCAGCCGTGTTCTAGGATGGGAAGCCAACGGCGGTTTCCTCACCGGCTCCGATATCGAGCTTGATGGCCGAAAGCTCCCTGCTCTGCCTACACGTGATGCAGTCCTGCCATTTCTTTGCGTCCTGTTTGCCGCACGCAAGCGTCAAACCAACGTCCCGACTCTTTTCAAATCTCTGCCCGCCCGCTTCAGCAAGGCGGCGGTGATTCGGAACTTCCCTCGCCCAACGAGCGCAAAGATTGTTGAGCGCTTTTCGCCTATCGACAAGGCAGATCATGAGATTCTGTACTCTAAGGAGGGCATGCGGAAACTCAATTCTAATGGAGAGTTTAGAAATATGGTTACTGTGGGAGATGCTCGCCATATCTTCCAGATTCGTCGCGAACTTGAACAAGTATTCTCTGCTGAATCTGGCTTTACTCCGGTGAAAAAGACAAACTATACCGATGGAGTCCGTATTACGTTTGAAAACGGTGACGTCGCTCATATTCGCCCTTCTGGCAATGCCGACGAGCTTCGGATTTACTCTGTTAGCGATACCCAGGCTCGTGCGGATGAGATTTGCAGTCAGGGTATTGAGGAGCCCAATGGCTTGTTGAGACAATTGGCAAGCATGGTCTAGAATGTTGGTGCCTTAGATGAGGGCTCCAATCTTCAACAACTGGAGGTGTATCAGGGCTGGACTGTTTATCCATCAGTTCTCATAGATCACTTACACGTGCCTTGCAGCATGTGGTATATAAAATTGCCATCTGCCACCATTTAAGCATCTTCTGCATTGTTGTGTTGATTGAGCAGATCAAGGAAAGACTTGCTTGAATTGCTTTGTTTTATTTAGTTTCATCCATCTCGGATCTGAATGTAATTAGACTTCTAGATGTCGATGGTCTCTTTACGTCGAGTCAGACCAGTCCTCTCGAATCATCACAGCTCCTTTCTCCGCAATAGCGTAGACTGTTGCCTGTATGTGCGCTCCAACCTGCAACGGCATGATACTTGCGTCGATAACTCGCAGACCACGAACCCCGTAAACCCGAAGACGTTCATCAACCACCCCGGTTTTTATTCCCTCCCGGCCCCCCATGGCACACGTGCCGACAGCTGGTATAATCGTTAGTCACCCTTTGTGAGCAAAATGGATCCACGTACGATGCCAGTCCGTGACAGTATAATTCGTCACAAAATCCTCATGGGCTTGTTCTTCACGGCCTGGCTCCGCTACCGGAGGTAATACACGACCAAGGATAATCTTCGAAAGAGGCTCCGTAGAGCAGATCCGATCAGTCATTCTCTGCCCCAACGCCATCATCTTCTTGTCAATTGCTCCATGTTCTAAGTAATACCGTGGATCAATAATGGGCTCGTCATCAATCGTAACTTCAGAATCTCCAGTTCGGGGAGGAATATGGATCGATCCACGAGAAAATGGATACTGCAGCATTTGAAGCATAGTCGCGTACTTCTTTCCAGGCTCGGAATTGTGATATGGACTCCAGTTTCCAACATCAAATATGTACTCGATCTGGCCTCGATTGTATCCGAATTGTTGAGCGATAAGCCTATCGCGTGCTAGTCCAGTCTGCCGTGCGATTCCATCAGCGCGAGAGGATAGATCGGATAATTCCTGTGGTGAAATCATTTGTGATAGTGAGCAGTATGCGACGGAGCAGGGCATCACTGTCCATGGTCCTGTCTGCGAAGCGTGGTAAGCACGGTCGGCAGCCTCGCTCAAGATTGGGTCGCTGATGATGTCGTCGCGAGATGACAATGTAGGGAGAACTTCGAAAATAGTCGCAGTCACTGAAATAAGTCAGTATTTTATTAGTAAAAGCGAGAAGCCGCACCTCATACTCATATGGTCTTGCAAGTTCTCTCCCACATTGGGACTGTCAACCTTCACTTCAACGCCAGCAGCTTCAAGCACATCTCGTCGCCCGATTCCCGAAAGTTCTAGTATCTGAGGTGACTGTATACTACCTGCGCTTATGATCACCTCTCGTGCAGCTTTGATATCCATCACGACCCCATCGTGTCGCACTCTGACACCGGTCGCGACCCAGGAATTTTTCTGCTCTAGGAGAACTTTCATAACCGTCGCCTCGGTAAGAACATGCAGATTGGGACGTGATGCAACAGGCAAATAGTAAGCCGATGCAGCATAGCTCCGTTCTTGAGTATCGGGGTTTATCGTGCAGACCAGATTCCAAACCCCGCAATTGGAGCCCGCAAGGCTTTCAGGATTGGAAGGGACATCCAGTGCGTTCAGAGTCTGGTGCCAGTACTGATGTGTTGGGCCATACTGCTTGATGTGTGTGGTGTGCAGTGGACCATGTGTTCCATTGAATTCAGACTGATAAGCAGAGTGATAATGTTCCTGGTGGGCGGCACTGGGAGGGTGAAATGTCTCGCTACGTCGAAAGTAAGGACTGCCACTGTCAGCACCGATAAACCGAATACCATAAGGGGCCGAAATTCAAGTATACACACAGCAAGTCGTCCCATCCCCACCCGGTATTTCCCAGCTGAGCCCAAGCATCGTAGTCCTTGCGATGGCCGCGATTCCACGCCATGAAATTCAACGCGCTGGTGCCACCAAGAACGCGTCCCCGCGGCCAGGGCAGCGATCGCCCGCCTAGTCCTGGCTGGATAGTTGTCGTGAATTTCCAGTCGTAGTCGGATCCGATGGTTTCCCCATAGCGTCCGGGCACTGTGATTGCCCCATCATCGCTGTTCAGGGCGGACGGTCCCGCCTCGATTACTCCCACGTTGACCTGGGTATCCTCGCTCAGTCGTACTGCCACTGCTAAACCTGCGGTGCCCCCACCCACGACGATGTAATCAAGGGGTAAATTGGCGAAGTCTTGAATGGATTGGGTCATTTTGTTGTTGGTTGATTATTGAAGTGGGGAAGGTGGAGAGTCGCAAGTTGGCTGGACTTTCGCAAGGCTGTTATCTTCATTAAGCACAACGCCTGTCAAATTACTGTGTTTTCATTTGAAGAGATAGATTGACGTTATTAGATGTCCACGAAGATTTCAAAATGGAGGCAAGGGTATCTTGACGCCCGCTGACAGTTAAACCCCTCCTTTCCAATAGGAGGAAACGAGATAATACAGTGATGCGCTAATTTTAAAAATGCGACATTCAATAAACTGCTTCCGATGGGTTTTGAGCGTAAGGGACACATTAAGCTGAGCGTGGAGTAAGCCCACTAGCTCGGGGAAAGAAATATTGACGAAAAGATTAGTTCTATTGGTTCAGCCTATTCACAGCTATCAGCCACCGCGCCTGATCGTGAGGGCCTCCTCGGTCGTCAAGGGTTCATTGTCTCCTTGATAACATTCATATCTCCGGTTCATCCGCAGGGGTTTACCTTCCCCTAAACCAATTCGACCAATGGGTATAATTGCATCGTCAGCAACACTACCAACTTCACGAACCACACCAGAAACTTCGTCAAGCTCCTTGACATGTTGGGTTTTGCTTGTAACTAGCATCGGGAAAACTCCATTTCCGTAAGCGGCACCAAAACGGAGCATGGCGAAAGAGTCCAGTCGTGAAGTCCAGCGGTAATGACGACATCCATACAATGACAGGGCCAACAGTATGAGGATGTACAGGCCCAGAAATGCGGAAACCACAGCCACACCGGCCACACTGGACTGCGGAACCATCATTTCAGAGCCGAGGTCTTGGTAAATACCATACGAAGAATCCAGAGATTCAACAAATTGCTTGTTCGCAAGGAACGCAGCAGCATTCAAGGCGTTGGTCAGGGTTCCCGTGTTGGAAAACGTTGAATCAAGCCACTGGCCGACTAAATAGTGGGGGTTGGTAGAGTAATAATAGCCTCCGGACGCAGTAAGAATAGTTGAGACACATGAATCTGCTGAAATCTCAGAGTACATTGCGCTGGAAAACATATTCGTGAGAGGGGCAATCTCAATACACATGGTGGATAGGCTTAAACTCTGGTTGATATCAGCGCCCATTATGTTTTGTTGAATGGTGTAATATTCAGGGAAGAATGTATTGAGAAATGATCCCGGGCCAAAGATGGCGAGTGCCGTAGTCAACAGAGGTCCCTTATTTGAGGTGAGCATGGGGGACCATGGAAGGGTTTGGTTGGTAGTCATGGTCGAATTGTTCGAATTGTCGGATGAATCACTTTGGCGTCGAACTTGCCGAGCGTAATCAAGATAGTACGTAGCGGCCTGTTGGATGCAGCTATAACCACCCTTGTCACAATTTCCCGTTGGATCCTTGTCAAGCAATGGTCCTGCAGTTTGGTTGTTCATATAGCTCGGAAGCTCAAAATAGCCGGCAGTTGTATGGAGCTTGACTTCAAGAAGTGTCCCATTATTCAGGGGCGACGATGGATACTCCCTATCTTGATTGGATGCATTGATATAAAGCACTTCGTAAAAGTCTTGGCGATCTCTGGTTGCTGACCAAGGGGAAGTGGTGTTTGAGCTAAGCATGCAAGCGGAAATAACCCAGGTCGAGGTAGTAGAGTATCTGCTCCCAGGTAAATACGCGTAGACAGACGAGTAGTTGGCGAAAAAGTTGGTAGGGTCAGAATGGCAGTTTGACGGATATTCATTTTCCTGGATAACCCGTACAGAGGTATTTGAATTGATGCGTGGAGCATATTGGCGGAGCAACCCGGTATTGAAGCCGTTCGGCAAAGGAGAAAAGAATGGATCGTTCATGGCAGACAGGTTGACGAACGTTGAGAATCGCTGGTGGCCTCCATACTCCCAGAGCTGTGGGTGCCAGGTGTGCATGTCTACCCCAGCGAGAGCATTGCGAGCTTGGACCACGTCGCTTCCAGCAGTAACGTCGTATTGTTCTCTCATATGCGCAAGATCACTTATCTGACCCATTTCATTTGGGTAAACAGGAACATGAATCGCGTTGGAGTTGATCACAATGGACTGGATCGGATAGATGATCAGACCGAGGAAGTGAAGGAAGATGGCTAGGGCCAGCAAAGCACTTCCATGCTGTTTCCAGCTTCCGGCAATTAGATCAGGAATCAATGAAATATCCATCCAACGACGATCTGCCAGATTCATGACTTGTCGCATAGTCATGCTCAACCCATCTTTTTGATTCTGGACAAAAACCACTGCTGCATAAGCGCAGACAGCTGAGGTCCATGGTAAGATGAGCACGCTGACGATGGATTGTATGATTCTCGCCGAGCGATATAGCTGCGCATCGATCGAATAGTCTAAGTTTTGCGGGTAAATGCCATATTGAGTAGTATATGCTTCCCAGCTACGCGTACTCATCGGACGAAATGACAAAATAGCCAGCACGACCCAAGAGTAGACTACCAGCGCGGCAAAAAGGATCGTGCCAAATAGAACCCATGGGGAATGATGAAGGGTTGCGCTGTGGCCACGTCCAAGGGCCTGGATCCTCGGCGCAGCTCGCGAATATGCGGGCAGTTCATCGTGCGGTAGGTGAGCTGAATCGGCATCTGGAGGCACGTCGAGAGCGGAAGGCTCTCGGGTCCTATCTTCTTCGGTGCTGGAAGCATATTCAGGTTCCGTCGTGCGTCTCGAAAGCGCCTGTAAGGCGATTTGGCTGTCATCCTCCTCCATTCGCAGTGTGATACCCCCTGGTGTTAACTTCACTTGCGCGGGTCATAGAACGAGAATTTTTATGGATGCGGGGATCGACCCTTTAAGTGCCCCTTTTATTCGCTGTTAAGGCTGAGTAGCTTGGCGGCTGGACACGGATAGTTGGGGCTGAGCCGAGCTTCCGTTGTCCTTGGGGCAGAAAGCAGCCTCACAACCAAATGAACAGCCAGGAACCTGACCAGTAATGGTGGCCTCGGACAGCCACTAGCGGGGCGCCATCATGCCTAGCGAGTCGCCCACCTATACGCGAACGGTCCGTGCCAGCAATCGACCAGTCATTTCTTCCCTCACAGGGCAAAGGACTTGGGGACGAGCCCCGCGGATGGCACAAACTAAATATATTTGACCGGATGAAATTCCTACCAGATTCCGCTACGTACACATATAGTGCCCATTTAACTAGGATGATCTTGAGACACCGTTAGTAATAAGGATATTGGCAGTGGCGGTTTCCGTGAGTCCGAGGTAGTGCGAGGTGGGGATTAGCCGACTAGTGGGCCGACGGGCAATGGTAAAAGGTCCGTGTGAACAAACAACAAGTTGTGCGGGGTTACACTGACTATGAACGTGCGAAGCTCAAAGTCAGTGGACTGCGTAACTAGTAAACTCTCATCTGATGGCGAAGAGACTTCTGGCCGTTGTGAATGAAGCAGAGAGGAATGTTTCGGCAAATTCTGACGCTCGATACACTTTTCGTGAAGTAACTGTTCATTTGTCAATCCTGAAGGCATTCCAATCACTAGAGTCTTCGGAAATATCGAGTCAAGAACCCGGTGAGAGGCTAGATTGTCTGTTGGCGGGACAGGGATGCAAATTAAACTCGGTATACCTGGATCAAAAAGAGGCGAAAAGATCCAGCCGCCACTACCAGAAGAACGTGTTATTTTCGCTATCATGTGATTAGGGTTTGAATCCATCTCTATGTTTCCGACATGGAAGGTGATATCAGGTGCTACTGTAAAAGTAAAATAAACGAGCCATCTACTATCACAGCTAACCCCTATACATTTCTCGAGCTCTCAATTGCGTCGATACCCACACCACAGGCGACCTCGAGACGTCACTGGGTCCTCACATCACAGGGCCCCCCGAGCGAATTTCATGGCCCATCCGCACCGAATCCGTCATTACCACCCTCCACATGACAGTAGGGTGGTAATGGTTATGAAAAGGAGATTATTACTTACTGGCAAAGTGACGGTGTGGCGCTAGCTTGGTTAGATCGCGTTCACAAATTTCGTGATTGCACGTGTTCCCAAACAAATCGCTCACCCGGCAAGAGGCATCATTTCCTGTTCGGCAATCGCATATTTGAACTAATCTTTTCGCGCCAGCTTTCAACCTTACAACTTATTTGCCTTACTCCGAGTGGTTGACTGATTCAATCGCGAAAGACTTTGCCCACGAGTGAACCGTAACGGTGATCGATTGAATGAAGCATAGTGTCATCACAAGGAAATTTTTTAATTGCATGTTTATGCTTCATAATTCAATACATTGTTTCATAGCGGCGGACATTGTTCATCAAATCCAACTCAAGATTGACCCGTGTCCATGACTGACCTCCAAGCATCTAGGCTTCGACCAAGGTAAATTGCTCACTCAGGCTGTCGTCATACCCAGCGAGCTCCAAGCTCCCATGCTCGGTGACGCGCAAAAGATAACCACTTCCCTTCGCAACAAGCTCATACTTGTTTTCACCTTTGTACTCGGGCATAAAGAGCTGAGGCTCCTCGCCCGCAAAGCACATGGAGCCTTCCTCGGTACCGCAGTTGATATTCCCGCCAAGGTGGTTTTCGACTTCCCAGTAGCCGTTGTCTCTGGGTGTGAAGGACCAAATCTGGCCAGGCTGGCCATTCCTGGGGTCAAAGGATAGAGGCGCTCCCCTGTGGGTGAGGGTCTCGGTCAGAACCAGGGACTTGCCGAATTTGGCTGATTCGATCATGTAGGTCCCTTCCCTCAGGCTGTATGCTGACTGGCAGAGGGCTGCGAAAGTAAGGACGAAAAAGGCTTTCATTTTTTTTTTTTTGATTAGATAGGTAGCTTGGACAGAGAAAGAATGATTGTTAAACGATGCAAAGGCAGATCTTCGTTTTGGCTGAAGTGAATGGGATTGCTGGTCTGCCTTTCATTGCGGTCGCAATTCCCCAGTATTTATAGCTTTTCGTGTTTCGAGGAGAGGCTGAAGGTCAACAATGCATGGTCGTAAACTTTTCCAGGACTGTGATCGCAAGGTAAGGGATGCATAGACTATTGTCATGCGCATTGGGATATCTATGCAGCCCAATTGCATGTTATTGGTACTAAACGGTGTGAGAGATTGGAGCCCTCATCCTAAGGCGCCAACATCGGTCGGCATCTCTCTGCCCCGATGGCTGCTGATTGGTCAGCTAGGCCCACGAGGATGGTTATTCGAAACTGGGCTGCATAAACAGCTCGTATATGCAATTTCCTCATCTATATCACCTTCTCCTTTGTTTTTCTATCTAGTTCTTTCATGGGCCGCCGATTAGCGGTGTGAAAGAACACTTTTGTATGCATTTGCCTTAGGAAACAGTTCTCAGGGAGAGGGTATAAATATCCCCCTGAGAACTGTCCATCTTCTTTTCGTCTGATCACCCCTAGTATTTCTCAACAAACGGTTCATCAAAAATTCAGCTCACAGTTAAGCCACATGCGCTATATATTCCGCCCAAGCGGGGTGAAATCGGTCGCGATTGTTTCCGCGGGTACTCCTTACGGGAGTACGGGTTGTTTGGACGTATCGTGCAGGATCGACACTAGCTGATCTACACGAGTCGCAGACAACCATGGGATCTTCTAATTGCTGCACAGGCTGGTTAAAATATTCGCTCAATTGGAGGTTGGGGCAGAGAGAAACTGTTCGAAATGCATGTAGGCAGTCCAATAGTACACTTTTTACTTTTTCCATCAGATAGGCTGGGACCTCAGACAATTTGATTCCCTGCCGAGAAAAAGAAAAACAAATTACTGAATAATCAGCCAGCCCCGGACCCAGCCGCATGATTCAACTCTGTAAATTTTACCTTCGACCCGTTTTCCCAATAGCTTCCTAGTAGCTAAGCAGGTTACATCGGCCATAGACCGCGGAGATTAGCGACCGCGGAGCCCCCACAATTCCCATCGGGACTACACAACCGTTCTCACCCCGCCGATTACAACACAGCTCTTTTTTCAACCACCACGCGGACAAGATGGCAATCGGTTTGCTTGTCCTACAGCCAGCTACATTGGATGATATTCCCGAATTGACCGCACTATGGTTTGAAGTATTCACAGACCCCGCTATGCGGCAATTATGGCCCGACACGCCCGGTACCCGCAAGTGGTGGGAGGAAGCCAACCGCGGGGACATGACCGAAAAACCGTATCAGAAATACGTCAAAGTCATTGACCCGGAATCGAAAGATGCCAACGGCCGACCGCGGATAGTCGCGTATGCCAAGTGGGATCTGGCTATGCCCGACGAACGAGGGCCTCGGTTCCCGCCTTGGCATGAGGATATGGACAAGCAGGAATGTGATAATTTCTTCAATCCGATGGAGATAAATAGGAAGCGTATCTTCGGTGATACGAAGCATTACTGTATGTCGCTAATCTTTTCATCCAGAGTTGCGTGCTAATTGTGCAGATTTGGATATGTTGGGTACACACCCCGATTACAGAGGACGCGGGGCTGGGTCGATGCTCATTAAATATGGCTGTGAGCTTGCCGACAAGAATGGTGCTGGGGCTTACGTGGATGCTAGTAAGGCTGGAGCACCGTTGTATGCCAAATTTGGATTTGTCGATGAGAGCGGGCCGGATGGTGGAGAGGTTGCTTCAATGGCTCGCCGATGTGTCAATGTATGATGCTATCCACTTCTACGATCTAGTCTATAATACCGCCGCCTTCATCTCTTTGCGACGACGGTATCGCTTGAACCAGGCACTTGGAATTAACCTGATACTTCAACCGAGGATATTTCATTTCCCATGCCAAGAGTCTCCGCTCACTACCTGCAACTCCACGCAATCTCACCAACAAACAGCCCAAAGCAGCACCCAACCCGGGCACAAGACTTCCAAGAGTCTAAATTTATCACAACCCCCTGCTCCCAAGGCTGCGGGGGAAATTATAACTCTTAGCTTTCGGGTCTGATCAAGCAGTCACGGCAGAGCTAATCTACCGACCTCCGACCGGCCGAAAGCCAAGGCTGGCAAGACCAGGAGCGAAAGTACATGCTCAGAACGGGGAAGATGTGCGCTGCAGGGGTTACATTGCAGGAACCCGCCAAGTTTACGATTCCTCTGCGTGCCTTGCACTTCGGCCTGCACTTCCAAATACCGCCTATGTAACGGGTACTCCGTATATGGACGCGATCAACGTGAGACACCTCCCTGTCTTCGCTGGAAATACAAAACGCCGAAGATTTAAGCTCCCCAAGTAGGCGACGTCAGACCTTTCAAACGCGACTGTTTGAATCCCGAGATGCCAAGACCCTGTTTACAAAGCGAAACCGTCGTATGGCACGATCTTTGCACATCACCCTTGCTCCAGGCGCTATTACCAAGCATCGCGGCCTCGACCACTCGCTTCAAAAGCAATCGTCCCCGCTAAACAACGTCGCCAACTCTGCCAAGACACTAACGCACTCGTTCTCTTCATGACTCGGTCTTTTTACTCGATTTTGAGTTTTCCGACTTAAACCCGCCCGTCGCCAAGGTCTCATTGTCACATACCTGAAGCTCGACGATCGCGTCCACATAATCTCTCCGGCTTAGCCCATGTTTAGGTGATCATGCAGCTCTAGTCCAATTTAGCATTCGGGCCACTTACGCCATGATCGGTGCTAACTACCCGTTCCGGGGGCGCATTTTCCGACACCTCTATTATCAACATGGAGAGGGGGTCCACCGGTCCACCCCCGTCACACAACTAGGATTCTAAGCCGCTGTGCTAGGTATAATCACATTGACTTGATTGGATATCTAGCTTTATCCATGTGGTGCCTTTTTTTCTTCCGATTGGAATGGCCGTTGGCTGCAAGGGAGCTAGCAAACAGGCCCATCTACCAAAGTCTATGTATTTAAACGGAACCTCGTGCCCGGGCTTTAAACTCTCGGTTGCAACCTTTCTTTTCCCTCGGATAATCTCTTGCAATGCATGTGCCGAAGCTCCTCGTGGGTCTTGTTGGCGTGGCCAATGCAGCTTGTCCGTACATGACGGGTGATACGCCCGGTCTTGAACCTCGTGACGGTGGAGACGCTGCTTCGGACACCGAAGACTACCTCTCCCAGTTCTATCTGGATGACAAAGATGCCTTCATGACATCGGACGTTGGTGGTCCGATTCCAGACCAAAACAGTTTGAGTGCTGGTGAGCGGGGCCCGACCCTGCTTGAGGATTTTATCTTCCGTCAGAAGATTCAGCGTTTTGACCATGAGCGGGTATGTCCCAATGAAGAAAGACCGTGATCGCTGTTTACTGATAAAGTATGCAACGGCTTATAGGTCCCCGAACGCGCCGTCCACGCACGCGGCGCCGGTGCCCACGGAGTCTTCACATCATACGGCGACTGGTCAAACATCACCGCAGCTTCATTCCTCTCCGACGAGAATAAGGAAACACCAATGTTTGCTCGCTTTTCTACCGTCGCGGGCAGCCGCGGAAGTGCCGACACAGCGCGTGATGTGCATGGGTTCGCGACGCGCTTCTATACGGACGAGGGAAATCTCGGTACGCTCTATATGGTCTGTTGTTGAACTCCACCTGACATAGCCAGATATTGTCGGAAACAACATCCCCGTATTCTTCATCCAAGACGCAATCCTTTTCCCAGACCTGATCCACGCAGTGAAACCCCGTGGTGATAATGAAATTCCCCAGGCAGCCACTGCACATGACTCGGCCTGGGATTTCTTCAGCCAGCAGCCAAGTTCATTGCACACTCTATTCTGGGCGATGGCCGGACACGGTATTCCCCGATCATTCCGCCATGTCGATGGTTTCGGGGTGCACACTTACCGCTTCGTGACTGATGACGGGGCTTCGAAGCTGGTCAAGTTCCACTGGAAGACTTTGCAGGGTAAAGCTAGTTTCGTGTGGGAGGAGGCTCAGCAGACTGCTGGCAAGAATGCGGATTTCATTCGTCAGGATCTTTTTGATTCTATCGAGGCTGGGAGATATCCTGAGTGGGAGGTGAGTAACTATCCTGCTATATCATCAATCTAGATCAAGGCACTGACACTGTTTAGCTCGGCGTTCAAATTATGGAAGAAGACGACCAACTCCGCTTCGGATTCGACCTCTTCGATCCAACCAAGATCGTACCAGAAGAACTCGTCCCCATCACCCCTCTCGGCAAGATGCAACTGAACCGAAACCCACGAAACTACTTTGCCGAAACCGAACAAGTCATGGTAAGTCCATCCACCCCATCCCTCAAACCCAAACCGCAAACTCACAACCACAGTTCCAACCGGGCCACATCGTGCGCGGGGTCGATTTCACCGAGGACCCTCTCCTCCAAGGCCGCATCTTCTCCTACCTAGACACCCAACTTAACCGCCACTCCGGACCCAACTTCGAACAACTCCCGATCAACCGCCCACGTGTCCCAATCCACAACAACAACCGCGACGGCGCAGGACAGATGTTCATTCCCCTAAACAAAGACGCTTACACCCCCAACACCCCCAACGCCGGCTCACCCAAACAAGCGAACCAAACCGTCGGAAACGGGTTCTTCACGACCCCCGACCGAGGTACAAGTGGCAAGTTAGTCCGTTCCGTGAGTTCGACATTCACAGACGCCTGGTCCCAGCCCAGATTATTCTGGAACTCGCTCGTTCCAGCGGAAAAACAATTCGTCGTTGATGCGATGCGCTTCGAGAATGCGAATGTCGTTAGCCAGGTGGTTCGGAATAACGTGATCGTCCAACTTAACCGCATCAGCAATGATCTTGCGAAACGCGTTGCGGAGGCTATCGGTGTTGATGCGCCGTCGCCGGATCCGACGTTCTACCATAATAATACGACTGCGCACATCGGTGCGTTCGGGCAGAAGTTGCTCAAGCTTGAGGGGTTGAAGGTTGGACTTCTTGCTTCTGTTCAAAATCCCAGTTCTATTGCCCAGGGAGCGAAACTCCAGGGTTTACTTTCGAGTGCTGGTGTTGACGTTGTCGTGGTGGGTGAGCGTATGGCGCATGGTGTGAACCAGACGTATTCTGCGTCGGATGCGACTAATTTTGATGCGGTGCTTGTTGCTGATGGGGCACAAGGGCTCTTTGGCTCCAGCTCTGAAGGTGCTAATAAGGGCGCAACGTCATTGTATCCGGCTGGGAGGCCTGTGGAGATTCTAGGAGATGCGTTTAGGTTTGGGAAGACGGTTGGTGCTCTCGGGAAGGGTGGGAGTGCGCTTGATGCTGCGAATATTTCGCAGAAAAGGGAGGGTGTTTTTGTTGCGACCTCTGTTGGGGATGAGTTCGTTAATGGGTTGAAGGAGGGATTGCGTACTTTTAAGTTCTTGGATCGCTTTGCGCTGGACGCGTAGGAGGTTCTTTGTTTATAGTTGAGTGTCCAGTATATGATAGCAGACACGTACATTTTCTCGCCGGAGTTGCAAGTGAAATCCAAATAAATCAACTCTTTGTTATGCAAATAATAATCAAAACGTCGAGTCGAGTATATAGAACTTTCGGAAATTGGTGTCCCCATCTACACTCTTTCATTGTTCCTCGGGCCTTAATGCCTAGAAGAGCTAATCTATTCTGGCGTAGTCCCAAAACACCCCTGGGCTCTAGGCCTTGCATTGTAGAATACCGGAATATAGCATGAGGTGAATCTTTATTTAATACCTGTTGCTTTTCTTTGGTCGTGTGAAGGGGAAAAGCCTCAAGTGAGTGTCCGGCCTCCACCGCCTTCCTGCCTGTAGGATAGACATACCGGGCCGAACCGAGTCCTGCAAGCCATCCTCGGGGTCGATGCCGTCGGGGGCTCTGGAGTTTAAATGTCAAATGGATACAGACACGATTAAAAAACCAAGCGTACGTCAGACCAGGGAATGGAGGATCTATAGCAAGGATGGGAGCCAGAAGTGGCGGCCAGCAACGCTACCAGTCTCGCCCTCAATACACCCCGTCCTGGACCTCATTCGAGGCATCTTCCATGTACATCCCGTCGCCCAAAGACGTCCACAGCCGTATTAGATTAAAGACCGAACAATTCATCCACCCTTCAAAATCGGTCTCTCCTTCTTCGAGTTCCGGAAACGCCTCCACAGCTGGAAGGAACCTTTGCCGCAGCTCTATATAACAGCGCTCCCCATGCTTCTCCCGGTGCTTCTCTGGAGTCATTGCCTCGCCTAGCCGTTGGACAGCCGCCTCATCCATCACCAAGCACGCGCGGTACTTGTTCCATGCATCTTGCTTATCTTGGGCTTCTACCCAGCCTTCAAAATGCCCCCGCATTACGTCCAACGAAGCCCCGTCCAGCGTTGCTGGCTCCTCGATCACGGTTAACTGATGGCGCGCCCAGAGCTGATCGTTGGGCGTGGGATCCGGGTTTTCCAAGCCGTACTCGTGGAGATCTTCGTAGACTCCCGCCTTGATCCAGGAAGTGAGGATTTCGATTGCTTTGTGGAATGCGGGGTCGGAGCGGTAGGTTGTGCGGTAGACGGCCCAGCTCTTCGCGCATATCCTGGAGCATGCGACGGGAGGTGCGGTTGAAGTCGATGGACCTTGTGGTCGCTTCGTCGAGTTGAGGCGGTCCAAACATGATGGATAATTGGTCAAGAGATGTGTATCGGGAAGAGAGAGAGATCCAAGAGTCGCCACTAGTATCGCACTCTTTGCCTGTTATGCACAAGCTCGAGGTCTGATCTCAACTGTTTGTGGTTTATTTTGCATATTCTTTGCGGGGCTGAGGAGGTGAGCCTCGGGAGCCCATAGCTAGTTCAAAATAATAGAAAATTCCGGGGTCAGACGACCCTCATCGGGTTGATATTTTTCAAACATCCCGTAGGTCTCCATCTAAGATTGAGAATATTCTGGATTTTCAACCGCACACAAAATACGTACCAAAATTGTTCTACCTCAGTTACCGACTATTCAAATAATGACGAGTAGTATGATCTCCAGATTTCATGGGCTTCAGTTCATGAAGCTAATCAGATTCCTGGTGCTCACTTTTGCGTTCCTTCGATCCGTCACAGCGGAAAGGGATGGACACTCGTTAACTTCTTCATCTTCTATTTCTGAATCCTCACCGACCCTTTCTTTCAGCCATTTTTCTTATACACAGGTCACTACTGAGCGGTATGGCAAACCCTTGCCAAGTCCTCTCAAGTTCAAACCATATGGGCCACATTTTCAAAAAGCGTCCAATTTACTACCCAACCTCACTTATACGACTTACTCATTGGATCGCCAGGCAACGGCGACTCACGATCATAACCAATACGGGCCAAGTGCCTACGCTGCTTTGTGGCAGACGTTGTCATATTCTTCCAGTGTCCCTTTCACGACTACAATGTCTCCTCATCCCATTCCCACGAGCGAACTAGTTTATCCACCGCGGCTGTATAATCCCCTGCCCGGTGCGGTGGATGGCTTTCTTTCCATAAGAGAGCAAAATTCTAACAGAAAAGGTCTTCAGCTCCCCAGCAATTTCATGTGGGGAGTAGCTGGCAGCGCCTGGCAGACAGAAGGCGGGCTGATGAGCGAAGGCCGAGGCCCAAGTGTGCTGGATTTTATTGGGGCGCTCCCGAACAAAGAGGGCCTCAACGACTCAGTGACAGCCGACATGTACTACTTCATGTACAAACAAGACATTGCACGTTTGGCAGCAGTGGGTATACCTTATTATTCCTTCTCCATCAGCTGGACACGCATTGTACCATTCGGAATTTCTGGCTCGCCCGTTAATACAGAGGCTCTGGAGCATTACAATGATGTAATTAACACATGCATAGAGCATGGTGTTACTCCAATAGTAACACTGTTGCATGATGACTCTCCAAATGGTATAGACTACGATAACGCGACGTCTTTCGGCGCAGCATTCTTATACTATGCAAAGATCACCGTGGCAAATTTTGGCGACCGCGTACCTGTGTGGATAACCTTCGGTGAACCAAATGGAGGAATCGGCATTTTCTTCAAGAAATACGACACGTTCCGCACTTTACTCCTCGTCCACGCTGAATTCTATCACTGGTATCGTGATGAGTTCCGCGGCACAGGCCAGATTTCTATCAAGTTTGCAAACAACCTGGCGACGCCCCTTCATGGGCCGAGCAGTGCTGTTGACGTGCGTGCCTCACTACGTTACCAGGACTTCCTCCTAGGTATCATGGGCAATCCAATATTTCTGGGTCAGCAGTATCCAGCAAGTGTGCTGGATACCCCCGATTTGAATTTAACGCCCCTGACAGCCGATGAGATAGCATACATCAACGGGACGTGTGACTTCTTTGCACTGGACCCATACGTAGCTCAAATTGCTACGGTCCCACCGAGGGAAGATCCCAACCACGCACCCGACGACTACCAGCAGCTGAGGGATTGCATCACCAACTCAAGCAACCCACTATGGCCTCAGTGCGCAGAAATCACGAGCATACAGCAAGACGGTTGGCCCATGGGATACTTCTCAAACGCATATAGCAAAGTGGCACCTAACTACGTTCGTCAACAACTTGGATACGTGTGGAACACATTCAAACCACAGGGCGGAATCGCTATTACTGAGTTCGGCTTCAATCCTGCTTTCGAGGAGCAAATTTCTGGTGAGGCACAGCGTTTTGACCTCACTCGGTCACTATATTTGCTCGAGTTTCTCGACGAGATGCTCAAGGCGGTCCATGAAGACGGTGTCAAGATGGTTGGTGCCTTCGCCTGGAGCGTGTTCGATAATAATGAGTTCGGCTCTTTTGCTCAACAATATGGCCTGCAGAGTGTCAATCGCACTACTGGAACGTTTAAGCGCAGGTATAAGAGGAGCATGTTTGACTTTGTTGATTTCTTCCATGAACATGTCGCTTCTTGTGAGCAAGTTTAGCTAAGCTCGGCTGTTGCTCGATAATCAACAAGAACAAATGATTTACTTCAAGGCTGAGAAGGGTTTGAAGTCGAAGGAAAGCTAATTATCATAAAGTTCTGGTTGATATTTATTTCATTGCTGCAGCCAAGCATTCAACGCAGTATAGTAGACAACATATTTGAAATAACGGCTGGCCATCGCTCATTGGGTTTTAGGTACCTGTATAGGAGGTTTCTATCGAAAGCTATTACTTTCAGGTGACCTTGATAGCCTCATGTAATCACTGCAGCTGTGCCAAGCGATCAATATTCTACGGCCGTCTTATCACTTTGGCGCCTAGCCTTGAAAAGTGCCATTTTTACCCATCTTGCTCTGTTTTTTGTTTGAAAACTGGGCAATTCTTCCTATCGCACTTATATCTTCAGGTTTGAAAAAATGAGCCAAAAGCTCTTTGGCATGCACGAAAGTTGCTAGGTAGGTAGATTGCTCTGAAACGAAGAAGCGGAGTAAAGGGTTTACAACCCCGCGCGACTCGCCGCAAACATTCGCTGGCTTCCCTATTCCCTGCTATTTTTACAAATGCCATATATGCGGCTGTCACGCTTTCGCTCATTCCAGGGCCGCAGCGTGCGAAGCGCCACCAGTACAATACTGCGGATAATGACAGGGTAAGTCGGAGATTTTTCAAAACAGACTAGCTTATCTTAGCACTAGGATCCGAGAAGAAATCGAAGATTGCACTCGGTGACACCGATTTTCGGAAGTACAGTATATAGATCAATGGGATCAATCAACTATTTCCACTTGCCATCTTCAGGATATTGCCTTAGTTCGTAGGCACAAACTGCTGATGGCGCTTCATGAAAGACCCCTGGTCCGCCATAGCTGCTGCCGCGTGCACATTGATCGCTCTCGGAGCGTTTTGAGATGACTTACCCTGACCACTCTTCCCCTGGCCAATAATGCCCCACTCCGCAACAGTAGCACCGGTGCCATTCCCGGCCGCCAAATCAGCAGCATCGAGTCCCTGATTACCAATAATCAGGAGGGATGCATACTGCGCGGCGGGCACAGGGTTCGAGAGTGTCACGTTCGTACTGTTGCTGGTAGGCATGACAATGGCATCGAAGTTGGTGGTCTTCGGGTCATATGGGGACGAAATTTGAACATCATTCAGAGACGTCACCACCTGGAACGCGGAGCTCTGGTTCGAGGCCATGTAAGCCATGGCGGGGTTGTCAAGGGTCTGGTTGTGGAAGAGCACGGTCACATTGACAGGGGGTGCTTGGGCCCAGTCGAAGTAGAAGCCCGTGACCATGGAGCCGGCCTCTTTGCCAAGCGAGACTGTGACTGCACTCAAGTTGACCGCGAGGGCTGGCTGCCATTTGGTCGAGGTTGCACCGTCGACCACTGAGATTGGGAACTGGCCGGGTTCGTAGGCGTCAGTTGACTGGACAGGCTGGCACTGCACCAGGTTACCATTGATCGTTTTCATCGAAGAAATCTGGCGATTGGGAAGAACGATGGATCGGTTTGCAGGAAGACTGTACGTGGTCATGTTGGCTTCGCTGCCGGACTGCACAGTAATTGTCGTGTTGGCGAAGCGCTGGTCCGCAGTGTTGAGAGGCGGCGTGTCAATGGCCCGCCTGATTGTGGTGTGGGTGTAGTTAGACCAAGCGTTGATGGGCCAGCCACGCCAGTAAAACATCCGATACTTCAAATATGGGATTTGAATTGGCAGATTGGGATCCACGTGAAGGATGTCATCAGGCTTCAGACGAAGACCCAGGTAGCCGAACAGAGCCACCTGGTTAGCACCACCGTGGCCAGTAAGGAACGGGAACGCCGGATGAGTGCCTCCATTAAGCGTGGCATTGTCGATCAACTCCTCTGACATTTGGAAAAATGGAGGACGAGCATATGGGAGGTATGAATACTGCCCATAGGTGTAGGCTGAGCAGCCAGAGGGTGAAACGTCATTTGCCACGATCGAGAAGATGGCCCATGTCATGGCAGGTCCATCAGGCGACTGCTTATTTGCGTACTATAGGAAAAGTCAGCATAAGTGTTCAGTGATGTCTAGTTTTGAAATACTCACGTAATCCAGGTCATTCAGCGAATCTTGAGTGGTGTAGTTGGAGGTGTAGTCCAGTGGATAAGTGTCGAGGACAACGTCAGCCTGCTTGACCACGGTACTTCCATTCATAGTCGTAAACTCTAGAGTCACTCCGTTTTCGCGAAGTACCAGTACATCATCTGCCATCTCGCCCCAAGTTGAGTTTTCCTCAAGGCCAAATTGTTGGCGGAAAGCATTGCTATTTTTGAGAGTCTTGGCGATGAGTGGCATTGTGTAGCCACCAGCATTGATCATGTTGGCGTACTCATCCTAAATTAATTAGATCCACGTCGAAGATACACAGAACGCAGCTTATAGTACTTACCGGATCGGTCATGTTCTTGAGGGTCCACTTAGACCCGTTGCGCACCACCAAGTCTGCAAAAAGAGTAGCAGCGGAGTCGTAGATCGGGAAGTGGATGTCCTTGAAAGTTTGCGTGTCACCACTGGTAACCCATCGGTTGATCAGAGAAAGTCCGATATCACCATTAAGATGATATTCGTAGTCCCAGCAAGGACCAGTGGCCGTGCAGTTGCCGAAACGGCCACTCGTCCACGGGTAGATGGCTGCCGCAGATGAAAACTGGGTCTTGTTCTGCGACCCCGCATAGTTGGTCTTGATGTTCTCTTGAGCCATTCCATACTTCTCTGCACGGTAGTTGGTAATGCGATCCGCAGCTTGCGGGTGTGAGGTGGTCAGACCAGGCTGCATCCAGACATCAGCATCCCAGAAAATCAGCCCAGCATAGGAATCCGAGGTCAAGCCGCCAACGGAAATGCTGTCAACATTCACGGCGGCTCCACCGGCCTGTTTGATGGCATTTTGACCAACGGTATTTTGCAGCAGGTAGTAGGGATTAACCACCGCAATCACGGACGAGTCAACGATGTAGGTATCAGCTGGCAGACTGCCATTGCCAGGGAGAGCATAGCTATCAACCGAGTTGTCGGGCATGACACTCGCCCACTCTCTAAGATGAGCGAGAAGGGACTTGGAATATCCATTCGCCATCCCAGATGTGACCGCCTCCTTGGCTACCTGCTGTGGGTCGGCGAATGCATCTGTGGATGCTGCGCCAACGTACTTTGTAACTCGTACCGCTTGGCCTGCCTTGAAGTTGACATCCACGGACTGAGCAATCGACGACTGGTTGGCACCAATATACGGCTTATCGGACACAATCTTGCGAGATGTCAGGTTCACATTCGAGTTGCCTGTCAAGTTGGCATAGATGAAGGCTGTGACGTTGGCAATTCCGTTGGGTCGTACTGCCGAAAAGATTGCACCATCGTCTTCACCGGAATCCACAAAGTCGGTTCGCACAGCAGACGTTCCGTCGAGCACATTGACGATTGTGGCCTGAGAATCAGAAGAGGGTACAACTTCCATGTCTACCACCGCCTGGTTGATGTAGAACTTGTTGGTGAAAAGGCGATAGGTAATCTGAAATGAGCCTTTGTCACAGGTCGGCGTCCATGTATACGTCCAAAGCAAGAGTCCTGCTTTGAAATCGTATGTTGTGCGAAAGTTGGAAATGGTGCTGTTGTCGACCATTGCATTCAAATAGGTGTTGTTGCCAAGATCCAAAATCAGTCCGCTCCAGTGAGGGACACCGCTAATAACACTTTCGCCCCCATACTGGTAAAGCCAAGGAAAGTTGGCTTCATCGGTTGTAGGCTGGTAGTCAAAGAAGCCAGCAATAGTCGCAAACGACTGGCGTCGAGAGAAGAGAGGCCAGCCACTGATCACGTCGCCACCATCCGCCGCCTGGTCCATTTCAAAGAACGGGCCAACACTTGCAACGTTGATTCCCAAGTATCCGTTTGCTACGGAGCCGCGCGATTGAAAGCGGCCCGGCTCGAGGTTGCTGGTGGAGAGAAGCCAGTTTTCCTCGTCCCACGTCACGCCATCGAAGCCGGTCTGGTACACCTTGCTGCTAAAGTTGCCTACGGGACCTGGGCCACCGTATCTTTTCATGGACTTTATGATGCGGCTTTTCGAGGAGGCTCCATCGGCAAGTGCGCTGAAAGTCAAAAGCAGAGGCAAAGCCGCCCATGCGAAAGGCTTCAAGTGTATTAGTATTCAACACTATAGAGAGACTGCTGGAAGGTCGATGCTTACTTTGAATTGCATCTTGCCAGGTTCTCACCCTAGCGGGCGCTAATATCCCTATCCCGGGCGAGTGTCTGGTGAAAAATTTCTATGGACACGGCAGTCCGATCTATGTTGAACAACGGTCAGGAAATGTAGGCAACGTTCGGGAAAGGCAGTCAATTTAAATGAAAAATACGGGAGGAGACGCACGGATGGCAAAGAATTTAAGTGAATCCTTCAACCAAATGAAGCGAAAGGGAGTGCCGATCCAGGAACCGTATGGCGGCGGTCGCTCGGGCTCAACGGAACCGGGAGCTCACGGTGTGGGGAAGCAATCGAAGCTTACCGTGCCGGGGTGCAACTTCTTCCCCGTTTGAGGAAGGCTAAACGAAAATGACTAGTGGAGCCGGGCATCGTTCAGGGAAGATGATGGAAAATGTCGTATGAGGCTGCTTTGTTCGAGGCTGTGTCAGATGAACGGCTGCGGGGAAGCGCAAGCCATGCCAGCACTGTGGCGCTTCATTTGCCCGCGACCGAGTCTGGGGACGGGAACCCGGGCAAGTACTCGCCGAAGTTGGAACCGGCGTGCCGTGCGCATCGTCATCGAGTCCAAGGTTTGGCACAGAGTTCGTGTGGGGAATCCTGGAGCCGTGGTTTCCGGTTGGGGGCGAGGTCCCGCAGTTGGCCCGGCAAATGGCCGTCCTGCCGTGTAAGGCAGGTCGCTGAGCAGGCAGCAGGTATGGAAATGGTACTTTGGGGTGTTGAGTGGGTTGGTGGAAGATTGCTGTGGTGGTTTGCGTCAACATCCCCTTTTTGGCCTGAAGCCTCAGGCATCAATTTTTCTCAACATTGACACACTATACTTCTTCACTTGTTCAGTTCTGATTCTGACAATGGGACTATCAGAAATCATTCTTGCTAATGATGTTCTGAGATTCAATTCTGTGGCTCAAAAAATCACGTCATCTGCTAGGTTAACACCCACCTACCCCTGGCACAAGCAGTTGGCAGGATCATCAGTAGAAACTTACAATCTCCCATTACGATCAGCATCCCAAACGCTTGGCACATCTAGCAGATCTTTGCACTTATGTATCAGTCGGGAGATCTGGGGTAAATCCCCCACCCGGCAACGTGCGAGACCCTAGCGAGACCCGAGCCGAGACCCGAGCGTTCCTTATCAAGTCGATAATTACACCGAGCAGCCATAGAATAAATAAAATACAAGAGTCTCTGACTCTTCGAAAGGCTCAGCGACCTCACGTGTTCATCATTATAATAAACTTTGTTCCATGCGTGCTTTACTGGCATTCTACTTGTTTGTCCAAGCACTCGCCCTGGTATGATCGGCATTATATTGGTGGTTCCGTCCATTAACACTACGCATAAAACATTGGTGGTACCTCACCGAAGGGAAACAAAGATTCGTTCCTCGATATATTTACAACCAAACAATAACCTTGTTCAGCATTGCCTGGCCGCTTCTCACAGTGTATGTAGTTTGAGAATTGGCGATGCTGGCAGGGTTCCTGAGTTACTTACGCAGTCGGAGCATAAATGCGCTCGGTGCAGATGAGGAATAGCTCAGAAAAAAAGCAGAAACACCTTGATGCAAGCCTATCAAGCGTGGTTAGGTATGAAATTGCGCGGTGGAGAATGCCAAGCCCAGGGCTACGGATTGGGTTAAATCGCAAAGCCATTCATTTTGACTCATGGTGACTCGTGGTGGTTCGTTCGCGTACCTTAACCGTTAGCTTATGTCGGTCACAGCTGGGAAGGGCTTTTATAGGTGCATCCATATTCATAGTATAAGTAATGGGACTCCAAAGGAAGCCCAGCGCACTTCTTTTCCCTAATTGCTTGTCTAGCATTTCAGTCTTCCGAAAGACGTGTTTACCTTTGTTTTCTGCACGTATCCTCACAAGCAAGGGTTGTCTCCGTCTATTTGACCCGCACAGCTCACTGTGATGGGATTATGGAAATGGCCCGGACGTCAACATGAAAAGCAGGAGGCTACCCGACCCAAACTCGTGGAGCTAAGGTCATCGCGATGGTTTATTACTATTGTCGTGTCGTTCGCTGCTGCGACGGATGTTTTCATGTATGGCCTGATCGTGCCTGTCACCCCCACTGCACTACAGAATAGGGTACAGCTTCCTGAAGGAAGTATTCAAGGCTGGGCGTCGATCCTTCTGGCTTTAAATGCGGCTGCTTTGTTGGCTTTCTCGCCTATTTTTGGGTACATCGCTGATCGATCAGAGTCTTGTCGATTTCTTTATCTCCTTGGCCTGGTTGCGCTGGGCGCAGCGACGGCCATGCTGTGTGTTGGGTCGAACATTGGACTTTGGATTGCTGGTCGGATGTTTCAGGGTGCTGCGGCTGCGATGGTTTGGGCTGTTGGAATGGCGCTGATGGTTGATACTGTTGGGAAAGACGGGCTTGGTCAAGCTTTCGGTTATGTGTCGATGGCTGTCAGCTTCGGGGCAGTGGCCGGGCCCCTTCTTGGAGGTGTTCTTTACCAATATGGTGGATACTACGCAGTCTTTGGTATCGGTTTTGGGTTTATTGGGCTTGACATCTTCCTTCGGTGGATGTTAATCGAGAGAAAACAAGCGATCAAATGGCTCATGCCGGATATGAGGCCACTCGCAGCTGAGCAAGCCTCGCAAAAAGAAGGAGAAAAACCAACAAACCCACCGGCAGTTGGTAATGGCCCTTGTAATCGACAGCCCCCAGAATACCCCCCTTCACGAAGTGCGCTAGGGCTTGTCGCTTTTCTATTAAGCTCACCCCGTCTCATCGTGTCCCTATGGGGAAACCTCATTATTGCACTCGCCCTAGCTTCATTCGATAGTGTCCTTCCACTATTCGTGCGAGATATGTTCGGATGGCAGCAAGGTGCCCAGGGGCTGATATTCATCCCGCTTATGGTACCGCACGTATTAGGCCCAATAACAGGGTTCGTCATCGACAAGTTCCCACGGTCTTGTCGCTACATTACCACGGGGGCATTCCTATCCTCCACACCCGTTATGGTTTTACTACGACTTGTTACGGAGAATACTATGCAGCACAAGGTTCTTTTGTGTGCTCTCCTCGCCCTCCTCGGTGTCTGCTTTTCTTTGGCATTACCCCCTCTCAATGCGGAGGTCTTCCATGCCGTGAAAGAAAAAGAAGACCGGAACCCAGATATTTTTGGTCGTGGTGGAGCTATGGCGCTCGCATTTGGCCTGTCTAACATGGGGTGTGCTACTGGATATCTTGTTGGGCCCTTCTTTGCTGGCTTCATTCGTCAGCAGGCTGGCTGGGGAACTATGGGCTGGGCATTAGGACTGCTGGCAGGTGTATCGTCAATCCCAATCTTTTTGTTTCTAGGCGGCTGGATATTGAGAGAGCCTGTGAGGTCCCAAGGTGAGGCTCAAGTTTCAGAGACCGCCTCTGGTGTTTAAGTTTTAGAGTTGGAAAAAATGTATTTATAAAGTGATATTCGAAATCACATTTACCTCTACACTCTACACAGTAAGACTTTCATTCCCGATCCAGCCTAGGCGTGAAACCCGTAGAGTCATGTGACCTAGCCGTGATGCCTTACTGCCTGTCGCCCCACACCTTCCTCGATAGCTTCTTCATCACATACAGATCTTCATTCTTCCATCTCCTCTAAAAAATCTTCTTTATCATTCTAAGTGGCAATTTTGTACCCGAATAATACTCTGATCCGATATACGAACCATGCCCGACACCCCACAACCCAAGAAGAATGTTTCAAATCGTAGGAGAAAGCAGAATGTTCGAGCTCAACAGCGATACAGTATTTACCCCATCTGTGTGTCTCCGACGACTTGATTCTTATTTTTTATCTAGGAGAACGGCGTAAACGCCATCTGCAAGCACTTGAGGCTCTCTTAGCTTCTCAAACCCCACATACCGAAAACGGCGTTATCCTGCCAAATAACCAAGAAGAGATTGATCTACACGATCGCTTGTTCCAACGCACACCAGGATACAGCACGGCAAATATTGCTATGTCACCCAGTAGTGTTCTTGGACCTAGTCTCAGATCGGCTGAAGATCATCCCATGCAAACCTTGGCATTCATTGTCAACCACTTGGGTGGGATTGACGAAAGCACAAGCGTGCGAATCAGATCTGGCGAAATCACAATTCAAGATATCCTGCAAGCCGGGTTGGATTCATTAAATTTGCCCTCTGGCGATTCATCAAAAGAAATTTGCGCGAACGACAACGGCCCACCGTGTCCTGCCTTGCGCACCGACAAAATCCTCATCCTTAAGAGTAGAAAGCTGCTTCATCCGAACTTGCTGCCCTCTGTCTACACCAATAATCTACGACTCAAACAATTCTCTACTATTTCCGCCCTTCGAGCAAATGCTGAGAGGTTTGGCTTTACATTTGAAGAACTCATAGACCCTGCAACGGGCTCACCATTCTACGATCAAGCAATTGGGAGAGATGGCACAAAATCGATTTCTCCTAAGTTGCTCGAGTCGATGCCACATCTTAAACCGATAGACCTGCAGTTCAAACATCCCCATCACGTCTACATCGACCTTATTCCATGCCCAAAGTTTCGTCAACGATTTATCCAACTCACCACCATGGAACCCCCAATGATCAATAAGGGCGAATTTTGTGCTGATCTTGAAAATGACGGGCTCATCTGCTGGGCGTCGTATACTGGATGTGACACTGAAGTGAATGGGTCAAGTGTACCATGGGATATACGAAGCTGGGAAGCTCAGCCGTGGTTTTTAAAAAAATGGTGGCTTGTCTTGGGAGGGGAAGAGAGTGGGATCTTTCAGCAGAGTAAATGGTGGCATGAATTTAGAGGGGATCATTTGCCGCCTTTTTGATGACGTCAGTTATCTTAGCGGGAATCTTAGTCTATCACGAGTCCGAATACATATCCTTTCCCTAGGTGGCCATGGTGAAAGGAATCCGAGCAAAGAACTGAGGAGCGTGAAGAGCTGATTGTTGGTTTGGATAGCCAAACTGACCAACAGCCCTTCAACGCGTGCTGAGTTGAGCAAATAACCATCCCGACCAATCGGATGAGAGTGTTTGCCCAGCTTAGCTGCTATGCTCAACTCAGCATGCTCAACTCAGCATGCTTAACTCAGCATGCTTAACTCAGCATGATCAACTCAGCATATACTTCGCTTCCTTGCCTGGGGCCTTGTCCTAAATATGAAAGTGCCGCGACGGATACTTAAAAGGCCGAGTTTCACTCTTGGAAGACAGAATTAAATTCCTCAAACAACATACATAGATGGACAGTCTCACTCTTCGACCTGAGGCCCAAAATGGCGCCATGGAATACACTCGGTAAAGCATCATTCTATTGAAACGAAGTATGCTCTTAACGACCTGTGGTATCTAGACTTGGGCGATCTGGCCTCAAAATCTCCAAAGTGGTTCTAGGTGCCATGTCTTTTGGCAGTGATGACTGGATGATTCCCGAGGAAAAAGCACTGCCAGTTATCAAGCATGCTTTCGACAACGGCATGAACACATGGGACACCGTAAGAAGACCGGAGCCGTTTGCCTTGCAGACCTGATGAACTGATCGTTTTAGGCTGACATCTACTCTTTCGGCGAGTCGGAGCGCATCATAGCCAAGGCTTTGAAAACATACAACATCCCCCGCGAACGAGTCGTGATCCTGTCGAAATGCTACGGTGGGGTCCCTAACCCAGGTGATTTGGACGGAATGTCAGATCAAGAGAAATTAGCCCAGATGGCTGTCAATGACGGTGTCATGGTGAATCGCATTGGACTATCGCGCAAGCATATCTTCGACGCGGTAAATGCTAGTATTGAAAGACTCGGCACGTATTTGGATGTTCTCCAGATCCATCGCCTTGATCGCGATACTCCTCGTGAGGAGATTATGAGGGCACTCAATGATCTTGTTGACTCCGGGAAAGTACGCTATCTCGGCGCAAGCTCGGTGAGTTGTCCCACTGCTGATGGATGACTATCTTCGCTGAATTTCTTTTTAGATGTTTGCTTGGGAGTTCCAGGCTTTAAACAACATTGCGGAGAAGAATGGGTGGCATAAGTTCATCAGCATGCAGGACTACTATTCTCTCCTACACCGCGAGGAGGAGCGTGAAATGCACCCATATTGTCGCGATGCCGGTGTTGGCCTTATTCCATGGTCACCTTTGGCACGTGGTCTACTAACACGGCCATTCAAAGTCGACAAAGCGCAAAAGTCTGTACGTGAAGCTTCTGATGTTTACTCACAGATGCTGATCGGTGCGACTACGGAGGTTGATATTTCTATCATTAACCGCGTGGAAGAATTGGCCAAGAAGAAGGGTTGCAGCATGGCGCAGATCGGACTGGTATGGTGTCTGAAGAAAGGGGTCAATCCTATCGTTGGATTGTCTAGCACTACTAGAGTGGATGAGGCTGTGCAGTCCGTGAAACTGTTCAAGGATGGGGTGCTCTCCGACGGAGATGTCCAGTATCTGGATGAGTTGTACGTCCCGAAGGCTGCTTTGACGGGTGCGTGGTAATGTGTAAGAGCAGGGTTATCTGGTACAGAGCGTCATTTTGATGTAAACTTTCTTACATACAAATGAGTTTTATTTCGCTGGATGACCGCCATCACGTTGAGATGAAAAGGGATCCCTTCGGTAGATCATGTGAATGGGGTGAATAATTTATGAAGAATCTGATATTGATTTCACCCGAAGTCCAGCCATTAAAAGAGACTTCATTTACCAGTATTTTGGAAGCTTATTAAACCAGCTAGTGTTATGGTATTTAACTTTGAAGATGATGCTTGGTGAAAGGGCAAAACCAGCCACTCTCATTGACTCAATACAGTGTTTCCTAGAATCGGTGTCGCCAAACCTCCCTTTTGTTTTCCATTGAATTTCTTTTCTTTTTTTGGGAAGATATGGTTTGAAGCTCCACCACTTAAGTATATCTAATTAGTCAATCATTGAATGACTTGATGCAGCACCTACAGTAGGTAAGGGAACAGGCCAATCAGAGGCCACCTAGGCACTGTATTATCTGTCGAGTATACGGTTTCTCTTCTAGGAACAAGGGGATCGACGGATATACTATATCGGGATTAGCGTATTTAAAATTAGAATTCGGGAATTAAAGTCGAAGAGTGTGGAGGTAAATCTGATTTCGAATATTACTGTAACATTCTAGAACATCATGACTCCAATACACATATTTAACAATGCTTATACCCCGAAACGAATGAAATGAGAGAAAGAACCCTTGGAAGGCCTCACTTGCCACGATAGCTCATGAAACTCCTCATAAGCATCTGCTTCATATAATGATCAATCGCCGTCAACGGATCCGTGAAATACCCAGTAACCTTCCCCCAATTCTCCACATCATCAAGAGCAACAAGCTCCCTCGTAGGATACAAGGGCATTCCATTATACCTGAACTCTACAGGTAGTAGCTCATTAGCCAAGATCAGCTTCTTACGCATCCTCGGCAACATATTCCAAGGCTCATCAAGCCACCTGGGCAGGCAGTTAAGCTCTAACCAGAATGAGCGGAAGTCAGGACGGAGTGGCCGCTCGGCTTCTTCTCGGTAATACTTTCCGGTCATGGCGTAAATTAACTTCTGCCAGTACTTGAATCCGCTGTTGGCGTATGGCTGGTCTCGGCAGAGTAAAAATATCAGAGCCTCTATGAATGCCGTTGGCTTGAGAACCTTGAATGGGTACATACCTTGCCAATCTGCTGACCAGGGGCGGTATTCTTTTGCGGTCATCATGTGGATGTTTGTTTCGGGGGAGACAAAAGAGAAGTCCGGTAGCCACCAGAGGACTTTGGACTTGACGAATAGGGACACTGTGTCGATTCCGATGACATCTTGATCGTTCAGAATATACTGGAGGTTCATTTTCATGGTAGGAACGGGGATCTTGCTGAGCCACGGGGTGTGGAAATGCGCATCTGGAACCGAGGTGCCTTGATGGGCCTGTAGCCACGCGCAATTTGGATTGAGGCAGAGTTGGTGGTCTTCAAAGAAGCCAAGGGCTCGAATGGCTGTGTCAAGCGCCTCGTCAGGAATGACGAACTCAAGACTCCTCGGTTGTAATGCATTCCGTTCCCGGTCATTGAAAATGTCAGCGGCTTGTTCACCCCAAAGAACATTAGGTACTCTTGCACCATCCAAGATGCTGGCAAGAAATCCCGCAATGTCCGCCCGCAGGAGCTGACATCGGTAATAGTTTTGTGAGGTAGTAGTCATTGTCGACTGAGGTAAGAAAGTACTCTGAAAATGTTTCTGGAACGAGAGGACAGTTGCTGGCTGTCACGGATGTGGAAGAAGGCTGTTGCTGAAGATCTAGATACCCAGATGCATTGCTCGACTTTATATTTTCGACTCCATCCTGCGGACTCATATCCCTCTCGATATACAAGACAACATCTTGCTTCCCGTGTTTGGAGTATTTCTGAAACAGCATTCAGGCATTGTAAATGAGGTCTCGAGTCAAGTAGTTTGCAAGTCTGCCGAAAATAAGTCTTTGTTAGTAAATTCAAACATTAAGCACCTGGGGCTAAGTTTGATGATATTTCAGGACAACGAGTGCGAGTGGAACAAAAATATGAGGCTTTGCGGTAGGCATTCATGCCCCTATTCTTAGCACGTTCGAGGAACAAAGGCATTCCTGGTCATTCTTCGAGGTGCTGGATGAGACGTTTCTTTGTCGAGTTTGGGGTTGGTGGTCCTTATTCGATAAAGAGACTCGCCTTCGAAACGAGAGATAATTAAAATGATATGTTTCAATTTATTACGCTAAATGCCCGTACTATGCTGAGAACGAAGAGTTGAAGACGGTGGAACATCGTGTTCACAGTTCTATGGATGAGATTTTGTTCAAGTGTTTGGCTCGCTACCCGCCAATTCTTCAGTGGACATTCTGGCAAATCGAGCCTTGACGCCGATCATGTGCAATGTCGATAAGCGAAGTCATTCGTTAAACGTTGGTGACTGGTAATCCATTATACCAATTTTGTGATCAATCGGAAAGGTCAATCAGTGATGTGGCCGAGAGTGCAGGTTTGCGATTGACGTGCGAGTGTGAAGGTTCGCCAAGAGCCTCATCAGGTAGACAATGCAGCAGGTGCTTGAATCAATTCATTGCACTCGTCAACGAGGTGCCCCCGGTATCCATCAAGCCACGAATCATCCTGAACAAGCCGGCAGTTCTGTATTGAGCCAAGTAATGCGCAAAGGGCTGTACATTGCAGTCAAACGCACATGGCTCTTAGATTCCGTATGCAATTCAAATGTTCTTATATTTCACCCTTCATCCTCCCCACTTTCCTCGTCGGAAGTCTCCGTATGGCCATTCGGAGCATTTGAAGGCACCTGGCTAGTCTGCGGAATGTTGGTCGTCTGCCTCCGGTTCGTCGCCGAGGTCACAGCCCGCTCACCCACGAACTTATCCCCAGGCCAATCCTCTTTGCAAACGGGGCACTTCTCGGCCTGCTGTACGCGGAAAAAATTGCGCATGCAGTGCTCGTGAAGTCGGCCTAGGCAATCACGGTCGCCACATCGTTGACCCTGTAAATCCCAAGTCAGCTGTAATTCTCAGTATCCTCTCACGCAGATAATCCTTACCACTGTGACAATATCCCTGCAAGCAGCACAAAACTTGATGCGCTCCACTTTCCGCCCATTCTCATTCACGTAGTTGTACGTGTCGATCAGCCAGCTTCGCAGCTCCATCAGCGCACGCGGTGTCAAGCTGAAGAAGTTCTTCCTGCTCTTCTCCAACCAGCCTTCTACAAGGAGGTTTTGCATCATTGTCTCGGCTTGCGTCATGGTCAAAGACTGTGCTGCTCCGCCTTGGTTCTGCTGTATCTCGGCATTTGTCGACCGCCGACGGTTTATGTCTGCCGAAGAAACCTTGGCCAGCTGGGTGGCTTGGATCGGCGTGATAACCATTGCTTCTGTTATCTTCGTGTTATTCGTGTCGAACATGTAATCCAGAACCCGCTTGACGAAGGCGATCTCGTCGGGGGAGTAGGTGGTTGCGAGTTGGGTAAGGGCATCGACGTGGACGTTGACAAGAGCGTATACCCGCTCAGGAGGAGTGTCAGGGGTATTTTGATCGGAATCTTTTGTGATTTGGCGTAAGGAGCTTCTGATTTCGAAGTTGAAGGGAGAGATGGCGGTGTTGGCCGAGGAAATGTAAGAGGAGAGGTGTTCTTGAGTGATGTCGTCTGGGTCGATAGTGCGGCCCTCTATGGAGATTTGAACGATCAGTACACTTTCAACAAGCCCGACTCAGTTTCAAGGGAGAAAAACACACCATGGGCAGAAATTATGGCAGCCAGCACTGGCTGCGCTTCCTCGAGGGTCATTGATGAGCGAGCCATGAAGGCCTGCAAGAAGGCGCGATTGCAGTCATTGTAGCTGGAGTTGTCCATGCTGCCGAGATGATGGGCCAGCAGCTCGGTGTAGATCTCCAAGACTGGGTGATATCGTTGAGTTGAGGCACAGGAAAATGAAGTTGGATGTGACGCGATCCGACGCGCCGCGCGAAGGTGCCAAGACTTGCCGATAACCAGAACTATGCGAGTTGGAGCTTCTCTTTCAGCTTGGATTCCCTATCTATTTGAAATTGTATTGTAAAAATCAAGAACATGAACTACTGAGGGATTTATTCGCTTCTACTCGAAGGCTCGGAATATTCTTGCCACCGTCTTTTACACTTCCTCAGCTTCTTCAGCACTGTGTCTGGGAGGCACTCCTCCTCAGGGCTCATTTCAGTAGCTAAGGCCTGCTATTGAAAATTCTTCGATACGTGAATATGAGAGGGTTCACAAAATTGTGAATAAAATAGTCTAATCTTTCTAGCAGCCGCGAAGAGGTGGCATGGGGTATATAAAGAGTCAAAGGTAGCGCAACAGCCATATTGCACGATCGTGCGATCATACAGTTCACTTCAGCGAGATCTTCGGCCGCTTATTATTGAAGCCAGAGTCCGGCCGAGACCGCTTCTTCTCATTAGCCTCCATCTCGGCTTTCATGATCCTCTCCTGCTCAGTCATCTTTTTCTGGGGAGCCATCACAGGCCCCTTCTTCCCCGCGAGAGGATTTTTCTTAGCCGCCGAGGCAAACACGTTCTTCGGTTTCTGCGCACCAAAGGACATCGAGATCTTAGGCGCGGCCGGGGCAGATTCGGCTGGCGTTGGCGTATATGTCTCGTCCGCAGCGATCTCCTTTGGCTCGGCTTCCGTCGACGGAGGTGAAGCTGACTTGGTATCTGCTTTTGGTTTTGACGCAAACCCAAAGTTTAATGTCACTTTCTCTCCGTCTTCGCGTTGTAGCATCTTATCCTCGGGGTTCGCCTCTTCTTGTTCCTTGGCCATGGCCTGTGCCCTTTCGATCTGCTCCCGAATCAATCGTTGTTCGCGCTCCTCGTCGCCTTTATCTTGTCGTTCTTTCTTCATGACGGCTTCGCGCTTGCGCATCGTTTCCGGGCTGTTATCGATCCATGAGACGAATAATCCCTTCTCCGTTTCCTCAACCCGACAAATGCCTTCTTTTCCAAGGTGGGCTGCAAATTGTGACAAACTCTTCCATTGTGTCGCGTTCATGTGAATCTGCAAGTTGGTTAGGTATGCGCGAGGATGCACCGAGGGAGAGGATAACTCACGTGCTGCGAGAAGTTCAAGTTAGCATCCACGTTCCAAAGTTAAACAGTAGGTAAAGACTTACCTCTTTCTCCGCGATAACTTGCTGGTAGAAGTGGTTGATATGAACCTTCTTCTCGCCGTGTGTTGTTTTCAGCAGATCGACGAAATTCTTCTGGAAGTCGCGGCTGAAATCCTGGATGTGGCGGCGCGGGTCTTCGCCGATTAGAAGCATTTGCCGGACATGGCTTTCACTCGCCACATGGCATTTGAATCCTGTTAGGAAATCATCAGCGGTGTGAAACGTTGCAGGGGCCAGACCGGACTCACCGTTCTCGTCTCTCATCTGCCTTTCGCAAGCCTGGCAGTACCATCGCAATCGACCGAGGCCCTTCGCCTTGATCTTGTTGCCGATGGCTTTTGTTGAGCCTGCTTCAGCGCGGGGCATGTTGGCAAGTAGCGTAGTGCTGTTGGACTTGTATAATGGGGGTGAAAAGTTGCCGGGGAAGGTGAAGTAAAGGCGAGTCGAGATCGCGACGAGAAGATGCGCCGCCTGGGACGATAAGGACCCGCTATCACGTGATCGTATCTACATTACTCATCGGGTTGGTCCTCCAGCGCTATTGGGTTATAGGAATCGTACACTCGATTATCTTTTGAATGAAATAGAATGGAACTGAATCTCAGTTGTATTTGAAAAGCCAAGGCAGAATACGAGCCCAACTCCTCCTCACCTGCACCAGCGTTCCTTTTCTAGGAGGCATAGAGTACAAAAAGAAAACATTAAACAAATCAACCCCATCGCCCGAATGAAATCTTTTCAAACCCAGAATTCGTGCGCTGAATCGTAGAACCATCATCCTGCTCTCACAGAGTGAACTCATGGATGGCTGATGGTCCGTTATCGTTGTACTCCACACGGCTCATGTAGCCCTTCGTAAGACCCTGGTCGAGAACAAAGAAGACCTTAGCAGCCATCTGGGCGCCGAGGAAACAGGCTTCTTCGGTACCATGGCCACCCTGCGAGGCGCCGGATGGGCCTGCACTCGCCCCGGGAGCGTTGCTGTTGCCTTGGTCCTTGAAATCAGGGAAGTACTCGGGCAGCCGGAGGGTCTTGGCGGAGGTAGGGGTCTGGGAGTGGCCGCTTGAGCGGTAGTGTTGAGAAGCGACATTGGGGTCCATGCCTGGAGTGCCTGGCATCATGCCGGGGTTGTTGTGCGTAGCAGCCACGAGGAGAGGGTTCACACCGTGCGCGGCGGGGTGGTACATTGGCCCGGGTTGGCCCTGGCCCATAAGGGCGGGAGTGTTGGTACCGCCGGTCGGGAGAGGGGTGGAGAAGGTGGAGGGGATTTCAGATGTGAAGATGGTGGCAGATGGAGAGAGGATGAACTTTTGGGTGATTACGCCAAGGAGAGCCTGAGTAAAGCCTGTAAAACAAGAGTCAGCCATGAATTGAGCGTATGGAGGGCTATGAACTTACCTCGAACTTTGCTACCACATCCGACAATGATGAGGGAGTCCCAAAGCTCGCTGCGCTTGGTAGCATCCGGCACAGCCAGGATGGTGTGGTGAACTTGAGTTGCGATATCCTCCAAAATGCCGCTAGACAGACGGTCTCCGGTTTGCTGACTGGGCGATGTCAGAAGGAAGCGCTCGACGCCCACTTCGATTTCCCGGTTATGACGCGTGTAGCGCTTCGCGCCACCGGCTGCACTCTCTTCCTCCATTGGCACAAACTCCTCGAACTGGAAAGCCGCCTTCTCCTTCTTGTTATTGGGGAGCTTTGACCTGGGGTCAGCAGCACTCCCCTTCTTGGCGGACTTGTCCTTCTCCATGTTGGCAAGGTACTCGGTAGTGTTGCCACTAACAATTGCTGCAACGTCAAGGACACCCTCATCTTCCTCGCCGTTGGTCTCAGTGCCAGTCTGAGTGCCCTCGCCAGGCCCGCGTGGGGCAGAGTCGTTCCCGTCTACTCCAGTAGTGGCGGCAGTCGCGGGGTTACTACCCTGGCGTGCGGTAGCTGCTGCACCAGGCAGCGGAGTACCCGGGGGCACGATCTCGGTGATGTTGCTGCGCTTAAGCTGCTCACACATCTCTCTGGTGAATCCCCTGGGACCAAGCAACTCCAGAAGGCGGTCAGTCATGGCATCGCCGCCGCACCCTTGCAGTGCAATTCCTCGACCGTGCTCGTTGACTGCAAAATCTGTAACTGCGGTCACGTCCACCTTGCTCTTGCCGACATCAATAACTGTGGCTGTCTGTACACCATAACCGTAGCATGCAGCAAGGGCCGAGTCGATCAGACTGAATCCAGGAACCTTGAACTTCTCGAAGATGAACTGGGTGATAGCCTCTCGATCGCGCGCAGACCAGACAGGCTGGGCAATCATAAGGATCGGAGTGTGGAAAGGCGGGCTCAGAGCATTATAAATGTGAGTCAACAGAGCGTAGAAGCAGGGCCAGTCGACGATGCGCCCATCCTGAATCGGATAGACCGCCCCTTCTTCAGTGGTGACATCCTCCTCGTAGAGAACTTCCTCGATAACTTGGGTCGTCTCCTGAGGCTTCTCAGCCCCGTCGGCACCTTCACCCTCAGGCTTGTTGGCAGCACCATCCTGACCAGCAAACTCCGCATCTTTCATCTCCACATCCTCCTTCGGAGTCTCCTTGGGCGCACCATTGCCATTGCTGATCTTGACTTCGTTTCGTCGTTCACGGATCCGGTAAGGCTCGTACTCACCCTCCTTTTGGGCAGGGAACATGCGCGTAGGGAAACGGAATCGCGCAGGCGTGAATGTTTCGGGCAGGCCGAGCTGCGCCAGGGTCATTTGCGAACCCGGCGCAATTAACTGAGAGAGAGATTAGCGGAGGTCTTTAAAGAGGAAATAGTTGACACGTGGGGTCAGACATACCAGGATGTGCTCATCCTTGAATGGCGGCATCTTGGTCAATTGGCGATCAGGATAAATGGGAGCTGCGCGAGCCGCCGCGGCGGCTTTGCGACCTCGACCAGTGGTCGGGCGCCTTCCCATTGTGGTTTAGCGTGACTTCAGGCTTGGCGTGGTCACGGGATGGGATGAAAGCCTGATTTGTCGGGTGTCGAGCTGGAAGCAACTGGGCGATGTGCAGAGCCCTAATGGAACAGAACAAATCAAGTGAAAATCAGTAACTCGCATTGTCGACATTTGACATGTGCTGTCACACCCTGTGAATTATTTCTCCAGGGATTTCAGAACTTATTCTCCAAGACCCCAATATAGACATCTACGATTAACATCTGACTTTCAAAGCCAATTAATGGTCGGGTGCTGCATTAAAGTGAAGACTAGTAGCTTACTGCATTCTCTACAACACCAAAGAGCACAATCTACTAGAAATCATCATCCAAGTTACGCGCAGGTGACAGACTTGGAAATCAAAGACTATATACCCAGCGTGCATAAGATGCCGGGCATGTCATTAGATGTATCGCCTCCATCCGTCGCCGAGTTGAAAATTAAGAAAGACCGTAAGAGAACTCCAATCCTCGCCCCCGTGAAACACGCAAAACGCCTGGCGTCTTTTTGCTCTATGACCAGCATGAGATCTCGCCCAGGCCATCTTATTCAGGACCCTGGTTGTACTTCTCAGTAGCGGACCTGAAAAGTTCCTGCTGTTGCCGAAGGAGCTCTTCTTCAGAGAGTCCACTTTGCTCCATCTTGCTCTGCTTCTTCTCCCGAGACTAGAAATCCACCCCGTTAGCTAATTTATCGCACACCAGGACATAACAGAACACACCTTCAGCTGCTCTTTGTGATCTTCAGCAACAGCCAGGACATCGGGGATATAGTCGGCGAAGCCCAGGTCGCGCAGTGCCTTCTCCACATGCTCGCATGCTATGGTCTTCTTGGCTTCTTTCTCACTGATGTCATTCGCTTCGGATGAAATCAAGGTGATGAACTCGACACAGCATTCCATGAGCAGATCGCGCGCATCTTTGGAAAATGTTTGTCCTGAGGAAGGAGGGAGGATCTCGGTGATGATTTTTTGGACCGTCGCTGTGTCAAACACGATCAGTGAATGTCCATCAAACGCACGCGGGTCCACCCGCGGAGTCTGTGAAGCAATTCGTCTCTCACGAGATCGCCGGTGTGCCACATATAAAACAGAGGAATTAGATGAAAGCGAATATTCCATACCTTTGGGAAGCGACAGGTCGTCGTTTGCTGGATCAATGGAGCCATGTCAGCAAATGCGCGTGGCGTACCAAGAGGGGAAAGAGAACTCACAGCTAAACTCTCTGTCAGACATGACTGAAAGTGATGCAATAAAGGTCACAAATATAAGCTGCAGGCCCGGTAAATATAGGCCAAGAGGCAAGCTGGCAAGGATATTTTAGAGATCCGCGTGGGGCCCGACATGAAAGCAGACCAAGTCTCCGTCGCGACACGGCTTCCTATATTTTCCTGCCGGCAGGAACTCACCGCCCACAGCTACTTTTATTCGCAGGATTTTTTTCGGTACTTTCTCTTTTCTTCATCATCTTGCAGAGTCTTCTCGACTCCCACTTTCCTCGGGATGGAATTGATTTTGTTTCATCCCGAGGATTGTCACTAATGGTAAGCTCCTCTCACTCTGTTTTCTTGCTTTCTACATGATGAACCTTGTTGTCGCCCCTATCATACAAAACCATGGTGACCATACCTGTCCTAGCCAAACGGACCAACTGATATTATTTTCACTGCTTGCATTGCACATGATTTCGAGGTTGAACGCTGTTGCTAACTTCCTCAAGAATAGTAGGAACAGTATTGACTACGTCTCTCACTCCGCACTTGCCGACTCCCTGGATACAAAATTTCGTTAGGTACGGGAGCACTCCTTCACAATCGCAATACCCTCTTTGTATGATGATCACCCTACATTCCATGCTAAGTATGAAGGTGTTCTGCACCTAATGCTTATAAAATGTAATGCTTTTCATCTTTCGGCTGATTACAATTTGTCAACTGAAAATTTGCACTCATGACATTTTGTGGCATTCATACTGATTGCTGTACAGTCTCCATTCTCTTATATATCAACAATGAAAATCTAAATCTACTGGAAAGCCTCGAGCTCCTTGTCGTTCCACCTATCTCTTGTTAGCATCATCCGAGTCCTCGCCGTAGTTGGAGGGTATAATAGACGTACGATAAAAACTTGCCGCTCAGCTCCTTGGGCGCATCGAGCGCAAGCTTGGCTATAACATGGCCCGGCTGCTCTGGCTGGACGAGTTTGCCGTCCTTGTGCGCGCTGGTAAATTTCGAGTGTGTCTCCGAGTCCATATTTGTTCCGTGGATGTCGCGCAGCTCGCGTTGCATCTCGGTGTCGACCATACCGGGCCGGATGGACACAGACGTAACATCGGGCTCCTCGTTACCCAGGGTCATCGCTAGGCTGTTCATGGCTGCCTTGGTGGCTCCGTACAGGCCCCATGCGCGGTATCCGGCCACGGCGGCGCCAGAGGAGGTGAAAATGATTTTTCCCTTGGTTTGGCGAAGAGCGGGAAGTCCTGCCTTAGCCTGTAAATTCATGTTAGCAGTATGCTTTTTAGACATCTGAGTGCAGAATTGAGTGACGTACGAAGGCAACCAAGCTGATGAAGTTGATATCAAATCCTTGCTGCCATTCCTTCAGGTCGGCCGTAGCGATGTCGCCTACTTGGCCCAGGATGCCATGGTTCAGGACTATTCCATCGAGCTGTCCGAAGGACTTGATGGCGGCATCGACTGCCTTCTGGGCGAGGGAGAAATCTGCCAAATCGCCGTTCACCACCTCGACCTGCTTGCTGTACTGCTCTTTGAGCTTCTGGAGGGGCTCGACGCTACGGGCCACCACCACGACATTGTGGGGTTGCGATGCGGAGAGAAGATACTTCGCAATAGCGAGGCCAATGCCTGGAGTGATTGTGAATTTGGAGCTCCGACAGCGGCATGGTGGGCCTTACCTCGAGAGGCACCTGTGACGATGATGGTCTTCGCTGCCATGTTTGATGCTGTAGAGTCGGTCAGACAGGGGGTCTCAGAGGGTACGATATGTCTGTGGACAATTCAAAGGCGGGCTGGGGAGGTGATTCAAGAGGGCCGGCTTTTGCTTCCCTGGGGGAGCCCGTTGTTATCAAACATCTCCGGCACACTCGGAGCCTCCACCACACGGAGCGATTGGCCGAAACCTTGGGAATGGCACGACCTTACTTTTTCAGTTTTCAATGCACGAAAATCAAATGATAATTGCGAGGCTCAATATATCCAGAGGAACTGGAGCTGTTCTTGTCTTAAGTCCGAGGGCGTTCGGTGCGGGGCTTAATAATCTTGCCGGGGGGGATGGGCTCTGCGCAGACGTCATGCTGTTCAAGCTACAAAGTCAATTTTCATTGACATAGCTTCAATCAATCAGGACGAATATGAGACTGACTCACGCTCTATGTAATTTTGCTCTGATAATGTATAAAAGTTCTATCCGGCGCAGAATCATCCTACAAACCCTGGCCTCCGGGCCGTGACCACCAGTCAATTCGGGTAAACACCCGCGCTCATTTATAAGCACCCAGTCATGTTCCCCTAGCCCGGGTTGCACATCTGCCGTACATTCATTTTCGGGAACCGTGTATAGTCCAGCGAGTACCGAGTACCGAGTACCGGTCCATTTCTGTCATTCGAATAATCTAGAGACATTCCGCTTGAAGAAATCACTCAAGATCCACCCAAGATATATATTACTGAATGAATAATGGAAGATGCCCTCAACCAGCCCAATTCACGCCCCACTGTGACCTTTTTGCCGAAATAACCCCTTACACAAGATGATTTTACTTAGAGCGATAACGGGAGTGAAATGGATCGATTCCAAGAAGGAGTCGCTCCTCCTATGCACAAATCTGACCCTCATGCGCTAGAGGTACGCCCTCCGGTTTCTAAAATGATTTCAGGAAGGACAAGTTAGGGTCAAATAGGACATAACCGATTTAGATTACATATGGAATTTCTCTTAGACAACGATAAATAGCGTTACTTCTTGGCGAAAAGGCCAGTTCAGACTGATTCAATCCTCGATGCCCTATTTGTACATCGGATAATTGTTGTTCCGCACCCGTGGGATGGCAGCTCTCCGTATTTAGTCAGCACGCCACTGGAGCTCTCCAGAAACTTCAGGCATCCGATATCACCAAGCAGTCGACCGCTCCCTCGCCGCATCCTTCACCTGTCGCCTCTTCCGTTTCACCTGCGCGGATCTCCTCTCCCTCCCTCAACTCTCACCCCCCAGCAGTTGGTGCACAATTTGCTTTGACATCCACCCACCATGGCCAACTATCTCGCCTCCATCTTCGGTACCGAGCAGGACAAGGTCAATTGCTCCTTCTACTACAAGATCGGCGCATGCCGACATGGCGACCGCTGCTCCCGAAAGCACGTCAAGCCGTCCTACTCCCAGACCGTCCTCATGCCCAACATGTACCAAAACCCTGCCTACGACCCCAAGAGCAAGATGAACCCAAGCCAGTTGCAAAACCACTTCGACGCCTTCTACGAGGACGTATGGTGCGAGCTGTGCCAGTACGGCGAGCTCGAGGAGCTAGTCGTCTGCGACAATAACAATGACCGTAAGTTCTTTCCCGTCCCTTTCCTCCCAGTCGCGACAGTTACTAACGCGCTTTACTCAGACTTGATCGGCAACGTCTACGCGCGATTCAAATACGAAGAGGATGCCCAGACAGCGTGCGACACACTCAACTCCCGCTGGTACGCCGCCCGACCGATATACTGCGAGTTATCGCCCGTGACAGATTTCCGAGAAGCCTGCTGTCGACTGAATAGCGGAGAAGGGTGTGTGCGAGGTGGATTCTGCAACTTTATTCATCGCAAGAATCCGTCGGCCGAGCTGGACCGGGAGATGCGACTGAGCACGAAGAAGTGGTTGAAGGAGCGCGGCCGGGACGCGCGCAGCGTCAGCCGCAGCCCCAGTCCCGAGCCAACTCGGCGGAGGTTTTAGGTGATGGGTGATGAGTGATGGTGTTTTTCACAAATTCTGGTTTGCTTTGGTGCCTTCGTGTTTCCGTCTTTGGCGTTGGGTGATGTCAGAGGTGGTTCAGATCCTCTTCCTGTGTGGTGAAGCGCCTGGGACCGAGGTTTCGCCTGCATCTTTTGCTGATTCGCATTGTATTCTATGTCATGATATCAGACCTGCGAGTTCATCAATTTTTGACATGATCATATCTTTTTTCGACATGCGAAGGCAACTGGCTCGTAGACTTAGGTCTCGCAATCACGTCGCACCACTCGAGGGGTCATGATCCGGTGCCCGGTAGCGACCAGCACATTGAATGTGTGACTTTCAGCAACCCGCGAGTGGCGTGCCCATGTAGGAAGATGGCCGATCGCCTCCCGAGGCCCAGAGCTGGTCGTTCTCGCCCTTCAAGTTCACGTCCTGAAGGGGGTCGCACGGTTCGAATGTTGATCCATCTGATGTCTACAGAGGAACCAAGTAAGTAGATACTACAAGTGCCCCGGGCTAGTTCGCAAAATAGTTTGTGTTATCCCATGTACATTATTAGTCTGACAAATTCAATAAGTAGATTAATGAGACACCTCGAAAAGGGAATAAAGGGATTTCCAGAAAGACGCTTGAAGAAATGCCCACGAAGATATTTAGAAGAATAAGGGAATAAAGTGTTGACAGCCACTTACAATATCTCTTCGATATACTGTATCTTTATCGAGCTAACAGGTAGTGAGTGCTGCATCCTCCCTCCACAGATGTGTACCTCAATGATCCTGGCTGACACGTGATCACCACTAGATTCGAGACTGACTTTGGGCCTGCGATGACTCAAGGCGCTGGCGGACACGGGCATCTTCAAGAAAACACACACTGGTAAATTGGCCAAGCTACTGTAGAACGTAGTCATTCCAATGAAGTAGCATTACCGCTCTCGACAACGATTGGCCCTGATACAGACCTAGACCCACACCGCGACCCACCGCACAAATTTTTCGACTTGAACCCAGAAATCGTCAACCAATACATGAACAGCCCGGGTGGTCTAGTGGTATGATTCGCGCTTAGGGTAACCTAAGCACTCCTGCGCGAGGTCCCGCGTTCGATCCGCGGCTCGGGCCTGTTATCTTTTTGCTTTTTGAATGTGATTCCTGCACGTCTAGGGCCTTTTTTTGGTGGTGGTGCGGCGGGAGTGGTGCACGCACACACAGTGGCACCCCTGTCTAGGGAGGGGGTGACGCGCTTCAACACATTAGCAAGGGGGCATCGACCATTTTAATCAATGGTAGTTATCATGTGAGAAAGAGATGGATGTTTCCTATTATAGTGCTTAATTGATATTCAAAATCGGATTTGCTTTTATAACCAGGCGTACGTGACTACGAATAACAGTGTAGAGAAAAGACCCTTCTAAAATTACATGCAGTGAATGAATAGAGAGAGCTTCTGGTCTATACCTTGCGAAATCAAACCGCATGAATCAAGGAAATTATCCCTGACACCTGGAAATCATAACAATAAAGCTACGCGAAGCCTGCATCTATTGACCCTCAGTTGCAGGCACGGGAAGCCCATTATGCCAAACCACATTCCGCTTCTGTTTCTGCATCTCCTCAATAGCCCTCTGCTTGCGCAACTCCCGGGCTTGCTGATCCGTCAAAAGGACAAAGTCATATTTGAGCAATGGAGTATCCATCTCAACGTCATACTGAGATGACATAGCCGGGTCTGTCACCTTGGACAAGTCCACGATCAAAGAATCTTTAACTCCAAAAACCGGGTCTGATGTCTCATACGGATCTCCGCGAGGATAGAGAGCCCTTGCAAATTGTCAGTCGCTATTTTCTTCACAGAGAGACTACTCACGTTACCAACAGGTCGTAGCCAGGCTTATCAAGCATAAAGTGCACATGTCCAGGACGATTCGGATGGCGCTCAAGTGCCCGAAGCATCTTCCCCACAGGTCCATCCATGGGAATAGGATAAGGAACGGGCACGATGGCTTTGAAAAAGAAGTGGCCATCTCTATCAGAATGCAACACACCGCGCCCGTCAGGACCCGTCCGGTTCGGATCCTGCACGTCGTAGAATCCCTTCGAATCTCCTTCCCACACATCAATCTTGACATCCGAGATAGGATTCCCATCTGTATCTTTTACCGAGCAAACAACGAGCAATTGCGTCGCGTCGGGATCATTGTGCAGAACAGCTCCATTGTCTTTCTCTTTTGCATCGTGCGTATGAAATGGCCCCAGAACCGTGCCTTCCGTCGCAGGCTCGTGTCGTGGATGATTGATCGAGTCAACTAGAAGACTCACGCCCAGCGTATCGGAAAGAAGAATCATCTCGTGCCGTAGGTCGTCACTGATCTGGCCAATTTCAGTCAGGAATTGGATCCCCGATTGCCATTCCTCCGTAGATAGCCGTGTTTCGTGACAGAACTCGTGGAGATGGGTGACTATGCATGAGAGAAGGTATCGTAGACGTGGATCGCGGCATTGTGAGTTGACGATGTGTACGTTTTCGGTGATGTTTTCGGTTGTCAGGTCTTTCATTGGCGGGATCGCCGTTGGTGGGGGCTCACAGCGACTCATTTTTCAGGATTTGATTGAGCCTTAGGTAAAGGAGGAAGATGTTGAGAGAAAGTTGAGTTTCTAGGGTTGGAATTTAATATTGGGGAAGATAGACACCCCACAAGTTACTTACACAGGGTGTTGCAGCCCCATGTGGGGCGGTCTTTAACCCCACATTTCAGAGGGCCTGAGGCGGAAATAAGAGAGCAGTGAATAATAAAGTCGGAGGAGACTGGGTTTATTAACTGATACTTGGTTTAGAAGTAGATTAATGATAAAACAAATAGCGCGGTGTTGGGTTGGGATCTAATTCATCCGACATCGATCGATCAGCCTCGGTGGGTCCGCAATTGAAGGATGTCTACATTATGGCGAGTTGGAATTCACGTATCACAAAGCAAAGCGGACCAGAAGGTCTTCTGTTTTAAAAATGGTATGTACATAAAAGAATCACGTCTAAGTAAAAGAAAGAAATGCCGTATTTCTAACTTAAGAGTGACTGGCAAAAACATTACTAACTTGCTTCTTGAGACGTCAAGAACCACTGCTTCATGTACTGGACAACCTTCTCCCACTCGCCAGGTAGACAGGCCATTCCGATATATAGATCGGGACGAACGAGAACCAGTCGACCTTCTGAGCCGATCTTATATCGTTGCGTGAACTCGTCAAGTTCATCTAAAGACTGGTGATCGAAGTCGAAGCGTGGGTCAGGGCTGTCTGCATTGATGACAAGATATGTTGATACTTGGCCCAAAAACAGTCGGTCCATCTCATCACGGACTCTGGCGCCAATGTCGATCACATCTGTTGCATCCGTACCAGGGGCCACTATAAGGGAGAACTGTGGCCGCCGGAAAACATCATAAATGCGTCTTTTGGGTTCTTGAATCAGGAGCGCATCCGGTGCACGATCCCCAGCCTGAGGGCCCGGCACGGGAGTAAGGTCCTTCGGCAGGTTGGAAACGCCACTGTAATTGTGCGAGAGGCCGCTAACAAGATTGACAGTCCGCAACTCCCATCCAGGTTCTCGCGTAAGATGCAGGCGATCTTCGGGCGGGATACCAAAACCCATGACAATTTCATGCGTGGACATCGCACCTTCGCTGATTTGCTTGCCAATCGGTTTGCGCTCACGTTCATATGAGTCGAGTATGAACTCACTCGCCTGCTTCTTGTAGACAGCCGCAAGTTTCCAGCCTAGATTGAAGGCATCCTGCATGCAACCATTCATGCCCTGACCTCCCGAGGGGGAATGAACATGGCTACTATCACCACATATCAGCATGCGACCGGCGCGGTATGTTTCCGCAATATGATTGCGAACGTTCCATGCAGTTTGCCAGTGCATCCGGCCGACCTGGAACCCGATCCCCAATTTATCAGCAACTTCCTGGTATGCCTTCTGCTGATCCGTAGCAAAGACATAATCCCCTGTCGGCTCACTCATGTAGATTCTCCATAGCTTTCCCGGCATCTTGGTGCAATTCATAAAAAGGTCCTCATTGAAATAGTAGTTCATCCACCGATCATCAAAATTAACATTTCTAATAAAGTTCAGTATGAGTAAATAGTTTGGCCTTTGGGATATTCTCTCCAACTTACTTCAGTTCCAAATCTGCCATGCTCATCACCGCCACTGTATCACCCTCGAACTTGATCCCTGCCGCATTTCGCACGAAGCTATGAACCCCATCACAACCCACCACCCATGGGTACACGGTGACAGCTGTTGTACCATCTGGGTTGCGAATGGTGGCTGTAACAACCTGAACATCTTGCTTCAAATCAATGAGCTCGGTTTTATACTCTGGACCAATGGAATATTTCGACAACATCAGTTCACGGAGAGCTAGTTCAAAATCGTTTTGGCTGATCTTATAGTAGAAAGGGTATCGGGTTGGCAATGGCCTGTATGGAAGGTCAGGTAAACTCCCAGGTATGTGGATGTGGTTTCTTCCAACGCTCACCGGTAGTCAGTCCGAGGGCATTTGTCCTCGGAGAGTTGTGGAAAATGGTAGATATTCCCTGGGCATTCTAAACACACTTCTTCAAGCCGATTCGCCAGACCCATATGATCGAACATTTCCATCGATCGAGCATGAATAGTCATTGCCCGGCTTGTGTGTGATGGACCGGGTCGCTTTTCGATGATGCGAACGGGTATTCTGCGGCGGAGCAATTCATGGGCAAGGAGTAGTCCAGACGGACCACCGCCAACGATCAAGATTTCATTAGAAATAGCCGCCATGATCGTGCCAAGCAGTTCCTGCTTAAACAGTAAGAATTGCAAGGAGCTTAGTCTTCTGTCTTCTGACTATGTTTCCACTTCATTTAAGTATTCGACAGGAACTCGCTTACGTGGGGTCACGTCGTATGGCACTAATAGGAGTGGAGCATCAGCTATCTATCCATGTGGGAACCAGCGGGGGATGCGGAGTTCAGATACAGTGTCAGTTTGGATTTGACAAGACCGCCCCAGGAACAAGGAAAAAATAGCAGTAGATAAACGACTGAGATTCGGATGATTTTATTACGCTGTGTTTTGCGAACAGCATGGAATCGTTCTTAAATCTTCGCAGTGGCGTGAGTGAGGTGCAAGACCATGACAAACGCATTGATGCCGGCTTGTTTTGATCCTAACGTGGGTCTATCTACTAGCAAAATCTGGAGTCTGCGGGGACCCCACATTGATATGGAGGAAGAAATTTGGAGCTATGTTTACAGTGGACCCGTAGCTTTCCTGACCAAAAATGTGATCGGCCATGGTCGGACATTGTGGGGTAGGGGGTTCGTTTAGATCTTTGAGTTCGCGTCATGGTCATATTTGTCTTCGGAGTTGACAAGGCCTTGGCCTACTTTTCCCAGAATAGAAAATGATATGTTATAAGATCAGCACTTTCAGATATTGGCCGCCGACTCAATTTCAAGTTCGGCAACGTGAGCATTTTGCTTGATGCTCCTATATTTCAAGGATTGAATTTAAGTTTTGCCTAGCTTAATATGGTTGAATGCCCCTGAAATGAAACCCTAAGACGTAGACCCCCCGCCCCCACTACTCCGAACCATGCGAACTTTATCAGATCCCCCGTAGTTCTGGTGGCAAATTGATTAGCATTTTTTTAGTCAAGGAATGGAGCAGCGGAAGCAGCAACTTTACCCTCTCAATCTCAGCCCAATTCAAGCCCCACAATCACTTGTTTACTTGATCTGATCCTTTTAGTTCTGAATTGTGCCTTTTACTTGTAAATGCTCCCTGTGGAAGCAGCATCTTTGGTTTCTCAACCACAGCCCCACATCTCAAGCCCCACGCGCGCTTGTTGTGATGGCGAAGTGGTATCGAAACGTGCCGGCCTCGTGCTCTATGATTTGCATATATGGATAGGCAGTTTGCGACTATAAGGGCACCGTCACTGATGATGGCTCTGCGTATGACATCACGAGCACCAGCAAATCGACCAACCCTCTATTTCCGGCACGGCAACCTTCAACCAGTACTGGTCCATTCTCCAGAAAACTCGGTCTAGTGGTACCGTGACCACTGCCAACCACTTTAACGCCTGGGCTGCGCTCGGAATGAGCCTGGGTACCTTTAACTACCAGGTTGTCTCCACTGAAGGATATGAGAGTAGTGGGTCTTCGACGATCACAGTTTCCTAGGCATAAGGTGCTTCCACGGAGCTTATGAGGATGCACCGCCACTACTACCTCCCCTCCTTTCCAACAATTATTTTTGGAGACCTGGCCTTGGAATAGACACAGAACAAGTAATATCGAGGCCCCAATTTCTATAATCTGTAAATGACCCACTTTCATAACATTAGCATTGGCCAACTCTTCGAAGTTCTCCTGTGAGATCCTCAAATGTGTAGATAAATGGCCTCACATTCTTTGAATTATACGTAGAAGCAAGTTCTGGTAGTAATTATCGTCAGAAGAATAAGATGGTTTCGGCATTCAATGCAAAGAGGATGCCAAGACATGTAATTAAACACACTCGGGGAGATTGTAACGAGCAAACCATTCAGTCATTGTGAGCTTCCACTTACTCTGATTCTCTGCTAATTTCTTTAAGCAGTCTTGCCAGTCGTATGGCGCACAAAGCTCCAATTGACTCCAATCCCTACTGCTTACCGGTTGCTCCCATGGCGCAAAAATCTCCTTTAGCTTTTCATCATCCACAACCTTCTCCACGAGATCCCATGCTGGCATGTATATTATCAAGCGCAGCTGGCAAACATTATGGAAGGTATGTTGAAGCAGATCAAGCAACAGTGGATACACCTTGGGACACGCCTTAATCGAATGCCAAGGTTCAGTTGTGATATCCATAGATGTGATGAGAGAAGTAGAGCATTGTGGCAAAAGCCTGCGCATATGAAACGGAGGAGCCAGACATTCTGGGACGAAGGTGTTCGTCCCGTAGAGAAAAGTCAGTCCTTCTTCGTAGCTATGTAATTATTTTAGCAAATGTTGTGCGTCTTTAGGTCAAAAGAATTCCATATTTATGAGAACTTACCCTAGCTGACAACACCCCAACCACTGGACACCCCCAAGTTTCGTCCTCGGAGGCAGACTCTTCAAACCCTCTTTCCACGCCTATCTCTCATCATCCCAATTCCAGCACCGAGGAAGTCTCCAAACCTCATTAATAAAGAAACCACCATCTCTCTGACAGATGTAATGATACCAACCCTATCGTCTTCCTCCTTTTAGCGTCTATGGCCCCCACGGCGCTAAAAGACTAGGTTCGAGCTTCAAGTGGAAGCTTTCTCGTGGTAGATTCGTTCGGTTGACACGGTTCAACTCTAGAACAATGACTGCCAAGCCCTGTATTATAATAAAATAAAACAAATTGAATTTGCGACGATGTGTCAAGTATTTTCATTTGACTACTGTCTTGGTAGTGGGTCCCAGAAACAATTGAAGTATTCTTTGGTGAAGCTGGCTTTGATTCCGTCTGTACATGTCTCGGGAAATGCCCTTTCGAGTGGTTAAATGCTGTCAGAGGGTTTTCCCATGGCAACATGGCCCAAGTTCGTTACCGAGCTACAGTCAAGGTCAAACATAGGGTAGTAAGCCTAAGCTAAACCAGAAATTAGTCTTGGCTAAGTTGGAAGTTAAGCATAAGCTAAGTAAGTAGTAAGTGTAAGTCAAGTCCTTAACATCCTTCGACCTCTTTTTCAATTGCGTTTTTTCTCCAGGGTTGGGAGGATTCCCTTCCGCACCACCCATTATGAGTCTATATTCGCAGCATAACTTGTCTGATAAGAGGCTCTCCGCAAATATTATGTAACCGAGTTAAGGAATGCGTTGCGTTTGCTGACACGGGAAAGGGGGGAAGCGGCAAGACATCGCTTGCCCCCAGTATTAAGCTCCATAGTACCATCTACCCTATATTATATGTAACCCTAAGCTAATCTGGATGAGTAATCTTGGAACTCTAGAGATGTGCTTGAAATTTCAAGGTCAACTGGCCCTGACTATGCTTGAATACTAGCGTGGCCGGCTTTATGACCTGCATTTGCTCGATATAGTAGTAGCACGACCTTCGACTCGTCGCCTAATTACGCGGGACTCGACCACTGTAACACGGGGTGATCCCTGATTGTTGGCGAGGAATAGCGACTTTGGCAGGTGTTTTAGTTCCTGAGTGGACTACAGTGGCCTCGTTCTTGGCTGTTTTAGTAACTGGAGGTTTATAACCCAAACCTCGGGCGGTAAGCCGTTCTTCGTGGGCGACATTAATCACCGCCGCACTTGGTGGCAAATATATCCTAAGTAAGGTAGTCACCTGCCAACAACCGTCGGCCAGCACGTCATGTTTAGGTAAAACATGGGAAGATTCGCCATACCGCCACGCGAGCCATCATAAATTATCCTTCCTGTTAAATAATCGACACATCGCCAATCTTCTACCCAAGACCCTGTTCAAGTCGACTCCACTACTTACATCCAACGACTCACAATGTTCAACAGAACGGCATGCGATGCTCATCTGAAGCTGGATACCTCGCCAGGATCAACATATCTCGTCGCAATTTGCAACAACGACGAGGGAACTGGTGTTGAGGATGACCTGCTCCTTGACAAATATCTTGGAAATAAAGATGGTCAGTGGCTATCCAGATACCTTGCAACTGACTTTTCGAACAACAAGGCTAATCTTATTCATCAACAGGACACTTTGATTTGAATGGCAAAGGATTCAGTACGGGTGCACGAAAAATAAGCCTCACTACGGAGGGACCAGAACACACCCCTATTCTTCATTCCGAGCTCAGGGACTCGTCAGGACATTTTATCTCCAATGATCTCAATTTGTCGACACATATCGCAAACCAGGATGGAAAACTCGTTTTTATTGAATAAAGACGAAGGAAACCCTGGAATACGCTGGAGAGCTCTTAATGGTCACAAAAGCAACTTGATATTACCCCCAAAAAAATGCGTCGATTTGGGTGATTTCACGAACAAGTCCATTTTACCCCACACGCCCGTAGCAGAGCAGTTTTTGTGATGACCCGTGGATCATAGCTTCATAATAGCTCTTGCAAAAATAGCCTATCATACCTTATTCTTTTGTGTGGTACGCGGGGTAAATATCGAAATCGTGATGTCATGTTGTTCCTCGAGAAGTCTATTATTGCCTTTAAAAGGACAAATTGGTCCTCGGCCCTTGGAAACGTCGTGGCAATTTCTCAACGCCTTTTGAACACCGTAACTGCTACTCCAAAGACATTATCATCCAAAATGAGAAGCTTCATGTCATTGAAGTCCTGCCCACTTGCAGCCAGGACTATAATCTCCACACAATCGGGTTGTTTGCGCACGACACGCCATGTGCAGACATGGGCCGATCAGATAAAAGAGCAGGCTCTACTCGAGAGACAGTTACTCAATCCCGTACGGTCGGAAACTTGCCAGTCGGGCACAGACGACGAGGTAGCGCGACACAAATCACCATATGACCCATCCCCATCCAAAACAAGAGTTGAAGAGGAGGTTTTGGCTTTGAGGGAAGAATACAAACTGGAAGGGGATATCCATGACCCACTCCTTGTTAGTCCTGCAAACGAGGAATGCAGTCTGATCTTGGACCCGATGCTAGGAGGAGCTGTTCACAATGCGCAGACACTGCGGAGTGTCAAAGGGTGGAGCAACAAGCACAAACAAGTGCTTCTTCGAAGAGAGCCATATCAAATCAGGAAGTACGAAGATGTTTTCCTTGCACTTGGGAAATACGAAAAGGTTTGCAACTTACTCTAGCTTAACGTTTATTTGAGCATGACTGACTATTCCCGAGTCACTTAAACGACACGCCATCGACCCTTGGAAGTAAATCATGTCACAGACCTTTTGCACTCTCTGCAATGTCATGTAGCAAAGGCCCTATAGGGGCTTGCATACAGGTGAAAGTGATGTGAACGATGAGTGGTGGTATTCGGTAAAATATGTACATGAGAAAAAATTCCAAAAGAGGGTATTAAACAGGGACAGCAATAAGAAGTAGGGTATCGTATACAAGTCTTTCATCAAGGGGTGAGTTTATTATAATTGCCGCTCGTATGCAGGTTCGTGCGTTATTGTGATGGTCGTGTGCTGGTACACGTGGTCTGGCGCGGGCGACAATTCAACGTCCCTCGGAACAATATGATCGGTGGAGTCGGTGCCTGGCATAGCAGCACAGACAGTGGAAACGGGGCCTTTGTCTTCGTTCTGGGAGTATAAGTTGCCGTTCCTGGACTTCTTCTGTCCAGTCGAGAGGTCGTAGTATCCATCGTCGCGCTTCTTTGATCTGGTCTCTGCATCCAATACAACGCTCTTCCTGGTCATGGTGTATTGAAGCACGTCGCAGAATCCGGATAGTGTCATCAGAGCACCTGCAACACAGAAGTATGCTACACTGGGACCCTTTCCGCTGACAGATGCCATACGTCCGGCAGACAGTGGCAGTGTCAAAACAATATACACAATGGGGTACATAACCATGTAAGAAACGACTCGGTTCAGGCGGCGGAGACTCTCGGTGTAACTCTTTCCCAGGATCTTCGATTGGGCCATCTTGCGTCGGAGCTGGACGAACATGACTGCGTAAAGGACCAGGTTCAGGAATTGAGCAGAAAAAATCCAGAAATAATGTGTCCAGAGACGAAGAGCGGGGTGTTGGGTACTCATCCAGCACTAATAGATCAGAAGCAGTCAGCAAGTTGTTTCAACAGCCTGAAGGGGGTCGGGAATAAGGAATAAAAACATACCCATGCCACGGAAGGCACCCAGACATATCGGCCGTAGACTGCGATAGGAATGATAATAAGGATCACTCCAAAGACCCATAGACCGACCACAATAGACACAAAAACCTTGTGGCTAATCTGACGGCCAAGACTGACATGCATGAAGGTATGCAGGGCGATGGCAAGCACGAACATTCCGCTCATAGGATCACCGATCTGAAGCCAAATCCCCTGCAAGAAGCACCCTGTGTCTGTTGCGTGAAGAGAGTTCTGACTGATCCACCGTAGACTAACGATGAATCCCAATCCTTGTATGAAGTCGGCCAAAGCCAAGTTGTACATGAGAACGACATATTGGTTGTATCCAATGTAGCGCTTGTAGTACTTCTTCCAAAATATGAAACGATAAGTGAAAAAGGAGAGCAAAGAGAACGTGGCTGTCAGTGAGACAAGTGCCAAGCTTGCGACCGCAATAAGACCACCTCGTTGCAGCCCGGGTAAAGGATCGATAACCCACGAGCCAGCCGCTGAGTTTGCCGAGTTGGCTGCAACGGTTTTGGCGGAATCATGTTCACGACGCTGGAGCATTTGTTCCTCAGGAAAAGCCCGAGGAGCCAGCATCCATGACAACAACAAGCTCGACATGACAGCTGTGGGTATGTGAATCACGCTGTGATTCAAGGGTCGGCTGAGGTCATTAAAAGCTCTGATTCGGAGACGGCAAGGGTTTTATAAGGAGATTTCTTCACAAAGGCCATTTCATGGACTGGCCCCCTGAATATCCACTATCAACCAACCCCGAGCTCCCCGATTTGCATAGAAAGTTAAGAAAGCCGGGACGAGGGGTACTGATTTGACACGAGGCACTAAAAGTGGCCCTCCGCTCTAAGAACCACTAACATCCTGCTATCGAACCTTGTTCATATTTTTTCACCTCCGCGGCCCCTCAACAGTGGAGACTCGGGCGTCTTCCATGTGGTGCTCTGCTCCGCTAGTGTTGTTAGAAAAACCTCACTCCTTATTAATAATGTGTAATTCGTAATTGCTTTTGCCACTGGCTCAACGGTCGGCGGATTATCCGAGAGTCATGATTTTGAGGGCTATTCGAGGCCGTGGCGGAATGACGAGTTAGGAGTGAGCGTTCCTGAGCGTATTAAGGCTTGTTGATGGTGAAACTTGAATGTCGCGATCCAAGAGTCTCAAAAATTTAACTACTAGACTTGGCGTATAGAAAAAGTTGGCGTGTAGAAAATACCCCGAAGCTCTATGGAAGCCAACAATCGCCTTAAGTGTGGGCGCCTCGTTGCTGTTGGGAACCCCATTTTATGAACGCACGAAATGTTTCTCACCGGGAGACCGAAGATTATGGGTCCATTAGGCGATCCACTCTCGTTGAGGTTAGGCCTCGGATCGACGGGATCAAAACGCTTCGAGGCCACGCAGGTTTTTGAAGCGGTGATCGCCAAAGCTGATAGAGTACCACCAATGCTCCCATATTGTCATGGATTGCCCTTTATCGATTGTAATAAATTATAATATGGCTATTCAATCGGAGAAATCCCTGTTCAGTCTTGCAGGCCATTGCAAGATTGGGAAGTTTTACTCCGCCGAACTTCTCCTCGCGGTTCGCGAGATCTCTAGACTATGTCTGATAAACAGAGACCAAGCGCTTAATATTGTCACAAGTACGCTCGGATCGCTATATACTCGCTATTTAAAGACACTCGGCAGAAACTTGGCTGACACGGTCGCAGTGAAATCGAAAGGAGCTCTCGGCAATGGACGACGGTATTCGAAAGTGGGTATACGAAGGCCCACCACTCAGTTTTGGGACAGTATTACGCATGCCAAATTCCAATTGAAAGGTGGTTGAGAGTAAGCTAAATCATGAAAACTCCACAAATTCCACTTATGACCCACACAGCCTTTTAGCCGCCTCGGTATTTAGACAGAGGATTTTGCCGATAGGTTATTTCACTAGTTACTGTATGTAGCCCTGCGGAGTAATTGTCTCCTTAACTCCGTTTATCAAATGCCATGCCTTTGTCTCGAGTTCAACTATCTGAGCCGACTGGCCCACTGTTTCTATATTTGACAGTATTTCGTCTCCTATCTCCTAGAAACACAGTCAATGTGCTCTATTAATTGAAGGACAGTTGCTTGGTAGCCCGGACCAGGAACCTTTGTTGGGGGAGGAGCATTAAGCGCGCGATGCTTGCGCACGACATGATCGCTTATACCATTTTTAACTGGTAAAGTACATACCGTGGCAATTGATGGTCAATGATTGATTGTCACCTATTTCACACCGTGGCCGACAATAGCCACGATCATGAAAATTTTGCGAAAGAACATGTGTGCCTTGATGAAGTGGCCCGTCAAAAGCAGTCTTGGGTATTGTCTAGAATTCAATTAGCACCCGGAAATCATCACCAGACGAGCATGGTCTAGACATATTCAGTGGACAGCTCGCTCATCAAGTGTGCACAGACTTGAACCCGCAGATCTCAACAGAGGGACTCGGCCGAATGAGGAATTTACTATCTACCCCGACACCGCAGGAAATATTCAAGGCACAATCTACCTTTAATTTAACTGTTTACGTTTTGAAATATCCACTTTGGACTAAGGTTTATCTCAGCTGTCGTCCCACTGTTTCATCAAATGGTTGTTCGAGGTAACGATCGACAACCAACACTGACCCACAGTAACATTTCACCAATAAAATTCCTGTACAATGTCGCGGCCCCTGATTCGGGATCCCCGATTCATCAATGAAATGATCAACGAATCCGGGCCCAACTTTCCAGGGCTGCGAGGTTGATCAGCCCCTATTCCCCTAATCGGTTAGTCTACTACCTAATTGAGAAACTGGTCAAGCAACTTTATGGCATTCTGTACATTCTGTACACTACATCTTGCCCCTTCGAGAAATTCATCACTCGTATTCCATCATTCTATTCGATGATTCTCTGGAGTTACAATGTCAGAAGAGTAGGCGGATGCCAGCTGCTGAAATGTATTTTGGAGTGATCGGAAGTCCCTACTGTTATAAACTTGACTATGTTTCTGCTCATAGAATGCTTCTTTTCAAATGATTTCACCGTTCAGTTGTCCCGTCCTTCAATCACGATGGCTATTGTGAAGTCTGCTGTTCTCGCTGTGCTGGCCGCAGCAGCCACCGCGAATGCCCAGTCCGCAAACCCGGGCGTCGGCACAAACCCTAAAGCCTAGGGCGCGACCGAAGATGTGACACCAAGCACTGGTCCTAACTGGTATGCCCTCCAATTGCAAGAATCCAAGACAGAGTTTAATTTTATTGCAGATCCGAAGACTGGCTGAACACCGGCATCCCTGGCGGCGGATGAAACCGTCGTATAAACGGCATCGGCTCCTCCTGCTCACAGTACGACAAACAAATACTTCCAGAGCGCCGCATCCAAGTACAGTGTCGACCTGTCTTTCCTTGCAGTGATCGCAATGCAAGAGTCATCCTGCAACGCAGATGCAGGTGGCCCGACTCCCGGGTTGATGCAAGTATCATGCGACAACCAAACGGCTAGTGCACGGATTCGATCTGGGATAATGTGGAAGCGGGCACGAACTACCTGACCTCGCAAATCAGGTCCACTGGTGGAAACGCGATCGAGGCATTTGGGTCTTACAATGGGTGGTTCACAACGAATACTGGATCGAGTGATAACAAGGGCCTTACAGAGAATTATCCTTGCTCGTCAGAGGGTCAGTCCAATGGCGTTCCGCAGAATATAGACTATCTGCACCAGGTGCTGAATGACTGGCTGATGGGGTTGGATGTGTATGGTGATGATAACTGGATCGGGACTTACAAGTGTGACCAGACTTGCAGTCATGGTAGCAAGTGCTGACCTTGTACCGCTTATCGCTTAAAGTTTTCAATAGGAAGCTTGCTCATGGGATCTGCCAAGTAGAACCAAGAGATCGCAGGAATTGTTCTGTCAAGTATGCCACTTTCTTGGAGAGGGTGATCAAATGGTATTGTTAGGTTTTAGGTATGTCGCTGAAAATTTGGGTCAGAGTTCCAATCTATAGAATATGATCCACGATTATATAGATTGAAAATATGAAAGGACAATTCCGTGCCGGAATGTGCACAGCCTATCTTGGTATCAAATCACGACCTTAATCATGATTCATACCTTCTGGCTCTGCTTATGGATACCAAGTCAACACAGAGGCCAGCTCGTGCCCATTTGAAAGTAATCCGAAACATAAAGCACGACATGCAAATCACTCATTGCTTTCTCCGGGAGGCCTTGCCCTTGTCAGACCACGGGAAGTGCCAGACAGGAACAATGAAGAAGCTGTTGCTAGTATCCGCGACACCGGCGAAGGCTGCCCACCAAGCGAGAAATGCGGCGAGAAGAGCGAAGAAGCCACCAGCCGTGAGGATCTTCTGGTTAGGATCTTCCTTTGCGTCACGAACTAAGTAGCCTATTCCGAGAAGAAGAAAGGCAAGATCAACGCAGAGGAAGAGGCTAAAGAAAACGACAGTTGACTTCATGGTGCATAACATCATCAAGAAAGTGAAGATGAACCATCCCTATGACAAAGGCGAGTTAGTACAGTTTCGTTGAACCCATAGGTTTCGAAGGGGAACCAGAAAGCTGGAGAGATATGGAGCTATATAGAACTGACTATATAGGCTCTATTTTTAAACAATGTGGGATTTGCAGGCGAGGGGCGATATGAACTTACCATGAGGAAAAGACCGAGAGAATCATAGAACATCCCCATAGATCCATTATCGGCTTTGACCAGCTCTTGTGAAATTTCGAACCCACCCGGCGTGAAAGTAATTGCCATTGCGATCCAAAATCCACCGTATGAAGTCAACGCGGTCGCGCCAAACGTGTTTCCAACAGCCATTTCCCTACACACGCCAGGTTAGTATTTATCCAGCACTTCACACCTAATGATCTGCACATACCACATCCCAGAAAGAATCTGAACAAGACCTCCGTAGGCATACGCAGGACCCACAAACATATAAGGCTCGGTGATCCCACGCGTTTTCATATTGATACAACCCAACACGAAGGTTGTTAGGGCGAAACCGCATAGGCCCAATGGAGCCGGATTGGCGATTGTGCGCCGCTCCACGGGGCCAGGACGGAACGCACCCGGTTGAAATTGTCCTGCAAATGGAGGGTAGAGGGTTCCTGCTGTGTTGACCTGTGCGAGTGGGCCATAATGGTTATAGTCGAATTGTGTAGACTGGTTTGTCTGTTGGTGTGTAATGGTGTCACCATCGGCGATGCCGGCTTCCAGCTTGGATGGGTCTGACTGGGAGTCGGAATTGGCCATTGTGGATTGATGGCGAAATTTTCGAGGGTATTTGGCCTTTTCTTCCGGATGAGTTGGTGTGGGTTGGTTGGAAGGAATGGTCTGGGGTCTTTGTAGGGGTGCAGCTAAATACTAAAGCCGGGCATAAGGAGCAGTTAAAGTTCAGGAGAATCTAGCCAAGAGCTACACGCTCGCGCGATCAGGCTTTTGGAGGCGATCGGCGATGGAATTGAGGACCGTGCCGAGATCTGGCGGTAGAGAAGAAATGACGACGGATCGATGACGAGGTGAATAGGGCTTGCGATTTGGATGCGGGGGAAACGTGAAACAAGGCACAACTCCGCAACAATGCTAGACATCATAGGCTGACGATATTGAAGAGCATTACTGCATTTGTCCAGAACCGACCGGGATGCGGAGATCGGTGTGTGGGGTTTCTCCGAAACTGTCGGTTCGGGCCAAAGAAGCTTTCGGGGTTTCTCCACGGCTCAGTCGATGACCGAGCGTATTGGCCCGGGGAAACTCCATTGCGACTGAGTAAAGGTCGTTTCTGTTCATTGTTGGGCCACTGTTACCCCAAGGCGCCGGGGGGGGGGGGGACCCGTCCTTGGGTGCTGAATTCAGGGCTCAGACTCGATTACGCATTTGAACTGGCATCATCAATGGTCGACGCGGGGTAAAAAAACATTTTCATTCGGGCCCATTCTAAAATACATCCGAGGTCTCCTCCCAGAGGCTCGGTTGGGGTATGACTCCAAGTTGGTGGCAAGTGTGGTATGGTATGCAATGATCGTCTCCAACCCTACTCCAAGGTTATCTCACGCTCCCATCAAGTCTCGATCAGACAACGATGTCCCTCTGGTGCCATCAAAAAGAAAGACCGCATTACCATGTCCTTCTCGGACATTCCCTCTTTGTTGGAACGTCGAGCATTTGGGAATTTTCGGAAAAACATGGTTGTTCCCAAACGAAGCTCCATGCGAGCCAGATGCAATCCAATACAGACTGTGGATAGGGTTAGCTTATGTGTTATATGAAGATCCCTATTTGACTTACTGCGTGACCCACCGCCAAACGGTATGTAAATATCCTTCATTTCCTTGGTTGGGTTCTCCCATCTCTCGGGATTGAAACTGCATTTTGGTTAGTAGGCCACTTTAAGGCACATATAGTAGCTCATCATCTTACTTATAGGGGTCGGGAAAAATTATAGGATCCCGATGTAGACTGTAAGACTGTGTAGACACGGTCGCTCCACTTGGGAGGAAGTATCCGTTGAAATTGGCACCTTCTGATGGCACAGCCCGAGGCAAACCAAAAGGAACAGCAGTATGCAAGCGCAGTGTCTCGCTAATAACCATGTTCAGATAGGGCAAATTCCTAAGGTCATTATCGTGAATCGGCTCAGACAAGGCTGCCACCTCAGCGACCAGCTTGTCCCGAACTCGGCTGTTTCCACAAACGGCGTAGACAAGGTAGGTTAAAGTGACAGCAGTGGTATCACTTCCTGCAACAATGTATCCTTGAGCTTCTTTTTTGATCTCGTTAAGTGGCAAGCCGCCTTTCTCGGTATCGAATAACTTGGTAAAGAGTGTCTTCTTTGGGTCCGAAGGGTTTTCGGCCATGATTCTCTGGTATCGGTCGATGGATTGGCTTGCATACATGCCCATTCGTTTCCCACATGCCATAGTGCGCTTGAAAACAGGCAAAGGTAGGTATTTCCCGAGGTTGACCAGGGTGGGGAATGTTGTTCGAATCGGTTGCAGGGCTGAGACTTGCTCCAGATCTAAAGAATATTGGGTTTTCTGCATTACAATGTTAATATTGATGTCGGGTTCGTAATCCAGTAGATTGCTTACTTCGCCAGCTTCGAGCATCCTGAATGACTCCCCAAAGCTCAATTCGCCAATAATGTCGGTCGCCATGAACAGCCACCACTTGAATACATCAACGACACCACGATATTGCGTTTCTTCCGCCATTCTTGAGATAGCCATGTGTACCCGATCCGTAACTATTCCTTCATGCTGATGTAGTGATGTGTCAGAAATGGGCGATCCCAGCAGACGACGGCGTGTAGAATGAAAATGTGGGTCTGTGGTCGAGAAAACGTTTTCCATGCCGTTGGGAAGAAGTGTGCGATACCAAGCAGACTTTAGGAATCGAGAGTTGGTCTTATGGATTTCTTTCACGGCATGGAGGTCGCAAATGTCGACCTTGTTAAAGCCGGTCCTAACGATCGGGCCTTCATACGCCACATGTCAGCAATCTATTCCGAAGGCTTGGGGCTATTTCTACGTTATCCATTTCGTGACCTTGGGATCAAAAAGATACTTACCATATTTCTCATGGAGTTCATGGATATAGTTTGGGACTTCCCCGGTACACCAATAGTATAAGTAAACAAGGTCGGTCCACTTGGAGATCGTAGGACCTGGGATCCGAGAGAGCGGGCTGGAAAGCCGGCTATAGATGAAATGCTACCACTAGAGTTAGCCTTAAAAATGATCATCTCCAAGACTGGCACAAAAAATCTCCGATAAGGTGGAGACTTACAAGACATAATATTCCAAAAATGAAACTAAAAGTTGCAGGAAGATGGCCGATAGACTCCATGGCTATGGTTTGTTGAATATTTCACTTGACCCAATTTATGCTCTCCCCAGGTTGTCAAGGTATTTATATTCAACCACCAAAATAGCGGGGGAGGTGTCAGCCGGTCGGAGCTTCACTGCCCGAATTCCGACGATGGGTGCGGCCATTCGGGTGTTGGTGAATTACCGAGGGAAATGATCGGCAGCAGGGTATGTTGTACTTCGCGAATCGTCGGTTTTAGGAGGGTTTAGAGACGGGAATATCCCGGAGCTAGTGAAGATTAATGACGAGATAGTGTAACACTTTGTTTAAAATTAAATTGCACACGTGGTTTAGGAGATCTCCCTGCAATCGAGAAATCGAGAATCACCCACATCAGCGGCATTGACCCTTCCCGTATCCATGGGCATATTTTCGCCCTCACTCAGAACGGCTAGTGCGCGTACGAGCTACAAGATAGGAGTCTTCCAGATCTGTCTAGCGTGGGACCTGGATTCTATAATGAATTCATTGCGTATATTCTCAAAACAATCTAACCAGCCTTATTGGCCTATAAGTCCTTAGCTGCAGAGATGATTCTATTGAGGAGCTCATTATAGATAAAGAAACTGTCATGGTGGATTCGCTTTCTGTGAAAAATACCGTGCTGACCCGCATTATAGGCTAGAAATCCGAAATTTCCAATGGCAAACCACGTGTTTGCGCATAAAACGAAACACATACGAAAATCAACACAGGTAAGCATAGGGTCTTCAATGCAGGAAAGCCTATTCTTAAGTTAGAGAATGTCGAGGACTTAAAAGCCGCTCTTGCTATCGTTGGCGTCCTTTAGTGCTATATTTCTATCTAGTTGCCAAGTGATGTTCATATACTCTTTTCTCTCTAGTTCATCCAATCATACCAAGTCCGTGAACCTCGTGGGAATGAAAGTCTAAGTGTGTAGAGGAAAAACTAATTTCGAATACTACTGTACCCCTTTGTGCCGTCTTGCAGCCACGAAACTTTCATCAAGCAATTCATTAGATGTTCGGCGACACCGTCGGAGCACATGTTGATCAGAGATTCGTCAGCGTCTCGTCAATTGGCAATTTCTTGGGCTTCTCGGGATGAGCAGCTTGCTCATCTCCATAGTTCAAGTGGGCCTTCAGTTTATAATCCTCAGGGACACCCGCGAATTTTTTTATGGCTACTTCGATGGGCGGCGATGGGCGGAATAGCATTCATGTGCTGCAAGTTGGCGCCCACTCCCTTCAGTTCCAAGGCAGTCCAGACAAGAATCTGGTGGATGCCCTGAGCGTGTTTACCCCACTCGCCAAACATATGATCGGTAGCTTTGTGTGCCTTCTTAGCCTCTTTAGTGGTCTGGCTACGCTCCCAGGAAATTATCTACACCTCGTTAGATAGTCTGTGTGTGAGTCAGGAAATTTGTTGACATACGGGACATTATAGAACAGAAATGTCATCTAGGCATAAGAGCATTATTTCCTTAACTCGCGCATGCTGCAGTTTTATAAATACTAGAACATGAGAACCTGTGAAACCGACACGAAAATGGCTGCTTTTGAAGCCAGAAACGGCTGTCTTTCCACCCGTAACTTTCAGCGGCGAGTCACCGCTTGACCACCGCACCACGGCGGACTCAAGAACAACCTGCCTCGCATCACAGCCAACTTCGAGTTTTCCCACATTCGAATCCGCTGCTCCAGTGTTTATGAGAACCGTAGTATTGCTTCCGACAAAACACTTAAATTGTTTCAATGAGGGCCTTGCCAAACTCCAGCTTCTTCCGCGAGCGACGCGCGAATGCGCTTCCATCGCCCGCTGAGATCCGAGCCATCAACCAACAGTCTGGCAAGGAGGAAGACTTCTACCGGTCCCCGCCCGTGGAAATTCGCTCGATGGGCTTGTTTGTGTCAAGTATGGGGCAGATGTCACCATCATCGAGGCTGAGACGCAGATCATGCTACGGGAACGATTCCAAGGTCGTCTCCCCGTGCCAGAAGTCTTTGGCTGGGCGGAAGATGGTGGCCAGACCTTTGCCTACATGGCGCTGATCGAGGGTGAGGCATTAATGGCAAGATGGGGCAGCCTGGATGACAATGAGAAACAGGCTATCCTCAAGGAGCTTCACTTTCTCATCAAGCTCTTGAGGACTCTGAAACAAGATACTCATGATCAGTACATTGATATGTCCGCACTTATATTCATGTTTTCAATCTCTTACTTGTTATAGGCAGTCTGGGCAAGAAACCACTGAACGATCTCTTAACAATCAGTGCAAGAGTTACCGGACCTTTCTGCGGTCTAGATGCTGTCCAGCAGTTCCAAGATGCCTGTGGGATTGAGATCGCCCATCAAGCGCCTATTGTCTTCACTCTCAATGCCCTCCTTCCACCTAACATCATGATCTCCGCGGGACCAAACCCTAAGGTGACGGCACTCCTCGACTGGACCCAGGCTGGATGGTACCCTGCGTACTGGGAGTACTGCAAGGCATCTCGGATCTCCGTGAATCCAAATAATTTCCCCGTGACCTTTATGGACGAGAGGCATAGTCGCTTGGATATGATTCTGGAGCGAGTGGAAGAAGCAGACTACAATCCTTGGCTTTATTTTCTTTTATCCCGAGGTATCTGATAAGAAGGCATGGACTAGTGGTATCCGAAGTCAATCACACGATTTATTAACGTGAATAGTTCTGGTTATATACATGAAGGGTCTCCAGGGTCATAGGAACACTTGGTATATCAGTCTTTGTTCGTCGTTGGCTCGACCCAGGTCTGGAACAGCACTCACAGCATGCTTCCGGATATTATCAACATTATCAACGCCGCTCAGCCTAAGTGCATTCACGGGTTGGGCTATAGATATTCAAAAACCTTTTCCGCTTGGTGCAGTCACTATAGAAGTATGCTGTGCAAATTTAATTGCATTCACTGTAGTATCGACATAAAACGGTAGGGATTTCTTTCTCACCAGACCTCAACTCACTTATGCTTCTGCGCGCGGTGGAATAATTTCGGAGTCTTGGAGAGTTATCTCCAAACTTCAAAGGTAAAGCTTTACTGGATATTGACGTCGTCAAATGCTGCTGGCAAAAGCAAGTGTGAAGATTCCTAGAACAAGGCGTCGCAAGCAGCGAATAACTCACGAGAATATGTTTTGCATTCCGTCGAAGGGACTACGTGGACTACCATCTTCTGAGGACCAAGCAATCTACATGAGATTTTTCGATTGGACGTTCAACATGTCAAGAAACTAACTGGAGAGGCTAGGCTATTGGTCACATAGTTTCTCGCGGGTCCCTTCCCAGCCGAACGCAGGACAAGAACACTTTAGATGTAGATCGATACAGCACGGGGGTTTTCGGGGCTTAGTTTTACTCTACTGATGAATATCGCCGCAGCGGTAATTCAATTTCGAACGAGAGGAACCGCTGATTCAGACAGAGAATGTATCGGGGTGGGTCCCAAATTCCTCCCCTTTTCTAGTTTAGCGCTCTTTCCAACATCGCCACACCCGAACGAACTACCCCTAGCCGTCTTGTGATAAGCCTTCAAGATTATGACATAACAACTAAATAGTCATGTCCACGACAAACAAGCGCAAGCGTGCAAGGAAGGCATGCATACCTTGCCACCAACGGAAGCGAAAATGCGACGGGGAGTATCCCTGTGGCACGTGCACCACCTACGAATATAATTGCAGATACGCCGACGACGACACCACCAGCACGGGTGAAAGCTGGCACGCTCCACCCATAGCCAGGCGCGTCATTCTTGACGGCGGGGTCACCGGCAAATCGCGCAGCCCGGACGGCCAACCTCATGTAGCAAGAGCTCCCCATGGAGCTGACAGCACGTCGACAAAAAGTTCTGCCATCGGGGCCGGCATTTTTGACGTGCAGAAGTCCAGATACACCGGAGCCTCGGCAGCCATGGCCTTCCCGCACATCCTGGGCATGGCTCTTGGCTCTGACAGCCCTCCCAAAGTCAACTCGTTCGCTTACAACTTTGGGATCCGCCCCGAGGAGGCTTCCAATACTTGTGGCTTCCTAGGGAAAATTATTTCGGAGGACAACCTCGCCTTCTACTCGAATGTGTACTTCTCTGCAATGGGCTCTGTTGGCGACTATATGGACCCGAGAATCTACGCCCAGCGATGTCGGGATTATTATCAAGGTTCCGCCAGCAACGCGGTCGCCTTTGGTGCCATAGCGGCTGGCGTCGCCGCTGCTGGGTCCTTCCTATCCTCAACCAGATACCCGCGGGAGTCTGACCTGCTGCAGTACTCTAAAGCTATTCTCGATGATCCAGCCTCTATGCGTACGCTGAGCATTGACCACATTATTGCGTGGGGCCTACGGTTATTTTATCTACGGGCCACAACCCGCCCCAGTAACGCCTGGGTCGCGTCGTGCACTCTTATGCACCTTTGCGAAGTAGTCGGGCTGCACAAGGAAGAGAATATCAAAAGGATGGCGTCTGTCGCCAGCGCCGCTGTTGTTGGGTATGATGCGGATCGACTGAGGCGAATTTTCTGGTTCTCGTGGGCCGCGCATCATATTCTGTCCTATGAGTACGATCGTTCGGCTGTAACATTTGGGGCCGTGACTTGTCAGGCTATCATCCCGATACCAGGATCCGTTGTCGATCAGTTCGTACAAATAGTCCAGATCCTCCCATCTCCCAACTCGCCTTTCCGGCTCGAATGTCAGCCTCTGACTCCGAGGGAGGAGCTATTCGAGCGTCTCAAGGCATTGAGTAAACTCCACGTCATCCATCCGTTCCTGGTGGTGACTAAGGCGGACCTTGCGTTTTGTTTCTATCGACGCATTTATCAGCTCAAGGCAGGCATTACAGACGAGATAATCCAACTCGTCATTGATAGCGGTAACGACGCAGTAGAAGCGGCTCAGCAGCTAGCCAGCCAGGGCCGTTTATTGTGGAACGTCATAGGCAGCGTATTCCAGTATGCCTGTGTCTTGTTGGCCATCGACACGCCGGCCTCCTCCGCTCACATCCCAGCTGCCTTCAAAGGGTTGGAAAATCTTGTTAAGGTTGCAGACACAGGACTGACCCGTCAGGCATTGTCAATAGCGCGACATCTTCTCAGCCTCAATATAGCAAAGAAGCGAAAGGAGCTTATCCAGCTAGAAGCTGTCGATGCGGGCTCCGAACCCTTCCAGGCGCCGCCGGAACCCGAGGCCAACGCCGATTTGCCAGACATGGGCTGGGGTGTGGACTGGGATCAGTTTTTCATCGAGCCATATCCATCGATTTTTGGTCTCGACATCCAGCTGTAGTAGCGCAGGCACCTGGGGCGGGGGGGGCGGCGTTGTAAAATGATTTAATCCACTCAGCGGCAATTCAACTCATCAAAACATGGCGTGACACTCTAGAATGGTCTAATAAAATTCAGTATTACATTTATGCAGACTTGCCATTGAAGATACATATCTAAACACATTCTTCCTGGGTGTCGCTCATTTCCTGCGCCGCCTTTTCTGGCGTCTTGGACTGATGCCGTTCCACAAAACAGAAAATTAGAGCTACAGCTACACCCAAGCCGGAGAGGCCGACACCCATGTAAAGTGCGCCCCGGTATCCTTGTAGAACGTCCTTCCCTCCATCATTGACCTGTCCCTCAACCGTGCCGGCAAACCCGAGCCCAATGGAGATAGAGTAGTTGACAAAGGTAGTGACCAGCGACGCGGCGAGACCCTGATGCTGCCGCGGCATAGCTCGACTTAGGATTATGGTGCCAGCGGGGAAGGACATGTCCATCCCCCAAGGGAGGATGATGATACCCACGAAAGTCTGCGCCCAATAAGTCTGGTGGACCGGTAGAGTCGCAAAGATGATGCCTCCAATGAGAAAGAAGGTCATGGACATGAGCATGACGGTCGAAATGCGGAAGTGACTCAAGATCAGACCGGTGGTGCCCGCTGCAAACAGCCCACTTATGGCGACGGGAGTGAACTGGGCAGACGTGAGCAGAGGGGTCTGGCCCCTCAGGACTTCGAGGAGATTCAAGGTATAGAAAACATAGATACCGAAGCTGGACCAGCCGGCGCTGATGCAGGCTAGAGTGAAGAGGGATTCTATGTGCAGGACGCCCAGAGGGATCAGAGGGTTGCTCGCCCTCTTCTCGATGAGGACGAAGACGACGAAGATGAGGATGCCAACAATCATGATGCTGTAGGTGTAAGGTGTCGGCCAGCCGACAACGGGGCCTTGGTTCCAGGCGAAGTTGAAGAGGACCAGGGCGGCTACGCCGGTGATGGAGCCGAAGATATCGACACGCTGCCAGATACTGGGACTTTCAGGCTCTGAGTTGCTTGGTACCGGGGTTGCGGGAATGACAAAAACGGCCAAGGCGGCCGGCAGAAGGCACGCAAAACACAGGACCCAATAGGACCAGGGCCACCATGTCATCTGGGAAAGCAGGCTGGAGAAAACAGCGCCGAGTACAAAACCGCCGGGGGCAGTGGCACCGAACAGACTGAAGATCATGTTCTGGCGAAGCCCCGGGTTGTAGCAGCGACTGAGGATAGCGATGGCGTTGGGTAGTAAGAAAGCCGGGCCAATGCCCTGAATGGCGCGGCAGAAAATGAAGAAGCTAGGGCCACTGTAGACGGCGACACCGGCGAGGGCGGACCACAGGCCGAACCAGACGTAGCCGCCAACGAAGAAAGTCTTGTGGCCGAAGACATCACCAAGGCGGCCTGCGATAAGGATGAAGGTGCCGACGGTGAGAGAGTATCCAGCGGAGAACCAGCTCAGCTGGCCAGGTTGGTCGTCGATGCCGAACGAGCGACCAATGATGTGCTGGGGCACGATGCTGAGGGCAAGACCGGCTTGAGTGAGGAGCTGGGAGGAGCAGATGACCGCGATGAAGAGGGCTTCGCCAGCGACAGACTGGGGGCGTTCGACGTTGCAATTAAAGGGTTGAAGCTGATGGCCTTCGGTGCTGGTGTCGTGGGCCTGGTCGGATGCGCCAGTTTCATAGTCCTCATCCGAGGCTTTGGGGGAGGTCTGCCCCTGTGTTGAATGATCAGAAGGGGCCTCCTCGCCAAGCGATATGTCTTCTTTTTGGAAAGACATTTTTGTGGTCAATAAGGCGAACTGAGGCTTCGAGGACCAGTAAGCCCTGGTAGTAAGACTCCTCGTAGTCTGGGCTTTGATAAGCCAGTATGATGATGATATTGTCGACTTTGTGCCTTGGATCTGTATGTCAATGAGTCGCCACGAAGTATATTGATTTAATTCGTGCTCCTTGAGGTTCGAGGCTGAGCTCCGGCACGTAAGGTTCTTGTTTTATCCGCATAGTGATTTTCAAACTGATCATCTTGACACGGGGGTATAGAGGTCTGTTAGTCAGGAGTTGAATAATATCGGGCTATGCTGTCTTAACGCCGCGTCAACATTGGTGCGGAGCGGTGCGGTGCGGCTACTGCGGAGTTAGTCAGGCCGACCGTTGTCGGGTAGTGCCGGTGTTAGTCAATGGGGCCCCGTGTGCGGCTGCGGCTGAGAGGTGCGGGATGATCATCGGTAACCCGCTATCTCCGTCCATAGGAGGCTTCGCACTCTGACAAGGATTTCGGTCCCTCTGGCGGTCATGCTCGCCGCAGTTGCCGCGGCTATTTTGGAGCGGCCCAGGATCCACCGGTAACCGTGCAGCTGCCACATGCACGCGTTGTCTGACTGATGGTTGATTGACCTGACTCGCGGCTTTCGGGGCGCCAGTATCTCCGGGCGAGTCAAGTTCGAAGGTCTGGCCAAAATATCCCGATATGCGAGCTGCCCGGAATTAGCTGTTCGGAATTAGCTGCTCGGAGTTGCCCAACCCGACCCGGAGTGACTAGGCTGAGATGGAGAGAATGGCACAGAAGTATGGTTCTGTCGAGGTGTCGAGACTGGGTCTGAAGTGTATAAATAAACAGGCATTCTCTGCTCCAAGGAGGAATAGCCAGACACCCACAAGTTCACACAGCAACAACAGCTATATCGCCTCGACCACCACTCTTGACCACAATCACAACAATTAATACACAATAATTATCACTTCAATATCCAATTCAAGAGCCAAAATGTCCGAGTACGCCAAGAACCAGCCCACCGGCTTCAAAAACGCCATTGAGAGAGTGGCCATTGTCGGTGTAGGTACATCCTTCCAACATTACCACGTACACAACAACTAACGAACGCTCTTAGGCTGGAGGCACTGTTGGATCCCACCTCGCCGCCGCTCTCCTTAAAACCGGAAAGCACACGGTGACGGCCCTCTCCCGCAAAGATAGCAACAACAAACTCCCTGAGGGCGTCATCGTCGCCCCAATTGACTATGACGACGAGGCCACTATTGTCGCTGCCCTCAAGGGCCAACAATTCTTCATCATCACGGTATCCCCCACTGTGCCCCGGGACACCCACAGCAAGCTCGTCCAGGCGGCCGCCAAGGCTGGTGTTCCCTACATCATGCCCAACGGGTACGCTGGCGACATTGACCAAGTTAAACTCGGAGAGGAGGTAATGCTGGGACCCGTGGCCAAGGCCAATAGGGACGAGATTGAGAGGCTCGGCATGAAGTGGATCACCGTGTGCTGTGGGTTCTGGTACGATTACAGCCTAGCGGGCGGTGAGGCGCGCCTCGGGTTCGACTTTGACAAGCGGTCTCTGACGATCTACGACGATGGCAACACCAAGAACTCGTTATCGACCTTGTCGCAGGTCGGGCGCGCCGTGGCCAAAGTGTTGAGCTTCAAGCTGCTCCCTGACGACGAAAACGACAAGAGTCTTACTGTTTCGAGGTGGCTGAACAATAGTGTGTATCTCAAGAGCTTTGTGCTCAGCCAAAACGAGATCTTTGAGAGCGTCAAGCGCGTCACGGATACTAGTGACGCTGACTGGACGATTACTCACGAGGATACCAAGAAGCGATACGCAGATGGCCTGGCGCTAGTGAAGACTGGTAACAGGGCTGGCTTTGCTAAGCTGCTCTACGCAAGAGGTTTCTACCAGGATGATGCGAGTGATTGCTCGGCCAAGGCACATAATGAGCTGCTTGGTTTGCCGGAGGAGAACCTGGATGAGGCTACCAAAGCCGGGGTAGACATGGTCAAGGAACTGCAGCGTCGTGTTGAGCGTATGAACTCATAGAAAACAGCATTTACAGAGCTTGGATTCAATTACGAGTGCGGTTGTATGGGCACCTGTTGACACAAATAGAAAAAGAATGGAAAATGAAACTCTTCACTCAATATTTCTAGTGTCAGATATTTCTAGTGTATCCGGTCGCTATTTGCTTCCAAGATCAAATCTATCCCTACTGGGTTCGGGTTTATGGATGGGAATCTTGTAGATACTATTTCCGTCTGCTGGCCTTATAGATCTAGGCGCTAGAGGTGGGTGCTGCAAAGTACTAGAGAATTGAATTTAGTAGAATCAATATTATGCTACTTGTTAAGACGTAATTTCTTTAGTTCTCTCAGTTGTAATTAAGCCACCCTTCCTGATAGGCAACCCACGATCCTAACGTAAGGGTTTGCGTATATAACCATATTTCCAAGGCTTCATGACGATCTTGAACTACCGTAGATGCCATAGGCTCCGTTAAATCAAAACATACCTGTAAGTGCTCGAGGGTAGAAGACTTGCGGACAACGATTTTAAACCCGCCCGGTGTCATGGTAGCTATGCGACACTTCCGCCGCGCCTTTCGATCAATTAACAGGAGGACAAATTGCTCAGCATCCAACGAACCACCCAGTGCATTTTCTTTACTCCGCTTTTCCCATTGCAGGATTATTCTGCCTGGGTCGGATATATCTCTGTTTTCGTCGTTGATGGTGAATCGGTAAGTAGGTGTCGATTGAGCGAGTCCAGTGCTTACGCTGGTCTGCCATCTGCATCGCGCATCGCGGAAGTAAATTGTTGAGGTTGTATTGTCGTTCTGGCATATTGCTGCTATAATTCTCTTCTCCGGAGTGGCACCGTCACTATCCTGCTCCGCGTTGGAAAAATCTTTCTGTCGCCCAGTCGAAGTGGTAATATACGACTCATCGAGAGTCGCATAGATATCACCCGACCTCAACTTGACTTTCTGATGAAAGTTGCGAGTCAATTTCGACTTCTGAAATGGTGGTTGCCACATTTCCAGTACTGGTACTGGTCGCTTATTTTGCACGAGTTGTTGGATTTGAAGAAGCAGCTTAGGAGCAAGACCAAGTGAAGATTTTGGCGCAGGGCGAGCGATCTGGAAAATCGCTTGAATTTCAGTTCGTGTGGGCTGAGACGTTCTAGAGTTCCGTCAGACAATGTCAACTTTCAAGTTGGGGGGACAGGGCGTACCGCTCTTCGCTTCTAGTGTCACTTTCATAGACAACTGACTGCGAGCTCATGCTGGGCTTAGGCGGCATGAAGACCGTGATGTTTTAGTTCAACCTGTCTGGGTGAGATAGACAGGAATTTTTTCTCTCATTCACTGACTCAATGGATGCCTCGGACATTCTTATAAATAGTTTTTCTTGGCCCAATGGGCCGTATCCGTATCTACCGTAAAAACGGTTCACAAACTGTGTGGGGGCACGGTTCAAGGCTCTCACACGATTCTGAGGCAGTGCCATTTTTCTCCTGTCTATCGCTATCATGCTAAGAGCTCCAGATGTCTGGAACAAGTACGGTATGATGTGATTGGCTCTTTCGTAAGCTCGTGAGGTGGTTCGGCGAGACTGATTATTTCCAAACCAAGAGGGAACTTAGCCATTTTGGGAAATATTCGAGCGTGTGGGGTTCTTCCCAAAACGACTAAGCGCCCTCTCTTAATTCATGCGCTGATTACTCGCCCCACAAAAAGCTCCACTTCGGAAAGTCGTAGAATGGTTTCAGCATTCCATGCATTCGTTAACTTGAGGCTTCAGTGTTAGTTCTTGCGGTTAGAAAATCTTGTATTGCGACTGTCGAGATACAAATTATCATCGGGGAAATTAGTAATATGGATTGTCAGAAAATTCCTGTACTTCTTAGCCTTTTGTCTTACTCGCCGCTGTTGATTCTCATCGATCAGCCGAAAAGGGTTGCGTCTCCACTGGACGGGCCAGCATCGCACTAAATCAGGCAATAATTGAACGCACTCATAGCCTACGCTCAGTCAGGCTATGGTTAGAAACTCATGACTCTGGTCACGTCACAAACTTACCAGCCGGATTGTTGCTTAAGCCTCGATGTCTTAAAACGGTATCTATTGAGCGCGCCATGAAGTAGATGCAAACTCGGTTTCTGGAGATGAACAGTCTTCGCACGCATGCCCATGTGTGAATTGTGGAAGTATAAAGTGGCTGACAGCCCCAGGGACAGGACTTAACAGAAACAACCTTTTTCTTTTCCAAAAGTCTCCTGCTTCCATCAATCATCAGTTTTCATTCTCGAACCATGCTTTTCCTTCAACTACTTTCCGTCTCGCTTGCAACTGGTGCGCTGGCGGTCAGAGACTCAAGTTGCCCTCCGTTCCCTTCTTCGATGGTCGAATTCTCTTCTGAATTCAAACAGCCAGTCCTCCTATGGTAAAGGCTGAGGACGGAGCCAACTTTATCCAACACAAGTGGTAGGCGACAAATACTGATGCCAGCCCTGCTTTTATTGTCAAATTAACAGAGCGACAGGAATCAAAACCTGTCGCACATCACGACTGGTTTCATCAATAATTCGCCATCTCAGAACTTCGTTCGAGTTGATGAAGCCTTCAACGGTAGTCTGGCCTCGTCCTTCTTCAATTACGCCAACTCTACCAAGGAAGGGCTGGTGGACAACACTATGACCACATTTGGTCACAAATCTAACGAGCCAACTATATGGAAGGGATTCGTCAACTCAAACTTCCCTTTGTTTCCTGAAGACATACTAGTCAAAAACGGTGCTGTTTTTGGCGGACTGGTTCGGCGACAGTTCAATGAGGACCTTGTAGCAACTGTAAGTAGCCTTTTCCAGGTTCCACTTATTAAATTCAGCCACAGTACTGAAGCTGAAAATAATATCATCAGTGGAATATTATGTACCAGGGAGTTGTTCCTGTCACAATCTACGTGAGCAACTGCAATATCATGGTTGGTTACGACTATTTTTCTCCAGTATTGCGTACCAGAGTTATTACTGAATACTTCAACATCCAAGCCTAAGCTGCCTCTACGTCATGGGATTGTCCTTGAGCTATTCGCGCCAAACAGCTGCGGTGGAGTTTCTATCGTCGATTAGTGTCGAATCCAGTCTTCTCAATGATGTAAACAATAAAAAAAAATGGGGCGAATCGTCTGAAAGAACAACGCTCATAAATTTCGCTGTAAATCACGTAAGGTCCAATAAAATATTTTTCATTTTATTCGAGGACTAGCTTGTTAATACACAGGAAGTTATCATCAAGCCGCGCGCCGTCTTCGCGTTGACTATTGTAATTTGATTTTTTCTTTCGGACTAGATGATTTTTCTTACCCCCTCAAAGACTCTGTCGAGTCCTTCCCCGGTTCCACTGCATGTAGGAGTGGCGGCAATGGGTATGGGTCACGTGCCATTGTCAGCAAGCCCGAATCAGAGACTTACAGCCCCTGTTAATCTGTTCGATAATTTCTGACAAATTGAAACATGGCAGCAGAGCTATGTGTACGACCAAGTGAAATCACTAGACGTACTATTGGACCTCTAGACAAGCGCAAAAACACAACGCGCTGTCAGTCTTGTGCGAACCGACGGGTAAAGGTGCGGGCAATCAGCACTCTCCTTCAATGAGATTAGTCAAACTTACGCGACATGTACAGTGTGAGGGGGGAAAACCCTGCGAAAGATGTGTCCGGACAAAGAAGGTTTGTGAGCCGCAGCGGCTAGAGCAGACAGGAGTGAAATTCGTCCATATTCCGGGACATGTTTTGTCTTGTACAATTCCCATGCAAGTGAAGAAGCATAATGACTCCATGTATCTGGATCATTTCGCATCCTTTCTTCAGCGATGCCATTTTAGCAAAGAGTTTGCCACCACAAATGCAGATATAGTCACTATCATTGGCAAATACCCTCTGCTTTGGCATATCGCTATCGCAATCGGAGCTTTGGACGCCAGTAGGAAAGGCTCCATCAGATCATTTGGTGAGCATGAGTCTCCTCAGCATATTGCATTCCGGGCTTGCGGTAGATCAATACAAGATCTGCATTGGGCAATCTCAACGACAAATCCAGTCTTTAGGGATGACGTGTTTTGGAGCACATTTCTCCATGGTCTTTTTGAGGTATGATTTTATTCATAAAATCGAACATGCCACTAACCATCCACACAGCTGATGGCTGAAAAATCTGCCGATTCATTCGCAAAGCACATGGTTTTTGGTACATCCAAAATGCTGCTCTTGTTGGAACCAACAGATCCGCTTTCGCTATCCACGAGGAGCTTGATCGATGCTTTCTGGGTTCTTGAGACCAACAGAGCCATTCTTTATGGCGACAATATTTTAATTTCTCCAGACAAATGGCAGTGGAGTTCGACGCGAGAGAGCTGGCCAGATTCCATGAAGAAAATTCTCATGCTCATGGTACAAACTTCCGCATTTGCTAACAGGCAAGTCAATTTTACTAACTTGATTTATGGATGCCGCTAAACCTTTTAGGCTGTTTGACAAGGTTGAGAGTATTCCTCAAGAATTGAGATCCTTTGATCCTGGATTGGACTCTCTTGCCCTAAAAGGTCTCGAAATCAAAGAAAGACTTCTCAACTGGCAAGAAGGAAGCTATTTGGAAAGGCTACCGGTGGATCCTTTTACCAAATTGGCCGTCATCGTTCACCGCGCTCTTCTTTTATATCATTGCAGGAATTTCACTTTTTATTCATGCTGGATGACACGGACAATTCCTCAGCTTAACCAAAATGAGGTCGACAAACATGTCGCGACAATTTTGGATCTGTCTCAAAGTCTTCTCTCGGATACATTCATCACGGGAGTTCTCTTGTTATTTCCTTTGCGAATGGCCGGAGCCCACACTTTTGAGAGTCGTGCGCAGGAGGAAGTATCGATTACTATTCGCAAAATACGGCAAAAAGGCTTCATCGTTTCAGAGAGAATCGAAGTCGATTTGCAAGAGTTTTGGCATTACAAATTGGGGAAAGGAACGAAAGCGAATGAATGCGAGTGTGAGATATTGTGAATCCTGTTCCTGTGGTTCGAGCTCTTGGGGGCACGCAGGGATTCAAGGAACTTGGTGTACTCGTCGTCATTCCTTTGGAAGTCAAACAGTTGCTTGGTCATCGTGGTGCCAAAGGATGGGTGGTTTCTCTTTCCATAGCCGGGGCCATTGCCCTTTTATGCCCTATAAATATTTAGAATTGAGTAAACTTTTCCAATTATTTACATTTTCATTTGACCACCTGTTTGAGCCTAGACCGCGAGCTGTTATGTGGCATAACTACATGAGTGGTCATTCATTTGAGTCGTATCCAAAGTCAGGTCGCCGCTCCGAGCACGGTGCTAGATATTCCATCCATTGTCGGGAAGATACTTGATTCTTTGTATGTCTGCGGGCAAGGCTGCGCACATCCCGAGATTGCATTCAGCGCGCTGCCAGAAATGCGTCATCGGGGCTCTAGCAGAGAATGATATTTTTCATGCTATCGGATGAATGGCCTGTGGACTGGTTTGCGACGGAGACTCTATGTTTGACACATTAACGGACAATGGTTGCAAGTGATGTGGCCAGTCTACCGTCTTCCATCAACTTCAATCTAGGTACACTCAGCCCACTGAGCTATCCCTTTAGAACCAAACTCCCACCAGTGCCTGGGCCTAATTTTTTGCCACAACCCTTTTTTTGGAATAAATCCTTTTCCAGGGAAGTTTCCTCACTGTTCAAACCATATTAGCTGCACCGCCGTTCGAGGGAAGTAGTCCAAGCCGTGAGGGACACGTCACAGCTCTCATTCCCGCTTGTTCACGAAAAGCAGATAAACTTGGTTCGCGCAAGGTCTGCGATCTTGTATCAATAACTAAGAGTTTAGTGTGTATTAATATATATGACGCTCAAAAAACGCGGTCGCAATTCGGTTCCTCGATGGCCCTGGACAGTAAAACGATTCCACCGCAAGCTCCAGCAATATGACTGCCGGGCCGACATACTTGTCACATATGGTACCCCTTGCCAGACCGAGGTGCCTCACAGCTCGGTTTTCCTCTTCTTTCCGTCCTCTTTCCTCTTTTTAGACTCCAAGTGGTCGTCCTTGATATAATTGCAGTTCAACACGCCACGCTCCCGGTCCTTTTCACTGACCGGCACACCTTCGACTCTCTTGACTGTGTTCCCCTCAAGGTACATTATAAGGCCTCCAATGGCTGCGGCAATACAGGCTAACACCACGAAGAGGCCCGTGGACCAGCTGGGTCGGTCGTACCTATTCAAGGCCCACATGAAGCCACAGAGACAGCATTGAAGGAGCGTGTTCCACACCATGAGCCAGATGACCAGGTCGAGCTTCCACAGCTTGGTCGGCTGAGCCCGCACTCCAGTAAGAGGGGTGTCGGGAATCGTCTTCTCCGGGAAAGGAATCGCCGAGCGAGGCACTGCCTGTGACGGCTGCTCGTCAATATTCGTTGGTCCCAAGTTCACAGGAAGATCTGCGGAGCCCTCCAGCCTGAACCATCCTCTGTGAATACCCGCAAGACGACGTAGGGCTACCGGCTTGTGCAGCAACCGGTACTGTAGCAAAAAGTACAGATCTCGAAAACGCCAAGGTGCGAGTCCGAAGCCTGTTACGCAGAAGAGCGCATTCAGAATCTGCGAGTCGATTTCAGTCCATATCCGCCTTGGCGAGTTAATATCGTCGCATGTTGGGTGACACATAACTGGTACTGAAAGGTACGTTAGACAAGGCTCCGCGCCAACTGCTGAAAGACACTCACCAGCGTTGCACAGTAAAAGGAAGAGCATTCCACCCCATGCTACCACATTGAGGCCGTAGAGGGTGACGAAGAACCCCAAGGGCGTCAGAAAATAGTTCCAGAAGGCTAGACATCCTAGCTTCATCGATTGTGCAAAGGAGTGTTTTGGTGGGAACTGATACCCGCTGGGGAAAGGGATGGGAGCGGCAGGCTCCCCTTCCAGTTTGAAGGTCGCCTGGGATGTTGTGCTGATATTTGTTTTCGTTTCCTGGGTACCCTCTTCCGCGACCGGTAGGACGGTGTATGATTGCTCTGGCATCGTTCCGCTCGTCTCGGGCGGTTGTACAGTGGTGAGCTAATGGAGGAGGAAAGGGGCCGCGGCGCAGCTTGGCGCGAGAGGATTGACGATACGATTCCACTCGTCGCAGCGAAGAAACTCCAGCAACTCGCGAATGACCTAAGATCAGGGACGAGGTGTGCAAGCGCTCGCTGATTGAGGACGTCGCGGCTGGACGATTTATCGTTTCGTTCCGAGCATCGTCAGCCCTAGGCAGGTTTACGAGCGACTTCCGGTCTGACTTGCTGACATCCAAAATGAAGCGGGCACCCCGCCGCATCAAGAAACAATCGAGCGCACGTGGAAATGCGAGTCAGGGTCACTAGATACAACGCAACGAAGTGGAGCATCTGACTAAGAACGCGTGAACTTTGACGCTCCGGCTCTAACTTAACTGGCATCGAAAACAAAGTGGACACCGCCGTATTAGGAAATAATCGAGCGCACCTGGACATACAAGTCATGGCCACCACCAACGACATTTTTATATCACGCTTCTCCAGCGTAAAGCTAGTTGTATCTAACAATGTCCAGCCGAGGTGTGCGCGACAGTGTTGGCGTTACTGGTGAGTTGTTGGATTAACAGCGTGGGTTCGCAGGAGAGTAGCTGTCAAACGCTAACCCTCTACAAGCTGATGGCCGTATTACCATTGATATCAGCTCCGACCTGCACAAGCAATTTTCTGCATTGAAAAAGCTTCAAACATGTACGACACTGCTACCAACATCCGCATCCCAGTCAACGCCTATCAAAAGTCGCCCAAAGCTAAAACTTAATATCGTCATCCATTGCGTCGGAAGCCGTGGTGATGTCCAACCGTTTATTGCTTTGGGTAGCAGATTGCTAAAGGATGGCCATCGCATCCGTCTTGCGTCTCACGACTTATTTGCCGAGTCGACGCGCGCGTCTGGCATCGACTTCTTTCCGGTGGGAGGCGATCCGGCGGATCTGATGGCTTATATGGTCAAGAACCCAGGTCTCTTGCCCAGCATAGCGAGCCTGCTCAAGGGAGACGTCCAAAAAAATCGGTCTATGATTGCAGGTATGCTTCAGCGCTTCTGGAGGTCCTGTATTGATCGCGACCCAGTCACTGGGAAGCCGTTTGTTGCAGACGTCATCATAGCGAATCCCCCTAGCTTCGCTCACGTCCATTGTGCTGAAGCTACAGGCATATCCCTTCATATGGTGTTTACTATGCCTTGGACCAACACCAAGGCGTTTCCGCATCCTCTCGCTAATATCACACATTACAACGTTACAAGTAGAGAAACTGCCAACTTGATGTCGTACAGTATTGTCGAGTGGATGACATGGCAAGGGTAACAGCTTTTAAGAGATCGGTTCGCACTGATGCTAACTTCTGTTAGACTTCACGATGTCATCAACAGCTTCAGAAGATCGCTCGACCTTGAGCGTATTCCTTCATCGGCAGGTCCCAATCTTATTACGGAGCTTGCTGTCCCAGTTACTTACTGCTGGTCACGTTCCTTGATACCCAAGCCATCGGACTGGCCGGCCCACATTGGTAAGTCTGTTGCATTTGTATGAGATGCTAGGAAGCAGCTAATAGGTCAAGATATTTCTGGCTTCATATTCCGGGAACCTCCAGACTACACACCCCCTTCAGACTTAGACGCTTTCCTCTCCAGTGGACCGGCACCAGTTTACATAGGCTTCGGCAGCATCGTCATAGACAACCCCGAGCGCATGACACGCATTATCCTTGACGCGGTTCAGGCGACGGGCGTTCGCGCTATCATATCTAGAGGCTGGAGCAACCTCGGAGGCCCGCCAGTTGATGGTGTGATTTACATTGACGACTGCCCTCACGAGTGGCTCTTCCAACATGTTGCTGCAGTAGTGCACCACGGTGGTGCAGGGACAGTCGCATGCGGCCTCCGCAATGGGTGCCCTACTCTCGTTGTGCCCTTTTTTGGCGAGTGAGTAGCCCATGGGAGATCCATGATTGTAGACTAATCTCTTGTTAGTCAGCCTTTCTGGGGAGAATCCATCGCTTCTGCAGGCGCAGGGCCAAGACCAATTCACCATACGCAGCTGAATAAGGACAATTTAAGCGACGGTATCAGATTTTGCTTGAGCCCAGGTACGACGAAGGCCGCCAAGCTTATATCAGACAAGATAAGAGACGAGTCTGGTGCGGATGCTGCTGCTGCATCGTTTGGTGCGCATTTACCATACAAAGTTATGCAGTGTGATTTGCTCGAGGATCGTCCAGCCGCGTGGTCCTACCGCAAGCGCGGTCATCGTGTCAAACTCTCTGTCGCTGCAGCGGAGATGCTCATTCGAAACGGGTCAATCAAAGAGAAGCATTTGAAGCTGTGAGTATCCAACCATAGGTGATTATGACCCTGACGCGAGTGACTGTAAAGTTGACGTGGTTGAAGTTATAAGTCTTGCAAAATCGACATTGAGAGCCGGAGAGTCGGGCCCATATACGGACCCACCGCCGCTCTGATCCGTACAGTCGTTACGCTGTTCATGTTACTATTCAACATGGTCCTCAAGCCAGTACATACCTGGCGCAGCAGAGAAAGAGTGGAAACGGCCTCGACCAAAGACATACAACTCCGCCCGTTTAGTCGCTCGGGCTCTGGGCAACAGCAATCCAACGACGAAGAATCCTTGATACCAAAACAAAGGAGGAAAAACAAGGGCTTTCTCGCAGTCAAGAATTTGTTTCTTGTCATACTATCATTCCTGATGGCCGTGGTTGAGTTCGGCGTTTTGTCACCTCTCTACTGCTTCAAAGGCGGCATGGTTGACTTTGCCTTTGCTCTAGTCGAGGGACTGCGTGGCGCACCACAACTCTGGGGAGAGGAAAGGGTCAATTACGGGCCATTGCGGAACTGGATAGATGGGTTCAAATTCGCGGGGAAGTGCTTTTGGTTCGGATACATGGATGCCATTTGCGGCTTAGTGATGCACCCTTATGAGGGAGCTTACTATTCAGGGGTACTGGGATTCTTCACCGGGTCCCTCTTCGGGATCCTTGCTTTTATCGCAAAGATCGGTTCCTGTCAGTTTCTATTTGGGAACCATAACAGCATTCACTAACTGTGGTACCCAGCCTCGATAGGACTTTACGCGTATCCGGCCATAGGCATATCTCGGAGTATTTCGAAACTCTTTCGACAGCGGACCGCCAGGAAGTTGAGGAAATGTCGACTTTTGGAAGGAAAAGATCTTGTCCAACGGGCCCAGACTACACAACAGAAGCAAGAAGCAGTCATCCTCAAGTTTCGTGACATTATGGGGGAGTAGTTACAGTACATACAAATTGATTACGCCCGGTGGTTAGCCAGCCAATAGGACAACTATTTGCTTATTATAAAACTCCATTTCTCAACCGTGGACAAACTGATATTTAACGAATGGTCTACCTTGGACTCTAGGGATGCCGGCGGGGATGCATTATTATCTTCTGTCCGATCAACGAGAGTATCTTGTCGATCTAGCCCCACAATTAATACTCCTTCGTCCGGATCTTGCTCACCCTCATATGAGTTCAAGTAACTTGTAGGCACAGTAACCTACCCCTAGCAATATGGCGTTTTGCTGCTACTGTTCAGTCTGCGTCATCAAGAACAATAGCAGGATCTTTACCGCCAAGCTCCATGAAGATCGGCTTCAGGTATCCGGAGCAGAGTTGGCCAACAGTACGTCCAATAGCAGCACTTCCAATAAACTCCACCTTGCGGATAGCAGGATGGGCAATCATAGCTTCAGTCACCTTGGCGGCCATCTCCCATCTCGCTTGGAGATTATCAATGATGCCTTTGGGAAGACCTCCTCCTTCGAAAAGACTGACAAGGAGGAGGTGGAGCTTGGGGCAATGCTCCGAAGCTTTGAAGATGATCGAGCAATAAGAAACGACAATATCTTATCTCAACTGTGTGAAAAGAGTGGGAAGGCCCATGAAAGCGGGGAAGAAGAGATACTAATATCGGGAGAGTTCGGATATAACATTTACAACATAAGATCTTACTCTCATCTATAAACCTAGCGGCCCCACACTTAGCGGGGCAGAGGACGTGGGGAGGAATTACCCTTTTGGCCAGGGGTGTGGGCATATGCGCTTAAAGTCTTTTGGTGAAATTTCGAGGTTTGGGGCTCAAATTTATATCAAGAAGACTTCAATACTTGTTTGCCTGTGGCTACCATACCTATTATTATTTTTCTCATTCCTCACTTCTCACTTTCTGAAACCCAAGCCTTTGAATCAATTTGAATAGAGCCTCTTCAAATGCTCTCCTGGGGTTTTCGCTACCTGCAGCAAAGCGACACCCAATATGAAAAGGCTCGATGTGAATCAGCCTGGAACGGGTGTGTGCCAGATCGCTACTCGGAGCTGATTGACTACCCCAAGAATGACGACCACATTCAACATATCGTTATTTACGCCAAAGATAAAAAGAATGGTCATCGGAACAAAATCCGGTGTATGTGAATAGGATTCAAGTGGATTCACGCTAGAGGTCATCCCTGAACTCATTGAAGAGTTGTGGCAAGATTTTGGCCAAATCTAAATCAAATATAAAATCAGTCGTTAAATCAGCTAATTACCAAAAGATAGTAGACTCACGGGGCATCTCAGTGCCACAATGTACACAAATGTCATGGGCAACGCTTTCGGGGATGCCTGGTCCAAGCCAAAACCTGGATCTCATCTCCCGGGTGCCATCCGCTTTACGGCGAATTTGATGAATAAGATGGGAGACTCCATCGAAACCATCCGTTATGTGTGCTATGAAGCATTTCAGAAAAGTTCATTTGGCAAATGATTATGAGAATATACCTCCAATTCCCACCCGAGCTACTACCATAGTCTCAATGCCGAGAGCTGGCCACATGGACTTGTCGATTCCTAGTTCAATCGGATCGATAAAGGCGACGGTGACTTTTGCATGGTCGCCACCGATATATTCATCGATGAAAGAAAACGTGTTGTAATATCGCTCTGCAAAGGATTTGTTTGCGATATCCACGGCTTCTGAGTGGCGTCAAGAGTATTGGTGGGCAGTCGGATACCAAAGTTTGTACCTGTGAAGTCATTTATTCAGCTGAGAAAGATTGCCTAAATGCCGATATAGCTATGGCGCATCTTAATTTGACAGAATAAATCTCACCTAGCAGATTCAACAGAGTGCCATGCAAACCACCAGTCATAGGCCTCTCCAGTTACTAAAAATGAACGTCCTACTCATTTGATATATTCACTATGTAGTTAATCTTCGCTTTCTGGATCAAAAGTTAAAATATAATCTCGATTATGATAAACCACGAAGAAATCTAAAGAATATCGACTGGAACATCAACGAACTTATCCCGAACATAATCCACGAAGCCCTTTCCAAATCCATCTAGGCGGCTAGAACTACTCACACCACGGCCCAGAATACCATAAACAACAAAGTGGACTGCATGGATACGAGGGAACTCAACACGCTCGATGAAAAAGCTATCATGCCAGTCTTTACCGAGGAGTTGGCGCATGCGGTCTATGGTCATATAATCCCGGAGCCAGGGCCAGTGAGCGGGGTTTGTAGGGAAGAATCCCACGTTGAGGTTTCCTCCCTTGTCACCCGATCGACCGAGGGCGACATCTCCGAGGCGCATCTGTTTATTTTCGCAGTTGTATGTTTGTGGGTCTTTAGGGTCGTAGCTCTCCCGAATGCCAAGTTCCTCGTATAGAGGTGGATGGCCGGTTTCGAAGGAGATCTTGTCGGATCCGTCGATGAAGTTGATCTTCTCATTGATATCTGACTGCTTGATCATTGCAGGATAGTAGGCAAGGAAAGGTCGGGGAATTGCGGTTCGCATATCCAATGAGGCATGGAAGCCTTTATTGAAAACCCGTTGTTAGCCTTGGTTGCTTCTTGAAGAATGAAGAGACGCAAGAAGTTTTGCGCGTACCGGAGAAATGTCTTAGAGAGATGTTTCCCATCGCCTTTGTTACAGCGAGGACAGTTGCTTGATTGTGAGAGGTATAGTAAACTCGAAGGTAGCTCGTGCTCTCCAGCTGAGAGCTCGGGTTTTCAGCGGGAACTCCAACTCTAAAGTGAAAATTAGCATCATGCCAAGGCCGACTGGGAAGAAGAGGAGTTGCTCAGTTTCCCACCTTTGGAATTCCAAGGTTTCTAGATCTTTCATGGCTTCTGCCGGAATTAGATAACGGAGTTGTTTATCGATAAGGTCCCATTTCTTGGCAGTGGCATATCCAGTTGCGTTGAGCAGAAGCTGGGCCTCATATCCTCCTTGATAAAAGACAGCACACTTGGTGGTTGATGGTGGCGGGGCTCCTCGAACGCCTGATACGCGCACACTGTAGTTATCGACTGTCAGTTCAAGTATTCTACAATGAAAAAGTCATTGCGATGCCCGCTAACAGCTCACATACCGATCCTTTCCGGAGTCTTCAACGACTAGGTCGGCAATATGGGCGCTGACATCACTGTTGAGGTAGGTGGTTCCTTGCAGCTCGTATAAGAACTGACAGCGGACGGTATCCACGTTGATAAAGCCGTCTGTTCCGGGATGTTTCGTAATAATGCATGTGCCATCGGTGGCAATTTCGGCGATGGGGAAGCCTGGGGCCACCAGGCTGTCCAGGTCATACTTATCGAAACCAGCAAAGTTGCCACCAGTTACGTACGCCGAGCACTCAATAAGATGACCTGCGATCAGAGATCCTGCTATCTGATCGTAATCAGTCTCGGCCCAATCATGCCAGAACCAAGCAGCGGCAATCACGGGGCTGGCATCTGCCACTCGTCCACAGATGATAATATCAGCGCCACGTCGAAGACCATCGACAATTCCACGAGCTCCAAGATACGCATGCGCAGAGACCATGGGAACCGGAGTGCCGTCATTGTGAAGGAAGGCATAAGTGAGCTCATCTGGGACGGTGGAGGGGTTGCGTGAGTCCAGATGAAGCAGTTCGTGCTTTGTGGTTGGCATATTGGGACCGAGAGAGTGATACAAATCGTCGCCTGAGAGATAGGCGACGCGCAGATTGAGCCTCTTCTCAAAAGCCTAGTCATCCCAAATTTCGGTGAGTGAAACTACTGGCCAGACGTTGACCGGGTGAGAACCGTTCACTTACCAGCGCCTCTACTTTCAATGCAAGGGCCTCGGGATCCAAAGCGCCACCGTTAATCACCACCCGGATGCCTTTTTGGGCAATTATATCGATCGTCTGTTGAATGCCCTCCCATGCGGATGGTTCATAGCCCGGATGGTGTCCAATCCTCCAAGCCTGTGCGTTGTTGGCCAAATTGACCTCTGAATCCATTCTTTCAGCTTTCTTGCCGATAGATTATTGGAAAGAAGTGGCTTGGAATGGACGTACCTGCAAGATAATCACCGGTGATGAAGTCGACATCGCCCAACGTCGCCTGGCGGTACATCTCGCGAGGGGGATCACCTGTCATGCAAGAGTTAGAAACCGAGGAAACTCAACTTGAGCATGTAGATATACCGTGATAGCCGGAGCAGTTGGCTACTCGTACAGGTCGTGCTTCAATAGAACGCGGCATTTTGACGGCGGGGAATCCCAATCTGGTCTGCGTCAGTATAGAACTACCCGAAATGAGTATAGGATTGCATACCTTTGTGGTTTAAAATAGGCAAATAGGCCAGAGAGTTGAACCAAAAGGAGGTTCGCCAGGCGATATATGTCTCGGGCTGTTCTTATGTGCTTAAGTTCCAAAGTTCCAATCAGGAAGAGGTTTGGGTAGAGCCCCACGGAATTCCGTGGCCCGTGGACCTCCGCCCATTTTCCACAGCGGGGTCGTGGAACGCTAATACGCCTCTCCACTCGGAACTCGGCTAGGGCTGGTGTGGAAGTTAATGATCCAACTCCGTGAAGAAAGGGGGAAACGTTGATGTACTCCAATAAACTAGAAGCCTGTGATTCAAAGGTACCAACTAAGATCGGGTTTAAAATGATGTTACTCGGGACAAGCGAAAATACGACATACCCTCTGGCGGGTAGATTGGGGGGTATTTGCTCTATTGTTAGAAGCGATAGACTAAATCTTTTGGCAGATCCAACTATGAGACCGAGGTGAAAAAAAAAAAAGAAGGCTCGTTTCAAAGTTTGGCTGGTGCAGGGGAGTTCGGCAATTCTTCCCGTGGCCCGCGGAACAAGTACCCCACGGCCCCTCATTTTGCCAATATATTCGGTTAACTTTCTCCTTCGGCGTCTTCTATGCCATCTTTGTTTTTTTGTTTTTTTCTTTTCTCTCGGCCGTCAGGATCTGATCAACACCCATCAGTCCCGTCCCGCCTACTATTTTGGTTTCCCACGAAACAATTTCCGGCACGGATGTGTACGGCCCGGGCACATTTATTGACAAGAAGATCCTCCCCGTGCCCGAAGATGCCAAACGGGTATTTGAACTCCTCGCTTCACAAACACCTGGCTTCACCAAAAACAAGGCTGCATGGGATACAGTCCATTTTGAGGGGCTAACCAAGCCCATGATCCCGGGGCCCATCAAGTTCTCCGTTACGGCATCAGCTCTCCATGCTATGGCAGGCCTGGTTGCCAACGAGTTGCTGGAACTTCGTGATGGAAAGGCTGTCACAGACAGCAAAGTCACGGTTGACACTGATCACGCTGGGCTTTGGCTTGGCTCGGTGTTCATCACTTACATCGATGGCTTGGATATGTCGGCCTTGATGCAATCGGGGAAAATGGGCTCCTTGTTCCCGCGGAACTATGAGCGCGGCTTTGGTCAGGGCATTGCGGGTCGAGCCACAGCGATCAATCAGACAAAGGACCCTAAAGTCTGGTATCAGTTGCATGGTTCTTTGGACGCGGAGAAAACCCTCGAATCTATGGGGATTGACTCCAGCGTGAAGTTTGACAAGCCCCAGGAATACTATGACTACATTCAGAAGCATGTTATTCAGTGGAGTCCGGACGAGCTTGAGATCCACAACGTGCGCCACGGTTTATGTGGAAGTATTTGCTACTCGCCCGAAGGTTGGAGAAAGACGGAAATGGGAAAGCGACTGAACAGCCACCCCTTGGTCAATGTCGCCGAGCAAACGTACGCCAAGTCCACGCCGCCGATCCCTCTACTCAAGGATCTCCCTGATCGTCGGCCGCTTGCTGGCATCAAGGTCCTGGAGATGGTTTGAATTATTGCCGGTCCCCAAATCGGCGTTACGCTGGCCTCCTATGGAGCCGACGTCGTTCGAGTGAATTGCAGTAGACTGGTCGATCTTAATGTAAGTTGCACCTCATGTTCCACTATAAGATTAGAACATATGACTGACAATATACCCATTATGCAGGTCTTGCAACTTGTGTTGAATGCGGGGAAACGGACCATCGACCTTGACATTACCAAATCGGAAGACATGACTCGTCTCCACGAGCTCCTTGCCGACGCCGATATCTTCATTCAAGGATTCCGGATGGAATCGTTGAAGAGGAAGGGTCTCGGCCTTCATGATCTTCTGGAAATGGCCACAAAGAGAGACAAGGGAATTATTTATGTTGACGAAAACACCTATGGGCCAGATGGTCCGTTCCATGCGCGCCCTGGCTGGCAGCAGATTGGAGATGCTGCATCTGGCAGCTCATATATCATGGGTCGGTCCCAGGGACATGAAGAAGGAAAGAGCGTGTTGCCGCCTCTTCCGGCATCTGACATGGTTACTGGCATTGTGGGCGCGTTGGCAGCCATGATGGCGGTCCGCGACCGCGCGATCAAGGGTGGCTCATACCACGTCACAAGCTCTCTGGTTGCTGCAGATGCTACTGCACTGGAACAGGAGGTTGGATTGTACCCGCTCGATGTTGTTGCAGAGACTGCTAAGCGGCTTTCTTTCCCTGACACTACTCCGGACCAGTATGTCTCAGACATTCTGGCCTCGGTTGTGAACGGGTGGAAGAAGGCTCTTCCTGGTTATTTGTATGAAGACTCGAAGTTAATGACCACCTTTGAAGGAGGATTTTGGGGACGCCAGACAATTCTGAAGCCTGTGGCGCGACTTGACGATGATGAATCAACACCGAGGTGGACCTCTCCGCCTGTGCCACACTGCTACCATGACCGCTCAACAACTTGGCTATGAAAATACACACCTCGGGATATGATGTGTCTTGCCTAGAGCAATATATTATATGGTTGTATATATTTCAGTGAGAGACTAATGTGCCATAAAAATGTTGAAGATTTAAGCCCTCATCCCAAGGCGCCAACACTGAGGATAGTTACGTGCTTAGTAATAACAAACAATGGTCTAACGTAGTTCCCGGCCAAGCGAGACACCCGGCCATACGAGACACCCCATCTAAAATCGCGTCTTCCTACCCAGCTACCTTCTTCCACTAACTACCATGCCACCAATTCGCTCTGAATCTCAGCAGAAATTGGCCAATCAGGAGGGCAAGATCTTATTAGCCCTTGACGATATTAAACATGGCCGTATCAAATCTATCCGCGCAGCAGCGAAGCTATACGAAATACCGCCTGCTACACTACACCACCGCGCCCAGGGGCGCCTTTCACGCGTCGATCAACGCGTACCTACCCATAAATTGACCCAATACGAAGAGGATTCGCTTACTGAGTGGATTATCTCTATGGATTCGCGTGGAGCAGCGCCTAGGCCATCTACTGTGCGAGATATGGCCAATATCCTACTAGCTACGCGCGGTAGCCACCCTCCACCTACAGTTGGCAAAAATTGGCTATCAACCTTTATCAAACGTCGCGAAGAGCTTCGCTCGCGCTTCTCGAAGCGTTACGACTACCAGCGCGCCCTAAACGAAGACCCTAAATCCCTACGTGCGTGGTTTGCGACCGTGCAGCGGGTTATCGATGAGAACGGTATACAATCGGAGGATATCTACAACTTTGATGAGACAGGATTTGCAATAGGTCTTATATCTACGCAGAAGGTAGTTACGCGATCAGATTACTACGGTCGGCGTCATCTTCTACAGCCAGGAAATCGCGAATGGGTTACTGCTATCGAAGCAATCTGCGCAGATGGCTATTCGCTACCGCCCTGTATTATCTTTAAAGGCAAAGTTGCTATCACAGGGTGGTTTGACGACCTACCAAAAGATTGGCGATTAGAGGTATCGAATAATGGCTGGACTACCGATGAGATAGGCCTACGCTGGCTAGAAAGAATCTTTATCCCCTTTACCAATTCGCCCGTACGCGGGCGATTTCGGTTACTGATTCTTGACGGCTATGGTAGCCACCTTACGCCTCATTTCGACCGAATCTGCGCAGATAACGATATTATCCCTCTTTGTATGCCTTCGCACTCATCGCATCTACTACAGCCGCTTAATATAGGATGCTTTGCACCGCTTAAGCGTGCGTACGGTCGCTTTGTAAGCGATCTTGCGCGTAGGGGTTATAACTATATCGAGAAGATTGATTTCTTGATTGACTACCAACGCGCGCGGCTAGAAGCCTTTCAACTAGCTACTATCCAAAATAGCTTCGCAGCTAGTGGCCTAGTGCCAGTTAATGCAGAGAGAGTGCTTAATAAGCTTAATATCTCTCTACGAACACCATCACCACTAAGCAGCCGGCCAAGCAGCAGATCTAGCCAGTTCACGCCAAAGACGCCTAGAACCGTCGTTCAGCTACTAAAGCAAGCTTCGATGCTTAAGGATCTGCTAAAGCAGCGGTCAAATAGCCCTCCAAGCCCATCAAAAACCATACTAGATCAGATTATCAAGGGCCACTGCATATCGCTACACAACACCGCATTACTAGCGCAGGATAATACGAATTTACGCGCTGCAAACGAGAGGATCAAGAAGAAGCGTAATCGATCGACTAGGCAGATACCCTGCGAAGAGGGTTTAACCGTCGAGGAGGGCCTACAGCTAATTACGCAGCTAGGTTTGCCAGCAGAAGCACCTGCGGTAGAATCGCATGTGCAGGGCGAATTGCCTATTCAGGCAGATCAGCCAGCTAAAAGGGCTCCGCCAAGGTGTAGTGGATGCAGGGAGATTGGGCACAGGATCAATACATGTAAGAATCGCTATATTTAAATTAATTAATGCGTTTTCGTTGAGATAGTCGATTTTGAAATTTCGTAATGGGGTTTGGTGTCTCGTATGGCCGGGTGTCTCGCTTGGCCGGGAACTACGTTAGTTCCAGGCAGCTTTTCTCTATTCCGCTTAGCTCCTCTGGCGAAGGAACGGTATTTTTGTCATTTCGTAAAGGATACTTCTCTCAAGGTGCGATTTTGTAGCAATTCCTTTGTTAGCTGCCATTGATCTTCATAAGCTAGTTGCACCCCCGTTTAGCATCAATTGTTCCTGGCCCCGGCGCTACCATCCTCCGATCGATTTCATTGACGCTTCTGCTTCACATCGTTCATGTCAGCAGTGGCAGTACCCTGCTCTAAATTCCGCCGTCTCACACAGTCTTCCACCGCTTTCTTTAAACCTTCCTCGAGCCCAACCAACGGCTTATACCCGAGCCTTTTCTTCGCCTTATCGATACAGAAGTATCTCGTCATGCAGCTGAGGCGGACCTTGGTCCTTGTCAGAGATGGTTCGCCTAGCCCAAATGCCCAGAACACCCACTCCAATAGGCCCGCCAATAGTAATGCCCACGGTCGAGTAATCACCCACACCTGATCCGGCCGCGTTGTATCCCCGGCGAGACCCCAAACCAGCCGCGTGAAGTCCCAGAAGTATCGAGGCTCACCGTTTGTGATGAAAAAAGCTTCTCCATCCACTCTAGCGTCATCTCCAGGCGTGTCATTCTGGAATCTGGCTAGCGCGACAGCAGCAAGGTAATGCGCGTGCGCCACGTTCGTGTTCTCGGTAAAGTCGAATAGGTTTCTATTATTACCAATTTGTACCTTTGTCTGGCCTCGGAAATAAACGTTCAACATCCCAGGTAACAAGACGAGGTCGCCGACCCCGAAGATACCAGAGGGGCGAATGGCGCAGGTCAGGAAGTGCTGATGGCCGTCTTTCGCTCGGTAGTTTTGTGTCAGGACATATAACTCCGCAAGGGCTTTAGTATTCACGTAAAATTCCGGTTGTTTGTCACCGACTATCACAGGAAATGTCTCGTCGGCATTCTTCAGATCGGCCGTGCCGTCGGTGACGACGCTCGCGGAGCTCGTGTACACGAAGAATCGGGTTCCGGATTCTTTTGCGATTTGGATCAAGGTCTTGGTGCCCTCCACGTTAACTTTGTACAAGATATGGTTTGGGGCATCGAATTTGGGACTGGCGGCGTGGATCACTACGTCGGGTTTCACGTCTTGGAAGATTCGGCGGATTGCATCAGAGTTGGTAAGGTCTCCAATGTGATACGTAACACCCTCGAGATGACGAAGAGGCTGTCGAAGATCAATAGAGTGAAGATGTTCGCAGCCACGCTGCGAGAAGAGCTGGAGGATCTGGCTAGCGAGACCGCCGCTGCCACCGGTGACGAGGACCGTGCCTAGGCTCAGGGAATTTTCCTCGGGCATGGCCATTGTTGTTGTCGGCTTGTATGTTAGAATAAGAGTATTAGTAGATTGTAGACAAAGTCAGGGAGAATTATGGAGAGGTGGTGTAAGAGCCTCGAGCACACGACAGAATTGTGCAAAAAAAGGAGTAAGCACTAATTACCGGAGCAAACTGTGCCGACGCAAGCCGGGCGCACAGCCTAACTGATGTACAGGGATCATTCCAAAACGCCATACCTAGTGGCGGGACGCCTGAAGATGGCAAACTGAGGCATTGAAAACTGCGCGTGACTTCGGCCTGTTTCATAGTCCATCTCCGACCTACGGTGCCTCAAATTTATGACCCGGCCAGAAACAACTCTAATAGGTTAAATTGTGGTCTTATTGGATATTTTCCTGCAATATTTTTGCAGCGTCTAGTCCAAAGTTATCTCAATACTCGCCCAAGCAAAGAAAGGCCTTGAATGGCAGTGGAAGTTTAGTCTAGGTATACCCTCTTGTTTGCAACACCCAACGAATTATACACGCTTTTTCAAAACCGTAGACAGGAACACCAAAGTCCACTCAAGCGCCGAGGTAGCACATGTTTCTAGTCCATACTCCTGACTTCTCGGTGGTATCGTATGATCCTCTCCCCTGGACAACATTCCACGCGTCGAATAAGCGCATATGAAATCGCTAACAATTTAGGCCACTCCGACGTATTCCACTGAGTAGCAGACTAGATTTAATTGTATTAAGGGTTTCAAGGCAAGCTTGAGGTCTACCCGGGAGGATCTCACGGAATTCACAACATCAATATTGACGACGTGAACAAGGATTCGCTTAATTTTCCCAAGTCATAGCCTGTTGTGCTGCCAATCTTGGAAGAATGTGTCAAGTACTCTCTGATTCTATATCACAACGAACACGGAATTTGATGCGTTATTTTCTGAACTCAAGTGTAGAATGTGTTGACCAGAACTTTAATTATTATTATTTTATATCCATGCAAGTGACGACTGTCTGGTACTATCATGGGATAGCAATGAAAAGAAAAGGTGACATAGAAAGAGTAAATACGGCTTCAGGAAACAAAGCAGAAGCATTTATATATCAATCCGAGCCCAATTAGATTAGATTAAACTGGTGTTTGCGTACCAGATGAGCCAGACGAGGCCGCCTGCTGGTAGTCGCGCATTGCCCTCCACGCCCTCGGAGGCATAGGTTGGTACACTGAATTCGGCGTTGATGGTGGCGAGGATAGGTACGAGACGCGGTGTTGGGCAGTCTTCTCCTTGAGAAGAAGACCACTAGAGTTGTTCGAGGACACTGCGCTGCGGGAGATGTAACTGTGGCTCTGGTACTTGCCAAGCCATAGCATTTGCTCGTGCTCACGGAGGTACCGGTGGCTCGAGAAAGAATTGAGAACATTATCGCGACCCTTCATTCCGAAGCGTTCGCGTTGTTTTTGCTTCGCATACATGCGCTTAGAAATGGCGCTGATCTGTTCGGGTGTTGGGTGGAACTCCAGTTTGGGCACCACGTCTCCTTCCTTGTCTTCCGCGAAGGGACTCCATTGTTCTAGGAGCGCAAGGACGCGAATCTGTGCTCGGGCAAGAGAGTCATAGTCATTAGGGGCGACGACCTCGCTGAAGCGCTTGCCTGTTGCTCTGTCTGTCACGACACAGAACGATGCACCAACGTCTGTGCAGACCACGGGGACACCAGTCAATGCCGCTTCACCCATGGCCAAAGGAAGTCCTTCTGAAATTGACGAGTTCATGAACAGCCACTGGGCCAGTTAGCACGGTACTCAACGTGGTATAAAGGAAGAACTTACGGCGTCCTGAAGCACAACAGATGGGTTACCCAGACCCTTGAGAATGACGTGCTCGCGTAAGCCCTTGGACGCGATAACTTCCTGACACTGAGACGCGATAGCAGGCGCACGTTCCATATCTCCGTAGATGTGGAGACGATAGTCGTTGAGGCCCCATTTATTGACGATGAGGTCTGTTGCCATGATAGCGGTCTTGATATCCTTGACGTAACTGCAAAAGTTAGCTAAAGTGTTAGGCGCGAAGGCTAGATTTACTTACCGAACATGAGACAGCATCACCACGGTGGGTGTCTTAGTTTTGATCTCCTCGATAGGTTTGTACTTCTCCATGTTCGTGATACCGTTGACAACAGGATCGATCTTGCGAGCGAAATTACGACGATGCTCGAGGGCACCCTCGGCTGTTCCCAGTTCAATTTCCCAGCCAGGATTGAAATACTCGGCACAAGGAAGAACCACATCAGCGTGATGCTCGATGAGCACGCACGAAAGATGACCAAGAGAGAGAAGAGTGCTGTTTACAAAAATTGAATCAAAAGACACAGCAGCCGACATGAAGGTAGTCATCTCCCGGAAACTGACGCAATGGTCCCAGACGTGCAGAGCGCACTTACGCTTGGCTTTGCAGAGGACACCATATGTTGCGCCCGTGAAGTGGTGAGAGACTTGGAAGACATCCGGAATTCTCTCTGGAACGGGGATGGAGAAGATGAAAAGGTCTAAAAAGTTAGTATGAAATCTGCTGAGAAGAAAATGCTCAACTTACATCGATGCCACATGTCAAGGGCGTTATCGAGCTGATGAAGCGACGGAAATTCGCAATCCCACCACTGTGAAACTGGAATCGCGTCTTCAACATCCTCAGACAGCCACAACTGGCGCCATGCATTCTTCACAGTGTCGCTCATCCACACATCATTCCAGCTACGGCCAGACTCAAAATAAGTGTTCAGGTCAACAAGAGCATTGGTTGCCTCTTCAATGTGCTGGCGGGTCAGGTTGGTTGTGCGAGCGCAGCGAACTAGCTTTGTGAGAATGGGGAGGAAGTGCTTCTCGATGTCTTCAGTCCTCGTATCCTGTGATTTCTCAACAACGGCAGAGTCAAGGCAGTTCTGGAAAACCCCGTGAGTCGGATTAAGGAAATCGAGACCCCATTGGGGAAGGACAGTCAAAGACTGAACATTCCTCTCGATCTGGAACTTGGGGACTCCGTAGTCATTGGCATTTTCGGAGATGATGTGCCATCTGGTATTCTTGAGGTCGTTAATCATGTCACGACGACATGCAGACACACCACCAGGCTCGTTGGGCCAAGTAGCGGTATCCATTGCGAGGATGTGGAGCTGAGTGTCAGTGTCTTGGAGCTGGGTTGAGAGTGTTCGAGTATTGATTCTGGCATCGCCACCCAGACCAAAGCTGTACAGATCACTGATCTTAAAGGCCATAGGGGTCCATGAGCTAATATCTGGATCGATGTCAACTCGAGCCAGAATTGTATCTACTTGCGCGTCGAGGTAGTCTCCAGCTGCTTCCAGGCGGCCGAAGTCACGCTTTCTCCAGTAAGGACGAAGAACACGATCAGATCTCAGAAGACGTTCATCAAGCCAGGTGGTGGTGACCGCATCAAAATTCTTGCTTCCCTTCCAGGATTTCCACAGATGCGTACGGGCGCGCGCTGTGGGGATTGGACGTAACTTCACGTTCATTCGCAACAGGCGAGTTATGAAGTTTGTCTTGACCGACTTGAAAGAGAACAGCGGGTTGTCATACAAGAAACTGCTCTTCGTTGGCTTGTCCAGGACATGGAACCAATCTTCGCGAATCATGACGGGAGTAACAACCACTTTACCATTGAGAGTGGTCGCAATGACAGGGTGAAACTTGTGATCATACGTCCATTTGGCATAGTATGAATCGGAGCCCTGGATGAAGGTTGCTTCACTCACCCTAGGGTAAGGGATCCAGGTGTTTTGGCGCTCAGGTCGACGTGGGGGTGGCATGCACCAGGAGACCTTGATCTGAATGTGAGGAAAGGTGTATTCGGCGTGCAGAAGCTCGTCATCAAACTTGGCGTTCTTTCGGAAGAAGTATTTGACCTGGACGGGATTGACACCCTGCATGGCAGATCCAGAGACTATATACCCGCGATCATCGTACTGGACGCATTGACCTTCGAGATCTCCTGAGGTGCACTGCCGCTGGATCGGGAGTTTCCTTCTCGCCTTGTTTCTATTCTCAGGATACTCGTATGTAAAGTCATTGATGACCTTGCCGCTCTTGTACTCCTCGCGTCGGCGAAGGACAAGCTTGCTTGAGTACGTGTTGATGGCGAGCAGCTGCGACTGGTCCTCCGGCTCCTGGTCATGATCACCAGAGTACTGGTAGAGACGTGCGCTCCCGTCAGGCAGAGGCCGGTAGAAGCAGGTAACAAGTCCGTTGAGACTTTCAATGACGATGCGATCCTTTTCAATGATGGTCTTCCAGCCGCGCGTAGCCTTGTACAGGTTGGAGACATTCTCGCGCCCGTGAAGCTGAATATGGTCAGTGTGACTCTGGGAAAATTATTCGGGTAGGTCTTACCAAGACAAGAGGGACAAGGATCCGCTGAAGGAGTTTGCAAAATGACCAGATACTATTGAGCAGCATCTTCGCTGGCTCGGCGAAGATCAAGGGCTGTCCTCGAATCATGTAGTTAAGCTCACGCTGGTACTCAGCATCAGCAACAAGAGCGATGACAACGAACTTGACTATTGTCTTGATTTTGTGCCGCAGTCGAGTAAAGGAGAGCGTGCACGCCTCGATGAAGGTCAAATTTGCGCCGATGGGTGACGGTAGAAGTGCGTGGAAAGGCTTTTCAAAGGTCGAATCAATGAGAACCGGATATTCAGGATAAATATCTTGATCCATCCAGTGCTGAGCGAAAAAGTTGATAGAAATGGACATGCCAACACCAAGGTTGTAGCGTGCGACATATACGCCAACTTCTTGAAGATCCACAGCACCAGCCCGGGTTTGGAGCCATTCAAGCTCGCTGGATGTGACTTGGGTAGGCTTCCCTGCGCAGCGACGAATGAGGAATGATCGGGCACTCTCTGGGAGATTGTCCCATTCCAGATCAGGTTCAATACCGAGCATAAGATGGCGAAGGAAGGTTCTCCTGCCATACTTAGCAACGCGTGCACACTCAACCGCGTTCCGCTCGATCTGATACTTGACACCTTCAGGAACGGAAAGGTCAAAATCATCACGATGTTCGACAAGCAGGAGCTCAGCCATTGTGGAGTGATCATGAGAAAGACCTAGTTTGGCTTCTGCAGTGGCCTGGACGACAGCTTCTGCAATCGCCTTGCAGTTGCGACGGATATTAGCCGTCCAGTCCATTCCAACGAATCCAGGGCCAATAATGACGAAGACGTGAAGCTCATCACCAGCTAGACGAGTAACCACTCTCACTCTCTGCTCCTTCTGGAGGTGCTCGGCAGAAACAAACTCGACCACCGTTTTGCCAGTTTCCCAGAGACGTATTGTTTCACTGAGCAGATGCTCTCCATTAGGAAACGCAGCCTGTATCATTATCGACTTCTTCAGACCCCAGCTAGATAAGATGTTCTCTTTAACTTCAGATCCAGGGTGCGTGAAAGGATCAAGGCAATAGCGGAGATCATTGGGAAGCGCATTAATGCTGTCAAAAGTTTGCGCCATAGTGGTCTGGGAAAGATCCAAGTAGGGTCCCAGAGAGCTACATGTGTAAGTTTGCCGAGCAGACACAGAGTCAGTGGGCACCTTGACCTGGGGCTTAGACTTGAAGGTGGGCAGGCCAATGTCCGACAAGAACATCGAGTAAATAGCAGCAGTCCATGTGCCGGTGCCCAATCCAACGACACTGCTCCAAGTGAAGGCAGGAATGACAGTGTGCAGAATGATGCCAGTGAGGAATCCAAGGATGGAGCCCAGGGTGAGACATCTGGCTGCTTTTGATCCCGTGAAAATTCGGTTGTACTGGTAGAAGAGCAGTCCACTGTAGGCACCGGTGTATGCAAGGTACATAATGGTAGCACGTTCCCTGGACTCAAAAGCCCACATGAGGGTCAAAGTAATAGATGCACCCCAGACATGAAGGAAGAAAAACTTGGTGAGGTTTTTCCAATATAGCGCTTTCCTCTCTTTTGAGTTATGAGATAACACATCACGCAGGCTGCTCAATGAAGAGATTGCCTCAGTGGTTCTTTGAGTGACAGAGGTCCAGAGTGGCTGGGAAACTGCGTCGAGGATCACAGCGCCGGAAAGATAGTATCCCAAGCCAAAACCAACGGCAAGGCGGAATTCAGAGCTTGATGCAGTTGACAGGCCGACTAGCGCTTCTCCGGTGAGCAGTGCAGTCCATTTATCCATCAGGGCAATGATAAAGTAGAGAATACCGCACCACACGTCGGCACCAGTATGACGCCAATGAAGAAAGGCATTATGCATCTTGAGACCCTTCTGCATGTCTCCCATCGTGTCTATCGCAGCTTTGAGCTGCAGATTCCACGTAGGGCTGTAAGGAAGAGGGATTTTGGTACGTGAGTACCGACAGAACCAAACAAGAAGAAACATTGTGGCCGAGTGCCCCTCTGCGAGTCTCCGAACAAGGGGATCATTTGTTGCTTTCGTCCAAAATGAGCGCTTGCGTTCCTTATTCACCGTTTCCACCAGAGTAGTGCGAGGAAGCGAAGAAGATCGGAGCTCTTGAAGCAATTCGGGGCTTGAAGATTTCTGGCTTTCAACATACCAACTGACCACCTCGGCGTCCGTAATGGAAGGGATGTTCCGGTACCAAGTGTTCCACTTCGAGATGACACGTCGTGCCCCGAGAAGGAGATTTGTCAGGAATATACCAATGACACAGAGATAGATCACGGAGTCATGGCCGACCCACAACGTAACGAGCGGGGAAATGAACAGAATTGGAATACAGGTGATGATGATCGTTCTTCCGGATTGGAATTGGAATCCAGGAAGCTGATAAATGGCCAGCACCGAGAGAAGCATGAGATATGAGGACAGGAAAAAGAAGTACAGGAAGAACAGAATACCAGCCGCAAAGCCGTGGATGCAGCCGATGACGATCATCGCAATGATTCCACCCACTAAGGAGACGGCAAGTCCGGCAATAAAACGGGTCATGATGAACATGCTCATAGCAGGAAATGCCATGGCATAGAGGTAGTAGCTTCCTCCGGAACTGATCCAGCTGCCAAATCCACCACAGATCAGGAGGGCTACCATGAGTCCGGTCGTAGCCAGTGTCTTATCAATGTCACTCATGAAGGTAGTGAGATACAGGCCACGCCCAACCGTCGTCAACATAGTGATATCAATGAGAGCAGGTAAAGCGAAAATTCCCAGGAAGGTAACCCGGTAGTAGAAGGGTATCTCGATAGAGTCGCCTTTGGGGTCCAAATCAATGTCCATTGATGCGTAAGCTGTCGGCAGCTCAGTGAATACTTCACCGCGCCGTGTGGGCTGATTGACTTTGTAATACTCGCGATAACGATGTGCGATAATTTTGCCCAGCATCATTGGGGTCATATCAAAGAACATATCGCAACGCGCACCTAACGCGAACATCTCCGCGAAGCAGGAGGCTTGAACATCGTGGTTGTTGGGAAGAGGATTCCTGTCGAGAACTTCCAAATAAATCTCATTGAGAGCAACTCGACGGAAGGCACAGAACACCGCCAAAGCAAATATATCAGTTCCAGCGTCAATGCTGTTCTTCTGGATGATTCTCTGGATGACCGCGGCAATTTGCTCAACTGTATTTGAGTCCCGTGCCATCAGAACCTCAGGCAAGCGGGCATCAATTTCCAAGAAAAGGGCTTTGGCAGCGGAAGCTTCAGGGGCCCCAGCAACCCTGTTGACGGTACCAAGCCAAGCGAGAATCAACCAGGTCCTCACCGGATATCTTGTTGCTCAAGTACTCGCTGGAACTGAGGGTACGAAGCTGAGTGAGAGAGGGAACTTTCATGAGCTGGTGCTCAGTACAAGCGCGAACTTTGGCCACGAAGTCGGAGGATTCCAGGCAATGTGCAAGGGACAAGCGTCTGTACCAAAGCAGCGCCTCAGTAGGAGTAAGCTGCTGGATATCGTTGACGATGCGGGGAGGCAGATCCTTCCACTGCTCGGAGAGAGTTCCTTCGGCAGTAGCTAGGGAAACCTCAGCCATGAAGCAGTCGAAGCGAGAGTATCCCCTGCTGGACATGTAGGTATGCAGGATTGCACCTGCTCGGCCCTCTTCACATTTGCCAGAGAGGTAAATATCGAGAGGTCCAAAGCCAGGGGTCCTGTCGTATATGCCCCAGACTTGGGTTTCCATGCGCGTGCGGAAGCCAGAGTGCAGTCCTGAGTAGATTCTAATGCAGTCGTTCTCGTTGCCTTCACAAGCGATAAGGATATCGTGCAGCTCTGCCGCCGCCTTCGATCCCTCTCCCTTTGAGTCTTGCAGAAGCTTGAGTTGACCAGCAATGCGGCGAAGGTCCGCTTGCTTGACAGGATCCAGCAAATTGAGATCGCGGACCTGCCGCTGGGCCTCGAGGAGATCTTTGATGTCTTTCGCAGTGAGGTCCAGTCCCATCTGAAAGCATCCTAGTCCCGTGTAGTCATCGCCATCTGGAGATGTCAAAAAGGGATTCCGCGCGACGGGTGCGTTTAGCGATGGCCACTTCAGCTCATCCAGCACGATCACTTGATCATCTGCTTCAGGCTTGGGAGCGGGAGGGAATAAGGCGAGTTTCCTCCGCAGGTTGGGGACGAAATACTCGAGAGAGTCAAATACGCTCTCATGGCCGGTGGATGAAAGAGCGATATTCTCGTTCTTCCTCCAAATGTCGTGTGTCTCCAGAGTTTGCTCGTCCTTCAACCACATCATGGCTCCGATAGGCTCGTGGATGACAGTCTTTTCCGATGCGATTTTCGCGTCTCTCAAGGCAGCCCTGGGAGCAATCCAACTCATGGCACTGTTGTAATTGCACCACTTGTAGCTACGATGAAGGACCTCGTGGCTGACCTCTACACCATCGTCCACGGTGTCCCACATCGCGAGGGTGGAGGAGCCAATGGGTTTCTGTGCCGCGACAACCCTCATGACCGTCCGCATCTTCTCCATCTGGAAGTAGTTGCGTCTATCGCCATTAGGAAGAATGGTTCCGTTGCGGTAAATAACACCCCTGACTTTTAACCAGTTGATTTCGCGACACTGGCGCTCACTGAGGTAGTCTGGGGGTCCGAGCTCCATCCAGACATCGAGACCGAGACCGTTGATAAATGTCACAACCTCGTTCAAGACAACCGGCTGGAGATGCTCGTGGCAGTCCGCCAGGACTACACCAGTGAAAGGGGACCGGGAATCCTGGGGGCGCTTTAGGTAGCTCCCAATCGTCGCAGTGAGGACATTGATAGCACGAATAACTTCGTCGCGTTGTGAGCCACTATCAGTTGAAACCAGTTTGCGGATATCAAGCCTTCCGAGGGTGTGTGAGGCTGTTTCCTCCCGAGAGAGTGCATTGAGTACACCGTCCTGCAGAGGATCTAGTACAACGACATCCCATTGCGATAGGATGCGGATTTCGTCTGCCGTTGGAGAGTCGGAGAAGCTTCCGAGGTAAACACCGAAAGCCTTCGGTTGCTTCTCGTCCGAGCGAGATGTGTAAAACTTGGGCGTTTCCGTCTTTAATTTCTCCAGGTGCCGTGCGACAGCAGAAGGTATCTTTGAAAGCTCATGTCGTGTCTAAAATGGTCAATTCCTGATTAATGTAGGGAGGCACCAACACTTACTCGCCAATGCCGATATAGTGTTCGGCTGATAAGAAAAAGGATGTAACAAGATCCAACAACAATCGCGGTTAATAGACAACCCGCCAGCGTCTAATTCAAGTTAGATAACTGAAGAACTTCAACTTCAAGATGTGTATCAATTGATAGACTCACTCTATCCCACCAGGTAGAAGTCATGAGACTCCATCCTGACACGTCCAACCCCAGGTACTCCGCACCCATGGTGACGGGCAGAGTAAAAATTAAAAAGATAACGAGCGAATAAAAAAAAAATGGGGTTTGGGGAATCAGGAACCCGTAGCGATGGAAAGTCTTGTCAGAGATAATGGATTATGTATAAAGTCCCAACCCTGGGAACCAACAAACACTGCTGCCACCTGGTTGATTCGCCCGCGTAGATTCGCCAAAGTAGGAATCTCAGCCTCACGGAAAAAGCCGAATATATACGAACAAGTCATCAATTGAATACAGCCACATGGATTTTATGGGTCACAAAGGGTTGGGAACCCCCAATGGGCCTGGGCTTCGGCCAATCCGTTCATGTCTCATCGCCTAATCTCGCAGCCAGCTGGCAGCACGCCAGAAATAGATTATTATTTTTTTACGAGAAACTTTATGCAAGATTCAGCTGTTCCGGCGGCTTCGGCTAGTCTTGTTAGACATTGAATACGTTCTAGGTACGTGCTGACCGACAAGTGGGACGGTTCTGTGGCGGGACAGGGGCTTTGACCGAAGAGAAAGTCGCCTGGAAACCGATTTGTCTTGTCTCATGCGTACAAGATGCTCCGAAACTTTGGGAGAAAGACAACGAAAGCCGGACCTGTTCAGATAATCTTGGCGGCTTTGTTCTAGCCTGGTCTGAGGGACCGTGTATATTCTGTAATTCTCTACTCGAAACGGTTGAATCCGCCTCCCTCCTCGACTAGTGTGCTATAATACCCATTCATTTCTACAGCCCTGTTTCCTCCTTTGAGTGATTATTCGTCTGTCTCTTATTTTTATTCCCCCTTGGGTTCTCTCAAATGGAGTCTCTTGAGCAGAGGAAAGAGGGTTCCACCCCAGCTTTGCGCCGAAAGTGCAACCTGCGCCGGCCTTGGGTCATCGCAGTGTTGGTTGCCGCAATCATAGTAGTTATTCTCGTGATAGTGATTCCATTGGCCATCATTCTACCCAAGAAAAACGCGCACAAGGGCAGGCCTTCGACAGTGCTGTTTCCAGCATATATCTATCCGAAGACCAACAGCACTTGGGATCCGTTGTACGAGGCGTAAGTCAAGTCTTTCTATGGCCATCTCTTTGAATTTCATATTCCAAAATCTACAATGAAACATTGACCTCACTGAAGCACCTACCACTTTTGGTTCCATCACTGACTCATTGACCAGCATTACCACGTTTCCTGAGCTCGAATTTGTGGTGATTGTGAACCCATCGAGTGGGCCTGGGTCCTCTCCATCTCCGAGCACGCAATACGCAGTCGCAGTGCAACGACTCAGTGCTTACTCTAATGTGCAAAAAGTGGGATATGTCCGCACCAACTACGCCAACAGAAACATATCCGCTGTACTTGCAGATGTGGAGACTTATTCCAACTGGACATCCCAGTCGACTAGTCTGGCGATGGACGGGATCTTTTTCGACGAGATACCGTATGATTACACGTCCGAAAAGGCCGAGTATTTGAGCCGTATCAATGATGCAGTAAAAGCTGCTACTGGTATCCAATCACACCGCATGGTGAGTGTTTGAGAGGTGGATCTGAGTGCAACAAGCCTCGCCCAATATCCACTCTAGACATGGGCCTCTCGATCTTGATGGCGTCAAGTGGAGCTGATTACTTTGCGCCTCTCGCTTGGGCGGCTTAGCATCTGTTCGTTACGCTGACAGTTCCGGCAGGTTATCCATAACCCGGGTACTATCCCAGATTCACGATTTGACATGAACACGACAGACGTCACAGTCGTCTTCGAGCAGTCGTACGACCTTTACGAAACTAAGATAAAGATTTTGGCTGAGACATTCGATGTTTCTGACCGCGACGCCAATGCGTACATGCTTCATTCTGTGCCTACAATGACAAACAGCAGCCTCAAAGGCTTGGTAGGTGACCTCAGCCAACGTGCGTCGTATCTCTACCTTACGACCCGAAGCACGGACATATACGAGGCGTTTGATACCCAGCTGGAGCAGTTCTGTAGTGTGGTTCCAACAGAACTTAACAAATGAAATTGGACCCGCTTGTGCATAGTTAGTACAGTTTGATGCGATGGGCTTACGAGATTTATTGGATATGTCAGATAGCAGCGAGTGAGACATTGCCGCGATACGAGGGTTCTAGACCGTTCGTGGCGTCTGTTGATGAAGCATGGCAATGCGCCGGCAGAAAGTAAGGCTGAGAGGCGCGGTTGCTGGGAGTAATCAATTATATGACTGGTCGAGCGCATAAGCGGCACGAATAATTTTCATCTTATCTTTCGATATTACCAGATACTTTAGCCTAGTTAAGCTTAGGCGTCGATTTCGGCTTAGTTAGCGGCTGTACTAAACTTTTGGGGTTAGCTTATTTGCGTTTTCCTTTGGCACCGGTCAGCACTAGTGCGCCAGGTACCCATATTATAAATAGTGCGCAAGATCGGGGCCACGTAAGAAAGATCGAGCTGCTCCCATTTCCCAGCACGGATTAAAGTGATTGGTTCTCTTCTGTTCAAACGAGAGAAGCTTTTTTCTTTTGTCTCCCCCAACCCAAAATGCTTCCGAAATCGGCCGTGGTAGTGCCTTTGTATATCTATCCCTTGACGCCTGATACCTGGGCCCCGCTCTACGCAGCGTAAGTCACTGACAAGACCGTCAAAGAAAACAAGGGGGTGAAAATAAGAAGTAATAATAATTTTAATGCACAGAATTGAGGCCAATCCCAACCTCAACTTCCTGGTCATTGTCAACCCCAACAGTGGCCCCGGCGACACACCGCTCCCCGATGCCAACTACTCCCGAGAAGTTCCCCGGTTGAACGCTTACGGCAACGTGTACACCGTGGGCTACATCAAAATCGACTACTGCAGGAAGCCCCACTCGGAATCCTTCGCGGAGGTCGCGCGGTACGCCGGTTGGTCGGAGCAATATGAGACGACACGTCTCGGGGTCCGTGGGATATTCGTGGACGAGACGCCCAATCACCACGACGCGGACCGAGCCGAGTATTTGTCGGCACTGACTCGGTTCATAAAGAGTACACCGGGTATTCTTACCGACCGTTTTGTACGCCTCTTACGTACTACACAACTGTCAGACTGATCACTAACCATATTTTCAGGTCGTTCACAATCCAGGAACACCGCCTGACGCCACAATGGTCGATGCTGCGGACTTAATATTTGTTTGCGAAGAGCCATATCCACGCTACCGATCAGAGGAGGTCCAACATCGGCTGCAGGAACTCCCATACGATCGAGCTCGCGCCGGCTTTATGATCAATGAGGTGCCCATAGACAACTTGCAGGAATTGGTGCATGAACTGCGCCATCGCTCGGCCTACTTCTTTGTAACCGAGATCGCTGGGGATTTCTACGAGCGCTTTGGTCCCCGCAGCTGGGGACAATTTATGCAGGCCTTGCAGTAACCACGCGCCCGGGGATAAATAATATTTCTGACAATAATACCATTCGTTTCATAGGAATGTACAAAGACTGGTACTCTATTCTCTATCATATTATTCTCATCTTTGAAGTACCACTTGAGTACATGTCAGAATACATACTACGGCGGTGTATCATACTCTACCGTGGCGTCTCAGTGGAACCAAGCCTTCGGGATTCCAATTCGTGACTCCGGCGGCTCTGATAACGGAATCCAGGCTGACGGTATCTCTTTGCCGTCTTAGTGCCGGAGCAGTGCAGACCGACAAATCATACCAAATGGCTCTCCAGGCAGGTCCTGATGGCTTTTCCTACTCGTTCGGGTAATTTCTCCCGTTACTGCCCCTGGTGCCTTGAGTTTTTACCCCTGGACGCCTTTGTCGCTTTCGACCAGGATTACTAGTCCAGAAGATCTAAATTCCCAACAATCTCCATCCCAAGGTTAGGCTCGATCTTAGACCGACTGCCAATCGAAAAATGGACCGCGGAAATCAAACGATTGGTACGATCCACGTCAACCTGGAGATAATTTCTGAAACATGTCCTATCACCTCGTTTTCCCGCAATGCCTAGTGTTTCCACTCTTGAAAGGACTTGAGATCTATCGTAAGGCCGAGCCAAATTCGGTGGAGAGTACTGTATACGTCACGACATGTAACTTGCTCGAATACGAGGACTATTTTTTTTTGGGCTGACAACTACAGCAGGATAATGTCGGTGAATGGAAAAAATCACGTCAACCGCAGGGCTACCGCACTAAGAATGTGCTAGCTGCCAAAGAAAACGCCTTCTATTTTTGACACGTACAAGCTGACAACGCCGCTTCAATATGAGCCCCATTGTTCGGTGACTCCGTCGCTCAATCCGAATCGAAGGCTTAAACACGGGGCTAAGCAAAGACAGTTGGCAACCTTGTATGATTCATAAAGGGCCAGGCGATTCGGTCCTACACTGATAAGGAGTGAGACAGGCGTACGAAGCCACATGCAGCGATGCAAGACCGTATGAGGCGAATCTCAATTCCAAAGTTTCGCTTCGAATTACCCTCCGGGTTGAACCCTGCAAAGGTCCATGGCTGAATCTAGAGGCGAACTGGCTCCAGGAAACTGTAAAGGACGTAATCAAACCCATAACACTAGCACCAGGTCTCTTGAAATTGCCCATATATTTTAATTTGGCGGATAAGTGATTATGTACGCCCTTTAAACGAGTCATTGAAGTTTTGGTGGTCATTTGTCCTCCCCTGCCACTATTTTTCCACCATGTATTCTCCCGCTACCTGCTTTTCTGCAGGAACCAGCCCTCCACAAATTTGCTCGGATCCGTCTACTCCTGCTACTGACCTTGAGGACCCTTTTGACATTGTTTCTCAGGATGAGGACCAATATGTCCTTGTCACTGGCGGGCTTGGGTTCATTGGGAGTCATACATCGCTGGAGCTACTCAAGGCCGGGTACAATATCATCATCGTGGACAACTTGAGTAACAGTTTCCCAGATGTTTTTGATAACATTCGCAAGGCTGCCAAATTGCATTGCGAGCGCATGGACGTCCCCTGTCCTAAGTCTGAGTTGTGCTGTGCAGACTACCAGGATACCGCCGCAATGAGCCTGCTGCTCACAGCGCACTCCGCTAGATTTCCCGGAAACGCACAGCGACAGTCAAACATTACAGGCGTCATTCACTTTGCAGCCTACAAAGAAGTTGCAGATAGCATCAAGCACCCGCTGAAATATTACCGAAACAACGTCAAGGGCTTGATCGATCTCATCAGCCTACTTGGCGACCATGGCATCAAATCGTTCATTTTCTCCTCGACTGCAGCAGTATACGGTACCCTGGCAGAGAGTACGCCACGGCTGCGGGAGGAGAACTGCGTCCACGAGCCAGAAGCTTACTTCGAATCCACCGGCGAGCGAGTCCACACCGAGCAGGGCTGTACCGGAATCACAAACCCCTATGGTCGCAGCAAGTTCTTTGGAGAGGCCATACTCGCAGATTTATGCGCATCAGATCCCTCATGGACAGTTCTCTGCCTGCGGTACTTCAATCCCATCGGCTGCGACCAGTCCGGCCTCCTCGGCGAGAACCCAAAGGACGGTGCATCGAACCTCTTCCCTGCTGTCCTCAGGGTATTGACCGGGGAAAATCCAGAATTATACATCTACGGCAACGATTGGGACACACCCGATGGCAGCGCAATCCGCGATTTCATTCACGTTAGTGATCTTGCGCGAGGCCATATCGCGACGTTGTCCGCGGCTCAACAAGGGCGCATCACAGGCTCGTTCCGCACATTCAATCTGGGAACAGGATCTGGACATTCAGTCATCGAGGTGGTTCAGACGCTGGAGTCGGTCACGCAACAGGCTATTCCTGTTAAAACTGTTGGTCGAAGGAATGGAGATGTAGGATCGTGTGTTGCGGTTCCCGGTCGAGCTGGGTCCGAGTTGGGATGGAAGACGGAGAAGTCATTGCGAGATGCGTGTGAAGACCTGTGGCATTACCTTAATTTTAGATAGTCGCGCATAGTAATAGTTGAACGTGTTGAATAGAATGTTGTGATGCTGTCCTCCTCTACTCCTAGTGTATTGATCATATCATGGGGTGCCAGCCAAGTATACGCGGGACATGTTCAGTACGAGTAAGTCACCCAAGCACAATTATGACCTGGTGCAGTACCCCTACGAAACCTCCAGCGGGCCAAGGAGCTCTGGCAATGACCTAAGAACCAAAAAATCTCCGAAGAAATACAAACTGAAAACGGCGTCTGGTCGTGGTTTTTTATCCTGATGTTCTCAGGATTCGTAAATCCGGCAGTTGGAGTCCTCTGGTCAGTGCTAAGTCATAATATAAATTGCAGGTGTTCCTTTGGCGCTCCTTATATAGTCTCTTAGCGGTCCATGTCTTCACGAGAGCAGCTTTGGGACAGCCATTTTGTACTCGGGATGGCATTGATACACGCAGTCGATAGGGCAGGTTTTGTTAGACAGCTTGTTAATTCTATACCATTCCACTATCAATACATCTTTTTTTAATATCAGTAGAGTACACAAGCATGGTGTGCATGCGAAATAGAGTCTCAATCCGAGCCCAAAGACCAATTACCATCACCATATGTGGCCGTCACGTCCTTCCGAACCACGTCCATGTCCACATAACCCAGCCAGCTGCTGTTCCAATCCAAGAACTCAGGAATAGAATCAAATCGTGGATGCCGACCGTAAAGAGTCGCAGGATTTTCTCCATCGGCCTGGAGGACAACAATACGCCATGCCTAGTCTTTGAGAGTTTCGTCATGGGATTCATCGTCACTCTCATCGTCGGATCGACGGCAATAGAGATAGGTACTATACCATGTGTCGTATTCTCGGTGACTGCCGAGGCCAGTCTGAAATCCAACCTTGACCTCTAGGTCCCTATCCAAAGTGCCATCGATGAAACTTTCGTCGAGGATATAACTTTGTAGGTATTCTTTCAACCATTCCCGAGAGACAGAAACATCGGGAGCAGGTAGTGCAAGCACCGCTGGGTGATCTGGAAATGCATATTCCGGGACACCAATAGGAAAAGCTGGCTCGAAGGGACAGATACCGGAGTTGGGAAAATCCGGATCTTCGACACCGTCGGCATATTTAATGAAGTGGCCTAGTTCATGGCACATAGGGACGCGAAAATGCTCGTCTTCTTTATCCTGAGTTGCTGCCTCGTCGCAAACACTCTCCACAACCTCCAAGAACATCTGCCGCCATTCGTCTGTCACCAAGGTTGGTGGCATGATGCCATCTATATACTGATGGTATACTGATTGAACATCCTCTAGTCGTGTAACATTTTGCGCCTCGCGAGATTGTCGAACGGGGCCTGGAGGAGCGCAATCATCCCACTGCTCCTCGTGTTTACTGCCTAACTCAGGCCAGTACAAGCGCATTTTTTCCAACTTCTGTTCCTCACTGGCCAGACCCATTGCTTGGATCTCATCGATGCGGTCCTGCAGAAATCATCGATTGGAAGACTCCATTATAGTACGGAATCGTTCCACAGCTAGACGCATAGTTTCATCTTGGTCTGCGTCTGAGCTTTGCATATTGTGCGTCATGGTTAATAATGAGGGAGACACAAGTCTTGGTTTGTGTAGGGGAGAAGCACCGGAGTACTAAGCGAGACCCTGAAAAGTAAGTGGAGACCCTATTCCCACCTTCCTATTTAGGGCCATGTCTCCATTCCTTGATTTTCGGTACACCCATGTCAACGCGGAAGGGGAGGCTCTGAAGGCCCTCAGAGCCGAGGTTATTTGCCATACTACAGACATGAATTAGTGGACTGACGGTTCGTGCCTTTTGGTGTGTTGCTTACATGTTACCACGATGACTGTGTCAGGACGCTCCTGGACCCTTGTGATATCGCCTTCGAATGCGCCCGTCAAACGCAAAGGCAGTTCTAAGTTCATGTTCGGGAAAATCATACATAGTATTTAATTGCACAAATTGAGTCAAATGATTAGATTCCCGCTGGGCGAAACTAACAGTTGATCACCACTTGCATACTATAAGGTCCCGGTAGGCCCTGCTCACGTGAAAGAGGGGGGGGCGATTGGGGGGGTTGTAACAATTCCCAAATTTTAATCTAGAGGGCCCCGTTTCATCGGTTTCTGCCATTGAACTTTAAAATTATCTCTGTTGATCCTCATGGGGTATCTCTAGCATAAACGAATGAACCCAAATAGAATGCCAAGGGAGAATAATAACGATCATAAATTTCCTACCGAGGTCTGTTTTTGCGGTACCAAAATCGAGCTTCAAGGTTTCCGTGAAGATCTTCGATCAACCTTGGTTATTGACTGTTACGGTAATAGGCGGAGAGATAATTGTCCCGAACCCCCCCACTATATATCTATCACAAGCTTCTGCTCCCTATTGCCCTCCTGTTCATCAACTTTAACTACAGACAGACACGACATAGCGTCCTGGTCTATTCGATAATATGGCGAGCTTTGTTGTTGCGAATATAAACCCACTGAACCATTTCGGTGGAGTTAGTTTCGTCCCCGATAGAGATATCCCGGATTTATCGGGAAAGGTCGTGCTGGTAACAGGCGGTAGGTCCAGATTCATGTTCTGCGTGTTCGCATCATAATTATCGTTCTGATAGTCTAACGACCTGCAGGAAACGCCGGTCTGGGCAAAGAGTCGATCCTACGACTAGCAAAACACAACCCGAAAAAGATTTTCCTCGGCGCCCGGTCGGAGTCTAAAGCGACCGACGCCATTGCCTCAATTAAATCATCCGTTGAGAATGTTGAGATCAGCTGGATTCCATTGGACTTGACATCCACTAAGTCGATTCAAAATGCAGCCGAGCAATTCAACACCCAGTCGCAACGCCTGGACATCCTAATCCTCAACGCTGGTGTTATGGCTCTACCCCCTGGAGAAACGGAATTAGGCCACGAGATTCAACTCGGCACTAACCACACCGGCCATTTCCTCTTTACGCAGTTGTTATTGCCTACGCTACTTCGCACTGCTGAAGAGCCTGACTCCGACGTCCGGGTTGTGTCACTCTCTTCGGTGGGCCATCACCTTGCACCGTCCTTTGAGACAATTTTGGACCAGGAAAAGCTTAAGAAAGTGAATACCAATACCAGGTATGGAGCTTCAAAGGCTGCGAATATTCTTTTCGCTGCAGAGCTTGCCCGTCGTTATCCCTCCATCACGTCCGTGTCTGTCCACCCGGGTGTTATTTTGACGGATTTGTACAACTCAGTGAGTGGACGTTCGTTTTTCCATGCGCTGGGGCCGAAGGCACTCGGTGTGATTGGAACGTCAGTTCCCGGTGGAGCACGCAATTCACTGTGGGCTGCTGCTGGCGCGAAGAAGGAAGACCTTGTAAATGGGGCGTATTATGTGCCCGTTGGAAATTTGAAGAAGAACAATTGTTATGCGAAGAGTGAAGACATGGGCAAGCGTCTGTGGGAATGGACTGAGAGTGAGCTCAAGAAAGCAAACATTTGATGGAATGTTGTACAGCGTGTCTTGAAACTGGTGGCACCACTTACACTTTTCGATTGTTTCTCAAGCCCCCAGTGCCCACAACCACCAGTATGTATATGTATGAAAAAGGACCGGACTATAGATAGTATTGTATTGGTTCTAATCATTACTTGAAATTAATATATCGTAATTGTGCAGAAAGTGATCCATAGTCAGCCGAATTGTAGTTTCCAAACATGTCAAGTCTAAGACTTGCGACAGAGAATGATCATATGCAGGATGCTACAGGAAATAGCCAGGAGGACGACGCTCATAATTGGAAACCTAGATTGTAACACAACAAGGACGGATGGATACAGTTGGCAACTCCTTATCTGGAGTGACTCATGGCCGGCAAAATTCAGACAGTGCGCAACATCGAAGGTAGCCTAGAATTTTCACGGTCAATGACTTCACCTGAACACAATACTATCGTGATCAAGTCGAGCGGCTGCAAAAAAAGAAAGGCCAGAAGGCACATGAGTCATTTCGTATGGTACATTACTATATTAAATATGTTACAGCTGCCATCATCAATACCATTGGCAAGGCGGGATAATCACGTCGAGGAGACAACACTCTATGGCAGCGGATATTAGATCCAGCTCAAAAATCGATATCAGCGACCTTGGAATGCAGATTAATCAACTCACAAACTCTTTCACCGTTTTTATATCTCCTTTCAGCTCATAATCCTCGGCACTACCTTGAAATTTTTTTTGCGGCGAGGCTGCCGATTCATGCCCTCCCGTGATATGTACGTTTTGTTCATAAATCTCATTATCCAAGTTGTGGTATATGCTGCGGTCCTGCAAGGGCAGAGCAAGCTCGCTCCAGCTTGCAGTATGAGAGCGCCTCGTCAGCCTTGTTGAAGCATTGCGGTTATATGAGTCCGGGTTAAACCCCGATGAGCCGTAGGTGTATGATCCCATGCCTGATTTACTTGAGATCAGAGTTTTAAATGGGGGTAGGCATCCCACTACCACTGCTTTTTGGGCGTCAATATTTGCTCAAATAGTAGTGGAAACTTGACTCACATATTGATGATTCGGCGATACTCCACACAGCAAGAGCTGCTTGGTCGGAATATGCTTTGCCGGAGATTTCGACAGCTCGGATGATTGCTGTAGCGATGATAATGAATCCGAGCGAAAACACAATAACCAAGCCTACTTTTTGCTTCGAATTGATTCTTGCATTCCAAAGAATGCGGAGAGGGAGTGACATGACTGCGGCTCCACGTTAACTCGGATCTCTCGTGCTCAATTGTCCAGCCATACTCAACAAGTCTGTAATAATGTCCACCGCCGTGCTATAGCAGATAGAGATGACGGATCCTCTTCGATCAATCGGCTTCATGCATTTCCCTATGGAATGTCAACAAAGTCCAGATCGAGAAGTTCGCGACAGAGAAGTCGGTTTCATACCGAATTTAAAGTAGTCCGATGCTGGATGGCAAGTAAACACAGATGCAAACCAGCATCCGATATAGGCCAGGATCGCAAAGATCGTCGTCGCCCACCATGCCCGGCGATATTGAGGCAGGCCATCCGAGATGATCCAGAAGAGTGCAAGGAATGATCCCTTGATGGCCCAAAGAACAGACCAGAAAACGCCAATGATAGCAAATTCGTAGCGTGTGTAGAGAGTAACGTGATACACGATATCTGGGCCTGTGAGGTCCAGGGCCAAGTAGTAGAGATGGGGCGCCTGTAAGGTCTGCAGCACAGCATTGCCGATAAGGAAAGTCAGAGCCAAGAGTACAAAGTAGTCATCCGTCAACAAGCATTTCATTTGTGTTAAGCGGATGGCGATTCGAATTGCAGTGAATAGAATACCCAGAGCAGCACCAGTCCATGTAACGGCAACGAGGCCATTAGCGGATAGCGTGGTTGCAATCCCTTGGGGTGCCGGGACACCCATCGTGACGATGTTGCAGGCTGGTGAAAAGATGAGCCTCGACTTTGCAGCACATTTGCGGCGACCAGAAGATGGGCGAGCGGAGAATGTGCAGGACTGGGATGCCTCTTAAAACTAGAGATCACATCGGAATTTTCCAAAAATATAAGTTATGGGATCCTTGCTTTGCAATGCACAAGGAATAGACTATTAGGGATGGGCATTGAAGGCGCCTGCAGGCAATGGCCAGGATCGCTTTGTGAGCAGAAGTCGGGGTGTAAGGCCCAATGTACATCGGATTCGATCAAAACAAGACCCACCTTGTGTTCATGGATTAGACCAGCGCGTGAGCTCAGGAATGCGGACTGCAATTGAATTCACTTATGGAATGGACTCAGGGCTGTACATAGATCGTGCCAGACTTTTGCAAACTCAACATCTTCGGATATGCTCGGCCAGAGTCAAGATTGAAGATTCACGTGCAGCCATAATCCACTTCGCCAGCAGCTTCGAGATCCTTGTAGATGCACTCAAGAGATCGAACTCCCCACTCTCTGGAATGGAATCACATCGGCCCCGAATCAAGGGGTATGCCATATGCGTTGGTGATTGGTCAACCATCACATTCGGGAGCATCCCGGCGCGTTTTGGATGTGTTACAAAGGATCATCGTATCCACCTCATGTCTGACCGCTGACCGCTCTTGTGCACCTTGGGGTATGCCAGCAGGAAAAACAACAATTCGGAATTTTAATATCGACTAATCGGTGGGTTTGGGGTTACGATCTGGATCGCACAGGCGGGTCGGAGAAATCAAGGGAGAGCGATCATCGATCAACTCAAATCTACCCCTCGGTCTTGACGGACATTCGGTTGAACTAAGGTATGAGCGTGGCTTAAGTAGCTCCCTTAGTGGCTCATATGTGGATTTCCCGTCTTGTACACCCCTTCCCAGGGGTATTCGCTTCACTCTCCCCTGCACATGGTCTCGGTTGCGTGTTTGTGTTCAACCAGAACAGCCGCTAAGATCACCCAAGAAAAGCTCGCTTACTCACTTACTCTACAAGGGCATGCGCTAGTTCCAAACGTTCAATAGACAATACCCCCCGATGCTGTGCCAAGCCAAATGGCACAGACCGAGAAGGGACGACATTTTCTTACAAGGGGTTCATGAGATACACGCGACGAACTAGCGTGGCGTCTTCCTATCTATCATTCGCTCCTTCGTAGAATCTACGCGAAAACGAGACGAGCCTCATGCAAACCGAGCCGGACGATCAGTGCCCCTCGTCATGCCGTCGGGTGAGGCCGTTTAAATGATGCGAAGTATCTCGCTTTGCCCAGATCGCTTCTGACAGCATTTCCCTGGGAATGTTTTGTTTCATCATGGTATCAACACTGTTAGCTGTCCTGGCTCTAGCGGGCCTTGGAGCCGCTAGCTCGCAGGAATCCTGCAAATGCGTGCGTTTCACCTTGGCCAAAAAAATGCATCACATAATTTTCCTTTCTTTCCGATCGGAGAATAACTAATGACCGTTCTCTAATAGACACCAGGAGACCCGTGCTGGCCATCTACAAGTGCCTGGGATGCCTTGAACAACACAGTCTCAGGGAAACTCATTCGCAACCTCCCAGTCGCTATCTCGTGTTATCTCGGCCCTTATCACAACAAGGATGAATGCGCCAATGTCTACACCCAATGGTATAATTCCACATTCCAGGAACTGTCCCCGGTTGGGTACTGCTATCCGACCGATGAGCCTTGCCCACCGGTTGATCTGAGCAGGGAGACCCCTGGGAAGTGCACCCTGGGCCCCGCTCCGGTGTATACCATCAACGCGACAGAGTCAGCGGAGCTCGCAGTGGGTATGGCCTTTGCACAGAAGCATAATATTCGGTTGGTTGTAAGGAATACGGGGCATGATATTCTGGGAAAGTATGTGGTGTGCATGGTACATGCTTTGAAGTATTCTAACAGTTCCTTGCTACTTTAGATCTGAAGGATATGGTGCGCTTCAAATATGGATCAAGTACATCCGAAAGGGTATCATGATCCAAGACGAATATAATCCTTCCGACGAATGCTGTGACAGTGACTGGACTGGCGCGGCGCTTACAATCGGCGGTGGCTATGTCTGGGAGGATGTGTACGATTTTGCCTTCAAGCGTAAAATTACGATTGTTGGAGGAGGTGATCCGGTATGTCCAACATAGTTGTTAAATCTGAAAGAGAGCGAAGGCTGATGTTATGTCTACTCAAAGACTGTGGGCTGCATCGGTGGCTACACACAAGGTGGTGGCCACTCGCCCGCAAGCCATAACTACGGCCTTGCCGCTGACCAAGTGCTCGAAGCCCAAGTTGTGCTCGCGGATGGCTCCATTGTCACGGCCAGCCCTTGCCAGAATCTGGATCTTTACTTTGCAATCCGCGGTGGTGGAGGTGGGAGTTACGGTGTTGCGATTTCCATGACTGTCAAAGCATACCCTTCGAAGCCGGTCGTGGCTCAATCACTCACCATCATGCCACTCGGGAACGATACAAAGACACTGCTTGATGTCATCACTCAGTTGTGGACAGACTACCCCCGCCTTATGGATGCTGGTTTCTCGGGTTATGGCACCTGGTCCATCGATAGTCCCAAGTCACTCTTCGCAAACCAAACAGTCGGCTATATCCATGCTATTGCAGCCATGAGCATGTCACTCAGTGATGCCAAGGACACATTCACTCCTCTCCTCCAGAGACTGGAGAGGTACAACGGAACCTCGCTCTGTGTTTCTGTCTCTTGGTTTCAGTTCCCCACATATGCAGCTTACTACCGTGCCATGTCTGGCGTCCACCAGCCCGTCGGGTCGCCAAACTCCGCATTGACATCGCGTATGTTCAGCAAGGCCGCTCTTACAGAGAACAAGTCCGGCCTCCGGAAAATGATTGGCATTATCGCAGGAAAGCCAGAAGAAAAAACCATCAATAGCGTGGAACTCGTTGGCGGTGGCGAAGTCATTGCCAAGAAAAACAATAAATACTCAGGCCTCAACCCCGCCTGGAGGTCGACCTATATTGTCAACGTGGTTGCCCGAGCCTGGGCTGATGGAACCGACGCGTGCGCTGCTCAAAAGATAAAGGACGACATCACTTACCACAAGGGCGGCGCAATGAGATTCCTCACGCCATCCGGGGGAAGCTATATGAATGAGGTAAGTGTATCTTCGTCTTTCTTAGAAAACCCCTCGGGCTAACACGCTAGAAGGCTGATCGGAACGACCCGTATTGGGCCGCTGACTTCTATGGTTCCAACTACCATCGCCTTGCCCAGATCAAGAAAACATATGATCCGAATGATCTCTTCTGGTGCCCCACTTGCGTTGGCAGCCCGTCATGGTATCAATGGCCATTGGATGGCAAGAACTACGGCCCTCTCTGTCGGACTGGACAGTGAATTTATCAACGTGAAACTGACAGTGGCTCATCCTGTATATACATATTCCTTTACATTATTCTTTTCACCTGAAGATTTACATGTACAATAGTACTGGGCTAGAAGGAAGTTGTACTTCTATACAGTAACATTCGAAATCATATATACCCTCACACTCTTAGATATCAATTTCCGAACCATGGTTTGAATAGAATGAGTTGATATATTTTCTTGGGTCTGTTCGTTAATGTCAGTCATCCTTTAGAGCCATGATGTTCAGTACCACTACAGCTTTTCAAGTGAGGTTGGACTCCTTGGGAATCTCAATTGCTTCCAGATTAGCTTGCTTGAGCTAGTTGAACGGATGCTCGAAAAACTGCAGGTTGCCTGATAGCTTAGAAGGACGTGTGGTATTTTGAACAAATGTGCGCGCCCATTGCTATAAGTAGGTGACAAAGGTAAAGCATTTAACTACAACTCGTCGAGTGTTGTCGACCATCGCTGTGGTATCGGGTATTGTTGCGGAAGGAATAGCAACTCATCTAGGCCTACTAGGTATCAAAGCCGGAAGGCCAGCTCAAAGCCATATTTATTGTATAGTTGGGATGCATCCATCTGTTTCTTTGCTCTTTCTTTTGAGAACATAAGGCGCAATTTTCAATTATGCTACATTGCATCCAGACACTTTCACCCCAGGAGCGCTTTGCTACTTACGTAACTAGTATTGAAAATCGGGCAATGGGTCGGCGATACGAGACTCGCTAAGCTTTCCGGGCCCCATTTTTTACGTCATAGGAAGCCTGGCCTCCTAGGCAGCGACAAAACCCCCCAGCGCAAGAAATGACATAATTAGAGACAGAGAGTGCTAGGCCCAGATACTTAATATTAGCTGACCCTGTGGGATCTTTGAGAAAACTTCGAATTGTTACAAGCTTTCACGATTGATTCGATTTAAAAGATAAATCAGATCCTCAAGAAGAAGCGAGAATATGGCAGTGTTCAGTGAGCCCAGTGGCCAAGAATGGCAACAGATCTGTCAGCTGCTTCTCGCCGTTGGTCTTTCCGCTCTAATCGGGATCGAGCGCCAAATACGACAAAAAAGTGCCGGACTGCGCACCAACACTTTGGTCGGGATGGGTTCAGCCTTATTCATGCTGGTTTCGAAATACGGCTTCATGGATGTCCTGTCGAAGTACCGAGTCGTCGTAGATCCATCGCGAATCGCCGCTCAGATCGTTTCGGGCATCGGCTTTATCGGCGGCGGCATCATATTCAAACAACAAAGCGATATTCGAGGCCTGACAACCGCCGCCGCAGTCTGGCTCACTGCTGCCATTGGATCTGCATGTGGAGCGGGTCTCCCGATACTTGCTTCGCTTGCAACCGCTCTGTATTTTGTTACCGTCATTGCCTTTCCTTTTGTCTGGACGTTTGCAAGGAGAATTCACAGTGCGAATGAAGCCTTGGAGGCTTTGATAACTGTTCGATATCGTATGGCGGACAGTGGGCTTGAACCGATCTTGGATGTGGTACTGAAAGCGGGAGTCGACACCGTCAATGTCAAACGGATAGAAGAAGTCATGCTCTCTTCTTTTCAGAGTCCGGTCATGGCAAGCAATATGGATCGTCAATCGACACGACAATCGGCACCAGCTGACTCTCCACTCCCGCCGCCGATGACGACACCGGGTTATAGCCGAGTTTTTGACGTGCAGATCCAGATATCTGGACACAAATCTCCAAATGAGGTAGTTCGCTTGTTGTCGCAGCTGCCTTCCGTGACAGGTGTGTTGATAGACGATGAACCGAATGATGAGGTTTAGGACGCGGAGGTTTTCATGGTTCCAAGTCAAAGGACTGGTCAGTCCCAAAGAACGGTGTTGCTGCCTGGAAACCTTGTGAGGTCCAGGGACTTACTTTTCCTATTTCAGTCATCGTGGCTTCCTCAGCACTTCAGTGTTGGCTTTGGAGCGACACTGCCCTGGCGTTTCTATCTCATACCTAACCAACTACAAAACAACTGTTACTACCAAAATGCCAGTCACTTTGAAAACATCAGACACCGAGCCTGTGCCATGGGCACGATCCGAGGCTGCCACATCCGAGGCACTACTGAGGGGTTCCTGCAAAGAAGAATGGATGCGTGGCGGCAAAATCATTCGGAGCTCCTTCGAAGAGGCGTTCGATGACCCACACTCTCACATCAGCCCGAGTCGACATGGCTTCGTCTATGCAGCATGGGATTCTTACTCAAACCACCACAGTCTTGTCTTGCGACCAGAAGATATTTGGTTCTCGATTTTGGTCCAGCTCAGCTTCTACATCAACGGTCATGCGGAGGAACTGCGATCGCATTTCGTCTCCCACAAGGGCACGAAGGAGCTCGAGGTTGAGAGAGATGGATCAATAAAAACCGTCGACATTGGTGAAATGGCGATCGAGATGACAGAATTACTTCAAGCAAATGTACATCATCCCGGTCTACGTGATTGGATCATGCCCTCTTTCAGCACCACCACCAAGTCTGACAAGGCTGTTGCTGCGATTCTCATGATGGGATCATTGCAGAAGTATTTTGCCATGACAATGGTCCTACGATGTGGAATACCCAGTGTCACTTTGCTTGGAGAGCGCGATGATTGGGTTCAAATCCAAACGAAGATCGAACTGCTACCTTTTTTCTTCCCTCCAGAGGCCAGTAAAGAGCCGACCAAGTTTGCGTCCGCTCTGAGGCCAGTCCTGCAGAACTTCGTGAGTTCTTTTGACAAGCCAAACTCAGATTATCTCCGGAATTTCTGGAACTCTTGCATCAGCCAATCCCAAGAAAGTGGCTTGGTCTACCTCACTGGCTGGGTCACCGTCTTTTGCTTCTGGGATAATAAAGGGAAATGTTTGTACAAGACCCAGGACTCTACATTACACCCGTCTGGTATGACCTTCCCCAATATATCCACGGGTGACATTGCCCCTGGATATGCAAGTGTTCCTGTTAAGGTCGTCGACCGTAACCAGTATCTCACGTTCCATACTTTGATGGTCGCGGGCTTGGTCGGCATCGAAGTTGACGGAAACGATGCAACCTCCATCCGGCCGTACTCTGGCTGGTGGATGATTGAGAACGTGGAGAAGAAGAAGGGAAAGCATAAAGAAAAAACGTTTGAACAGAAACAGCGCGGAGTGGCCCCTAAATGGATGGACATGGAATGGAAGTGACAATGGAAGTGCAGTAGAGATAAGTCCTGAATTGCTTTTCGCTATTAAATAACAGCTATCAACCTCATTATTTTATTCCGCCTAAGGTTACATCAATCATGCGATCAAGCCTCTAGACCCAAACAGTACAGCCTTGCTCTAAGTAGACATTTAGTCCGTTAGCTTTGACTTTTGTGGCTGTAAACATATGAAGAAATAGGGAAAAGCTCAAAGTCTGGAATTTGCTGTAGCCTAGCCGGCGCACTAAGGTTACATCAATTATGCCTGATACCTGGGCCCCGCTCTACGCAGCGTAAGTCACTGACAAGACCGTCAAAGAAAACAAAGGGATGAAAATCGTCACAAAGGAAAACTCCTGGAAGCATTCAGCCTTAGAGCAAAACAATCGAGTACAAATAGACCGTATCACATGACACCGCATCAACAAGCCCTAAATGTTGTCCCAAACTCTTCTTCGTGCACTCCTCATCGCCATGTCTTTCGCAGATTGTGCAATGGGCCTTCGCCCTCGGTCTGCCATCCATAAGGATGAGCTTGACTGCTACGACGCTTTTCTCTCCAATGTGCAGGATACCCAATTTTTGCATATGTACCTCGAAAACAGCCAAGTGAAGATCGATATTTACGATTACCCGTCCAACGACCTTGCACTTTCCCAGACCTTCACTCCAAGCGACACTGCAAACCAATACTTTGACCAGCAGTTGCAGCGTGCTCAAGAGATGCAGCTAGCAACGGCTTCGCCCGACACGGTACTTGACTCGACGTTGGAAAAGAGATAGGACGGCTGCCCACCCGCTGACAGTTTGTTGAACAGGGACGCAACGGTTCTTGAAAAACGCGTCTCTAGGTGTTACCAGTTCTGTGGAACGGTTGCCCACTATCGTGGAAACAATGGATATCCTCGCTGCCACGCTGTTAGACAGGGGTGCTTGTGGCAGAAATGGTACCGTTAGGTTCAAGGGCAGCGGTGCTACCTTGAAGGCTTATGGGGGATGATGTGTTTGTTACATAAGTTCCTGCGACTGCAGACTTGTCTGATGGGTTGCATCCAATATGCAATAATCAGTATCATCCATTAAAATCTACGATGCTTTGTCTGCTCCTTCCTGACCTTGTAATATAGAAGTGAAAAGGTCTGGTGCTTACTTGAACTCTGCTCAGCTCTTTGATCAAATGAGGGCTGATCGGCCCGTGCGGGGCCGACAGCGATCCTACAGCAACAGCAAAAAGTACAAAAGTTAAAGTCGCCCAAACGATGAATAGTTTTTCTTAGTTCCTTGGAACAGCCACTATCCTTTCTTTTCTTAGTTGACTGCAGACAATCGGAATTATCATCAAACGACCGCCCGAAATGGCCGTCCGTGTCCTCGAGTTCGCCTGTCGAAAGCCAGGTCTCAGTCCGAGCGAATTCAAGTCTCACTACGAAAACACTCATAGGTGCCCTCAATCAACCCACTTGCAGGAGACGACATTCCTACTCACATGCGTCAATACATCGCGCGAAGTGACAAGCACAATTCCGATGGCGATTACCCCGCATCTGTCTCCTTGTGTACTAGTCATCTCCCGCATGCAAAATAGTGCGGCATAAGGGAGGATTCGTGCAACGGAAGTGCTTTGCTGTAATCATGTCTTTCGAATCTTCTCGTACTCAGGCAAAGCCCACTTGACCATCCATTCACATTGGAGAATCTGCTTTGCAGTAGACCGTTTCTCAGGTTTGAATTTGAGCATTGACTTCAGCATCTTGAGGATAGCATCCATCTCGGCTGGTTCAATGAGTGGCATCCCTTTCCTTTGTCGAGGCTCCTGCATATCTTGTTCGAACCTGTCCTCCCACGACCGGTAAGGGTTCCGATTTATCGGCTTCCCATCTTCCGTGAATCTACCATGTCGCCCCTCCCATTTGAACCACCATTCCGGGGGCAGTACACCAAGTGCATCGACTTGCTCGCAAGTAATGCTATCTTCGGTTGCAAATATGCCGTCAAAAAGTGTATTCTGCCCTAAGATGGTCCATAAAGAGCATCCAAGGGACCAGATATCTGATGGGAAGGAAAGAGGCTTATGTGGTTCGAACCGAGCCTCTGGTGGTCGTCCCACAAGCGGAGTGTGTGACTCAAATATCTGTTGCTTGGCAGGGGAGAAAGCCTCACCGAAATCACTGAGCAGGATTTTGGCTTCTTGGAGTTTGAGTTTGTCACTTGCTTCGCCAAGCCAGATTGGTAAAACGGCGCGTGAGGGAAAATTTGGTGGAAGCGGTTGGCCATCGAAACGTCTTATTGCTTCATATTCCGGTTCTCCGTATTTTTTGTACAATTCCTCCACAGAAAGCTTGCTTAGGTCAAATGGTAACCGGAGGAGAACATTTCCATGATGAAGATCTCCGTGAACGAATCCCTTGGAATGAACATACTCAACTGCAAGGACCAACTGTGCCGCCAAGGCCCGTGCAACATCCAACTGGAAAAGGCGGTTGTATGAAGCATCTTTTGCCTCGGGGAGACTCATTCTTGCCGGAATTGTCACGTAGCAAAAGTGCGTACCATTCGGTCCTTTGATCTCGAATCTATCAAGTACCGAAGGTATCATTGTCTTCCCTAAGCTAGTGCTTTGTTGCGGATTGGAAAGTTCCGAAAGGACGCTGAATTCATGTGGGTTAGAATCCGCGGTACACACTTTGATGGCGACGTATTTGCCATATTTTCGATCTCGGGCCAGCCAGATCGTCGAGTAAGTGCCGTGGCCAAGTTTTTGAACCACATGATAGCGACTGTGAATATGATCTCCGATTGCTATGGAGTGATAGCCTCCCACACGATAACTTTCCAATTTTTCCACTCCCTCGATGGGCTCATAAAGGTGATGCGAGGAATCATCGCCTTTGGGAGGGTGAAACATAAGAGCAGCAGTGAAGAAACACTTGCGAAGTTGTTTGTGGTAATGCTGGGTCTTTCGGGCTTGGCTGAAAGTGGAATAAAGATGAAAAAGCAATAAACGCGTCTGGAAACGCCGAAATGGGGGTGAGGTGAGAATCTTCATCGAACAGCTAGCTCTGAAGCTGAAAATCACTCATGTGAAAACAAGCATTACAAGGCTGGGGTATAAGCCTGCCTAGCTGCTTCTCGAGGCCTAGATAAAAGGCTCATTCGAGGTTGCCTGAAGACACGCGCCAATGGATGACCGGAATAACCGTATTATACAAGGACTCATTGAGCGCTGGGATCAATACGTCACAAGACGCGATATGGCTAAGCAGGGGTTGTTTATCAAGTAACCTAAATCGGACTAGCGTGGTTGTGACTCAAATAAAATAAAACAGATACTCAGTGATTGGGGGTATCAAGGCGCTGATGAGCTTGTGGGTACGGATAAAAAAGGCTTGTACAATCTCAATTTCTATCAGGTTATTGGAATGGAAGTCACAGAGAACTGAAGAACGCAATCTAGCCTAGGAAGTGGCCATTCGTCTTGGCGAGCTGTTCGTCGTAGTAGGGTTGGAATGCCAGCCATCCCTTGTCAGGTCCACCAACATTCGCTTTCGAGTATTCTGCCTCTTCATCACTGATAGTAATCTTCTTGTGGCCAGAACCCGCTGCTGCTGCATCGGCTAGAAGCTGCGCCTGGCAAGTCTTGTCAAGACTTATAAACTAGAAAACGTTAGATATCGATCTGGTTTATTTAACGCTCGGGCTATGCCAATCTCTTACCCAAAATGCGGCTTCGTCAACTGACTGACCCACAGTCAGAAGACCGTGGTTTTGCAATATGACTGCTTTGCAGTTTCCAAGGCTTTTGGCGATACGATCTCCCTCCTCCTTGTCTACCACCACGCCGCCGAAGTTATCGTAGACGGCGTGATCTTCGTAGAACCTGAGAGAGTCCTGTGTCAACATTTCAAGCTTCCGACCGAAGCACGAGAAAGCCTTGCCATAGACACTGTGGGCATGGCAGGCAGCGTGGACATCCGGTCGAGCCTTGTGAATAGCCGAGTGGATGGTAAATGCAGCGGTGTTTATCGGCTGGTCGCCCACTACTATAGCACCGTCTTCATCAACGAGTATCAGATCCGAGACCCTAATCTGGGAGAAATGCATCGACAACGGATTGAGCCCTTAAAAGATACTCCAGTCAGGTCTCTGCGCTCAAAGGCATCTGCGGACATGCTTACAAAAATGGTCTGTGAGAATGGGATCGCGAACGGAGATGTGGCCGGCCACGCCTTCGTCAAAGCCCCGGTCTGCGAAAACTCGAAAGGCGGCGGCAAGATGTTGCTTGCGGTAGACACGCTCTTCCAAAAGCGATTCAAATTTGGGATAGGTGCGTATCTTCAAGGCTCTCCCATCTTTAGTCTTGCCCATGGACTGGACCTGTTCAGGCTGTGTACGGGAAGGCACCGCAGCCCCTTTCCCAGAGGAGCTAAGGGCGCTGGGAGTCTCGACGGGATTTTGTGTGGCGGCTGATGGAGACATTTTAGTATAACTCTTTGTGATTGAGTTGTATGATTGAACAGTGAAGGGACAGGGATACAATCAACAAATAGCACTATAAGTATCTGACCATCGAATAGGGCGGGGGAGCCTCGGTATTAAACCTGATTAACCCCGCAAATCTCCAACTTTCGGAAATGATCGATTTTCTATGTTAGCTCGGAAATATATCCGAATCTGCAAACAATGGAGAAGCACATCTACTCTGATGATGTAAGGCGGTGAATTATGGGAAAGTAGCTGCAGCTTAGACCTTGGGGGTCTGCAGGCGACATCTCAATGAATTTCCGGTCAGCTTCTAAACTAACTTTAAAAGGGTTCACATTGATGGGTTTCAAAATAGAACTCCCGGCCCGTTTTAAGAACTGCCGATAGGCCTCAACCCAACTAACTGGAGAAAAGTCAAACATGGGACCGCCAAAAAGCACGGTGGTGTTCGTCCAACAACCACTGATTCGGTTACACGGGGCTTTCTGTCCCTTGCAGTCTACCTCCAATTAAGTTTTGCTGTAGTTTTGTCTCATGTTAATATCTTCATCCGTGCTTCGTCCGCCACAAACCGGCAAAGAAATGCCGCCTGGATGGGGAACCGGGCGGGCGGGGAGATACCATATCAAGTACCGAAGTGGAGATTCTTGTGTTGACCCTGCGAATACTGAGCTGTTCGTCTTGGATGTATTGCTCGGTCGGCAGATCTCCCCTGCCTGTTAAATTTAACGTATCACAAGAAGAACCTTGTTCAACACCGGAGGTTACAGTTGCATTGAGAATTGGTTCTTGTGCTTGCATTTTTGTGAAATTATCCTTGATACCGGGGAGAGCATGTCCTACTGTGCTGTTCAAGAACTCCTCGTCAAGAGTATGGCACGTATTCTCAACAGTACATGCTTTTGAATTTAGTTTTTATAAAGTCAAGCGCTCTGAAGGTGTGTATACTACGTTCGCTAGCCGACTTCCCGATGGAGTAAAGATTCAAGGTATGGTACTACCAAGGATCGATGTTCTGAATGTAAGGCAATTCTCGATATGGGGTCTCTCTAAGCAGAAAATGCCATTCCGTCATAAACCTTACGTTCCCCCGTATTTATATCCAAAAATATATATCTGTGCTATGATATTGCTCTATTGAACAACCCACTGAAAAAAAATCTGCCAAGCAAACACTTGAGGCTACACCTCAAATATGAAATTTCAAACAGCATCTGGTCTACTCTTCCTTGGCGGCTTTATCCCCACTCTTTTGGCTGCCTCTCATGGTCCTGAGCTTTCCAATAAAGATCAGGGTATCGCCCTTATTCATTTGAGTTGGCCTAGAATTTCGGACTTGGAAAGCTCCATCAAAGCCTATGAGTTGTCGAAGCACCAAGCCCAAATTACTGTCAATTGCACTCTGCAGGCATTCACTATAGGGGCATACTGTAGTAAGTACACCTCTTACATCAAGCGCTCGTTGTCAACTAATCATTTTCATCCACAGCCAATCCTGTTAATTGTACCATTGGACCTACCTCGTTCCAATTTGTGTGTGCTCAGCCCTAGGCTAGGTTTCAAAGGAGCCAGGACACTCCATGTATTGCAAGAGGAATCATTCCTTCCTTCTATTTTGATTCCACTTCCACATTATCTCCAGTCATGAAATTTTATCATCAATAAATTACCCGTACTCCGTAGAGGCAGTTGAGTGACTCAGAATCTAATGGTTACGGCTATTCAACCTTGACTCTGACTATGATGTTAAGAAGCAAAGCGACCGGAAAGTACAATATTCAGATATGTTCCAGACACTTCGGTTCGAATTGTTCAAGGGCCAAGCATGTGAGAATAGTGAATGTTTAGTTCTTGTAGTTATTTCAGCCTTTAGCTCAAATTATACTTTTCTCAATTATTCTAGTCAGAAGCCGTAATGCGGCATTTGTGATCTAGACCATTCTACATAGCCGAAGCATGCACGTACGACAAAGTAAAACGTGCAGGAAATAGAAGTATTAATTGCAGTATTGCAACTTCGGCAAGAAGACTCGACGTCTAGGCCCTAATGTCTCTCCTTTCCCTCGGGTTATACAATGTGACTTGTGTATGGAACTGTTACCCAAGACCCGAGCTATTGAAAGATTAATACATGTGAAGAAGAGCTCGACCAAGATATAAATGAGCCAATTCCGCCCGGTGCTCTATTATCTCGCTACCCAGTCAAGCACAGCTCCAGTCTCAATCACCCTTGAATACACAGCTCCACGCTAAAAGTTTTCTAACCAAAACATCAACATGAAGTTCCAATTCATTCTCGGTGCTCTGGCCCTCGCCATTACCACCTCCGCTGCTCCCACTGCTGGCGCTGTCGACAGTATTAAGCTCAGCCAGGTCCAAGTCAAGAATCTCCTTGATGTCCTCAAGGTTCAGGGCACGCTTTCCGCTGATCAAACCATCAGCTGCTCTGTTGCCTATTCTCTGGCTCTGAGTAAGTTATAATGCCCTTTGCCCACTCGAATCAATAACGCTGACGAAAGGTTATATCCAGGCACCACTGGTCCCCCCTATACCATTGATCTGACCACCCTTGATCTGTCCAACTGTACCTACAGCGGCCCCTAGGCCGATTGTGGGATCGGAACCACTGAAGCTTGAATTGTCCCTGGATCTCGGATAATCAGTCGCCAAGCTCATCATGTTTGTGGTTCCATTCTAGCAGCCAATGGGCTGCCACATATGATGATCTATTCAACATATGTCTCTAAGCAGAATCAATGAGAATCATTACTCTATCTGTTGCTTTTCAATGTAGAATGTAGTTATCTTATCAACTGGTAAGAAAAGTCTTGCATGCCAAGAAGACAGCCAACTCGACCATAACAAACATACCTGGTCAAGTTGATCGGCATAATAAAAGATTTTAATGAAAGAACACAGTCCGATTTTAAAAATGGGTGACATGGTATGTAAGAAGGGCAACTACCTAAACGGGTTAGCGACCTTGTTTCAAATAAGTCAATCTTGACAGCGCCCCCTAATCCCCTCCTCACAATGCCACTACTTTTCGATGGGTTTCTACTAATCTCAATGTATCCAGACTATGGCGCTCGAGAATAAGCAAGCTAACTCGAAATCGCAGTGGCGTCGCCCCTGGCGCTACCATCTTAATTTACTTGAATGGAGCATATCGCTCTCGGCATAAGCGGAGAGTGATGCTTGAAACCCGGACCCGGTTTTGGCTGCGAACTCTCCTTCAAGGGAAACTGTCCAGCGAGTCCACTTTCACATTGTAATATTTTCGTACTCATGTGGGGACTCCGACCGTGCGATCGGAGTTATAAAATGTTTCTTGCCTCCTTTCTCATTTTGAATCTTCACCGGGACTTTCATTCTTTTCTCTTGAGTCTGGATACTCGGGAATCACGTTCATTCCATATTATACTTCGCTAGGCGCTGGGTCACTGCCTCTTTTCATTCTTGCATCCAAATTCATTCGACAATAGCGTCCGAAATGCATTTCAAAATTATAGCCGCCCATTTGGCCGGCCTCCTCGCGGTAGCATCAGCCAAGGACTCTCGAACCTTTGCCGTGAACCACTTCTACGGCAAGGGTCCTCTAACTGAGGGCCGTATGGATCCCATAATCAGTCCCGGCACCGCATCGAGCCATGTGCACGCCATCCAAGGTGGAAGTAACTTTAATTTGACCATGGAAAACAACGCACTGCTCGACTCGTCCTGTACCTCTTCCCTGGTCGAGGCGGACAAAAGCAACTACTGGACTCCGACTTTATACTTCCAAGATCCTTCCAATGGAAGCTTCATCTCGGTTCCCATGTTCTACATGAATGTCTATTACTTGTGTGTGCACCGAGTCCAACCATCATTGAAGTCATGACTGATTCAAATACAGTTTCGAGCCAACCGATGATGAAATTAAACCTTTCCCAGTCGGCCTCCGCATGGTCAGTGGAAACAACAGTCTCCGGACTCCACCACCCGGCGGTGCTGCCAATGTCCTAGACACGAACGCAGGAACCATCCAACCCGTTCAGTGGACGTGCCCTCGCACTTCATACGACCCGCCTTCCTATCCCGCAAACTCCGACGGTCTCTACGGTGTCGGCATCCAAGACCCGAACAACGCCGGTGCTGGTGCTGGATTCCCAGATATGAACTGTGATGGATATGCATCCCCTCTGCGGGCTGATATTCACTTCCCTTCTTGCTACAATCCCCAGGCTGGTGTCGATGCCTATGAGAGCAATATGTTGTTCCCGAGCAGCAAGGGCACTACTGGTGGCAAGATGAATTGCCCCGAGGGGTGGATTCATCTTCCTCATATATTCTATGAGGTTTATTGGAATACTCCTCTCTTTGCGGATTTATGGGAGCAGGGGCAAGGTTGGCAACCGTTTATATTGTCAAGTGGGGATCGCACTGGGTATTCTCTTCATGGTGATTTTGTGAGTTGCGTTACGTCGATCGTGGGTAGCATTGGCTGACTGTGCTTGTGTAGATCGCTGGCTGGGATGAGGATGTCTTGCAGAAGATCATCAACAATTGCGATGCTGGTGATTCGGGAATGGACAAGTGTGCTGACGCTGGCCCGATCAACAACTCTGCTGACAGTTGTAATATCCCCAACCTGGTCCCCGAGAAGATTTTTGGTGTTTTGGAGAAACTGCCCGGCAACAACCCGCCAACTGGATGGGGTCAAGGAGAGAGTGCTTCGTCTCCGTCGCAGACAGCAAGCACCAAGTCTACAACCAGTGTGCCGCCTGTGTCTCAGACCGAGACCGAGGTAACTACCACGACAGTCTCTGCGACTGATTCCAAAAGCACCGGCTGGTCGTATCTTGGATGCTATTCTGACAACACATCTACCCGTGCACTGACCGGTATCCAATTCGCTGACTTGGGTATTGGAAAGGTGACTTCAACCGGCTGCATGGAGTATTGTAACAATGCTGGATTCAGCTTGGCAGGTACTGAATACGCCGGTCAGTGCTTCTGTGGTAACAAGCTGGAGGGCAGTTCCAAGCTCGAAGCAGACAAGTGCGACATGAAGTGTGAAGGTGATGCCTCTCAAATCTGCGGTGGCAGCTCGGCTTTGAGTGTGTTTGAGAAGGCCGGGACAGCTGCATCGAAGAGGTCGAGTGCGCACTTCCGTCGACATGTGCACGGAAAGCATTCTTGAGTGTGTTATTCGTGAGACTTCAAGTTTTATGTACTATTACAGTCCGGTTGTACCACAGGGTGATATTTAGTATCCTTGCAGCTATTTAGGGGCAATCAATTGAGTCATCATTGGTTCTGGAAGCTGAGGACGACTATACACTACATCGCATTAACTGACCGGTGGAGTTCAGCAGCCAAATGAACCATACGTCCCCTGGGGGTCAATGAACGAGATCGCTTGCTTGCTTATCGTGCATGACTGATTCGCAGCAAGCACAGTACCCAGTGACCGAACAGCATCCTCCATATGCTGAGTAAGTCTCGATTCTCACAAATAACATCAAGGACTGCTGCTCACAAGCACAGAACTCATCATTACCAGGCCTCTGGTCACCTCATTTCCACAAAGGCAAGACCCATTTCTCATTCCTTGGGAAGTGGGTGAAGGGCTTTCACGTGCCGGCGAACACAGTGACATCACAGCACTACCAGTTTCCTCGGGAAGGAGCTACAGAACTCGAAGTTGGACTCGCACTCGACCTTCACTAGAAATGCCAACCCTCGCAGCCAGCTCTAGGCCTTGGCCGGCTGAAAACTCCGCAGTCCAGACTTTTCAAGCCTTCCAAACACCTCAGTGGGACGGAGACGTGTGCCGAGTCGCAACACTCGCTCTCGAGCCCTCCACCAGGCCGATCAAAGCCGTTGAGAGGGACAGGAAAGTGGGTTCGGAGCCGAACGAACAGGGCTTTCACAGGAATAAACGGCGGCCGCTCCTGTTGGGTGGGTTTCCCATTCGGGTATCCACCGCCTTTGTCTAGACCGATGGTTTGTATTCGGACCGGAGATCAAAGACGAGGCCAAGAGGAGTTGCCAAGATGCCATCATGGTATTGGCAGGTGTCATACCTCGTCCAAGACCGAGGTGTTGTGGTCATTGATGGCCATTGAATACCCAGACTCGCACAGTGCGACTTGGACTCGGGCTTGGGAGTCGATGGGGTCAGGAACCACGCGGTTCCCTGGTTGCGCTTCGTGCTCATTAAACTGCGTGGCATACAATGCATATGATTGGAGGAGAGACACGCATGCCCTGCCAAGGCATCTGTAAGTAACATCATTGGCTGGTATTTCAGGAATTGTATCCACCGTCGGGAGATTACCGTCCAATCATGATGCTTTTCGCTTGCCCTGAGCCCCACATCACAAAATCCACGGGACACGCGACGAACTTGAAACCGAGCAGAATTATCGTGTTTTTGTGCCTCAGGGGCTTCTCCTTGTAGCGCTTTGTACGTTTCATTGCCTTGATACCAAGATCTATTCGGTTATATTTAGAAGGTAGCAGGGCATGTGGAGTTCACTGCCAAGTCCACTCGGGCCTAGAACCAGTCCGATTCACACTAGTCTCCGGCGAACGACCGGATCGCCGGCTCCATTGCCGACAACGCAACCCCACCGACCTACGTCCACTTAATTTTGTAGTCGACCTTGACCCATTCTAGCCAGTTCACTTAAAATGTTGTTCCCACGTACAATGGGGCTTGGCCGTGGTCAGCTTGAACTCGTGTTTCATGCGCCCCGATCAACGTCGTCCTCATACAATGACCGGCCTTGCAAACCAAGGGCCCATTGTCTCCAAGCCAAGAAAGTGGGGAGAACAAAGTTATCTTTCGAATCTAGGCCTCAACCTGGGTACCGGTGCGGCCCCCCTGACCGTCCACTACTGGCCGTTCCCAGGTCAAGGAAGAGTCCCACTTCAACGGTCTGGGACGCGAATCATGTTCTCTCCTGCATTCTACTCGTCGTGTGTACTTGCACTCGACACTAATCACAGTCCAGCCCCACCAACAATGGACCCGTGGATTGCATCTCCCCCGATCTGATCGCCAATAGTCGCACTTTTATTTCATGTGTGGAATCCACCGGCCCCAGCAGGCCACACGTCAATCCACGGCGGCCCTTCTGGAACAATGGCCTAGGGCACACTCCGGACGAGGGCAAGGCTTCTTCTGTTCCCCAATTCGCCGCCCTTGACGTATGTGCAGTCCCCACCGCCGGTTCCAAGCCGGCTTTCCCATGGATGTCGTCCTCCAGGTACCAGGCACGATGGCTCGTGAATGGCTTCCCTTGTTGGCGCTCGTGGTGGGACCGTCAGAGTCTGCTGGTGTGAAGTTATTTAAATCTCCTACGTCTCCCTTTCGGTCTTTCTTCCGTCATATCACTCTCGCTTCAAAGAACTACACTCCTTTATAGTTCAACAAGTTTCTTGTTACTCCTGTCATTCCTTCCGACACACTCTTTTCATATTGACTACACTCTCTCTCTCTCTCTCTTTTACGGTCTTCCACCGAGTCAATCCCTCAAAAATGCAGCTCACTCAGTCTATTCTGCTGCTCGCAGCCCTCACTACCAGCACCTTTGCTGCTTCTCCTCGCCCCCAAGGCTTTGAGCGCCGCCAGGCCACCGCCACCACCACCACCTCTTATTACGCTTCTTCTTCCTCTTCTTCAGGCTCCGACTCTGCCTGGACTGACCTTCCTTCCGGTGCTGCCTCCACCGCCGGCTTCGGCGGCGTCACTGGCTCCTCCGGATCATCCGTGACCTACTCTGGCAACGTCGGCAGCCCCTACGGCTCCAACATCATCGAGGTCTCCGCCGATGAGGCCAGCCAGTACAAGTTCGTCGCGCAGTTCCAGGGCTCCAACACCGACGACTGGACCGTCGCCATCTGGAACAAGTACGGCTCCGACGGCACGATGAACGGCTGGTACGGTAACGCCTGCAAGACCTTCACTCTCTCCCCCGGCTCTACCGTCTACATCGCCTTCGACGATGACTCCCAGGGTGGCTGGGCCGCCGCCGAGGGCTCCACCATTCCCACTGATTCCGACGGTGGCTACGCCTCCACCTGGGGTGAGTTCGACTTCGGCTCCACCACCAACAACGGCTGGTCTGGCTTTGACGTCTCGGCCATCCAGGCCCAGAACGCCGGTCTTCCCGTTCAGGGTATGGAGATCTGCGATGCTATCGGTGGCACTTGCTCTTCTATCACTGCCAACGCTGCTTCTGTCAACAACGCTTACACTTCGGCTGAGGCTGCCGTCGGTGGTATCGGTGGTAACCTCGACTCCGGCAACGGTGTTCGTCTGGCTGTGACCATTGACTACAGCGGCTAAAATGTGGACGAGTGGTTTAGATATAGACTTGCTTTTTTTCTGGCTGAGGTTGAGAGGATTCGGCCTATACCCCACCTGTTACGGTTGCGGATTTTTACTTTCTATGTTCATATAGGAATCATAGGCTGGTCCTTTTTTTGTGGTTTTACCCTTTTATCAATTTCAGACTGGTTCGAATTATTTTCTTTTCTATTCGATTATTTGAGTAATCAATTGAGTATGAAGAATTTACTGCCCTCAGGTGTCGACGTGGCGTGCATGACCGCATGATTGCATACTATGGGTGTCCGCCATGACTTGCCCTTTTCGTGCTAGTGCGGCGAACTCGTCATTGTGGGATCACAGAGGCACTTTTTCGTCTTTGAGGTCTAAGAATAACGCTGGTTCATGTTTTTCTTTGTTTCAGAATGGTGGCACTTCAAGGTAGCTTACGTCGTGCTTTGGCGTTGTGTTCCAAATTCACCGTGTACCCAAAGCCAGTGTTGGTGGTTTCAAGGAAAGAGACCATACGTCGTTCGATAGTTCCCATTTTGATCATACAACTTCATTAAGCAGAAACTTATCAATTTGCCTCATTTCGAGACCTTCATTCTTCATCATAAGCTGTAGACAAAATCATTACCGACAGTTGTATCCGCTAGCAACCAGTCCGAACAGAAAATCAACCCATCCCTTATTTCTGGCGAGGGCTCATGAGAATCCAAAAGTCCAGCGGCTTAATACTGAACGCGCCGTTGGCATGCAGCTGGTAGTTCTTGTCGTCAAACTCAAACGTGTTCTCCTTGATGATGCTCGCCAGAGTGAAGAACGACCACTGCCACGCCCAGAGCTTGCCGGTGCACTCGCGCTTGCCGTTGCCGAAGCCCTTCTTTGCGGCAGCGGGCAGCTGGTTCCACTTCTCGCCAATTACGCGCTCTGGTCGGAACTCTTCGGAGTCTTCGCCGAAGACGGACTTGTCTCGGTTGACGGCGTTGAGAATGGCGATCATGGGCTGGTTGTGCGGAATTTGATACTCACCGCCGCCGAGCAGGACGGGCGCCTTGTTGTCGGAAGGGATGGACTCGATGTTGAAGCCGGGAGCTGTGGCGGACAGGCGGATGGTTTCGCGGAGGCAGGCTTCGACGTACTGCAGCTGCTTCAGGTGCGCAAGATCGATGGGACCATCTCCCACGATGGAGTCGATCTCCTCGCACGCCTTCCCGTGGGCTTCGGGGTTCTTGATCAGGTAGTAGATAGCATAGGAAAGGAGGTTGGCGGCGGTGGCGGCGCCAATAAAGATGGTGATGATCTCGTCGAGCACCTGGGAGTCCTTCAGCTTCTCGCCGCTCTCGGGGTCGACCCCGTTGAGGATCGCATCCAGCATGTCCTTGCGGGCTTGTTCGGGATTGTTCTTGCGGCTGTCGACGATATCCTTGGCGTACGAGCGCATAGTCTTGGTCAGGCTAGAGAATCGGCTCTGGTACAACCAGTTGAGCACCTTCGGGCGAGTAGGACGCTTCAGCGCCTCCATTGTAGCACCTTCCCAACCCTGCACCATGGCCCAGCCATTGGTGGCATCTTCACCCTTTTCTAAGACGTGAACGCGCTGGTTGAAGAAGCACTTCATGCAGGATGCCAACAAAATCAGATCCAGGTCGTCGGATGCCTTCACTCGCTGCTTGGGGCTTGCGCTCCATTTCTTGGTCAGGTCCGGAATGACCTCGGCCATGTCGTTAAACATGGCATCGGTCGCTTCCTGGGTGACCTGCGGATACATAATGCGGTGGGCGATGCCCCAGCTCTTTTCATCATCGTACGCAGTGAACAGGCTGTCGTGAACTGCATATCGGATCTCCACCACAGGGCCCGTCACACACTTTCGGAATCGGGTCTGGTCGCAAATCTCTTCCAGGAGAGCGACGTTGCCAATAAAGACGATCTGGTGACCCAGCACGCTGATCTTGAAAATGGGGCCTATATCAGTCATTAGTTGAGTGACTCAACACCACCCCGAACGAGCAACTCACCATACTGGGCGGCCAGCTTGTTCAACGAGCTCCACGTATCGTTGGGGTTGACGTCGAATATATTGCCCAGTAGGGGAATACCGGGCGGCGAAGGGATTTCAGTAGGCATAGCGAGGGGGGTATCACGATATTGTACAAACAAAGCAAGCAGAGGGAAGAAAAGAATTCAGAGAGCTAGCTGTCGCACAGGAGGCGGGGGGGAAGCAGCTAAAAAGAGCTTTCAGGTGTTAGCCAATCTTCAGCTGGCCACCCGATTGACAGATCTCATCGAGCCCGCTCATTGGGCCCAGGAGCATGGCGCCTGTCGAGTCTCCATCGTTCGACACAGGTCCGGTCTAGCTGAAGAGATCGGCACGATCGCGATGTAATAGCGCAGATTTGGGGGGGCTGATCGAGCCCTGATTGGCGGACGGGCAGAGTATCTGGAGCCCATCTGCAGCCAGCTGGGGTTCCATATGGAGAGACCTGCCGCACTACGGGCGGTAGTGCAACCATCGCGGGCAATGGGGTTCATTACAATTGTCAGCCGCCAACTGCTGCAGATTTTTGAGCTGCAACGCGGTTGCTCCATCCGTCCCGACGCATCTTGACCGCCCCCCTTGTTTCCCTGGTTTCCAAATCCCCCCTAGTTCTGTGCAACGTTGTATTGTGCTGAGGATCGCGGGGGAGGTGATTGGCAGAGTGGATCATAACAAATCCCAAATCAAGGATGGTCTGAGTGGCTGTTACTGGAAGCTCGGTGGGTCCGTGGCTGGGAAGATTGACATCACGATGGCCGAGAGGTCCCAAACCCCTCCAGGGTGGACTGGGTGGATTGATCATGGTGCAGCACCAAGACAGGGTAGATCGTGACCTGCGGGGGTTAGGGATCGAGCTCTCGACATTCCGAAACCATACCCATATCCATACCCTATGATCCCCTTCGGCTGTGTGGATAGTTTGAAGCCGCCGAGCTCTATCCACTCGCCCAGAGAATTGATTCTCGTGTCCAGTCATCTCTCTGTTTAGAAAACCATGAATGTACCCGTGTTGACAGTTCTTTGTGCCATTTTTAGCCAGGAGCGCACTCGGGTGGGGCCTGCCAGATGTGGCCGCTGCTAAAGCGCGACAGGCACCGTGAGCCTCGGCACTGAACGACTGCTTCGCACGAGTAATCGATCCTTAGCGCCCTGCGCCTTTGTGTGTGAGACCGAAGTCAATAAAAGGACAATCTGGGTTGTCGGCGTTGGGCCAAATGTACCGGTGTGCGGCGGGCGGGCGGACGGGAGATCCACTTTCGACCGGAATCTCGGAATATCTGCTGCCTCATGACGTCGCAGGTGTATAGGGCAGTCGCCAGGGTCATCTGCGGCTCCGCCTCAAATGGTCTTAGCCCGCGGACCGGAATCCGGGACAGCAAGCTATAGGCAACGCACATGTGAAAAGCCTCGAACGCCAAGCCCGTATCCCATTTGCTGTATGACTCAATGGCGCTGGCGATTCCTCAACCTGTCTCCCGCGCACATACTTTTCCCAATCATCCTGCTTCGGTTGCTTCTGTCAATACATGTTGGTCCAACAGAGATGTCATCTCCTACCAGTGCCGGCGTCCTCCAGACACACCAACTCATCGAGAATCATAGCATCTTGATCCGAGATGAAATATACGGAGAGGAACTGGTCTATGAGCCAGTTCTCGTAGAGCTTCTGCAAAGCCCGGAGATGCAGCGACTGCAAGGCATCTGCCAGTATGGAGTCACTGGAATCTTAGGCCTGACACCGCGAGTCACACGGCTCGAACATTCGGTCGGTGCATTTATACTCGTGCGAAGAGTTGGTGCCACGATTGAAGAACAAGTCGCTGCTCTTCTCCATGACATCTCTCATACCACCCTGAGTCACGTCATGGATCACGCCCTCTCCAAGCCTGGGGAAGGAAGCTATCACGAGGTACACAAGACACGGTATCTTGAGATGACGCGGCTGCCGGACATCCTCGCCAGACATGGGATCAACCAGAACGTTTTCGAAGAAGAACTGTTCCCTTTAGTGGAGATGCCATCCCCTCAACTGTGTGCCGATCGCCTAGACTATGCTTTACGCGACGCCGTCAGCTTCGGCAAGCTTGCCTTGGAAGACGCCAGAAGGGTGGTCGGCTCACTGAAGGCGTTTCCCAGTGCTACAGCGACCCGCCGTCTGCTGGTTCTGGACGATCCCTATGTAGCGCTGATTCTTTCTCGCGCATACATCACTACTGACAAAGATGTCTGGTCAAGTCCGGCCCACATCGACATGTGTCAGCGGACGGGCCGGGTGATAGGCGAACTGGTAGAGGCAGGGTCTATGGATGATAAGGTGTTGTGGCAAGTGTCCGACGCAGAATTTTGGACTTTGCTTCGTCAAGCAGCGAATCCTGAGCATCTTCGCGCTATCGAGAGACTGGAAGAGGAAGGGATTCCAGAGGACAACGGACTCCGGTTGCCACATTGCGCTAAAATTCGCACTCTCGATCCAGACGTTTGGCAAGAAGGAGAAAAGCAACCCGCACCGTTGTCGATAGTGTTGCCAACGTGGGGATCAGAGCGACAGCAGTACATTCTCAGTCGTAGTCAGAATCGATGATGACTATTGCATCGTAGATAGCTATGGCCGTCTGCAGGCGCTGATAGAGAGTCTACAACTTGAACGTATCGCAGCACGGCGCAAGCCGTAAAGTCGATGAATATGAGCTTCTTGTGTTACATGTGGCCATGAGCCTGCCAATTCTGGCGGCAAGGCAGTCACAGGTAACCTATAAAAGGTGCACCATTTTACTACCAGATAGTCTAAATAAACAATCTACAGACTACTTTTATAGCACCAGCGATTCTTCGAAACTTGCTTGTGTTTGCGCGGCAATTGATAACCACGACGAGACGTCAAGCTCTAACTCTTCTCAATGTCAAAGTTTCTCTCGCGGCAGACTTGAAAAACCGCAGGGTTTCAATTTCCTTCCTAGGTCCACACTTTGAGCCCCTTCGTATTCTCGCGTTCCAGATTCTATTTCCATTCTTCGAAAATGAACCTCGGCTCAAAGCATCTCCTTATCGCACCCTATCTTAGCCCTGTATAAAATGGCACCGTAGTCTCGGCATCCCTTCGGGAACCGGCCAAGTGGAGTGTTTCGGTGTTAAAGAGGCACTCGGAGCGCCCGAGACTCGGCACAATTTCTGTTGGGCGTCGGACACGAACGCTTCAGGGATAGCGTTCGAACGGCTTCCCTCATGGGTTTTGCAGCGACTGTGATTTGTTCATCTCTCTACAATTGATAAGAAACGGCCCACCGTACAACAAAAATTAACTATAGCTTGGAAATCTGATATATTGCCTCGGCTCTTTCCTTTCTGGGAAGTACGCTAGAAACAGAAGATCTCATCGCTCATCTTCGATACCGTCCCGGGCTTCCGGAAGCCAAGCGCTGCCAAGTTTTTCTTGGTTGCGTTCACCATGCCCGGTGGCCCACACAGGAAAATCTTCGTGTCTGATGAGTGCGCTGGTAAGTGCTTTGACAGGACGGTCTGGTCCACGTATCCTGTCCCGTAGGCCCAGCCCTCTGGTGCGCTGTCCAGCATGTACCACAGCTTGAAGTTCTTGGGGTAGCGTCGGGCGAACGTCTCCAGCTCTTCGCGGAGCAGAATGTCTGACTCGGAGCGGTTGGCATAGATTAGGCTGATTTCGGTCGTGTCGGTTTCGTTCTCGCAAATTGCCCGGATCACTTGGTACATTGGTGTGATGCCTGTGCCGCCGGCCACCATACCGATCTTGCGGCAGAGTCCGTTGCTATAGCGCATGGCGCCTTTGGGGCCGCGGAATTCGACTTCGTCGCCGATCGAGAGGCCGGCCAGGTAGCACCCGCTGAGAAGTCCGTCCGGGTAGCATTTCACGACCAGCTCGATGCGTCCACGGTCAAGGTTGTTGGAGGTTGGTGTGTAGGATCTTGTCACAGTGGTACCGTCGACGACGGCTCTGATGGCGACGTGCTGGCCGATGGGCAGGCCGAGAACGCTCTTGGCATCGGGCAGAGCAAAGACGAAGCGGAATGTGTTGGACGATAGCTGATCCTTTTCGACCAGGGGGATGCGCTGGTAATTTTGGGGCTCGAGGAAGCCGCGAGTAAGATGCGGGTCAATGCGAACGACCTTTTTGGTCTTGATGCGAGGCGGGTATCGCATGAAACCGGAGTCGATCTTGGTGAATCGGCTGGCCTGCTTGGCTACCATTACACCAATCGTGCCAGCGACGGCGCTGGCTGCCAGGAAACCATTCACAAAGCCACCGTGCGGTAAGCGTAGACCCTTCAGTTGACGGGGAAGCAGCTGTGAAAGACCCATGCCATTCCAGCCGTGGACGTTTCCTCGGGTGGAGATGTAGATCACTGGGAGCATCGTGACCAGCGCACCGGCCACGATTCCAGTGGTTCGCAGTGAAGATGATGCTTTGCTCTCCTCCGGCGCTTTCTGTGATACAACACGGACTGCCTTGGGGCGGAGATACTGCTGAGCATCCTTGAGAACACCGACCAGGTACGGCTGCATGATCTCGCGCGCATCCTCTGAATGTCCGACATCCTCGTAGGCAGCGGTGGCATCAGTTCCAGCCGTTTCAACGAGAACGTCAGCACCTCCAGGGTGATCTTGGAGATATTCCGTGATATCGAATACTGCTACCGTTAGCCAATCAATCTTAATGCTCTGGTAGAAGCGATTTACCTTGTCCGTGAATCACAATCCACAAATCGGTCTTCGTGTTGTGTGCAGCCACATCCTTCATGGTATACTCGGGCAGCTCAATATCGCCCTTCCATTGAGCCTTGAGCTCTTTCGTCTCTGGGACTGCCATTGTGCTCGAATAGTATGGATTGTAAAATAATACACACGGCAAACTGCGAAAGCGACAATTAAAATAAATACAAAGTCGGGACCATCTACCAGACACTCCACCGATAAAAAGAACAGCCAACAAGAACCCTCCGATACCAAATCGGACAACTTCCATGCATAAAACGCATTGCCCCTTTCGCTTTCCAAGGAAATCTCAAGTTATGCCTCGGAAATGGTCCCGTACAACAAAGGTCGAGACCTGCAGCAGCGAGACCAAAGGACGGGACGGGCGCATATCCTCTACGGCACATAGAACCCGATGCCGATAAACCGCGAACCCGAAAAACAGGGACATTGTCTTTCCTTTTCAGCCCAAGCGGGAAGGTTTGTCACTGCCGATACCGAGAACAGCGGGTCTGGCGTGCTGATCGTAACTGTGAAGGGAAACGCGCGGTGGAGCCGCGATCGTAAAGATGGAAAGTGCCTCGGCAGGCAATCGGGCTGCCCGGTCTGTCGCGAATCGAACGTTCGCTAATGAAAATTCGAGTGAATTATGCGTTCCGTCTGCGTTGTTTCGATAAGGCGTGGGTCGGTGTTGGGTTGGACTGGAAAAGAATAGCTCCAAGGGATTTGTGTCGGTTTCCAGATTTTGCTATGCCGCTATAAATAATATAGTCCCTCCGTCACTGGTCTGGAGTAATTTCTGTCATTGGCATCTTACATCGCAATGGCTATTAAACAATTTTATTTGCTGGGAGAACCCAGCGCATCAGCTCGGGATGTCGAGATGGATTCATCACTTGACTCTGAAGGGCTTCAACATTTGATTGCCGGTCATTTTGCCATTGTTGAGCCTACTGGTGAGTACCTCAAGCTTTCCCTCGCCTTTAAATACTAACAGCATCAAGGCATTGCCTTCCAATCTGAGGACTCAACATTGCTCACCGTATCAGAGGTTCTCGCCAACGAGAGCCCCGTCGCGATCACGATAGATGGCAAGGCAGTTCGAGAGATCCCCGGCCCGAAAGGTCTTCCTTTCGTAGGAAACTTCTTCGAGATCTATCCCGATCATCTGGGTAACCATCAGCGCCTGTTCGAACAATATGGCCCCATCATCCAAACCACCAACATGGGCCGCACGATATACCACACCAACGATCCGCTCTTGTCAACGATCGTCTTTGCCGAGTCGGACTTCTTCACCAAAAAGATCAACGAGGCTCACCCCTTGTACCCTATTAAGAACAAGGAAGCAGGTGTGTTCCTGGGTGATACAGATACCCCCGAATGGCGCGCTGCGCACAAATTCCTGCCGCCGGCGTTAGGACCCAAGGCAGTACGCCATTATGCGCCGACTATGCAGGAGACGGTCGAGGATGCTTTCCAGGTGTTTGACCAGCTGGATGCGCAAGAAGAGGCTTGGAATGTGTACCAATACATGCTGAAGCTGGGCTCGCAGGCCGTGGGCAAGCTGGTCCTGGGAATTGACTTCAAGCACTTTACCTCGCCTGATACTCCACTTCACGAGCTGGTGTATCGTATTGCCGAGTCGTTAGAGCTGAACAAGAAAGTGACCGCTCGTGGAAACTGGTATGCCAAGCTGCCGTTCGGTGATCCCCAGCGCCTACGCGATGCTAGATGGCGGATTGCGGAGATGGTCGAGGAGTCGATTCAGAATGCGGCTCGGGGTGGCATTGAGGATCTTCCTCTGCAGGATGCAGCTTTGCAGGCATCCAACATGATCGACTACGCTATTCGTGCAACCGACAACAAGGGCGAAAAGTTGCCCAAGGCAAGTTTGATGTCCGCCTTAGTCGTGGCCACCGGCGCCGGCTTCACCACCACCAGCTCGCTGCTGTCCTGGCTGCTTTACTCTCTCGTCAACTACGAAGGCATGCAGGAGCGTCTCCTGCAAGAATTGATCGACCACGACATCGACGCGGACACCCAACTCACCGCTGACCTCACCGACAAGCTCACCTTGATGGATCACTTCATCAAAGAGACCCAGCGCCGCCACAACCCCTCCTACCAGCCCGCCCGCACAGCCAAAGTCGACATGATCTTGCCCGGCGGGTACAAACTGCCGCAGGATGCAATCGTCATTCCAGCCCTGCACCACATCCACAACAACCCAGCCGTGTGGGACAATCCCGCGCGGTTTGACCCCGATCGCTGGGACACGGAACAGGTCAAGAACCGCCACAAGGGCGCGTACATGCCCTTCGCGGCCGGCCCGCGTATGTGCATCGGCTTCAACTTTGCTCTGCAGGAAGTCAAGGTCTTCCTGCCCAAGTTGGTGTACCGGTACAAGTTCACCAAGGAGAATGAAGGGGCCGTCGAGTACGACCCCATGTTCCAGCTCATCCGCCCGAACAACTTGTACGTGCGCGCTGAACGCCGCGTGAAGTGGCCGCCCAGGACGGAGGCGTGAGAAAAAAAAGTCTCTATCCACTAGTCAATTGTAATTATAGTATACGGAATACAAGAAATGACATTCATAGCCAAGCAATTTCACCCAATCAAGTGGCGCACATGGCGCTGCCTAGCGGGTTCCACTATTAGTGCCTCGTAATAGCGCCCCCCACCTGGCGGTGAGGGTGCGCTGCACCGGTAGGCCCATTTTCAGCGGTAGGCCCAAATTTTCCATTATCCATCGTTTTTCATCATAACCAGCCACCACCATGCCTAACCAGCCCGAAATTCCGGAATCTCGTGTAATCGAGGCCTGCGAAGCCGCCTATGCCCAAAAAAAGCCGAATTTGTCGAAGATCGCCAAGGAATATGGTGTTTCGTATTACGTGCTGCGGGGACGCGTCCGACGGGGTAAACTGGCTCGCACTGCCCAGAAACCGGTTAATAAGGCTCTTCAAGACTATCAGGAGGAAGCTTTGACTCACTGGATATGTGATATGCGTGATCGCTATCTCCCAGTGACGCCTGCGCTAGTAGAGGAGATAGCGAATCTCTCGCTAAAGCGTGCGGGTGTCGAACCCAAGCTAGGCAGTACATGGGTGTATCGCTTTATTAAACGACTTCCTCAAGGCCTTGATCTTGCCTCGGTAAAGCAAAGAACGAAGGAGTATAAGCGGATCTAGGTAGAGGATAGCGGAATACTAGAACTCTAGTATTCTCGATAGGGGAACGTCGTTAAAAATGTAGCGCCACGGTTGATATATAACGTTGATGAATATAGCTTCTAACCCAGTCGAGGTAAAGCGTAGACGGTAATCGGTGGCCGTATGATGCCTATCCCTGATCTCTGCGAAGCTAAATGTGGCGAAACTATTACCGCCGTCGAATGTATCGCTACTAATAGTTAGTAGATAGATCCACTATTTATCTTTAAGGGCTCGACGTATATAGAGACTTAGTATCATAGCAGCGAAGCTCCTCCACCGCGGACGCTTACGGCTATGTCTCTAAATGGCTGGATCTCTAATAAATTAGCTATTGAATGGCTTCAATACTTCCACAAGGCGACGATTAGTCGTACGTTAAAATGGGAGAAACGTATCTTATTATTCGATGGCTATAGTGCCTACTTCACGAAGGAGTTTCTATAGAGATACGAGGATTATTAGCTTATCTACTTTGCTTTCGAACCTCATTCAACGCACCTCTATTAATCGCTTAATGGAAAGCCCTTTTTAAGCTATAAGCAGCACTTCCGAAGAGAGAATAATAACCTCGCGTTCCTCGCGGGTGAGCCTATCGGAAAGGCTAATTTCCTACGATATATCGCAGATATACGACGACGAGCATTCAACGCATAGATTATTCGTGAATCCTTTAAAGAACGTAGCATTTAGCCACTAAATAGCACGTATATCATCGAGAAGCTTACTAATAGCCAGCTAGAGCTACCAGTGCTTTTAGCGCCTGATCTCCGTACGTATAGGGAACAGACACTATCACCGCCGCCTACATCCTTAAGCGTCGAGAATACACCTCCAAAGAGCATCCAGGCTCTCGAAAAGAACCATAGGAAGCTATCGAAGATAGAAAACCTCACCCCGAAGCAACGGCGAGGCCTACTACGCATCTTCCAGCACAATAAGGTCATCGCGGAACGGGCAGCTCTCTCGAACGACATAATCAGCCAAATGACAGCCGCTCGCGCCCCTCTACGACGGAATTATACTAAGCGGCATATTAAACCACTCGGGCACACTGGTATCCTTAGCGTTCGCGATGCTAATCGGTCAATTATGGATAGGAAGGCAAAAGAGGCTATTCAGGAGAAGAAGCGGCTGGATAAACTACACACGAAGGTCTATGGTAAACCGCCACCAAAACAGCCTACCCAGGAGAGTGAGGCATCTATAGAAGCAGCGAGGGCAGGAGAAGAAGCAGGCGACCTTTTTTACCTAGATCCGAATCCAGCGCAGTGATAATTAGCTGAATAGCATGGAATTGGGCCTACCGCTGAAAATGGGCCTACCGGTGCAGCGCACCCTCACCGCCATGTGGGGGGCGCTATTACGAGGCACTAATATCTCCGAACTTCGGGTTCGGATATATTCACTTCGTTGCTTCATCTCCGTTTTCCTCATCAACCCACCATGGTAGAATCTACGTCTCGGTCGCGCCCGGCGCGCGTCATCGCCAATGCTCTCAACGAGCTGGGCCTCGTCACCATGTGGCACTCCTCGCGCGACGTCAAGTTCCTCTGCGCCCAGCGCTTCGTGCGCCTCTTCGCCTACGGCGGATCCACGCTCATTCTCGCGTCGTACCTGTCCGCCATTGGCATTTCCGATGATCGTATCGGTTTATTCATGACTCTCACGTTGATCGGAGATGTCGTGATTAGCTTCTTTTTGACTCTGTTCGCTGATCGCATGGGCCGCAAGGCTGTGCTGTCCCTGGGTTCGGTGTTGATGGCGGGTAGTGGCGTGGTGTTCGCGCTGTTTGGGAATTACTGGATTCTGCTGGCTGCGGCTGTCTTTGGCGTTATCAGTCCCAGGTACGTGTTTCTTGATCTTTCTTTTGGTGGCCGTTATCGCTCACGGACTTCCCCGCAGTGGAAATGAGATTGGGCCTTTCCGTGCCGTTGAGGAGTCCACGTTGGCTCATCTTACGGCAAGTGAAAAGCTCCCCGATGTGTTTGCGTGGTACTCGCTAGTTGGAACTGCGGGCACTGCCTTGGGACAGCTGATCTGTGGTTGGGTGCTCACCTCGCTGCAGTCTCTGCACGGATGGGAGTTTATCCCCTCCTGCCGGATTATTTTCTTCGTCTATGCGGCAGTCGGCGTGATCAAGTTGATTTTCGCACTGGCACTGAGCGGCAAGGTCGAGTATGTGAAAGAAGAGCCCGCCCAGGAGCAGCAGAATGACGAGACTCGGCCGCTGTTGCGAGACTCTGCTCAAGCTCAGCAGACGGACTCCCCTAAGAAGAAGGGCTTGTTTGCGTCCATTGAGAAGGACCTGTGGTCGCTCGTCATTCGGCTGTTCATTCTGTTTGGATTGGACTCTTTCGCCTCGGGATTGGCATCTCTGTAAGTCATGTAAGCGTGTTTCGGTGAACTCGTTCCTGACTCGGACCAGGTCCTGGATGACATATTTCTTCCACCGCAAGTTCAGCCTACCCGAAGGCGAACTCGGCACTATCTTCTTCGTGACCAGCAGCATTTCCGCCGCATCCATGCTGGTTGCATCGTCGATTGCTAAGCGCATTGGCAACGTGAAGGTAAATCATCATTTCAGGCAATCAAAGTTCATAGCTGATTGTTTTTAGACCATGGTGTTTACCCATTTGCCCTCGGCTGTGGCGCTGTCCCTGATCTCCGTTCCGAACAGCTTGCCATTGGCACTAACCTTCCTGGTCCTGCGCGCTTGTTCCCAAAACATGGACGTGGCGCCTCGATCGGCTTTCCTGGCTGCGGCTCTGCCGTCCGACAAGCGCACGGCCATCATGGGAGCAGTCAACGTGGTCAAGACCACCAGTCAGAGCATGGGACCCCTTCTCACGGGTATTCTGGCTCGGAATGGCATGTTCGGAGTTTCCTTCATCATTGCGGGTATTCTGAAGGTCGTTTACGATCTCGGCATGCTGGTCAGCTTTGCGGGCAAGGAAGCCGAGAAGCGGAAGCAGACCGCGCAGGAGGACGACGACGAGGCTCGCTAAGCTCAAGCATTTTCAGAGTGTGTTTACGAATCCAGCCTGGTGGTTGCGTTGCCAGGCCCACAAAAGCGTGTTTTTCCCCCATTGTCACACTACATTGTAGATGGGACCCCGGTATTTTTAGCCGATGAGAATATAAGACCATACATGTGAAACCTATGCATCGAATTGAAGGGTCTGCCCTGAAAAGAGCAAAGTTTATGGAGTAAATCGCAGCCTTGCACTTTAAATCAAGGCTCCCGCATAACACCGCGTCCACGGATCACGTAGGCAGACGCGTTCTCTCCAGAATTCCCCTCGGCCCGCTTTACCCAATCCGCCCGATTGCAAACGTGGGGACGAACATGTCCTAGGCAACAGACGATAATTATAAAGGGATCGACCGAAGGAATGCCAATCAAGCTTCCTTGGCGGCATTGTCGTCATGAAGAACACCATGTCCGACCCGGAGGTTGTCCTTTTCCTCGACCCTGAGGATCTGTCGGAGCCGGGAAAATCATCTTCGATGAAGTCGAGATCGCGTTTGTGGAAGTGCTCGCATGCGCGTTGTGATGCGCGGTGTTATTCGAGGAAGGCGCTTGTTTGTAGGGCGATCCTCCGGCCTTTCTATGTCCTCGTCTTCATTATGTATGTCCCTTCAATTTTGTGCAACATTACACTTCTAACTATCTACAGCGGCCTCTTTAATCTCTTCAGTTTCACTTGGGGTAGCCTACTCTCCTTCCTCGCAGATGCTCGCGATACTCGTCTCTTCCCGGACTACCGGCCCTCACTTTTCTCGCAGTGGCTAACCCACGGCGTCAGCCCGGTTGCCTGCCACTCACACAACGATTACTGGCGCCATGTTCCCCTCTTCTCGGCCCTCGCGGCTGGCTGCATCAGCGTCGAAGCTGACGTCTGGTTGCACGGAGATGAACTCCGAGTCGGCCATACACCTCACACCGTGCTTCCGGGGCAGACACTACGCAGTCTCTATCTCGACCCTCTGCTGGAGATGCTTCATAAATACAACACGGCTGTAAATGGATCAACAGTCGCAACTGATCTCATGGGCGTCTTTGCTACCGATCCCATGCAGACTCTTGTCCTTCTCGTCGACTTCAAAGCTGACGGAGAACTCATCTGGCCTTATTTGATGGAACAACTGGAACCGTTGCGTGAGAATGGATATTTGACTTACTTCAATGGCTCGGAGGTAATCAATCGCCCCATTACAGTTGTCGCATCGGGCGACGCTCCTCTCGACCGCATCCTCATGAACGCCGCCCACCGCGACGTATTTTACGACGCGCCCCTAGACGTCCTCGCACACTCTGCATTCTCCACCGTCAAGGATATCAAAATGGATGGCTCCATATTCAACGACCATAATAGCTATTACGCCTCGGTCGACTTCCACAAATCCATCGGCTCCCTCCCTCTCAGTCGACTCTCGCAAGGCCAGCTCGCTAAGATTCAGAATCAGGTGCGTGCTGCGCACGAGCGAGGGTTGAAAGTGCGGTACTGGGGCACGCCGAAATGGCCGGTTGGGCTGCGGAATTATGTCTGGCGGGCTTTGGTTCGTGAGGGTGTGGACGTGCTGAATGTGGATGATTTGCACGGCGCGACAAAAGTGGATTGGAGCCAGCGTAGCTGGTGAAGTTGACACTGGATTCATTTCTTGCTTCGCAAACCTCGTATTTCTTTCGACGTTTAATGATGAATGACTCAAAATACTCCCAATACAGTATAGCTTTGTAAGGATCATCGTGTTTTCGGTCTCTTACATACTCGTACACAGGAATGCGCAACGCAACATGAATCATGTAGACACCGGGTCTGCCATATGTCATATACAAATTAAAAGTCATAACCCCCATTCGATTCGACCCCTAAAGAACCATCTTGAAATCCGGGTTGCGGTCATCATTATACCCTGCATACTTATCATACTTTCCGTTCCTCTTGTCACGGTTAACCTTGGCGCAATAGAGCACATTAAACAGAATCCTGGAAATGTTAGTCGTGAAGATCGGAGTGAAATTGATGCACTCACATAAACCACGCAAACACAAGTAAGCCAAGGATGATAGTGTGTCCCCGGTGGAACTGCGGCCCGTCGCGAGAGGGGTAGTTGAAGGCTGTAGGTTCAATGTCAATATCATATAGGTAGATAAGAAGTCAGGATAGCTCACTAGCTACAAATCCTCCAGCATTCGCAATTGCCAGCTGCAATGCCGACGTCGTTGCCCGTTTATAGTGTCCGGCGGAGTTGTTGGACATCCACACCAGGATGCAAGGAACACTGGCGAACTGGCCGGTAGCCATGAGGAACGTCATGCCGTATTGAACACGTGCGTCGTCAATGTTGGCAATAGCTGCGTAGCCGGCGATTGCGATGGGGAGGGTGAAGAGCATTACAACGCCGCGCAGGTGCAGGCGATCCGAAATAAACGCCACGACAACTAAAAAAGTATGAGCATTTTGGAAATAGTATATTGTATCCTAGCATAGTACTCACCGGTGATGACAGCTGCAACGGCATATGGAATGACCGACCAAAGTTGCACTTCGTTGGCATCTTTGGCAAAATCCAGGCTTTTAATGATTGTCGGCAGCTGGGATTTGTTAGACCGTGTCTTAACCACATGTAAGGAATTGGCTTACAAAGAGACCGAAGGAGTACAATCCGGATAGAATCGCAAAATATGCAGTGGCAGAAAGCCACAACTGCACATCCAGGACACCTCGTCGAACTTCAGACCATTTGAATGACTCCACCTCGGTGGCCAATGTCCTGTTTCGGTTAGTATAAGAAGATCGGGCTGCTGGAATACATACCCATTGAGCATTCTAGGGTTATCCATGAGAAGTCTCTCGCGTGCAAAGTCTTTTTCTTCCCTCGTCAAGAACGATGCCGACTCCAATGAGTTTGGAAGAAGGAAGAAACTCAGTGCACCGCAGGCGACGGTCTATATATAATATGGTAAGACGGGATTTCAAAATGAACTGTGACTTTGACTTACCAGTAGACCTTCGATAATGAAAATCCATCGCCATCCCTCTAGCCCTCCTCGCGGGGCAATCGCTGCGAGACCGCGGGCAAGAAGACCTAACATGTTTAACGATCGTCGTTGAGAGCAAGTGATCTACTTACCACCAAAAGCTCCGGACAAAGAAGCTGCTGTATAAAACAGACCAATGCGCAGAGCCAAATCTCCACGTTTATAAAAAGACGACAGGTACAGAACCTATTCGTGGTCAGGTCTCAGAACCGATTCGATCATTTCCAGATGACATACCATGCCCGGTAGCAATCCACCCTCGGCGATGCCCAAGATAGACCGCACACCAACAAATCCGCCATAACTTCTCACAAATCCCAGGCACATGGTAATAATACCCCAGAGGATAGTCAAGAACGGTAGCCACAGTTTAGGCGATGCCTTCTTGAGTATGAGATTGCTCGGCAGCTCGCTGCAGATGTAGAAAAGATAGAACACCGTCAGACCGATATCGTACTGGTGGTCGGTAATGTTGATATCCTTTTCCAGGCCGATGATCTTGGCATTTCCGACATTCGTGCGATCGAGAAACGAGCATAGAAAAAGCAATGCTAGCGTAGGCAGGATCCTGACTTCATTAGTTAACTGCTGGGTGGCTTCGAACGGAATACTCAGGATACTCACCGCGTGTCTAGCTTTAGCAGAATGCGGCGCGTCAATTTATGTTGGTGCTGCTGATCGCCAAAGCGATTGAGCTCGCCAGTCTTGGCTGCTTCGATTTCGATACCCTCGGGTTTGGGTTCCATGATTGACTATGGACGAGGCTAGCGATCCAGCAGACGCAAGAGCAGGGATGCAGCAGACGCAGCAGACGCAAGAGCAGGGAGGACGAAGAAAACATGAGTTCGGGCTACAGTTTTGAGCCCGAGCTGACACCTGCCATGCATGTTTCCCCGCAGTTCCCTGGATTTAGAGTTGCTTGAGGTTTACTTGGCTTTTTATGTGATGCGAGGGTATATTTCGTATCACGCGTGTCATAGACGCCCCGACCGTCGCGGTGTCTCGGTGTTCAAATTTGGATGCCGACTCCGGGACCTCGGGTCTTCAAATGTTCGATGCTCGTCACTTCTCGTCTGCAACTCACACCATGTCGAGGCTCTCCAACAGTCTGAAGGCATTGATCAATGCCCCTGCCGCACGTCCGTCTACCGTGCCGGCTCCGCCTAACATCTCTTCGGTCTTCCGCAAGATCGCGCAGACCGCCCAGGCCAAGAATGTCTCGCAGCCTTCATGGCTCGCGCTGTCTGTAAGTCGAAGCCAACCCTCTCAGCATTGCAACGGAAGCGCAGTAGCTAATGGATTTCATAGACGGCAGCAACAATGACCATGAACTCGCCCGAGTCCCTGGCCGCCCTGTACCAACTGGCCTCCAGCACATCCCCCAACCACGTCGAGACCGCCGAACTCATGCGCGAAGTCGGCCTCAAGTGCATCAGTTTCAACGGTATCCCTCGCACAATCAACTGCCTGGGCGCCTTCAAGGCCAGCCTCCCCGAATCCATCAGCGCCCAACTCTCTTCCACCCCCACCCGCGCCCCAACCCCCGAGAACATCTCCGCTATCAGCGAGCGTGGCCGCGCCCTCTGGACCTCCATCTACCGCCCCTTCGAGAACAAGCTGTACAACAAGCTCGCTGACTCCCACCCGGATCTGCCGGTCGTCATCCTGAACAGCCACTACGGGTCCCTCCTCTCTGACCCCGCCCGGGACACCGGTGCGGCGGCCGGCCGGGTGCTGACGTCCATCGTTGCCGTGGCATGTCTGCGCGCGCAAACTGGCGTGGGCCCTCAGGTGACGTCGCATGTCTTTGGACTACGTAAGGCTCTCGAGGATGGGTCTTGGGCTAGTGATGTGGAAAGCGAAGAGGGTGCCCGCTGGTTGGCTAGTGATGAGGGTAACGAGTGGATTTTGAATAGCGTTGATTCTATCGTTGAGGCCATTAGCCAAGGCTCCGGCTCGACATATGCGCCTGGAAAGGCTAAGTTGTAAAGTTCTTAGTTGAAATTTGTATATACTATCATGATAGAATGATTGCAATGTCATCGCGATGTTTTGCATTGGACTGAAGTCTGTATGTTCCAATTTGTTTAAATTTCTCTATGTGCAAGGTGTCTATGTCTCTACTCCATGATCTCCAGGTTCTCAGCCACATTGAACTTGGCGTCTGTCTTACTGCGCACTTCTTCCACCTCCACGCCGGGAGCGAGCTCCGTCAAGGTGAGCTGGCCAGTGGCTCGGTCGACCTGGAAGACGCACTACGAGTACTGTCAGCTGCGTTCTGATTCACGGGATACTTCAAGAATTCGACTTACCAAATCAGTGATAATCGTGCTCACGACGTTGGCTCCCGTCAACGGCAGGCTACACTTCTGCACGACCTTGGGGGATCCATCCTTGGCGACATGGCTGGTGGCCACCACGATCTTGGTCAGGTCCGGGTTGGAGATCAGGTCCATGGCACCGCCCATGCCCTTGAAGACCTTGCCCGGGATCATATAGTTGGCCAGATCACCGTTGGCGCTCACTTGCAGGGCCTGTACAATAGGTTAGCAACGAAAGCAACGAGAAAGTACTGAATGGAGGTGCACTTACGCCGAGAATCGACACATCCACATGGCCACCACGGATCATACCGAACGACTCGGTACTGTCAAACGTGGCGGCGCCGGGCACCAGAGTCACGGTCTCTTTGCCGGCGTTGATGATATCCGGGTCAACCTCTTCCTCTGTGGGATACGGGCCCTGAATCGAGTCAGCATATGAACCTCACCTCAATTCTCAATTCCCTGAGACATACCATTCCCAGAATTCCATTCTCCGACTGAATCCAGACCTTGACGTCCTTTGGCAAAAAGGATGGTGCCAGGGTGGGGATACCTTGAAAATTGTCAGAGAGCAGTACATTCAACTCGGTTCTCAACACTCACCAACGCCCAGGTTCACGTAAAATCCCTGCTTCAACTCCTTGGCCGCCCGTCGACCAATGCGCTCTCTCTGGATCTGCGCCTCGCCCTTTGCTGACTCGCCCGCACCCTCGTTCTCACGCAGCTTCTTGATCTCAAGGTGCTTCTCGTCCGTGGCAGGAACAATCCGGTCCACGAAAATACCGGGTAAGTCCACATCATTGGGATCGATCGATCCAATAGGGACGATATTCTCTGCTTCCACGATAGTCAGAGTTGCAGCCTTAGCCATGATCGGACCAAATGCCTTGGTGGTGTATCTGCCGACGTCAGCAACTGGAATCAATTATAAAAGCACGGCAAACATACCGGAAAACACAATTTCCAGCCTCATCGGCCTTCCACGCCCGCAGAATTGCCACGTCTCCCGTCAAGGCAGTCTCCATCAGATACGTCTTGCCGTTGAACTCGCGGGTCTCGCGCGGCTTGCCCGACTCTAACACCTTGCCAGCCTCGTCCATGCGAACGGGAATCTTTCCCTCCTGGATAAATGTGTCTTCGTCGATATCAGCATATAGCTCGGTGTCATGCAGCGGAATAGACTTACGAACTCCGGTCGGAGTAAAGAATGCCGGGATCCCTGCACCGCCGGCACGCAGTCGTTCAGCCAGTGTTCCCTGCGGACAAAGCTCGATGGCGATGTTCCCAGATAGGTACTTCTTCTCCAGGGCCTTGTTATTGCCCAAGTATGACAGAATCAATCGATTCAACTGCCCGTTCTGAGACAGCGTCGACAGCCCGCCCTTGCCCGCCGCTCCGGCGTTGTTCGAAACTGCCGTGAGAGAGTGCAATTGGTCTTTCCCACGGCGGCCCATGGCATTGATCAATGTTTCTGGTCACCTTGTCAGCAGAGTCCATCCCATCCATCGATCATGCAACTCACCCGCAACACCGCAAAGCCCAAACCCAGAACTCAAGATCGTTGATCCACTCTTCACGTCCTTAACCGCCTCGTCGGCATCTTTATACAGTTTTGATCCACCCCTCTCAATCTTCGGCGCAAGAGTCTGTGCCGGTGCAGTGGAGTATGAGTATGAGAGTGTCTTCGGGGTTGCCAGTGCCGGGCGCAGACCGGCGCGAGCACCGAGATAGATGCGGGGTCTGCACGACACGAGCGCCTTGCGCGAGAGTGATGTCGTGGTAACTCGCAACGCTGCCATTATGTGCTCTGCGAAAGAAGGTGTGAAGATGGGGCGCGTTCGATATTAATGCTGAGCTACTTGCCGGGTGACGACACTTCGGAGCTACTTTTGAGCGCCGAGTGGCGGGTGCCGCCCTCCGAGTCAGGTACGCTTTCTTCGGTTACTTGGGTCGTACGGTATTCGGCTCTTGATGTAGAAATGGAATAAATAAAGATCTTGAGCTTAATAATTATCAGACAGATGGTTCAACCGCGAAGTCGCCTCCGAATGCGCTCCCATTTTACGCGTGTATGAAATTTGCTGTTGAGAATGGGACGCAGAGGGCAGTTCAAGTGGAAGTAATTTCAGTCATTATCATAAGGTTTTCATGTGCAGGTCCTTGCAACTCTTGCTATATACATTCCGGTCGCCAAGAGTGATGACGTTAAGTGTCGCAGGCGGAGCCTCTGAGCCTCGCTGAACGGTGGGCCACCCATTCCTGGTAAAAGACCGTCTTGGCTGTCCCTAGTTCCTGCCCCAGAGTCACTCATGCAGTCCTGATGGAAGGTTAAAGCCGGTCAACGCTCTAAAAGTTGAAATCGGGGTTGGCAAAATCAAGCCAGTCCCAACTAAGCATATTGTCGAAAGGAACGTCTGGGATCGATGCTCCAAACGCACTGCCGGCACGATTGACCGCATCGATAATTTGATTATCGGACATGGAGGAGAACTGCATCGGCTCGGTCCAGAGATCTCCTGGAGGGAGAGCCTGCGATGTTGCCAACGCCTGCTCACCCAGACTGGTGGGTGGTATCACCGGATCTGGAATATCTAGTGGCCGACGATTAGGTCGCAGCTGAGTGTTGGGCATATTGGGTCCTCGTCGAATCAACTCGCGCAAGAATCTCCCATATAGCACCGACGCCCCGCCACGGTGACTCGGGGTGGCTCCAATTCGTTCCAGGACTCCTGCGGTCTCTTCGATCAGAGTTCGGACACTCGGAGCCAAACTCGACCGACTGTCGCCTGGTGTCACGCTGAGACTGAGTGCTGAGCATGCCGCGAATGAGATCATGATGACCGTGTTGTTCGGCATGGATTTGAGTCGGCCTTCGCCTTGAATGGCGGCTCGGAGAACGTTGAGGGCGGAAGATAGTCCCGCTGCGCGGAAGAAGCGCTTTACTTCGAGGGGCGCTGTGGGGTGATTGATGACACCGCCGTAGGTGGATAATTGAGTGTGCGTCACCAAAATCTCGACATATGGTGGAAGAGAACGCGCTGTAATCTGTCAGCTTTTGTAGATATGATTGTTCAGACTGGAACCTACCTCCACCTTCGCCAATTGCTAATGCCCACGTTGCGTACCAGCGCTCGTAGAAACTTTCTATGGTCTTCTTAATGCTATCAAAAAATCAGCTGTGTAAAACGTGAGATAAACTCTTCCGGTCACATACGTTTGGGCAGCTTCAGATCCGGTGTCAACGATCCGATAGCTATCACAGCTCGACTTGACTTTTCTGAATAGATCATCCTTCAGGGTCGTTAGCACGAAGATCTATACTTCAAATGGTGGTACTTGCCAGATCTCTTCGCAGGACTGCCATCGAGTTCATGGGCCCGTCACGCCGATCTGCAATGTCTGTCCGATGCCATGTATCGCAATTCTCAATAAGTGATGTTGAGGGAACAGTATAATTTCGCCCTCGAGCAAGGCAAACACTGGAACCTGGTCAGAAAGAGTAGTTAACTTCAACGGTGGCCAGGCTTACCCTCTCTCAACAACGAACAACGCAATCCAAGTTCTCTCTCGTCTTCGAAGCAGTCGACGACCCCACTCCGAGTGAGGGTCAACATCGTCGAACCCATCCATGTGCATTGCTCTCTTCGCATCGATGCAGTCGGCCCGAGGAAGACGGTTCAGGAGACTTAAATCGAAACTTGAAGACGGCGTGACGATCTTGTTCAACGACAGGTCCAAGGCAACGGTGAGTGCCATGGCTATATATGAGCAAGTATCGTCGTCTCCTAGTCGGTCTCCGGGAGGCATCCACGGGACATTCACCATGAAGGCGAGCACTATTTCCACTGACCTATAGCGATGGGTCACCACCCGCTTCGCAAGCCACTTGCAATGTCTTGATAGCCTATTCGACAATGCAGCGGCAGAGGGCAAGAAGAGCGCTGCGACAGCCATAATTGAGGTAAATAGGAAAGCGGACTGAGCGCGCACAAAACGTGGCGTGTGCACGAGGGGATCCAGGCCCCATCGTGTATGCGCAAGGTTCTGGTAAAAGCTGAAAGCCATTAGTAACCCTCGTCGTTGCGGGTTCAAAGAACTTACAAAGAGAACAAAGATTCTGCCTCGTCAAACGTAACAAGCCCCAAATCAATAGGGTCCAATTCAGTCCCAATATCCAGGTGAGCTCTGGTTGGAACGAAGAATGACTTTGCACTCAGCTCAAGCTCACTGCTCTCCTGTGGCAACGACGCTACCGACGGAAGCGGAGACTTTGGGACATGTCGCACGCCTGTGGGAGACAACTGAAGATCCGATGCTCTGGCAAGGAGCTGGAGAGGATTCTCCGCATCATCGAGAGCAAGACTTTCCTCTGCACTCGTATCCCGAGACGGAGGTGGCAGATTGCGAGACATATCAGGGCTCTCAAAAGCATCTTCACTTTGAAGCTGCCCCTGGAACCGAATGAGCAGTTCCTGCAGGCCCGAAATGGCCTTTTGTGCATCATCCGGTCCCGACGCATCGACCTTTGGCCGCTTGATGGCCTGCTCGATCTGATGGATAGCCTTCTCGAGGCCTTTTCGCTTGCTACCAAAGTCAACTTACACGTCTCTATTTTAGGGCAAATACACTTACTTCTTCACCCCCTTCTGCCGCCCGAGATGGTGGCTCGGCACGATGCAGTCGGCATCCGCCTGGCGACACTTCTCGCACCGCGCATGGCCCGCCGGTCGATTGCAGCGGATCTTGCTGCGACGACAGTTCAGACATGCCGGCTGTTTTGAAGGGCCGGTGGAGCTGCCCTGTCCGTCCATCGGTGCGCTGTCGAGCCTACCATTCCCCTCCCCTCCCTGCCTGATCTCTTAGGCCAAATTACCTAAACAAGCTTAGGCTAATAAATATATCACCGCTTTTCTCACCGCTTTAATTATTCTCTAAGTAATTAGGATACAAAAGATAAAGCCGAACAGACTTATAGTTGTTGTTTTTTAAATATCGCATTTACTATGGTGTTTTGAGGTGGCCGGCTCGCTTACCGAATACGTTATTCACATAACCCACTCCTATTCTCCAAACTACTTCTTTCTCCATATCGAGGACCCAACACTCAAACACCTCAATGTCAGCCGTCTACTGGCCCGGGGGCATTCCCCGCGAGATCAAACATCATTCTAAAGCAGATCTATCTCAAGACGAGCTCAGGGAAGAAGTTAAAGGCTGGCTACTCTTCGTTGAAGAAAGCTGGGTTCCACGCGACCAGGCCAATACCAGCGACGACGACAAGGAGTACGAACTACGCTAACGCCGAGCCCTAGTTAAAAAATGGGCTTCCGAGTCGCAAATTTTTCGTGATGTTAGACCAACCCCATTATTTTCAAGCGTTTATTGAACGGAAATTGATGCTATGATAGTCGTTCCAAGACCGCGCCTCTGGCAATGATCTTAACTACCCGCCTGAGGCGTTAGAACATGTGTCCGATACTCAGCAGCCTTGTGAAACGAGGCATGTCATTTCTATTGCACCGGTTGATGAGTCGCATCCCGTGAACCGGGCGCGATGGGTCAAACTCGCGATTCTGTTTTATCGTTACGATATTGAATCGGGGCACTGTCTCCCTTTCGATAACGTCCTCCCCACGGCGGCGGTCTTAAACCCAGAAACTACCAGTACCTACTCAGTTGAAGATTTTCTTCCCTGGTATTGCTTTGAGAATGCCTACTCTCCAAGTATCCTGATGGAACGCACTGGAACGGTAATCTATCGTCCTCATGAACGATACTTTTTGATAGTTGATGAGGAAGGTTTAAAAACCGGTCGTTTCGCAGTCGTCGATTTTAACAGTGATGGGACCGTTAAGGACTCGGTTCCCCTGCGTCCTTTCAATATGTATCATTTCGCAAACGATGTCTTTTTACATGGGAGAGCAGGTGTGCAAGAGATACGTGAGAGACCAGGTGGTCATGGACATCAGAACCAACCGTGCGTTTCGCCTTGCGCTTTCCCTTTTTGAGCCCCTCATACTAACGTAGTGGTGGAAATAGAATGGATATGGATCTACCTATCGTGGATATTCTAGTATCAGTGGCGGAACCGAACGGCCCACCCGCTCCGCAAACGATATCCTGCGACCGTGAACAGTTCACGAAAGATATTGAATTCTATGCGCCTGGATACTTGGCACTTGAAGCAGCTGGTAAAGGCGGGGAGTATGATCTCAGTCGCCTGACTGAGCCCGACGATATCCCATTCGATAGGAAGCCGTCGTATCAGAGAATGATGGCGGATCTCATGGCTGGCGGACGCCCCCTTTTTGAAGACATCTTCGGTCTTGAACTCTCTATTGGTTTCTAGTTGGCATCGTTATAATGAGAACTTCAGACGGTGCTTTAACGATAGTAGAGTATACATGGACTTACAATTTTATCAAGAATTTTCACTAATGGTCGTTTTGTTTTCTGTGTTCGTTCAATTCGATGAACCTGGGCAGACTTTGTGCTTCTGAATTATATTACGCGACGCGCGAGTTGTTTCAATCATAGTAATATTGGCAACGTTGGATCCAAGCACTTTCATCCCTGAAATGGTAGAGCACAAATGTAGCAGAACTAGACAAGCTCGGGTTGTATCGGCGACGGGCGTGTTTATAGTCTTTGAAACTGTGATCACCGCGATTGCCCCTCGGAGGTCGTGAGATACCTAGCTCAAGGTTTGTCAACTCCTGGTCGTCGCCTATAACGATCGCTTTGGAATGACTTGACATCGTGATCCTAGTCGGCACGCTAAGGGGAGAAAAGTTGATACAAGCTAGCCTAGGAAGAGGGAAAGATAATATTTAAGTATGCTCCCACTAGGAATGGAGGCCTTTTATATGCCTAAGAACCGACGGGTACGGAGTCAGCGACGGTAGGTAATTGGACACTGGTACGATCGTAATATTTCAAGCTATACACAGCTGCTTCCCCGGATCGTCGCACGAGTCAGACTCGGTTATCGGCTGGTCAAGGGGAGCTCCAGTCATCCTTTTTTAATTTTGGTTTATAGTTCCATTTTTGTCTGGAGCTTTCACCAAGCCCTGCCGGGCTAGCTCAATCGGTAGAGCGTGAGACTCTTAATCTCAAGGTTGCGGGTTCGACCCCCGCGTTCGGCTATTCCTACAAATAACCTGAGATATTTCTTTTTTGCCCCTCTTTTTTTGGTTAAGTCAAGTGCGATTTCTTTTGGGTAAAAAATGTCAAAGGTATTTTTTGGGTCTCGATTGAAATCAAGGCAGTTGTCGAGAATATAGTTGCTAAAATGGAATCCAGGAAACGTGTCGGAAGCATAAAAGTGCTATGAAATCGACCGATGGTCAAAATGTATATATTCTAGGTAAGGATCCTTCATCTAGATTGTCCATTATAAGGGAAGACACGAGAAGAAATCATATAATGTAACACATTAAAGATTAGAAAAACTAGCTATGAGGTATATAAGTCATAAGAAACGTGGGTGGAGCATGTATATCGCTCGATATTATAAACAAAGCATCTATCTCCCTTTTCTCAAAGACTGAATTGAATCAATGCGCCCGGCCAATCTCTTCACCCTGACTCGCTGCTCTTTCCGGGCTCACTGATCCATCCTGACTCGCTTCTCCTCGACCAACTGCCCCATTTCGGCTAACTTCTTCCTCCCGACCACCAGACGAAGCAGCAGGAGGCCCAGGAACCAAAGGCACCTGAGTCGGATGCTGCACAGGACTCGGCCCCTGTTCCATCTCCGGCCCAGCACGAGCGCCTGCTGCCATCGGAGACCCCCACATAGCAGACTGAGACGGCGAAGCATTCAGCAACGGCGGCCCAGCATCCTTCCCAGGCCTCTTGCTCTGCTTAACACGCGCCGGCGCAGGTCCAAGCACATCGGGATACTTGAAACGGAAGCCCCAGATGATGAAAAGCTTAAACTTCGTCCATGCACTCGTATCCCTCCACTTCTGCTGCAAGAACGCCGCATCCGCTGCATTGCGCGAGCGATAGCCCTTGCGGAAACAGCAGAGACAGAACAGCGAAACGGGTATGAGCATGAACGCCCACGAAATGGGGAAGCCGCGCCGCGTCTGCCAGCCCGTCATGAGGCGTCTGAAGCGGAACCAGGCTTCGATAACGCCCAGGAGGAAGAATAGGCCTACCCAGCCGAGAATGCAGATGAGGATGATTGCCAGAGGGGAGATGCCCCACCACGGGTCATTGTACCAGGCTCCGTCGTCGCCGTCGTCGCCGTAGTCATAGCCGCATTCGCCGCTACTCTTGTATTGGCACTTTGAGCCTTCGTATAGGCCTGTGGGACGGGATTGGTCGCTTAGGCAGGCAAGGCTGGCGTTGGGGATTTGAGTGGGTTCTACCCAGACGTAAAGGTAGGTGTATGTGGTAGGCGAGAAGAGAGTGGATGTCTTGTCCACGGAAAGAGAGGTCGATGTGGCGGTCTGCGGTAGCAATGCCCCGACAACGGTGTCGGGGGGAGTCACCGTGGCGGTGGTTGTAGTGGTCCATTGTGTAGAACAGCCTGTAGGTGCGGTGTAGGTGAGGTTGACCACGTAGATCGTACTCTCGTAGAGGCTATCCGCACCACCGTAGGCGAGGTCGTAGGCGGGCGTGCCTATGGTAGCGGTGTATAATTCATTGACGATGGTGACATCGCCGTTGTAATATCCGCTGTCGATGGAGCTGTATTGAGATACAGGCTCGGGCAGCGGAGTGATGGTCGGTCGAACTTCCTGGTTGACGGTGGTCACGTAGGGCGTAACGGCCGCAGAAGAATAAATATTATCATAATCAAAGGGATAACTGGTGATGAGTTCTTCTTCCCAGTAATCAGTCACGATCCAGGGAGCTGCGCGAACGAGTGAACTGTAGATAACGAGCGTCAAGAAGTACAGAAACGAGCGTGCGGGCGCCATGATGAGCCCTGAGTTTTCTCCAGCAAAAAGCAAGCCACGGCGGCGGCACAGGTTTTATTGCCAGTGCCATCAGACGCCAAGGTATCGCGGGACCCCAACTAGGGACTAGGGGGCCCTATTTTGGTGGTCGTACAAGCCTCAAAAAATCTGTTTAGGGTATGGTGGAAATCACACGGCCCGTCCTATTGGCCTATGCAGGGCCCGATCCTACCTATCCACCGCCACGGTCTCGGAAGTCCAGCCCGTTCTGGATTTGTGCCTCTGCGGCTAGTGCTCGCTTACTTTTGCCTCGGAACGAAATGTAAATTTTCTCGACTGAAGAAACCGGAAATAGACATTTAGACCTACTCTGAATTGTGATTTTCCTTGGGGCAATTAATGGTGCAATACTTTCCTAGTAAAGACTCGTGGGTGGAATTGCTAGCATAAAACTAAAACGTCCTTATGGGAAATACCGGCAATAGCTGTCACTATGGGTAGAAGTTCACAAAGGCTGCCTTTTAAATAGTGGAATATCTTTTTGATTCGTCTAGGAGGATGTGTAGAGAGATATTGAGAGAGTTCTGGATGTTTAGAAATCTATCGAGAAAGGAAAGATTCCCTCAGGGCTAGAAAGACACCAAAGAAGAAAGTGCACCGGAAAAGCACTATTCAAGTGCCTCCCAAGACGTCCACTGGCTCTCACTAGACCTTCTACTCTTTGGCCCTTCATTTTCGGGTGTGATAGCCTGGGCATGTCGCTTTTTGTTCTTATATGCTCTCTCATACCGCTATAGTATAAGAATGACGGCCCTTTCAGAACGCATTACAAGTTGGGCTTGAAGGCCAATGATGATGATTTTGGAAGGAGGAGCACTTGCTAAATTCCACTTACACATAGTACTATGGTATTCCAGGAGAAGACCATAGCATGTCCTCTACGCGCTTTGGGCCGGGGGGCTAAACAGAGCCAGCACCCACTGTCTTGAGATCTCTTCGGTCGACTTTGTCATGTTGAGTGAGTAGAAAATCGATGGATAGAGTATGAATAGTATGAATATGAATATACAGCTTTCTTTCAACGCCAATATCCTACCAAGACAGCAAAACCGGGAAATAATCAAGACCACTCCCAAGCGCGCAAAATGCCATAACATCGTAAGTTGAGACCGTGATCCTGCTACCGTCAGAACCTCCCGTAATCCTCTACATGAGAGGATGTACGCACAAATCATCTAGAGAGAAAGAGAACCGGTCATCAGGACAGTCAACTCAGTTGGCAGCCCGTAACGCCCGCAATCTCGCACCAAGCCCGTCCTCAGCCTCCGCATCCGGCTTGACGGGCTCAGCCTGCTGCTGGATCTCCTCGGGTGCCTTGCCAGACTCCAGCGCCATGCGCATATCAACTCCCGCATCGTCTGCCAACTGCTCCATCATCCGATCCACCTCCGATTCTCCCTCCGCACCGTACTCCTGCATCGAGACTCCCTGCGCAACGTCCTCGATCGCACTGCTCGCAATCTTAAAGTCTTCGGACCGGGCGAGGAAGTTGTTCGCGTGCGATACCAGGTGCTCCAGGTTGACACTCTTCGAGGCTGCGTCCAGACCCCGCGAAGCGAGCGCCAGTGTCCGGGATGTGTCGCGCGTGCTCTGCGCGGCTTTGAGCTCGTTGATGATTACGTCGGCTCGGGCGGCTTCTGATTTGAGGGTCACCTGGCGGCGTTTCTCGCGCACTGCTGAGGCCGCGTGGATTCGTGCGATTTGGAACTCGCGGTTTTTCATCGCCTTGTCGGCTTTGGCCTTTTCAGATTTGAAGGTTGCCTCGGCCCGTGCGGCTTCTTTCTTTAGACGATTGGAATGGAGCTGGATGGAGCGGTGTTAGTGGTGAGGCTGGGTGATGTTTGCGAGCGCAAGCGGAATCGGTGCGATGCGGGGGTGGGGTGGATGAGACTTACCTTGACATTGGTGCGGGCTTCGAAGATGGGATCTTTGCGGACCATGGTGCCGGTAGTGTAGGCAATGCCTTTATATTGTAAAAACGAGGAAGAAGAGAGTCTGGGGAAGATGAGAAGACCGGGGCCGAGAGGGGAAGTGAAGGATAGCGCGTGGCAAACGTCACCGCATTCAGCGCATTCTTTAGCGTCGCCCTATTTTCGCTCGCACGATTCCACGCGGCTCCATAGGAGTCATTTCTGTCTCCGTTCTAGCGAGACTTCGTTTTTAAAGACTTAGGCAGCGATATTCCCAAACAGCTCATATTCGCCACGGCGGTGGCCGGACTCAACGCCGCTTCCACCTCTACAAGGAAGGTCTACAAGCCTACAATGCAAGAACAAAACATTCCGGTAGATATCAAAAAAAAACGAGCCAGTCATTTTTTTTTTTGAATGGTAAAAATCACTAGTGTACAGTAGAACTCCAGGAACTCCCACTACTCCGTTGAACCTTTCCGTAACTGCGTCGCCGGCCGGATTTGGACTTCATGGTGAGTGCCCGACGGTGCCGTCGCGACTGGTCGAGTCTATCGATTGCCCAAGCCAATGTCAACAACGACTCCCAACTCGGTCGGCCCTCCGGGGCGTCGACCGACCGAGTCTGCGCGGAGAAACGCTCACTAACCGCTAGCTGCAATGCTCTGCCCGTCGCATCGCGAAGTGGACGCGCCAAGGCTGGGCTGCACGCTAGCAGTCGAGTGAGAAGTCTCATCCGGAAGACTGGTCGAGTCGGCACCTTCGAGGGCGACAGACTCGGGGTCGAAATCAACCAAAGAATCAAAGGGAAATGCTGATAGATCTCCTCCGTCGAGAGGGCCAAAGGTAAACCCGTCTTCAGGGAATGAAGGACTTGACTCAGAGGGTGAATTACTGTTGAATAGGCGGCGGAAGTCATCGTCAGAAAGAGGAGCTGCAACATCATTTGCAGCGTCAGGTTCGATGCCCGATCCGAGGTCGAAGAGAGGAAGGGCGCCTCCAGCTCCTTCGAGGCCGGCGACGGACACTGCAGGTCGCACAACACCGCTGCAGGATGTTGTGTCACGTCGGAGGCCTCAGCCAGAGTGGAGGGTTTGAGGGTCGGGGAGTAGTCGGTGGCGGAGGGAGTAGGGAAGGGGATGCGTTCCATCGGGAGGTCTTCGCCTTCCTGCTTGAACAGGGTGGGCGTGAGGGTGGGGGATTCCATGACGGGCGAGCCCGCCTTGGGGGTGGTGCTGCGAGAGCCGCGCACCTCGGCGGAGAGCTGGGCCACCTGTTGGGACAGGCGGTTGTTCTCGGCCTCCATCTGCGACAGGCGCTGGATGAGGAACTGGTTTTGTTGTTCCATGCGGATCTTCTCGGTCTCTAGCTTCTCCATCTCGAGTCTCTTGCGCTCGCGGGAAGTCTGAGCCGCAGCGCGGTTCCGTAGAACGCGCTCGATCCGCCGTTGTTCCTTCTCATCATCTGTCTTGGCACGTTTTCTGCAAGAATTAGCGGATGCTCCTCGAAGGAGTGGAGAAGAGCGGAGCATACCGTGGTGGGAGGTTGGTCTTGGGCACTGGGAGTTCCTGACCCCAGGACTTTCTCTTCTTCGCGGGCTTTTTCTCATCTTCCAGGATGTCCTCCGGCTCCGGCGAGTCCAGTGATGTGTCCGCGGGGGATACCGTCAAGTGGAGCTCGGGAGACGGGGATACTGATAATGACTCCATGGGGTTGATTGTGTCTGTCATGGTGGATGGCCGGTGCCAGTCTGAACGAGGGGAGAAAGTGACTTTCTATGCAGAGCAGTCAAGGCCACGTTGTCATCACGAACAGGCACCGGAGATCCAAGATCCGGGGAAGGTGTGAGTCAGCGCGCGAGAAGGACACTTGTTCCTTGGGGTGAGGATGGGCTGAAAGCGGGCGAAGGCAACTGTTTAAGTAGAGGCCAGCGTGGTCTCAGCCGACTTCATCCCTGGTCCGCCGGTGGGGGGGGAACAAAGGAGGCCGGGTACTTCTGGCTCCATAGTTAACAACGTGTAAACGGAGGTACCTTTCACTCGTCAGCGCGGGCCCCCTGCGCCCCTGGATTCCACGGTTCGCGGGTCCAGTCTCACCTGTCTCTCTTGTCACTCGTCTGTCGGTCTCCGTATTGGTACACCACTTGGCCCTACTATGAATAGCTCCTGGCCCCGGCCCCCAGGGGCCCCCTAGGCCCCCAATTCCCGATGTTGGGTGTCATCCTCGCTGGGAGTAAGAGTAACACTGCCACCCTCGTCACTACGGACTTTGTCCTAGAAATTCGATTGTATCCGTCTCTACAGAATACTGTTTTGCGACTGTATCTGGAACGAGGTGGAGCCCGTGTTGCGCACTTCCTGAAGTCTGCTCGAGTTCGCCTTCATCTCCGTCCGGAGAATGTGTCCCCCCTCATATCGCCACCCTGACCATCCGGCCCCCGTTGGACGGTTGGAATGCAACTCCTGAAAAGGCCCCCTATTCGCATGCACATTGGCGGAGTCACCTCACCCCACCGAATGGCGTCGAACGATGCGGAACCCTCGGCGGGGCTGGATCCGTCTCAGTCCCTCTCCCAGGACTCGTCAACAGAAAAGGAGTGACTCCTCTACGTAGATGACGAGCAGATCACTTTATTCTTGGATGCTTTTTTTCAACGATCAGTCAAGCTGCAGGTTATTGCGACTTCACTCGTCCAGAACCAGGGAAAATCCCACAGTGACGAGCACGGAGTACCTTGAAGATGTTGTCTCAGCATTGACCCCGTCGGAATCCGTTCGATATGGTGGGATTCATATGTCGCACTAGAATATAATCTCGGCCTGTTACACGCCAATACTAGACCTCCGAAAGGTCCGTTCTTTAATTTAACCTTTTGTTAAGCGGGTCTGTCAAGTCGGTTGATATTTAAGTGTCTGAGTGCTCGGAGCTATGCAGTCCGCGTCGACTGCGCCATTAATTCCACGTATCATGCATCATAGCCATATTGGTGACCCATCGATGCAGTGGGAAGCAACCTCTCATTCGTACATATGAACTTCCCCCTGCATTAGTTTCAACGCATCTACAGTACAGTACCTGTAGTCGCCGAGCAGACCTGGGCTCGTCTCTGAGGAGACCAGCGCACGGACCGGACCAATGATCATTATGTAAGCTCGTTGATATGCTCTCTGAGCAAGGGCCGAGCAGTCTGATCCACTCTCTAATCCTGGCCTGAGGGCTCTGATGTACTCTCTGAACGCAGCCTAAGCAGCCTGCAAGCGTCTAAAGAAGCTACTTCGATAAGTACACGACGCTATCCCCGACACAGGCAATCCCTCCTTTTTAGTTTGCCCTAATTGTGATACGGCATCGTCAACAGGACCGTTTATTCTCGTAAAATTACTTCATTCGAAGAGGGATTAACGGCAGAGTGCTTATGGAAAAGCCATAAAATGTTTTGAAACTCCTCCTCTTGCGTAATTGCTCTTTCCATGATGGCTACAAAAACGCTTCGATTTTTGACGGTCTCTCAAGTCCAGCGACTTCATGCGAGGTCTGTCGTCCCCAATGCCGTTCCGTTCCAGCCAAGCATGCTGGAGTCTGCAGTCCATTCACCAATGAACATGAAACACTATGCAAAGGGGGAAGATGTTTTTCGACTTGCTCAAAAAATAATGAAAAACCTTGCCTTTCAGGACGGGAACAAGCGCCTTACTGGCCGCTGATATGTTCTTAAAAATCAACGGCTTCTTCCTTCAGAAGGTACCAAATACCATATCAAATGGCGGCTGCAGAAAATCTACCTTGGCGTCACATATCCTTCAGCTGACGGAGTACACTTTTGAGATTCCGTCCAGTAACGCTTGCATTCTCAGCAAAATTTGCTAAATAGAAATTCTAATCAGTTTCCGTAAGAGGAAGGATTGGTGACTGGATTATACCATCAAGAGTTCCATCTAGAACTATCTCGTGCATCTTTCCGCTCAAGAACAAAGTTGCAGGGCTTGTATTTGACTCTGTTTGGCGGGGAATTTGGCTTGGGGCGTAGAGGCGGGGATAAGTTGATGATCCTAGTATTGAACACAAACTATTAGCCTCAGCTATAAAACCCTCGCACTATAGCAACTTACCAGACCCAAAGTGCTGAGAATCGTGAAAGAATTTAAGTTTACAACGGTCCTCAGCATAAGCTGCAGAAGTTGATGTAGAGGGACTGGCAGCACGGAGTGCACTACCAACCCCTGGATCAATCAAAACATAAGCTTGTCCCGGATTACCAACGATAACGGGCACCTTCCTGGAAACCAAACTCCCTCTCGCATCGTGGGTAATGAAATCTGTTATGACCCGATGAAAATGCCGCGCGGTACGAGCGCTTCTGATGTACAAGGAAGAGAAAGGTCGTGAAGCACTGCGAAACATATGGGTTCGGACTAATTGGGGGCTAAAGTTAGTGAAGTGATGTAATGAGACAGGATATTTACTTCGCATTTGCGCATTTGCGGTGTATAATGAGCTCTCTAGATAGCAGAATGCATACTCATGATGAAGGCTTATGGGTGGCTCGACTAGCCCCAGTAGTCCCAATGGGCCGCGAAGGTGTCCTCTCTGCAGTGACGTGGAAAGAAGTCGAGTGGCCGGTCTTGGAGCCGGCCCAGGGCCAGATGACTGGCTGGCAGCTGCCAGCGCCCAACTGCGAGCCGCGACGTCCCCGGCAATGGACCGTTTAATTCCGATCCTGACGTCTACGACCTCGCCCAGGAAAGTGCTATTTTTCGCAACCTGGTTTACTGACGCGTGCCAGAGATGGAGGTAGCTATGAAGCAGATAAAGAGGACGCTATGAGTGCCTAAACCCGGACTCGATTACCATTTACGCCCATCCCGCTGTCATAGTCATTGAAGTCCAAGGGGTAGGTTTTGTGTGTTATGACACACATGTTTCGAGACTACCCGGGTATCATAAAAATACAAAGGAAAACAGGTACTCCTTTATTTTTGTATTGTTTATCAACCCGCGGGTTCAACCAACAACCGCCGAGGAATGGAAACGGCCCGGACCCGCCCCGTTTACCCACGTGGGTATTCCCTTAAGCGGGGCATTGGAAGCGGCAGCGGTGTTGGTGTAATTCATAACCAACACCGTTTGAGCTGTAGAGCTCCAACCGGTACGTCTACAAGGCCCGTCTACAAGGCCCGTCTACAAGGCCCGTCTACAAGGCCCGTCTACAAGGCCCGTCTACAAGGCTTAGAGCTAGTTGTTTAGATGTCATGCATTCCATTCATATCTCCTCATCGTCCCCGAATTCACAACTCGATGGCAAACCCCATTTCTGTCCATCATCCTCTTCCGCTGTGAACGCATATCTGAACATGAAGCTTCCACCAACTACTCTTAGAAGCCTTACGGAAGGATACTTGCCCCGCATCAGCTTGGCTGGTGGGGAAGACCTAAGGGCAGTAGAGATTTCCTAGGAAATCTAATCGGAGTTGTCATCCTCGGCCTCATCGTCGTCCACAGCAACCTTCTCTTCCTCATCAGAGGGGGTAGGGGTCTTGGCCTTCTTGCGGCCAGCGCGGCGTATCTTATTAGGGGAAGGGGAAGCACCCTCGATGGCGTCAAGGGAGTCGGTGAGCTTGCGGCGGGCATTGTTCCAGACGGTACGGGCTCTGCCGGGGGTGTAGCCGAGCTTGCTAGCTAGCTTTGCGTAGTCGACCTAGAGATGGCATGTCAGTATTGACTGAACAATATCGACTATGGTATATTCGTGAATAGGGTTCTTACCCTGATCGCCTGGTCGGTGTAGAGCTGCCCGATCAAGAGGATTCTGAGCTCGGCGGGCTTCAGGACTTTGATGGCATCATCAACTGTTTTACCGGTCTCTTGAAGGTTTGTCTGGAGGCTGGACTTTGAGTCCGCCTTCGAGGCCGACTTGAGAGTCGACTTGGCGGGAGAGGAAGACATTGTCTCGATGTTGGAGGCGTTTTGGAGATAAAAAGAGTAAGAAGAAGATGGGAATGGTGGGTTCATAAGGGTTGAGGGTATGAGGAAGAAGAAAAGAACGTGGGTTGATGTGGGAAGTTTCTCTTATTTTATACGTAAAATGTTCTTTGAGAAGTGAGAGAATGTTCCTGTTGCTCAGTGAAAACGACGTTAGGTAGGAAGTAACGAAACTTCTTGCTTTCGCTTCACTACGCTCTGAAACCTGGACTAGTCTCGGCTAGTCACCTTTGATTGAGAAGAGCCTTACTTTGATAGTCATAGGCCCCTGGTTTTGTTTCTACAGCCTACGTCTTCGTTCAAGGCTACATGACGGTAAGAAGATAGCTGGGACCGTGGAAGAGGAACGCGTCTTCTACCTCCTTCACGATCTCCTTTCGGTAAGGTATCCTGGATAATCGATTGTTTCAGGGTGCTAACTATAATCACCACAGTTCAAGCATGTATATATCATAATGCTTTCTGGCTTCATAACCATGGGCAAACTGGCCTTGTATAGGGCAGAATGTAACAATAGTCAGATGACGCCAAACCAAGAGCTACAGCTGCAAGATTACCCGCCATCAATCGCGATGAAGAATGGAGCCGATCGGGATGTGCACGACACGAGCGCAATGGAGGGCATAGACTGGGTGTGATATCATTTCCATGGCTCCATTGCTTCATGCACAATGAGCTTCCAAGTTTTGTATCAAGTATAGTCCTTCGTGAGAGAGGCATACGAACTTAAAATAACAGAGTCTTGTGATTTAACAGAGAGCATAATGCTTGCGCTAGTTCAGTAGATTCCAACAGCGTCATATCCAAGGGTAAACTCATAGATCGTCAGCCCGGTGGGTCATCTGTTCTCAGCCCCAGGAAAAGTCAACATACCCCGGTGGGCTATTTTCAAGGATAGATTATTAGTTCGACAAATTTCAAGAGACATCCGACATCCAAAAACCAAAAATATCCCTTGGAAAAGGAATACAATGATTTCTAGAAAGTTGTTTAAAGAGGTACATAGGAAGATATTTATTTAAGCCCACTCACAGTATCTGCTTTTCCCCTGTGGAGGATGGTAGACTAATTTTTGAGGGCCAACTCGGGTCTGCCCCTGATTGGCCTTGCGGAAGTTTCCGTACCTGAAACATTTTTTGGCCCACGTTATCCACAATACGAACTGCGATCGAATCACGAATGCCGACTTACCCGCCACACGCCTGCAATTATTCTTCAGGATTGAAGCAGGAAAGAAAATGGAGGAGACGCAGATATCGCCAATGGCAGCTAAGCGCTAAATAGGAGTCAGTGACACATGCTCAAAAGGTAGCGTCTTCTGTGCAGGCAATCAACCCAGTTCGTGTCGTGACTAGCTCGACTTGGCTGGTTGCCCAAAGCCCACACTGGATCTAAATTAAGCGAGGCTAAGCAGGTAGCATCGGGCGTCTGCGCTTAAAAAGTTTAGGTTGTTGGGGGGGTCGATCTCCTTGCGTAGGCTTTTTTTTATGGAGCTGGACCAGGTTTCATTTTAGGAGTCGATATTCTTTTATTAATCAAATCCCTGCCGATCTCTCAGACCTCGCCGAGTATCTTGTCTTCACTTCGTACTTCACTATGCATTTCTCGGCTCTTTTGGTTCCTGTTCTCGCGGCCGTGGCTGCTGCTGAGAGCACCACGGTCATCGAATACTTCGCTGCCACCTCGACCGTCTCTGGTCTCAGCGTCAGCTTCACCTCCTATTCCAGCTTGGCCGGCACGGTCCTTGGTTCTGATGCGGCTGGGACCACCTACAGGGTCGGTTGTATGAGCGACGCTCCCAAGTCTGACTGCAGCATCGACCACCCTTTCACTATGGTTGCCGGTGAAAACACTCTCAGCTACTCCAAGGCCCTGACTGCTGAGCTCGGAGGCTACACTGGCCTCATCGGCGAGGATGTTCAGTGCTCTTTCACTCACTCCACCGAGTCGGCTGCGTGCACCTTTACCATGGATGTCACTGTCTCCTCGGACGACGTGACCACGTCCACCCAGACCACCACTACTATCAGCTACCCTGAGAAGTCCGTCACTTATGACAAGCTGACTGTCGCTGCTACCACCACCGGTTCCTCTGATGCTTCTGCAACCGGCGCTAGCTCTACTGATGCCGCTGCTGGCCATAAGCCCAGAGCTACTGCTGTTCCGTTGGGGGCTGCGGCTGCCATTGCCGTGGCTGCGCTGTTCTAAGCGAATCTCTCGTGCCGATTGGCGTATTTATGCATTGAGCATGTTGGACACGACATAATGTACAAATTCACAAAATGTCAATATATTACGAACTAATGAAAGCAAGCACATCTCGGTGTAGAGCAGTTATATCTTTTGCTTCTCTATCAGGAGTAAGGGAAGTGTTTTACTGGAGAAAGAGATATTCATAATGATTTTGCTTTTTGGTCCATAGACTCTGTGGTATCTATCGACTCCACTAGTTCCGACACCAGGGGAATTATATGCACAAGTAACACAATAAACGCCATCCATCAAGTACGTGCTCGTGACCAGGTCGTAGGTGGTATATGCAGGGAGATTTCGTGACAAAAGGGAAGAAAAGCTCAAAGAGATCTTTACATGTCCATGTCCATCGTGTCATCACCGGCATCGAGGGCATTCTGCCTTTCGGGGTCCGGGACCACCACTCCCCGGCCACGACCGGCAAGCAGTTCACGTCTGACTTCGGGTCCAATGTCCTTGTGTCCGCGGACCAGAAGCAGATCCAAAAGTGCCTCACGCTGGTCCTCGGTGATGTCGTTGCGGTATCGCTGGGCAAACACCAGCAGAGACTGGTGCCACAGAACGGGCAACCTGTAGGCCTTGGTGCTACCGGAGGGGCCATTGCCCATCGAGGTATCCTCGGAAGGATCGGCGGCACGGAAGCGCAGGAAGTGGAAGACCAGAGCGTCAATCACCTTGTACGGCAGAGCATACTTCTTCTCTAGGAAGACTCGGATGAACATGTTGACGGCACCCGTACTCTCGTAAGAGCGGCTCGACATCTCCGCCGATAGATCACACATGCGGAGCAGCGCCGCAGCAGAGTGCAGCACCGGTATAGACACACGAGCAATCACCGAGGAGACGATGTGTGCCTCGCGCAGGGTGCAGGTGCCGCTGGAAACAAGAGGGAAAAGCAGTCCCTTGAAGAAGCATGCAGGCTTGTAAAGGGCCTTGCGCAACGAGTTGTAGGTGTGAACATTGAGCTTCTTCGTCTCGTGAATCTCCTCGCGCACGCGGTCCAACAGCACGGTCGCAATAAACTCCTGGGCCACATGAGGCTTCGACGAGATGAAAATTCGAGTACCAGCGTAGACGGCGTTGGCGGTCCATCGCTCGGGCTGCGTAATGTCGAGAAGGGTCGGCCAGTTAGGGACTGACGGAAGGATCTTGAACGGCTTGGGAAGCGGGCCGGACTTGTAGCGTGAAAGGATCATGCCAACCCTGTAGTTGCAAGTTAGCGCAATTCTTCCAAAAACCCAATAGTTGTCACATACTTCTCATATACCTCCACGGCCTTGGCTGGGATCTGAACGGCGTCCTCCGCGAGCCCGCCACCTTGGATGCGCGCGGGGTCGACATGTTGGCCAGCCTGTCTGGCTTCATGCTCAGCGATCTTCTCCAAAATCAAATCCGCAAGGTTCGTCGTTTGACCCTGGGCTGAAGGGTCTCGTGAGCCGAAAATAGGATCCTCCTCGTGGCCACCGGGGATAAATTTGTTGAACATATCGAGGTCATTGGGATCAATCTCCTGCAATCACGTTAGGATTTTTCCATAAGCAGCCACGTAGATCTGATGATGGCTTACAACTTCCTCAACTTCCTCGTCAACCCAGTCATCATTCTCAAATTTCTCATCGTCTGACAGCGGCTCCTCCTCGAAACGGGTATCGAATTCGAAAGCAGCATTCGACTTGGGCTCCGCGGTACCCATAGCAAGCTTTTGTTCGGCGGCATCCTCCTCTGCTAATTCTTGACCCATCTGCAGGATGTTGCGCGACATCTTCGCATCAACATAGCGCTGTCCATTTTCACCCTCATCATCTTCCGACTGGTGCTTGCCTTTCTTGCTGCTCTGTGTCCGAAGGTGCCCCACGGCACTGATATCCTCTGCAAGAGGGTTGTGTCTGCGTGCCGCGGCGGCGCGGGAGCTGGTAGCCTTGGGCATGGTGAGATTATCCTCTGCCCAGTTAATCCAAAATCAAGTAGAAAGGAAACCTGTTGGTCTGCTCGGAGATGTGCACCGCGAACCGTCAAGCAGTTGTGTGTAAATTTTGGGATCATGTGATCTAATCAGTATTTTTTTTCTGCCGGGCGGAGACCGTCGATCTGCACCGCCCTCTCGAGTTCACCGCCATGGCCGATGATTTTCTGCCGCGCGACGCCTCGCTTTCTCCAGGACCGCGTGCTCTCACAAGACGGACGCAGTGCTGATTGTCTTCTCTGCTGGTGTGGCTTCTGCTTTTGAAGCTTGAATATGAGCAGATGAGTGCGAATCTCAGCTGAAGATTTTCGGAGAATCTCATAGCACTTTCGATCGTGCACGATCGTGCACTTTCGTGCCTCTTGAAATAGCTCCGTCCTTAAGCGATTGATTGCGCGTGCATGATTTGAGGGTGGTAAGTTTCAGTCCTTAATTCCTCGACATCATGTTGAGCCGGGTACTCCTTGGAAGCCTCGAAGGCTGGTCAATGATTGTCTGCGACTCCCATTCAATGGCTAACGGAGAGCTTGTAGGCACCTGCCTTCCGTCAGAATCAGTCTTCGATAACGACATTTTCAAGAAGCTCCTGGGCTCCATCTCTTTATTTCTTTCTACCAACCTGCTAGCATTCACGACTTCACCATGGCATCCGGCCAGGCCCCCGGGTCATCCGCACCATCTTCCAGCATCAACTCCCCCATCCTTCCTCCCGGCAATGGGCCCCTCCTCAACGGCGCATTATCAGATTTGAATTCGCGATCCTCCCCAGCACCGGCAAGTAATCTTTCGGCGCAGGGAGACAGCGCCCGTGCAAAGCGGAATAAGCGTGATAGTCGCAAGAAGCGTGAAGCCAAAGGCTTAGATACTGAAAGCGCACCTCCTCCGAAGAAGCGCGCAACCGCTGCAAGCACCGCTCGTCCTAGCTCCGAGCTGTCTATTCTTCGCCCGTTACTGCTCGCCGAACCCCATCACTCGGACAAGTTTCCTCCCCAGGCTCGCCAATTGAATCAGGTCACTAGCAAGACCTCTAGCGTGTTGGGTCAAAGCTGGGATTTCTATGAGGTGGTTGATAAACTCACCAATAAAAATGGGTTCCGATATTCCTACGCTATAGCCGACCCGGGATTTCCGCATATTAAGTACCGACAAACTGATGTGAGACCCTATCATGCCCGTTTCAGCTTTGAAGACTCCCCTGCGGCCATATCCTTTTCCCAGGATGCCACGGCTGTGACTACTAGCGATGCATGGCACACGGCACGCGCAAACGTCTGCGCTCGAGAGGGCTCATACTATTACGAGGCACGAGTTATCAGTGGTGTGGTCAACAGTGCCCAAGATGCTCCACAGAATAACTCCAGTGCTCCATCCCGTGGCCATGTCAGACTTGGATTCGCACGCCGTGAAGCCGATCTCGATGTCAACGTCGGTGTCGATTGCTACGGGTATGGCATCCGCGATGTTAATGGCGAAGTCGTCAATCGTATGAGGTGTGAGTTCTTTTTTCCAAAGGGTGAAGCCATCAACGAAGGCGATGTCATTGGCATGCTTATTACCCTTCCGCCCCTGTCCCTCCACAAGAAGATTGTTGAGGGCACCTATGACCCCGCTGTGGATGGCGACGGTTCAGATCCTGCGTCTCGGACTCCCATTGCTGCCAACATCATCCGAGATCGCATTCCTTTCCACTACAAGTCCGACTTTTGCTGGCAACAGTCCAACGTTTTCTCTACTAAACATCTCCGCGACTACGCTTTCAACTTGAAAGAAACTCCGACATTCGGTCCTCCTTCTCCGCTAAACAGCGAAGATGCGTCTTTGCGCACACTTCCTGGATCTAGCATCACTATCTTTAAGAATGGTGTTAAGATGGGCACCCCCTTCAAAGAACTCTATGCTTTCCTTCCGCCGGCTAGTCGCCTCGCCAACGGCACAAATAACCTTGGTATTGGCGAGCGCGAAAACGCCGACGACGGCATGATTGGTTACTACCCAGCCGTGAGCTGCTACGGTGGCGGCGCAGTCGAATGCCGCTTTGAAGGTCCGTGGTGGGTTGGTCCACCCGATAGCACTGAGACCGGTGAGCCGATTCGGCCAATCGGTGACCGATTCAATGATCAGATCGTCGAGGACGTGGTCGCCGACATTGTGGATGAGGTTGAGGCCATGTTCACTTGGGGTGGTGTTGACGGCGACGTGATTGGCAACAACAGCGGGGAGGTGGATGGCACTGCTTCCGGTGCAGTTGGGGGTTCGGAGGTGCTCAAGGGAGGTGTCGGTGCTGCGCTGGACTCGGCTGTTTCAGCCCCTGGGGCCTCTGAATCTGCTGCGAATAGCAACCAACCAACACCGGCTGCCACGGGAGACGCTGCTGCAGGAAATCCAGCGTTGGAGGATACCATGAGTATTGGGACCGCTGGGACTCCGAACCCTGCGGTGGAAGCCTCGGTTGCCGGGGCTGATGAAGATGTTGAGATGACTTGAACATCTAAAAGGGCCAGCTTGCTCTATGTAATAGGGCGAGTGACAATCGCTCCAAGGACTGGCAAGGCGTTCGGGGTGTCTTTTTATCACACTGTATTGATACCAAAAATTTTAATGAATCTTGAAGCACGTACTTGTTCTTATTTCCGAAGTAGTGAAGCGCTGTAGGGATACGCGGCCCGGTTTGAGGTATGAATGATAATGAAATGAATTGATGTACAGGGTAGATGGTATCATTGTACTGTGTAGTTATACAAAAATGGAACATGGCTAGGCCAGGATCGGCATGCTATAGGCTGCTCTCAAATCTTTTGCCCTCCAATAGCTCTCCAACCTTCATCACCAGCTCGTCATCCCCATACTGGCCCACGACTTGGATACCAGCAAGCTCACCAGCGCCCGAATTTTCTGAAGACTCGGAGGTCACCGGGACAGAGAGAGCTGGCAGGCCTGCCAAACTGGCAGGAACCGTAAAGACATCGTTGACGTAGGCATCCAACGGTGATGAACCACTGGCCACGGTCACGTCGGACAGTCGTGGCGGTGACGACGGTGCAGTAGGGCACACAAGAATATCAACCTGCTCCGCTTCGAGGCGACCTGTGTCCTGCGTTGCAGCCAATGGATGCTCGGCAGCGAACACGGTGTTGAAGTCTCGCTGGACCAGTCGTCGAACACACTGTGCCTGAATGAAATAGTTGTCCATGGCATCGGCACTCAAGCTGAACGTGCCTAGCAGAATGCGTCGCTTCACCTCTTCGCCAAACCCGCTTCCGCGCGTGTTAGCATAGAGATAGCCGTCTGGCTGTCCGTCACTGTCCGGCCCCTCGGCGCGAGTTCCGTACCGCACGCCGTCGTATTTGGCCAGGTTCGAGGAGGCTTCGGCAGGGGCGATAACATAGTATGCTGATAGTGCATGCTTGGTGGCTGGTAGGGAAACGGGGTGAATGGTATGTCCTTGCTCCTGCAAATGCACCAGGGATAGTAGCCAGGCACGGCGAACCGACGGGGCAAGTTCGGAGATGTTGTATTCTATCGGAACTCCAATTCGGAGAGGTTTTGATGTCAACCGAGAGGCGAGTCGTGGTGACTGGAGTTGGGACAGAATCCGGGACCTCGTAAAGGCAGAGAGACTGGTCGGGTCACGCGGGTCATGCTGGTTTAGAATACGGAAGATATCCTGGACACTGGAGGTTTTCTTCCCTAGAATCCCAACCGTGTCCAAAGAATTGGCGTAAGCGACCACCCCCCATCGCGATATTAATCCGTAGGACGGTTTGAATCCCACGGTCCCCGTGTATGCGGCAGGAAGTCGGACAGAGCCTCCGGTGTCTGTCCCAAGTGCACTGCGGCAATGCAACTTCAGTCAATGGTGACTCTTAATCCTCATGATATATTTTCGGTACTCACGCATAGCATTGATCCGCTGCCACCGCCACCGCACTCCCCCCGGAGCTACCACCGGCGGAGAGATCTTGTCCGCTGGCATCACGTCGCAAGTTCTTCACGGGCCCAAAGCGCGAGTTGGTAGAATGTGACCCCATTCCAAATTCATCCAGGTTGGCCTTTCCAGCCACAACAGCCCCGGCATCCTCTAATTGATCAATCACAGTCGCATTGAACGGGCTGGTGAACTTGCTCAGAATGCCCGAGGCACAGGTCGTCGGAAGGTCACGCGTGCAGATGTTGTCTTTGATGGAGATCAGACGGCCATCCACGGGAGATTTTGGAGTTCCTGTTTCGGTAAATCATCTGTTAGCCGTGGGGGTTAATAGATTGAGATTCGCGGACACACCTTGCTCGCGGCGCCGGTCTGCTTCCTTCACGCGGTCCAACCACCGTCCCGCGCGGGGCAGTGATGTTATGAAAGCATTGAGGCCGTGTGATTGTTGGTTAGCGATGCATTTTTCCGCTTCACGTAGAAGGGACATTTAGGGTCGAGAATCGTGAAGGCTTGAGAGCGTTGAGCGCGGGTGGAAACCGATAACCTGGGATCCCGATGGTCCGTGCTTCCGGCCCTGCATTGAACTATGAGAACGTTGTGCAATTCTTGGAGCCATTGCATAATCCCCGATCCCATGGGTAATTGGGTAGATCTGAGTATGTAACAGAAGAGCGTATATTGAAAGCTCCTTTCAACTGATTGTTTCGATATAGAGCATAGTATGGATTGAGACTCGCATACAGGGACCATTCATCACATCGCCATAACATGCGGGATCGAAAGAATTGGAACGGGCCCGGTCAAAACAATCCCGAAACAAACAACCCGTTGTTTGTCCCCTTATCCTAGGTTTGAGCCGAATTCTTGAAGCAATCCTCAATCTGCTAAGCTGTTAGAAATGGACTGCGGGGAGTTTGAGAGTTTCTAATAAACATCCTTGGGAAAGACACTGATATTTAGGAGATAAACTCTGTATAAGGGAGCACTACGTCCTCATCTATAGGGCCAGTGAGGCTCTTCGTCAGAATAATAACGAATCCTAAGATGCAACACAACACCCGGCGGGTCGGCTGCTTGACAAAGTGGACCTCAAAAGCTTGAAGCCGAGCTTTATCAACAGGCTGCAAAGTTGGACCACAATATAGCGAAAGGCCGATTGTTTGAGTATTGTGTTAAGAGAGAGCCGTAGAAAGATAATAACATCAGAGGAGAACTTTCATACCTTGGGGTAGACTTCAAGGCCGGGACAAGAAATAGCCAGAAGGCTTCCTTCGGCCCGGGCCAAATCGCCGAAAAGACGTCATTCACGCTCGACTCCCTTCCGCCGTTTTTTCTTCCTACACCACCCTCCACCTATACTCAATATGCTGTCGCGTGGTATTCTAAGAGCTGCAATCAACGGTGCTCGCCACTCCGGCGCAGCTCGAGCTGCGCCCTTCCCCGCGGTCTCCGGCAAAGCTCAATGTGCCAGCTCCACAATCTCCATCGACGGCCGAAGGTGCATCTCCATGTACGGCTACACACAGGCCAAGGCGTTGGTCTACTCGAAATACGGCGAGCCTAAGGATGTTCTCAAGTATGATTAGCTCCCTACAAAGCTCCCTGGTCATGGAACTGACTCCTCCCCAGCCTTCACAAGCACTCGATCTCGGCTCCGCATGGCACCCAAGTGAACCTTCGCCTTCTCGCCGCGCCAATGAACCCAGCCGATGTCAACCAGATCCAAGGCGTATACCCCAGCAAACCTCCGTTTGAGACTTCGCTGGGAACAGTTGAGCCATCGGCTGTCGGTGGTAACGAGGGTGCGTTCGAAGTCATTTCAACGGGCGCGGGCGTCAAGAACCTGTCCAAGGGTGATTGGGTCATTATGAAGCGGACGGGCCTGGGCACATGGAGGACGCATGCTCAGCTGGACGAGTCACAGCTTATCCGTATCGAGAACAAGGAGGGCTTGACCCCGCTGCAGATCGGCACCGTCAGTGTCAACCCAGTTACCGCGTATCGGATGATTCGTGACTTCTGTGACTGGGACTGGATGCGTGCTGGCGAGGAGTGGATGATCCAGAACGGCGCTAACAGTGGTGTCGGACGCGCTGCTATCCAGTTAGGCCGTGAGTGGGGTATCAAGACGCTCAATGTTGTCCGCCAGCGCAAGACACCCGAGGAGACGGAGGCGCTCAAGCAGGAGCTGAAAGAGCTGGGTGCCACCGTCGTGGTGACCGAGGAGGAGATGTTGACCGGCAGCTTCCGAGATATGGTCAAGGAGGTTACTCGCCAGGGCAGGGAGCCCATTCGTCTGGCCTTGAACTGCGTCGGTGGAAAGAATGCCACGGCTCTGGCGAAGACCTTGTCTCCGGACTCGCACATGGTGACCTATGGAGCCATGTCGAAGCAGCCGGTGGCGTTACCCTCGGGCCTGTTGATCTTCAAGAACCTCGTGTTTGACGGGTTCTGGGTCAGCAGATGGGGCGACAAGAACCCGCAGCTCAAGGAGAACACCATCAAGGATGTGCTCCAACTGATCCGCACGGGCCGGTTCAAGGACATCCCCGTCGACAACGTCGAGTGGAACTGGAAGTCCGAGGGTCCCCAGCTGGCCGAGAACGTGCAGGGCACTCTGGGTGGCTACCGCAGTGGAAAAGGTGTTTTCACCTTCACGGGCGGCGACGAGTAGAAAAGCTCGATGTACCATACCATATTTTCAGGTGGTTAATTCTACAAAGGAGTGTTATGACTACCATGTTGCCAATGACGGCAAATCCCAAAGAAGAAAAGCGTAAGTTAGTGAACTGAGACTTTGATGGACGTTACATCTCGAGGTCATAAGAAAAACTCTATACATAAGTGGATCATTCACACTTCCAGTGCTTCTTCACCCACGCTAAAAGCAGGTCCGTCATTGTCGTAGATGACATGTACACATCGCTATCCTGGAAGAAATCGACATCGAGCCCCGCAAATTTGGCAGCCAACGCCAAGTGCGGCTGAATAAATTCAATGTAGATTAGGTCGACCGTCTCTGGCACACCCGAGGTGTTGGCCGACAGCAACGCTTGGATGCAGTTTGGCACTTGGTAAAAGGAGATAGGCGAGTGGAGGGTGTCATCTCCATCCGTACCCGCATCATCCTTGGTCGTATACCCCGGCACAATCTTGTTATCCTGTCTGTTGGTCGAGATCGGAGCCTGATGCAACGCAGCCATATCATAGATTGGTGTATCCAGGGATTCTTCTTCTTCTTCAACAATGAAATCTTCCATGCGCGCCAGATTTTCAGGACGCGGCAAAGGGGGGAGGGATGAGCCTGACTCGAACGTATCTAAGATCTTAGTCTGTTTGTTGAGGACCTCCATGATCAGTTGCACCTTTTCGTACGGAACGTCCTTGACGTAGCGGAAACTATTGGTGAACGGTGAGATGGTCCATATGGTATCCTGCGTAAACTGGCCCTGGAAAATGTCGAATCGGATGGCCCCCGTATTCAGAATGGCCACTGAAGGGACCTCACCGCGAGATTCATCTTTGAGAGAATCAGGCAGCACCTGGGTCTGCAGCCAGGTGAAGACACTGTCTTTGTGTGGGTATGGCACCCGGGACATCCAAAGGGTTCGCGGGGCGCAGCCATGGACCCGGTCCAGGCGAAGAGCACTTCGGGATTCAGTAATGAGCTGGGAAACGTTGCGGCCTTTTTCAGTTGGGAAGGACTCTTCATCCAATCCAGTGTGGTGGTAGAAAGAGTAAAGATTGTTATCGATGTATCGGCGCTTAAAGACGGGGCCCGATGTGGTACTTGGCCGATCGCTGGTGGAGAGACCATCGATCGACATGAAACCGATCGTCTCCATGAATCGCCCGCTGGCAAGAGCGAAGGCCTTTGAGTCGTATTTCGCATAGTCGCGAATATGCTGGTGCCCACCAAAGAACTGGATCGGAGTGTCCCAGCGGATTCCTCGAATCTCTTCAAAGATTGCCCGATATTCCGGCGAATGGGCCGGGACATGGCCGGCGACTAGGAACAGATCGACATCTTTGTCCCGGATGGCCTCCTGGAACCAGTCCTCCTTGATCGTTTTCTCCACCGGTTGCACCACGGTATTATTATAGTTGCCGGTAAAGTCAAAGAGGAAGCCGAACGCTACGATACGGATGCCCTGCTGCTTGGTGGTGAACTTCTTGAATCGCGGCGCGAGCGGAACTAGTTCGTTAGTCTCGGGATGAGTGATATCGATATTAGATGCAAGGTATTTGCCGCGGAAATTAGGAACCGTGGTCAGGAACTCGGCTTCGGACGTGTTCTGTTTGTATAGTTCATGGTTTCCCGATGTGATCACATCGATATGTTGATGTCGGAGGATCTCCGAGAGGTAGACGCCTTTGGGCGCGGAGGAGTCGTAGAGACCGTTGCCTTCGACGCGATCTCCGGTGTCTACGACCAGCAAGTCTTGGCCCTGAGCCTCTACCTTCTCCCGCATGCGCGTCGCGAACGACACATAGTCCCCCCAGTCCGCCGAGTAGGATGGTCTGCAACGCGCATCAGTCTAGAGCTTACAACCGAGAACCTCCGGAACGTACTCCTGTAGATGGCCGGCTAGCCAGCCATGGGTATCGGTAGTGTGGAGGAAATTCAGTTGCCCGAACTCGAGCTCTCGTAGGGAAGCGGAGATGGGAGCGGGCGCGGAGGGCTGAGCGGCGAGCGCCGACGGGAAGGGGGAGAAGATCCAGGGCAACACCGAAAGCAACATGATCCTTGACCCCCTTGGATATCAAGTCATGAAGTGACCTGGCACTCTAACTTATGATAGAAGTAGATCTCGTGAAGCAGTGACAGAGAGAAGAAATAGAAAATAGAGAATAAGTACAGCACCAAGTTGAGTAACTTGGGGAAGCTCTTGTATGGTTACGGAAGCAGCTGCCGGTGAGCTGCTGAGTCAGCGCCCAACATCTTCGGATTTGCATCTCAAAGATTCAAGCGCGATCTTCCCGTTTCCCAACCTTTGTCCTTCTGGTCTTCAATCGCCTCTGCGGTTTCCTTGAACCTTGCGGACCTGTCAATTGTTTCTTTTCTTTATTCTCTCCCTTCGACTTCTGTCCTAATTCCCCGACATGGCCGCTCCCCGACTTTTCCGCCCAGCAACCCGGCTGCTCTCTTCGCGCCTGGCTTCCTCCCCTCTTCGCCCTGCTTTCGCCAAGTCGTGCGCTCCTTCATTTGTTCGCGCCCGCGGTTATGCTTCGGAATCCGGTACCAAGGAGGTCACCGTCCGTGACGCTCTGAACGAGGCTCTAGCGGAGGAGCTGGAGATCAACCAGAAGACTTTCATTCTGGGTGAGGAGGTCGCACAGTACAACGGAGCGTAAGGACACCCTCCTTTTCATTCTTCCACAGGCGGAAGAACGTTATCGTCTGTTCAAGGAACCTGAACGCTGACCTGGATCTCTTTCCCGCAGTTACAAGGTGACACGAGGTCTCTTGGACCGCTTCGGCCCCAAGCGGGTTATCGATACCCCCATTACTGAGGCTGGTTTCTGTGGTCTTGCCGTCGGTGCTGCTCTGGCTGGCCTGCACCCCATTGTGAGTTATTCCGGATACTCTAATCGAGCGAGAAAAGACCGGGGAACTAATTTGTTGAATCACGTTCCAGTGCGAGTTCATGACCTTCAACTTCGCCATGCAGGCCATCGATCAGATCATCAACTCCGCCGCTAAGACTCACTACATGTCCGGTGGTATCCAGCCCTGCAACGTCACTTTCCGTGGCCCCAACGGCTTTGCCGCCGGTGTTGCCGCTCAGCACTCCCAGGATTACTCCGCCTGGTACGGCAGCATTCCCGGTCTGAAGGTTGTTTCGCCCTGGAGCTCCGAGGATGCCAAGGGTCTTCTGAAGGCTGCTATCCGCGACCCCAACCCCGTCGTGGTTCTCGAGAACGAGTAAGTGGTGGTCCGGACAAAATTATTTTTTTCGGAGATCGGCACGGGGAAACTAACACAGCGATTACAGGCTTATGTACGGCCAGGCTTTCCCGATGAGCGAGGCCGCCCAGAAGAGCGACTTCGTCCTGCCCATCGGCAAGGCGAAGATCGAGCGTCCCGGCAAGGACCTGACCATCGTCTCCCTTTCCCGCTGCGTCGGCCAGTCCCTCACCGCTGCCTCCGAACTCAAGCAGAAGTACGGTGTTGACGCCGAAGTGATCAACCTGCGCTCCATCAAGCCCCTTGATGTCGAGACCATCATCGCCTCCCTTAAGAAGACCGGCCGCCTGATGGTCGTCGAGTCCGGCTACCCCATGTTCGGTGTCTCCTCCGAGATCCTGGCCCTCTCCATGGAGTACGGTTTCGACTATCTGACTGCCCCTGCCGTTCGTGTCACCGGTGCTGAGGTGCCCACTCCCTACGCCCACGGTCTGGAGAACATGGCCTTCCCCCAGGAGGACACCATTGTCAACCAGGCCGCCAAGCTGCTGCGTTTGTAAGTGGAGCGCGTGAGCGCGTAACAAAACCATGTGCCTAGTACCCTTTCATCTGTCTCATTTTATATTGTTCGTTCCCCCATCATGTCGTTATTTATTCTCGCCTAGGCAGATTCCTGGAAAGCTGTGTACGATTACCTTCCTCAGGTCTGTGCCTCGTTCTTCACCCAGCGTAAATGCTTTGTGTTTGTGTCTTAGATTGATAGACATTGGAAGTTCCAAGTTTCTTTCCATTCAGATCAGTCGTAAATGTAGTGTCCAAAGAGAAGGTATTGCCGAAACGCCATGCCCATGTCCCAACGCCCAAAATGCACATGGAGTATACAGACGATATGATTATGTGGAAGCCTGGATTCCCCCAAGACCAGCACATCCCGCAAAACAGCCCGTTGGCCGTCGAGGATCGTAGTATCCGGCCCCGTCCTGATCCCGCCCATACTCTTCGTCTGTATCACTTTCAGCATCGTCTCGCACTTCTTCGGGTACAGGCTTCGAAGCCGTGCTCGGTTGGTCTTTGGCGGCAGCGTGATCCTCTTCGTCGTCGTCGGCGTCATCGCCGCCTAATACGTTCTTCTTCACGGGTGCCGCCGGGCCTTTGACAGATGCGAAAGAGCTCTTGAAGCCGCCCTTTTTGAATCCTCCCCCACTCTTCCCACCAGCACTTCCTCCACTTGGGTTCGAGCTAATGACAGGTGCATCAATGACCTTCAACCCGGCCTCCGCATCGGCTTTGCGCTCAGCGCGGCGGGCCTTCTCCGCGGCATTTGGATCGCGTGAGAGCTGTTTGAGGTCCTGGAGACGTTTCCGGTGTTGGTGGTCATAGGAAGAGATATGTGCCTCGTATTCCGGGTGTCGCGAATATGATTTATTGCAGAGCGTGCATGTAAAGGCGCTGAGTGCGGACCGCGCCGACTCGGTCTGTTCGGGATGTCAGTGGACGGGACTTATGGGGTTGATCATGAATCGCACCTTGGGAGCAGGATTAGTGAAGCCTCGCTGTTTGTATATTAGCATCCGATCATACAGCGTGGTTCCAGGGGAAATACCGGCGCCATTGCTGCAAAGTCGTGAAAGAGGGAAGACCGAGCAAGTCGAAGGCGTAGACCTATCAGAGGCGCTGTTTTGGGCGGACTCAGCAAGATCGCCCGTCCCCGACTTTTCCTTGTTTTCTTTTGTCTTCTCTCCAGCTTCTTTTTTGGTGAGCACGACTGGCACGAGTGATGATTTCCTTGTAATAAACGATTTTCTTTTTTTCTCTTTTCTTTTCATTGCTACGAAAAAATCAACACACAATGGATGTCAAACTGCAGGACATCGACACCAAGTCGGTCATCTCCATGCAAGAACTAGACCCTTCTCCCGTGGACGACTCAACCCCCGATCTCGAGAGCCTTGAGGATGGCGAATACTTCCCCAAGCCAGGGGAAGACAAGCCAAAGCGCACCTGTGGATTTCCAGCCCCGAAATTGGGCCTCCGAACCCACCGGTGGGATGCATTGTGTATGTTGCGCCCAAACCCGCGCAGATCTCGACTTGGACATGTTCTGACCAAACCATGCAGTGTCGGGTATTCAGAAATACTCGACTTATCCACCGACGGCTTTCTTCGGGCTGCACTTCGTTAATACTGCGCTCTTCCCACTTGTCACCCGCTCCGTAGCCGCGAGCGAGCCCTATCTCCTGCTCACGCGACCGGTTTACCAGGCTCCCGGTCTCGAGCACCTCGTCCTCACCATCCCCGTCCTCGCGCACATTATCTCTGGAATTGCTTTGCGTAACATCCGTGCTTCGCGACGCGCTCGCTTATACGGCGCGGAGACACGAGCTCAGCGAGCCTTGCTACCCTCCTGGCCTCGGTTTTCTCTTCAAGCCCGCACGGGATATCTCGTTGCGCCATTGATTGGTCTTCATGTCTTGGTAAACCGTGCTACACCTTTGATCGTGGAAGGCGGTAGTTCCGGTGTGGGTTTGGGCTATGTTGCCCATGGTATTGCGCGCAGTCCTGTGTTTTGGAATATTTTCTACCTGATGTTTGTCACCGCGAGCGTGTGGCACTTTGTGGGCGGATGGGCCACTTGGATGGGCTGGAGAGTGACCACGGTCAGGAAGGAGCGCAACAGCAAAGGCTCGCTGGAAGGCTACCTGGGCTATCCGGCGAACCAGGATCGCGTGAAGAGGCAGCGCAAGATGTGGTGGATGGTGAACGGAGTCGCTGCCGTGGGTGCTGCTCTTTGGCTGGCTGGTGCCCTCGGCATCGTCGGACGCGCAGGCGAAGGTGCTGGATGGGAAGCGCAAGGGTGGAACGAGATGTATAGCCAGGTGCCGGTCATTGGCGACTGGTTATGAGGTGAGAATGGAGGATGGTATGAACATATACACTGTACTTTAACATGTAATTATGACCACTTATTAATTCTATTAATTGTACCCTTCAACATTTGACCGTAATACTTTAAGATGCTCCCATCACATGAAGAACAAAGGCTCCCAGCACACACTTAAGACGTCTTGCCAAATATATTTCGAGATTTATCTTTTGACCTATTGGTATTTACATAATTTTCAGAGCCCAGTAGCTATTTAGAGTTTGAGATCTCAATCCAATTTCGCTTTTATAGTTCTTGTATAGCGGGCGGTGACGTGGTCCGTGCGAGAGATCTTTTTTCCTCCGACGCCGCGCATTTTCGCTTTTCACGCTCTTCTCTTCGTCCATGACCTCGCGGCGCCTCTCGCTTTTCACCCTGGCTCGACGATACGTGTTTGAATTTGCTATTATCCGCACACAATTCCTCCGAACAACCAGCCCCACCTGGTCATTCCCGAGAGCATTCTGCCATTCGTCGAGGACCATGGAGAGACCGGTTGATCCCTCCAACCTGGTGCAATTCCGCGGCACGGACTATCAGGTCATCAAGGAGGGCCGGGCGCATATCCTCAACCCTCCTGCGCAGGAAGCCGCCTCCAAGGCAACGAGGAGGGACCTCAAGGACGACGACGAGTCGCAATCAGTTTTCTACAACCCGATTCAGCAGTTCAACCGTGACTTGAGTGTTCTGGCTATCCGTGCCTATGGAGAGTCTCTGTTGGACTTAAAGAAACAGAAGTTCAAGAAGCGCACATCGGGGAAGAAGCGGAAGCGCGAGGCGGAGACGGAGGACCAACCATCCAAGTCGGCCGCGGAGGGCACCAATGAAGCAAAGCTGGAGGTCAGCGACCAGACTGGCAATGGACAGTCTGACTCCACGACAGAGCCTTCGTATACCATCCTGGATGCCCTATCTGCAACGGGTCTGCGCGCACTACGCTACGCCTCAGAGCTTCCCGTCTCTAGAGTCGTGGCCAATGACTTGTCGGCCTCTGCAATCAAGTCAATGAAGACGAACATTGAGTATAATGAGCTACAAGATCGGATTCAACCCAACCTCGGTGATGCGCGTGCATACATGTACGGCCTAAACGCACTTCAAAAATTCGACGTGATCGACCTGGACCCTTACGGCACTGCATCCCCGTTCATCGACGCCGCCATCCAGGGAGTCAGGGACGGCGGTCTACTCTGTGTCACTTGCACCGATGCTGGTGTTTGGGCCTCGACTGGCTATCCGGAAAAGGCATTCTCTCTGTACGGGGGTGTGTCGATCAAAGGCTCGCACTCCCACGAGGGCGGACTGCGACTGATCCTGAACTCACTTGCCATGTCGGCTGCCAAGTATGGGCTTTCCATTGAGCCTCTGCTTTCCTTGTCAATTGACTTCTACGCGCGTGTGTTTGTCCGCGTATACCGCTCTCCCGCGTTAGTCAAGTTCACTGCCGGCAACTCGATGCTTGTTTACAACTGCGATGCCGGATGTGGTGCTTGGAGTACACAGCCCATCGCCGCCACGAAGCAAAGGCTTGACAAGAAGGGAAACCCCTTCTATCACTTTGGTCTGGCGCAGGGTCCTTCGGCTGGCCCGCACTGCGAGCACTGCGGCTTCAAAACTCATCTCGCGGGCCCTATGTGGGGAGGTCCGCTGCACAACCCTCACTACATCCAGAAGATCCTGGCTCTTCTTCCTACACTCGATCCTGAGATCTACCAGACCATTCCTAGAATCGAGGGCATGTTAACCACCGCTATGGAAGAAGACCTGGATCTCACTCCTGTACCGACCAAAACCGGCAACCAGCAGCAGAACACCGAGGCTGAGACAGCGAAGACCCACGCCCAAGACTCTGAATATCCTGCCATTGTTCCGCGTATGGACCCTGCTGCTCGGGATCCGTTCCCTTTTTACTTCACCCTCAGCGCTCTTTCTAAAGTCCTCCACTGCTCTACCATCCCCATCGATGAGTTCCGCGGCGCCATCCGCTCCTGTGGCTACCGTTCTACTCGGAGCCATGCCAAACCGAACTCGATCCGCACCGATGCCCCCTGGAGCGTAATCTGGGAGATCATGCGTGAATGGGTTCGCCAGCACTCCCCCATCAAGGAAAGCTCCCTGAAGCCCGGGACCCCCGGTGCCGCGATAATGGCCAAGAGCCGTGATAACCTGCGCAATGTGCATGGCGGGGACCAGTGGCTGGCGCTGATGAAGAGGGATCTCCTCGATGCCATCGAGTCTGGGAAAGATGTCAGTGACCTGGTTACCAAGGTGGAAGCCTCTCTGTACCGGTCCGGATCACGTCAGGCATCGAAGCTCGCAGCAGGCTCTTCGGACGAGGTGCTCCCCGATGCTGAGCCCCAGCCTGCCGATACCACGAAGAAACCCATTGCGCGACCTTTTGAGCGGCCGCATCCCAGCACCCTAGAAGTCAGGTTTGACGCAGCTTTGGGGCGCGAGGCATCAGCGGCGCACACGAAGAAGCGTTTAGTGCGGTATCAGATCAACCCGCGTGCCAATTGGGGCCCGCTCAATCGTGCTGCCGTGGCCTCAAAATGATAATGTTGTTGTGTATGTCTAGTTGCTGTAAATAGCGAGAAAGCTCGTGTGTAATTGCTTGTCTGAATAAAAGTCACTATCCACCTAGATCTATCGTCTGTTCTGTTGCTCATCGCGTGACTTTGCCCATGCTTAATCATGGTTTGGCACTTCTACGTCTACGCCGGAAGAATACCGAGACATTGAACGAGATTATGGCATATCATTACTTCCATTATAAACACCAAACGAACCAGGAGACGAAGCTGGCCCGACTCTAAAAAAAAGAAACAAACATAAATCACAATCATCACGTCTCTGAAAGAGAAAAAAAAAGCCAAGAGAAAAAGCGTCAACGGCGATTCTCATCAGCGTCTATGTAAACAACCCAAGATCAAGAATGTATGGCGACCTCAGAGCTGCGAGACCGCGACGGCCACGGCCTGTGAGTCACTGTGGCTGATGCTGACGTTGATCGACTTGACGCCGGCTTGTTGAGCGGCAGCGGCAGCGGCACCGTGAAGCTAAAAGAAAACCACCCGTTAGCGTTGTTGATCATCGGAGATTGTAAAGGGATCATCGATACTTACAGTCACCACCGGAGCGCCATTGGCATCACTTCCGATCTCAATCTCCTTCAAAGCAGCGCCGGCACCCTTGCTGCTAACACCCAGCGACTTGAACACGGCTTCCTTCGCGCTCCATCGGCCTGCGAACGAGGACTGAGGCGAGGCGGCCTTGCGGCAGTACTCCTGCTCGCTAGCAGTGAAGTTGCGCTCAACGAAAGTCTCGTTGGAGATGTTGATCGCGTCGATGTTCTCAACGTCGACACCAACCTTAGAGTTCTCCGTGGCATTGGCCTTGGCCAGAGACTCGACCATCTGCCGGGTGCTCTCCGCACTGTCAGCCTTGGGAGGGGTAGAAGAGAACTTCAGCTCAGAGGTCTTCTTGTCGACGCTCACGCGGTAGTCGGGGTTCAAGAAGACCTTGCTCTGCTGGTCGTCCTCGTAAGGAGCCTTGCTCTTAGCAACGAAGATGCTGTTGTTGATCAGGCCGTTGTGGAAGTAACGGTAGGCCTTCTTCTGGCGAGCCTCCACCTTCGTCTTGTAGGCCTCGTACTGGGCCTGGTCAAGAGTGGCGAACAGGTACTTGGGGTGGATACCAATGACCTGAGCACCCTTCTGGCCGAAACCGAAGGAGGTAACGGAGAACGCCTTGACACCGTCGGTCTGAATGCTGCGACTGGGGTAGACGATGTAGTCGAACTTCTCCATCACTTTGTCGACATTGTCCGCGTTGCGGTTACCAGGGACGAGGCCGCTCTCCATAACCTGCAGAGCGCCGTTGAACATCCAGGCACCGGCGGCACCCTTGGGGTGACCAGTGAGGTACTTCTGGAAGATACCCATAACGGCGTTACCCTTCTTGCGGCCCAAGTGTTTGAGCTGCTGGCAGATGACATCCGACTCGTTCTTGTCGTTGGCAACGGTCGAGGTACCATGGAAGGAGGCGACGCCAATGTCATCGACGGTGAGACCCCAGGTGGCCATGGCACCGCGCAGGGGAGCGATACGCGAATCCTGCTTCCAGAAGTTGTTGCCCAGGCTGAACTGCGCATCCTTCTCCTGGCGAACGGCCTCGCGCTCAATGTGCTGAGCCCGCTCGTGCATATACTCGGAGACATTGAAGCTCTCGTCGCTCTGGGCCTTCATAGCATCAACCTCCTCCTGCAGATAAAGCAGTTCGGACTCCTGCCATTCCTTGATCTGCTTCTTGCGCAGGTCAAGCTGGCGCCGACGGTACTTGATGTCCAGCAGAGGCGAGGGGAACTTGCCAGGGTTCTCACGGGCAGTAGTGAGGACACCCTGACCGGGGGCAGGGACGGACCGGCCAATCTTGTCAGTAGCGGTGGTCGTCAGGGCAATGATACCGTGGATAGGCACACCCATGTCAAGGGCGAGCTGCGCACTCATGATGAGCTGTATACCGCAACCCTGTGACTCCATGAAGCCAGCACGGGTGGTGGTAGTCGGACGGGACATCTCCTGCGGGGTGCGGCCGTGGGCGAATTCGTCCTCGGCGTTACTGGTGGCCTTCATGTTGGCGAACTCGTACGAGCCCTCCTCCTGGAAGTCATCAAAGCCACCGACGAAGCAGACGCGAGCCTTGCCCTCGACAATCGTCTCGTAACCGATGTCAACAGACTCGACGGCAGTGGCACAGGCACCGACAGGAGTCTTGATGGGACCGGTAGAAGACAAGAGCAACATGTTGACCCAGGCACTCATAGTGTTGATGAAGGACTCCTGCAGAATGTCCTTCTGCACCGGCTTGTCTAGGTAGCGGTCCTTGTACAAGCCACGCAGGGCGTGGGTACCACCGATACCGGAACCAATGCAGTTGCCAACCTCGGAGAGGTGGACGTATTTGTAGAACTCGTACGGGTCGGTGATACCGGCAGAAAGCATGGATTCCGAGGTACAGACAAGAACGAACAGAGTGACAGGATCCACCTGTTCAATGATGTCCTCGGGGATACCATATCTGCGAGCATCCCAGCCGGTGGGGATCTGACCGGCTACAAGACGGTCGAACTGCAGCGCCTTGGGAATGAGCAGATTGGCGCCCTTGCGAAGACGAACGGTGTACTCGCCAGACTCTGGGATCTCGAAGATCTCGACCTTGTCGCCGTGCTCGCGCTTGAACTCCTCGGCGGTCTCCTTGGAGGCCTCGAAGGGCTCCAGGTCCTCCTGGATGACGATTTCCTGAAGCAGCTGCTTCTGCTTGGGGTCGTAACCCTTGAACAGCTCGGGTTCGATAAGACGGATACCACTGTGCTCCAGGATGAACTTCTCGTACTTGGACTTCACGTCCTTGTCGTCGACAGGATCGCCGGACTTGGCATCAACCCAGCCGGAGTAGGCCTTGCCCTTGAGGGGGCCGTTATGATGCTTGATCAGACCCATGATCCAAGCCATTTCGACGCAGCCCTCGAGAGAGAACTTGCCATAAGCCTCCATCTGCCAACGAGTGCGAGAGTTACCCCAAGGTCCAACCTCGGAGAAACCGGTGACAACAACCACCTTGTCCAGGTTGACCATACCCTTGAGAGACTCGTTGATGGGCTTGACCTCCTTCTCCCAATCAGGAAGCGTGGGGAATTCGAACTTGATGTTGGCACGAGGCTCCGCAACAACCCTCTTGTACAAAGCGCTGCTGTCCTCGCCGTTGACAATCTTGTTCTCGATGGCAGTCTCCTTGATGACAGCCTGGCGAATATCACTATCCGCCATGATGTCGGTACGGAGCTTCGTCATCAAGCCCTTGAGATCGGGAATGAACTGGAGGCCACCATTGAGGTCCGCGAAGACGGGGTCAAGCTGGCAGAGGTCGACAATAGCCGGGGACATCAGACCGAGAAGGTTGAAAGCCATTTCCTGCTGCGAGAAAGTGCGGACACCAAGTTTCTCGACACCTTCGGCGACCATATTGTTGCCGCTCATCAGACCGGTGCCACGAGTCCAGCCGATAACTGCACCGCAGATGGTGAGGTAGTTGCTCCAGTTCTCCGAGTACCAGCGGTTGAAAAGAGTCTCCAAAGCCAGCTTGGACTCAGAGTAGAGACCGTCATTGCCGAAGGTACCGTGGTTAGGCGACAAGGGCAGGACGACTTGGGCGGGACGAGTCTCGAAGCCATGGGTCTGCTTTTGGGTTTTGATAGCGCCAAGGAGGCGGAGCAAATTGGTCAACATGATGCGGTGAGCCAGCTCCGACTTGGAGTCAATGTTGTCGATCTCGCGGCCGTTTTCTGGAATGGCGGCAAACGGAACGACGAAGTCCAGGTCCCATCCAAGACCCTTCTTGGTGTCGTAGACATAGTCGATCAGAGCCTCCACATCCTGCTTGCTACCTTGGTTGAATGGCACGACAACAAGCTGGGAGCCACGAGCGCCGTAGCGAGCATACATAGCCTGGTAGTACTCAGTCACCTCGCGAGAGAAGCGGCTGGTGGTCACAACCACCTTGGCACCACCGCTGATCAGACCCTGAAGGACTTCGGCACCAATGGAACCGGCACCGGCACCAGTCATCAGAACATTCTTGCCCTGGAAGGAAAGACCATTCTGAGCAGCCGACTCCAAGACCTTCAGGTAGGTGCCGGTGAGCTTCTTGTTGTAGTCCCAGCCGTGCTCGGACTTCTTCTTCAGGTGCAGGAAGGGAATGGTTTCCACCTTACCGGGGCGGTTGGTGGTGCGTTTGAGACCATTGCGGCCAGATTTCTTGGCGCTACCGTTCTCCTGAGGCATGATCTGGTTCTCGTTCATACTAAGAGCGTGCAAAACATCCTTGTAGAGAGCGTCAAACTGGATCTGTGATGCCTTCGAGAGACGATGCTGCTTGCGGATGAGCTTGTAGACGTTCTTGAGGTCATTCTGCACCTTGTTGCGGTTGCTGTACTCGGAGATGGGACCACCCTCAGCCATCTGCTTGACGTAGTGCTCCAGCTTACGGGCACTGGCACGGGGAACCTCCTTGAAGCTGATGTTGCCTCGCTCGTCAAGGGTAGTCTGAGGCCCCGTAGGAACGGCGACATCCTTGTAGACGGGGGCGACACCCATCACCTCCCGGCAGTTTTCAATGAGCTGCTGGCCTAGCTCTTTGGCCAGCTGGTAGGTCTCGCCACGCTCAGTAGGGCAGTTGTCGATGTGGTACTGCATGAATTCGAGAAGAAGAGGGTTGGAGCGGTTCATAATGCGAATACACTGGCTCACAATCTCACGGTCAACAACCTGGAGACGGCCAAAGATAATGTCGTAGTACATGCTGAGGGCATCCTGGCGGGCCCAGTTCCACGAGGAGTCATACACACGGGCCTTGAGCGGATCGAAGGAGGGCTCGATACCCGAGGCGTAGAAGTCGCCATGCTCGGCCTGCCACAGATCAATCTGTGCCTGCAACGCCTTCTGGGTCTCTTGAGACGTAACAAAGGCCTTGTCACCGGCACGGAGATCCATCTTTAAATAGCGGGCAATGACCTCCAATTGCTGCTTGAACAGAGCTCGCTGGTCCTTGGTCAGAGCATCAATGGCCGCGGGGTCCATCATCATGCCACCGCCACCGGCACCAGCGTCGGCGCCGGCTGCGGGGGCCGACAGGTTAATACCGGCGCTGGCGGCGTACTTGTTGGTAACATCGTCCAAGAATGCCTTGGCATCAGTCTCCGAGCCCAGACGAGAGGCGGGCTCCATGGTAATGGCCAGCAACAGCACACCGTCCTGGCGGCCCGCGCCCAGACCCCACCGAGTCTCCAAGTATTTCCGAACTGCCGTAATGTTGAAACCACCAGGCATCTTGGAGGAGACCATTCGTGCAATGAGGGAAGACGATTGCTTGCCCAATTGGCCGTTGAAAGTGGCCTGCATCGCCGCACCCAACTCATCCAGAGGGGTGTCTTCTGGCTTCTCCGGTGTCGACCCGAATTCCTTGCCCAGGTCTCCCAAAATTTCGTTTTGTAATGTGGATTTACCTTGAGATATATATTAGAATTTTGGATTGAATCTTTTGCCAATTGGTCGAGAAACTTACCTCCAACAAGATCCTTAATGGCTTTTGACAATGGCACGTCGGCCAGACTCTTCTTTAGCTTCTGCGCAACCAGAGACCGCAGAATATCGACTGCAGATACTGGGACATCATCTACGGCCGCAGCTGGGCCAGCACTGGGAGGCGGGGGGGCGGCAGCAGGTGCCGCACCGGCCGGAGCAGCAGCAGCAGGAGCCGCAGCAGCGGGCTCGGCGATGGGCTCCTCCTCAATGGGATCGACATCGTAGTAGATTTCCTTGGCATCCTTGTTGTAGCAAAGGATTTGACGCTGCACGGATGTGGCGGCATCGTATGCCTCGTACTTGGAGGCTAGCGTCCGACGGGCCATTCCTCCCAGAGTATCTGCGGGACCGATCTCGACAATGCGCTCGGTGCGCTGTTCGGCGAGGATAACATCTTGGGTCTCAATCCATCTGACCGGGGAGGCGAATTGGTAGGCGAGCAGCTCCACCAGCAAGGTGTGAGCGAGCTCCTGCTCAATCTCGGGACGCATGGTGTAGGGGTATCGTTAAGGTATTAAGGTAGGAGCAGGACGCACGTCCTAGGGGTGCGCGACGAGGAGTCGTCGCTGAATGCCCGTGAAAGGCTTTCCAAGTAAGAAAACACAAGAAGAAGAAGACAAGGAAAAGAAATGGCAACAATGGTCTGGAGGAGAAGAGAGAGAGGTTTAGGTCAGGGCCTCTGAGACAGAAGGTTTGCAACCAGAAAAAAAAGGTGGGAAAGCGATAGGCCGATAGTCTGGTAATACCAAATACGTGTAATTTTGCGATGACTGTTGCGGGTCTCTGGCTTTTCGTTGCTTCCCGTAGCACCCCTCAATGTTTCGTATTATAAATCAGAAACTCAAGATCGAGGAGAAGGGTGAGGGTATTCAATTGTTCGCCATGGTTGCATCGGGGCATGTCGACGGGGGGTGTAGTGATCAGTAATCGGATAGAAGGGATGGGCCAGAAGAGTTGAGGCCGTTGGGGCTCCCAAGCACCGCAGCTCCGGATCTGGCGCGAGCGGCAGATGCGCCGTCGGCCGAAGACGCGGCGCCGGTGCGAGTGGACAGCGATGCACGGTGGGGAAGGTACCTGACATGCGCAGTGCCAATGGGGAGATGCCCAACACCCCATCGTCCCAGCTTCTGCTCCACCGCGCCAGCAATTCCCAGCAGTTACATTCGTTACCTCCGGAACCGCCAGTTACACCAAAAATACATGTTGAACAGCGATTGGGGCGGGTCACCGCCCTAAACCACTTTGAGCCGGTTGCGGTTCAACAGCGGATCTTTTTTTTTACACTGAACGTCTCTCTACCTTCCCTTGTGTACACACCCCTCTCCCTCTTTCCTTGTGACGTTCTAATTTCTCTTGTTATTTGATTTTTTAATTAAGTGTCTTGTTCGGACACTCATTGAATTGAGGATTGTAGGTGTTTTCCTTGACTCCATCTCCGCCCAAGTCATACTCATGCTCATTGCTCTTCAGATCCTCGATTGACCACGAGTCCCGCCCGGGTCTCCAGAAGAGAGAGGACTTTCATCATGTACGGCACATCGACCGGTCCTCAGACCGGCATCAACACCCCCCGGTCCTCTCAATCCCTCCGTCCCCTCATCCTTTCACATGGCTCCCTCGAGTTTTCCTTCCTCGTCCCCACCTCGCTCCATTTCCACGCCTCGCAGTTGAAAGACAGTTTCACTGCTTCATTACCCGAACCCACAGATGAATTGGCCCAGGACGATGAGCCCTCCTCCGTCACCGAGCTGGTGGCCCGCTATATCGGCCAGGTCGCCCGTGAGGTTGAGGAGGGTGAGGATGATGCTCAGGGTAGCTATCTCGAGGTCCTCAAACTCGTCCTGAACGAGTTCGAGCGTGCCTTCATGCGCGGCAATGACGTTCACGCCGTGGCAGCCACTCTGCCCGGCATTGTTGCCAAGAAGAACCAGGTGGTTGAAGCCTACTACGCTGGACGAGCCGCCGCAGGCCGGCCCACCAAGCCCTACGATTCTGCCCTATTCCGTGCGGCCTCAGATGATGCGGCTGGTATCTACACGGTCTTTGGTGGCCAGGGTAACATCGAGGAGTATTTCGACGAGCTGCGTTCGATTTACACTACCTACCCCTCCTTCGTCGAGGATTTGATTGTCTCCTCCGCTGAGCTGTTGCAATCGCTCTCGCGCGAACCCGAGGCGAGCAAGCTCTACCCCAAGGGTCTGGATATTATGCGATGGCTCAAGGATCGCGATGCTCAGCCCGATACCGACTACCTGGTGTCGGCCCCTGTCAGTCTGCCTTTGATTGGCCTGGTCCAGCTGGCCCACTACATGGTGACCTGCAAGGTCCTGGGCCGTCAGCCTGGTGACCTCCTCGAGCGCATCAAGGGTACCACCGGTCATTCCCAGGGTGTGGTGACCGCCGCTGCCATCGCCACGGCGACCAGCTGGGAGACCTTCGCCAAGGCCACTCGGGATGCCCTGACGATGCTCTTCTGGATTGGTCTGCGCAGCCAACAGGCCTATCCCCGCACATCCATTGCCCCCTCGGTGCTGCAGGATTCGATTGAGAACGGTGAGGGTACGCCGACTCCCATGCTTTCCATCCGGGATCTGTCTCGTACCGCCGTCCAGGAACACATTGATGCCACCAACCAGCACTTGCCCCAGGACCGCCACATTTCGATCTCCTTGGTTAACAGTGCCCGCAACTTTGTGGTGACCGGTCCCCCAATCTCGCTCTATGGTCTGAACCTGCGCCTTCGGAAGGTCAAGGCCCCCACCGGCCTGGACCAGAACCGAGTTCCCTTCACCCAGCGGAAGATTCGCTTCGTCAACCGCTTCCTCCCTATTACGGCCCCCTTCCACAGCCAATATCTCACCTCGGCCTATGACCGCATTATTGAGGACTTGGAGGATATTGATATCCCCGCCAAGTCTCTGGCCATTCCCGTTTTCCACACCCAGTCTGGAGAGGATCTGCGCCAGTTGGGCGACAAGAGCGCTGTCCCTGCTCTGGTCCGCATGATCACTCACGACGCCGTCAACTGGGAGCAAGCTACTGTTTTCCCCGGCGCAACACACATTGTTGACTTCGGACCTGGTGGCATCTCGGGTCTGGGTGTTCTCACTAACCGCAACAAGGATGGTACCGGTGTCCGGGTCATCCTGGCTGGTGAGATGGACGGCACCAATGCCGAAGTTGGCTACAAGCCGGAGCTATTCGACCGTGATGAGCACTCGGTCAAGTTCGCCTCCGACTGGGTCAAGGAGCACGGCCCGCGTCTGGTGCAGACTTCCACTGGCGAGACTTACGTCGACACCAAGATGAGTCGCCTGTTGGGTATCCCCCCTGTCATGGTGGCTGGTATGACACCTACCACTGTTCCTTGGGACTTCGTGGCCGCCACGATGAACGCTGGCTACCATGTTGAGCTTGCTGGTGGTGGTTACTACAACGCCAAGACGATGACGGAGGCTATCACCAAAATCGAGAAGGCAATTCCGCCGGGCCGTGGTATCACGATCAACCTGATTTATGTTAACCCCCGTGCCATGGCTTGGCAGATCCCCCTCATCGGCCGGCTGCGCGCTGACGGAGTTCCCATTGAGGGTCTGACCATTGGTGCCGGTGTGCCTTCTATCGAGGTTGCCAATGAGTACATCGAGACACTCGGTATCAAGCACATCGCTTTCAAGCCCGGCTCCGTCGACGCCATCCAGCAGGTGATCAACATTGCCAAGGCCAACCCCAAGTTCCCCATCATCATGCAGTGGACTGGTGGCCGTGGTGGTGGTCACCACTCGTTCGAGGACTTCCACCAGCCCATCCTTCAGATGTACAGCCGCATCCGAAAGTACCACAACATCGTTCTTGTCGCTGGTAGTGGTTTCGGCGGAGCTGAGGATACCTACCCGTATCTCTCCGGTACCTGGTCCTCCAAGTTCGGCTACCCTGCCATGCCCTTTGACGGATGTCTTTTCGGCAGTCGCATGATGATTGCGAAGGAAGCGCATACCTCGAAGAACGCCAAAAAGGCCATTGCTGATGCCCCCGGTGTCGACGATGAGGACTGGGAGAAGACTTACGAGGGTGCTACTGGCGGTGTGATCACCGTTCTGTCCGAGATGGGCGAGCCTATTCACAAGCTGGCCACCCGCGGTGTTCTCTTCTGGCAGGAGATGGACCAGAAAATCTTCAAGCTCGACAAGGCGAAGCGTGTTCCTGAACTCAAGAAGCAGCGCAACTACATCATCAAGAAGCTCAATGATGACTTCCATAAGGTGTGGTTCGGCCGCAACGCCGCTGGAGAGACCGTGGACTTGGAGGATATGACTTACGCCGAGGTGGTTCACCGCATGGTCGATCTCATGTACGTCAAGCACGAGTCTCGTTGGATCGATGCCTCCCTGAAGCGCCTCACTGGTGACTTCCTACGTCGTGTTGAGGAGCGTTTCACCACCGCCAACGACCAAGCCTCGAAGCTGCAGAGCTATTCCGAGCTCGACACCCCTTACCCAGCCGTCGATAACATTCTGGCGGCTTACCCCGAGGCTGCTTCTCAGTTGATCAACGCACAGGATGTGCAACACTTCCTCCTTCTCTGCCAACGCCGGGGACAGAAGCCTGTTCCTTTCGTTCCTTCTCTCGATGAGAACTTCGAGTACTTCTTCAAGAAGGATTCTCTCTGGCAGAGTGAGGACCTCGAGGCTGTCGTGGATCAGGATGTCGGCCGTACTTGTATCCTGCAGGGTCCCATGGCTGCTCGCTTCTCCAACATCATCGATGAGCCCGTGAAAGATATTCTCGACGGTGTTCACAAGGGCCACATCACCGGCCTTCTCCGTGACGTGTACGGCGGTGACAAGACGAAGATCCCTGTGATTGAGTACTTCGGTGGACAGATGCTCAGTTCCGAGGACCAGCAGGAGCTGGAAGGCCTCACTGTCTCGCAAGAGACCAACAAGATTACTTTCCGTCTGTCGTCGTCTTCCTCGGTCGAATTGCCCGAAGTTGACCGCTGGCTCCGTCTTCTGGCCGGTGACTCTTACTCTTGGCGCCATGCCTTGTTCCTAGCCGATGTGTTCGTCCAGGGTCACCGCTTCCAGACCAACCCGATGAAGCGGATCGTGGCGCCCACTGCTGGACTCTACGTGGAGATCACCAACCCTCATGATTCCGCCAAAACCGTCATTAGCATCCGAGAGCCCTATCAGTCGGGCAAGTTGGTGAAGACCGTCGAGGCCAAGATGAACGAGAACGGTCAGATCAGCCTGACTCTCTTCGAGGGCCGTACCGCTGAGGGCGGCGTTGTCCCCTTGTCCTTCCTGTTCACCTACCACCCGGAGACCGGCTATGCCCCCATCCGCGAGGTCATGGGAGATCGCAATGACCGCATCAAGGAATTCTACTACCGCATCTGGTTCGGCAACAAGGACGTGCCCTTCGACACTCCCACCACCGCTACTTTCAACGGTGGCCGGGAAACCATTACTTCCCAGGCTGTTGCCGACTTCGTCCACGCTGTAGGCAACACTGGTGAGGCCTTTGTTGACCGTCCCGGCAAGGAGGTCTTTGCCCCCATGGATTTCGCCATCGTGGCGGGCTGGAAGGCCATTACCAAGCCTATCTTCCCTCGCACTATTGACGGAGACCTGCTGAGACTGGTTCACCTGTCCAATGGCTTCAAGATGGTCCCCGGTGCTCAGCCGCTGAAGGTTGGCGATGTCCTGGATACCACTGCCCAGATCAACGCCGTCATCAACCAGGAATCTGGCAAGATGGTCGAGGTGTGCGGCACTATCAAGCGGGATGGCAAGGCCATTATGCATGTTACCAGTCAGTTCTTGTACCGAGGTGACTACTTGGACTTCGAGAACACCTTCCAGCGCAAGGAGGAGGTCCCTATGCAGGTCCACCTCGCCACCAGCCGGGATGTCGCTATCCTCCGCTCCAAGGAGTGGTTCTGCATGGACGAGTCTGACATGGAGCTCCTGGGCCAGACCATTACTTTCCGTCTGCAGAGCTTGATCCGCTTCAAGAACCAGACTGTATTCAGCAGTGTTCAGACCGTCGGACAGGTCCTGCTTGAGCTTCCCACCAAGGAGGTCATCCAGGTTGCCTCTGTTGAATACCAGGCCGGCACTTCCCACGGTAATCCGGTGATTGACTACCTGCAGCGCAATGGAACTTCCATTGAGCAGCCAGTCTACTTCGAGAACCCCATCCCTCTCAGTGGCAAGACTGCTCTGGAGTTGCGTTCCCCAGCCTCGAACGAGACCTACGCTCGCGTCTCCGGCGACTACAACCCTATTCACGTCTCGCGTGTTTTCTCAAGCTACGCCAACCTCCCGGGCACCATCACGCACGGTATGTATAGCAGTGCCGCGGTGCGCAGCTTCGTGGAGACCTGGGCTGCCGAGAATAACATCGGCCGTGTTCGGGGCTTCCACGTCTCTTTGGTCGGCATGGTGTTGCCCAATGATATGATTACCGTCAAGCTCCAGCACGTCGGTATGATTGCCGGTCGTAAGATCATCAAGGTCGAGGCCAGCAACAAGGAGACCGAGGACAAAGTTCTCTTGGGTGAAGCGGAGGTTGAACAACCTGTTACCTCCTACGTCTTCACCGGTCAGGGCTCTCAGGAGCAGGGTATGGGTATGGAGCTTTATGCCAGCAGTCCCGTGGCCAAGGAGGTCTGGGACCGCGCCGATCGCCACTTCATTGAGAACTATGGCCTGTCCATCATCGATATCGTCAAGAACAACCCCAAGGAGCTCACCGTCTACTTCGGTGGCCCGCGGGGCAAGGCCATTCGCCAGAACTATATGTCGATGACCTTCGAGTCGGTGAATGCCGATGGATCGATCAAGTCGGAGAAGATCTTCAAGGAGGTTGACGAGACTACCGCCTCGTACACCTACCGCTCTCCGACCGGCCTGCTGTCTGCCACTCAGTTCACTCAGCCTGCGCTGACCCTGATGGAGAAGGCCAGCTTCGAGGATATGCGCTCCAAGGGTCTGGTGCAGCGGGACAGCAGCTTCGCCGGTCACTCCCTGGGTGAATACTCGGCTCTGGCTGCCCTGGCCGATGTCATGCCCATTGAGAGCTTGGTGTCCGTCGTGTTCTACCGTGGTCTGACGATGCAGGTCGCCGTCGAGCGTGACGAGCAGGGTCGGTCCAATTACTCCATGTGTGCCGTTAACCCCAGCCGCATCTCCAAGACCTTCAACGAGCAGGCCCTTCAATACGTCGTCGAGAACATTTCGGAGCAAACCGGCTGGCTTCTGGAGATCGTCAACTACAACGTTGCCAACATGCAATATGTGGCTGCTGGTGATGTAAGTTTACTCATATTCATGTTTTGAGTGTCATATTATACTAACGTTTGCTTCCAGCTCCGTGCTCTCGACTGCCTCACCAACCTTTTGAACTTCCTCAAGGCTCAGAACATCGATATCCCCACTCTCATGCAGACCATGTCTCTGGAGGATGTTAAGGCTCACCTTGTGAGCATCATTCAGGAGTGTGTCAAGCAGACTGAGGCCAAGCCGCGCCCCATCAATCTGGAGCGTGGCTTTGCCACTATCCCTCTCAAGGGTATCGATGTGCCCTTCCACAGCACTTTCCTGCGCTCCGGCGTCAAGCCTTTCCGGTCCTTCTTGCTCAAGAAGATTAATAAGACCACCATCGACCCCAGCAAGCTGGTCGGCAAGTACATTCCCAACGTGACTGCTCGTCCCTTCGAGATCACCAAGGAGTACTTCGAGGATGTCTACAAGCTTACCAACTCGCCTCGTATCGCCTCGATCTTGGCCAACTGGGACAAGTACGAAGAGGGCAACGAGTCCGCTGCCCGTGCAGCCTAATAATGTTGTGATTCCCCCTCGTCTCTAATATGTTTATTCTTTTGGTTTCTAGATAGAAAGACCTTTGTTTATTGCAGGTCGTGATGTGACATGTCTCAAACTTGGCGCAGATAAATGTATATGTTTTGTTCTAGTTCCGTTATGAATTGGATTCTATACAAATTTCCATCCACCTGTGTGCGCTATTTAGAGACGCGTCATTCACCGTGACGACTGTTAATATCCATTTGTAAGCTAAGACCGGTGTGTATCATACACACTTCTCTATCATGGCAAAATTCCAGTGGAAAACGGCAGAGTATCATCTCAAGTCTCCTTCCAAGGGCCGGGACGCAGCATACGATCTTCTTTGCCGTACACACTGACTTTCTTGACAATCTCGATGAACCGCTGGTGGTTCTCCTTGGATGGACCAAGACGAGATCGGAATGCTCGCGAGAGATCACCGGTCAGAATACCCGACGGCGGAATAGCCGCATGAACCTCTGCAGGGGTAGGGAATGATCCAGTCGGTCCAGGCGTGCCACGAGCTTGTACAGCGCAGTCAGTATATCTCATAAACAAGGTTCGTGTCAACAAGATACGTACCTCGAGCGGTTCCCTCGGGGCTGCTGGCTCGGCTGCCGGAGAAGCTCCGGTTGCCGGCAACAGGGCTTCCAGCTCGGGAGCCATGCGGTGTACCTCCACGGGAGGCCGCCGAAGGTGGGTTCAACTTGAGCTTCTTGGTCTTGCCACTCTCGCTCATTTCGCCTCCAGATCCTGCCCCGGCATCGACATCGCTGCCAGACCCAGATCCACCCAGGATGTTTCGAACGCGCTTTTTGCCGGCCTGTAGAAAATATATCATTAGAAACAACAGGATCCCCTGACAGAATAGTCACCTTGCACTTGCCTGCGATGCGGATGGAGAAATAGGGCGAGAAGTGGGTTGAGAAGTTGGCTGCGAGGACTGATGCTTGTTCTTCGCCTTCTTCCGAGAAGTGTCTGTTCCACTGGCATCAGAGGCATTGGGTGACCCCAGCCTCTTCCGAGAAGCGGCCGACTTCTTCAGTGGATCGGTATGTTTCGGTCGGCCCGATGGTGTGTTGGAGCCCTTGGAAGACGAGGCCGATTCCTTCTGGTTCTTTTCTTCTTCGGCCTTGCGTTCTTCTTCTTTCTGTCGCTCGGTTTCGCTGTCATCAGAGCTCTGGCAGTAGAAAACAATTAGCATTGGGAAACATGTTAGTTGGGAAACATGTAAGATAATGAAGCTCTCATCGAAGCTTTCAACTTACCTCTTCGTCAGTATAAGGGTTCGCATCGGAGCCGCTGCTGTAGTCATAGTTCCTTTCTCTTTTCTTGAGAGCCTTTCGAACTTTTTTGCCCAGGACTTTGCGAGCTTCACGCTCCTTCTTCTCGCGCATCTCTTCTTCCTCGTAGTCTTTCTCCTCCTTGAGGTCGAATACATTCGCCTTCAATTGGTCCTCCTTGATTCTTTTTTCGGCGGCCTTGGAATCTTCGTCTTGCTCGTTGAAAAGGTCGTCATGCTCTTCATCATCTGCAAATCGATCCTCTTCAAAGTCCATCTCACTAGCCTCAAGCCCCTCTCGTCCAGCAAGGACGCCTTGCTTTCCAGCAAAAACCTTTCGGTGTTTGGCATACTGCTCTAATTCCTTCTGCTGTGCGATTTCTTGTTGCTTCTCCATGAACCAGCGCGGGTCCTTGACTCGCTTTGCCATGTACTTCTCTGCTTCCTCAATTGTCAAAGCCTTGAATTGGCTTTTGGCACTAAATTTGTACCACTTCTCGGCAGGTATCATTCGCATCTTGCCGTTTTCAAGCACAAACACCGCGTGGGTCTCTGACAGCGCTGCTTCATAGTTACCCACCCAGATATTCCGGTTATCGAAATCCTCAAGGTGCCATGGAAGCGCCTCCTCATACTTGATACGAGCCTTCGCGATCTCCTCGGGCGTCAAGTCCGACTTAAAGACCTGTTGCGTTTTCTGCTTAGGAGCATTCGGTCGTTTGCCGACTGATCCCACAGAAGGCGCAATCTGTGCCAGATTTTCTGCGCGCTCCTTCTCTCGGGCCGCTCTCCTAGCATCCAGTGCCTCCCGCTCTGCCTCATCGAGTTGTTGACCATCGGGTCCCAAGATCTTATCAATATTCGGATCCTGCGACCGCGTCCGTGGATCCCGACGATGTAACCTCACAGGTCGGGTGAATTGCGATTCATCGCGTGGGTCGACACTTCGTTTCGAGGCAAATCGAGCGATATGGTTTTTCAGTCCCTCTCGCAACGCTCGTTTTGTCGTCACCAACGGATAGTCGACGTATTTTTCGGACAGTAAAGGGCCGCTAAACCCGTTCACGGCATGTTCTGCCTTCACGGGAGGCGCAGGTAGCACCGCAGGCTGAGAGGGCTGCTGGGTGTTCGAAGTCGGGGGTCGCGTAGGCAAGGTCTTAGTAGCAGTGCTACCGACGGGAGGAGCTCCAGCAGGTCTCACTGGTCTTCTCTTTGGGCGAACCAGCGGGTCTGCTGCCCTGGGCCGGCGGATTCGCATGGGGGGAGCTCCGTTCGACCCCGTTGGCGTCCGGCCATTCGAGGGGTTGGTTGGAGTCGACATGTCGCTTCAGAGAGAGCGCAGTGTCGGCTTCAAGTGAGAGATGGAGTATCTGATCGCATGAACCAGGAATATCGATGGCATCGAATCTGCTAAAGAGAACAGAAACAAAGAGACGATGAGAGGACAGGCCGATGAGGTCAACGTCGGGGGGCTGAGGTAAGCCGAGGCTTGGCATTTTCGACGCGCTCTTCTTAAGTCATTTCGACTAAGCTTGCGGTTACACAGATCCTCGAAAATATCCTTCTCGGCCTCAACCTAAAAATTTAAAATACCCAGAAATATGTCTAGCGTCTAAGTCGTATTGTTCAGTCACTCCTCTTTACATGAACTCTGATTTTTTTCTATCTTCGCTTCATCCCCCGAATGTTTGCCCCGGCTCCAGCTGCTTGTAAGGACATGCAATCCAGTCGCATCCCTATATGAAAGAAAATTCAAGTCAACAAAGATATTCTCAAAGGTAAAGTCAGTACCCACCTGTTTGTAGATCTCTGTCCCCCACCATCGGAAGCCTTCGACCCAGCCTGGATAGATAAACGCGAAGAAAACAACGATCACGGCAAATGCCAGTCCAGAATCCAATGCTGCTGAGAGGGTCATCGCGTATTTCTCCCACCAATCCGTCTTTCGTCGCCGAATCACGTAGTTGAACACGAAACACACGAGAGCCCAGATAGAGAAATTTAACCCCGTCGCCGGCGGGATCCAACTCAGACTGCCAAACAGAATAGGGAAATTGATCATGCGCCAGATGTTCTTCTTGCTCCGTCGGCCAAGGATCCAAGCTCCCACGGGTGCGATTGCGCCTAGCAGAAACGCCCACACGAGGGGTCGATAAAGGCCCCCCGGACCAAAGAAGCGCTGTGGTCCAACCACTCCCCAAAGGATACTACCATTGAAGTGTACCCGCGCAATAGGGCAGTTGAATCCATTGATTGCCTCCGGGGTGCATAACCCCGGAATGAAGGCAAACATCCAGTTTAGAACGCCGATCTGGGTCAGACTGGATACCAGGGTTGCCACCATTTGCACACCAAATAAAATGCGAGGGGGAATCTTCATGTAATGTCCAAGCTTCAGGTCCGAGGAAAATTTAATGCCTTGGGCGGAGCTGATGTAGGAATAAGTCACGAATATCATGTTCGCAACCGGTCGACCAGGGAAGACGATGCCGCAGAGGAGCTGGCAAATCAGATAGAGACTGCTATGTTGATTGGTGACGGCCATAATGATGCCGACTGGAATGAAAAACACACTCGTGATAGTCAGGGCTAGAAATAACCCATACCAGGGCAAGTGGACCGGGTAGCTTCAATGAGATGTCAGCATCAACCAAAATGTAAAGGACAAGTTGGTGAGGGGGTGGGGGGGGGCACTTACTGCTCCACAGTGTAAGTGGCGATGGCCAGCATCGTAATAAGCACAATGAGGTACCATGTGAGTGGAGCATCCTTGTAGCGCCTCATCAAGCGGCAATGGACATCCTCCAGACCCAAGGGCAGCTCCCGGGTCAGGTCATGGGAACTGGCCCTTGACATGTCATTACTGCGACGAGCAGGAAGGGGTCCATTGTCCGTCCGGAGGGGCTGATATGTCTCGAAACCGGGCATTTCTCGTCTTTCCTCGAAAGCCTTCCGGGTTTGATGCAAGATGTCTTTGCCGTACCAGCAGACAGTGTGGGTGACCAAAGAAGTCAAGGCAGCAAATTGGACACCGTAGGATAGCACGTAGGTAATAGGAAGGTAAACCGGCGAATATTCCTCGTAGGCCTTCTGGTCAAATAGGAACTCGGGAGTCAAGATGCGGCTCACGTTGTATAGGTGTCCGGTGTTATCAAACACCGCTGCAGACAGGATGGGCATGTAAGAAGAAAAGAGCACATTTTTATAATCTTTCATCCTGTCAGTCTTGTGCGTGCAGAGAATGGGGAGCTGAATCTTACACAAAATAGGAGCGATGATCCATATCACGACCACGAGACCGGTCACAATGTTGGCGGCAGCCCACCAGGGGGTGAGCAATGGGGATCCAATATACGCGATTTGAGCCCAGTCAAAAGTCAAAGGAAACATCCCGAGACCCGAAGCAACACCGAACTAGAGCACAGTTAGTAACACGATCCACATCGAAGCAAAGAGAGTTCTCACCAGATTCGCCACGACGACGCTCTTTGGAGCGAGCCAAGTAATGACGTTGAAGTAACTGAGCGCAGGCATCAGCAAGCCGGGGACAAAGTACCAAGCAAAAGCACCTCCCCATACAATAATAAAAAATTTGTATCGGGAGATGCTCCATCCATTGGCTTTCTTGTTGCTGGTCTTGTGCATCGTGGAAAACATAGCAGTTGACATGAGGGTTCCCGGCCAGATCATAGCCGATGGGCGCACAAGAAACCGTCTGGTGAGACCAGCAAAGGCATAACCCAGGACTTGAGTGGAGACGATGAGCAGTAGTTGGTACATTATGGGGACATCCTGCTGGTAAAATTTGTGCTGCTCCACGATCACCTGCTCTCCTGGTCAGCTATGCAAAAATGGAATATAGTCTTGATCGGAACTGACATCAGTTGCAAAGGCAAAGCCGAAGGATACATTGCTGCTGATGTAGACGCAGGCATGCTCCTTCTCATTCCAACGACCCTGCGCAAACCACAGTCGAATCCTTGAGGTCCAGGGAATCTTCGGGGCATCGATTTCGCCAGAGAGCGACTCTCTGTGATGCAGAGTCCCATTTTCGAAGACCTCGAGGGGGTCGCCCGTTCTCTTCAGAAGGACATCCCAAAACTTCCCAAGCGGATGGACTAGAACCAGTGCAATAATGGGCGTTATGGCGACACTAGGATAGCGAAGAGAAAAGAAAAGATTGGCAGCAGAACCTGTCAACGAGAAAAGCAACGAGAGAATCCACATGCGAGGGGCTATAAGCGCAACGATTAGTACAAGGTGACCAAGAGGTTTCAAGATCCTCCCAGACAAAAACTCACTATTGATTGAAAGAGAGATGTCGTCTGTCGCGGGGACAGTGGCTCTTACTTGGGCATATCTAGGGCATTATGCCTTATTAGCAATGCCTTCACGGGAATCGACAAAATGCAAGTTTCGTCTGAATTATCGAACTTACGGGGAGTTGTCAGGCGGGTCTTCTTCGGCCGGTTTTATGTCCTCATCCTCAATATCCAAGACATCCTCTTCATCATCATCACTAGTCAAGAAGGGCGAAGATACCGGGGTCTCTTGCATTACTGGATTTCCCGGCACGGCAAGGCCCGTCGCAAATGAGTATTTAGAATCAGCACCCATTCCAACATCTGAGGTGGCAGATGAGGGCCGTCGATTGTGTCCTTCTGTGTACAGTTCACGGCTTTTTCGCCTGCTTGAGGAGTGTGATCGTTTCGGTCTTGAGCTTCTTCTTCCATCGTTGGAAGGGCCCCCGGGGCAGCTCTCATAGCTTATACGTTGAGTCCCGTTGGACGCTTTGCGTGCGGCTTTTTGCTGGCGAGATGCAAGATTTGCATCGTCGTCAGAGTCCTCTTGCGGAATGCGCACCGCGCCGTACGACGAAGAGCCCAGCGCGGGCGACGAGCGTATCAGAGGAGCGCGCGACATGAATGCCCGGAATTGCTGAGCGAGTGACGGATGGTCGGGCGGATTCATGTCGGGGTCACTGGGCCAGTCGCAGTTTCCATCGTTGCACCCGTCAAAGTCGTGCTGCTCAACTCGGTTCGATTCGGCGGGAAGCCACTCGCCCCTCGGGGTCGGGGGACAAGACAGCTTCCGCGTCTGCAGTGGGATGTCGGTCGTCGTAATGGCGGGAATAGGGCAATGATGCAATAGTGTCAATTCTGGGGCTGTCTGGAAGCTCTTTGGGGCCTGTTCGGGCTTAGAGCGTGCAGTAGTTCCGGGCCAAGCGAGAGATGAGGTTCAGCAAGCAAGGAAAATCGGAGTGGAGCGGGCCCCACCGGGCAATCGGTATCCCACCAAAGGATCAACGCAATGCCCGAGCTACATCGACACTGTGCAGTGCTCAATGATCTATGAGGTTTTTGTATTGGTATCTATAAAGCGATGTCTCCTTTTTAAAACAGTTCCGTCACCTTCTCGTCCTCATCCTCGGGCTGGCCGCCTTCGATCTGATCCCGAGACTTCGACAGCTCAGAATCGGTCTTTTGTCCCTCGTCTTCCTCATCCCGCATAATGACCTGAACAAGTCGGTCACAGGCTTCTCGGACATCTTCGTCCTCAACATTAAGATGGCATTCCCGGATGACGGGGTACACCTGTACGGCGCGCATCCTGTCTCGGCCCTCCCGGGTCGTCGTCAACAACAAGAGAGTCTCCAGGTGTGTTGTAATGATAGTCATATCACTGTCGCGCTTCTTATCCGGGGGGAGCAGCTGGAGGTCCGGCAGCATCGACATCGACTCTTCGTCGGGGAACTCCTCCGGGCCCGTGATGGGTAGCAGAAGGTAAGGCAACAAGTTGGCTCCGTCCTCGGCAAACAACATAGGGTGAGAGGAGACGTCGAATGCCACATTCTTGATGGTAGATGCCACGCCTTTCCGACGAATGTCACTTCCGTGTTCCGTAAAAACAGTTAGCTTGGTGATTGGGACGACTCCATCGTACTCCTGGCGCGTGGTGAAGTACGCCCGTCCCTTATCGGATTGAGACAGATCGGCGAAGAGGTAGGACAGATAGTCGAAATTGGCATGTTTGTTGAGACCGCCCTCTGCACCCTTCACGAAGCAGTCCATCAGCTGGTCGAGGGCATTCTCGGAGGTGGAGACGGACTCGGGGGCTTTGCGCTTCAGCAAGTGGAGTTTTTCGAGGTGTTCGGACTTGACGAGGTTGGCCAGCAGCATGGCCACCTCGTCGGCATTGGGCTCTTTGACATTCTGGCGTTGCGCATCTCATCAGTCGGGCTCGCCTCAATATATTGAGAATAGACTCACCGTCAATTTCTTCAACAGCGTCTCAATGAATTGGTCATCTTCGGCTAGCGTTTTCAACACCTCTTCATCGCTGGAGAGATTGATGAGAATGGTCAAGGCATTCTTCGCAATAGGCTATAGGAGGGCTCGAATCAGCGAAGCGTTCTCGGCGGAGGAATCGGATCGCACGCACCGTATAATCCCGGGTTAGGAGCTTCAAATCTCGAACGGGAAGTAATTGCTGGTGCTTGAATAGGTTGGGTTGTCCCGTGGAGAACCCGACGAGGGTCTCACAGGCTAAAGACGTCAGGATCATCGCATTCTTCGCTCGCGGAGGGACCTTACCGATCTGTCGAATCTGAGTGTTTCCGTGGTGAAGAAACTCCACCAGCTATAGAGAGGATTAGAGGGTCACAGGATTGTTTCACGGCAGCGTATAGTCGGAGACACACCTCTTCAAGCTCTGTCGGCATCTTGTTTGCAGGGGTTGAAGGTCAATAGTTGACCGAGCCCGGCGCAGGAAACTTTTTTTCTCCCGGAAGTGGGGGTTTTCGACGTCACCGGCGCCGCGGCTCTCAGTGCACACTTGGTGTGCAGAGCTTCACACTCGAGTGTAATGCAGGGTTGCAATTTCGAATCGCAAGATGTGTCCCTCTCGTTTTACACGTTGCTGAGTTGCTGAGCGAGTGGCGGAGGTCGGGGGATCCCCCGTGCCCCTCATCTCTAGCGTAGTCTGGGGCACTCTCGACTCCCGAAGCTCTTTACTTCTCACATCCAGCCCTCTTTCCGAAACAGCCATGGTCGCCCCTAACCTTGAAGAGATCCATGATTTTCTGGTGTCACTGGCCTTCAAGGCCGGGAATATCATCACGAATGCCCTCCCAGGCACCGGTGGCACCGGATCGAAGAAGAACAGTACGTTAGCATTCTCGTGCAAAGCAAAGCCGAAACTGATCCTTCCAGGTGCCGACCTCGTAACAGAATATGATCGTGCGGTCGAGAATATGATTTCGACCTCTTTAAAAGATAAATACCCCGATTATGCGTAGGTGGCCACTGCAGCAATGTGTCAGGTTCCGAATCCGAATGCTCATTCCGTGTTGCTGAGCAGATTCCACGGCGAAGAGACCTACGACCCGGCGCGTCCATTGACCGATGCCCCTACCTTTATCGTGGACCCGATCGACGGAACCGCCAATTTTGTTCACGGCTTCCCTTGCGCCTGCGTCTCGCTCGGATTCGCCGTGGGCCGGGTACCGGCGGTCGGTGTGGTCTACAACCCTTCTACCAAGAACCTCTACTCTGCCATCAGGGGGAAAGGAGCTTTCTTGAACCGTGAGACTCGTCTTCCTTTGAAGGGCGATCATGCGGAACCCCTGTCGGGCTTGACCAATGCCCTCATCGGCATCGAATGGGGCTCCGATCGTAGTGGGCAGAACTGGGAAACCAAAGTCCGGACCTTCGAGAAGCTGGGCCAGTCAAAGAAGCTCGGCGGTGCAATGGTTCGCGCCATGCGCAGTATGGGGTCTGCCGCCCTTAATCTGTGTGCGGTGGCAGAGGGCACTCTGGATCTATACTGGGAGGGCGGATGCTGGGAGTGGGATGTTTGCGCCGGATGGGTAATCCTGGCCGAGGCTGGAGGCATCATGGTCGATGGCAGCCCGGGAGGTTGGGAGACCCGTCTCGATGGGAGGAAGTATCTGGCAGTCCGCGGCGCTCCGGCAGGTCAGAAAGAGATTGTTGAGGAGTTTTGGAGCTACATCCAGGGCAAGCTGGATTACTAGACGGCGCTCTGAGGCCCATTCGCCTTGTTCTATAGAATCAATTAATTACTGGGTATGTTTCCAAGCTATGTACAATCCTCTGCCGTGCGCTTCCTCGGTGTCTCAGGGGTTTGGTCGTGGGGACCGACGAAAGCCTACCTCGTCCTCTTCGTCCAGTCCGGATTCGCAATCATCATCTTCACCCACCTGCCGATCAGTCCAACGTGCTGAATCCTGTCGAGAGACGTCTGTATACTGGGACCTTCCGAGGGTACTCGCAGTCTTGTAAGATTCATGTTCTGCGGGAAAGGTGTCCGATCGCCCATGCGGCTGAGACAGATCGGGGCCATGGGAATGCACCGGCATGGTGCAACGGCTCTTTGCCGCATCCCGCTCAACAAAATCACTTTGGCCTTCGACTTCATCACCCGAGCTAGTCGGTCCAACGTTCGGGGACTTGGCACGGTCGACGCTTCGTTTCAGCGTATCATCGACCTCGACGGTGGGCGAGTGGCCAAAGTGTGTATCAACAAGATGCTTTACCACGGGCCATCCATAAGCGTTAGTGAACATACGCCGCACAATGATATTATTGTGTGCATCGGGTTCGAGGCGAACGAGCACTTTGCGCCAAGACAGATCACGGTGGTAAGCTCTGGCGATTTTTTCCTCGACTTTGAGCCCACTTTCGTGGCTATTGGCATTGGTTTCAGCGCCGGAAGGAAGTTGAGTAGCCGAATTAGGCGATGATTTTGAACTCTTGTTTTGTAGTGAACCGAACGCCAACGTTCGTCGCTTTACCGGTAATGGATGGGGGATATCTTCGGGATGATAAATGCGATCATGGAAAATCGTCCGAGGGCGAGCAGCCGGGTCCAGGATAAAGTCCGTTGGCGGTAATGGCGGCATCAGCAAGTCTCCTGCCGATTCGAAAAATGTCGTCTTCGGAGGCGTATGGACCCCTTCCTCCTCGTACATAGAATTTCCTCGGACGATGGGTGCCGGCGATTCATTGGGGTCGAACGATGCAAGAGTCTGGCTGCGCTTGTAGATTTTAGAATGTTTGCCGCGGGGGGAGTGTTTAGGTTCTTTCGGACGAAACAGAGAAAGGAAGCTGTTGAGGGGGCCGGATGTATTTTCATGGACACTCTCTTTCAGCCCTGTCTCCACCGTGCTGCTGCCACGCGAAGAAGGCCTGCGTGCCAGAAATTGACCGGCGGCTGGCGACGATGAATCCTCCACGGCAAGAACTCCCTGCCGCTGAGAGGATTGGCCTTCATCGGCGAAGCTCTGGTAGCTGCTTTTCATTCCGTCACTGGCATCGCCCGGCGAGGTCGCCATTCGCGGAGACTTGGAATTCGCCCCCGTCAATTCAGCCCAGCCCCATTCGGCCATGGTTCCCACAAGACCGTTGTCTCTTCTTGCCTTCTCAACTCGGTCGAGGCCACGCCAGTCCAAGAAAAGGAGACACGATGTCCGGAGCGGAACAATCCCATCGTTCACTACATTTGAGTAGATGGTGCGGTGATGGAATTTGTGAAGGACCTCGTGTGCAGGACCACAGGGCAGGATTCGTAAAAGTGGCTTTGCACCGGGATCTGCCTGGTTTGGGTCATTGGCCGAGTCTCCTCGGCCACCGATGAGGGCACCCCAGCCACTTCGCACCCTCGGCGCTGTCCAGCTGAGGCCGAGGTCTTGTCCAGTTCGTCCAACAAGGCCCAGATCCAGAGCAAACCGGACGTACATTGGATTTTCATTGCTAAGGCCCAGGAAGGGAGATGCTAGAGCAATGAAGTTCACCGGTCTGATTCGGTCAAAAAACTCGGGTGAGTGTTTGTGGATGTAAGCGATGGCATATGTTTGAATCAGACCACCAAGGGAATGGCCAATAAAACTGATGCTCGTGACTTGGTAGGCGTTGTTGTCCCCATCTGCGAAATCATCCCGGTTCATCGACGAATGGGGTTCTAATGAGGGCTCAGCCTGATCTTTGCGAGCACTGAATGGGCGAGGGAATGACTTCGACTTGGAGCCCTTGAGGGGGAAGTATGGTTGATCAGGATAGGTCATGAGCAAGACATATTTAGCCAGGCGTTTTCCGAGATATTGAATGCCGCGTTCAGTTCGCACGGCATTGCCAGAAAAGCCTCGGACGATGACCTGCTCGTCATCCTCCTCTGTAGTTTTCTGGCCACCGTTGGCGTTGCTCGCTTGCTCCTTGGCCTTCTTGGCGGCGGCATCAATGCTTTCTTTCAGATAAAGCATATCTGCGCCCAGGTTACTGTGCAATCCGTGGGTTATCACCACCAGATGGATTTTCTTCTTGGGTGACTTGTGGGCTTGTGTCTCGCTCGCATACTCTGACCCTTGGTCTTCACTTGCATTGATGTCCGCTTGATACGTTTCTGGCCTGTCATCTGCTGGTTCCAGTGTTCCGGGTGGTAGAGGCGGAGTGTTCCACAAGCTAGTCGTGTCGTCGACACGTAATGTGATTGATTTGGAATACACCCCAGTTGTGGTAAGAACCTGTTGACCCTTGATGCCTGGGGGCCAAAGTTCATGAAATTTACCAGGAGGACCAAGTCTAACCGAGGCGGCGCCAGCCGAAAAGTACTCCACGGATTTCGCATCGCGGCCGACGAGCAGCTCAAAGTGAACCGCCGCGCTATTCGAAAAGACCACCTGGGACACAATCTCAATCACCCAGGTCATGCTTCTGTCTCCGTCAGGTCCAAGCTGCCCAACTGCAAGATTGTGGGAATCTCCGAACCGCGTTGGCATCTTGATAACCGCATCCCAGTTGCCTCCGGCTTTGAGATACGGTTCAAACTGTGGGGCTCCCTCGGTGTCCTGCCGGTCATACTTGCTATTGGGGTCGAATTTGAAGGGGTAACAGGCTGCATAGAGCGTATATGGGCCATGGAGGTACGCGGCTCGAAGAGGGATCGCGGACGAATTCTTTACCCTCACATGGAGTTCGGACGGAATGGGCAAGATCGGATCGGCAGATGGTGTGTAGGTCAACGTGTATCTGCCAATTAATATATGTTAGCCTTTCGCTTGACAGGGCATCGTTGCATGCGGAAGAGTCCGGAGCCGAATCATTAAGAACATGAGGTCTTTAGGACTGACCGTGCTACCTCCCCTACGCGAACACTGCCGACCTGATGAATCAATAACATCTCCGCGGCTGATCTTGCATCCACGGGGCTTTGGTGCCACCCGGCAAGTGTATAGAAGCGGGACGCGCCCTCGACGCGGGAAAAGGCGTGGTCTGGCGTCTGCGAAGCGAAATACGTTCGAGGCGTGATCAGCATCGGATGTGACGTGCAGTTCCATAGTCCGACAAGGCCAGGTTTGAAGCAGGTCTAGCACATATTGGCACGTCCCATTTTGGTGTGCGCTGATAATTGATCAAACGTTGGTGTTGGTGTCGGTGTCGGTGTCGGTCAGGGAACGATCTTATCGGACTTCACCCGGAATATGGCGGTCATCCCGCATATACGAGCCGACGATCGTCATGCTTTTGCACAGCCTGTGGGCTTGCTCCCGATACATAATAAATATACGCGTAATTGGGTCGGTCGAGTTTGGATCAAATGGACTGCTATTGGGACCACTATCGTTTCCTGATAAAGGATAGCTTCATCTGTTATACCTGTTATATATAACACCCAAGTATTGGTTTGGTTTCTACAGTGGTGTAACATAAGTATTTGACCTCGAGTACTTCGGCCTAGGACCCACTTTTCTAATACTGCCAGGCAGAAACCTCTGAAATTCAATTCAGTCTAATAGCTAGTATGCCACCCCTCATACTTAATAACATCAGCTACCCTGTGAGGCATAGTTTCTGATAGATGCTTGAATAATTCAATATCTAGGCCTTCCCAGGCTTCCTGTGCAGCTTTTAGCAATAGATCTAACGTAGATTCGTTGTTCGGTAGGCGCATTAGCTCAGGATAACGCTTAAGAATTTCGGCTTTTAGCAGCGCCCAGAGGTTCTCGATCGGGTTTAAATCAGGTGAATAAGGAGGCCATTCCATAATCTCGCAGTTAAGCTCATTAAGAGCTTCCCGTACAATATATGCAGTATGAACGGGCGCGTTATCTTGCTGAAAAATAGCATTATTATCAATACTATTAAGTAGCGTAGGTAAGATACGCCGATAGAGCTCTTCAATCGTACGTGAAGAAACACCACCTCTTCTAGACGTAGGATCTCCGAATAATGGAATTAGGCCTGATCGACGCGGTAAGCCAGAGAAAGCAGCCCAAAACATCTGCTTAATTTGCTTCCCTCGCGCCGGAACTATCTGAACCTGAGAGCCTTCTTTTGAATGCTGAAAAAGCTGGTCTTTTGGACGTGTAAACGTCCATTCTTGCCGCTGGCCTATTCCACGTTCAACTGTACATTCGTCTGACTAGTAGACGCGGGCCTAGTCTTCAGGAGTGAAGTGTTGGTATTCGAGTGCCTATTGAAGCCGTTTCGTAGCATGTTCAGGCGTAAGTGCCGGACGCTGCATTTTCCTCCATTTTCGAAGACCCATTTCGTGGGTTAGACGCCAAATTGACTGGCGATGGACCTTAAAATCGACCTCTCTAAGTAGATCTTTAATCAATATCGATGGCTTTTCTTGTATAGTGTCGTAGATATAGTCACGATCCTCTTCAGTAAGCTTCCTTGGAGCGCCTAAGCGTGGAAGGCTTTCTTGTTTTTGACGCTTTGCCTCTTGGGTAAGGGTATATTGAATTGTTGAGCGTGGAATATCGGGAAAGCGCATCTTCTTAATGGTTGTTGCACCCCAGCCATTTGTAGCGTGTAATTCGCAGATCTTGGCCCTAGTAAGGCAGTCAAGCTCTGGGCCTCTCTTCCCACGTATAGGAGGCATAATAAGGTAAGAAAGACTGCTATAACGCGTTAACTGTAGCGTATATGTTAGCAAGCGCGTTGAAACGCGAGGTGTGGTGTACTAATAAAGTAGGCGGTATAATAAAGCGGTCAGGCTAAAAGTGGATCCTAAAGTACTCGAGGTCAAATACTTATGTTACACCACTGTACATAACGTTCATACTCGACAGATTTACGACTAGGGATATGGGCGGAAATATCGATAAAAAGATTGTTCGAATCTCTACATTATTTGCTAGACAGGTTCACCGTGAGTCTGAAGGTCACGACTTGATCAAATTCAACAGCTGACGAGACTCCTTGTGAAGCTCCATCCAACCGCCTTCCTCGACTGCTACAATCTTCCCGTCGATACAAACTCGCCTCCATCGTTCATGATGTTCGTGGAAATCGATTCGTACGCGCTCCACCTCGATATATGTGACGGTCGCTTCGCGCACATGCTGACCTCCTTGGTAAGCCAAGGTCATGAGGCGCATCGCCTCTTCCGCAGGTAGGGGACCGAAACGCAAGAGCCTCATTTGTCCGCCGAGGGGTTCCGAATCAGGCGAAATCAGGAACTCCTTCTCTAGCCTAGGAACAAGAGTTGCGAGTACATACATATGCTCGTTGTCCTTCATTGGCTGTTGGTTAAGATCCCCGGTCTGGCTGTTCTTTATAGCCAAGGTGATCTTGCCCTGAAAGCGGTGCGGATCTGTACCGTCCGATGGGTAGAGGAGCTCCTTCGCCGCCATCTTGAACCGCTCGGATCCGAATTGGCGATACTCAACAGTATCACTATCCGCGACTAGCGCCGCATGTAGTCCCCAGCTCGCCACGACTGCACCGTACATCGTTCGGTGAGATACGTCGGGTTCGGCATCTATCGGAGAACGCTGGCGACCCTCATCAATGACAAGCTGGCTATTAGGAGAGAAGCGGGCAGCAAATATGGGCACTGGAGCCGGTCTCCCCGGAAGAAGTCCAGTGAGGCTAGAGGCTGGGCCAGATCTAAGTCCAATCGAGCTCGCCATGGCGTTCCCTGTTCCACAAGGGATCAAGGCAATATGCGGTGAAACATGGATCTTGTGATGGGCCCTGTAAAAGGTATCGACTATGTCGATAAGACCACCATCCCCGGACAAAAGAATGATAGTTTGGGGTATTCCCGCGCAGGCTCGCTCTAGGAATTGGGATCGAGATAGCTCGAGGATCGTCTGAGCCGACTGGGTTTCATGAATCTGGTAAGAAATACCCAGATAGGTAAGAAATGGCCGTATAGTCTCGTGGAAAACCGTCTTCGCCGTGCCCGTCCCGGATTGCGTCGATATCACAACCTGCACGGGGTCTCGTTGTTGGAGATAGCTTGGAATCTCCGTCAGAAACGGGGACAACCCTTCCGACAAAGATGATATGCATATTTTTGCTAGGCGGGCGCAGTTATCATCACCATGATCTTGCGTTTTGTCAAGAAAGAGCACCAGGTATCCCGATTGATTTCCCGGCCGAGGTAATACACCCACAATATCAGTCAAGTCAACATGCCCCTCGCCCCCTGCCCGCAGTGTGTACTTCAGCACGTTTCCCACCACATCGGCACTGCACGCGAAATTCGGATCAAAACCAGCTGGTGCCATTTTGGGTTTTCTTCACAGTGTTTGGAGGAAGCGATGCGCTCTCCCTGCAGTCGACAACGTGATGTTCTTCCAATTGATAAGCAGTAGTAGGTGGGGTCTGTTTCTGAACCCGGTTGATCTCGGAAGGACGGTGTAAAAAATCCACCTCCTCAACTAAATATACTATCTCTTACATCTACTGAGCCAGAAAAGTGAGACTTGAATTTACAAGAAACGAAAAAGTGCGGTACATAAAAGTATACAATACAATACACATGAGCATCCATTGGCCTCAACCGACGTCTGCCACCAACTCGACATGAGACTATGTCTGCGGTCAAGACGGCTTACACGCGCTCCTGTTCTTCCGGTCGAGCAGAAACGTGCTTGTCACTCAGATTGACCGCGATGAACGACTTCGGAAGTTTGACCCTACGATGAATGGTCAGCTCGATTCAACAGGAAACGTCACATCAACCCATAGGCTACTTACGTGTCAAACTTTGCCTTCAAAGTTTCAATCACTTCTTTCCAGTCTTGATGGGCAGTCAAGCTGCGTCGAGGAGCGCAGCCGATGGCATGCCGAGAATCAAGTTGCACGTCAAGCGGGTCGAATGCGTGACAACCGGGGCTGATGGAAATTCGGATCGAGTAGGAATTGACGGCTGATTCGCTGTCCCGTGCCTCATAGAGCTCAAAGCAAATCTGGGAGAGATAGTCAAGCTCTGGAATAGCGCGGCGAGCAATCTTAGTCTGGATGCCACCCTCCAAAATGCAATTCAGAAGTGTGTAAATGTGAGACTCTTTCGTAAAATAAAAGAAAGACTTCGCATCCGCAGATGCCTGAACCTCTTCAAGGTCACGAACGATTTCTTGAAGTAGCGGGAGGGAGGTGAGAAGACCGATCTCAAGTTTCTCGCTGTCGGTGATGCCGTATTCCTGAGGTGTCACGTAGTCAAATAGCACCTTGGCCAATTTGTACAGTTCTCGGAGCTGGGAGAGTCGCTCATCCATCTTGCATTTATTCGAGTTAGAGCCCGGGAAGAGTTTGAAGTAATGATCGTAGGAATCGTCCAATGCCCGAAGATGTGGTAGCGACTCGAGCGCTTGAAGTCGCTTTCTCAATCCTAGACGATGGGCAAATGTCTGATTTTCCGTACGCTCTTCGGCCTTTTCGTTTGTAGTGTCAGTGCCATTTCTGGTACTCTCTGTAGTTGAGTCGGATTTTGCGGAGCTCTTTCCCTTGACACTGCCCTTCTCGTCGTCATCGCGGTCACTGTCGGGGGGCATGAAGATCCATTCCAGGAACTGTCGATTGTGGAGGGCATCAAATTTCATGCTGTCGTAAAGTTCAGATAGTTTGCTGGGATCCACCTTTTCGGTGTCGCAAAATTCTGCAAAGAGCTTCTCCCATCTCTCTTTAAAGAGTCGCGGGTCTTCTCCTGCGCACCAACGCCCCTGGACACTGGAGATATTACAGAGGTCAGAGTTTGGATCCGGCTGAATCGGCAGGCCGATATCCTCAGAGACTTTGGAGGTCAATGAGGGTTGTGAGTCACTCAGGTCCAATTTCTCAAAGTTGTGGCGCATTACACTTCGATGGAACTTCATCAGTTCCACCACCGTTGCGAGAACAACTGAGGGTTCCGGGATATTGCTATCTTTGGGCCAGGCGAATTGTGAAGGTGCGGACCCTTCTCGCAAAAGCAGCTTGAGCTTCTTCTTGACTTTGTCCATCACGTCTTTTGCAGCATTGGAGTCATCAAGTAGATCCTTTCGGACTTGAATGAGGTCCTCGGGTATCTCCTTCTGGTCGAGGAATGAACATGCCCAGATTTGTGCTGGAAACCCCGTTGTCAGTCAGATATCGTGGGAAAGCCCTCCTTTGCCCTGGCCGCCAAGCAAGTAATCTTGTTTAAGGAACCTTTCACTTACCACTTGTGCTCACTCTCCGTTCTGAACTTGTGAAAAGACGAACATTGTTCAGGGCCTCCTTGTTCATCAACTTGAGGTCGTCACGCATGTTCAATCCAAGGTCTTGCGATTGGTAACGTGCTGCATGCGTTGGTTCTCCTCCCCACTTAATGACAAGTTGGAGTTTGTCTAGGATCAGATCATTCTCCACGGCCGAAAACCGAGAGAAGGTGGCCCCGGAGATCGAGTCGCTTCGTGTTTGGGACCTGCGGAATGGGTCATTATCGGGCACAGGCTCGCTTACCGCGGGTGAAAGAGGCTCCTCGGAGGCAATGTCTCCCGGCGGCGCCGTCGGGGTAGTAGGTGAAATCTGCTCTCGCATCTCTTCCGGCCTCCGCTTCCGAAACATGGGTTTAATCTGCACCTTCGTCCCAGGCCACCCCCCTTCTTTTCAAGAGATGTGCGAAGCAGTTTTAGTTTCTCCATATCCTCCAATTCTTGTTCCATTGCTAGTTTGACCGCATTGGAGACACTCGACAGAGCAGCCTCTCCTTTGATCACCACCTCTTCCTGATGCCCCTTGAGGAGATCCACGAACGGTTGGCTGTGGAATGTAAACTTGAATTTTTGCTTCGGAGTGCGATCCGCATGTCGAATGACTGCCACCATCCCTTTCAATTTCCATGAATGCTTCGAAGCAGGAAGTGGCGGAGGGGCTCCATCATTGGGGTGGTGCAGTGACAAGGCTGGAGATTTTGTGTTAGAAGGACTATACCCCCGGGATTCGGAGCGCCCGTCCCGAGAGTTCAATTTGCTGAGAGTAGCTCCGACATCGTTGCTTTCAAAACCCGAGGATGATGCAAGTGAGGGAGCACCAGTCGATACATCCGAGGGGACAGGCTCGTGGGCCTTTTGAAGTCTGGATGTGCTCGGGGATTTAAGGAGCGTTTTCAACGCTTGTCGATGAGAGCCGGCCGTGCTTCTTCGGGATGGATCCATGTCTGGAGAAGGAGGTTCAGAACGCTCCACCGACCCCTCGTACTTCCGCCTTTCGGCCAAGAATATGTCCCCAAGGATGTTGGCACACTTGTCATAATAATCATTGTTGTCCTTCACAAAACTCCAGCCGTTGACATCGATGACGTAGCTTTTATCTCCAACGCGAAGCATATCAAATCCACAGATCCTCTGACCAAATCCGTTCGAAATCTTGGAAGCGATTGCTGCCTCTTCCTGACTCAATTTAGTAATGTACCGCAGCTCTTTCCCGTGGGTATTGCGTCGGACAAGGCCATCGACCACGGGAGACTTGCGTGTCTCTGCATGGCAGAAATCAGGCCCAACTGTGTATGCTTTGACGTCTTCAGCATTGTCCACGCGCAGAAATTGCTCGTACAGATAGCTCGTCCCTTTCTCCGTGAGTGACCGTGGCACGGATAGGGTAGCATCGTATTCTGAGCTTTTATTCCCAACCTTTCGGAAAAGTTTTCGTCCTCCACCATCGTATTGTTGATCCTTAGGGAAGTAGATGTGGATGTTATGATCCTCGCCGTTCACCGGCTTTTCCACAAAGGGCTTCCGGAGAACTTTGCCGTCCACCACTAAAGCTTCTCCATCTTCGGACATTGATACATGCTGGGTTACCGGGGCGCCACCACCGGTGCCATCCTCTGGGCCCTCCAGTTTCACACCGGTGAGTCTGTAGATATGCTGAGCAAGCTCGGATGACTCCAAGACCGGCCCGCCATCGCGATTCACCTCCATTCTCTTAGGGGTGGGAACTCCCATTTGGTCCAGAATTTTCAGACACAAGCGACGATCCCACAGCACCTTCTGCATAGGCAAATCATTGACGCAGAATGGTTTTCGCAACTTGGCGTATGCGATCGCTTTGTCCAAAGGAAACCCATCCGAGAAAAAAGCAATCAAGAAATCACAGACAGGCCAATTCTCCACCGCCTCGTCGAGGATGACCTTGTCGCCAAAGACAATGACCTCAAAATCGCCCTTGGACTGAAGTCTGGTCAGGATATTTTGGCTTGGCTTGCTGCGTGCTTTGACATCCAAGGCACACACCCCGATCCTCCAGGGTCTCGGCGTGTTGGACTCCATCTCGCTGATGGAGCTGGCGGCGGTACTAGCAGCTGTGCTGCCGCTAAATCTGCGAGGGGCCCGGCTGGATGAGCGTGTAGAGTGACCGAAACGAGGAGCCGAGCGAGTATCCGCCTCCGTCTTACCCGGCTTCACGGGACTGTACTGGCCATTGTGCTTGGTCGATGTCGAGGGCTCCGTCTGTGGAATATCGTTCTCCCCCGGTTCCATGCTCAGTGAGCCCACGTGGTCGGGGCCCCATTTTGAGGGGCCGCCATCCGCGGGGGAGCCGCTACTCTGGCCATTGTCGGGATCCATGTCACAGAGAAGGTAGAGGGTAGAAGACAGGAATCGGGAGGACGGAGGGGCAAGGTGGGGTTGGCGATGAGGTCGATTCCGGGGCGAATCAATTACCCTTGCGTTCACACAGGATAACGGGCGAAGGCATGCTCCGAGAGGTAGGCTTTATCGATAGCTCAGATTAGTGAAAAATCCAAGGTTGCGGGTCTCGAGGCGGAGAGAGTTGAAAGTGACGGGACTCCGAGAAATGCTTGCGGCCACACACAACTACCCGACCACGAACGACTATGGTTGATTCCGGGGCTATCGGGGCTAGACCTTCCTTTCGGTCTCTGTCTTTGGGATGATTTAGGGAGCTTAGACTTACATTAAGTCAATAGCATGTAGAGCTAGACGCTCGGGAGTATTGGCGGGGGGCCGAACGAACGGGTTATGAACCGTACGGTCATCACAGGGACCAGTGCAAATTTACAAATTACTTTCTTTCGTTTCCTCTCTCTCTCTCCCTCTCTCTCTCTCTCTCTCTCCCTCCATCTCTCCCTCTTCTCCCCTACCTCCCCCTCCCTGCTCTGCTCTTCCAGACACAGCTCCTTACGTATCCAACTCGGAGCTTCTCGGCCTGGGTATGCAGGGGAAGGGGACACTTATCATCTTTCAACTCATATCACCGTAGTTCATACTATTCGCAATCGTGCTCGAGATAGGAAACCGCTTCAATTTGATCGTCTTCGTGACTTTACACTCCGCGGTGCTCATAGGCCAAAAGGCGGGACGGAGGGCGGTCAGAGCTTTGTTGCGGAGAAAAAAAAAATCACCACGCTCGGCATTCAGAAGGAACTTTCGGCCTGCGAGAAATGTCGAGTAGCTCATCCTCGGCTTAGATTCCTTGCATTCTCGTTCTTACTTGACGTTCTGTTTTCTGCTGTTTTCTGAAACATATCGAGATTTCATAAGTCTCGTTGTCCCTCGTTCTACGCGCGGTCGTTGCAGCATTGCATCTTGCCCGTTGCGACAATATGCCGGCATTGGCCAATGATACATTCGGCTTGCCTCTGGCAAAGAGGCAAAAACGACTGTTTGATGAGAAACCTGCGGGAAGCAGCCGTAATGGCTCCAAAGTCTTCGCTCCCTTTCGGGTAAGTTGAGAACGAAAGCTCAAGACCGATTCCTTTTGCTAACTTGCTGCTTGTAAAGACGTTAGGGCTTGTGTCACCGACCCCCGTGCCCTTTACCAGCGTGCGCCTGGGCAAGTCGACCTTCCAAATTACAACTTCCGTGGGCCATTCGCTCCAGACGTATGACTTGCGCCGAGGCCTGAACCTGATCTTCTTGAGTCGACCGCAAACACCCGAGATTATCACCGCCACCTATGCCTGGCAAGACAAGGTTTTCGCCGCCTGGGGCCATCTTCGTCCTCGTTCTTCTGGGGGAGTCTGGGTGTTCAAGCGCGGCAAACGCGTTGCGACCCTAGATAGTCCGGCGCTAGATGGACCCATTGAGCGGTTGGTCGTGTTTGGCTCGTGGGTGATCGGCTGCTGGGCAGGCGGCCTGGAGATCTGGAAGACTGGCAGCTACGAACACTATGCCAGTCTACGACCCCGATCAACTCCAGGTTCATCAGGGGAGCAGGTCTATGTGGGCATCATGTGCAATATGCCGACATATCTCAACAAGATCTTCGTGGGGCGCAGTGATGGTGCGGTCGATATTTGGAACCTTCGCAGCGGCAAGCTCCTCTACACGATGCCCCCGCCGCCGTCAGACACCGGACCGGTGACTGCGATGCATTCGACTCCTGCCTTGTCTCTTCTGGCCGTTGCACACAAGAGCGGCTCCTTGTCAATCCACAACGTCGATTCGGGTCAGTTGGTTTTGTCGCTGAGGACCGCATCAACTCAGGCTCTCCCGATAACCTCGATCACATTCCGTAGCGATGGTCTTGGTGCTGGCCACGAGGGCCGAAAGGCAGGCGTGATGTCCACTGCCTCTAGCGGAAGCGGTGATATCACTATGTGGGACCTAAATGATGGGGGCCGTGTGGCAGGTATCCTCCGCGGCGCTCATAGAGCCTCGAACAACGAGACCGGCATGGGTGTGAATCGCGTGGAGTTTTTGGACGGACAGCCGGTGCTGGTATCATCTGGAGACGACAATGCCTTGAAAACTTGGGTTTTTGATGAGGCGCCGTTTTCCCCAACCCCTCGGCCACTTCATTCCAGGGGCGGTCACTCTGCTGCTGTCAGCGCCGTCGATTTCCTCCCCGCGTCCTCCGATGGATCCGAATCCGGTGGGAAATGGCTGCTCAGTGCCAGCAAAGACTGCAGCCTCTGGGGCCTTAGCTTGCGCAAGGACAGCCAGCACACAGAAATTTCCCAGGGTAATCTGGAACGCAAAGCAAAGAAATTGGGGCCTTCCGGTCATTCAAACTCCTCCGCCGTGGAAACGCTTAAGGCGCCCGAAATCACCTGCCTAGCGTGCTCTCTGAACAGGGATGGAGGCATGGGCATGACAACCTCGGGTCCGATCTGGTCCAACCCTAAAGCTGCAAATGCTGACACCTCCAACGCAACTGGTTGGGAAAGCGTTGTCACCGGCCACCGAGGTGATAGATATGCTCGAACTTGGTTTTGGGGCAAGAAGAAGGCGGGACGCTGGGCATTTGCGACTAGTGATGGAACTGAAGTCAAGGTACGCAGCTCTGTGACCTCGGAGAGAGAAAGGAAATGGCGTCGCTAACGCATATACGTAAACAGAGTGTGGCTATGTCTCCTTGTGGGACTTTTGCCGTCGTAGGGTCGGCAGGCGGTTCCATCGACATGTTCAATATGCAGTCCGGCCTGCACCGCCAGAGTTTCCCTTCTCGCTCGCGCAGGTCTCGGGGTACGAGATCGCGTGCCAGTGAAGATTCCCCGGCACCGTCTGCTTTCACTGGGGGTGCGAGCCATACCAAGGCAGTCACCGGGCTGATGATTGATAACCTCAACCGAACGGTGATTAGTTGTGGCCTAGATGGGAAAGTCAAGGTACATGTTCTCGGCTTCTCTCTGTGCATCTAACATAACTAACTCAACTTCTCTCTGTAGTTTTGGGACTTACTTTCGGGTTCGTTGATAGACGAATTGGATTGGCATCCAATGGCGGCCATTACGGGGCTTCGCTACAGCAAGACCAGCGAACTGGTCGCCTTTAGCTGCGATGATCTCTCAATCCGTGTGATCGATCTGGAGACCAGAAAACTTGTTCGTGAGTTTTGGGGTTGCGTGGGCCAGGTCAATGATTTCATATTCTCCAACGATGGACGATGGATTATTGCGGCTTCAATGGACTCCGTGTTGCGGGTCTGGGACCTGCCCACCGGTCATCTCATTGACCTTTTCCGGGTGTCAAGCACCTGCGTCTCGCTGGCCATGTCATCCACCGGAGACTTCCTCGCCACCGCGCACGCAGGTAGCATTGGGGTTAGCCTGTGGAGCAACCGTAGTCTTTTCATGCCGGTGTCGACCAAAAACATGGACGAGGACGCTATCGAGGATGTCGGTGTGCCGACCTCGTCCGGTGAGAGTGGCGCAGGCCTCGTTGAGGCGGCCTTCCTCGATGCGCCCGAACAGGACAATTCCGAAGGACCGGTGCTAGCGACTGACCAACTCCGACAAGATATGGTGACTCTCAGCCTGGTTCCTAAGAGTAGGTGGCAAGCACTGCTTCATCTGGACTCCATCAGGGTATGTATATAATTATTCTCATCTCGCTGGGCTGTTTGTGGTCTCACTAACGTCATTTTCAGGAACGCAACCGGCCCAAGGAAGCCCCGAAGGCCCCTGAGAAGGCGCCGTTCTTCCTCCCTTCGCTTCTTGGTACCAACGACCCGCAGTCTACGAACGCGGCCACTGCTGATGCTGCCGAGCTGAATTCACTTACGCAGGGTGCGGAAGCAGAGCGTTCGCGGGTTTCTAAATTGCAGGCTGGGGGGTTGAGCTCCTCCGAGTCGCCCATTACTCGACTCTTGCAGTCCGGTCATCGTTCGGGCAACTTCGATATCTTGATCGAGCATCTCAAGTCTCTACCTCCAGCTCGTGCGGACTTGGAAATTCGTTCTTTGGATCCACGAGTGCGCAATGGTTTCTCTGAATTGTCCGGATTTGTCAAGGCTCTAACAATGCGTTTGAAGCTGCGAAGGGACTTCGAGCTAGTTAATGCGTGGATGGCAGTCTTTTTGAAAATCCACGCCGATACTGTCGGCCTGTGCTCTCGTCGAGATGAGCCTGAATATCGTGTTTTGCAGGAAGCCCTAGCCTCCTGGGCTCACGAACAGCATCAAGAAGGGAAACGCCTGGCCGGATTGGTGGGATACTGCCGTGGGGTGGTGGGATTCCTGAGATCCGCACGCTAGCTTGCACGCTGGTTTTGTTTCCTTTTTCTTGTATATATCTATACCGCATGTGTAGTTTCACACCAAAAAAAATTCGCTTTTGATCAATTCTCATTCATTCTCTCTATATAAATTTCGTACTGAATAGGTCGACTATCTGTGATTTATAAGGACATGTGTACTCGAGACATCTACAAAATGGTTGCGGAACGTCTCCGGCCTGACTAACTGATACGATCAAGACGGGGAAAATTCTTCACCACTACAACTCTCGAGTCTGCTGCAGCGATGGGGATCTCGTACTTGATCAAGCACCTAATACCCTACGCCGAGACTGTCTCGCTGGGGAAACCGACGGACCAGGGCCCTCCGTGCGTGCAGTCGGTGGTGATTGACGGGCCGAGTCTGGTGTACCACGTCTACTACCGACTGCTAGCGTGGACAGACCCAACCTGCGATGTACTGGACATCCAGCCAACCTGCGACGAGGTCAGTCGCGGAGTCGTAAGTTGTCTTTTGCAATTGATCGATCTGGGCGTTGAAATGTAACAGCCGTGCTCAAGATGCCAAAGATAGTCAATGTTAACCGTCGGTGACAGATATGAAATATGTTTTGATGGCGCTTTACCCATCTCCAAGCGGGATACCCGGCTTGCTCGGATCGAAAAGTCCAGGCATCGGCTGGAACTGGCTAGTCGCCGTAATGTTTCTCCCGAGCATGAGTATCGCACAGAGACTTTGTTCCAGCCTGTGCAGCTTTGGCAGACCCGAAACCTTCCCGCTCGGTGGAGGAACCTTCCCGAAAACCCGTTCATGGTCTCCGCGGTGTTTGAGGACTTACGGTTCCGGTGGAATAAAAGAAGCATTCTGCAGGAGTTTGAACATCGGTCCGATCTTCCTCTGGCAGAGGCTGAATTCCCATGGGCCGGGGTCACCGTGATGGTCCCCGGGGAAGCAGATATCGAATGTGCCCGAATCTCGAAACTGCATGGCTCGGCGGTCTTAACAAATGACTCGGATCTGTTGGTTCATGACCTAGGCCCCCATGGTGCAGTCGTGCTCCTCAACTCGGTGCATATGATCGCGGGTGCACCAGACCTGGCTGGATCAGAGATTCGGGGGCTTCGATTACATCCCTCGAGACTCTCTGATCGGCTTGGATTTGTCAACCTGCAAAGATTTGCGTACGAGTTAACACGGGACCCTCATCGGAGCTTTGTAGAGCTTCTGCGACGGTCCAAGGAGGACTCTGGAAAGGTCGAACAGTCTGCCGCCTACATAGATTTCATCCGAGAATACCAGCACAATGAGCCGACAGGGGCGGAGAAGATACAACGTGTCCAGACATGTGATCCCAGAGTGTCTGAATTATTCTGGCAGTACGAGCAGCCGGACGTCTATTGCTGCGCCGAGCAGCCCCATATGTACCTCGGAATCCTCCACGAAGATCACTCCAGGCGATGTGCCTGGGAACAAGGGCGCTTCTACAGGGCTATCGGGTATTCCCTTCTCAACCTGTCTCGATCAGACCCCCATATGCTATCAGTTGTTCATGAATTCGTTCGCAGGGGAGGTAGAATCGTTGCTGAGCGGGTCACTCTCGGCCGGGCAGAGACGACGGCCTCCGACCTGAGCATTCTTCAAAAACGTCTGGATCTAGCGCAAACAACCTTTGGGCAAAGGACTCAATCCAGCTTCTGGGTATTGTTTGCCCTATCCGAGATATACCGTGATTCCTCCAACGCGACTACGATACCCGACGCGATACATCTCGGGCGATTTCTCGAGAAAGGATTCATGGGCAATCGAACTGAATGGGCTGACATCCATCTAATGGCCCAGATACAGGCCTTGCTGTATTCCTTGCGAGTTTTGAAGCAGCTTGTTGAAATCACAGCCGAGAAGATCTCTGTTCAACATCGATTTATTCTCGCAGACTTGCCTCCGCTGCATGTTCTTATGAGATCGCGGCACCAGATTGTTGAATGCTTCTCTATTAACGGATTGGCCCATAATTCGGTTTGCCAGCTGCTCAAGGTGTACGGTTGATACGGTGTGAAAATCAACAACTCCACATACAACCCTCTAGTACGCACACCGTGGAGTCTACCTTGCGCTCAAAAGTGGGTGATTTGCGATTTCTCAACCTCAAGCAAGCCATATACACATATACACCCAGAGAATCAATCTAGTAAAGGACCGGGGTCCATTTCCTGTATGCCTTTGGCAATGCCTGAATAAGCCCGGAAAGGCCCAACCATTGGGGATCGCCCTTGATCCCTGAAAATATGGTATGGTTTGTCTATGTACATAGCGTGGTACACGCGGACACCGAATGGAGCGCACATCAAACGTCACGTAGCTTGGAGACCATTGGTCCTCAAGCATCGTGAGTGAGTGCCTCTTTCATGACCCCCGCGATTAAAGTTGACCCACGGAAGCCCCAGGTACCGAATTTGAAGAAAATGTTTAAAACGCTCCCTCCAGCGACAATTTTAACGCCATTGTGTAGGTGAAAATGACCACCCGAAGTCGTCGTCCAATGCGGCGCCAGCGCTGACTTTGAACGGGCTCGTGAGCCGGGAGTACCCAGCCAAGTGAATGATACATTAACCGACCTGTCCGATAGCATCGAGCAGTCCCAACCAGTGTAAAGCCAAGGTTAGTGGGAAAGGCAGTGCCTCACTTCTCAGGGGCATCGGGGAGTCGCTCGATGACGTATTTTCCACGGGCAACGCTCATGATCGGTGCTCCAGGAATTTTGCTACTTGAATGTGAGAATCATAGTTACATGTCGTTGGGAGAGGGCGACATACCGAATGCGTCTCTTCAGATCACGATCGTTGGTCGCAACAATGTACACGCGGTGCTTGATTACTCGATCGACCAGGCAATCATCTGCATATGTACCCTTGTGGTCACATCTGATTCTTTCGAAGCGGGGGTCTTTCGCAACACGCAATGCAAGTCGATATTTCTGGCCCAATTTCTCTAATTCGGCAAGCACGCAGTCGGTAATGACAGGGATACATTTGGCATATAGGCAGTCCATCATGGTAGGAATGACCTCGAGTTTGTGCTGGATGGTGTGGGAAATGAAGTTGGTGTCGACAAGCACGGAATACGGTGGAGCGAGAGCTGTGTTGTATTGGAAGAAAAGCGACGATGGAGCCTGCGGACTGTTGGAACGTCAGCAGCCTGGCCATGGGATTATAAGGTTCAAGGGGTTTCGAACGCTTCTCTGACAACTTCATCCTTGCCCTTTTTGTCTGTCTTCTCATTTTCTTTCCTGTAACTGCAAGTTAGCAACCAGCAGAGGGGGGAAGGGCGGGTCGAGAGCAGGAAGCTGGAACACACAGGCGATTGTCACGAAGAGAGATTGCTCTCTTTGCTTGCGCAAACTTGCGAGATTTCTTCTGGACACCCATGTTGGCGTGGAGAGGAAGGATGAAAAAGGAACGCGGACGGTGGCTCCAAAAATCTTTTTGGTTATCAACTCTGAAGAACTTCAGGCGGTGAGTCTTTATCAGCCGATGACTAATAGGATGGTTGTTTGAGTTGTGTCATAGCTCACCGCTTTATTCCTGAATTCCGCAGAACCGCTGGTTGTAGTTCCGCCGCTTGTGCACAACTGGGGCGGAAGAGAAATTGTCAGTTCTCATTCGATTATATTTTACTATTCAGATTATTATTGGAGCCAAGATTACTTTGATAATTCAGTAATCATTATTGTCAGGATTTTGGTGCTTGATCTATGCATTTTCCAAAGCTACCATTCAACATAAGAGGATCGTTTCTGCCATCTATGGCCGCTTCCTTTTATCTGAATTGCCCAATACATAGTACACCTCACTCTTTTTACCTGTCATATTGATATGATTTCCTCTCAACCAACCTACATTACCTCGTGACGGGAATGGTAGTATATAAGATTAGACTGCGCCATAACCTGCGAATGAGTTCTGGAATCAAAACCTAACCTAACCCAACGTGGGGTTTCAGGTTCTGCACCTAGAACCCAACCTAACCTAATGGGTTTTAAATCTGAAGTTAAAAACCCGTAAATAACCTATTTCGACCCATTCTTAGACTGCGCCAAAGCCCACCGGGCCCATGGGCCGGGCCCAACCCAACCCCCTATGGGCCGGGCCTTGGGCCTGGTTCCCGGGCCCATCGATGGGCTATGGGCTGGGGTAGATAGCCCATGGGGGCCCATTGGGCCTAAGTGGGCTACAAACCATGCAAACAAATGGTATGCATTATTTATACAATATGAGTCTGTATTTTTGGGTATTTGACTTGCAATTAGCCCCTCTTTGTACGTCTATTTTTTCTGATATACGTTCGAAGAATTTTTAAAGCTACGGCACTAGAATTCTGACGGCCGTCAGAATTTTAGGGGTATTTAGCTATGGTTTTGGCTTTTTTGACGGCCGTCAGAAATGCAGGTTCAATTCGCTATAGTCTTGATCACTAATGATATGACCATTGATCGTCCTCCTGTCGAGGACGCTTGCGAGATCTCTCAGATATACGCCGCGCCTAAGTGCTTTCCATTTCAGGAAGGTCATTATCGTCACCCTCATCATTGTTTGGCTGAGGTTCATCCTCGCTCTCCCCCTCAGCTTCCTGGGAGCCTTCTTCGTCTGAACTAATTGGATCAAGCCCGAACTGGTCAGGTGTATCCTCCCTTTGCTCTTCTTTTGAGAGATCAATCTCCTCCGCAGTAAAAAACTCCTTTAAGAGGGCATTCTCCTCTTCCTGAAGATCAAACTTTGTTGAACAATAAAACATCATTAGCTCTTCAATTGTCTCCGTCCTTAAGCGGCCTCGTCGATAGTGGCATATATCCCGTGCGGTATTAAATAGACGTTCAACACCAGCACCTATAGCGGGAACTGCAAGGATATCCCGCGTAAGTGCACTTATCGCTGGGAACCGGTGCTGGTTCTCTTTCCAGAAAGAAAGAGGCTGCGCTTCGATAGTATCTATAAAAGGTAAGTAAGTGTGTAGTAAGGAGTTAGGTAAAATAAAAGACATACCACTATTAAGGTACTAAGCCATTTCGTCCCTTGGCGGAGCTTTGTAGCCCTTGCGTCCACTAAGCATCTGATCAAGCCGCGATCCCTTCTTTGCTGCTGCTTGAAGCGTAGGTTGATCTTATTGCGACTTAAGACGTTCCTGATAAGGAAGAAGGTACTCCTTAAAGCTCTTTCGGTACCTCTCGCGCTACTATTTATCCCAATCTATGGTCATAAAGAATTGGAACTTATTAATAGGTGCTAGGATTGTTCCAATCGTATAGAGATCACCCCGAATATAGTCAGTCTGGCTATAATATTTGCTTAGCTTTTGTTTCCTAGCCTCAAGTGCTATAAGTATATTCTGCTTCCAAGGCACTTTCTTCCGTCGAAGCTGGTTAACTAAGGACTCGAGATGCTTAAATAGCTCATTATAGATTAGAAAGACAAGATGTGTAGTTGCGTCAGTGGTCTTTGAAAGCTCAAGGGTAAAGTCAAAGAATGGTTACGTGATCCATAAAAGGTAATCAATTTGACGCCATTCGTCCGCATCAAGTATCATATCTAGCCGATCAAACGCACGACAGAAGTCGGTTAATGCCGGTCGAAGACGCTTTGCGCGTCGAAGCATTAGAAACGTAGAGTTCCATCGCGTCTTGACGTCCTGAAGTAGCAGTAGCTTACTTTCTTCAGTCTAGAGGTCGCGAAACGCCTCACGGCGCTAGGAGCTATAATTGATATAGATAGCAAGGTCGCGAACCTACTATAAAGTGAGTTAAAGGCTAGAAGTAAGAGAAAGGAAGAAATACCTTGCTTAAAGTGTACGATATCTGTCGCTTCCTCGCACTTACGGTTGCATTCGCCCGAGCCCTCTGGGACCGCTCAGTTGTCTAGCGTAGCTCAGTTGTATCATTCTCTAGGGCTGCATTCATCCTATTAAGTAGCTCATTTAAGCTTAATTGAATAACATAGGCAAGGTATAGGACTCGAATAAGATCTATAGAATCCGGTAATGACTGCTGTAACGCAGTAAAGAGAGTCTCGTTGTTCGATGCGTTATCAGCGGTAACTGCAAAGACTCTATCCTAGATCTAATGCTCCTTCAACACATCTAGAAGTAATGCACAAAGGTTTTCTCCCGAATAGACTCCGGGGGCTGGCTTAAAGCCTAGTAGAACCTCACGATATTGCCAGTCCTCGTTAATAAAATAGCCAGTAATAGCCATAAATGATTGCTTAAATAAGGATGTCCAACAGTCAAGGGCAATTGAGATCTTCGAATGCTCTAGAAGCCTACGTATGATACTCTAGTGCCGTTCTTTGACTATTGTCCTAAGACGACCACGGATAGCCTTTGCTTTAGGCACTTTAGGCATTAAAGGGGCAGACTGTGTCATTTATAATAACCGGTGGAACTCAGGGTGCTCAATGAGGCGAAATAGGAGCCGAGCGGCAGTGACAAAGGTAAGGATTTGCTCTTCCCACGCGTCTTGCGTAAACGCTTTCTTTGTTGCTAGGTTTTCTCTCTATTAAATAATTAGTATTATATTCGTCGGATAGTAGAAGACTTACTGCTTCTTGAAGAAACTTAGTAATCGTTTTTGTGGTACCGATTGCCCTTTGACATACGATTATATCAAGATGTCTTCGATGCGTCGAAGTTCCATATCGCGAGGTACTAGCAGGAACAAGCGAAGATGGATGCTCAAGAATCGTCCCACAGCGCTTACACATAAGCATTGGTGTGCCCTTAAGGGCGTCTGCCACCTGCTCAAAATAGTTCCAAATTAAAGACTGATGCCTACCATCCCAGCTGATTTTGCTTGTCCTACCCCCGTCGGTTTGAACCCACCACTCTGCCCATTCGGAATGCATTGTAGGGTCGTAGAGAACGTATCCCTTTATACGAGTAGGTCCAACACGCTTAAATATAGAGGGAGGGTGTAGTGGCGGTAGTGAGAAGGCTATCTCGTGATCGAAATCAAGTGCTAGTTGGCTCCCTCGCGAGAGAAACGGGATACTTTCTGTATCATCGAAGTTAGATGACGGAAAGATATCAGAGTGTTGGCTTTAGGACATTATAGCAAAAGATAAGCTCCGTAAGAGAAAAATAAGAGAAAAGTGAGAAAGAGGTAGGAAGAGAATAGAAACATACCAAGTGCTCTATATTAGTGTTAAGGATAGACTTATCACTAAGTCAGATCCTAGACACTAGCTATGATTGGTAGACTCTAATAACCTAATATAAGCCCGCCCCCCTAAAGCCCACCAAAGCCCACCAAAGCCCACCAAAGCCCACCAAAGCCCATCAAAAGCCCACCAAAGCCCACCAAAACCCACCAAAACCCACTAAAAGCCCAACAAAACCCACTAAAAGCCCATACCCAGCCCATTTGGATTAAGTTTCCCCTCAAAAATTTACAACTAAGTTCAGTATCTCTACCTTTAATCCGAATTTATAGCCTACGCTTTGCCTATAATAATGTTAAATACTAATTAATAATAAAAGGATCCTAATAGATTTAATTCATCTACCTAAATAATAAATTTAACGAGTTGTTAAGGCTAAAAAAAAATAAAGTGAGTTTCCTTCTAAAACACACACTACCTTCAGTAAGGAAAAATATATATTTCCACTTCCACGTCACTAGATAGGACGCATTATAATAAAAAACTCCCTTTTCTACCACAACAGCTTTATATAAGTACGGTTAGAACTGGTAATTAATAAATTATCCCTTAGATTATTAATAGATACACTTAAATTTCCTTTTGTTTCAGTAGTAAATAAATAGAATTAAAGGGTAAGTTAATTGGTGACCAGAACATATATAAATAACAGAATTTAAATACGATTAATCAGCTAAGTTATACACGCCAAGACCATGATTTTATGCAAAAATGGGCCTAAATGGGCCTGAATGGGCCGAAACCTTCGGCCCATCGTGGGCCGTGGGTTGGGTTGGGCTTTTAGTTTAAGGCCCACGGCCCATGCGGGTTGGGCCTTGGGCCCGACCTCTGGGCCCATGTATGGGCTTTGGCGCAGTCTACCCATTCTTACATAAAATCCTAGTCTTAGCGTATATAATTCGGCTGGTTCATCTTAATTTAATACTGTTTTTTACACTTATTTTTGTAACTATAATAATAATTGTCGGGATTGGTAGTATATAAGATAAGAGAGATAAATAAATGCCTAAGGGTCCCTATGCGGCAGGGCAGTCCTTAGGACAAATATTTGTAGAGAAAAATACTACCTCCCGTAGAGGTCGGCTACTACTGCAGCGTAGTAGCTTACCCCTAGAAGATGGATGAAGATAAAGATAAAGGTAGAGATAAAGGGTCTCTCTGGCCTACCCTAATAGAGAGGAAGGGTAGTGAGAGGAGAATTAAGATGAAAGCTCTTGTTTTATTCAGTCTGGTTTCTAGGCCATATT